AAATTGGAGCGAGACAATTGTGCGGCTGTTGGTGGACAAGGGCGCCAACATCGAGGCCACCGACAACGACGGCAAGACAGCACTACTATGGGCAGCTATAAATGGGAGCGAGACAATTGAGCGGCTGCTGTTGGACAAGGGCGCCAACATCGAGGCTACCGACAACGACGGCAAGACAGCCTCACTATGGGCGGCTGAAGGGCAACGCGATAGGGTCGTGGAATTACTTTATGGCCAAGGGTGGGAACATCGAGGGGCAGGACAAAGACGACCGTACGCCGTTGTTACACGACAGCTTGGAATAGGGACAAGCGTGAAGTAATCGACATCTATGGTGAAACGCCCTGCTTGTGAAAGGAGCCACCAGTACTTAGGCGTACTTTTGGAGAATATGGCACCGCCATCGGATCCAGTCTGTGGACCATGTGGCCGAGCAGGGCTGGGGACAGTATATGGTGCCGGCGTCGATATCTAGATGGTGCTTAGATCGGATCCCATGATATACCACCGCCATCGGATCCAATCCGTGGACCATGTAGCCTTTGCATGGAATGCAATATCACAACGTTGAACCCCTGAGACAGAGAGTACGCAGTTAAACGGCTCTGGCACTCCTCGACGGAGCTAAAACCCTCTCCTGTAATAGGTTCCTCGAACCACTCAGGCGGATAGGAATTGACGACTCTCTTCAGGACGAGGCGGACATGTTCGGGGGAATGTGGAGGCGCACACCAGCCGTGGGCTTGAAGAGAGGACATATTGATGCGGTTGAGGCTATAAACACCAAGGATTTCTATACAGATAGGGTCGACGACGAGGTTTTGCAACTGCAAGACTATTTTTCATGAAGGATGGAGCAGGTACCTACGTTTGTGCGGTGGAGCCAAGGAATCATACGTACAGTACCATAACATAATAGCTGAATTTGGTGCTGAGTTTATCTATTCCCGAGAATATTTTTAGGGTAGTGTCGAACTTCTTGTGCAACTTGAATTGAAGGAGCACTCTGGCTCTTCCAATGAGTGCAGGACAGAGCCCATCTATATATCTGTCTACGCAGTGTACGTCAACGCTGCCGCCTGTCAATAGTGATGTAGCCTAGTTGGCGAGTGTTGCCGAATGAGTCGGTCTGTTGCGAACGATAAGTCACCAATTGTTCCACAGGTAGAATCCGGTTTTGCAAGCCTTTGTACTTAGTCTTCTAAAGCGCTTATCGCAAACCGTGCATTTGTGCCTGAGTGTTTGCCAACATATTAGGTGAAAATTGACCCATGAAATTTGCCGAGGAGCAAAGAACATTGTTTAGAAGAGACTATCTTGCTATGCAACGTGTCAACGGAGCGTTCGCCAGACGTTGTAGCCCTGTCGGGTGGCACAACAGCATGCATGCAGCTGAACCACGATTGGAGCCAATGGATTGGTCATTCCCTCCTTGGGTAAGTTGGAGGAACGTCGATATGCGGGCATGTGCAGATGCCGTGCATTGAACTCGTTTCGTCCAAAATGCCCCATGATGGTCTGGAGAGCCGCATGGATCTGGGCTGCAAGGTGTTATGGAACAGCATCTCGACTCTTTGAATTGGAAGATGTTTCTTCAGGAAATTTGTGGAACAGTCAAATTAATGTAAGACGTGACGGGAAACTGTTTGATATTATAAAGAGACATTCATCATTGTCGGGGCATACCATTGAGATTACAGTATGTCAGAAATGTTAGAAGTCCTTCGTTGCATTTAGGGCGCATTAATCAACGTTAACGTGTTAGGCTGACAGTATTTGCTAACGACCTAAACCGCCGTCTTGAGGGTTTTCGGGAAAGTCTCGATGAGCTTAGCCAACGCCTTGATGCGGTTGATCGAAATCCCAATAGCCTTAGCCAAAATATCAATAATCTCAGCCACCGCCTTGATATCATTGATCGAAATCCTAACAATCTCAGTCAACAATTTCATACCCTCGAGCAGAATCTCAGCGGGCTCAGAGACGGGTCTGACAGCTTCCAACGCCGTCTCGACGCAATTGACCGAGATCTTAACAATCTCGGCCAGCGACTCAACACCCTTGATCCGATCGTTACTGAACTAAGGCAGAATATCAATAATCTCGATCAACGTATTGGTGCAGTCGATCGTATCAATCTTGACCAGCGACTCAATGCTCTCGAACAAGGTTTTAGGCGGCTCAGAGATGATTTTGGCAGTATCCGGCCGCGAATTGACGCCATTGACAGGAATCCTGACGGTCTCGGTCTCCGTTTCAACATTCTTGAGCAACGTTGCAACGACCTCGGTTTCCGCCTTGAGGCTGTAAATGGAAACATCGACCGACGTGTCAACAGGCTGAATAGAAGAATCGATAATCTGGGAGCGTGCTGTGTAATTTTGTGACATAGTCATTGAAGTGAACACTTTTCCAAAATCGACACTCTTGAAAGAATGCTGCAGGAAGAATGTTGCAGGAAGAATGCTGCAGGCAGACGATGTCCATCCATTGATTAGCTAGACGCCGGCCCCTCGCTTCGGCCCCTCCATATTAGCCTTCAGGGCCCATTGACTGTCAGGATATAGTGACCTACAGAATATAATAACCTTCGGGACGTAGGGGCCTTCAGGACATAATAGTCCAATAGCCAATCCAAATGCGCTTGTGTCAACAACGCTTTCACGAATGAGTTGGAGGATATCCGGGGCCAATCTTAGTTGTCGCGCCGGCGAGCCTGACCTCAAACTGGAAGCGCGAATTCTAGGATTCGATCGCTGACAACCTGGACGCCGATTTGGGAGGGCCAAGACAGTAATGACCACCCGTGTCGTTCCGCCATCTCCCCATTATCACGATATCTCCAAAGATTCCTACGTAGCGCAGGTTCTTCCCGTACTTATGCTGATTCAGAGTTCTGGAAACAGGTGCTGGTGGACGAATCGCACGAAACTAGAGCGCAGGGACGGCGTTGATGTTGAAAACAGGCTTGCAAATAGATAAGCCATATCCAGATAAATCCAAATCCAATCCAATCCAATCATGATGTTGGATTTATTTGGATTCTGTCCAATCAGCGCTCGCCAGCATTAGGCAATATTTATCCAATCAAGCTGAAAACGCATATATCGTAACCCTTCTATTTAGTCCCCATTTCACAGATCCAGTGTCTTCTAGATCAGTGAAATAGATTACGGTTCGCGCAATCCTCCAACTGGCCTTCCTGGCTGAAGTTAATAACACCTTCATTCCTTGGAAGGTCGCATGCCCGATATCATCCTGATCTTTTAAAGGGGGGAACACTCCAGCAAAGCCACAAAACGCAGCCACACTTCTTTGCCTTGGATCTCGTTTGAGGTGGAATGCAACTGGATCGGACAGTGGATCATTGACGACGTCGATTGGTTTTTCCTTGTGCGCACACGAATGCTGATGAAAATTGATACTGGCTTGAACGTTGGACACGTTGGCATTTGGTTGTTCAAAAGCGATCCAGGGACTCTTATCCATTGCTTCAAGAAGCAGCGGAATGATATCTGAAACTTCGAATCCAGCTTCATTGAGGTAAAGAAGCCATTCGAATTTCCCTTAGATACCCAGTCAAAATGCCTTGCAAGCAATAGCTCAACAATTTCGGTGTAGTATTTAGTCAGAGCAGTTTCCAAGTGTGATGGGCCGTCGATGCGATTTCCTCTCTCCAGAAATAATCGTATTACTGCCGCGTGTCGATTCTTTATACCCCAAGAGAGCGGCGTCAGATGGAAGAGGTTGTCCTTAGAGTTAGGGTCAATGCCATCTTTGGTGAGCGGCAGCTTTACCACCGCCTCGTGCCCGTTCCCTGCGGCCCATGATAGCGGCGTCCGACCATCGTTGGCCTCGGCGTCTGGGGCCTGCGGCGTACTGCCGTACCATCCGGCACGGCCACCATAAGCACTGACATCCGCTCCGGCATCCAGTAACATCTTCACCACCGTCCCATGGCCATCTGCTGATGCTGCCTGGAGTGCAGTGCCATGGTATCCTCTTTGAGCATTGGCATCCGCTCCGGCATCAAGTAATATAATTCACCACCCTCTCATGACCATCTGCTGATGCTGCCTGGGCTCTATTCGAGATAATGCACTTTCCACCTCTTGCTTGGTGAATTTCCATAGTAGTGCTGACTTGATCCGGTCTCTTTTCTTGGATGATGATAATTTGCTCACGATTGTCTCAAGAAAGGTTTTGGACTGGGTCCAGCGGGCCATTTTGAATCCCAATAACTTCACTTGATTAAACCATGGATCGTTGGATCGGGCTTCTTCTACTCGAAAGCGGAGCATGGTCAACAGACCGTAGAGATTATTGGCTTCAATCGCCAGCAGAGCCTTATCTTTCGTCGCATTTTTGGAATCGTTGATGTAGCTTGTGAGGGCTGATGTGAGCTGCAGAACAACAATAATGCCGGCCGTCATCGACAGAGCTTCCATCGTGCGCGATTTATGGAGTAGGCAGGAGGATTCTTGAGGTCGGCCGCTCAATCACTGCTAAAGTTATCGAAGGGAAGGAGAGGAGGCAGAATCAGACAAGTAGGTTTACACAATATTGCGCGGCTTGGATTATCGATATGAAAATGTGTTCATGGTAGACATTGATGATTGATAGGACAATTCTTCGATGACGCAGGCGGTCTTGACTTAAGCCATAATTAAAGATCCCGACTAAAGTGCAACGTCATGTCGAATGAGTGGACCAAAGGAGGGGGTCGTAGCGTACCCACTATTGCCACAAATAGAATTCTGCTGCTGCTTTATGTGGCTTCAGAATTTGGCTAGAGTTTCGTAAACATTTCGTGTATTCGATGGTAATTATGATACTATCGTACAAAAAGCCTCTTATGTGATTGGCGAGTGGAATGAAAGGCTCTTGACTTAGAATGGCAAAGTGGCCGGACCCCTTGCATCGAAGTGGGGTGGAGATTAATTCGAGTTGCATTGAAGGCGGTTTTAGAGGGGTTGGACGGGACCTGTTATGGAAGCCATCCCCTTGCGTATCAAGACAGTCGACCATCATACCCTTTCGCCAAGGCACTATTCCTAATCTAGTTCCTCTCGTTGCTGTAGTAAAAGTCGACATGTACGTGCGGGATCCGGAAAATCTATAATCCGACAACCACCACTTCCTTTGCTCTGATTGGCTGGCCCCATCGGATCCAGTCCATGGGCCAACCCCCGGGCCTTTCGTGTCACGTGGCCAACCCGATGTAACCCGGAAAATTTATAATCCGAGTATTACGTAATCTTTTGCATTCCACATCGGATCCAATCCATGGCATCCGCCCTGATCGGATCCAGTCTATGGATCACGTGTAGACGATGTTGATCACGGTGTCCTGTGCCGTAATCCTTGGCACATGGTCCCGTGACAATGTGGTTGATATCACGGTACTAATTGTTCGAGGTCAGACCTGTAACCCAAGCCAGAAGAAGAAAGCAAATAATCGAATCTTAACCCGCCTTCTGCTGCGCCTCTCAAGCTAGAAAGAAGAAAATCAAACACGGTCGGATCGAGATGCTCATTGTGGTGTCGAGCGAAGCTTTTTTGGTTCTGCAAGGGCACAGTTCTTGGCAAATCTTCGGTGGTCCCTGTGTAGGACTCGGAAGTGTCTTGGCAATACTATGCCAAGAGCCTGGATGGCGAATTTTCTCTCAAATTAGCTCTCTTGTCTCAGTATCTCAGACCCCAGGCTCAATTGCAGGGTGTGGAAGCACTAGGTCATTTCTGGAAGGAAATGCCTTCGCAAGAGCGATGGGTATTACGTCGACAATAGATGCGAGCTAGACAAACCCGGAATTCGGGAAATTGTTGCTGGTCACTCAAGAGGTCACTGCGCTTAGGCAGCAACAACAGGGCTAGCTCAGTAAAATTGTCCCACTTATCATGACGAATTCGCAACCTTCTGGGAACTCGAGATCCTGCGTTTGTATCAAGACGGGCATTTAATTCCCTGCCATTTCTTCAAGCGGCAAATCGACAGATGGCTCCACAGGAATTCTTGAAATCTGGCGTTGTCGGTATTAACAAGAGCTCCAATTTGCGAGATATGGGACGATAAGATGAGAATCCACTCGTTTACCGTGGTGGAGTCACAAGTGGTGTAAAGTTGAGGGGGAGGGAATGAGAATGGGGACGGAGAGGGTGAGAATAAGGGTCGGAGGCCAACCCGCAACGTTCTAGAAGATCGGATCCATAACTTTAGGCGCCTGGGGTCCCAATGCTAGGTAAAACTATAGACTTGCGTCTGCCAACAGTTGAGGATAAAGCAAATATCTAGCGACGCGTGTCAAGTTACAGGACTCGTGATTATCAGCCGGATACCAGCCACCTCGATATCCTTATACTACTAGTATTGTGGCAGTAATTCGTACCGAACACGAGCCCAACATGAGGATGTGAATGGGTTATCTATTTGTTTCGAAATCCACCAGAAGCGTCAGGCTGGGCCGGCCCGTCCTCGCATGAGAATGACCCAAATCCACGTCTCTACTCCCCCCGGTGGCCAATGGCAAGGCTGTCCAGCCCGAGGGAGTAGCCGATAGCACTCTGACGCCCATCGGGAATGAGGATGACTGGCTGGCTCATACTATTCTCGCGGAGTATTGTAGCCAATCTCTGGAGAGTGCCCTCACATATACCGACCATGATCGCATCTATCGGGCCTGCAAGAGCCAGTTCATCTGTCATTCCCGACCGTCCGAATTATCACCATGTCCATTTAGTTCTGGTCAAGGTCCCTGTTTAAGACGCCAATGGATTGTGAATCAGTCGTCCTATCTCTCCATTCGTGCTCCATGTCTACGATCCTTGCCCCCTCTTTGCCGGCGAACCGATGTTATCTGTAGTACATATCCTCCTCCTGTTCCTTTCTTCCCCTTTAGCTTTGCACCTTTCTCTCGTGTGCGTTGTGATACCTTGACAAAACTCACCAGTCCAAACCGACGCCGGCGCCTTTCAACTCCTTCCCGTGCCACCTTTAGCCATCTGCCAGTCGAATAAAGGGGAAAGGAAGGATCCCAAGCGGTTCAACCTGACCGGCCATATCGTTCGAGAGTCCTCTTTCGCATAGGCATTCATAAGTTCACAAAGACGGAGTTTGAAGGTTAGGATAGCGCTGGACCGGCTGCCGTTGCTGAACTGACATGGACCAAGTCAACAGGCATTTTCTCTCCTTCTCCGTACATCATCATTATCGTCATGAACGAGGAAAAGGACTGTAAGGCTGAGATGCTTGACTCTTACCTTTATCAGCCCCACAACATCGTCGATCGTCTCACTGAAGAGAACGTTGATTGCCTAAAAAGCGACAAGAACCCAAAAGAGAGCAAGGAAAATGAGCATGATCAGAAGCATCGTAAGAAAGGCTGCGATGAAATTGTGCGCAAGCTTGAAAAGGAGTTAGACGCTATGACGAATCCTATCTTCCTCGGCGAAGCCAGAGAGGATCAGCAAAGTAAAAGCCTCCTTGTTCAAGGAAGTGAACAGTGCTAACCGGCGTCAGACCTCAAGGACGGTACCAGCTCTTACTCCCAACTCTGACCTTGCTGACGGCATGGCAAGAGCATGGCAAGAGCCGTGCAGCAGAGACTCGACGTGGTGGACCATATCAACAGTGACTTTTCTTGAGATGTCTTAATGAATTAATTGCGCCTTGCTTGCCTTTCTTATTCAGGATCGTTTGGAGGAATATTGAAATTGGTCGGGCGAATCCGACGATGCTGAATTTTGAGTTTGGGGCATTCTTTTCCATGGGTACCATTTCTCCCAAGTGTAGCTTGTCGAGGGAATCGGCCCGCATTACTCTTGTTAATGCATGACGTGCACCAATTTTTCATGAAGGCAATCTGTAGCTTCTCTTTTACTTCCGGTTTCCAGCTCATTCTTTGAGGAAACTTGGGGCGGCAATAGCAAGATGACGATTGTTGAAGTTCGCTCTGTCAAATTAAAATCCACAAGACGTTGCCATGAGGCTGGGAAACTCGTAATATAGCCGGAAGATGGAACGGATGATCTCGGGCCGAAAAATTTCTTCAAGTGTTGCGGACGCGTATCTGGTTGTGATTTGGATCTTAGTTTAATGGATACTGAGACAGGGGTCCGACTTGGGTTTGGGAGCGTCGTAGCAGCGAAACAGGCCGTTCAAATACCGTTCAGTATCATATTCTGATCATATGCTGCACAAGCAGCTAACCGGTTCGACAAAATTCATCGATCCCGCGAATTGTCTGAGACACTTTTCCGCAGAAGCAATATCGGACTCGTTATGATGTTCCTTTGGCGTCACGTGACTTCAAAAACGGATCACACTGGGAACTTTTGTCAAGGCATGTGAACGTGAGGCTGTCGGCCCCCTAAATCCCTGTCTCTGAGGGGTTGGGGATGTGTCCACCCTACTTTGGGATAAGGAGCCCAGACAAAGATAAGCCGGGGGTTATCCAGGCGCTTAGGAGTCGACAGCCCCCAAGGAGCATCTCGCCAAAGCTCATCACTGGATCGCACTTGCACTTCTAAAAGATCGGACGAATTCTTCTCCTCCACTGGTTCTCAAAGTTTCAAACCGGTGTCCGCATTGACGTGCATGAATCCCTCCCCAATGATCTCAGGAGCACCAAACTCAGTACAAAGAGCACCACGCTGTCGCAGTGCTTTGTCACGAGAACTCCGAACTTGTGTTACCGAGGCAGATAGGTTGGTGATCGCTGTAGGTAGTCTCTTACGACTTCTCTTCACAATCGAGTCAGCTTTATTACTGGGCGTTCACAGGACAGAAGTCCAGGTTTGTAAGGCACCGAGCCGTGCGCCAAGACGGGGTTTGCAGTTGCTGCGACTCGGTATCTCAGCCTTCGTCCTCACTTTAGATGTCGTGCGCAAATTTTTTCCAAATGCACTCTGAAGCGCCAACTCGAACCGACCCTGCAAATTACACCGTCTGGCCAGGCGAATATGACCTCAGAGCCTCTGTCCCCGGTCGCTGATCTTGTACACAAAAGCACACGCCCCACAACCGAAGTTAAATTATTAAGCATCAACTCACTGATATGATGAAAAGAGTGGGAGATTCGCCATCACGCCCTAGGGGGTAAGACACTGAGCTCCCGACCTCCTTAGACACTTTGCCTCGTATTACTAGGGAGAAGTTCGTGGCCAACCACTGAGTAACCTGGTTCCGGTCTTGAGACCGCGTCAAGGACCGACCCATTCCGCCAGCGCTACAGGTTGCATCAAGGCAAGTCTGGCGGCATCTCGCATCCTCGGCTTGGACAAGCTCACTATTAATTCTCCGTCGTTGCCGGTGTGTGACCCATATCCGTGGATCAGGGAGTGAGACAAGTCTAGCCGCATGAGCCGGTTGTGTCATCCAGAGTCACCGTCGCGAGGCTGAAAATGCGTGTTCCGAAGGAAGGAATCTTTTGGCTCATGCTAGAAAATTCCAGGAATCCGGTATTTGTTTCTCAATATAGCCCGGCCTGAAGCGAGTAAAGCTTTGCCAGTCCCAAAGTATAATGACACGGGAATGTAAGTCCGGCAACGCCTGCTCTTCGATTATGAGTCGAGAACAACTAGTGCGTAGGGTTGCATCGCCTGCGAGGCCATCGCACGCGCTTTTCAACCGTCTAACAGAATATCTTCTCATCCAGTAGTTATTTCTTGACAGCGTAGTGTGTACTCTGTTCCGACTGGTATGACTTGGTATCGAGCTAGTCAGTCGTGATAGGAATACGAGTTCAACAGGGAGGACACCACGCGGCGATCCTACATAGGTGCACTAATTCTGTCAGCCTCATCGTTCCATCCGGTATCCCAGCTTCCAGGATCAAGACGGCGTGCCGTGCAGATCCACTGGAGACTTAAAACAGTCACATAATCATGGTTCACCCCCTTGATGGCAGCTCAATCTGCCGGCTCCAGCACAGATGGGAACCCAAAGGATCTCAGGAGTCAGAATCTCCCGTGTCAGTGAGAGCCACGGGTTGACCGGTGGTACTGATCTTTCGTGTAACATTGCCAACCCCGTCTTCAATCGCGTTGGGTCCCCTTCCGGCCACAAAAATCAGTCTCCTGACTTCGAGGCACACTGATATCTCAAACGATTGAACCTTATCCGCGGACAAAGGAGGTCGTGCGGATCGTGATTTTGCCGCCCTCATTTCATTGAAGAGGACCTTTTGGTGAGCTCACTCTGGTGGACAAAGTATGTGGCAAGCTGCCGTTCCGACGAATACTTATTGATGTTCAATCTGACTTGTGTTCCAGAAAGATGAGCCTGGGTCAGGTGTCAAAAGGGGACATGCTTCATGCCTTCCTGTTCACCCAGGACACTTTTGTTGATCGACTGGCCTCCCACCACGGTCGAAATCTTCGAAGCTCCGCTGGTACACCAAACAGAATCGGAACGGACCAAAGGACAAAAACGTGCAGAGACTTGACCCAGAATGACTGACCCGGAGATTCTGCGCAGCGCAAGATGGGATCAAGAATGTAACTCCGTTTAGAACGGAAACAGCCTGGAAAGATCTAACCTGCGGCAGCGATCGACTGGGGTGTTAACGTCTGCTCCTCAGTATCAATCTTGGTTGCCGTTGATCCCGGCCAACAAGCCATCCGACGATCGAGAAAGTCATCCGCGAAGCAGTCAGGATGGATACAGTGAAGGGACACCACCGAACTAGGATATCTTGGAACCCGCTGGTGGTTACACCGCCCATGTTCCGGAATCAGTTCGACCATTAGGTTGGAATGTTCAAGCTGAAGAGTGTGGTGCAACGTTCTCACCGAATAATAAGTCGACGGTAGAATGGGCGGCACATGTCGGCGAATCTTGGTTCGGGATAATTGCGGCCGGGCCGCAATGCCGAACCCAAGCATGTTTGTATTGGGCATCGAGGCGGATAACTTGCCGTGTAACCAATCTCGGATTTATCCACGTGGCCTCAGTGTGTCAGTGGCGCGACGTAGCAGTGTCTGTTATTTTCTCCCATATTCTGGACGGGTATTGCTTTGCGTCACCGTCATCGTCATAATGCTCGACTCCCATTCAGCTTGTTGCCTGATATAGGAGCTGGTCACTTACGGAACCTGCCAACCCCGTTCCTGAATAGGCCTAACCGGAAGAAATCGGGCTTTTGCAGAACGCCCGATTTATATGATATGTGGCCCAGCTGGAGAATCCGGGGGACGGGTGGGGTGTTTCTGGGCCAATCCTCGAGCACTTGAACTTCAGCGAGGTTTGATGGAATTCGAGGAGCTTGCCTGTGACAAGACGGCCTCTTGATCTGTGTTGGACGGCGCAGACAGGCTCTCCGACAAAGGTTCTCAAGGGACTCGTCATGAAATGCAGCATGGATCGTTGTCAGAGTCGCAAACCACGCAGTCCCAAGCAATTCCGTCGCAGCGTCATAAAGCTTTAGTGTCAGAGAAATTGGTTCAAAGCCACTCGAAGTCCATTAGCCAACCAATTGGCTGATCAGTAGAGGTCATCTTCATGCAAAGGACTTGTTGTTTTTTTTTCCTTTTGGAGTGGTAACCTCTTGAACTGTCCTTTTTTCAATGGAATGGAGAAGATGCGCTAAGTGATCGGGACGAGTTCCCCGGCACGTCTTCGCGGTCGTCGCCTGACTTTAGGTCCAGGACCGCCTCAATTATATGGCGCCGGCCGAAAGAGGACGAATCATGAATCGATAGAGCCCCGTCATTACGTTGGCACAAAATCAGCCTTCTGAGCGACGAGGCTTCCGCCCACCTAGCGTGGGGGTGATTCACGTTTCACTGCCCTCCAGGCCAGACACAATAAGCGATCCCACAAATAGACCACCGTAAAGCACCAAAAAGGTCCCCAAGGGAAGCAAATGCTACTTGATAGTGCATGACGGACGCAAAAAAAAAGGCAGGATTGCCTGTCTTGCCAAATCCTATAAATGTGCCTAGGGCTCTTAGAAGATTTCAAGTAGAATGGATCTGTTGTAACATGCCTGGCATGACACAACAATCAGTGCCTAGACTTGAGTCAAGTTGGCTTGAACAATCTTCTTTGAGATATCAGTGACCGATGGCTGGGACACTCAGGTACGGACGTGAGAGGCGAAAAGGGGGATCGCTGATCAAGCCCAGGATCGAGAAAGTCGGCTCTGAAGGACGTGACATCCGCGGACGACAAGAGAGCGGCATGCTCAACCAATTCCTCTACGGTGGACAGAACGTGATGGACTTCATCTTGCTGGGCCGAGGGACTGACAGTCGAGTAATCCGAGGAGACGGGATGGGAAAAAGGGAATTGAAAACAGGCGGGCGCGGCAGAGCAGATCGTGATAGGATGATGGCTCTGGTAAAAAGCATGGATGAATTGACGGATGTAAATATCATTGAGGAAGCGCAGAAGTATCGAGCCTTGCTGATTGGATAAGAGTGGATGATTAAGAGAGCGAAGTAATGAGGAGGATGACTGTCGACCTTCGGTTTCAATGGGGGAAGAAAAAGTACTGCCAAGGAAAAAACAACTTCCTCCCGGCCGGGGCACCCTACCCAAGAAGACCCCCCAGTTTCATTGCTGCGGAGACGGAAATTTGATTCCGCCCATTGAGCTGGCAGCCTCGTAGCCTCACTGCCGGAACAACCCCCTTTCTCATGGCGTAGGGAATACTTCAAGAGGAACTGGTTATTAATTCTGGTTTGGTAGGATGGAACCAAGCGTGGTAGCTATCTTTCTTCTCAAATCCCATCCATCTATGTCTTATCACCACCATTCTATCCACCGTCTAGACCTAGCCTCTACTATTGTCACACCCTCATCTCCCTCTTTGACTGCCATCTATGGAGTTGTACAAAACGCCTTCAACGTGGTACACGAGGATTTTGCTCGTTGTTCAGTCCGTTCGTTTCCAAAAATCCATGATACTTGCAACCACTTGTTCGCTCTTGCTGATGGGTACTTCGTGCCCGGCTTCGAAGACCACAAACTCGGCATTCCCCAAAAGGACCTCTTTCGCATCCTCTTCAATCTCTTGCCTGACGATGATAGGATCATTCGCGCCGCAGACAATAAGAACCTTCTTCTGAGTGTTTTTCTCGTTGTTTTCCCGCGTCAATCGGTTCCCAATTATGCGCCATCGATCGTGTTGATCTCGTACAGGGCCGTATCGAATACTGGACATGAATGCAGGCACAAATCCGACATGGTTGTCCAGCTGGTCGATCACCGTCTTTTCGACCGTCACGTGTGGTCGTGTTTTGGACAAAACAGCGGGCGGATTGGATTCCAGGTTGACTTCGGCCTGCACGGCTTCAGTGGCGTCCACTATCTTATTCTTCTCCGCTCCTTTCAATGGAGCGGCCATCGGAGTGCGAAGGCGTCTTTGGACCAGGGTCTGGAGTATCGACTCAGGGATGATTCCCTCCGAATATATAATGTGGCTGGTTTTGCTGATGTGATGAGGCCGCAAGAGTCCCGCGGGAGCAAAGAGAATCAGAGAGTCCACCAGGTTCGGAAAGTAAGAGGCGAAAGTCGCAGCAATCCCACCTCCCAAAGAGTAGCCGATCATAGAAAATTTCCCCGAGCTTGATCCTGTCCATGACAAAGGGGACGAAGCCAGTGCCAGCAGGATTTGGGTGGTGAAAAGTCTAATGTCATGTTTCAGATCCCCAGGATTGTCGGAGTAGCCTCGTCCAAACAGGTCGAAAAGCATCACACGACACCCATTGTCCGCCAGAGCGTGGGCGACGGCGCCCAATGCAATTGCCGGCGTACTGATCCCGTGCACCAACAACACCTTTCGACCGTCTTCTGGACCAAACTCGTACACCCGTATCGACCCAAAGGGTGTATCGACATCTCTCACCCCAGGTAACACATCTGGAGGATATGGAAGCTGGGCCTTCTCACTTTCGGACAAGGTTGGCAGGAGTGTCGCCCGTGGAGAGCGTTGGATGTAAGCTTTGGATTTGCTGACGATGCTTCGGGCCAGGACTCCTGCAGCAAAAAAACAAGTTCCAGTGAGGACGAATCTCCATTCCCATCCACTGGGGAAAAGGCTTGACTTGGATGCCATGCTGGATTGTCAGTCACTGGATGAGGGAACAAGAACGTTTCGGAAGAAGCTCGTTCTTATCTAAATTCCTGACGACGAATCAGAAAAAGTTTGAATTTCGCTGCCTCGGCCCTTTCGTACGGCGTATCACTTCGCTGTTCTCCGAGGCCAGCCTCTCCGTTCTCAGCCTCGTCAGGAAGACAACATCGAACTCCTCTTGGTTGTTCCCAGGATAATCATTATTAATATTTGGTAGCTGATTGAAACAGGATTTGATCTGTTCCAATGCGCGGGACATCATCTCATTGTTCAACGAACATTGATCCGCTCAGATGTATCCTGCCTTCTCTCAAAATAATATATATACAGAGGGTATTTTTCCGCATTATTTTGAAAACAGCATGGGTCTTCTTTTTGGTCATCCGAATGATCATAGGGAGAAGTCCAACGCCTTCCCACCCGATTTGTCTTTTCCCTTGTTCCTCTTTCGCTTTTTTCGTTTTGGCTTTGTGCTCTGCTCTTCGTCGTCGCCGTCGTCTTCCCTATCAGATTCTTCACCGCCGTCGTCGTCGGAAGAAGACAGATCGTGTTTCGAAATTCCACTTCGTCCCCCACCGGGCAAACCTTTGGCTTCTGTCCACACTTTGACGGTTTGGCCTCCCCCGCTGATCATGCGACCCTCCACATCGAATCCGAGGCCCACCACTCCATCGATATCGTCGTGCTTGGCATCCGCGTCGGCCAAAACCCCATTGCGGCCCAGACGAATGAATCGAACTCTTCCGTCTTCCAAGCCCGCAGCCACGATTTTTTCGTTCATCTTCAACTTGCCCCGGAAAGAGCCGAACGGGACTTCGGCCAAGCTCTCCACTGCTAGTCCTCCTCGATCGACTACGATCCGTTCATCAAGATCGTCCCAGACACCTTTTTCCCACAGACTTACAACGCCGTCGCTTTGACCCACCAGGACTTTCTCACCGACACTGGTGCCGCCCTTTTGGAGACCCTGAACCACAGCTATGCTGGTCAATTCAATTTCCTGGTCCTCACTTGTCACCATCGTCCCTTTGCGAAGATCAGTCACTGCAAGTGTGGTGCCGCCCACGCTGACCCATTGCTTGGGAAATCCGCTGGTACTAGTTTCACCGACGGGCAAAGGCACCAGTGCATTGACATGTTCGTCGCCGTGAGGAGTCCACGTCTGACTAGCACTGGACGCGATCTCTTTCCCCCCTTGCCTCAAGTCTTGCAGATACAGCTTCCCCGAGTCTGTGCCAAGCAGAAGCGCTTGCGGTGATAGAGCGCGTAATACCGTAGGTCCATCAACTTCTTCCTCTTCAATGGATGGCGGAATTGCTATCTTGCTGATGACTCTTCCCGTGTCCGTGGTGAAGGCCTTTACCAAACCATCAGTCCCGGCCGAGTAGCATGTTTCTCCATCATGACTGAAAGCAAGACATCGACATGAGCCCTTGTGTCTTCTCGTGGTCCAAAGTGTATTTATTGATCCTAACCCACTTTCCGAGACGCTTCCTGTCGATGACCGGCGAAGGGATGGTAAAATGGGGGTTGATCCAGAACCGTTGATCAGATTTGAGGTTTTCGGTGGTGAAGAGGAGCTGCCTTCAGAGGTATCCTCGACGACATCAGAGTCGGAGGGGAGTTTGTATGTGTGCACATGCCCTGAAGATAAGCCGACTGTAAATAGAGGCTCGGAGGGATGGATAACTTGGGCAAAGACGTCGGATTGTAGAGGCAAAGTGCAGATGATGTCGAACATGACGGAATGAAGATCAGGGATAGGACATGCACAGGTGTTGTTGGGGGTTGTTTATTGGGGGGGAAAAGCTGGCGGTTGTGGTGACCCGGGTTTGAAGCAGCCGAGATCTCGAGGTTGCAAGGGTCATAAAGTATAATTTGGGCGGCTACGTGAATTTCTTCGGGGCATCCAGGGGCTGCCGGACGGCCAAGATCGCGGGTTTTTTAGGCGACGTAGAAGAAGCCTGGAAGATGGCTTTCCCTCAGGTACACCAATCATTCTGGGCGCGCTTTTAAAACATCGAGCCCGAGGAAGACAGATATACTTTCCATCACTACCTGTAAAAATTACACTGTATATTTGACGAATTTCATCCTTGAATTGGATTGATGTGCCTTCATCTAATAACATCGACCAAAGTACAACGAGCTACTCCCTTCATCGACGTTTTCAAAACTTACGATACAGCGCTGCTTTGAGTGACTGATTCCTCCAAGCTCTCTGAGTTTCATGACTGCGATTCTATTCTTCTAGAACCTAAACGTCCATCATGACTGCCACCAACTCCACAGAAGATCACGCCGACGCTCAAGTCGACGATGAGACGACGGCATTGCTTGTCGTCCCCACTGCTTCTCAGGACCAGGAGAATGGCCCCAGCAATAAGACTATCGACGAGGACAAGCCGTTACCCAAACAGCAGATCTTTTTCCTCTGTTTTGCTCGCCTGGTTGAACCTATTGCATTCTTCTGTATCTTTCCCTTTGTTAACCAGATGATCTGGGACACGGGCGAAGTCGCGGAGACCGATGTCGGATTCTACAGCGGCTTAATCGTGAGTCACCTGCTTTATCTATTCAAAGCACATCTCTCACACGCAATCTCAAGGAATCACTATTCTCATTAACCCAAATGCTGCTCATGATCCCTTGGGGCAAGGCAGCGGATCACTGGGGAAGAAAACCGGTCCTGGTCTCCTCACTGGCCGGTGTGGCGGTTGCAACGGCCGTCTTTGGTCTGAGCAAATCGATATGGCAAATGATTTTGTTCCGATGTTTTGCCGGCCTGTTCGCTGGGACTGTCGTGTACGCTCTTTTTCACGCTTCTCTCAAGGTCCACGACTTACGCTCGAGGAATCCAGAACCATCCGAACAATGATCACCGAGAACAGTACACAAAAGACCCAAGCTCGAGCATTCAGTTTCTTCGCGTTTACTGGTAACCTGGGTATCTTTCTGGGCCCTATCCTCGGTAGGTGTGCTCCTTCGTATTTACTCCTTGCGATATGACTACTGTGAGTTTGACTCTCTTGTCCAGGAGGCGCACTCGCGAACCCAGCAACAGAATACCCATCGGTGTTGGGCCACATCAAGTTCTTCCACGACCACCCTTACGCACTTCCCACGTTCGTGACGGGTTCCATTGGAGCGATTGCTACAATCACAAGCGCGATATGGATTGAAGAAGTATATGAACCCATGCCCAACTCGCCCGGAAACTGACCAGAACCATTTAATCATAGACGCTTGTCCGGAAATCGAGATCATTCTCCGATTCCTCTGACTCGCAACCACGCATGACGACCCTCGAACTCCTACGCGCCCCCAACATCCCAATAACACTCTACATCTACGCGCACGTGATGCTTCTGGCGTTCGCGTATACGGCCATTGCACCCGTCTTTTTTTTTACGCCCATCAAGCTAGGCGGCTACGGCTTCAGCCCCTTGCAGATCTCTGTGTTCATGGGCATCGGCGGCCTAAGTCAGGCGCTATGGCTCCTCATCGCGTTCCCCTGGCTCCAAGCACGCATGGGCACCGCGGGCGTGATGCGTCTCTGCGCCACAGCGTATCCGTTCTTCTTTGCCGTCCTACCGCTATGCAACATCCTCCTGCGTAACCACTGGACTGCGGCGTTCTGGGCCATTGCCCCCGTCAGCCTCTGTGTGGGTAGCGGCGTCAGCATGGCGTTCACGGCGATCCAGCTCGTGCTTAACGACGTGAGTCCGGGGCCCGAAGTGCTAGGAACCCTCAACGCCGTCGCACTTACCCTGGTCAGCGGCATCAGAGCGTTTTCACCAGCCTTGTTCGCAAGTCTCTTCGCCACGAGCGTCCGCAGTAGGATCGGGGGCGGCCACTTGATCTGGGTCCTGATGATCGCATTGGCGGCTGGTTTTACTGTCGTGAGCCGGTGGGTGCCGGAGCGGGAGAAGTTGGTGAAAAACGCCCGCTGTGATGAGCACGGGGAAGAGGAATAGAAGCCATCGGTTGTTGTATAAATATTAAAACCGTTTTCGGCATAAAACATAAACATAAAAGGCTGGATCTGATTTGAGACGATCTGGATTGGAAATAGAATGTCGATAGCAACCGGGGATGAATTGACAGGCAAGGAAGACAGGAATCATGGAAGAAAGGGCAAACAAGGCAAAGGCGGTATTCACATTCTTGACATTTGACAATGGACCGTCTGAACCCTGGCTGCCCTTTTGGTATATATTTAAATCACTTCATCAGAGAGCGGCGGCTTGTCAACCGAGTTTTGGCAACCTAGACTTAACCCCCCCCCTCCCCCCCAAACAAAAAACACTATAAATCAGCCCTAGCTGGTTCACCAGCCCACGCTCGCCGAATCAATTCCCGAATCGGCTCTTTCTCAACCTTTCTTGGATTCGGGTATTGATTACTCACGGCGATCTCGGCGGCTTTGTCGATGTCTTCCTCCTTCATGCCAAAGTCCTTCAACGCGCGTTTGACCTGGAGTCTCTCCAGGAGGACGTTCAAGCCCTTAGTGGCGTCACCGTCACTTCCGGGAAGTACAGAGGCCAGTTTGGCCATGGCGTCCGGGATAGCGGGCGCGTTGTACGAAAGAGCGTGCGGGAGCACGATCGTATGTGTCTCAGCATGCGGTAGATTGAAGGAGCCGCCGAGTGTGTGACATAGTTTATGGTGCAGGGCCATGGAGGAGGATCCGAGGCAGACACCGCATAGCCATGCGCCGTACTGGGCTTTCTCGCGCGCTGGTTGAGATTGGGAATTTTGGATAATTTCGGGAAGAGATTCGGCGAGGGCTTTGGTGCCTTCAAGCGCGAGAAGTGATATGATGGGGTTTTTGTTCTTCGCATACAATGCTTCGACAGCGTGGGCGATGGCGTTGACACCTGACGTGGCGCTCAAAGAGATGGGCAGCGTCATGGTCAGGTCGACGTCGTATATGACCGTGCCAGGAAGGATTTGGGGATCTGTCCGAGTGGTCTTGCGGCCGTCCTGTGTTTCTCCCAGGATAGGCGTCATCTCACTACCAGCATATGTGGTGGGGATGCAGATATGATGTAGACCAGTTCGGACTGATATGGCTTTTCCCAGTCCGGTTGTCGAACCACCTCCTATTGAAACAACGCAGTCTGCGGATTTCGAGTGAATAAAAGACATGGCTTCTTCGGTGATGTGGGAGGGAGTGTGCATGGTCGCATTGCTGTATACGCCAGCAGGGTCGATGGAGGCCGAGGTCAGGATCTTTGCGAGATGTTCTACTTCACGGACTTGTTGAGGTGTCGACAGAAGAAGAGGCGATTTGAAACCCAGTCGTCGGATCTCATCCGGCAGTTTTTGGATGCTACCTGGACCAAAGACCACGCGGCCCGGGTTCGCGTTGTACTCGAACGGTTCCATATTGGGAGGTTTGAATGTGTGCCGCGGAGGGTGAGTTGGTTATTTTGCTCAATTCGAAAATTCGGGATGCGAAAGAAATTATAAGATGACTGAGTCGGCAGAATCGAGACCGGGAGAACACGACTTGCAAGGGACCCCGCATCGGAAATGGGCATGTTGATGGAGGCCTTTTCGTGGGGCATTGCCGGCAGAGGCACTGCAATACCCGCAATCTCTTCTCCCATTTCACGGCGTTTAGGTTCCGAAATGTCGGATGGTATCTCATAATCCTGACAAAGCTTATCTCGATTCATTCCGCGTTCGTCAGTTCAGAGTCAATTGCCAAAGGTACATCACCGTCACAACTGCCCAGCTGACGGCCAACACCCCGAGTACCTGTCGCATCTGATTCGAAGCTGTGATGCCTTCATTGTAGTCCGACAGATAAAGCGCTTTGGCCTTGTTGCGCCAGAAATTACGAAGGTGTTTGTATGTCAGAGCGATACCAATCGCATTCGTCAGGCTGAGCATGAATGGCCACTTGCTCCGATCGGATGACGGACCGATGGCGAGGATCACAGATGAGACCAAAGAGGAAACCGTCTAGCCACTTGTATTAACCCATTGAGGTGAAGCAGGCGTCCTCGGGGATTTGAAACCAATAACTTACAGCGAGAGCTCCAATGGTTTGAGTTGTCCTGGTCTTGTGGAGTTGATGTGCAGCCATATTGGACCATTGCGCCGCAGTCTCAGCTTGACCTTCACGTTGTTTGAGATTGTAGATGGCCATGGCGGAGAGGAGGCCGGTACCGACGCTGGCACATGCTTGAGCAGCATGGAAGAGGGAGAGGACGACAGACATAGTGAATTTGGAGAGACTGAAACGTCATGCTCCTTTGATACGAATCAGACTATTCCCGCTACTCGTTCAACTCATTCCTCGATGATTAGGTTGCGCAATTAAGAGAGAATATTGTGACTGATATCTGGAAAGGTGAGAAAAAAAGTTGACGAGGTTGCAGCAAAGATCGTCAAAAGCGGCAAGGTGCACTTCATGGGTTGCTGCTTTAACAGAGTCCATCTATGAACCTGAAACCCTTGGGTGAGAGCCTGGTCATCTCGCTTACCAGCAGCCAATCTCTTACTCATCTTTAACTGTTACCGGTTCTCTGACATACAGATCCAGAGCAAGGCGACTTAACTAATTCTGAGCATGGTTCTGACCCAGAATGGATTTTCCACGGATATACAGAAATGGTATAGCAAAACCTCGAGCCGGACTATCTGAGCTGAGGAACCGCAGTGGCAGTGGATAATCTCGACGCGTACATGTACATCGACAACGACGAAACGACTACACCTCCAGGAGAAACCCCGCTCGTTCATATGGAAGAACAGGTTCGCGGTATACGGCATTGGAAAAAATCGAGCAGAGGCGGTGAAGAAACCAAATCTTTTGCGGAGAATTTCATGACCAGTTATGAAATAGGATTTAATCCGCTCCTCCAGTTCCCACGCACCATCCTGGGACAATATTTATTGTGCGACAGCCTTCTCTACCGCCCTCTCCCCTGGAGAGATATCGACAATATCGAGAGGCGCATCGATGGTCGACGTGAACTCGTCCTTGGGATCTCTAAGAAAGCCTGCCCCTGCTGTGCGTTAGTATGTGGAAGAAGTGTGACGGGAAGAAAATTCCTTACCAACGAAAGCGAGGAACGTGAACGATGCTGCAGCGGCCCAGACGTAGCTGAAAGCAAGATGGTACGTTTCTTGTAAGGCCAAACCTGCCGCCGCGATTATTTCAGGAGTCACTCCCGGAATCTTCGCCACTGCCGCTGTGTCACCCGATGTCAAGCCTCCAATCAAGGGTGCTAAAGAAGTTTCCGGCATCCCCAGCGATAGGGTCGCCGCGGCTATCTTCGGGGCCAGGTTCTTCGAAAACCCAGCGCTGAAGACGGCTTGGAAGATAACTAAGCCGGTGGAAGCACCCAAACTTCTCACCGCGAGCACCAGACCAGATGTGATTGCAATAAGCCCCGGCGGAGTCGAAAATTGCGCTGCAACAACCAAGGTGGTGAGAAGCAGTCCGAGACCTGCTCCCAAAACGACCATGTAACCCCAAAAGTTAGCCTCAGGGGTGGATGTTGTGGAGGTCGCTGCGAGGATGAAGAACAGCAAGAATCCTAGAAACCCGGACATTGTTGGGATTCGGACTGATTTTGTTTTCCAAATGAACAGCCCCGCCGTCAGCGCGAAGAGGATGAATGCGAAATATGAGACGGCATAGCACAGCCCCACCCGGAAAGAGCCCATCGAAGGATACCCTGTACTGAGTTGGAATGGCACAAAGTAATTGGCCGCGAATGCACCGTGTCCTTCGATATAGATGCATGCCAGCGCAATCGGAAAATTTCGGTGGCGGAACAAGCTATGATGGAAGAGCCCATCCTTCCTAAACTTCCACTCATACACTATAAGGGCGACAAGAATGACGACGCCGACCAAGAATGGAGCCAGTACGTGAGAGCTTTTCCATGGATATGGGTTTTCAGCCCAGGAGAGACCGATGCACAGCAAGGACACTCCCGATGCCACCATACCGTATCCGATCCAGTCGAGCTGTCGAAGTTTGCTCCGAAAACTCGCAATCTGGGTTTCTCGTGGAGGTGGATTGTATAGCAAGGCACATGCTATGCTCGATGCTGCATAGACACTAGCTGATATGTAAAAATAGGTTCGAAATCGCCCGGGATGGGCCTGGGTCAGAGCACCTCCGACCAGAAGTCCACATATGGCCCCAAGGCAAACCGACACGTTGACGCTGGCTTGAGCCCAGGATCGATACTTTCGCGGTAGAACTTCTGACACAACCGCATGGAGGAGCGGCTGAGCGACGCAGGACAGACCGCCAATCGTAAATCCGGCTATGGCCATTCCCATCGAGTTTGATCTGGAGACAATGATGGCACCGACACATCCAAAGCCGGTAAAGACGACCAAGAGGTGCTTCCGCCCCCAGCTTGATGACCAGTCAGCTTGCTACGTGTCCAGTACAGGCTCGACTTACTTACTAATCGGCAACCTGGGATGCAGGGGGGCTCAGTGCGGCGACCATGATACCAAGAACCGCGGTAGGCCATGCTGTAAGCGAGGCTCCGCCGACAACAGCAGCAATGTCCCGAGCGAGGAGGCCGCCACCAACCAACAAGGTCATCTGACAAAAGTAGATGCTGGAAACAGCCTGCGAATTTTTTGGGATCAGTACCGACCTTGTGCGAATGGAAGGGGATTTGCTATACCACAACCAAGACTAGTGTCTTAAGATGATTCCAGTAAGTTGGTGAGGGCTGTTGATCAACAGCGGCCTCGATATGCGTACTGTTGGGGTTTCCCATCTTGGCTAGTGAAGAAGTAGTTGTGGAAAGGAAGATATGGACGTCCGATGGTCTCTTTTCAGCTGAGATCTGCTGCCTCAATGGTGGTCGCCTGATTAATGTATACTTTTTTTGCAAGGCTAGAACTACCCCGAGATTCCACGCCGTCCCGAATTTAACCCCGGGTTAACAGCTGCCCTGGCCCAGCGCTCCAAGGACGCCAGATGCTAAAGGAGCCTCTTCCGAGGACCGATAGCTGTCCTGAAATCCCTGCTCAACGCACGTGCCGAGGTAGAGGTTCACTCGGATGGCTCTTCACACGTCGGTCCGAAGATCGTACAATACTAGACCATTATACAAGTAGAGGCCGGATCGATTGAACAAATACGTGGAGCAATTGGAAGAAAAGAAAAAGAGGTGTTTCTGTCATCATGGTCGTTGTTTCCTTCCCCATAACGATTCCGAAGGACAGTCCCTTCGGGTTGTATAACATTCCTTTTGGGATTTTCAGTACCTCGCCAGATGTTGGTCTCGGAGTTAGTTCTTCCAGTATTATCTGAAGTCTTCCGTCAGTGCTGATGGAATTATTCATGTTCAGTCGAAACCTCGAGCCGGGGCCGCTATCGGCGAGTTCGTCCTCGAGCTTGCTGAATTAGCAAAGCATGGCATATTTGCTGCTGAGTCTGAGACTTTGATGCCATGGGAAGATATTTTTCTTGAGGTACCAGGACCCAGCAGCTCTTTTGGACAGCCCTCATTGACCAAGATATAGCCGGTTCTCAATTCGTTCGCGGCCCTGCCGGCCGAGGAAAGGAGATGGATCCGATCTACCATTATCCAGAACCTGTTCAACTCGAAGTCCTTGCTTTTCACGGACTCGGATCTGAATGAGAAGGCTTTTGTCCCGATGGACCACGTCCAGATGCATCTGCCTATGATAATCACGGACTACACGGATTCCTTCTCATCTCTCATTCATGCTCAGAACGTATCCTCAACAGCTTCCTTTTGAGTGCCGGTTCATTGCTGACCGACAATGTCGTCTCTTCATCCGTTAGGACTCGAGCTACCTTCGGCATTCACTGAATATCCTATGGGATATAATGGTCGGATTTCATCCATCATGGTGTCAAGAACCGGCGTTCGCCGACCCTGTGGATTTTACCTGAGCCCGGGGGATAGCAGGCCCACCTTTCAGCCATCCAAACAGCTAGATTTCGAAATAGAGCTTGGAGCTTTCATTTCAAAACCCATTGATTTCGGCGGGACGGTAGACGCGAAGACAGCCGCGGATCATATATTTGGGTACGTCCTGCACAACGACTGGTCAGCTCGCGATATTCAAAAGTATGAGATGCCACCTCTCGGACCATTGCACTCCAAAGGGTTCATCACGACAATCTCTCCGTGGGTGGTAACGGTGGATGCGCTGAAAAGTAGCACAGCTGGGCCGCCGACATCGAATTCAACCAAAATTCATCCTGCGCTTGTTGCTGACGAGAAAGACCACGGCGTATATGATATTGAATTTAATGCCACCGTCATCCGTATGTTTGAATTAACTACCTGCTCAATCTGACGCTGACGAACTGGCAGGCGGTGGCGGCGACCCCGTGGAGATAGTACGCTCGAATTTTACCCATTCTTACTGGAGCATTCCACAAATGATAGCATATCAATCATCGGCCGGTCACGGCATCCATACCGGCGATCTGGTGGCCAGTGGGACCATTTCGTCACCTGCACCGGAGCTGAAAAAGGGCCTAGGCACATACGGTTGTTTGTTGGAAGTTTTCGCCCAAAACCATGTGCTCCCGGAGGTAGGTGGAAAACCGATGTCCTGGCTCGAGGATGGGGATACTTTCACAATTGAAGGCTGGTTCAGGACAGAAGATGGCAGTAAAGGTGGTTTCGGCGGTGTGACGAATCTCGTCCTATCTGCCAAATCTTCTTGGACATAGACACATGATCTTGTAATCATTTCCATCACCATACCGTTGTCGAGGATACGTATTTCGGAGGAACATGTTGGCGCAAGTGAGGCCGACAGGATACCTTCCCTCATCGATGTCCGGCGCTATACATGTTGCCTCATGTCTCGATCAGAGCCTATGCATACCTCACAGTTTCGCGCCTCCTTTCTTCAGGTTCATCACCACCTTCTCGATCTCATAGAACCTCTCAAACCACTTGATCTGTCTGAACTCCTCCTGAGTCAGCTTCAATTTAGCAAATGCTTGCTTACCCCCACACAGCACCGCCTTGACCTGGATCTCCAGCTTCTTCCCATTAGCATTGTATGGCACTTCCTTGGTCTCGAAGATGAAAGCCGGAACATGCCTTCGGCTGAGGTCGTTCGCGATCTGTTCCCGAATCGCCGCCTCGATTTGGGAACAAGGACGCAACGTCCCGGTACTGGCCTGCGGAGTACATTTGAGGAAGAGGACCACGCGTTCGGCCGGATCTGAATAAGGTGGTGTGATTCGTTGCTGACCGACGACGATGGCATCGGCAATGCGGCCGTTAAATTTTGGCGCCGCGAGAACGTTGTAGATCTCGGAACTGCCAAAGCGTACACCTGAGGGATTGAGTACCCCGTCGCTGACATACGCGCATGTTAGAGTCGGCATCCAGTAACGGCCCAGATACAAAGTAACTCACCTCCTCCCGAGGACATAAATCCCCTTTGTTTCTCGGTGAACCTGGATAAAGTCTCCGTGAGTCCAAACATCTAACAGTATTATATTAGCCATCTCGCCTTGCACTCTTGGGAGAACCTCCTTGCGGAGACAACTTACGTGGAAATCTGGTAAAGTACGAGCCATAGTACCGCTTGCGCTCCGGATCCTTCCAGAACATGACCGGCATGTTTGGAAATGGCTTTCGACAGACTAACTCGCCGCTCTCCCCGTCCGGGAGAGGCTTCCCATTCGCAGAGAACACGGCAACATCGAGTCCCAACGCCTTGACCGTCATCTCTCCAGGATGAGACGGCAAGGAGCGGGTGCCGTGCAGAAAAGCACCACAGAGCTCGGTACCCCCAGACATGGAGATCTGGCAGACCGGACCAAAGGCCTCCGCGAGCCACCGAGCGAGAGGAGGTGTGAGAACAGCTCCAGTCGATATTATGGAATGCAGGGAACGAGCGTATTTGTCTGCGTCGGATGTGGTTTAGTTTATCGAGGCCGAAGAAACCAAAAAGGAGTACGTCAATTGATGTTAGTGACCAACTTACTGGGCTTCACATCCAGGTTTTGAAGTTCTGAATAATAGCGAGGCCCAGCTCCGAAAGAGGTAATCCTAGATCTTTTGAGTACCTTTGTTCATCACCATCGGGTAATATAGGACCGACCAACCTGTGTTGGAACAACATTTCCAGGAATCTCTCCGTAGACGGGTAGAATGGGCTACCATCGTACAGGATCATGCTGGAACCCACGAACAAAGCCCCAATCGATATGTTCCACAAGGTCCATCCGATCTGCGTGCTCATTAGGCACGTCCCTATGGCAGAGGTGCTGTTGCAAACTATTCTGTGGCTGCGACTCACATTCGTGTACTGGTAGTGTAAATCTTCTGGTCCAAGGTTGTTGTGGAGAAGATATTCCTTCATGCCGTTCATCACGAGCGCCTATACTAGATAAGCTGCATGGCTCAATACGTCCTCGTAAATGTGCAAGCTTACTCCTTGCGAATGGACGATGCCCTTGGGCGTTCCTGTGGTCCCTGACGAGAACATGACCACAAATGGTGTGTTGAAGGGAACTTGCTCAAATTCCAGCTCCCTGCCCGTGGCACGCGCGAGAAAGACATCGAACGAAATACTGGGTCGCGTTAGGTATTCGTGCACTTCAATGGTTGCTAGGCCATGAACTACATACCATTTTGATTCCAGCCGCTGCAGCGCACCGATAATGATGGCCTCACAACTGCCGGTCGGTTGAAGTTTCTCGATGGATAGGTCCAATTTGCCCGAGATGTCGTGTCTCTTTCCATTGTAAGAATATGTAGATTCCGCTATCAGCAAACGGGGTTTCAACAACTGAAGTCGATCATCAAGTGCCTATTGACCACGTCAGACCGACGCTGATTTAGAGGCTTGAATGTCTGCACGAACCTTGCCTCCCATATCGGTCGCAAAAGAGCTAAATATGCCTCCTATTGCCGCGGTTGCCAGCAAAAGGGCAAGCGAACGTATACAGTTTGACCCGATAACTGTTCCCACGATGAGTACCATTGCGACGCTACCAAGCGAAGGGCGGATGTTCATACGCGCGACAACTTCCCCCTTCTTGAGACCAGATGACTTCAAAGCATCGGCATATTTTCGCACGAGTTCCCGCAAATCCTGGTATGAGAAATGCTCAGGCTTGGTCATGTTGCTTTCGTTCATGTTGATGATCGCTAGACCGTTTCCCTTGCCTGCAAAAATGTTCTCGCTGAAGTTCAATCTCGCGTCTTCAAAGAAAAGTGGAAAGTGGTCGATGATAGCATCATCGTCTATAGCCTGATCTTGTTATGAGCTATTCTCATTGGACTAGTGGGCCTTGCACGCTTACCTTCACTGGATGCACTGATGCTTTTATGCCTGAAAAGTCCCACAGGGTCATCCAGAAGTCGTTCAGTCGACTCACAGAAAATGCATGCAGATCGGCGTAGGTAGCTGAGGGTCAAGGCGAGTTAGAAGGATCTGGCAAAGAGCCCACGGTGATGAATGATGCGGCCGTAGCCCCGAGTGAAGGTATTGAACGGAATACTCACTCAGGCGTAGATTGTACTTCTGGTTCACGCACGCTCTGAATTCGTCCAGGGGTGTCCACAACCCTGCCGGGGGTAGATAGGTGGGAGTAGGTGTCATTGGTCCTCTGAATGTAAATGCTTGGGCAACTAAAATATCAGATGTAAAATACAAATCTTACACCGACAAATAGCAAGCTGAAACTGTAGAGTTTCAAAACATCTGCTCTGGCTAGTGAATTATGTCGAGCTATTAACAAATCCCGATAAATCACAAGAGTCTGAGTGTATGTTCAGAATTCAATTCTTGATGATTCGTGGGGCCATATCAGGACAAATTGTAAAGTACTGCTTGCTGCAAAACTTAGTTTTGGCTCAGATCGAGCCGACCGAGTGCAAGCTCACGTCTTGCACCACACGACGAGTAAGCCACAGCTTGTTGGAGCGGTGGTGTGGATCTAAGGTGTTGCACGGTCCGAAGCATGAGGTCGGAGAGGGATTTCAGACTTGTCCTAAAATAAAGGAGCCGAGACTTGAGCCGTAAAGTCTTGGCATTTCTCGGTCCGCAAGCCCCTTTTCGGAAGAGCCGAAGCATCTTTGAATTGAGCACTGATAGCACAATTTCCCGGCCGAAATGAGCTTACCAACATGTACCCAAGCATTTTTATCTACGGCATCCGGCGGATAGTCCGCAAGGGCCAGCTTTTGCTTCAGTCGTCGAACCTTATGTGTAGGAAACTCGACGTTGAAGGTGTGGATTGGCATGACGAAAGATGTAGGATACCAGTATTGTCAGGGATGAGATAAAGCAATAAGGAAAGTGATGCATTCGTAAACTTATGCTGGCCTCGTGAACTCATGCAAGGCTGGCGACTTCTGCACAATGGTGGCTCCGTGAAATATCGACAAGATGCCTGTTGACGGGCCTTTTGGATGCACCTTCTCGTGGAAAATCGTCCCGGTTATGACGACCCCATTTCCGCCGCTTGTGGAATTAGCTCCCCAAATCAAGTACATAAGCACTCAACATGTGTAGAGGACTTGCCCAGACCGGCCTAATTGCGAGAGCATTGAGTGTGCACAAATAGCACGTGCAATGAAACTCGGTGAGCCTCTCCGCACTTCTTCATCTACGCGTTGGCTATGACCTGTTGTGCCTATGCCAAATAAAAGGTAGTGGAGTCGTCGAACCTGGACCGTCTCGCGAAGGCAGCTGACAGAACCCGATCATTCTGGAGTGCTCTACAACCTCTTTGCGAATCCTTCCTTTCTTCTCGGGTCGGCGCACAGCTGCGCACATGACCATCTTCATTCGGGCCGGGCTGAAGTTTCTTTAAGCCGGCTTGTTGTTTGGCGTCAGGCCTTATTTGTCGATTCTGACCCGGAATTCTCGTCAGCCTCGCTTTCTTGCTCACTCATCAGCGAACAAAATATATTCGGGAAAGCTTCTGGTGCCGACTTGCCAAAATCGAAGAGGAAAATTTGCCATCATTGGATGATAGCCGAAGACAAACGCCATCGATCATCTAAGCGAAGCTTCTCAAGGCTCGAGACCAGGGTTGGCGGGTATTATGTGAACGTCTCAAAGTTTGGCACCGCCGAATTTATCATGTCGAATGAGGACAGCAAATTCCATCTCGGCGAATCTAGATTCATGAAGTTGACCTAACAGGATACGAGTTAGCATATCTTTGGCGTAGAAGCGCACCCTGGTTCGCTGGTGAAAGTGACATACATCGCTTAAGGCCGCTGGATCAGGTTCAGGATTGTCGAAATGGAGAGGACCAATGTCGAGAGCTGGCATGTGAGCATCATGGCCTTGGCGCTCGCAGTGGGCCGTACTTTCGACGGACGTGGGATCTGGCTCCTTGGCCTTGGCCGCTTTCACTACTTTGGACGCGACGTTGGCGGCTTCTCTCGGGAGGGAGATCGAGACTTGCGATGAGGTGAGAAACTCAATGTAGCCGAAATGTCCCGCGCAGACATCCAGCAGACCCAGGTCGGCGGTGGCCGTCGACAGTGTTGGATACTTGAGAATGTAGATGAACAGATTGATGACCGCATAGATCGGGTAGTAGAACGCCAGCCATGACGGCGTGGTCACGTTCGTGTGGATCAACCGAAGAGCGAGAATGATCTTCCGTGCCGCTTCCGCCACCGTGCTCGACGAGGACGCGATCTGGGTCTCGACAGCGGCATTATATCCCTCGGCGGCGAACCTCGACGTCATCCATGGGTAGAAGAGATGTGCATGCACGGCCATCAGACTGCCATAGATGGAGAAGTGAAGGTACATGATCTGGATAAGGCGACGAGTCGGGTGCGGTGGTCTTGCCAGTGTGCCAATCTTGAACTCGGCCGGCATCTCCTCGAGCAATTGTTTGAGCTGATCATGAAAGTGATTGACGCAACTGATGAGCTCATTGGCCGACATCGACAGAGCTTTGAACGACAACAGCCGACGCGATATCTGAGAGTGTATCTTCGAATAGCGGATGCCGATGCTCAGGCTTTCTAAATGAATATTGCTTCCGCTGGGCAGCGTCGTCGGAACATGAGCACTGACATTGTCATCGTCAATGACGGATGGTCGGCTCCCACACAGGGCGAGATGCTTCTCAAGAGCATATATCGCCCACCAAAGCCAGTTCCTCTTGAGGGATTCATCGGGAGAAATGCCCCATGCGTGGTCGGGTTGACGATGTAGTCCTTTGGATTGAGCTAAATAGACGGCATTAGCGCACAAAAAATGCTTGAAAGCTGGATTGCCGAGGCCTTCAACATAACATGCCTATGATAGATCCGTATCAGCATCTGCCGGAGACGTCCCGCTGAGAATGCACACACCATCAGTGTTAGCGCTCGGATCGCCATCAAACGTGCCGGGGGTAGGAGGAGTCTCGTGAAGACGGAGAGCGCATTATGGAAATAGTGCCCTGCTTTTGCCTGCGCGGCGGCAAATGAGATGGTGGGGTCTCTTGCTAGCAGACTTCGATATCCGCCCGCGAAGACGATATTTCGAAGTGCGAACCACGTGGGATCATTTCTGGGCATTTGATTGCGGTAATGAGCTTTTAGCTGAGCCTCGAGATCCGTTCGGTCGATGATACCAAGGTCAGCTTCCCAGCAATTCTGATAGAATGCTAGAAACACGGGGTTAAGATGATACCATTGACGGCGCCGGATGTTACGCGATCGCTTACCATCAACATACTTCCATGCAGTCGCTTCGCCTGTCTCGGGTGACCTGGCACTCGCTGACAGATATTTGTCATATGAGGATCTTGGGACCATGTCTTGCGCGAAACGCTTTGTAGTGGCTACGAAATCTCGACTCCCCGTGACACTCCGGATCCACTTGGAACCGGTCTCAGAGCAGATTGATGTCCAAGACCACGGCTCATGGTACTCCCAGTTGGAGTCTTCCAGAGAATCTTGACTGTCTTCTGGGTTTGGAGGACTGCCGGAGATCCCGATGTCGAATCCAGACGTCTCTGAGTTGCATTCTTCTTCGCGAGACACTCGACTGGTCGCTGGCCGAGGTGATTGAATTGTGTCTCGACAAAGGCGACCAGCTGAAGCGGTGGGCTCGTCCTCGGCTCCCCGTGTCGGATACAGCGGGGCGGGATCTCTCGAAGGGAAAGCTCGTGCAGAGATGAGAGTGTCGTTTCGGGTTCTGCTATTCGAAAGCCTCGCATCCCAGATCCTTTCCATGCTTCTCCTAGCCGAGTTTCCGTTGGAATTGGGAGTCTGGTCGTCTGGGGCTTTGCGTCTCCTTTGTTGGACGGGAGGGTAAATGCACTCTTTCCTCAGCCTCAGACAATCTTTGCAAGGCTCGCCGCCACTACCTTTTCAGAATCGGTCAGCATACGGCCAGAGAAGGGTGCAAGAAAAGCCGTTACATCTGACTTTCCTCTGCCGACAGTTTCGACAAGCTATTGCCACTCTTCCGACCTTCGGCCGTGGGGAATGGGAAGACATGCTGGCCGTAGATCTTGCTGTGAGAACGAACCGCTGACGAAAGAGAGCATACAGCTTCTCGGAGAATATTCTGTCAGCGGCTTTGATGCGTTACCATCGCAACAAACATCGGTTGTTGAGAGAGTTCCGAGGATGTCAGGATCAGCAGACGTGGTATGGAATGAAATCTATGGCAAATTCCCGCCTGAGGGAGTCTAGGCGAGGTGAACCGTGCACGTTTGACCCGAAGCGTAAAGCCTATGGGTTTAGATTAATGGTCAAATTTCCTCAGGCCGTGCCATGGCATGGGGCTTTGGACATGACAAGAACCCCGCGTCTTCATTTGCCCTTCGCCTCCACCTCCACACCTCCGCGCCCCAAGCAAAAGTCACACACTCTTTCTTCTAACCGCATGTGTGTGCAAACCGCTACTGAGACAAACTTTTGATCCTACCAACCGTTCGGAGAAGCATGCTGTACTAGACGACTGACGGCCGCCTGCAGCTCAATCTAGGAATGGGCAACACCATGTCACCGATCTTCGTTGGACAGCAGATAAACGAATGAACACATTCTCCCTCAAACAAGACGAAGATGGAAGATATGCTACATTTTGAGGGTTCCAACCCGTTTCCACCCCACCTACAGCCCTCCGATGGCAGCCTTTGCCAACTTTTTGAGCCTTTGGGGTCTATTCCAATCGATGACGAGTCAGACACTTTGGGCCATGATTCTATCAATTTCAAGTCTCCTGAGTTATTTGCGTCAGGAGTGCTGAACCCGGACGCGTTCATGTCCCTGGATGGCCCTAGGCACTATCAGTCCGTGAGCGATTCCGTCGCACATGAGAGGTATGAAGAGCCTCTGAACCTTCCTTCCGCTGGCGAGGTTTGCTACGAGAGCCCCAAATCGTCTCGCTACTCGGAAGATTCGCAGAGTGTAAGAGATCACATCGATTGATCCAATCGACTACCTACACGGGGCTGACCTGGCATTAGATCATTCCAGAACATTATGGTGAGTCTCAAATGGAAAGAAATGAGTACATCTCATCATTTCAATAGGGCCCGGATGCTGGCTGTCTGTGTGCTCGCCGTCCGGCCTCGCTTGGGTCCAACAGCGCGCCGGCGCGGACGACTTTGCCAGTATAGCTGCCGACTTGACTGCAGCGTGGGCAAAGCAACTAAAGTTGGAGCGTGACGAACCGACCCTCCGTAGTCCAGAGCCCGGAGCTGAACTGGCTTGGAGATATTCTCATGGTATGGTCGACTTCAGCAAGACGAGCGCACGTGCAATTTACTGATACGGAGCGCATACAGCCTATTTCGAACGATCCGTGGACTCCCTGTTTGAGGTGGTCTACCGCCCGGAGTTTGAGTGGCATCTACGTGGTCACCTCGAAAACACATATCGCAACGACGATCCTGCGTGGTATGCTCTTCGCAACGCCGTCTATGCATCGGGCTGCCGGCTTTACCACTCCGCCAATCACGCCGCTTGTTTCACCAGGATTCAAGATGAAGCCTGGCGCTATTTCTCGAATGCATTATCCGTTCACAGTGAACTGCTGCTGAGGAGCCCTTCTCAACGAGCGGTTCGGGCATTGTTGGCTATGGTTCGTGCGATATGCTCGCAACCGAGGTGTCGGCTAACTTGAGAAAACAAGGCACTCTTCGCAGAGGGGTTAGGGAGCCCGGCCCTTGGATCTGGCTTGATTGCCAATGCCATGCTGCTGTCACAGTCCCTGGGCCTGCACCGAAAAGTGATAGTCCTGGAATCGGCGCTGGACACCGAGACTCTGAAACGACTCTGGCTGTTTTGGGCGGTATATTGCTGTGAAAAGAGCATTGCACGACGGACTGGTCGTCCCTCCGTAAGTGCCAGGGGTCTGTGACGTGGGCGTGGCTCTCTGACCTTAGCTGACGGAAACACTCAGGTGATCGATGATGACGATATAGGCTGCGGTATCCCTACCGTGGTCCACTCAAGGAGCACGATAGACCCGGCCGCCGTCAGATGCATCATCCGAAGCTGTCAAATCTCGAGTCGAATTTGCAAAAGGTTGATGTCCGTTAGGAGCCTGGAGGGCCAACTTATGAAAGTCTTGGATATCGTGACGGACTGTGACAAGCAGCTCCGATCCTGGAAAGATTCGTTGCCAGTCGCCATACGTCCCCAAGACCGCCTCAAGCAATTCCAGGTCTCCCGAGATACGAGCTCGTTGGCGCAAATACTGCTGCATTGCTCGTACTACGACCTCGTCATGGTGTTACACGCACCATTTGCATATCCGTGGATGACCAAACACTTGTGCTCTGACACAAACACCAATCTTCGAACGAGAGTTAATGCTCAGATTGCTCAAAGCTCGGAAGCGACGGTGGAAGCGGCCAGAAATATCATCGTCATGGCTAGAAATTTTGAGATCAACGGCGCCAATACCCATGCGTATGGCAATCTCCCCGATAACAAAATGGGGTGTTCCTGCTGATGAGAATATAGGTTCATGTTGCATTATCCCATGCACGCTTTCATCAACCTGTTCATATACGTCATCCAGTTTCCACATATGAAGTCCGTTCGGACAGATCTGGCTCTGCTCGACATGGCGGCGGGTTATTTCGGCCAGATGGATTTCGTCACGGGTTCAAAGCTCAGCTTCCCCTTTGCCCGCGATATTGCCACGTTCGGACGGCAGACGGTCGACAGTTACTCTGAACAATCGGCCAGCTCACCTAGTTGTCGTGAATCCCTTCATCGACAGGGTCCCAGTGTCGCCTCAGCGACCATGCCGGTCAGTCTCCATCCATATTCGAGCTCGAGTTGACACTTTCCTTCTCGTGACGGCACCTCAAGTCTTCGACAACGAAACCTTGCCGCCAACTTCGACGACTTCATTACCGGAATGGCTTCTATGTCATTGTATGTTTCCACCAATAGCCTCTCCCCGAGCACAAGATGGCGCGTGCCTCCCGTACACCAAATCAAGCAAACCTGTCCCGACATGGTCAGCTTGGCCATTTTACCGTTGGGTGGCTCACATGGATGGTAACGAGGGTTTGGGGAATGCTTACTTGGACAATAGTCAATGATATGCAGGGGAGACTAGATCTCTGCTCAAAATCGCGTCGCATTTATTGTGGACCTAGGCGCCACCAGAACTTCTCGATATAGATCTATATACTCCCACACGCGCGAATCAACCGCAGGACATCCTCTTCGATGAGCAATTTGACCAGGCCCTCGGTTCTATGATGACTCTGAATCCTCGGATGTCGTGCTATTCGGATCAATCCGTTAGCTGGACTGCATTGGGGGCTCTGACGACCTTCTGGCCGTCCATCTTCTGCAAGCCTACTTTGAACATGGGGCTCTCTTTAAGCTCGGCGACAAAGAGTTTGGATGCAGTTTCAAGCGACAACGCTACATCCCTAGTCCCTCTCGGTCGCATTCGTTCCTCGTATGCGGTCACCACTTCTTTCAGGGACGATTGTCCGGAAGCAGCCAACTTGACCGCATCCACAATCTCTGCAGCGTCCTGCATAGCGTTATTCAACCCTTGTCCACGATCTTTGCATTGTTAGGGTCACATCGTGCAGAGCTGGCGAATATTCTCCTTACTGGGAAGCATTGAGTGAGCGGCATCTCCCGCAATCGTGACCGTCCCATTATGATTGTCCCAGGGAATCGTTGACCATTGTTGCCCAGGATCTGCGGGCAGCACGGTATCGTCGGGGAGAGCAGCGGCGGCCGTGGAAAACGGTTCACAAATGCGGGAACTTCTCTCCCGGAAGAATTGAAGCCGAGCCTTGGGATCTTTCAAGTCGGCTGCTGTTGGAGCCCCCCACCAGGCATGGTGAATCTGGAAACTCCACGTTTCTGGCTTTTCGGCGTTGGATGCATCGAGTACTATACTCGTCAGTACTGGGAATCAAGTGGGAAAGAGACTATAATTCAGTCATACTTGTTAACAGAAAGATACCGGATACTTCTGGATCATAGAAACACGTCGCAACTGGATGATATTTCCGGAAGAGGCGAGCCTGCTCTGCCGTGAAACAAGAGGCAGCGTGGTTGATGATGGTCATGCCAGTGTCGGATGGTTTCGCAGCCTCCGGCCCAACCAGATATTCCCGGACTTTTGACCGTGAACCGTCACAGCCTACAATGAGATGTCCTCGTTCTGTGGAGCCGTCTTCAAATGTTGCTGTGACAGTCGATCCCGTCGATTCGACAGAAACGAGTTTCTTTTTGAACTGTACCACATCGTTAAATCACGTTGCTCCCTGTGGCTTGTTGGATATTGAACCCACCGATATGTCGAGGTCTCGCTTTGATGTCAAGAAAGCTCGCAGTTTCTTCCTTGACACCCGGACCATTCCTGGCATTGCTATTCTGGCCATCACTTCACCCGTTTTTCCGTTCACATGGGGAATAGGAACTCCTTCCGTTCCATCGTATGCCGGATCGGCCAAAGTTTCGTCAAATCGAGCTTGCAAGTCTGCCGGAAGCGTCTTCATCAGGAAGCCCCTCCCCCAGTGCAGCAACATCCCTGATTACCACTTCAGTTTTCTTTCAAGCCGCCTACAGGAGGTCGATATACCCCAGTCTCGTGTCTTGTCCCAGAAGTCCTCTGCGGAGTCACGCTCGAATATCGTGTATGGGATGCCTCCCTGAGACGGACCAGTCAGCGCCCTGGCGAAGCTTATTTCCAATCCTCCCTTTTACCAGTTTCCTTCGCGAATAATACTTACTTTCTGCAGTCCTTGTGCAATAGCCAATCCGCAGGCGCCCGCGCCAATAATAAGGACACGGAACCCGTCGCAAGACCCCATCCTGCCGCGACTAGTTCTCTTTGGGTTGTGTATGAGTGTCGGTCTGCTTCGGCAATTGAGCGGAGTCACAGCAGGTATATGATATTGGATCTCTAATATACCATTCCGGCCTCTGAGGTCCCCCAGCGACATGAAACTTGGCGCAGAAGAACGTTGTTTTCGCCAGACATGATGACCCCCCTCCGGCATGTCGTAAGTGCAAGCATTTTCCGAAGTACTTCTAGATCGCTTGGGCTCTGGAGGCCGGGCCGAATCTAAGACTGACCTAATCCGGGGGTGAACGCTGTTCGGTTCAACCGCATCCGAAGTCAGCCGCCGTCAACGCACGTCTCACCCAAGAAGCCATGGGAAAGCGCCGTTTCGCTCGGCACGAAGGGAAACGTAAGTCATGCAACGTCAGACGTTTTGGACATCGGCCTAATAACATTCTCGAATCCATAGATCCTGTATTCAGCCTTGATGAGTGTACCCAGTTGCCACAAACCCAAAGCATTGACAAGCAAGCATGGCGGCCAAATTCTCTCGACTCGTCCGCTTCGAAGACTCAAGTGGGAAAATCCACTTTGGCGAGGCTGGATCAGATTGGCAGAAAGATCTCGTTGGGCAAACTGTTCCTACCTACAACATATCTGATGCATTCGATGGGGAGTATGCCTTGACTGGAGACAAAGTCGAGATTGCAAAGGCAATGATTGATTCTTTCTCAAGGTATGATCGAGCAGCTGACACCATTCGCAGGTTCTTTGCCCGTTGATGTCGGTGCCCATCATCATTGGCATAGGCCTGAACTACAAAGTGCATGCCGAGGAGGCCAATGTAAGAGTGCCATGGGCTGGCAAGTTTGCAACGTACTGATATCAACTTCTCCAGCTGCCAATACCGGAATACCCCGTTGTCTTCACCAAATTTGCTGGTGTGTTGGGCCCATCAGGCTCTTCGCCGTTCTGGGAAAGCTGACACGAGCTAGACACTCTGGCGGGGCCGTTCCAGGACATCCATGTTGATGCGATCGCGAAAGAGCTAGACTACGAAGGCGAACTTTCCATCATCATCGGCAAGGACGTGAAGAACCCTCGTCCTGACGAGGATCCCCTTGATTATGTGTTAGGTTACACAGTCGGAAATGATATATCTGCAAGATATTGGCAATGGCCCAAGATGTCGGGCTCGCAACACGGCTATGCCAAATCCTTCGACAACTTCGGCCCAATCGGCCCCGTCATCGCTTCTAGGAAAGTCATTCCGAACCCGGAAAGCTTGAGGCTGAAGACCTGGGTCAACGGCGATCTGAGACAGGACTGCAAGACGGATGATTTGATCTTTGGCATTGGCAGGCTTATCCGGCATTTGAGCCAAGGCATGACGCTCAGGAAGGGGACTGTTATCATGACTGGCACACCAAAGTAAGTACTCCTGGGCATCGTTGAATCAGTCATCGGGTTGACCCTTGAACAGCGGTGTAGCTGCCTTCTTGCAGCCTCGAAACTGGCTTAAAGACGGCGACGCGGTCAAGATCGAAATTGAAGGGATTGGAACGATCGAGAACAAAATGGTAGTTGCCTCTGAACGAGGCAGTGTGTAGAGGCTGCGAGACTCTTCAGTTGCTAGCAGCAGGATAGAACAACGACATTCACCCCAGCTGGCCTCAGATAATTTCTTCTACCGCAATTTCATCCGCCTCCTCTGCATATTCACTTTCAGTTTCCGTAATTTGGTTTTCGTCTCAGAACAAATCGAACGGGTTGTAATGCATCGATGTCACCAAGCAGCATGAAGTTGTTGGATGCACCATGCATAAAAGTTGAGGCTACATAAGCAAATTCGTCTTCCCTCACCCTCTAAGTCCGATGATGCCTAAGCTATCGGACGTCATCATGGCGCAAGTGCAACCCATGGGATTTCATGTCTGGGGCCAATCTCTTTTCTGGTCTTAATGCCCCTGATTTCTTCCTCCGTAAGGCCCTCTTCTCCATTTGGCTTCATCTTGCTCAGAATTCGCTCGGCCCAAGAAGGAGGATCGATGTCTGCCCCGACTGGATTCGCCGTGAATAGTGGACCTCTGACGAAAGCGTCCGCTTCTTCCGGGGTGTCAAAATTCTCGATTTGTATCTCGACCTTGTTACGTTCCGGATCGCGGTAATACATGCTGCTGGTCATTCCGTGATTGACTGCCCAGTAGGGCTCATACCCTATGCTTTTGAGGTGTTGGTAGACCCTTGCCATCGCTGTTGGGGTTGCAAAGGTGAAGGAAACATGTTCAAGCCCGGCGCGGTCACCCTCTTTTGGTTCTGTTTCAGGCGTCATCAGAATACCGACTCGGTGGTGTTCATAGTCATAACGGAGGAATGCAAAAGTCTTCTCCTCAAGGATGATCTCTCCATTCAGGAGCTCCTGGTAGAACGTGACCATTTTGCGGTAGTTGGCCGGTGTAGTCCGCAGGACTACATGGGCAAGAGCGATTGGACTTGGTCGCGGAGTCATTTTGATGTCGCCGATGACTGTTGTGCCATTGGCATCGGGAATCGATCCCATGATGCTATTGATTCGAGTTGCGATGAGTGTCTGGTTTAGAATTCTCAATGTTGCGTGTGGAGTCCCAGCCACAAGCGATGAATTGTCCCAGATGAGTAGACAAAGATGGAATACTCTGGGGAGGTTGTGCCATGTCTTTGCACCGCCTTCGGTTCGAGAGCCTTGTCAGTTTGTCAGGCCAGAAGTCCCCAGGTTCGGATAGTTTTGAGACCTCGGTTCGGAATTAATATTTAAAGGGGAAGAAGACGCGACCGGCCCGAGAAATCTAGTTGCGCGTAACACAGAAAGCGGTTCAGACAGCTAACCACCTTGCTGCCGATGTGGTGCTAACTGCAAATAGCCATAAGTCTCGACTCACCAGGAATGTCTTCTGAACTATTGCAATGTTGCGTTTATCTCACGCTTAAAGATTGATCGTCCGTATCATTCTTTTTGTCACACGTGAAGTGATTGATCCCGAGTCTCATCGTCGTCTTCCGTCATGACTACTTTTGTTATAAAAGATGTCCGTCTTTTTGATGGGGAGAACGTGCTTGATAATACAAGCGTGCTTGTTGAAGATGGTGTGATCAAGCAAGTTGGGCACGAGGTGGAAAAGGCTGACATTCCGACCATTTCGAAGCCGGGGCACACTTTACTTCCGGGATTGATTGATGCCCACTGTCATCCATATCGGGAGTCCAGGCTGTCGGAACAAGCATTTCGTTTTGGCATCACGACTTTGATGGACATGCACAACTTGCATGAAAACGCGGTTTTGCAGAAGAAGTGGGCGAAAGAGAGAATGGATTTTCCGGATGTCAAGAGCTGTCACTTCGCCGCCACAATTGACGGAGGTTGGCCTGCATGGGTGGAAAAGCAGCTGAAGAACAACGAGGTAGGGTCCGCTTAGAGGAAAAGTCCTCGAGTTTCAGCCAGCATCCATTTGACCATTCCAGTTTTCTACCTACGATGATTGGCCCAATGTGGCTCGAGAAGAAGACGCTGAACCATTTATTGAACGGGCCATGGCAGACGGTTCGGATTACATCAAACTGATGCATGAAGCCGGCAGGGCCATAGGAATCGAGGCGGGCCTAATCAATCAGCCGAAAGAAGCTGTGCAAGCAGCGGTGGTCCGAGCCGCTCACAAGCGAAATTTAAAAGTCGTCGCGCATGCATTGTCGCGCAAAGACACTCTGGAAGTTTTGAGAGCCGGTGTAGATGGTTTGGCGCACACATTCTTCGATGAGCCCATCACCACCGAGGTCATTGACTTGTACAGGCGCAATAATGCCTGGGTCAACCCTACCCTGATTGCTGCTGGATCTCTGACCTGCGAGTCGAAGGAAATTGTCAAACTGTTTTCAGAGGACGAGAGAATCAAAAGCAGAGTCTCGACAGGAGACGTCCAGCTGATGCATCATTGCTTGCATATGAAATCACCCGGCGCCAAATGGGAATATGCAATTGACGGCGTCCGTCAATTGAAGGCTGCCGGCATTGACATTATCTGGTAAGGAGAAAACTCCGTGTTGTTGAAACGGAAAGCTAATGTCGTCATCTCAGTGGCTCAGATGCAGCGGCGGGCGCCCCAGGTCTGGTCTTTGGTGCTAACCTGCATATTGAAATGTATTTCCTGGTTCACAAGGCAGGTCTATCACCGATAGAAGTGTTGAGAGCCACCACAAGCCTGACAGCCGACCGTTTTGGATGGGCAGACAGAGGAAGGATAGCAGCGGGACTAAAGGCAGATTTGCTCCTTGTAGAAGGAAATCCTTTGAGCGATATTACTGACCTGCTCAACATAAGAGGGATCTGGAGGAACGGGGTAAAGTTCAAAGGCCACCCAGGGTTTCCGCAAGAGTGAACAGTGTTGGAACAAGTATTCTAGGATCTGATCGTCGGAACGCTCATCGCGGCGATCACCCACTGTCAGAAAAGGAGGGCGTGGACGTAGAAGCTAGGAGTGATATCTGTGGAAAATAATGCCACATATCCTTTAGACCAAAACACTCTCGCGGCTGATCAGAGCTAGGTAAAAGTATCCAGAATTCACCCCAGCCGGGCCTTTGGAAGATCCCATGGTCAGGGACTCGGACGGGCCACGTGCACTTTAACTCCCCCCGAAAGGCTCTGGTCTGGAGTGGTTGCAGACCATAGTTTTTAGTTTCGGAATTTCACCGCTCGGCCCGAAACCAAAAGCGGTTTCATGTCACACATATCCTGTTCGGCTTGAGCAGGGTTCGGCATCCCTCTGAGTCGGGCTACATCCTCCCCGCAAGTTTCGCATATGTGGAGTAGAAACGGGATATAGGTGACGGACCAGAGTCACTCATAGTTGCAACCGGCTCAAGCCAAAAAGTATTTGCTGTATTTCGATTTCTTTGAATTAGGAAGTCCAAAAGACAACTTCCCATTCTTCAGGCTCTCGTAATTCAAGCCCCTTCCTCCACTAAGACACCGACCAATCAGTAAAGATGATCTTCCCTCTGAGTAATCTGGTCTTCTTTGTGGCAGTGTTGGTTGTAAGCTGGTTGGTGGGGAAGGCCAGTCTTCACACTCTCTCAGGTGGAAAGTCGAGGAGCTGACTTCTCCTAGGTCGCCTACGCCCTGTTCTTCTCACCTTTGAGAAAGATACCAGGACCTTTTGTCGCCAGGATGACTCCTTTATGGCTGAGACTCGTGGACCTGGCAGGCAACCGGACTATGACTATCCACCGACTGCATCAACGTTATGGATCGACAGTCTTGATCGGGCCTGATGAGATTTCCCTCTCTGACATCTCAAATGTGAAGGATCTGTATGGCCAGCAGACGAGCTTCATGAAAGCTCCCGTCTACACGTCGTTGACTATGCCCCCCAATGGTGTTTTCAGCATGAGAGACAAGACGGCGCACAGTCAAAGAAGAAGACTGCTGAGTCATGCCTTCTCCCAATCCAATCTCCAGGAGTGTGAGCCTCTGATCCAGAACCAGATCCAGAAGTTGGCCGGGGTGATGCAGAATCATGCAGATAGACCCATAGACATGCTCAATTGGTTCAGGCTGACCGCTTTTGACGTCGTTGGTTCGTGGGGAGCCCACCATCATGAACCACACAGACTGACTTGCCTCCAGGGGAACTCTTCCTCGGGCAATCCTTTGGAGGTCTTGACTCGGGAGTAACACCACAATTTTTGAGTGACATCGAGCTTTTCTTCATCCTCGCCGATCTGCAATGGAACGATCCTTGGCTTGCAGCCCTCATCTCCTATATCCCATTGCCCTCTGTTCGACACTTTTTGGGCGCAATGCAAAGACTCGCAGATGTGAGCCATATCCTGCACCTCGGTGTTGATGTGTGTGATTCTATCTGGCTAATGAGTTGGGTTAGTATGGAGAAAAAGCCTTCCGCCGTTACATTGATCTGTATGGCCGGGATTCAGGGCGTAGGGATCTCTTGACAAAGATTTTGTCGGTCAAAGCCGAAACTGGAGTTGCTCAACTTAGCGACAAAGAGACATCACTTGAGATCGGCAACCTCATCTTTGCGGGCACAGGTATGGTGGATCATTCCGAATGAATCATCGTGGACATGACAGCGTGATAGACACAACAAGCACCACCCTAACCTTCTTGTTCTGGGAACTCTCACGACACCAGACCTGGCAGAAGAGGCTTCGGGAAGAATTGATGACTCACACTGGCAACTCACCAACATTTCAGGAAGTGCAGGATCTACCAGTGCTTGAAGCGGTCATCAACGAAGCTCTCCGGCTTCATCCGGCGGCACCAGCGAGCCTTCCAAGAGAAACGCCGGCTGGTGGTAGAGAGTTGAACGGGTATTTCATTCCCGAACAGGTAGGTTATGGACAGTTTTCCAACCGTGCAAGTCATTAGTCTGACCGTCACTAGACCATTGTGTCTATGCAATGCTATACGACGCAACGTGACCCCACGGTCTACGCAGACCCCGAAAGCTTCAAGCCTGAGAGGTGGATGGAACCGAACGACGTCACATATGAAATGAAAGAGCTCTTCATGCCGTTCTCCAAAGGGACAAGAGCATGTTTAGGAAAGAATCTGGCAATGATGGAGTTGAAATTGATCACCGCGCACCTAGTGCGGCGGTTCGAGTGCGCACCAGCACCCGCGACAACAGAAGAGTCCATGACAACCAAAGATCACTTTCTTCTCGTTCCAGCCGGAGGAAAGTGTGAACTGGTATTAAGGGAAGTTCAATGATGTTTGTTCGATCTCCGCCGAGTGGCAGAGCTGTTCCCGAGCCTTTGCTGCGAGCTCACGCGTCCTGCCAGTGTCGACTGAGCAATTCTCTTGCTGTTGATCGATTCCATGAAGGCTTTAAACGACCGTGGAATGAATCCCTCTCTCCATATCCAATGTAGTTTGCTTGCGTGTGACACTTGTGGACGTGGTCCTGACGACCCCGCGTGCTGAGCGAGACGGTCAAATTTGGTTTTTTGGATCAACGGCCACATCAGAGGGATTTCCCAAAGGAAGTTGTACTCCGGTGTGCGGCATAGGCATACGAAGTAGGTGTCATCGCTTCGCCAGCAACGTTTGAACCTCTGGAGATTATAGGCTATGGACGATCCTGAATGGCATGCTAGCGCTACGTATGATGTCATTGAAAGAGTTTCCAACTGCTCTAAGACGACCTTGACGAAGCCAGAGAGGAGGACGTTTGTCGAACCGTCATGGGCTAGTACACCGTTTCTGCTCACCCAAAAACGTGTGTCTTTGTAAAGGTCGAGGACGCAATATTAACCTGAAATTTTAGTTTGCGGCAACATTCAAGCGTCGAGAATTAGCACGGTCCGAGGCCGTAGCCTTGTCACGTGGCAAAGGGGGCCCGCCAATACTAAGTATTTAGCCTACTTAGGGTACGTGAACTAGCCCATTCGGCTATGCTACCATAACCTCGAAACTCTAAGATTGGCATTGAATCAGATCAGGAAGGATATTAGATCGTATATAGCTAAAAATATGGCTATTCTTCACCTCAAGTACTGGTGGAAGCTGTTGCTGGTTGTATAGTATTAGGACCGACCGTAGTAGTAGGTGCAGTTGGAACCGGGGAAGCAGTCGGATTAATGGCTGACTGCGGCATTGTCGGCGACGTTGATGGAGACGAGACTAAGTTGGTTTGTGCAGATGTTGTGGACGAGACTGGTGCAGTTTGAGTTAACGAGATCGATGAGCTCGCCCCTTGTTGCTGGCCCGTAACGGCATTCAGAGGTACGGAGAAGTTGCTTTTACTTCCAAGTTGCGGAGGATTAGCCATGAGCGACAACGTGGACTGTTGCTGAAGTGACGGAATGGAAATACGAGAACGCTTTTTCCAGAGCTTGAGGCCTTCGCAAATAAGTATCGCGACGAAAATGATGACGACTGTGGCGATAAATCCAGACCAGTGGATGTTGGTATATCCTCCTTCTCGAGATTTTATCATTTGGCAAAGTTGATGACTGGTTGAATCCGAAGGGAATGGGACGAACCCGTCTTTGGAAAGGAACGGTGTTGGATGAGCTATTGAGAGGATGTTCAATTGCAATTTGGCCAAAGAGATGCCGAACCAACCATTCAATTCCTCTTGCCATTGCCGTTCGCTTATTTTTTCTTGATTCTGTGACGAGATTGATCGCTGCACAAGCAAGGCAGAGGCGCCACGCCCATTGATGGTATAGTGGATACTTGTGAGGGAAAGGACATATTGAAGAATGCTCCAAGCAATGTCATCTTCATCTGTGTCAATAGCGCCTCCAGGGTTAGGGGCTAACGCTTCCGGAGATTCCCACGGTCCACAAGCACCCGTTCCATTGTTGCATAGGATAAATTCATCCACACACGCGGCGACGTTAATGAGGTTGTCAGCAGACCATCTCAACCCGCTTGCAGCGAAAAGGTTTTCTTGATGAGCAGAGAACATCAAATCATCCACTGGCTGAGGGAAGTATACATCAGGAGCTTGGAGCAAGATAACTGTCACAAAGCCATTCGGCATCCTCAACCTCAAGTCAAGTGGTTCACTTGTCATCTGCGGGATTGTAGATAGCCTGTAGCCGGGTGATATACCAGACAGATTGCGCACATCATATTCGTAGACTTCATGTGCGCCGAAGATCAAGGTGAAGGCCACATCTTGAAGCTCCGGCCTTGGAGATGCCCGAAATCGCTCAAAGTCAAGAACGGTGCATGTCATCGCTTTCTTCAGACGCAATTTTGATCGAGAATTAATGCATTGTTCGTCCATCGAGATAAATGGTGTCTCCAGTCTGATATTTGTCGGTATTTCGGCAGTGGTTGAGTTAGCACAGGCTTCAGGTGAAAAGGGACATTCAACGTCGCTGCTATTCCAAGGCAATCTGTCTTGTGCTAAGTTGGACTGGCAACTAACCGGACTGTGTTCGAGATAACACCCCTGGAAATATTCGCTTGCCGCCAGCGTCATGTTTGCGTTTCTCAACGTTGCTGCCGATCTCTCTGAAGGTGTCAAAAATTCGCAAATTGAACCCGAGGACCTCACAATAGGCACTTCTTCCGTCTCATAGGTAAGTCCAAGTGCCGCTCTTATCGGGATCCCCGGCGAAGCAAGTAGAAATAGAGTTGAGATCAGCCAAACCAGGAGCAGAGATGACCAATGTTGCTGTCGACGGCGCTCATGCCACATGGCGAAAATCAAGTCTGAAAAGACTCTACCGTATCCGGAATCATCAGAGTTTCTCAGTTCTCTCAGTGAGGCAGGCTGTGGAGGCAACAGTTCCCGGAGATACAAATACTGTGCAGACCAGATGCTGGTGATAGCATATGAGATGAGTAGAGCAAGAAAAGTCAAGATCACAAAGGCAACGCTGTCAGTTATCGTCAAGTGATGTCTCGTTGTTCCTTGAAGGTACTCTTTCCAAACTCCGGAAAATATGTATGCCATAGTATAATCCTCGATGTGGGCGTTGCTGATAAATCTGGCATGTATGACGGGCGTTTGTCGGGTGCATTCGAGTAGCGAATGACTCAAGGGCTGGTCTGGTTGATATACATGAAGAAACAAAGCCAAAGTTCTCTTTTGATTTGTCTTGGTTAATGTGCCATTGTCTCTAGTCAGGGATGTGACGAAGTTGCAGCCTATGCCACTAGCCAAGGGGAGACAGACGCAGAACGCTGTCTCAGAGGAGAAAAAAAATTATAAAAAAAAAAAAATTATACCTCTGCATCTAGCCGAACCCCCCGATCCATGCTTAAAGTTAATCCACAGCGGGAGCCTTTGATTGAACTTCATGAAGCAGTTCGAGTCAGTAGCGAGAGTCATTGGCTCTTTGGTGTTGATGAGGCTGATGCCTAGTAAATGCCTAGCCTAATAGCGTGAGACACCACGAGTCTAGAACTGGCCTGTTCAGCTGGTATCGGAGTACAGCCTGATCAGGCTCCGGATGAGAGTAGACGATCAAACTAAGATCCATCATACATACCTCGACATAGAAGAACAGGCTGAACCAGAGCGCCTCCGGCCTGCAAGAATTGCAGTCGACATCCCGAAAGCTTTTGCACCCCCTAAATCTCGCCTTTCTTGGCCCATTCCAGGCATGGTAAAACAAACTACGTCAGCTACAACTCCCACACAGAGGTAAGAGGAACTGGTGGTCGCAAGACTGCTCCTGGATTCGGTGATCGAATTTATGTTAATCGTCCTCATAGGAAAAAATGGCCCAAACTCATTGTCATAGCGATCATTGTGATCGTGATTGTGTTGGGTCTGGGTTTGGGTTTGGGTCTAGGCCTGGGACTTCAAAAGAGCAATGAAGAGCAAACCAGTGACACGCCTGACTTACAGAAGCAGTGTCGATTCGGACTATGAGCTTCTCCTGGGAGACTGGCTCATCACAGATGCACCCCTGAGTAATGCATCTGGGAATTGCGTAACGGACAACAATAACGTCCCTTATGGGGATGGAGGTGAGCTGTGGTCAACCTGTGCCGGATATTTTGGAGAAACCAGGTTCACCGTATCGCAATATGCCAATGGGAGTTATGCCCTGGCCGGCACCTTTCCGATCGAATTTGACAACGCACTTGGGTTCTCGCCGACAGAGGGAAACTCACCGTTTTATCAATTCCCGGTCAAATTCTTCACTTCTTCGGGTACTTGTGAAGTCTCATTCCATATAACCATCCGGTTGGGAAGGACGAAGGAGGACTTCCAAATCGAGACGTAAGTGGTGAATGAGCAGGCTTACCGACGACAAAAGCCTGGGACTTCGATGTGGATGAGCTGATATTTCTACGCAGACTGTCGAAGAACCCGAGCGTGTGTGTTGTAAAGCGTAGTGTTAGCGAAGCTTTTTTTATTTAGACTCCGACCCTCCCGCGCGCGAGACCTAGGGATCAAATTTGCTCACGTGACTTTGCCCGTTGCTGATTGGTCGGAAAAAGTCCAATCACATGATCTCCCGCAATCACATGACCTCGAAGCCTTGGCAATCTCGATCGTAGTGACCCCTGGCGTTGGAGGGGCTAACCGCCAAAATACAGAAGCGACGCTTTTACCCCCCGTGGAATACTGTCCACGGCCCCTAGTTTAGGAGAACAGCGTGCTTGGAAAGTAAAGGAAAGGGCAAGGGTGAAGAAGCTGGAGAAAGTAATCTTGGATGGCCATCCACGTGACACACACGTGACTTGAACGCCAAGTCGCATAGTATCCTTCTTCCAATTTTATCTCCCTGATCCTCCTCTCCTTCATTCAAGCAGCCATCTTCAAAGGCTGTTGATGCTAAAGCTGTCGATATAAAACATGGCAGAAAACCTCACAGCCCCGCCTGCGCTCTCCACGCCCGATACGCGCATCTTGAGTGAGGGTGTGCCAGACCTGGCCCAAAATACTCCCGAAACTTTGTCCGAGGAGCAGCTCCAGACAAGGTATGAGGTCAGGAGGACAATCAACGAAATCAAGCAGCGAAAATGGAACCGCGTGGCCTTGCAATTCCCCGACCATATGCTGCAACATGCTGCCCGCGTCTACCAACTCTTAGCCAGAGGTTTGCGAGATAATGGTCAACACTCACATGCCACCGCCGCCACGGACGGGAAGCAGCCTTCTGAAACCCACATTTCTGAACTCTCCATAGAAGAAGACATCAAGCCCGTGAGGCTCACAATTCTAGGAGACACATCTTACGGATCCTGCTGCGTGGATGAGATTGCTGCCGAGCACGTCGATGCAGATGCAGTAGTACATTATGGCCGAGCCTGTCTGTCGCCGACCGCGAGATTACCAGTCTTGCATATTTTCACCACAATGGACTTGGACTACGATTCCGTGGTCAAATCGTTTCAGGCCTCTTTCCCCGAACGCGATGCAAAGGTGGTCCTAACGGCTGACGTTCCGTACGCGACACACGTCCAGGCGGTATATGACATGCTACAGAATCTCGGATACTCAGACGTCTTTGCGGCGTCCATTGTTCATGATCCCTCTTCATCAATACCTAACCGAACGGTCCCGGCGTCCGTCTCCTCGGATCCGTCATCCCTCTCGGATTGGAGCCTGTTCCACATCTCCGAACCCCCTACCTCACTTCTCCTGACCCTGACCTCGTGCATGGCTAATATTAGAGTCTACCCGACCACCAACGACCCTTCGGCCACTGCAAGCCTATCAACGTCGTTTGCCTTGGAACACTCAACTAAGCTTCTCCTCCGCCGACGCTACGCTCTGATCACCTCCCTCACCACCGTTCCCGCCTGGGGAATACTCATCAACACTCTCAGCGTCAAGAACTACCTCCACATCCTGTCACACATCCAACGCCAAATTGCAGCCGCAGGCAAGAAATCGTATCTCCTTGTCGTTGGCAAGTTGAACCCTGCGAAGATTGCCAATTTCTCCGAAATCGGTGGCTGGGTTGTCATCGGCTGCTGGGAGAGTTCGCTGGTCGACAGTAAGGAGTTCTACAAGCCGATCATCACGCCCTTTGAGTTGGAGCTCGCTTTACAGACGGATGAGAGTCGCTTATGGACGGGAGACTGGCGGGCGGATTTTCAAGGAGTGCTGGAAAATGCTGCCAAGCGAGCGGAGGGGGGCAAGACACCGACGAAGGATTCGCTTGGTGAAGCCAGGGCGACAAATGGCACAGATAAGGCCGAGATCGATATGGACTCCGAGTCCGAGTCTGAACCGCCAGAATTCGACCTCCGAACAGGTCGATACATTGCACGCACGCGGCCGACGCGGAATCCCCGGACGGTGCAAGCCGAACTGCAACAAGGCACCGGCACCCAACAGTCCACAGCCTTGGCGAAACGTAACAAGGGCGACGTGATCGCCGTCAACGGCGTTGTCTCGCCTGCGGCCGAGTTTCTTGCTCAGAAACGCACCTGGCGCGGACTCGGCAGCGATTTTGAGGTCAAGTACGAGGAAGATGATGAGGTCGGAGGCATGGTAGAAGAAGGACGAGCAGGCATTGCGAAGGGGTACACGGTCGGAGGATCATTGAGGACGTGACACGGATAAATCATTAGGTTGAGGCCATGGCAAAGTCCTGAACTGACTCCATTGTCAGAGCCGATCCAAGACTCGAAACAGTGCATCGACGAGTTAACATATATCTGTAAGACTCAAGCATATCCGAGCCTCGCGGTAAATCGGGGTAACTAGATGGGGCTTTTCCCGGAGCCGAAATTGATTAAGCCGCACTCTGTAAGCTTTGGGCGAACTCGTGTACCGAAGAAATTCAGGCACGTCACTGAATGGACGACTTTGTTGTCCACGTCGATGAGATGATACTGGGTCTGGGAAGGGCTTTGCGACCGGCCTATTTATTATTCTGTTCTCCAGCCTTTGATTCTTCGCGAAAGATTAGGAACCAAGATCTTTCACGGTGTTGCTTCGGAGTGACGAATACCATGCACAAAAGTGGGAGAAATGTGTCAGAGGGATCCTCCCCTCCCCTCCTTATTACTCGAATAGGTGTACTCGATCGAGATCCTGGTCATCAGCGAGTGAAGATTATCGACGTGGCGATGGCAAAACATTGACGTCATTCTAGTATATGCCCCACGCAATATCACTTTCGACTGGCACTGCATGGAATAATCCTCGGAAAACGACGAGATCACCGATTGAGGACCTTTGTCTGATGTCACACCGTTCGATGATGGATGGCGTATGGAAGACTTAAGGACCTCCTCGAGAATGGGCCGTCAAGGGACCAGATTCCCAGCAGGACTCAGCCTCGCCCATTCACTCACCTAGAACAAGACGTGACTTATGGCTGCGAGAAAGATGACCAGCTTACTCTTTAAAGCTGCCAGGCCAGCCTTGCGAGCCCAAGTACTGAATAACCACCGGCTACTCTCGACCAGTCCAATCCAAAGCCAAGCACAGACACTGCTCCAAGACAAAGAGAACGGATTTGGATTCATTCGGCACAATCCACGCACTCCCAAACCTCGAAACAAGGGAGTGACGGAGATTCGTGGTCCATACTACTCAGCTTATGGCAAGCGTCACCTGCAAGATGTACTGGAAACGATGGGATACCACGTTGATGGACTGAAGTTTGCTGGCGGGAGTTTCTCCGTGATGCCTGAGGCGGTGGTACGAGAACTGGTCGACCTGGCGCATCAGCATGATGTGTATGTGAGCACAGGAGGATGGATGGAACATGTCCTGACTCAACCCGACTCCAATACGGTGGTGGACAAGTATTTGCAAAAATGCAAAGATATGGGGTTCGACGTGATTGAGCTATCGTCTGGCTTCTTGTCTTTCCCGCCCGATGACTGGCTCCGACTGGTGGACAAGGTACACAGCATGGGAATGAAAGCCAAACCCGAACTGGGGATTCAGTTTGGCGCGGGAGGCGACACGGCCGCCGAAGACCTTGAAGCGACGGGGACATCAGACCCAGGCAAAGTGATCAATCTCGGCAAGAAATTCATCGATGCTGGAGTGGAAAGAATGATGATTGAGAGTGAGGGAATTACAGAAAATGTTAAGAGTTGGCGAACAGATGTGATCCAGGCGATTCTGCGAGACTTGCCTCAGGAGAAGGTCATGTTTGAGGCGGCAGATCCGCCTGTTTTCAACTGGTATGTCCGAGAATTCGGAATCGATGTCAATCTGTTCGTGGACCACTCGCAGATTGTGCAATTGACCTGTCTCCGAAGCGGGATCTGGGGCATGGCGGATACGTTTGGCAAGATTGTGAGTTATCGAGAATGAAATGAGGAAAAAGAGGGCCGAGTATCCGCCACTTCCTCTTGTAGGATGGCTTGCGAAGGGAACTTTCGAGGCAATCGTTTCGATGAGGGAGTGTGATTGGTAGGGAGCTTCACAAAGCGCGGAGGACAAGACTTTTGGCGTGGAATAATAAGGTTCTCGGATCCACCTCTTGCATAAATTAAACCGAGGGTTGCGAATGTGGCGGTGATGCGGGATGAATCGAGGAAGATCAGATGAGTGAGCAAGGAATATTCCATCTTTTCAGGGGAATGAAAGTGGCTGCGCATTTGTCAATGGCGGGGCCAATTTATGCAGGCAAATGGACGGCGAGCGATGACGATTTGCCCGTCCAGCCAGTCATATCCCGGTACCGACGTAAAATATCTGGCAAAGTTTAAAATTCCCTACTAGGTACAACAGCTCTCACCTGTCCAGCGTCGCATCTTCAACTTGCTGTCCCCCCGTTCTACAAACAAAACCTCTGCGACGGAGGCCCCGGATGTTGGTGGAATGCTCACACCAGGCTCACTCTCTAGACGTGTGCCAGTCTAGTACTAGTACCAGTCAGCCTTCACCATCCTCCCGCTGGCACCGTGGCACCTATAAGTATTGGCTATTGACATCAGATCCACCTTTGCTTGGGCCGATTCGACTTTGTTTCTTGGTACTGCAAGAGACCCTCTTTGTTTTGCTCTATTAATGACTTCCTCTGTTGCCTCTGTAAGTACTGCCATGACCGTGACGTGCATCTGAATATCCCCCAGTAACATTTCTCATATCTTCTCATTGAGTCCCTTTCCTATCCCTGCTGTCCTGGATATCTACTCTCACGCACCCTACAGAGAAAATCAATCAGCATGAGATTTGCCCTGGTCGCTACGATTTCCGGCAGCATTGTTGCCGGTGTGGATGGTATGTTCATACTCCCCCCCCCAATCAGCTTCGTCATGCCTCGTCTGATATCTGCCACAGCGTATTCCGTTTCTGTCGAAGATGACTCCCTCCATGCGGTCCCAGCTGTCCGGAATCGGCCTCGAGCCCTGCCCAACTCTCCGAACGAATACACGCCATCCTATCTTGATTGTCCACCCGATGTCCCGGTCGTAAGAAGCGCCACTGAATTGTCGCCCGACGAGACGGCATGGTTGGAAAGAAGACGGAACAACACTATCGGACCCATGCGAGATTTGCTGGGTCGTTTGAATGTCTCTGGGCTCAATACCAGTCAATATATTGACCGAGTGTCGAACAATGCGTCTGCTCTGCCTAACATTGGTATTGCCGTGTCTGGTGGTGGCTGGCGAGCCAACAACAACGGTGCTGGCGCTATCAAAGCCTTCGATTCGCGCACTCCCGATACCACTCAGGAGGGAGGGCTAGGCGGGCTCCTTCAGGCCACCACGTATCTTTCGGGCCTCAGTGGAGGTGGGTGGCTCGTGGGCTCTCTTTTTATGAACAACTTCACGACGGTGGGAGCACTGCAAGCGGATGACACCGGTTCAGTCTGGGAGTTTGGAAACTCGATCCTTGAAGGTCCCGAGGAATCAGGCGTTCAGCTTTTGAATACGGCCGAATACTACTCCACTCTTTACAGCGACGTCGATGGAAAGGACGATGCCGGCTTTGAGATTTCTCTCACGGATATCTGGGGTCGCGCTCTTTCATTCCAACTCATCAATGCCACAGACGGTGGCCCCGCTTATACATGGTCTTCCATCAATCTGGCCCAAGAATTCCAAAATGGCAATCAGCCGCTCCCGATGCTCGTGACTCTTGCTCGAGCTCCTGATGAAAAGTTGATTCCAGGAAACTCGACCGTTTATGAGTTCAATGCATTCGAGATGGGCTCGTGGGATCCCACGTCATACGGCTTCGTTCCCATGAAATACTTGGGCACCAACTGGACAGCCGGAGAAGTGCCGAATAATGAACAATGCGTAGTCGGATTTGACAATGCAGGATTTGTCATGGGAACTTCATCTTCCCTCTTCAATCAATTTATTCTCCAACTGAACGGGACGGATATACCACAAGGACTGCAGGATTTACTGTACAGCCTTTTGGAGTTGATTGACGAGGATAACAACGACATTGCCGATTTCACGCCCAATCCCTTCTACCACTACAACCGCCAAACGAATCCCTCTGCGAATTCGACCCGCCTGACCCTGGTCGATGGTGGTGAAGACCTTCAAAACATCCCTTTCCACCCCCTCATCCAACCTAATCGACACGTCGATGTTATCTTCGCCATCGATTCCTCCGCGGACACGGAGTACCTGTGGCCAAACGGAGCATCCATTATCGCCACCTACGAGCGCTCGCTGAGTGACATCTCCAATGGCACCGCATTCCCCAGCATTCCCGACAAGAACACTTTCCTCAATTTGGGTCTCAACTCCCATCCGGTGTTCTTCGGCTGCGATACCTCCAACTTCACGGAGGGCACCAATATCCCCCCTTTGGTTGTCTACCTCCCTAATGCACCATACGTGACCTACAGCAACCACTCAACCTTTGCACTTGAGACGAACAACACGTACCGCGACGCCATCATTCTCAACGGTCTCAACGTCGTGACCATGGGCAATGGCACCGTTGACGAAACTTGGCCTACCTGTGTCGGTTGCGCCATTCTGAGCCGTAGTCTCGAGCGAACCGGTACCGATGTCCCCGACGTCTGCACGCAATGTTTCGACCGATTCTGCTGGAACGGGACCACCGACTACTCGACACCTGCGCCGTACGCACCCGAGACCATCCTGGAACCTCTGGATATCACCGGTAAGGCCACGACGAATACGATAAGCCGTTGGGCGGTCGCGGTTGCTGCAGTTGTTGCGGTTGCTTCGGCTTGGTAATTGCGTGAAATTGGCTTTGGTCATGATTTTGAATTGCACGGACCGACTGGGCACACATTACGCAAAATCACGGGGGGCTGGCGTTCAGATTTTCTCTTTAATATTTTTCACCGTTTGAAATCCCTCCATTTACGATTCACGATATCTTGGACATACGCGGGGACGGTTGGGTGCGTAAGCGATGGAAATCCTTGGTTTTTGTATGGCATGTTAGATTTGAGAGTAAGGGAACATGATGATATCCAGCTGCGGTCTTTTAGTCTGAGATTTGGATGGGGGAATAACGCTTCTAGATGTGCATGTGCATCTGCGATCCTAACTTCAAAGCCTTGGAGTGTGGGGGTTGTATAGTAGTGTATACATATGGATCCTAAAACTTCTCGACTGTCTGAGCAATCTTGAAGACGCGGTAAGGGACTCGTACACAATAACTGTCAACTTCTCTGAAGAGGTGTAATTCTTTTACACAACCTTGTCATTATCAGCCTACCGAACATGCTGAGGACTACGTCTAGAAAATGAACATCGCTCAGAAAGGCAAGCCGTAAAACTCTTCTGTTGTGGAGAACGGATCAAAGTCTGACCTGCTTCGAGCAATGCTCGCCTCCATTCACATTCAGATGCAAGGAGGAACTTCTATTGCAAAAGCTTTGTATCAAGTCACGGTTCGCCCACGATCATGCCTGTGGCGTGTATGAGTTTGGCGTACGAGAACCCACCAAACTCAGCGCGAACAATGTAACCGTACATAGTCGCAGCCAGAAATCATGGCATCACCGCCACCTCACTGAAACCATTTGGACGCGAGAGATAAGACAAGGAGAATCGAGCACGATTGAAAACCAACAGAACGCTGACATAAATCTTGAGTCATGGCGTTGCCACGCTCTGGAAGCATGCTATTCAACGACCGAGGTCAATTCCCTTATTCGGTTTGTCATCTAACATGCTATGGGGAGTCACATATATTCGACAAATGCATCTTGCACGAAATGAGAGTCAAGAATCGATGAAATAATCAATGCTGTCGGAAACAAAATGGCAAAGAATGGTTACCTGTGGCAAAAGCTTGTTGATATACACACGCAGGGCGTCGTGGTGAGCCCGAACCATCTGTACCCGTCTCGCAAAGAGATATCATCTTCACAGATGAGGTCCTTTGGTTTGTGCGTCATCTTGTTCGAGTGCTGACAAAGACACCGGACGTATCTCGGAATATGAAAATGGAGCCCCGCATGCTGGTGAAGACGCGATGTACCCCAATCACTGAGGCTGATACCGATCCAGCAGCCTCCTCGGTCTATTGCCCGCCGTAAAGCAGGCTCTGTCAATGGTCAGCCAAGCGGAAAAATGACACTCAGAGGACGACGAAGGAGCCCCAGTCGTGGTCCTTCTTTGGAGAAACAGAAAACCTACGGTCTAGTTCAGTCACATTCCTCGTCTTTACCTCCTACTCATCGCTACGATAGATTGTGTTGGTTTGTAATCCTCCTATCCCACGTATAAGCCCGTGGCTCACTCACACATAAGTACAACAGGGCGTCCTACGAGCGATGCGTTGGACGCATTGATCCAAGCAAACCCCAATGGCCGACCAGATCGAGCAACGATTGATGTCATCGCAGTCGCACACACAACAGAACAAAGTCGACATGGACAGCCTTGAATCGAAAGCAGAACCCATCCTGGCCTTGGAACCGTCACCTAAGAGTGCCACGGTGCATAACGATGGAACCGAAGATGGCATTAGATATGTGTATCTGACTTTCGACACCGAAATTCCCCTCGAGAGGCTCAGTCCTTCGGAGGACTCCTCAATTCCTCCTCCAGACCTTCGACGATATGAGTCGCCGCTCACGTGGTCCTCGACGCATAAGACCATCGTCCTGATATTGTCATGTTGTTGTACCTTTCTTGCCGCATACAGTGCTGGCTCATACTCGATCGCCGCAGGGCCTCAACGAGCAAAATGGAGCCTGTCCGGTGTCGCCTTTAACACTGGGGTCACCACTTGGGCAATGGGGTTTGCGTGCTCTCCAATGTTCCTGGCGCCATTTTCCGAGATCAATGGTCGGCGACCGGTCTTCATCGGATCGGCCGTCATGTTTCTGGCAGGTCTTATTGCGTGTGCAACTACACCGTCGTTTGCTGGAATGTTGGTTGCTCGATTCTTCGTCGGGGCTGGAGCGTCCACCTTTGCGACCATGGTGGGCGGAGTGGTTTCCGACCTGTACAATGCTGAACATCGCAACACTCCCATGGCCATTTACAGTGGTTCGGCACTGACCGGCACAGGGATAGGACCCTTGTGCTCTGGCTTCATCATTGGACGCGCGAGTTTTCGTTGGGTGTACTATCACCAAATTATGGCTCTCGGCGTGGTGCTCGTGGTGGTTTATCTCTTCTTCAAAGAAACTCGTGGCTCAGTGCTGCTCAGTCGGAAAGCCAAAGCCTTGAACCAATATCTGGCCGAGATTGAGAAACACCATCCCGCTGATGACCAGGTCAATGAGAAGCCACCAACTCTTTTGCGCATCCGCTACAAGGTTGCAGCAGACGAGAACCGATCGTCATTGGGTCACATGTTGTACCTGTCATTGACCATCCCTTTCAAGCTCCTCGCCACGGAGCCTGTTGTGTTTTTCTTTTCTTTGTGGGTTTCATTTGCCTGGGCTCTGCTGTACATGACATTTTCCGTCATCCCACTGGTCTTTAGTACCCGACATCACTTCAACACTGAGCAAAGTGGGGCAGTGTTCTCCGCCATTTCCATCGGTACCATCCTCGCCACCTTCATATCGATATACCAGGCCAAGATTGCAAAGCGACACTGGCCAAAACTCGACACCAGTCCGGAAGGACGATTGTATTTCGCATGTCTTGAATCTGCCCTCCTACCGATTGGGCTTTTCTGGTTTGGGTGGACGACATATTCCTCGGTGCCGTGGATCTCTCCGATCCTCGCCATTGGATGTGCCGAGATGGGTATCTTTGTTATCTATCTCGCCGTCTTCAACTATCTGGCCGATGTCTACCACCGATATGCGTCCTCGGCTCTTGCGGCGCAGAGTTTCATGCGAAATCTTCTTGCAGCCGTTTTCCCTCTGTTTACGGACCAGATGTTCCAGAATCTCGGCTATCCTCAAGCCAGCAGCTTGTTGGGAGGAATTAGTGCTCTGTTGACTTTGGTGCCATGGGTTCTGCTCTTCAACGGCGAAAGGATTCGTGCTCGAAGTAAGATTGCAAGACAAATCATGTCTGGAAGTTGACATTGATGTCTTGAGGATTTAACGTCGCCATCTACATAGGAGCTTAACCGTTTCAACTCTTCTAGGGTTTTGTATTCCTGTAACCCAGCCTTTGGGAAAATCAGGAACATTCTTCCGATGAATGGACTGGAACGACGATTATGAACACTGTATGAATTATGAAGATCAATTGGCGTAGGATATTTGCTGGAAAAACGAGGCCTTGATCGTAGCAAGAGCAGCATCTGGTTCATGACAAAGGAATTGGAATCTGTTAACCAAAATCTGTTACCTCGCATGTGTTAGCCGCAAAGTCCCAAATCATGGGAGATGATATATGTCTCAATCATATTCTGATCCCTTCCCAAATTTCAGCCATCTATAATTTTGGGGACCCGTCGACCATGCACCTGTTCCATCGCACACAATTATCCCAGATAAATTTCTTTTTTTCACCGTAACCCCGCAAGTCGACGTTCGTGAACCTCGGTGAGCGCCCTGCTTCCTGACAGAAAAGCCACGAGCCCAAACGCGAATAACACGGGCAAAGTCTGAAACAAGTTCCAGCTGGTGTAGTAGAGAAAGAAGACGCCTTCGATACCGATGATGGATCCGACGAAGAGGCCATGTGAGATTGGGGCGTTGGTCAGTGCTTTGGACAGATGGTTGATGTTGCCGCCTAGGTACATCCACTGCTCACAATATCAGTATGTATTTCAATAATAATAAATTTTTTTTTTTTTTTTCTTTTTCCTTTCTTTTTTTGGGGTTGGGGGTTCCTCTCCCCTTGTAATTTCTTGGATTGAGGAAGTAGGGAACTCACAGCACCCAACAAAGATGGCAGGCTCGCGAGCACAATACCCAAAATAACCATGCTGATGACGACATTAGGACTCGTTGGGTCCGGGCGGAAGATATGGTGAATTTCGGGCAATTTGCCATAACGTAGCGGTTTCTCGACCACGGGTACAGGCACGTTCGGGTCCAGCTCGACGGTCAGCATGAATGCGGCAGAGTTGTACCCTACGGACGAGCCGAAGGAGGCGATGACGATGCTTGCGTCGATGGATGAGGTGGTGCGGAGGAATTGGATCGGTAGGTCTTTGTGTGTCTAGGATACCAGGTATGTGTCAGTTATGTGTGAGGATGGATCGATGTCTGAAAGGCCATTAAGGGAGTGATTGTTGTAAGAACGAACCAACTCGACTTTCGCCTTGCCTGACTCTTTAACGCTGAAAGGATAAGAGACGTCCAATTTGGACGTCGTGTCTTGGAGGAGCAAGAACGCTTGATGTGGTCGTTTGGCCGATTTGCCTTCTTGCGTCGTCAGGACGACTTTCAGGGTATCGCCGGCGCCGAATTTGACGGGTGCACTTAGAGGTGTGAATGGGACGAGTCTAATGAATCAAACCGCAGGTCCCGTCAGTATTTGGTTCCAATGGCAAGAGGCAGAGTGGAAAAGAAGCTGGCGATTCAACGGCTGATATCTTATGTCCTGGAGCATTGTCAACTCACTTCTCTTTCAACCCGACTCCAACACCGGCGCCTTTAGCCGCAACATTGACGGAGCCATCTGTGAAAGTCCACGAAGCTGCAGCTGCTGCGCTTGAGGATAGGGTCGATAAAACCAGAAGGGCCTGGGAGAGTAGTGATTGGAGGCGCATCGTTGTTTTCACGGGGTAGAGTGAGAACCCTGGAACTCAATGGAGTCAATGGAGTGTACATATGTAAATGCAACACGTTGCCGGATGCAGCAGCACTCCAAAAATTGCCAAGAATGCATATCCCTGATTTGGACGAGAATGACGCCGCCCTGTGCCATCCCCCAGGCCAAGACGGAGGTGCCTAAGAGTCACGTGTTAAACACGTGACCAGATAATGTACAGCTCAATCCTGGTTGGTCCCGACTGTGACTCAGGCCGGCCTGCAAGGACAAAGATCAACAGGGAGGTAGCAACTTGGCCCTCCGGGATATCAAATTCATTAGAAGCGCGCAAAAGGTCTGATAGTCAGCCGAGCTGGTGTATCAGATCGATTGAGATTGTTCCTGACAGAGAGCCATCCGACCTGAGCTCGTCGTCCGCTGTTGTTGTAGCAACAAAGCTGCTTGTCTGCTTGATCAAGCCTCAAGTGCTATCGTTAATATGTTGTTGGCGGAGTGCCATTGATGAGCAGGAAGCATTAGTTGAGTACGCTCCCCAAAGAAGGGCAAGATTGATTTTCTTTGCCTATGCAAGGTACCTACGAACTTTCAACCCCCCAGTCGTAGGGAAACGGTCCCGGAACACCGTTTCATGGAGGCCGGCCATGGGCTAGGATATGGGGCCGGCAAATTCGGTATTTGGCAACGCCACCTTACATTGGGTCAAGGAAAGTTTTAAGAAGCTGGCCACGGTTGCAAACTAAATTCTCTCGCGTAAATCGTCCGAGAGGCTCGACTGGTTTCTCCATGTATTGTGGCACCCCTTCTTGTTGTCCATTATTTCTAATCAAGAGGAACCTCGTCGCTACAGTACCTTAGGGCTCAATTACCTTGTATTCGACCTCCTCAATCCAGTGCTCATTGCTGAGTGACTCATCCACTCGCGCAGCATCCGCGCCCGTCAGGGTCTCCTTGAGGAAGAGAAAAAATCAATCAGTGCTACTTGTCTGCTTGTTTTCGTCCAGATTTTCGACTTACCTATTTTCACACAACACCTCAAATTCTGGCACATAATCTATGAGTGTATAAATCAGGAATGATACGACAAATGCCCGTGTGAAACCGATGAGAACTTTTGCAATATGGATAAAGACCAGACGGAAATTGCCGCTGAGCGGCCAGCTCCTCGCAAACTTTGCACCAGAAATATGTCAGATAACTGCAACGTACGAAAACGAAAGGCATCAACGGCATCGGCCTTACCCTGTCACAAGCACCACTGATTCCAATCGCACAAACAGTTGCATCGTAAAGTAGCTGGAAGAAAGCGAAAAGTATCGCAGGGATGGATCCCGCAAATTCAGAAGGCACACATACGGAGCACATTCTTCAGTCTTCCAATGATACCGATGACCTCCCCGTATGCCAGCGTATAGCCCATAGTCCATCATTGCACTGCCCCGACGGAGACAGTGAGCAACGATGAGTAGAAGCTCGTGATGGCATTTCTGCGCGTCGACTAACCTGAATGCGCAAACCCAAACGCCAGGATGATAAGCCAGAGAATGCACAACAGTTGATGACGAAGAGAGTATCGACCTTGTCGCAAGTGTCCTAAGCCGCCAGAACAGCGAACCCAGCACCCATGATTGCGATTTGACAGTACCATTTTGTTCAGTCAAGACGTGATTACAACGGGCTCGGAAAGCTCGGAGAGAATGAAGCATTCAACAGATGATAGAGAACAAGTGAGAACAGGTGGGGAGGATCATCTCGACCATCCGTAGGAGCGTACTGAATTTATCTTTGGGCGCAACTCGGTATTCTCTTCCTCCTTCTCTCCCCCCAAGTCCCTTTTTGGTAGAATATCCGCTGGGGCAAGCTATTGATTGTAATCATCTTGTCCAATGTAGTTTGGCACTTCTAGAGCAGCAATTTGTAATCTGGTTATCGTTGAATCGACGTTTGAGTATTGGAAAGGATAGGAGGGAGTAAGATCATCAAGCCTTCTACAGTATAAGCTGAGCTCCTGGTGGGGCCAAATAATAAGATGGAATATTGAATACTAGAACCTGTGACGGACGGCAACCTTTCTTCCTGAGAAGGTAGTAAGATACCCAGATACCCAGATGGCCGAGGTTCGGACAAGGCTGATACAGGCCTCTTGTAGAATACTCAAGCCTAATTTGCTTGAAAGGAGACACACCTCGGTCACTACCCGACAGCATTCACCAGTGAAGTACGTTTTGTTTTCTTTCTCACCGGATTCCAATTTCCTCTCGAAATAATCCTTCCCGAAGGGGGGGCAGCAGAAGACGGATTGATTCCTTCCCATCGATTCATCTTTCCCCAGTATTATTCTTGCCTAGAATCTCCCGCAGCGTCTGTATCTTCCTCAGTCTCCGTGTCCCATAAAGCGAGAACAACGTGCTCAAAATGACGCTTGCGCCCGTCACTACCGCGAAACCCCATGGAGCTTCCTCAACATAATTGACGAGGTTCGTCCCGAACAACCCAGCGACCAATGTTCCGGCCGCCAATCCGAGCGTGTGTATAGCAAGTCTTGCCTCCAAGAACATGATTTGATTCCGCTGCACTGCAAGTGCCGCACGAAAAGTATTTTCCTTCTTTCGAGTGACACCGATGGCGGCGGAAGCCGATTCAACTAATGCATCGGCCGTCTTGTGGTAGGCTTCAAGCATGTATTCGGCCTCCTGGTGATCGCTGACGGCGTGGGGCTTCCCAGCGAGGCTATCGGTTAGGTACATTGCCGCAAGATCTTCGTCGGTGTCAAGAACTTCGCGAATAGCATCACGCACTAAGCGGGCCTTTTGCTCGATCTTGGACAGTCTCCGCGACCGCTCGAACAACAGGTCCAGGCCAACGGCGGCAAAACCGGATTCCAGTTTGAGCTGGCTTGCGCTATGCTCGGCTTCTTTTCTGGCTTCGATGAGCTCATTTCGAGGACTCGACAGAACAGCCACCAGCGCAGCCTCGACTGCGCGGAATTCATATGGCTGTTCCGAGACACCCACCGGGCCATTAACTCCGGTGAGATTCTTCTTGAAATCGTGGGGCCAGGGTGCTGGCGGACTTGGTGCCGTCTTTATGGACGGTGTCGATGAGTATGGCCTCGTCAGCCTGGATAATGATGCATAGGTCAAAGAATTGAAGTAGGATGGTAGCAGGACGAACTAGTATCCGAGTGACTGCCTCGGACCTCAAGTCGATGTCGCGAAGATCTCGCTATTGGAGGTCAAAGCGTTCCGCTACCTGGGCTTTGGTGAGCTCTTTGGGTTCACAGACGAGTGGGTCGGCTTTGGGGAAAGAAATGCCAGTGATTGAGAGGCAATGGGGTGATGATTAGATAGATCAACGGCCGGGTCGCTGAGGAGGCGATCCAAATCTTGTTTGGAGAAAGGTCGCGAATGTGGGTGAATGTTCCTCGACAGGAAATACCAGATTTGCGACTGGGGGCTCTGGGAAATCAGGCATGGCCTTAACGTTGACGGGAAGAGCGGAGCGGCTTTGCACCGGACTACGGGAACTCGGAGCATCTCGTCAAGACGAGAGAATGAGCACTGCTAGGTATATGCTCCGCCCGAATACTCTCACCTAGTGACTCTTTTCGCCTTCGCCGCCCCGAAAGCTCCCGCTTGCCCTGAGGCTTGAGCCCCTTATAAAACATTGTGGCCAGCACCTGTTTTAGGTCTCCCATTCTTATTTGACCTTGCGTTTATGCCTTTGTGACCCCAAACACAGGAGTCTGAACCATACCAGTCTCAGCAAAATACACTTCCCAATGATCGACTAATCGCTTTAAAATGGCTGGCTCTGATTGAGAAAGGTCATGGAGCTCCGCCGGGTCCTTGTCCATATCGTAAAGCTCCCAATCATCCTTGCCCCGAGGACTGTTGATCCATACTGCCTTGTATTTTCCTTCTCTGATTGCCCTTTGTCCAAACAGTTCCCAGCCATGTACATGTACATCTTCACCATGGACAGTACTGGCTTTATAGTCACTTGAAGATAAATGGGGGACCCAAGACCGACCTCGAGGAGTGGCAACGGTTCGACCCCGGAAGCTCGTACCGGGATGAGACACGCCGGCCAGGTCGAGGATCGTGGGCAAGATGTCCATTACCGTGGTGAATGAATGGGTTATGGCATTTGGCGCGTTCTTGAATGGAGGGTATCGAATAAGGCAAGGACACCTAATCCCGCCTTCTGTGATCCAACATTTCGATCCTCTTGATGGCGCTGTTGCAGCACAAGCCCAACGAGGCCCTGGAAGTCCATCTCAGCACCACACCGTTGGGACATGAGAATGTGTCGTGAATTTTCCTACTTACCGTACCACACAAATGAATTGGCTTCGCCAATATTCTCGAAACTATTGTCATAGTACTTTTCAATAATACTACCCATCGTTTGCGGGCCTCCCATCATCTTGAACCAAAATGCGTCTGTCAGTAATGAAATCCAATTTCCAGCACGTTCAAGTATCAAGACTCACCGGGAGCGCTTCCAGAGCAACACCTTCCGCCCCGTTGTCCGACATGAAGAGAATGAATGTGTGGTCGAGTTCGTTCGTGCGTTCGAGATAGTCAACGACTCGACCAATATTCGTGTCGATGATGTCCACCATGGCCGCAAATACTTCCATTTTACGGGCAGAAATCCTTTGCTCTTCTGCCGTCATGTCTTTCCACTCCTTTCCGAGAGCACCAACTGGCGGGGCGTGCTCTGTACCTTCTTCGATCAGACCAAGCTCGATAAGACGACTCAGCCTTGTCCGAGTTAAGGCATCAGGACCATTATCGTATTTTCCGGCTACCGCCCCCCGAAAGATAGACAATTAGCCCTTAATGCCAATAACAACGCCGGTGACACTCACCGTATTTCTTGACAATTTGTTTTGGAGCTTGTAACGGCCAGTGGGGTGCCGTAAAGGGCAAATACGCAAAAAAGGGTTCTTCTTTTTCCTTGCCTGTCCTATGCTCCAGGAAGTCGAGCAGCTTGTCGGTGAAGGATTTTGTCGAGTAAAATTCATCGGGAAGACCAGTTTTCCGATCAATGAATTGATTTCCCTCCATCCAATGACCGTCGGTGTTGAGGCACGGGATTTTAATCTCTCCATCGTCCAGCTGGGGCTCGTATCCATGATGATTACCTGCTCCCGGTAGGAAACTGAAGTTTTTCTTGAAGCCGCGAGAGCATGGAGCGAGGTCCTTTGGCAAACCCAGATGCCTAGACTGAACGTGAATTACCAAAATCATTTCAGTCAACGATAATGAGGCTTACCATTTGCCGGACATGATTGTATGGTATTCGTGGTCCTCCAGAATTTCCGAAAGCGCTGCCACTCGCCAGTTCAGATATCCCTCGTAGCCGGGCTTGTCGTTGAAGTAATCACCAAACGCTCTCATATGCTCTGCCATCTGACCTGCCAGTGGTCAATGCCTTTCAATTCCCTGTAGGCTTACTTCAAACTTACCCAGCCCCGCAATATGGTTGTCGGTGCCGGAGAACAACATGGCTCTTGTGGGTGAACATGCCGAAGCAGTATGAAAATTGGTCATTCGAATACCCTCTTTGGCAAGTCTCCAGAGCGCAGGAGTATCAATTTCTCCTCCGTAAGGCGCGATATCACTGAATCCAAGATCATCAGCGACGATAATGAGGAAATTGGGTCGTTTGAAGCCGACGGCCATGGTGATGTTAGAAGTCAAGAATGAGATTACGGTAAGTCCAGTTCTAATCGATCCGTTGTGAGGGAGATTGCACAGTGTCTTTGACCAGCTCGCTGAATCGAAGTTTTGTGCTTTTGTTCTCACGGCATTCGAAGCTCCCTAGGTGTCAAACTCATAAGCCACGTTGCGGCCTGGCAAGTCAAACATGGTTAGGATCCACCGATGTTGCTACCATGTGGATCAATTGCGTCATTATAGAAATGCCATAGATCCTCGTTTACGGCACAAGTTCGATTATCTGCAATGTTTTGTTAGTTCTTTTGCAAGTCAGTACCGCAATCCGCATGGGACCGAGGACGAAGGGAGCTCGGTCACGGTTGTCGGCGCTCCAGCCCCTTGCCATCCGACCGGCCCTGAGCACCGATATCCGTTTCAGCATCCGCCAAAAACACCCCAGACTCAGTGGACACTCATCCCGCATTCGCCTGGATCTGAACTGGAAGCCCCGAGAGCCTGGGTTTTGGGAAAAAGACTATTTTCCCCGATACGAGTCAGAAGAACGGGTCCTCATTCAGCAACTCTCATATATCAAACGGACAGCCCTCGCTCCTTCCACAGCTTCATTCACTTTCACAGTAACACTCTGTAAATCCTTCAATCCTTTGTGCATACAGAAATTTCCAAATGCTGGGACTAGGACATCTTGCTCTCGGAGAGAGCTTCAACAGGCGACTCACTCTAACTGTTCTCCTCATAGCAGTATCACAATTTAACTTCGGCTTTGATCAGCAAGGGTTTGCTGCAACCCAAGCCATGGACGCTTTTGACCGACAATTTGGAAAATACAATTCGAAGAAAGGCACCTATGAACTACCCACTGTGTGGTTGTCGCTCTTCAATGGACTTAACTATATTGGCTTCGGCGGTGGTAGGTACAAGAGAAGTGGTTCGTCGAGTATGTGACTTACAAGCAACAGGAATTATTATCGGAAGCTTCGTCAGCAAGCACTTTGGCAGGCGTATGTGCATGTTCACAATGAGCTGTTGGGCCATTGTTGCGGCGACTATCATCATTACTTCTAAGAATCGGGATCAAATTCTTGCCGCACGCGTGCTAAATTGTGAGCAATTCAGCGTATTAAGATATGAGGAAGGTGTTTGACGGATACAGATATCTATATCGGCATGGAGCTCTCGGTTGTGCCTATTTTCCAGTCTGAAATCACTCCTCAAAAAGCCCGTGGATTTGTGGTGGGAACGTATCAAATCAGTCTAGTGGTGAGTACACTATTACAATCACAATGACATCGCCCTAAATTTTTGGATGGCTCGGAGGTCTTGTCATCAACAGTGTCGCCCGCGGAACTGGCTCTATGGAGAACAATGCTGCGTGGCGCATTCCATTTGGCCTTTTCTACATCATACCATCCTGTGTGGCCGCCTGTATTTGGTTTGTGCCAGAGGTGAGCTACCCAGATTACAGCATAACATATCGTGTATGATACTGACTTCTACGGCCTCCAGTCTCCTCGATGGCTTATTATGAAAGATCGCCCCGAACAAGCCATGCAAACTCTGCGGAAGCTCCGAAGAGGTAAATTCTCCGATGACGAAATTGCTGCCGAGTTCCAGATGATCCTTGCCGGTATCAACCAGGAACATGAAAAAGGCACGTTCGTCGACATGTTCCGTGGGGTCAACTTGAAGCGGACATTCATTGTCCTGGGCTGCAACTTCTTCCTTCAATCGACTGGTTCCATCTTTGTTTCGGTCTATGGGGCTATCTTTGTGAAGTCATTGGGTACAATCAACCCTTTTACCATTACTTGTACTACGGCAGCGGTGAACTTTTGGGTTGGCATCCTCGCCATGGCGTTGGTGGATAAACTTGGGAGACGGTAGGTATAGTTCATCTCTATTTCATTGATAGGAAATGATGTCTGACCAATACGACTCTGTAGCATCATGTTACTCATCGGAGCCTCCATTCAGTGTGCAGCATTGATGATCATGGGTGCTCTAGGGACGGTCCACAACCCTGGCCATGACATCAAATCAGGCATTATTGCGATGATGATCATCTTCGCTTCAGGGTATTCTCTGGGTTGGGCTCCAATTGTACACACACTGAGTGCAGAGCTTCCAAGCTCGAAACTGAGAGACATGACGTACAGAACCGCATCTGTGCTAAACATCTGCACACAGTAAGTTTGCAGAATTTTACCCTCCCTTCCACCAGTGGCGTTAATGTCGACCGGGCTGAGCTAATACATGATCGCGCTTCACAGGTTTGCTGTTTCATTCTCCATACCATATCTCCTCAATGCGCCGTATGCAAATCTTGGTTCCAAAGTCGGGTTTATTTTTGGCAGCATGGCATTAATCTCCATTGTTTTTGCCTTCTTTTGCGTGCCTGAGTGTCGCGGCCGCTCTCTGGAAGAAATCGACCTCCTTTTCGAATCGGGAACTAGGATGCGCGACTTTGTGACTGCCAAGGTAGACCTCCAAGCCGATGCAAGGGAGAACTTGGAATTGAAGGCGGGCGTCGTTGCTCATGTTGAGCAATCCGTAGTTCCCAAGATATGATGTGTTTTCATGGCTGGGGGCCGCGGACACCATCCTGGTCTGGGAACGGTGATAGGACAGTAATTCAGCGAAATACTTTATGGCTAGATACTGCGGTAGTGTTGTCAGACTAGTTAGGACGTTGACCCACTGAATAGAACTTGACCAACAAGCCGCGCGACCACGAGGCCACCAATCAGAAATGCATATCTTGAAGTCACGTGCACAAGCGTCCCTTTTCCTTGGCGCGTGTATAAGACGAGGTCAATGGACGGGCGCGCTCACCTTGGCGAATTCAGTGCCTTATAGACTCGAATCCGTGATTGGAGGCTCCTTCCGTGCGCACTGCCAGCATGATCTGCAGGTGCCATGTTTCTGCCTGAAATGCCGAGAGAGAATGAGGCCTCCTGGTAACGTCCATGTGACGAGAGTTGCTCTGTAGGATATGATTAGACTTTATCCTCTGGTCATAGTCCTACACTGTACGATCGATTCGTCTCACCAAGAGAGTCTCTGCGCTGTAACTACGAGACTACGAGACTACGACACCATGCACCTAAAATCCGAAAAGGCGATTGTGGTTGGCTCTTGTGTAAGGATTTCCCGTGCAAAAGAAGTCGTGTGCATTGACTTTCAGAAGATTGGTTTTTGCGCGTGTGGCCTGTCATTGTACGTCTGACTCAAAACCTTGCCAGATCGTCTTCTGATCCAAGCCAGGTGGACAGGCGTTCAAACGCAGAATCTGGCGTTGCCGTTTCCTTTCTGGATTTCAACACTCAATATCTGCATTTCCTTGGCAGGGTTGGCAGTGATCTGGTTCTCTGAATGGATCATCTCGCCGATCCGAGGCAGGCAGCCTATTTCTTACCTCACCATTCTTTTGTATGGAATTGTTTTGTTGCCCTTTACTTTAGTGGTGCTTTCCGCCACGCATGTCGTACCTTCAGACCTCAGAACCTGCCGCACTGAAATACGATGGGATCAGCTATTCCGCTCTAAGAACGAAGCTATTGTCCGATCAATACAGAGTCAATTACATTGCTGCGGCTTCAATTCAATGCGCGATCGCGCATGGCCCTTTCCCTCTCGGAACGTTGATGCTCGCACCTGCGAAAGGACCTCAGGGTTTCGCACCAATTGCGGACCACTCTGGGATGAACAATCACAACTTGCTGCCGTCCTGAGTGGAGTGGCCAGTATTTTGAATATGGTGCTGCTGGTTTGTCCTTATGGAAGCATAGTTTGAGAAAGTAGCTGACGAGTCCGGTAGCTCGTCATTGCGTCCATAATCTCGAGATTCCCAAGATCGACTGACTTTTATTCGCCCAACGAAAAACCTGACCGGCAAAGGAGCCTCCTTCACGGTGACAGCGATGCTGCGCGCGATGTACAAGAAACACTGGAAGAAGACCTGCGGAGGCGGGTGCGGCGAGAATCTATGTGAACATGGGACACGAATCCAGAAAGCATTTTATCCCGGTGTTCGAGTCCTCCTCTTTCTGCAGACTTTTAGTCTTCGCCAGATCAGGCGATAGTACGTAGGAATCAGAGCGACATGTCAAGACCAAGGACAACAGACGTGCGGACAAATATCTGTCCCTATGCACCGTTATTATTCTCTGTCCAACGAGTCACTGTCCTCTCCATTGTCTGGCAATTCTTCGCACAGTTCCACCACTTTCGATGGGTCCATGGTTCCCCCGTTGAAATCGCCGCAAAATTCGACTGCCAATTTCGGCACATAGACTTTGCCATCATACACAGCTTGCACAAACGGTGTGAGTCGTGCTGCGGCTTGACGTACGTACCCATTTCCCTTCTTTCCCAGGAAAGTCAGCAAGACCTCGCATGACTTCTGGCGAAGGGTCTCGAACCTTGATCGGTCAGCGTGGTCACAGGAATGGAAGCGACCGAACATACCTTTGATTTTGTATGTGAAAGTCTCCTCCACTGGGAACCAGGGCGATGATACCGAGTCCGAATAGGTCAACTGCATGTCGCCAGTTTCTAGCCGCTGAAAGGCGGTTTTTCAAACGCTTTCTTTCTGCCTCATATTTCTCGCGCCATTTCTGAATATCGTCCTCGTCGGGATTCCCGACAGTATGTGGATAAGCTTGCTGTACGAGCTTGTCCAGCACAATGCTTTCCACTTTACCTCCTAACCAGAGCCGACGATTGCTCGCGACGTCTTGTTGCGAATTTTTCAGCTCTTCTAGCAGGTCTTTACGATGATCGACGATGTGTAAAAGCAAAATTCGGCGCACGAAGGCAATGGACTGCTGTAAGGTGTCCAACTTGTCCAGTGCCTTGACGGTGTTGACGACGGTGGAAATGTCATGGCACAGAGTCCACTCATCTGATCTACGCATTGCCGAAACCACGTCTTTCAGTTGAGACATTGAGTCCGGACTGGCCACAGACCGGTACAGGTCGCACAGAAATTCCACTTTGTTTTCATCTTCGCCCTCCAGGCTCTGCGTGAAGTCGTGTCGCAGACTGGCGTCGTCCCCCGATGCAGAGGACGGTGAGATGCGCCTCATTCTCTTACGTCTAGTATCTGCTCTGGGGACACGAGATATAGCTTTGGATCGCGATCTCTCATGGCATCTAAGGCGCGTTCTAGACCCTGGAGATTGATGTAACCGGGACTGAAAGTGCGTGGCCGTTTGTTCTAAATCGTGGTGAGTGGTGCTCATATTAAGACGGAGCACCGCAGGATCTATGGTATCATTCCCAGCCATCACAGGAGGACATTGGCCTGTAACCAGGTCTGAGGCTGTTTCCACCATTCTTGTCATACTGTCGTAAACCTCTCCGATATGCCGCAGCTCGGGAGATGAGAGACTTGTGTCTAAAGCTGGTAAGTTCATGCTGACCGTGGTATTTCGAGGTATGCCGCCCTGCAGGTCTTCAGAGGCTTCGCCGCAAAATCCTAGAAAGAATCAACTTACGGGTGACGTGAGATAATTAAAATCCTTGTGGAATAACAACAACCCGTCATCTGGAGTAGCCATGGCTGGACTGTTCGGGCAATGTATCACCTCGTGGAGTTGGGTGGAACGGCCGCCATTGTGCTGGAGCGCAATCTGGTAGACGTGGCGAGCATATTGATCCAACTGCCCTCCTATCAATACGGTCTCTAACGGCCATTCCTGCTGAAGTCGACCAAGGAATGTTACAAAATGGTTGATTTCTCGACTAAATTCCTGGGCCGTGGGTGACTACATTCAGCAACGTTCATCGTCAGTCCCCTAGTTGGATTACGCACATTAATGATAGCCGATTTGCTATCTTGGGACATTGCTGGCCATGGACATGTATCTCATTCCAAGAAACAAAATGTGCATCGACATAGGGAGTTTGGATTTCACGTACCGCAGGTTCACCTACATTAAATTATATTCTGTGAAGATATTTCGGCATACGATCTAGCGGGGCTCTGGCCCCGTCCGTGGGATATCATCATGACATAAGCCCCACATCTCCAAGCCTCTAAAGTTCATGCAGCGACTGTATTGGCGGCCTCTCGAGATTTATAACAAAGACCGGAACAAGTTCCTGTGCAAGTTGGCTGCTTGCATTTGGATTTGCTATGCTTGCACAGGGACAATGCCTCAGTGGACTCACGAAAAGCAACAAGAAGGTACTCTCGGGGTTAGTGTGATCTCCCGCAGAACAAGCGATATTTGTCTCAATTTGATTTTTGGCAGGCCAGGAATATTCCGAGCTCCAACATTGCCGCTCCCCGCAGGGCTGAACGGTCTTTGCTCATTCCTACGAAAGAATCATCCTCACGGAGCCTGTTAGACGTTGCAGGCCAGATACCCTCTGTTTCACGTCCCCAAGAAGATGCCTTGCATCAGCGACGGTCTGTATCTGGCAATAAAAACTCTGAAGGGATGGGTGACACGATGAGGGGTTCCGATGATAGCGCAATGGTGGGGTGTATGTTGTCCGCTACCCCGATAGCGGGGCTTAGACGGTATAGGTCAGTACCAGGCTAACAATTTTGCTAGTCACGACGTTGCACACTCCCATAAACTCTACAGTGAAAACGGAAGCTGCCGATGCACCGGTGGACATCAAGTTGTCATTTCCAAAAACAAGTTCGGGAGAAGGTCAGGAGACATTTCGCCAGCTGAAAATTCTATCAGCCCGAGCCGAGCAACTAAGGAAGGAGCAGGAGACGCACCTCCAGAAGGCTCAAGAGCTGCAGCGACTGATAGAAGCGGGCGAACTTGCTTGCGGGCGAATGACTCAACAAGTGCTGCAAACACAAGAGGTAATTCGGCAGATGACTCGGCAGGTGGCGGAGACACAGAATGCAATTGATATCCGGAGAAGGCACATCAATGAAGACGAGGATAGATTATCGCAAGAGATGCGGTCCAGAGCGCGCAAAACGGAGGAAATTATGTCGATTGTCTCACAAATTAACACACTTGCAATAGAGGCGAATGCTGAAGCATCCACTAGTGGTGCGTCACTTTGGCACGAGTCAGACTGAACATGCAAGAGCAATCCATGGGTACTGTTAGTCTGGGACCATGAACGACGACCTGTACATATCATCTTGATGTTCGAATGGGGGACTGAAATCAGTTTCGCCGATTTATTGCACGCCATAACAATTTACAGCATCAGGAAACCCTGCTTCCGTCTGGCTATGCAAGAAATCATCTTTGAGATTATTGGCCTTTCATCCCGCTTTTCTAAATTCTGCATGGCGTACAATGCCACCGGGTTTGACGTGTGAACAGGGAACCCTAATGCAATGCAACATTCAGCGTGTTATCCTCGAGACGTAATTTGAAGTGGAAAAGCGGTCCAAGTCCACGACCTGATGTTGTCTGATCGATTAGGTCGTCGAACTTCTTGCGTAACTTGAATTTGAATGAATGCTCTGGCTCTCCCAATGAATGTAGGATAGAGCTTATCTAAGCTTTCGCGGCTCTGGCAAGGCGGTCTTTGAATTTAGTCCATAGTGTCCAGACTCCGTTGCGGCCGAGTCAAAGTCCTCATATACATACACTGATCCCTGCTTGGCATTGTTCCCACCCCCTGACCAGCCATGTTGTCTCGCTCCCTGGGCGATCTGCACAGATACTCAATAATCCCTGGTCACAACCAGGGCCAGCCAAAAGACAGGTCAATGATCTCCGTTTCCTAACGTGTTCTTGCTGGCAGTAGAACCAGCACCAGCGTGGTTTTCGGTAATATTATCGATAATGAATCGATCGATAACTGTTATCGGTCTTATCGATATCGATGTCGATAATGGTGGATAATTCCTCACATCCCACGCCCGTGACGCACGTGATGGGGAGCCCCAGTATACCAAAGCAAAGGCTCGCATAATGTTAGCGAGATGGAGCCGTACGGCACATGGTCACTACAAACATGCTAGGCCATCTGAAGTCAAGACATGAGATCGATGTTGAAAACACTTCGAGTTGAAGGAGTGCTCTGTTCTTCTATCTAACTAGGTTTCTGCATCTCACGTTTACATAGGGAACGATGGTTGCCATCTTTCGGCGTGTTCGTACTCAGCTTATGGATGAAATCCTTGTCTAGCTGAACATTCATTGCCACGCTGAAGTGTTGCCACATATTGTCTCACAGTTCAACAATATCCTGTCAATTTCAGCCATGAGCGACGAACCAGAGCGAGTCTTTTCGGGAGCACGCCGTACGATCTCGTGGGAACTGAAGGCATTGAGAAAGTCGAGTGCTCAAAGCACTGGAAACCGAGTGGTATTACAGAAGGGCACCTTGAGATAGTCAACTAAATCTCTTGTTGACCTGTAAGGGCTGGGAGTTTGTTGTCAAAGGGATCTATAGTTAAGTGCTCTGGTTAATCGATCCCGGAGGTGGTCCACAGGCATCTATATCATTCAAATGCAAGCTTGACGACACCAAGAGATATGGTTGGATGAAGAGTGAAGACTTTGTGGATAGTTGAAGTGAATGCATGTGCTAACTAAACCTATCTGCCGAGGTGGCCGCTTTACTTATATGTCCAGCGTAAATGAATGTAACCTAGCGTAAACCAGAGTTCTTGGTAGAAATCCACAAGAGCGTGGTCATATGTCGACAGACCTGCCCCACCTCTCATAATTTCATGCTTGCTACCAATCCAATGCGCTGTTGGAGGCACACTTTGACGAGGAAGGGCGTTTCCAATCGTAAACCCCGCCTCGCTCGTAAAAGCTGTCTTCATCCCAAAAAACCTCGGACAAAGCCTGTTGTACACCCACGGTCAAGATGGATGCAGACGGTTTGCGACCTTCTCGGTCGAGAAAGCGCAAGTATTCATCCAATATCAGGTATGATTTCGCCATCAATCGATTGGGCTCCGGCACCATGCTCACCTGTCGTTGATGTCTCAGGCAGAACTCGTCAAATTCCCCGTCTGTGATCATGAATTTTCGTACGTCCCGGAGTGTCTGGTCAGAGTCGTTCTCTCCCGCGACCATCAAGACCTGAAAGCATTTCCACCGAAACGGTTGGAGCCTCGAGATATGCTGGTTCATGTCTTCATTCATGTTCAGCTTGCAGACGACCGTGTTCAGTTTGAATTTGATACCAAATTCTCGGCACCACTCGGCAATCTGGTACAGTTTCTCCACCTGGTCCCCGGCGCCTCTGCCAATCGCAATGTTGGTCTTTTCGTCGAAAGAGTCGCACGAGACGGCGAGGATGTCGATGTGGTGGCCATATTTGGACAAGAATGACTTGGTCACCAGGCTGCCGTTTGTGACGATGGAGACCGACTCTAGGTGGAGTTCCTCCTTGCAATAGCCCACAAGACTGCCTAAGAACTTAGGATAGAGAAACGGTTCTCCCCCGGCAAAGTTCAACTTTTTCATCCCGGCATCTTTCAGCATCTTTAATCCACGCTGTGCTGATAATAGATCCTCCTTGTGTGTCGTAGTCGCTGTGTGGAAGCAAAACCCACAAGACTTGTTGCATTGTCGAGTGAAGTGATAGTTGACCGACACAGGACACGACTTGGACATACGATTACCGGGGAAACACCAGCGGACGACCAAACTCAGCAGGTAAAGTACAATGGCCGACAAGAAAATGTACAGGTAGTGCATGTTTGTTTGGAGCCAGCGGCCTGGATTTGGGAAAAGGAAATAAGAAACCAAAGACGTGAATTACAAGGTAGCATTTGGTTTGCAGACTCGAACGTAGGCTTTCATACCTATATATATTTAGGCCTCGCCTCACATCAAGGTTGTGCACGAGGCGATCCAAACTTTTTCTTGCACTGGAATGTGACTGTTCCAGAGAAAGCTGCCCACCATGAACAATTCCGAGGAAAGAAAGGTCATCTACGTCATTGGTAATCCTCCCTCGCGGTCAAGAAACATCAACTAAGTATTGGAAGGTTGCCCTGGCTCCGGGAAGGGCACCCTGTGTGGCAAGCTCACCGAAATGAACCATTTCTTTCACGTTTCTGTGGGTGATCTGTTGCGACAGCACGAACGGAATGGATGGATCGCAGAACCCCAGATACGAGAGTGTTTGCGAACAGGAGCGTTGGTGCCGGCAGGATACCTCGCCGGGATCTTGAAGAGCTCTCTTGCCGATCATAAAGACACAGCCACCGAGATTATCCTTTTGGATGGATTTCCCAGGCGAATTGACCAGATCGAACAGGTTCAGGAGGTCGTAAGTGAATCACCAGCGGGACGGCGAGCCAGGCGCTGAGGCCTTATCAGATAGGTTTGCCATATGCCGTGTTCTTCTTCAACTGCTCAAAGGAGATTGCGCAGCACCGTGTGATGCATCGATCGCTGCCCTACCGCGAGCATGACGAAGATCTCTTTGAACGTCGCTATGCCGAGTTTTGCCACAACAATCCTGCCGTCATCCAGTATTTTCGGGACAAGGAGATCTTGATCGAGGTACGATCATGCTGACACCACAGTTTGGGATGCTGATAGGTGTAGGTTGACACGAGCGGTTCGACACCGGAATCGTACCGGCTTCTTCTAGAGGCATTGCAAAGTCGTGGAATTGTGCAGGGCGGGACAATCGGGTGAAACGGGAGATGGTCTCGGCGGACAAAGATCTTCGGCGCAGTTGCCATTTGGAGGGATTTCAGGTCCCCAAGCTCTTTTTTGATACGGAGGCAACTGTAAAATGTTCTCCTATTCCTTGCACCTCAATAATGAAATATCCTACTGCCATTCGTTTAGAGGTAGAACGCAAATTCACATCTCTGAAGTGCCATCCCCTGCGCGTGGACGGTGGCAAACCACCCTTCCTCAGTCTCAGAACTCTAGGCAAACAGGATTTTCATGATGTTTATTACGATTACGAAGACCGACTCTCGCGTGCTGGAACCTGGCTCCGGCAGCGGAATGGCAGGTGGCAAAGCAAGGTCAGAAGGGGTGGGACTTATACAAACTCACAATTTGAAGAGTCATCAGACCTGGAGACGATCTCCACACATATCAGAGCGTTGACGGGGCTGGACATTCCCGCGTCTCAAAGCTTCGGCCTGAGTCGCATCGCGAGCCTTACCACATTCCGCCAGGGTTGGATTGCGGATGAGGAGTTCAAGATTGTGTTCGACCGCACGGATTTCGGTCACCAGGTGGGTGAAGTCGAGCTTGAAAAAGAGGTCATCGAGCCAAATGAGCAGGAGATCAGGAAGATTCTGGAGAAAATGGACCACGAAATTGCAGATTTCCTCCGGCGTTACAATTGGGCATTTTCAGAGGGTGAGCCCGTCGGAAAATTATCAGCCTACTTTGCACAGGGCCACTCCGAGGGGCCCTCGAGACATTGAATGAGCTTTCGTGAAGGAAGCGGTTCAACGCAGCATGTATTTGAAACGACACTCTCACACATCAGCGACCAACTTCAGTTGGCTCTTCCCTTGATCCTCTTCTTCGGTGTGATGAGCTTTTTGCGACAGCTAGGAAAGTTATTGGCTGCGGGAGGGAGCGCCCAGCAACGTTTGCGTCCCTGGGTTTTGGAGACGATTTCAAATGCGGGCACAGGACTGTCACAAGCAGAGGCTTCGAATTATTAGTCTGAACAATTTTCCGAAAGCTTGACCAATGCATCAGAGTCATAATCAATGAAACTTGGTTAGCCGGATGCCTTCAAACTCATCAGACTTGTTGAATGATGTATGAGCGGTCGTATTCAGCTCTACCCCTTGCTCCGAACAAGGCTTGTCGGAGTACATAATAGGGATACAATCGTCAAGCTCACGCGTGACACTGTGACTGCGTGTCTCACTTCAGCATAAGTTGATGAATCAAAATGACGACCGGAGTTAATACCCACTGGTTCTCTCTTGCCGCTTCTATCGAAGATGTCTAACTTGAGCCTCTTACAGTAAGATCGCGGTCCCTTTTTCAAGACTACATATGAGATTCTCCTCTCTCTTTTCTCTTCTCTACAGAAGAGACAGACGACACATAAGGTCAGAAAGTCTACCTTATTCTCCACCGTGGTGGTAGCGGTTGTCCTGGCGAAACTCGGTAACATCTCAAAAAAAGGGGAAGCCACAAATCCTTGATCATGTGCCTCAACCGGGCTCGACGATAGCGATACGTATGGCCTCGCAATGGTGTATGGGTGGACCCGCGTCGAGAGCATTTTTTAAAAGAGGTATCAAGATACACACTCTTGCTTGGGGGTCTCGCCATGGCGAGGATTCTACGGTACTGCTTCTCGATCAACCTCGATCGGATCTTAGTGAACATGAGCCAACCGTTTATTGATGTAGAATGAGATGAGCCAGTCTCCTCACTACTAATGAGCAGGCAGCAAAAACCCGGAAAAGTACTCCTCCGCGGGTTCCCACGCCTCGACTGGGCCCTGATAACCAACGTAGCCGTCAGGTCGCACGATGACCAGTCGCCCTTGCACAGGATCGACGTTGTATGCTGAATACGCCGAACCAGCAGGGGGGTCATGCTTGTCATTGCCAGCCCCGTCGTAATACAGCGTATCATAGACGTACCCCAGTGTCTCGTCACAAGAAGTAAACACGGCAGGCAGGTCGGTATAATTGAGTGTGCGTGGATTTGCCGTATGTAGGGTTAAAGGAGCGATGACACTGTCGTTCCTCGTGCCCGACAAGGTCGTGGGAGCGTACTTCTTCGTCAGCCGTGAGAGGTTCGAGCCCAGGTCTCGATATCTCGTCATCGCTGTGGCCTGGGGCAGATCCCCGGCGAAGACAATGACACGGAATCGGCCGCCGCTCCTGAATCGATCGCCGAACCAGACGAGGTGGCTTCTGAAGTGGTCCCGGACTTGGTGGCTGGGCATCCGCATCCCGGTCACGACGCCTGGAGGGAGTTGTCCTTCGTTGATAGATTTTTTGGCCTGGGCAATCGCGTCCAATGTGGTACGGGTGAGGATGCCCGGTGGGTTGATCAACTGCAGATTGTGGAAGACGAGGAACGCAGCCTGGTGGAGTTTGGGCGCCTGCACCTCGGTCGTCGCAGATTCGGAAAAGGATTCGGGCAACGTGCTCCCCGTCATGGTGGCGGCGTATTTGCGATCAAAATCCACCAGGGCCTGACCCGCGCCGAGTCGCTCGGCCTCGTAGGTCGGGAGAATCTTGTCCGGGTCGGCCAGTCCCTTGGTCACCAGGGCCAGCTTCCACACCAAGTTGTGGGCGTCGAGCATCGAAGCCATCATGCCCTGACCGGCATGCGGCGAGTGGGTGTGCACGGCGTCTCCGGCGAGGAAGATGCGATTGTCGACGGTGTTCTGACGTGCGATGCTGCGACCGATCTGGTAGACGACCCACCACGCGCAGTACGTATAAGTAAACTTGTACGGCGCGAGCTGCTCTTGGACCTGCTTCAAGATATACTCGGGTGTGACGCGAGAGCGGAACTGCTGGCCAGCCTCGGGTTTCAAGGCTGCGAGGGCAGTGTAGACGCGAACCATGCCGTTCTCGCGGGGAATCCAGAACAAGCCTCCTTTCCCAGTCGTCACCACGTTGATGAATCGGGGCATTGCTCTCGTCGTGGACGTCAGCGGATATAACATCCTTGTAAGGTCGAACTCGGGAGCCAGAAAATTTACGAAAGTCCGTGTTTGGAATCACGTCCAGGATTCCCCAGAATACATCTGTATCCTCAGCCGTCATGTTGATTCCGACCTCTTTTCGCGTCCAGCTATGAGCCCCGTCGCAACCGATGATGTACTTCGCCTGGATGGTTTCTGAGGATGCGCCAGCCTTTTGGCTCTCGGACAGGATCGCCTCATCGTCGTCCAAGTGGATGTCATTGGCGCTATCAGCTTCCGTTCTCTGACTTTTCCGCGTTGTTATCGACAGGGGATACTCGTGCTGTCGACGTTCGAGCTTCTCGGGAATCACCCTCTTTCAACTTGAATGGTCGAGGCCTGGTGGATAAAGTCCAGCATCAGGTCCGAAATTCGAGCTTGCGATAGGGCTTGTGTCCGGTAGTGACTGGGCATCTCCATGTCGCCCACTTGTTGTACGTGCATGAGCCCGTTCTGGGTCATTTAAGAGAGGCCAGCGGGTCTTACCCAGATCTGCGAAGCATTAAATTCCACGTTCGTGTCCATGATTTTGCTCGCCAGCCCAAAACTGGCCATCAGCTCCATCCCTCGTGCATGCAGACCATCGCCATGACCTGCCAATAGCTTCGTCGGTCTCTTGTCGATGATTCGCGTCTTGAGCCCATACGAGGCGGCCAACATCGCTGCCATAAGACCGGCGGCTCCAGCACCGATGATCAAAAAGGTCGACTTGACTTTCGGCAGACATTTTGGCAGATGGTCCAATGACGAGATTGACGGTTCAAGACTTGATAGAGCAGAAGATGAGGGTATGTGGCAGTATCTGAAATTTCTCCTGGAGGGAGACTCTCTAGCGCCATATGCCTCTTCAACTGACAATCAGAGCCTTTCTGCGTCCCTTAGTGCTTACGCTGAGACCGCAAATGGGATTGATAATAAGCAACTAACTTATCCACCGCGAGAGTAGATTTCATGATCATTCAGGGGCTGTCCTCGTGATTGTACGACCTTCTGAGGACCATACTCTAGTTGTCCAACGCATCGGGGAGGGCTAGCGGCTGCAGGGTGAGAGATGAGAGGTGTGAGGAACGAAGAGGCTAAGAGCAAAGATCGCTATTGCATAGGGGTGGTAACTTGACATAGCTGGACCCCTGTCTTGCGGCTCCAGAACCGCCATGACCCAGCTCTAGGAGCATACAGAAGTCGGGTATCCCCAATCACCCGAAGCGTACGTAACGTTTGGTCGCCGACTAATCGATCGATACAAGTGCTGCTTTAGGGCCCGTAGTGAAGTCATGATTCAGGATTCCCGCCTCCGGGGCAGCGGATCCTTGGGAGTAACACCGTCAAGAGGTGAGGACAATTGCGAGTACAACCTCCGCGGACGCTCGATAAGCACAAGTATCTACCATCTACACGAGACTGGCCAGAGGTTTTTCTTGGCAGGGCTGCCATCCTTCCTCTCTCCATTCGCATTACTAGGACTGTTGCGAGAACGTTTCCGGGAAATTGACTCTAATTGACTGAGATCGGTGGGGTTGTGGTGGTTTAGATCTTGCATATGCCTCATGTGCTGTCGTGACGAAAGGATACGGAGGTATGATACAGAAACGACAGTCTTCCCATTTCGCGTTAGCGGTAACGTATTCGGTCTCCACTTATTTATGGGGATTTCTGACGGGTACCTTACATTAGGTCCGGATGTACATTGCTAGCGCACTAGGCAGCCACCCGACCCACATGTAAGGCGTTGTTGCCCCTCTTAAGACATCGGTGGAGTACTCTTGGTTGGAAAAAATCCTGAAGCTTGGCTAGCTATACTATCGCTAATCACCACGACCCGCGTTGGCCGAGACGCTGTCTAGGAACTTCTGTGGCAGAACAAAGCTACCCTCGAAACATGTAGCTGACACTGGCCTCGAGAGCTGCCTACAAGTCGGCCGTGGCCGCGGGAGCGGTATGACGTCTGAAGACGTCATCGAAGACGTCCTCAGCATGCAACTCGGCATCATGTTTGAGGATCCAGTCTTCCCGGGGAAGGGCGACCGACGCAAGAATCTCGGCAGCTTTTGCCCAGTCAGTGTTGTGCATCATCCTGATGGTTGACAGTGCCGTCTTTTGGATTGCCTTGACGCGATCGTACCTGCGACAGTTGAGAATTGGTCAGGAAACGTACCGGAGGGAGGAGGGCTGCCATTCAGACAGGGAATACATACCGGATGTCTTGGTGAGTTCGGATTGCAGCCGGGATATTGCGCTTACCTGTGCGTCTCAGGCATGCGGCAACCGTGGCGGCATCTTCTAACGCCTGAGTGGCCCCCTGCGCCCTCGAGGGCAGGAAAGGATGTGCAGAGTCGCCCAATAGCAATACGCGCCCACGTTGGCTGACCCTCTAGATGCGCTAAGGGAATGAAATCTTACTTTGTGCTTGGACCGTTTCTCGAATTCCGTTTACTGGCTATGGCAAGCACCTTTCTGCCGATTTGAAGCTGTGTGAGGACGGTGTTCCACTATTTTTTGGTCGGAGAATTTTCTGGATAGAATAGCCTTGTTGCATTGTTGATCTGAATGATGGTTCCAACTGAGAAATTGAACCCTAGCCATATGTTGACGAACAGACCTCGACACAGCCGCCCGTATAGGCAATTGGAGCGAGGAATGTGTTCCCTCGTCAAACTTCGTTCCCGACCTGTGTCGCTCAGTACATTGACACACTTTGCTTTTGTATATCTCGTTCTCAGGCCTGGTCCCTCGGACTTGCTCCCACTTGTGAGGAGATCGTTCTTGATTCGTCCGACTTCGTATCGAGCGATTCCTAACGCCATACTGATAAGCATGGCGTTCCAGTATACTCCAACAATTCGTTACTTATGGCCACCACGACGCGACGCAATCCAGGCAAAGATGTTAAGTGTCTCGTTCTGAGCTTCCATTAATGGACCGGGTCATTTGGAGGGGATATCTTGCTCACGAACGACCTCGTCACGCCATCTAGCAATAGCTAGTTGTCCAAGAGTTCGTTCCGGAGACTCGTGGCTGTTTCCCCCTTCACTCTCTTCTTCGAAAAGATTCTGCATCCAAGGGTGTTTGTTTAGATTGCGGATCTCCTCTAAGCTCTTACCATTTCCTTCATCCAGCCACATCCCATCTTCGTAGCGAGAATACCAGGCATATAGGTATCGAGTCGCATTGCTCGAGATTTCAAATGCGGATAACCAGTTATCACGGTAAGAGCTAAATCTGTTTAGCTCGGATTCCCAGAAACGTTGGTGGACTCACACAGCGTCATTAGTCGTTTCACTGACAAATGTTTGCAAGCGCACTGACTTGGCGCCACCTGTCCACTCTTTGCCCATTTCGCGAAGATCATTGTTTTGAAGGCGTTCGTAAAACTTTGCGGATAAAAATCGGTGACCGTGGCTGAGGTGTTCTCTCAACACAAGGCTCAAGTTCCTTATTGGGGTTTTGCCAAACGGTGGTGCTCGAGGCAGCGGCTGTATTATTTCTGGACGCGTAAGGAATAGTAGGGAAAATTCTTTCGCTCGACTGATGCAGTCTTCTCCGTTGCCGGATACATACGATACCTGCCAGGCGGTCTGTACACTGTGCGTCCACACCGCTAAAGGAATACAGACGGGAGGACCTAAACTGAATATTTCGTCCATCATTTCTCGGGCTTGACCGCAAGCAGCAGCAGCATACCAAAACAGGGTCAGGTGTGGAAACAACGTACAGATCGCCGTGAGAAAACGATCGCCGCTTCCTTCATTGTCGATGTCCAGAGCAGAAAATATTGCCATATATTGTGCGCCCAAGATATTACAAGGCAATGAGGGATCGAACGATGCTTCAGAGAGAAAGGAATCCGTCCCTTCAATTATGGATCCCAGCATTAAAATCTGATCAATTCGATCGAAGACTTCGTATGCAGCTGGAGGAACTGTCCCACCCGAGGTGGTTATTTCCAGGGCCGGGCTTGGAATCCATGGCATCAATTTTGGAAGAGGTCTTCGGAAAGTAGGCGGAGACAACACAGCGATCGTCATAGCCACAAAGAACTCAGGCAACAGGAGGTGCCGAGTACAAAATCGTAGCAGTAGATCAAACACTTTGCTGAAATTCGCCAATGCCGGTTTTGTAGACAGACTATAGTACTTGTCAGCGTCGCAAAGGAACAAGGTGAAAATGGTGATGGCATACTGATGACTTGTGATCCAACCTTCGCTCTTGATCATGAATGGAGAATAATAAACTTGGTTCTCATGGGTGAAGTGGACTTGCCAGCTTTCATCCTTTATCATCTTCCAAAATGCTTCCTCAGAGCTCCAATTCGCTTGGTGAAGAACAGCAACCTCCTGTCCACTGGCCTGCACGATCTCAGCCCACCTGCAAGATAATGCGTAGGACCAACCCAAGACTAACCGCCTCAAGTGTTTCAGCCGACAAGGGCTTTTGCGGAAGGAGCTTGTCATCAGCTCAATCTCATCGTTGGCTTCGGCAAACGTAGACCATGTCGAGGAGCCCAGTGACACATTGAACTCGATATCCTTCATTGGTTGAGAGCAATTTGGAGCATCAGTAGTCTGTAAACGCATAATGCCTGGAATGGTGAAATTGGCCTTGACTTGATCGGCTTGGTGGTGTGGCGTTCTCCGATAGTAGCCGTCGAGATTACTGACGCGGAGGGGAGGCACACCATCGACACGTTCCAAAAACGATCGTATATGATAAGGATCATCGTCGCTCCAGGTAGCTTCCTGGGTCGAGGCTCTAACCCATCGATTCTTAACGGCGTTATACACAGATTCGTGCGTTGCCAGAGACGGACAAACGCCATCACCGAAAACACCTCCCGGATCTGGGTTTGATTCCACAGTCGACAAGGAATAATCAGACGCGGCCTCATCCTGTACCATGCTGGTTGCATCCGGCATCAATGCAAAATCTTCTGGTTGTCTGAGCCACCTTGGGATGTTTCCTTCACTGGTTTTGCATAAATGCGCAGCAGTTGAAGGACCAGACACGGGCTGCAATATGTGGCTTCGGAGTTTCAAAAGAATTCCGTACAGAGGACGAGCAGTGACTCGTGCTCGCTTTTGTCGTCCGCTAGAGGCGATGAGACTAGACTGGAAGCCCGACAGAGGCCTTTTGGTGACGGCTGATGTGGACGAACATTCAAAATGCTGGAAGTCTGGTGGAGTGGTTGCAACCACGATGGGCCCGAAATCGGGATTGTATTGGAAGGAGGGTTAACCGAGTACGAATGTTTAACGGCCACCACGTCACCCGTAGGAACATCGCGTCCTGCGCGGATCAGTCATAAACAATGTTTCATCGTGTCTCTGACAAGCCTCCCAATGTACACTTTTCCAGCAAAGGGAAACGTCCTCAAGGCATCAAGAAGGGACAAAAGCCAAATCCTCTTCGACGGAGCGCCCGTTTGGACTGCTTGATCGAGATTAATGAGACTCAAAAACCCAGCAAGCAGTCTCTACCATCTCCAGTCAGCGACGATAAACGTCTTCATGTAAGCCGCCAACGCCATTCTGTGACGGAAGACTGATCCAATATAGCGTGCGCAGCCACCTCCTACCCATCTACCATCGAAGCCTTCAAAGCGGAAACGAGAAGCTGAACAGCAACTAAACCCGCCCTCTCCGAAACGACCGCAAACATCTTGCCCTAGACCCTCTGTTCAGGACGTTGATTCTGTTACATACTGGACGCAGACATACCACTGGCCGCGAGGATACTTCAACGAATGTGGCGAAATGAGTCACTTATTGGCGAGAAAGAAATCCACCGCCTCACTTCGCCGAAAGCGATCGGATAGCGAGTCTGGCACACCCAGCTCAACTACACCGAGCGACCAGAAGCCTAGGGAGGAGAAGAGTGCTCCTTATCAAGACCCACGCTACAGGTCACTTCTTGAGGCGAAAGGGAGCTTTATGGGCAAGTATATTGGCCGGAATGAAGAGGGTCCCACAGCAGAGAGCAAGAAAGAGTACAAGTCCTTGCTCGAAGCCGAGCAGGCAGTTCCTGAGCACGATCACTTCGCCCTCTTGGATCCTTGCTTGTGGAAAGCAAGGCTGCAACATAAACCCCGGCAGACACCTTTCGAAGTTTGGCAAGCGCTAAGCACGATTGCTTTGGCCAGTTTCAAACCGAGCTTTCTGGAGCACGTGTCAAGTAAACCTTGCCGCTATGAGTAAAATGTACTATAGGCCAAGAGGTGCTTCAGAAAACCTTTCCGGGTGGCGGTATTCTTTACTTTGGCGTTGCTTGGCATTCTGTCATTGAGGCTGTCCGTAGGCCGGTCTAGAGAGCAAGGCGGCTTGCTGAGCGCTCGTCTCGTCTCGTTTATGGACCGGATTAACCATTTTCCGGGACCTTCGCCATCGGATCCAGTCTGTGGACCATGTGCCCCTCGCCTCCCCGGGGCCTACTAACCACACATGGACTGGATCCGATGAAATCCCCTTTTTTACGGATTAACCCTTTTCCGGAATCACGTGCTCGTCCGGGTTCCCCCTAACGGATTAACTATTTTCCGTAATCGTGATTACGTGCTCCCTCCCCGGCCGGGGGCCCTCCCAACTCGACGTGGTTCATGGATTAAATTCGATGAAATCCAGTCTATGGGATTAACCATTTTCCGGGATCACGTGCTCCCCCGGGCCCATGTTGAGGGGGCACCCTACTCAATAGGTATCGATATCCTCGATATCGAGATGATCCACGCATCGGATCCAGTCTATGAACCACCTGAAAAGCTCTACTAATCACACTCGAGATGGTTCGTAACCGAGCGTGAACGGACGAGCCTTGTCGTCGAGATGACTCGTATGGATGTTAATGGATAGTAATTGGTCATTTCACTGAATTACCGAAATTTCGTATAGATCATTTGATTAATTGTATTGTGGTAATGTTGGCCACACACAAATCGGTCACGATTTTGACCCAGGCCCTTCTGCAAAAGGTCGCCCCCACGGGGGCGATTAGTGCCTTGGCACACCAAGCAGAGGGTCGTGGGTGCCGAGACAAGACGTAGGAAGTGACCAGGGAGCGATCTTGGCATCGAGGGAAGAAACCCTCCAAAAGCGGCGGCACTGACCGCCAAATTCGGCGGGAAATTTCCCTGCAACCTGGTAAACACCCAAACATTTGTTGCTCGCGCTTGGTCTCTTACGCTTAAATAGTCCACTGGAAAGGACCAATTACCTTCACAGATCGTCTTCAGCAACTTCCACAGCAATATTTGCTCTTCAACATAACCATTGTCATGACATATGGTACAGAAGGTTGGAGATGTCGTCCGGACTTAATCGATTACGCCAGCAGCTCGACGAAGAGAAGCGGCTACAAGAGGAAGAGCAACATCACCGCATTGCCGCCGAAGAGCACGCCATTTCGAAGCAAGAAAGCTACTGTCGAACAAGGTCTCACTGAATGGCCGAACAAGTGCCTCTTTATTGAAAAGGGGTTATCACCCCTATGCAGGTTTTAGGGGTAGAAATAGGAGAAGAAAAGGGGTCAAGCCAACCTGTATATATACCAGCAATCTGGCAGGACCAGTTGTGAGGTAGACAGAGCATTTAATACGTTCCCCAGTTTGACAGGTGCTTTCTGCGTCGACTTCATCTCGGCCGCACCGGTATCCATCATTCTTGCCCAGGAAGAGTGCTTCGAACGAACGCCAACGCAGATCAATCATGCAAACAAACTCAATATCTTACTTCTCTAAGTGGATGACAACTTGTCAGGCATACAATGGAGCAGCTCTAGCTCTAGCACCCAGCGGCATTAGCGGAACTATCACGTGTCCTCTGAGCACATTTTGGGGTCGGGGCCCCATCATCCTCTGGACGTATTTCGTCTTTCTTTATCCTTGGGTGCGTGCTCTCAGAAGATTTCCCCACGTACTACAGCATACGGTGTCCTGTGGGAATCGTGTCCAATGCCGCACCCACAATTGCCATTGGCCTGCCGTAAGACATGGTCTTCTTCCACGAAAGAGCACGTAAAATCGGGCTCTGGACCGTCTGTTTTATCGTCTCACCAGTAGTTAGTCCGTTCAAGCACAACGTACTTTAGATATACTTTGGTACGCAGCTTTATATCTAGTCGTATTTTTGGACGAAACCTAGTACCGCCGCGACTTAAATCGTAGATGTCACCTGCCGCGGGCCCATAGAGAATATTATTTCCGTAGGACGAAAAGCTTTACCTCTGACGCTACAATGCCCAATCTAATCCTGCACAAGGAGATAGATCTATTTGACAGTATAGACAGATCTCCGGACATTCTGGCCCTCGACCCGGCCCTGCGCAAATCTCTCTATGCTATCGTCACTGCTCTTTCCCACGAAACTCTGGATTGTCTTCGCGTTCTTCATGTTGTCCACCTCCGACATCATGTGGGCCTCGTCTTCCATTCCAAACCGTGTTTGGCTCTCGCTGTCCTCCTGTCGTGGCTTGCTTCTAAGATTCTTGTAGAAGCTGATGGACATTGGCCGTGTGTCTTGAAGGTTGCTAGAACGCCGAGGATCCCTACTGCGCCCGGAGTGCAATGACGTGCCGAGTATGCTAACGAAGAGAGGTTTAAGGCAGGGCAGGCTACCAGCGATGATGCCCACGGTAGCTTCAATTCTGATCCACAGTCAGCTCTGGAGTCGACTGGGGTGGAAGACCGAAACTCACGTGCTCCACAGAGTAATATTTCTTGACTGCCACAATAGGTCGCTTCGCTGTCCGTAATCGCCAATGTACCGCATCTTCACGATTGCGGCCGCACAGGAGCTGCGGTGAGCCGTCCGTCAGTCAAATCCCCGCCGAAAGGCGCACACTGGCCCAGAGATGACACTTACAGAGTGCCCAGGCTGAGGATGGCTATAACTGAAAGCCTTGTCCGAACGTTCATCTGGAGCTTCCACAGGATGGGGATCTGTATTGGAACTCGAATGGTCAGTCCCGGGAACTGGGCCGACACGAATTCGGACGATGACTGACCGGTATACCAAGCGCGAACAAAATGTCAGTCAAAATACTTACACCTGCACACTCGGTCAATATGCAGTGGTCCATGAAACCCACTGATAAGGTACTCACCACTGGTAGTATAGAGCAATGGCCCGAGCGCTTTCACGCTGATACATTCGGACTTTACATTGGGGTCCCATAGGGCCGCCGGTTTCTTGCATTGAAGTGTGATCACCTGCAAATATTAGACTTTCCCTTGGACAGATTCATTTTTTCCTCGCCCTGTGACCACGTACGAAGAAGTTTGCCAAAGTAAAGCAGACTGTGAACACTTTGGAAGTCAAATTCTGAGTCCATAAAGTCACATCACTGTGCTCACCCATCAAAGAAGTGATGAAGATTCTCCATGGCCTGCTGCGAGCAAACCGGAGTAAGGCCATGCCGACCGATAGCTTCACAAAACATTCTACCCAAAGGTACAGCGGAGGTGTAACAAAATTCAACTTTTTTCCGATTGAGACTGTTTCTGCATCTAAATCCGAAATGTGCTTTCCGAGCCCATAGTGAACGTTGGCAATAACAACTGCTTCGAATGCAATTCCCTTGCTTGGTCAGCCTCAGTCTCTTGGTCCCGAAGAAGGTACCTACTAATAACATTGCAATAAGCATCAGGTAATCCTTGATTCCTGTCAGTTTCAGAACGGACAGCATGATCCACGAGACTCACATCCCATCCTATGTTCTGGATGATTTTGATCCGCACGTACAGTCGAAGCATGACCGTTAACAAGGCCAGTATCGACACCGCCAGAGTGACTCGGATGATTGTGGGCCCGTCATTTTGGCCAGAGTTTGAAGGCGATGGTTGATCGGCCATGTGGCGGCCGTCTGGTATAAGTCGTCTTTCAGAAGCGGACAAGGAGACTTATCAGGTATGGGGACAAAGGTAAGTGCCATGTAGTCCGACAGCTGTTATAAAGATGAACATGCTCAGGGAAAATCCTGGACGGGCTGCTGGACGGGCGTGGACGAGGAGGAATCCCCCCCACATCCCGAAACTGTCTCCAAGCTGGAATCCGATCCGGGGCCCCAAATTGGTCAGGACGCCTTCCGAGTGCCCCAACCTCACTAACAAGGTGGACTACATTCACGCACTCATGTCTCTAACTGCATATGGTAAGAGAACGTTGAGCTTCGTGAACTTCGGGCTCGCTGATGATTTTGAAAAGTTCCGGCGGGGCAAAACCACGCAGAGCATCCCATGGTAAGGAGGCGCCTCCTGAGGGGTACAGACGAAGCGAACGCCACGAGGATTCGATTATTGCGGATGCACCATCCGAGAACATTGACATGCAGCTAAGTGCTGGTGGCAGACGCATTTTCGCCTTCGGTTTCAGGGGAGCTTTCCTCAGCTGAGAATGCGGCTGTTAAACCATTGGATAGCTTGAGAGTTGCTAAGGAACCACTGAAACACTGCTAATGTACAGGTACGCCACTATCGCTGTCTGAGTAAATTGGCACGTTTTATATTTCGTATCCCGGAAATTTGATCTGCACAGGGTCTAAGTAAACCATGTGAGACCGTTTTTCCGCCTTGCATGAACTCCAGAGAAGGGCGCAATAAATTCCGAGAAACTTTTCAGCCTAGCGAGAGAGGGACTCCGCGCCTAGAGTTAGACTAAATTATTACGTGACGGCTACTCCGTAAATGTGGGGAGAATCCTGTCAAACTTCTTAGAATTGAAAAAGCGTTCTGACTGGATTTTGGTCAGAAGGTGGCATAGAGCTCATCTATATATCTATCTAAGGAGTGCGCATCATCGTTCATGCCTATCAATGGTGATACAACCTAGTGGCCGAGTGTTGCAAAATAAGCCGGTCTGTCTCGAGCGACAGGTCACCACCATGTTTGGATTTTGTGGTGAGGAAGATTGCAGTACGACTTCCGAGTTGTCGCAGATTAGTACCAATCTTTGTAACAGTTGCTTTCACATATCGCCCCCCTGGGGCCCCACGTAAATTCAAAATCTGTCCAATTAAGACCCGGACTTCGGCCAATACACTTCCCCTGACCTAGAGCGACACGGGAAAACAAATGTTAAATACAGCTCGCTACTAAGCGCGCCTGCTTACCAGCATTCGGCCTGGTAAGATATTGACCTTCACCCTATTCGAGGCGCGCAGTGAACCGTCAAGCACTCGACTTTCTGAAGTTACCGAGACGGGCATGTCGACTGTCAACGGCTGCTTGATTCGAGCATTCTGCTGTGAAGTCCTAGTCCGATGCTGTTAAACGGTAGTATTGAAGGAATGGTGACCTATCGTTCACGGCAAACCAGGATATTTTGCAACAACTCGCTCACTAGGCTCTAGGAGAGCCAGAGCACTCTTTCAATCCAAGAAGTTCGACAGATGCATACTGTCTTATTAGGCCTATTTTTCGTCATGTGATATGTGGCGACGCCAAGGCTTGTAAAGACCTTAGGAAGCGTCGTACGTTTCGTCCACGCTTCGAAAGTACTTAGTCTGACGGTCCCCTGGACCCTTCGAAATAGGGCAAGTCCTCCATAAAATCACAAACCATCTCGAGCGTGATCAGTAAGGGCTTGTCTGAGGTGGTCCACAGACTGGATCCGATGCGTGGGTCATCTCGATATCGAGGAGGGTGGCACCTCGGCCGCATGGTCCACGGATTGGATCCGATGACGGGGCGACAAGGGGAGTGCCCACGAGATAATGCCAAGCCATATACCTACGTGATTGGCCAGCACGTCGCTCTTGGCGTCGCCACACAACGCCAAGCCGCACCCAGGCGATTCCTAAACTAAAAAAATAAAATAATTCAGGCTTATATTTTATTCCGCCAAAAACAGCTTCAAAATTGACACCAAATCGTGGTTGACCTATCAAGGACGAAACCGAGTGGGCGCACTAGGTTTTAGTCGAACCGATAGAATTGAGGGACCTTACTAGTGTTCGATCATAGGTAAGGCAAGAGGGTTGTCCGGCCTAGCTTTCTAGGTGCCCTAGATGGGTAAACGTAATGCTCCAGCCAGTGATTGTTGATGTCGTCTTGTTCATACGTTGGGAGGTCACTGATTCAAACTCTTCTGCTGTTGGACTTGTGTGGCTGAAGCTTTCACTGGCTGCGGCGCCCCATCTATGAGTTCGTCAAAGATGGACTATAGGAGGGAGGCCTTTTAATAATTTTTTGTTTGCGTATATGTGGACCGCCTGCCTTATAGGGTTCATATTAAGTAGGCGTAGAGGAATTTCACTAAAGGTTAATGTTGTGGAGTGGTGCTAATGCTTCGCGTTAAGGATAGTGGTAGTAAGCTAATTAAAGTGCAGGCCACTTTGTCTAAATAAGTTCCCTTCAGACCCACTTAAAGTCGCCAGGCCATTCAGTTGATTGAAGGACTTGACAACTGGTCGAGAGCCGGTTGATTGATGGAAATGCAGGTATTGGCAATCAATTCAATCAATTGGTTGAAATGGCCACCTTCTCTTTGTCATGAATTGACCTGCAACTCCAGCATGTCGTATTCGTCGGCTTTGGCTTTCTTCTGGGCGAAACGGGAATGGACTCGGCTGTATCCAACAGCGTCAAGGCTCATACGGTCTCTTCGTCCGAGCTCGAATCGTAGACCTCCTTCTTCTGCTGAATCATCTCTGGAGACTTGGGGTCATGTCCAGTCTTTGAGAGCGACGGCCACCAGCTTGGACCTCCTGACCGTGTCGGGCTGCTGGAATCTGTGGGTGCTTGTTTTCTCAGTCGGCTTCTCTCCCATACCGAATTGCCACCACTTCTTGTTAGACCTCGAATTCTTTTGAGCATCTTTGGCCGCTTGCTACTCAATCTTGTGAATGTGGCGTTCTACCACGGCAATTAACTCCTTGTCTCCTGTGCTCTTTACAGACTGTAGCGTCGACTCCAAATCTTCACTGGACTGAGTCCCCCGCATCCTCTTCTGCTCCTCGTTCAAGAATACCTCGAGTGCGTCGGCACGTTTGCGATTGATTGCTGTCATTTTGGGAAACGATAGGCTGGCGGTCAGGGGAACCGTCCTTTTGATGACTTCTATCGGTTGGTCGTTGGTCATGGCCGGCAACAATTCACATCCAAGATGGTAAGTGTAGCTGCCGTTGTCCAAACTCATCGCTCCGTGATCTAGAAGGAAGAGAATGAAAGGCGCATTCTGAGGACCCTCTTCAATAGCCAAGCTCAGCATGGACGTCATGTGGTCGTCGAACCCAAAACTGACAACGTCAGGGGAGTAGGAATAGATCAGCTTGAGCATATCGAGGTCTCGCGTCTTAGCGAGCGTTCTGACGGACCAGGGTTCTCTGAAGTCGAAGGCAGGATATATCGAGCGCAGGTATCGGACGGTGGATTGTTGCCCATGAGAAATGGCTGCTTCAAAGAGCATAGCCGTCGTAGGAGCGCCCTCTCCTTTGGTGTCCTTATACCAGATAATTTCGTGACCTTGCTTGACATGGTGCTCCTCAAACAACCGTTGCAACTGAGCTAGTTGACCGGTCTTGCATGCTTCGATCATGGCTTCCTGGTGAGGAGACAGAATCTTCCATGGCTGCGGCTGGGGTTCTGGAAGAGATGTGGCCATTATGGGAAGTGCTGCTCAAGAATAAGATGTAGATAGAAGGCCATCGGAAAAATCAGATGATCTCAATGACTGTAGACGGTCTTCGGAGGCTTTAAGCCACGAAAATGTGATTCTTACAGCCCGCAGTCGCCGGCCGGGAGGCCACAAGGCGTCAAGTACTCACTGATTTGGCGTCGGCGGGTAAAGCCTTGTTTCAGTATGCGCTGGCTATGAAGCCTTACGGGAACCTGTAGCCGCTTGAGGTGAAACTCTCTTGCCGCTGGAGCTAAGTAAGTCCTCGTAAGATTTGAGTGTGGAGAAGTGCTAGTTTTGGCGATAATGAGGCTCTGTGCTACGGCGAAGGATTACGGTTGGCCAAGTCCCTCATAATGACAATTTTCCCATTGTTCGTCGTTCTGTTTCGACTCGAATGCCGCAAACTCTCTGCATCGACAGCGCACCGATTTCATCTGTGTATGAACAGGACCAGGCTTCCCGGTAAGCCAAGACTGCACACATAATTTGTTCTCAATCTCAAAGTCCCAAATGTTGAGCTTGGCAAAACATCTGATAAATTGCGAAAGCCACTGCAGGCTCCGCGAGGGCGACTCGCTCCGTGGCCACGCTATAAACACCATGTCTGCTTTTGGCAACATGTGTCGGTAGTTCAATGCTGCTTCCATAGCAGGATGGAATGCCCGAGTTTAAACGTGCAACCCGACCACGCTCTCGCCATGCTAGGTCCGAAGCAATGCAGGGCATCTAACATTGAGATTGACTCCACTGCAAATTCATCAAGCGCCGGCTAAGAGCTTTTAGAGTCGCGAACAGAACTCGAGAATACTGCTGAGGCGCCTCAAACCCTTCCAAATTACATTCGATGAACTACACCTCTAACAATAGCGTCGACGATGTCCAAAATGGGGACAAACCAGAGAGGTAACCCATGCTATGCACCGGTAATAGAGTACTATATATGCAGAGCTGAGGACTATGGATCGAATACCTCTCCTCTTATTACAGCAAACCTCCGCCTGTGTTGGACCAACGATAAAGTCAAAACGACGAAGCTCCCCAGTGTTTCCTCTCTCTTGAATTCCGCAATGGTCCACTTCTTGTCGGTCACAGCCGGCAATTGTCTCTCAGATCAGTCCGATGAACCGCTGGCTCCTCCTCTTCCGCCATACAAGGAAGGAAAGCTATGTCCGGAACTCTGGGCTTGCGAAGATCCCAACCTCGACTTTCCTACAGTGGAGTGCCTTCTCGCTGACGTCAAAACGTGTGGAATCATTGGCGCAAACGGGGCTCCGACTATTATGTACTCCTTTGGCGTGACAGATGGCAACATTGCAAAATTTCATGACCCTATCGTCCCAGAGGGCAACATCTATCGCGATATGCTGGACGGTCCCTATTGGACACAGGCGATAACACACACAAATCTGAAAGACAAGACGAAACACGACCCATTCAAGCTGGGCGTACCGGCAAGGGTGGATGTTCTCATTGCGAGGTCTGCGGAAGCGTACGCTGCCAGTGCGAGCGGCGAGGTTCTCGTCTTCATCGGCCAGCAGAAGGGCACAGTGGAGGGTGACACAATGCTCGGGATCTTCCAAAAGCCCTTCGTCGACCCAAAAAATCCAAACCCCGACCCCAGTATGTTGCAAACTTATGAAATTCCGATTTTGCAACGCAACCCTACCGTCACGCGGATCGTCAGCATCGACGTCTCCAACAACTTCCAGAGAGACGTTGACTGGGAGAACGGGCAATCGCCGCCAGGTCTGGATAACCCTCTCCTACCTTTAGGTGAAGCAGATAACATACCCGTCCCACCTGTTCCTGCCGGAATGCGGAAATCCCGGAGAGACGGAAACAGCACCGAGGACGGCGCCGATCCTCCAACCCTCTGTCCTATCGCAGTTGCCGACGCAGTTGCGACTCCGAGCTCAATATCTCCGTCTCCAACTTCCAAACCATCATGCGTTCTCCATGAGCAAGATCCTGACCAAGGCATTACGCAAGCATTCTGTCTCTGCGACAGCACTGCGACTCTCTCGCGACTCTCCGCGGCGTCTACAGGCGGCCCGAGCGACAGCTGTGCATACACCACCATCCCAGCCACAGCGAAAGAAGCAGTGACAACGTTCACGTCCACGTACACTAAGAACTGCCAGGGCTGCACTCAAGTTGGATTCAACGCCCCTAGCTGCACAACTGTTCCTCAGTGTACCCCTACTAGTGCAGAGGTTACTGTTCAAGCAGGAAGCTCCCCTGTCCACGTTGGGACCCTCACCGGCACGGCTCTCCATACTTCTGTTTCCAGTGCACTGGAAAAGCTGTGCCCATCGGTGACTCAAGCCATGAGTTCCACCGCCTGCGAGACAGGCAGCGTAACGATTCCGAACACCGATTTTGTCAGCGACGAAAGTCTCGACAGCGATGGCGAGCTGGTGATCAAGGCAGCAGCAAGTTCGTACAACTCGACCGCGCTCCGCGATGCAATGATCAAATCTGCACAGAAGGGCTCCAAACAACCTAGTTCCTGCTACAATCAGAGTTATACTGTCATGGGGCGCCAAGACCCCATGCCAAGAACATGTATATAGCATGCGTTACGCAGGATACCCCTATCCGACTTCCAGGCGTGGAAGTCGATGTCGCCCCTGCACCTATATAGATAGATAGGTATCCTTTTGACGTCTTTACAGCCCGCTGGCGAGCCTGCCCCTGACATCCAGGTCGCCCCAGGCGGCGATTTCTTGTGCGACTTCATCGAGGATCTGGAGGTAGGATTAGCCGTGGTGGCGCCGGAGTTCGCAGTTGGGGATCTCACCACGGTGCCGGATATACAAGCCTTCTGCGGCGGGTCGCTTCTTTGAGAGAACGGAGTGCTGGCACTCATGTACAGTCCAAAAAGTTGGTGGCTTTGTAGAAAACATTGAAGCATATTTATGGTGAGGGGCGTGCTTGGTTTCTGTCGATTGGCCACGGTAATATTTTATGTATAGTCTCGCGGTAATGGTATCTTTACATCTACCCCATTCGGTCACTTTCCTCAAGAAAGCCTACCCATAGGACATTAAGTGAGATTCTCCTGTTACTCTCGGTGACATCCAGCTCCCCTAGCCAGACAGCCTTGTGGCATGGCTAACCACGAAAATGTGAGTGCTGCTGATAACGGGAACGGCCAGCCGCATTGCCCATCGAATACATAAAAGAAGACGAGTAACGAGACGCGGTTTAAGAGGGGTCAAAGAAGGTGCTCTTCTATGGGAGAGTGAGAAGATCCATCGAGATCCTTGCTGCGCGTCCTTCAGGCGCCATACTTGGGGCAGTGAAGGCATCCATTCTTTCGGTGAATGGACGATTCCGTTGTTTCTGAAGGGGACTGTTTCTGGTCCTACTGAAGCCGGCATGAGTGGGGGAGTCAAGTCTGCAACGAGGGAAGGCCAGGGTCGGCGTTCTTGGCACCGAGGGAAAACCTAAAGAATGCTCTGATCCCTTGGGTCAAAGGATGGCATCAAGCCTTGTCGATATATCTATCTAACGAGTGTACGTCACCATTGTTGCCTGTCAATGGTGTTACAGTCTAGTAAGCAAAGTGTTACAAATTTACCCGGTTAGTTGTGAACGATAGGCCATCAATTGTTCAACACCTGTGCTCACCCGTCGTGACAGCGAAACCGTCAGCCTCCTCGGCATTAACAGTGTGGTGGACACTGTACCCACCACTGGGCCAAACATTTGAGACTCCTTTCCTCAGCATGGACACGCTTGCCAATGCCGCTCGCCGTTCCTTTGCCCACACAGCCGGTGTTGCCGCCGAATATTCGACACGTCGGTACTTATGCTGCCAATGTTCCGAAGAGTGAGCAGCTCCTGTCTTCCACAAAGCTGAAGGTATGGCCGCGATGTTTCCCTCCAGGGCGTTTAGCTACCCTGCCTGTCATCTCCTGACCTAACGCGATTCGTAAGAAAAATACTCTTGACAGCATATCTCCCGACTTGTCTACCGTTACCGCATTTCAATCTAATGAATGATTTAGATTATCTAAGTCTATGTGTAGGAGTGACTAGATAATGATGGACGGGGCTTCTTCTGCATAGTCTTAGTACTACATTGGCACACCGTGCAACAACACCCTCAGGAGCAGTGAGTCCTTGAGCTCGTCGGCCTGAGCCTTCAGTTCATCCACGTCCCAGTTGACCCACACGAACTTTCCCTTGAGAAACTCGGCTTCAGGAGAGGCAAGCCAAACATGGAAGTGAGCGGGAAGTTCGACTAAAGAAGATGGCGATTAGCCAATGGCAAGAGGGACAAGAGGAACTAAACAAAAGAGATGGGGGGAACGTGAGGAAAATAAAACACTCTCTGCTTACCATCATCTTGCCCTTCCATCACGGTATTGATTTCGGTCGTCACGACGCCAGGCTGGACGTTGAAAACATGCAAGTCCGGATTCTCGGCCTGCAGGTAGTCGAACATCTTGGTGTTTGCCGCCTTGACTACCGCGTAGACCCAGACCCCGGGCACGGCGTTGATGTGTGCGATGCCCGACGTGACGTCCAATACCTTGGCTTTGGGCGCCAGTAGGGGCAGCACAGCCTGGATCGCGTTGAAGGCGGCCAACATGCTCAGCTCCACGCCGTGGCGGAAATCCTTCTCGTCGTAACTGGTGACCGGGCCGACCGTCGGGAGGATGCCAGCGTTGCTGACGAAGACGTCAATCTGGGCTCCGCCGGCCTGCTGGGCAGCGCTGGCGAAGGCGGCGTCCACAGCCGCACGCTGGCTCAAATCAACGCCCTCGAACACCACCGTGGTGGTCCCTTGGGGGTTGGCGTTGCGGATTTCCTCGGCCGCCGACTTCAGTCTCTCGACGCGCCGCCCGAAGATGGCGATGGCTTTGGCACCGGCCTGTGCGAAGGCGATCGCGGTGGCCTTGCCGATGCCACTACCGCCGCCCGTAATGAACACCACTTTGCCGGTGGCCCCAAGCTCCGGGCGGGTGGGCGAGATCTGGGGATAAGACTTGCTGTGCCAGGTCTTGGTGAAGGACTTGAACATGCCGTTTCCTGGATACGGCTCGGGGTAGCTGCCCATCGTTGCGTTGATCCACGTGAACTGCCTGTGAAAAGATGGTCAAATTTATCTGTTGGTATACCAGGGTTGTTTTCTAACAGAAAGAAGTTGGATCAGGATGTATCAAGTGATTTACATGTCCTTGGAGGAGAGAAGTTTCCCTCGTCTGGCGGGTGGTCGAGACAACTTATGTACTCGTGCTGATACATCTCCTTTGACCGACCGACAGCTACACGATTCGAAATCAGCATTCCTAATATGACGGGGGGTTAATGGAACATGTCTCCTCGACATGGGCCCGCCAACGTTAGGTACCCGTGTTCGAGGGTATCGAACGCCATTTGGAACCTTGTTTAGCGCATCCATCTTTGAGAATGATGTGATATCGGTGGTTCCCGGGGCGACCGTGGAACCTAATCGAGTCGCCGTGAAACAGATCCCGACAAGGAGGAACTTACAAAGCACTGGGGAAACACCGCAGGAATTAAGCTATCCGCTCAACGTAGACGGCACTGGAAGACCCTCCGCGGCCTTCAGCTTACTCAGTCGAACGTCTGTGAATCATCCTACGCCAACGCAAGTGTGACTTAAACTTACATAAGCTGTTCCAAACTGTCGTCGTCCCGCTCAAAGCAACAGGTATCGGACAACCCCACCCCTCCGCGGGCCTCTAGTTTACTCTGTGTGAATCATTCCGGTGATGCCACGCCAACGACGGAAGTGCGCCTCAGACCAAAATATGTATGTTGTTCACACTTTTCGTCGTTACAGCTGGATACATTCTCTATTGAACTAGGTCAACAGGGTGCGGTTGGAATAATTTTCTGTACACTACCAAAAACCATCGTGACGTCCCTCTTCCTCAAATCCCCGACTGAGCATCTGAGAAGTATAAGAAGAAGTCGCGGTGGTTGGCCTTCATGGTGGCTTCACCACGGCTCCTCCGCTGGACCTCCTGATTTAACTCGGCGCACGTGCCCCGAAAGGACCGCAACGCTTCGCTCTCCATCTCCTCCACCATTGTGTCAATGGTCTGCAAACCGGAAGCGACTAGCTGGCTATCAAAGGATATTTTTTCATGCCGTGGTCTGTGCATGCTATTCGCCGTCAACAGTATCATGGCCGTCATATAAGTGCAGCCCATTTTCCTATTGTATTGTTGTTGCGAGTCAGCCTCATCATGATCAATCATGGAGCAGCGATTAACATCAGTTATATATACGTGCGAGAATCGGATGGACACGTACGGCCATCTCATATGTTCGATGCTGGCGTGGTGTTTTTTGGGGAGGTTGACTTACCAGAAGTTCCAGCGATCTGTGAGCCGCAGCGCGCTCAACAAGACCATCAAATCACGCGCCTCGTCCACAATCACCTCCCAGTGAGGTGGCAGCAGTGGTACGGTGCCCTCCCTCCCGTGCCGGCGTAGGCTGGCCACCCATTGGGCGTTCCAGGCATGCGCCTGGCTTATCGCCGTCGTACACAACAGACTGGTTGAGTGCAACACGCACAAAAAGCGGAGCGTGTCAGGAGACACTCCTCTCAAGGCCGCCGCGGCACTAAACTCGGGCGGGTTGGAAGCCTTCCACCGCTCGAGGGCGCTGGCTACACTCTCCAGGGCGCGGGACCGCTCCTTGGGACTGCGTTTTTGGGAGCGCGTCGAGTACAGATAGTCGTACACACCGCCTTCAACAACGGCCAGCTGGATGCGGGCGACGAAGTAATTCATCTTCGCGGCTCCGTCGGCGGTGGTGATAATGCCGGCACCGACGCCGTCGGCGTCGTCGTCGTCGTCGTCGCCGCCCACCTGACGTTCGGTAGCGGCGAATTTGGGGGAAGGCAGGTCAAGGTCGATGTCGTCGTCCAGCTGGATCGACGGCTGTTTCGAGCGCATACTGAGGTCCTTGTCGAGAATGTACGCCAACCAGAAGACGCGAGTGCGCTGTCTCGCGAGGACGGGGTCCAGGTGTGCCGAGGAGGCACGATTGTGCAGGCCCAACTTGTGCGCGAGACGCATCGTCATAGCAAGCAAGATCAGCGAAGGCTGCAGATCTTGCGAACTCTGAGACAGCATCACCATACCCACCAGAACCTGGATGTTGAGCAGCTCTATGTTGCCCAGCGTCACGGCCGAAAGCACTGACTGCGCTCTGCTGAAACACTCGGCGTAGTACTTAGTGTTACTACTGCCTGCCAGGCCCTGCCGGTGTGCGAGGGCTAGCACTATGTTGATGGCACCCCATGCGACAGGATCGCGCCGTTTCTGGGGGCCACGATGGTAGAAATCGTGGACGAGATGCAGAAGAGTGTCGGCATGAAAGAGCGGTAGCACGGCGTTGAACTTTTGGAGGAAGATTTGGACGACAGGCAGGACCTGCTGTAGGGGAGGGAGACTGATCGATTTTGGAGAGTCGTCGTCGTCGTCTGCATTTCCATCCTCGCTTGTCGGCATCGTTGACAACGTCACTGTGGCGGTCGGCTTGGGTCCCCGGAGCTGAGCCTTATCCTGAACCTCATTTCGCCTTTCAGCAGCTTCTAAGCGTTCAGTGACCTGCTCAAGGAGAGTCTCTAGGTACCGAAGCCGGGCCTGTGTGTCGCTGGTGCTCTCCTCGATCTTTGCATTGCTCTGTCGTTTCTTCGGCTTGGACTTGCGACTTGGTGCCGTGTAAGTACAGTGCATCGCATAGATAACGCAATGCGAACAACGAGGCGTCTGTCCATCGCACTTAATTTTGCGCAGGTAGCAGAAGTCGCAGGCCTTTTTCGTTGTCTAGTTGTTAGTCAGTGGCCCCCACAGACAGTTTCGCGATAAGGTAGTTACTGCAGATTTCTATACTTTTCTGGGAGTCTTTGAGCCCTCCATGGTACTTTCACAGTATCACCCAGGCCCACGAGAACGAACGCAGTATTTTCGCTCGCGGTGCAGCAGACTGTGTTCGCTCCAAAGTCACAGGCCGCTGAATAAATAGAGGTCATTTTTGAGCCTCCGCGGAAGGCCATCGGAACTGGTTGCTGACAAACTCGAAAAGCAGAAAGTCCACTAGTGTGGAGGGAAGACTCGACATCATTGGTGGTTTGAATCACGCTAGACCTTCGTGGGCATACTTTCCATGGCCTTGGCATCACCTCGACCCCGTCGCTTCTTCAAACCGCGAGCCTCCATGAACTCCATATGCTCCTTCGATATGACGAAGCCTTCATTCCAGTTTTGAGGCGAATGATAAATGCACCTGCTCAGATATGTTGATTTCCGATTCGATGGATATTTTCGGTTTCGGTATGTCTACACTCTCCGGTCCTTGGCTTCATGGATATGTTGAAATATTTTCGCGATGCGTCACACGCGCGATCCGTTTCCCCTTCACTGTGGACCATGAACATCCAAGTTCTGAAGTAAAATCCGAAGCATAACGACCAAGTTGCATAATTGTACGTAGCGACCACGCTTCCCGGATGTGATTGGCTCAAGCAATGCATTAAGTGACAGCTGTCAAGCGCAATTGAGCAATTCCTGTTCGCCGAGGCGCAACGGATCAAGCACGAAATGAATCTGGCGAATAGCCGCAGGATTAATGGAGACTCGTTGACTTGCCAAAAAAGACTTAGAGCATTCTCCCCTGTCTTCCTTGTCTAGTTTTGATATAAGTGAGGTTTTTCAGCCACCTTCGGCGCACCAGATGCGCTCTGGTAAACGTTTCGGGAAATGACGGGAGGGAGAGAGGCGAGAGAGGAGACGCCAGTGCCACTACGATTCGAAAGGCTCTCTTTTGTGTAAGAAGTTATCCGCTCATGGATGAGGAACTATCCATGGAGGAAGGGGAGGACTTGTAGAGGATCGGATCGACTCTCCTCTCCTCTTTCATATGTACACTAGCGAGAAACGCTATCGCACGTACTGTACCTATTCTGATGCTTGAGCACCAGAAGTGTCTGGGGAAAACGGAATCCGCTGGTCCCTTTCCGATTCCCACGTAGAGGATCCCAGGACACACATCCGGCGCCAGATTTCCTCCGTGGCCGTTTGCTCAAGTGGCGTTCAAGGATCCATCTCAGGATCCATTTCGGGCCCTGTACGGAGAGCCTAGCATCGTATTTCGTTTTCAGTACAGTATGACTCTTCTCATACCCAGAACCCAAAAGGACGAAAATGGTGCCCTCTAGCTTCTCGGGGCTTGTTTCAGGGACCACCCAGAACGGGCGTACGAGGCTGAACACCCATTGCCACGCTGAAAGTGTTGCCCATATTGTTTCACAGTTCAACATGTCATTTTACGCCTTGTTTATCTGTCGAACTGGGGAACAACTTGAGATGTATTGAATGCTCTGTCTACCTCACAACCGGTCCTGCCAGATTGCTGGTATATATACATGTTGGTTTGACCCCTTTTCTTCTCCTATTTCTACCCCTAAAACCTGCATAGGGGTGATAACCCCTTTTCAATAAAGGGGCACTTGCGACTATTCGGCCATTCTGTCAGGGCCGCCCCTGCCAAGACACTAGATACCGGGCGAGACGCAGGCTTATAACCTGCTCATCTCACCCCATCATCGCTTGACTCCTCAAGCGATCGAGTCGATATCATATAGGACTGTCAATTCCATCAATTCCCTATTGAATCACGCTTGCCCTTCCGTTCCTTGGCATTCCTTGATACATTTGAGTTGAGATGGGAGGCGAAGAGAGAGAGCGCGAGAGAACACTGGGGAAAAGAGCGGGTCCACGAGAGAGTGCTGTTGGCAGTGGTATTCATTTCTGTCTAGCTAAGTTCTCTTGGGTATTTTAAGAGGGGTAGATGTAGCAACAAAGCCAGAGAGGAAGGAGCGTCTTGGCATCTCGTGACAAGTACAAATTGTGATTTTACGGAAGACTTCGAAGGGGTCCAAGGGACCGTCAGACTATATACTTTCGAAGCGTGTACGAAGCGTACAATGCCTTCGAAGGTCTTTACAAGCCTTGGCGTCGCCACATATCCCATCTGCCGCCGAATTTGGGCAGGTGGCGCCGCCGCTTTTAGAGTTCTTCTTCCCTAAATGCCAAGATCATCCATTCTTCGCTCTCATTGCAGCGAATTCATTCCCACGCGAGCATTTGGCTGGTACACCAAGTCTTACAGCCTCGAGAGAGTGACACTTATACATCCGCTTTCACCTATTGTGTTCATTGTTGGCCAGAATAGGCAATGCTGGCTTGGCGTTGTCACCGCGACTGGCTTGGCATTATCACTCTATAGTGACACTTGAAGCAACTTTGTACCCTCAACTCAGTACACTCCCGACTCGTCAACAACTTTTCCCTGCCTAATTCTCCTACCAGCTTTTTCCGCTCCTTCAACATTGCGCCATCTGCCCTTCGAACCTCAACATGAATACAATTTGCGGACCCAGCGATGGGGCACGTACATGTACACCCATGTCAAGGTCATCCTCAAGCTCAAGTACATCAAAAGAGACTATGACAGTGGAGAGTTCACCACCGAAGTTATCGCCCTTAGAGGGATTGGAATACGCTCGTATGTATAGGTATAAAGGGATCCGAGATCTAAAAGAACGTGTCCGCTCGCAGTCTGCTGCGTTGATGGACGGTCACACGAATCAGCACTACCTTGTTTTCATGGGTGTCACAAAAGACCACCTTGAAAAGATTGACCATCAGCGCGCCAATATAGGGAAGCATACCCGGATGAGCCTTTACGCGTATAACAATCTATTAGTTATCAAACTGATGCCCTCAGCGGAACATGAAGTTGCGCATCTCAGATTAGCCCAGAAAATTGATCGCGCATTTTCCAGAATGGGCCTCCCAGAAGATTGCTTATGTCCTATTGGCGGGACAACGTACAAACTCCCTAATTCCTCTAAGGAGGGTGATATTGAAAGTGTTGCCACATATTGTCTCACAATTCAACACCATACAATTTCACATCGGCCCCCGTCGCACAGGGCGACAACGACGCCCAAAAAGGCACTTTGACGAGCTTAATTAGGCAGTACTACGTAGAATGGACCACGTGCACTCAGTGTGATGCCTTCCTGGACCTCTTCTCTCTGTAAATTGTACTGCAAAGAAGGCCCTTTACACCTCCCTTCCATTGAAGCCTTCCCGCAAATTGACCAATCAGAGCAAGGCTCGGAGGTTTTAGACCAATCATATTGAGTGTACGGAATAAGTTAAAGGATAGTGAACGGAATAAGGATTTTCCATCGGTGTTAGTAAGGGCGGTGTATTAATTAGTAAATCCCGGCAAAGCGTTTTCCAAAGTATTAATAAAGTCAGTTGCGGTCGCCGGCAGTAGCGTCTTTCCGACACCCCCATGTTTCTGAAAGCCCCACAAACGCGCTCCCCGGCCACGCCGAATATCAAATTCTCAAAACTTCAATTCTTCCTCGATTGAAATACATCCTTTTGCATCTTTTTCGTTGTCTTTGAATGGATGCCTATACCGAAGGCGACGCTCAGAACGCACTCGCAGATCTCAAAAATGGGGTCGTTTTTGCCACCGCTGCCACTCGACTTGGGGTCCCACGTAACACTCTACGTGGCCGCCTTAATGGTACCCAACCTCACCGGTATGCTCACGACGACGAACAGCGGCTTACGGCCGTTCAAGAAGACCATCTCGGGCTCTGGGTTCTCCAGCAGGAGGCTCTCGGTTACGTGCCAACGCACACGCAAGTACGAGCGATCGCTAGCGGCGTACTTCAGCGGAAAGGGTGACCACAAGCCCCTAGGGAGGGAGTGGTCAAGTCACTTCGTGAGGCGCCACCCGGCCATCAAGACAAAGTTAGGTTGCCGGACTGACTGGGAGCGTATAAATGCGGCCACTCCGGACAACATTAGACACTTGTTCAACTTGTACAAGAATTCCACGGATTCCGCTGAGTCTGAGGCTGAGTATTGCCTCAATTCAGGATTGTTCCTCCCAACTTCGATCAATGGGTTTCGACGAGCAGATATGCACGTCCTGCTGTGACGGAACAAGATGACTACAAGAAACACCTTGAAACGGCGCATTGTCCGAATCGGCTCGGAGATACTCAGTCGAGCTCTCTCGACCCAAGTCGGTTGAGTGGCGTGCGTTCTAGGCACACTACGAAGTCGAATATCCGTCGCTGGCTCGCATGGCCTTTGACGTGCTGTCGATCCCAACGATTAGCGCTGGATGTGAAAGAGTATTTAGCTCCACCAAGCTTCTGCTCACGGACCAGAGAGCTCGGATGAAGGAAGATATAATGGAGGCATCGGAATGCTTAAGGGCTTGGCTTCTAGCTGGGCGGAATGGGAAGCGGTCAGATTCGTAGTTGGCGCTGCTTGTCTGGGTGGTCCACAGACTGGATCCGATCCATGGACAATCTCGATATCGTGCCCTCCGCCCGAGGGGCCATGTGGTCCACGGATTGGATCCGATGGCGGTGGTATGCCTTCGTCCTCACGCAATTATTCGACGCACGATCTTGGCGTAATCACGTGCCGCACAACACCAAGCCACAACTAGGTAAATCCCAAATTAAAAAAAAATTAATTATAGTGTAGCGTTGGCGAAGCTTTTTCTAGACTCCGGACCCCCGCCCGCGTGAGAGAAGTACCTGGATCAATCGTGTTCACGTGACTCGAGTCGATTCTGATTGGTCGACGAAATCGCTTCTGATTAAAAAGCGGAGCGCTTGGAACAGGAGGGATATTGTGCGTATGCCCTACCGTAGAAACATTGGCGAGAGGTTGACGACGTTACTGATGGTTGCTCTGCGTAACGACGCAGCATTCGCATGTCTATAAAGTACCTCGACAAGTAGACAGAGAACAGAGCTCCGCGGAGGACGTCCGCAAGTGAGATATTTCGAAAGGGTACTGTCAGCCATCCAGGCTGTCGATGTCGCACGGTGACAACAACTCGATTCTATGGCTCATACGGAGTGAATTTCTCATGAGTCGGAGAAAACTTGGAAGCAATCAGTTTGGATGACTCTTGAGACGTCGAAGCTAGCTAGCGCAGCCTATGCTTGGTTGCACGGCTAAGCGCCTTGAAGGGACGAATGGTAGTAAAGTTCTGCCTCGCATAAGCGACACCGCATCATTGGAAGACTCGGAAGGCGAGGGTACATTCAAGTGCCTGAAGATATTTGTGAAGGTACGGGCCGTCGCGCGGTGACCCACAGAATGAACCCTTCCGTCGCTGCAAGTAGTCAATCTTCCGCGATCGCGGTGATCCCTCCGGGACTTTCTTACCGCTGCAGAGTGGCAGCTTTGTAAGACGGGCTTGGTGGGCACTATGACACTGGCCAAGGCCGCCAGCGACCGCGGGTAATTCATTCAGAGTGTGGAAGACACGATGGAAGAATAACTCCGCGGGTCAAGCTGGGGGGGAGGACGCTCTTATAGTGCTCCTGCATAGCTTCCTAGGAGGCAGGGACAGTGTATGACGAAATCAATCACTCAGAGAGGAAGCATGGGACAACGTCTCGAGGGGAGAATTGCTGAAGGAGGAATGTCCTTAGGGTGACAGATATCGAGGACAGATATCCTGGCAGCGTAGGAAGAAGCTCAAGGGGGAAAACAACACCACCTAGAGCTCAGCACAGATTTTTGAAAAACGCGTAAAATAATTGCTCTAAATTGCCCAAAGCTTGAACTAATTGGCCCCTGTGACCATTGACGCGTTCAAGTCCCGTAAAAAGGTGTGGTGGTAGCCATGGAGCAGGTGTGGCCGAGTATAGGCTCTGAACCCGACAGCATAAAAGAGCACGCCACGTTTCTCCATGAGGCATATGCTCAACTTAGAGCGGTCCAAGGCACTTGTACTGCGATACCAGCGACTACTATAAACCCTATTATTGATTCCACCCTGTACCTTTTGTCCAAGATCTCCCGCCACCTTGAAGAGCAACCTGACACGAGGCTAGTGACCCAAATCCAACAATTCATCAAGGAACAGCCAAAAGAACAGCGCGGTGCACAGATCAAGGATCATGAAACCATCAAAACCGCAATCAAGACAGCCACTGCTCCACTCCAGGCTGCGACCTGCTCCGGGGTTGGCCCTTGCTCGAATACCTTCTATGCACTAAGAAAGCAGAATGGTGGGTCACAAAAGCGAAATCGTCAATCTTCTCTCTAAAAAATAACAGAATCTCCGGTACGCCAAAGACAGGGCCCGAAGTCTTCAAGATCGTAAGTAGTCTTTGAAGGACTGCCAACAATTCCTCTTATGGAGCGGTGCTGCCTACTCAGAGACCTTCCCTCAAGTTGAGAAATTTTTTAGCCATTTCATCTACTCGAACAAGAAAATCTATTTGCTTTCTCCCAGAGCAGATGAATAGCCTTCTGGGGGAACTAACACATCCACGACGACAAGGGACTTCTTCTCTTTGACATACTGCACGGCCTGCCTTATAGCGGCCTCGAGCATCGTCCGCTTCTTCACTTGATTCCCCAACACTGTGGCGCCCAGAGATTCGGCATGTTGGCTTATATTTGGAGCCGGTTCATTGATGCGGATCCCAATACCTTTGTGTTTTTGACAGGTCTACTTCGGGTGACCGCTACTCGTTCTTGGTGCACTTCGTCATTGAGAAGTTGTTGGCAGTGATGATCAAAAGTGGAATCTTGTAACGGGCGGCCGTCCAGATGGCTGTTGAGCCCATCATGAAATCCCCATCACCCAAAACGGCAACGGTCAGGTAGGGAATGTCTCTCAGTGCTAATGCTGCGCCGACGGCCAGACGTCCCTTTGACCCTGAAACGAAACAGCAGCTTTTGGAGGTCAAGGCCACGGGGGCCAACTTTGGACTTCCTCGCCGATGAGATTCTATGTGGCTCACTCCTCCCCGCACCATGCCTGCAAGGCTGGTACCTTAGGACCCTGTCGCGGATATTCTGAGGTCGGTAGAACCTCTGCTTAGAATCTGTTTAATATCATCTTCACATCCGAGAGCGTACTCACAAAGACCCCATCGATGAATTTCGTTGATCCATTGCAGTAATCCGACAACTTCTTCTTCCTCCAGACAAGACCCGTGATCAAGCACTCGTATTGTGCAGCCGGCCCAAGCACCATTCACTATTTTTGGTTCAAAGACCCGTACTATCCAAAGGTCTTTCTCCATCGTCAATCCATAATGACGAACTAGATTGAATTGCTGGGATTTGAATTGCTCCAAAACGGTCTGAGAATAGGCATCGAGCTTTAACTGGCATCGGTTGAACAAGGAAATCAGACCTGCGGCAGCGACTTGGTTTTGCACAACTCGCGAATCATCGGTTCCTGCTTTGAACTCTATCGAGAAATAGGGACAGAATGCACCCGAGGCATTACAATGCACGACTTGTTTGGCAAACCTTCGATACTCGACATTTATGACCTTGTTGCTTAGCCAGTATTGACTGTCGGCATAAATGTCGAAGCCAAAGAGTTTGGAAGGAGTCTGGTTCGAAAGGAGTGGAGGTGCATACCACATACGTTGGCTAATAGTTTCGCGGGGTTTGAGCGAAACTTCCGCGAGCCGTACAGCACAAAGCTGCCTTTGAATATCATCTATGATTATGAGCTGCTGCCCGATGAACAGATTCTGCCAAGCATATATCTTGAATTCAGCTTCGGAGTAGTGTGCCTCTCCCAGTCGGCGATACGCCCTCTGCACGAACTTGACGAAGTCGGAGTCCATGGACAGGAATATCGAATCGTCTATATCCTGCTCAGCTCTTTTCACGAGCGCTTCTTGGACGGCCGCCCGGTAAAATTCGCGTGATTTGGCAAAGTCCGAAGGTTTGTCAGAGCCGAAATGGTTGTGAGCTCCTGACACAACACCCACGCTTAGATTCGCATGTTTGTATATCTCAACTCCTCGCGGAATTAGCTGAATCTCCTCGAAGTCAACGTCGCGGACCGTGGCATTTCTGGCGCCCTGTGTTCTGCTCGTACCTGTCCTAGAGACCGTTGTCGAGGAGTTTGTCGGTGTTCGATTTGCATGAGCATTTTGTGGTAGGCCTGGTGAGTTCCCCGGAGCCGGGCTCCTGAGTTGGCTGGCCGTTGTTGGACGCGCGTATGGGGGTGTTTGTGATGCCATAACTTCTCGCCAAAGCAGTTTGATTTGTTGTGGATCGGTTTCCTTTATTTTATCCGCCGAGAATTGTGGAGAGTAGGTTAACGAGTGAGCTTGTTTCGTGTTCTTTGGTCGAGTAGTCTTTGCTTTGGGTTCAGGGCGAACCGTGGAGGAGGGACAGCCGGCACGGTTGCCTATTCTTAATGAGTCACAGCGTGTTTGCATGGGGAGTGACATACAAGTTCGCAGTTCACCTCCCATTGAATCTGCTACACCTCATGGACATTGCATGTCCAGTGGAGCATGGTAGGCCGTTTTCGTCAGAATATCCGTCGTGGATCATTCAAGATTTGCCGGACTTGATATACAGCCTGGATGCGGTTTGCAAAATCTTGAACGTTGAACATTTCGAGAAGGATTGAACACCGACGTGTGTTGTTGTAGCGGCGGGAAGAGAATGTGTGTACTAACTAAAACTGTTTGTTGGGGGTGGCCGCTTTTACTAATATACTGTGTATGCTCCGTAAGCGAATGTAAGCTAGCGTAGGCTAAAGTCCTTGGTAGAGAAATCCCACACGCGGTGTTGAGAGCCAGGGTAGTCTCTTGGCATTGAGGCGAGAACGCCGTCAAAAGCGGCGGGAGAATTCCGTGCGAGCTGTGGTACGAAGGTCGCTGCCCTGAGACGTTCCCTGGCCATCTCATACCCCCGATGTATTGACGACCTTTTCAGCCAGGAAGAATTACTCCCGCAGCCTCGCCTCTGACTAATAGGGAATGCATACTCATTCACAAATTTTGCGCAGAGGTTGTGGCCTTTTCCTTCGCATGTCGCTCTCAGGTAACATGGACATCCCCGCTCCAGAAAAGGTTGAGTTCTTCCGACAAATTGCCCAAACATTTTTCATGATTTATAATTTTTGACCCTTGCAAACTGTCTCCCGGGCATATCTCTATTTGAAGAGTCCTGGTTTCTCCCCGGAAATGACCGAACCGGCCAAAGTCTTCATAATCGGCCCCGGGTTCATCGGTTGGAATATCCTTGAGCTTCTCGTTGACGAAGGATATTCTGTCACTGCCCTGACTCGCCGACAGCAACATGCTGAGGGTATCAAACAGTCTGGTGCTGTTCCGATTATGGGCTCACTGCATGACCTGCACATCATCGAAGAACTGAGCGCAATCAGCGACATTATCTTCCAAGTGGCAACGGGCGATAATTTGCCGCTGGTCCATGCGATTCTAGCGAGCGTGAAGACACGAGCCCAGCAAGGCAAAGGCACCATCTACATCCACACGAGTGGAGCAAAGGTGTTCGACGATGGGGCCAAGGGCATGTTCAGATCGGATAGGATCTACCATGACGACAGACGCGGGGATATGGACAGTGTCGCGGACGATGCTCCGCATCGAGAGGTCGATCTAGCTCTGGCGAGAGCCCAGGAAGAGTGGCGAGACTGGTTACGGCTCGCTATTATTTTGCCCCCCGAAGTATACGGCTACGACAGCAAACATGGAAGACTGTCCATGATGATACCCAAACTGACGCGATTCGCCATGAAGCATGGCTACGCCCCAGTCATCGGAGATGGTCTATCGGTGGAGACACAAGTGCACTTCCGCGACATAGTCCGCGGATACATGACCGTGCTACACTTCTTGGAAAAAGCAGATCAGAAAGACGTCCTGGCTAATCCTTACTGGCTATGCGAGAACGGCGAGGAGTTCTCATGGAAAGAGGTCGCAGAGGTTATTGGACGGGCATTGCACGAGGCGGGCAAGATCCAAGACCCGACTCCTCAACAGCCGCCGAGGGAGTTATATCATGAACTGTGTGGAGAAAGGACGGAGAGCTATATGGGTCTTAACTGTCGAGCCCGAGCTGTGCGATTGCGGAAATTGGGCTGGGAAGCTCGTGAGAAGGGGATTTGGGAATCGTATATGGAAGATGAATTACCAGTCATTTTGAAGGAAGCAGACTAAAGGGGTTGTGACCTACAGTCAAGCGATCGCAGGGGAAATACATGCCTCGGTTCTTTCTCCCTCGGCGCCTCAGCCGAACTCCCCGCATTCTTACAACGAACTTCCCACGCGAAATCCAGGATCTTAACGTTATGTATCAGGTGCATTGCTCTGACGTGGTCCACGGAGAATCAAAGATATAAAGGGAGGCTCGGGTGTCAGTGATTGTTCTCTTGCAAAAGTTGACTCGGAGTCGATGATCTTCGCAGTTTCGAGACGCTAGCGACGCAAAGCTCAATGAGTAACATGACTTGGATATAAATTGTCGGAACACATTGTACTTGAGGAAGGTGCATTAAAATCGGCAGAAAAGTCCCGTTGGGGGTCGGGACCACTCATCGAACCGCTGCAAAAAAATGGCCAAAGGCAAAGACACCTCCGCGACAAAAGCTTTGGATTTCGAATCACATATCGAGTTGAAGCAAATCGCACCTGTAAGCAGCCTACACTCCGTCTGGTTTGTTGGAAGATGACATGGGTCTTCAAGTGCAACAAGCAATCTCTGATCAACATGTCAGGATGTATTCACCAACGTCCATCAACCATGGCTATTTCATATCACATACACTGTCCCTGGGCCACTGATGATGGCCGAAGCTGCGGCGGCCGCCTACAAGACCGTTCCTGAAGGATTCAGGTTGCATTCACTGCAGACGCACTTCATGTTGCCCCCGAATGGGTCGAAGCCTCTGGTATACAAGGTGCAAAGACCTAGCCAGGGACGACGGTTCGCAGTGCGGATCGTGACCATCGAACAGGATGACAAGCCGTTTGTGACCATCACGACAAGCTTTGTGAGCGGGGCTCACTGGACAGGGCGAGCAATGACGCACGCGGTGAGAATGAAGATCGAGCGACGAGTGCGGGAAATTACCTTGGATGATTTTGAAGCGGCGCGAGGGCCGCTGGGACCGTTTATGAAGTTCGAGAGACTCCCGCTCGTCCATGAAGGTGAGAATCCTGGGATGGATGGGAAAGAATGTGAGGCTGAGCTCACTTGTCTTCTTAGATCCGCAAGACCCCAGCACGACCGTCGCCCCCGTGGTCGCAAAGATTGATCCCGCGATCAAATCTCCTGCTGGCACGGCCGCTCATATTCTTGCCATCATTTACCTATCCGACTACCACGTCATGGACTGTCCGCTGTCCATCCACGGAGTGAATATTGGCATGTTTCCAATTGGTGACCATTCCAAAACGCTCACGCCGGTGGGAATGAAGATCATGACTAGTCTCAACCATACCGTTTCCTTTCATACACATGAAGGGTTCAGGGCTGACGAGCTGATGTACATCGAGGTAACTTCTCCGTGGGCCAAGGACGGGAGGGCGATGATACATTCGAGGATCTTCAGCAATCAGGGTCTTTTGGTCGCGACATGTACTCAAGAGGTTTGAGTCTTCTTCCATTCTTTTTGGTCATTGTACTCTGGTCTGATGATACGTGATAGGCTTTTTACGTGTTTAAAGACGAATCGAAGCTCTGAGAGAATTGGGAATCTCGTGGATCATGGGCATAGAGAGCGAAATAGTCCATATATAGTGGAGAATGCCGGAGGGAGCTGTGGACGCAGGAAGTGTTGGGCAAAGGCTTGGGAGGCTCATTTGTCGACATTGAGGCCTAGCTTGAGATGCATTACCTTCAATAATGCATTGGCGATGGACTAGATAGTGCGAGACAAGACCTAGAACGGCAAAATTACACCTGAATGAAAGAGCAGAATATGGAACGCTTCCCTCCAATAAATTCGAGCCAGGAAGAGCACTTTACCGAGTTATGCTCGACAGTACATATGGAGTACGGCGGATCAATGAACCTGAAAATGTAAAGTAGAAGGGCGACCACCGGCCAAGTTTCTTTGCGTGACCTCTCCAGCTGTCGCTTCTCATGCTAAACGCCGTTGATGCCAAATAATTGATTGGAACTTGGCTTCGTAATAATAATATTATTTATATCATGAATTGACGGGAGTGCAACGCAATCGGTCACTTGAAAGTTGTACCAATGTTTCCAATATTGGCAGTTCAGGAATGTCGGACTCTCTCCATGTCATTGCACTGATATCCGGTGGCAAAGATTCTCTGTTCTGTATTCTCCACTGTCTCGAGAATGGCCACAAGATCGTGGCACTAGCGAATCTCCATCCCAAACACCGACAAACTTCTCAAGGCGCAGATGAAGCCCTGTCAAACTCCAACTTCAAGAGACAAGGAGAGGAAGACCTCAACAGTTTCATGTACCAAACCGTTGGACACTCGGTTATCCCACTCTATGCCGAATGTCTTGATCTCCCACTGTACCGAAGACACATAACCGGCTCAGCTGTGCAGACTGGCCGATATTATGATACCATCAACAAGCAAGCCGCATCGGACAAGACCGAGGACGAGGACGAAGACGAGACAGAAAACCTGGTCCCCCTTCTACAAGAAGTTATGCGAAACCACCCCGAAGCCAACGCTGTCTGCTCCGGCGCTATCTTGTCAACGTATCAGCGCACCCGCGTCGAGTCGATCGCCATCAGACTCGGCCTTACGCCCTTGGCGTATCTATGGCAGTATCCCGCTCTCCCTCCCCCGACACCAAATGACTCAGACGGTCGCGGTGATTCCCTGACTGGCCTACTAGACGATATGGCAGCCGCTGGATGTGATGCGAGAATTATCAAGATCGCCAGCGGTGGTATTAGGGAAAGTCTATTGTGGACTAATGTCGCTGACGCAAGGGTCCAACTAAGGCTCGTGAGTGGGTTAAGGCCGTTCTTTGCCGACCATGAGTTCGGGCTTCGCGGTGCGGTTTTGGGGGAAGGGGGAGAGTATGAGACGTTGGCAGTCAATGGACCAAAGAGGTTGTGGAAGAAGAGGATCGAAGTCTCCGACGGTCCGAATTTGGCTCTCACGGGGGATGGGGGAGCGAGTTACATCCGCGTAGGAAAAGCAGTGACGGCGGAACATGATCCGAAGGACATTGAGCAGGAGGACAAGGTCCTGCGAGTACCCAAACCGTTGGATCCTCAATTCGAGGCGATCTTGTTGAAATACCAAAACCAAAGAACTGATATCTCCGGCAGCGGGAGCAAAGCTGTAGAAGACCCCAGCAGCAGCTCGTACAACGTTCCTCAAGGTATCCTAGAATTTGTTCACAACCTGAGCTCGACCCATTTATCAATATCCAACATAACGATGCCTTCGTCCAGCTTGCCAGAAGTGGACAATAACGCCACCACTCAAATGAAGCAAATATGCGACAAACTCGATGCCTTCCTTGCGTCCGTATCGACCTCTCCTAACCTCCCTTCCCGCCTCACGACCTCCAATATCGTCTTTAGTACCTTGATCCTCAAGAACATCTCCAACTTCGCCGCCGTCAACTCCATTTATTCCTCACTATTTCGCTCCGGAGAACCCAATCCACCAGCCCGTGTGACCGTCGCATGTCCGCTCCCCGAAAATGTGGAAGTCAGTTTGAGCGTCGTACTTGATCGGGGACCTCGAGAAGCAAGGCGTGGCCTCCACGTCCAAAGTCGCAGTTACTGGGCACCGGCGAACATTGGCCCGTACAGTCAAGCGATATGTGTTCCGCTCGTGGTTCAGCTAGACTCTGGTGTCAATGTTCATGACGCAGAGTCAGTGGAGATGGCTCACATGGCAGGTCAAATACCCTTGGTTCCACAAAGTATGCAGGTTGCGCAAACAAGTTTCCATGAACAGGCGGTGTTGAGTCTTCAGCATCTATGGCGGGTCGGGCAGGAGCGTGGCGTGGATATTTGGCCATGGGGGATCGCTTTCCTTCAGCATGAGGATGGTTCTTCGTACAAGGTCGACGTGACATACAGAATATGGCATGACGCTCACCGGATTTCGACAAGGACCAAAATCAACTCACCTACCGAGGATGAAAATGACCAAGAGGAAGGCCCCGATGCATGGGATCTGCAATACAACCGATCTCAGATATATGAGGTGGCCCCACTGCAGATGACCGTCGGGAACCATCGTCATATTCTTCCTCACTCGACCATTTTCAAAGACACGACGAGCGAGTCGGTGTTTATTCCTCCTTTCATCGCGGCAGAGATTCTTTCTCTACCTCGACATGCGCCAGTTGAATGGTGGAGTCTAGGAATAGCCAACCTGCCCGAGAAACCTCATTCAACACCTCGTATATCTACGAGTCGAAAGCATTATTCATGGGGATCCACCAACCGCGTCACTATTCATCCTTCTACTAGCCTTGAGGAGCGTGCTCAGTCAGGGGCCAGAGAAACATGGGTTCATTTGGTCACAGTGTTGGTTCACCTAAATCCATTAGATATCAGTTCCGATGTCAAACTCGTTGAAGAAGTGCTATTGGACCTCCTTCTGCCGAAGTCTGATCTCGGCACCTTAGCATTTTCAGATCCGGAAATTGTCCACGGCACAGCTTTCATATCCCACAAGGGTTACACTTACTGGACCAAGATGCGTGAACGGCCACTTTTTGCCACCTTGACAGTCATCCCGTGCACCACATTGTACGGGAACTGTAGAGTTGACACGTCCATCGACGATCCAGGCGATGAAAGCAGCGGGATTTCCGTTTCCAAATCTTCAACGAAAAAGACCGAGCAAGAGGTGTCTTCACTACGGCCCAACGAGGAGACAGATATCAAAAACGACGCGGCGGCGCAATGCCCCTGGCAATGCCGACCTCTCGCGGCAGCAATGACCATCCGCATCGATGAGAGCCGAGACTGACAGAGTAGCTTTTTGACCGGTCCGGACCTGTGTATCTTTTGACAGCTTGTCAAAATGATACGGGCTTTTTCGGCCCAGCCACTCGAATTCGAAGCGGTCTCCACAGAATAACCTCCCAGTTGACACATCCGAAGAAACGGAAAAAGTCCCAACCCCACAAAAAAATCGTCGTGGAGGCTTACAGCAGACGATTCCGGCCAGGTGCATGGACACTTGGACCCAAAGTTTCGTGTTTCGCGCGTCCGTTTGACAGGATGCGCCATTGTGGATAAGTGAAGACGTCAAAGATAGCTTTTCAAACTTAGGAATCGTGTCCTCTTAGACTTTTCTGCTCTGCGATCGCAATGTGGCAAGCCTGACCTATACAACCACCACGTCGACTTGCTTTGCTTGCAAGGCTGCTCGTGCTTCTTGACAGTTCGGTAACAATACAGCGAAGAGACATTGATTCGATCCTGGAACCCTGGTTCTCCAAAATGACATCCGATTCGGATCTTCGGGATTTCCCGCCCTCTGCATTTTGGCAATTGGAAGGAACGACACTGATACCCTTGAGCCGTCTCGTTTTTGCTTTGTCTGATATCGCAAGAATCTGGATGTTTGCATGCTGAGAGGGGGTCCACAGACGACAACGGCGCTTAGGGCAAGGACTACCATGCCGCACCGCCCTGCCTTCCCTTGCGGCTTACCATCCGCAATGACAAAGGACCACGTCCAAATTCCAAGTTCCAATGTGAGTGCTCCCCCCCCGGGGGGGGGGGGGGGCTTCTCCCAGAGCCTAAACGCAATAGCGTTTCCCCCGCCAGAGCCACAGGCCAACCCTGAGTAGATCATCATGGACGCATCTTTCCCCTGGCATGGTCCTTTCCTTGGGCAAACCTGGAACAAGACACTGGGATGCTTGCTATCAGTTCTAAACATGACATGCATTGTACAGCCATGTGCAAAAATAAGTCAAGGTAAAAAAGAGTAGAGCAGGGTATCAAAATATAGAGATGTAGAGAAAATGGAATAGGAAAAAGAGAGTTTACAATTCATTTTGACATAGCAGATCCTCACTTTGGCATTGCCAGAGGAAAAGGGAATCTGGTGTCCTCAACATTCTCGCATTTGTCGCCATTCCAGTGCAACTGGACCGTCATGAAAAAGGAACCCAGGGCTTCAACCCGTGAGTCTATTTGAGCACAGCCAGGTCCAAGCGCCTAGAACATGCACTGCCGTCGATGGACGGGAGGATACTCGATCCTGTACCTGCACTGCACTGCATGTTATGTTTCTTTCTCGCCGTGTCCATCCTCCTTCTCTTGAACCACATCGTCTGCTAGAGGACGCGATACCTGGCTCACAGACTAGTTCGCGGCGTCAAGTCAGGTGAAGTCACTAAGTGACAGTGTCAATTGAACATAGCCCGAAGCGCGCTGCCTACTCTTCACGACTCAAAGTCAGAGTGGGGGACCTAGCTGTGCTGTGACCCACGACGCGCTATCGGAGAGCCTGTCGCGCCATGGAAGTTTTGTTCGTGAATTGTATTGCGTCGCCTCGCCCTCTGGCCTTCTTCTGCCAGAGCGTACCCCGAACAAGGAGTACTTTGCTCAAGTATCCAAGTAGATCAGGTACTCCTACACCCCATTCAGCTAAGCGGAACGAAGAGGTCAAGAATAATCTTCATCTAACCGCCAGACAGCTTCGAGAAATCCCATTGGTATATCCAACCAGGCAGCAATCGAGATCTGGAAGCGCCAAGGTTGAGGGATCAGCTGAGCGCGAAAAGAACAAAGGCAAAGCGACGCGCCCAACTCATACTGTCAACTTGACAGCGCGAGTGCGAGTGCCTTTGGTTATCCGCGCAGTCCGCATACGAGGGCTGGGATAGCTGGCTGTTAGGCCTGATGCTGGTGGGGTGTAGCAACAAAAGTCAAAAAACTTTGGAAAACAGAGGACTCTGTCTCGCCTTCCCACTTCCCCCGCCTCGCCTCACTAAAATTCTGAAATTTGTTGCTCGAAAACCCAGAATCCAGGGAAATGCCTGGAAGGACATTCGAAACTTCCGGCCCCTTGGCCCCTGCACTAGCTTCGTTTCATGTTTTGGCTTTGGGCGCGAGCATTGGGAAGACCATCATTTCGTTTGTTTCGTTTCTGTGCATTGCGGTGATTCCTCTGTCCTATCATTGGTGAGTTTTTCTGCTCTTTCGGGTCAACAAATCGCATCTCATCACATCTTTTTCACCGAAATGAGCACGGGGAATGAGGACAAAAGGGAAGCAGAATATGAGAATACGGGTCAGTCCCCTGGTCTGAGAAATGACAACACTAACCCACATGGGCGTCAGGGTAGATATCTCGCTAGTCCATTCTCATTATCATTATCGACAAGTACCCGAAAGGCCAAAGTAAAATTCCTCGTGGGTAATACACTATCTACAAGGTGCCGACGCGGTGGGTGAGCAGTGGATCGTGGGCATGGCACATGGATGAGAAGACCTCATATGACCTGGCGTAGATATTGCAAGCACTGGTCGTTGGGGAATAATAGATTGAAGTGCTAAATCTAGCAGACGTACAGATTGTAACAAAACAACCGAAAAGACGATGAAAATGGATGCAACTCAACGTGTCAATTGTCTAATGGTACATTGAACGGGTATGGATACATACAAAGTACGAGCAACGGCTGTGATGAGTAATAAGAGGCTGTGCTGCTGACACAAATCTCTCCTTGCTTTCCTTTCGCCTACTTTCCACACCCCGAACATCAAAAAAAAAAAAAAAAGGGAAAATGAAGGATAAGAAGCCTATGAAAGAAAAAAATAAAAAAAAATGTTGATGAAACAGAATAGAAAAAAGTTATTCCCCCTTGATCCCCTTCTCCTCTGTGTGTCCAGCAAAAAAGGGCATCCGTTCTTGTAACTCACTCCAGCCATCACCGTAAAGCCCATTCCTCGAGAAACCAAGGGCCATAGAATACATGATTTGTCGAAATTGACTAAAAGAGTTAAAAGGCTTCGAAACACTTTTTTTCCTCCCGTAGGCATACCCTCTTTGTTCTCAGCTCCTAAATCGCTGTTCTGTCTTATGACTCCTTAACCTGGCATGTCCTATTGTGTTGTGAGGTTTTTCTCCCCTGAGAATATTTCCGCTTTGCACTGGGTCTTCTTCACATCATAAGGATCGTTCCGTCGTGGTTGCTTCGAGTTGTTTTGGTGATTTGTTTTCATCTCTCGTGAGGTCAAATCTGGTAATTTACATAGATTCATCCCGCTTTCTCTTCTTGAGAAGACGTTTGCTATCTCCAGATGAGGATGCCTCAGAGCCACTGCTGCTGGAAGAAGTGGCCAGGGCCGCTCGTTGAGCAGCTTCGTAGAGAACATGACCCATTTCCTCATCGTAGGGCTGATGAGGCTGGAGCTCTCCATTCTCCAAAACACCCATCACGATGGCACCGCTACCGTGGGTACGGGCGTGTTGAGCCAGATTGTCCGAACGCGAGAACTTCTTGCCACATTCATTGCATTCGAATGGCTTGTCTTGAGTGTGGAGGGAGCGGTAGTGACGCTTGAGATGTTCCTGGCGACGGAAACGACGAGAGCAAAGAGTGCAGACAAAAGTCTTGGAGGGGTCCTCGGTCAGAGACTGCTTTCGGCCACGGCGGTTGGCAGGAGCTTGTTGGGAAGGAACAGAGCCATCGGCAGGAACGGACGTGTTGTTCTCGTCAGTAGAGCTGGGCTGGCCTTGAGGAGTGGCAGAGGAAGTGTTTTGGCCTTCGGATCGGCTGTGGATGTGAGCATCAGATTGGCTGAATTGTTGGAAGTCGAGATCACTGTCTGCCGAGCCGTTGCGCTTCATCTTGCGTTGAGACTTCTTTTTGCTGGTACAGCAGGAGCCGGCGTCAGAAAAGGAAGACACAGGGGGCGAAGGAAGACCGGCGTGCGCGACGTGGTCTTCGTCATCAAAGCTGCCGAAGCTGTGAACGCTGAGAAAATCCTCCTCTTCCCCGAGTGACAACTTTTGCCGTTTGTCACCGTTGTAGACAATCTCAGGGTCGGTGAAGTTCACAAAGCCGAATTCGTCCTCGGAGTCAAGATCGGTGCAGAAGGACGAATCGAAGGAAGGATTCTCAGCGAGAGTGAAAGGATCGGCTGTATCATGCTCGGGAGTGATGGGAAGGGCGGTGTTGCCCAGCGCAAACTTGTGCTCGTCGTCCTCCGCGGACAGAGTGGGCAAAGGGGGAAAGCTCTGGAGAGGAGCAGACACGACAGGTTCAAAGGAGGTGGAGGTCAATTCTCGCAGGTTGACGAACTCGGCGACGGGGTAGGTAGAGGGCGAGACCTGAGATTGGGGTGAAGCCGGGACTAAAGCGGGAGATGTGCAGCCACTGGAGGTGGTGTTGGTAGAAGTGCTGTTGGAAGTCTGAGCAGTGGCCGTGGCCAAAGTGCCGGGTAAGAGCTTGGCATCGCCGGGATGCGGGAATATGTGAACTTCTGTTCTCAGGCAGTATCAGCATCGGTTTCAATTCCAAATCCCAAAACACGCAAGTTCCGGATCATACTTACGTCCGCTCTCCGACCAGTCGTCCAAAATGGGCAGAGGCTGAATTTCCTCCTTTGCGGCCTCGATGGGCAGGTTGAAGTAGCCTGCCCCGTGCACCGGAGTCTGGTTGACACTACTAGACGGCGGGCTGCTGGCCGTGCTGGGACATGCGGAAAGGCATGGAGTGGGTGGTGAAGAGTGCCTGCTCTCGAGGAAGTGTCCATGTTCCATTTGTCCATTGTGGTCCATGATGATCTTAGGCATTGGCATGGCCAGTGTCAGCGGTGGTGAGGCCTTGGGAGTCATGACCTGCTGCGGCATGAAATGAGCTCGGGCAAAGTGAGGAGGTGCTTGCCAGTATTGAGGAGCCATATACTGCTGAGGGTATCCAGCCATGGGGCTGAATACCGGTTGCTCGCTGGGCATTGGAGTGAACACCGCGTTATGTCGTGCGTCCGAGTCTGGCCGGTATTGGTAGAATTGAATCTGCTGAGCAGCCATTGGATATGGAGCTTCCATTGCAATGGGGCTTGGTGTGTTTGCTTCTTTTCTTTTCCCCTTGAACTCAGCTTTTCTGTCTCTGGCAGAAACCTGGAATATCCCAAAGTCGTTCAGTGATGGCAGGGTTCCTGATTGTAGTACAAGTCGGTACGAAGAAAATAGGTGTCCAATGAGTGGCACTGTCGGCTTCAAAGATCTCCCGTTCGATTTCCTGGTGACTAGCTATACATATAGATGCAGATATGCTGGTAACCGTGAACAAGAGAGAGCGCGTGGAGTTTCCTTGACGTATGTAAGGTTAGAGGATTATGATATGATACAATATTGGCACAGGCTTGAAGGAAGGACTGGATGATGTTCAGTGGTGTTGTACAGTGGATTGAACAAAGGATCCGGGAAGGGCCTGGTCAAACGAAGAGGTATAAACAGATGTAAAAGAAAGTTGTAGATCGCGGGGAAAAAGAGCGACTGCCTCGATATGAAAAACGAAAAGAGAGAGGATAAAGCTGAGAAGCAAGGTCGAGCCATAAGAGAGATCGCTAGATGTCCTGAGGGTCTTGAGGACCGGCCTTGTCGACCAGTGACTTGGGCGCTCGATGGGGAATGGCAGAGGGTTGCAGGAACGGGCGCTGCGCTCGGGACCGTCGTCGCGACCCATGCAAGTGACTGGAAAGGATGGTGGATCGTATGGAGTGTAAGGTCTCACTCCACCCCAGTCCGTCCCGAAGACTATCACCCACTAAAAGTGGCCCACTTTGCCAGCCGCACTGTTAGAGCAGCAAGCTCCTCCGGGAGCCCTGGATAGTAGACTGGCCAGGGTTGACGCTGGGAATGTCCTGTCACGCAGAACTGACATGCACGGGAAATTACACACTGCTCAGCACACCACCTTGTCTGCGAAATGTCTTAATGCCGATGATGCACCTTGGCCCTGAAGGAGGCCAGATGTGCGGTTACTTGACTGGCCGCCTCTATGGTGATGGGTTGCTTCTATTGAGGGTTTGAGCAATCCCATGGTGGAAGAAGACGACGACCATGTCCTTGTCATTGGCTAAAGGAAACCCATCTATCACAAAGGAGCGCTTTGAATAGAGCATGTCGAATGGCTGACAACCCGTTTGAGAATTGGTATGTCTGAGATCTTGGCCAAAGTTTCCTACCGTTGGGTGTTCTGGGTTTGTTTGGTCAACCGGACGTCCAAGCAGAAAAGAGAACGTCGTAGTCAAGACCGTTCCAGGGTTTAAAAAAAAAAAAAAAAAAATACCTCGTAGGCAAAGGCTGACTGACCTCCGTGAGATCATTCGCCTGAGACGACATATCGTGACATGGGATGACACAAGAAGTGGTGAATGACAGAAGATACGCCTCGATAGGCTCTGTCGTTCACAAATGCAGGCAAGTGGTGCTCGAATCAATGACTTGGGACCTGCATGTTGGTCAGTGTAGGCATCCCGAGTCTGTGATACTCCATCCAAGCGCAGACAACGACTGGGCGAGTCGCCGGGGATTGTTGACGCCAATAAAGAACCGGACGTGAGAGAGGAGTTGGTGATAAGCTGCGCCCTCGGGTCTCGAGCGAATCGCTTCATGGCCTATTCTTGGAGTTGACCACAAATCCAATACCCATATTGCCATTCCATTTTCTATGGGGAAATCTGGCATACGGCCTGAGCTGACAAGTGCCGGCGAACAATACTACCGACAGCACCTAAGACACCTTGTTGAGTTTCGTGAAATGTCAATCAGGTTCGGGAAAGAGGTGGCAAAGGAAAAGGCCTTTGACTAGGATATTGAAGCGGCTTGATGATGGCGTAGAATGGCGCATGTGTCTCAGACTCTGCGAGAACCACTACATGCCTACATATGCAGGTACACCTCGCGAATTCAGTGGGCAAGAGGTGACGACGAGTTTGCTGGATGGTGGTGACCTTTACCACTTAGGATCTGGCTTCGCATCAAAGAGGGCTGGGATCTGCCAAACACAAAGCGAGTTGTTCCTCGCTCTCAGTCTTTCATGACGCGACACCAAGTTTCAGTCGAAAAGTCGGTTTTGACTTGTTTTCTTTTCCTACTTACGCGGTCTCCAATTCTCACGTGAGGATGCAGGGACGAAGAATTGGAGGCGACTGGAAAATGCACATGCCTTCTACTTCTCCTGCAGCCATGCCGTCGCCACTATTCGCTACCAATGGCCAGTGTGCAGTTGATGATGGTGCATCACCAAAGTCACAGAATCCAGAAACCTCGCCTGCGGGTTATACCACTTGCTGTTCCCCGCGATTCCTACACGCACTCGAAAGACGACCGCGTGTTTCATCCTTCTCCAACGGCGTCCACAATGCATGAGCGCGAGCAAAAAAGGCGGGTCAAGAGGTTCGTTCTCGTTATCAATGCCAAATGGATGGATGGCGAGATGGGAGAAAATCATCAATTCTGGCTCATAGCACCGTCTTCTGTAGCATTGAATCATTGACCCGCCGGGACCGTGAGGATTTAGAAGCCAGTAGATCCATCCCATCGTAACTTGTGGCCACATATCAACAGGGCCCTTGAAGGCCGAAACAAACCTACCAAAAAGGTCTGGGATGCGTGGAGCCCAGGACTTTCCCTCTCAGGTCGGTTCGAACTTTCGGTGGGGTGAGGAATTCTTCCTTTTCCCAGACCAACGCTTAGGTTATCGATAGGCATCTCTGGAACTTGGGTCATGGCCTCATGGCTTGGGCCGATCAACCACTAAAAACTTCCTCCATCCATTGGTCTCGTCCGTCAAGAGACAGGTGGGCAGAGATTACCTTAACAGCAAGCCCTCCTACGAAATGTTGGTGCTTCATCTCGGGGTGGTATTGTACTTACTCACACCTGGCCACTCTTTAAAAAGAGTAAGGTGGTATGGTCTAAGTGGTGCGTGTTTTGATGGAAACTTGTTTTCCTTCTGATCACCAAATATCGCCTCATCATTTAGCGGACATCAGGGTCAATCACGCACCTAATTGCGCTTGGGCGATGTCGACACCTTCCCAGACGCTACCAAATTGGACCTGGCCACTCAGATGGTACAAGACGACCGCAGCACAAAAGCAGCACTACCCTTGACTCGATGAAGCTGGTGCTGCGAGCAAATCCCTCTCTGGTTGACGAATAGCGGTATGGCTGTCAAGCCATTCCTAGGGGATCAACGGAACCAAGGAGCTAGGGGCTGATCCCAATGCTGGCGACACGCAGGAACCATCACCTCGCCAAGTGCCCAAAACACGTCCAACTCGGCCCCCAAAGTTCCCGTTCGCGACCCGGTTGTGCTACACTCCCAGACGGAGGACTTCCCAGTACCCATTGTCCGCTGCGTAAAACTCAACCCTGGACCATACCCCTGCCTAGGTCGAAGACCCCCCAGCCTGCGGCGCCGTCTTCTCTTTGCGCAGACGGGAACACCTTTGACCCTGCAACTTTATGCCCGAATGGGAGTAGAACCGTTTCCAGAAGAGCCCGTTGTTGATTCCGATTCCACAAGAAAACCATGGCCTCGGGCCATAGAGTAGCGTGGCAATTCTGTGCTCATCCTCACCCAACCGAACCTACGAATGCCGCCAGAAGCGCAGCGAGACCCGCTGCTGGAGCTGGACCCTAACGCAGGAACACCGAAGGTTCCTTATGCAGCTTGTGCCTGAGAGGCTCAGAAAACCACGGCGGCCGCGAGCACCACTACCTCTACCACCCAATGAGACTCTCGAGTTAATGCAGGTACGCAGTTTTTTTTTTTCTTCCTTTTTTTTTTTCCCCCCTCCTCTTCATTGTGTTTCTTCATCCATTAGCATCAGTTCTTTTCTCTTCTGTTTGTCCGAAGAGCTGCAGCTCGTGTTTCAGGTTCGAGGCGGTCCGACTTGCCGGTGCTCATCACTGTGCATCAAATCCATCCCATGTTTGATTCCTTATTGCAACCTTCTCCCACACTTGCAGGTTACACGAATTTTTTCTCCCCTCACGGCTACAATGCTCGAGCTCTCACGCTCTGGTCGGACATTAGCTTCGACTGGTTATCTTAGTGCTGGATGGGTGGCTTAGATATTCCTCCAAATTTGGGCATGGACACCTAGCAAGTCTGGCGGCCGCCCCCGAGTCACTATGAATTAGCTGGTCCTTTTTTGCCAGGGATCAATTATAATAACTGGCGGCGAACGGATTTCGCATTCGATCGTGGATGGCAGGAACCAGCTCGGCCTTCAAGCGGAGGGAACAGATGGTGCTTCCGGGGAAATTGAGTCTCCACTCAATTATCTTTCTTATCGTACCTGGCGTCGGGGAAAGGATGAGTGGCAGGATGGCTAGTCTGCAATGGTGGAGGACAAGTCTTCACGCATTGGTCGGTCTCTTTTCACCTTCCCCGACAATTTTTTTCTCTTTGGTGGCCAGGTTGAACCTCCGTTTCTCACCTCTCCACGATATTTCGACTTCGACAAATCCAGCCACATCCACCCAATGATGATAACAGGCTAAGCGATCTTTTATTTTCTCTCCGCCATCCTTCACGTCAACGCACTAAGCAGGCCGGAAGATCGGCAATCCATGTTGCCCTTTTCTAAAATTCTCCAGCTCAATCATTTCGGCCCTGCTCGAGACGAACTGTACGTAGTCTTGTGTGGATTGACCAGTCAACTTCAATTCTGTTGACTGAGGAACAAGAAAATCAAGCTTATAGGCAGTTCTCCAGATTTTCTGGTAGGCTGTGATCGGAATTTTCTTTGACAGAGTATGGGACCAAGCGATCAAGCCACACAGCGCCACCATTCGATCCACCTAGAAATGGCATAGCATGATGAGATTTGACAGCTTTGACATCACAGGCCGTGGATTCGACTGGGTCACAGGTATCCTTGACCCTGCTGTGCGAACCCATGATATGAGGGCCGACATATCCCAGAAAGCGTGGTTCTGTGAATAGAAACGTGTAGGGATGCTGCAATGTAAAGAACGCGTCTAATTCGGTAAAGCGCAAGAGGCTGTGTACGAAAGCAATCAAATATCCCGGCGCCACTCGTGTTTTCTTGCCTCTCGAAGAGTGTGTGTGCCTCCATGCTCGGTAAGCAATCGATCAACTTTTGGCATGAGGCATTTCGATCTCTTTCCTCAATTTTGTCTATGACGATCCTGTACTCATCCTTTGGCATTTTGAAATTTTGAAGGTTCAATCCCAAGGTTGAGACCTTGAAAAAAGCTTTTCCTCTGGCGGTGTATCTTTTCATCAATGCATAACCCTTAAAGCGCGAAGAGCCTGAACCGTTTTATCATATGCGATTTACCCTGATCAAAGGGGTAATTTTTGAGAACTGACCTGGGAGAAGTCACATGTCCCAGCATTCGAGTCGACCAAGACTGGGAGGCACTTGGTTTGTGAAGGTACTTATCATTCCGATACCATCACTTTTGGCCATCTGTCAATTGCGATCATGGATTTCAATCTAGCTTCAACTATCCCCGGACTCTGCAGGATGGATTATCTGTCAATCCCATACAGACCATTTGTGATACGATCTGAACGTTGGAAATATTGGCATGTTTGAGCGCCATCTGATTTCATCTGGCTTCTGCTCGCAGATCAAAATATTGCCGTCCTTTGAACGACTCGCGAGCGAACAAATGGAAAATGGCCGACGCAATAGCCCACAGACCGAGCCTGATGCACGTACTCCTGTAACGGCGAGTGAGCCGAGCCGAAACGTTGAATGCACTGATGAAGTACAGGCGTCGTTTTGGAGGGAAAAACCCAATCACGTCAAAAGGGCACCAGAAGATATTTTCAATCCTTTGGACCTGATTCAGGCTAGCAGGCATTGACCCTTGGGTCCTCGGGACGGGAGGATGAGCTCACACAACAGCTTGGTCGGGCGACAGGGTATCAACCCCAAGATATGTTTATTGTCAATATCTCACACAGGCCGCATCGTTGCTGAAGCTTCATCAAATTTCGGTCCGGCCCGGACACAACACAATGAGATGTCAACTGATAACAGCGCAAATGAAAATCTCCAGACCCCAAAGAATGTTCAAGACGGAAGCGTCGAGTAGTTTCAACGGGCGAAGTACTTCGAAATTTGGAAGGTATCAAGGTCTGTCCATCTTACCTCTGTCGGGGCCGACAGGATACCCGAGGCGCAGAAGAGAACCGGATGTCCGCATGTAATGATGCAATTTGCATTTGGGAGCATCTTCCACAAGTGTGATCCAAGCCCGTGGCTTTCAAGATCGATGGTCATCCTTGCAGTGGTCAAGATATTGACTCCGTTTCTTCGGAACACTTCAGAGTAGACATCAATGATCAAGTCTTCCCAACAGGAATCACTTGGACGGGGAATGAGTTCAAGAAGTATATGCATGAACAAGCTCGCCGTCAACAAATACCAAGTACTGCCCAAAGTGGCGCGTGGCAAAATTATAAGTTTGGCTTCAGAATTTCAAGTCAATATTTGAGATCATGATGATCTCCACTCAAACCAGGTTTGAACGAAGAGACCAGCAATCATTCTCTTCCTATCGTTCATTTATTGTTCGATTCATCACGAGCCATTTCTTCTACGTTGAATTCGAACTAGTAAGGCTGCAAGTTTCATTTTCCTTAAGCGAGAAATGCCAAGACGAAAAAATAGTTCTGCTTGACAGAGAAGGTTTACCGAGAGTGAAGAACGATCCCCGGTCCTGTCCACGTCTCCTGAAGTGCTTCGATGTCCTCTACAATTGCATGGAGACATTGATGATTTCGGGATGAGAGATTGACAAAAAGCTCTGCAGGGATGGTGCATTCCGAGACGCAACAGCAAAAACGAAGTCGCAGTGACGGAGGCCGCCCAAGCTATAGACATGGACTAATCCCAATCCGGCTACTTCCCACAGATTCTCGCCTTTATCATAACCTCGCACCGATTTATCCCTTCTTTCTTATGTCGTGCGGCGCTGCCACCAATATTTACCCCTGTGTTGCTTGGCCGATCTCCATTACTCTCAATGACGAGTCCAAGTGTCAGTGGTAGCACAGATGAACTACAATCCAAAATTGCAAGCCGATCTCCTCGACGGAACAAGCTCTTGTTTCGCTGCTCAGGCTGTCTACCAAGGCTGAATTCGAGCTCGTCGAGTGCTCCTGCGCTGGTTCACGCGTGGGGTCGGACAGATTGAAAATGAAAACGAAAACGGAAGTGACTCAAATATGGTCGACATTTACCGTGATGGCGACTTGGCGTGATAAACTCAATGAAGTGTAGCAAAATTTGTTGCAAGAAATGATGAGCTCGGTCCCATCATGACATGACGACTTGGGGCTGTCGGGAGACCAAAAATGTACAGACGTAGGGCGAAAATGTGAACTCTTTAGTAATATGCAGTGAGATTCAGGCCGTCTTGCTTTGAGGGCAGGTTCATTTTGCTCAGTCATTCAATTCCAACCCGACCATTTGCAATTCCTCTTCAGGCTCTATGACTTTCCATATTGGGTCCACCTGTGCCTTGGTCTATGATCTTGTCCCAGCCGGGATGCAGTCATATCTCATATATCTCATGGTCAATTCCAGCATATCCATATCAACCCTTAGTCATCAGATTCAATCTTCTCAATCGTGGCATCCCTCTTTTCGCCCGTCTCTCCTATGATTCGCACCCGATCAATTCTGACCTTCTCATTATCTCCCTCGCTCTCTACAACAAACAACACCAAGCTAGTCACGTTCTGGAATTTGACAATGCGTAGATCGATCTTGGCCGTTCCAGTTTTTGGGTCCCAATCTTTCTCTGACAATGTCACCTCTTGCGTTGCTTGTGTATCCTCGGCCTCGTCAAAACCTAGAATGCGAGGCCGATTCGTGTAGAATTTGATCAACTTAGGTCGACTGGGGGATTCGTCATCGTCCGTGGTGTCCGGCAAGGAGGTAAGCTGTACCGAGTGGATTTTCAGGATGGACTGGAAAGGAATATAGAACATGAGTTGTTCATCCGTATCGCTTTCGACCCAATCAGCTTGGGCATCCGCTTGACCTGAAATCATCAGCTCAATCCGTTATGCACGTCACATTGTTGTATGAGGACTGACCTTTGGGCTTGTCACCACTGATCAAGGTTCTGGCACTGCCGTGCGAAGAATCCCAATTCAACAGCTCCATACCCAGGACGTCGACCTGAGACGTAACATTGCTATATCCGCGTGGAAGCTCTGCACCAAGCCATGTCCCACTAGAAGGAACTCCACCAACTTCACCCGCTTCCATCTTGTTCGCCTCGTTTGCCAACTGTTTGACCACATTTGACAGTTTTCTCGGGTCTGCCCCTTCGATGAATTCCACCTGTTGAGCATTCTTGAAAATCATAAACGTGGGCATCGCCTTGACTCCGTATGACCTGGCAAGATCTTGCTGTTGATCTGTATTGATCTTTGCGAAAGTGATTTTATTCGGGCGGGACAATTGCGCAGACAGTTGTTCGTAGATGGGGGCGATCTGGCGACACGGCCCACACCAGTCGGCGTAGAAATCGGCGACGACAATAGCAGAAGAAGATAGCAAAGCAGAAAATTGTGAGGTAGACTCGATATGGACTGTTTTGGACATGGTGGGTGGTGGAAGGGGAAGATGATGGGGAAAAGGGAGTGAGATCGAATGGATTTGACAACTGCAATGAACAGAGCCCCAGATTAAGAATGAGGAAGATGGACCAGGTCAGCAAGTTTGTCGAGCATGTGGATTAGGGGTTGGAAGATTGCATTTGCAGGTCATACGTTAACATGTAGGCGCAGGCATAGAATCCCAGACCGCACAGCTACTCTTGAGCCCCACCGGCGTGGGAACACCATTTCGCCGAATCAGGGTACACCTTAGGACTTCATCTCCAGCCACGTCCCACTTCTTAACCGTGATCATGTTCCTGTTCCTGGTGATCTTTTTCTCCTCGCTTACTTCTTCAGCCGTTCCAGACCAGCCACGGTCTGACCTCGTGTACAGAACTACCTCTCTATGTCGTTATTCCTTCGACATCGCTTATACTTGCGGCGAAAAGCGAGCTGAACCGTTTTCCCTATGAAGATCGATCCATCCTCGGAAGAGGACTGGTCTGATTCCATTGACCTTTTCGAAATTTCTCAATGTCTCTTACCCATCGACCTCCAGTTCCATCGAGGCGCAATCCCCATCTCCTCCCCTTTCTGTTTCAGTCTAAGCATCCTTCTGCCGATACTTCGCTGAAATCAAAGAAAGATATGTCTTCAACGGGCGAAACCAAGGTCCGCTTCATCTCCTACGGGTCTTCGTGTTCGTCTGAATCGTCCTCTCCAGACACTGCCGGGACATTCCAAAACATACTGCTCGCGAGTACCACAGAAAGCCAAACCCCAACGACTAGCTAAGGATGGCGCGTTACATAAACGTCATGCGCGCAGCAAGAGCGAAGCATCCAATTCAAATCAAAGATATTTCTTTCATCGCCGCCTCTTACCCTCGAAGCCAAGGTCGCCCCGATGGCACGAACTATACCGTGCCCCTGCCTATTGTTGATCCGGGAGCTGGACAACTCGATCCATTCAATGTCTCCGTTCCCGGTGATGTACATCCCGCAGGTCCTAGAGATGTTGGACCATGGTACGTAACTCAGTTCAACAGAACAGATCTTACCATACTTTCAGGTGCTATACTTGTTCAATCTCTGCTTGTCCGTCTCGCGGAACTACTCTCCGCCAGCAAAGGTCGTGGCACTAGTAGGCAACATCAAAAATACGGTGCTGGCCTGCGCTATGGCCGTCCCTGCCTCATTCTACTCGATAATCTTTGCGGCGCTACCTAAAATGCCTTCGCTCCTGTAGGCAGCCAATTGACTCCCAAAATTCTAAAAACCTTGCTCCCCTGACCTAGATCATCCATACTGACCATTCGTACCGCTTTCAGAAAAGAGGCGTGCATGACACCGTTCAACATATCCGACCTTGAAGCGAACAGGTCGGAGTTGATCAGTGACCAAACCGAGGCCAACAGGTAGTTTAGTTATGCGACGCTCCCAGGTATCAAGTCTTCTGCATCGTTTGCTGTGGGCCCCTGTGGACGAGCCGCATCCCAGAACTCATCTTCTCAGACTTCCTCCACTTTCTTACCTAACCAGCTTCAAATCGCCAGTGTCGCCGTGAATTCAGTGCCAACTGAGGTCAAGAGAATGGCGATGGCGAGAATAAACGGCTCCAACGAAAGTCCTTTTTCTTATTTGATCGAGAAAAGGTCAAATCAAACAATTGAATGACGGCCATGGACAATGACACCAGTAGCATTGCACTCCCCACACCTACGGGTCAATGCAAACTGGTATGCCCTGATCAATTCCGTCGTGAGATAATCGAAGTTTAGTGGCGGAAACAGTTTTTGCATCCCGTTAAGGTTTCTCTACTGTTCTGAGCGTTCTGCATCCAATTTGGATTTCGGTTTCTTCGCACCACTTAGGCCTATCATAGCCATTGCCTGGGTTCCTGAATATCTGATGATGATTGGAAGAGGCGTCACTAGGTTGCTGAATCCTCTGGCCCCCTCGTTGCACTGCTTGTGTTTCATGTCATTCCTCGCCTGCAACAGCTTCGGTCGTCGATAGTTCTCGTTTGCCTGTTTTGCCATCTCTTTCTTCTTTCTGTCCATCTGATGGATGCTATTGTCCCTGTACTCTTTCCCCATTCTGGGGTGACTCTTCTTTGCTTCTTGCCGAATCTGCTAGCCCTTTCCACATTCCTGTTCTGTATCTTGCATGGCTAGTGTTGCGACTCAGGGCAATCCTCACCCTTCAATACACCTTTGGCTGGCATTATATGCTCTCTTCACGGTGGGGTAACTTCCTGGTCCCGCCGCGCATCTTCGGCAACGCGCTTCGTTCGGCTTTGCATTTTTGAAAGGTTGGAATGGGATGACGAGAGGTGAGGGTTGCATGGTATGTTCTCCGGCAAACATCTGGGTCGAACTCGTCTCGAGCGGACATTTTGACAGTCGGATTTGGTGTAAAAAAGAGTAGTACTGGGCGTGCTATACTGAGGGAGTAAAGCAAGGGCAAAACAACGACTAAGAAAACGGCAAAACAGGACCTTTTACCTGTGACACACTACGCGAACTGAACGAGAACCAGTCGCAGCAAAAGAGGAGAAAATGAACAGATTCATTCAACCGCGACATGATCAAGTCTTCTTGTAATGGAAGCTACATCATCGCTCCGCAATTTGTAGACAAACCAAAGTAATGAGAACATAGGAGCAGCTTATGACGTCTGAAGATTGCACGCGTCTAGTTACAAGGGACTTTAACCCAGGCACCGCACTCAATTCACTTTCATAGGACATGGTCTTCTGCATATCGGCAATTGAAAGCCAGGAAAGAAGGATGCGGGTGTGGGGCGCTAACCCTCACAAACGCCCCCCCATCAAAAGCCCACAAATCGCATCTTATTACTTTTTGTTTTTTGGTTCTCTACTATTTGCGAAAGGCGACGACGGCGATCGTGTTTATTGATGTCCAATTCATCAAATGATCGAGAAAGACAACACAACCATTACGATGTCCTTCAACTCCCGAGTTATCCAAACCGTGCTCGATTGTCCAAAGAAAAAATCAAAGCGGCTTACCACCGTGCCTTGCTCATCCACCATCCAGACAAATCTCCGAATGATTCCCTGAGGCCCTCACCCGGCTCCCATAAGTCTTTATACTCCATCGATGACATTGTGACTGCTTACGAAGTGCTCATTGATCCCCAGAAGCGCGCTACATATGATCAGGCACTCGCGCAGGATGAAGCCTTTGGGTTGAAGAGAGCCGGTGGTGAGAAAGGTACACATATTGGAGTGGAAGTATTTGACTTGGAAGATCTGGAATATGATGAGGTCAAGAACAGTTGGTCAAAGACCTGTCGTTGCGGTGACAAGCAGGGATACCTCTTGACTGAATCTGATCTGGACAGGGAAAGCCAGCATGGAGAAATCTATGTTGGTTGTGGAGGCTGTAGTCTGTTCATCAAGGTCTTGTTTGAGTTGGAAGAGGAATGATGCGTGCCAAAGTGACAGCCTGCGTTTTTCATAGCTGCCGGTTGTTCATTCACTCGTGACTTTTCCTGCGAATCCGATTTTGGACTTGCACTCTCCTCCAAGTCATTCAACGCCGCCATGGCCTCATGAACATCCTCGGATCGACCTTGCAGGACCGCCACGAATTCTTCCTCGACCACCGCATACGCATCTGCGAGTTCTCGGGTGTGCTTGATGATTCGGCTCTCAATCTCAGCTTTCCGCTGCGCAAGAGCAAGCAGTCGGGCTAAACGGGCTTCCTGAATGCGGAACCTGTTGATAAGAGCCATGTTAGAGGAACAGGAGCTCCGGAAATTTTCATAGGTTGAAGTGGATGAAACGCACGATTCCTGCTGATACTCCTCAAGCCTCTCGTCAATTTGATCTTCCAGAGCTCGGACTTGATTTTCAAACTCCTTTTCAAGGCGCTGTTGTTTCTGCCCTTTACGCAAGCCGGCCTGATGATGTCAGTCGAGTACGGTAGCATGATTTGACAAGGGAAATGGGGAATGATTCAAAGGCAGCCATCCAATAATCAAGTGTCCCCTCAGGCTTGAGGACCCAACTCGCATCCATCGCCATGCTCTTCTTCAAATTGGCCTCCATTACTCTCAATTCGCGGCACCCTTCAAGTCCAGAATCCCCATCGACATCGGCGTCTTTGCTGTAAGCCTAAGGTGCATTCGAAGCAGACGAGGATTTGGTCTGTGCCGCTCCGAGTCTTCCGGAAGGTTACTTGGGAGGCGTCGTTCGAAATAAAATAGAGCGCAGTGAGGAGCAGAGATTCTCGAAGGCGAGAAGGAAGAGAGCAAGAAAGATTGACAAAGCAGACGAATAAAGGACAGTGACGAAAAGTACGGATGAGGAGCACCCCAAGGTCAGACATTTGAAATTCATTCCAATCCCATGTTATAATTGTGATTGAGATGCTCTTCCGGCAAAGAAGCCCTCCTTTTGAATATGATACATTGTTATAATCCGACCGGCTGTCGCGGTACTTTTCTGAACAAGCTAGTCTTTATCCAGCGTCCCAGATGCTGTTTGTCTGTCCAGCACAAAACTCGTCACCGCCAATCCCTTGCCCTCGCCTAATGACAGACGTAGTATATTACACAAATCTCAAGCATGCCTGGGTATTACCACAGTTCCAGCCTGCTCAACCCATTTCAGCCCAGCCAGCCCGTTCACCATAGCTGGCCTGTCATCAAACGTCTCATACGTCTCATACCTTCTCTACTCGACAATTTCGAGCTCTCCCTTTCGGTCTTTGGCAAAAGTGTTTTTGTATCCATCCCACAATCGGACCAACTCCGCCACGTACTCAGTATGGACTTGGTCAAGGTACGCTTCATCCACTTTGTTGTCTTTACTGCCTTGCTGGACCACTCTAATGGGTCGACCCACCACAATATTGACAGCGCGGCGATAGGGCATGAGCCCGACATCATAGTTGAATATGCCTCGAGCATGAAACAGTGGAATCGTGAATCCCATCATCTTTTTCACAATCATTTGTCCCTTGTAAATCCAAGGGTGTTCGACGCTGTCGACTTGATCGTACAGTTCGTTCTCACCGAAAGCCAGCACAGGAACAAGATCAGCACCCATCCGGATTGCCAGCTTGATGAATCCTTTTCTGCTTCGGAGGACGAGTCGTAGAGAATGGGGCCGAGCATCCAGACTTTCTCGAGCGCCCCCGATGACAATAGTCACCGCTCGACCCATGCCTTCGCCATTATGGCCACCTTTAGACAACAGATTTTCGATGGACTCTCGTGATACGGAGGCTAAGCCCATTGCCAAAGCATAATCTCGATAGAAGGGAACCCGAAAATTGGTGTCGAGTGTTAAGAGAGTGTTTGTTATACCAGGGTAGAGATCCGCGAACCCGAGCGCTTCTGTTGCGAAAGCCGCAAATGCTCCATGAGAGATTATTCCGTGCGGGTGGTACCCAAATATGTATTTTCGGGTCGGCTCCAGCTCAACAGTGCGATGCAAACGAGCGGGGAAATAGGATGCGAACAAAGACCAGAACTTAGATCTGCGCATCCAATTGGACCTTCGGGAAAGTGTCCCATTTGTAGCTTCCTCACTGATCAAAAGGGTATAGATGAGATAAGGAATCAAAAGCGGCCAGGCGAGAGGAATGGCACAGAGCAAGAAGAAGAGAGAGAGGAAGAGAGGAATGGAAGTCGTATGCCACAAGACCGCCAGGGTCTGAAGGCGTCGTTGAAGTGGTACATTCAGAGGAGCCCATCGCATCCTGTGCGGGCGATTAGCAGACTTTCGAAGCATATAGAACCATGTTGTGTTCATACGCTGACCTTTCCCAGCCTGCGCCAGCCCTTCGGCCGCTCGCAAGCTGAGCATCGGGTACATCCTGTTGTTTGGACGGCTTGTTTGGCTTCTTCTCTCGTGGCGGCGTCCTTGTCTTGTGCGTGAGGTTCTTTTCGAGGTTCTCGCTGAGCTTGATGCCTGTCAATGAGGTCTCTCCTTCCTTACATAAGTGTTTCTCATATATCGCTTTCTCCTCATCGAGCCGTTTCCTCGCGCCGTTAACTATTGGAGCAGGGGCGGATCCGTTGGCTGCGCTGTTCTGGCTTGCGGCAGCAACAAGACCATCATTTTTCCCGTTCACTTCGACCGGCTCGTTAACGGCGTCGGCGTCAGATTTCGGAGGAGGATTGTGCTCAAGACGATCTTGCGGCTGCGAAGGCTCCGAGTTCAAGAGTACGTAGCTGCCGGCGGTGGACGCCATCTCGGACAAGAGATCACTGCGCGCTCCCACGAAAACCAGGCAAAGTCGGAGTGACCTCGCTGGAGCATAAATTTGAGACTAGAATGGGAGTGACATTGCTTGGAGCGATAGGCAACGCAGCAACAGAGAGGAGTGAGCAGGTCATAGTCAAGTTCTTGGAGAAGGGGAGGCGATCGGAGCAAGCCCCATGACGTCAAATTGGGTGTGTAAACGTGTGAACAATGCAGGTACAAAATATGTGGTCAAATCTAGATGATATATAGCCATATCCATAATATTATGCGTTTTGTCCCATATTTATGTACGTTTAGACACACCAGAACGGAGACTCCTGTCCAAACTCTCGATTGAATATGCGTCGTATATCCCATTCAGACCCACACGATGCTGAACGCTCCTTCAGCCTGACAGCGCCCCCCCCCGCTCCTAGTCTCCCAACGACTCTCATAACACAAGGAGTCACCACAGCCATCCGAGATTGCAAAAGGTTGATCCCTTACAGGTCTTTTGGCGCGAAGCCAAGTTGGGTGTTGTCGCTGTCAAAAACAGCAAACACAGCCTTGAGGAAAATATCCCCGTAGATGGAAAAGCCGATACCTTCGTTGCTCTGAAGGCCACCATAGCAAGCTTCGGAATACTACATTAGTGATGTCTCGAAACAAGGGACAACAAGATTTCACTCACTAGAAGAATCAGCTGGAGCAAAGTTCATGAATGAACCTGGAATAACAGCGTGATAATCTTCAATGCCGACGGCGAAGTCGGGGAGGTCAGCTGAACAGGGGAATGTATAACCACCTTGGGTGTTGTCGTATTTGGCACCGTCAACTTGATCGTAATAGGCGGAAACAATAGAATCATCCATGAGTAGGAGCGTGGTGCCGGTGTCGGCAATGGCGTCAATGCTCTGCTGCTGGAAAGAACCATCACCTACAGCATAACCCGTGCCAGTGAATTCCCAGAAGCCGTTTGCAGTGTCCACCGGTGTATAGGTAATGTCGCCGGTGTGTTTGCTGTCGTCAATGAAACCAAAGTCGTATGTGCCGGGTTCACCTTTCTTCAAATCGACCGTGAAGAGGTTTTGAGACAGAACCCCTTGCTGGATCGCAGTATCGAAGAAAGTTGTCTGTTGGTCGGGTTGGACTAAATATCGGTTAACCTGGGTCTCTCAGAAGGAATCGCGCCACGGACCAGTATTGATCGAACTGAAAGCCAGGCCAAGCAAGCCATCATTGTTTTCATCTTGCTGGAATTGGGCGCTGATCTGAGCAGCTAGTTCGACAGCTTGGCCGGTGACAGTGGTGCCGCCAACATCAACAGTATCGGTGTAGACGTTGCCGCTGGCACCAGACCCATCACCATAGGAGATGTTCCATGTTGCGCCCTCTAGCTCTTTCGCAGTATCAGACTTTGAAGGGTCGTAGATGCTATGTCCGGATTGCTGTGAACTTGGCAACTCAGAAGAGAAGACCCATCTAAGTACGGTTAGTCTCCCATGCCCGGGCCCCGCCTTGGGTAAAGGGGACAGCTCACAGGTCCGCGGAACCGGTGTCGAAGTCCAGGTTCAGTGTCTGACCTCCAATGCTGACAGGAGAAAGATACTCCGCATCATATTGTTCGGGCGTTGCGGTGACGGAGCCATCAGCTGCAGCGGCCTTGACATCGGCCGGCACAGCGGTGGTGTACTTGTTGTACGTCTTTTGCAAGACCACAGGACCAGCCTGGAATGGTTTTGCAATAGCTTGCTTGACAGTGAAGCCTTTCTTCGTAGAGACGTCCGAGGCCGGGATAGGCTTCGCAAGCGAATGGGAAGCGAAGGCGGACACCGCCAGCAAAACTGTGAAAGAGTGCATATTTGATAGGAAAACGAACAACGGGTCTTGACACAGAGAGAGAAAAAACGAATGGATGTCTTGCTGGTTGAGAATGAACGGCTGACCTGGAGAGATTTTGAAAGAGAGTCACCCTTCGAGGTTTTATATATCAGTTGCAGAGCACAAGGACGGCCATGCCAATTCGCATCGGACCCATAACTCCATAACCTCGCCTGGCTAGGGTATGAAATGGTCACATCACAATGATACTCTGGACCCAGCAGGCGAGGATCCGTGATATTGAAGGACTCTCGATATGCACGAGCATCACGGAGTGCTGGACGATTCAAGAAGGTGGGGGAGATATCGAAGTCTCAAAAGCTTCTAGAGCACATGTCATATGCAGCCATGATTCGAGAACGCCGCTGAGCATCGACAAGCATCAGGCGGAAGCTTCGGCAGCTCTAATCTGGCCAGAGAGGCCCGTTCAGCTGATCAATTGGACAAGGCCAATGACTAAGGCAGTTGGAAGGAGTCTATACAGGCCCTAGTTTGCGCCTCGAGGAAATTGACAGGGGCCGCGAAACACAGGCGAGCATTGGATCATCAACGGGGGAGCGTGTTTGAACAGAAGGAAAGTTGGCAGCCTGATAGATTTGGATAGAGAGGTTGACCACTTGGTTTGATGGAATTTTAAGATGAGGTTGGAAGAAGAAAGGTGCCATGCCCGGCGCTGATTGGCTCGCCGCCTGCGTGCGCTAGTTTCTCCATGATCGACGCCCCTCGACGCCCCCTTTGCATCGACGACAAACCATCTTCTGTCACCGGTGTCGCAGATGTTTCGGGGCCTAAGAGCTCGACCAGGGCCCCGCTAGTCTCTGCACAGCATATCTGCCTTGCGCATCCGTCATTTGGTGTTCTCGAAATGAGCTCTACCCCCGCACTCCGCTGTCGAAGAGAGGCTCTCTCACAGCCTTGATCCTTGCCGTCATATCAACTTTACTGCTTCACAATGCAACTCGACTCGGACGAGCTCCTTGTAATCTTTCCCCAGCTCGAGACTCTGTGGCTGAATACGGGGAGCGAGAGATGTTCTCGCAACCGTCCTGCTCGGCCAGTTCCGTTTTCAGGTGTACCACCACCACTATCCAACCCATGTGGTGTTCTTTTGAACCCATCATTCTACATGGTAGTCATACGAGAGTGGGGCAGAAACATCGCTGAGATTACGGCCAAGAATGATCTCCATCCTACGAGAGGCCATGGTCCCCGGAGGCCGCCGATACGAACACACAGAACAATAACTTGGGGTCAGATAACCCAATCTGATGGCTTAGACGAAATAATAGATAATGCTGGTGCAGATATCAGATTTATGCGGTGTATTTCCTTCCCGTACACGCCTCAAAAATAATGCTTTATGGAAGTTCCCTGAAACCTCAACCATGCGAAAGGAGATCACGCTTTTTATCTCTTGTCATACCGTCATATCCGGGATGGTGCCGGAATAACAAGCCATTCGCTACAGGGATGATCGCGGGGGTGCGTAGTTGAGCGCCTTTGCTGTCTCAGGGCGGGAGACGCCGGCGGCGAGCCCGGCGAGTGTATTTGCCGCATCGCTTTCTGACCGGTCTAGTGCGGACTGGGCCTCATCTCGCCCCGATCGACGAATCTGCAATGCCTCGGTTATCAACGGCCGTGGCTGTTCCATACTACGGCCAAGATGCGGAAGGGTAGGGGTGCCCGTGGATGGAGTTCGTGGAGGTGGCAGAGTTCTCGAACTGGGCCCTTGACCAAAGTCGGCCAGTCGATCGGGCGACAACAATGGTCGTAGCTGAGACGGGCTTGATTGTTGTGTGCTGGGAGATGAAAATGGTAGAGAGCTGTAAGGAGCCCGTGGTGTTTCCTGGTAGCCTCGAACATCTGGCGGACGATTTCTCCATGACGGCTCCTGCATGGTCGGCGACGGCAAAGTCGGTGGAAAAGCCGCGCCTGGAAGAGATTGTGCACTTCCAGCGGCACTGGGGAGCTGTTGCTGCTGTACGAAATACGCGAGCCGGGATCGCGCAATCAGGTCGGGGGATCCCTGTGATTCCGTGGACGCAGCACTTGGCGCTAGTGCTGGGAGTGGTGGTGTTCCCGAGGACGTTGCACCCAGTGATAACGCCGATGTACGCATCAAAGATTCTGGCAACTCACTCCGTACTGTAGAAGACTCATCCGAGACCGAGCTATGACTCGAGACCAAGCCTGGTCGAAAGTAGTCTCGGCCATGATGGACAGAAGGAGGAGATCCACTACGAGATGACGAAAGTGCTGGCCGCGGTTGCACGGTGGACGTTGACGTATTTGGCTGCGGGGGGACACCAGCAAATGGGGAAGACACAACCGAGCCCATGGAGCCTCCTCGAACATGACCCGACAGCTGTGACACGGCTTCATGGTTTGTTTCCAATGACTTTGCAGACACGATGCTGCCACTGGATTCGGGATCAAGTTTGGGTCTCTTTGGTTCCGAAGTCTGCCCATGTTTGGCCTTGAAGTCTGAAAGATACTGCATATATTCCTTGTAGGCATCGGTCTTGCGATACGTCGATAATTGAATGTTATATCTCTCTTTAGCCGCACTTGCCTGGGCCTCAAATGGCTCTTTGCCTGAGGGATCTAGCTTTTGCCATCGGTCACCAACCAGTTTGGCTATTTGTGTGAAGGACAAGTTCTGATCTTTCACCTCTTCACGCACCTTGTTGGAGAATATTACGTAGGCCGAAGGAGGTCGTTCGGGTGCATTCTCGTCGGGCTTGGGATGCCGCCTGTACTTTCTCTTGGTCTCGGGCGCCGGTCCCGAGCTTCGTTCCGGCCCGGTCGGAGGAGTTGCATTGCTCTCAGGAGCCCGGCCGCCATCTGGAAGGCCTTCTTGAGCCGGAGACCCAACGAACCGTTCGTACGAGATTCCTCGATATTCAGCAATTGCCCGCTGAAGTTTCTTTGCACCGGCTGTCAGCCAATCTTGCCTAAATACCTCCGGGGGGGGGGGGGGGGATAGACTCACCCTCCGATGACCCAGTTTGACATTAAGAGCGTCACTAAGGGCAGGTCAGGATGCGATACTTTCGCAATGTTGTACCAACTCACAAGTCACTTTCTTGAATGTCCGTCACAGTCTCCCAAGTGTCGAATCCCTCGCCTATAAAGGCATCGAGGTACTGCTCAAGGCCTAGGCGCTGGAGATGGGGGGCGAGATCTGTCATTCAAGCGCACGTAGTTGATCATCGATAGTGAGGCGTAGCTGAGGCGGGTAGCGATCAATCAGGACGATAGGCCTTGCAAGCAGTACGGTGGATCGCAGTAAAGGATGGCCTTTGTCGCATGTGGAAATGATATCTGGGGTGATGTGGCTGGATGTCAATTAAGCATTTCACGGTTTTGCTCCTTTGAGTATTGAAAGAGTAATGCCCTGACTGGGTAGTATACAACGGCCTTGGCAACCTCACCAGCCACAAAGTAGAAGCCTGGTGCTTTTAAATTTTTTTAAAAAATTTTTTAAATTTTTTTTTCCCCCCGAACGTGATATTGTAGAGAGACGACGTGGGTTGAGGCGACTTCGGTCTCAGACCGATTCAAGACGCCCTTTGGAAAGACACAAAGATCTTTCCTTGAATCCGTCTCATTCGGTTCGATCACCGAATTAGTGATGACAAACAAAACCGGGAGATGAATTCTTCAGGGTCCCCAAAGATCTGTCTCAAGACCAATCCGTCCACAACAGCATGTTAATAGGGTAGACACAAATGAGCTGCGATACTGGCAGACCCTTGCGATGGAACTGGGCTTGTGCAGCTCTGATCCAGATCAGAGATAGATTGAGCAAGTGCTGAAAAAGGATGCTCAGATCTCGTGCTGGGCAAAAAAATGTACGAGGCTCGATGGCGTTAAGATGGCGAAACACGCGGTCAGGACGGCGGTTGAGGTCGAAGGCGACGAGCGCGCCGCAAATAGATTCGCAAATCCCCGCCAACACACCCGTGAAATGATCTGACGACAAAAAGTTTGGCGACAAGCGCCAGTATACGGAAAGGATGGGGGAAAAGGCGAGAAAGTGCCGGCAGGGAAAGTCTATAGGCTGTTCATGACCTGGGATAGAGTGATGTTTTGGAAAAAAGAAGCCAAGTCAGGTGCGTCAGTGTGGACGTGGAGACACACAAAAGAGATGATGCAAAGATGCTGTTTGCTGCGCCGTCATTCGCCGGCTAGCGAGGAGCAATAAGACGCGTGGGCTGGGTTGACGATGGTGTGAAGGGACGGCTTGGGGGAGTTTGGTGGGCGGCGCTGCCCACATTGACAACCCTCTTTTCCTGCGGTACATAGTTTCGTACCCGTAACCGAGTCGTATAAGCTTCGTGCCCGACTTTTCTCTAGTCATCGCCCAATGCCCGCCGACCAGGGACCGCCCCTCTCGGGCGCTGAATGGAGGGGCATATGCCCACCCGCAAATTGTACCTGCGTGCCTGATGACTGCATCGAGGCGTTCGCTTCCATGTCAGATATCGATGTCTGAACAGCACTCTTTAGATGCAAGATCTATATACATATCGCAGAACATGGGAGACTGTCCTTTTTTCCTTGAACACCGCAGACGCTTTGCCGAATTACTCTTGTTTCTCCGACCATAATACACCAGCGGTAATCTCGCATCGAGCATGTTGCAAGCTGTACCAAGCAGAGACCAGGATGGTCCATCGCTTCTGGCCGACGGGCTGGACTTTGACAGTGCTATAAATCGCAGGGTGCTGTAACTGGAGCGTTCTGAACCTGGGTGTGCTGATCCAGCGTCACCAGTCTCCGGCAATAAGGCTTGTTGGCGGCTGAATCGCTGGTTCGGGGGGTCCAACTTGGCTCGGATACAGCAATCGAGGATCAACGCTACGCACCACTGAGCGAACTGGACAGTGATGCAAGCGGTTGGATCTGCTGGTGGAACATGTCCTAGGACCCTGACTGGTACAGGCACTCACAATCGTAGTGCTGTAACGGTAAGTATGGGATATTCCCGTGGAGCCGTCTACGTCGATTGCAGGCCAGGACTGCGATCTCGGAACCCGGGGAGCAATACCTGTGTAAATGAGATGTCCCTGCAAAGATTCGATCTTCCGGTCGGTACTAACCCAGGCCAAGATTCGGCGTGTCCACGTCTCTTCAACGGTTGGCCAGAGCTCAAATCTTTCAAACTTCACGAAGGTTGGAGCGCCGCTCAATAATTGGAGGGTTGACTCTTTCGGTAATTCCTAAATGCACTCTGACCTCGCTAGGCGATCCGCAAACCGCCCACCAGCCCATGGTGAGAGACTGCATCCATCAAAACCGGGCCTTGCAATAAAAAGAAATGTTTCGGTATAGTCTAAAGGTGCTCCAGCTTGCAGGTGACAGAATTTGCCGAAAACTCTACGATCCCCTTTTAGGTGTCAAGAAGGCCAGATAAACACCCAAAGAGTCCATCCCAGAGGGGGTTCATTTCGGTGTTTGCGAAGTGGCTAGTCTGTTACGGAATTGGAAAGCCGAGTAGCATGAATTCATCTTTACTAGGCTAAAATGGGGGTATGAGAGATTCAACCCCGGCGTACGTCATAAGCAGCACACTCGACTTTTTCAATTTCGGCATGTTGAACAAGTCCGAGAATTCAGGTGCTGTTACCGGAAAGTCTGGATGTAACAATCTGCCATTCGACCTCCTTTGCTTTTAATACTGAAAACCACCACGTGGGGGAGTCTTGTGGATCGACGGGATCAGCACCCAGCATGCCTAGGTTGTCCAAGTCTTCATGCCCTTTCTTCCGCCCGCCTACTTCAGGGTATATGTTATTTCTCCTGCGGAGGACAGGTTCATCACCCTAGGGAAATGGGGTCGGGAGCTCATGGATGGATCGACGGGCACCAGAATGCAGACTCGGCTTGGCGTCGAAGTGAAAATTTGGTAGCGAGAAAAATTGGAGCCATTTTGGAGAGCTGTGAGTAGGCCTCTTTAAGGTTATATGCTCCTATCCAAAACACGATCTGGGAAAAGAAGTAAGAAACCGCTGGAGATTGGAGCAACCACACAACAATCATTCGTTGCAGGACCGGGCGAAAAGTCGATGATCGTTTGGCCTGTAGAAGTGAACTTTTTTGTTTGACTGTAGAAGTCGAATGCGGAACCGGAGCATGCCTCGGGGCAGAAACCCAGCCTGGAATAGAGGGGTCGAGCGCAGTCTGTTGGGGCCAAGGTCTGATCCGATCAACTGGAAAATCGAATGCAACGCACTGAGATACGCGGTACGGAGAGCGCCAGATGCGCTGCTTGCTCTTTCGAGGAGCCTTTTTTCTCCATCTCTTACCTCGTTTTCTTCCAGACTCTGTCCCTCAACCATTCGCACCCCTCCAACTCTATCCTACCGCTATTTGTCAACTCTCCATTGTCTACGGCAATTACTCTATTTTCGGTATTTGCTAGACGAGCCTCTACTTTTCCCATTTTAGTTCCCTCTTTTGCGCCTCACCGCCAAAAATCCCCCTTGTAGCCGATCCTCGACTACTGACTCACCAATTCCACCACGGGGTTCCGGCATCCTACCGACAAACCAATATCTTACCTATACACCCCCGTCCCATCGCAACTCTTTCCCCCCCCCATGGGACAACAAACCCCCAACTCCCAGAACGCCGGTGCCCAATCGGACCCTGTCCAAGACAATGACCATCCTCCGCTAGTAACCTCCGAGATGGCTAAGGTATAGCAATGATCCTACTTGAATCCCGGCCCGTCCTTTCCGCTGACCTTGCACCATGTTTGATGAAAAGGCTTTCCAAGACATTGCTCGGTATGGCTATCACTACAAGCATATCCCTATTCCGCGAGCCCTTTTTGGTCATTCCCACTTCTGGAGGAACGTTCTGACAGTCATTCAGAGGCGAGCGAACTGCGTCGGTCCTTGAATCTAAACTCGACGGCATCCACAAGAGCCTTGACCAGCTCCTAGCAAGCTTCGAGGAGAATGCACACCCACAAGGCCCTTCGACAGACACGCAAAAGCGAAGCTAGATCTTTGGGACAGCCGTGCGGCCACCACCGGAGCACCTGTCGCTTATACGTCTAAATTGAGGACAAATCCTTTCAGCAAATACCGTGTTTGCGGGTCTCTGTAGTATAGAACCACACAGCCTCACGGCCATTTCAAGGGCAGATACCAGCTGCCGGGGTCAAGACTGTTGAAAAATAGATCTAAAATCAAACTTCCCGTTGACCTTCTCTACCACCCCAACCTCGGTAATGACACCATCGATAAGCTCCGCTGGAGTCACATCGAAAGCAGGATTCCATACATCAATCCCAACGGCGGCAATGCTGATGATTTCTGACCCCTCGTCAATCAGTAACTTCCCGTCCGTCGTGACTTTGGGCCCCTTCATTCTAGTGACTTCTTCCGGCGCTCGTTCTTCAATTACAATGTATTCCCCCGAAGCCGTCGCAAGGTCAATGGTCGTTCTCGGGGCAGCGACCAAAAACTTGACGCTGTGATGCTTGGCGAGGACCGCAAGGGAATAAGTTCCAATCTTGTTGGCGGTGTCGCCGTTTGCTGCGACTCGGTCGGCTCCAACGACAATAGCGGCGAGTTGGTTTCCTTCTCTGGCCAACAGAGCACAGGCCATCGAGTCCGTGATCAGGGTTGCTGGTATCTTGTCGTGGACAAGTTCGTATGCCGTCAGCCGAGAACCTTGATTATAGGGGCGGGTTTCTGAGCAATATGCCCGGGTGAGCATGTCGGCGTTTCTCAAGGATCTGATCACACCGAGGGCAGTTCCATAACCTGCAGTTGCCAATGACCTAAATAGACGTCAATATCACTGCGCGTTCCACCAACTGCCGGCCGTGTCTTACCCAGTATTGCAGTGTGTGAGGACCTTCAACTCCTTCTCCTTGTCAAGTTTTCTCCGCTTCCCAGCCACGGTATTTTCCTCAATCCAACGAGCCCCATGTTCACCAATGGCTTTATTGTCGGACACGTCGTCCTCCAGCATTCGTTCAGCAGCGGCAATGTACATTTGCACGACGGAGTTCGCAGTTGCTGTCGGCTCAGTTGTGGCCATTTTTACTACCACCTTCAGCTTGCCTACCGCATCACCCAGGTTGACTGCTGTCGGTCTGCTTGTTTTCAAATATTCCAACCGTTCGCCTAACATCGCTCTCACCTCCTCCGCTGACGTGGGCAGTTTTCCCGCCGCGGCCAGTGTCCCAGCCTCCACAGCAAGGGCAAGGGCAGCGACAATCGCGATCGCGGGTGCTCCTCGCACTTTCATTTGTTTTATCGCAGCATGGGCTTCCTCGCAGTTGGTAATCTCCACGTAAATTGTTCTATGAGGCAGCAGAAGCTGGTCGAGGATGCGCAGGGTCGGAGGCAAGGATGCGGACACTGGTTCATATTGAATGGCTTGCAGGACCATGATATCTGCGGGATGAGGAGTTTGATGAGTCTAAAACTAACAGTGACTGACGAGGCTTCAGGGTTTATTGTTTTTCCGCTCTTGATTCCACAGTTAAACACCAATTTTTTAATAACCGTCAACAAATCTTTTTTGTTTTCCACGCTTTCCACCGTGCGGGGTTTGCATGTTGTTACCCCTCATTCTCTGACTGGTCCGGAGGACGTTGTCGTCGAAATGAACACCGAGGGGCCCCCTGGGCTCGCATTTTGAAACTTCTGATTTGACTTTGGCCTAGATTTCCACAGAGTTGAGATCGTTGGTTCTTTGGGATCTGCTTGCTGTATACCAGATATAAGATCTCATCATGAAGACATCAGAGCTTCCAGAAGCAGTCAAGACCGGTTTCGCCCCGGCAGCAGCCTATGATGCTCATCGGCCATCGTATCCTGAGGAAGCAGTTGAGCAACTACTCCAAGGCCTGAAGGTTGCCGGCGTAAAAGGTGCGAACTTTGCAGATCTCGCAGCTGGAACAGGAAAATTCACCGAACTTTTGGCAAGGAGACCCGAAGAATATGATATTATCGCAATAGGAACCCACGATGGAATGCGAGCACAACTGGCGCAGAAGAACCTCGCTCGAGTTCGGATCATGAAAGGAACCGCTGACAACTTGGTCGGAATCCCTGATGGAAGTTTAGCTGGCGTTGTGGCGGCTCAGGTAAGTCACAATGTTGCAAGAATGGGCGATCAATTCTCTCATCTGCCATAGTCATTCCATTGGTATATGAAAAGTCCTCTCTCTCACAAAGAGGCAGGTGTCTGACTTCTCCGTAAGGTTTGCCACCATGGACGCACTGAAGGAAATAGCTAGGGTTCTGAAGCCAACTGGCGGGTTTGGAGGTATCTGGAACATTGACGACTGTGCGCTCGATCTCGATAGTCACAGACCAGGGCCACAAGCTCATCAAGAACCAACAGATAATTCACCAAGATCGTGGAAGATCTATCCGGGGTGGGAGAGCGTAATGCGAGACGTAGTCTGGACATTGGATGACAACATGCCCCGGTTCCGACATGAGAAATGGCGTCAAGTATTCGACGATCGAACCGAAAGTGATCCTTTGAGTCCGCAATTTGCCGATTCGTTATTTAAACTGCCATTGGGTGAAAGCGAGGTGGAGTTTGAGGCATGGCTATCCAAAGATGCCGTCTGGAGCAGATTGAGAACGCCGAGTCAGCTTGCAATATTGGAAGGAGAAGAACGGGAGAAGGTAAGAAAAACATTCTGGGACAGTGTGGACTCAGAATCCACCAAGACAGATGAGTTTCGGGCGGGTTGCCGTGCATGGCCGAACTGTGTTCTTCTGGACAAGTAAAATACCAGCGAAGCCGTAGAAAATTGGTGGCTAGACATTGTATATCAATCGAATTGTTTCCACCACCTTCCGGCACCATCATGTATATATCGAATCTTGATGTTTCGAGCTTCGGGTCTCGAGGGTTCGCGTGGAATATCGAATTCATCTCTCCGCAGCGAGTCTTTGCTTTTCATAGCGTCTGTTGGGTCTTTCTCACTCGCTCGAGATATACAGCACTGTACAGAATCATGAAACCTTGTCAGCCATTACCATTCACCCGACCTTGATGGCCACCGCAGGGTCAACCTTGTCGCTGCTAAAATTCCGCGCCGCTCTTAGGGTGCTAACGAAAAATGCAGCGTACCATTATTTCCCCTGACAAACGCATCTCCATAGCTTCGCCGCAACTGGCCATTGACGTATTCCGCGCACTTTTCCAGCGCGATGTTCATGTATCCGTCCACAGATTGCAGCTCGCCTTTGTAGATGACGCCAGAATTCAGCTTCACGGTCACAGGGACACCGATGATCGAGGAAAGGAAGTTCGCAGGGTCTTTGGGGTCGGTAGAGTCGTGGTTCTCCATTTCTGGTTAGGATTTCAAGTGGAAAGCTAGGATGAGGATCGGGAGAGTCGTGTTGTCATCTGAACTGCCGACGCGCAATGAGTTTGTGGATGGGGGGTGAATGAGCTGCCATCTTTTAGGTTGGGGCTCAAAGCCTTGGCGGGGGGGGGCAGATAGCAAAGGCTTGGCGGCGAATGCTCGTTCAATACTCCATAAACACGGGAGCGGAAGAAACATATGACCGAAGATTTCGATATGGTCCCAATGTACTGCAATTTGTTGCTATCCAAGGCGAAAAAATCCGGCCTCCCCAAAAACCTCGTACCAGATGCAATGTTTCTGCCAAAAGAAAACAGTCATTGAAGATCCATTTCCACAATGCTTCGTTTGATATGTTGGTGCGCTCGCATGACATTCAACTAAATGGTGGAACATTTCCTGGCCTAGCCTTGCGATCGCAACAAAATCTGACCGTCAACAATCATTCATCTCCTGTTGACCCCCTGTCATCTGGCTTCTGGCCATACACTACGTATCTGCAACCGTGATCAGCAAGGTAACCATGCAATGGATGAACAGGACGAGAACGTACATGGGGAAATAGCTATGTATGCGTTTGTTCTTCCACTCTGACCTGCACTGCGCCAGCAATGCTTCCAACTCCTCAACGGACCAACCTAGCAGCTGGGTGTAGACTCTTACACTCAAGCCGAAAACACCATCTAACAGACCGACGAGAGTACAAAGTCCAGACTGGCGCAACATGGGGTCTTTGGCCCATGCTCCAATCGGCATTTTGAAGGGGAGGATGTGGACGTTGATGAAACCCGCTTCCCTCATCTGGTTTGCCATCTGATTCGGGTAGCATCTGCCCGTCATACCACCTTTCTGAATTCCTTCCTCCCAAAGATTCTGCCATCGTATAACGGCACTATCTGGGGGGATGGTGTTATCGTCCGATTTAATATCAAGGTCAAACTCCTGGCACTCCACCCAACCGCCGGGTCTCATTGACTGGAAAGCCTGCTCATAAAACTTCGGCCAGCTTTTAATGGAGAATCCGTTCATTTCTCGGGTATGGATGAAGTCAAATCTGTTAGGCATATCCCATGTCTCCTCGAGATCAAAGACCCGGAACTCGAGGTTCGGAGCAACCCAAGTGGGCTGTATGGGAGAGAGGTCGATCCCGAGGACGTGCGCGCCTGGATATGCGTCTGCCATATCCAAAGCCCAGATACCGGTCCCTGTGCCTACATCGATGACGGACGTGGGGTGTGCCATCGGGGCATGAAAGAGTTTATCTCCCATGGCATATCGCAAGCTGTGATAGTGAACTGAACGCCACCTTAATTTCGACCAGAGAATTGTGTGCTCAGAAACTCACTGTCCATGCGCTCCTGCTCAGCTTCGTCGTTGGGTATCACGTAGGATTTGCCCGCCTGATATTTTCTCCCATTCTCGATGTCAAATGCGTATATGCTCGAAGTGACTGAGGAAGTTGAAAGGGTTTTCTCTTCGTAACCAGAGTCGCTGTCACTGCTGGTTTGCTCGATAGCATCGATGGGAAGGGCACTGGGCACCTCCGTTGAGGCGACTCCTGCTCCTTTGACTGAATGGGAAGCCATCACATTTTCCAAATTCCATTAGACATGAAGTTGAGCCGGAAAAACAAAGAGATCATCGGACTTGCCCGGAGTATAACGATGGGAGGACCCGATACCGGTTCCAGGCGCTAGGCCCCGTAAAGCAGTTCCTCTCGGTGTGGGCGGATCTTTCCGTACTGCCCATGCCTCGTAGTAGCTGTGCGTGGGAAATGTTGCAATTTAGAGGCCGTCTCTAGTCCTTGCGCCCCGTTTTAGAGACGGTGGGAGGTGCATTATGCTCCTGAGCCTAACGGCTAAGTCACCCGGCCCGGCGGCCCGATTTGGTTTTCAAGGCGTCCCCGGCCGTGACGTGGCAGCTGCCGAAAGGTGATAAACCAGCGCTGTCAAGGCGTAATAAGGGACTACTTACCACCCGCAATCCCCCTACTTCGTAGATACACCCCCCTTCCTCATTCAGCAACAATTTACTAAACTATACCTTTCGCTTTCCTTAGCGACGTGATTAGAGAATTGGCAATGCCCTTTCCCTGAGCTTTCACTGGTGATTTTGCAATTCCTATCGGTCGCTCCCGCGTCTTAATGCTTGCCTGGTCCCTGGTCCCGACGTACCGTCCGCGCAAAGAAATCGCGATTCTATTCCGATTCATCCATGAGCAGGGCTTCGCTTACAAGCAGAGTCCACAGAAGGATCACTCCCGCCACAATTATCCGCAAAGACTTCTCTGCTAGTGACAACTAGTGCAGTGGAATCAGCCAAGCCAGAGTTCTTTGTGTACCACTATTCCCCCCCGTTTCGTGCTTGGACCAACTTTTACCTTCCTCCCTCTACCTTTTTCTTCCCTGGAGTAGGATCCTCTTCTGCAGAGTTTGAAAAGATAGTTAGGATATCCCATGATGGCTTACACTCTGGCCCTCATATTGATCGGCGCTTTCGCGTTATACACTGTCGTGAAAACATATCTCGACTATCGCAAGCTAAGCCACTTCAAGGGACCTCCGCTGGCCGCCTTTACAAGTCTGTGGATGGTAAAACAGGCCATCACGGCCAATATGAATGTGGCACAAAAGGAGGCTTTGCGAAAATATGGTATCGTTGGAACTTTTCGATTTCGAGCCGGACCCAAAGGACTGGGCTAACAGATCTTCAGGATCTCCGGCACGGATTAGTCCTAAATTGCTTGTTACAGACGACCCAGAGTTATTGAGGCATATGAGTGCCCCAAGGTCCAAATGGACGCGCAGTTCTTGGTACGAAGGCATGAAATTAGATGCCCGAGTAAACAATATCTTTTGCGAACGCGATGAGCGTAAGCACGCGGACATGAGAGCCAAAATGATCGGGGCTGTGAGTATCATTGCACTCCTTGCACCGCATTGACGAGTGTTACGCATCCCGCTTGTGGGCGCTGACTAGTGTAGTATTCTGGGAAAGAAATCGACACGTTGGAACCCGACATTGACGAGAATCTGCAACGACTACTGGCTTTAATCAAACGAGAGTACAATGGCAAACCTCTCGACATGGCGCTCCTGGCCTCATTTTTCACTCTGGATGTCCTCAGCCAGATAGCATTCGGAGACCCGTTTGGCTTTGTTGAAGCCAATGAAGATCTCTTCAATTTCAACAAAATTGCAAACCAGTTCTTTGCGGTGATAGAGTTGATCGTCAACCACGACACTCTACGAAACATCATCCAAAGTAGGCCAATGCAGAAATTGCTCGCGCCGAAAGGAACGGATGAATTTGGTCAAGGACGCATCATCGGTATCGCGCAAAAGGCAGTGGCAGAACGCTATCGCCCTGGTGCCAAGGTAAAGCGAGACATGCTCGGACACTTTATCGCAAAGGGACTCAGCCAGACTCAAGCGGAAGCTGAGTCCCATCTCCAAATCATTGCTGGCTCCGATTCTACATCGGGCACCTTACGAATCACAATGATGATGCTGGTGGGCAACACAGTGGCATATCGGAAATTGGTATCCGAGATTGATAACGCCGTCGCCGCGGGAAAAATCTCCTTTCCCATCGTCCAAAATTCGGAGGCGGCTGAATTGGAATACCTCCAGGCCTGTATCTGGGAAGGTCTCAGATTATTCCCTCCCCTGTTCGGTCTTAAGAGCAAACTGGCCCCTCCCGAAGGCGACACTATAAACGGAGTCTTTTATCCTCCGGGTACAGAAGTGGCGCTGTGTGATGAAGCGTTTGGGCGCAGAAAAGACATATTTGGCCCCGATGCAGATGTCTACAGACCAGACCGATGGCTGCATCCTGACCCGGATGTCAGGGCAAGATATTTGAGGCACACGGAACTAATCTTTGGCAGCGGAAGGTATGTCTGCTTGGGAAAGACTATTGCAATGATGGAGATGAGCAAAGCCATTTTCGAGGTAAATCGAGCGACATTGCAAATTTCATATCTGAAGTATACTGACTTTTCACAACCCAGCTGGTAAGGAATTTTGACTGGGCTCTTTTAGACCCAATCAAAGGGGCAACGTCCATCGCTCATGGCATTTGGGTTCAGGAGAACATGATGTTGGTTGCTTGGCCTCGTCAAACCTAATTTTATATCATGCCAGGAGCAGACTGCTCCTGAACCCCAGCTTTGTTGTGGCCGCGCACCTCTCTCCCCCCACCCCCCCGGGGACATGAGCATGTTCCCTTCTCAGAATCAATGCGTTAACCAATACTATGCTTGTGTTTGTCCTCTCCCACGAACTTCCGACCAATATCTCCCAGACCCAAACCCGAGCATCAACCTCCAAGTTTCTGACAGATCTTACACTTGACCGAACTATTGACCACATCATGATATCATGCCGTCCTCAATTCTGCTGGATCATTGAGCATTCAAGGTCCTGGGTAGGGCAATTCTTCGCACCGCTCCGAGAGCCAGTCTCCAACACACGTTCAACAAGGAGGGGTTGGCCAAAACATACATCAAAGTTGTCGGAGGTGAACTATCCAACAAATACACAGGAGATTCACAATGTGTGCATTTATTGGGGCTAGGGCCTAAGCCGATGCCGCCGCAACGGCAAAGGCAGGAAAGTTCTCCATCGAGCTATCATGAGCCGATCGAAGGCGCTGAGGTCAGTCGCACATCTGATGAATGAACTCTCGCGGATTGCCGCTGTCGAGACCCTGTGGACGAGACATGGACTCCTTAGTCCTATGAAGTGCAACAATGGGTGTCCGAAGCGACTCACATGCCCATCTCATCGGCCTTCGCGGCTGGCTTTTCCGATGTGCTTTTCGGCATGTTGCCATAGACTTGAATTGGGAAGCTGTCTGATATTTGCATTGATGAGAGATAACTTGCCGAGTTGAGAGACATCTCAAATGGAGTCCCAATAGTCGGCTTCTTTTATATCAACCCCTCTCTGTTAGCTCAATTGAAGTCGGTTCCGTAATCTCAGAACTTTGTCACGACGACCACTCCCGGAATCTAAAAGCCATTGATCGCCTAACCAGACCAACATGCCCGACTCCCTCTTCAAGGAGGTACTCAAGCTACGGTAGATGAAAGGAAGCGCGTGATGTTCAACGACCTCCAATACCACAAAGATGTCTGCTGGTATCTTGGGTTCTTGAGATGACAAACAACTAACGGAGAGAAGTCTCGTCCTGGTGATTGGCTGATTGGAGGTGAAGATATCATTCATGTTGTTGCCTTCGGTACTCGCTTTGTCGGCACTAGGGAGTGCTTGCTTGTGTTTATTCCTGTTATGGAAATTAGGTCAAATGTGAGCATTGAGGAAAAGTCTGCCTGATTTCGATGATGCTGAGCTCACAACCCCAGGCTCTATACTAGTCTTCTTCCCCCCCCGCACTTTTCTACTGATTGGGTGCCTGTCAGGTGCCAAAGCACTTCGTGTCGCTTGTACTCCCAAATTTGCGATTTTCTCAATTCCGTTAGTCACGGTGTATTCAAACTGCGACTTCTTGAGCGTCATCCCGTCGGATGGGACACATCCAGCCATATCGTGATCGTCTGGCGAGAGACAGCAATCACCAGCGCTGCAATCGATACCTGAGCGAGAATGGCTGAAGCCGCGGCTCTAATCGGCCTCGTGGCCGCCATAGCTCAGTTTGCTGAGTATGGCATGAAACTGTCCGAGCGTCTTGAGGATTTCTCGTCCTCGGTCAACGACAGGCCAAGTGCCTTCACCGCGATCAAAGTTCGGCTGCCCGCCGTCTTGGGAATCCTCAAGCGCATTAACAAACAAATCGACAATCACCTGCTTGGCATTTCTGAAGCCGAGATGCTATTCCCTGTTATTGCCAACACTGTCGGCCAAGTCAAGTCGTTGCTGATAATAATTGAAAAGTCAGCACCGCCTAAGAAAGGCGCACTTGTTACCAGGTATATCAAGGCGATGCGGAGTCTTTCTCTCGATACGGAGGTTCAGAGAATCGGCGATCGGCTACAGGATAACCTTCAGATCATTTCACTGTTTCAGACGACGGGTCTCGTGGAGTCAACTCAACAGCCTACACAACAGTTGCCCTCTCCAAGTCCAGACGGCGTTGCTAACTCTCACGACGTCGTTACCTTGAGCCAGATCGCTGCGATAGCTGGCGACCAAGCCGAAACGACTTCGATCAAGACATCAGATGGTAGTTCAACATCGATTTCTGGTACAGATAAACTTGATATTAAATTGTCTGTCTCGAGCCTGCAACCAACATGTGAAAGCAGGACCGCGCCGTCGGACTCGGACCATCCTGAATCATCGCCGCACAAAACTGGACACGGGGGAAAGTCTTCCAAAGACTTCGCTTTGACCGCCCCGTCAGCAGACCGTTGCTCATCGTCCTGCAGTTGCGTTTGTCATCGACCATACCAGCTCTCCACACCGTCCTTCTTATCGCAGCTAATAGGACATCTCTCCGTCAACTATGCCGGTCAAGCATTTGTCAAAGTGCCTTGCAACGAACGGAATTGTCGAAAGCGAAAAGAGTCTGCGGCACGTATGACCTATCGCTTTCCCAACTGGGCTTGGGATCGAGTCGTTCATATGGCTCTGTCCTCCACGGCGTTGAACACCAAGGTGAATCTTAACACGATGAGGGTTTTACCTGATTCTGCGGAGGTGTTTTCGGTCATATCCAAAGGTGACATTAACAAGCTTCGAGACATGTTCAAGTTTGGACAGTCCTCCATCTATGATGTGTCGCGGTCGAGTTGGACCCTTGTTCATGTAAGTCTCTCGGATTCCGGCTCTCATGCTACAGCTCTGATTGTCCTTAGACTGCTTTCACGCTGGGCAGAAGAGAAATGTGCGAGTTCTTAATATCGGAAGGAGCAGATCTTACTATAGACGCCGCAAATGGCAGGTATGACTCCTCTTGCGCCATCGTCGTTCAAGGTCCTGAGTCTCATTCATAGTAATGTCATTGAGAGGGCCTGGATCCACGCCCAGAAATCCGCCAAAACTCCCGGAGACTATGTCATGTGTGATAACGAAATTCTGAGAGAAGTTGACCTGGATGACTTCGTGAGCAGCCAGCAATACAACCTGATCCAGAAGATTGTCCTCGGGATCTCAAAACTGAAACTCTCCGATGTTCTTGAAAGTTCAACATCCGACATCGATGGCACTGACATCCGCGGTGCCACGGCGTTATGGTGGTCTGCCGCGCAGGGAAATATCCCAGCACTACGTATGCTCCTGGAGAATGGTGCCAGCCATGCAATTGGAGCCGCCATGTCGCAGACTCCTTTGCATATGGCCAGGAACGCCGAAGTCGTTCGCAGCCTTCTGCAACATCAGGCTCAAGTGGATGCCAGAGACACAGCCGGGCGCACACCTCTGCATTGCTTCTGCTACCGCCAAGTAGGAGCTTCAGCAGGCATTGTCCGCGAGATCCTCAAAGGCGGCGCCGATGTTAATGCAGTCGCCTCCGGTGGACAAACACCACTTCACTACGCCACCATGTTCGACAATGCAATCCTTATCCCACCACTACTGGAATTCGGCGCTGATATAAATGCCCTCAAAGATGAGAATGTCACTCCCTTAATGGCGGGGATTCGATACGATAAATCTCGTGCCGTCAAATGCCTCTTGGAGAACAATGCCGACCCGACAATCGAGAACCAGTACCGTCAGAATATTCTGCACGTGGCCGCAATCTATGCCGGCCCAGAATGCATGAAGATTCTCGCTTCTTCTGATCTTGGGCGACTTGATCCAGGAGCCCGTGACTTCAAGGGTTGCACACCGTCGGAATACTTTGGGGTTCGCAAATTTGTGTTTGATGATTTGGAGCAAGCGTTCCGCAATCTCATCGGTGCTGCGGGAAGTGTAACCGGCGATGAGTCCGATAGGGAAGACGACGACATTGATAAACGAAAAGCAGATGCTGGAGCCGACTGCCAACGGTTCGTGATGCCAGGCTCCTTTTCGGCCTCATAGATCCTAGACGAAAGACATGGCGGGATTATTCTCCTGAGCTCAGAGTCCGTCTGACCAATTTGTTCGCTCACCCAATTGAACAGGGGACGTTTAGTTCTTACTAACAAGACATGAGAAATGTTGAGGAGAACAAAAGCCCGCCGAGAAAACATTCTACCGAATCGGGTTAAGTGTTCGCGATACGAATGAAGGGTGCGGCAAGGTTGCCAACTTACCAAAACACGACTTTCTCCGAGCAGAGCTCCCATAATACGCGCAAATATGAATACTGGCGTAAAACGGACCCTCTTCAGAAAGCCGGCCTGGGATGCGCCCACCACCTCACTCCCAGATGACTCCTCCATTTTCGGACGGAGTGTTGTGTACGATGATATCCTGCGGGCCGAGCAAGCGAAAAGAGAGAGAAAGGCGGCCAAGGCCAAGACTTGCACAGATAAAGAGAAAGGGAAAGGGGAGGGACTAGAGACGAAAAGGAGAAGAATATCAATCGATGATGAGGACGGGGCCAACCAGAACAGGGAGGAAGATTCGCGAAGCAATTTAAGTCAGACAAGGACGAAAAACATAACGAAACGTCGAGATGGACCCGTGACGCGGAGTACACCTCAGGAGGCGAAGCAGTTGGCGGAAGGGCGAAATGCTTCACCTCGAACATACCGGTCTCCGCGACGAGGGCGGGGTGTAGGAGATGTGACTGTACTAGACGACGATGCTGACCAGGTCGAAGACGATGAATTGGTGATGTTGACGCCCCCCAAACCAACGAAGACATCGCCTACGAAACGCCAATCAAAACCGCCATTAGACGTCGAGGATTCGGAAGAGGAGGATGAATACCTGCGTGAATTGAAACAGAAGGCACGCGAAAAAGCCCGACTTCAGCGACAAGGCGTCGATTCGGAGCGGTCGCGCACACCAACCACGTCGTCCTTGGCTTTGAATCGGAACGCAAGATCATCATCCACAGAGCAGAACGATAGTCGTCCAATCTCTGCTGGTTCAGCTCGAGAGTCCGCCAGGACCACACCTGCCTCTGAGCCTGAAGATGATCCGCGGGTCAAGATCCTCATCCAGTCAGAAATACCGAATACAAGGCCCCTGATCGTCATGCGCAAAGCTTCACAGTCTCTAAAACAGGTGAAAGAGTACTGGTGCATGAAATCGACGTTGGACGAATCCACGGCCAAAAAGGTCTTTTTCACCTGGAAAGACACGCGATTATTTGACTCGACCACCATGCGAGGCATCATCCGCCAACTCAAGCAAGACCACTACCGTCAGCAAAGCGTCAGTCTCGACCAAGATGACGAGGATGACGACCACAGCAGTGCCGTCCAAGACCCGAGCAAAGGGAACATCATACTCGAGGCCATGACGCAAGAGATCTACGAGAACAAAATGCGACAGAAAGAGCAGGGCCGGAAAACGGAGACGTCTGCGGATGAAGAGCAAGAAGATTATTACGAGGGCGATTCTTCACGGGCAACCACGGGCATGAGAGACGGTGCCGAGGCAGAGGATCAGTCCAGCAGCGCCATCGTGATTTGTCTAGTCAGCCAGACTCTCGAACCCATGCAGTTGCGAGTGCGACCACACACGACCGTGGCAAAGATCATGCGTGGCTTTGCGGCGATGAGGAAAATCGAAGAGGGCAAGACACCGTGGTTGATTTTTGACGGAGACCGCTTGGACCCCGACGATACTGTGGAACAAGTTGGTTTGGAGAATGATGATAAGGTCGAAGTACGTATCCGATAAGAGCTAACAAGGAGAGATGGTAGAGAGCAGAGAGCAGATCAGAAGACGATCTAGAAAATAACGAATCGTCCAACGGTCACGAATCATGCATGAACCAAATCAGCTTTGTGAAGGAATCTTTTTCTTCGTTTATTGATTTCAGCTCCTTGTCCATTCCTAGCCAGCCCTGATCTTTTTGACCAGAAGCCAGAAGGATAACTCTTCGCGATTCGACAGGCCGGTCTTTTGGGCCCATTTCTGCTTGGGTATGGAAATGCGAGATCCATCCATTCCATCAGCACTGCAACCGCTGCATTCCCATTGCATTGGACTGGAGCGCCCTCCACAAGGGAAAAAGGTGTTCAAAAATTCTTTTCACAACGCCCCATCGTTTTTACTTTTTCTGAGTCTGTCAGGTCGTTCCATACCGCGGCAAATCCCAAATCATATTTCTCATCTTCCGTTCCCAGACCCCAGAATCAACAAAACATCGGAAAGGTGTAATGCTGTTTAGTGGCCACCGGTTCTTCTGGCTTCGGCAATGACGCGTTGCAGTTCGTCGACCTTTCTCTTCGCACGACCGAATGTACCGAGCTGCAATCATCGATCTCTGTTAGCCCCATTCTTCCCGTTATGCGTCAAGTTGCCTCAAACTGCCCGATATTGACGTGAACTTCATCACCATAACTTGAGTCCGTGAGAGAACCTCGATCCGTCTCCTCGAACGTAGATATCCGAAAACAATGCTCAGACAAAGAGTAAAATTTTGTGGGGAGACGTACCCTCTTCTTTGCCAACTTTCTAGCACGCTTATCCTTACTGTTGCGCAACAATTCGATAACACGACGTTCGTACGGTGCGAGACCAGCGACTTCCTTGACAATTTCGCGGACGAAAGCTGTGCGCTTACTCAGGTGGCCTTTTGTGCGGCTGATGCGTGGTTTCGGGGTGATGGGTGTGACTTTCTGTTCATTGAGAAGGATGCCGTTAGCCATAACTTGCGCTCTTGTCAGTAGCAATGAGGCAGACCTCGGCAAAAGGACACCGCAATCGAAGGAATTCTCGAATGGAAACGGTAACGAAGATTGACCTCTCTTCGCCGCTGGGATGTCGACTTCTTGTCTGGGATTTGCTGAAGTGATTGCGACTTACATGGCCCTTGTTCAAGCCGACAATAATGCCGGACTTCTCAGTTGCTTCCTTCGCCATTGTTGATGACGGTATTGGCGACGGTGACTGAGAGTGTGCACGAGTTTGTTTGTTCGATGAAAGATCGAGGTCCGCTTTGGTCAAGCATTTCGTACTCGCCAAGACTTCGATTGTGGGCTCCTGAAACGGAAAAGCGCCCTTATATTTTCTTGGCATAATTGGCGTGTTTGTCCGTACAACTTTTCAAGTCCTTTCCCGGCTGCATCTCCTATTGATCTGGTCTGATATGGAGGTTCGACATTCGATGTCGACCGTGAATAAACCGCGTCAATACTACGACTTCAACGAATGCATCACCAACTTCTTGTAGCCCTCCAATGCCTCCTCCATATCCCCCACCGTCAATGCCTCATCCTTCCCGTGGGCCACCAGAATACTGCCAGGCCCGTATAGATACCTCTTGACTCCGTCCGCGACTTCAAGATTCGGCACATCAGTCCCATAGTTCACCGTAATAGTATCGAATCCGTCAACATCCGCATCCAAAGGAATGGGACCGTAGCCTTGGCTGAATTCCAACTCCAACCGCTCATCCGGGTCGATTGATCGGACAGCATGCTTGATAATTTCCTTTACTCCCTCCACCGTACCTCCTGCCAATCGAAAGGCTATATTCGCCATGGCGAATTCAGGGACAACATTTGCTGCCACGCCTCCTTGCATGTAACCTATGTTAACTGTACTCTTTCCATACTTTTCGCTACGGGGTAAACCCCCCTTCTCTTCGGGAATATCGCCTAGTTTGTCCAGCACCGCCAAAGCCGGGAGGATCATGCTATTCGCACTGCGTCCCAGCCAAGGATATCCTGAGTGCGCGGCTTTGCCGTGAGCCTTAATGGTAAGCATGATGATGCCCTTGTGGCCGGCAGCTAGTTTGCCCTCTGTAGGCTCGCCGAACAAAATGGCCTTGTAGTCCGAGTTGGTTCTGCTGTAGAGCCCCGAGTCGGAAAAGTGTCTCATTCCGTCTCCGTACTTCTCTTCCCCGACCACGAACAGCAACGCCACGTCGGATGGATTGATCTTTGCCCGGGGATCGGCAAGTAAATCGAGCAGTGTTTGGATCTGGACCGCCACACAGGCTTTATCGTCGACTGTACCACGTCCAGCGATCACAATGTCCCTCCGAGAGGAAGGAGAGGCCTCCGATTTCTTCGGGAGAGACAGCGAGTACGGGATATGTGGCGGAACAGTGTCGATATGGGAGCTCAACAGAACCTGGGGAGAAGTCTCAGACTTTGGAGTCTCCGCTCCTCCGTACTTCGAAACATCTGGATATGCGTAGACATTAAGTCGCTCCTTGGTGCTGTTGGGCCGCGGAACGTTTTGAGTTTGGACGGTGAAATTATGAGCTTCCAGGATGGAGATAATGAGCCTTCCCACCGCCAGCTCGTTGTCCGTGATTGATTCCACTTCACATATTGCTCGATGGAGCGAGAGTAAAGGCGATGCAGCTATTACATCGGAGAGCTTTTGATGGGTAGAGGACTCGGATGGCTGAAATGGGACAGGATGTTGTTCATGCATGGTAACGAGCGCCTGGGACGCGCACGTTGCGAGCAGTATCGGGGCTCCGCTCCAGAACAGCTTCATGTTTCCAGCCAGACAAACTTGGAGAGTCTAAATATTCATATGTGGAATGAACAAGGAGTGTGTTGATCAACCAAAAAGAGAGTTGGCTCGGTAAATGCATGCTGCGGGATAACGGCCCGAAGGATCGTCACATATCTGAAAATCCCCCTACTGAAAGACATGATCGAGACCAGGCCATTCGCCAAGCTCAACTGATGCAATCGATTCTCGATTGGATTCTACGGGGATTTGGTGATCATGTCTCATTTGACTATGCTTTTGCTTTGCCTTTCGCAGTTCCATTCGCCACCTTGGGTTTTTCCTTTCTTCGTTCCCACACCATCAGATAGCCTTCCCTGGTGAAAAGCGTCTCGGCTTCCGCTCGTTCAACCCACAGATCCTGAACTTCCAACCATTCCGGGAGATCGCTTCGCTGGGCGTATGCCGCGGCTTTGTCTCGCAGCTGAACCTTCCACGCTACCTTTTGACCCTCTGCTCCGACGGCTTTGTTTGCGGCATCTGCAGCATTTGAATCTTCACCCCCGCCGGTGGACACCGATGTAGTGTCAAGGATGATATTGGCCACCATCTCATAAAAAATAGGTTCACCGGGTGGATGGATCGCTGGATTGGGTTCGACATAAGGCGACATATCCAATCCTCGAGCGGAAGGAAATGTCACAATGGTGGGATTCCTCTCGGACACGAATTTGTTGACACTGAATCTCTTGATGTGGAAGAGAAGGTACGGAGGAAGTGGATGCAAAAGCCGATGTCGAACTCGATGGGCCTGTCTCTCAGAAGCATGGATACCATCGTACTTCTGTAATAACGAAGTGAGGGGAACTTGGGGAATGATATTTTTGGATTCGACGGCGTCTCGAAAGAGAGGCACCGGAGGGAGATCAAGAGTAAGGATGAGATATGGGGTAATGTTTGTCGCAATGTTCGATGATTCTTCAAATCTGAGACGATCACCGGTGGTATCAGATTTGGCCGTGATGGCTTGCGACTCCACTCTCAGTTTTCCCTGGAACGTCCTTTGAATGATGGATGACAATGTCTTCGTTTTCGAACCTCCAAGGGTAAGGTGGAGGTTGTTGAGAAACCAGGAGAGAAATTCAACCGGGTCGGATTGTTGAGTCAATGTGAACTTCTTCGAAGATCGTAGCGCGATCTCTTGTAGCAGCTCATGTGGTGACACATGTGATCGGAACGCTTTGGGATTCCACAACTTTCGCACCAGCGTGCTGAAACGGATGGGGAGCTGAGACGCCGTCGGAGGAAATGAGTGGAGGAGGAAGAAATTCCTCAGCGGTGCCACATGCGCCAGCGTCTGCACCACCACATTAAGATAATCGTTGGCTTTGATGTTGTTCATCCCAATAAAGCCCGGCCGATATTTCTTGTTCGATAGATCGGTGGACACCCGCGGCTCTCTGTCCAATTTTCGCACCTCGTCCTCGGTGAACTTGGGATCTACCACGTATTTGATGTCATCCAAGCTCTTGTTGTGTACTTCATAACCTTCCGGAAGTACATAGACTTTCTTCGTCTCCATGTTGATGTAGACATGATGATCCACTTCGAGCGCGTGAAAATATGCATGTGACTTGGGGCCGCGTCCTTGAAAATATTTGCCACAGACCAGACATGCGTAGACGTTGATATTCGAGAGCGAAACGGAGCACAATTTCTCAAAGTCAAAGTCGAGGAGGAATCGGTTGATGGTATCTAGGTACAGGTCGTTATAGCCTTCGGTGGGAGCGCTTTGTCGCAGTGGCGCGACCGGAAACCTGTCATCTTCGACATCGGATTCGAGATCATCCTTTTCTTCGTCATGTGGTACCTCTATTGATCTGCTCGTGTCCTTGGGCGTTTCGCTGTCGTGGGTTAAGTTGTTCTGCAGATCTCCGTTTGCAGCCTGCAATCCTTCCTCCGGGACATCTTCGACGCGCGCTCTTTTACTCGGCGGAGACGTGTCATTGATGACCCTCTCTAGAGGTTCTTCAGACTTGCGTTTCGACATGGTGGACCGCTTCGTCCATGCGAGATGAAATTCTCCAAGAGATATTTGACCCGGCAAAAAGCAAACGGTGCAAATAAGCTCCCCACCACAGGCAGACGCCTCGCCAAGGTGGGCCTTTTTCATTGCAAGACTCCGGTAACAGGAAAATATGACACGATATGTTCGAGTTTTGGATCAAGATCATGAATTAATCAAGCAATTCGTTTACAGATGGTGGTCAATGGACCGGGTATCATCGTGATCGTCAGTCGTTCAAATGGATGCCAACCCTTCCGACAACCCCAAGTAGACTATTAAATGTTGCCCCATCCGAATTGACGACCCAGACGGAGTGTCAAATGCGTGCTCGCCTTCCAAATCACGAAGTTGATTAAACCTTGCATACCAATAGTAATCGACCAATTTCCCATGAAGCGACACCAACCTGCGAAACTGAAGTTCTTCACCCAAGACCCGATGGGCCACACATCAGCGAGCAATGCATCTGCTCCAGTCATTCCAACTCTCGACTGATGAGTAAGATGATTCTGAGCAAGTGATCGCAGAAACAGGATTTCGAAGGGAAGCAACACGACTGTCTCGACAACGGAGGCAAGACTAAGAGCAAACATTTCCGCTGGGTGATTTGAAAGGATGGTGACACGATACTGTCCTTCTTCTCCATGGCGAAGATTTCTCGGCGGCTGTTGGCGATAGAGTAGTTCTTCCCGGACGGGCCGGAGGCCATGATCGATGTCCGTAGGTCGACGAATAGGTCTCGGATTTGTGAGGGGTAAACTGGCTGCTCGAGAAATGCCTGGGACAGGAGAACTAGGATCTGGGGAGTACTGACTAGGAGACGGACTGGAAAGAGCTGGAATAGGCGTGGACGGGCGCGGCCACGGATCGTCATCGGTGTCTGTTGAAGCAGCCTCGAGTAAGGTTTCAAGCGGAACGGTGGGCTGCGGAACAGCAGACTGCATGGTAATATCTTCCGGATCTGGAGACGTCGACACCACCAGAGACGTACTGATCCCACTTTGGGCATCGGCAGACTGGGCGTTTTCGGCTCTTGAGTTGTCTTCGATCTGGTCGGGGAGTGCTTGAGCTGTACTCGTGCCCGGCTCAACAACTAGTTCATCCCGAATATTGTTTTCGCTCCTTGGTTCTTGCATCGTTTGTGCCGCAGGCGGTAGGTCTGTTGGGTCGGGTGTCGAGGTCGACACATCACTAGCAGTATGTGAGCTCATTTCATCGGCCATGGCAAAAATATCCACGATGGCATGATCGGGGTCTAAGTTGTAGTCGTTAAAGGCGGAACGAATCGCCCTAACACGGAGCTGTCGCGGAGTGAGGTCCGACACGGTTTCGCGGTCCCGCTGAAGCATTTGTCGGCGGTACATCCTGCTCCGTTGGAGCAATTCCTCCTCGATATCTGGGCTTAACTCGACTGGCAGAGGAGCTCTCAGAGTTTGCAACAGTTTTTCCCAAAGCCAGAACGTGGCCGGAAACCACGTTCTGATGGCTTCCACCACCGCCTGGGCCCCGTAATAATCTCTACTGATTTGACTGCTCAAAGCCATGCGCGAGATAGTCGTGTCCTGGAAAGAGATGTTTTGTCTGGCGCTCAGAAGTGAGATGCGGTCAGGCCTGTCGGGTTTCACCACAAAATGGCGGGCGATCGCATAAAATTTTGTGAAGAGAAACTTGCCCACCCGGTCTTTGATGTAAGCAAGTAGAAATGGGTGGGAAACAATATTCATCGCGGAAGAGAACAACGAAGGCATCGAGCGACCGAGAGACAGCTCCGGAGCTTGAATGAGCGATGCCCTGGTAAACGGTATCAAGGATAGAAGATTTGGTGTGGTCTGGAGAGGCAGAAGGTAGAGTGACTGCAGGACGGAGAAGGCATAGAAAGGATATTGGACCGCAAACCAAAGAATTCGTAAGCTGCTCTGAATTAGCTGGAGGAAAAGTGTTCAGAAAAACCCTCTCACCTTTGGTTCCCGATCGTTCGGACGACCATTCCGCGCTCGGACAAAATGCTGGAAGATTGAAAGACATCGGGAAGACGGTCATCATCCAATACTTCATCTCTCAAAAATTCACTTAAGCTTGAAATCGTAGCCAACGGGATACCCGCAAAGAGGAAGGCTCTAGGTCCTAATATCCTCCATTCAGAAAGTATCATACTGGGGATGGGTAATCCCAGGTAAGATTTGTAGGTCTAGATAAGTCAGACATCAGAATGAGGATTTCCAGTTCAGCTTACAAGGAGTCGCCGGCGAAACGTCACTATCCAGCGCGTGGACAGTTTCTGAAGAAAGGTAACGAGCAAGCCAAAATGGGCGCCCAAGATGTTTTCGTCGAGAAGAAGCTGATGTTTCTGCTCATCGCTCATGGTTTGCCAGAAGGAGCGGTTCATCTTCTCTTTGCGAACAACGACGCCAACGGTGGATAAAGCGTCATTTTGCGCCCGCATAAATCTCCGACTCGAAGCCAGGGATGTCAAATTTTGGGGATGGCCTCGTGCGTCAAAATGTTGGACATAGTCACGACTGGTATCATGTTGTATGTTGGGACCGAGAAGGAAATCTCCATTGTCGTCTTGTTCGGGTGCCTCGAACGGCGACCTGCCCTGCAAGAACAGTCAGCATGCCTTCCAGAACCTCTTCGTGGTAGAAGCATGGTTTGCAAAAGACCAGGAGGACTGCCGGTCTTCCTCCAAAGAAAGCGTTTGAGCCGATAAGGGTTCTCTGTCAATACAAGTATCTTGGGGGCTGTCTCACCAAGGCCAGTCGGGTAAGGTGGGATTGGCGGCCCATTCTTCCAAAGTCGCAGGTATTCAGCGGCCGATAGAGGAAGGCAATCAGAGACAAGTCATAGAAGTGGAATAATTAATTGCATCGCGAACGAGTGCTCACTACTCACTGGCGAATAAGGCTTAATTCAACGAGTGGGCGCCCTTGAGAGAAATGTCGACAAATCTCAGGAAACAACGCGCACAGCGCTTCACAGTGACTAACCGGTTACCAACGGTGAGCGCTTCGCGCATCATACGTTGGAAGCAGCAGGTGGGATGGAGGATGTTGGGACGGACTGATGATTTTGTCGACCAGGATACTATTTCGCGGTAGTCACGAGTTCAAACTGGCAGTTCGTCATGATTTTAGCCAATTTCATACTAGCTCCATGTGGTTGTGACCAAATAGGTCTACTCGCTCAACTCCACTAACGCCAAGTAGTGTAATTGTGGGCTTGACAGAAAAGCTCTACTGCTGCCCAGACGATACACTGGATCTCGTACTTAGATGCGTAGATTAGGGATTATGTGGTCGGATACGAACAGCTATTGTACTATTGAATATCACACCAGGCCGGTTAGGCTGAATTGTGATAACAGCCCTCTCCTCACGGCTCTCCCTTTCCGTAACTGCCGATACTACCAGTATTGTCATGATGGAAGAGTCTTCTCCACAAAGGAGACCGTTTCTCTTCAAACTTCGGCTCGTCGCTATCCTCGCTCTCCGCGCCGCCATCTTTGGAACCTCCGTCAACCTTCTTCAGGCTTTTCTTGTATTTTCTTTTCAAATTCTCGAGCTGCTTTTCTCCTTCTTCCTTCTCCTTCCGCCAGCGTTCCAGGGCGGTTCTCAGTGATTCTCCTTTTTGCAGGTGTTGTTCAACATTGCCAATGCGTGGGACCATCAGGAACCGCTCTAGGTTGAGTGTTTTGTATTGCTCTTCGGCCTGACGGAGCTCGCGGAGCTGTTTCTCTCTCTTATATCGCTGTTCGGTCTCATTTTCTTTGTGGCCCTGTTTTGCCTGAGATGCTGCAAATCGGGTGCCCACAGACGTCGTGGATTTCCGTTCATCCTCCTCTGTCCGGAGTTCGCGGTCAAGGCGCCGGAATGGATACAACGGGAGGGTATATAAGAGAAGTTTGACAAGATCAAACAGGTTGACGACCACAATGTGGAGGATCTGGACCAGGAGGTAAAATGGGAGAGTAAACGCCCCGAGGACAACCTTGAAAGTGTCGTTCCACCATTTCTGTTTCTGCCTGAGCATTTCCCTGTGCCTCCTCCTCTCCTCCACAGCCGTGTACGGGCCTTGGATAGGACGGTCCCCGTTGTCGTCGGCACTATTGATCCTCTCCGGTCCATCTTTTGCGAGCGACTTCTTGTGTTTCTTTCCCCTCTTTCTTCTTCGTAGCAATTCCCGGCTGTGTATGCGTTCCGCGACGATGACGCGAGCAGTGAGGACCATGTTGGATGGGACCTTGACAAACCATGTGTCGAGAGCGCGGAGTACACTCCACCATTGACTTTTTGCGTGCTCCATTGCGAATCCATCCGGGGGTAATCCCAAAATCTTGTTCTTGTATTTCGTCATAATGCGCATTGGTGTTCCCGCATTGAGGACGAAGATGATGGTGGCCACCAGGGCCACAAAAGCGGCGATCAAGAATGAATTGACTGTCGGATTGTCGGGTGCACCTCCCATCGAGAAAATGCTGGATGCGAAACTCAGCGGCAGGAAAACAACGGTCGCGTAGGTAAAAATACGGACGTCGTCGGCCGAGCGATTTGATACTCGTGCCTCTTTCAGGTTCAAGTCATCAAGGAGCCACTGGCGTAGCTGCGTGATATGGTCAATCCTGTTTTTGACATGGTCGTGCATGTAATCAAGAGCCTTGACATTGGCGGTACCCTCGCGCTCCCAGATATCGATCTCTTCCCGATAGGCGGCTTCGTCGTCCCGTGTCCAACGCGGCTGCGTCTCCCGGAAGGCTGCCCTGGTTGTCCAACTTCTTGTCATATTCCTGATGGCTTCGAGGCTGTCCTTCACATCGAAAAGCAGTTTAATCAGATCGCCGTAGAGAAGGTAAGTCTCCTTGTTCTGGTCAAACGTCCTGCTAAAGCTGTCGTACTTGTTCAAACTGTAAAACCGATTGTCCTGCAAAAAGAATCAGCCAGACCATCCCGGTATCGGGTGAAGCGACCCTACCTTTTCTCCAGAGACTTCCGCAACATAATCCAGGATCCCTTTCGTCTCATTCACCATGGTCTCGGTCGCTTTGGCAAACCATCTCGCCTCTAATATCTTTCGTTGACTATGCCGCGTGTTCTTATTTCCTTCTCCAGAAGGAGCAACAAGATCAAAGGAATTCTCGTCAGCAAACCATCGGCGGTTGCCACGAGGCATATAAACGAGAACATGGCTCGTCCAGTAGCGGTCATTGAGGTCCCCGACAAAGTGAATGCTGATCGCCGCCGTGTCGATACACCAGTCTTCCCGACCGGGGCAGGGCAATCCTACCCCGTCAAAAATTGAGTTCTGGGGGCTCCCCTCTCCATCTTCTTCGTCACTGCTGTCGTCGCTGCTGTCATCGAGATCTGCCGGAGTCTTTCTGAAGACACTGTAGAAGCCGAAATGGAGCTCCGTGACCCAGGTGTTGGCATGTCTTCGTGTCTGTGGGGTGGACAAATTATTACTCGGAAATAGTGTGACATCTTGGAGTTCGAAAACTTACCTCATCGTGCAAGAACATCCCTCGTTTTTGATGGCGTTCCAGAAATTCGGGGAGATAGAACTTCTCAACGCCGGCAGCTCCTAGCATCAACGCTAGGGCCGTGCGAGGAGCACAATTGTAGACATATCTGCACAGGGGATTCGTCAGCACTGCAGAAGACGATCATCCAAACACTTGGCTGCCAGAAATTTTCAGAATTACTCAGCGAGGTGCACTGAGAGAAAACGCCGCATTCCTCGGCCGGAAGACAATTTTATCCCATCAAAGGGGTTCGACCGACCGACCGTCATTTAACAGCTTTAACTGCGCCTTGCTCCGTGAAAGCGTCTCGATGCGGGTTTCCACCAAAGGCAACTCCTGACAATCTTGGAAATCGGCGTCGGGCAGCGCTGAAGATGAGCAGGTTTTGAGTGTGAGTCTGACTTACATCAACCGCTTCTTGATCTCATTCCTCTCTCTCTTGCTTCGAAGCTTTTCGAGGAGCTCTTCAGCAAAGTAAAGCCGTTCTTTTATCACTGTGCCAACCTTCCAGCCATTTTCTGTACCTGACCGGATAACTTCGTTGACAGCAGAAGTGTTTGCACGAAAACTGTCTTGCCCAAAGGAATGATCGTTGGCTTCAAACTGCGCGATGCATTTGGCAATAACCTTGAATTCGCTGTTCGGAAAATCATCGTCTAGGCTGAGCTCTCTTTTGAGACTCTGAACATCCTGGCGAAGTACCTCCTTGTCGCAAGAGCGATCTTCGGTAGTGAAGAAATCCGGATCATCAAATAACCATGCGGGCTCGCAGGGATTTTCGAGAATATTTGCTTCGTTGACCTTGGCATAGAATCCACGTTTCTTGATGGATCGGACAGACTTTTCATACTTGAAATTCTTTCGAAGATGTCTCTGAGACGATCCAGGTAGCTCGAAGCTGCCATCGTCGCCAACATTCCAAAAGCATCGTGTCGGATTCATCAGAAGGTGACGGTATTTCTGGCGAAGTAGGAAATGGGGAACGGTAAACATTGTCTGTTTACGTTTTCGATATTCCCGAGGACGGGGAGTCTTCGTAGCGGGCTCCAACTCTTCCGCGACTCTTCCGTCAATGAGAACACTTCTCAAGATGGTTGACGTACAAACTCGCACCATTTCCCTTGCGTCCATAGATTGGTCGATGGAGAATTCGGAATTCGAAGCCAGAATAAGCGCTAAAATGTACCTGTGCGGCTTTTTCCAGAGTGCTGCGTGCTGAAAGGTCTGTAGCTCCAAAGTTTGCCTCCACTCGTCCATTCGATTGTTAGGACCTTCATTCACAGGCGTCTTATTAAAGATACCACCATCGTATCCTTCACAAAGGATCATGCTGTCGGCAGTCCAGTGGAATCGTGGTTTCTGTTTCCCCGAACGACTGACTGCAATTAGACGCCTGCTCATTTCGCCAGTTGAGTCTTGGGGGGTTCCTCCTTGAGCTCTCAACTGCAGCAAGTCACGAGGCTGGAATGTATGGTTAAAGCTAAAACGGTCGAGGATCAGATTTCGCAATCCAACCACAGAGAACAGGTGTCGGAGTTGACTATCCTTGAGAACGTCATTCAACTTCGTCGACAAATCTGAGACGCGGTAAGAGGGGCATGATTGTCCAGAATCCGCCATCGTGCGAATAGCACCGAGGGTCTGCCAGATAAGTACCGACTGACAGAGATCATACTGGGGTACGATGATCTTATGGGGATTCTGATAGGAGTCTTCCCCCTTTTCAAGGCAGACTACCTGCCTGCCCTCTTCCCAAAGCCCAGATTTAGTGTTCTGAGATAATTTCAGGTGAGTGAGCCACCCTTTCAATCTTTTGGTAAGCTTTTCAAAGATGAAATCCTGGTCAACTGGAAGCTTCTCCCCGGCTTCGAAAAGCTTGAGAAAGTGTAGGCAACCTTGAATATAGTCATCCTCGACAGAGAGCATCGAGCCAAATGGTCGGTATTTCTTGGCCCACGTGCCTGAACGAGTTGTTTGAGCTATGTCAAAGCACCAATCCAAGTGACCCGTGCAGATTTGGATGATGTGCGTCTGTAGTGCCTTTTTCAAAGAATCATCGGCCACTTCACCTTTTTCGAGCAACCGATACATGTCAACAAGGAAACGGAACTGGAATCTATGATGATCAGTCATCCATATCCAAGAGTGCGAAAGACCTTACAAGCTGGATTTACTGTATTTGTTGTTCTCGAGAAAATGGCCGTCGGAGAAAAAGTAGGCCGCACGCACTTCTCCTTTGCTGCTCCAGTGAATAGGAATTGTGGTAACGAGCAGCAAGTGCTGAAGATGACGGCGAAATAGGAAACTTGAGTCCGCGCCGCCAAATGACCCCTTCCAATGTCCGTAACAGCTCATTCGTAGATATTCTTTGGTGTCTATGTACAGCGGATCTTCCAAATGTCAGCAGATTTCGTCATATCAATGAGGAGCCTTACCGTTTTCTCGCCTGATTTGCGTTCGTATCCGTGCAAATGCCTCTTCCAATCTCGAGTCTTGAGCCTGCCATCTGTTTGGGCGAGAGCCTCTTGCAAACAGAGGGATTCTGAATGATGCGATTGAATATTGTGAGGGTTCATATTCTTGTTCCCACTCCATACCGAAGAGCCGGTGGGAGGAAAACGTCTCCCCGCCCCAATTGGAAAAAGGCTTAATATTCCTCGTTTGGCCAAGGTCAGGGCCGTCTCTTGTTGATTCATTTGCGACTTCTTTTGTGGGTAGGCCTTCATCTAAGAGGAGTCGTGCACTTGCCAAATCATTGGACGCTTTGTACTTTTCATACTCTTCCATGAATGTTCTTTCATCCTGACGCTGTTCCTTGTACAACTCTCGTGGCTTGTTTGCGATCAGGTCCATGGAAAAAACTTCCTCACGTTGCCAGGGAACATGGTCAAGATGATAAATGGCAGTAACAGTACGTATCTCCCCTGGATGCATTCGAACACGGTGTTCATGGACTATCCCCAGGATTTTCTTGGCCTTTAGGGTGACATTTTCTTTCTCAACATCGCTCTCATCCGAGTTGTCACTATAAAAGGACGGATCTTTGTCATCGGTCCAGGAAGGTTTCAGAGGAACTGGTCGGCCATCTGCAAAGAGTGATGCATAGAATCGAACGTAACCTCCAGGCCCACCAGCAAGAGCAACCGCCGTAGGGCCCGTTGTGAAAAGTTCACCGTTCGCATTGCACGCATTTATCAGTCTCCCATCATTCATAAAAGGTGCTTCGACAAGGATCCCCATGTCGAAGATAAAGTCGACGTCGACAGTAGAACTGCTTGCCAAAGTATAATGCTGGATGACCTTCCCGTCTTTGATGGACCATTGGACCAGAGCACCAAATTTTTGATAGTTTGATGATATTCGAGGCCATCGATCGTGCACATACTCCACGTTGTGGGTTCCACTCTTGAGAGACTCCCCGTGAAAAAGCCTCAGACCCATACCATATTTCTCACCCCGAACAACTTCAGTCAGGGCGGACTCATTATAGTAGTTAGGTCTTGCCCGGAATAAACCGGAGGGTCCGAGGTCGAGCATCTTCACAATACAAATGAGCTCGCCTCGCTCGTTGACATATGCTACCGTCCCGTTTCCGTCTCCCAAAGCAATGTCAGTTGGAACGCTTGGCGAAGGGCCCGGAGGGGCCCTGAGAATGCATTCTGGGCTCAACTGGCAATCATCTCGAAGCCTTGATTCAGGCGATTCCGGTGGCTGAGAGGCTATATCTGCAGACGTAAGCGCGTCGAAGCGTGTCAAAGGAATGGGTTCAAACCCCTGGCAACCAGTCTATTTGTGTCGTTCGACAACAGAGATTGGTTATTTACCCTCTGATCCTCTGGGTAGCTTCCATAGAAATAGAGAACAGAGCGTTGACCCCGAAGCCGTCCAATATGAGCAGCATTGGTTACAGGCGCAAAGTCGGCGGTCACAATGCCAGCCTTATCGCCCTCCTGCTCACCGACCTGGTCAACGACAGCGTGATCGAGCAGATCACCGTTAACATCTCCAGGTGGTTCTGAGTTCATAGCTCGTGTGCCAACCTAAGCTCCGAACCAGCAACGATGGCTGAAGAGGAAGGAGGCACATTGTGACCGATGTCTGAAGAGTCGAACTTGGAGCCCATCGATGGCTAGTGCCCATTGAGACGTGAGGCGGGGGCACAGAGTTGCTTCGGCCACAAAATCGCTCGCCAATAAAAAAAAAAAACCTAAAGGTGCAGATCGCTTGGGGCGGAAAGGCTAGTGAGGCTGACGGTCAAACAATGCATATAGCGCGGTTGTTCCCTGCCGATAACGATCATCTAGTAACCCCCTAGGCTCGACGGATCATTAGGCTCATAGCCGACCAATCCGATGTTGACAACTAGACAGAGGACTTGGGCCTGTTGACGTGAAAGGTCGGAGACCAATCACGTCATGTTTGGCAAGGCTGGGAGCCGCAACGCATCTCATGCGATGGGGGAGGAAGAATGACTGGTCGGCTGTACCTGATCAATCAAAGAAGGTCATATACTATGTATGTCTTTTGAATAGCCATATGTATTGATCTCCCTGGCACATAAAAAAGGATCTTGCTTAATTTCAGTAGTGTACGGTACCACCCCTACATGTATTAACGGTCTCGCTAACCTAAAGTAGCACTAGTGCAACCTTGAAATTCTAACCATTCATGGAGATCTCACATCGACAAACAAATTTTTTATATCCGTGGCGACAACCTGCCACTTGGACTTCCAGAGACTTGAAACCTCCCAGAGCCGGACTGCTCTGTCTGCACACCTTGGGTTTGTCAATCATACCATCTGCCGATATGGCTACAACATAAACGACAGCAAGAAAATGGCCACCAAAGTCAACTTCCAGACCACGTTCGAAGCGGCCAGGACCATCGAGCCGATTTATACTGGCGGCGATGTATCTCACAATTCCGCCGGGACGCTGATTGCGACATGTATCGAAGAATATGTCTTGATTGTCGGCGTGCGCACTGGCAAAGTCCTGTGTCGAATAGAAGGAGATGGAGAACCAGTGACAAGCTTGTGTCTGGCTCCCAACGCGGCGCACTTGGTTATTTGTTCCCGATCCCTTTCTCTCCGAATATATGCCCTCGCTTCCGGAGAAGAATCTGACACTTTGATTCCTCATCTCTCCCGCACTCTCAAACCACACACTGCCCCTGTCGTGTCTTCTGCGATTGATGCAACAGGATCACTTCTCGCAAGTGGAGGTGCGGACGGAGTTGTCAAAGTGTGGGACGTAAGAGGAGGTTATGCCTCCCACACCTTCCATGGCCATGGAGGTGTCGTTTCTGCATTGCATTTCTTTGAGTTAAAATCGAGCGATTCATCTACACAAAATGGCATAACGCCAAACCGAAAAAGAAAGAGCCGCGATGGAGAGCGAATGGATGTTGATGGCCCGTCTCCCGCCCGGCTCCTCTACCTTGCATCTGCTGGCGAGGATGGAAAAATTCGGATATGGAATTTAGTCAGTCGGAAGTCTGTTGCGATCCTCGATTCACATGTCAGTGTCGTTCGAGTTCTGCAGTATTCTAAAGACCAAGATGTTCTCTTATCAGCCAGCCGGGACAGGACAATGATACTCTGGGAGTCCCAAACGTGGACACAGCACAAAGTCATACCGGCACTTGAAGTTATAGAGACAGCAGGTTTCCTTCTGGGTGGCCTATTCTTTTACAGTGGAGGAGAGAACGGGGTCCTGAGAGTGTGGAGGACCGTCACCGGGCGTGAAGTCACGCCCAAGCCGAAACCCGGCCTCGAGAATGACACCATCACAGCCAGTGTACAAATCGTCGAAGATGATGCACTTCTCTCCATACATCAAGATCACACCATGAGATTGCACAATATCTCCCCGCTTCGAAGGCTCCAAGAAGCTGAATTGCTCGGTGTCCTCCCTATGATCAGAACGATTTCGGGAAACTATGATGAAGTGATCGATATGGCTTGTGTCGGACAGGGTCGAACATTACTAGCCCTTGCCACCAACACGGAGAGCATCAAATTGATTTCAATTGCAGAGAACGACACCGAGACTACGGAATCCTCCAGTGCCAGGACTTTCGGCAACGATGTAGCTCTCCTTGAAGGGCATGAAGACATTATCATATGTCTAGACGTAGACTGGTCAGGCTTCTGGCTGGCCACCGGTGCAAAGGACAACACGGCGAGACTATGGCGGTTGGATCCTACTTCTTCATCATATTCTTGTTTCTCCACTTTCGCCGGACATGCAGGATCCCTCGGGGCTATCGCCTTACCGAGAAGTCCGCCCCTTGATGGAGCCGCTTCCAGGAACCCTGCGGACCATCCTCCAGCATTTCTGCTCACGGGGTCTCAAGATAAAACCATAAAGCGGTGGGATACTGCAAAGCTACAATACTCTCCGTCAGCGACGGAGCCGCATTCTGGAGTCAAAGCCTTGTTCACAAGAGTGGCGCATGAGAAAGACATCAATGCGATCGACGTCTCGCCAGTCGCCCCATTATTTGCCTCTGCGTCTCAAGATCGGACTATCAAGATCTGGTCGTTAGAAGACGGATCTGTGGCCAGTATCCTTCGCGGGCATAGGCGTGGAGTATGGTCCATCCGATTTTCTCCAGCCGGCACCCCTCCGCTCGCTCTCGCAGACGGAGGTTCAAGTGGCCCTCGTGGACTCCTCGTGAGCGGATCTGGTGATCGCACGATCAAAGTCTGGTCACTGTCGACATATACGTGTCTTCACACTTTCGAAGGCCACAGCAATTCCGTGCTCAAAGTCATCTGGATTCCACCGACGAGTTCCTCCTCAGATTCAGAATCTTCTTCAGACCCCCGACAACAACCTCGACCTAATAATCAACCTCTGATCGCATCTGCCTCGTCAGATTCCCTGGTCAAGCTCTGGTCTCCATACTCATCCCTAGATTCCGACCATCTTCTCGCCACCCTCGACAACCATACTGACCGAGTCTGGGCACTGACAGCACCCAACTCCTATCTCACAAATACATCCACATCCACATCCCCACGTCCGGCACCATCCTATCCCTACCCCTTGATTTCCGGCGCCGCAGACGCAACCGTAACATTCTGGCGCGACACGACGATCCAAACCGCAACCCTCGCCTCGAAACGCGCAACCGAGCGCATCGAACAAGACCAACAACTTCAAAACCACATTTTTGCCAGAAACTACCGCGAAGCCATCACATTGTCCTTAGTACTAAACCACCCAGGCCGCCTACTCGGGGTCTTCGAAGACTTGGTCAACCTGCCCGACGCCGAGAAAGACAGCTCCAGCATCATGGGGGTCAGGGCCGTCGACGAGGTCCTCGCATCGCTTGATCACCAGCAGATCTTCACCCTCTTGGAGCGAGTGCGTGATTGGAACACCAACGCACGCACCGCGCCCGTAGCACAAACAGTGCTGAATTGCTTGTTGAAAAGCTATCCGGCGAGCATTTTCGTGGATATGGCGAGAGAGCGGGGCTTAGGAGGCACGTCTGGTGACAAAAGCAACAGCAAGGGGAGAGGGGGGATGAAGGAGTTGCTGCGTGCTTTAGAGGTGTATACTGAGCGGCATTACAAGAGGATGGAGGATCTAGTGGACGAGAGTTACTTGATTGAGTACACGTTGAGAGAGATGGATGAGGTTGCTGGAGTGTCGGCGACGGGAGGAATCGGTGGGCTCTTCTTGCCGAATGGAATTGGGAATGCCGGTGCCAATGGCGGTGCAAAGGGGTTGGATGAAGATATCGTCATGGTTTGACGTCGTGTAGAACAAACAAAGATCATTATTATTTTTCTCTGATATGGGATCAAGTCATCTTCTGTCCCGATGATGGTGATCGCTGTCCCTGTCCATATCTTTATCACGATTTCTGCGATTTCGATAAGAGGGACTCGAATCATACCTGTCTTCGTCCCGGTAGCGGTCTCGATGCTTGTTCCGATGACGGCTATCGTAGTCGCCGTCTTCCTGCCTTCTTCTATTCTCTTCCCGCCTCGACCTCGAATGGTCATAGTCACGATCGTAGTCACGGTCATCCTTGTCCCTCTTCGATCGAGAGTATTCCCGATCATCCCGGTCTCGTTTGGACGAGCGAGACCGAGAGAAAGAGTTCATTTGGTCGCGATAATCGTCGTTTCCATTAGTTAGGCCTCTTCGATCACGGTCGCGATCACGGTCACGATCTCGACCGTCGCTCTCGAGATTGCGGTCTCGTCGTTTTCGCCAATCCTCTTCATCCTTGGTTCCTTTGGACTCCTTGATTCGTCTCTGCAACTCTTCCTCAGATATTCTTTCTCCTGTCGCTTTGTTCTCTCGCATCAGCGGGGTGAAGAAGCCCTGGCCCTTGTTGTTCTTGCGCATTTCGGTCTTACCCCAGGCGCCCAATTCTATGTCGGTTCCAGGTGCGGCTTTTGCACCAATCCCAAGAAACCCTTCTTGTTTCCGCAGCTTTCGCGGGTTGCCATCTGATGCCGAGATCAAGTTGATGACCTCGCCGTTGGCACGACGTTTCTGCCCCATGCCTCTTAGCATGGCCATACCGAACTCTTCCACAGGCATAGCGGCATATTCTTCTAAGGTACTGGAATCTGGTCTTGACGCCACGTCGTCTCGGAAGTCTTCGATCTCGTCGCGAGACGAGAGTTGCGTATTTCCTTGTTGACCGATGACCGCCTTCGACTTTGGCTTGTCAGGCCTATCATCCAAAAGGGCCTGCAAAGCCTCCTCATCTGCTGTTAACTCTTTCCGTGGTTTCTCCTCCAGCTCAGTCGTTGTAGGTTGCTGTTTACCATTCGTTTCCGGCTCTTTCGTTTCGCCCCCATTTTGTGCAAACTGAAGTCCACCCGCCGTGCTGACTTCATCTCTTTCGATCACGACAACACCACCGGCTGCTTGCCGTGCTTGAACACCTGCAGGAAGAATGTTTTTGTGTCCTCGCCTGCGCCAGTCACTGTTGCCGGTATTTTTAATGACTAACTCTTTCGATTCCTGTACAGGTTGACTTAGAACAGCACCACTTGACGAAAAGCCAGTGACTGACTCGTGCCTAGGTTCTTCCTCATCTTCGTAGTCTGAATCATGGCAGAGCGCAGTTCGCGAAGGGCCATTCGAGGCGACATGTCTCCGAGCAAGCAGGCCTCCACCCTGAACGGGCGTGGCGGGCTTTTGCTTGCCAAAACCGAATGAAATGGACTTCGACATGGCTTTTGAAACGATAGAGACACCTCGCTATCATCTATTAGAGAGTCAAAGTAGCGACGTCACACAGAGATTTGAGAGATGTTCGGGAGACTTTCCTCTCCAATAGAGAAATACATGTATTGCGGTAAAACATACCAAGCCCTCTAACAAGCATGCCAAGACTGCGTGTCGGGATTTACGAGTTCGAAGTCTGGCGGGCCTCCGCCCGACCAAGTGTGTTTGACAGACGCGCTGGGCAGATACTACCAACACAAGGCCATTTTCGAAGTTCGCCGTTCTTGTCAACGGCAGCAGCGTGTCACCTCTTACCGATGTCTCATAATCTCCCCTATAAATCCTAACTGAGGACTTGTCGGAGGCTGATTCGAATCTTGTATGACACATTGAACGAACGTCCTGGCAACATGGCGAACGCCGATTTGGCCCTTCTTGGGACGTTCCAGAAACACATTGAGGATATGCGAAACCTGTCTCTATGTAAAATTTGCATAAAACCCTTCTACGAACCATTCGTCCTCGCATGCGGCCACACATATTGCTATTCATGTCTTGCTGGCTGGTTTGGTGGACCGCAAGCCAGAAAGAGAAAGAAAAATTGTCCAGATTGCCGGGTCGAAGTGACGGTCCAACCATCTCCCAACTACCTCCTGCGAGATCTCGTCCATATGTTCATCAGCCGGGCCGAACTCCTCCCCGAAGATGAGACTGTCCAAGAACATCAGCAGGCAAAGGAAGACGAGGCGTCTGTTCTAGCTGCGGACCGCGCCGGAGGCGGTTTGTTCAAGGGTGCTTTCAAACGCCTCCGGCCAGGATACGATCACTGGAACCGGGGCTTTTACGACCCGGGAGATAATATTCTTCGATGTCCTGATTGTCACTGGGAGTTGGAAGATGGTGAATGTCTTCATTGTGGTTTTCGTGTATATCAACACGATGAGATTGGTACAGACGGAGATTCTGGAGGAGAATCACAAAGCTTACGTACACTCGATTCTGAGTTTGATGACGATGAGGATGAGAACGACGGCGACTTTGAGGCTGGCATGGAGCCTGACCACTACCATCAGTGGCATACCGAAGACGACGCGTCTGCAGCAGAAACAACCGCCGCTGATAATGATTACTACGATGAGGACGACGGTATGGACGGATTCATTGAACCCGATGAGGACGATAACGAAGACGAAGATGCTAGTAGTATATCCACAACGGCCACTATCAATGGGGCTCGACCAGTTGTTAACAATCGAAGACATGGCTTTGGTACAGGAGCCCGAAGAGAGCGGTCTTCCAGATTTTATGGGGGAGAAGACGATTATGACGATGAGGACCACGAGACCGATACGCATCCCACAACAGATGAAGGACATTCTCGTACTAATATGAATTATGACGAAGCTACAGAAGGCTCGGGCCAGGAGAACCACTATCCACCTATCCAAAGAAACAGGAGGTCACGCATTCGAATCGTCATAAGCGATGACGATGACGAAGAAGGTCTACGAAATGGTGAGGAAGATTCACAAACGGAAGAAATAACAACTGAGGATTCTGAAGATGGTGACGAAGAAGAGGAATCGCCAGAAAATTCCGAAGATGGATATGGAGAAGAACAATACGAGTCCGAAGACTCGGATGTTCGGCCGCCACAGCCATCAGCACGGCGTAGGCAGCATCTGCAAAGCCAACGAGCTAGGCGGAGCAATCACAGCTATCAGCCACATGTTCGGAGCCATAGAGGCCAGCAGAGTCACCCTCCGGCCAGCGACGTGAGGCAGCATCACCATATTCGTCACCGAAGTAACATTTCTCAATTGAGCGGTCTGGGTCGACTGGGGGTATATGAACGGCGACTACCGGGGATTAGAAACTTCTGAATCACGATGACGACTCTGCGGATTGTCAAACGGTAACTAGCAAGGCGTTTTGCAGGAGCATCTTCTTGGGAACCAAAAAAGCAGACGTCGAGAGTACAGCTCACGCTATAGTTGAATCTCCTTTGAATCTCGAGTAGGGGTAAAAAATACCCCGAGTCACGGATAAGATAGATGCATCATCATTCAATCGATACCCATTTGATTAGAGACCCTATTTGCGCCGCGCTATGCATGTGTATCATGGGACATATTCCACACCGGGGCCGGTGCTTAGGCAGCCAAGACTTGCTTGCTGGTGTCGTACTCCATGTCCACGATTCCGTCCTTTTTGACCACTTTGACTGTCATCCCCTTGAAATCGATAGGTAGTCTTCGCTGCAGCTCATCCGTACACATGCGTAGGATCTTCATCCCCTGCTCGAATGAAATGTCTGGATGGTGGTGCTTGTCCAGGATCGAGAGGCAATAATATCTGGGCGATGGTCAGTCAAGCAACCACAAAGTTCATTATGTATCGCGGGCACTTACTGGGCATATCCATGAGCAGCATACGGCACCTTCGCACTGCTGGCGAGATAATCCAACCAGTACAAGCTTGGCCGCTTGGTGATCGGATCCATGCCGCCCAGCAGCAGATTCACACTGTATGGCTTCCTGCTCCGCAGACTTTTGGCCAGTTCGCCTCGAACGTAGCTAGCGACTGCGCCTGGTCCCAGCTCTGCCTCATTCCTCATCGTGTACAGTGCGATGTTTGCTTGAATCAACTCGGCGAATTGAACTGTGTCACCCGCCTCACCGGAGAATGCGAGGAGTGTGTGCTTATTGAGTTGTCTGGTCTTATCATCTGATGATTTCAATATCGTGGCGCCGCGCATGGCTGCTTTCGAGGCGGCGATGATTGTGAAATCACGGCCTGTGAGGCCGAGTAGAACTTCCCTGGGATTTGAATGTTAAGCTCTCTGCTTCTTGCGAAGGAGTTGACTCGTGTGGGCTTACATTTTGAGTGCAAAATGAGTAGAGTGGCTCTAGATGATCTCAGAAATGTTCTTGAGGAACGGACTTGAAGGTATTGGAAGGCGTAGAATGTGACCGTGGTCAATTATTGAATCAGACACGCACGCGAAGCTCTGCCTTGGGGATGTCCAGTCTAGGAAGGTGCGGCGGGATTTCCAACTACGAGGCTCTCAAAATTTTTTGGGAGACAAAATACAAACCCTCGACATGCACTACAGCAACTAGACGGCCCAATCTCTGGGACATATGACCTTGTAACACTAATATGTCTTCCTTCTTTACTCTTCCACCCTCTCGACGGAAGCGGAAGCGAAGGAATGAGAGCCCGACAAAAGCAAGAAAAAGGCGCGAAGTAGACCAAGCCGGAACACACGACGAACAAGACGACGGGGCCCGTCGAAGGCCGATACGACCACAGAAAAGAGATCGAGACGAATCGATATCCGGAAGCGATTTTGAGGACAATGGAGAACCTGTGACTGATGATGAATCAGACGCTACTTCGGAGGAGGGCGAGACCGCCGCAGACAGACGTATGAGGCTTGCGCAGCGATACCTCGACAACATCAGACAAGAGATAGACGAGGTCGGCTTCGATGCCGAAGACCTTGACAAAGACTTAATCGCACAAAGATTGAAGGAAGATGTTGACGAGGCGAAAGGGAGACAATACAGGTTGATTGCCTCAAATCTGGACTTCGCCAATGCCACACACTGTGCCTTTCGCGCAGATACAGAGAGCACTACTGGAGTGGCCGTGTGCCCCCCTTATGCATACACCGTGAGCAGAGATAAAACTTTGATCAAATGGCAACTCCAACCACCGGCTTTCCCAACAGACAGTAAAGGTCCCGCAGCGCCCCGAAGGCGGCGACCGAAGCAACTACACTATGTTAAGGGCATCAAGATCAGGGTCCTTGCACCGCAACAGCACGGCCATACGGGAGCTATATTGTCGGTCGCCGCTTCACCGGATGGAAGGTATGTGGCTACCGGAGGAGCGGATAAGAAGTTGATCATTTGGTCTGCCGAAGAGTTGAGGCCACTCAAGACATTCACAACCCACCGAGACGGAGTCACCGGTCTCGCATTTGCACCAAGTTCGGCAACGCAATCGGGATTTGGAGTGCAGCTTTTTAGCGCAAGTATGGACCGATCGTTGAAGACATATAGCCTAGCTGGCGAGGACAGCCTTGCTTATGTGGAAACTCTCTTTGGCCACCAGGACCACGTTGTGGATATTTCGCCAATTTCGGTAGATCAGTGTGTCACGGTCGGAGCCCGAGATCGAAAAGCCTTGTGGTGGAAAGTGGTGGACGAATCCCTCACCAAATTCCTCGGTGACAGTTCCAAAAATGAGGAGTATCAGACCGGAAGTTTGGACTGTGTGGCAGCACTGCCTCCACAGAATTTCGTGACAGGCTCTGACTCGGGAGCAATCAGTCTCTGGAGTATGCATCGAAAGAAGGCCCTCTTTACCATCCAAACCGCTCATGGTGTCGACGAGCCACCTCCACTCGAAGAAGTGACGTCGGAATCGGACCCAGCTGTGATTCAAAGACTGAAGAAGAATGATGGGAGGAGACCTATAGCAAGAGCCATAACTGCGTTGGCCGCTGTACCGGGAACAGATGTTGTCCTGAGCGGGAGCTGGGATGGATGGATTCGAATATGGAAGCTGAGTGATGACAAAAGATCCTTGTTGCCTCTCGGTACAGTCGGTCGGCCTGGCCAGCGTCCCGAAACTCTGAATGGGCACGCGAATGGAGATTCAAATTCGACCAGTATTTCTTCAGCTGCCTCAACAAACTCTGAAGTCACCTCAGGCCCGATACGAGGCGTCGTCAACTCGCTTGCTGTGTTTGAGAGAAGAAAAGAAATCGCGAGCGAGCTGGGAGGGACAAAAGAGGGTGGATGTCAAGGAATTTGCATCGTTGCCGGCACGGGGAAGGAGATGAGGCTAGGACGGTGGATGAGGATACCTCACGGCAGAAATGGGGCAATGGTGTTTGAAGTACCATTGCGGAGAGATGCCAAATAGAAATGTCGACTATGTCGGCCCGGGATGTAATGGGAGGATGGATTGCTATCCGTTGAAGACGCGAAGTCGACCCGATGCAGAGAAAGTCGACAAGGCTGTATGCACGTGACCCATCGACCCCTCCAACCACCAGGGGCTTGGCGGGCGCCACCACCAAAACTCGTTCCGGTCGAGCTTCAGCTTCTTCTTTTCTTCTGTTCAGATCAAAAATGTTAACAGAGCCAGCCACGACCGTCGTTTCGTATTCTTCCACAGCGATGTGTTGCCATGAGTTCTCTCGAACTCGGTGGCCCTGGAGAATAATCTTCTTTTCCTTGTAGGAAGTTTCTTTCTCGTTGGGTCCTCTTTAGTGAGGGCGATGAGCTTGAAATGTCGATTTATGGGAAACATTCCCTTTTAATCCCCCATGGGCATTGATAATTGCCGGGGCCTGCATCCAGAATCCAGGACCAAGCATCGCACCTGAGCTCGAATGACGAAGACTCGAATGGTCGACCCATCCAGCCAGTCCCATCCCTTCGATCGAGCATCAGTCACAAATCATATCCAGCTTGACGAATGTCCAATCTCCAAGGCATTCTTGAGTACGCCGTGGAGACGTGCTCTCATTCCCCAACCATGTCCTTTCCCCAATGAGACGGTTGTTGTAGTCTATTTGCATTCCAAACACATCGCTATGCGGAGCTCGTCATCGCGCGGTGACCGCACCAAGGTAAATATCATTGCTTGCTACACCATCGTTGATGTGTCCTTCTTCCAGCTCGATTGAGACTGGTACACGTGTTTGGAAAGTGCTTTCTCGCTCTCAAATCACTCATTTGTATCGTTCGTTTTGATTATTGTTTCCTTCTCAACAGAAACGTACGAATTACGTCAGGTCCATCCTATTCACTCTTTCAAAATGAAGCAATATACAAGAACTATACCAATAGCGGCACTTCTGGCTGCGAGTGCCAATGGGCAGACCACGAGCGTCGTCGGTGACCTGCAAAGTAACGGTACTACAACTGTTACCCATTCAGTCTGCCCAACCGCTCTGACCACTACCACTTCGCCGAGCACAATTACCTATTGTCCAGGACTCGGCTGCAATGGAGGTGGTCCACGGATCACCCCTCCTTCACAAGGTCCATATGGTGGCTCCGAGGTTCTCGTTTTCACTACCACCGGTCCCGACGGAAATTTTTCGGAGTACCGCGAATTCCTCACCGTTTACGACCAGATTTGCCCAGCTGGAGCTTGCATCAAACAGGCAACTTGCACCATCATGGAAGAGTGTCCATGCCACGTGACGAAGAATCCGTCTTCCATTCCATCGGGATTCACCACAACAGTTGTTGCCTGCGACGTTTGTGCTAATGGCGGACCTACTGTTCTTACTCTTACAACACCATGTGCTACGGGCCCTTATGCTACCGTCACTCCAGACGTTGATTCTGACACTGGCGCTGGTACTGGAGCGGATACAGGGGCAGGTACTGGTGCTGGAAGTGGTTCAGGCTCTGTCTCCGACTCCGGCTCTGATAATGGATCTGCCTCTGGTGTGGGAGCCGGCTCGAGAGCCGGATCTGAGATGGGAGCAGGAGCGAAGAATAACACCATCTCACCACCTATCACGCCTGTCACCAGTGAAAAGACCGCAGCATACATGGGCGGAGCCGACAAGACCCCCTTTGCGCTATCAGCCGTTTTGGTTATTATTGTTGGATGCTTACCATGGACACTGTAATTGCGGGGCTCTCAACATGGAATGGAATGGATTGGAATACTGGCTTTTTTTTTTTGGAATGGTTCGCAAAGAATGCATATTTCTTTTATCAGGACATATGGTGCCGATGGATCCTTAAGAGATCTGTGGACGAAGTGCTACGCTGGTCCAGTAGGTAGCATTATACTAAGGTTGGTGTAGGTCGTCCGAACTTGCATCTTGTTTCTGAAAATCGGCTTCAGCCTCGTCCTTGATCATTCAAGTCCTATTATCCAAATTCTATTTACGGTCTCAGAGACGCAGTGTTTCACCAATCTTACCAACCACTTCGAGCTGTCGGAGCATTCTGCATTTTCTGCCCCTTCGAGATGATGCTTATAGAATGGCATGCAGGTATTCCATTGGATCTATCTATCCTAAAGACCTTGATTTGATCCAGGACACTCTGACAATGTGTAACTCGCTATGCGATCTGCATCTGCGGCTTTATAGATGGCTACTGAAGTCGCTTTCTGCGGCGCCAGAAGGGCATTGTGGAGGAACCTGCACACAAGGAGTAAGACATCTCTTATCAATACGAAGCTTCCGGTATATCACTACCTTGGGACGTGACCCGACCTAGAACAGGTCAAGAGAGCGGCTATCGGCGAAGACATATCCTGAAGTCGGGCTCGAATTCGAGATCTCCATACCTTAGTTTTGCGCCGGGAGCATAAAAGTCGACCTGGCTCTCGTTGGCGCGACGGCAAAGTCAGGTCCCCATTCAAACTAGATGCGGGTGCTCTTCGGGGGACAGGCTCACAGGAGAAGCGTGGTCTGGCGTGACCAATCATGAGCATGAAGAGCCAGATTGACGCCCAAATACGTGGGGCGACAGAGCGAAGAACAGTGCTTGGCCGGGCGGCTACAATCGTCGAGATGCGACTGGACGGCAGAGGAGGATCAGAGGATGGAAACATGGGATCAGTGGCACAAAATAGCAGCTGGACAAGTACCAAGTAGTACCGCTGGCGAACAGAGAGGAGAAATCCAAGTGTACTTGTCACGTTCATCCAGCATGCGTTAGAGGACACATGAGACGACAAGAAGGAGTCTGCGCCCGAGAGAGCAGCAGTGTTTCTCTCATCATCTACCAAGATATCCGTCTAGTTTATCTGCTCGCTGGTATTGATCACTTGCTGGCCAACCGTCTTCCTCGATTCTCTCCCCTTTTCCTCGTCCTCTTCTAAGGCCATCTTTCAGGTCCCTCGGACTCTCACACACCTTCTCACGCCATCAGGTGTTTCTAATTAAGTCCCCATCGAAGGCCTCGACCCGGGGGGCCATCCCACTCTCCTCGTCAGTCTGTGTCTCCGCACCCGGTCAAAAACCGCCAATCCATCACCGTCTTCTACGAAGAATTGGACACATCCTTCCTCAAGCCTCTCGGGTGCAAATCTTCATTATTGACATACGTCGATCTCGGCGTTTTTCGTTTGTCGTCATGAGTGCCTCCGGGCACCATGGCAAGCCGGAAGGCGAGATGTTCTTCAATCGCCCCTCCGATCGCGACTCACCCACCATCGTCGAGCCACTGCGCATCAATAAGAGAACTTCCAGCGCATCCTCTGGAATGCCTTCAACCACCGGCAAGCAAAGCCCTGCTCCCCAGCAACCACCTCAAAGTACAACGGTGTATCCTATGCCTTCCCTGCCTTACCCCGATGAATATTCCAGGCAGCAATCAGAGTCTTCAAGAACCAATGGCTCCCCCGCACCGAATCCGTATCCATATCCCGATGTGAGAAGAGTGACTTCTCCAGAAGGGATTGGTAGCGCAGGCAGTGGAACAAGACAACAGGCTAAGAGAACGACTTCGGGAGATGGACGACAGGGCCAAACTCTGGCAGAGCGACGCGGGACCATGCCCAAACCTTTACCAGAGTCACCGGGACCCGACGCCCCAGATAAAGACGGGCTCTTCCAACGAACCCCTCAACGAGGTGATCCTCCATTGACGGCGCCCATGCCCGGCATTCAGAATCAACAGCAGTACTGGCCACCGCCATCAGCCTCGTCTGCCGCCGATGCTCTCAGCAGGCTACAGATCAGAGATCCTTCCTCGATTAATCGCATCAGCTCTACCGCTTCGACATCGACGACGCGTGCTCAGCGAGGGTCACCTCCTCCACCAGAGACACCAATTGTGGCTCCTGGCGCAAGACCCCAGACGGACATAGAAGCCCGCTATGCAGCATCGGGAATTGCCGGTACGGCCACCTTGACCAGCTTACAAGCTCAAAGCGTAGCCGCGCAACAGAGAGCCGCTCAGTATGGGATTGCATCTCAGCCAAACCAGACGCAGAGCAGTGACCCCCCGAGGCGGCCATGGACACCAACCGAAGTCCCAGGCAGCAGCTCTCATCCAGCCCCTACAGTCTACCAGGGCATGGGTGAGGCCCAACCTTCTCCTCCAGCGGCAGCACCAGCACCAGCATCTCAATCGAGACCGATCCAGTCTCCAGGTCGGACCCAGCATCCTGTTGAAAGTGAGATATCAAGAGTACAGCCTCACGAAGAACCCCCGCCGGCATATTCCCAAGTTTCCGGCCCCGCCGCGGCCGCCGCGCGACTCCAAAATGAGAAGAACCGACGAAGTGTCGCCGGTGGAAGCACTCCGGCATCAACAGCAGGACCAGCTCCTCAGGCGAGCCCTATGCCTGGAACACACATGCCCAATCAATCGGATCATCCGGCTTTTGCTAATGATCCCCGACAGACCGCCCCGAGCGTGGCAGCTCATCAAACCGTCAATGGCCCGGTGCATCCCGCTCAGCAAGCCATGCCTCAAACTCCGTCGCAAATCCCTCCAGCGTCTCCTCCTCCGCTCCCGGAGGGATGGATAGCCCACATGGACCCCAACTCTGGACAATATTATTATATCCATCTTCCGACCCAGTCGACTCAATGGGAGTTCCCCAAAGGTCCAACACCACTGAACTTGAATGACACACCATTATCACCCGTGGCTAGTGTCTATCAAAATCCTCTGGCATCTCCTGGACTCTCTTTTGCTCAGAAACCAATGGCATCCCCGGGGCTCCCCTTGACTCCGGGATACGACCAACAGAGTGTCATGGGCTTGTCGAATCCGGCCGCTTTCACAGGGCCACCACCGAGCAGTGGAGTTGATTTATACAAAGTCGTGGCTACTAATGGAGTTTATTTTGGTCCCTACCTCCGTTATGCCAATATGGATATCGATCGAGGCATTTGGTATGGGTCAATTCTTTTAGTCACAGACGCACCGCAACCGCCGACGATACACATCCACCAAAGTGTCGACTTGTCACCCAACCCGCGCCAATTGAAAGCGGCCAACATTTCGACGCATCAGCGCTGGACGTTCTACAAATACGACATTGATCTTCGAATGGAGGAGTCGGAACCAGCGAAGTGGACATACGCCATCACGTCCCATCTTGGCTGTACACGATATGAATTCCTGGTCGCTGGCAAGCACGAGACAAACTGGCGGTTCATTGCCACGTCCGGAAATGACTTTTCGTTGAACGTCAGTGCCAATGAGCGCACGAGATTGGGCGGTGTCGGTTTCATGTGGAAGGATATTATGCAAAAACATGCGGAATGCGGTGGATTCCATTGTCAGCTTGGGCTAGGAAGCCAAATTTATGCTGACAGACTCTGGAAAGAGATCCCTTCGCTAAAACAATGGTTGGCGATGAGCGGGAAGGAGAACCGAAAGAATGCGGTTTGGACGGCAGCTCACGAAGAGGACGTGACCCATGCATACTTTCATTACTACACCAGCCATTTCGACCAGCCGTATTTGCGCGAAGCTTTTGCTCAAATACCTCATATTTTGATAATTGATGATCATGACATGTGAGTTGTCTCCCCGAAGGAGGAAAAAAAAAAGGAGGGGGGTTTTAAGGGGGTTAAAGTATGATGCTAACAAAACTACAGTTTTGATGGTTTCGGATCTTATCCCGAATATATGCAATTCAGCAACATGTTCAAGAATATTGGACGTATCGGCATCGAGATGTACCTGCTTTTCCAGCACCACACCACTTTAGAACTTCTCCGCAACGTGTCGGACGACCGAGACTTATTCACCATCACAGGAACTGGATGGCATTTTGTCAAATTCCTCGGCCCCGCTGTGGCTGTGGTGGGTCCAGATACAAGAAGCGAACGGAATCCTCACCAGGTCATGGCCGGCCCGACGTATCAAGGTCTCTTTCCCAAAATTGCATTGCTCCCACAGACCATCCAGCATTGTATTTTGATGATCGCGGTGCCGTTGATCTACCCCAGGCTTGATGCAGCTGAGCAAATTGCTCATACGATGGCCACCGGAAAGAAAGCGGTGACGGGTGCGTATAATGTTCTGGGGAAAGTCACAAGTTCTGTAGCAGGAGTGGTGGGAGCCAAGGGCGCGGTGGGCTCTGGATTTGATTCGGTCAAACGTGCCGTCGGCAAATCAGGATTGATGGGAGGCATCCTGAGTCCCTTTGGAGATATCGATGTTCTAGACGAGTTGAAAGACCAGTGGACGCACGAGTCAAAGGTAAGTTCCATGATGGGAGTTATGAATGCGCTGTTGCTAAGTTGACGAGGATCTCGAACGGACCTACTTCATTCGTACGCTACAAGGAATCTCTCACCAGAGGTCCATTCGCATGACGTTTATCTCCGGTGCTGTCAACACCTGTGGTGCAGGTTTAGTGCATGACCCGTCGCATCCATCCGATCACAAGACGATGTATCAACTCATTTCATCGTCGGTGGTGAACACGCCTCCTCCCGGATATGTCATGAAATTGCTCAACAACAACAAACCGCTTTACATTCCGGCAAACGGACAGAGATCGACTCCCTCGCAGCCGACTGATACCAAAGAAGACATGATGGAAATCTTCACACACGATGTGACCGGCCAACCAAGCAACAACCGGAAACTGATGGCAAGGAGAAATTACGTGGCGGTGGTGGTTTATGATCCCGAAGTGGTGAACGGAACTTTTGGCCAGACCGGCATGAACCGAGGATCGGGCAAGTTGAGTCTGGCAGCAGACTTCTTGGTGCAGGGAGAGGGCACATATGGGAATGTAGTGAAATTTGGACCAGTCGTTGTACCGAGCTTGGAGTATGGACGTTGACGAATCTGAAGAGACGGAACTTTCTGCTCTGGAATGAACGATTGACAAATTGCGCATAGCGATTGGTTGTATTTTCTGGGCCTTTCAATATCTATAGCGCAACCCAAGTTACTAGTCCGTGGAAAAGATATCGTGGAGACAAGAACAGAAGAGGTCAAGCTCACTCATACACTGCCACGTTTCCCAGTGTGGAATGTATCGATTTGATTGGTTCAATGCTACTACATGTGGACAAGCCAGCGTAAGGCTGGGCCTGCTGACTGACTGACTGACTGACCCAGTGACCCTCACGCGTTAACTTGGATAGCTTTTTTCTTCTCGATCCTTCTTCTCTCTGCAGGTGTCTGTCACATTCTTTTATTGTTTCTTGCATTTCGAAATAACGACAATTCTCTCCCACGGCAAAATGTGGCTCATTAACACGGAGACCATGAAACTCGAATCGGTAGTGGACCATTGGTACGAGCCATATGCGATACTTTCGCACACCTGGGGAGACGAAGAGGTGTCTTTTCAAGACTGGGCGCAAATCGAGGCGGGGGGTCCCATTGCCGAAACTTTGAAAAAGAAGGCAGGATACGACAAAATCCAAATGACCTGCCATTTGGCCAGGGGCGAGGGTCTGAAGTACGCCTGGGTCGACACCTGCGCTATCGACAAAAGCAGTAGCGCCGAACTTTCTGAAGCCATCAACTCGATGTTCAAGTGGTACGGACACTCGCACATTTGCTACGCGTACCTGTCCGATCTTGAGAGCGGCTCCGAGCTTCAAGCTTCCCTGGGTCAATGTCGATGGTTCTCGAGAGGTTGGACCCTTCAGGAACTCATAGCACCTCAGAAAGTTCGATTCTACGACAAAACTTGGGTTGAAGTGGGCACCAAGTCAATGCTTCAACAGCTCCTCAGCGAGATCACCAAGGTCAACTCGGAAGTCCTTCGCGACAACAACAATCTCCTCCTCGTCCCTGTCGGGAGGAAGATGTCCTGGGCGGCTTGCCGGCAAACGACAAGGATCGAAGATGTTGCGTACTGTCTGATGGGAATTTTCGGCGTGAATATGCCGTTGCTGTACGGAGAAGGGCCCCAGGCGTTCACACGCTTGCAAGAAGAGATTGTGAAAGACTCGAACGATCTGAGTTTGTTTGCATGGAAGTCAAAAGGCGGGTCGGAGTTTATTAGCGGAATCTTCGCCTATTCACCTTTGGATTTCCTCCATTGTTATGACCTGAAGTCTCAGGCGGGAGGGGATCACTCGAGGAAAGAAGTCACGATCACCAATATTGGATTGCGGGCAGAAGGGACGTTCTATCACGACGCAGAGCAGGGGGAGATCTGCATTCTGGACCTGGCGTGCTGTCGGGGGACGGGGCAGGCAACAGAGTGGCTTTGCGTCCGGCTTGAGAAGGTTCGAGGGACGTTTGTGCGAGCTTCGTCTGCACATCTTCACACGTCCAAATCCCGTCTCCCGTGGTCGAAGGGCAGCAAGAGAACGATATACATTCGTAAAATGCTGTCGTTGCCCGAAACCATGGAGACGAATGGCAGGTTCCGCGAATCGTATTCCATCAGAATCCGCTTTGGCGATTCGCTCGGCGGTCTCGTTTCGCATCATGGGAATGGCGTTCTGCCGTCTCGCTACTGGCGTAGGAATGGCAAAGAATTCTCCATCGACAAGGGAGAGTTTCTGGGCGTGTTCCCGTTGAGGTTCCAGCTCGGCAGTACGAGTGTGCGTCTGGTGCTCGTTTGCGGGATTGGTGATTACTTTGTCCCCGGACTGAGAGGGCTGGATCAGGACTGGGAGGTTTTGTTCTGCGAATTGGATCCGGTGCACCCTTGGGCGAAGTCCCTTGTGGAGCTGGCGCACTGTGACAGCATCGACGGCGATGAACCGCTCACCGAATCAGATCGACTGGGTGAAATCAAGGATATTATCTTTACTAATTTGACGGATCATTTTGGATCGCTATCGACCCGGGATCTGGCGAGATTAAGTTCGGTGATGATTGACGATCCTGCAAGCAAGGGCAAGAAGCAACATAAATTGTTCTTGGTGACGCACAGAATTATCAACTCGGGAAAGCCTAATGATCCAATATCAATTGTGGTGACGCTGAAATATGAGGTCATTCGACGGGATTGACTGGAGACGACAGGATTTACGTCGATATGGTGCCGGATTTTACGATTTCAAGGGCGATGGGTGAAATACGAGAATAAGATGAAACCGGATGAGATATCTAGTACATACCACAGGTTGAATGTACAGCGAACGAGTAAAAAGGTGGGTCAGATCTCTGGATCGACAAGGTAACTCGAATATATATACCAATTTTTGGAACAGCTTTCCGGGTTTCCGTTATCTGTGACGGAGCTATCAGTCTCATAGAGGATTATTTTTGAGAAGTGTTCTATAGTGGGTTGACGTGCGAGAGAGTATCACTCAAGTATGGAGGAAATGATTATGACGCACTTCAACATAATTGGTCAAAAACTGTGTCTCTGGTTTACTTAACTCGCTTTCATCCCAGCATATCCTTGAGGGCCCGCGATATTCCGATTTAGACAATTACTAGATCTCTTCTGTCAGATACTCAACATGGAATTGGATACTTGCCTGTTCCATCATGTCTGAGGGTAGACATGGAATTCAATGGTTGCCGACCTAAACGGGGACCCGGACATGCATATTGCCTCGTGGAAGCGTTCTTCCGCGACGTCGCACCATTCCGATGCTTTGGCTTCATCCATCAGCCTTCGTTCATACAGCACTGCAATTGACTTGTCCCAAAAGAGAGAACGGACCCTCTTCTCATGACCATCGGCGCTCTCACAATCAAGACGAGTGACTAGGGTTCACTGCAAAAGTCTGGAACAAAATGGACGGCCGAAGCACTTCGCCTGGTGTTCCAGACGATTGACCACACCAGTGTGCGTTTGATAGTGCTTCTCCATGAACACTCAGCCCGGATTGATCGACTTTGTTTGTGTTTTCTGCTCTTGTCTTGAATGCCGCAGTTCAAAACTCTCAACAACGGAGAAGGAAACGTGCAGACGTCTATTGTGGGCATGCTGCGTGATTGACTCCGCTACAGCATGTGGCGTTGATCAATTGAAATTACCGTGCCAAGAGGATATAAAGATTCGACTGCATAGAAATGAGGATCGTTTTCGTTAGCGCCCGGCCCAGGCTACCTCGTCCCTGTCACCGATTGGAATGTTGAACAAACCCATGCTCGTCACGAGCTCACCATGAGATATCGAAGGCTATCGCCCATTTTAGGGTGGAGTTTGTGGTGCTTCGAGAACGAACTCTTCGTTTTCGGAAGAGACTCGGGCAGGGGGCGCAGTCGACCTTGAGGCGTGGAAAACGGCTTTACCTTGCAGTCTGCACCTTGATCCGGAAGTCATCTAATTACATCCGGAAAACTGAGCGTATGTTGGGAATGTCTCGGGGTGGAGTAGTGGATAGAAACAGGTAACCACTAAGGCAAAGGTACCTAAAATCCCCGGTAAAACGCATATAAATCGAGGTACCAAAACATCACCCCGCTGTGGTACGAAGGCCGCTGCCAAGAATCGCTGCCCCAAAACATTTCCCCCTTAAACCCCGTCACCTCGGCCAACGCGTGGGGAATTTTCCACGGGTGAATGCGATCCAGGATCGAGCGATGATACAGAAACAAAATAACACCCCCATAGCCAAATAGTGCGGTCGGTGGCGCGGTTCTTAGCACTTCTCCGCGAGTGTCAGACCTCGAACATGCGCTATTCGGGACTGCAGCGGGAAGTCCTCAAACTCTATCGACAATGTCTGCGTGAGGCGGGCAAGAAGCCAGAGGTTGGTCCGACCTAGCTTCGCCACACATCAAGGGCCGACTCTAATCAAATACTATCCAGGCAACAAGGCAGAACTTTCGAGACGCGGCGCGGTGAGTCTGAGATCTGTCCATATCGCCCAAGCGAGATCTGATCGTGCTGGCTAGACGAGAATTCCGCAAGAACCAGAAGATCGATAAAAAAGATTTCTCCGCGATCGAGACTCTGCTCCGGATGGGGTCCCGGAAACTCGAGCTATACTCGTCACCGGGGGTCAAAGACATCCATTGATGTGCTCGTGGCGGGATCTGATGCCAGCAATGAGATCTAATCTCACGACCAAACGCATCTGATCCTCGCGTGCGGATGGAAGACTCGTGGCTGAAGGGTTTTGCTGATGGCAGAGCCGGCCCTCTCACGTGATTAGAGAACCGTGTAGATGCTCGGAGAAACGTTTCGCCACTTCCGGCACGTACTGGAATCAGGCTGACAACTGCGTGCGTTTCCCAGAATCAGCTAGCATTATCGACATTTGTCGACAATGTCGACATAAGCTGCTTTCTCATCGACCTCGATTCTCCCAGTATCTTCCATCAGGCAAGATGAGCGGCTATAAAATCTTGATCGATGCAGGGCTTCCCGCAATCCGATCATCGTCAGGAATCATCCCTCGATCGTCCAGAATCATCAAAACCATACCATCCAATACGAGAAACATGTCTTTCCTCTTCCCTAGAATCGTTTACGCCCCTGTGCGCTGCGGACCAGTTCGCCACGAGGCCGCTCCGCTCTTTAGCCTCTTTGATGAGACATTCAATGAACTCCAGAGAGCCTCTCGTCAAGCACGAAAACAATTCAATCCTCGATTCGATCTGAAGGAGACCGAGGAGGCTTACTCCCTCGCGGGTGAACTTCCCGGTATCGATCAGAAGGATCTCAGCATCGAATTCACCGACGAGAACACGTTGACCATCAAGGGTCGTACTGAGCGCCACACCGAATCTGGTCAACACCCTCAAGCCGCCGTCGAGGGTGAAAAGAAATCTGAGATCGAGAAAGCTCCTGCATCTGAAACCAGCAGTGTCAAGTCACACCAAGCCACCGTTGAAGATGAGGAACCGGCTAATTCTTCTGCGGCCGCCAACGAGAACGCAGAGGTCGCCGCACCAGCACCAACACCAGCCACCGAGCCAGCAAAGGCTAAGGAGCCTGCCAAAGATCAATACTGGATCTCTGAGCGCCACGTCGGAGAATTCACTCGCAGCTTCAGCTTCCCAGCTCGCGTGAACCAAGAGGCGGTCAAGGCTTCCTTGAAGAACGGTGTTCTCAGCATTGTGGTCCCCAAGGGCCCAGCCCCAGAGAGCCGACGCATCAACATTGAGTAAATGAATCATCGTTGGAAATGGACCTTCATCCTGTATAACATCGGCATAGCAGAGCATTAACACATATGGGATTGTATAGGCACTGGCGATGAAATGGATGGGCGCATACAGGCGAGGGAGTGATTGGGATGTACCTTTAGAATAGGATCTCGGCTCCCTCGAACTAAGATCATAATATATATGAATTTGACATTCCTCGAAAGACTTTTTTTTGTGTTCTTCGGCAGCATCTCCGCTGGCTGTCTTGGTTTTGGACCCGTCTGACGCGCAGGAATATGCACGTCTATCGCTACATTTGTCCGTGTAAATCCACTGGGGCCCTGCATCTTCGCTGGTAACTCGATCACGTGATAGCATAACGTGACCGACAAAATCACCAAAAGAGTAGACAAAAGCGAGGTCTGACAGCCCAATAACGAGCGGTGGATACTCCCTGGCGGGTATTGGGAACCTTGTTCCCTGGACCTCGGTGAACCGCGTGAGCCGAACGTAAACACGCCTTTTTCGCACTCTTTTCTATTTCTCTTTTGGTTCCTCATCGACTCTTTGTGCCTCCTGGCTCGCCATTGTCGTCTTTCACTGTCATTATCGCGATCGGGGGCCCCTCCATTGCAGCTGCATTCACTTCTACTTGAGCAAACTTGTTTATACTTCAAAAGTCATTCCTTCAATTCCCTTATTCTGCTTCTCTTCTTTTCTCACATTGCTTTGCTCCTACAGCTAGAGTATTGCATCACTCCCTCGCCGTGCGAGGTGCGGAATGTTAGTTGATTTCATCCTCAGTTATTCGTCCTGTCGCCACCTTTCTCCCCCAGATCGATGGTATGCCCTAGTACGGCCGAACCAGACTGTTGAAGAGAGGGGCCCATGACAACATAATTCCTGAATACGGCGATGGAAGACGCCCACTCACACGCCAGTACAATCCATACCCGCTCGCGCTCGATTCCTACCCCAGCCTTGCGCGATCCTCATCCGATACAAACAACTCCCAAATCGGCTCCTCATCCTCGTCAGCAGCGATTGTTACCGACTCGTCATGCAAGGCTCTCCGCACAAAGACTATCTGTTCATGGCATCACAGTACCGTTTCCTCATCTGATTCGGTCAGCCGAGAGCGACGGGTCCCGATTTAACAAGTGCGAAGATGATGGCAACAATTACCACGAGACTACACTTCTAAGTAGCCCTTCGCCGAGAACTTCAATATTGAACGAGATTACAAATTCAGCTGGCTATAGTGGGCGCAGATTACGGAAGCGGGCTCCCATACCTGTCTTTCAGGATTCGCCAGACAAGCAGCTTCCTGAAATCATAGGTACGAAGTCTCCGTCAGTGTACCACGACGCATCAAGCAACATAGAGCCACCTTCCATCAGTTCGACTCAAGATCGCTCACCGAGTATGGGCGGCCTGAGAGAAGTTTCTGTCAACGTTCAGCGTCCATCGCCTGACAAAGAGCCTCCATATTACCGCTCAACGCGAGCGTCTTCGCGCCGTAAATCGTCTTCAGTCAGACCGCGGTTCAATTCAGAAGAGGACATCGAACACGTCGAGAATGAGTTGCAAATGGTCAAGGACGCCATGTATTCTCCAACCACCAACATATCATGGAAGGAAAAGTTGAAAAAAGTGAAGGATGAAAACGACCGATTGAGGGAAGAAATGGAGACTCTGAGGGCATCTTTCGAATCCGAACTCCGTCAGACAATCGAACGCTATACAGAAGCTGAATTGAAGCTGAAAAGGAGGATTAAAGACCTGGAAGACGAAGTCGAGCACAAACAAAGCGCGATTCGAGATCTGGAGGATGTTCGCGAAGAGAAAAGACTCGATCAAAACACCCTGGAAGTATTGAGGTCCAGGATTGACAAGCTCGAAGAGGACAAGACAAGCTTGGAAGTTACCAATCGAGGCATGATGAAGCGTAATGAGGTCTTGACCCAGCTCCTGGCTTTGTCGCCCACGAAATTGCAGCAAAAGATGGAACTTCCTACACCGAGACGGAGGAATGCGCGTCCGATGTCTCTGATCATTCCTCGAATTCCTTCCTCTCCCGGAGGCCAAACACCCTTGAGCAGACCGCAGTCGGTCCTCGCATCACCTGCAAATCGCGGTTCAGATTATTTCCCGGCAAATCCTGCATCGTCGTCGTCGTCGTCGTCGTCATCGTCATCATCACTTTTGGTGTCAAGTCCAGGTGTTCGTGCAACCGGTTCTCCGCCAGTTACAGATGAAATTCATTCAGTTGATTCTGGGACTAAAGGGTCATGTTCGCAAATTTCTAATCGGGGAGGGTTTGGATGCTCTACACTGACGTCTCATGCTTCGAACAACCCAGAAATGCCTACAACGGGACGCTCTGAGCTTGAAGGTAGACCACAATCTCCAGTGAAGCAACCTTCGAAACGAAGACCTCGAAAATTCATATCAAGCTCAACCCAGTTGAAGCCTCTTCTTTTGCCTACGTTCACTGCCGACAATGGTAACCTACCTTCGACATCACCAATTACATCACCTGATCGCCCACTCCCAACTACTTCTTATGCGCCACAATGGGAACCTTCTCCCATGTCATGCAAAACAAACGGAACTTTTCATGGAACCCCTCCGCTGAGTCCTGACCTTGTCACTGGCCAACCGGGCCCTTCATTTCAGAGCCTTGATGAAGTCTTTGCTAAGGATGAAAAACCATTTCGACCAGGAGCCATTCCAACGTCCATAGATGAGCTTCTTCATCCAAGACAAAGTACACAATACCAGACGCCACTTCAGCCTAAGCACCTGGGACTGAATCTCGAAGTTTCAGGTCTTGGGAAACCCCAACCTCGTGCTCATGTTGACTCTGGGTTTATGAAGACAATACCGAGTGAAGGTGGATTCTTGTTCGGTCAATATCGTGATCAAATGGATCGAGGCGAGGACCATTATACGCGGAAACCACTGGGGATGAGCTCAATCTTCCATGATCCGCAACTCTCGCCTGAATGCGATGAATCTCCGATTGGTGATATCAATGATAATGTCGAAGTCCCACGCCCGTTGTTTTCGAGATATTCTGAACCCCGAAGTGGAGCGGCTCGGCCATTGTCTCATTTTCATTATGATTCGTCTCCCCTGAACCCTCGAAAACGGCGAAAGGGAAGCTCTGTACACGAGTTAGGACTGCCGGATACTGAGGCCGTTAACCGTGGAGCATCTGAAACACCATTGCCTCCGCCTGGGTCTCGTCAAGTGCTGATGCCAAGCTCGGTCATAAACCGTACAGCCAAACCCATCCCGAATCTGCCATACCCTGGATTCGCCAGAAAACAAGGTCCTACGAGAGCCCGGAGTTCATTGGAGATATTTCAACATTGGAACATAGGCTCAAGACCTCTTGCCGCGATTACGATTCAGACAGTTTATGCGACCTTATCGAGATACACGTCTTACATACAAAGTTTCAAGCGAGACCCTCTCGCCTTGGCTCGACGAGTGATGGCAAATGCCTGGCGATCAAATTGGACCATGTTTGGAAAGTTGAGTTGGTGGGTGCTTGGCCTTTTCATTGGGTATCGACGTCCCAACCAGGATGGTCGCACGTGGGATTGGGATATTTATGACGGCGAAACCATCGCCGATCGGTGTTGTACGACGCGTGTCAGTGATCCCCCAGTGGGTGATAATTCAAACACGACGGCCCAAGAATCTTCAGAGGCGGCCAGTGAACACGATAAGAAATCAAATGCGCAAGCGTCCACCACGTCAAAGTCTCTCCCGAGTGAACCTAGGGTTGGTTGGGGGAGATCACTCTTTCTTTGGGGCAAGTTCAGTGTTGCTATTATGCTTGCTGTCGGTGGAGCCGTTGTTAAAGGGCCGGCCGAGATGTTACGGGAAACTGGAGAGTGTAGAAGATCTCGAAACAATACGGCCGTCGAGCCTCAAGTCGACGGTAGCAGTGATCATTCCTGTCAAGTCCGAGACCGCGGTTGGTCCACCGAACACGTTGATAGCAGAAACGATGCATGCGGCGATGCTGACGACTTGAGGTCGCACAATACAACGGCGACAGAGACGATTCGCCAGGTTCGAAGCTTCAGCTCTCCAACGCCATCAACGAGACGCCATCAGTTTGGGACTGCTATCACAAGCCAGTGTCAGCATAAACGAGATGAGCATAGGCGAGGTTCTGGGCCGGAGAGTCCCAAGGATCCGACTGGCGCTGTTTCCCTAGAACCTGAATATTCCGGTTCCGTCAGTGATGACACGCTGAAACCGACAAGGAGCGAGCGTAAGGGACTCGACTCTATATTCCAGGAGTCTTGTGGCGAATACTGCGAGCCTGATATCTCTGCAGCTTCGGTTACTTCATCCCACGTTGAAGATGATGACAATAGGTATGCGGACAATTCAGAGCACGGCTAGCACTGAATATAATCCCGCGCCGACTTCTCTATTCATTGTGTTGTCTGAACCTGTTTGGCAGGGCTGTGATGAGGAAAGGGGGGAAAGAGGGAGGGACGAATGCTTGCACGATTAATGAGTTAATGAATTATAGCATTGCACTGTATTATGCTTGCATATTGTATGATGGCGTGAGAGATGCGGCATGTCGGAGGAGAATTGGGTGGGAGAGCAACGAGGTCGTGAAGTGGAGAATGATGATATGATGATGATGAACGTTGCATAGCATTGCGTGGATGAGCTTGAACGATATGAGAGGTGTATTCGGTATGAATAGAAAAGAGTCGAGATTCAGTTGAATACTGATGGGAGCTGGGGAGTTGTAGTGAGGCGCTGGGCTATGAGATTAGGAACCGTAATGATGACGAAACTTGCATACGACAGTGTTTTTCCTTTCGTTTCTTTCTTTGAAGTCATTGTTTGTGTCTCCAGTGCCGCGACTCTATATGGACAAATCCGTGCCTTTGGGTGCATGTTGGTCTGAGTTCAGGGGGAATACGGCCTTGTCCTATTGTATCGACTTTCCCTTTCCACTTTTTTAATTCGTTCATCTGTCTGGCATCACACCGTTCGTCCCAGTCCCTTGACTCTGATGGCTTAATATGTCAGGCAATTCAATGCGTTACACTTCAGCACAAAGATGTTGGCAATTGACTTTATGCCTCAGCGTTGTTCGATATCCTGTAAGCTTACCTAGGTATCTTGCGTCTCGTTGAATTTGATTGCAGTTTCCGTATCGTCATCCAAGTGAAGCACCATGGACTTTGGCTTGGATCAAATGCTCCAACTCCATGCAGACTTGTTAGGTCGGCTTTTCTTTTGAGCGTAGCGTTGATGTGGTATGAAGAATGCCCCTGACTCGACTGGGAACTTCAATTATTCATTGTTTGCTCTTGCTCCTCGGTTCGCTGAATGAAGAATCAACGCATGGGCTCGAAATCGGTCGTCTCGAGCTCCAGTCTGAGTCCTGCATAGGAAGATGAGGAGCCAGGCCGGCTCTTTTGCTAAGCACCAAACAGCCTTGGCCTGATACAGTTCTCACCAGAGTGTGGACGCTGCGATGGTTTCAACACCGACGAAAGACTCCCTCATTCAGACATTGCTCTCGCATGCGATGGCAAGAAAGGAATCATTGACCACCACGCAGCCTTAATTATGGAGAGGGGGGGATTCAAAAAGACCCAACATCGGAGAATCGAACAAACACCAACAATGGACACCTGGCCTGACACTATTTGTCTCAGACATATCTTCCTACGCACCTGCCAAGGCCCCCCAAGCCCAGTGTCTCTGACAGACAAAGATTTAGGAAATTCTATTGTATTTCCGAAAGTGCGGTCATTGGAACGCTGTGGATGCCAGTGAAAGGCTTCGATGAGGATAATGCCAGACAGCGGTATGCGGAAAGCGGCGACTCTTCCATACTCTGCAAATGCGAAAACTTGGATGGTCATAGTAGATTCATCGAGAGGTAGTCTCTCGAACAGGAAAAAAGACTAGAAGATATGGAGAGGTTCCTCAAGTCTGTTTGCTGAGGGCTGAAGGGAGCGTTGCTTCTTCGATGGACGAAGATAACGCATTGTTCGATTGTATTGACATTCTCCGTTAGAGAACCTTAAATACCTTGGCGGATCGGCAGATAATTCCGGGCTTTTGCTCGGTAACGATATGCTGAATTTTGCAGACGAAGCTGGATCGATTTATGATTGGCCGCCGTAAACCGTCGTACGAAGTTTACCAGTCTCTGGCGGTGGAGGAACGTTCTTCCCCCCGGCCCCCTTGGGTGGACAACGGGTGGTTAATAAACATCGGAGCGCTTTTCTCAGTGTCTGGCTCAATCCTTGTCGTTTTCATTTTCACCCTTCAATTTGCCTTCGGCTCGTAGCTTCCTCCTCTCACCAACATCCCAATTGTGTACTCTGGCAATAGCGACCTCAAGCGTAGTTATTTGGATCCTCAGAAATTCCAAGTCTTCCTCCGCGGCGGCTAAGCTCCCTTTGGCTTTATCCAATTTTCCCTGTAAAAGTTCCTCTGCTTCATCGAGGGGATATGCAACCATGACATTGGCTCCGAGCCAGAGGTAGACCTCACCGATTTCCGCAGGCTTGATTGTTGCTTTTGCGTAGAGCGTGTCTTGCAGACTAAATGTGGTTTCGATGTCGTCGGGAGTGGTTTTCTTGCCCTCCAATTTGTCGTCAAGCTCATCTTCATCTGCGCCCTTCTCTTTCCTCTCCGCAATGATCTTTCTTCTCTTCTTGATGAACCTGACGACCTCTAGCGTTCGTTTCATCTCGGGCAATTTCTCTTTCAAGCCAACTGCTCTGCGCTCTACATTCCGCTGCATGAAGGTATATTTCGAGATCATCTCTTGAAATCTTTGCAGTGTTGATTCCACTTCGTCGATCGACTTGACGTAATCTGTGACATTCGACATGAACGGGAAGGTGGGAATACCCCGAGGATTCGTGGTTGTAATATCCATCGAGTGAGATGTTGTAAGAAGAGGATGGAGCCTATCAAGTGGTTGGGTGTGCGGGGCTTGTCGATTGAAAAGATGGAGGGTTTGGACGTGTGATTAAATCGCAAAGTCCCGAATAGAAATGTTGTGTGGCAAAGACAACACGAGAGAGGCAAGTCTCAAAGAACTTTGATGTTAGCCGGAATTTCTATAAATCCGATGCGAGATTGATTAGTGGGAAAAATCTTTGCGGCGAAACGGCCACGCGCTTACGAAGTAATTTTTGGGGTCCGCAGAAGAGCTCATTCGAGCACCGGTTTGAACTTCTCGCATTTATCAACTTGTAACATTCAAGATGGAAGCTCGTCAGGTGATGCCTGTAGAAACGATGCTTTTTTAACCATACATATGGCCCTTTTTTGAACTTTTTCTTTTGTGCTCGTGGGAGCTTTCCGTCCGACACCGGTATTTCAGAGGCTACAGGGGCTCAAAACTAACACATTCTGCACTCTTATCGTTTCCATGTCGCTTCATTAAACAATTGCCGCGCCATTTCCCTAACGCACATTCGCGGTATCAGTAGCCGCGACCACACGCCTTGGGAACCCCCCCAAAAAAAATTTCATTAGCGATCATTGTCTGGTACAATGTTGTACATCATGGCATTCAACTTCACATCAGATTGTTTGCTCTTTGGCTTTTGCCTGCGAGTCATATTCCTGTCGTCTTCTCCTCATCTCATCTGCATCAAATGCTGGGATCTCTTGAATGATTTGTTCATCGTTGCGATTTGTGGGACGGTGGCTGCCGTCATCAGGACTCGTATTTGACCGGATCCTTCTAATACTGCGCTTAATACTCAAGCCGCGGTCTTTCGCGGGTGTTGGTGGTGGTCGTTCCGAGTTATCCATCATCACTATCTCAGTGGACGGCGCCGATGCAGTTCTCGGTCGTGGTTCGTAGTTGACGTTATTTCGACTTTTCATTTTTCGTAACTCGCGAGCAATTCGCTCCAAAGTTGATCCAGAAGTTTTCTGTGTCACTGCGATATCGTCATCCTTGGGGGGTGGTAACGGCTTCTCTGGTAGCTGCTTGTCCCTCGACACCTGACGACTATGATTGCGGCTTCCAGTGCTGAAGCTGCTACTTGTGCTCGGTCTTGTTGCATGGCTCTGACCAGAGTTGCGGTTGGACGAGCCAGCTGAACCGAAGGAGATGGCCGAGTCAACTTTGCTTCGCCCATCCTCGTCATATTCTGCGGAGCTGAAAGAGGCGGCAATCGGAGAACTGTCACGTCCGGTGATCTCATAACACTCATCAATGACACTGTTTGCCATGCAGACATAGTCATCGAGTGTCTCTCGGAGTCCTGTCCATCCTGTAGCATCCTCTGGCCTCTTGCCCTGATCCATGAGCTTGGAGAGAACTGAAGGCCCATGTCGTTCGACAGCCGTGATATACTTGAAAAACCCTTTACCCTGATCAGCGAGGACTTTTGGCGTCAATTGGGCCGTGGGTTGGATAGTGATGGGTGGATAGAGGGTGCTGAGCATGGCTAAACAGTTGGCCTTGTTGAATGGCGTCAACGAGAGCTCGTTGATCATCGTCCAGCGTCTCAGACCCAAGTAAACTTGCGTATACAGGGCCTCGATCTTGCGCTCTTTGTCCTCGATATCCATGACCCACCGCAACACACCAGGATACTTGCGGGCTAATTTGTCTCGATGGCTGATATCATCTCTTTCGATGCCCAGCTTGTCCAGCGCCGCCACCACCTCCCGTCTCCGTCGAACTTCCAGGTCCTTGAGGTAATCCATCGCGGTCAAAGCCTGTGGGAAATCGACTTGTTCCAGTTCAGGAGGGAAACATCGTCGAACGAAGCTGGTTATGAAGCTGGGAGGTAATGACATTGGCTGGGAGGGTAGTTGTGAAATATGTGTCATGAGGTTTGCCCGCAACTGGGCAGCTGCTGTGACAGTAGCCATACTTTGTTCGTCCACCGCATCGTGGGTTTTGCGGGGAAAGGCATTTCCAATGACGGTGGGTGATGTTGGCAGACTCGGACATTGTTGATTTTGGGTTGCGGCATTGAGAGCGTACATAGTTCGCAAGGGAATCTCGTAAGTGCCTGGGTAGGCCAACAAATGCTCGAGAACCCATGAATAGGCGGCACCCTGAGAACCAGGATCTCCCTCGGGAGAAGACATGGCTTCCATTCAGGGACTTCAAGCACGTGGATTTGAGTTTTTGATGTTCGCGTCGGACCGATGTTGAAAAATGTCGAGGTCGAGGGAAGAGGTGTCGAAAGATCAGATCTTGAGGGTCCTCCTCTTTGACCGAGTCACCAGGAAGCTGGTTGCACGGAATACGCGTCCAATTGTTTAGAGCGTTGGGGAATTTGTCAACAACACAGCAGTGGTGAAACCTGTGAGGGCTCGTACGTCAACGCGAAAGCTGGACAATTTGTGAACCGTGCGTTGACGACAAGGCCTGATAATGATGGATGAGTTGTGTTCGTGTGCGAGCGAGAGGAATTCCGAATGTGAAAGAGGGACGGGATGTGGTGTTGGGGGAAGGGAATATCCCAGACGAGAAGAGAAAGAGAGCTGGAGGAAATGCTGCAGCAGTTTGTATCCTGCGGCGTTGTAGGAGTATGTCTCGGAAGATGGAGAGGTAGTTATGTGAGAGATCGAGCAGTGAAGGACCAGAGGTATTCGGTACGGGTAAAGAACTTGCATGGATGTACCAGAGACTAGCAACAGTCTAAAGGGAAATGCCAGATGCGGTAGGAATGAAAGATGGGGAGCAACGGGCTTGGAAGGATCCGTGACCAGAAAAAGGCCAGGATAGAATTGAATGACTCGACTGCAAAACCGTTCGACAGGGGAGTTTAGTAACTGTGACGGGATTTTGTATGGGGATAATACCACAGTATACAGAATACGCGACAAGTAGCTAGTGGTACTATCTACATGCCTAATTACATGGAGAATTTTGGTACCTGGTATCATTGGTAACAGGCATGGAATCCTGCCCACTGGTTAGTTCGTTACTCCATCGTGACAAGTTCCTATCATAGTACTCATTAGTTTCGCTACGGATACCCTTCCGTAGTCGGATCTCTTCCACCATTTCCACCGTGACCACGACCCACCGGCCCAAATAACAATGACAAACTGCGTATGATTCGGTAACACAGTAGGTGAATATTTGGATGGGATACATACGGATTCCAATCGACATCATCGAGTCTGGGCCCCTCCTCTCATTTCCACAGCCCTCTGGTTTCTCGGTCTGCCGTTGTTCAACTTTCAATTCGTGGTCATATCTTCTGATCTGGACCGATGTGTCCTCCTCCCAGTCCCTCGTACAGATTCAATCAGTCCTCATCGACGACTTATCGTTCCTGCGCCTGACTAGCCCGCTATTACCGGATATGCCCCACTATCCCACGACAAGCAGCCCTAGAGCCAGGGGCCCCTTAGCGGCAGAAGTTGATCCTGGTCCCAAGTCGCCAGGCGGCAGCCACTCCACATATCCCGTCGTGTTGCGTGGCTGGGTTGGCCGCAGATTTTGGCAACGCTACACCCGACTACCTTGCCTTAGCCCCTCTTCTGTCCACTCGGCTTCCTCAAACCTTCCCCTTGTCTCTCTCATCCCAGCCAAACGGCATCACACTAGCTTGAGCTCGGGTCAAAATTGTCCGGTGGGCTCATCACAAAACCCAGAACGACATGTGAAGCAACCCGTCAGGAGTGTCATCACTTCTATCACTTCCATTACTTCCCCGAATACAGCCAGGGTAGGACGGATTGAGATGTTTGCAAAAGATAAAAAGTCAAGGCCCAAAGTTCAGTACCACGGTTGTTCTGTACAAGCGAGAATCGGTGCCCTGGTGGCACAACTCCGTGATCTCGAACCTTTTTCCTTGCCACCTCCCTTTGCGGGGGGCAGTGATTGTTCACTTGCACTGCCTTCAAGGCACACAACAGAGATCTTCAAGCTTTTACGAGGCGGCTTGGAAGGGGCTGAGAAGGCTGAAAGTCTCGATGCGTCCCGGACGTCCCCCTAAGCTGTCCCTCGCCTGCTGTTGCAAGCTTGTTTGATTATTTGACGGGAGTCCTGCACTTAGCAACCCAAGGTGGACGTCCAGTGAGAACTAAGTCACGCCAAGTCCTGGGATCGGAAACTCTACCATGTTCAACGCTTGCCAGGGAAAATTTCCCGTTCCCACCCCGAGCCATACCACATATGGTGTCGCTTTCTTCGACGCTCTGGTCCCAATTGCCATGAACCCGAATTGGGAAGAGCACGAGCAAATATGCAGGGGAACGGGCAAATCGCAACGGTGCGCGTAACATTTTCGCCGGCACCCCGACTGTCGCGGATGCGGACGTCAAGTTGGTGTCCTCGGCGTACCTCGCTTGTTGGAAACAATTGTCACTGGCAGCCTGGGGCTGCTTCTGATACTCAAAGCTAACTCTCGGGAGCCCGAACCCTTCCATAACTCACAGTTCAGTCCTAAGCAGCATCTGCGACCAACCTGTGACTACGGCTCTTGAATTTTCCGGCCGAGTGAGGGTTCGACGGTAGCCCAAATTTTGTGACCTGGACTCTGATTGGGTACGTTTTTTTGCTTCCGTGGGCTGGCGCCCAAGCAAGTGACTCCAGCACTCGGCACTACCGAGGGGCAGCCTCCAAAGTTCCTCTGAAATTAGGCGGTCCATCCACCGAGACGCGGCAAGAAAATCGGGGGAAGGGAGACTCCCGTGTTATGAGGGGTTATGACTCTTGAATGGCAAACGGGACGTCCCTTGCTTATGCCCCCCCCCCAACCCCATGAGTTGCACAACGACGGAATTTTGCATATCATAATCGATCTCCAGTTTCACATCTGGATGGTGAGATCTGCAATGTCGTGAAGGGTCCCATCCTTGGGCATGGCTCCAAAGGAAAACACTGATGTCGCCGACCGGGGGCCATCTGCGAACTAACGGAGAAGGAATGGGGACACGCCATCCTTGCCGGTGATCATAAAGTCATGACTGGCGGGCGACATCATACTTATTCAGCGTCCCGGCTATGGAACAAGTCGGGCCACACTATTCTCTGAATCGAATGCTAGACTCGACCAAGCCTTTACTAGCTGCCTCAGTTTCCTAGCTGCCTGCCTGAATAGGATTCTCAAACAGGACCATCTGCACTTTTCGGGGGGGGGGGGGGAAACATGGGCATGGAGATGATCACTTCCGGACCAACTTCTTCGGCGTCTTGGTTATTCATGCTAGTCTATGCTGACCACCGGAAGCCACTATGATGTTTTGAAACTTCTATCAAACCGCCTGAGCCGCAATCTTGTACCGAATCCCAAGCCCCTGGCACCTGTTGGTACAAAGACATGGATCAAGTTGTGCCGGCATCGTCGTTGGAACTTTCACCACCATTGCCAGAATCCTCCACGTCGCTCAATGCCCACTCGCCCAAGAATCCTTCCTCTCGGACAGGGCTTATCAAATCAACACCGTTCTTCTCCGCCCACTCCACAATTTTAGATCGCTGAACGATCATGGTCGCCAGTTCCCCTGCGTCTGGTTCACCATGGGCACCGGTTCCGTTGGCTTCGGTGGATGTGTTCTTCTTGCGTTTGGGCACCATCACTTTACAAATGCCCATCTCACTAAGGGCAGCAGCGACATCTTCCCCTAACATCCCCGTTCGATCTCCAATTTCCTTGACTGTCATTTCTTCCTTTCTAGGGTTGACAGTCTTTTTCCTCGCATTTGGAAAAACTCTCTTTGCATCCGCATCTGCCGTCTGCCCCATCATAAACCGAGCAATACGCTCCGACCAGAATCTGAGGTAGCTTTTGCGGCCCATTGCACTAAGAGGCTTTTCCGGGCCACCAATCACTCCTCCTTCCCATTCCCATCCACTGAGCTTGTAGGAGACTGCCATGAGCAATTGACCCAACTGCCGGTGCTGGAAAGGAGGAAAGATTAAGATACATGCCAGGTTGTTCGAGTCCCAAGACAAATTTTCTTTGGAGAAGAATCCAAGCACCTGGGCACGGGGTAAAAGATCATCTTCAAAGACCGATGAGCTTCGTTTTCGCCCCCGTCCTTTGGGGGCTGGGGACGGTGGAAGGGAGGGTATATGCGTCAAGGCATAATATTTGAAACCACCAGTATCAAAGAAGACGCTTTTCTGCTCTAGAAAGAGTTTTCCGAAAAGTGAAAGGTTCTGGCAGTAGAGCTTTTCCCTCTCGCCGTCAATCTCCCATACCGCATAACCATCCCATTCGTAGACTTTGAACGCAGATTCAGGCACGGGCTGAGTCTCGAGCCCTTGCTCGCGCAAGCCTCGGTGATGCTGCAAGTGCTGCACATAGTCACGCTCATCTGGGGTATAGCGAAAGCAACTTGGACAAACATAGAGGCGACGACAGAGTGGCTCTTCCTTATCTTTGACGAGACTATGAGCGTGCCCGTTTCTCAGGTCGGCTGCGGATCCGACATGCTTGTAGGCGTGTTGAGCATTTGGACCGAGAATAATACTGTCCGGGTAGGGCGAATAGTACCAGGCATCAAAAAGCAGGTTACCCAGGACCACCTGGTTGATGTTTCGGTTCAAAATCCTGAGAGAAGCCCTCCGGGACCGATGCGGGGATCCTTCCTGGAGGACTGATATGCCCTCGACCGCGGACGGCATTGTCAAGCGACCACCATCCCGCAACAGGGGCAATCAGCCATCTCTAGGATTGAAGGGTCATCCTCAGCCTTTGATGGAAGAACGAGAATGCAGTTCGTGTAATTCGAAATATTGGCTCGTGAGCAGCGCTCCAATTTGATGGATGTTGAAGTCTTCAGGCGCGTGTGACGCCCGAACAACCGCGCCAAGAGAAACGCAACTCTTTTGGGAGAAGCGTGATGCCGCCCTATGCTCATCCTATCGCTTGATGGTCCTCTGATAATCATCACGAAGCGCTCTTTCCTACCCCCAGGATTTTAAGAGCCTCATCATTCTTCCTCGTTCTTTCTCAGATCCGTTGAACGTCAACTTAGTGGGCTATGAGATCCGTCATTGGTCTCCGAAACCTTGAGAAGCTTGGAAGCCCCTACCGATTCCCCGTCAAGCCGATGTGTTAGATATCAAAGTATGCGGGTGCAGTTTGAGTGGAAGTTGGTCTCGCAGCTCGATGCTCCTGACTATGTCCTTCCTAGATCTATACTCCGCATCATTCGGTTCAATATGGCACATAGCATAGTTCGGACATGAACCTGAATGTCCACTCCTCTGGCCTTCGTTCTCATTGATTTGGGATCCATGCCTGAAAGCCCTTGGACGGTAGAATTGAATGTGGAAGAATTGTTCTGCTAAATTGAGACACAGATACCGAAGACGGCCATGGACCTTGACACGCACCCAAGGCCGTATCGACAACACTCGACGGGCACTATCAGAAACTCCCAGGAGCAGAGAAAAAGCCGGGTCCTCTCTCCCACGGTTTTGGATCACTGATCTTTCATGTCCTTTACTTCTTGAGCATTCTATTGCGTCTTAAAAACATCTTTCGTCCGACCAACTTTGTCGACCGGTACAGCCTATCATATCGAAGAGCAAATTCACGCTAGGCTTTGCTCTCTTGTGTCTGCTTCGCGGTGCCATAAGATGATCGAGACCCAGAGGAAAGAGACATTGATGTGATCAGTTACCATGACCTGGCTGGTATGCTCATGCAATCCACTCCCATTCGTTAGTCACTTCCGCATGACACTGATCGGTGAAGTAGATTGTCAATCCAGTTCAGTCGATCACCTTTATGGGAATGCCTCCGCAGGGATATTGACCTCTCCGTAGGTAATACTGTACGCCTGGCAGCCTGGAATTGCTCCGAACCATATAGCACAGCGGTGTTTCACTCCCATTACATCAACTTGACGCGATTTTACGTCGAAATTTCGGATTCTTCAAATTCCTCCAACGCCCCACCCTCGACCATTTAGCCTGAGTAGCTCAGAGACTTCGGCCCAAAGTTCGGCCTCGGCTTCATCCACACCTTCGTTGTCCGGAACTTCCTTTGAACCGTGCAGCCGTTGGCGGCAGGGGCGGCGTCAGAGGCGGTGGGGGAGACTCCCTTTACGGTCATCGCTGTAGGATATTGGTACTAGATGCACCAAACACGGCCCCAAAGAATTGTTAGACTCCTCGGTACTCATCCGAGCTGCCTGCAGAATGCACAAAGCACTCTGACTCCACGAAAACATAAACCTGAACGCCAGAGCGGGCATTTTCATGGAGCAAAAGTAGGTGGTGGGTTGGATGTATTGACCATTCTCGTGTTCCACGTTATTTGAGCGCGGATCTCGCTTTGTTCTGTCAATGTAGAAAGTGTTTCAAGGTGAAACAAAACCGCCCTCGGGCTTGCTTGACGCGCCATGATCTGTCCCTGTATATTGTCAACAAGCCTAGATGTAACAATGCTATTATCAATTCTCTTACGTAGTTGGGCCTCTTTACCAGTTACAAATCCAAAACATACTGGTAGTAGCCTCCACAAATGATAGAAACATGCCTTGGAAGGATCCTGGAGTTAACGCCATTTTAACAAGTCGCGCTTGTCAGAAGTCTCTTCGTGCAATGGAACCTGGAGCCATTGATGTCTCTCGGTGCTCTGAATCAGCTCTCAATGTGCCTGGTAAAGTCCGAAGAACGGAAAAATACATCCATGCCTCCAGGCTTTGTGGCCTCATCTTCATGCTCAGGTAAGAACATTTCTCATCTTGACTCGAGAATAAAAGAACACATCTGTTCCCGAAAGCCCAAGAATTTCGATCCCTTCTTCCATCCATTCTCAAACATGTCTACCATCTCAATCAAGAAAGGCCCCATCCATCGCGCTGGAACTTCTGTTTAAGTCATCAGCGGCTTCTTCGGGCCGAGTCACCTACACTGGCTATTGTCCATCCTAGTGGTGGCATCAAGGAGCAGACTGCAAGCTGATACGCAAAGTAGCTTGCGGAGGTGGGTTTCGCTACTGTCGGCTCTGACTCTTCCCACCAAGGCGAAAGCGGCGAAGGGTCTCACTTCCCGAAAGACCTAGCTACTAGAGTTAGCGATGGTGTGGGCCATTGTCGACTATTTCCAACAACAAGATTTTGTCGATACTGAAAACAATCGCCGTAGTCGGCATCCGCGCCGGAGGAGGTTACGCCGTGGCAGCAGCACAGATGACAGCTGAAACTGTGAAGGGTGCTGAATGTGTGGCTGAACCGGCGTACCGCTCCAAGCTGACGGCAAAACGCCATACGACCTCAAAGACGCACACGAACATCACGTCACTCCAAGATGTCAACATCCCCTGGCCGCAAACAAGGACGTTGATCACCAGCCTACCCGTGTCCTCATCCCTTTGATTCCTTCCGCTTAGCCGATGTTTTATTGAAGCAGCCAACTCTTCATATCGTGGGTGAGGATGCAGGCTCACGAAGGCATACCCGAGAAGCTCGACAAGATGACCAATGGGGCTACCAAGAGGACTGCGGTCCCCAACGGAACTCACATGAATTTCTATGACAAAGGAGCCATTCGCTGATCCTGCCGCTAAGAATGTCACCAAGTTTATGAAAGCTAACTGGTCTTCAGGGTACCTTTCTTATGCGAAGGCCTTACGACTAACTCCTTTCGGTCTCTAATACGGCACGGTCGGGGAAATATGGAGCTTGTTTAGGCACAAGGCTGACGAATTTCTGCGAGGCTGCAGCAAACGACTTGACACGTGACATGCCAAGTACGGAAGAGGACAGATTTAACAGCCTTTCCACGAACAGCTGCGACGTTCTACCCACACTCCTTCTATTCATTGTCTACTTTTTCTTCTTTCTATCCTCATTTAACTTCTGCCCCTGTACCGTAATTTCGAGGACAGCGTGACCAGGAACAGTATGCGACGATGATGTTGCGATTTCATAGACCAGTCTTCCTCGCAGCAGTGCTTGGACTCTGTCTCACTTCTCTTTGTATTGCCGAGACGGTCAACATACCTTCCGATACTCCTATTTCTTCCTTAATTGCCTCTGGAAAGGCCGCTCGTGCTCGCGGAGCCAACAATGAGGCCCTTGCATATTTCGATGCCGCCGTGTCCAAGGACCCATCTGACTACATCAGCCTATTTCAGCGGGGGGCAACGTATTTGTCTTTAGGCAGGAATGCACAGGCTAGTGCAGATTTTGACAGTGTCTTAAAAATAAAGCCTGGGTTTGATGGAGCATTGTTACAAAGAGCAAAAATCAGAGCGAGGAATGCAGACTGGACTTCGGCCAAACAGGATTATCTCGCTCTGGGGAAGAAAGCGGCAGAAGAATTAGCCCAACTCGAGGAAGCAGAGGGTGCAGCCTATCTGGCATTCGAGGCGGAAAAGAAACAAGACTGGGAATCGTGCATCAATCAAGCGGGCATCGCAATCATGACGGCGGGAACAGCCCTGTCACTCCGACAACTACGCGCAAGATGTCGATTCGAGCGGGGCGAGGTGCAAGAGGGCATCAGTGATCTGGCACATGTGCTGCAAATACATCCAAGCCTTGTTGATCCTCATCTCCAGATGTCAGCCATGTTGTTCTACAGCTTGGGGGACACCGAACGCGGTTTGGCGCAAATCAAAAAGTGCTTACATTCAGATCCAGACTCAAAGCCCTGCAAGTCCTTGTTTCGAGAAGAGAAGGCTATCCTGAAAGAAGTCGACAAGATCCAGTCCCTCATCAATAACAGACAATTCAATTCTGCAAGCAAGTTCTTGGCCGGCCGGAATACCCAAGACGAACCGGGACTTCTAGCAGAAGTCAAATCCAATATTGATCTCCACCGCTCGAGTGGTACCATCCATGCAAAAGCGCCATCCGATCTCTATTTAACCCTGTTAGAGAAAACTTGCGAAGCCTTCCTCTCCATGAATAACATGATCAAGGCAAACAAGTATTGCCCAGAATTATTAACCCGGAATCCGACATCGCTTCAGGGCCTCCTCCACCAAGCACAAAAACATATGGACAGCGAGAATATCGATGCGGCAATCGCCTCACTCAAGACTGCCCGAGACAACCATCCGGAAGCCCAAGCCACAATCAACCAAAAACTCCAAGACGCTCAGGTCGCCCTGAAACGCAGTAAGTCCAAGGACTACTACAAGATCCTGGGAGTCTCCCGTGATGCGGACGAAAGAACAATCAAAAAAGCCTATCGTACGGCAACCAAGATTTATCATCCCGACAAAGCCGCTGCAAAAGGAATGTCCAAGGAGGAAGCCGAGAAGAAAATGGCTGCCATCAACGAAGCGTATGAAGTTCTCAGCGATCCCGAGCTGAAAGCGAGATTTGATAGAGGGGAGGATCCAAATGACCCGTTGGCGAATCAAGGAGGCAATCCATTCCACGGAAGTCCTTTCGGGCCTGGCGGGCAACAGTTCTTCTTTCAGCAAGGGTTCCCTGGGGGCGGGGGTGGTCAGAGACAATTCAAGTTCTCGACCGGTGGAGGAGGCCCGGGAGGGAATCCTTTCGCTGGCTTTCCTGGATTCGGATGAGATCATGTCCGGCACCGTCTGGCTCGTTTTCACGGCCTTGCTGTTGTCACATCTTGGCGCTTGTACGAATTGATACCCCATGTTTTGAACTCAGCCTCCTACAAGTATCTCATTTCAGACTCCTAATTTGGAGACAGTTGTTCCAGGATTTCGGAACTTCCCTAACTGAACCCTATCTGACACACCCAAAGGGCGAACTCCATTTTTTGAAACATCCATGCCCTTCTCTTAACGCACACCTTGCCTTCTTTGGTCGACCGTTGAAGGGATAGCTTCCCGGTGTTGCTGATTCAGATCACCATCGGACTCAGAACCGGCATATTTGACAATCCCAAACGTCAACATCCCCTGTCAATGTTGAAATTCAGTTCACCATCTGGGCTCTGGTAATTGATACAGCCGAAGTGGCGTAATCTAGACACGGTATTCAAAACACGGTGCCTTCCCCATGTCGACTACGCCGGCTCTTCTCAAGAACCGTCTGCCACCGAACACGGATGTGCCAAACAAGGCAAAGCACTAGAGTTTTAGCGGCACACCAACCCACAACTCGCACGGACCCGCCTCGCCTCGCCTGGCCCGCAACTTCATGAACCCGCATACATATTTGCACCAATACTCCATGTACCTCAGGGTTGAAACATGAAACAATAAAGCAGGAGAGGTTAGGATGAGTGAGTGATACCAACGAAAGTTTGTTCTCGAGCATGTCCTACGGAACTCCTCCTCTCGGAGTATCTAATGTTTCATTTCGAGAGCCGTTCTCTTGTGTGGTTTTTCGTCACTGCATCCTCTAACCTTTTTCGCACTGGGACTTTTCGATGGTCTCTGCAACTACTACTGATTCCTGCATAAGTACCCGTCACTTGAATCCCATCACCTCAGGCCCGCATCGCATGCCGAAGGAGCGTGGAGTACATACATCATGCAACCACTGCTTGCATCTGCTATAACAACTAGGCCTTCAACTTCACATGTCATAAATATTCCGATACCTCCAGTTTATGACCATTGCCGGATTAGTTGCCCAGGACACACGAAACAACCCCGTGTACCATTTCCACTTCGGGGGCTCTGCTATCCAGCCACAGCGCTAAGAAGTCATGGGGCCCTTGCGACGTCAAGTGTCGGAGAGAGCAAGTGAAAGCGACGGTATGGGCGAATTCTCACCCCCCTCTTCTCTGGCCTTCGTAGCAGGAAAGTCCTACCATCCACCGCCTTCCCCGGAAGCGAGACTAGAGCGGCGTTCATTCAAACTCAGATGCAGGAGGAATTGGGATGGAATAGGGTACAGTGGACTAGAGCAGAATGCGTCAGGTCCCTTCTTCCGGTCCTATGCTCTACGCGAATCCGATACTGCGAACACCAGAGTTCGGCCTTTCTCTCGCGCACGCGCGCCTCTCTCGTTCTCTCTTTGTTCAAATCTCATTGAGAGTCATTTGCTAATTATTGATCTGGAGCCTGCTCAAAAGAATGTCCACTACTGCCAAAACAGAGTCTAGGGAGATACGATTCTCTACGTTCATATCTGCAGTGATCGCTTGATTTTTCCCAAGCCGAAGAGATAGTATTCTGAAATGTCTTATAAGAAAGAGTCTTACCCTGTCCTGCCATGTCCTGGATTGTAATGTAATGCCGGCTCTTGCTCTAATTTGTCCTACAGTTGACAATATCTAGCAAGCAGGTCAAGGATCAAGTTCACTGTCTTTTCGATGGAGACATGAATAAAACATACGGCGCTTGGAAAGACCAACTCAACTCCGCAATGTCCTCGAGCCTCAGCCTCGTGCGACGGGTATGAGAATAGATGTGAGCCAATGGGAGTTTAATGCCATTTAAACCAGCACTTTTCCTTTCTTGCTTGTGGTTTTCCACATGGATTGGGCCTTGTCGCTATCTTGGTGACACACTCTACCTGGCTGTTTGTCTGCAATCATTAAACCGGAGTTTTCTGTGGTTCAGTGTGTCTGATGATTCGATTGCACCAACATACTTGAAAACCCCCCTCTTTTTCCCTTCTTTGCCATTGTGACCACAATCCAGTGGACGAAGCTCGCGTACCAGCTCAAGGTACTCTAAGCATATCTCTCCTTGATTCAATGAAGAACGGTAATACTGTAAAACCCACACCATCGCTGTTTCATCGATCACTTGCTCCGGAAATATGTTCACCTCTCAAGTCCGAATCTTTCGTGAAGAAATTCGAGCCAACCCAGCTGCACAAGTATTGTTGTACCAATTCATGTCCAGGCTGTCTACCCAGAAGATACCGACTTGCCCCTGAACATTGGCGTAGAAGCTCAATGTACTCAACTTGTAGAACAAATGATTGAATATGATCTTCGTGAGCTGGCAATTCTTGAAATTCGGACATGGCGGGATGCGGAAATGTTGAGTTGCAACCACCACTTCACTCCCTGTAGGATTGTCCCATCGGTAAGCAGTGGCCACAAAATCGCAAACTGTGCTCCAATTCGTGGCGCCATTATCACAGCCCACATAGGCAGAGCTTGCAGTAAACCAATATCGATTATCGTAGTTGCGAGGGCCTGCACCCAATGAGCTCGGTGGAATAAGTCCAGTGTATGGGGAACCGGTTATGTTGTTGGCTTGAGAAGGGATAAATTGAGCGAGTCGATTTCCTGATTGGGGTGGATAAGGCTCGTTGGGGGGAGGTACATACGCCCATCCGTCACCCCAGAAGAAATGGTCGTAGGGATTGAAAATTGGCGGGAAAGGTGCTGTATTGTTGTCAGCTGGTGAGAACACGGGAAGTTCATCAAACTGCCAATCGTTAGTCATTTGGCGATGCAAAGATACCCGGATTTCTTACACCAATTTGAAACGGCCCAACTTCGCCGCACGCGGTGGGACTGGGAGTCGATGATCCATATATTGGGACAGTGGAAGAAGTTTCGAAAAATGAATCGACAGATGAAGATAACTGATCAGGGGAGCTGGCAGCTGTGCTTGCCTTTCCGATGGTATTGATGCCGGGTATATAGGAAGGGGGAGCTATGTTTCTGTCAGTTAAGTTGTTAAATATGCCACCAATCTGTAGCCTACCAGTTGTCTCCCAGGAAGTGAAAGTCAACGTCGAACCTCCAGCCCAATTATTACACCAGCCCACCTCTTGACCGCCGATTGTAGCGGTTATCCAGACACATGTCTGTCTCTTCTCGACAACGTCATACTCAACCCACACGTCCGGTGAGCCATATCCATAATCAGGGGTTCCAGATCCGAATGTTGGTGCTGCAGTCATAACGACACTTTGTGTGACGGCGTAAATGGTGTGTGTCAGGGTGAGTGTAGACGCAGGTACTTCGCTTGACGCAGCTCCTAAACCAGCTCCGGAGCCCCAGGAGGTGGCGTTTGTGCCATTCCAGCCACCTGGAGGTCTCGAGAATGATCCGTGGGCCGAGATACTCAGGTCGGTATCCCTATGAAAAGTCGCTGAAGACTTAGGAACTGGTAAAACAGTAACGGTGGTTACCTCGGCGACGATAGCCTCTGATGGCATGTCGCCCCAATTAGTGTTGGAAGGGTCCTTGGACATGTAGAAGACCGAAGTGCCATCATTTGGGATTTCAGTGGCTTCGTAGCCTGATATCAGAACTGAGTGGGTGAACACAGGTGTGGTAGGATTTAAGAGGTTCGAGACAGGGGCTTCCAGGCTCTGCTGAATGACTTGATCAGTGTCAACCGATGCCATGGACTTTGCAACCGAGGATGGATCTTGTTGAAGGATGGTAACAGTCGGAGGGGTGTGCATGATGGTTTGGGTGATCGTGACCGTATTAAAGACTGTGACAAGAGAGCATGGTGGCACTGGTCTGTTTGGTGCATGTTAGGAAGAAGCACCACCAACTTCAAAGCCTTCGTTGGAATGTTCATCTTCACGTAGGAATTCTTTCACTCACTGTGGTGTAGGGTTGACGTGTCTGATGGGTAAGATTCCAGCTTCACAATGGGTCGAGATCACCCCCGTAAAAGCGATCGAATGCACAAGTCTCATGATGTCTTTGTGACCGTGATCTTGTCAGATCGTTGGTGATTTGCTTCCGTCCGGTATCTGTCTTGTGGCTGAGTCGGCTCGTTCGACCAGGAAAGGAGCGATGGCAAGTGAGTGTAAGCAGAGGTGACCTCGGCAGGAGAGGGATGCTGGACTGTGAAAGGTCAGATTCGCGAACAAAAGAGTGAGTAAAGATTGTGAGAAGGCCGTAAGAGTGTAAGAGAGTTGAGAGAGTGAGAGGATGGCGAGAGTCAACAATCAAATAATGGTGATGGCGCGGGTTCTGTTATGAAGGAGAAGAGATTCGCCTGCGCCTTTCTCAAAGAGTAGGCAGCCATTCACCAGCATTTTCCCCTGGGGTTAGTCTACCGTAGGCTTTCCACAGCTTGTCTGCCATCCTTGTGTTCAGTCCTCCTATTTCCCCTTACCCGGCCATGTGTGAGGTCGCTTCTGACCATCGAGCCAATGGAAAATGTCGCCTCGACGTTCTAGTCCCAGCCTCGCTCCCACTTTGATCTTCTGCGAGATCGCACCAGGCAGCATATATGCACGTGGAAGCCGTGACCCGAAGACGAAACATACCCATCTCGCGGAGCTGCTTCTCTACGTAGCTCGAGCAATGTTCCTAACCGATCTCAAGGGCAACCACAACAGCCGATCGATTTGGAAAAGCAGTATGTCAACATGGACGCCGCTAGCCTTCAAAGTGGACAATTGTGAAGTTGACGCTGACAGATTTCCTTGAGAGCAAACAAATCCATCTCAATTTGTGGAAGAATTTTCAAAATGAGGCATCGTGCTTGAGTGGTGTTGATCATCGTAACGCGATGACACGGGAGGGTACCTACAGCATATGACCTCCACGCCGGAGATTTAGTGAAACGGGTCAATTAAATGCATGTGATCTCCAGAATGTCCAATTCTCCTTCAAAGGGACATTAGCTGACCAAAGATAATTGAACTAGCTGGACAAGATTTTCAAGGAATCTTCAGCGCAGATACAGTGTTCAGTGCGGCATCTTTAGGGGTTCCGATCGCAAGGCGGAATCTTTCTGTTGACCATGGCGGATATTTATTGAGCTTCCAGTATACCTGGGATGGTGACAATAAGACGGGGTTGCGGTGCTCTCCATGACTGCTGTATTAATCATGATATTGGAGTGAGAGTCCCAACTTCATCACTATTCGGAAACCAAGCTGGACATGATCCAAATTCAGCTCTTGGTCCTCCCGGCAGCTGAAGAAACGTCGCAACGCTCCGCGTTCAAGTTTTGGTCAAGTTTGTCTTGGCATGGCAAGCCACTGTAGATCGATCGGGCCTGACAAGCACTTTCACAGTAAACACTGTATCGGGTATCAGGATCCTTGTTCGGGGGTCACCGGGAAAGTTGAATATATATCAAATTGCAGCTAGGAAGAGGAGTCACTCAACGAGGACGCGGGGAAAGCAATTGTCGTATGGTTCATTGAGAAACTAGATGACAGATCAAAACAGTTTGTGCTGACATCTATCCATCAACACATTCATTCTCTCCAATCTCAAAATTTGTTGTACCGCCATTGGCAGGAACTCTGATCGTGACGGCGAGCTCGAAGGCGTGGAGTGAAAGAGACGAGAAGTTTGCTGAACGATAAACTCGTACACCTCGACTGAAATCCAACCAAACGGTACTCATAATCACAACAGTCATGAACTAAAACGTGGGTATTTCATGATGCGCCCAAGAAGCCACTTCTTAACGCCCGCTTGCATCAAGAACAAAATTTCATAACCCATATGCATGCACCCAATAAATCCAAAGGCATGAACACATGAACTGAATGGAATTAAAGAAAAATTCGTTATGGGTATCTCTCAATGCAGGCCGTCAAGATTCAAGGATCAGAGAGCTGTGTCTCGAAGTATGCCACCGCGTGGGCCATCGTGAGAATTGAGAAGCCATCTCACTCACGGGGCCGGCTCTCGTCGTGAACTTAGTGGAGTCGTATTAGAAATAGGTGTCTTCGTCATCGTCACAGGCGGATACAGCTGATTTATCGAGCACCATTTTCACCGCTGGTTGCTACCGCTACCAGGGCTTCAAGACGATTCATCTCACTGCCAGTGCCACCACGTTCATGATAAGAGGTCGTGTTTTGGTGGCGAGTTGTTTCGATGTACGGAGCAGGGGCAAGACACACCTGCAGCAAAATTAGTTGAGACCATCTTTGGTTTTTTTTTTTTTTTTGGAAGGGATGCTCAGGCGAAAATCTTACATTTTGATGTCCATCTGGAGGAAGTGCTGCATGCTGTGTGTCCATGTAGCCATTGCTGGACATAATCATGGGATGCACTTCCACAGCAGTCATACCAGGGGTCGGAACCCCATCACTACTGCTTGAATCTTCAGGAGATGTTCGACCAGGAGGCAGAGGTCCATTATACCATCCCTGCCTCTTGGACTTCTTCGGAGCGGAAGACTGCATCTCGAGCGCTTCTCGAGCCATTTGTTGTTGCTGTTGGACGGACGTCATGGACGGAGGTGGAGGTCCCATGTCTAAGGGTCTGGTCTGCTCATGATGCTGAATGCTGATGTTCTGGATTTCATTGATGGTTTGTTGGCCCCAGGATCCTGCCACTTGGCCCCGGTCTCCGTGATCATCAAGATCGGGATACTGGCTGGGACGACTCCCGTCCCAAGAAACATGGCCTTGACGTACGCGAGGATCTTGACTCGGAGCCGACGATGAGAGATGGGAGTCGGCAGGGTGGGAGTCAATCTGCATGGGACTTGGTTGACGCCGAGGAGGGGTGTATGACCGATGCTGAACATGATCGAAACTCTCAATACCGGGCAAACGTGGAGCTTGACCGGCAGCGGCGGTGGCATGTTGTGCATGAGCAGGTTGAGGTGCATCCGGGGTTTGGGAATATGTCAGTCCGCTTGTCGCCGGACGTCCATAGTTGTAATTGGCGGCAGGATAAGTGGACGGGTGCCACGTCCGTCGTCGCCAATCCTCTCCTGGTAGGATATGTTGGCCCGGAGCGCTGGGAAACGTAGTCGAGGAGGGACTAGCAAACACGCTCGAGTTTAAGGATGCATGCGAACTGGGAGGACCCATTTGATTCATATAAGTCATGGGATATCCTGGTGGGTATTGGCTTTGATATGGATTTGGGCCTGAGGGCACCGATAATCGACGAGCTGGCGGTCTCGAACCGAGGAACCCGCTTAACCGCGAATTGGTCGACACCGGAGAACCCATCGACGATAGAAAGCCTGGACTCCCGGGAGTGGCCGAAAAGTTCGCAGACGTGGGTGTACTCATGCCACTGGGAGAATTGGTATTGTACCCCCGATACTGCGCTGGGGGTGTTTGTGGTGGTTCGATGCCCAAATTGGGTCTGTTCGTGCTATCATTGGCCATGAGGAGCGGCGGTGGTCGCCTTTTCGCTTCTGTAACAACGCTGTAATTGGATGATGTCGAACCAACGCTTGAAGCCGAAAGGTTTCGGCTGTGACCTCGACTGTGACTGCCTGTACTCCCAGCAGTGCCAGTACGAGGACGACCGGTTGGCCGGACACGGTCAGTGCGTATCTGTCTTTGAAACCGAGTGCCCGTAGCGGCGAGGGAATCTGTCGGGATTTCCTCATTGACGTGAACAGTTTGAGCATGTTGACGCAAGTTATCCAGTCTGGAGAACCTTCGATTGCAGTGACACTGGAACGGACGTTCGCCCGTGTGTTTCCTTATATGGCGAGCCAGATGCTCGCTCCTGGTGAAACTGAGATTGCAAGGCGGATAGCCCGTGCAGAAGAATCTCTGGCCCTTCTTCTTTCTAGAAGCAGAGTCTGCCTCGCCGGGCTCGGCTTCGTTGTCCGAGCCATGCTGATCGTTTTCATCATCTCCCATATCCATTGAACCCGGTATCGCCTCTTCTCTATCGGCATGGTCTTGACGATGGTCCGGGCCGTCTTTCGGCGCACCTCGACTTGAAGGTTGGGAGATTGTGGGAGCGCTTGATCTCGGGAGGGTTTGGCCTACGACGGCGACATTCGAATCGTCGGCAACCGTCGAGGCAAAACGACCGGCCCGCGGAGTTGTAGGAGTGTCCAGCTCTTCCACCCGGTCTTTCGCAGGTATAGCCTCGCTCAATACGAGGCTCGATATCGCCGCCATCGTGTGGGTTCAGTGAGGCCTTACGATGGTCAAGCAACCCAGGAGTTTGCGGCTTCACGCCACACAAATGATGCGCATCCGGAGCGGCGCTGTTCGAAAATACAAATGCAATATGTTTCGCAAAGGTATCTGGATTGATAGAGTATTCGGGTTCGAGTGTGTGGCAACGGACCCTCTCGGAGGGGCTGGAGGGGGACGGCGATAAGACTAGGGTTCGGATGAAGAAGGTTCAGGAAGGCTGCGCACACCAACAATCCATACGATCGACGAGGCCGGGGGAAGGCTCAGGGGATGAGAAACAGGATAGGATGAACGAAAACGCTAGCAAGATCTGATGAATTGAGTGTTGCTAGGTCGCCAAATGAACTTACGGCGGAGGAGGGTAGAGATCCTGATGTGAAGCGCTGAAGTGTACGGAGCAGTAGGCTCAAGGTGTTGGCGTCAAGGCGGGCCCTGCTGCATGTGGAGCCAGAATGGCAGATGACGAGGGCGCCCGGCTGAGCGGTGTGTGAGCAAGGAACTGGCGGAATATTATACTGTGTAAGGGCCTGCTTGATTTAGTCAGCGATTCGGTAGAAATGAATGGATGAATGGCCGCATGGGTGATGATGGTATAACTACTGTAGACCAGGAGGAGGCGAATGACGAACAGATGGCGATGGCGATAACCGTAGCAGTGATGATGATGAATCAGGAAAGGAGCGTGTCTGGTTACCTCGCAGTGCGTCGCACTGAATGAGTTGCATGTGCAGCGACGCAGCCTAGTTTTGCAGTGCAGATTGCAGTGTGTAGGTGATTAAACTTGCAGAGGGCTGGCATAACCAAGGACTTGACTGTTGGTAGCAAGTGGAATTGAAGAAAGGTACTGGGCACAACTAAGCCGTCATTGCCGTCAGAGAATCAAGAGTCAAAAGAGAGGGGCAGGACGTCACTAGAACCGCCGGTCGAGGGCACATATGTCGGCGATGAGTGGCCACTTTGCTGGTTCCTGTTTTCACCTGGCGGCCGTCTGGGGCGCCTGGAAGCGGCTAATAAAGGAGTGAACAAACCTTAAATGCTTCTTCGAGGACCTCCAGGGGCATTGATTGGCAGGGCTCGACCTGGGCAAACCAGGGCAGAGAGGAAAATCGCAGGCTGCAAAAGGCATAACTACGGATACTGCGTTGATGTGCAGCGGGGCCCGCACCAGCCTACTGTATCTGCATGGTTCATCGCAACCCTCAGTGTGAACCCCTCCCCTCCTTCGCCCCTGGGCAAACATCAAGAACGTCAAAAGTTGATCCTGATGAACCTCAACCGCTGCAAGATCAACGGCGCGGCCAGTCAGAGTCGCCGGTTTGAATGGCTTTCATCGACTCTCATATCTCTCCCACTTCACCAGGCAAGGTCAAGATCTCTGGCCACCTCAGTTCGATCCTTAAAACTCTGGTAACCAGCACATCTTTTTCCTTTGACTTTGGCGGCCTCGCCACCATCATCATCCTACCCGCTTTTGTCTTGTCCAATGTCCAGCCTTCGCCTTGTCATCCCACCCACATAATCCTTTCAACACGAAGGAGGCTAACGAGGCCGACCATGTCATCCTGGCCTTACATTCAAGCGTCCTCACTTGCCCACCTCCTCCACTGACTCACAACTTTTTATCTTGCGCGTACCAAAAGGGACCCGCCCTGCAGCCCTCCCCCGCCATCGTATTCGCTCGCCTGCTGTCAAAGGAGGGGGGGGTTGGATGTTTCGCTGACCGCAGATATCCGGCTGGACTCTTAGGCTTCTCAGAAATAACTCAGGTACGTACTACGTGGAGAAGGCGGGCGCTGTAACCCTTAAGCATGACAGCAGAGTTCTTTCGCTCGGTTCAGGCACAGGCACAGACTACTTGCAGCGTCAGGTACCCTCGAATCGTGAACAATAGGATCCGCCGGTCGCTGGTCGCTGGTGGACAGGAAATCATATGACCCTTTTCGATAGACTATCTATTGATGCGTTTATCGTCAGGTCAAACCCGATCCATTCATCCGAGAAAACGACTACCAGTCTTCCGTCGCATTCTTTCTTTTCGCGATTACAACTTGTGATATATAATTGGGACAGACCCTATGAGAATACACCTCGCGCAAGCATCCTGCATCGAAGCCCCGACATGAAAATGGTATATTACGTCATGCTCTCCCTTTGGTTTATTTACCATGTCACTGATATCAAACCGTATTTTGTAATTCAGAAACACGGAGGACCAACATTGAGGACAGCGTTACCGGCAAGCAAGTAGCAAACAGATCATGTGTCACATAACAGGCCTCCAATCCTGGAAAGTATTGATATAGCCTTTGATTTTACAAAACGCTCCTTTCTCGAGCCCTTCTAAAGAGAGTCTGGTGCAAATGACCAAGAGTTGGCCTGATCCTCGACCCCTCGGAGGGGCCAGCCTCAGCCTTACTCTGGTGGCGTTGTGACGGCCTAGCCTCTTTCGTGCAACGCATCATCCCATGTTCTCTGATCGAATCAATAACACGGATATCATATTTGAACCATCTGTTTATCGTCCAGAACCGACGGACTCATCACAAATTGAGTGCAACATGTCACAGGTGCAGGGCTTCATGCGGTGATCTATCTTGACAACGTCTCTTTCAAGACAAGGGGCACAAGACTTATTGAGGGCAAAAGAGGTTTAATCCCAACAAAAACTGCTCTGCCAAACTCAGTAAAACTTCGTCGTCATCTTCGGCTTGAACATGACTGCACCAAAACCTACCACTTCAACATCGACCTATATCGACCTAGATTTCCTCACATCCGAAGACTTTTCGCCCTATGCTCACGCCAACAACCTTGTCACTGCGACCAATAATCCTTCCGATCCCACGATCGACCTCACAACACCGCTATCCCGAGTCCTCTTTGATCTCCAAGAAATAGACTCCCACATTCACACCCTGACGTCCCGGTCAGCCCTGGACATACTCACGTACACCTCCTCCCAAAATGCTGCCGCTCAACGGATTCTCTCCCGTGTCGAAGACGAGCGTGTTCGTCTGGTCTCCAGTTATGAACGTTTAGAGAAAGAAGTGCTGGTACGCCATCAACGAGCGGTCGACGCCAAAACCACGGCTCAACGAAGCTGGGAAGTTCTTAGACTCGGACGCGGCGTGCAAAGAATCCTTGGACTCGCCAGGCAATTTGAGATGATCCTGGCCGAATCAGGGCTTGGAGGCGGCACGAGGCCCGGGAAAGAAGACCATCACGCCCTCGTCCGCGCAACGCTTTCGATCCTCGCGTTCCGTGATGCAATGAGCGGGAATGATGGCAATGAACTCGGGCGGATCAACCTCGTCAAAATATTGCGTGGGAGAGTCTTCGAGGATGGGGAGGCAAGGATTCTCGACTTCGCCCGGCGGGTAGTCCGAGAATATTCCATGAGCGCACTCCCATCAGCGCCGACTAGTGGAGGATCAGCGTCAGGTCCTACACTGCGCGAGGCGGAAGACAGTCGTGCCCGGTTTACGAGTGCAGTCCACATTCTCTATCTTCTCTCACCAGCGCCAAGGATCGACGGTGAGAAGATGACGAAGCAAGACTTCGAGCCCGAATACTTACTTCGGGCGTTGCAAGGCTATCTACAAACCGCCATCACATCAAGTTCCGCATCAATCGGAAGGGCGCTGGGCCAATTACCAACGCTGGACAGAGCCTTGTTGGAAACGAGTGCAAGATGTCAAAACGTAGCTGCCCTGGAATCTCTCCTGCGTGGAATATGTGCCCCTGTACACCCTTTGCTCCGGGAGGAACCAAAGAGCGATGTAGAGGATAATGACGAAGATGATGTCACAGACACGACAAGGGAGTCTTCTTCTGACACATTTCTCTCTCTCCTTCTCAATGCTCTCGATACCGCATCCCTTCCGTCATACTTTTGGCGCTCTCTGGCGTCGTCATTATCTCCTCGTGTCGCTGAGATCTTGAACAGAGGAGGAGTTGCTGCCCGCACGCTTCGAAGTCAACGCGACACTGTTCGGGCCGAGATACGCGAATGTGTACTACGAGGATCCAAGATGCCGAGCAGTGTTGTCTTGGGAGATGCGAGGGCGGCAGCTAAGAGTGAGGAAGTGGTGGAGAATTGGGAAAGGGAGGCTGCGGTCATGGTCGGAAGTGTCGCGGGTGTCCTGGGACGATAGAGAGATCTCTGTAGCCTGTGGTAGAGGGTCGAACTTTTCCTGCGATGAAAGACCAATGTTTCTGTCGCCAGACGATAGGAAACAGTGCTCAAAACTGCCAAAGACTACATCCAGGTATGAGTAAAGATTATTCATTCGGAGTGACGTCTCAATGGAGCGGGGAGCTGTAACATCTCCATCCCCATAGTCGGACCCGAAAATGCCTTGTTCTCGTACACTCGCGCTATGCGATTCCGTCATTTCTTTTATACAGTGTGCCAGTATGCATCCAACTTCCAGCGAGAATGAGAAGATGGTTTTTGCCGTACTCTGAGGACCGACTATGGCGCTGGTGCCGTACGATATAGTACGTTGTTCAGAGATGCGCCGCGGCTCCTCATCCAGCAAAGTGACTTCTTCCATGGTGTGTTCGGCCAATATCCTCTCATTTGGCATCGTAGAAAGCCGGATTCACGTTCGCTGTTCAATCATCCAAACCATGAACCTTTCTTTCTCTCGGCTTTCGCCTTCGCAACCATTTTCGCATCGTCTTCCTGGATTTTAGCTAATGTTTGATCCCGTTTATATTCCATCACTCTCTTCTCTTTGAAATATTTAATCTACAAACACCCCATAAGGTCAGCAGGCTCTTCCATGCAGAAAGTCTTCCAATTTTCAACCAAAAAGTGTGATGGAACCCACCCAGGTCTTTGCACAGTCCCGCTCAAATTCCGATATTTCCTTCGGACACACCTTCCTGGCCTTTTCGTCCTCTTTTATGGCGTCCAAAATGTTATTCTTGTCCAGGCACTCAAAGAAGATATCTCGGGACTCGTAGCAGAGTTCTCTAGCATTGCGATCGGGAGCGATGAACCCCCCATCTTTGGAACGAGGTCGGACTGTCTCTGGTCTTGAGGCAGGAGGACTGCCACCGAGCCAGGTTGGAAGCCCCCAGCCCATGCTAGCAAAAGAGAGAAGGACGGAGTGGATTTCGGCGAGAATTGGACGAGATTGAGAAACAACCTCTCGAGTAAGGGCTATTGCGCCGTAAGTGCCTCCAGGAAATGAAGAGCAGGACTTTGCGAGACAAAACTTTCCATTAAGATGCAGTTGGTTTAACAGTTATTGAACCTCATAGGGCTGAAGTCGGCGCACCTCCAAAAATCGGAGAAGACTGACTTGCACGTGACGAGTGACTGCGGCGCGCATCACTCCAGGCTCCCAATTCCATCCGTCATTTATTTGTTCCTTTTTTTGAAGGGAGGGGTTTTATAGAAAACCAATGTCTAGACATGCAGCAGATTTCGAACTCCCCCCGGCCATGCTGAAGCTTCTTTCTGTCAGTAAAAGACGGGCCACATCAACAAGCGAATGCCGCCTCGACGAAGAAAACCACCTCGCGCAGGCGCCCTCACTGAACTCCCACCCCTCAAGATCATCCGGTCAATCCTCCTCCTTCAACTTTTCTACTACGCGACCGCATTTGTATTAATATTATTCACGGCTCTTGTTCTCGGGCAGAAGTTCTCATTAGGGTTACTTTTTGATTGGAACAGCGTTAGAGGTGACACCACGATCGGCTGGACGGTCGGATTTCTCTGGGTCATTGATGGATTTATTATGTATGCTCGGACATCTACTTCATTGGATCCCTGCATGTCCAGACTAATGATGGCCATCAGAGTAATACCAATTCTCCTTTTCGTGTCGCGGTCAAAGCTGGTCCCGGATTTCGCCCTCACCATCTACTTTATACATCTCGTAATCACGTCTCTCTACACGCAAACCATCCCGACGAATCTTCTTTGGTGGGGATTAGAGGCCGCAAGTGCTGCGCTGACGATCAGCTTGGGAGTTTGGGCGTGTCGCTACCGAGAGATGCAACCAATATCATTTGGTACGGTACCGAAGAGGACCACGCAGAGTACAACGAACGAGCCTGCCACGGATAATGATCATATACGTGGTGGACAGGGCCGAGGCAGAAATGTGGACGCTGGTCCAAGCTACGAAATGGTTAATGTGACGAGAGGAGATCAAAATGTATAGTGCCAATGGACAAACTCTCCTCTGTGGGGGGGAGAATGAAAGCAGACTCAACTTTCTTCACCCAAAAATCACGCTTCTAGTGAAATTCGCTTGAACAGGGCAATCCCAAATCGGCGGCGAAATTCCTCGACTCTTGAGCAATCGCCGCATCTCTAACCGACGATCTTTAGCTCATGGAATCAACAGGTTAGGGCAAGTGTGATCCTCTTCCAGAGTCTAATTCTTTGAATCCAACGCCAAATTCCTTCCCTTGGACCATGCTATCCTTGCCACGAGGCGGCGTCATTAACGGGGACGGGGAGAATACGACAATTTACCGTTAGACCCCACCGAATTTGTGGACCTTTTACAGCGACGCTTTCGCCTGTCTGGACGATGTCAACAGACTTCCCTTAACCCTCAGTATCGCCCTTCATGTCGCCCAAGGCTGGATCAATGTCCTGCAGCACGGTAAGCTACCGGTGTGGATGCGTACTTATTCTAATGGCACCAATGGAATCTTGCATACGGCAAGAGCTGATTAGTGGATGTATTCACCCTGCTTCACTGCTGTCCAACGGACTCTGGAGGTGCGGAACGAAGCAATGATCTATCTCGACTTCAGAGGATTGCGGCTTTCCATGACCCAGAGCTCATTGGCTCACCCCCAAGACAACTCAGCATTGCATGCATACCGGTCAGCGTCCAACCAATCTCGAAAGCTGCGAACAGGAAGGGTTTGGTTGCCCAATTTCCCCGTGTGATCAGTGCTCGCTTGACTCAACTTGAGCCTCCTTGATGTGGGGGAGAAAGTACAATACAGGCCCTACCCCGAGGTATCGCTTTGACAACCTACAGGTTGGGCTTTGCCTGTAAAGCTTTGCAGGTTTCCCCCAACGCTCCCCTTACCAGGTCGTGGTATTCAGCAACAGATTCCTGAGCTTTTCTCATCCCATCGTCCGCCGAACCAACCTTGATGCTATATGCGTGACCAGGACATATTTCCTGGCCTGTTTCGAGCACAACTGCCTAAAATTAAACGGGTTTCTGCCCCCCCAAAAATGGGCCAGGGGGAGTACCTTGTCAAGCTGACGACATATGTCACGCCTGAGGAATACGATGAATTGCAAGAGCACGGCATCGAAGATGGCGACGATCTAGCGAACAGGTTCATTGAATGGATGAAAAACGACAAAACCCTCAAAAAGCGGAATAAGTGTCTCAGGGTCCAGAATGAACGCTTCGAGGCGCAGTCCAATGAAAAGGTCCAGGAAGTGCAAGAGTATGCCAATTGCGTACAACAGGATAATACCAGATTAGAGGTTCAGGTTAAAAAATTGACGACCGAGAAAAGCGAATTGCAGGCTAAAATGAAAGAATTAGGCGAGAAAGCGAGATGCACGGAGAAAGCTAGCCAGTGGTACGTGTGTGATAAACCAACATCTCAACATATCAAGAGGATCTGCATCTGTCGGCTGACAGGCTACCTGACTCTATCTAGGGCCGGACGGTGGAGTGACCTTCAAAAATCAATCAATGCAACAATCCAGGCCGAGATTCCAGCGGACCAGCAAATCATATCAATGGAGCTCGTCTGTCGATCGCTGTTTGAACATGTCCAAACCAGGGAACCTGTCTCGCCGACAGCGGCCAGACCAAGATATTCATTCTCGGGAGAGATGAATTCAAAGGACTATGGAAAAGGTGCAAAGGCCATTGAATCTTTGTTTGGGCGATTGAAGCCCCGGAACCCCGAGAAAACCAGACTTTATGAAGAATTGTCGGACTATTTCATCAAAGCCTTTGATCTCTGGAAAGAGATGAAAGATGAGGGCTATGTGGTCCAGCTTAACTGTAAGCCTTGCCGAGTTTGCAATTGTGGGTGGCGGGTGCAGCCGATGCCGGCACAAGAAAAGCTGAAAGATCCGAAAGTCATATGCCTGTTTCCCAAAATCCGAATTCAAAAAGACGCTATGATGACGGTGGTGGATGGTCTATATGCCCTTCAAGAAAGGAGACAAGGCTCCTCAAAAGCCTAGACGAATGGCATGCCTTCTGATTATCTGTTTGGGTGACTAAAATTCGGACATATGGTGGATTGTCCAGAGAGGAAAAGACGCGGCTGTTTGTCTCTTTAATTTCACGATATCTCTCATGAGCATGCGGTGGTGTTTCAAGGCCGCTGGCAGTCAGACGATATTCATTTCAATAATCTTCGCCTTCCTTATTACGAATAAATTCGCGACTCGTCGAACACCTTTTCACCGGCCACCTCCAATTGTCTCATCTCGTCTTAGCTTTTCAAACACAATCTTACAGCTTTGACCCCTCGGCCGACTCGCGATAATCTGATCCTCCATCTCCATATCACTGTTCATCTGACCAGATACCGTCGTTCGACACTGAGAATAGACTTCGCGGAGGAGTAGTTTCATCTCCGCAATCGCCAGGCTATTTCGACACCGGATCAGGATATATCCAAACAACAGCTATCTCGAAGCGCAGGAAAAAGAAATGAGAAGGATTGCTTACTGTTTCCCAAGACATCCTCTTCCCCCAGCCGAGAAAGCGAATGACCACCGATTCCTCTCCGGCCCGCCTTCTCTCTCCAACCAGCGTTCAGGTATGAACTCTAACGGGTGAGGAAATACATTGGGATCCTTATGCAATGTCCACGCTTGACAGCTTACGATCGTGCCACCGGGGATGAAGTGGCCTTCAATGGTGCTCCCTCCCTGGGGAACATAGCGGGGCAAAGACATAGGTATGGGCGGAAAGCAGCGCAGGCCCTCTTTGACCACGGCGTCGAGGTAAGGTAGTTGATCAAATGGTGTGTTTGGGCTGGAGACCAGTTCTTGATGCAGGAGTGATTGAATGCGCTGCGAGGCATAGGTGGGCAGTGACAAGTGGTACATTAAGAGGCACAGAGCGTCGCCTGTCGTGTCGACACCGGCAGCCAGGTGGTCTTTACATTCAGCGGGGACGGCGAGAGGGGCCATGCTCGAAGTGGCCTTGGCCTGGGCTTGGAGTTTGGACAAGAGGCTGAACGAGGACGGCGATTCAGTCTTGCTAGTTTTCAGGACGTACTCGTTGGATAAGGGTGCCGGCTTGGGTGGGTTGATATAGTGGATCGGTTTCGAGAGCCATGGTGCGTAGTAGAGGAGGTAGTTGCCTATCAGTCATTTGTCGGTCGGAATTAACATTGTGAAATCGTAGAGAGACAGGGGTAGGGAAAGATAGGTAGATAGGGGGCCAGACGTACTTTGCAAACTGTTGTGATAGGACAGTTCCTGCATGAGACGGAGATCTTTCTCGTTCACATTGGAGTGTGTCCCGTATGGATGGAAAAGCTGATGTGTGACACCGTCAAGAGCGAAGCAGTGGAGATGAACCTTTAAGAAAAAAAAAAAAAAGATCGCTCATCAGTTTCTGACATTCCCTTCCTCCATAGGACTAGAATGGGTTGTTTTTGTTACTTACATAGATATCCGCAAAGCCATCCCGGGAAGAACATCTCTCCATGCATTTATTCAAGAAGTCCTTCGCGTGGCTGGAAATGCCATTCAAAACCTCGGTTTTCATGATACTCGTGTTGGCATAGCGATCTGCCAGGTATCGTTTCATGTAGCTATGCTGAATGCCAGACAGGCAGATAGAGTCAGTCAAGATAAAAATTCAATGACGGTAGATGGATGGCGGTGCAATGGTTCACTGACATACCGCCGTCCGCGGCAGCGTAGAAAACAACGTTCGCGTCCCGAACTGCATAAACAACGTATAAAAAGGTGTCTTGTCATAGCCACTTCCGCCAGACATATAGATTTCTTTTACTGCATCGGCTGTGGCGAAGGATACTTCGTTCGGGGCCAGACGAACGACCGGTCCATATTTCTCGTGCAGCGCGTGAACGTAAGGCCGGCGGGCGTGAGTGAATTCCTGATATTTGAGGACGATGGAGGTAATCGCAGTGTATTTTGGCCCAGGAAGTTTGGTCAGAGGCGATCGAATCCTTGAAATGAGTTTGACGAAGCCGGCGAGGCATATGAGATATGGGAGTAACCATATTGTGTGTGAGGCGAGCATGCTGGTCGTTGATGATTGCCCTTTGAGATCACACTTTCAGCATCGAGAGGATGAAGATGAATTGCCTTCTTTCTCCTGTTGAGCGTTCGCTATGGCAAGTCGCATATATATGTAGCCTAAGCTAGTGGTATAAGGAAGACTTTATCTTTTTCAATGGTTGAGGCGGGACATTTGCGGTCAATATTGCTTAGTCCTTTGGAGATAGCTCTCCTCTTTTCACGATTCTTCAAATGAAAAACGATAGAGCGACGAGATGAAAAAGGCATTATTTGAGTTTCGCATTGGGGCTTTATCGTCGTTCTCCCTAACCTTCCCCATCCAGTTTAGTGTTGCTGAGCATGTTGATGATTATCGGACAAGGCTGCGTGCAGATGCCCGCTGTAGGCGCCATAGGGTCTTTATCATCTACCTCGGAATCTGCTCCTCTCCAACTTTCCAGACGGGAATTGCTTATCTTGACGTCCAGAATATGTTCAGCATGGTTGAAAGGGAGTATACAGTATATAGGCTTCTCTCAACCATGATCCATTCCACAGTCAACCCCGTAGTCTCAATCCCTCCACCGGTTTTGCCCCGCCACTCATCCCAGCAGCACTGGCAAAATAACTGCTCAGGCGGATACAATGGAGGAAAAACAAATCCCGACGGATATCTAGGGTGGTCGCCTCTCACTTTGATGCAGCCGATATTCGCCATCTTCCTAGAAGTACTGGGAGCAAACCTCTGGTGGCGACACCATCCAAAGACTATCTTGATCCGTTGGACTGGTCAACGCCATGCAAATATCTCACCGTGGCAGTGGTATGCTACTTTTATTTCCTGTTGAACCTATTTGATGATCGCGTCTGTACCCTCTTCACAGAGCAATTCAATGCTTCTTACAACCAAGTCAACTGGTCCTTTGGTCCATGGGTCCCTTCGTCACCAGCAGAAACATATGGCTGTCGAGTTATAACTGTCATCGCGACGTTGATCGCTGTTCTGACCAGTGAATAAGGGGCAATCGATCGGTCAATACATGGCAGCGAGGTTTTCCGAGGATTTGTTGCTGGACCGGTAGCGAACGTTGGCTTAAGCATCGTCAACGATATTTCTTGGGAGCAGGAAAGAGGCCTCCCAATTGCTCTCTGGGCCACGTCTGCACATTCGGATAGTGTCCTAGGTTGGTCTCACGAAGGTTCCTCGCCTCTGGTTAGACCGCTAAATATGGCTGACCTGAACCTAGTTGGTAGTTTCGTTGCCACGGTGGATCAATTCTGGGTAGCATCCCATGTTGCCATGGCTTTGGATCTCCTCCTGCTCCTGGAAATATTTGGCCTGACCGAGAACACAGTGTTCTCGTGCCCAACATTGTCGCTTTCGAACAAAGCCGGTCAGACCTCAATGCCTGTCGCGAAAGCATTCAGAGTATGACAATGGGCATGAAAAGAATGATGCACCTTCCCTGCTGGACAGTGCCGAGATATATTTTGTTAACAGGCTTGATGGAGTTTTCGCAAGATCAATCGTGGGCGATATTAGTAATATTTTGCAAACCGTACTCTTGTCCAAAATTGGCTGCTAGTGTGTGCTTACATCTTCTTCCATTATTGGTGGTATGCAACCAAGATGTACCTTGATTCGAACAACCACTGAAAAGATGCAAGATCGCGGCTTTGCTCCCAATAATACCGCCGGCTTATTTCGAATCTAAATTCAGATCCAAGGACTGTTCTTCGCAGGAGCATTGATCGGTGTCATCTTGGTGGAGATATTTTACCCCCGGACATTTGAGTGACAGGATCATAGGCCGTCTTGCACGAAGGAATGGTGGTCAGAGGATACCTGAATAGAGGCTCTGGCTTGCCGCAATTCTCTCCTCCATCGGTCCATTACTTTTTGGTGCTTCCACCAAAAAAGGGACGTCACTGGATTGTCCGACAAAATCGTGCTTTTCTTCTTTGCGGTTGGTCTCCAAGCTGGTAACACGACCTTGTCGGTGTACGTCATGGGCAGCTATCCGGACCAGGTAATCGGGGTAATAACGTTTATTCTGTGGTCATAAACGTGAGTAGGAGTTCAACATGGCATGTATGGCGTTGAAACTGACGGAGACCAGATATCCGCATTCATTGTGCCCTGGTATATCTACGACCGGGCCATGGCGGTTGGTGAGAACCTGCGAGATCAAGATTTTGAGATCAATGCTGACTTTGTCAAGATATGGGGGCGGTACTTCGGCACTTAAGCGATTATTTGTGCTGTTTGCCTTCCGCCGACATATTTGTCCTCCAAAAATGGCGCCGTGGATGGGTGAAGCCAATAGTCCTCGCCTCGGATGGCTCGGACCAAGGATTCGATCCTTGGTATTGATATTCCATGGACGGAGTCAATTAGCCCCAAGTGGTCGCACGAGAAGCAAGAGGAGAAGAGCGATCCGTCATTAACTGGATCAAACTCTGTCGTCTTCCGATCCGAAGGAACTGGGAGGGGATGAGGAAGGGAACCCCCTATGGTGAGTTAGTAAGGCAGAAAATCCCAATTACGTTGACCTGTTCTTTTGTCAAATTTCCGACTTTGTCATGGAATGAAATGTGACATACGTGAGAATTCCTCCCAGTTGATTCCAGATGCTTCAGATTCTCTCCAAAATGTCTCCAACACTTCTAATGCTCGTTTCATGTTTGGCAATCGTAATAGGGAGAACATGTTTGTTAAAAAGTGTGCAATCTTCCTCCGTGCCACGCCTTGAGCCTCACAACCTGCGGTGAACAGGGGAGTGGTCAACAAGGTGAGCGGTGATAATGTTGCGGCAGGCTTGATGTTGTCAACACATTCGATGATCCTTCTAACAGACTCTTGAACCAAGGGAGCATCTGGCGGGAGACGACGAATACGTCTGTGAATGTGGATGAGTGCGGTATGCTGATAGGCTTCGTTGCAGAGGAGGAATTCTTCACCCTCTTCCAGTGACAATTCATGAGCCCCGGACACGTTGAATAGGACTGCGCGGGACCTATCACGCTCCATTATTCTTCGGACCGACAATTCTAGGATGTCTGCTTCGCGTAAGAAATCGGCCTCAGAAAGTTTTGGATGCTGAGTCGGATTATCGGGGGCGCTCTCTCTTTCCCAAGCGACGGCTCCGATTTCTCTGAAAGCAACGGAAAGATCTTCTGTGCAACCAGTGTACACGTCAATACAAACTTCCTGATGTTCTCTTTCATATGGCTGCGTTTGAGACCCAGGGAATGTGATCTGACCCGCCGACAATCCCTCTGTCGTGAGGGCTACGAGGGCTTCGGTGATATTGTACCACCGTCGAAGGAAATGGATCGAGGAGTCTTGCCAGGAGCTTGGGGCGTTGCCAGAGGATCTTTCCGTTGACATGATTAGGGCCTGTGCTCCCATGAAATGCGCTCTCCAAGCCCGGAGAGTGGGAGATCCGGAGATCACTTCGCACAGAAAAAGTGTACGAATAGTGGCAAGATTGGCTCCTAGTTGACTCGATTGAGACTGTTGGAGTTGTGCGCGGAGACATCGAATGCTGGTGGCTGTCAGTTGCGTGACAAGCGTTCTAGTGCCATGGTCGATTTGGAGATCAACCGTCGAGATTAATGAAGTACGATGAATCTCAGCCAGGGCAAGGGTCGCGTAAAGGAGTGCCGGATTCTCCATCACCATAGGCAATACAAGCTTGCAGACTTCTTGGTGGACAAAAGTATGAGAAGCCAGAGCCATGGAAGCATTGCAAGTAAAGTAATCCAGGAGTGCTCTGTTGTTCGGAGGGATGAACGAGAAGAAGTCGATCCGAGCGGGAATCGTGATATGCTGCCATCTGGTGGTGAGGTGGACTAAATCTAAGGATGTATCAAGATTAGCTTCTTGAGATGGGAGAGTCGCACTCTCTTCTCGGACAGGGGTGAAGCTTGCTTCGCCTGCCGCTAGAGTTGGCTTGGAGGGGACACGTTTTGGAGACGGCACTGAAGTGTACACGAAGCCTCCGTCGGTCGTAACTATGGCTCAAAGTCAGAGACTGTTTTGCGGATGCCAACGTCCTTTGTTTTCCTACCGGCTTTTCGCGCGCCCCCATCCTTGGTCGAAAGACATTTTCCAAAACGCGACTGAGCAAAGGGTCGCCCTCCGAATCGCAATGTCCTCTCATATATGCATGTGATTCCATCCCTCTGGCATCGACTGCATTGTGGCTTCTGCTCACCGCACTTCTGTCGTCGTTTGCGGCAGCGAACGCAGCCATTCCAGGATCGGGAGGCGGGTTTCATCCTGCTCGTGAATTGTCCCTACTGTGCAGCGGGGGCATGCTGAGCATCGCGTGGAATGTTGGCATTGCCGAATTTGGGACTTTTAGAATTTGATCGATACGCCATGATTCAAGACAATAGGATATCCATTGTCAGTGCACGCCGTGGGGGAACCCGATCTGATGTCCGGAGAGTCGAAAGTCGATGGTCGTCTTGATAAGGGAGTGAAGTCTAGAGCCTTACCCCTAAACCTGAAGGGGAAGGATGAGGCGACAGCGATGCCCGGCTTGGACCGGAAGAGGGTTTTGTCCAGAACGTGTTCATCCCTACCGAATTACTGCTCAATCGGTCTCGAAGTTGTATTAAGAGTGGGTACTCGCGATGATAAATGTTTTCATTGACTTTATTGGTGGCGGCGAGAGCTGTCTAAGCACCAATTGAGCCTAGTTGTGCGAGTGTTTGTCCGGTGGATGGCGAGGTACCTCAAATCCCTAGTAAAATGGGGGTTTTTCAGGTACCTTTCCATCCACTTTGCCTCGCTCGCATAATTGGCCCTTTTCCAACGTCGTTGATCTATTTGACAGAGCCCTTTGCATTCGTCTTTACCGGCCTTTTTGCACTCGATTTTGGCGTTGTTGCGTGGTCAGAGCGTCTCTGTTGTCTATGAAGGTTTTCTATCGCTCGTGGAGCCCGCCCTCCTACCTTCTGACCATGTTGTCACTTCTATCGCCTCTGTGGGCTCCCGGCCGCCTCTTGACGTCGCTGTCGAACCCCTTCAGGACCTTCTTGACGCTCTGTGAGCCTCTTGTGAGCCTTGAATGAATCCCTGCTCTTTTTCCTGGTTGTATCTCGTAGTGTGAGTGCGCACTCTCTTGCCTCTCACCCCGGCCAGTGCTGGAGGTGCTGTAGATGCCGGAATCTCGATTGGCGAGGCCTCAGGAGAGGGCGATCGACGCGGTCGGGGTCTTTCAAGAGTGCGGATCGGTAGGCGCCGTGAGAGAGCCCGCAAATGCCACAGGTGTGTCAGTACCTCAATTTTGATGTTTTGGTACCTCGATTTGTGCGATTTACTGGGGGGGGTTTTGAGGGGGGAGGGAGGTGCTAGGTACCTTTATATCATTGGTTGTGCCTCCCCATCCACTATGCCAAATCGAGCTTTAATTAAAGTCGCTGTTGTACGAGGGTCGCTCTCCTGATCCTTGAGGGGCCCTTTTTGTCGACCGAATATCCCGTCACAAAACGAGAAGACACGTCAACATGTCCTTCTACGAGAATCAGCATCCGCTGGGTCCTAGGCGAAGCATCTGAACCGACCGATACACTGGTGATGAGCGCGGGCGGCCAGTATGTCGATATGCGGATTACCAAGCTTGACAGCTCCATTGACTAGGCAATGGCTGGTGAAAGAATTATATTGTCCCAAGAGCCGTGTACGTTTGATTGTCATGCGGAGCTCTTCCCCCAATGTCATTGCATTTGTCTTCGTCGTAAAGAGCCTCCAACCTCGAACCGACGTGTTCTCGGCCGGTAACATGCAAATGGAACGCATTGGATAGATTCGAGAGGGTCCACGGAACATGATATTGGCAGCTTTCAACCCTCTAGCTCTGATGTCGTTGAAACGGGCACCATGATCAATCCGGAAACAAGCATTCCCACGCCTCATGAAGAGGCCTGGCGGTCACCTCCCGTACGCTTTGCCGAGAAGTTCGAGTATTCGTGGATCGTACGAAACACGGAAGGAAAGAGGTTGCTGAATGGTCAATCATGAAGCGGGAGATGCGGTAAACCTTGAGCTCTCTGCCTCACGTAGCAGCATGCGCTGAGATGGGCAATACCAACCAACAGTTGTGTGAGAGAAGCTACGAGGAAGAGGATGCCGTGAATATCTTTGGAGAAAACATTTCGTTGGTACAATCGAGGGAATTAACTTGGGCCTGTCTGTGATTTATCTTGCGAGCATCTTGTCCGTATATGCCGGCCAAGACATATAAATTCTCGTGAACCTGTGTTTGCTTTTCCAGTTCCACGAAATGCCGGGCCATACAATTCATGGAGTAATTCTATACCCGCAAGAGGGTCGAAATCACAGCACAGAAATAAAACTCGCCATCATAGCCTTGGGTCGGTTGGAAAGAAATGCCCACGATCTTCTCATTAAAGAATAGCCCAATGATGCTCGCTTGGACACTTAAGAGTGGTCTGCGGCACTGCTTGTGAGCTGGCCGTTGATTCGCTAGCTCTAGCATATGAGAATGTGGGTGATTCGCCCCGGTGTCGCAGTCAACAGGCCCTGGTCGATGCATTCCACGACGACCTGGAGTGGATTTTCAGAAATGACGATCAGATTTTGTGATATTTGGTTGTCGGCGAGCGACCATGAGTTGGAAAGAAGACGTGATCACTGTGCACCTTTATCTTCCTTTTTTTCCTTTTCTAATTCTTCGGCCATCGCATCGCGATCCGCTTTAATCTGACCCGCGTTCGTCAGTCATCACCGATATTCCCGAGCGGAGTATATCCATTCTAGGATCCTACCGTCTACTTACATCGGCCTCGCTAATCGTGGCATTCTCTTCGGACCAGTGGTGGCTGTGTTTTCTATCTGGTAGCTTCTCTTGTGTGAATCCGCTTTCTGGATGTTTTTTCAGGTCTGCCGCGCTTTCAGCACGGTGGATGGCAGTCGGCTGGAAGGCAATGGGGCTTGCCGTGTAGCGTCGGATTGCAGCGATTGGCACCAGGCGTGTTTTGGCCACGGAGTGGTAAATCGATTGCATGATTGAAACGGAAGTAGGAAATCGAGACGAAGGGCTTCTGGGGATGGCAAATGAATAGAAGCAGGAGATGATTTATGTGCAGGTTTGAAATTCTTCCCGGTTGAACAAACAGCGTGTGTGATATCTATGGTTGAAATCAGGTGGTGTGACGTGGAGATCTGGGTGATTCCTATTCGAGGAATGGTTTCTCAGCGTGCAACCAGTATCATCATCGCTCACACCACTACTTCCAATTAACTTCAGATCCGGCAAGGTCCATTGCTGGTTGGACAAGAATGTTCGTGGAATAGGCGGGACATAGGGCATCTTCCGTGCAACATACGCGGTCGGCTATGGTCATCGATGCCAGAATATTCAGGCGAACAACTCAGCCATATGGGATGCCAACCGGTTGGAGTTTTTGTGGTGGGGGCCAACAATGTTTCTTGGTAGATTATGTAATCTTGCACGTGACTGGGCGTTTCTCGTTACTCGAGTGACCCAACCAAAATTTCCCGAATGGGCGGACATAAACATGTAGCATCTATATCTCAATCCTGACGGCACCATTGAATCGTGAAATCGGATCCAGGTGGAAGCAGCCAAAATGTTGCCCCATTCACTAGAAGAGGACTTGCCAGAGCTCAACGCCATCCTAGCTCCCCCACCATTAATGGCGACAGGTACAAATGACTCTCTTCGAAGATCACCGCGAAAGAAAACCACAACCACATCATATATCGACAAGTCTCCGAAGAAGAAACTGCGAGGTATCGCCAGTCCAAAGAAACCAGCACCCATCAGCTCTCTCAAATCGTCGACAGACACTAGGTCTCTCACCATATCAACAGGCTCGGCCAAGGTACCTCCATCCATCGTAGACAGCACTCCTCTTCTGCCTTGTCATTCGACAGTGTTTCCGAGCACCACCACTTCCAGCAATCGTCACTCACCTGCCACGGGCCAAAGAAGTCTCACGCTCGCCCATGTTGACACCTTCCTTCTCCCTTTGAAGGCCACGGCACTGGAGGAACAATGTTCCGATACAATCGTTCCTCGCTCACTGACGAAGGCTGGACGGTTGCGAGTTTTGGATGACAAGGACCGATCAATGATGTCTCTCATGACAGAAACAGCGAGAGAATCGAATGCAAAACGTGTACCTCAGAAGATGATCCAAGCGTCCGCCGACGCAGGCCGATTTGTCTTGAAGGAAGCCCGATGTAACGATGACGAAGACGACTCCGTTGATGAAGACGATGAGGATGAGGACACCGATTTGAGCGGGTTTATTGTGGACGACGATGCTGAACTTAGCTATCATAGCTCTTCAGCAACAGAGCCGGACGATAGTGATGGAAGGAAACAGCTCAAGAATGTTCCTCGACCAGCTCCACGACGAAGACTTCAACGAGGATTGCCTAATCGAAGAGTGACAGATTCCTCTGACGAAGAATCTGATTCACACAAAGAGGAACATCTGGGGAAAGTGCTGTCGAAAGCTTTTGAAAATATCCGTTTGAATGAGGGAGGTGCGCACGAAACGAGGGAAAAAGAGATCGAAGTGATTGATCTCACTTCTTCTCCGAGTAATGTACCTGACCTTGATTTGAACACACGCCGTGGCCCGATCTCACATCAACCTCCAGTCTCTCGTTCAGTGAAAAGGGCCTCAGACAATTCACATCCTTTTGATGAGTTCGATGGCATCCTCAAGATGGCTCCTCCGTCCTCAAAGCCCACGCTTCGGATTCCATCGAAAGCCATGTCGCCTCAGGGACCCATCGACCTCGACGGCACAGAGGACGCGGACGGATCAGCCGAGGTGACGGATGATCGCTTCAGAACGCCGCCAGCCACTCCTTCCCGATTGCTATCCAAACCGAGGTCACCATCGAAGCTCTTGTCTCCGTCAAAGCGACAGCATATTCCTCAGTCACCCCATCGTCAGAGTATGGATGCGTTTTGGGATCATAATGTGATCAACGAATGGAACGATGAGTTCTCTCCGCAGAAAGCACCCGCGACGTCCCCGAGAAAGCGTGGACTTGCCCGTTTTCCAAATTGGTCAGACTCGGAGGAAGAGAAGGAACAAGAATATCCAGGCAGTTCAGATTTGCTTCCCAGTCCCTGTTCTTCACCGAGGAAGTCGCGGTCACCAACTAAGCGTCCACAGAAAGAGGAGAAGAGACAGCTGTTAGAAGAGAAACGGGCAGCTCTATCGCAGAAGAAGGACTTCGATGCCCGAAAGAAGCAACTTGCCGTCGATTTGCTGTATGAACTTGACACAAAGGTTGCCAATTCACAACTCGGAAAACTGGCATCCAGTACTGGTGGTGTTCAGATAAAATGGTCCAAAACTCTTCGGTCCACAGCCGGCAGAGCAAACTGGAAAAGATCCGTCATCAAACCGTCAGGGTCACCGGTTAAAGACACGGAGCAGATCGGTCCCGGAGTGACAGTCCAGCATTACGCGACTATCGAGTTGGCCGAAAAAATCATCGACTGCGAAGGTCGACTAGTCAATACTCTGGCTCACGAGTTTTGTCACTTGGCAAATTTCATGATCAGCAATGTCCGCGACCAACCGCACGGGGCCTCATTCAAGAAATGGTCGGCGAAAGTGACGGCCCACCTCCGACAGAGCGACGTTGATATCTGGCGCCAGGTCAACGTCACCACCAAACACAACTATGTGATCAACCACAAATATCTGTGGGTGTGTATAGGCAGGGACAGGACGCGCACCATGGACTTTCTCAACCTGGATGAAGATGAAGGCTGCGGGGCAGAGTACGGTCGGCATAGCAAGAGTATCGACACCGAGAAGCATCGATGTGGTAGGTGTAAGGGACGCCTACTTCAAGTGAGGCCAAGGCTGAGAGCAAGTCCGCGGAAGAAATTGAGCGAAGAGAGCGCGGGGACTTCTTCAAGTTCGAGTTTGGCTTCGAGGAGCACAAGTGCGAGTGGATCGGGGAGTGTCTTGGGCAGCATGATCGAGACAGTGGTGTTGAGTGACTGATTGTTGGATATCAACGCTGTACAGAATCGGTTCATCTCATGTGACAAAATTCATTGGACGACGGGATTGTTTTGGTCGACAAAAAGGATTGATTGATTGGTACTAGCCAGTCTTGAGCATGCAGACAGGCGATATGGGACGTCGGTTGAGTATGCGAATGGCATCGTCCGGGTTCAGGTTCAAGTTCCCGCATATAAAAGGAGTGCTGAGCTGACCGAGATTTTCAAAGTCCTGTTTTGACTTGAGAGCTGGGATGAATATGAATGGAGCATTTCTTCAATTGGAGGACTTCCTTTTCTGTTCTTTTCCACTTAGCAGAGCATTGTCGAAGAGTTGATCCTATTTCGTGGTTGATTCGCTATCTAATTTGTCTGAATTCGTCGCTTGTTGACCAGATCATCGAATGTCGTGTGGTTGGTGCTCCCTTCGATCCTGGCGCCCTTTGCTTGCTCTCTACGCTTGTGATCATGACAAATGACCGACGTGAGGCCGGTCCTACCCATCCTGTCCTCCATCCATCAAATATACCCAGGCTTCTTTGTACTTCTGTTTCTGCACTATTTCATCCTCGCTTTGTCCACCTCTGAATGTGTAGGATGGCATCAGTTTCATCGCCTTGCTGAAACCCGACGCCGATTTCGAAGCAGCGAAATCCCTCCAGATGCTCATTTCATTCTTCCAACTAAACATCTCAAACCGTCAATTTAGAAGCCCTTTGCAACGCGATTAACCGCAAAAGTTCCTCTTCTTCGCGCGCTTTGATTTCTTACTCAAAACCGAAAAGCCCAAAGTCCACAACCGACAACGAGGCAACGACGCGCGAGAGCATGTCTCCGGCAAACGTCTCTTCGGCGGCGACCCGGGCATCATTCTCCCCGAATTCTTTCATGGGAACGTTAATGCGGACACAAAAGTCGGTCTTGTAGTCTCCCATTCGGATCAGGAGTTGGGTTTGGTGTACGAGAGACTGTAGCACCGAGGTGGAGAACGATGATGCCTGAGTTACTTCTGACGATGAAGAAAAAGAGGCAGACTGAGCATGAGGCTGCGGGAGTTGTGGTTGGGATGGCTGGTGCCACCGGGAGGTCTCGTAGCTGATTATGTTGCCTGAGAGTATGTATGCTGGGTAACCCGCAAGGCTGGGTTTTGCCATGGTGATTCTTTGCGGAGTGGGCAAGGGTGAAGCAAGTGTGTCCGGCGGTGAAATCACGTCGGTAAAGTGATATTTCGCAGCGTCGGCGTCCGCTTCGGGACCAGAAGGAGAAGAAACGCCATTTGCGGCGGTGGTCGTTGTGGATGTGGATGTGGTTGTTCCGTTCGCTACGGTTGCCGTCGTCGTATTCGTCGTAGGGTGAGGGTTAGGCGTCGAGGATTCGACGTAGGCGTTTATCTCGAAGATGACGGAGGTAAGTGTTGTAGGTGAGAGGAAGACTTCTTGATGGTCGGGGATTTGGCGGATATTGCTGTTCAGGGTATTAGCCAGCTAAATATAGTGGTCATCATGGTAGCATCGAGAAATTTGCAAATGTGAGAGGGTGGAGTTGCCGTCAGTACAGAGATCTAGAGCAGTGTTTTCCGCTTCACTTCTCCCCGTAGTCATAGGAGATATGACGAGAGAAGCAGATTATTCTCTCACGCATCCCGCATGCGTATCTTCCGATGGAATCTGGCGAGAAACATTCAGAAGGAACTAACATGCCTAGAGTCAATGAATTCCACGGGCAATTCGACTGTCATTGCCCCTCCATACAATTCCCGGACGCCGTAGGTCGCGGCCATATTCATCATCGAAGCGAGACCAAACCCTGGCCTTTGGACTCTGATCTAATCTCAATATCAAATTCTCGAAAGGGATAACTTGGTGAACGATACACGGGCAAAGGAGTAGGTTCGTGAGGTGGTCCACAGTAAGTTTGAATATTCTTATAGATTTTGTCCAAAATAGGCAGCACCGCTTGCTTTGGAGCCTGAACGGGCAAGGCACCACATGCTTCACCTACGTCTAGAATGATCGCATTCACAGTTCTATAACGAAAATCTGAGGTCGGGAAGTATATTCAGGGTCATGAGACTTCTGGCCTTTCGAGTCGGCAAGGCTCGGAGCCCCGATCCGCTCTTTGGAAATACGAATAACCAAAAACATACTACGGGAGCCAGTGCCAGTGGGGTGAACGCTCTGTTCATCATTTTGACACAAACTAAACCAGCCATCCCAGCGCATGCGAGACTCCATTAATGCTCTAAATTACATTCCCAAGTAATGGAGCCGTTCCGGGGTGCTTTCGCTAAAGAGGGATTGTGCAAACCCATATTAAAACATGATCTGTGTCCACCAATCCAACCAAGCATACTTCGAACTGTCCTCGCCTACAATAGAATCATGCCAGCACCAGAGACAAAGGCAATGGAAAGGTAGAACACCACATGCAAAAGACCAATATGGCTTGGAACGGAGAATCCTGGAACACCTCCACTGGAGGAGCTGCTGCTGCCGCCGCCGCTGCCGGAACCGCTAGAGTCAGAGGAACCCGAACCGCCAGTGCCGCTTGGTTGCGACGTGACTGTGCCAGTGCCTGCACTACCAGCTTGAGCAATCAATTCCGAGCATGTCCCGGTGGGTTGGACAGGGGACTGTGTTGTAGCAGATCCCGAGAAGTCGCAGGCAGAGGCGCCATTGCCAGCAGCTTGCTGTTGCTCATAGTAGGTGTTGAGAGCCCAACCCAGTTGTTGAGTGGGGTTACACATGCCATAGGCGCCGTAGTCACCACTGGTCGCATTCGCAGTGATGCCGTCGCAGACTCCGTCGGCCAAACCGCAGACAACACTGAAAAGATCGCCAACGTCGTCGGTGCTGACGTCATTGGGGACGCAGGTCAATGCATCGAACATGCACTCACAAAGTTCTTGGTTTGGTGTAGGAGGCAGTTCGTCCGAGGCTTGCCATTCGTCGCCAACAGTAGGGCAAGCGGCAGCGGCGGTGTTGGTAGGCGTGTAGTCATTGGCATTGACTCCAGTCGGGTCGATCCGTGCAATTTGTGAAGACAAGGCGTTGAAGTCAGCCAAAGTGCTCACCGAATCTCCCGAAACGCTCACAAGACCTAGAATACGGTCAGCCGAAGGCTGATAATGACCAAACATGAATCCTACCGTAGTCGTTGGCTTCCTGGAAGTACATGTAGACAATACCGCCGGACCAGACAGGAGTCATTTGATCTCCATACAATGCTTGAACTTCGGTGAACTCGCGCGGCTGCACGGTGTTGCATCCATACTCGGCGAAGAAGACAGGTACATTGTACGTTGAGAACTCCTCGGTGCGGACGTTATAGCCGGACTCGGTGTAGCTGGAGTCTCCACACCACGAGTAGATATTGTAGCCCCAGAAGTCAATCGCCTCATCACGGTCTCCGCAATCGAAGTAGTTGGCAAGATTTTCACGGATGTCGGCATCATCATTGGTGGCGTATCCAACACCAATCGTGCGGTAATTTTGCTGTTTGATATAAGCCTTCATGTCCCGAACGGCAGCCTTGACAAATGCACTGGCATCAGTGTTGGTATTGTTGTTGGAAACCTCATTTCCGGCGAAGAACCCAAGGGTGTTCGTGTAATTGGCCATCATATCAATGACGGAGGTATAGCGAGCGTAAAGGTCATCGTTCCAGGTCGGATCGTCACGAATGATCGAATTTCCGGGAGAAGAAAGGTCGGCAATGACATAGATACCCGCATCTGCCAACATCGACATGCAGTCGTCGTGGTTCTTGGTAGGGTCGAGGGCGTAAACGCGGATGGTGTTGGTGCGCAGCTGTTGCAGATAGGGGATATCTCTCTGGCAGGATGAGGAGTCAGCTAAGGGGTCGACATAGTTGTCGGTCCCATCGCTAGCCGAGGTTGATCCATTACCCAGGTATTCCTCTTGACAGGGTCAGCTCATGTCTTCATAAACGTGGTGGCTTGGACGAACGTTGATAGGCAATACCCTTGATAAAACTGCGCCTGTTAGACAAGTTTGCGGTCCATTTCAGTGATGAAGTACTCACAATTGAGTCCCATTGGATTGATAGAAGAATTTAGAGCCCTTGAAACATAAGATCAGAATACAAATCCTCTTCAAGGGAGCACTTGCGAGCCGACATACTTTGATCACAATTGGATCCAATTGAGCATAGGCGGATTTAAGAAAAAGCGCAGCGCCCGCGACAGCAGTCGCCGCGGCGGTAAAGCCCTTCATAGCGATGACGATAAGCGAGAAATGTGTTGGACACGAAGTACGTGGTGATTCAATTACGTGTATCGAGGTTCGAGACTGGGGAGTAAGATGGATGGGACTCGTCCTTACTCGAACGGCGAACGAATTGTCACTGCCGAACAAAGGCAGGAACGAAGGACGATAAGAGCTGGATGGAAAGAGTGTCACGAAAGTGAAGACAATGAAGGTGACAAGAAGCAAAGCAAACGTGCGGAGGGCCACACAAAAACAGATGCACAACTTCTATCAAGGGGGAAAGAAGATGAATTGTAGATTGAGTCCCAGGGATGAGATGGGGGATGAAAAATCACCCACAACACCGAGTTACCGCTTCGGCAGCCCTTTTGGACTCCAGGGGACGGGGGCGCAGGCAAGCTTGGCCACGACGATACGGCATTCAGGTGAGGTTTTTCCCAACTCATGAGTCGTTTGGGTGTTAGTCCTCCAAAGCACTCGAATGCTTCAGGTCTTGTCCAGATCCGGGTCCCTAGTTGGGTCATCCATCACCACCATTGGCCATCGCAGTGCCGCATATCTGTTTTCAACCATGGTCTCCGCTATTGCTGGTGTAACACGAAGCATCGGACACGCGTCCTCTCGATCCAGCTTGTCTAACATTGGGTCGGAACACTTTTCCAGAATCCTGCCCGTGATCGTCCGTTCATTTTTGCATGGTCGATTTGCCTACCTCAGTATGTGACGGCATTTGACCATTAGGAAAAACATTCACGTTTGGGGTACCGTCACGGTATGGACAAATGTCGAGCTTTTGTCTTCGATCCCTTAATTTTCTTCACTAACATCACTTCTCTCGGGCCGGCGAAACAGGCCACAAAAAAACCGTGCCGGTGCATAAATCTGTCAGAGCAAATAACACGTCTGGATCCCCAGCTGGGATTGAAGGAACCATTGCAACCCACATTGTCTTGCAAATATCATCAACCGAATGCTGTGGTAACGGGACCATTTGCCACGAGCCTTTCGAGCAAATGAAAGTTGAGGAAAATTACTGCATGTCTCACCATGAGTGCCTCAGTTGCATGATCTGTCTCGAGGTCTCCAGATGTGTCTCGCTAAGTAGCTTTTCTCTCATTTGTTCATCGTCGAAATTGGATTGTCTGGTTTGCTGGCAATTGTCAGGATTGATTTGGGGATCTGCCCCTTTTCCCGTCCATCAAATCGCCGGTTGTTCTGAACCCCCGAGACTTTAGAGGATCCAGTAATCCCATCTTGCCAACCGACCAGCCAACCAACGGCATCCTTACCCCCTAGACAAGAAGACGAAAGGCCTTGTCAACCTTAAATAGCATTTGCCACTCGAAGCCGGCCCGTTGGCTATTGTTTCCCATCAAAGCTTGTTTCACGCTGGATTTGGACATACCAAATGATGTTGTGAACTTCCACCACAGTAAATCCAGAGAAGGATGTTCCTTCGGCTCCAGTAAACATGTTTTCAAGCACATGATATGTCGGGAAACGGAGTCTGATGTGAAGAATGCCATGATCGGATTGAAACAAAGCGGATAGCAGTGGAAAAAAAGACACGAAAAGCTTTCTCAACTCCCACATCGGGTGAATTTACGGGTGAGCTCTCACTACGCTTGCAGCCTCCACCAGTGCAGATGGCTGCCGATCCGTTATCAAGATCCACAAAATGGATGAGGCGGACTTTCCGGAATGATAGAGGGGGAAAGCATGGTTATTGAGCTGTCAAAGAGCATATGGACGGGCCAGGACAACGGTGAGGGAAATCCTACGTCATGTGCCGCATAGAAACATTCTCATTGAGTCTCCGGACTTTTCGCGAATCGCTCGTAGAGATTAGTAGCTTTTCCACTTGTTAGATCCGGGTGCTCGTCACGGAGAACTAAACATCAACGACGCTGAGATTAACGGACTACCGATGATAAAGATGACCTCGCATTCGCAAGTATGTGTTTTGGACGCCCAGAAAAAATAGTCGTCAGCTCACGGAGCACGGAGAACGGAAAATGCCCAATACCGTATTGGCCGCCTCGACCAAGTGGTACCTCAGCGGACTGCGCCTTGTAGACACAGCACCTGGGTAGGCCAGTATGTGAGAGCAAATGTGGTATCTTTTGTCAGCTGAGAGATATTGGCATCGAACTCCCCAGTCTTATTGCTTGGTATTCGTACGCAGCTTATCGTTCAGATATTCGAGAGTCCAGATTTCAAGAGTTCGTCCACCATTTCTGTGAAGGGCACTCGGACCGCCTGCATTTTGCCCGCAGAAAAAAATTGTCCGACACGCATCAAGATCTGCAACGCAGAATGTCCACAATTTGAAACATGGATTGTGTAACCGTGGGTGCGGAGTGATGCTCCAGGCCTGTGTCTCTGTAGGCGAGTGCAGGAATTCTATATCTCCCTCTTTACAATATGTTCCAAGTTTGGGGCGTCAGTCATGATGGAAATTGTCTTCGGGCTCGACCTATCGATATTCTGCTTTTTGTGCATCGCCACAGAGTTACGAAGGACCCAGCCACGGGAATGCGTCTGATTTGGGGGGTGGGGGTAGTTTGGTCCCAGAGATAGTAGTCGACCTGCAGCTGGGCGGGAGGTTAGTCCGTAGCGTAGCAGGCGATGCCGGCCGGGTGGACTCGTGAAGTGTCGCAATCAAGGCCACAGGAGCGAATTGCGGGAACAGACGAACTTAGGCGTTCCTCTAGCTGAGGGAGGCCCGGTCGAAGTTTTGACTCTCGATGTGTTGACTGTCAGTCGAGCCAGCTGGTGTGGCGCACCACCGTGGTGCCTTGGTTCCCCTGCCACCCCTTGTTTGATTCCCTGCCTCCCTGAGCCCCCTACCTCTTTGTGGCCTGTCAGAATGGCCGGGACAGGGCAATCCTGATTTTGCTCCGTCACGCTCTTCCAGCTTTAAGCCCCTGCCGCCCAAATCAAAAAGAAAGGGATCCACCCACCGTACAAATCCACTTTGACCACCCAAATTTCTGGCCTGCGCGCACCCCAGTGGTGGCCCCTAAACCCGAAACAAGCAAACCTGGTACCACTGCCAGAGCTCGCCTGCATCTCCTGTCTCCCTGGCTTCCTTTGTTGCCCTTCTCCCAATTCAAACCAGCCTCGCCTCAATACAATCGTTTTCCCACCCTCGTCTCCTCCTTCACTCGTTTCTATCGTTGCGAGAAAAGGCAGGTGTAAAAGAAGCTGTCGACAACTCGAACTCCCTCAGAACCCTCGGGCTGAGGAAGTGGCCGGCTCGGAATCCGTTTATTAGCCACGCCTGCCGTGGACGCGCTCAGCAGCTGCATTGGCTGAGCAACCAAACGCTTCTCCCTCACTCGTTTCACAACAATCGTTTTGCGACCGCGTCCTCCTCTTTCACTTGCGATCTTGACGTTTGGGCTACCTGCTACTGTCTCTTTCGACTTTCTTCGGATAGACAGGCACAATTTTCGCGGTCGATTCTGCAGAAATTTTCCAAAATTTTCCCGTGTTCGCTTACACCCCTGAACTAACATTCGCTGCTTATGCTTAACATCTAATAATATCAACCACTGAATAAGCCACAACCTCACAACGCATACCTCGCATATTGAATACAAGGAAAACCGTTGATGGGACTGTCCTAAAGTACGTGGAAAAGAGTCGGGAGAGGCTGCACATCCCTGAGTCAGGCACACACACACCCCTCAAGACACTCCTGACATTTCTGTGTGCCCCCCCAGGGATCTCACTCAACATGTCTGGACATCCTCAGCAGGGCGTTTACGATGATGGATACGGCCATCACGGTAACGACGCCTATTACCAGGACGACCATCATGGCTACCACGATCAGTATGACTATGGCCACCAGCAACATGGAGGCGAAGGATATTATGATGAATCGTATGGAACTCGCAGTTCTTGATCTTGATTTCTCTGGCTGACGACGAACATAGGGGCTACTACAACGCCGACGCATCGAACCCGTATCACAATGACGGCGGTTACTACGAAGGCCACCAAGGATATCAAGATGACTATTATGATGGCCAATACTATGACCAAGGAGCTGCAGGACAGCACAATTACCATGGTCAACGCCCAAGGCGCCGCGGTCACGACTCCGAAGAGGATTCGGAGACATTTAGTGATTTCACTATGAGATCAGACATGGCTCGTGCCGCTGAAATGGATTACTATGGAAGAGGAGACGAGCGTTATCACAGTGGCTACGAAGGCCAAGGTGGACGTGGATACAGACCACCATCCTCACAAATCTCGTATGGCGGTAATAGGTCCTCCGGCGCCTCCACTCCGGTTTATGGAATGGACTACAACAATGCTTTGCCTGCGGGCCAACGCTCTCGTGAGCCCTATCCAGCTTGGACCTCTGATGCTCAGATTCCCCTTTCGAAGGAGGAAGTTGAAGACATTTTCCTCGATCTCACCGCCAAGTTCGGTTTCCAACGGGACAGCATGCGCAACATGTACGACCATATGATGACTCTCTTGGATTCCAGAGCCTCTCGAATGACACCAAACCAAGCATTGTTGTCTCTCCACGCCGACTACATTGGGGGTGATAATGCAAATTATCGCAGATGGTATTTCGCTGCCCATTTGGATCTTGATGATGCCGTTGGATTCGCCAACATGAAGCTTGGAAAAGCCAATCGTCGGACACGAAAGGCACGTAAAGCTGCCGCTAAAAAGGCAAAGGAGAACCCGCAAAACGAAGAACAGACTTTGGAAGCCTTGGAAGGTGATAATTCTCTTGAAGCTGCCGAATATCGCTGGAAGACGAGGATGAACAAGATGTCTCAGCATGATCGTGCTCGCCAGATTGCTCTTTATCTCCTTTGCTGGGGCGAGGCGAATCAAGTTCGGTTCATGCCTGAAGCACTCTGCTTCATCTTCAAGTGTGCAGATGACTACCTCCATTCTCCGGCTTGCCAGAACCGTGTCGAACCGGTTGAAGAATTCACCTACCTCAATAACGTCATCACACCTCTCTACACCTACATTCGAGACCAATGTTACGAGATTATTGACGGCAAATATGTTCGACGCGAGCGAGACCACAACAGAGTCATTGGCTATGATGACATTAATCAACTGTTCTGGTACCCAGAAGGTATTGAAAGAATCGTCATGAACGATAAATCTCGGATTGTCGACCTTCCTCCGGCTGAGAGATACCTGAAGCTCCAGGATGTCAACTGGAAAAAGGTCTTCTTCAAGACGTATAAGGAAACACGATCTTGGTTCCACTTGCTGGTCAACTTCAACCGTATCTGGGTCATCCATCTCACGGCTTTCTGGTTCTATACGGCTTTCAACGCCCCCACGCTGTACACGAAGAATTATCAGCAACAATTGAACAATAAGCCTCATGCTGCTGTCCAGTGGTCTGTTGTGGCTCTCGGCGGATCTGTCGCTACACTTATCCAAATACTGGCAACCCTTATTGAATGGTCGTACGTTCCTCGAAGATGGGCCGGAGCTCAGCACTTGACCAAGCGACTCCTCTTCTTGATCGGTGTTTTCATCGTCAACGTCGCTCCCAGTGCGTACATCTTTTTGTTCAGTCAAACTTCAAAGATTGCACTGATCTTGGGCGTGGTGCAATTCCTTGTGGCTCTTGCGACGTTCTTCTTCTTTGCGATCATGCCTCTGGGCGGGTTGTTTGGAAGCTATCTGACACGAAATTCTCGTCGGTATGTTGCAAGTCAGACTTTCACTGCTTCGTATCCTCGATTGAAAGGTAACGACATGTGGATGTCTTATGGCTTGTGGATCATGGTTTTTGCGGCCAAGTTGGCTGAATCGTACTTTTTCCTGACCCTGACATTCCGGGACCCGATTAAGATCTTATCCTATACCAAGATCAGTCGTTGTCAGGGAGATGCGATCCTGAAAGATTACCTTTGCAAGTATCAGCCTCAGATCCTGCTCGGCATCATGTTCTTTACCGACTTGATTTTGTTCTTCTTGGATACCTACTTGTGGTACGTCATCTGGAACTGTGCCTTTTCGGTGGCTCGATCATTCTATCTCGGTGTGTCGATTTGGACACCATGGCGAAACATCTTCTCCCGTTTGCCGAAGCGTATCTACTCCAAGATTCTGGCCACCACCGACATGGAAATCAAATACAAGCCCAAGGTGTTGATTTCTCAAGTCTGGAATGCAATTGTTATCTCCATGTATCGAGAGCATCTTCTCGCCATCGATCACGTCCAGAAGTTGCTCTATCACCAAGTCCCTTCGGAGCAAGAAGGCAAGCGGACGCTTCGGGCACCAACCTTCTTCGTCTCTCAGGAGGATCATTCGTTCAAGACCGAGTTCTTCCCATCTCAGAGCGAAGCCGAGCGTCGTATCTCCTTCTTCGCTCAATCTTTGTCTACACCCATTCCGGAACCTCTTCCAGTGGACAATATGCCAACATTCACCGTTCTTATTCCCCACTACGGCGAAAAAATTCTTCTCTCTCTCCGTGAGATTATTCGCGAAGACGAGCCATACTCCCGTGTCACCCTGCTGGAATACCTCAAGCAACTCCACCCTCACGAGTGGGATTGTTTCGTCAAGGACACCAAGATTTTGGCGGATGAGACATCTCAATTCAACGGTGACTACGAGAAGTCCGAGAAAGATACTGCGAAGAGCAAGATTGATGATTTGCCTTTCTACTGTATTGGATTCAAATCTGCTGCCCCGGAGTACACGTTGAGAACTCGTATCTGGGCTTCACTTCGCTCTCAGACTCTCTATCGCACAATTTCCGGCTTCATGAACTACAGCCGAGCGATCAAGCTCCTGTATCGTGTTGAAAACCCGGAGGTCGTGCAAATGTTTGGTGGTAATTCTGATAAGCTGGAGCGTGAGCTCGAGCGTATGGCACGACGTAAATTCAAGATCGTCGTTTCAATGCAAAGATACGCCAAATTCAAGAAGGAAGAACGCGAGAACACCGAATTCTTGCTCCGCGCTTATCCAGATCTCCAGATTGCCTACCTTGATGAAGAGCCACCGCAAAATGAAGGCGAGGAACCTCGTCTGTATTCTGCTCTGATCGATGGTCACTCGGAACTGCTTGATAACGGCATGCGTCGACCCAAATTCCGAGTTCAGCTTTCTGGTAACCCTATTCTTGGTGACGGCAAGTCCGACAACCAGAACCATGCCATCATTTTCTACCGTGGAGAATACATTCAGCTCATCGACGCCAACCAGGACAATTACCTCGAAGAATGCCTAAAGATCCGAAGCGTTTTGGCCGAGTTTGAGGAGATGACTACGGATAATGTCTCACCGTATACTCCTGGTCTGCCCCCGACGAAGACCAATCCCGTCGCCATCCTTGGGGCTCGTGAATATATTTTCTCCGAGAACATCGGTGTCCTGGGTGACGTCGCGGCCGGCAAGGAACAGACCTTTGGCACTCTCTTCGCTCGTACCCTGGCACAGATTGGAGGCAAGCTTCACTACGGTCACCCTGATTTCTTGAACGGTGTCTTCATGACGACTCGTGGCGGTGTCTCTAAGGCCCAGAAAGGTCTACATCTCAACGAGGATATCTACGCCGGCATGAATGCTCTGATTCGAGGAGGTCGCATCAAACATTGCGAATATTACCAGTGTGGAAAAGGTCGAGATCTTGGTTTCGGCTCCATTCTCAACTTCACGACCAAGATTGGAACGGGCATGGGTGAACAGATGTTGTCCCGCGAGTACTACTATCTCGGTACTCAGCTACCCTTGGATCGTTTCTTGTCCTTCTACTATGCTCATCCGGGTTTCCATATTAACAACATGTTCATCATGTTGTCAGTGCAGCTTTTCATGATTGTCCTGATCAATCTGGGTGCTCTGAGACACGAAACTATCCTCTGTTTCTACAACCGCAATGTGCCGCCGACGGATCCTCTCAAACCGACGGGTTGCACCAACTTGACTCCAATCATGGACTGGGTTGAGCGTTGCGTTGTCTCGATCTTCATCGTGTTCTTCATCTCTTTCGTGCCTCTGGTGGTACAGGAGTTGACTGAACGTGGATTCTGGCGCGCTGCTACTCGTTTGGCCAAGCACTTTGCCTCTGCCTCGCCAGTCTTTGAAGTGTTCGTCTGTCAAATCTATGCTTCCTCCATCCAACAAGATCTATCATTTGGTGGCGCTCGGTATATCGGAACTGGTCGAGGGTTTGCCACGGCCCGTATTCCTTTTGGAGTCCTCTACTCCCGTTTCGCCGGCCCGTCCATCTACCTCGGAGCTCGGTCTCTGATGATGTTGCTCTTCGCAACTGTCACAGTCTGGGGTGTCTGGCTTTTGTGGTTCTGGGTTTCTTTACTCGGTCTCTGTATTTCGCCTTTCATCTTCAACCCGCACCAATTTGCGTGGAATGACTTTTTCATCGACTACAGGGACTATCTTAGATGGCTGTCTCGCGGCAACTCTCGTTCGCACGCATCCTCTTGGATTGCCTTCTGCCGACTGTCACGGACCCGCCTCACAGGTTTCAAGCGCAAGGCCCTGGGTCAGCCCTCTGAGAAGCTCTCTGGTGACGTTCCTCGTGCCAGATTCACCAGCATCTTCTTCAGCGAAGTTGTGGGACCGTTCGTCCTCGTTATCTTCACGTTGATCCCCTACCTCTTCATCAACGCTCAAACTGGTGTCACCGACGATGTCCAGCCACCCACCAATTCTCTTGTTCGAGTTGCCATTGTTGCCTTTGCACCTATTGGCATCAATGCCGGTGTCTTGGCCGGTCTGTTCGCTATGGCCTGCTGTATGGGACCTGTCTTGAGCATGTGCTGCAAGAAGTTCGGTTCTGTCCTGGCCGCCATTGCTCACTGCATTGCTGTCATCATGCTCTTCGCTTTCTGGGAGGTGATGTTCTTCCTGGAGGGATGGGTCTTCGCCAAGGCTTTACTCGGCATGATTGCGGTGGTGGCGCTCCAGCGATTCGTGTTCAAGTTGATCATTGCTCTCTGCTTGACCCGAGAATTCAAACACGATTCGTCCAACATCGCCTGGTGGACCGGCAAATGGTATTCCATGGGTTGGCATTCGATGTCTCAGCCTGCTCGAGAATACCTCTGCAAGATTACGGAGCTTGGATTCTTCGCCGCCGACTTCATTCTTGGACACACCATCATGTTCATCATGCTTCCAGCCCTCTGTGTTCCTTACATCGACAAATTTCACTCGGTTATGCTCTTCTGGCTGCGCCCTAGGTATGTAAATTGATCATCCCTGACGGCTTCGTCGTGCTGACTTTTTTTTTTTTTCCCTTCCGCAGCCGTCAAATTAGACCGCCTATCTACTCCATCAAGCAATCCCGCCTCCGCAAGAGGCGTGTCATTCGCTATGCCATCTTGTATTTTGTTATGCTCGTTGTATTCCTTGTTCTGATTGTCGGACCGGTCATCGTCAGGAAATATATCACCGGCCTTCCCGACATTCCAATGGACCTGGTTCAGCCCACGGGACAGAACAACAACGATACAACTACCGGCATCACCGGTTCTGCTCTTCTCGACTTCGGTCAGGACGGTGGCGGCGGCACTGCCGCTGCGACTGCGGCTGCCACGAGTGCCAACTCCAACGATCCTTTCAGCTTTGGCGGAGGTGGGAGAAGACTCATTCGATGGTAAAATAAGTCAAGCCCAGGAACTGGGAAATCTGATGCGTCCCCACAATGGAAAAGGGAACATGTGTGAGCCCGCATATTGGTCCTAATGAATTTGAGATCCTCTATCGGTCTTTGTTCCGAACAAATTAATGATTGAAATGGCATAGACAAAGCAGCCTTTCACATAGATAGGTGCTTTTTCAGCTGGTTTTTACCCTGGCAGTTATTTGGGGGGGGAGGGGCGTCGCGGCAACTGGGCAATCCTTTTTATTCATTAGAAATACTTGTTCTGTACATGAAAATCAATTCGCAATTGCACCTTCACACGAACTGCTTTCATGTGATGTATATTCTGCAGGGATTGGGCCGGAAACCATCGGAAATTTGGGTGCCCCTGATTGAAACACGTGATCGGCTGCGTTGAGAGGCCGTCCCTGCGCGCTCTGACTACCCAACGTCTCGAGGCCGCCAGAAATTCTTCCATTGAGATTCTCGTTTTGCGCGTCGGCCGCTGGTTCAAGCGCAAGATGGATTCTCAAGACGCTCAAGTGTATTTTACGAGCCTAGCCAATGTGGCTTCCGAACAATTCCAAAAAATCCCTGGGTCGGCGATCTTCCTGCGGTACGTCAAATCAAGTTACCAGAATGACCCTATTCGTTCCGTGGTCGAACTCCTCCTCGTTTTGTTCGCAGTACGGTATCTTCTCGCGCCAAAGTATTCGACGAAGCCCAATTATGTCAAGTTATCTGAAGAGGTGGGCATTCTGTTTCCCAAGGACTAGTCGGGCGAGGTTGGCTCACCGGGACATAGGAGATAGATGATCTTGTGGAAGAATGGACGCCGGAGCCCTTGGTCGGCAAAGCAACACCTTTTGAAGAGGCTGAACTGGAGAGCCGACCTGTCATTGTCGGGTTAGTGGATCACCCTTTCACTTCACCTGAGAATATGCTAAGTGCTTTGGAACAGTCCCAGCGGACCTCGGTCCAAGTTAGCCAACGGCCGCACTGTGACGAACCTTGCCTCCTACAATTTCTATAACTGGGTGTCAAACGAGAACCTCAAGGAAAGGGCTATTCAAACATTGAGAACATATGGAGTTGGTCCTTGTGGACCGCCAGGATTTTACGGTACCCAAGACGTGCATTTGAAGCTCGAGTCTGACATTGCCGCGTTCCTGGGCACCACGGCGTGTATCATATACGCACAGGCCTTCTCGACCATCTCAAGTGTCATCCCGGCATTTTCGAAGAGGGGGGATATCATTGTTGCCGACAAGGCAGTGAATTATGCCATCCGAAAAGGTATACAAATCTCTCGGAGTGCAGTGAGATGGTACGAGCACAACGACATGGACGACCTGCAAAGGGTTCTTGCCAAGGTGACCAAAGAACAAGCAAAGAAGCCATTGACTAGGCGGTTCATCATCACGGAGGGCTTGTTCGAGAACGTTGGCGACATGGTCGATCTGCCAAAGATTGTGAGTAACGGCCATTGATTGAGCCGCGAAGACATGCTAAGCGGGAGTGCGCAGATCGAGTTGAAGCTCAAATATAAATTTCGTCTCATTCTCGACGAGACGTGGTCATTCGGAGTCTTGGGAAGGACTGGAAGAGGTGTGACGGAGCATCAACATGTGGATGCTGCTGAAGTTGACATGATTGTCGGATCTATGGCCGGTCCATTGTCCGCCGCAGGAGGTTTCTGTGCTGGATCAGATGAAGTCGTAGAACACCAGCGATTGTCCGCCACGGCGTACACCTACTCGGCTGCCCTTCCGGCGATCTCTGCGGTGACTGCGAGCGAAACACTGATGATGATGCAGACCCAGCCTGACCTTTTTGTTCAGTTGAGAGAGAACATCAAAGCCATGTGGGCTCAACTGGATCCTCGAAGCGATTGGATGTACTGCACGAGCGCACCCGAAAATCCCATCATGATTCTTGTTCTCAAACCGGAGACTGTTTCTTCCCGAAGGTTGACGATCCAAGATCAACAACTATTACTTCAGGACATCGTAGATGAGGTAAGCCTTCGTGTCAATGCCTGTTGCTGTCGGCCCTCCCCCCCCCGAAGATCCATATCAGCTAACGTATGCCTGTGCCTGAGTATAGTGCCTCTCGCAGAATGTTCTTATCACGCGGGTCAAGACACTTCCTGCCGGTCCCGCTGGCGCCAAATCCGACATTTACATGCCTCTGCCGGCCTTGAAGGTCTGTCTTACGTTGGGACTGACGAAGAAGGAAATCGAGAAGGCTGGCATTATTATCCGCCACGCAATTACCAAAATACTCACGAGGAAGCGGTGACCAATTTGACATTCATTGGAGTTGGACAGAAGTTCACTTTTGTACAATATTTACTTAGACCTTTTAATAGCGTCAGAGGAGGGAAGATGGAGCAGCGACCAGGCTTTATACAGCACGGAGTCAAAGTATGCATGAATTCATAGAGCGCAACTAATGGGCCACGTAAACAAAATTTCTACCAAAGCCAGTGATTGACACACTCAATTAGCCAGACTTGGGGACCCTCAGCCTCCCAGGACAACCCTCAATAAGTAGATTTCATGATGGATGGTTCGTCACTTACGTCGTGAACAAAGTATAATGAGTTTGCCATTTTCCTGGTTTGAATAAATAAGCAACCAACGGGTGGCATTAGCAGATATATTTTCCGAGCAACTCGCGTCGATCAGTGCATGAAAATGGCACTTCACGAAAGGAGTACCGGAAAGAGTCAATAGTCTGAGAATTTGGCGAGGATCGGGGCGTCGAGGCGTCTTGTCAAGACGAATCGAGGCTTCACTTGGGGTTTTGTCGGTGAGCGAATAACGCTGTGACACCTTCCTGATCCTTCTTCCCTTGCTTGTTTCTTATGTCTGGGATTTCCCTGGTCGTTTTCGCTTCATTTTCGCTTAGATGTTACCTTGAGACGTCAGCAAGCGAGAAGGAAGCGAGAAGGTCTCTCACATGTCCAGTGAGGTTGTCGGATAAGCGAGTTATCGTCAATATGTTCGGTTCTTGAAGCGAAGGGAAAATAGTGGGTGAGGAGATGAGACAGAAAGACGAGTTGGGATTTAGAGATTGAATGGGTGAGGATCGCTTGAATTCATATGATCTGACTACCTGAGATCCCCGTCGTTTAATAGGAATGTAAATAAACATCCTCCTTCCTCCGCTCTCTTCGTGATTTTGATTTTCATCTCTCCTTCTCTCGTTCATCTCAGCGGTCTTGATTTTGGCCTGTGCGCCCTGATAGACTGTTGAGTCTAGAGAAGGAATGTGTTGTTGTTCTAAGAGAGCAAGACGAAAAGAAGGAAGGGCGCAAGTTGCCAAGCCAAACTATCTCACGTGACATTGCCAAGGCAAAGCATCACGTGACTGGCCAACACGCCCCTCATTCGTCCATACGAATTTCCCAAACTACCATGTCACCACAGTCCAAAGTAATCGTTCCTACGCTGCCTCTCCGTCTTGGAGGCTGGAATTGAATGATTACCTGTTTGTCTGGACAACGATTGACCATAGAACATGTTCCCTCAGGCAGCCCTACTGACAAAACGCTTTGCACAACTTGGTTAGAAGCTTCTACGAACGCGGGGGGCCCCACGGGTTCTTCTTGCTCTGGGAATGCCTCGTCTTCAGCATCTCTTTCCACATTATGCGATCGCTGAACCTTTGGTGGCTTTCCGGCTCAAATTCAACATATGTAGATCGAATGAACTTTGAAAAACTCCACCTCGTGCTGCTCGTGGACGCCTGACCCACGGGTGTGGCTGAGCTGAATGTATGTTATCTGGTGAGTTGATCGGGTTTCGTGCATAGGACGGTGGGAATGTTTTGCTGTTCCCGGTATAATCTCGGCACCGCCAGTGGTCCTTTTTGCTTCCGCATTGACTGGTCATTATTCGAAGCAAATCCGTCCCAAAAAAACAAAATAGTACGCCTTGTCTGTACCAACTCAATCTCGCTCCCATTCTCACAGGAACACGGGATGACGAGACACGAAAACATTCTGCCATGAAGTGGATGGAAGATTACACCATCATTTTCAACGCGTGCGGAGGATGGGACAAAACCTCAAGTGACTGGTTTACCTCGGATTTCGCGAGGATGGCCAAGGCAGGAATGGGATGTCCAAATTCCGGGAGAGTTCCATTTCATCTACGTCAAGAAGAGTGGAGCAGCACGGGGAGGGATTGAGACGAGAAGAACAGAGATCATGAGCGACTCGATGCAGAGAGAAGTCTTGAAGATGTAGGGGAGTTTTCACAGGCTGTAATTCCGTTCGATTCAAGAAATTTGGATCTATTCCCCCATTGTCCTTGTGTTAGAAGTACCTTATTCTCAGTCCACAGTGCAGGATGCAGTGCCATCGGAGCGTCCCTTGATTCGTTCTTTTTCTCTCTTGTGGATTCAGAATGATTTCCAAGGGTTCGCCCAGTGCATTTTGGTGGCGCGTAGGACATGCGGACAGTGTACAACGACGACGAAGTCAGTTGCCAAGCGAGGCCAATGACGCTCCAGAGAAGTGATGGGAGCCAAGAAGTGAACGCGTTACGCAGCCTTGAGAGGTCAAGGCTCATAGCCCTTGCCTCGTCCTCTGCTCCGCCTGTTAACAACGGGCAAAGAGTTGAGAAGTCTTACTTCCTTTTGGGTGATGTGAAGATCACCGCACCCTCAGACGATATGGCACACCTCCTTCGCGGCAAACAGGCCGGTATCCCAAATGATCTCTCGGTTGGCATTTCGCCTGAAGTCTTCATGCTAGACGAAGTTGGTTCCCCACCCCCGGCCTACATGGATCTAGATTAATGACCACGATAGTTTGCCCGCTATGGTATCAATTCTCAGATCTCGGTCCTCGCCTATGACCCCGTCCAATCCCTCCTCGCGGTCGGTACCAATGAATCCCCATTTGGACCAGGCCTTGTCTACGTCTTTGGCCAGAAACGAGTCTGCGTTACCTTCACCCCTCCACGACGGTCCTCGATTGGAACCATCCAATTTTGCGCCGACAAACTTGTTGTTCTGGACAGTAAGAACGATATTAGCATCTTCAGCCTTGAAGCCAAGCACATGCTTGCCAACTACGCCCCGCCCGGTCATGTTATCACTATTCTCACGGACCCGAGCCTAGACTATTGTTTATGTGGACTGCAAAATGGTGGGTACGGAAGAGAATATGGTGACGCATCTCCAAAATGGACTGATATGGGTCCCCAGGTGACATTGTCGCATACGATTTGGACCGAGAAGGCATCACGCCATTCAGAATCCCCAATCTCTGGCGCGAGCGGAATCCGCGAGCTCGAATCCTCCCAATCGTGTCCATGCAATTTCATCCCAAAGATATCGGTACCATACTCATTGGGTATCCCGAAGGAGCCGTGATCTACTCTTTCAAGCAGAACAAGGCGACCAAGTTCTTCCATTACGAGGTTCCCAGAGGGGCTCGAGGTGGTGATGGAGACCCTTCAGCCTCCAACCAAGTGAGACATCCACGACTCACGCACGTTCTCTGGCATCCGACGGGCACCTTCGTTTTGACTGCTCATGACGACTCGAGCTTGGTGTTTTGGGATCCTCGGGATGGTAGAGCTGTCCACGCCAGAACGGTCGATGAAACAGATGTGAATATGCCGAGCGGCGGATCATCTCGAGCGGGGCCCGGAACAGTTTCTGTCAAGGAGCCTTATATCAATATTGCATGGTGTTCTAAAGAGAATCCAGACGATACTGGTCTGCTCGTGGCAGGTGGCTCGCCCACCACCAATCCAACAAGAGGTCTGACCTTCATTGAACTGGGCCCAACACCCAATTATCAAACATCGACCTGGGATTTTCTGGCAAGTCATTTCAGAAACCCGAAAAGAATACATGTCCTCCCTACACCACCCAATGCCGAAATCTGCACCTTTACTCTAATTCCTCGCTCATCTCCTCATTTCTGCGGCGCCCATGATCCGATAGCAATCTTGACCGCGCTGTCCTCTGGAGAACTCATCACTCTCAGCTTCCCTTCCGGACATCCCATCACACCCACCAATCAACTTCATGTCTCATTGTCTTTCGTTCATCCGTTCGTCACGAAAACGGCATTGTCGTTTGTCGACCGGGTGAGATGGCTCGGCCTACGCGAGATTCGTCAACACGGTCCCAATTTCTTGCTAGGTGGAGCTGAAGGGACCAAACCTCGGAAAAGATTTGAAAACAGAAACATCATTCAGACAGCACACGCGGACGGGACCGTTCGTGTCTGGGATGCTGGACACGGCGATGCCATCGAGAATCCTGGCGTACTCCAGGTCGATCTGGGGAGGGCAGTTGGTCGATGGGACCAATTGGACGTGACTCAAATGAGCATGTCAGGTGCCACTGGAGAAATCTCGGTGGGGTTGAGGACCGGAGAGCTCGTGGTTTTTAGACTCGGTCGAAATCAATTGGCCGGTCATCCCCCGCCTGAGCCCGGCCCCCATGAAGGACCTGGACGAATGACAGATATCGTCGAACGAGCAGATGCTGGGTTGAAGGAAGGTTTATTACCATTGACTATGACCAATGATCAGCAAGGCCCGGTAACGGCTCTACGACATTCTGATGTCGGGTTCGTGGCTGCTGGATATGCCGGAGGGGGTGTCACCCTGGTTGATCTTCGTGGACCAGCTATCATCCATACGGCTCTGCTGAATGAATTAGCGGGCGGGAAACACCGAAGAGGGAGCATCAGACGATCGACCCCTGCGACTCAATCTACTGAATATCCAACCGCCATGGAATTCGGTATCATGACCCTTGAAGGCGACGGTATTTTCTTTCATCTCCCGTAGACGGCTGAGCTAACCATCGCCGACAGACTACTCCTCGCTCGCCTTGTTTGTTGGCACATCGCGTGGTCGAGTTGCTACATTCAAGATTCTGCCATCTCAATCTGGTCGATATTCAGCACAATGCGCCGGTGTGACCCAGATATCAGATGATCGAGTGATTTCCCTGTCGCCGATTGATACTCGAGTCGGCTCACCAGCGGTTGCCACAGGCCACGCGATGGCTGGCTTACAGTCAGGCAAGAAAATAGAGGGGGTGTTGGTGGCAGCCACGACGTCATCTGCCCACATCTTCCGCCCGGCACATGCCAAAGGGGCGTCCAAGACTTTTGATCATTACCTGTGCGACTCATCTTCGGTTGCGCGATACGAGAATCGTGGTTATGCACTTGTCGGCTTATTTGGAGATGGCGCGGCTCGAGCGTTTTCTATCCCTGCTTTGAAAGAGCTTGCCAGCACTCGCGTCAACCATCTCCTGGACACGAAAAGATTTGGTGATGCCATCATCACCCCGACCGGGGACATTCTTGGATGGGCAGGCCCAAGCGAGATTGCCATTGTTAATGTCTTTGGCGCTGGCTTGTCGCTCCCTCCAAGCCCGGATCGACTATTCGACCCTGCGAAGCTCGTCCCTCCTCGACCGACAATCAGCAATCTTCAATGGATCGCGGGTACACAGTACATCACACCATCGGACATGGATATCCTTATCGGCGGTCCTGACCGACCACCTTCGAAACGAATGATGGCTGAAATGCGTGCGGCGAAAGAGGCAGAATTTCAGCGGCAGAGGGAAGCTGCACGTTCTGGTCGATCTGCACCACCAGATCAAAGTCAAGAGACTTATTGGGCATATATGCAACGACAGTTGGCTGAGAGGACGGAAAGTCTCGGCTTGGCGGGCGACAGTATGGATCGAGCGGCTGAATCCAGCAGCACTTTCAGCGATGACGTGAGTAAATTTGTTGCGAAACAAAAGAGGCAGGCGGCGATGGGATACTTTACCTCCAAACTTGGCTTCTAAGAAGTTGTGTAGGTATAGATGGAAGGTATGTGTGATTTGCCGTCCCTTTCCCCTTGGGCTTCAGGGCAAGGGTTGATTGATTACGAGTTACGCTTATACAACTGGGAGAAAAGATCTGTTCGATGGACTCCCTGTTACGTGCTCTATTATTCCGTATTCATTCTTCTTTTGCCCTCTTTCGCTAAGTTCTGTCTCGGTCCCATCTTCGGACAAACTAGACTCACGTGGCGATAAATGCCCGGACGGCATCAGCTCAAACTTCGAACTCTTCCTTTGTCATTCTGAAATACACCATTCTTTCTGGGCGGACTGTCAAAGAGTTCACAGTGGACCGACATACTGGGGGTCTTCCATACATGTACCAAAAAAGTGGCTCCGACCGTTCATCACCTTTCCCGCAAACAGTCATTCATACTCTGGAGCATGACTTGTACCATCCTGATCCGATTAACGCATGGCCAATGAATGACTGTGGCAGGGACTTGGGCCTTACCTTGTTGGTCATGGCGGAGCCCACATTGTCTTCCGCATTCGGTATACTCTGGTTCGTTATAATGCCCTCGCCACCTTAGTGTACGAAAAGCAGGAAATATCGCGGGCAATCGCATTGAGATCTCATCCTCGCAAACAAGGCAGGATTTGAGAAAAAGACACGAAGCTGACAAACAACAAGGTATCACAGATCACAACGACCCCCGCCGAACAGCTGGGATCTGAGCTACATCTTTTCGTGCCCTACTCAATTAAGAAGGACAAAGCGTGAAAGGTAAACATGGAGGCAAAGATGAAGAAGCTCGTTCGTTCTCTCTTTTCTCCAAAAACAAAACCTATCTCAAGTCCTTCGGACTCAATCCCCCCAAACACACATCTCTTCTTTCGGCAATGTCCACATACTACGCCTCCAACACCGCGGCCCGGGAAAATCCCTCCCGTCCTACAGATTGAATTGCTTGGCCAATCCAAGAAAGACCAATTCCAACTCCAAGGTCAAGGTCAAGGTCAAGTCCTCGGTGTTCCAAATGGCAAGTCTACACCCCCTGCAGCAGACTCAGATATCAGACAGTACCTGACCGCACCCCCCCGATGCCTGGACTGCACACTCGATCTCGCGCGCGAGAAACAACGCACGATCCATGAGGTGATTGGCAACGACATCGCGGGCTGCCGTGCAAGGATTTTTGAACTAACAGCTCAACTTGCGACTAGCACCGTAATCGACTCAGAGACCGCGGAGATGTTGAATAAGGAAATCGCCACGCAGCAGTTGCGTCTAGCTGAGCATATCCAAACTCGGCACCGTGAGGTGCGCGCAGTTTGGGACAATGTCAAGACAGAGTGGGAGGGGGCGGCGAGGGGTGTGGTGCGAGGCGATGGATCCGGAGAAGGTGAAGAGAGGTGCCACTTTGAATTCGAGCCTGTACCTCAAGGTCCCCTAGGTGTTCGTGATGGGGAGGCTGAGGTTGAGAGCGAAGCAGAGGAAAGTTGGCGGGTTCTAGTCATTTGGACACCTCTTGAGGAGGGGAGTTGACTGAGTGGGTGCGAGGGTGAATGAATCACCACCCTGGATGTACCTTTTGGAAAAATCGTTTCTCCCCTCCTTGGATATGAGATATGGCCACGGCGTCATGATGTCGAGATCAAGAAAGAGAGATATTAAATGATAAATTAGATAGAATACAGCTCTTGGCTCTAGCGCCTGTGATTCGCACCTTCGCAGCCCCTTTTTCTCTTCCTGGTATCAACTTCAGCCTCGTAGGGAGCCTCACCAGGGTGACCTCAGCCTCGTGATGACACTTCCCTCCCGCGCACTTGGGTTAAGCCAAGGCAGGACCCTAGAAGACTTAGGTAATGACGAAAAAGGGAAATCAATGCATAGCGCGAGCCAAAGCCAAAATCAAATGGCAGGAGTTGAACAACATCACGACACCTCTCCGGCCCCCCTCTGTAATCATCTCGACGTTCTTAGCTGCATTCATCACTATCACTTGACAACGACAACAAATCCTTCCCCCACCGTTTCATCAAAGACCGGTTTAGGCTTCTCCTTCATCTTCTTCGTGGCCGTCGCCTTCGCCATCTTGACTCCGCCTGCTATCTCTTTTCTTCGCAGGTGATCATGTCTGTTGTTGCGCAGGGGGTGCTAGTGGTAGTAGTAGCTGCTTTAGCTGCTTTCTTTGCTGTCGCTGACGGTGTGGCTTTGCCGTTGCCCTTTTGTTTTGACGGCGGCGGCGGCCTTCTTCCTCCTTTTCGCAGCAGGTTGCTTTCTTCGTCGTCCTTTCTTCTCCTCGGCCGGTCATTGGTGATTGGGACAAGCGATGGCTTGGCCTTGGCTTTCTTCTTCAGGCTTCCGCCCAGGATACGCGGAGTTGGATCTGTTGGCGGCAACAACACTGGCACCCTCTGAGTTGTGACGAGAAGTAGCGCCGGCCATGGAGTTGGGTTTCCTCGCGCTGGCACCTGCACTCGCACTTGCGCTCGGTGTTTGGGCTCGTCTGCCACCATCACTGCCGCTGCTGTCTCTAATCTTGGCCATCCCCTGGAGAATTTCTGGCGGGATACCGGCTCTCTGCGATGGTGCTGGCTTGCTTGAGTTCGAATGGGCACTACTAGTATTGACCCTTGGACTCCCGCTCTTTGAAGGAGACGATTTTCGCGGAGAACTTTCTTGTTGAGACCTTGAAGGCTAGTGTTGATGGAAATTTACATGTCAGCCGATATGTTTCGACCAAATACCGTGAAGGAATGAAAAAGGGAGAGGCTTGCGCTTACATCTGATCCTGACAATGACTGTTGTCTCTGCTGCTCAACTCTTTAAATCCTTGGTCGTGACGAGCTGAATTCAGGCTGTCTGTGGGATGGAGAAGATGAAGCAAGCTGGAGGCTTTCCGGCCCCATCTTTGGAAAGGCTGGTGGAATACAAAATCCTAGCCACCGACGAACTAGAAATGCTCAACAGGAGAACAAAGCCAGATAGGTGAAAGCAGCTTAAACACGCTCAACTCTCCCGGGTCAGCTGCCAACTAGAGGATAGGCTGATTGGGGTGGGCGCCAGCATTGGTGCAGCAGTAGGGTTGTGCTTTATGGTGAAATAACAAAACAATTGCCTGTTGGGAGCGGATAGAAGTGAGGTATGTAGAATCATCCTGCCGAGTAAAAATCGAACTTGGAATGTGGATGGAACAACCCGGGGAAAATAGAAGATTCAGAATTCCAGAGTTCCAATCACTTACTCTCTCCTGCGGCATCCAACAGCGTTATCCAACACCCAGTGAACTCGACTGTAGAACTATTCATCCGGGAGACTCCATCGCTCCATGTCCCTTTCATTCCTCACCAAGATCGCATCCAACCCTCCAAGATGGATGCGACTCCAATCAATGGTAATACTCATACATTATGCCTTGTTCTTTTCTTGGGGGGGTCAGAAATTCGTTCGATTCGTATTTCGCCGTTTTTTCTTTCCTCGTCTTATGATAACCTCGATCCCTGCACATCCATCAAATAAGTTTGCAGCGTATCGTGGGTGGCATGTGTTCCGCGTTTCGAATCGACGGGGCATAGGATTAGCACTCGTGAATTTGGAGGTTGTAGAAGTTCGTAAATTAAAAGGGCGACAAGGCGGGGAAGAGTCCGTCAACCACCCAGTCCAGTTCCATCTACATTTCTCAATTTCGCCGCCAATGTGGTATCGTAGAAATTGTAGTACGGGTCCGGAACACAGAATGTGGAGTGTCGAAGGAGTGTGTCGGCGGTCGGTCGGTCAGTTGGATTACTGTCGACGGGTCAGAATTCTCAATCGTTCATAAACATTTTTAGGTAAGTGGACTTACACCTGGAAACAGTCGTACATAAAGTTCAAGCCGTCGACTGTTGCGGTCGATTGTACGTCTTCGGGTATAGGTGGGGCCTGACTGAGACTTCCCAGCTTGAAGATGGCACCGATGGCTTCTTCTCGACTCCACGGTCTCTTTCCTGCAAACATTTCCAAGACCACACAGCCAAGGGACCATATGTCAACTTTGGCGCTATATCCTTGTCCTTGTGACCGAACCACTTCTGGTGCCATCCAGAAGACGGAACCTTGCATGCTATTGGTGACGTCGTTGCCGTAGATATTGTCCGATTTCTTCGATATACCAAAATCAGAGATCTTACAGCTTCCGTCCAGATCGAGGAGGATGTTGTCGGCTTTCAAATCCCGATGGAGGATACCTTCGTGATGAAGATAAGCGAGGCCTTCCAAAGTTTGTCGGGTCAGTGATCGAACCACTGATTCCTCGAATTTTCCATGCTTGCGAAGGCAGCTCCCGATCGAACCACCGGGAATATATTCGAGATAAATGCTGATGGAATATTCTTTGCGCTCACAACCAAGATATTGGACAATGTTGGGATGCTCGAGATGCTGCATGGTGTCGATTTCCTGGTCGAGGGCCGCCACCATTTCCTTGATGCGATCTTTGTCGTGACTTGCCACTTTCTGATTTACTTCGACCTGCTTGACGGCCAGGAATTCACCGGTTGTCGCGTTCATACCGAGATAGACACGTCCGTAGGTACCTTTTCCGATAAGTTGACCACGAATGATCTTGAATGTTGCCTGTCGCTTGGGCGTGTCGTCGGTAGGGACTTCTTCTTGCGGTATTGGATCGAGAGTAGAGAGCCGGTTGCCCGGCTTCGGTCTGATCTGGACAATTTTGCCACCAAACATCTTCGTGCTCTTCCGGCGAACGATGCTGCCGGCATTGGCTTGCTCGACCCGAGCTGCGACGGATGGTCCTCTTCCGATGTCATTCCTCTTTTGTGCAACTTCGCGGATGGATTTCATTCGGGAAATACCGCCTGTTGCCTTTCCAACTTGTCTCTGCGCCACGCTGGCGACTTTGTCACGGTCTTTAGCTTTGAGAGTTGATTCATCGGATCCCAGAGTGTCTGAATCACTCTTCCGATTGAATTCAAGATCCAGACCTGCGGTGCCAAACGTAATGCCTCCTGTTGACGCATTCTGGAAATTGTCAAGAGCATCGTGATCGGCCGACTTCATCGGAGAATTGTTATCTCCCATTTCTTCAAGATAAGGTTTATCGAGATCGACCCCCGGAAAAAATTCGTCGAGATGATGAACAACATTTTCCACGGCCGGTCGATTCGCCCAGATATCACTAATGAAAGAGTCTCTCCGACTCATCCGATCATCTGGCGACTGCGCAGAACCACTAAAACTGCCATCAGAGAGACTCCGTTCGTAGGCCTCTCCGCTTGTCGTGGCGCTCTCATCTCCAGGATTCTGATTCAACGAGACTCCACTTGATGAGCTTGGTGACTTGAATCGAACATTCTTGCCGGTGTTGTGATCCGTGTCGACTGTCAGCGCCGGTCTTTGATCTTTGCCGCCGACCATTTGACCATCACTCTTAGACATGGATTTGTTGGCCAAAGGAATCGCAAACAAGCCATCGTCGGAGTCATCGTCGGAATTTTCATCCTTCATCGGATGTGGCGATGGAGCAAACGAAACGTTCGTCTCTTTGAATTCAAGATCTGGACCGTACGACTTTCTGGTTTGAAGAACAGGTCGGGGTGCGGTCTCACTAGAAGGACTGACATTGGGAGAAGGTCCGAATCGTCGTGCGTTGTCCAAGGCAAGATTGCGTGGCCGATTGTCTTGATATGGCTCGCCGAAACCTTCTTCATAGTTAGGAACTCTGAACAACATATTGCCTTTACCCCTGGTCAAGTCGGGACGAGGCGACCCACCTGACATGGCTCGATTTCGGTCTTGCTGCATGCCCTGGCTACTTAAAGCCGCTGGTGCCCCGGCCATCTTACCAACATTGGCCAAAGCAGCACCAATTCCACCCGAAGCAATTGCCGGGGAACCACTGGTTTTTTTCTTTCCACGGTCCATGTCTTCTTCGGCGATTGGATCAGAAATTCGCTTCAAGGCATCCAGAGAGGATCTACTGCCTGATCCCTTTGCTCTCAAAGAATTGACTTTGGTCAGAGTCGTAGACTCGGCCGGCGCTGTTGGCGGCCGTCGGACAGGTACAAGATTCTCCACCTTCTTGTCCTCAAAAGGCGACAGTCGTGGACTATCAAAGTCTATGACTGTACTTCCGCGGATGCCGCCTCCACTATATGTGGAACTTTGTTCTTTCTGTGCCCGACGAGTCTCGAGAAATGCCTTGTGCTTGGCCTCTGTTTGTCGTCGATACTCTTCTGCTTGTTTCTGAAGCAGAACGGGGTCTGTCACGGTTTGATCTGCTCCCGGACTTGGATTCAACGGATATCCATTACGGTCGATTCCACCAGATGAATTGGACTTGACCATAGGTGCACCCCGCAGAGGCCCTTCCCCTTTTTGGCCCAAAGAAACACCTAATCCGGCGGATTGAGCACTGGGTCCCCTCACGGCCGACAACGTGGGGCTTTGCACGTAGAGCTTCAAGCTTCCTGAATTATCCGTTCGACTTCGTACAGCAAGCAGCATGTTGTCTGAAAGCGGATTTTCATGATCAGTTTGTCCGGGCTCGGTGACGAAAATCTGGGCATATTCGGAATCCGCTATCCCGAGCTCGACACAAATAAGACTCCGCAACGAAGCTGCAGTATCCACCTCCGTCACATCGACGAGTCGGTAATTCCAACAATCTGGCGTGACGAACATATATCGTCTTGAAATGTTGGTTCCCCGGCGGACGGGATATGTGGATTTCTCATCTTCGCTTGCCACGCTCACCGAAGCTGGACGTTGGAGTAGTGCTGAATCACTGCCATTCGCACCAGGTTTCGAGAACAGCCGGAAACCTCCTGGACTCGTGGGTGATTCCAACACATGATCTTCCGGAGGAGGTTGACTATGCTCGTGCCTTTTCCTCATGAACTTGCTCAAAAAGCCTTTGCTCTGATCTTTTCCTCCTGGTCCTGGAGCGTAGTCGTTGCTCCATGTCCGTTGGACCTCGAGTGGTGAGGGTCTTGCCATTTCCTGCGCGTCGCGTCGATCCGCATAGAACCGTCCAGAAGCTGCGCCATCAGAGGATCCAGATGCCGCACTTCTGCCGGGTTCAGATGCGCCTTGATTACCAACCGTAGACCGAGGTTGGCTGCTTGCCTTGGGCATGGAGTCAGTGCTGTTGCTCTTACTGTGGTCGGGCCGGTAGGTTTGAGAGGAACTCGAGTCTGATACGGGCACGGCGTTCACTAGGCCTGGACTGGCGTTTGGCGAGGCCTCAAAGCCTTTTGGTAATAAACTGGTGGAATTGTCGCCCGAGAGGTTCGGGCTGTGGCGACCACGGCTGCTGATACCGGTCAAAACACCTCTAGTATAGTCAGCGCGGGTGGCGCCATGAAGGCTGTCTGGCGGCTTGGGATCGCTTGGAGTGGAAGCAGTGCTGCTATGCTTGCTGAAAACCGGCATCGTGCTGCTTCGTCCCTGGGAGTTTCGGGGACCTAATCCTACCGGAAATTGTGCAGGCATTTGCTTTCCCGGGCTTCCCTCAGTCCCCGCGGTGCCAGGAGTGCTGCCAAACTCCGATCGAGGGAGGTGAGGCGAATTTTCCAAGGTGCCTTCTGTGGATGCACTCGGAATAATGCCAGACTCGCGTCTTCGATGCCCGATACCTGCGCTAGCTGGGCCTTCCCCGCCCTGTTCTACAAGTCGCGAGATCAGTTTCCGCAGTCTCTTGCCTTCTTCACGCTCTCGACCTTGATCCCATCCCGTATTGCTGCCAGAACAGACCTTGGCAAGCTGAGGATAGATTGTCTGATGCATCATGCCTAAATTGCCTCGTCCATTGGGACCACGGCCGAGATCGAGAAATTCCGAGCCCTGAAGCTTGAGGAGTCTGAATGTCTCTTGCCAATCATTGGAAAATCCGTTGGCTGCTAGCCAGATGAGAACACGCTCTAATGGCCATTGCGATCCAATCTCGCTCGAAGTATTGCTGGTGACGGCCGCACTGTGCGCTCGCTGTCGATTGTGGTCACCACTTGTTTGGGGATTCTGCAATGTGGCAGTAGGGGGTCCGGGAGAGACTGGCTCATTGATGTCACGGAGCGGGAGAGTGAACGAAGGCCTGTTAGAAGATGCCGAGGCAGCACGGGATTCTCTGTTGGCAATATCAGGATTGGGCTGAGACGGATTTGGGTAAGAATAACTGTGCGACGTCGTTGTACCGTCCAAGTATTTCTGCTCCGAATGAGAGAGGGAGGGTTCCGAAGTGAATGGAGTGTCGTACCGGGAGTATGACGAATAATCATCAAGGGGAGGGATTCCCACTCCTGGACCGAAGGAATCGCCCGTCGGGATAAATGTCGCGGACAGAATTGGTTTATCATTCTGTGGAGGTGGAGGTGGTATGTTGAGATGAGACGGCTGGCGCATACCGTAGGGCAAATTTTGGACTTGGGCCTGATTGTGGCCGACCATAGGCGGTGGAGGGGGGATATTTTGACCCAATCCAGATCTTCCCCATGGCGGTTGCCATTGCGACCCAGGAATTCCGAAAACGCTCCCTAACGGTAGGGCCGCTGATGGATGCGGCCCTGGAGGCGGAGGAGGCAGATTGGACTGCGGATATGGTCGGGGCGGAGGAGGTGGAAGATGGCCCAGAGTACCTTGACCTGGGGGGGGGGGAGGCCCGGGAAGATATTGCTGACGCTGGTTATCCATGATCTGGCTGTTGGAGACCATGGTCCGATGCGTAGTCGTTCATGAACGCTATGTTTTGCAAAACAGTGGCTCAAAAGATCGGATCGCAACAGTTTCACCGCAATCCAACGACAGAGGCCGACATAGCGTACATTTACCCAACTTTTTCCCGCTTCAATTGTGCGTCGCAGTCAACGACGATTCTTAGACGAGTGCCTTTTGTCGGTCTTTGGCCGGTTGAACGTGGTGATCGAGGGTCGTGTCCTGCTGCCGATGCAGTAGAGCAATAATCCTTTCACCAGCGCATGACTTCTGGAAGGTCCTTGCCTAGCATTTGATCAATCGAGCAACCTGCGGCGGGCAGATGAGAGATGGAAGCGGTGCGCAAAGGTGTCGTGGCCGTTCGAGTTCAAGAGAGGAGGGGAGATTTGCAAGTGAAAGGCGCGTTTTTTCTATCTTGGAAAGTCACCAAAAGAACCCAACAACTCGCAAAGATTTCTCAATCAGCTCTTCGACGCAGTCAAGCTGGAGATGGTCAGCAACGAAAGCCAATCGTGGTTGGAAAGTCCCGCGAGGCGGAAGGCCCGTGGTTATCGGACGCTGTGGATATCCGAGGGGGCTTTGAGCGAGAGCGTCCAATGGAAACCCCCGAATAAGCGCAAAGCGCGAGGTGAGAGAAGTGCTCAACAGGAGAACAAAAAAGGGAATGTGATTGGCTGTTCGTACTGCGACGTACTGGGGCCGATAAGTGCAACGGAAGGGCCATAATTTTTTCACGTTACGTGACTGCGGCGGCGTGGGGGATTTTGCCTCAACCCGTTACCTGCCTATGTAAGCCCTGAGTGGTTACAGGCCTCCGCCACCACATCACACCACGTTTGCACCAAAGCTTACTGTATTTGGTGGCATGCTTGTTCTCGACGCTTTGGCCTGATTGCTTCATACTCCAGCTCTCTGCAAGTGTATCTAAATGTTTTTTGTGTTGGCCTCTCTCATGGAAAGGCTTGCCGGCTTCTCCGCTGCACCCTGATGACGTTTCTTTCCCATGAGTATTTATTTTTGACGCAGTGACATCTTGAGTCTCCTCTTCCTTTCAAATTTCCTCCATTGCTGTCTCCGTGCATGTCGAGAATGGCTACTGGTACTGACATTCGAACATCCGAGCTCAGAGAGCCAGTGGATGTTGCTACTTATCTCTTTACCAGACTCAAACAAATAGGAATCGATTCGGTCCATGGTCTGCCCGGAGACTTCAACCTAGTTGCACTTGACTATCTCGAAGGCTGTGGCCTCAAGTGGGTGGGCAACTGCAATGAACTCAACGCGGGCTATGCCGCAGATGGCTATGCTCGAATCAAAGGCATTTCCGCCGTCATAACCACTTTCGGTGTTGGGGAATTGTCTCTCCCAAATGCCATTGCCGGATCGTAAGTGGATGCCAAAAATGCAATTCAACCAATTTGCCTCGGGCTAACACGCCGTAGTTACGCAGAATATGTCCCGGTGGTTCACATTGTCGGAACACCCAGCACCATCTCGCAAGCTAACGGCATGCTCCTTCATCATACACTAGGCAACGGCAACTTCCATATCTTTGCAAATATGGCCAGCCATATTGCGGTGGATGTGGCCAGGTTGACAGATCCTCGAGACATCCCTTCGCAGATTGACCATGCCCTCCGCGAATGCTACCTCCGAAGCAGACCGGTTTACCTGACCCTGCCCACAGACGTGGTGAAGAGAAAGGTAGAGGGCGAGAGACTCCAGGCCAAGCTCGATCTGAGCCCTCACAGAAACGAGCCGGAGAAGGAGGATTATGTAGTGGACGTGGTGTTGAAGTACCTGAGAGATGCCAGAAATCCTGTCATTTTGGTCGACAGCTGTGCCATTCGTCATCGAGTTCTAGACGAGACACACGAGCTCATTGAGAAATCCGGTCTTCCGGTCTTCGTGGCTCCCATGGGAAAAGGCGCGGTCGACGAAACCACGCCCACCTTTGGTGGTGTTTATGCCGGCGATGGATCCAATCCCGGAGTACAGGAGCGGGTGGAAAATGCTGACTTACTCCTGACCATCGGCAGTGTCAAATCTGACTTCAATACCGCGGGATTCACCTACAGAACCTCACAGCTGAAAACAATCGACTTCCACAGCACCTACACCCGTGTCCGTTATTCTGAGTACCCTGGTGTGGGCATGAAGGGAGTCCTCCGCAAACTCATTGACCGACTACCGAAACTGAATATCGAGCCCGGCCCATTGGCTCCCCAAAACAAGATTCCTCTTGATGAAGACCTCGGTGATCCCACCATCACCCACGGTTGGTTCTGGCCCCGAATGGGTCAGTGGCTGCAAGAGGGTGACATTGTGCTCACCGAGACGGGAACGTCCAACTATGGGATCTTCGACACCCGTTTCCCCAAAAATGTCACCAACATCAGCCAGATTCTATGGGGAAGTATCGGTTATGCCACCGGTTCATGTCAAGGCGTCGCCCTGGCGGCCAAGGAACTTGGAGGCACACGCAGAACCATTCTCTTCACGGGAGACGGCAGCTTCCAGCTTACGGCACAAGAAGTAAGCACAATGATTCGGCACAATCTCAACCCGATCATCTTCATCATCTGCAATAATGGCTACACCATTGAGCGTTTCATTCATGGAATGAGGGCAGGTTACAATGACATTCAGAACTGGAGATACAAAGACCTGATTCCAGCGTTTGGAGCGAAAGAAGGCACATACAAGACTTACCAGGTGAAGACCAAAGCCGACGTCAACGCTTTGTTTGAAGACGAGAACTTTTCCAAGGCCCCTTATCTCCAGTTGGTTGAACTGTACATTCCGTGGGATGACTGCCCTTCAGCATTAAAACTGACCGCAGAGGCGAGCGCAAGGAATAATGCGAAGATGTGATTGCTAGAGACTGCGTCGAAAAGTCCAGATGGGGCTGGGCGGAAAGTGGATGAGTTCTCTTCAGAAATGGAACGGTTTTTCTGCGCCAAAGGATCCCAATAGTACCGATCTTGATAGATGATACAAATGTAAATGTCTCGTAAAGGAGCAGAGGGGTTGGAATGTCGAACCGAGATTCGCCTAAAGTTGCCTCGAGACCTGCTCTGCCTAAGCACATCCACATGCCCCCTTGAGCCCCAACGGCCATGCTTTTTCTCGCTTTCTCAGACCGGTCACGATGCATCCAAGAGAGCCGAAATATACTCACCATCATTCCCGCACTGGCACAATGAGAAGGTCAGACGTGAAGTGTCCTGGTTCTCACGCGCCTTGACAGCCAGAGGCGCCTCAGAGCGCCTCATAATGTCTGGGTCACCTCTGATAGATCCTTCCTTAGCTATCGGGCTCACTTGCACGACAAAAGCCCTCCCTTTATCAGGTGAGCTCTCGCCGCGGGATCTGTGACCCCCAACCATCCAGACAAACGACTCGCACTCCATCCTCTTACCCCCAGATGCTTCCTGCGTTACCTAGAAATTAAGCAGTCCGTTTGGGCAGCCGAACCGGGCGAGCCGTCTCTCATCTCCAAAACCGCACCCGCCCAAACAAGCCTTCACCGGACAATGGCGAACCTCGACACTCCTCTCAAGAAGGGCAGCAGCCGAAAACTGCAGAAGCGAAACCCCAATCTCAACCGCCTGCCCTCGTCGCATATTCCTTCTCGCCTCCGACTCGGTGCCGATGCCCAGGAAGATGTAACAGCGCCTACCCGAGGCCACAACGCGCCAGCACAATACATGAACCAGTCCATTTTCTCCATGATTGCGGCGGCAGGGTCGCGCACGGATTTCAATGCCAGATTTGATGAATCCAGTGACAGTGACGATGAGATTATCGAAAAGGAGCAGACAACCACAGAGGGTGAATCGCACGCGGCCCCTCGAGGAACTGAGTCGAAGGCGGCACAGGCGGTGACAAGGAAAGACGGAAAGACCTCGAAAAGCCAACGTCTTTTGGGCGGTCGACCGGTACAGTCATTGGAACGACCGTCTTCAAGGCCTGCGAGATTGGAGGAAATAGAGCCGCCTCCTCGGCAAAGCCCCAGCCCTCAAAGCGATGCCACCTCAAAGTCCTCTAGAAGCAATCCGCGAGATGCACCGGTGTTGAGCAGACTCATCACCGCCGAAGCTGAGTTCCAAGAGTGTGCCGAGGCGGGTGAGGAAGGGTCGTCGTCTCCCAGAGGCCAGAAATCAAGAAGCAGACGCGAATCCTCCCCACAGACGCTCCTTGCCACGAGACTGATGGAAATTTTTGGATTCGAAAAGCCAGAACAGGTTGTGGCCGAGTATCCATGTTGGTTACTGCAGAGCGTGCTCCTCCAGGGCTACCTATACATCACCGAGCACCATATTTGCTTTTACGCATATTTACCCAAAAAATCACATACTGTCTCCAAAACTGGATACCTGTCGAAGAAGGGCCGGACAACGTCAAAGTACAAGAGATATTGGTTTTCCTTGAAGGGAGACGTGCTGTCATATTACTCTGATCCGTCCAACCTCTATTTTCCCTCTGGAAACATCGATCTCCGATACAGCATGTCTGCCGGCTTTTCGAGTGAGAAAAGTAAACAGAAGGAATGCAAAGACTTTTCAGTGACGACAGATCACCGCACGTATCATTTCCGTGCCGACAGTGCTTCGAGCGCCAAAGAATGGGTGCAGACATTGCAAAAGACAGTCTTTCGCTCTCACAACGATGGCGACAGCGTGAAAATATCCCTCCCTGTCGATAACATTATCGACTTTGAAGAGAGCCCCGTTGTCGAGTTCGCTGAGACAGTCAAGATTAGGGTGATCGAGAGTGGTGATTCCTATGCGATTGACGAAGTACGTCAACCTCAATATAACGTGTTTCTTTAGCTTCTAATATGGGTTGCAGTATTTCTTTTCTTTTTTCAGCTTTGGCCAAGATGCGCTACAGGTTCTCGGAGGGTTACTCACCGAAGCTCCAACGGGACGGACATCTGAAGATCTATGGTCACCAACGAGGAGAGGTGACACCATGTTGAGTCCCCAGGCCATGTCATCTGCCCGGCGCCACTCCTCGGATGTTGTGTCAGGCAGTCCCAGAGCCCAGTCAAGCCCACCTCTCAAAGACAACGTTCGAACAACCCTGCTGCCATTTTCCCTTGGCAGTGATGGCAGAATGCCTCCGGGGATGAGCGGAGAGTTTTCGCGCGGTGACAGTCCTTCCCGTTCCAGCGGCGACTTTGGTGGTGAATATGGTCGAGCCAGCTTTGACCGAGGTCGGAGAAGTGGCAGTACAAGTCGACTGGACGTGAGCAAATCGAGACGAACCGGTCGATCCCCGCTTGCGCGGCACCACGATTCAGAAGATTCATATGTTCAGTCGATCGACAAAGAGACGGACTCGTCGACTGCCCCGTTATCTCCCGGAGTGGAAGCGCAGATGTCGGCCAGTCAAATTCTATCCCGGAGCGACGTGTTTCATCCTCGTGCTGCCCATCGAATGGAGACGTTCACTTCTCTGTCAACAGAGCCTACAAGAAAATCGTCCGAGGCGGGCACAATTCTTTCCAGTTCTCCGCGTCGGGAAACGACCTCCCCGATCCCAATTCGATGGATGGCAGACGCAGCGGGCCATGCCTCGAATGACCGCCGAGCCACAGCACCGGAGGACGTCGTGTTTTCAGAACTGGAACGTGACAAGAAATTGTCCAGAAATGACCCCCCGCCAACCCTGCAGGACCTGGTCAAGGCGGGGACTTATCCTCTTCAACGCGCAGGGGCCCTCGCCGACTATCTCAAAAATCGGTCGGTCTCCATGCGAAAACTCCTGGCGACGGAATCCATGTCGTACCTGGAAAAGGTTTCGGGCATGTGGGCTGGAAACAGGAAACACTATGGTGAAAATGAAGGCATCGTGCCCGATGACAAAGGTATCGACCCAGAAGATGAAGAAGCTAATGTCGGCCACGGCGATCGATTCCGGGCACATTTTGCTCTGCCCACGACCGAAAAACTCCAAGCGACTTACTTTGGCTTTATTCATCGCGTCCTTCCGCTGTACGGGAAGATATACATCAGCAATCGCAAATTTTGTTTTCGGAGCCTACTTCCGGGAACGCGGACGAAGCTCGTGTTGCCGTTGAAGGATATTGAAAACGTGGACAAGGAAAAGGGCTTTCGATTCGGGTACCATGGCCTGGTCTTGGTGATCCGGGGCCATGAAGAGCTCTTTTTTGAATTCAGCTCTGCGGAGCATCGCGACGATTGTACCGTGACCCTTTTGCACAGCCTGGAAACCGCTCGGTACATGGCGGAATCTGGGCTACTGGCACAACAGGACGAGGATGATGCCGAAATCGCCAAGGAAGAGCATCGCATGCTTCAAGAAGCCCGTCGGATTTCGGCTGGCGAACATCACCTTGTGTTGCCCGACACGGCCGAAACCATCTACAGCCATGAAGAATCTCCGCCGGTCCTGTTCGATGATCCCCACGCGTCCATCATCAACTTTAAGCCCACGACGCCGTTGCGAATTACCTGCCTCACGGTCGGCTCGAGAGGAGATGTGCAACCCTACATTGCTTTGTGCAAAGGCCTCCTGGCCGAGGGTCACAAACCCAGAATCGCCACGCATGCGGAATTCGGTGCCTGGGTGCGGAAGCACGGCATTGAATTTCGACCCGTTGACGGCGATCCGGCCGAGCTGATGAGAATCTGTGTGGAGAACGGCATGTTCACGTATTCGTTCCTTCGAGAAGCCTCGGCCAAGTTTCGCACATGGATTGACGAACTGCTCACGTCCGCCTGGCACGCGTGTCAAGACAGTGACTTGTTGATTGAATCACCGAGCGCCATGGCGGGCATTCATATTGCAGAAGCGCTTGGTATTCCATATTTCCGGGCCTTTACCATGCCCTGGACCCGGACTCGAGCCTACCCACATGCGTTTGCGGTGCCCGAACACAAAATCGGGGGAGCTTACAATTACTACTCGTACGTCATGTTTGACAATGTGTTCTGGAAAGCCATCGCCGGACAGGTCAACCGGTGGCGGAAGAAAGAACTTGGACTCCGTAGCACCAACTTGGACAAGATGCAACCAAACAAGGTGCCATTTCTGTACAACTTTTCGCCTCATGTGGTGGTCCCGCCATTGGATTACAGCGACTGGGTTCGAGTTACCGGGTACTGGTTCCTCAACGAAGCGCAAGGTTGGACGCCGCCGGCAGAGCTCACCGCTTTCATCCAAAAGGCCCGTGATGACCACAAAAAGCTCGTCTATATTGGATTTGGATCCATTGTGGTTTCAGATCCGGCCGCCCTGACGAAAACCGTGGTTGATTCGGTCATAAAGGCGGATGTCCGATGCATTTTATCCAAAGGCTGGAGTGACCGGTTGGGAGATCCGGCGGCCGTCAAGACGGAAGTTCCCTTGCCCCCGGAGATTCTTCAGATCAAGTCTGCACCACATGACTGGTTGTTCGCGCAAATCGACGCGGCCGTGCACCACGGCGGGGCTGGGACCACCGGAGCAAGCCTGCGAGCTGGCGTCCCCACCGTGATCAAGCCATTTTTCGGAGACCAATTCTTCTCTGGATCACGTGTGGAGGATCTGGGGGTTGGCATTTGCCTGAAGAAAGTCAATGTCAGCCTGTTCTCGCGGGCATTGTGGGAAGCCACCCACAGCGAACGGATGATTGTTAAAGCACGGCTACTCGGAGAACAGATCCGCAAGGTAAATACACCCCCCTCCTCCCTGGCGGGATGGACATTGAGGATTCGACACTAACGGCTTGACCAGGAGGATGGTGTGCAAACGGCCATTCGGGCGATTTATCGCGATCTGGAATACGCCAAAACGTTGATCAAGCCACGTCCAGCAATCGAAGGATCCGCGGCCATCGCGGCTGCCGATTTTGATGACGGAGGCGACATTGAAGAAAGTTGGACATTCATTGGCGATGAGAGCGACCCCGAACTCCAACGACGGATGCACGATTGGGAATCTCCCGCTCGTGGTCGTGCGCCGAGAGTGAGCATGGACCGGGCCGGGCTGCGAGCTGTCCAAGGCGTCGAACCCGTGAGGAAACACAGTGTCAAGCGATGACGGTGACAGGTGACGGGCACGACGTGCCAGGTTGCTGTAGAATTCACGCCACAGGAGTTGACGGTACGATGATGAAAGGTGTTTTGCAGATATTGAATGGGCGTACAGGAGAGAGGGGGTATGTATTGGATCGATGATCGTGACAGAAGCAGAATGGACCACATTCGATATGAGTACGGTGTTCGAGGCGGCTACTGATCGGGAACGGGACGAGCACGGGAGGGAGAGCGAGGTAGTGGACCATGACCACCAGCTTTTCGTAAATAATGACCGGGACGAGATTGAAGAGATAGAGTAATTTGTGGCCTCTTGTTCTATGCTAGGTGGATTGCATCCAATGATCCATTCTTCTGGAAACCATATCCGATGGAGTATAAGGTTGGTGCTAATCGTGACGCCGGGGATCCCTTCATGATGATAAGCGCGAACCTTCCACCTACCCAGGCTGAGATCACGGGGAGTCACTTCGTATTATTACTGGCCTTTACCCAACGGTGATCTTCCTGGCACGGGGAGCATTCCAGAATACTAGCATAAGCCTCGGACCCCAAACCCGGGAGTATGGAATGGGAAAGAAACGGAAAGGGTAAAACGTATCTCCGGAATACCAAGTGGCGGAGGGCATATTATGGTGGCGGTGGTGGCGGTGACAGATGCTGACAGCGGCATCGTACAGAAATGAGGCCAAATACATGACGATACCGATCGGATTTCAGTGTCCACCCAGCACGTTTCGCAGCCACTTCGCCCAACTCTCTCCTGTCCACGCGACGGAGGACATTTATTTGCCTGTCAGCTTTTGGGTTTGGACCACCTCATTCCCCCTTTTTGTATTTGCGTTTTCGTGTAGGTCTTGCACAACAACATGCACATCCCAAAATCACACTAAGATCCACCCCGCCATCTCCGAACCCGTTTTCCAAGACAGTTATCTGCCGGTTCGAACACCCCCGGCGCATTTCACATTGCTTCTCTTTCTCCAGACTTCCAGTGCTGGTTCTAGCCCAGCCTATACTTGAACAAAATCACCGATTCCCCACCCCCCGTCCCCTTCTCGGGGCTTATCACGCTATACCTTTCTCCTCTTCCCACCCCCTAGACCACTAGAACCATTCTACTCGCCTCCTCCTGGTCTCGACCTTCGATTCCCGCAGCCATCCTCGATTCCTCCCGACCCTCGACTTTGCCGGCCCTCTTCTCTGCGGCCAGGGTGACCTGCAGACATCAACTAGTCGAGCCACCCACTGCTAACACAATTCGGTACGGGACATTGTTGTCTTTTCGCTTACTTCCCTCGCCCACTGACAGATCAGATAACACTTTTTGACAAAAAACATACCACTGTTTTGCTCCCACCACTACAGCAAGAACAGTCGTCCTGTCCCTTCCCCCCCAACCTTGTGGCACAGCCCACTCCCTCCCTGCGCTACCACACCAACTTTTACGGCCATATGCTAACCCACCACTTGTTTCTCCACCGCTTTTCCGATCCTCAAGCGGTCGGCCACACACATAAACTTTCTTGCTCGATACATCTACCCGTGGATCATCCTCGCCATCTCCCGAAATCTTACCTGATCCTCCTTCTTTCTTGGTGCTCTTCTTGACCGCTCCTTCGGCACGCGCCCTTCCATCAATCTGCTGAGTTGCTCTCTGAATTTTGTCCGTTGATGTCCTTCATACCTTGATTTCCTGGATCAACTCAAGCCTCGACCAGAAAATTATGAGACCAGTGAATGTCAACGCTAGTATGTCTCCCCTGTCTGGTCCTCCACCCAGCTTGTCCAAAAGTACATCGTTACCAATATCTCGGTCGAATAATGGCCCGTGGGACAAACCTGAACGAGCTCGTACCAGTCACGCTTGCGAACCATGTCGTGAGCGAAAGACCAAGTGCGATGGTTCACGACCCGCGTGTCGCCGATGTCTTCATACTGGGACCACCTGCTACTACGGCTACGGCAAAGGCTGGAGGAAACGGAAGTGAGTGACTGCCCTTTCGCAGCCGGTTACCATTCGCCTACTGATATTCGCTCCTAGAACAGCCGAAGACCTGACAGCCACCTCCCGGCGGTTGCAAAGATATGAAACTCTGCTCAATGACATCTTACCCATGGTATCTCCAGAGGTAAGGGCTCTAATCGAGGAGGCCCGCGACCATGTATGTCAGATCTCTCCCCACCTCTTTTTGACCACGGCGCAGCTCTTCTCAACTCTCGAACAGGACGCTGGAGCTTCCAACGGTTCCGAAGGAACGGACACCGACCATCCTTTTGCTCCGCCGAGTTTACTCAAACACGACGCGGGCCCTGGCGGTCGAATAATACTCCCACTCCCGGTTCCAAGTCCTCTCCCCCCCTCAGCCTCAGGCGCCTATGATTCAGCTCCACCTCCCTCTGTCGGGGGTGGTCCTCCTGCTGCTGCTGCTGCTGCTGCCGCCCCGATGGGAAGTGCCAGCGCTGGCGCTGGCATCAGCGTCCAAACATCTCGACGACTTTCACCAGATTCTGCTTCAGCAAATCGATTACCGTCCATCACAATGGATGGGACTCTGATTGAAGCGGGAATGAGAGACCATTCACCACCTATGGGGCAACGATCCCATGATTCGACCGGAAGTTATGGACAAGACCGTCTGGGAGGTCGGCCGACCTCTCCGACTAGTCACACATCCCATGGAGGTTGGTCCAACGAACCACTTTCTGGACGTGTACACGCTGACAGTCGGACAAGAGACTACGAGGCGGCAACCATATTCCCCTGGCTAAAGCCTAGTAAAACTGCCACAGTTCCAATTTGAATTCCCGCTTATCTAGCACGGATTTGGTTTCGGCTGCGATCCCCGAATATCTTATCCGCCAATTCAATTTTACCCGAATACCCCCTCTCCCGCTGGAACGAGCAGTTCTCGGACCTTGCACAGGTTCTGTCATGTGGGATGTGGAACTGGGGGCCACAGTCGGGAGAATTACCTTTGATCATCGTCGAATTTGGACGGCCAGCCAGACCTCGGCTTGAAAATGAAGGTACCAGGAGAAATTTGGGAATCCCATTGATGGAGCGTTCGGGGGATTACCATTTGTTGGAATCTCGATCGGCCTTCAAACTGCATCTGGATCAACCTAGGCAAATCCTGCAAAATGTGGAGTAGTGGTGGTGGTGGTGGTGTTGGTTGGAATATGGTAGGCTGTCTGCGAAGCGAGCAAAATTTTTGGGTTCTGATGCAGGGATGACAGAAAAAGCCAAGGCTTCTTCGGAAGAAAAGCACCGCCGCTATCCTCTTGGACCATGCAATACCATGCGATTGGTTACATCGGTCCAAATTGCCTCCCAATCTGTTCCGAGTGGTGGCGGATTTCCATTCCGACACGTCACATAGCCGACCAGTGGCAGACCAGGCCGATTTCAATCCGGACTCCGAAACGGAAAAGTGCTGACGGGGATGAAACGTTGTCATCGCATTGATCTATGTGGTGTGTATACCGATATATTGACGTGCCTCGTGCCTGCCAGGTAATCACCAATGACATATCGCGTGGAATTCCTGCACCGATATCCGGACCACACACCGAAAGGATCTTCATTCGATGTGACCTCGTGGGAGAGACATTGGGGGGCAAGTTGAAGGCCTCAACCGCATCCAAAGGTCACTCCACAGCCTGTTATTACCGATGAGGAATATCATGACACTTTTACAGCGCATGAGTCTAGACATTCAAGACCGGACTCATGATCCAAGGTGGCTGCAGAACCGACCATGAGACACGCGGATGAGTTTCCCGGCGGCGCTTGATGATCCTAACGCCCAACCTATTTTTTAAGGTCCAGTTAACGAAATGGGAAGCATGGTGTTGACACAGATGGTATGCATATGAAAGATCCAATGATGATATTATATGGGCCGTATATTTTTGTACAGGAATTATCCCGTGGGCTCGCTCTTGCAGTCAGTGGGGATAGAAATAAATACACAACGCCACAATCTCCACAATTCCACATCTGGCGTCCAAACACCTTTTGCTACTGATCCCATTTTCCTTTTCCATGAAAGGTGTTACGCCCATGATTTGGGAGATGCCTAGTTGATTACCTCCCAATGCCGACCTTTCCCCTTGTATCTCCCCCCATTGACATGCAAAGATGCTTTTCAACGTACCTTATCTGGCCTTTTCAAACATGTCTCGTGCCTTGTCGGTCATCTTTTCATTCATATTCCATGATTTTGCCGGGTCAATTTTGCCTGAGATCGGTCGAGATCAGTGTCTCTCCCCATGCTGGCGCCTAAGGTTCCAATGAAAATGGTGGAACACGGGGCTCTCAGGCTCCTAGAAGAGTCGAAACGCAAAACGTACCACCTCCGAACTTCTTCTCCATGGCATCGAGACCTATAGAGAAAAGGAAGGAGATTAGCTCTCTGGTCCCCCGCAGAAAGAGCAAAATCTAAATTCACCCATGTCGAGGTAATCCTCTTTTGGATTGGCACCGGCTCCGCGATTGTTCATCTTGGATGAGGTGAGGAAAAACTAGATGGGTGGTTATATGCAGTTTTGGGAGAGGAACAATAGATGTCGCTTGAAGTGTGAAGCCGCAGGTGTCTCGATGTACCCCAACCCTGGATTTGCATCTACATCATAGCCCATCGACCTGGTCCCAATGCACGCGCCTCATTCATCAGACCAACAAACTTTGCTATCAGGCGTGCTACAAAATACATTCATGGCCCTTTTCCCTCCAGTCTAGGATCTGAACCAGAGGACCTCCTCGAATTGAAGGGGGGGGGATTAGCAGAGACAGAGTTTCAATAGGCAGGGGCAAGATCGGGTTAAGTTCAAAGACGCCCGGAGGTTGTCACGTAGCAAAGTAACACCACAGGAGGAAAGGGGCTCCCAACAAGCTGGATTCAGATGTTCTGATGTCATATGCTGTCCCAAAATAGATTAGCTCGCAAAGCTTCGATCAGAAGCATCTTGGCACCTGGCACGTGATATTAGGGCTTGGCATTTCGTCTTGCCGCAGGGCTTTGAAACACTCGGCTCTCCTCGTAACAGCTTCACCATTGTCCGGCTTCTCGACCCTCCGAGCGACTTGAGGAGGATGGAGTCACAGAGAGACATAGGATTGTCTCATCCACCTGTGTGGCTGGTGCTTTTTGCCTTGATTTGGCATATGTGAAGGTTTAATCTCGACATTTTCGGAGAGCTGCCACGCGCAGGGCTACCCTCGCCTATCTTCTTCCGGCAGCTCACCGTTCCTCCAAACGATTCTCGCAGTCCTTTCGCCGTCGCGTGCAAATTGCAGTGGTTAGAAGCAGAAACCGCTTATGCGCCCCCTTCCCATCATCCTGCCCAACTCGGGACTCTCCTCTCCGCACGGTCCTGGCCCAGTTACCCGACAAGGTCCAAAGATCTCTCGCTACCCGCCGCCACATTTATGTCCGAGGCTTCAGCCTTCTTTTGCCAGAGGTCGTTACCAACTAGCGTGAAGATCGATGTTCGGGATCTTCCACATTCCGGCAGAGAACCGCCAAGCTACAATGCTCCTTCCTCCCTGACACTCACCATAAGCCGAGTTGAAACGACAAACCTCTAACATCCGGTATCATAATTTGTAGTCAACTAACACGGCAATGTGATGAGCGAGTCCGAGTTCGTTTATTCGGATCTTCATGTTCCTGCTTTGGTACGCTTCGTCTATGTATATATTCATCCCCCATCCTCGATCTCTTCCTTTCCGAACGCTTTCCATCACCAAGCTCCACCGCACTCGCAGTTCCATTCCTTTCACCAGAGACTTTTGATAGGTCTCCTTTCAATCTTTACGGCTTTTGACAAGCTCTTCAAATTCATTTGACTGGTGCCGGACACACTCACTTTCACGTTACAGAAACCATCCTTTTTGCCCATCCATTCCCGACGGAACTGTTGAACGAAGACAACGACTATCAAAATGAAAGCATTCTCTCTCTCTGCATTGAGCACTCTCTTTGCTGGCTTGACGCTGGCTCATCCCGTCGACCTGAAGGCCCGGTCTGGTTTTTCCGATGTTGACATTACGATCCTTCAATTTGCCTTGACGGTGAGTCCAACCATTAACTCCCGATCCTATGGGGGACGAACGGAAGTCTAACATGTGAATTCAGCTCGAGCATCTCGAAAACACGTTCTATCAACAAGCATTTAACACGTTCACTTTGCAACACTTCCTTGACGCTGGCTTCGATGAGGACTTCTTCTTGAATTTGCAATTCATTGCCTCGGACGAGTCGGCCCATGTCGAGCTGCTTCAAGTCGCTATCCAATCCGCCGGCATTGTCCCCGTCGCTCCCTGCCAATATAGTTTCCCTGTCACCGATGTCGCCAGCTTTGTGACTTTGTCCGCCATCCTCGAAAGCGTCGGCACCAGCGCCTACCTCGGTGCGGCGCCCTTCGTTGGATCAAAGGATATTCTAGCTGTCGCCGCGAGCATCATGGTAACTGAGGCTCTTCACACGTCCCTGCAGAGGTCGTCCCTTGGTGGAATTGGTGCCGCCGATCCCTTTGGAACTGTAAGTCATGTTCTAGTTCTCCACCCGGTGGACCCCATGCTAATGAACCGACGAATAGTCTCTCGATGCGAATTCCGTCTTTACCCTCGCTGCCCAATTCATCGTGTCCTGCCCTCCGGAGAACCCACCGTTGCCATTCACTGCATTCCCAGGCCTCCAGGTTGATGCACAGCCTTGCTTTGGCGAAGACTCTTTTGCTACTTCTGCCGTCGAAGCTGCCGTCACTGATGTTGCGAGTGCGACGGCCACTTACTCCACTGATACCGCGACCGTCACTGACTATGTTGCGGCGGCCAATGCCACCGAGACCGCCGCTGAGACTGCTACCGAAACCGCCTCTGCGACGGAATCTACCATGGAGATGGCTATGGAGACTCCAGCCCCTGAACGTCTCCGAGCACGCACTGACTCTCTCAGCTGTGCTGCTCCTTTCGCTGGTTCCAACGTCAACTTGATCCCTGACTTCGGTGCCTCGAGTCATGACTTTAGCCAGATTGTCACTATTTTCGTGACCTTCGTCTCTGGCCTCAACGTCATCTCCGTGGCGGCCACCATCTCAAGCGGTACAATCAGCGTTTCTATCCCCTCAGGCATTGGCGGACAGGTCTTTATTTTCATCACTATCATCGACATCACTGGCGGAAAACTCAGTGACAGTGACGTGCTCTTTGGTCCAGCGATTATGGAGGGTGAGTTTGTTTTATCCTCTTATATTGACATAGCTAACTCAACAGTCGCTCCTGCGGTCCCTTCGCTCGGTCACTAAGCATGTTACGTCAAAGCATCACATCGCGTCGTATTCTACCACCGCATAGCAACGAAGGGTCGCCACGGATCGGGCATGAGGGGGGGAAAATTAGAGTCATTTGAAAATTTCGAATAGGAGGCCGATTTTGTCACCAAGAGGAGATGTTCCCGAGATTTGGTAAATCCGAGGCTGCTGCTTTTATTGCCCGTGCTTTGTTTCTTACCTTTCGTGTCTCTCATTGATGAACATTTGATGTCCTCTTAGCATTTTTGTGCTCTGTATCAGTCTGTTTCTGCAAAGGGGAAGGACAGGAAAAGTTGCAGTTGAAATTCGCCGGGGAAGGCGATGAAAGGGAGAGAATGCTGAACCGTTATGGGTACACTCATACTGTATATTTCTGCTGATGGGTCTATGGAATGATACCAGAGAACGAAAGGGAAAGCAGATCTTTGAAATGACCTGAAGACCAGGGGGAAAAAAAATTTTTCCCCCCCAAAATATAGAGATGAAGAAATACTTAAATGTGTAGGAATTTTGGAATCCTTTTTCTCATTCGTCTTTCCACGAGAACCCAAAAAAGGTGCAGAGTTCGAAATTGCCTGCAGAAGTTCGTGAGAGAATGAATCCCGCTCAGCTGTCTACCAGAACTCTCACACTCCCTAACCACATTTACCTTTTTAGCGAAGTCGAGACACGTTCCTTCCTCCCGAAGATTAATTGCGCGAGCACATTTGGAATCCTGCATTGCGACACTCCTTAGACCACCAGAAAGGGAAGAATATTGTAAATCCCGAGACGTTATCTGTCTCCGCCTCGATGGAAGGCGTTTTGTTCCGACACTACTCTGCGCCCTTGAAGTTCATTGCCTTGCAGCCAAGGGGTCCAGGGATTCGAGGCAGTCACAGTCGCACCACGAGGGGAAGGCGCTCAAGGCCGATGAAACCATGCTCCTTTGCCAGTATTCATCCTGGGGAACATCCTCCGCCGCTCTTTCTGGAGAAGGGATGTCTCGCCCATTGACCTTTCCCACTTTACTAATCTGAATGATGAAGGGAAGAGTATAGTATGAAGTTTGACTCTTGGAAAGTCGATTGCATCGAGACGTTTTGGAGTCCGCAGGAGATAGGCCAGCCTTGCTAAACACCTGACACGATCAGAGCGGCGCAGCGGCGCAGCGTCTTCTTCACACATAAACTCGGAGAAATACCGGAGATCTCTGTCTTTCTTCATGAGGCTGTTTGGATGATGCAGTTCTCTACCTCAAGGAGGGAAACAGGCAGGGCGTATCGACAGCCTTCCGAGCCTCCAAACATATGTCACGCGGAAGTTCAAAAGAAGGACTTGTGGTAAGGCGGGATTGTCGATCGGGAGGTGGCTGCCTAATAAGTCGATGACAGCCGTGATGGATTCATCCCAACGCAGGCATCAACACACTCGATATAATCACTCGTACACATTGGTCGCTCCAACAAGCCATTTCAACGCCAGCTTGAACGCCACGAGGCTACCCATTACCAATCTCTACTGCCTGCATTTTGAAAATGATCTGAAAACTCAAATTCCCACCTAAAACATCACACTGACTGTGACGCCCAACCATTGGCGTGATCAGGGGTCAAGAAATTTTCCTGCCTGTTATGTCAACCACTTCGAGCTACAGCCAGAGCGGGAAGCTCCCTGCGTGGTGATTCGTGACGAAAATTGGAAGCCTATACCCAAAGCCAGACAGGGATTGACATACTCCCGACTTGCAACATTCACGGGAGCTTCACTCGACCATTAAGTTACACCCGAACTCGAGCACCAGCAGACACAGAAATATACTTTCTCTATCTGTAACAGACACACCGCCTCAAGGGTTCAGCATTTCCCAGACACAATTCCATTGCCCAACACAGGATGAGAATAATGCTTCCTATCACGATTAGCCTTTGATATTGCCGAAATCCTGTCCTGCTAGTGATGACATATCCCTGGATGGTAGGGTCGCTTCGATTAGCAGCAACTCTACCGATAGGGTAGTAGAAAGGGGTATGTCGACCTATAAGCTAACGCGGTCCGCGGCGGCTGTGGAATTCACAAATTATTCGGCCCAAGATATTACATACTCATGGAGCTTCGTCAGGGCACTTGTCAGCATACTACAATTACTGTACACCATTTCATCTCCTTGTAGTGCTAAGGGTAATCAGATTGATGTTTATGGCCACGCCACCATTGTAGCGCCCTACGCTGTCATGTGGTTTACCCATCTGCTGGGACAACTTGGTAGCGGTGGAATTTCCCAAACTGCACCTGGTTGGGTTTTCTATGATGCAAGAGGCAATCGAATGCGGAGGAAGATACGTAGGAGTGGTCGGAAGATGGTATACCCCCAAAGGCACTACCAACTAATACTATCTTTGTCAGAGCCATCTCGAAAGAGGCGGGGATGATGTCGTTGAATTCGTAATGCAGAAGACTACAGAAACAAATGAACCAGTTCCAGAAGCCGTTCAAACGACAATAGGGAGATGCCAAACCCTAGATTGAATCTCAGCCTGATGCCCTGGCTATTCCAATCGATGTTAGATGCTCGGCCAAGTGCGTCGTCAATATGGAGATAATGGATACGACACTGTATGTGCCTGGTAGCCACATACCTCTCCATCGTTGGACGGACAAAGTACAATAGCAGAGCATATGTGGACAATGACGTAGTGACGTATGGGCTTGTCGAAATGTCTCTATTTGGCTTGAAAGGCAGGTCTATTAGGCTTCTTAGGGTGTTTTCTGCGGTCAACAGTCTTGGTCGAATAAAGTATGGGCGAGAGACTTAGATACATCGCTCTTCTCATTGGCTGAGACGCCAAACAAACCCCTCGTTCGGAATAGTCGCCGACTCCAAGGGGGGAATCGGAGTATATTGTTCAATGTGGGGGAACAAACTTCAGTTCCCTATGTGACTGTGACTCTTTCTTTAGGTCGTCCTTTTCTCTGAGTGCTTGATTCTTTGGGAATTCTTTTTTGTCCTTGTGGCCGTCGTACAATGTTTTTCAGGTCATTGATCTAAGGGAACTGGATACACATTGAAAAGGATCACATACATTCGACACGACATCTTCGGAAAATCATCGGAGGCCACTCACCCAGTCAGTTACAAGCGAACCATCATCGTGTAGACGGGAGAATTCTATCATAAGTTAGCTTGACTTTCGCGACTATCTTTCCATATATGAAAGGTTAAATTTATTCAAAATGGCGAAAACGGAAGGACTCCAGGAACCCCGATACCTGGACTTCACTCGCTCCGCCGAAGTCACCGGCATCGACAACAAGCCCATGCTTAACCGGTATTCCTCCCACTTGACACGCGACCATGACTTCCCCGGTGCTCAAGCAATGCTCTATGCAGCAGGGGTGCCCGATCCACTCACAATGAAGACCACCCCGCACGTCGGCGTCGCCAGTGTCTGGTGGGAAGGTAACCCGTGCAACATGCACCTATTGGACCTGGGCAAAGAAGTTAAAAAGGCCATCACATCCCGTGGCATGCTGGCTTGGCAGTACAACACGATCGGGGTCAGCGATGGCATTACCATGGGCAACCAGGGGATGCGATTCAGTTTGCAGACGCGCGAAATCATTGCGGACTCGGTCGAGACCGTGACGTGTGCGCAGGCCCACGACGCCAACATCACGATTCCCGGCTGCGACAAGAACATGCCGGGCTGCATCATGGGGATGGCGCGGCATAATCGGCCGAGTCTGATGATCTACGGCGGGACCATTGACAAGGGATACTCGGAGACGCTGCGCAAGCCGATCAACATCGCGACGTGCTTCGAGGCCTTTGGCGCATACAAGTTCAACACGCTCCGGCAGCCAGATGATGGCGGTGATACGTCCAAGACCAAAGACGAGATCATCCAGGATCTCGAGCGGCATGCCTGTCCGGGCGCCGGAGCCTGTGGCGGCATGTACACGGCCAACACGATGGCCACGGCGATCGAGACCATGGGGTTGAGCCTGCCGGGATCGAGCTCGACGCCGGCCAGCTCGCCGGCAAAGATGCGCGAGTGCGCCAAAGCCGCGGAGACCATTCGGACATGCCTCGAACAGGACATCACGCCGTCGAAGCTGTTGACGAAGAAGTCATTTGAGAACGCGCTGGTCATTACCATGGCGTTGGGCGGTAGTACGAATGCCGTACTGCATTTCCTCGCCATGGCAGTGACGGCCGGCGTCGATTTGACCTTGGACGACATCCAGCGAGTAAGCAATAAGATCCCCTTCCTCGCGGACCTGGCGCCCTCGGGGAAGTACTATATGGCGGACCTGTATGAGATTGGCGGGGTGCCGAGCGTTCAGAAATTGCTGATCGCGGCCGGGTTGCTGGACGGCTCCATCCCGACCGTGACGGGTAAGACGCTCGCGGAGAACGTTGCCCGTTGGCCCAGTCTCCCGAGCGACCAAGTCATTATCAGGAGCTTGGACAATCCGATCAAGAGATCGGGACATATTCAGATTCTGCGCGGGAATTTCGCGCCGGACGGGGCGGTGGCTAAGATCACAGGCAAAGAAGGGCTCCGATTCACGGGCAAGGCGAGATGTTTTGATAAAGAGGTCCAGCTGAATGAGGCGTTGAATCGCGGGGAGATCCCACGGGGAGAAAATCTCGTGCTGATCGTTAGATATGAAGGGCCCAAAGGGGGCCCCGGGATGCCGGAGCAATTGAAGGCCAGCGGGGCCATTATGGGTGCCAAGTTGACCAATGTCGCCCTGGTCACAGATGGAAGATACTCCGGAGCATCGCACGGGTTTATCGTCGGGCATGTATGCCCTGAGGCCGCGGTGGGAGGGCCGATTGCATTGGTCAAGGATGGCGATGAGGTGACGATCGATGCCGAGACGAATACTATCTCAATGGACGTGGATGATGAGGAGATGGACAGGCGAAGGAAGGAGTGGACACCCCCGAAGACGTCGGTCACACGAGGTGTTCTCGCGAAGTACGCTGCGTTGGTCGGTGATGCCAGTCATGGGGCCGTGACGGATCTGTTCTAGCATGGCATAAGAAGATGAACAGAAACGCAGAGGAAAGGGCACGTGGGAAAGAGGGTAAAGATAGAGCCGCGGTGATAGTACGAGGGAATCCTGCTGCAAATAATCGAGTATGGATATAAACGAGAGTAGGTGGAAGTTACTTCTTGGTCTCACCCAGCGAATGAACAAAAGGTTTGTGGAGTCCGTCAAGGACAGTTCACCCTGACCGGGAATCGTGATGGTGGTCATCATCTCAATAGATGCCATAGCCGACAACCCAAATCCGTATATCCAGGGTGCGGAAGGTGATAATCAGAAACACATGTACAAAAGGTTCCTCCGATCGGTCGGCACCCAGAATGACATACTCTCGTACAGGTACACTGACAAAGTCGTCTGAGCAGCGAATACTCACCATGCAGGTTGTAAATGACGCCGAAACGTGGGACGGGATGGGTGAAGGGAACGTCCCTGGATCCATCGTCGCCGTCGTATTGATTAAGACCTACAGAACCCTATCCATGAGGCCATCCTGGATCGACCATTCATGCAGCATTTTGAGGATTTTCTGCTATGCTCAGGTAGATTCCGAAGATCTGTCCGATCTCGGGAAGGTGTCTCGACAAGAGTTCAGCTACCCTTTTCACACGGGGAAGAGGACTTTTGAACTGACGGGAAAAGGGAGGGTTCGTTTCTATATCAAAGGCCAACTTCCTCATGAGCCCTTTTTCCTTCTTCATCCTCTCTGTCCCTCGAGACGAGCGCGCGCTGATCCTATATCACAATACACGTCTTACTCCAGAGTATCAATAATCTCCTATCTGGGCTTCAACATCAATCAAACTCAACAAAGAACATCATCCCAGTCTACCAGACCAACAACATCAACATTACCCTCTTCAACGACCTTCTAGAGGCAGAGAAACCAGCCGCCATCCAGCCACGTTCAACACCTCGTTTCTGAACAACCGGGCTCCTCCCACACCGCCTCCAAGACTCCGGTTGGTTCTTTGTCCTCATCAAACAAGACAAATACGCCTTCCTGCCAGGTGGTATCATCATTGCTAACGCCGCTACCTCCCCTGCCACTGTGGGCCAGGGGACGACCGTTGCTAGTCCACCACGGGACATGTTAAGTCTGGACAGATGACCATATTCCCACAGACGTCTCTCCACACGATGAAGAACATTGGTTATGAGAATGCGCCACTCGTCTCTGCGTTGAACTATGATGTTACTGGCACCTCCGACCTCGCCAGTGCTTTCTTCGGCTTCCCCTGAACATTTTGGGGACGGTTGATGGAGGTGGTATCAATGTGGTAGAGTGACTTCGACTCCTGGGTGCGCGCCTACAGCAAATATCGAAATCCTCGTGTAATGGGTCCGCCAGGATTGTGGAACATGGGGGTTATTGAAGGATACGATTGGTAGATATGACCTGAATGGTATTAGTGAATAACGATTGCAAATTACGAGCTAGGTTATGTATGTCCGGGTTCTGAGGTCCTGTTTCCTAACCCTTACCAGCTTGCCAGCTTAGCTTGTAGTAGCTGTAATGGGCTTTGGTCTGGGAAAGATGATGCTAAGGTGGTGAACGACCGCCCAGCCAATGCTTTTCAGTGCCTTCCTAGCAGGCCTTCCAAGACATCAATGTCCTCCAGAGGGCCTTCTTTCCTCGCTTTCCCCCTTTTGCCCAAGCCTTGCGTTGACCAAAGAAAATCGAGGGATGTCCTGTCTCTGTTGGATGATTTCTCCCTTTGGATCTCACCAGTCCAGTGCCGCCGATCACGCCCCTCGCCATTTCTTATTATGATTGTTAATTGTGGATGCCGCGCGAGACGACATGCTCATCTGGCCCAAGCAGGCAGAGTTTCACGTCGGCCCTCTGGGATCCTGGGCTCAGGAGGTTCGATGTTCTTGATCGCTGTGAAGGATAAATTAGCATTTTACTCGATAACAAGAAGGCTGCCCATTCTGATTGTCGAACCTTTCACGACTCTTTTGACTAGAGACTCTTTAGGCTTCCTTTGAGAGCCCTCAGCTTGGGCTCTTTCCTTCTCGCTCATGAGTGAAGAGGCAGAAATAGAGGCGGCGTCAAAAGAAGTGTTAGATTTGGGATCTGGAGACATGATGTACTGCAGTGATTGGTGTTGCTGAAGGGCTAGCGGTAGGAATACCCAGATCTTCGAATAGACGATGTCGTCGAGTATGTCAAAGTAAGCTTTCTTCGATGCACCATTGAGTGGAGGAAAAGAAGACTGACGACTCGGGATCATCCGACATGTCTTTATATAGGGTGACAAGATAGACACTGGAGGAATGGGATGCCGGGCAGGTGCCAGGCAGCCATAGAATTAAACTGCTTTCTACTCACGTTGATAAAAAGCATGCCTGCAGATCCTGATTCAACCATCCTTGCTTTCCTGGGTATTCCTCTCTTTTCCGCACATCGTTCGACTGTCTTCTGCGGAGCTGAGTGGGCCCGCTAGCGCCCCCGGCCCAGAGAAAGACTCTGAACCGCTGACTCATACGTAAGCTCTGCCGCCTCGTTTTTCTCAGCCGCTTGACTTCTTGTATTTTCGCTGCCCCTGACGAGTGCTTGAAACATCATCATCATCAACACGGTCCGTGGTCAGAACGCAATCCCTATTCACATGGAGACGAGACACAAGCTTTGTGGCTCCGTGGTATGGCCATGCAAAGAGAAGCTTGTCGGGACCATTTGGCATTGGACAGCGCATCTTCGGTTTTCCACTCAACGCGCAGACCAATCACCGCCCATGATCCCGTAGATGGCCTCATCAAGCGCACCGACGTACTCGTAATATTTTCCGGCTGTCTGAGTCACAACTTCCATTTGCATTTCCAGCGTTGGGTTTTTGCGTCATGGCCGCTCGTCTAGAACACCAAACAACAGAATTCTCTGTTGTCACATCCGCTATCATGCAAGAGGATATCACAATATCCGTTTCCAGAAGGTGGGAAGGTGGAAGGTGCGATTTGAAATCGTCCGATACGAGCAAGAATCACATCAAGTAGATGACAAAATACTTCCATTCGGTAAGAGAGGGCAGACCTTGGCCTTCTTAGCAAATTCCTCCCCTTTTTCTTCCAGTGCATTGACGAATTCTCACTTCCTGGCGATATGTGTCAACTCTCCTCCTTTTGTCTGCCGGCTTGCCAGGCGGTCCGCCATCACGAGCGCAGAACGGCGTAGTATTTGCGCGGGCTGGAACGATTTTCGCGAGGATCCTTAACCCTCAGTCTTCGATCTTTCGAATTCTGAGGCAGAAATCGCTTATTCCCGATGGATTAGAATCTCTCCATTCTCTGCCATGGATAAGCATTCCAGCTGCAAAGGACGCCCTCGATTCACTGGTATGCCTCTTGAGAGATAGACGAACCTGTCCCAAGTTTCTTTCAAAGTCTGTTAATGAATCTCGCAAGATGAAGACTGCGGTCTGCTGGCTGATGAAAGCGCCATTCAGAGGGAGAACCCCCTTCTCTGGGTTATGCCGTGAACTTGCACCCTTTTGCTGACTGAATCCATTCCGCGAATGAACATCTAGATCCTCAGATGTCTGACATCAATCTACAGACACATATGATTTGCTCTTCTGATGCCGTGACTGCACAGATTCACGGTCCTACAAACTATTCTCTCAATTCGCTTCGCTTTCTTGACCGTTCACCACAGGTAATTGTCACCATTGCTATCTGAGCGCAGAAGGGACCAACAGAGGTGCGGCGATGCCTGTGACAGAGCCCTGGGCCCGATTAGAGGTCCTTGATACCTGAATAAAGCGTTTCCACATCCGAACACTTCTCAAACATGGGCTGTTGTTTCTCATCAGGCCGATCTTCTGAATATGTCCGGGAAGATTGTTATGATCCATCTCCACATGACGGCTGACCAGGATGTTACTATCCCTATCTGGCCTGACCCCGTACTCCCGCCACATCGTCACGACACTTCCTTGAGTACTACTTCGAACTTGTGTCCATCAGCCGTCCTGGTAGCGCATACACTCGATGAACTGCGACGACGTATCGCCCAACTGGATTCGATTGATCATGAGACACTCCTTCGTCCCAGAAAACGAAAATCTCCCCTCTATCACGATCACGAACACCAGATCCAAACAGTTCAGGCCGCCCTTGTCAACGAAGGTGCCAACCCTACGAACGAGCGACAGATGTGCTATTCCTGGCAAGACATTCTCGAGTCTCTTCCCCTTTTTCTACCATGTTGTATAGGACGTCTCGTCACAATGCAAACAGAGGACCATACCATTCAAACCGTCGTCGTTTGTCATGCCCAAAATGGACAAACGCCACGACAATCCTCAGGTTCACGCCATTGTTCGTGTATATATTCACCATCCCAAACTTGGTCCCTCACTCATATGCTTCATTATGGCCAAACAAAAGCGCCATCGTCGTAGAAATGGCGGTGGTCGTCGCGATCATGTCTCTCGACGAGCTCATTCCTCTTGCAGAGACGGAGATAGAGATTCACAGCGCCCTCCGCCCAAGGACTTCACTTATCGCGCCCCTCAAGAATTCCATCACCCCATCTTACCTCCTCACTTTCACCCAATTCGACACCGGCCAATGCAATACCATCTTCATCAACTCCGACCTGGGAGCATTCCAGAAGCTCCGGACGAAGGCATCAACCAAGTTTCCACTGGAGAAGCTGCTGTCGCTGCTGAACCAGGACGGCAACAAGGCGTGGGCCCAAATTATCATATCCTATTCCAAGGCATTACGAAAGAGGAACGTCTCTACCGTCTGAACCACTTGAGCTATGTGGTCGTCCTGCTCGGTGTCGTGCTTATGTGGATGCTCGTTCGATATTTCTTCCCCTCAGTCAACGGAACCGATCAATACTGAATGAAGAACCATGGTACGTTAAAGACTCCTGTCTGCCGCTTGTTCGCTTGCACCATTGTCTCATTCGAGGAACCAGCAAGGAAGATCCAGTCATGACATGATGTGAAAAGATACAATAGTGTGGAACAGGATAGGAGAGAAGACAAGATATGAGGCAGGAGCAGAAAACTCTTTCTGTTCGGTTCGTTTTGGTTTGGTGCTGTTTACAGAAATACTATCGCTAAATCAGTTGAATGTAATAGCTCACGTTTTAACTTCGATTGTCTGTCTCTTTCACTACTGCCGCTGCTGTCATGATCCCAGCACGAGATCATGCATCGAGCGACAAAGACGGTGACAAGATCACTTCGAATCCGGATTCATCCACGCTGACTCAACCTCACCATCAACAACACGAGCATCGCTATCGACATCGACATCGACGTCAACGCAAACACCATCACCGTCATACCTCCTCCTGAAACAATATCATTCAATTACCGACACGCTCTGGATTCCTCCAGGCTTGACGTTAGGTGTGGTCCGATTCTTGTGCTTCTTTTGGTTCCGCCACGTCCGATGCCGATACAACGCATAGAACCGATAGAGATACGAGAGAAGGCGCCGGGGGGTTAGAGCTTTTGCTGGTCTGGAAGGTGACGTGGGGATGAGAAATCGGAGTCGATAGTGAGCTGAACGAGGGGGACAAAGAGGCCCACAGGGTATTGTTGACGGTGTGTGGTCAAGACTTGAGGTCATGGGTACATGTATGGGCTTGAACTAGACTGCCGATGGCAAAGAATTGCGTGCTGTTGCTGCTGCTTTTCCTTCGATCTCCTGCCTCTAGGGTCATAGCATCGAATAGGTAGATTTGGAGGAAAGATCGTCCCAAGCCAAATCTAAATTTTGGGTATCGTCCACATTCCACGTTTCCGGATACCTTTCTCCACTGGTGTGGGCTCGGTAAAATGATCATCGATGAATTTCAAGCACTGCCTGAACGGTCACGGACCGCAGAGCTGACCTTTCAGCGTTGATGCTGACGCTCACGGACCTTTTCCGCTCCCTCCACTGACAAAGCGTCTGGTGACCCAAGCGCTTCCGTGCTCCAGGTACTCATCTCTGGTAACACCATACTCTCTCACGACTTGAGGGAAGCTGCTCGCCATCCTCGCGCCTCCGAGCCACGTCGACTTGATAGGATCGTCCATCTTGCGCACTCGAACCATCCATTCCGTCTTAATCCTCGTGCGAAGCTCGGCTTCAATCCTCTCCACGAAGCCTGGCATCTTCGCGCTTCCGCCAACGACAAGAACGTTACTGAGCATCGTGGCTTGGACGAGCGGAGGGAGCACTGAAAGCGATTGCATCACCATGTCGGCGAGACCGGGCTGTTTGGAGCCGATGTCGCTGGGTGAGAAGAGGATTTCGGGGACGGAAAATCGTTCGTTCCCCAACGTCATAGAGATCTCGGCGTCGGCGGGATTGGAGGCGGAGAGGGTGGCTGGTTTGCGTTGTCGTGCGGCGGGGGAAGGGTCGTGAGGTCGGCTGAAGCCCCTTAGTAGATGGATGCCGTCGGGGAGAATGTAGTCGACTCGAATCTCGTCACCGGAGGGATTCCGGTCGACGTCCATGGCACTTTGATCGGAATCTTGCTCTTTGGTCGGAGCTGTTTTCAGACGTCCTTTGTTTCCTTTCCACGTCTTCTCGAGATCATTTCTGAAATCTTGGCTGACGAAACACACATCGTCTTTGATGTCGTTGACGATTTTGGTGTCTTGGTGTAAATCGAAGTGACGGATGGAGATGACCTCTTTGAGGAGGTTTGTAAGGTGCTTGCCTCCGAAGTCCAACCGGCGTATCGCACGATGTAGCGGACGTCCATTGAAGAGGGGGGTAACTGTCGTATGGCTGTAGCCACTATCGATGACAAGGAGGCATTCCATGGGGAGGTCGGCAAGGGGGGGCGTCGAATCCATCGGAGTCTCTTCAAAAAGAGGATGAAGATCATTGTATGCGTTAAGTGTCGGGCCTGTCTCAACAGTCAATGCCGGTACTTCAGGCATAAGACGATTCCGGCACAGCCATACCTACCGATAACCCTTGAGTAGCCACCAAATCCCCATTCTTCCATGATAATCTCGTCGGCATTCTTCTGCAACGCCGGCATCGCATTGGGAGGTTCGGTGAAAATCAACGTCGTGTCCTCGGGGGCCCGGACGAGAAGATCTCGTCTGGCAGTACGTTCGTCGAAGAATGATTGATCCCATATCTCTTTCTGTGCCTCCCAGCTCACAACTTGTCCATTCTCCACCGGTCGGCGGAACAAGGCTTCGCTCCATTGGGTGATCTCCTCGGATTGCGCTCCGACGTATATTTTCTTGTCCCGAGTGCGGACGAGGCCGTTAGGAATTAGGTGGCATCTTGAAAGCGTCTCGGTGTCTGAAAGGGTTTGAGAGGGCGCAAAGCCTGCTTTGATACTGTAGCCACCATTGTCGAGAACGAAAGTTGTAGAGGGGAAGCCGGGAATATTTCGAGCAGAGGTCTTGGAAGTACGAGGCATATTGGATTTATGTGGGCGTCGGTCATGGTTCGGCGGGAGTGCGAGAATTTGAATGCTCCAAAGACGCGTTCCAGAGCAATGGTTCTCCAAGGAATTCCTCACTACAGTAAATCGAGGAATTTGGATTCATGGATTTGCGGATGAGAAAAATACGGTGGACCATTACAAGCCTAATGAAGAAGTCCTTCGTCGCCCATTTCATCTTATGGATTTTCTGTGTTATGATCAAATTCCAGCCCGTACTTCCATTTTCATTCTCATGATGGATAGCCTGGATCATGTTTACATCTCCAGGCAAGAGGCGTCTACGGTGTCAGCTGGCGAGGCTGTAGCCTTACCCAAAAACTTCAACCATGAAATGATACTCCACTTCCGTCCCATCCTCCCTTCCTCTAAGCGTCATCTGATGGCATAAGTCGGCCAAAGCATGGCCGATGACCGGTGCGCCGCAAAAGAAAACGCCAACTTTCCTCTTTCTAGCTTTATCCCTCGCGAACAACGTAACCATCTCGTCGTAATGCTCGTTCATGATCTTGGGGAAGTCCGGCCGTCCAAAATGCGTCGGCGCAATGAGCCCTGTTAGTGGTGACATGGGCTGCGCCTCTGTGCGATGCTTCTCGAGCAGCCACCGATAGATGTGCTCGGAGATGTCCTTACGCTTCTTGGTCAGGTGGTTGTGGATTCGGACATCGAGGTTGGGATTCCGCTGTGAAGATTCAGAAGATATCTTGTTGAGCAGATCCGAAAACCAAAGCAAGTGGTTCTTGTCGCGCACGATCCAGTGGAAGTCCACGCGGCGATATTTCTCGAGGTCGTAAGATTTGGCGTTGATAATGGCCCTGTTGCCGTTGGCATTTGACGACGTTGTCGCAGCTGGTCGCGAGATCTCGTTCGACGCGTTCGTCGAAGTCGAGTCGCGTCGTCGGCTCCAATGGTGGTCTTCTCTCGTCTGCAAATCATTCAGAATCCCCGAGAATGGTGTTACACCGATCCCGGCACCAACAATGATCGCCTGGTCGAACTCGTAGAATCTTTGAGCCGGTGCCCCAAAGGGACCGTCAATTCCCACAAACCTAAGGTCTTTCAATTCTCGCAATTTTTCGGTCCAGTTTCCATCGGTCTTGATATGGAGTTGGATTTCTCTGCCGACACACGTCGAGATGGTGAACGGATGCCACTGAAAGAAGGATATCTGAGGGACTTGCAAAAATACATACTGGCCCGCTTTGTATCGCCATATGCGGAGTCCGGGAATCGTGCAGCTTATGCATACCGTCTCCTCGTCTAGAACTTGGAGTGTTGCAGGAAGTTTGTGAAAGCCGCTTATGATCCTTGTCAAGCGCTCAGCCAATACCAGTAAGGAGGGGACCGCCATGACGAGGCCAAGAACAGGAAACTGAAGGAGGTTCTCGGTGCCATGTGCCATCAGGAGACCAATGAAAGGAAACATCAGAAGGTGACCAATCTGAAAGATTTCATAAGATCGTTTTCGGATGTAAGGGATGCTGAATGAGGCAATCACGTAGAACAGGCCGAGAGCTGTCAGTCCGGTCCAGCCCGGGGTCGATCGGATGAAGGCGATGTATGGTCGAGGAACTGCATCTGGGCCCAGAAGAGCGGCAACAGCATCCTGTCGATTTGTTCGACTACCGTAGACGAACGAACCTGCGAGATGGCCGATGGCATGGAGCGATGCGAGACCCAAGGCCGCACAGGAAATCTTAACATGGAAGGACTGGCTCAAGTCCCAGTTGATGACGCGAGAAATGTAGTACGACTTCCGCATCCAGGTCGAGAACCACCGAGACATGCTCAGCAACACAAAGAACATTGTCGGATACAGCGCGCCCGCGCATGCTTTGGCCATCCCAACGCCCCAGCCCAGCGCCGCTTGATATTGGCCGCCTGTCGAATACTTGACGCACTGCCAGAGGCCGAAGCCGATCTGAAGGCCACCAACGATGAGCAGGAACAGATACTCGGGTCCATCGACCTCCCAGATCGCCCTCAGCCTCCGGACCCAGGAGATCCCTTTCATATAGTTGTCCTCGCCCCGGGCAGCCTGCTTGTCCTGCTCGAGTGACGGAATGTTCCACGACACCACGGCCCGCTTGAACTCCTCCGCGGGGATCGAATCCTTCTCCGTGCCCATGACGCCACGCAGAAACTCGTGGCGTGCATGTTCCCTTGAGTCGTGGTGTAGATTGTAGTGTCTGGCGTCGGGTTGTAGCTCCTTGTATACGGCGTCGAGTTTGTGCTCGAGCTCCACGTAGGAGATGTTGCCGTCGCGATCCTTGTCGAGTGCCGAGATAAAACTGTTCATCTCATTCTCGGTGAGGGTCTGGGTGCTCGCCATTGCCTAGGCAGAGAAGACGACAATAGTATTCCGGAGAGGGGTATGAAATACTGACGAAAGACCTTGCCTTCGGCCAAGGACGGCCCAATTTGGGCGGTTTTGTCTCTCTTCGTCCCCTTGAACATGTGGTTTCTCGACACGGGGTCCTCATAAGGTTTTAGTTCCAGAGTGCGTCGATGATACCATGGTGTAGCGAGTGCCAATGAATGCCCAGGAGTGACCCGAACCTTTAAGCGCGATGCCGAGCCAACGGCTCAAGGCACTCGGTCGAATGAGGATGAAGCATTTTCTATATCTGCGTAGCTATGGGGTTAAAAGTCGGCCCGCCAAGTTTGCAGGAAACTTGGAAGGCTTCTCTTGTCGCCAAGAAAGGGGGGAGATATGAAACAATACGCGTTCAAAGTGTACGTCACACGGACTGGGTGTTTGGGTGTCGACGTGCATGGCGCCGAGATGTCTTTCTTGTATGTACAATATCTCTCTATGGGCAAATCCGTGATGAGCTTATCGGACCTCCAGAAGGGACCATCTTCGTGGGTTTATTCATTCTTATGTTAGACTGGTTCGTGTCGCTTCGCTGGCCTGAGATTCGTTCACCTCAGGCTTCAGCTCATCTGTTATGTTCTTGTCGTCTTTCCACGCAAAAGCCACAAACTTGGTGTGGCTTCCTCGGGCCACGATCTCGTTGTCCTTGTTCATGAATTTGACTGAAGTGTATGCGAGGGTTTTGCCAACTGGTATCAAGTCAGTCCGAATATGCAATGTTGTCAGAAAAGACCAAGATCCTACATTTGTCACATATCACCTCCCCTCTAATCAGGTCACCAATCTTTCCGCCAGCATTTAAATAGGTAACGTTCAAATCCGTCGAGACTCCGGTAGAATATAGACCTCGGGAAGCCAAGGCAAGTGAACCGCTGGTGTCGACCATCGTCGCCAGCGTTGCACCATGTAATATTCCCAGGCGATTCGTATGGTGTTTTTCGATGGGCAGTTCAAAATTGACCTTACCAGGTTCGGCTGCCGTTATTCTCATCTGGACCATGGCGCATAAGTCTTTGATTCTTCTGAGAAGCTTCCATCACGAGGGACGTTCGAGTTCAATCATTTCAGAATCCGACTCCCAGGCTGCAACCTTCTACTCCCGTCTCACGCCAGATTTGAACTTACACTATCAATCAATCTATCGAGGCTTAATGCCAATTCGGCCCCGTCAGGTTGCTGGACTCACCTTGGCTCGACTCCCGACGTGGTTCGAAATGATTCCCATACCTGAAAACGTCAACTTCCAGCGATATTACAGGGCTTCGGAGCGAATGAACGTACTGAACGGACGAATTTCAATGCTGACATGGTGGGTTGGAAACCTAAAGTCAGGCTTTCTCCGTTCGATGCAGGATATGAAAAACCCAGAGAATATGTACTTCACCGTATTAAAGATGGAAAGTATGCCGAGATGACGTAAAGTAGCCAACGTGACGGACATTTTCACTTCATGATAGCGATATGGAATCATGGAGTGCAACTTCAACGTTGGGGGATGAATAACCTGTTCGGCGAGCTTGAAGTTCTTCGTCATCTGGTAACTGTGTCCTTCGGCCAGAGACAGAATTATGCATTTAGGGAAAGGAACTATCAAGGCGCCTCGTGTGTGTGTGCGTATGGCTTGCATGAGGCATTGCGAGGAGCTTCTCTGAGTGCTCCTTCATCAAATCTAGACTCAAAAAGTAGCGGCGGTGACGGAGTCGTGGTATTCTATGTCCAGCAGACCCTGGAGGTGCTCACTCCATTCAGAAAACCCAGGGTCTTTCTTACACATCGGAGACAACGACGGTTCCGATGAGGCAATGATATGTCAAAGCTGTGCGTCCGATGGTCAAGTTCTGTGTGATATCGACAACAAGGATGGTTACTCTGTTAGATTGTCGCCCGTAGAATGTGTCAGGAAGTATGTCTGGAGGATAGAGCGAGAATTGTCTTCTCGTCGCCATTGCGGCCTGGAAAATTGCGCGGCATTCGGGCTCTTCGCAGCATCTCTGTTCTCTCTTTTGGAAAGCTTGCACTCAGACATACCTCGAGGTATGCGGAAATGGAGTTGTGGGTGAATTTTGTGCAAAAGAAACGGCAAAGTGGGTCCTGTCCTGGAAAATCTCCTCCACCGAGTCGATGGGCAAGCCAGCGCCCCCCAAAAACCCATTTAATGGGTTGAAGAAGGAAGCGCAAGGATTTTCGAATAACATCCTTGATACTATCAATGCGGCGCGATATCTCAGCCTTGATGAAGAGGTCTATTGTGACCACCTTCTTTAATGCGGCGCGGCATTGAATGGCTCGCTTGCCACGGGTCATCAATGGATCCCAGGACGACCACAGATTCAGTGGCTGATGCCAAAGCGTGCTCCATATCTTTACCAAAGAGAATCATGAACGCCTTCTCTCCAACAACTTTTGTTTCGATGAGAATCGCAGCTTTGAAGGTCATGTCGAACTTGGCTTCAATACCACTATCCCAGAGAACGAAATGGTCATGCTTGGCCTTTCTGGCGCGTAGCATACGAATTCAGTGCCAGTTCCGCAAGCAGTCTCGACTTGCAAATGTATCTCGTCCAGCCTTTCAAGAGCCTCCTTCCATCGAGGGTCGACATAGTATTGGGTTCGTTCGGCCATTTTCAGTTCGTGTAAGTGTGTGTCTCGTCTTTCGAGTAGTTGATTGTTCAAAACAGGCATGGAAAACAGGAACAGGTGTATCTCTTGCTAACCTGTGCTGAGCCTGGAATTTTGTTGGCTGGACATTGTCGACTGAAAGACCGACAGAAACACACAAGGTGGGCAACAAAAGAGGTTCACTGACAGTCAGAAGTATGAGAGAGAAGGGGGGAGGAGAAGACGACAGGATGAAAGGAGACCTTGACGAGAGACTGGCACACCAGAGAAACTAGCTGAAAACTCGCTGGAGTGGGTGGGGAGGCAAGTTCTGCATGAACAAGGGACCTGTTCTCCGGAAAGAGAAGTTGAAATGCTGGAAGAACAATGTAGACAGTCTGTATCTTTGCCGATCCCACCGCGTAGTGCTTCACCAGCAATCTCTGAGTCGTCTTGCATCGTGCGAGAAATCCTAGCAAAACCCAGGAGGAAGAATGAAAGTGTTGCTGGCTAGGAGCAAGGCTTTGTCCCTTCTCCCATCTCTCAGACAATACTGGTGTACCGCCCATCTCAATTGGAAAACAAGGATTCCTCCCAGGATGTAAAGTGGCTAAGAGGGGAAGGCGACTTGCATTCTTGTTGGAACGGAAAGTATCAGGTCAACCAAGTGGAATTTAGGTTGTAATTCTCTTTGTGGAACTCACCCTCCTCAAGTCCTCTTCTTGGAGACACAATGCGGGAGTCGATTATTGTTACATGAGTTCTGAGGCAAAGGAAAGAATGTTTCGTCTCGTTCCTAGCCAGCTAAATGATCATCCTTGAGCATTTGCTCTCCTCTCTGCCATGAATGCGCGAACACCTTCAATGCGATTGACGAAGAACATTCTTTTCTTATCATTCTTCCACACCAACACACCGATTTCATCGGCGTAGCGACATGGTGCTTCATAATCGGCATTGTTGGAGAAATCTTTCAGTAGAAAGCCAGCAGTGGTCGTCATTCTATCGCGCTCCAGCTGCCAAAGATGTATTTGATCCAGAATGGTCGCAGGGAGGATGGGCACGACGCGGCTTTGATCTGTATTGCGGGCTTGGAGTTGAGCTTGCTCTGCTTGTGCATGTCGACGCATCTGTGGATGTGCATGAGATGTCAAGTATGAAATGATCTGATCGGCTGTGATGCCTGCTTGGACGGCGCGTTGCACAGAAGCCTTACTCATCTTCCCAGTGACGAGATTCGGATGGCGGGATCGGAGATTGACGAACAAAGACAGAAGGGCAATCTGCAGCGGAGATGACGTGTATGCGTACACGCGATAGTTTGTTTCGACGATGATGAAGTCTTTGGCTGAGCCGGAAGAGGACGAGGACAGAGAGGAACCGATTGTGGTGTTGGTGGCGGAGAGAGTCGTACTAGAGTCAGAAGTCAAAGTGGTCGCGAGCCGAGTTGGGTAGAAGTAGTCCACAGGCTGACCATCATCTAGGAGGGGTTGGTAGACGATTCCGAACGAGACAAGGTCGGAGAGACAGCGCTGCTGGGTTTCATCCAGGGTCTGAGTGGAATACGCGAGACCGAGCTCGAGGGATGAGACGAGGAACAGGAATGACAAGACATCGACTTTGTCCATGTCAAAAACCTCTGCGTTGTCGACATAGAGGAACAGAAGCGTCCAGATTTGCGTATTGATATCTTGAAGGACGAAAGCAAATCCCTCTTTGGTGATTTTGGCGGCCTGTCCGGGACTATGGGTCCCGGTGACTTCGATAAGATGGCCGGCTCTAAGGAGCTCAACGACTCCGGGGGATGGTTCAATGGCTGCCTGCTCTGTCTCCAGCGGAACGGCCGAAGATCCGACCATGTAGCCCAAAATCCCTTCCCATCGTTGGCGAGAATACTCGTCGAGTTGAGCAGTGATCACCTTCTGGTCGTCTGGAACATTTGCTAATTGTCCGAAGGACCTGCTATCACCTGCGCCGGTCAAGGCTCGACGGAGTGATTTTGCAAAATCTGGTGTCAGCGAGTAGGCTCTTGCCGAGTCGAAGGTGACATCTTTGAAGATATGATAGCGATGAAGCAGGTCGAGGGCGTACTCACGCTCCCCTCGACTGGTGTCCTTCACAAATAATTCTAGTTGCTTGACGGGCATGGGCCGTGGCATGTAGAGCAGCATCATGACAAAGGACTTTGCTAGACTCGATAGCCGCTTTCTGAAAATCGCCAGCGCTGACGATGGACTTCTGTATAGTCGATAAAATTGAGTTCCTGGAAGAGTCTCGAGGTACTCCCATGACTGTAGAGTGATGTCTGACATGTTGGTTGGTGCGACCAGTAGCCATAAGTCTCGCGGTGCGCTAGGGAGGCAACCCTTGAGATTTAGTTTAGCTAGCCATCGCATCAGGGGGACATCTGTCACCCTCAGGTCTGAAGATTCAAGTGGCAGAGTTGATATTGTGGATTTGAAAAAGAGGCAGCGGACGCCAAGCTTTTATGTTGCATCTATTTGGGAACAATGTTCACGCCGCTTTAACACGAGCGGAGACGACCTCTTCTGCCTCCCTTCCAGCACTCCCTTCCGAGTCCAGATTCAGTAGGTTTAATGATGTCTCGGGGCATCTTGACGTTCGTACATGGCACGTTTTCTGATGTCCAAGCTCTTGAAGACTGCCGCCAGTGAGATATCGTTCTTGGTTCCCTCGGAGACTACTCTGCCATCCTGCCTCAACGTCACCAAATCGCTGCGAACATGTGGTGGGGTTTGCACAGCCGAAGGTTCCCATCCGATATAAGCATCTATGGGACCATATCTGAAGATCGATGCCACCCCCCCTTCAACGTTGTCTTTGATTTGAACAAGAGTGACCATTGATATGTTCTTTGCCAGCTTCCCAGGCGCATCGATGTTCGGCGAGACCGCAACCACTCATGCACCCATAGCAGGGGCTATCTCCAAAACTATTGCCACCGGGGTCCCATAGGGCCACGAATATACCATTGCACCGCTCATCTCTCATGAGTTTCGTTGATGGCTCAGTGAAGCCCTCCGAGGCACCTATGAGGATAGACACATCCGTGTCTTTACAGCCTCAGATGAACACTTCCAGCCTGACTGGTTGGCTGACAGTCAAAGTCGTAGTGTCATCTCCTATTGCGGCAGTCTGGGCCTTGACAGTAACACGGCCTGAATCAATTATAGGTGCGGGAAACGACTTGACGGTCAAATGGGTCCTCTACAGCTCTACCAGAGAGACCATGACTAGTGGCCGGAGACTTGCGCGTTGAGATTGATCCACATTGAAAATTGCAAAGGAAAAAATATCAGTGAGTACATGCTACATAATTTTCTGCATATTTGTCTTGACGAGTCGGACTTTGCACATATCACCGGGTCATCTACCAGCATGGGAGATTAAATTCGTCTTCTCATCCATAACCGAGGCTCTGTGGGAGGCAAGTCTTCTACAATATGCGGAGGGTGGCTAGTCGCAAATGTGAAAAATACGACAGGAGGTTAGCGCAAAATATTAGCGCACCCCGAAGACCCTCTCATGAGGAAGATAGAGTTCAACTATTGGTCCCTAGTTTCATCAAGCAATCGGCTCAACTCTAAACTCCGGCCACCGCATGACGTCTCTTAGGCCTTTAACGACCCCAGCAGCCGACTCTAGAAACAACCTCACCTCTGTATTTCCAGGGAGCAAACAATAATTTCAGCTCCACGTATTTATATGAACATCGCCCTAGACACTGCTGGCCGTCTAACTCGAACGGGAAGGGCGTGCTGGCCTCATCAGTGATTGAGCTGGACAAGCCATGGCCAAATCTAGGTCTGACTCCAGCAGCGGAGATTCGTCTTTACGCAAACGAAAAGCACACAAGAAATCGAGATTAGGGTGTCGAAACTGCAAGCTGCGCAGGGTCAAATGCGACGAAAAGAGGCCCATGTGTGAAAAATGTCTGGAATTCGGTGTTACCTGCAATTATGATCCCAATATTCCTGATCTCCAGCCACGGCCAGGAGCTGCCAAGGTCATTTGCATGGATACCACAATTCATAAGTCTCCTCTCTCGTCAGCCAATAAGCCTAAGTTGGACATGATAAATATCTCCCTTCGAGAAGACAGAACCGTGCCTGTGGGCAAGTACGGGCCAATGCGCTTTGATTTTTCCGACCTGGACCGGCTCGAGAAATTTCATACGAGGACCATTCTCACCATCGGGACTAAGAACTCCTCTCGTATTCTTCGAAGGGAATTGGCCCAACTCTCTTGCTCGCATCGGTTCCTGATGCACCTTGTCCAATCAGTAACTGCCTCGCACGACCGATTCCTGTCCGGATCGGCCATTTCGAAACCCACTCCAGTCGAAATGTACCACATGAGCCAAGGCATATCGATGTTCCATACCAAGCTCTCTCGACCAGTCGTGGACGAGGACCGTGATGCCTTATTTGTCGCTGCCTCCCTTCTTGGCATCATCACATTCTTTACCTTGGAAGCAGAGTCTATCGAGGACGTTTGGCCCCTCAAAGACGACGATTTGAGCTGGCTCCACCTGAGCGATGGCAAAAAGGCCGTGTGGCATGTCACAGACCCTTTGCGCAAAGATAGCATCTGGCGACCTGTTGCCGACGCATACGCGCAAAAGTTGTGGCCCACGCCGATGATTCGTCAGCCATCATCCCCTTCAGTGTTCGATCATCTCTTAAGTGATGACGACTCGATATCCTTGGCGGCGGTCAATCCGTATCACAACACCGTCAAGAATTTTATACCGTTGCTTGATATGGAATGTGATGATACCACGTGGGTGAGATTCCTCGATTTCATCTGTCACACCGACCCCCCCTTCAAGGTGTTGCTCCTGCGCAAGGATCCCTGGGCTATGCTCATGCTAGCGTACTGGTATATGAAGATGTGCCGAGGTCCCTGGTGGGTTACACCTCGTGCCATCTTTCAGGGCAAGGCCATCTGTATGTATATCGAACGGTACCATGCCGACGATAGTGCTCTTCAGGGGGCCGTTATCACCCCAAAGAGGGAGCTTGAAGCCGCGCTCAAGGAAGGCTGGGCTGGGTTTTGACCAAAATGCGCGTGGCTCGTTTGCCGTATATTCGTCATGAATCTTGATCGATCTGGTAACGTCTCTGGAAGGTTAGCTTTTGGGGGGAGTTTTTTTTTTTTTTTGATTGAAAGCTCCAATAGTATCGTCGGTTCAGGCGCATTGAGAGTTGGAAACCAGGGAAAAATATTGTGGTGTTCTTCAGAATCTCATCGGAATGACCCAGCCTGATGGCGAGGATGGAGGACAACTTGAGCAAGCATGTTCTTTCGCGCGTCGCGTGGCTCCATATCAATCAAGATATCACTAGGGTTTGATCAATAGATGCTCGTGTTTGCGAGTCTAGCTTTCTAGAGACACAAAGAATTAGCTCTCTTTGTTGCTCCTTTCTTTGTTTTGTTGTATCGCTCCATTACCTATTGTCGACGACTCAATGGAGCTCTTGTACGTGACTGAACCTTCACAACGTCCTATTGAGATGGTACGTACTCATCCACCTTCGAATCGCCAGAAAAGGGGGGCCCGACTGGCTCACGCGTCTTCCGTCGTAGCCGTCTTGATTGATCTAAGGGGTGAAGGTGTCTCCATAAACAAAGTCTCGAACGTCGGAGATAACATACATCCTGGATGTTGCAAGATCTCGCCGCTTTTTCCCAATGCACCTTGCTGACAGTGAATACTCCTTATGTCGTGTATAAAATCAGGAAAATCGTGGTTGCATAGGGGCTTCGGGCTCCAAACTCGCAACGTCACTGGCTCGTTGGCACAAATCACGCCATCGATCGGGCTCCAGTTGAATTCAGGTCCCCGATGATCATGATGAGTATTGTTTCTTTTCCGCATGTTCATTCTTCACAGGGAAATGTGAATTACTCATCGGTGATGGGAGGTTCCGATCAAAGGCTCGGTTAGCTCAAAGTAGAATTCCAAGGTGTAATCGGGAAAACCCAAAGGCTGTTGGACAGAAACCGGAGACTGCCTTGGACGACTGCCTCACTATTGCGCCGCGGATGATTTTCGAGGAGACGCTCCTGCTGCTGGTGCGGGCGCGGGTTGCGGGCGTTAGTGCCTTCTGTCTGGGAGCCGCGTAGAGGTGAGTAAAACGAAGATAAGAGCGAGAGGACCTCGGACCACGTGGAATGGGAGATTAACAATATTGCTCCCTGGAGTTGACTGGTGGAAGAAACGTCGATCAAAATTGAAGATGGTTGTTGGATACCGCAGACTGCTGTCGGTAGGAGAAGTGTGAAGGAGAGACTAGAATGTACGGTGGAATCATGAACTTGACTGGCAGGGGTATCTTTGGTCTGTCGAGGAATGCCTCCTTGTGTTTCCTTGCACAATTACTCCAAACTTTTTGAGCCTGCGTTATCCGAATCTGTTGGCGACGGCCCCATCGAGATCAGATAAATCATCGTCGGGATGACTCTGGCAATGAGCAATGGTTGAAAAATTGAATTTATCCACCGCCCACAGCTTCCATCTTCTCGCTAGACTCTCGACAAAGGATACACCCGCCCACGGCTTGAATCTTGTCCTTCAATAAACGCGCATATGTGACTTTGGGGCCAACGGATCTTGAGAACCGGGTTTCATCGGCATCGCCTTCGTCATCCTGGCTTTTCTGTGCAGTCGCATTCCGGGGTAGAAGCACTTCATCACCCTCCGCGTCTGGGCCACGGAGAAGATGCGGGACGTGGTACACATGTCCACAAGCAAATCCCACTAGCGTATCCGTCTCGTCTTGGTGAAATGCCTTATGACACGATGCACAATGTCCTGGTTGAGCATCATTCCCGCCTTCGGCTTGCTGCTCTGTCGCGTGCTCTTGTTGACCGTCGACATCATGAACTGCTGGTTTCTTGGGACGAGGAGTGGCTTCCAAAACATCAAACTTGATACCCTTTCTCCGACCACGTCGCAGGGTTTCCATACCAACGGCGACTTCACCGCTCAACACCGTGGCTACACCAGAGCTGATGCTATCCTGCAGATCGTGTTCTCGAATCATCTTTTTCAGGCCGTCTTTTAATCCCTCGACCTCGAGTCCAGACGGTATTCTTTTGACCAAGGTAATCGGATCAATCGCGGTCCCAACCTCTGCCAACAGCCCGGAAATGAACCGGGGTCTCGACATACTGTATTCGAGTAAATCGTCCCAGAGACCCTGATCGTCTTGTTCTTTGGCGAAAGCGATAGCTTTTGAGACGTCCCCGAGTTCGTCGATGATCAGAAACAGTGCTTTCTTCATTTGTCCGGTTTTGCTCAACAGGTAGACCAGTTCTTCGACATAATGCTTCTTTTCACAAACTTGGACCGCTTTTTCGAATGTGTAGGCTGTTGACGCTTGCAGAAACTCCATCAGCAGGTCTCGATCATATTCCGTGAAAAGTTCGACCGCGGTATCCGCAAATTGTTCTACCAGTTGCTTGCCCCTGTCCGCCACAAGTGATGTCACAACAGCGGAGTGGCCGACGCGAGATCGTGCAGGTTCAGGCGCTGTGCTCTCACCACGCCAAAGAGCACGAAGATAGAAATAAAGAAAAGGTTTCAGAAGGGGAGAATCAAGTTGCGCGACGACCTCATCAGGCTCAACCACTCCCGCAGTGGCTTCATCCACAAGGACGTTAATTGGTTCAGATGCCAGCTCGCCCAGCTCGTCCAGTGACGCCGACTTCAATTCGTTAAGCGATACCCGTAGCATCACAAAACTGGGAATATCGTCGGCGATCGCGTCGACGAGGTGATGCTCCCTGATCAGTGACATAGCCGCGTCGGCGTACTGAAGACCGATGTAGCATTTGAGAGCATCATTGTAACGCCCATCAGCCAGGAAAAGCTTTGCCAAACTTTCTTGCAACAATCTCCAGTCCTCCGAACCTTTGGGCGCACTACCGTTTCGGAATTGGTCTTCAATTGCTGTCGTGATACTGCTGATTTCGAACAAGTCCGACGGCCACTGATCAAGCAACTCTTTGAATCGTATCCTGTCCGTCTCCACATAGTGGCCCAGGATTATCTCAAAAATGGATGACGGAAGCGGAGGTGTCAACTCCAGAGTCGGGACGTGAGGCGATATCTCATCCAATTTCTTATTTTTGATGAATATCCAAACCCAATGCTCCCATCGGGTTGTTGTGTTCAACACTTTGGCAGCGACCTCGCCAGCATCAACCCAATTATTGGCATCAACCAGTTGTTTCAGCCAGAGCTCGCCTATTCGGCGCTTCTCTTTCTCTGCAGCAGAGAACTTGCTCTCCGTCTTAACTTGAGCCGAACTGGTAACGGAGGCGGAGTCCGCAAAAAATTCGGCCAAGGTGGCCTGGTGATGGGCTTGAGTCGGACTGGGCGGGACGCCGGAGCTAGGTTTGGCGAAAGAGCTCGCCTTAGACGGTGTTGGCGGAGTTGATGGTTCGAAAGATTCTGCTGCGGTTCCAGCGGCTTCGGGATGCTGATCCACCAGCTCCCAAGCTTGTTGATATCGGTTCACACTCACCAGCCACTGCATTCGGTCGTGGAGGTTGCGTCTGACTGCGACGATACAATCGTAGGGACTGTAGATGAATATCTTCATACTCTGCGCGACTGCCATTGTATTCACGTCTTCGTGGGCATTCGTTTCGCTTGAACCCAATCCAGGGATCCAGCCTGTAAGATAATTGCGTTCCCTGGTGCTTCCCGTTCGCTCAGGGCCACTTGCGCCACTTCTGATGCTTGCCGCACCACTGAAGATCCGATTGGCACCTAACATTCGTGGTCCGTACATCGTAGCATCCCACATACCTTGGCCAACAGTTTCGACTCCTGTGTAGAGACCTGAGCCCACTGTGCTCATCCCCGAACCGATCGTACTAAGATATCCTCTATGTACGAGACCAGCGGGAATTCGAACGGGCGGAAGAACGCCTAGATGATAGTCTGACGCCGAAAGGGTTTCAAATCTGCTCACAGTGAGCGTGTCGGTGCCGATTTCCTCCTTTGTGTTAATGTCAACCAAACGCAACTCCGGTTCTAGGGCATTGTGTCGTACACGACGACCTTTTTTGCCCGGTTCATTGCTTTGGGGCGTTGAGTGATCCCCTTTCTTCTCCATGTATGCAAGTACTAAAAGCAAACTCGGGGTATATAGCGAAATTCCAGATATTGTACAATCATCAAATCGTATACTGCAAGATGGTTAGCACACCACGGCTTTTCAGAGCGTGCTGCTCACATCGTAGCGACCTCTGCGCGTCCCATTTTACTCTCAGTTCCGTTCTCAGTAGACCCCGGATAGACTTTGACTATCCATGCCGAGTCTCCCCAACCTATCAATATTTCTTCGGTTTTGGCCTTCTTGGGACCTGGCTTGGGTGATACGCCGTTCGCTGTAGAAGGTACGGCAGAGGTGATAGGTAAGTCGTTATCAGCTTCGAGATTGTCCCGATCGATCCATTCAGCGCGGGCCTTCCAGACTCCAGCCATTTCTTCCCATCCAGGTCGGGTGGGTCTGTCAATATGGCTGATTCTTTTCCACTCTTGGTCCGACTCTCCGCTTTCCAGCTTCAGATTTGACCTCATAATCTTGATTCCCCGCTCATTGACCCACAAAATATATTTCCCGGACAGAGACCATTTGATTGTACTGATAACGCCTTCACCGCCGTGCAAGACCTTGTCTGAACCTGTATGGGCCCCCAGACCAATAGATCCTAGCCAGCCAGAGGCGGCAGCGGCAGCCCCTGTTGTAGTAGCATTGGTACTCTTTCCCGCTTGCCCACCGACGGTCAATATAAGGCTTCCCGCTAGACCACCTGATAGGTAGCTTCGGTCTGATTTATACTCCGGCGAGAGTGCCACTGTTTGCACAGGCCTCCCGAAATTTCGTAGCTGCACATCTCGAGAATCGACCAAGGATGCAATGCAGACATTGCCGTCAATGGACGACGTTGCAATATAGATCTGGTTGGATGGTATGTTCGGGACGGGGGGAAGTTGCTGCTTTCCCTTGGGCGCTGGAGAGCTTGATGGTGATTTGCCACTAGTAGCAGCAGCTGCCGCTGATAATTTTTGTGCTGGTTCACCACGAAAGGTGGGTAGCGGAGGGGGATAAGGGGATATCGAGATCGCCGAAATGCTAGCTGTATGGGCATGATACACCCTCAGCGGCTGGAACTGTGATAACGCAAAGACATGCTATCTATGTGAGTAGGTTTTCGCCAGAGAAGAGGGAATTGGTCGTACAATGGTTCCATTGTGAGTTCCGACAATCTAGAATCCAAATGTATCAGAGGATTTGTCCACGAGAACAAAAGCAGTGTTTTCAACTTGCCATTTTATCCCCGGCCACCAGAAACGTACTCGTCGCATCTCCATTGCGATACAATGAGCTTACGTTCCTCGTCAAGGTGGCATATTTCAATCGTGGTTCTTCCTCCTCTTCATCATCGTCCTCGGATTCCTCTGCAGTCGGTTGGGGGTTTGTAGGCTTTGGAAGAGATTCATTTCCAGAATGGAGCTTTTCATCGTCGCCTGGCTCTGATGAGCCATCTCCGCCCGCCATCCAGATCGAATAAGGGTCAGTGGCGCGTCATCGGAATACAAAGAGCTCGACACTTTCATGCGGAGCCCTGACGGGACCTCGACTCCAATTCCAGTGACGAGGAATTTTAAAGCGGCATCGCGTACGGTAGTGACTGGGGCGCAGCGCAGGGACACGATATGCACGTCGGAGCCGCGAGGACGACAAGTCAGCAGCCATGAGCTGTGGCTGTGCTGTCCTGGCCGTGTTTTGAGTAGCTATGAGCACAACTGACGCTAGCACTGAGCTGAATAGGTCGATGGAAATACACCAAATCCATTGTAAACACCCTGTCGCCTTCTCAACCACAACCCGCGACATCTTCCACCTACCCCACTAAATCTAAGCCGCAGCAAAACAACACATATTCGTTCTCGCCGTCCTAAACATACAACCCACTCTTTAGTCTTCACCGACTGCATCACCCTCCTCGGCTACCCATCGCGAGGCAGCCATCAGTACAACCAGGACAGTTGTATGGCTTCTTGGGCGTGCTTAAGGCGTCATTACCGTTCTCATAAACATCATTACCGTGTCTGCGGGAGCGTCATCGGCCATCAGAGGGTTGCCGTCAGGTCGTCAACAAAGGGGACCGTCCCATCGGCGTCAATGAAACAGTTGTAGTGAGCCGCGTCATGGGCGAATACTCGAGCTTGACTGTTCCAGGTATTGAGGTCCACCCGGTCTTCTTCAAGCTCCGCTTTGCCTTCTTCTATCGAGTCTGCCAGTGAAGGCAATTCATGAAAAAACTTCTGGTAGAAGGTTGTGCGGGTGCACTCGACACCATAGTATGTGGCACCGACTGGATTGGTGTACGCCTCGAGCCAATTCTTGTCATTGCCTGGATACCGTGTGGAGGAACACTACAATCTGGAGGGCTGTTCGGTTTGTCTCTGCAGCCATTTCAGGATCACCCGAGTTGTGGCCACCGCCACAGCGTACCTTGAAGAGTATGAGTATGAGTGGATGATTAATGGCCTAGTGTGAAACTTACCCAGGACCATGGACAACGAGTAGATCTGTTGCAGTTGCACAAAGACGTCTGTGAATATGTTGTCAGCGAATGCAGTCGCCAGGAGAGATAGGCGCGTTTACGCTGATCCGTTGTCGGCGGTCATCCGGAATTTGGAATATACAAACTTCGGAAGACGGGATTAGTTATGACAAACGTCTCTCCATGTCAGGCCAGGAGACCTACACACGCAACAGAGGGAATATACCCTATCGTCGTACTCGAAAATGACGTTGCTCTCTTTTCCACAGTGTTAACAGCATTTGACGCGTTTCGTCGCGTATTGGCCGTCTCCTCTTGTGCTTCCCCGAGCAATCAACGTCGTTGTATTTCCAATCACTCTTGAACAGATCGTTGTTCAAGAATCAGGAGAGGAGGGTTTCCGTCCCTTCACGATGTATCTGCAGCAATTAGCGTTTGTCCGCTGGAAGAGTCGGGGTCACGCACGCTGACCAATAGCCGTGGACCGACTTCGTCCTCAACTCCTTCCGAAACCCTGCTAGAAAAACCTGCAGCGCTCGTTCCATCCCAGCACATCCTTAAACAGCCGACACCCATGCCATACACAGCGTTATAAGGTGCGATCAGACCAAATTTCCCAGACTCTTTTAGCATTGGGCCTTTTGACCATGGTCCAATTGGAATCTTCTTTGCGACGACCTGAGTGTTGATGAAGCCAGCTTTTGTCATCTGGTTGACCATTGTCCGAGGAATACACCTGCCGGTCTTGCCAATCATTTCGACACTTTGATTCCAGAGCTGGGCCCACTCAGCAAGTTTGGTATTCTCGAGAAGTGTACCATCATCGCTGACAATGGTACAATCGAACTCCTAGTTCTCGACCCATCCGTCATGCTGGCCAATCACGTGGCACATTGCTTGGCAATGTCGCAACTGGCGCCCTTCCTTATTCAGTCTTGCTCTCTTGTGATAGAACAACAACGCATTCTCTAGACTCCGCAGTCTATTAAGACACTAAAACCCATTCATGATTCTGGTGTGCACCAATGAGAACCAACCGCACCTGAGCAAAGGCCCATGGCTCATCAGCGTCAGCAACTTCGAACTTCAAGTTCGGCGGTACCCGGCTCGGTTGGATTTCCCGTCCGACTACCTCAGCTTCTGGCCGAGGGAACTTCGTCAGATCAGAATACTTGGGATACTAGGAGCGAAGCAGCTAAAGGTATGAATTCCAAGCTGCATGTTAGCAAGAGGTTCTCCTCGCATCACGACTTCTGATAAAGTCTTCTCCAGCTGAGGAGAATAATATACCTACCTAGGTAGGCGTACTTCAATGCAGATATCGCGCTTCGGAGCGAACTTCCGATGCATCCGGCGAGGGTGCCTGCCCCGCTGCTCCCTGACGATCCAATCCTCGTAACCCTTGCGCATCCTTTATTTACGTCGCTCTAGACCACCAAATGCGCTGCAAGCTGCATGGGTACTGCAATGTGGTGCCTCTCGCTCCTGCAGTGAAATTGCTCGTAGCTTCCTTCTCTCTGCATATGACAAGTAACCAGCTCAGCAGGTCTTCCCCCGCAAGTTGTTCTTCTTTGTCTCCTTCCAACTTCTTTAGTCCTCCCAGGTTTCGTCCTTGAGGCTTGCTAAGGCTAGTATCCCCACATACACAGATGGAACGCGAGGTCAGATTTCCACTCTGGACCCTTCCTTTGTCCCTTATTGCCGTGTTCCTCTACATCGGTGTACACTGTTATCTCAACTACTACAAGGCTCCTCAATTTCCTGGCCCATTCTTGGCGAAGGTGTCGACGGTATGGCTGTTGATTCATACATTTTCGGGAAAGCTGAACCAGTACAATGCTGCTATACTCGAGAAATATGGCTCACCCGTCCGCATCGCGCCCGACAAGATCCTCACCAACGACCCCATCATCCTCCGGTCCATGAGCACTCCTCGCTCCACCTTTCGCCGCGGCACCTTCTACGACGCCTTCTCTATGCAGCCACCGCTCAAGAACGTCCTGTCTCAAAAAGACGAAAAACTCCACAACACCCTTCGTGCGAAACTCATTAGAGGCTACTCTGGCAAGGACCTCCCAAAGCTCGAGTCCGACATTGACTCCAATATCACCAATTTCGTCAAACTCATCCGCACGGAATCAGCGGCTGGCAGACCAATCGACTTCTCTCGCCTCTCGCAGTACTTCACACTTGATGTGCTGACGCATATCGCCTTCTCCGCTCCTGTCGGCTACTTAACGCAGAACAGGGATGTATATTCCTACATCCGCACGGTGTCCGACTTTTTGCGAGTCCTCGAATTAGGAGCGAATAGTTCTATCATTCAAACCATTCTCGATTCCCCTCTCATGGCTCCGATGCGGCCGACGCCGGCGGACAAAGATGGCATGGGCGCGATGATGGGCATGGCGAAGAGAGCCGTTTCCGAACGCTACGGCCCCAACCGCAAAGTGGAGCAGGACATGCTTGGTTCTTTCGTCAAGTGCGGCCTGACGCAGCAAGAAGCCGAGTCTGAAGCTATGGTGCAAGTCCTCGGTGGCTCCGACTCAACTGCTACTGCCATTCGCATGATCATACTATATGTGACCACGAGCCCAGCCGTCTATGTCAAACTTCAGAAGGAACTGGATGAGAACCACGGCCTATTTGACGGCTCGTTGATCACCAGCGCGAACAGTCGCAAACTGCCGTATTTGCAAGCATGCATCAAAGAAGGTCTGCGCATATGGCCGCCGTTACAAGCTCTCAACTCGAAGCTCTCCCCACCAGGAGGAGAGACTGTGAATGGGGTGTATATACCAGGTAAGTGACTCTCCACGAGAAGAGGAACGAGGCTGCTAGGAAACAGGATGACTTCTTTCGACGCCATGGCGCCCTGCCAACGCACATGCTGCTTCGAGTTTTAAGCCTTTGGACTTACTTGGGACTGACTTCCTCTCAGGCGGCATTGAAGTCTGCCACAACGCCTATACCACCCAACGCCGAAAAGAGATATACGGCCCTGACGCTGAGTTTTTCCGTCCAGAGAGATGGCTTGAGGCCGCTGTCGAATCCGGTCAACTTGAAAACGGAGCACTCAGGAGTCATATCATGCAGGGAGGCGAAAATAGCGACATCGAAAAGCGGCCCGCCATGACCGAAACGAAATCCAGCCGATCCCGTCTCACGCTCATGGAATCCACTCTTGAACTCATTTTCGGGTCGGGGCGGTTTGGCTGCTTAGGGCGACATATTGCCCTGATCGAGCTGGACAAAGTGATCCCGGTCCTGTTGAGAGAGTTTGATTGGAGTGTGGTCGATCCGCAGAAGGGGTTCCGTAGCCAGTGCTATGGCGTTTTCGTCCAACGAGGAATGTGGCTTCGAGCGACAATCAGAGATAAGAGAAATACTGATTAAGTGATGCAGTGTCAGGCTGGACTCTAGTACGTTAGCCGAAGGCGGCTGATTTTGAAGCAACGCATCTTCTTTTTCGAAAATTTAGGGCTTTTCTCAGTCCGAGTGCTGTCGGCTGGAATGCAAGAGTTCTTAGCTGGGACTTGGAGTTTGACCTACTGACTCCCGCCAATATGCACCTGAGACTACATTGTCCGCTGACCCAGTTAGAATGCGTACCGCGCTGGCTTCCTGGCCATCAACACCTCTGCTTCGATGATGACACTACATTCCTCTTCTTCAAGCTCGTTATAACTTTGTCCACAAACTTGAAGACATCAGTGCTTATACCATGATTCTGGTACTAGCTTCGCTGTTCGTTTCTCAAACTCCAGTAGGTTTGAGCCTACATTCGTTGTCCGTGTATACAGCCGTGGTAGCAGAATACAGCGGTTTATTCTGCCAAGAATCATCAATACTGAATGACGAGGTCAGAGCACCTCTTTGGACGAATGAAAGTTACAATGTGTCCGCAAGTATAGGCAGGTTTCGAGGACGTCTGTAATGGAAGTAGCCTGCCTATTCCATGGGAGAGGTCAGGGTAAATGAATTCACTCATTTCAGTCAGTCTGTACAAAGGACATGGTAGACTAGTAGGTATTGACCATGTCCTGCCAGTTAGATCCAAAATCTCCTGGTTAATGGAGCATTTACGGTGCCGCCGCATTGGCTGTGCCAAATCTGACGAAAAAGAGCTTCATGTCCCTTGTTGCTGACATGTTGCAAACCATTGGCGCGCATTCGTAATTTTGCCAAGAAGGCCTGTGGCCAAATTCATGTGGTGTCACATGTGATCTGGCTTGGCGCGGGTGTCATGGACGGTCGTGTTTATAGTGAACCACTTTTCAACCTTTACATCCTCTGAGAATGCGCCCGGTGTCTATCCGCCCAACCCTGGGTCTTGGGAATCAGCATCTCTGTGCCAATTGTCGAAGAACTGGCTATGAGAGTTTCAGGCAACCTGGTTTCCGACCACTCCATGCATCGCCAATTTTCCAGCGTCCCCGCCGCCGTGAATTCTTCTCCTCGAACCCTTTCTTATTGAGTCAATCGGCGCAAAAAAAAGAGGCACAAGAAGATGATCCAGGCGTCGGATCGGCCACAGTACAATCACATAAACGCAAAACGGCACGTTCTCCAGGCACCAAAACGTCTCTAAGAAGAGTGGGATTAGAGGCACAAAGATCAAAAGCGAGGAACCTGGTCAAACCGGACGGAAGGATTCAGGATGACATTGGGACGCCGAAACTTGTCACCGCATATGCCGTTGCAGAACAGTTCGATCTGAGCAAAGTAGTTGACATCCTTCGCAACAAAGGCTACGAACCAGATCCATTGAGCACCGGTCTCTTCCCACAAGTCGTTCATGTGCAAATTCCCATCTCGTCCATCTACCGATCCACAAATCCTTCTGCCAGAGATCTGTCATCCACCGAGGTCGGTGATGTTTTCATCTTCCCTTCCGGCACCCTGGTAACGTGGGCTCTGCCGGAGGGGTTCACGTCGTATTTTGCGACCCGTACCCTTCTCCCCGCAGCGGACAATCCTCACGAGGAACCAATTGAAACCGAGGATTTAGACTACATCGAAGATCCCAATCGTGAGCACAGCCTGATCCGCGGCGACACGATCATCCTGGGCACGAAGAAATCAGAAAGCCCGGCGCAGGATAGTGAGATTGACGACCAGTCCGAATCACAGTACCAAACGGTGGACACAGTCCTGACGAAGATTGCCTTTTCTTCAGGTTTTGCACGAAGCACAAAGCTAGCCGTCCTCGAAACTAATCTATCCACCTATCTGGCATCCACAGCCGATATCCCCGCGTTGCTGTCCAAAGGCTCACGTTTGCCCTTCAAACTCTCCCGTCAATTCATCCTGCGTAAAACAGGCCAACTGCTCTTGCTACGCGCCCAGCTGAACCTGTACTCCGAATTGACGGACTCTCTCCCGGATCTTTTCTGGGATTCCCGCCACGAGCTCCACCTGGAAACCTACTATGACCAAGTTGGGCGGGCTCTTGACGTTGGAATTCGGATTAAAGTGTTAAACGAGAAAATGGACTACGCCGCAGAAATTGCGTCAGTGTTGAGAGAGCGTTTGAGCGAGAAGCACGGATTGTTTCTGGAGTGGACGATCATTGTGCTCATCGCAATCGAGGTTGGGTTTGAGGTTTTGAGGCTCTGGAAAGAGGGCTTTTGGGAAGAGGTCTGGGAGGATAAAAAGAACCAAGAAAAGGAGGAAAACAAGAAGAGGATCTTGGAGTAACACGGTTCTTGATAGGCATACTGTGCTTTGAGACTTGGTCATCTACCCAGGTTTTTGAAAGCAGGAGGTCCTCATCGCATCTTATCTCAATTTTTATGCGCTCCGCTCTTTCCTCCTTCCTATTCCTCCCAATTTCCTAGATTGGAGATTGTTCCCGTATGACGAAACCTTCAAGACAGACTACTCCTTCTGCTATGATTCATCCCTGTTATATTCCTTTCGCTTGTCTTCCATTCTGTGGTATAGTCCCCCTCAACCTTCCCAACCAAAAAAAAAAAAACACGCTGACTGTTTAGCAAAGAACTTTCAAAGGCGACTGACCGGAATAAGAGAAGGGCATTCAATTGTCAGCTTAGTAAGCAAAACTGAAAGAGTACCTGTGCCATGTCCGGTCTTGTAACATGGGCAGACATGATTTACGAGAAGGAAGGACTCATAGAATAACGCAAAGACTACGATTGAACAAACACCCCCGGTAAGAAGGGGAAAGGTGGATTGCAAGAAACAACTCTTGATTTTCGGAAACTGGCTAAGGTTCAATGATCGTTTTGACCAATGAGCCACCTATGGGTGGAACCGTCATTAGTGGCAACAACAATTAGGTTCGATTCCTGATCCAACTTGGAGGTGCTCTCAGTCGTGACCATCACTGATCTCACCAAGCCAAATGGCCTAGCTTGAAATAAAAAATTCAATGCAGTATGCGATCCCCTTACTAGTGGTCGACCTATGGTGTTCCATTTGAAAGAAGCTCGTTGTGATCGTTTTGTCAATCAATCTCATTTGTTGGATGTGAATGTCTGTGTCATTTGCATATGCTGATGGTGTGGCAAGTTGTGGTGCGTGGCAGACATAGCCGCAAAGAGCTTTTTGGTGGTGGGGTGGATGTGTATGAGGCATGTTCTTAGACGAAAGCCAACATAGCCACAACACCTGCCAGGGCTACATTGAGACCAGCAGTACTGGCGCCGTTGTTAGGAGCAGGTGGAATTGTGGATGTAGTTGAGGTGACCGTAGGACGGGATGAGAAAGTTGTTGAGATTTCAGTTTCGGTAGTGGTGGAGGTGCTCTCAACACTGCTGCTGGTGGCAGAAGTCGGGACAGAGGTGTTTATTCCAGGTGTGGTCTCAATGCTGGTCTGAACGGGTGGGGTAGAGTTAGCCTCAGACGTGGTTTCGACAACAGGAGTCGAGGTGATCGGAACACTCGGAGCCTCAGAGGGAGTTTCCGTATTGACGGTGCCGGACTCTGGTGGAGTGCTACTAGTCAAGGACTCGAAGGCAGTAGCGAGAGTGGATGAGGTTGGACTTTCGGTGGTAGCAGGTATAGACGCGGTTGCGGGTGGACCGTAGGAAGGACAATCAATCTCGGTGGTTGTGACTGTAACGGTATTTGCTGGAATGATGTTAGCAATATCCAAAAAGCAATAGGATTTGAGCCCACCCCGTGGCATGAGATTGACAATCTCCTTGATCTCATCAGCCGACATATCTCGAGCTGTGTCCATTGTCAGTAATCGAAAATTAATTTTGTGGAATCGGAATCTCACCCTTCAAAGCCGCAATGACTTTTGCTTTCGCAACACCGTTGCTGAAGTTGACCGTAGTGGCTATCGAAAGTCAGCAAACACAGGCGCAGCCAGAGGAGTCTCTAGTCGAATTCACCAAAGCCCAAGCCCACAACATTCATGAGGATGACCAAGAGGCCCGCCAAGTTCGCGGCCTTCATGATGAAAGACGTTGAAAGAAATTGTGTCGGCAGACTGTTTTGAGTAAGAGTAATGGTTATCCAAGTTCAGGGAGTATCTGGTCCGACAGAGCGACACAGGAAGAGTTGATGGAACTTGATGAATGAAGTGGTGGGAGTAAGAGTGAGTTGACGTTGTGTAGGTGCAGAGGAGAAATCTATACCAGTCAGAAGAGCCTCCAGACCAGTGAATCTGGGAATCACTGAATCGCCAGGCAACGACGACAAGAGCGATCCGGCGCACTTCGCCAATCTGGTCTGAGCTGATTTGATCTGATCGTACGCACTGCCGGTGCTCAATGTGCTGGCGGGTGCCTGCGGCTAGCTAGTGCGGTGAATATAAAAGGCACTTGGCTGTTTGTCTATCTGTCTGACTGCCTCCTCTCACACACCATCCATGCAGACATCCGACGGAGGCAAACGCAGAGAGTGTGTCAGGACAGAGACACCAAGCAAAGGGGAAGACACCTGGCCCCAAATGAGGCTGATACACTGCTGAAGACAAAAGGGCTCCTCCTCCCTCAAGGATGCTGGCTGATATAAAAGAGGAAAGTTGTTCAGCATGTCTGGATCTTTCAGAATTCAACAGCCAAATTCGGGGGGCTGGAAGTCAGCTTCGGCTACCTGCAATATCTCATCACACACAAACCAGATCTGCACAGATCCCTCACACTTCCTGACAATCTTCCTCATCCATTCTTCGACAGACATACACAGATTCAACATGTTTTTGTCAAGTCACATTGCAAGTGTGATACAGTGTCAAAGGAGTGATACGATGAAGTGAGGTGAGTGGGGATTATGTCTGAGCGGCAAATTAGCGGTGGATGATTGATCGCCAAACTAATTCCTAGCTCCTTTTAAGCGTCCCAAGCCCCTTTGGTGGGAGTCTGCCGTTGTGGTCATAACAATCCCAGTACTATCTAGGCGGAACGAATATTCAAAGTGGAATAGGAAAATCATATCCACTACCACTCGATCAATGCAGGCAATCTTGAGAGCTCTTTTTTGGGGACCAACCTGGATTTTCTCTCTCCTTGATCCTTCGCCGTCATTGGTTCGAAGCTGTCTGTGCGATCTGGGATGATTGGTGGATCAATCAAGTACAAGTTCGGCGAATATGAGAGGCAGAGCATCAGGGCGGCGCGCACATGCGAGGGGCAGCATGAATTTTACCACCATGGCCCCTTCCGGAACCTAGGTTGCTGTTCTCGAGAACCAATTCGAGGCCAATTTTGCATCTCTCCTGCTCCTGTAGTATTTCAACATGGCGAATATCTGACCAAAATGGTTTTTGTGGGCTTGTATGCCGTTGCCACCCTGGTGTGTGTGCGTGTCCGTACAACGCTGCGTATACTCCGCAGGCATGCTTTTGTACACTTTTCAATATCCGGTCCATGAACTATAAGACAGACAGGATTACCGACCTCGGGAACCTAGGGTCATGGGAAGCGCACACTTATCTACGTGATTAAGCGGCTCCTCACTAGGATTCGACCAATTTGCCTGCATGCACCCGTTCTCCTCGCTGACTATTTGCATTTTCGTCGCTGGCTATATCACTGCGCGTTGGGATCTCGTAACAAGGCTCTACGAACTGGCCATCTTTGCCTGGGATCACGGTGTTGTTGTATGTTCGTCTCTCTCGGCCAAAGTCAGTCACTTACAGATTTGCAGGCCAGAGCGACAAAAGCTTTTGCCATCATTTCGCTCATCTTCATCCTCATTGCCATTCCCCTTGACCGCATTGCAGCACATGAAGCAGTAGTTGTGAGTTGGTCCCTAGATAAAAGGAGCAGGGCTAAAAAAAAGGGGCAGCATCCCCGATCCCCAACGCATGGAATCTCAGCCCGTGAACAGTTACGTCGACGAGGGTCATTCTGAGTCTTGACAACATGTTATCATGGTCGAGAATAACGATGGCATGCTACGGGTATTCTGGCCAAACAGCCTTACTCGGACAGTCACACCCGGTGTGATAGTGGGGTGGAGAAATTCCGAGTTGGATTTGTTTGTCATAACTGTCCTCGAGGACGTCGAGGTATGCCTTATGGAGAGATGAAATTCTAGCGCCATCTCTGACTATAGCAGGTCCGCAATGTTGAATCGGCTCTTCGCATGGGAACCCTCTTCCGCAATAGTCCTTACCCTGTGGCTCGAATTTTCCAACTTTGTGACCGGCCGAATATGCATGTTTTGGGTACACTCAATCATCCAAATTTGCCAGACTCATTTGAGCCTACCCGAATCTGCGCCTTTACGATGCCTGGTACTAGACGGCCGTACATTTATTGCCCTCCGGAAGCGAACTTATCTCTGCAGATAGTCCTTTTCGACCCGCCCAACCCCACCCAGATGCAGTACGTGTCTCTAGAACCGATGTCACTCGCTCTTGGGCGGGACCACTCATCCGCCCGAGTGCCGCTGGATTCTGGGGACGAGGTCGAGATTCAGGAGGGGAAAGAGCGTGAGCGGTTGTCTCATTTGGTGTCAAAACTTCGATTTCACACCGTGGTGAGACATGCACCAACCAAAAAGGAAGTGGCTCTGGCTGCCATTCTTCGCCAGATCAATTGTGCACAAGAGGTGGCTGATCTGTTGCAGAAAAATACCCCTCTCGTTGGGCCTCGTCGGAAACGAAGCATCTCTGTGAGTGAGAGAGTCGTGGAATCTGCACAATCTCTCTACGCATTTGCGGCCTGGTCTGTCTGGACATTGTTCATGACGTACGCATTCCCGAGTTTGTTGTACATTTTCAAAATTGCCATCATCGGTCATCGAATTGTCGCGGAAGGGATTCTTCAGATCCTGGAATGGCCATTACCTTTGCAAAGATTCCAACTTCCGGAAAGCCCCCGGCCTGTCAATGGAACCATTGCCCTCAAGGACATTTCAGCTTGCTGTCAACAGGTTCACCTGAGACTACAGCAGTTTTCCTATTACCCAACGCAATACTCTCTCCTCCGACGTCGTCACGCGACGTGGTCGTCTTTTCCAACCACGAACAGCGACTACATCCGATTCTACAACTCTCTTTGGCTGGTGGCGAACGACGTTATCATCGGTATAGCATTGGGGAGTTTCATCAGTGACAATGCCCAGGCCACTTCGCAATTTATTGGGGGGGTACTGAATGAATACACGATTGAAGGACTCAAACGTATGATCAGATGGCTCATGTCATACCCTGGTGGCCTAAAACTCAACACTGAGCTCGCCGCATTTCTGGGTGATTTGTTTCTGTGGGTTATCGAATACTGGTCTTCGACGACAGTCCAGCTCATTTTACCCCGATTGCCCACAATTGTATACTTCATTGGATTTTCCTCTTTCGCCGGAGCGAGCATGCCAATCGCAATCTTCTCCGACCTTCTCAGCTTGATGACGATACACATATATTCCTTTTATGTGGCAAGCGCACGCATCTTCAACTGGCAGCTCACCATCATTGTCAGTCTGTTCCACCTGTTTCGAGGCAAGAAACGAAATGTCCTCCGCAACCGAATCGACAATTGCGACTACGATCTTGATCAACTGCTGCTAGGCACGATTCTTTTCACCTTGTTGTTTTTCCTCCTACCCACTGTGGTGGTTTTCTATCTGACGTTCGCCTCCGCTCGAATGGCTATCATATCATTAAAGGCCACTCTGGATACCTGTCTGGCATGTCTCAATCATTTTCCATTGTTCGCACTGATGCTTAGAATCAAGGACAGCAGGAGGCTGCCTGGTGGTGTTCATTTTCAGCTGTTGGACACAGAACACATCCGGCTACCATACCAGGAGGAGACTGGCCGGGATGACGGAGAGGAAGACGGTGATACCGATGGACAGGAGAGCTTTGCCACAAGTGTCGCTTACATTCGATTGTCGCCTACTCCGTTGTTACTGCGGCAGATATTTGAGCAATACTTTCAGCTCTGGGCCCGCATCCGCCGACACTATCTATCTCCCAAGGTGGTATTCCGACTACTCACAGGTCGATTCGTACCACCCTTAGGTCGGAGCGAAATGTACGGACTACAGTACTCTGTTCTTCCAAGAGAGCGCGCAACAATATCCGAAGTGTGGAAAAGCCTGAGTGAGAATCAATCAACCGCTCGAGATCGTGTACCTTCCTATCCACGCACCCCCAAAGGGTCTCTGGGAACAAATGGGACCGTCATAGGAAAACAATGGAAATGAGTAGTCCTACTTAGGTCGAGCCCACCGAACCATCTCTCACTCCATCCAAGTCTCATTCTCGGTTGACTTAATTGTTGAAAGCCAAGCTGCTCGCTACGATCAGAAATACGCTTACGTCATCGTCGATATCCATTCACCATATTGATGCTTCTCCCCTCTCAATATCATTAATTTTTATCTTCCTTTTCCCTTCCTGTGTGTCGCAAACTTATTGCTTCATTCACCTTTTTAATAGACTTTTGGGTATTCCCGCCCTACTTCTCTACCCCAATTCTTGTTATCCACAACTTTTGTCGGAGCAAGTGTTTTCATTCCAGAGATTGTCTGGCGATGGCAAAGTGCCCAAGATGCGGTGGGCGTGTTGACTTGACCAAGGATGGAGACTGGGGTCACTGCGCCAATTGTAACACACCAGTCCCTAGCAATGATGTGTATGCTGACAAAGCCTTCAGGCAATAATGTAGGCTGGAACAAGTAATGCTTCTTTAGCGCAGTAGATACTGAACATTTCAAATCATTGAAATCAAGAAGGATGATACCGGAGAGAAAGCAACACAAGAAGCAACAAGAACATCAGCCGAAGTCAAGAGATGAGTTTGACAATTGAGGTCGAGTGGAATACGGAAGTCAAGAGCACGAGATCCTAGAACGAAAGGGAACTATCTGCACTGAAGTGGCCATGGGGCGCGTCACATCTTGTTGTGTCGCTGAGATATTTACATTGACCGCGCTTTCCCCTGCGGACGGCTCAATCCGACATAAATCTGCTCCTCGACGTTCTTTTACTCTTATATTTCTATGAGCTTGAGCTTGACATCGATTTTGCTGACCTGGCTTCTCTGCCTTTCATTCTCATCATTTCAACCCCCCTCATTGCAACGTCAATGACCATGAAATCCCCTCTCCCAAGCCATGGATCTTCTTTTTCGCCCTCTGCATCTTCAATCTCGGTGCCGCTGCCCCAACGGAGGACACCAACAAGGTGAATGCGAACGTGGCCGACGCCAGCGAGAGCTCCAGCGAACAGGACGCAGTCATTCCGTCCACTGGGTGGAAATTCCTTGGATACCGCCACACGGATAATAGACTCAGCCTAGGGCATTGCACTCCAATCAACGGGCCGTCGTCTCAAGATAGGGCCAGATACTTGCAGCCTGCAACTTTCGCCAAGCCTGTTTTCAATGTTACGTGTGAGTATCGACCAATTTTCAATGATGGGGCATGTCCAATGCTGCTGCTGCCGCCGCCCCCTTACACGCGGACGATAGCACACACCGGGGAACCTAACTGGGAGCGGGATGAGGAGAACGATGATAAGGCTGAAGTTGACAATGATGCAGAACTGATATGGAGGCGGAGGGTGGGACACATGATTTGACGACGGAATTTGGGCCTGACGGCAACGCAATTCTCACCAAACGAGTTATAAATGTCTCAACCCAACCTCGAGGTGGATCAACGATACGACTGTAGAGCGCGTCCAACAAAACATGTTCTTCAGCCGACGGGGAAAAACCGCTGTTGTTGGCTAGGATGGTGGCATGAGCACAAACAGACTAAGGTACGACGCGATCTCTGTTTCATGACAAGCCCGGCGAGTGAGACCACGGAAAACTCGGGCCATCTTGCTCGGTATATCACCGCTGAGATGGTGGTAGAAACTAAACCCTTTACCCTCTGTGGCAGTCATCAGCCAGCCTGCTCTAATGAGCCCCGCCTTGCTGACTTGTCTAGAAGGGGTGGATGTCAGCACTGTCTTCGATAGCTTTGTTTTGAACCCCCCTCCTTAGGGGCTCCTACCCACTGGGCAATTATCTATCCTTTCGCGCTTCCTTGGTCGATTGAGCCAGTGCTAAACGAGAATCACCCATTGAAGAGCTTGAAAGTTGATCTCATCATCTCCCTACCCAATTGCACCGCGGTGTCAGGGCCACCGTATCTCATACTCGGACGTAATTTCTCGCACGTCCCGGACCAGGTACAACTCGTGCTCGCCGCTTTATTCTTGCTGAGCTCCTTCTCTCCCGGGTTGAATTGTGAACAGCATCTCGACTGTCACTGGTCCAGCTGACAAAGCGTAAGCGCTCTCTTGGCCCAGGACGGTGAACCCTGACTTTTCTTTCGTATGAACCCGGTTGTTGGGGAGAGGCGGTCGAGCGGGGGCATTCTGGTCCATATGCATATACAGTTTCCCCCCCTTTAAACCGCAAGGACGTCCTTCGCACCAAACATGGTGTTTTTGGCTCAATCAGAGATATGGCAAGATCACTCAGGATAGAAGAGCTACTCCTGCATAACTCTTCTTCAGGCGACAACGACAAGACCCGCCAAAGCCCCTCAAGCTGGAGGAATGATGCGCAAAGCGGGACGCCGACGCCTCGTCCGGAGCTTTTGGTGAAGACTTCTACCAGCCTTGTACGGTCCAAGCCCCAGGCCCTCGATCGATATTCTTGGGAAGTCAACAGCGATGAATCATCTTCAGTCCGTCCCGGAAAACGAAAATCCCCTATCGAGGGCCAGGTTGTGCCGGTAAAGAAGCCTGCTCGATTACCAAGATTCTCCGTCAACATCTTCCATCCCGAACCAATTAATATTTTCCCCATCCCTGCCGAAGGGTGCGTACCGCGCATGGTGAAATATTGTAAGTTGGAGTCCTGTCAAAGTTGCACGGGCCCTTAGCAATATATTTTCTGACTGCGTACAGACTTGCAAGTTTGGGCGCCACAGCATGGTCGGGCTCTTGCCTTCGAGGGTCATTCAAGACCATACCAGTCCCTAGTATTTCCTTATGCTCTCGAGCATGCTGTGCTCTTTGAGTCCATGGTGGCTCTTAGCCGTGCTTCATGGCTTTTGACGGAAGGAATACCTTGGTTTCGGGACAGTGCCTTGGCTTACCACCGCGCAAATGCATTTGCCGCCCTTCGACTGAGATTGACATCCGAGGCCACACGGGCGGACGACACCACGATTTTAACCATCGCTGCTCTGACTACAATCGATGTAAGCGTTCAACATCTCCTCGACCTTCCTGATCTGACAACCGGCACAGTACATGTTGGGGATTCATGAAGGTGCAGAAAACCATATCAATGCCATGCGGCAAATCCGAAAAATCAGAACCGACCTAAAAGGCGACACACCATGGCAATACTTTGTCATTTCTTCGATGAAAGCGTAAAAAATTTCACCCGGATCTCCATCCTACATTGGCTGACGACACCAGTTATGAAGCCCTCTGGACATTTGTCAAGGACAGAAATGAGGCTACGACAAACATGTCTCAATTGTCCATAGAATCGCCCATGCGGAACGAACTGCCCGCTTATCCGTCCCTTCCTTTCAACACCAAGGTCTGCGAAGCTCTATCAAAAGTTTCCCCGGCCTTTAACGACATGGCCATGGAAGGTGAATTGTCCATTCAGATAATCGACATCTTAGCAAACCTTTCGATCGCCACAAAAGGCGAAGGCAGTCCCAGTCCCCCGAGTAGCCCACCAGGCTCACCCGGAGCTCGAGATTTACTAAACACGATCGCTGACCTTCGATGCCTCTCCGTCATGGCTACCACTTCAATAGAGCACATGCTGTGCTTTGGAATTATTGGCTGTTGCTTCACATTACACTTTGGAGGTGCTAAAATTGGGGAAGAATTCAACGAGTCACTCCAGGAGCTTGAAGATACCCTTACCGGCAATGGAAAGCGAGGACCACAACTGGAAAAAACTTTGGAGACGCATCGAGAATGCTTAACATGGATTTCAATGGCTGCCACAGGTGCTCTTGAGATGTCAGAAATTTTGTCACCCGTGAGTAGAGTATTGGACCAAACATTGGAAAAATATCCTGAAGAAACAGCTCGGTGGGAGACCTTAGAGAAGATACTGCAGAAATATCTGTGGAACCCCCTTCTAGCACGACACTGGAAGAGGTGTTGGCGAAGAGCCATTCACCGGCAGTCAAAAGCACGATGAGATGCACGCAATGAATCAGCAAATTTTGGTCATACCGCCTGTCAATCTACTTGCAGGCTCTGCACAAATTCGATGGCGAAAGAAATACCAGACTTCTAAGCGGCCTGTGGACACCCGATCAGAAGATGTTTGCTGGAGAGCCTTGTCATACGCATCTATTATCAGGAAAATTTTTCGAGTGTGCAGTCCTTCTATCCAGATCCTTTTCGCCTCGTATATTGGAGCCTGCAAACAGAGGAACTTCTGCGGTCTAGAGCGCGGGACCAACCTTTATCCAACACAGGGTTCTAGCCATGATATTCGACACCAAATCATCATTGGGCAGACTATTACCACGGTTGCACTGCATCTCGTATTTATCTTTACACCCTCAAAAAGACGAGTTGGATGACAAAACACACCCATCAAGCTTCCCGCCCCCGGCCTGAAAGGCTCTCAGGCCCCCACCATATTTGGGCAGTCCATATCTCCTCCCATCTGAGGGCGCGGGTGCCTCAAGAAGAGCTCTCTGATTCAAGCTTGAAGATAGAACAACGTTATCCCACCGGCCTTGGTCGGCTTGATCTAGCCTTATCGTGAAACCAGGACTTCCGCGACAACATGGACAGCTTACCGGCAGAAAACAATACAGAAATGGTGGGAGGGATTGTCGAAACCGCCACCTCAGTCGCCATTCAAAGTACGCAGGCTACAGCACCAACGGCTGGAGCAGGGGATTTTATCACTCTTGCTGTCAATATGTCCGGTTTACTTTGGAAAGGTAGTGCATACCTTTATCATGCAACTCAGTGCAAGAAAAGCTTTCCTTATGTTTCCTAGAATATCAAGACCTCGGGCTCTTAACCAAGTTGCAGACCTCTCTTGATCCGAAGGCCACCAGCTGGATTACGACCCCATCATTTGGAGATGCGCATTTCCTCTGATCAACACATATCCATGGATGAACTGCAGAACCTTGGACTATTTTCCCAGGTTACAATCTATACAGACCCCAGAAGATGTCATTCAATATCATGCAAGGACTGTCACGCTCGTGTGTTAGGTATGGAATTCACGATCCCGTCAAAACTGACGCCGAACAACGTTTCAACGTCATCGGCTCCGCGCAAATGGGATATATTGCACTCCACAACGCTTTCATTGCCGAAGGACAGAGGCGGGGAAATGGATTGCAACCTCATGTGGTTCCTGTTCTTGGGAGGGTATTGGCTCTCGTGGCGGCTTGTGGCATTTTTGAGATTTCTCTCCCTGAAATATGTGAGGCTAAGGGCATCTTTGATCTCGTATTGCGCATCTCACTGATTTATTCGAAGCCCCTATCCTCGGAAAGGCACCAATGTTCGAGACTGTCGCCAGAGAGAGGATCGCAAATCTCCGTGGTCATCATGCGAGCCACATTTTCAACTCTCTTCTCTTCCAAGGGAGTACGGAAAGTACCGCAACCGGCTTTTCTCAGAAAACTATGTCATTCAAAGGCACCAGGGTCGTCATCGGACATATTAAGAAAGCGAAAAGGGTAGAACTTCTACCACAATATGTGTCGAATCTCTGCGAAGTGTCCGGGTCCGTGGACAAAAAATATCCTGTGGGCACACCAGTGTATATGCTGTCGGGCTGGGCGAATCTGCTGCTCCACCGGGAAGCCACGGAAATAGACAGGGACCAGAAGACATTCATGAACAGAGGTTTCACGTGTACTCCAATCAGGACGACCGACATTCACGGGAACGCATATATGTCCGGTGGGGAAATGGGCAAGATTGGAGTCCGGGTCAAAGAGCTATCGGACGGCACTTTGATGGCGAAACCACGAAAATTCGACCATTTCGACTACAAATGCAGCGCGGACTATAGCAAAGGCCATAGCCGCATCGAAGCTACGGGTCAAGAGAAGCTATTTGGCGGCATTGTTGTCGAGGAACCCCGGATCCGGAGGGGAAAGGCCAGCTGATTCGGACATGGAAGTTGGGCACAATGCTGAAAATCAGCAGCCGAGACATCGTGGGCAATTCCATCGAGCATACGATCGGCATGTCCGCTGGTAAAGTGGCAATTCTTTGGCGGCCGGGTGACTGGGTACTGGGTTGTTTCCTGATGCAGACGCTCCCGCAGAGCTCGTACCTTCAGGGCAGAGCCCAGTGTTTGTATTGTGCGGTCGAATGCGCCGCTCTCACGGGATGCCCCGAGGTCATTGCTTGTGGAAGCGGACGAGTTACGGCAGAGACGCTTGCTGAAGAGGTGGAACGAGACCGGCAACGGCAGAGACAGTCAGGGAGGCTTTCGAACAGCGTTCCCACTCCTCCTCCCACGACCTCGACCATTGGGAGTCCGCCCGTGCTTCCGCCTTACCCCTGCTTCGCCACCAGTGCGCTCACCCTCGACACCACCTACGCCTTTTTCCGCGAAAATGGATCCAGTACGGTCACAGGGTGAACCGCGAGACGATTACCTCACCCCCGTTTCATCAGAGAAGGTTACTCAACCGTCAATGACATCCTCGGCATGCTATCGATCTGCTCCAAGTGGTATGCTTTCCCGATTTCCCTCCTTGGCTAGAGGAGTCGAGAAAGAGACAGCGGCGCTGATGTCAAATATGAGACTCAGGAGCAAAAGCAGGACTAGGACTAGAACTGGAAGCAAGTCCAAGGCCACTCCCTATCCCCTCTCGACGAATCCTTCAGCGGGATACGAGTATCAAAATCATCCACCGCAGCGGAGTTTCTCAAGTATGTTTGTTGCCCGTGAAGATCGTTACTCCTACCCGCCATCAGTCAGTGTTCAAATTTCGGCATCTTACGCTAGCCATATCACTCTCTCCAGGCTTCCATCCAGACGCAGATATCGAGAATGGGGCAGAAGAACCCACTCCGTACGTTCTTCCACCAATATCGCCATTAACCCCGTTCGAAGCATCTGACACGGCCTCAATCTCAAACCTCAAATTCCCTCATCTTCTACCTTCCCAACCTGACACACTGCATCGCCTTGACCAACCACCCACGAGTACGAGGATAGTTAATGTTGGGGGCAAAAATGGTGGAGGTGAGTCAGATCCTGTTCAGGCGACTGCGGAAAATTGGACACCTGCGAGACAAATCAAGGTCTCGATTAAGCGAAAACCTGTGGGGAATGGTGGTTTGAATACATACAGAACGCCACGGATCTGAGCGGCCGGCGGAGAGACAAGAGGAGACACGTCCATATCAATGGACTATTCTGAGAATGTACTTCGTCAACGACCCGACAGCGAATCCGTCCCTTGCCGCTTGATATCCTTGCGCCGAGAACTGTTTCAGCTATCACCCCGCTATCGATACTCCTTTACTTCGCATGTACTCCTTCTCTTACCTGACCTTCTATTCGTACATGTTGATGTAAATACTACCTTACCGGCGGACTACTTTTTCAACGCTCTCCGCCTCGCAGAAGCACTCCACACTTGATTTGGCATCGTTCCATAGAAGGCTAGACTCCATCTGAGGTGTTCGTCAACAAGGCAGCAGACACCTAAACATGGCAAGTCACTCTTACAGTTCATTACATACTAAAATTACACAGCAAGTTACATGCCCCGTGACCAACTTCGTAATACTGTAGCGGCAACAAAGTCGTAGAACTTGGTTTTATGCTCTCACGGGGCCAAAGAACTCTACTTTACGCTAGACCACATTCATTTACGAAGGATATATAAGTAAGGCGGCTCCAGCACATTCCCAGTTTGAGCCAACCAAGATGAGCGCTACCAACTAGGAAGGCGAGATGTTGGGTTCTGTTGGATAATGATGGACGGAGGACTAAATACCAGAAGGATCGCGCAATGCCCATAGGCACACGGTCTGTAATATGTGGGATATTTCAGTTCGGTTCTTTCCTCGGATTCGAGCTCATGAGCCGAAAATAGATTTCCAGATTCTCTGGCATGCATCCGCGCGGCCTGGTCTTTTTTTATCCAAAGAAAGATTTTGAAGAAATGCAGAGAGCCGTGGCAAGAACCGCAAAGATCAAATATGAGTGCAAGAGTCCCTGAAACAATTTTTGGCAGAAGAGCGCCTCTGGGAAGTAGCAGTATGGTTGGTGCTGACAATGCAAGAAGTACGTGTCAAAGGTGCTGTCGATAACTTCAGGCGGCGGTAATGCCGTCCACGGTTTTCATTGAATTGTTAGCACAGAGGGTTTAAAGGGAGAGGAGTGGTCAAATGCTCTCACTGATTCTCCGATGCGTTCACGCTGCTTGTGGTGATCGCGTGTACCCCAAACTGAGGGCATTTGAGAGGAAAAGGGACATGGCAGCTTGAACCAAGCAATCAATTGACGTCCAGGACCGAAGGGGTCCGAGAGTTGATATTGCGTAGGAAGCTGCATGGGAAGATTCGTCTCACCCTCGCAGTCTGGTCAAATTCCTAGGGACTGGTTCCAGCGTGACTGAGTCACTATAGAGCTGTCTGCTGCTTGGTCGGACTCTGGGCAGATAGAGTCGGTTGTGTGCTCGCGTATGCGCCTCCTTATTCTCTTCCTCCTGAAGAAATAGATGAGGCCGATCAGCAAGATGACTGAATGGTGCAATTGAGTCGTGCCGGCCTAGCGACGGCGGCCGCACGCTCGTCGAACCCGCTCACGAGGTCTGTTGCTCTTCGAAGAGAGATGGATAGGTTGCATATCCAAGCGGTTGATTGGTTTCGATCAAATCCGGAGGCTTGAAGTGTCAGCGACCGGGCCAGAGGAGCATTCTGGCCCTTTATAAGTTTAGAGTTGGTCCTGGAATATGTTGAGGATCGTGATCTTCTCGTAATGCAGGAAGGTTAGCAAATTTGATAACCCGGCTACCGCGAGGCTTCTCCGCAAGGCCAAGTATTGATCTTATGGCAGCAGGAGTGCATAGGCCTCGGTATTGAGGAAGGAATCATGACCAGTGCGCGTTGGAGCACGATATGGTCGGGTGATTTGTAGACACATCCGTTGGTATATTAGTGGAGTTTTCTATCTTCTCCCATTTGTTTCCTCAGGCCCAGACCAAATCCCCACGCCACCCATATCCTCAGTTCCGTGCTACCGAATGCAGATTCCGAGGAGATGATGATGCACTGGCGACAGAAACTGAAAGGCAATCCCCCACCCCAACGAAAAAGGGAACAGTACTAGGCGAAGTATGCGGTGTTAAGTTCCAGTGGGTAACAGGTTCAACCAACACACGTCGATATCCATTTCCACATACTGTCCGTATCAATATCCGTACAAAGTCTCCCATCCGATGTGATATCCAAATCGACGAAGGATTCGGACTCTGACCCCGACTCCCATGTCGCTGGTCCCACGCAATAAAAGCGACCCTCTTGCTGAATTTCTAAATTTCCGAACTTGGGGTGAATATGACGCTCGCGGAAAGTGGTCGTTACATGATAATATGAGGAAAAACGGTGCCGCCGGTTCAAGGTGTGGCCCTAGATCCATGGTTGCTCTTCTTCGTTTTATATGCTGTTGTCTGATTCGCTCTCGGCTTTCTGCTGAGCCACCGTGGCTTCTCGGTTCAGACTCCTTCTCTACCTCAAAGATCACACTTCAACCCCCTCTTTCCTTTTCAAAAATCACTTTTATATCCCAACCCCTGCTGCATTGAAAATAAATCTCGCACATTTCCGATATCGAATCGACGGCCACTTTTCATTCCGAGTGGCCGTCCAAATGCTCAAGGCTCTTCCTCATCTCTAACCACATGATAACGGGCTCCTTGTCTCTGCAGCCGGTCTCCCGTCGTCGGAAGAGGTTTGTCGACTCTGAGCACCCAACAGAGCATATCTTCCGCCGGCAATAAGAACATCCAGACCTTGTTGCATAGCAATGACGTCGTGGTTGTACACATGGCCACTATGGCATCAAGCCAGTAGTGATTGGCCGTTGCCACGATGACCGTCAAGACGAGCAATGGATAGCAAATTCCCGCCACGAGGAAGAATATCTGCCAGACGACTGATTTCCGGGGCTCATTGCGACCAACACGGCGGAAGACCCCAGAGTGGTAGATGAACGTGCAACCAATGACGAAGGCGTACGTAAAGTGCAGACTTGGCATGGCGGCCAACTGATTGACGTAGTTGCCACCGACCCAGACGGATTCGGCGTTGGCTTGGCGCACGGTGTCGTGGAAACCATATTCCTCGGGCAGGAGCCGTGGAGGCATGCACGGGTAGAAAGTAAAGATAGAGAAGGCGGCAAAGTTACCGAGTGTCATGGTTCGGCGTACTGTCGCGAAAGTCGAGTGGTTGGGCGCAGCGTAGTAGTACCATGACAGGAAGCTGGAAGGGGACAGTGTCAGTGTCAGAAAAGAATGTCCCTTGTGGGGGGAGGAGACAGCCAAACATACGCCACAGTGCCGGGAATATGGACAAGCGAATAGATGCGATTCAAAAAAGTCATGGTGGTCAAGTGGCCATTGAGGAACCAAGCTTGAAACTCATTCTCCCAGATGGGGAAGAGGAAACGCAACCAGGACTTGTGCTCGATGTCCAGGATGAGCACGCCGTGGTCCTGGGCCAGTTGGCGCAATCCGCCGTACCCGGAAAAGGTGACTTGGGCGACCGCTTTGGTGAGGGTGTAGAACAGGAGGTTCAAAACCCAGTAGAACATTTCAATCAGGAAGGGAAACTTGGCCAGAATCCGCGAGTGGACGTGGTCGGCGAACCGGGATGAGTTCGGGGTTTGGACGACCATACCACAGCAATCCCGCTTCTTGGGCGGGTGCTTGGACGAGGTGAAGACATCCGAGTCGGTGGATATGTACGAGTCGGAATCGGTAGAGCCATCGGGCGAAAAGTCCTGAAGGTGGCTATTGGGCAGCAATGACCGGGTCGGTGATCGTCCTCGGTGAGCATCGATGATCCGGAAGCCTCGTCGACGGTTGACCGTGAGGGACGTGATCATGATTGAGACGACAATCTAAGACTGGTCAGGATGGGAGACAACTAGGACGGTCGACGTTGGAGGGGGGGAAACATACAATGGGTTCCACCCAAGTATGGGAGGCGAATTGAGCCCCGCCCATGTTGGGCTGAGCAGCCGTGGCGGCCTCAGTGACATTGAGAGCGGGGGAGGCCATGGTTGCAGAAGGACAGCGCGGGAAGTCAGGATTCTTCGAGATGGTCTTGGATCATGAATTTCGTCGATGAGGTGCCCAAAGTGACCGTGTCGGAAGTGTCGCGTGTCCGTATCGAGAAGATCACGTGCATTCGGGGGTCCGAGCACCTTCACGTCCAAACAATCGCCGGTCGCGTGTTCGAACCGGAGGGAAAAGGAGTGACAAGACAGCAATGAAGCTTAGTGACAGCGGCAGGGAACGAACCCGCGACGGAAATGTGGGAAAAGGTTCCGTACTCAGTGGAAGTGAGGTTTCGAATCCCTGAAAAAGCTAATGGGTGTGAAGAAAGGACGTGAACTCGAGAGGGTGGTTCGTGTTGGGCGAGAGGAGGAATAAGATATTAAAAGGTGGTGAGGGAGAAACAAAAGGGAACGAAGAAAGAATGGGAGGGGGAGATGGGGATGAGAAAAATGAACGATGGGAACTGATGATGTGAGTGAGTGAGAAACACGAGAGAGGGAAAAAACAAAAAAAAAAAGAGGTGATGGCGAAGCACTGTAAGGCGAGACAAACGCCCGAACCGGCTACTGGTCGGTCTTTGGTTAGGGGATGCGCTGGGGTAGGTTAGAGGGAGACGGGCTGGCTGTTGCATTGTGGCGGTTCCAGAATTGGGGCGAATCATCAACGTCTCATGTCAGCAACGGCGATGGGGACACCACGATGATGGGAATTGGTATGATTTCGCATTAGGCAATTATTAGCCAAGTGCCCAAAGGCTGTGATTTTTCGAGAGGTAAATCAACTGCTTCAAGGGGATTAAGGCCGGCCATCACTGTCCCCATACGGAGGACCTCTGATACATCAGTATGGGTCTCGCGCAGAAGGTTAAATAGGGGGACAACTTTGCCATTACGCGTGTCAAAATCTGCCCCCATGAGGAGGGAGGAGGGAAGTGAGTGAGTGTCTTACCATGCATATACGTAAGCGTACACATTCACGGAGGACATCTGCATCCGGTTGTGTTTGCACAGTCATTCATTACTGTACCCGGAAACTAATACCTGTCTCGCCCGTAACTCTCAAAATTATGTCTTGCTGCTCGTTGCGAGGACACGGAGTCGGATGAATTTTGCGAGCACGTGCTCCGATTTTATTCTCCACGTCAGAGAAATTAGCTTCAATCACGTGCTAGGCGGCTAGACGTACGTCCTTGATCACCAGCCCGAGTCACTAGCGCCGCATTCTCGCAACAGCCCCTATCCCAGACCAGGCAATGCCTCGTCTGCGCCCATTCTGGCTCCAACCCTTACACCCATAGGATGGTCGTATTCGATACGATGCTCGTGCTTTTTCCCCTGAAAGCAGGGCATTTGGGATGGAGAAAAGATCGCAACGGGGGCCGGAGCACGCTTGAAACCTGTTGACCTCTTTTCCTCATCTACGATCCGAGTCGCGAATTTCCTTTCCCCACGACCCTATATCATCACGAGCAAATGGCAAACGGGGTGCGTCGGAACCTCCGACTCGAAGGGACATCAATAGATAAAATACCTGTTGTCACATATCTTCTCAATTCTTTGGTACTGTATGTATATCTAGGAAAAGAATCACGGAATGTCCGGATTACCCAGACCATCTCCTGGAGGTCGTATGCAAACCAAATACTGTCCATGATCATGCATCATCCAATATGCCCCCATCGAATCCATACTTGCCGTGTCCATCTTCTCACGGTTCTAGAAACTCTCCCGAGACAAATCGCCGACTGTCCCGAAATCTTCCCTTGGTGGCCTTGTTGCTCATGAGTTTTCGAGGGCTTCGCATTCCATCACCGCCGGGAGCCCGCAAGATCATTGGCAGAGCGTCCAGGACTCGTTTGTTGCCCTCAAAGTAATGATTGACAAACCCCCCTCCCAAAAGCCGTCGAATGGCGTTCAACCGCATGAGTTTCCACCACTTGTCCACGCGCATCTCTCCCTCACGATGAATTCGCACGACCATCTTGGAGGAATTGCTGGCCTGGAGTCCTCGTTTCGGATTCTGCACCGTCAATGAAATGCTGGAGAAAGATTGGTGCAACAATCTCTTGTCCCTGCGGTTCATCGATTTGGTGCTCAGGGAGGCCAGCGCCGTCACCTTGTCCAACACTTCATGGGCGTTGTGGTAGGCGTTGTATCGTTTGACAAGGTCGGACGTATCTCGCGCGGCCGGCAATTCATCTGACGAACCCGTCTCGTCGTCGTCTCCCGATGACATGGCTTCATCCTCTTCTCTGGGCGAGTAGCTTTTCTCGTACAGCAAGGCAATGTCTTCCCCCGCTGCCACTTGAACCTTGACGTTGTCCGCGTCCAATTGATCCAGAAACGTGGCCACGGCGTCTTCCGATTCGTACTCGACGTCGTCCACTTGGGTGGTCAGGAATCCATATGTGTTCAACGCTGCCGCAACCACGTCGGCGTCGTCATCGGCCCCGATGAATGCACCATCACTCGAGGCAATTTCCAGCAAAAAGGTCATGACATCCATGATTTCTTCATCTCCCGCGCCGCCGAACGAAATACATATTCCGATGGAGTAGATGGCCGCCGCTTTGACGACGGGGGATTGTGAATCGGAGATGGACCGTTTCAACAACGCAGAAACCGCGTCATAGAGTGTATGGTCAGCGAATGTAATGGCGGTGAGGGCCATCGCCCGCAATGCCAGCGTGGTTTCTTTCTCGCTCGTTTCCGCCTTGATACTCCGACTGAATGCGGTGAGCAGCTCGGAGACTCGGCCATACAAGACTTCGGCGAGATAGTGCGAGGTCAGACATTTGACATAGGTGGTTAGAGAATCTTCCCGGCTCTTGGTGCTGCTGCCCTTTCTATCTAGAAGATCAGAGATCGCGTCGCCAAGATCTTGTCGGAGGACGTCCGTCGTTTGCTCATTGAAGTCGTCGCTTTCGAGGAGGGCGTCGATCGAATTGATACTATGGAACACATCGGTCAGCTTTCTCTGAGATGTCCACGGGGTGAGCGGGACGCAGCGCCTTCTACCTCGGTGTGGTATCATCGCTCAAATTTCCATTTCCGGCGTCTTCCTCATCAGACACATCTCTGCTCTGGACTCGAGATGCGACGCGGGAATTAGCGGCTGAGTTGCCTCGAGAACTTCCGCGTGACGATTGTTTCGATTTGGCCCGGTTGGACACCGTCTTGCCACTTTCCAGAGCTCTTCTGCGCAAGTCTTCATGCATAATGCCCGATATTCAGGCTGGAAATCGTCCTGTCGAGGATAATCAATTGATGGCCCACCGTCGCTTTGGTGAGAGGCAATGAACGTGTGGATGATGCCAACTGACGCGAGTGTGCTGTCACCCTTTGGGAAGAGAGGCTCGATATGACAAATGGTGCGGCGGGAGTCGTTGAATTTCCATGTGGAGAGGATTCACGGACTTATAGAGGATCGGACGTGATGGTTTGAGAGGTCAAGTAGAAATCACAATAACAGTATACCAGTGTACCATGAATATAATGAGAGGGGAACACCGGGAGCGGTGAATAATAAAACTGGGTGTGGGAGTACTTGGCCGGCACATGCACTGAGGTTTTCAGCCACTGACGAGTCATACTACCTGGGAACGGCACAACCCGGGAAACCACCTTGTCCTCTCATCCGCTTGGGCCCCATGACGGCAAATCATCTACCGTCGTGCGCTTTGGCCTCCAATCATCTCGTCGAAAATGGACGTGAGGCACTTGGCCCATGTTTTTCTTGGATTTCCTCGTCGAAACCGAGGTTTCGAACGCCAAGTCTCTTCACAGATGCTCGGTTTCCTAGTCTCCTATCCGAGCTCGTGTGATTCAAGGATCGACGCGTTTCATGGCAATGAAATGAGATTGCGGTACTTAATGAAAACAAGCCTATCCCCCCTTGACCCCCGCGCCGATTCAGCCTGATCCAAAAGCCTTTCCTTTACTTGCTCCATAATCCTTGGCACTTGGTCACCATTCATCGGAGCATCGTTTTCTTACCGTGCTTTGGCAAGCTGAACTGATTTCTTGTAGTTGTGCGAGAACTACACTCGTTTGTCAAGGCCACCATGTCCACCCCATCCTTCACTTGGCCACTGAGCGTTGAGCTTCGTTCAAAAAGTCCTCGTCACTGGCATTCAGAATATCGTATTCCTCATCGGTCAAGAATCCATCCTCATCGCTCTCGGACTCTTCAAGCTCAAGACTCTCGACATCCTCAAACAATTCTTGTTCTTCGGTTTTGGTGGTGGGCTCCATCACGGCCGCGGGTGCTTCTTCCGCATGTTGTTCGCTGATATCGTTGACGCTAGAGCGGGGAGACTCCTTCTCGAGCTTCGGGAAAATCATGGTGGAGCTGTCTGGCGACCCGTCTTCCTCCTTGGTATCCGTAACTGGCTCCACTCTAGCGGGAGCAGGGTTCAAAACAGCAGGTCGAATCGGCAACTCAACAGGAGTGGAACGAACTTCAATATCGACCCAGAGCTTGTGGCCGAATGGTAGACCCCCAGGAGTTTTGAGACGCCAGTACGAAATAGCTCGTCCCTCGCGAGCGGGAGACTTGAGGAGAACAGTGAAGACCGCAGTCTTGCCCGGCTCGAGGCTGGTCTCGAGAACATTGCTGCGATTGGCCACGGTCATGGTACTCACACTGGACGGGTGAAGAGCATCGAGATTGCGCATGTCATCTCCACCGACATAGTACACAGCACAGCCGGCCGGCCAGGCCTCGGGACCCGGGTTGCGGAGGGTCCAGGACTGAGAGACCAGATGATTCGGAGCGATTCTGGTCCCATCTGGAGTAGAGTCCGACATGTACCAAGCTTGCAGATCGTTGGGCAAGGGCTTGCTCGACATGACATCGTTGGCCTTTGGAGTTTCCACCAGAGCTGGCACGTGGTCCGCCGGGTCGACCTCGGCCACAGTTTGCACCTGGGTCGCGGCATTGGCGGAAGTCGACCGGGTCGTTTCTGTAGCGGCATGTTTAGCCATGGGTCGGTCTCCTAGCTGGGCGATCTTGACACCATTTTCTGTCTCTTGCTGGGTAGTAATAGAGACATGGCGGATGGGGATCTTGATCTTGATCAATGGGTGGGATGGATTATGGCCGTTGTTGGGCAATGCTTCACAATTGGCGCAGAAATCGGTGTCGTGGCAAACGGCGCACTTGTATCGATCGCCAGTGATGTAACGGTTGTAATTGGTGCACAGTGGTCCGTCACAGTAGATACCACGGTGGCTCGGCTTGGGAGCACGAATGTTCTGAAGAGGAACATAAATCGGTGCAAACCGGTGTCCGGGATGCTTCTCGCCGGCCGAACGAACACAAGTTGAGCAATAGTCAAAGTCAGGGCAGCCCAAGCATTTGTGACGAACACCAAAGATACCCTTTTTATCTCAACTGTCAGTCAGATGCACTACGCCAAACGCCGCGGATCCAACGTACCTGCTCGCAGCCGTCGCAAATGGCTTCGTGGCGAACCCCTCGTCCAGGTGCACAGAGAGTTTTGATGACCGGCTCGACCATCCGCTCTTCAGTTTCCTGAGGCTCAAAGGCATGTGAAGGGTCGTGACCATGTTCACCCTCTCGGAAACAGGCTAGGCAGAGGTCAAAGTCGGGGCAGTCCTGGCAAGTCACGAAATTGTGTGCGGGCAACACTACAGATATGATTCAGTCATGATCTAGAATGGGCTGATCTCCGGCCGACTTACAGCAGATGCACGAGTTGCAAGTCCGTTCACCGTCATCCTGTTCTGGGCTGGTCGGTGGATTCAAGTCATCGGATGAGCGAGCGGTAGCCGTGGACAGCTTCTTTGGAGGGAGAGTCTCCGTGGTGCTGGGAATGACTACTCCGTTGCGGATAGTTCTCTTGAGGAGCCAATGCTCATCGCCGTCGCAGGTCACTCCAGAATCAATACATTCCTGGCAGAGATCAAAGTCACCATTCTCACAGATACCGCAATGGTAGTGCTCGTTGGGGACAGACTTGCCGCAGTGATTGCAATCAATGCTGTACGAAGTGGAGGGGAAGTCGTTCAGCGAAGGCAAGGTGGGAAGACTGAAAGCATCGCCGTGGCCGTCCTTGGGACCATGAATGACAGGGTCGAGACCTGAATTGTTCAGGTCAAAGGCGCCGGGAACGGCACAAGTTGGGGAATACGGCAAGTTCTTCTGGAAGGACTTGAATGAGGGTGCAGAGCCGTTGGCCAGAGGCTGAGACAGGACCGTGTCGAGGAAGCTCTGCCTCGGCCCCGATGCGGAGCCCGGGGAAGCATCCTTCAAGGTGTTCTTGACTCCAGACTGGTCCTCCTCTTTGATGTTGCTGTCATTCGATTCCCTCTGGCCCGGCGTTTCGAGCGTGGCCCTCAAGCGCAGCTTGAGTTTGGCCTTGGCTGCCCGGTACAATTGCTTGTAGATGGCCGGATTGCTGCTATCGAGGGTAATGAAGGCGCCGGCAGAATCCGAGAATCGATCAAATCGAACTTCCTGCTCCGGAGGAATAGCGAGCAAGAAACGAAGCTTGTAGATGAGAGAGTTAGCTCGGTTTCAACGTCGGGGATTGCGGTATTGGGAATTGAGCTAGTTGGCAGAGGAGTGTTAGGCTGACCAGGCACAATTCATACCTTTTGGGGGAGCACGTTGGCACCAAGATCACGAAGAGCAAGTTTGAATCTTCGATTTGTTCCGTCGATGATTACTTTGACCGTGATTAAGGTGTCAGGACCAACAGTGCCTATGTGAGGATGAGGAGCTGCCATGATCGGTGATAAGGGCTTAGTTAGGCGGTGTCGAGCAGGTTGAACGGATGGGGATTGCCGGTAGGCCCAAAGAGGAGACGTTGAGATTAGATCAGAAACCTCAAGAGGAAGAAAAGCATGGATAAGAGAAAGTACCTGGGACACCTCTCTTCAAGATCGAAATGGGTGAAGGAGGACCGAGATGAAGGTGGATAGAAGGGCAGGTTGGTGGTCGGGGTGGTGGTGGTAGAGCAACAGGCACGGCGGGAGAGGTGCGAGGAAAAGAATGACGGATTGCCCGCAGCCTAGTCCCACTGAATGTGAATGAGCAAAGGATTGCGGGCGGGGAAGTCTGAGGACCAGAGCCTAAGCCCAAGCCGAACCTCACTTCGGCGCACAAGCTATGAACCACAGAATAGCGCAGTCTGACACACAGGCAAAGTTTCTCTTCGCTTTTTGAGGGGGTGTGGTCAACAGCAGTCGCCTCGTCAGACTGGTAAATTGGTGGCAAGTCAAGTTACGCCGCAGGCTCCCACCATTCACCTGATCACTCTCACCGGTCACCTCAACTTCACACAATCTCGGACCTTGGTTTGGTTTGCCTCATGACTACGGCAGGACAAGAGAAAAAAACGGGGGATATCTCAGTGATCCATTGCTTGACGACCCCCAAACTCCCGCTCTCCGAGGCTACTAAAACCTCGTTGACCGACGCCGGTCTCAGCGAATCCAGCCTCGCACCAAACACCGCAAAACGTAACCACAACCAATCGATCAATAAAATATGTGATCCGGAAATCAGCCTTGAGCTTTTCCTTTTCGAAAGTCCGTTTGCCCCGCCTGAGCCAACTCTGTCCCAAGGTCTCTCTCTAACAAGTCCACCTGAGAATCTCTTTTCAAACCACGAGATATAATGTACATACCGGATATATGATGAGGGATATCTCGAAGCCATGATGCGGAACACTAACCAAAAATGGCGTCATTTTGACCCCCTTTGCAGATCGACAAACCTGCTCACTCCCCAAATGCAAATTTACTCCCATAACCGGCGCTAATCAAACCAAATCGGACGTATTATAAAAGGAAAAAAAAAAAATGCGTTGGCCGGCAAAGATAGATCATTCAGGCTGTGCCGGGTAGAACATTCCATTCGGAACGGAAGGATAGTAGAAGGGTGTTTGAGGAGGCATTCCGTTGGCCATGGCCACCATGGTACCATTTGTAGCAACAGGGAATGGCTGCAGCCCGCCTTGAGTATCCGGTGTGAAGACAGGTGAGTTGTAGTAGTAGACCATGCCATTGGACTCGTGGGCCACCATGTTGGAGGGAATGCTGCTTTCCACCGGTGCTGCAGCAGGTAAATAACCAACTGGGTGCGATTGCGAGCCTGGAATGAAGTTAGGTGCTAAGACGGGGCCAGTCATCGGAACTCCAAAAGAGCTACCATCAGCCGGGGGTGGATAGAAAACTGCTCCGGTATTGTAAGGCGTTCCAAAGTAGGTTGGTCCGCTCATGACGGGATATGGTTGAAAGCCTTGAGCAAAAACGGCCCCTTCGGGTATCTGCGAAAGTGGCGTTGCTCCAGCCATTCCAGTCACGGTTTGACCAGGCTGAGTTGCTTTCTCGTCCGCGTAGGAATTGGAAATGTGAGCTGGGACTTGCTGGTGGAACGGCTGTTCTTGCTGTTGTTGAGGGGCTTTGAATTGAAAAGAGGCTGGAGATTCAATATCGGCGACTGATACAGTTTTTTGAGGCCTGGGCTGATGCATGGGAATCGTAGTCGAGTGGCTTCCATACATTGCAGGAGGCTGCATATGCGGTGGTGGGGGGGGTGGTGGCACATTCATTCCAATCTGTCCATTCATAATAGGCATTCCCGTCCTTGAAAGAGATGGTGTAGGAACTGCTGATGGCATTCGAACAATCGGTCGGGTACTGTCCGTGCCGGTAAAAGCCATGCGAGAGATGACGGACTCTGACGGAGACCTTATACCATCTCTCATGGTAGACGCACCGATGGAAGACTTTCGGCTCATGGCAATACTCGAAGTGTAGGCGCTGCCATAGAGGCTTGGTCGGCGGCTTCCTTGAAAACTTCCTCTCCCACGGCCACGATAAGATTGCTGATTCGGACGCAACGCTCGGGGAATGAAAATAAATGATCTTTCAGTGCTGGGGAAAATATATCGAACCGGTTCGTCGGGAATGGAGACACGAACGGGTTTATCTCGTCTCAAGGGCGGGCGATGCTGCGGGAGCAAGGTATATTGCTTCTTCACAACATTGGGGATCGACAATTTCTGCTCCATGCCCGGGAGATATATTTGAACGGTGACATTTCCAAGCACTGTCGTAAATGAAAAGGACCTATTTGGAGCGGTTGACCCTGATGACTTTGCATTTTGTTCGTTTTCCGAGCCAGGCACGTCTTTATCTTGAGGCTGTTCGGGTTTCAGCGGCATCTCGTGGTCTTCGTGTAGGTCATGAGCCCATGGTTTGTCGGTAGGCTCATTGAAACTCACGCCGCGTCTGGTGGTGATCAGTAACATGAAACAATGCTCCGCAGGGTTGGGCATCTTACCCTGGGTGGGCTGGGAACCCATAGCCTCTACCTCTTCCCCGTACGAAAGGTCTGGCATTAGGTCTCGTCGATGGCGAGTTGCGATCGTCGTGGAGAAAGAATCCGCCTCTGGTCGGGACAAATGCGGGATTGGTGTTCCGCTGTCTGATGTATTCCAGATGCTCCCGACGGCTCTTTTGCGCTGCAGTCTCGTGTCGGGGTGCTTTGGGAACAACAACCTCCGTCTTTGCAACACCAGCGTCTGCCGGCGCAGCCAGATCGTCGAAGTGGATCACCTCCGTCTCTTGCGACTTTTCAGTCTGTCCAAGCCCGTGTAGCATAGCTTCTGTATCAGCAGAGGCTTTGAATGCACCATGGTGTTTTGAGACAGCCTCAACCGACAGCACTGCATCTCTCTCTCGTTGTAAAGCAGTTTCTGTTGTGTCGGTGGTGTTCTTGACGGACTCGTGCTCGTCTCCACTAGAATCGCTCTCGTCGTTTTCTGCTTCATCATCGCCATTACTGACCGCGGAGCCTTCGCTCAGAGAGTCGTCTTCAAAGTCCCCCACCACAGACCCTTCGTCCTCTCCATCATCTTGTCGCCGCCGTCTGCTGGCGAGGAGGGTTTTTCTTCGGGGCGCAGGCATAGTTCCGGGGGATGAAGAACTTCCGGTGAGCTGGGTAAAGCACGATACAACAATACACACAAAGGCACTCAGAAGACAGAAGTGTAAATCATTCTCGGTAGTTCGACGACACGAGTTTCGGCCCGACGATGCGAGGACGATTTGTTTTCTCGAACAACAAGGATTGGATTTAGAGAAGCATCATTTCGAGGATGGAGCCGGACACAAGCAACATGGGCCAGGATATTGATGGTAGGTGGGCACTGACCTGGAGGTCAATAAAATTGCAGACAAGAAAGACACCTCTTGCGTTCACAGAAACCGTCTTTTTCGGGCTGGTGTTCACTTGAAGGCGAAAACGGAAGCCATTGCCCCAGATTTTCGTCACGGTCACGGGCAACCGCCAAGCGCATCGGGCTCGCTAAAGCATAAAAAAGTAACACCACCGTCATTCGCTACTGGTGGGAGGCTAGTAACACAATCTGTACTTGTACACTCAATCTCGTGCTTTTTCATTCTGTCATGTGTTTTAGATGCTACTTGGATCAAAACGCCCCCTTTGAGCTCATTCTGAGACATGAGCTGATGAAATTATACTGGCGAGAACAACGGGCTTGAATTTGCCTATTCAAACACGGTCCGTTGACCTTTGCTCTCGACAATCGCCCCGGTCAACCTTTGGACCGTCTCCTCCGTGTATTTTCCACCATGCTTCCGTGCGTTCTTCCGCCTGACAGCGACCGGCTTTGGTTCGTCTTTCACTTCCATCATGGGTTCATGAGCAGCGCCTTCTCCTCCGTCGCCAGACTCCACAGATTTTGCATTCTTTCCAAATCGTTTTTGGTATCGGGTGGCCTTGTCTTCAGCATACTCCATCCTCAATTTTCTGCCGTTGAGCTTGTGTAACCAGATCCCCTGTTTCGACCACTTCTCAGCCGGAATGGGTGGTTCTCGCCACCCTCGCATTGCAGCCTCTGCCGAAGCCGCCTGTTCAAAATCTATCCAAGCATACCCTTTGCACTTCCCGGTGTCTTCAAAGGTGGCCATATGAGTGTGCGAAATCGACCCACAGGCGCCAAAATGCGTTTCAAGATCCTCCACGGTGGTGTTGAAATCGAGGTTGCCAACGAATATCCGCTTGCTTGGAGGGTTTGTCGGTGCGTCATCCGTGCCTTTCTTCGGCTGTGGTCTTCCTTCAAAATCTTTGGCATTCTTGATTAGCACCCGGCGGCCACCGAGTAGGGCTTCGCTGAATTGTAATGCACGATGAAGGGAGTCTTCGTCCAGGAAGTCGATGTAAGCAAAACCCTTATTGGTTGCTTTGCCAAACTTTGGCGGACCTTGAGGTAGATGAACTCTCGTAATGTGATCTTTCTCAATAATATTCTCTGAATCACCCGTCAAAAATTTGACGAGATCGTCCTTGGTGGTGCTGAATGATAAGTTGCCGATCCAAATTCCATACGGAGATCTCTTGCCGTGGATTGAATCATTTTCCGTTGTCAGTTTGGCACGCTTCGACTTGCGCAAAGCCTTTTTCGAAGAAGGCTCTGGTGCGTCGATATCAATCTCAATCTCTGCCGCTTCAGCATTTCGTTTTCGATGTTTTGTCCCCGTAATGCTCATTGTGCTTGTCTCAATGCTCGTTTCTCACAGTGTGGCAGTTGGATTAAGGTCTCCTGGTAGGTCAGCAGCAACGAAAAAAAGTGATTTTGTTAAGATTTCGTTCCTCGCGGATATCAAATCCGTTCGCTCCAGGCTAACCCACAACCTGATAGGCTATAACGCGCAAGGGATTCGCTCCCCCTTGTCTCTATCATCAGCCGCTCACTTTGTTTTACTACAGCTCCTTTCATACATTTTTGTGACTCCGCTCTTTACCGTGTCATCTATCTCTCCGTTGAACTTCTCTCCATGGCTTCCACAGACCCTCTCGAGGTGCCGGAGGTGGCTGAGCAACCGAATCCCCTTGAGCAACCTGCTGCTTCGAAAAAGTCATATAGGTAACCTTTTCCGGATATTTTGAGTGGACCCTGTCCGATCTCACTGCTTCCTAGACGGAAATATCGCAAGATCATGGTCTCATTCGAAGAAAAAATGAGAGACAACTCTGCATTATTCAAGGAAGAGCAAAGGATCCTCGACATATCACAAAGACTGGCTGAGCAGACCGAGTAAGGTTGGAGATGGTTCATATTGCCTCTGCTAATATCACCTTCAGTCAAATGCTTCAGCTGCTGGTTGATCTCAACTCCTGCCCTCAAATCCCCCCCCGACTTCGGTACGACCTCGCCGCTCCTGGAGATCGAATCTCAACGGATGGAAGCTTGATACAAGTGGACGGCGAAGAAGAAGGCCACCTGGATCTGCGGAAAGCGAGAAATCAACTGCAACGAGGAGAGATTGACGCGGTCAGATACAGGGAGATTGAAGCTGGACTTCTCAGGACGGCAGCATTTGCGCCCGGTCGTTCGTATTCATCCCTACTCGACGCCGCGCCTCCTCCCAATCAATCAAACGGAAGCCATGGCCTTCCGAGTGGGTTCTTGTCGACCAAGCAAGAAGAGCAATATTTGCAAGGATTGGACGCATTTCTAGACGGCGCCACCACGAATCCCCGGTCGCACGCTGCGAACAGCTTGGGCAACCGAAGTATGGACAAAACCACCGAGCGCGAACGCGAAACACAGCTCAAAAATCCTGTGTCAGTCTACAACTGGTTACGAAAACACCAGCCTCAAGTATTTCTACAGGACAATGAACCTAGCACTGAAAAGGCAACCCGAACCACAGGCTCCCGAAGTTCTACAAGAAAGTCAACGACCAAAGAAGCATTCAAGCAGGAACAAGACTTTTATGACGATGATGGTATTGCAATAGAGATCGAGTCATCCTCGAGAGGGAAGCGAAAACGAGACAACGATGGCGGCTATCGACCCAAAGGAGGAAGTGCACGAGGCACCAAGCGAAGAAGGGAGTTAAGAGAGGATACCGGTCGTAGCAAACGGGTAAAGAAACTCTCAGTCGACGCGAGATAGGCCACATGCTCGAACTTTGAGGGATATTACCTGACTACTAGCACGCGGTGAATGACCTGCGCTTTCTGAGACCATTCCATAACATTCTCAAATAGGAGAGAGGCTGAATTTTCACGTGGCCCCAGGCTGGATGATCCCGTGTCTAATGGCCCATATTAGTGTGGTATCATCTACAGTGACTGGTCAGGCTTTTATCATCACGCCCGAAGCAAAGCCGGAAAAATCCTCAGCTACATAAAAGTTATGTCAGAAGTGCTTGCCCATCGGTGGGTTGGAGGAGAGGGAGGCCGGGCCGGGCGGTTTCATGAACATTCGTGCCCTTATTTTCTCGGCAAGTTGCCTTACCATTCTCCGATACTACTTACGGGGTTACTTTTTTCCCTGGTCCTTCCGGACACGAGCAGGCTGACTCGCATTTCTTCAAGGCCGGATGCGCCCGCAAACGCGTCCAAATACAGCAGTTTCGTGATTGTTCTCCTTCATATCATGTCCTTGAATAACGAACGGCCCAAGTTCGCATGAAAGGTTGGGTCGAGACTCTCTACCCTTTTCCTCCATGGCTGGCCTTGAGCAGATTGAGGTGCATTCCAGGGTGCGCTGACACCACCATGTTTACGGTTTTTGGGTACATGATCGCTAACTCGCAAGCCACACTTTAGAATTACCTCGTGCGCTGGGTGAATGTCAAACAAGAACATACAATCTCCTGGACAATTCAACCTCACAAAAAATCCATCAACTTCGGATTGTTCAAGCATCCAGGACCGTTGTCCCCTCTCCATTCCTCCTCGACGTCGCTGCCTCCTTCTTCACCCAATCCTTCCGCTGCCGACGAGGACAAACTCGACAATCACTCCACCGCGATTGAGAAATTGACCGGAATTGGACTCAAACAAATTCGGTGGGTGGGCAAGTGCGAGGCCGACAAAGTATCGCAGGGCAAGTATGATGTACGCCGGGGTGAGGCCGGTAACTATGCTCTGGTCTTCGACAATACATTCTCCAAAAGTATCTCCAAGACAGCCACGGTTTTCCTCTTCACCTACCCTACAGCATGTCAGTCGCAAATTCAATTCGGTGCCCAACTGCACCACTCTCAGGCCATGGCCTCCGCCATGGCCACCGCCTCGGCTTCTTCACAAATTTTCAAGAGAAGTCCCAAACTCAAGGCCAGGGACAAGGAATCGGTCGACTCGCTGAGACAAGCATCCATGAACCATCCGGTTCCAGGAAGCACGGCGGCCGCGCCTGAAGGGCCCAAGGCGGCAGAAGAACCTGCCTCCATTCACACCGGAGTTTTGCAGAAACGAAGAAGGAAGAAGCATCAAGGTTATGCGCGAAGATTCTTTTGCTTGGACTACACGTCGTCCACGCTATCCTACTATCGCGATCGGAATTCTTCAGCTCTTCGAGGGGCTATTCCACTGTCATTGGCCGCCATTGCAGCAAACGCCAAATCCCGTGAAATTTCCATCGACTCAGGGGCGGAGATATGGCATCTGAAGGCGAATAATGATGCAGATTTTGGGGCTTGGAAGACCGCATTAGAGAACGCCGCACGTCTCATGCTCGAATCCACCACCCCTGTGGATCATATACATGTTGAGACGGGCCATGAAGCTCCCGTTGAGAAGACCAGCCCGTTCGACGAGCAGGAGTGGGCAAGACTAGAAACACTTCTGAGTAGAATATCCGGCACACGAGACGCGGTGAGGAGGCTGTGTTTGGACACCCTCGCTCAGCCATTGCCTCCTCCATCCCCTCGACCCGGTTCCACTTCCACCAGTACAACACCCACCGACGGACCGAGTGAGGACTACTTCAAACAAGAGGAAAGGCGACCCTTTTGGAAACGAAAACCCAGTGCGAACAATAGTCAGACGAATGTCTTTAAACGAAGTGTCTCTGCCCAGCTCGCCGTTCCGGTTCCGGGTGGTGTCGAGCCTCTTCTACGTAATGGAGTTTCTGCCCCTCAAGGAACTCCCGTCATGCACCGGCCTCATCTTCATCACGAAGAAAGCATGTATGATCACTGTATGGCATTGCTACATGACCTTGATTCGGTGGTGGGGGAATTCTCGACGCTCATGGCGGAGATCAAAGTCCGCCGGACGACGCCACCGAAGTCGGCGGTGTCGAGAATGAGTCTCCGGTCGGTTGAATCGCAGGAATATTTTGATGCGGAAGATAGTTCCCGACTCCTCAATATCCACAGCGACACGGATCACGAAGGCATCGACGAGGCAGGAGAGGTGGAAGATTCTGCTACGAGTAGTGACATTGGCGAGGATTCTCTCGACGTCTTGAAGAGGCGATCAGGAAGTGTGTCATCATACCTCCCTCCGCGAGCCAAGTCTTTGACGCCCTTGCCGTTGGACCCAGTCCACCGAAGGAAGTCGATTGCAGCGCCGACGATCATGCCGCCTAGTCTGATCGGATTTCTCCGGAAGAACGTGGGCAAGGATTTGTCGACCATTTCGATGCCGGTGTCGGCCAACGAACCGCTGTCACTTCTCCAGCGAGCGGCCGAGCAGCTGGAGTATTCTCAAACCTTGGACCGTGCCGCCAAGTGCACGGATGTATACGAGCGATTGATGTATGTGACGGCGTTCGCCATCGCATCTCTGTCCAACACGCGAGTCAAAGAGCGATCAATCCGGAAACCCTTTAATCCAATGCTGGGAGAAACGTATGAACTGGTGCGAGAAGACCGGGGTTTCCGATTTATTGCCGAGAAAGTGTCACATCGACCCGTGCAGCTCGCATTCCACGCGGAGTCCTATGATTGGACCTTTGCTCAGTCACCCTTGCCTTCACAGAAATTCTGGGGGAAATCGTCCGAGATCGTCATGGAGGGCAAAGCCCGATTACTCCTGCACAATACCGGGGAGGTGTTTAGTTGGTCGGCAGCGACCTGTTTCCTGAGAAATATCATTGCCGGCGAGAAGTACGTGGAGCCGGTCGGGACCATGACCATCTTCAATGAAACTTCTGGGCACAAGGCGGTCGTGTCTTTCAAGGCCAAAGGAATGTTCTCCGGTCGTGGTGAAGAAGTGGAGGTCCAAACGATCAATGGTCACGGACAAGAGTTGTCCGTGGGATTGACGGGAACCTGGACGAATTCACTTCAGTTGAAGGAAGCTGGGAAACAAGGTCAGTCGACGATCTGGTCGGCCGGGCCCTTGGTGGGGGATGCTCCCAAGCATTACGGAATGACTCTGTTTGCAGCCGAGCTGAATGAGATGACCGAGATCGAGAAAGGAAAGCTGCCTCCGACCGACAGTCGGCTGCGACCAGATCAACAAGCATTGGAAATGGGCGACCACGATCGGGCAGAAGAAATGAAGAATCAACTGGAAGAAGCACAACGAGCCCGGAGAAGAGAGATGGAGGCGAAAGGAGAGACGTGGAAAGCTCGGTGGTTTACCAAGGTCGAGCTAGGCGATGAAGTCGTCTGGAAGTTGAAAACGGGCAAGGAAGGGTATTGGGAAGAGAGAGCCCGAGGCGAATGGACAGGCGTAGTACCTGTTCTTGGAGCGTGACCACGGGCGTGATTGTGATGGATGACACTGTACATATCCGGTTGGTTGCCGGTTAGAACCACGCTAGAGTCTCCAAAACGTAGAGATTTATACTATATAGGGAGGTGGTTGGGACATGCGCTCAAGACAGGTTATCTTTAATCTTTCCCATATCGACATGGTCCAGGAGGGAGAATGATAACGATGATTGACCTCATCTCTGCTATTTCTGGCCCCGTTTGCCCGCGCCTGATACTAGTTGTCGGCGGTCGAACAGCCTTGAGTGCCGTTCTCAAAGCTGTCTCCCAGTACCAATAGCAGCCTCTTCCGTCCCACGTTTTTTCCCTCCCGTTTCCTTTCTCGGCCATCCGGGATATCGACTTCATCTGGACTTTGTCGGCTTTCCTGGTCTCGAATTAACGGGCCTGAGTTGAGATTGCGGCAAACCATGGAACTCAAAATGCATGCCATTTCCATTCACACCCACCTTTTCGTCCCTTTCTCTCTATCCTCGCTCCATCCCCGCCCTCTCTACTGTGTGGCCCCAGATATCCACTTTCAACTGAGGTTTTCTCTGACCGTATCATTTTTATTCCACTTCTAGCCTACCTGCGATTTCGTTTGGACAAGTTTGCCGCGCTTGTCCAGCCTCACAGCACCCATTTACCTCGCTCCTCTACCACTTTTTCCATCACCTTCTCTGTCACCTCCTCCGCCACCGCCACCGGCTCCGTCGCCTTCGACCGAACAAAATTCAAACTCGGTATCAAATCCATGGAACCGGCCTGGATGGCGTACTGAATCCCATCATAACCATTTTGATCGTCTTTGCCAGTATGGCTCTTACAAGATTACCCACCCTCGGACAACCAAACCATACTGTCATCAACAATTTCTTATGACAATGAAGGAGATATCTTATTCGTAGCCTCTGTTTCCTTTCAACCACCCTAGCGCGCGCAACACCTGAGGATATCAACATTCCCCCGAGGAGGAGAAATGTCTGATCCCCGTCCCCTTACGACTCCAAGCTCGGTACCCGCCGCCGAATCTGGTGCTCAGCCTGGTTATCCCAACACATCGGTGCTCACCCCTCCAACCTCACCTCGACAAAATCGATCGTCGTCCAATATCTCAAACATTGCTCTACCCTTCTCCGCTCCTCATGCACAGCCTATCGCATCACCGTTGAAATCACGGGGTGGGAACCTCGACCCTATCCAAACCAACATCTACCATCGGCACTCCCCAGCCGAAACACGAGTCCCTCATTGCCCCTTTGAGATCCGAATTCTCAAAGACCATCAAGACAGAGACGCCATTTTTGGCACCGGCGCTTGGAGCGTCGTCTACAAAGGCACCACGCATACCAAGGCGAGCACGATCTCCGGGTCGTTGACTCCACCTCAATCCCCGACTGTCACCACGCCTGTGCTCGTCGCCGTGAAGAAACCGGCCCGACGTGACGCAACGACCGTTCTGGAAAGCGAAGCCCAAGTCCTCCAATATCTGCACACCATCCCCGAGAGTGAAAAGTACATTGTGCCCTTCTACGGCGTCATCGACGAAGCAACCCTCATTCTCGAGGCCCTTCCATTTTCCCTAGAAGACCACATCCGCAAATGCGCCGTTGCCGCTTCCCACACCCTCTCCACCTGGACCATGAGCGAACCTATCATCGGAGGCTCAGCGAAATGGCTCCACCTCGCCAAACAGCTCATCTCTGCACTCGCTTGGCTCCACACCGAAGCCGAAGTGGTTCACGGTGACATCAAGCCCGGAAACATCCTCCTCGCGTATATCCGTGGATCATCAGAGCACGACGTCGACCGCGGCCTCACCTTTGAGCCCGTCTTCGCCGACTTCTCATCCGCCCAGCTCCTGAATAGAGACGAGACGACGCCTAACACGCTCTCCGCCCTCACGAGGGAATACACGGCGCCGGAACTCCTGAGCTCCAAAGTTCTTCACGACCCCAGTGCCACCGCCACTACGGCCTCGGATGTGTTTTCACTCGCGGTCACGCTACTCGTAGCCGCCACGGGCCAAATGCTGGTGTACCCTGGAAGTGTTTTCCAACGACAGGCAATGGCGACGCAAGGGTGGTTGGTTCTCAACCATATCCGCAATGGCGAGCAGGGCGCTAGAGTGCCGAGAATGGGCATCGTGGAGAGGGTCGTGGAACGAGCCGTCCTCAAAGCCGATATGGGTCGGGTGAATGCTCAGCAGTGGTGGGAGATTGTGGAAGGCGTGGGTAAAGGGGAGCCGATGAAGCTATGATTCCCGGCCGAGGGGATCACATGGAAAACGGAATCAAAAATAGATTGTGTGCCACCCTCGTCCGTGGAGCCTGGCTACTGGCATGGGGGCCACAACAAGCTACTCTCGTTCTGCTCCATTCTAAAATTTTGGGGAGTTGGCTCAACTTGGGTTGGGTTCAAGACTGTTTACGTGGGTGGTGTCGGTCTCACCAGTCTGTACAGTATATGTACCTGTCCCTATTCACGAGAGCCCCGGAAAAGTTCCCAAACTTGAAAAATTTCTACGACTTCGTCAATCAGATGAAACTTTTCCTTCCTATACTCATTGAATTGGAGTTCATCATCAGGTCATGCCGTCCAACTACACTCCATTGTGGTCGTCAGCTTTTAGCTTCGATGTCCGTCACATCCGAGTTGGGGACCGGCGTCTTGGTCTGGGAGAGCATCTTCTGGTGGAATTTCCATGGTGATCATGGTATTCAGGAACGAGGTGCCCCAATTGACACTATTACCGGCCACGGAGTCAGTGCTAAAATTCCGCCGATCATGGTGGGATAAAGCCCGTCCAGGTACACATCGACGCCCTGTGGAGATGGGGATATAGAGGGGATTGAATAAATCCGCTCACCTTGTCCATTTATCCACCACTTTGATGATCTCGCCATGTCGTCTCTCGCGCTCTTCCATCGGCATGTTCAACACTTGATTGATCCTTTCCGCGAACCGAGGTGTATCCCATGGGTTGAAGACCACGCACTCGGGCAGCGTCTTAACGGCACCCGCGTAGTGCGACATCATCAACACCCCCTTCCGTTGCTCCTGGCAAGCGGCGTATTCGTAACTCACCATGTTCAACCCATCGCGGACCGAGGCGATGATGCACACGTCCGAAGCGGCATACAAGGCGCACAGTTGTTCTGGCGACACGGATCTGTAGAGGTAGTGAATCGGGGTGTGGGAGAAGGTTCCTAGATTTGAAGACGTGAGTCGGTAAGTTTTCGGTCGAGATCGTTTGCCGTCGAAGCCGATGACAAGGAAAAAGAGCTCGACGCACCGTGCTTCCCGTTGACATGGCCAATGAGCCGTTCGACTTCTTCTCTCAACTTTTGGTACGTGACGACCTCCGCTCGCGTCGGTATGGCCAACTGAATCATGGTCACCTTGCCCACCCACTCTGGATGATCTGTCAGGAATCGGTCAAAGGCTTTCAGCTTCAGCGAGATGCCCTTGATGTAGTCCAAGCGATCGACCCCGACAAGTATCTTCTGGTCGCGAAATTCACCTTCGAGCTTCCCAATCTCTCGCTGCACCGCCCCCGTACGTATCCGCTGCTTGAAGTCTTGCGGTTCGATTCCAATGGGAAATCCGTGGACGACGACTCTCCGACCGTTCCAGTGTAAATCGCTCAACGAATTGGAGACGCCCCTATTCGAGGTTAAAAGGTTAGGGTATTTTCCATCCCGGCCATTTTGAACATCGCCAGAGAGTGAGACATACTCAAGGACGATTCTTGCACTGTCCAAAAAATCTCTGGCATATTGATCGGTATGAAATCCCACCACATCACAGAGAAGCAGACTACGACAAATGCTCTCCCGGAACGGCAGGATGGTGAAGTAATCCTCGCTGGGGAACGGTGTGTGGAGAAAGAACCCAATCCTCAGGCCCTTCTTTTTGTGCAAGCGATCTCGTAAGATCCCAGGAAGGAGCAGGAGGTGGTAATCGTGTATCCAAATCAAGTCTCCATCTTCCACCAAAGGGACAATGTTGTCCGCGAATATCTCGTTCACTTCTCGATAAGCGGTGGCCCAGGCGTCCTCAAAGTCTGAGCTGACTTTGTCGGGCATTCGGTGCATGAGAGGCCACAGGACAGAGTCTATCAAGAGGGTGAGAATGGATCCAAAATGGTCACGCTCCCCCTTCCGACGCCCAGTGACGTTAAGGCATTAGATGGGACTTACTGCAGAATCCATTGTAATGCCTCTGTGCAAGGTTCTCGGTGAGGAAAATCGGCACGGCGTTGAACTGATCACGCAGCTCCTGCCTGACGCCGTCCTTGTCGTTACGATGGATGTCAACACCCGGCCAGCCGAACCATTTGAAATCCACGGCCTTGGCCAGACTTCTCAGTCCGGATACCAAGCCTCCAGTAGCCATGCTGTAATCAATGGTGCCATCATCGTGGACCGTTGTAGTAATAGGTAGCCGATTTGCTACAACCAGGACTCGGCCGTCAAGATCTGAATTCATGTTTCAACGCAAGTACCGAAATTGATATATGCGTTTTCAAGCGTGGCAAGGTTTCATACGACTTCCACGGCCCAGATAGTCTTTATATCCTCTGCTACAGCATCGGCGAGCCATCATAGCAAAGAATCCTTGGCTCTTCTTGGATACCAAATGACGTCAGAATCAATAAGGGCCAAATACGACAAGGACAAACGGTTGGGGCATAAGCCTGATTTCACACACGGAAAGCGAAGAAACATGGGGCATGAGGCATCTTGGAACTCGACGTAGTGGTGTAACCAACCGGCTTCGTTGCAGAAGAATACCAGTCCATCATGAGCACACCCTCAAGCGGTAGGGGAGCCGGAGCATCGTACACCCGGTATTGGCAAAGGGGCAGGAGCAATGGCAAGGCTGCGATGTGTGACGTATGGCAGCCGGAGCCCGGATAAAACCCAATCTGCAAGCGCAGGTCCCCATTCTCGTAGGATGATTCACGCCCGATAGTAATACGCAACCGGACTGAAGAAGGCTGTGTCGCTGGTTACTGGCCGTTTGTTGGGATCGTCACCGAAATGGTAGAGCCCGGAAATATTACCCATCCACTCCCCGTTCGGCGGGTCTTGAAGGATTGGAAATGCAGTAAGCCAAGCACCACGCAATGGATCGAGACGATGAATTCGTCATTTGTCCATGCGGTGGAAGGAAGAAAGCAAGGTCAGGAATCTGTGTATGCCGGGGTCCTAGACCACCCACCGATGAGAACCATAGATGGGAACTTCACTAATATGAATAGGACCGGGATAGAGTAAAGGCAGATGTGCAAATTGAGGAGTCTACGGGAAGATATATCTCCTGCTGTTAAGCACGAATTTCGATTTGCCATGGAGAACCAAGTTTCGACATTGGATATCTGGAAATTAAATATGTATCTGGCTATGTGGGCCTGTGTCCAAACTGGCCTTTTTTTTTTTTTTTTTTTTTTCAACCTGATCATCAGAGATCGTCAATACGCAGGGTCGCTGAAAGGCCAACACAATTTGACACCCAAGCTCACAGATTATCTCTTCAAATGCAAGGGTTTCTGCCCTACCGCCTAACTGGCCCTTTTTGTCCAATCTTCGACTCTCAACTGACACTGAAATCTCTCCTCTCAACAGCTCCACCCATACTTTCGCAAAACTCTCCCAGACGCCTTCCCCACTCAATCATCCTCTCCTCCATGTACTGAGCGTAATCTTTCTTGACTTTCTTCGCCAGCAGGCCCCGTTGCGTTTCCCAGTCCCAGTACTCGCACATTTCCCTGCCATCGCCTGTGACGATAGGCCGGATCTCGTGCACTCGTTGGGCCTGCAGCAAGAATTTCGGGAAAGACTTGGGCGGGTTGTAGCCGTTCGCCATCGCCCAGACAAGTCGGTACACTCCGGACTTGGATAGGGTATGAGTCTGAGTTCTCGCCAGTTTGCCCGGTCCTTGCTCCTCCAGCGGGTCATCTGGTCGTGAGACTTCGGTCACCACGACGTTCAAGTCTCGTGTCTCCTGGCTCGTGGGCAGCTTCATTTTCACGTGGAATGTCATTCTCGTCCCGACTTGGATTCGCACGCTCGGCTCGCCGTACAGTGCGTTGATGTGCAGTTGCCGTCGGTGGGAGTGGCTCGCGCCGCTTTTCCGCCGAGTTGCTTTGTTGGAAACCGCTAACGCAGTAGATGCTGTGTTTGCCGGCGCCGGCATCAGAACAGACGGGTGGTCCGGCGACTCAAGCATCACGGCGTTCTTCGTCGGAGGCGGCTCTCGGCCCGACGCAACAGAGACCTTGCGGGCTTCTTGAGCAGCTTGGTAATTTGGCGCCGCTGAGACTCCATTTGTCGAATTGGAGCGAGCTGTCTCGGTGTGGGACTTATCGGACATTCTGCTGGCGTTGCTGGCTAATCGTTGCCGCGTGACAGGTAAGCCTTCCGGACTAACCGGACGGGAATGATGGCCAGAGCCCGGTGGCGCGAGGCTGGCCCCTCCTGTTTCAGCGCCAATGACACCACGGGCCATACTCCCTCTCCTCGGTGCCGGGTTATCAGGCATGATGGCTCCGTCCGTAATGTCCGAGTCGAAACTCACGGCAATGGATGTATTGCGGACTAGTTCTTCTATCTCGGCCAAGGTAGCATCGTCCTCGTCGTCAGGTTGGAATGTTATCGTCACTCGCGGGATCCAACGATTCCAGTCTTTCCAAGTCTCGGTATTGCGGAGCGTGCGGAAAACAAGGCTCGCCGGGGCATTGATCTGTGTGCATGCCGAGATGGAGAAGGTAGCTTCAGACATGGGAATATCAGGAGTTGAGAAATCCGTTTTAGTCGCCATCTTGGGGTTGGTGGAAGTCGGATTCGACAACAGGGAATCGTCGGATTCGTGGCGGCGAAATTCTAATGTCCAGATTATCCGCACTACGTCTCAATTAAATCTCCAGGTCACGAAGGGACTTTGTCATATTAAGACCTGACCCATAAGCTCCCAAGCAGTTCCTTTGGTAATATTCCCAACGATGTGTTGAAGCAGTGGACACTTGGGAACAACGGGGTATGACTGCAACTAACCACTAACTATTCCAAGCAAGCGCCCGTTTTAATGCAAGAGAATGATTGACTCGGGACCAGAGCAGGGGTTTTCACAGATAGACCGTTCTGTGAGAGCTCGAATCAGGCTGACGCGGGCTGACTTGACGCAAAGTGTCCCCAAAAAGAAATATTGTGGGCAGACCAGAAAGCTGATGCGATAGGTAGGATCTGGAGATCAGCACCGAATACGACGGAGTATGTTTGACTGAGAGCACATGACATATGTCATGACTTGCTAAAGTCAGGTCCTTGGTCTCCAATGGTCAAGTGTGGTCGCGGGAATAAGATCGAGGAGAATTCGATAAATATGGCAATGATAGAACATTCACACCGTCGTCATGTGGACTAAATTTCAACACACCAAGACGAATAACTGCTAGCAGGTAGCCCGAGCTCCGTAGATCCACACATTATCGGACTATCATATGTAGAATGGAAAAAGAGGAGAAAATGTGCGGCACTGAGGGAGAAATCGAGGAGGAGAAAAATGTGGGGAAAGACGCAGTATTTGATAAGAACGCCAAATCAGGAAGACACTGCCGAGATCATGTGACATTGTCACGTGACCGTAATCTTCGATCTCCGAATTACATACAACCTTTGACCAGAAGTGTAATCTACCATACCGTCGCGTTTTGATGCCAAGGTTCAAGAATCTCGCGACATACTGCCCTCTCTAAACTGCGCGTCGTTCAAAGTGACCTTGTACTTGTCGAAGGATACCAGATTGGGAGCTGCCATTGTTATCACCAGAGCGCTGCCGGAAGCCGTACGGATCGCGTCTTGCACGTACATGTCAGATTCTTCGCCAGCCATGCTTCAAACGTCTTCTGGTTACCGATTTCCAGCAGGAGGACTCCCAGTCCCAAAAGGGCGTCAATGGCCGTGGCGCGTTGGTATACACCACTTGCAGAATTACTCTGAAGGCTTTGGGGAATTTGAGAAGGTGCCGGTGTAATATATCGCCTTGCTAGCGAGATGGAAAAAATGTTATGGAGTCCTTCGTCCAACATTCCTCCGGCTGGAGCGCGAGTACCGCCATAGCCGGGGGGGGTTGATGATCGAATTGCTCCGTAGGAGATGCGAAAGAGTGAATGTGTCGACGGTCTCAGAACTCTTGCAATGCACAGCAGAAGGAAGTTTGATATTTGAAATCACGTTGTTCAGCAGATGGAGGCTGTGTTCGAGGTACTCTGCACCCTTCATCACCTGACGTGTGTGATGAATTGGATGGTTTTGAATTTGCCATGACAGTTCAGCACCATTAGGCACATGAAGTGTCTACAGCGACTGAGATGTGAAGCTCCCTTCGGACCATGCTACATGATTTTTTAATTCGTTTGGGCCAATTCCATCATCGGGATGCAACACAATGTGGTGAGAATCCAAGCATTCAGGCAATCGAGCACTATTGGATGCAGTGTGCAAACACTGTGCGTGTAAGCTTGCTACATGAAGCCTCGTGATAGGCACATGGCTTGGCATTTGTTGGCTGCTTGTGTCTGCAATCGATCCACCACACCACTGTCATTGATGAAGACACTGAGTGTTCCAGTTGGACTGGTCCCGCCTGGTAACCAGTTCTCCAAGCCCTTTTTGCTTCATAGCGAAGTCAAGACGCTTCCCTTAGGTGAAAGCATCATCCGACGTCGACAGAACGACAGGCACAATGGCCAATACAAGACTAGCAACACCCAGTCAGGACATTTTCCACTACGGCCGCTCAGGGTATATCAATGCCACATCACGGGGGCGGCTTCCTGGGACTCAAATACATGAGCTGTGCGAGAAATGAGGCTGAAGGAGAAGTTGAAGATCTCTTGAGATGCTGATTCGTGCGCCTACTGCATACACCATGCTGACCTTGGATGGGGCCTCGACGATACTGTACAAGCCCTCATCAATGACGAGGACCACCAATTTCGGGCTATTTGGGATCTCAGTCTTTCATGATGACAGCAGGCCCCTTTCTCGGGTTCTTCATTTTTCAATACACAATCCGTTGTTTGGGTGTGCAGCGTCCTAGACCAGAAGACAGCATCCATGGCCATGTCTAGCCCCACCAAGTCGTTTCGCGAGTGGGAATCCGCATTCTTGATCTCTTTGACTAGATCACATATGGAGACGGCCAGAAAGACAATGATAAATCCAATTTTGGTGATATCGGAGTTGAATATCAAAGGTTTCGCCTGTGGGCTACCAGCCACTATCGGCTGCGTGACGCTCAAGCCAATATGATCTGGCGAAGCACTCTTGGGAGAACTATCCCGAGGCCCTGAGCGATTGTGGATTATGAGTCAACGGTGTTTTCGCGGAGACTGACCATTGCTGTGGTCGACATCTCTTCAGGTAGACGCCGATCGTACGAAGACAAGCGCTCAAGCAGACCCAATATCACCACGGTCATCTCAACTTGCTGCAGCATCTCTTGAGTCCGTCGATGCCGATGACTTGTCACAGTTCTCTTCCACCTCCTCAGAGCAAGGTCCGGTGGCCAGATGTTTTTGCAATAATCCAGAAGCTTTACCAATTCGCGATTGATATCCGAAACTCAAGCACAAGATCCAGACCCGGAGGCGCCGCCCGCCACTTCCAAAAGAATCTCCCGAGAAACGGCCGAAGTATATCGAGGAGACTGCCACCCCCGAACTCGGCTGGACTGAAAGTCACCTTCAACCACTCCGACGCCAATTCAATGCATGTGGATATGGGGAAGATGTGTCGTCGAGAACTCTCTGGAGCAACAAGCAAAGTCGCTGGGCTTCCAAGGCCTTATCGAGTCCTACCAATCTAACGCGAATGGACTATGGAGAACATGGTCGTACTACTTGCTTTGGACTGGGTGACATTGAACAGCCTCCATTCCCCCAAATCATCAAGCTTTGTTGCGCTTGGGTTTCAAGAAGCATTTAGTTTGACAATTTATAGCAGTTGGGATGAAAATGATATACTTCTTGAATGCGAGTTTCAAGGTGATCAGGACAGACATATGTCTCGACAACAAATGTCAGGGATGGTACTATCGAGACGGGCGTACAGTGTGTACCTCACATCCAAAGAAGAGTCCGGAAACCTTCTTCTACCACCACCTACATAGAACCCTCAGACTCCCGAATCCTGCATATTTGTCCACGTCCTCCCGCGTCGGCTTCTTAAGGTCATACAAGATCCAGATTCTCGCATTGCTCGGCTCAAATTTGCTTGGCTGTTCATTACAAGGGCTTAAATGACTTCATCGGCATTCCATTTTAGACGTCGTTTATACACAATAAGGAGGGGGGGAATTGTGCACCTCAATCAAGTTCCCGAAGTTGTATGCTTCCATATTTACTACCACTACAACAACTCCTGGTAACTCCTGGATAACTCCATCGAGGAGACTACAGAGCTTGTATGTGTCGTCAAAGAGTTCAAGTTTTTCTCACAGTCACCATGATAATGTTGACAATGTTGAGACGAAAGACGAATTCATATCGAGCAATCAGCTGTGCCCGGGTTTCCAGATCAAGAGGATTCCAACCAAGAAGATCCGGTCTCTTATGGTTCAACTGTGCCTCGAACCGAAACGAGACTGGGCGGTTCGTCTCGCCCATCTATGGTCGGATGGTGGTATTGTCTCTATGTCAACAACTACCGCCATCGCTAGTTGGAGATGCGTTTAATGTCCACAGATGTATAGGTGGGAAACAAACATGCTGGTTTACAGACCTAATTATGTATATCGCAACTTTGGGAGGCTGCAATTTCTAAACGGCAAAGTAGGTTGAATAGGAATCCAAGCCGCATTAATCCGAGCGGATCAACGCTCTTCGACAGGTAAGATGTTTCGTCATTGCTCGAGCAGGAACCCATACAAGGTTCTGACACGATGGAAGTCAATGTGAGGCATTATCTGTGCGCAGAATATTCTATTGAAAAGAAGACTATTTTGGGACGAACGGTGAAAATTTTCTGTTGGACCATGTCGTTCCGTGCCTGACCAAGCAGGTGGTGGCGAAGAATATTCCATCCTGTGGCCTGCTTGCCATCTCTAGATCATGAACCTCGTTGAAAAGGCCCGGCGCAAGCGGGTGATGTTGACAACCTCAGCCTCGTGGCGGCTGCGCTCGGCGCAGAAATTCATTGAAATATCCTCATTTTGATGATGACCGAGGTCCATCTTTGGATCCATCATCTCGAAGTCCATGGCCGTGATGGATTGACCCGATCGAGTCCACAGCCGTGGATCTCTATGTCAAGGGCTTTAATTAGAATGCCCCGAAGGGTTGACCTCTAGTGGTTAGCTTTGTGCCATTGAGAAGCATGAAAACAAGCTCAGAAGAGGAATCCATTTATCGGTATCCCCGTATCAGCGCCCGTTCCTTCGTCCCGCAACCTCTTCGTGTAACATTCTCGTCGAGGATGACATGCGACTTGGCGATGTGGACATCGCCAACAGAACGCCGAGCTGAAAATGCGACATGTGCAGGTGAGCTTATTCCTGTTGTCTGTAATCAACAGCACTCTATCGCCGCACTACCGATCGTCCGCCGTTTTTACAGCTGCTCTCTGCAAGCCACCGATGCTTGTGCGCTCATTGGCTATGCTGTCATACATTCTCATTCCATCAAGGATCTCATGAAGAGAGATCAAAATCATTTCCGTGCTTGTTCCCTTTCAACCTCATACATAAAGTCGAAATAGGGTTTGTCGAAATGGTGCATTCTGACGTAGCCATCTTCTCCACCACTGGCGTACGCAACGCCTTGTGGGTGAACGGCAATGGTGTTCAAAGGGCCAAAGTGACCTCTCACTCGACCAATCTCATCCTCGAAGATTTTGTGGTAGAATCGAGCCTCGAATTTGCCCTGACGAGCAGATGTCGTGGTGACTTCCATTGCGGCTTGGCCCCCTCCGAGAATGACAAAGTCTTTCTTGGGAGTGATGGCGGCCGTGTTTAAAGGTGTGTCGGCAACATAGGTCTTGAGGATGCTGAGGTCTCGAGAGGATATGATCTGGTAATATTAGCAGAGTTGGGTAGAACTGGGGGACAAAAGCGGGCTAACCTTGGCAGTTTTGTCTTTGCCGGCGGTGATAAAATAAGTTCTATCTGGCGAGAATTGGAGGTCGTTAATTGTGGTGTCGTACTCGTGCGCTTCCACGCTCATCAAGTTTTCTCCAGTCTGTTCCTTTTGTGAATACCAAGTTTTCAACGAGGCAGAATCGTCCATACCTTGGCATCCCACTGTGTGACTGTTCCATCTTCATGGCCGGAAATAATGTATTTGTCCAGGTAGCTCCAGCCTGCCACAGTAGCCTTGCTGTCCTCACAGGTAATTCTGAGGCTATGCTCATTGGTCTGATCGGCGAGATCATCTCCGTATCGAATGTCGAAGACGACAATTGTTCCCAGGTATCCCATTCGCTTTTCTGTGACGGCCAGCAACTGTTTCCCGTCTTCACTGAACTCCACTCGTTTGACTGCGGTTGGAAATTCCCACGTCTTGACATTTTCTCCAGTCTGAACATTCCACAACTTGATTGTGTTGTCGGCCGCGCCGGAGGCAAGAAGGACGGTGTTGGGAGAAACATCGACTGTCCAGATGGCACCTTGATGACCACCGTATGTTCCTAATCGTTCTCCATTGCTGGTAAACCAGGCACAAATCACTTTATCTTTCGCCACCGAGAACAAAAGGTCGCCATCTTTATTGTATTTGATTTGGTTGAGCGATCGCTCCTGGACAAATTGTCAGTAGATCCGGTAAAATTTTATTTTCCGTCGATCAAAAGAGCCTACATGGCCTTGCAATAGTGTCGGCCTCATCTCTGGGACGGTATTTTCCTGCCGGCTGAATAGTTCAAAACACTCGCCAGATATGAAGGGTTTCGAGTTTCTTCGACTTTCTCCGAATGGAAAGGCTGGCTATGCGATAGGGTCGAGAATGAATTATGTTCCTCAAGAATGGTCTGAATCGCCGATGTGGGAAAATGATCGCCAAGACTTCGCTGCCGCACGAGTCATTCAGGTTTGCTTCAGTGAGTCATGTCGCAAAATGTTCTCTTAACGGCAAAAAAAGCTTCGTTTCAACCTTTACCCGGCTTTCAATGATGGCTATACTTTGAAGACCGGGGATAACCACTCCTCGTGGTCACCGGGACGATTTTTTACGGAGCAGAGCGCTCTGACATGGCCAGCAGATTATCTAGTGCGCCGTATCCAAGTACGTCTGGTGCCTGTCAGTTACCTTACCCCAAACGTTCTCTCCGTCCTCCGATATCACCCTCTCAACTTACTCATCCTTCTTCCGTAGTTCTGTCAACCACAAGAACTGCGTCTTCACCCAGCTGGAATAGAAGAGGCGTTTCAACGGCTCGCAAGGCTCCTTGCCGCCCACTTCCTTCCCCAAACCCCCTCCGGCCGACTTGTATCTTGTTCAGTGGGGTCTCACGAGCAGCACCTTTCTCGCAATTATCGTCATTACAGCCAAGATATTTCTCCAGTACGACAAGAACCATGAGGGCAAACAAAATCGATGGGAAGGCAATTGCCCAGAAGATAAGAGAGCGGTTGGCAGCCGAAATCCAAGAGAAACAAAAGGGGAATCCCCGATACAAGCCATGTTTGAAAATCATACAAGTGGGGGATCGACCAGATTCAAGCACCTATGTGCGAATGAAATTAAAGGCCGCTGAGGAAGCTGGTATTGAATGTGCTTTGATTCACCTCCCATCCAGCATCTCGGAGCCGGAGCTATTGCAGCAGATTGCTCAATTCAACAATGACCCGTCGGTCCACGGCATCCTCGTTCAATTGCCTCTTCCCAAACACCTTTCTGAGCACACAATCACCTCCGCCGTTCTCGATGAGAAAGACGTGGACGGTTTTGGCGCTACCAACATTGGAGAACTGGCGAAAAGAGGTGGGAAGCCGTTCTTCGTCCCATGTACACCCAAGGGAGTCATGGCTTTGCTGCACGAGAGTGATGTGGAACTCAGAGGCAAGAGAGCGGTGGTTCTTGGACGAAGTGACATTGTGGGAAGCCCTGTCAGCTATCTTCTGAGGAATGCCGATGCGACAGTGACTATCTGTCACTCTAAAACGGAAAATTTGAAAGATGTGGTTAAACAAGCCGATGTTTTGGTTGCCGCGGTGGGTCAACCGGCCTTTGTCAAAGGAGATTGGTTGAAACCAGGTGCGGTAGTCATTGATGTCGGCACCAACTACATTCCCGACGCCTCGAAGAACTCGGGGCAACGACTGGTGGGAGACGTCGAATTTGAGACAGCTGTTGAGGTTGCTTCCCGAATAACCCCCGTCCCGGGCGGTGTGGGTCCCATGACGGTCGCCATGCTTATGCAAAATGTTGTCGACTCTGCTTCTGCTTACTTCGAAAGGCTTAAAGCGCGGCACATCGCTCCCCTTCGAATCAAGCTACAGAAGCCGGTGCCCTCGGACATTGCAATCTCAAGGGCTCAGCATCCTCGGCGGATTACAGATATTGCTGCTGACGTCGGCATTGCACCCCACGAGTTGGAGCCATACGGTGCCTACAAGGCTAAGGTTGATCTGTCGCTGCTATCGAGACTGGAACATCGTCGGAATGGAAAATACATTCTGGTCAGTGGTATCACCCCAACTCCTTTAGGTGAAGGAAAATCCACCACCACCATGGGCCTGACGCAAGCTCTGGGAGGACATTTGGGTAGACTGACATTCGCCAATGTTCGACAACCCAGTATGGGCCCGACTTTTGGGATCAAGGGTGGCGCCGCTGGCGGTGGTTACAGTCAAGTCATTCCTATGGACGAGTTCAACCTTCATCTGACCGGTGATATCCATGCCATTACTGCTGCGAATAACCTCCTGGCCGCTGCCATCGATACACGTATGTTCCACGAAGCGACACAGAAAGATGGGCCTTTGTACAAAAGATTGGTCCCTAGTAAAAAGGGCAAACGCGAATTCGCTCCTATCATGTTCCGAAGACTCAAGAAGCTCGGGATCGATAAGACCGACCCAGATGACTTGACAGAAGAGGAAATCCGCCGGTTTGCACGACTCGATATCGACCCTGAGACGATCACTTGGAGAAGAGTGCTCGATGTCAATGACCGACATTTGAGAGGCATAACAATCGGTCAAGCACCAACGGAGAAAGGACATACCAGAGCAACGGCTTTCGATATTTCCGTGGCGAGTGAATGTATGGCCATCCTTGCATTGAGCAACGATCTGAGAGATCTCCGTGAACGTCTTGGCCGAATGGTGATCGGGGCCTCCAAAGCCGGTGATCCCATTACCTGTGACGATATCGGCGCCGGCGGTGCCTTGACTGCTCTTATGAAGGATGCAATCAAACCCAATCTCATGCAAAGCCTGGAGGGAACTCCAGTCTTTGTTCACGCCGGACCATTCGCCAATATCAGTATCGGCAACAGTTCCATTCTAGCTGATAAACTAGCTCTTAAACTGGCCGGAACCGAACCTGATGAAGATCATGAAGCCAAAGCTGGATTTGTTGTTACCGAAGCGGGCTTTGATTTCGCCATGGGAGGTGAAAGATTCTTCAATATCAAATGCCGGTCTTCCGGTCTTGTGCCTGATGTTGTGGTCGTAGTCGCTACAATTCGCGCTCTAAAGGTTCATGGCGGTGGTCCCGAAATTTCAGCGGGTGCATCATTGCCCGAAGCGTATCGCACAGAAAACATCGAAATGCTGCGGGCTGGCTGTGTAAACCTGAAGAAGCACATTGCAAACGCAAAATCATACGGAATACCGGTCGTGGTCGCGATCAACAAGTTCGAGACAGATACTGAAGCTGAACTCAAGGTTGTCGAAGAGGAGGCACTTTCTGCTGGAGCTGAAGCAGCTGTTCCTGCAAGTCACTGGGCCGAAGGTGGCGCCGGTGCTGTCGATCTGGCGAAGGCAGTGATTGAAGCTTCGTCAAAACCAAAGGATTTCAAACTTCTCTATGGTCTAGAAGGAAGCGTCCAAGAACGCATCGAAAAAATTGGCAAGGAAATGTATGGCGCGGGAAAAGTCGAATTCAGCGAATTGGCGCAGAAAAAGGTGGACATGTACCAAAAACAAGGATTTGGCAACCTGCCCATTTGCATTGCAAAGACTCAGTATTCACTGAGCCACGATCCCGCTTTGAAGGGTGCACCGACTGGATTCACGGTCCCAATTCGGGATGTAAGGCTGGCAGTTGGTGCCGGATATCTGTATGCACTCGCTGCTGATATCCAAACGATTCCTGGCCTTCCCACCGCTCCAGGATATCTGTATGTGGACGTGGACCCGGAGATCGGCGAGATTGACGGTCTCTTCTAGATGGACAAATAATGCATGTTATCACGACTTTCAACAATTCCGAGATACCCATTTCAACATTCATCGAGGTGGTAGATTGAATCGGCGCATATTTGAGGGTACATCATCTCAACGTCTTGACTCGTTTTGAGTCCCTGCAATAGCAGTCTCGGAGGGTTGCCGGAAGGGGAATGCCGGCCCCGGGAGATATCAATCATATCAATAATGAAATTCACTTTCCTGACGGCCTCTGCATCGCCTGAATGTTTATCCCCCTCTCCGTATATCCTCTCTGCAGCCTCACGAACTTTTGAAATCGAAGAGCGTCGACTGGCCTAAAGGTATTAGCGCGGTCACTTTACAAGATTGATTCGGCAGGAATCGGAATGCAAGCTTATGCTTTCCGAGTTTTCGTGCCTGAGGAGACGGGAACACGGGTATTTGCAAATGCCACCATCCCATTAATTGATGCCTGCCTATCGGAAAGACAAGGAATGATCCTTCAACAAGATTCTGACAGCCGTTCACTTCACCTTTTCACGGAACGGGACATCAGATACTCCTCCATCAGACCGGAGTAGTCCTTGGGATAGTATGGTCGCAATATTTCCCTCCAACCTCCACCCTTTCGCGAGTCTTTCAGACCCAGATCCCGGACTAGCATGGACTGGTACTGCACTCACTGATTAGTATTATAGGTTCAAACTTCTCGAATGTCTTACTCACAGGAATTTGGTCAAATATAATGACATGCCCATCCGAGAGATATCGACGACGTCGCCAAGCGATCCTCGAAGCAACTTCTTCTCGCCTCCTCTCTACGGGCGGAAGCTTCAGTTCATTCGTCAGGTAAGCAACCGCCCGGAGACTTTGTATCTCTGCGATCAGGAAACTCTGCGTCGTTCCTACTTGGCCTAGAAATGCCGTTGACCTATCCTCGTCCTCGACGGGAGCAATGGACCGGTACAGGTGATTCGGCCGCCAAGCTATTCCACTTTTCCACGTTCTCGGGTGGCACATCTCTGACCGACATCGGTAGGCCAAGTGCAAGGGCATCCTCTTTCGAGAACATTGGATACGACAGATCCCATCCTGTACACGCAACCACCGCATCGCAGTCCAGCATTTCACCGGATGACAGGACTGCAGACTTCTCATTGATTCGAACGACCTCGTCGCGGTAAATTTTTGCCTTTGCAACCGTATCCCAGAGGTCAACTGTATTTCGCACTCCAACATTATCTGAACCCCAGAATGCCGATCGATCTGGTTTTAACTTGGACATGTTCTGGCTGCGATCATACTTGGCAGGACCTTTCCACTGAGAATCGACGTGACTCCAAATAGCGTTTGAAATCCACCGACCCAATCGCCATCGGTGGAAGAACCGCACCCACCGGTCACCAGGTTCAAAGACGCAGGGGCTCGTCTTGGAGATTAGTCGAAGTGACAGGATCTCATTTGAGTTTCGAAACGGTCCTGCACCTTCTGGCGCTGCGAGAAGCCCGGGCCCATGTCCACCAGGGCGGATGATCCATGAGACTGACTTGCCGGCTTGAATCAGCATATATACCGCGTCGAACGATGACTTTGATCCACCGATGACAACCACATGCTGGACCTCGTCAGAGCTCAGAAATTCTGCATTTCTGGCCAAGTCTCTGGAATGAACAACGGGAACAGGCTGAGGCTGGTTCAGAAGCTCAGGTAAATGAGGGATGGATGTCGCTCCGGTCGCCACAATTAGTTTCCGGCATCGAGCCTGCAGTCCATCGACGGTATGAACCTCCCACATCCCCTCTCGTCTTTGAGCCTTCGTCACCAAAGATGAGAACCTCACTCGCTCTTTCAAGCTCTTTCCCGAGAACTTCATGCTCAAAGCAAACGCCTCGAGATATTCGCAACTGTGCTCTCCAGAGAACAGCCCGTAGAAGGTCTTCTCCGGCTGCTCCATGGGGAAGCACGAGTATTCTAGCATGCCCACTGGCGTTTGTGTTGTCAGGGTGGGATAGACACGGTTGCGACTCCATGCTCCGCCGAGCTCGGTGTCGCTTTCGAAAATAATCACATTCGAGTCCGGGCTGAACTTTAGCCAGGTGTACGTAGCGATCAAGCCTGAAGAACCTGCCCCGACGACTACCAGGTCCACCTCAGACATCGGACTGTCAAAGGACGCAGCAACCAGTGGATATTAAAGAGTCGTATGTCTCGTTCAATTAAATTTAGGCATGGGAGGGGCGACCTGAATATATTTACGGATCCAAGCTGTAGACCTACATTTCTGATCCTCAAAAGACGGCGTCCTAGAACTTTCGCTCGTATCCGGATTTCTCAATAATTAGTTGCATACTTTCAAAGAATCAAGCTTTACCGGTTTCCGAAAGATATTCAATAGCTGCCTGTGTTTGTGCAGCATGGGACCCAATGGGTAGCTTGAGTATCTTGGCCGCATAATGTTGCATGAACCAAGAATTTATAGGAACTTGGGAGCTGAAGTCCACGAGATCACTGATACATGCGTTACTTTCGAGTGTGCTGGGTGCTGTGGACAGAATCATTCGCATTGATTGTTCGGTACGCTATGTATGGCTGGGCAGAGACGACACCCAAACTTGACATGAAAGCATTTAAATGGCCGACGGATTACGGGCGAATGGACTTCTTCTGGCTCCTAATTTTCCTCTTTCCAGCTGCGGCCGATGAAAGTCCAAATGCTACCAGTATAGAATCTAGATAAAACATTCCGGGAGCATTTTTTGCTGCGTCGCAAAATCGACCATCCCTGACATACATTTGACTGAAGCCGACGAGACTCCGAAAAGCGGTCCACTAGGCCTTCGAAAATAAAAGAGAGGGGGGTCTATGATTGAAAAGGAAAGGAGAGAGAGCCTCTTCGGCATCCATCCAGTATCCCCCACACGCTCAACAAAACTCACCCATTTCATGCCTTTAAGCTCGCCGTGGTCTCGGTCGGGCTATTCTTCTTATTTTTCATCAGCGACAGTATCGATCTTCGAACATGGAATGTTGCCACTTTGGCAAGGTAGAAGATGATGAAGGCAATGCCGGCGTTGAAGACAACGTACGCGAGCATGATGCCCAGGTTTCTCCAATGCTCGCTGTAATACATGTTGCGTGTCTCGAGGTACTGATCTCCAGTCGCGTAGCGACAGTATTCGCAATCCGAAGTCGAATCCGGATTAAACAACTGACCACTCACGTGGGCAAATGCACCAGCATACTCCCCGCATGTTTGTCCAGTGGGAGGTTGAAAGATGTTGATTTCCTTGGGCTCGCAGACGATGCGGACGCCGTGAAGGGTGGTCGACACCACGCCACCGAGAAGGTAAGTGTAAGGTGTCAGATGGTACATGAAATGCCAAAACTCCGGTAGCTGGCTTAGAGGCTGGAGGACCCCATTGAAGGCGACGACAAAGGAGGCGAAAAGCGTGGCGAGGGCCGAAGCAGTCTGAGCATTGGGTGCCAAAGAGCCGATGGCGATTGCAAAGGTCGAGAACCACATTTCAAAAGCCATGACTTGGAGCCATATGTAGACGCCCCTTGACGCTGTGTCTGAGCCCGGCCAATCGCGAGAGAACCCGATCCCGAAGTACCAGGGGAAGAAGAACAATGTGCCCGTCAGCAGATTGAAGGAGACCTCACTGATGAGACTGGACAGAACGAAAGTGCTCCAGTGGTACATGTTCGAAGGCCTTTCTCGAGCCGTGAAGAGACTGGCTAGACTAAAAAATTGGGGCTGCAGCTGGTGCATCAGGGGCATAGCGATAATGCACGATGTGAAGGCCGCAAATAACTGGTAACAATTAGATCTAAAATACCACCTTTGGGAAATCCGAGTGTGACGACGGCTTACCTTGTTCTGAAGTCCTTGTACTGAGTTGTCTTCCTTGTAAAAGGTAAATCCGAGAAACAAGCCAGTCAACACGTTGACCATGATCTTGCTAATGACATATTGAGGTGTTCTCCAGAAATGCAGATAGAGCCTCGATTGTACAGCGCGATACTGGGTCCACCACGACTCTGCAAAGCCACCGTCGAAAACTCCATTTCGAGCTTGAACTGCTTCTTGATCCGTGGCATACTTGTTTTGCAGTGTCTCGATATCTTGAAGCACCTGGCGGTGTTCTTCGCTCTTCATCCATATCTCATCCCATTTAGGCTCGGAACCGGTATTGACACCCGCCCCGGTGACATCGAGAATGTATTCTGCAGGATTGCTCTCGGGAGGACAAGGGGTGCCGCCATTCCATTCAAAGTATCTGATGACAGTCTGGGCGTGTCGACCGATCTCACCGAAATAGACGGGCTTCCCCCCTCTGGCAAGCAGGAGCAGTCGATCGAATTGCTCAAAGACGATAGACGAAGGTTGATGAATCGTGCAGAGGATGCCTTGTCCAGAATCTGCCAGCTTCCTCAGTAAACGAACAATGGACCAGGCCGACAAGGAATCAAGACCGCTTGTCGGTTCGTCTAAGAAGAGCAATATTTCAGGCTTGGCCACGAGCTCGACTGCGATGGTGGTTCGCTTTCTCTGTTCAATATTCAATCCATTTCCGGGAGTGCCGATAATGGCTTCGGCGAAATCTTGCATCTCGAGCATCTCAATGACCTTTTCCACGTAGTCAAGTTTTTCGGCAAGAGAAACCTCCCTTGGTTGGCGTAACTTGGCTGAGAACTGCAGCGCTTCTCGGACAGTGGCGGATGAGAGGTGAACATCCTGCTGTTGCACGTATCCAGTCATACGTCGAAACGACCGACCCGGCGGTGAGCCATTGACCAGACATTGTCCGCCGACGACGCCAGTGTTGACTCTCTCAGCAAGAACTCTAAGTAACGTTGTTTTACCGGCGCCAGACTCTCCCATCAAAGCTGTGAGAGTGCCAGGCTTGACGTAGCCCGTCATTTTGTCGAGTAATCTTCGAGAAGAGCCATCGGGCAGGGTGATGTCGTACGTTATATCTTCCCATGAGAAAACGTTTCTGCTCTTAACGAAGTCTTTTATTTCCGAGGTATTGGTATTTGTTTCTGTCAGGGCAGTTTGCGTCCTTTGTTCTTTGTAGCCATCAATCATCTCCTCATCCGGAGTCATTCTCTCTGGCTGTGCTGGTTCGTGTCCCCTTCGATAATACAGTCGCTCTTCGCTGTGATGCGACGACGAGGATATGAACTCGGTGGCAAGGGCAAATATCGCAATGAGTCCGCACAGGAAGGCGCCCAGAATCCCAATATTTCTCCATACGTGGGAGTAATGATAATCGAATGATGTTTCAATGTAGTCATCGCCGCTTACGTGCGCTTGTCCAGGTCTTGATCCTGTTACCGCACAGACCTGATTCTCGGGCGATACATTCTGGTAGCCCGGGCCTGATGGTACCAGACTCGCACAAGGTGCCCACGTGTCGTGAAACTCGTTGGCGATAAGTATTTCGAAGGCATACGCGAGTGGATTGATGTATGTGATCCATTTGAACCACGGATGCATGCTCGGCTTCGGAATCAAGTACCCTGTGTAAATGGCGAATACCAACACCGAAACTCCAGCCACGCCGATTGCAGATTCTGGAGCCTTTGTGACGGCCGCAATGGATCGAAAATAGGCGCTCATGGTCAGAGTGCCTAGGTATGTGGTGAGCCACAGGATAAAAAATGCTCCGGCGTCTCGCTTCAAGCCAACCATGAAATAGACCACGATGTCGAAGGCGCTGACACTGACGATCTTGTACGGCCATTCCACCAGGAGAGAGGCCAACGCGTCGACAAATGGATGGTACATGGCGTACGCCTTTTGACGGTTGATAATGGGTCGCTGTCCGTACAGAGTGCCAATCTCTGCTAAGGTCTGCAGGGCGTTGAAGAGAATGGCGAAGAACAGAGCACCTCCCTTGGAGAAGAAACCGTTTGTCGAATTGGATGTATCGAAGAACAGGCTCCCCATGATCAGAGACATGTATATTGCCGAGAAAACCATGGCTCCGAGGAAGGCTTTATCACCAATGAATCGGAAAAATGCCCGTTGGAGGTTGGCAGAGAACTGAGTGGGAATGTCGGTGGCGTATATGCTTCTCTGTCTCTGGTGTTTGGACTTTGTTATGGAATGGTAAGCTTCATATTTCTCGAGTTCGACATTTTCATCGCTGAGATCTTCGGTGTATGTTTGCAAATCTTTCTGCAGTTGGCGGTAGTGGGAACTCTCTTTCCAAAGCCTCACAAAGTCATCTGGAGATCTGGGAACTCTCAATTCCCAACCATCTCTTGCCCGTCTCGCCGTGGGATCGGTGATTGCAGTCAAGAAATCCGCGGTCGTTTGCTGCGGATGACATACAAACCCCATGTCTTCAAAGTATCGTTTGGCGTCTGTGACGGTCCCGAAGAAGATTTGACTGCCACAATAGAGCAAGGTCACTTTGTCGAACTCCTTGATGAGATTTTCGCCCGCTTGATACAGGGCCACAATCATGGTCTTGTGGGATATTCTCGTCATAGCCCGGATAACACGAATGAATTCGAGAGACGTCGACGAATCAAGGCCGTGTGTAGGATTGTCCCAAATGGTAACCGACGATCGTGTAGCGAGCTGTGTGACACAACGTTAAAAAGAAACGCTCGATATATGATGGACGCGTCGAGGTATAGACACTGACCGCTTCAGCCAGAGAAACTCGCTTTCGCTCCCCACCACTGATTCCATGGACGTACTCGTCACCGACCTTGGTGTCGAGAGTATGTTGAAGCCCGAGGAGATTGGTGTAAATGTTTGTCATGGACCGCATCAATTGGGAACGGGCCCGGCCCTCCAGATTGGCCCGAGGCGTCTTGGTCTCGGACGCAAAGTCCAATGTATTGCTAACAAGCAAATGAGGAAAGTGAACGTCGACTTTGTCGGTCAGCCTAGATCTATGACACGTCGTGCAGATGTACTTACCATCGGGTGTATACACCGAATCTCCTCGGAAACGAGCCATGAAGGTGTTGATATCCACTCCATTGTACTTGATTTCCCCATTTACACGTAGACTGCCTTTTATTTGTCCCCCCAAGATTTTCAGAAATGTACTAACGACGTTGTTAGGGCGGCCCAGGACCAACAACATTTCACCTTCCCTCACCACGCCGCTAACGTCTTGAAGGATGATCCTCTCCGGCTTTCGCTGCCGTGATAGGAGAGACGTTGCGAGGGTGACCGGGGTTCGGAAAATGCTGCCAAGAGTAGGTTGAGCATATGTCCCCGTCCTTGCCTGTCGGGCGCACAAGTTGGCGAACATAATAGACGAGCGAGACGACATCTCTGGAAGGTTTTGGCTCTGGAGCAACTGTGACATCTCACGAAGATTGTGGTGGAGTCTTTCCACGCCTAGAGATTCGTCCGATGTCGAAATGTCTGGATTGGCCGGGTTGGGGGGTTTTTGCCGGTCATTTTTGGCTGTAGGGTACCCGCCATGATTTTTTGATTTCTCGTCACTAAATCGATCTGATCCCGGCTCCCTGGACAACCCACGATGGTCTGGTGAGGCAACTTGTCCATCGACCACAGCCGCATCCTTTGATTCATTGGAATATTGGTCAGGAGTGTTGTCGTTCATGGTGGATGGAATTGCCGGTAGACGGGGGGAGAGCGTGAATGATGAACATGAGGGACTGAACAGAGTGAAAGGAGGATCAGCGAAGAGAAGGGAAGATATAGCATCACCGTTGGTTGCGAAGGGCCGTTGAAGCGTTTGTCATTCTGAAAAGCTCTAGCGCCATGGGTGTCGGCGGAGAATGGAACGAAGAGGGCCCGAAGAAGGGGGGTGTTCGTGAAAATGGTATCATTGCCAATGGAGATAAGAAGTCATTATGGGGATTGCTTGTCGAAGAGAAACACTTGAGAGCAAAACATGAGATTGTGTCCCGGTGCATCGGAATGAGAAAAAGGCCGTTACAGTACCGATACGTCAAACTTTATTTTATGCTCCAAATAAATCTACCGGTATGGTTTTCTCGTGAAATCAAAATACGGGCGAATCACCACCCTGCTTTCGCGTATTCGCTGTACGAACGTCTTTCGCCCTGCCTAGATGGCCCGATGGTCAGTGGCAAATTCTCCTTCCCGCACATGACATTTGCATATCTGAATCTAAATTCTTGTTACCCTCTGGGACATCGATATCGAACTCTTCGCGCTCTCTCCTGCGCTGTTTTGGCACCCTTGCGTCTCGGAGCGTCGCCCTGACCCCCACATATGCGCTTTCGGCCCTGAACTTCCAAGCCAATGCCAATCTAGCAAAAGAGGACAAGATCACAGCTCCATCATATCCCAGGAGACCGGTATTAATCATGCAGCCCTCCGGTGCCGGAAAACAAAGGCGAGGCAGAATTTCTTGCGACTTGTGCCGACGAATGAAGGTATGTCCCCATAACTAGATGTCGGCTTCTCGTGCCTTGTCTGGCGGTGATTTGGGCCTTTTTACTCACCGCAGTATCGACATGACTAGATCAAATGTGACAGACAGGGTGATAATCATCAATGCTCAAACTGCCGACCACGGGAGATGCAATGCGTTGTCACGCCGCTGGAAAGAAAGTCCACCAAAATGAAGAGGTTAATGCCCATCGCCTTTAGTCAGTGCGATCGGCGCTAAAACACCACCCTGTTGCAGAGCCGAATTTCTTCATTCCATAGAATCCCGGATTCAACGAATGGAAGCTCTCCTCCAATCTAGTTCCGTACCGCCTCCTCGAGCGCCCGCCGATGTTAAAGGTTCCCCTCGTCAAGAATCCGTGGACGCACGGAGCGCATCTCCTTCTGTCATTGAGAAAGAGCTTGCTAATTTGGTGATAAATGAGACAGGAGAGCAGAAATACATTGGTAAGCCTCATTACGGCTGGAACTCGAAGTCAACCGAAGTTGCTAATGAGACCTGTTCAAAATAGGGCCATCGTCGGGATTTTCGATTCTTTCTCCCCGAGGACTGGCATGGATTGAACGAAAAACCGGCTCGATGAGGATGAAAACTATCCTGCAAACCATCCAGCGTGCAGGGCCTTTTTGGGCCTCCTTTAGGATCGGCCATCAGTGGGACGGAGATCAGTCGGCAAGATTTGACCTCCCATCCAAGGAAGCAACAACATACCTCGTCAACCGTGAGTGGAGAAATGTTGGGAAATTTTCATCTCTACTAAGTCCAAGTATGTGTAGATTATTTCAAATGCTTCAATGCCTCGTTTCCTCTTTTCGACCGGTTCGTGTTCTGGGAACTTTTCGAGCGACAATACTCCAATAACCCTCCAACAAAACGGTCTTGGTTTGGCGTGTTGAATGTCGTCCTCTCCATTGGTTGTATCACGGCCACCGCCTCAATCCGCACAGATATTCAGACGCGCGATCCTTTCATGTCGACCGATATGTCAGACTGGCCCTGGAGATTCTTCAAGAACGCCTGCTCCGTCCTGTTGGACATCATATTTCTAGACACTGACCTCATGGGCGTCCAGACAGTGATTGGAATGGTAAGATCGATTTCCCCTCCCATATACGGACCTGTTTCATGCTGGCTAACCCCGCCAGGCTTTTGTCATGCAAGCCATAATGAATCCTGAAGGTGCCTTTGCCCTCATCGGGATCGCAGCACGCCTCGCCACCTCTCTAGGTCTGCATCGATGGCTTCCAGGTTTTGGTCTTTCCAAAGTCGAGCTCGAGCAACGTCAACGAGTGTTTTGGATAATGTATATCCTCGAAAAGGATCTGGCAACTCGTATTGGCCGGCCTTCTGCGATTGATGACGACGACATTGGATTCGGACCTCCTTCCGGAGAAATACACGGCGAGGGAGAAATTGCTATATCGTTGCCCTCCATTAATTATAACAAATTCTACCCTTTTCAACGCATGTGCACTCTGGCCATTATCGAAAGCAAGGTGTACAAGGAACTCTATGCTGTTAGTTCACGGGTCAAGACGGCCAGTGAAAGACTCCGAGCAATCAGCAGACTAGACGCGGAGCTCCAAGAGTGGAAGGAAAATTTTCCGATAGAGGTCAGACCGGAACATTCACTACAGTGCGACCCAGAATCCAGATTTCCCATTATCGTTCTTCACTTTGGATATTATCACTGTTTGGCAGCCATCCACCGCGTCAACGCGCATCACGAGTTGTGGCTTGCTGATGTGGAATCTGACAGTGGCAGTGGTTCCCCGGAAAACCCCTCGACAGCTGCAAAGAGGAGTGATCGTGGTCACACGTCGTATTCGCTTTGCCTAGCTTCAGCACGGTCTATACTACACCTTTCTGTAACTTATCTGGATGACTGGAGTGATCCTCGCAACAAACTCATCTGGATAGCGCCATACTTTCCAGTTTCTGCATTTCTGGCTTTATTTGCACACATGTTGCAATCGCCTCTTGACCCAAGGGCTGCCGGAGACCAGATTCTGATGGAGCGGATACTGGGATGCCTCAACAGAGTAATCACTTTGGAAGACAGATCGATCGTACAGTTCCTCGCCACCATGATCGGCGAATTATTTGTCATCGCCCGGCAGCACGTCGACAATGTCAAAGCGCGATTGTCCTCACCCAACTCCCAGCAATCCAACTTTGGTGCAGAAAAAGGCGAGATGAATCCGATTCCACAAGGATTCGTGAATCCACTTACAGAAATGGTTTCACCACTACCCGATACTACCACGCCTTCTCAGTATTTTCCAACCAATGAGTTAGTCACGTCGCAACCACATACCACAAATCTCTTCAATATAAGCTCCTTTCCGGCTTCAGATCAGACCATGGGCCAGAACGACAATACTCTTGCCGACTTTCCAGATTCGATGATGGACGACCCGTTCTTTTTAATGCAGGACTATGATTGGGACTGGAGCTACTAACCCCGGGTCGCAGATGCGACATGAAAGAGTTGGTTGCCCATTTGGACTTCATGAACAAACCACCGGGTTGGCCCCGACCCCATGGATATCAATCTCGATACATTTGGTTGTTCAGATTTTCAATCAGAGGAAACTCGACGGAGCCGTAGGCGACTATGCTTTCCGGTTTTGCTATCCGAGCTACACGGTATCGGTCTGTGTCTGATGAGGCCTTGTGCCTCGCAGGAGTTTCTTTGGTTTCGATACAATGGAAGTTACAAAACATTCGGGGGGTATTTACGAGTACTGAGTATGCGTCAGTGCTTCTGGCAAATCGAGTTCCACGTGCTCTTCTCGGCGAGATACTTTAATTCAAAGCTACCTGGCATTGATCCCTGCTGCCAGTGTGCACATCCATCTCCCGAGATATCGATCCTCCGCCTGAAAATGTGGTCTGGTGAAGTGGGAGGGGGTGAGAGAAGCTCCATTGATATTCGTTTTTCATGCTGCCGCAGGAAAACTTTCAGCGGGCCCTTGTGCAACCTAGTCACGTGGAAAATATTTTCTAGGATAGGAAATTTTTGTCCTGCATTAATTCTAATAAGCTGGATGAGCAGCGCTGAAGCAAATGCTTACGCGGTACAAGCTCTAGGGATCCTTTGACAGAGATTAGTCTGGAATAGAAAAGTAGAGTAAAAAAACAACAGCGGCGTCGGCACAAGACCTCATATTTACTACATTCGTAAACAGGTCAGTCCAGAGATCCGGGCCTCCACCAGATTCGACTGGCTATTGCCGGCGGTATTGGAAAACTCCGGGGCGCCTATCAAAGCATCGGAAGCTGTCCAGATGGGTTAACAAGCACTTTCTTCGCCTAGGGCCAAGATATAGGTGCAGGGGCGACATCGACTTCCACGCTTGGAAGTCGGATAGGGGTATCCTGCGTAACGCATGCTATACATGTTCTTGGCATGGGGTCTTGGCGCCCCATGACACGATGGGCGACGGGGGGATTTTATCGGATCCAATCCATGGATCATGTCGAGTTGGGAGGGCCCCCGGGAAGGGGCATATGGTCCATGGATTGGATCCGATGGCGAAGGTCCCGGAAAATGTTTAATCCGATGTGACGGTGATTCGGAAAACGGTTAATCCGTTGGGCGACGAGGGCCCCCGGGGGCTCACATGGTTCACGGATTGGATCCCCGATGACGGTGATCCCAGAAATATTTAATCCCTTAGTGGTGGTCCACTGACCGGATCCAATCCATGGACCATGTCCGTCCCCCCGGGGGCAACATGGTCCACAGACTGGATCCGATGCGTGGACCATCTCGATACCGAGGATGTCAACCTCTATCGAGTAGGGTGCCCCCCACCCCCCCAGCCACATGGTCCATGGATTGGATCCGATGACGGGGCGGCAAGTGTGAGGGTTCGGGGTCAAGGATACAATCGTATTCTAGCTAGCATCGAGTTCTAGGTTACAAGACGTAGCACGAAGGGAGTCAAGATGGGATGCTAGCTAGAATACGATTGTATCCTTGACCCCGAACCCTCACATGGAGTGCCCACGTTCCCACGTGACACGGCCAAGCCGCGTGCTTACGTGATAACGCTAAGCTAACGTGGATCACAGGCTTTGGGATCGCACGGGCTCGGGGATCACTCAATTTCCTACCAAGATTCGTGAAATTCGCAACGAAATATCTCAGCCATTAGAAAAATTTTTAATGCCAAATTTTGATCCATGATATTTCTCATTGATTTCATTAAATCCGGGGCTTACTATTTTGTACACCCCTCCGACTATTCAGTGCACTCGCACTAAACTCTTTTTGGCCGGATATTACTATTCCGTACACTTTCTCCGTCCCCAGAGCCTCATAAATCCTTATCCCGTACACTTAACAACGTCATGGACAAGGCTGTTGTTATGGAGACGCCCCAGCAAGGTAGGTTTGGCGAGATCAGAATGGGTCTTTTGTGCTGACTAGGGTAACAAACCAGCGCCCATAGGTTGGGGGGACCGCCCATAACCCGGGGGTGAAACCGCCCATAAGCCGTGGGGGAACTGCCCCGCTTATGAGCGGTTCCCCCCCAAACCTATGGGCGCTAGTTTGTTAGTCAGCACAAGGTATCGACCGTGCAGGGGATACAAGGATTTTACTAACCCCGAGTGGCGGTGGCAATCCTTTCTATACATATGCGAGGCAGGACCTCAACTTGATAGAAGACAGAGCACATAATGTAACAAATCAATGTAACAATCAAGAGATACTTACTCTTCCTCTCATTGTTCGACAGGTGGTAATGCAAGCCCATACAGGTCCGCAGCGAGTCCCCCGCCGACAGCGACGCGCAAAGAGGCAATTGTGCGAGGTCGATTAGGCAGTATTAAATAAAATGGACCTTGTGCGCTTATCTGTAAATCGCACTGCGAAGAAGGCCTTTTGTAACCCCTTCTATTGAAAACCTCCCCGTAAATCGACCAATCATAGCAAGGCTTGGAGATTAGTGTACGGAATAAGGACTTTCCATCGGTGTACGGACTAGTAAGGGAGGTGTATTAATTAGTAAATCCCGTATCTATTGGGGGGAGGAGGGCACGGGCAATGTCAGCTCTGCATTCCTGTGGAGGGCATTGTAAGCACCTGTGTGATCACATAATGACTTGGTCTAGTGTTAGTTTTGTTGGGGGGGGGGGGGGGGGGGGGGTTGCCGTCCGGAAGCTGGTGGTGTTCGGCATGAATTTCACTCTGAGAGTCGACCAAAAAGGCTTATTTGTAGAAGCCAAGATCCCTAGTTGGCAGATTTGTGACGGCCGCCAAGGCGGGCTTATTTGCTCCACCACCTGGATTCGGAGCTACATACGACTCGTAACCATACCTGGGACGCAAGCCTGCCATCACAAGATCATCGTGTGGCTCTCACAGATCTTGTCTCAAAGGGCCGGACTCTGAGCCACTAGGAGTCCTTCATCTCAACCTGTTCTTGGTGCGTTGCAGAAGCCATAAAGGTGTCGCCTGGTGCTTTGTCAATAATATCCGATGGCGCTGCAACTGTATCGCCAAACACCCCTGCGATCTCTTCCAGAGTTTTGGACTTCAGATTGGGTTAGCACTTTCGGTGGAAACGAAGAGGCAGTGGGCTGCCTGGGTTCGTGCTCACCTTAGTCTCAGGGTAGAAAAAGTAGACAATAACCACATATACGCAGTCAAAGATGAGAAAGATGAGAAAATATTTCCACGAGATGGCCGCTAGGGCGAGTGGCGCCGTCTGGAGATGGAGGACTGTGACTGCGTTAAAGGTGAAGTATCCCAGCGCGACGCCAACGGCCCGGATCTCTGTGGGCATAATCTCGGCACCATACTGTAACCATTAGAGAAAGGTTATCAATATCTGTCGCGTCCAAGGGATCATACCGCTGGCCCGAACGAGTTCATGACGGCCGAGTAGCCGAAGGATGTAAGGAAAACACCAACGTTGATGCCTCTAGCTAAGTTGAGATTCTTCGAGCTGCCAGCCTCATACGCAGCCCAGAGTCCGACAATGATACAGGCAGCTGGGATCATGATCCCATAGCTCATAAACTCGGCACAGTCAGTATAGCTAACCGCACTTCTGATGGACCACATTAACAAAACATACCAAGGAGTTTCGTCGACCCATCTTGTCGATAAAGAAACCAAGTGTAAGTACTGAGACTGTGGAAACCGTGCCCCATAAGCCGGTTAGAACTAGTGACAATACGGCACTCGCGCCTAGATTCTGGTAAATGACGACTTGGTAAAATGTCAATGGAATAATCCCAGTGCACCTATTAGCGACGGTAAGTGCCACTCTCGCATTCTTGGTATGAGATGGGTAGTCTCACTGTTGGAAGAAGAAGAAGGCACAGATTAATGCCACTCTTCTCATGTACGATTTCTTTTTGAAGATAGCGCCGACTCCAAGCTGATTGGACTTCTCGAACTCGATTTGTGCCCTAATCTGATGGAACTCAAGCTGATAGAACGTCTGATCATGCTCATTGGAGTGCATTCGTTGAAGGACTTTCAGGGAATCGTCATAACGATCTTTCAGGACAAGCCACCGCGGAGATTCTGGCATGTAAAATGATCCTGCTAGCATGCACAAGCCAGGCAAATACTGGAGGCCAAACAGAACACGCCATGAAGCGTTGCCGTGGATGAAGTAGAAGGCCAATCCCAGCCATTCCGTGATCATGAAAGCGACCGATATATTTAGACTGCCGTGGTCGAATTAGCAGTGGCGATTTTATGAATTCAGAGAAAAACTCACGCGTAAAATGCACCGACACGGCCTCTGAGTTTCGGAGGCGCGATTTCGCTGGCATAGACAGGACACAAAGAGAAGACCATTCCCCCGCCGATACCGCCCAATATTCGCCCCACAATGAACATGGCATAATTTTGAGCAGCAGTCTGTAGAGTGATTCCTACAATTGTGACAATGGTGCCGAAACGAAGAGACCACAATCGACCCATCCTGTTGGGCAGATACCAGTTCAAGACTGTACCTACAGCGCTCGCCCCATAGTAGGCCGAGTTAAAGGCTCCAATAGTTGTACTATTCAAGGCAAAGTATTCGAGAAAACTCGTATACGCCAATACAGATGATGTGATCCCTATGGCATCAGGCCGTCAGCAGGGATTCTGAACTCAACATATATCTGCAGGCAGCTGCCAGACCCGCACCAACTCACCAGTATCATAGCCGTAGAAGGAAGCGCCGAAGCAGATGTATATCAGGCAGCATGCCTGATATACGTTCAAACCGAAGGCCATCTTTTGCGTTGGCGAAAGGCAGAAGCTGGGTATGGGTAGATGAAATCGGGGCTGTGACCGTCCCCAGGTCGCAATAAAATGCGGAGGAGGCTCCCCACGTTCAGAGCTATCATTCCCTCGCTTGCAAGCGAGGGCCTAGAGCTTCGGTACACGGCAGGTGCATTTTGAAGGATCCATTGACGACTCGTGAGGTTGGAAGTATAAGAGCTGTTTCTATTAGTCCGTAGGTCCGTTAGCTCTGATATGAACAGCGGTACGACTCGTACCGCGGTGAAAAGATCAGCCGATTTCCGAGGCCTTCCCTGGGCGAGGATGAGCGAAGTTGTGCTACAACTCTGGTAATGGTACAGTGCCCGAGAAGATCGGCTGGCAGATGTCCGTAAGCCTTTCAAAGAGGATGAAGTACTCGTTCAGGCCATGAACAACGTTGACTGACTCATGTTACTACTCGCTACGTCTGGCGGGTGTGACACTGGAAGACACAGCTGCCATGGCGGCGTGCGTTTTCATCTCAAACGTGTTTCTTGGGTGGGCTGAGATCGTGTGCTTGTTGAACTCGACCATCTTAATCTCGAAATTGGCTCTGCCGGGGGTCTTGCAGAGGTATACGTACTGCGATCTCGGCTATAGGCACCGTGGTATTCACCACGGTGTTGACTAATCGACTGGCGACGACAGTACCTGATAAAATTGCCCCTGCTGTCATCAAAGCAGGTCTTCCACATTCAAGTGTGCCAGACTTTCTTCAAGCTCTTAGTGTCGGTACAGCACAGGCATTTCCCAAAGTTCCGGGCATCGCAGAAGCAATCATCAACGATGGGCTGCTGGCAAATAAGAAGGCCTATGTGGCATCCTTCCGCTCAGTCTACCTAGTCAGCATCACGTTCGCTGGTTTTGCGTATGCTGTTCCTGGTTCACGCCCAATATGGAACAGTACTTGAATTCGAAGGGGGCGACGGTCTTGCATGCTGAACAACTCGAGAACAATGCATCTCCCGACAAGGCTGCTGAAGGAGTTAGTGAAGCTCAATTAAAGAAAATACAGGCTACTCGAAGTGACCGATGAAAATTCAGACTTTGAGATTCTATTTAGCCCGACGAGTTTTGTGCTGGACTGATGACAGTTCTGTCAATCGGTGTCGCCTGTGGCTGTTGCATGAATGTTCCGCATTGCATGATCAGGGCCTAGGGATGCTCTGAGATTGCCAACTGTTATTACCATATATAGGCAAGTCTGCCATCTTGTGTAGCCGAGAATCACCACCGGTATGCTGCCCTTACCCGACATTTTTGGTTGTAGGATTGAAAAAAAGCCCATCTGGCGACAAATCCTCAATTCTACGGGCATTCCTGGCCTTGAAACACTGGAAGATCATAGTATCCGCTCCTTGATTAGATGCACATTTTCCCACCAAGTTTTTCCTTTTGGGGAGACGCACGTATAGCCACGCGGAGAACTAAGGACTTCGAGCACTCAAATTGATCGGTTCGATGTCACATTACCAGGTGTTGTCTAACGAAGCTTCTCAAGGACTTCCCATGACTCGAAAATATCCATTCTCCTTGGTATAGCATCTTCTCTGGAGTTGCATTCCTAGTGTGAATGCTTCTCCCAGATTGAAATAGTATGAGGAGGCTGGTGGACACATGGGGCAGCTTTGATATGAGTCGACGCGCTTGATACTTCCGATCCAGAGCCTCAGCTTCCGCGATTCCAAGTAACTACAATTTCTGCATATATCAAGACATATCAAAAAGAGGCACGAGGGGGCAGGCAAGGCAGAGGCAGGAGGCTCAAACAAAAGAACCCTCGAGTATATGGTCAACACTGGCCTTCCTACAGCCACGTCGCAGGGCACTACACAACGGTTCACCACACTCAATGCACAATTCAGTAAATGTCCATCACCACACACGGGTATACTAGCCTTGAGAGTCTCGATATAGTACGTAGCACGCACCAGCAGCAAGGTTAGACGGCCGTAACCGTCAGACGTCCGTCCTTGACAGGTGACACAGCTTCAGCAGGAGCCATTTCGTATGATATATATTCCAGCTCGCTAGAGCATCTGCTTTTATTCCAACTATGCGTATTCCCACACCTCTCGCGCTTTCCAAGAGCTTTTGGATAAATGGATTCATACCACTTTATGGTTCACCCAAAAAGACCCCATTTTGTCGTGGAATCCTGGAGCTTCAAAAACGGGAACGTTCGACGCAGATGTCAAGCTTCTTTACGAGGTGTGATGTTGACGTAGAGCGAAGGCTTCTCCCAAAGCATGAACGTCTGTTGAGTGGTAATCCACTTGTCGTTGTCACTCTGCGGGCTCAATTCAAGGTCGAATGTCCACAACAGTTTCGCCAAAATTGATCGTAGTTCTCCGTACGCAAGACTAAAACAAGGCAAGCCAAGTAAATTAGTAAGAATTCTTCTAAGTTCGCGGTACTCCGCAGTGACTTTGAGCGCAGGGGCCTTCTGAGAATGAAAACCAGCCTTCGACCAAGGCAAGAAATTAAACAAATATACTCACTTTTTCCCTAGGCAATTCCGCGGCCCAACGGAGAACGGTTGGACCACTTCCTTGTTGTCGTCTTCGAAAAGGTGTGCTGGCACGTCTTGGCTCTCGTCACGCAGAGGATGGAGGTCCGGGAGGTGGCGCTCTGGTAGGAAGTCATCGGGTCGATAGAAATTCTCGGGGTCATGGTTGGTGGCCCACTGGCTTACTCCAACGGTGGTGTCTCCAGGTACCCACCGCTCCTCGATGAACTCGCCGGGCTCTGGGACAATGCGTGGATGCGTATTTGGAGCCGGCGGGTAGCAGCGGAATGACTCTGCCACAACCGCCGGGAGATAGCGAAGCTCGTTGGTGCTGACAATTCCTATTGACTCGTATGTTGAGAAGGTATCGCGGATCTCCTTGACCAGGCGCTCATAAACTCTCGGATTGCGTAACAAGAGATATAGTGCACCAGATAGAAACGTCGCCGTGGTTTCACTACCCGCGACCATCAGGATGATGGCAGTTTGCTTGATCTCCGCGTCCGACATCCCTCGATCGTCGTTGTGGCGAAGAATATAGCTCATGAAATCCTTGCGGTCAATATTGTCCTTCTTGGCAAGTCGCTCATCAACAGTGCTGATGGCATTGTTGTCTGCTTTGGATTTTGCTTCGACCAACTCGTGTGGTGTCAGCCATTTCCTTAGCGCTGTGAGATTGTACCACAAGAGGGCCTGGACCCACGGGTGTTGTTTGATGCCTTGGAAGATCATCTTCACCCAGTCGTGGTAACGTCCTTCTTCGAGACATCCAAACGGTTGGCTGTACGTCAGCTCGCCCATAATATCAAAGGTGGTATAGTTGAGCCAGCTGACGATGTCTTGGGGTCCCTCGATGCACTTGTCTCTCAGCCGAGAGATAAGGAGATCGACGTAATACTGCATGCGATCTTCCTGCTCCCTCAGCGCCTTTTCAGAAAATGCATGAGCCACAGTTCGTCTCATTCGGGCGTGATCTTTACGTGGAGCAGTGTTGATGGCCGGAGCTTCCGCAAACGTTGGGAGGAGTCCAGACCCTCTCAGATCTTTAGACATTTCATTGCTGCGTAATCCGTATCTAGTTAGATAAAACGTTAGCAAGCGTTTAGTTGTCGGCTGAATTGAAAGGCCTTCGGGTTCAACATACATCTCTTTCCAGGCATTTTTAGTAGTATAAGACAGCTCTTTAGGACCGATCCGAACGATTCCACCATACTTCTTGTGGAGCTTCAGGATCTCATTGTGCACCCGGCCATTTGTTGAATGGTAAATGAAGGGGACTCGTGAAGCGGCCCACCATTTTGGACCTGGATATTTTCGAAGAGGGTGAAAGAAGACATTGTAAACCATCATCCCAATTGTATAAACCAGACACTGCCAACAGAGTTAACCTACCGAACAATCGGAGATAAATCTGACGCATCACCTTACCAAGGAAATGAACACCGTGGTCAATAACATAACGCCTTGCATGATCGTCACCCTGGAAAGCAGGCCTACCCTCTCCTTCATGACATTCATCGCGAAATCCATCCTGTCGTCGAGGTATCAAAAATTATGATCGTCAAAGGCGCTCTAAGAGATTCACCGAGACAACAGACCCAGTGTCGTTTCTTTTGGCAAATGACACGCTTCTTTGCGTATATGTACACATTTGGCAAGCAAGGGAACTTCGCTACGATTCGTACATGGCGGATCATTTCAGGTACCATGCCAAAAATTGGAGTAGCTCCGATAATGAAAGCATCGAATAGGTGAATCTGATTTCTAACAATAAACTTCATCACTTCGCAAAAGCCAATTCTTCAGTTAAAGTGCAACGTTGCGGGAAGCCCTACCTAGGGTTTTGCATGTACCTAGTGGCGTCCACCGCTCTCCCCAGACAGCCACGATCATTAAAATCTTGTACTTCGCCCGGTGATTGTAGGGCCCCCGGTAGGTGCCAAGTAGTGTAATGACATGGTACGTGATGCGTACCACTGGGTACAGTATTGTAAAAGTACCCCGTATGCTTCGCATAGTCCGGCACTCTCCCAGAGGCCTCCTTGAATCCACCATGTCCTCCATGAGCCACAGCCCTACGTACAAGGCCCCTACTTTAATCAGTGCACTTCGCATCTGTGGTCCTGAGAAGTTGGATCCAAAAAAAAAAGATGACTGAGAATATCTGTCACCTGATTGGGACAGATTTCATCCCCGCCTCCGGGTGGCCCCTGATCGTGGGAAGAAACAGGAGCTACAACACGAATCCTTTCACAAGGTGGTCAAGCCTTCAGCACTATTTTCCTCACCAGTCTTCTGTGTTGATTGTCACCATGTCTTCGGGTCTGGCCAAGCCCATTCCAGCCTTTGATGACTTGCCCCTACGTCAGGGAGACCCTCACCACTCTGCTTGGGGTCTCTGGGAAAATCCCGCGTTGGGCGCGTTGAACCATCTCAGAGATGAGGTGGTGTTGAGGATCGTGCAGGAGGAAGTGCGCACTGGCGAGCGGGTGACCTTAAAGTAAATCCAGCGTTCTTTAGTGGTCACGCAGAAGCCGTCTTGTGTTGACCAGCTTTTTAGTCTCCCACTCGATGCAGTGAAACCAGCATTGCTCGGCCGCATCGATTTCGAGCAGAGGATCATCAACAAAGCTCCCCGAATTATCAACGATGACGTGGTAGGAACCCTCGATCTCAGCCGTTGCAGCCATTTCACCTAGTTACAGATTACTTTCAACACCCAAACAAGTTCCCAGTTCGACTCGTTCAGGCATTTTGCGTATCAAACAGAAGGCAAGTTCTACAACGGGTATGTTCAAGCTCGTTCTCAAAAGAGCCGCTCCCTTCGGCTGATGTTCTATCTTGATCTATGTCTCCAGAGTCACCCAGAATGACATCCACGGACCGCCCGGAAGTGCCGTAAATGGCATCGACGGCTGGGCTGAGAAGGCGGTTGCTGGTCGAGGCATTCTGATTGATTTTCCCTTGTGGTCGGATGAGCAAGGTATTCGGCACGACACAATGACCTCACGTGCCAGCTCTGTCGACCACATCAAGGCGATAATGGCCGCGAGGCATATCCAGCCACGGCAAGGCGATATTCTCTTCCTTCGCACCGGCTATGTCTTGGCGTATACGAAGCTCGATGCCGCGGCGAAAGCCGGCCTGAAGGCCGCCAGTCACAGCTGGCCGGGTCTCCAGCAGGGCGAGGCCATGACGCGCTGGCTCTGGGAACAGCAATTTGCGGACGGGAGCTCCTCTGACCATCTCATAGCGCCGGTGGACGAAGCATGGCTCCTTCATCCTATCTTGCTCGCAGGCTGGGGAACGCCTATCGGGGAGCTGTTTGATCTCGAGGCCCTGGCCGAGACATGTAAAAGAAGGAGTCGCTGGTCCTTTTTTGTCACCAGCGTTCCTCTAGTCTACAGTGGAAGACGATCGAAGTCATACCGAGGAGCACATTGGTTTTTCATTGTAGTATGAGCACGGGTTAAGAGGGGAAAAAATTAGATCGTCACTATCGTAATGATTGAACTGCGGAAGAGGGATATACACAAGCCTGTACAAGTCTTGACTCTATGAATCATGCTGTTGTCCATCCGCCTTGAAATCTCTGTTTAAGAACAACCCTGTTGTTGGCTCTTGGCCTCGTTTATGCTTCACATCTGGATAACACTCTCAGCTGCATTACTTTTTTTCCCTTTTCAGGGCAGGACTCGACCGAATTGCCAGCTAGACGACACAGGAACGTGCAGTTTCTTTGCCGCCGCGAATACCCACCCAGGCTCGCGCAGGAACTGGCGAGCTATCAGCACAAGGTCAGCCTTGGGTTCCTTGCCAGACAGGGCGGCCTCCGTGGCGAGGACGTCATGATCGTCGGCACCCTGGACGATGTCGCGAGCGGCCTCAGCCTCGGTGATCAGACCTGCTGCGCCTACCAGCGTCGTGTGCCCGGCCGCGTGGATCTCTTTCCGAAGCTGGTCGGCCATCTCGACCTGGTAGTTGCTGTGTGGCTGGATCCGTTGGTCCTTGTGGTTGCCGCCGGAACTGACATCAATCCCGAGCCCCTGGAGGAGTGTGACCAGCCGGATCGACGACGTCATGTCCCAGCTGCCCGTGCCCGTCTCTGCTGCTGCCACGCTTGGGTGCTCTTCCAGCCACTCGGTGGCGCTGATGCGGAGGAACAGCGGCATCCCCGTGGGTATGGCGGCGCGGATGGCAGTGGCGACTTCTCGCACAATGCGCGTGCGGTTCTCAAAGGTGCCTCCGTACGCGTCGGTGCGGCGGTTGGTGACGGGGCTGAGAAACTCGTGTAGCAGGTAGCCATGCGCGGCGTGGATCTCGATCACGTCTACGCCCGCCTCTACGGCGGTCCTGGCGCTTGTTGCGAAAGCCTGAACGACCTGTTCGATTTCCGCGACTGTGATCTCACGCGGTGGGCAGAACTTTACATCGCCAGGCGCCCATTTAAACTCCTTGCCTCCCGTCGGGGCCACCACGTCCGAGGGCCATCCGTGCGCGCTTTCGTCGCACTTAATGCTGCTCGTCTTGGGGCCTTCCCACGTCGTCGACAGCCAGAGAGCGACGACGCTTGCTTTGCGGCCGGCATGGGCCAGCTGGACGCCGAACAGAGCTCCTTGGCTGTGCACAAAATTCGCCACGCGGCGCAGGCCCTTGAATTGTTCCGACTCGGGGCCCTCTTGCCATAGACCCGCGTCCTGCGGAGAGATCCTGCCGTTGGGCTGGACGGCCGTCGCCTCGGTCATCACCAGCCCTACCCCCTTGGTGGCCAGATGGCCCAGGTGGGCGACGTGCCAGTCGGTGAGGGCGCCCACAGCTGGCGAAGTGGGGTCTAGCTCGGATGAGAACATACACATGGGCGCGACCACGATCCGATTTTTGAGGGTCTTGTCCCGAATGCGGAGCGGACGGAACAACGTGGGGGTGTCGGAGCCCCTCGGCCCTCGTGTCCTGCGGCGATCGGAATGTCATCGATTCCGCGGTGTCATGCTTATTTGAGGGAGAGACTTGGAAGAAGCCACCCCTTCAGGGCGATTTAAGTGGAAGGCACCACGCACCAGGTCGTATATCGGCCGATCATCTCGTCCATGGGTGCGGAAGGTATCAGCTCTCCATCCCTCTCTCCGGGGATGCATGAGCTGGGGCACAATACTGCTCGACTTGGAATTCACCATACGAACCCGGGACCCCAGGGATCATGGCCCAAGACAGAAGCGTCGGAATTTAGGGTCATGATGCTGACTATGACCAGTGGTTACGTTAATTGTGACAATAGTCGTGGGTTTATTGGAGTGTTGTATCGTTCTTCTATCCCCCGTGATCAACCATTCAAAGGCTGAGCTTCGGGCAGGTGGTGGTGACAGACGCCTCAGGGACAGTAGTCTGACGAAAGGCTTCCTCTTTCCTCGACAGAATTCTAGGCGTGTTGTCGAAAGAAACCGAATCCCTGACCTTCCCAGTGCCTGGTTCGTGCTATTTCGCTTTGATCTAGTACATTTGCCCTGGAAAACGGGTTCTCCATATCAGGCTATCAATGCATGGTATTGACCAAGGCAGTGGGGAATATGCAAGGGGGAAGAAGTAGGCGGGTATAACAAAACGACGACCTTGTTGACTTACTCAAACAGCTGAATCCTGTCTCGAATGACGTCTCCATACTGGCTGGCACTCCGCGATCGGACGAAGAGAGTAATTCGGACTTGTTCGCCAGGATTGTTTGGCACAAAGAACCAGCATGCCAGGACGGGATCGATCGACTCCATCTCCTCGCTGAGTAGCCGCGCTTTATCCAAGAAGCGCGAGATATTCTCAGGGCCCCGTGCGGTGTATTGGACGAACGTGAAATGGTCATGAGGTGCGACCGCCTCCTGCGCACCCTCTTTCCAGAGGAATCCAGCGCCCGCAGGGACGTACAGGGGCACACCGCCCCCCCACTCCGCCTTCATCACATGGCGGGTGGGGGATGTCGTCCGTCACATCGAGCTCGAGCGGGAGATGGAAGTCACAAGGTCTTGGACCGAAATTTTCCGAGGTGTCGATGGGAAGCGCACCCACATTGCCGTCCTGATCATCCTCGGAAACGCCTTGACTGGTATCTATTTTGTTGCGCCTTACGCCGCCCTCTTCCTCGAAAGCGTTGGCTTGAAGAATGCTTATGTCCTCAACGTCGTCGTAAACTCTGGTGTCTTGGGTGGTTCACTTTTGGGTCCGTCTCTTTGCGAATTCGCCGGCCGCCGTTGGACGCTCATCGGAGGATACACCGGCATGGCGTCTTGCATGCTTATTGCTGCTGCCTCCGCCACTGGCCTTGGACAATCGAACCACACTGCACAAAACCTCCTGGTTGCCTTCCTCTTTATTTGGGCCTTCATCTTTGGCGCAACCTCAGGCCCTACCGTTTGGGTTGCTTCAGCGGAGATGCATTCGCTCCGACTTCGTACCATCGGCCAGGCTTACACAACCGTTTTCTTCGTTCAGCTGTGCCTTCTGGATGCCGTATATGCTCAACGCAGAATATGGGAACATGGGAACGAATGTAGGATACTTCTATTTTGGCATCACCATCGTCATCATTACTCTTACGTGGCTGTTCATGCCGGAGTGTGGACAGTTGTCTCTCGAGCAGGTTGACGAGTATTTCGTGAGCGGGAGGCCGGCATGGCGGACGAGCTTGAAGAAGAACAAGGTCATCGCGGCTCAAGGAATCATACAGCATGCTACTGCCAAGGAGGCCGAGGGGTAGTGCTTTCAAAAGGAGAACTCACTAGGCGTCAGGCGTTCCTGTCACTACTTCAAGCCCCCCCGATCTCATCCATTGGTTCCCTTTATGTAAAGTTTGTTGTCGGGAAATGCGCCTCCGGTTTGGGCAGCCTGGCCCTTTCGGGCATGGTCGTAGGCTGGGCGCGCCGCCGCTTTTGACGTCTCCAAGAGGAGTGTGTCTCGATCACCTCCTCACGGCCGGCACTTCGGCCCCCTCAAAGTCCCCAATTTCTCCATGGCACATTTGACGTGCAGGCTCAGCAGACCCCGTCGATCATCTAGAAGCCTAACTAGGGGCCGCGGACAGGATATTCCACGGGGGGTAAAAGCGTGGCTTCTATTTTAGGGGCCACCCCCAAACCCCCAGGCCTCGCTGCGCTCGATATTGCCAAGCCTTTGTAATCACGTGATCTAACCGGTCACGTGGACCTTGCCATTCTTGGCGGCGCACCCGTGCGGCCCCATAACGTCTCACGTGATTGATTGACCCCATCGGTGTGATTTCACGGAGGACTTAGTTGGCATTCGAAGAGGTCCGAGGGACCGTCTGACTATATAGTATCTGAGGGTTACTAGCGTGCTTCGAAGACCCCTGGTCATTACAAGCCTTGGCAGACCTTCAAAAGGGTCACGTGGGCCACCCATAGTCACATCGGATCCAGTCCATGGCACACCCAGGAATGGGTAGAATGCCGCCTTTGGATCATATGCACAGAGTGTTGATCCCATCGGATCCAGTCCATGGCCCACGAGTAGACGACGGTACACTCAATTAGGAAAGCCGACAACGATATCGGCGATGAGATCGGCATTTGCTAGTTCGGAGCACTGTCCATTATCTCATGCGCAGCCAGAATTGCGGACTTTTGGTCTTGGCACGACCACGCCTATTCAACTTATTTCTTCCAACTCTTCTTTTTGACCACTTTTCCCAGTTAAAATGCAATGCAAAGGCGTTCTGCGAGAGTTCCTGTTCCCAAACGTCATTTCGAAGATGTGTTCGAAATTTTACCCTCCAAAAAGCGCCAGAAATCGACTCAGATTGTGCTGCAACCACCAATGCAAGAAGAGGCGCGTGTGGGCGCGGACGCGCCCGTATTGGTTACAACTCAACCCACCCCTTACGAAGAACCCACTACTCCACCACCAATGCCTATCGGATTCGAGGACTTTAAGATCCATTGGAAAGAACGAGAGCCAATTGAACTATTTCTTCGATTCTTTGATCCACAGTCGCTATTCGCTATTATGCCGTCAACAAATACGCGTGCAGCCCGTGTACTAGCGCGTCCCGTCGAGTCCTCGACTACGAAATTCCAATATCGCGAATGGCACCCAGTTTCAGCCGGAGAGTTACTTCGATGGCTCGGAATTCTTATTTATATGGGTCTTCATATTGAGAAGTGTCGTTCCGACTACTGGCGTTCCTTCAGCCACGAATTAGGTCGATACATGGGCAAAAATCGATGGGAACAGATTCATCGCTTCCTGACTATTAACCCTGACGAATCTGTACCCTCCGACGCTCCAATCTGGACTAAGCTGGAGCCTGTTAACTCAATTATACGAAAGAATTGTCAGGAGGCTACACAACCTGCTACCTGGTCATCGATTGACGAGGGTATGGTAGCGTTTCGAGGTCGCTCCATTCATAAGGTTAAGATGAAGAATAAACCAATCGACGAAGGCTTTAAGCATTGGGCTCATAGTACACACGGCCTTATACATGACTGGTTATGGCATTCGAATTATCATGGTACAGAAGAGTGCTCAGAAAAGGGTAAGAATCGCCAGTTCGATAACGTACCAGAATACGGTACAATCCTTCTTGCACCAACATTTCAAGTATCAATTCGGCTCGCGGAGAGACTAAGAGCCCGCGACCCTTATACGAAATACACCATATTTATGGACAATCTCTTTCTAAATGTACCTGTGGTGCGCCAATTACTCAATATGGGTATTGGTTGTACAGGCACTATCCGCAAAAGCGCCGTTGGGTTGCCTATCGAGTTACTATCAAAAATAGCTGAGAAAAGCTCTCTTCAATGGGGTGAACACATTGCCGTATTAGCTGGCAAAGCACTATGCTTTATCTGGCAGGACAACAACGCTGTCCGCGGCATTACAACGTCGTTCAGTATACATAGAGAGGAAGATAAGGTTATTCGACTCCGCCGAAGGCCCAAAAAGACCTCTACCAACGCCGCGCTTATACGGCCTATCTTTGGCGACCTGGTACGTAAAGAACTACCAATTCCGACTGTCATTGATGCCTATAATCATCATATGAATGGCGTCGACCTCGCTAATCAACTCCGCGCCTCGTTCACGTACCATAGACCTCTTGAGGACCGCTGGTGGCGTCCAATCTTATATTGGCTCATCGATGTCTGTACGGTCAATTCATTTCTGATTTGGCGGACGACTAGGTGTGAAAAGGAAGTCAGATCTCGGCGCTTACATCGAATATTTCAAGAGTTATTGGTGCAGTCCTTATTGGCTTTCGACGTTCAGTTGCCTCTTTACGACAGGCTCTCAGACCATACTATTGAGCGCCGCAAAGGCCATGGTTATTGCGCATGGGGTCGTAAGCACCCAGGGCAGTGTCAACAGGGCATTAATAATAACGCTGGCACTAGAGTTGTATTGGGAGAGGTGGTTAACGAGGCAAGGGGGACGTTCAAGCGCCCACGCCAAGTTAATAGCTTTTGCACGAGGTGCAATGTATATTTATGTATTAAACAACAGTGCTACAGGCATTGGCATGTATATTTATATAGTAATACTAACTAATTTGCATAGGAATGGCTTCACAGTTGTGGAATGGTACATGGTGTGGAATGCCAAGACCAAAAGTCCGCAATCCTGGCTGCGCATGAGATAGTCCAAGTCCTCGGTCTTGGGACATAATAGTATTTGCCCTCTTGAAGTGATCCAAATCAAAGGGCCCTCAAACAACCCCCCGTCCAAGGTCTTCACCCGTGATACCGCTACATACGACAGGCCCAGACAGTGCTCTGTTTGACTTAAATCTAGAACTACCCTAGGTAGGATTAGGCCCTGGCTTTTATGAACCGTAATCGCATAGGATAAGCGGACGGGAAGCTGAGTGCGGGAGCATGCTATCCCTTGGAAATCAAACTGACCATTAATAGGAAAGATCGGGACGACTCCTGGGTCACACTGGGGGAAATTTGGGGCCGGTATAACTGTCAAAACTTGGCCAGTAAGAATGGGACCGAAGAAAAGATCCTGGCCTTCCTGCCAGGCAATATCTTGGATGCAACCCATCGATCCATTCACCAGCCCTAATTCGGTCCAGAGATTTGTGGTGAGCATCACGCGGGCCTGAATATCTGCAGAGGTACGTCCAATAGGTCAAGAACCCCCATTAAGTCGGATTGCCAACAGCACAACACGGGTTGACGGGAAATCTGCCGCCGAATTGGGCGGGTTGTACCGCCGCTTTTCTTCCCTCAATGCCAAACCACCACCCTTCATTTTCTAGTGTCTCCTTTTGGACCCTGGCCCTACCATCTTATCTAGGTGATTCCCATTCACAAGCTGAAACTTGCTGACCCACTTGCCATGCCTATCCATCTCCCTCACAAGTATCTGGCGTGATCCAACAATCACCACCGCAAAAGCACGGAAACTTTTGTCCGCAATCTCCTTTTGGACGGTAGACCCCATAACGTAAGACTGAAGCTGACTGCGGACACTTCCAGACACCGGACCATACCTTCTTCCATCAATCCAGTTGTTAATGCTCCCTGTTCGGTATTTGTCGCCCTTGAATTTCAGTTTAAGAATGTCGTTGAGCTTCATGGCTTCGAGTTCTTTCGCTTTTCCAATATTGTCTTCTCCACTCAGGTCCAGGTAGCGGAGTTGGATGTTCTTGAACTCGACAAGGGTGTAGAGGTTTTTATTGTCTGTAATGAGGAGATCGACAAAACCTGGACTGTTACTCACCTGCACAGATCAGCTTCATATTCGCATTTATTGGATATGAACACAGAGGTCTTACCTTCGCAACATGATATTCAAGTGTAGACTGCATGGCGTCGTTTTGTAGAATACCCCACCGAATATTGTCTCGGTGGTGTTCCTCCTTCTTTAAAAATGCGTCTCCGAAGACATCACGCTCTCGCATCATGTGACAGTACCCAGCCAGTACGTCCTTTGGGTTCCCAGTTTTCGCAAGAGTATGTACAGCATTGATCATAAAATGGTATAAACCAAGTCGATCAAGGAGCGCGAATCCGAACCTCTTCGCTGCTATGAGGTTAGGTATCTTCAAGTAATTCGATGGATCATTCATATCAAAAGTCAGACCGCCCATGTAGACCATTAAGGATCGCCATGCAGACATGTCGCCTTCACTAGCAGCCTGGAGGTTCTAAGTAGACAAGGATGTGAGATACCACACTATAGTATAATCTCTCCGACTAATAATGGAACATAACTTACTAGTTCGGATAGTTTGAAGCTGCGGAGCACTTTGTCATATGGAATCTTTCGGTAAGCGCCGTGTTCGTCTTTTTGAAGTGCTAATTGTATCTCGTCCACAGCTCTAGGTGCCCCTGCACAAGCCTCCAAGAAGCTTTCAGAGACCTCCGAGTTTGGAGCTTCACCAGCTTCAGGTCTTTCTCCCTGCCTAATTTCCTATCCGGTAATTAGCATTAGGGTTAGCTAGCACTTCTCTTTACTCACTTCAAGATATGAAAGAGCCGTATGAGTGTTAAACACCGGCTCTACACTCCGTCTGTGGCAGAAGTGATAGCCATTGGCGTTGTGTTCCAATTCCCTCAGGTTCTTTTGCACCTCTTCCTCATTGTTGCAGATAACCCTTAGTGCTCCTAGTACGTCGGATCGAGTTAATCCGCAAATGGTTGAAAATAATGGACTGAAAGAGACGTTTTCTTGGTTGTTCGCACCGCTGACAAGGTCGCTTAAAAGCAGAGGCGTAACGCCAGTGATGTATACCTTTTTAATACCGTAACTCCACCTCTGGCTAGTTTTGACACTAGCCCAGAATGCCTTCAAGAGACGAAAGGGTGCGTCATCGGACCATAACCTTGGATTGTGCGGATCCATATAATCGTTGGCGCAAGCATCGTATTCGTCCGCTAGCAGATAGATCTAGATGCATTAGAATGTATTCAGTAGTTGGTTGAGAATAAATATACCCCTTGTACATTCCAGAGGGGATGGTCCTCCTCGCCTCTCTTATGAATGTCTTGAAGCGTTCTATCAACAGCAAGAACTAAGCGTGCGAGATTTCCGACTGGGTTATTCTCCATGAAAGTAGACGTCCGCGATGCAAACGATTCACCTAGATATTCGGTGTAATCACTTATGAATGTCGACAGCATCATGTTTATATGTTCCCCAATGAACTGCGCAGACTGGTCAAGGTTGTGAGGACGGATAGGTTGGGAGAAGTCAAATTCCAAAAGAAGATATCGTCCAGGTTGAATTGTGCCATTGTTGACAGCTTCATCCACGTTGAGACCCTATTGAGCATAAGTCACAAATCTAGTAGTAAGGGACTTCACACCACACTTTGAAAAGCTCGTCGTATTGGTCGCGAAACTGGAATCCATGGAAATATCGCAGCGTAGTGACGGTGAGCGACTTTCCGAACCGTCTAGGGCGGCAAACGAGCTGGACCGCTGCCCCCTCTTCAACCTCAGAAATATATCCCGTCTTGTCGAAGTATGCCCCTCCGGGGATCTTGCGAATACTTCTGAAGTCCGATAACCCCACGGGGAACTTTCCTAGCTTGCCGCGTACCGCGAGCTTCGATGGCGAAGTGGAACTCCGGCGGGCTGCCACGAGAGGAATTCGGCTGTAGGGGGGGGGGGTAGAGGAGGGCAAGCTTGAAGGAAATGAAGTGAGGGACTTGTTAGCCTAGTACAGTGCCTGAACAGGTCGACAGGCCGGCTGCCGATCATCGCTATAGCAAAGGCAGATCAGTGAGAGAGAAATGGCGGCGAGGAAGGGACGCGGCACTAGATGAAGACGTAGAAGAGTGCTTGAAGCTGCAAATACGACGAAGCGTTGGTGGTTCGGAAAAAAGAAAAATTAAACGACCATCAGGTAGACCGCGTGGTGCAGGGGAGCAAATCTTGGCATCGAGGAAAGAAACCCTCCCAAAGCGGCGGCACTGACCTCCAAATTCGGCGGGAAATTTCCCTGCAACCTGCGTTGACCTGTAAAGAAGTGCAAAAGCAATGATGTGGCACCTGCAGGGTTGATCGACAGACTGTCACATGACATCTAGGTTGAAAGACCCCTAGGCCTATTCGGGATTAGCTCAATAGGCACCTACTTTGGACCTCTTCGAAATAGGACAAGTCCGGGGGGTATTATTCTGTACACCACCTTTTGTTATCCTGTACACTCTTTTTGCAACATTGAATCGCCTTTGAAATTAGACCGACCAAAAAGCTTCGAGTTTTTCTACGTTGTGAGGTAAATAGAGTGGTGGGAAAAAGTTGCGTTTTGTACGTTAAATGGTACGACGTACAAATTTCAAAGGGTGGACCATTACGCCAGAATGGCATTCACTTTACTACAATTCTGCAAGAATGTTTGAGCGGTTTGAAAGCTGAAAAGATGTATGTCTACTGTACTAACTGAGTATGTCTGCACATGATACAGTAAAACTTTGAGTCTTTTACGCAGTATTTAGAGCGTTCTGTGGGGGATATTGCAGTAAGGTGGTGTACACCCCCGCAGAACGCCACAAACACTGCATAAAAGACTTGAGATTTTGCTATATCGTGTACAGAAATACTCAGCTAGTGAGCAAACAACTTTTCAGCTTTCAAATCGCTTATATATGCTTGCGGAATGGTGGTAAAATAAGCGCCATTATGGCGTAGTGATCCGCCCTTCTAAAAATTGTACGTCGTACCATTTAGCGTACGAAACGCAACTTTTTCCCACTGCTCTCTTTACCTTGCAGCGACGTAGAAAAACTCGAAATTTTTTGGTTGATCCAAATTTTAAAGGCTACATAGCAGCTATATTAAGAGTTTCAGTATTGTCAGACCACTCGTTGTTGAGATTTTGGCGATTCAATGTTGTGAAAAGAGTGTACAGAATAGCCGCTGCCCACCTTGGACACGATATTTTATGCAGATGTCAAACTTGGGAACAACTTGAGATGCATTGAATGCTTTCTCTACCTCGCAACTGGTCCTGCCAGGTTACTGGTATATATACACGTTGGGTTGACCCCTTTTCTTCTCCTATTTCTACCCCTAAATCCTACATAGGGGTGATAACCCCTTTTTCCAATAAGGGGGCTCTCACTACAATACCGTTCAACCGTTCAGCGAAGCCTTGTTCGACAGCAAATCGGACAAGCAAAGAGTGTGGAATTAAGACTGCAAAGAAGATATCCTTGGCGCCTCATTAGAGTGCAGCGCCACTCTATCCGGCCCACGTTTCACTTTTTCTTCGTATGCGGCGAATGTTTTGAGATATTTCCCAAAGAACCATTGATTGAGTTGCATATTCTTCTTGCGTCCCACCTTTTTCACCGTCAATCCGGGTTAAGCTTGACGAGTCCTCCTGGAATTCCTTTGGGATTTCGTTACCGCTGTCGAAGAATGTGACGATGGATTGTACCCATTCTCCAGGTATCTGCAGGATCTTCTGCCTCCCTGGTAGAGTTATCGTCCCAAATATCCGATGAGTTCGCTAGCCTCTTTCGCGGAATCGGTGGACCGTGAGGTGTAAACCAGCTTAGGTTGCTTACGTGCAATTGCTCATGCGATTCCGTATATACACGCAGTGAATTAAGCAAGTCGCGAAGGTGTTGCTCCCGTATTCCAACGTCGTAGTCGAGATACTGGAGAAGCTCTCGCTCCATGCAGTTAACCTGGGCAAGAGTAAAACTGAATGTGACCTGGCCATCAATGGTGGAGATGGTGCTTTGGTAGTAACCTCCATACGTGTTCGGGTTGATGTAGTCGGCGTGCCTCATCCTCTCATTGATGAAGTAGTCACCGCCTCCTTTATTTCCAGCACATTAATTTTACGCGTCCATATATGTCCCTTTTTCTCTCGGGGCAAACTCACTATTGACTTCGAGTAAACACTCGCGCCGTACGGCCTCTAGAGTCGGTCTCTCACAGAAGCCCGTTCGCCCGCCAAGATTGCCAAAGGCGTCTACTAGTGAGGTGGCCGCTTCAAACGGGGAGGTGTATCTAGGGAATACCGGCCTCTGCAGCACGTGTTTCTCGTAACGTAAGGGAACCGAATCTCGATCACCTTGCCTCGGTATGGCGCAGATGTCTCGCCAGGTTTTGAGGTCACGAAGACCACCGAGCGCAAGGACCGTACTCATGAAAAATGCCACGGTATTGCAGTAAAACGGCTGGTCGATCAATTCGTACAGAAGATGTTCCGGCCTTTCAGTCCTATTATTAGCGCATTTGTACGCGGGTGATAAATAGGAGGATAAACTGGCTGCTTCCGCGGGAGATTGGCAAGTCCCTTGGTGTGAGTACGACAAAGATCGACAACGATTTGTGGTTGCCGCCCTTCCTCCATCTATACTAGGTATATGGCAGTATCCTGAAGATGTCAGTCAAAAATAAGATCCAAGATCCTCGTGCTGGAAGGGGAATATCTAACGCGGTATCTCAAGTTCATCACATACTCGGCAGAGCGAGCGGATGTGTTTGCGTGAAGTAGCATCATCAGCTGTACGAGGACGCGATACAGCTCGCACTGGAAATCATACCAATCATTCCCCTAAAGTGTGGCCCACGCAAGCTTTGAAGTCGATTGCCGTGAAATATCGAATAGGCCGCCGTACCGTCCTCAGGTTTAGCCAATTATCGTCGCCACCGTAAATGAGCTAAATAGAAAAAAGATAGACGTGTCAACGTCCTCCCTTCTTGAAGAGATCGCGGAAAGGGAAAAAAGAGCTCACAGTCTCGATGGTCGTTTGAATATGTTTCGGGATGGAGGCTTTCTCTCTGCGTTGGCATCCTGACATAAAATTCTTCCAGCACGTGTATGCCGAGTCTTAGGTGATTCGAGGTAGCTTTTCGCCGCTTTCCTCCTCCTCCTCGCCTTCCTCGTCGATGATGCGGCCTACCCGTCCGTCACAATACCATTTCAAGAACTGTTTAAGCGTCTCGAGAGGCGAAACCTCGCCGCCATGTTCAGCGCTAAATCTAAAACTCCGTCAGTATTGGTTTCCCCCTAGAAGCGGGGACTGGAAAAAAAAGCAGCTCACGTATCCCATTCCTCAAGCATTCGGTCATACGAGCTCTTGTTCTCGGCTTAATAGGCTTCTGAGTAACTTTATCGGTAGCCTTGTCCGCCCAAAGTCTGAAGTTTCGCTTTTACGGAGCTTCGCCCGCTCGGCTAGTTTACGAGCAACGAGGTGTTCCCTCATGGGCGAGTTTGGAGCACCGAAGGGGAGAGAGGGGAGGAGGAAAATAATTTTCCTAGCCCGACAATGACCACCTGGATTAATTTTTTTTTTTTAAAAAAGGGAGCGCACCCCACGGAGAGCGTGAAGCGCCAACTCCCCTTCATACTTCGCGGGAATTCTGACATCCAACCACCTCTCCCTCCCGCCGTGGTTCTTGTTGGGCTTCCCGGTTTTTTTGGGTTGGGGGGAAGGGGGGGTTTGGTTCCCATTGAATTTCGAGACCGTCCCACGGGGAATGGTGGACACACTCGATCCCAAAAAGGTGAGCGAGGGATGAGCGCGGGAGAGCGCGAGGGAGAGGCGCTGGTGTGAAAGGGGTGAGCAAAAGGGGCGAGCGACACCCTCCCCAAGGGGAAATGGACCGGTGAAGAATCTGGGCCCTATTACCGGCGGTGTTGGAAAGCTCCAGGACGCCTATCAATTCGAATGTCGTGTAGCTAAGTCCGAAACCGAACTCGTAAAAAGAATCAAAGCATCGGGATGACGATAATCAATTAATTGCGCCCCCGTGAAAGGATCTTGCCAGTTATTGGAATTCAAGCGGGGTGATGTTACCACAGGAATGTCGAGGTACAGTGTATGGCAGCCGTCTAGATGGGTTAACAAGTGAGAGAATGCCACTTTCTTCGCCTAGGGCCAAGATCGCCGTGACATTAGAAAGCGATAACGTGTTCACACCTCCGGAACGTGTAATAACAACCGTGTTGTTGCTTAGAAGCTACTGAATTGACAATAACCTCAAAGTCGGTAGGGTCCGCTGCCTTTAAGATGCCAGCCGTAACGTAGTCGTTTATCGATCAAGTGCTGGGACGCGGGCGCCCTGTACGATTCTTAATTGTTTCGAGTGTGCTAGACTCTTAAGTAAGACGACAGGCTCGGAGCCGTACACCTCTGGGCTGGAAAAGTAAAAGGGACACATGAGTTGATAAGAACGGATCCATAGTTGGATATCCCCGGTCCTGGCCGAGGGGCGTCATGATGCGTTCAATCATATCGTCTAAGTGCTCCTCGGATAGTGTTGCATTCTGAATCGCCTCAACGATATTTGGACCCCAGAACGTGGCTCCTGTAAGAACTGATGCGTCATCCATATGGCCGGGCGTATTCATGTCAGCACATGGCCTTGATCACAAGTCGACATTGCAAACATACCAAAGTTTTACATTGGGCCCCTTTGCACGAATTTCTTTCAGCTATTGCTTTCCTTGTCCCACGTCGCAGCTTCCGTAATGTCTGCCTGATGCTGGATGGACAGTCCGAAAGACAAAGGCCGCCGAATCCCAAACGACCCAATCCAAGTCCATTGTCGATGACGATTCTCGCCCTCTCTTTTAGTTGGGCCGGGAACGGTTCAGCTTTCTCTCGAGCAGACCCTATAGTATCATTGCGGCGGTGGAGGTCGGGAGAAATTCGGGTGTGGAGAAGAGCAGACTGCGACAAGGGCACAGGAAAAAGGTCGAAGACTAGGACCTCAACAACAGCGGGTGGAGAACAAAATCCGTCATCTCGGTGCATCTCACAGCGATGGAATGATGTAAGTCCAGGGAATGATGTCAAACATGTTGTGACGCCACGGCCGAGGCCCTAAATCAAGGGAGACAAAATCTGAATGAGGAGCAAAAGCAGACACTATGCCTTGCCCGGAAAGCAGAGCCGGTATCCGCTCGGGTTAGGCTTGATTTGTAGTCGATTTGATTCTTCATCGACAAGGCTTCTGGAACTTTTGTCGATGTTTGCTACAAGGGTTGAACATTTAGCCCCATGGTCAAAAGATCAGGAGCTATCTGTTACTGCCGTTGAAAAGGCCTGGTCCGGAGTCTACCGCGAATCTTGCATTGAAATATGTACTAATGACCGCCCTGTCCAAGGGCTTGACGTTTCCTTTTCTCTGCAGCCTGCATCTCAGCAACCGCGATTCTTTGTTGCAAAGCCGCGTGTTCTGCCTTCAGCCGTCTTAATGATTCGTCCGACTCAAGGGCTTCCGCCATCTCACGTTCCTGTGCTTTCAGGACATTGATATCCGTTGAGGATGTTGAAGCCATCTGCGCCACTTCCGGCCGCCCGGATGGGTCGACCGGGATCTTTTCTGAACCAGACCCGGCCACGACTGGGTAATTGAGCGGCGGTAACGTTGGCTCTGGGAGTGGTGAAATTGATTTCTCTGACTGTAGGACTTGTTTCCCGTCACTTCCTTCGGTCAACGTGGAGCCTGTCGATGTCCAGGCCGGGACAGATTCAGGAGAAGATCCGTACATTTTTGGTGGTTCTATTCCCATCTCATGCTTGGTCGGAGGGGCACCTGTGTGTGGCTGTTCATTTGCAGCGAGTTCGGGTTTCGCGTAAGGCTGGGACGTTTTTGCTTCCGCTTTGCGTCTGGAACCAAAGGTTTCAGGGTTAAAGTTGTCGTGATCATAGGTTCCAGAGGTGTCGTTTGTATTGCCGTAGTTGCCTAGGTCTGGATCCGGGTGCGTGTCTCTCTTTAGGACACTGCGCTCCTTGGACCGGTGGCGCTTATAAAGCCATAGACCTAGCAAGCCCAAAATTATCACCACAAGAGCCACCCCAACACCAATTCCAGCTTTCGCTCCGGTGCTCAGTTCAGATGATGCTGCTTCATCCTCATCCTCAGAGCCTACCATGACGGTGACAGCGGTGGCATTGTTGACTATCAAGAATCGGTATGACCTGGCTAGGCTGTTGCTGTAGGTGAAGTTCTCCGTAGCGTATTGTGTTTCTCGAAGTGAAATCGCAAAGTCGTACCTAGGTGCTCTCATTAGCTTTATTCCCCAATCCATAGCTTAATCACAGTGAATTGGGAGAAGGGGGATGATAACGTCAATCGAGATTTTGATCGCACAAGGTGGAGAATGCAGCCTGTATGCTTACCTCTCTGAGAAATTGAAGCCAACTGGCAAGGCTGTCACTGGAAGCGTGTAGTTGACTGTAGCCGGGCCCGTGTCGTCATCATCATCGCCATCATCGCCATCTTCGTCATCATCGTTATCATCATCATCATCATCACCACTCGAACAGTCAAACATTGCGAGACCGTAGGTAGTAGTGGTTTCTCCAGTCTCGTATATGACCAAGTCGAGGCCGCAGAGCTCCGATGCAGATCTAAAGTGGGTTTCATTGTCAGCTTGCCTGAGCAGGAAACCCCTCACAAAGACAAAAACTCGCTGGGCAAAGAAGAAGATGTGAAGAAGACCAAGTAAGTGGAAAGGGGGGTTCGGGTCTCGTACTGGAAAGAAAGCCTTGTCCATTGAATATCGAACGCATTGGTATTCCCCACGTTCCAGAGACTACCCGAGTTTGGGATCTTCACATCCCAGGCTAAACATTGCGAGACTAGCGTGGCGAAGAGGGTAATGGCCAAAAGAGAACGGCCCAGGCGAGAATTTGTCGCCATGATTCCTTCGATGAAAGTATTTGCGCTGGCGACCGAGGGTGGCATATCTTAGCTCATCGTACACGGCTGCTGATGTCCACACCAAAGGAGCTACGGCCGGCGGACCAGCTCGAACTGCTAATTATTTGAGCTCGACTGCAATGCGAAGAGGTTCAAACTGCCGGCAGCGCAATACAAAAGATTGCAGGAATCCAACTTAACTCCAAGTTGGAGCAGAACAAAGGAGACACGCGTCAATTTCGGCATCATGAGGCGTAGTACGTATTTTGGGTCCAAAAACAAGAATTGCCAATTCCTGGACCCTGCTTTCCCTTGGATATGCCCCGTCTTCGACATGGCTGAGAACCTCGCGCCATCGGTGGTACAGAGTGACCAATGACAGCAACGAATATCGGCATGAATGGGCCTTCAATTTCGACCTTCTCCCTTGGCCCAGAACGCAAAGTCTCGGCATCATTCAACGCAGCACCGCACGCGCTTTACGCAAATTCTCCCATTCTCTGCATTTCCACTTTATCATCCAACTACTCTACCAATTTACACTTAATTAGGCTCAAATGGTACCCAATCGAGAGTCCCATCTTCAGTAAGCTATCAAGGACTGTCAATTGTATCGATATCCTTCCATTCGGGGCCGCTGCGGCCGCAAACGATGTCGATTACTCTACTTTATCCCGCAGACTAGGAAACCAGGTCTCTCGCCTCGTTTGCTCGCGAGCCTTAACAGCTACGGTCCATTCAACAAGAGGAGTTAATGAAGAGGTGGATAATCGACCTTGAGGCCTCCCGTTATCCAGTTTCTGGGACGCCCCCGACGAAAGTTACGAAGTCCCACAATTCCTCCTACGAGCATTGTGACACACATCTATAGGAAACTTACTATTTAGTTCCCGTTATGATGACCCCGAAAGATTTCAGAAGAGAGACTACAGAAGACAAGAGCATCAATACTTTCGGTAAAGCGGCCACCCCGGCAGGTAGGTTTAGCTAGCACATTCTTTTCACGCCGCTACCGCAACACACCCTTCGAATCGCCTGCGAGGAGTATATTGCATTCATACCTCCCTAAAGCGCGACTAGTCGATTTACATTGACTGCCTCGCCGAGCTCCTACGCTTGTATATCCTTACGATTCCACCCCGAGGCACTCTAACAATAACTTCCCATGCCAGAAAGGGGAGAAGGTCGCTGAATTGGCAACCGTATAATACCTGTACAAATTGGTGGAGTTTTCATATACCTCATATTCGTTCCCTTTCTTCTAGATTGGGTCTTTCCTTGCAGACCAATATACACGATGCGAGTTATATGAAAGGATCTCGTAATGATTCCCAGACATCTCCTTGGACGTGTGAGCCAAAGCTCCATCCAGACGCCTATTTCAGCACCCATGGTGCCATCACACTGACGAGAAGGTGGAAGATGGACGCTGGCACAGCCATTGGTTTGGCCGGTAAAAAATACCAGCATAAGTCATCAGCTAATTCGTCCGCCGCCATACAATCAATCCCAGTCTCCAACAACACCATAGTCATACGTGCGGTTTCTGTCCGTACACAACAATACTAGATATAGCGTTAGCTTTCGTGTCCCACATTGAAGTAGAAGTATTAGAACCTCACAACGAGACGTAGCTATGAAACCGCTGATTCACCAGCTCCTTCCTCATCCGGGTCAGCAAAAGCTCCAGCTCCTCTCTCGTTCTGCCCAAGTTTGTCGTATACCCTCGAAGCAAGAATGCCTGTGCCCCTTCCATTACATTCATCAGCTCCAATGCACCAATCTTCTTTAATCTCGGATCCCGAGGCCACGGAGAGGTGGGTATCTTGAAGATATGCTCGCGAACATTCTTGAAACCGGCGTCAATCATCCACGACCTGTAGTTCAAGGGAGCGTCAGGCGCCGCGCCGATCTTCTCTGCAATCTCCTGGAATGTGTCGCACACCTTTACGTACGCCGAACCTTCTCTGGGCAAGGTGCCGTCGTCGCTCTTGGGTACTGGCCACACGCAGGCAAGTTCGAGATATCCTCCGGGCCTGAGATGGCTTGATTCGCGTTAGTTTAGGTCCCTTCGGCTTGCTTTGGAGCTGCTCACGTGTATGCTTGGCCGATGAGCCTAGGCCAATCGCGAATTGAGTGGTAGAGGTCTCGGGCGTGGACGTAATCGAATAAGCCCCTCGGGTACACCCAATCTGCTTCTGCATCGTCGATCTCGAAAGAGCAGTTCGGGGGCACCCTATACTCGTGAGACTCTTCCCCTTCGAGCAACGTAGAATCCTTACCATGGAGGTTGCATTGGCGAAATGTCCGTTCCGGTGACTATGGCCGAGGGGAACATCTCTGCAACGTCGATGGCAAAGATCCCTTATTGTATCAGACTCTGTCTCCGCTTCACGTCCGTAGGGCTGAAAATACCTGTGCCGGTCCCAATATCTAATATCCTCTGGGGGTCTAGAGGCAAGGGTGCAAGAAATAGCTTGTTTCCCTGCAGTAGAGTGTACTTTGCGTGGTTCATATCGATCCGATCCAGCTCGTATTCGTCAACGGGCAAGCCATATTCTAACACTCATTAGAGGCTTCAGAAGGGGAGAGGGACTCTTCGCACCATTTTTTCCGTACGCGGCGTACACGCGCCCATTCTCAATCCTTCCGTTCCTGATCTCCGACTCGATCGACGTACAATAGCTCGTGGTACTTTGAGCTTTCGTCAGCCACATAATGGACCGCAGGCCAAGAGAATTACCTTGACTCTGCAAAACCTTCGTCTTCTAGTGCGGACTGCAACAGCAGGGTAGAAAGACTCCTGCAACAGAGATGGTCTGGCTTACGTCTGGTTCAATACCCACCTGTGTAATCAGGATCGGATCGTTTTCCTGCGCATCTGCCATCGTCCAGCTTCTGTACCTCTCTGCTATTTTATCATTGAAATTGGTCGAGGTGGAAACCAAGGTCTGTGCGTGGAGTATTGGTGTGTGCCAACAATATAGCCATTGCGCGCTAATATATAGGCATGGGAGAAACTGCCCTCTTGTCAGTCCGGCAGGTGGAGGTTTTGCGTTCGGGAGATCGCCTTCCGAGGAGATCTTCCGTTCCCCGTCGAACTCTAATTTAACCCTTCCCCGTCGAACTCTTCCCACCATTCAATTATAGTGCCATGTGCTGAGCCTGCGAAGGCGCCTCCAGTGATTCCCCTCCTCACCCCACCGAGACAAGGAATGGCACCGGGTGTATGCAGCATGCATACCGTCTATGCCGTCATCGGGATGGAGCAAGTGCCTCTCATTCTAAAACCTGCAATCGGAGACACTGCCAGAACACCCACAAGTAACGAGGGCCAAGCGAAGGGGGAGACGCGGATGCTGAGTTGCATCCGAAGTGCGGGCCGCTTGACCGCTAACAGTGCATTATCAACAACTCCTTGTCTGCATTAGAGCCAATCCCATCGTTGACCTCGCAGAAGGAATCTGCTGTACATTCTGCGGCTTGCCCCTTTTCCTTGTTGTGGTCGGGGTGGGGTGGGCATGATGGCCTTATCAAGGCGCGATACCCCTCACCGAAGCTGGAACCTTGTCATCTGGGCTTTCTGTCTTTCCCTAGATTTAATTGACGGCTGAAAACGAGCCTTCGGGGCTTCTGGTCTGAAACAATGGGTTCTGAAGGAAATGATCCTTCCACTCTTGATGCCGGAACAAATGAGCTCGTTGAGTCTCTCTATGCCCTCACCCAGCAGATTTCCCAGGCGTCGAAGGACTACAAGGATCCCTCCGGGCAACAAGGTCTACTGTTGCGTCAACGAATGGCCAATGCGGCCAGGCAGATCATCGACATCATCCGGGAGCCTGGTGAGACACCGTATGAATTCTCAACACACGTTAGGCTTTCAGTTCCTTCCACATATCAGTGCCTAACGGCTGACATTGTTTCAGATGGCGGAGATGGGTGCGATTCGTATGTTCATGAAGATAAGAGCATTTGACAAGATTCCGCTAGAAGGGACCATTTCATATAGAGATTTGGCGGCCAGTCTTGGTGCTGAGGAGTCGCTCATCAGTACGCTTGATGATTTCACTTTTCGGAGGAGGTTAATTAACGAGTACAAGCTCGCATGGCGTGGATGATGGTGGCTACTGGTAAGTCGGGTGAGCATGCACTACAGTCCGGCCTCGTCTTAACACGATACAGGTTTCCTCCACCAAATTGGGGAGGACCTTGTTGCACATTCCAGGCTTTCAAAGCTCTATGTCCATGGCAATCCTCAAGGTGTCTTCTTCCAGATCATGTAACACACCCTCTTTTCTACTACAACTAGAGACTGAAGAGGTCTCTCTTCCAGGTTCGATGAAGGCATGGTCCCATGGGTCCAATGGCCCCAATTCTTTGACAAGTATGGTCTGAAAGAACCCAAACTAGGCAATTACAATCCCCACTCCTTTGCTTGGGGTGACGAGGACAAAACCTTCTGGGAGGTCATCAGTAAGGACCCGGAACGCCAGGCCGATTTCAATCAAAGTATGAATACGTTCGACGAGGTGCTGCCGGTGACGGGGATGTACGATTTCAGCTGGATTGCGAAAGTGGAAGGACCCGAGGACAGGCCGCTGATTGTCGATGTTGGCGGTGGGAAAGGCCAGGCCCTCAAGCGCATCATGGCTACGTTCCCAGAGATTCCAGCCAAGAGGTTGGTGTTGCAGGATCGAGGATCAGTCATTGAGGAAGTCATTCAAGCCAATGAGCCCGGGTTTGAAGAGGTCAAGAAGATCCCTCATGACTTCTTCAAACCGAATCCTGTCAAAGGCGAGTTTCGCCCCTTTTTCCTCTGCACCTCGCTTTTCCGCGCCACTGACTCTTCCTTCCCATTTCCAGACGCTCTCGTCTACTACATTCGGCGCTGTATGCATGACTGGTCGGACGACAACAATCGCATCATCCTCTCCCACCTCGCTGACGCCATGGCCCCCGACTCCAAGGTCCTCATCACTGAGCAGATCATGCCCAACCCGCCAACTGCCCTAAATGCCTGGACGGATCTCTGCATGTTGAACCTTGGTGGCAAGGAACGGACGGAGAAGATGTTCGACGCTTTGACGGCGAGCGCTGGGTTGAAGATGGTTGGCGTGCACAAGAGCTTGGCGACTGATGTCGCAGTTATCGAGTGCGTGAAAGCGTGACCAGAGGCGATGGAATGCTAAGCTAGGTGCTATAGGAGATCATTAATTCCATAGCCTAAAGTTTACAACGTCTAGTGGAATGACTCGCAGGGTCTGTGACGGGTAGCTGGTATCGTACATCGACAACCAACCATTTCAACAGCGAAACCGAAGTCTACTTTAGTTCAATGTTCTTCGCTTTCAGAACTCTTCCGCCACCTACTCTGCCGACTTGGAGAACTGAACGAGTTGCATTTCGGACACGCAACGGACGTCGTTTCCGGTCCTACTCAGACATGGCAAGGACGCGATGAGGACGACCAGTGTTGACGATAGTGGCGGCATCAAGCCAATCAGAGTGCAGGTCAGGCAGCGTTCCTAATAGGGGGTCGGTCCAGTCCAGAGGCCTCAAACTGGGACCGCCTATCTAATTAGGACCTGTGGACCGGACCACCTGCCAGTCCAGACATTGTGGACTGCCTTATACAGTCCATGTGGTGGTAGAGCTTCGCGTGCGTAACGACAGTTTGGGACTAGTGCAGAAAACTCTTGGCACACTCTTAATCACGTGATACACACTCACAAAATCGGGTATTTAAGCGCGGCTAGTCCTAGCCGGGCGTAAGCGTAGCAAGGTATTAACTGCAAAGAAAGCCACGAATGCCGCGATGCTGATTGGCTAAGCCAAAATCCGCCTCCTTAGTCGGCCAAAAACGAAAGACAAATCATGTGATCGGGCTTGGCAGTCTCACGCGAGGGTGTTGACACCCGCCATCGGATCCAGTCCGTGGACGATGTGCCCGGGGGGCACGCTACTCGGTAGGAGTCGATATCGACATGATCCACGCATCGGATCCAGTCTATGGACCACCCAGAGAAAGCTCTATTGATCACACTCAACATGGTTCGTAGATTAGATCTGATGAAAGACCATCGCCATCGGATCCAATCCGTTGACCATGTGACCGGGTAGGGCTGGGGACGCGAGGGTTCAGGGTCGAGGATCCAATCAATGTATTCCAGCTAGCATCTCGTTCTAGGTACAAGACGTAGTACGAAGAGAGTCAAGAAGGCATGCTACGCAGGAAGTGCCGAAGAACCCATGAACACGTGATCCTTGGCCGCGTGCTCTGTGATTTCACGGAGGACTTAGTTGGCATTCGAAGAGGTCCGAGGGACCGTCTGACTATATAGTATCTGAGGGTTACTAGCGTGCTTCGAAGACCCCTGGTCATTACAAGCCTTGGCAGACCTTCGAAAGGGTCACGTGGGCCACCTATAGTCACAACACTGCCGTCGTTACGGCGCCGACCCCGATATCTAGGTGGTCCTTGGATCGGATCCCATGAAATACCACCGCCATCGGATCCAATCCGTGGACCATGTGGCCGGGGGACCGGGAAGAGTGGTCTTGCTCCTTCTGCAGCGTGTGCAGCGCAGCCTCCCTAGCCTGATCGGATCCAGTCCATGGCCTATCTGGACGATGTCGAAGCTGTAGGGGCCATCCCGCAAAATCCAATCGTTTGTGAATGAGCGAATATCGTACCCCTATTGCGTTAAATACTTCCCTCCTGAGTCTCTATCGTACTCACTCGGCATACGGTCGGACTCCTCAACCTTTGCAGCAATTGCATAATTTGGATCGTTCTCGCTTCCCCAATCTCCGCAGAGCGCTTCGCACTTAGTTTTCATGTTCGTCTTTGGGTTTACTATTCGGCAGCTTCGGAGCTGCTCGCAGCTGTTTATTGAGTGGAGTGCAGCATTCGTACACCGTTGCATGTCAATGTCGCCGCAACGGCTTGATGTCACGGCGATTTGCTTGGATGTCACACTGCTGCATGTCGACTTCGCGGTGACTTACAATGTCGGTAGCGAGGAGAGGAACTCGATTAGGAATAGTGCCTTGACTGAGCAATTTGATTGCATGTATTCTATTGGCTTAAAGTGTAACGTCTTAGCAACCCAGTCGGGCCAGCCACCCCAGCCGGGCCGCCGCCCGGAACCCAGGCACTGGACAGCCCATCATTAGGCACAACCCCGCCTAAAAATCGGCTCCCCCTGCCTCTAACGATGATACAGGAAGTTTTGGGGGACACTCTTTGCACAACTTTTGTATTGGTGTCGAAATATCATTTCATTACACCTAAGAGAGCCACATCCCAAATCTCACAATGTTCCGTTACATTGTGGTGGAGGTATTCAGGTCCGAAAACGCAAGTTTTCTCTGTGTTTTCGGGTGGCCCGGACAGGTTGGCTGGCTCGAGCGCCTGCAGTCGCCGGGTCTGAGAGGCTGAGACAAATACCCAAAGCAGGGAGCTTCGGGCTACTACTGTATGTGTCGACGTAGCCGTTTGTAAAACAAATCAAGGAGATAAGATCACTTTTTATCTTCCACCAGACGACAAAATATTATGTTGACACCTAGAATGCTCATGTGTTTGATCTTATCGAAAGCGTTAACATACATCTACTTAATAAGAAAGTCCTAAATCAGTAATGTACCTTAAGGTCGAGCCCCCAAAATTGTTCGTTTGCTGCCCGGAGAAGTAGCCTTGTTGAAGACCGTAATTTTGGCTTCCGGCGAATGTGATGTTAAAGATTTGTTCCCCACCAGAATGGTTAGACTTGATGGCAGTACTAAGCTCAGGGTCTTGTTCGGCGACAAAAGGAGCAATGAGCGACGTGTTCTTATCCGATGCTAATTCAGACCCGTCCTCCTCGCACAGCCGTTTCTGCTCCTGCCGAGCGGCTGGGAACAGTTCGACCAAGCCATTGACCACCCTGGATCAATCGATTGAAATATTTCTGGCTTGAACCGCCTTAGTGATAGCATCTCCAGCTTCTTATGCAGGGAAGCCGTAGCCTCATCCAAATCGTTTGCGGTGTCACAAACATTAGAATCCTTCCTCGTAGGCTTCAACTTTACCGATGTTCGTTCTGCATCCTCAAATAATTCCACTATCTGGTCGAGCAATTCTTTCGCTTTCTCATGATCATCTTGAGACCCGACCACCCCTGGTAAAATTTGCGTACTTTCTGCTACTCGATCTAGTCCCATCGATTGGCCCCAGTGTTCCGATCTAGTAGTTCTCGATCGCGTCGTCGATGGATCTAGTAGATCCGGATGTCATATCCGTCGCCGATCAGTGGCGGTGAGTGTGTGAATATCTTCATCGTCATCGCAGTCTACCTACCTGTAGACGTCGTCGTTACATCCTATATACCTATATACGACGTCGTCGCTGACTGTTGTAACTTGCAAAATGGCTAATAGTCAATCATCTCTTCCCTCCACTGTGTCAGCCAACCCACCATGCCTAGCGCTGTGGATTACTCAGCAGAGAGGCGGAGGTGGAAGGGCATACCGCAAGAAGAAGCTACTTATCCCGATTAGAGGCGACAGCGAGATCACGATACGATACGATATTCATACACCCTGTGCGGGTTGAGCCTATAGGGCAGCGAGATCACAAACACCATGGGGGGAAAGGACGGAATACCCAATTGGGAATGCCGAGAGCGCGATCGAGTAATTATCTACTAGGTCTCGATCGCGTCGACGATGGCGATCCTTGATCGCGAGCGATCTAGTAGATCGAAACACTGATTGACCCCATCGGGAAAGTCGTAGTTTGGAAATGTCGAGTCTGAGGATGGCAGCCTGAAAATCTTGGTCGAAATTTCGAGCAACTTGGACGCACTCGAACACTGAATTGCGTCGTTGAAGGCGCCTAATATTGCGAATGCTAGTCCAACAGCCTCGGCCATCTTCTTGTTGTCTCAACTATGACGTATATACCTCGAATGTTGAGGGTTTGAGGAGAACATCGATGAGCAGAGGTATTCTAAAAGGAAAAGAGAAGTGAAAGGAAGTGAAGTGCCTATCTGTTCGTCGGGTTTGCCAAAGAGTATTAGCTAAGGCTTCAACTTTTAGGCTGAGCTTGGCCTCGACCAATGCAGCAGTCGTTGGCACTACAACACATTCATTCCGTCGACAATAGCGGCAGCTGCGACTCCTGTATCCGCAAGCCTTGCCTAGCGAGCGACCTCAATTGGGCTAATTTGGTGCAATTTCTGCACTTTCATTCGGTTGAGTCGTGTGATATCAACCAGGAAGACACGGAAATCTTCCCAAATCATTTTGTCGGAGCAGGCTCTCATGCCGGTATCTTCTGGGCCAACACGATAGCCTATCCAGGGAAGATTATGGGGATCCCAATCGAATCCTTGCTGTTGAAGCTCGTCGGCCTCGAACAATTCGACGCAACTATCGATGCGACAAGGATGCAGGACGGTAGGCCGCGATGATTCATACATCACGAGAGTTGCGTGTCGTGAGTTGTCGGATGACAGCCAGAATAGGAGTAAAGTCTGTGATGGCGGGCTGGGTATGCTTTCCGCGTTCAATTAGGCCCGACAGATTCGAAAGTTTTCACTCAGCTCCACCAATGATATTGACCTGGTCGCCAAATCGGTTGAAGTTTGATTCATCAACTCTTGTACTGGACGGATCCGGCGCAAGAGTAGACCAAGGCCGTCGTAAACCGAGGCGACACGCAGAGTTCCGCGACAAAAGTCATAATCAGCTTTAACTCTTGGCAATAAGACGAGCTGGTTGCCAAGCCTTATGCATTCGCCGAGCGAGTTCGTATTCTCGAGGTGTGGCCTGCTCCATAGGTCTGTGGGTGAAACGTTGTTGAAAGATTTGGCCGTACGCCCTGAATACGGCAGAGCTCTGTCCATAATTCCGATATGAGCTGTGGTCCGCGGTCTGAGACGACGGTATTGTTGAGGCATTCACAGGCTTGGTCTTGAGGCAGTTCCTGAGGCATTCTCGGCAGCGTGGAAAACCAGATTCCGATTTTAGGCACTCCTCTCGAGGCATTTGAGCAATACTCTAAAATCAGTACATTTTATATATAAAACAAGAGGATCTCGCTGAAATACGAGAGGGCAGACGGAATCATACAGAGAGCTTATGATCTCACAGAGCTGCGTCCGGTCGTCCGTGAATACGATAAACATTCGATACAAAGAAGCGTACCATATCCTTCTCGGTAAATAGTCCTATAGTAGGGTATCGGGTACGCACGCTTTCCAGGCCGATTGATCACCATGTTAAAAATATTAAAGCCACACTCGTTCGACTGGAAGGGATCGCAGGTTCTGCAGTATCTGCGTAACATGTTACAATAGTTTCCTGCGAATATCTCTGTATAGTCCGTATTCTGTAATGAGACGTGTGAATCTGAGCGTTGGAGATTATCGTCGTTGAGGCAACACGCATTATGTCTCAGTATGGGAGCTACTGTACGTACGTTACCGCCTCGCTTGGCACCATCCGCCCCCCCGCCCCTGGCCCCCCCCCTCTTCCCGGGGGTCCCCCGGCTTCGATGAAATGCTTGATTGATACGAATCTGGGGACTTTCGAAGAGTCAGATTCCCCGAACGTTTCTCCGATCGCTCTCCCTGACATCCCTGATGCCGAATTTACATTATACTGAGAGTTCATGTTCCTATTCTGGAAAGGCTTGAATAGGTGAGGCGATGGGCGGGTTGGAGCCACCACTGGAGTGATGTTTGTCTCTTGGATAGAGGGATGGCGTCTCCGTTGTTGAAGGGGCCAACCTCATCACTGTGAGTAACCATAACTACCTGTTCTTTTTATTAGAGCTCATTCTCGTCCCTGCTCTCGGTTAGCTATAGAGCTCACCGTAGCTGTCAGGGGTAGAGCTGGATTTCTTGGGTTGTGTGCCGCTGAAATGCTAACTGGACACAAATAGCAGAGAACGGAGTGGATGTCGGCCCAAAATCAAGAAATCCTCTAAATTCCCGGGGTGACTTGGACGCATATATCGACATAGCCGCCAAGGTTGAGTGAATTGCTAGGTAGAGTAAGTAAGTCCCGAATACGCGATGCCCGACAAATGTCCGCCCGTGAACCATCTAGTGGTCTTGCTTTAGGAAATTCCTCTCACCCGGAAAGGTACTTGTTCTAATTTCTGGGTGGTGCTGCTACGACGCAGCCCTTCCACCACTTCCACGATGTCAACGCCCTCAAGGCATGATCGGACTGACCCTCAATTCGGAGCACAAGAATCTAGCTCACAAACAGCCAGGATTTTGTTTATAAATAAAGCCCAAGTAGGTTGTTGATATCGAGCCATAATCTTCCCTGCCTACCGCTCTAGTCCTCGTGACATATACCATTGACGATCACCATCACAATCATCATGGACATTACGACCGACAAGAATGGTGTTTCTAATGTGGAACACAGCTCAGTTGTTGCAGCCCTACCCCCTGATACCGGAACAATTGTTGCCAATGATTCCACCTTCAGGCACTTATCCACGTCAGTCCCCAACTTGGCCGAGGTTACTCGCAACGCGAAATCCGCAACAAATCTACAGCACAGCCAGGGCGTTCTCGAATCAATTAAACGCTATCCCAAGGCTGTCATGTTCTCCATGGCTCTCTCGCTTTGCCTTGTCATGGAAGGCTACGACCTGGCTCTCCTCCAAAACTTCTACGGCCTACCTCAATTCAATAGAAAGTTTGGCGTTCGCGTTGGCGATACCGACGACTATCAATTGACTTCGTCATGGCAGTCTGGTTTGCAGAACGGTGCGCAGGTTGGCCAGATTGCAGGTCTCGCAATAGCAGGCGCGATCGCAGATCATGTGGGATACAAAAAGACTCTGCTGGGCGCACAGTTTTTGATGATCTGCTTCATTTTTCTGTTCTTTTTCGCCCAGAATGTTGGTATGCTTTTCGCCGCCGAGTTTTTGTGCGGTCTTCCGTGGGTTGGTACTATGACTCTCCATGGTTCTGACAATTGTTATTGATACGAAGGCTTACAGGGTGCTTTCCAAACACTAACGACTACCTACGCGGCCGACGTCACTCCAATTGCTTTGCGACCCATCTTAACCACATTTGTGAACATGTGCTGGGTTATCGGCCAGCTCTTGAGCACCGCTATTCTTCGCGGTCTTCTCAAGCGAGAAGATGACTGGGCCTGGCGGATTCCCTTCGCTATCCAGTGGGTCTGGCCAGCTCCCATCATCATCTGCATTTTATTTGCTCCCGAGTCACCCTATTGGCTTGCTCGCCACGACCGCATCGACAAAGCCAGAAATTCTTTGCGCCGTCTCACCAGCAAGAGGGTTAATGAAGAGGAGCTGGAGATGAGCCTTGCGATGATTGCTCACACTAACGAGCTTGAGAAATCTGCTGGCGCAGGAACTACCTACTTCGATTGCTTTAAAGGCACCAACCTCCGACGTACAGAGATTGCCTGCGTCACCTGGATTGCTCAGGTAGGGTGTGGCCTTTGGTTTGGCCTCAGCGTCGTGTACTTCCTCCAGCGCGCTGGCTTTGATCCAGAGCAATCATTCGATTTCGGTATCGGTCTTTCCGGTGTTGCCCTTTTCGGTACCCTTTGCGCGTGGTTTATCATGTCTAAAGTCGGGCGGCGCACGCTCTACCTAACAGGTCTCGGTACTATGTTCACACTCTTACTCATCATCGGCTTCTTGGGAATCCCCGAAATCAAACCAGCTTACGGCTACGCCTCCGGCGCATTGTTGATGGTATTCATGTTCACCTACGACCTGACAGTCGGCCCGGTGTGCTACAGTTTAGTGGCTGAGATCCCATCGACCCGTTTGCGCATCAAGACCGCCGTTTTGGCTCGTAATTGCTACAATGTTGCCGCACTTTGCGCCAATTTCCTCAACCCTCCTATTCTCAACCCCACAGCATGGAACTTGCGTGGAAAGGGTGGCTTCGTCTGGTGCGGTTTCTGTTTTTTGGTCTTGGTCTGGTCGTTCTTCCGTCTTCCAGAGCCAAAGGGTCGTTCGCCAGCTGAACTCGACGTGTTGTTCGAGCACAACATATCGGCGCGCAAGTTCAAGAACTTCAGCCCCGACCCTTTCCGATCCGACCATCTGAAAGTCACTTCAGACGATGTCCAGAGTGAGAATATCCATGACAAGATGGGTTGAGCAGAAATGCACCAGTGTTACGACCCTGTTACGCTAGTGGAGGGATTGGCAGCAACATGACACAATTGATAAAATCCACCAAAAGGAGAGAATCATGGTCTCGTGGTACACGCTCATTTTCCTTGTGATTGAGAGAGGAGAACGCGTCTCAAAGAAGTCGGTCCTCTTGTTCGGATGGTAGTATCCCGTTGTCGCAGCAGGAAGGCTTTTTGCCGACAATTCGTCTGAATCAGCGGAAAGATGATGAATTATACTTAAAAAGCCCACGCTGCTCCAATAGGACTAGTCAATGGTTACAAGGCTAGCAGAATTGAACCTCTCTAACCTTGGATACTTTTGAGACCGTCCTTAGGCCCCTTGAAATTGCTCACCTCGAAATCTGTTTAAAGGAGGAAAACTGGCTTGCACATGATCATGTCCTCCACTTTGAACAAATTCTAGAAATCTTTCGCCAGCTTCCGCCATTCGCGCGGCCCCTTTGCGGATGAGCGCTAGGAGGCCTTCATACATGCTCAGTAACTACTGACTCTCGAATTCGTTCTCAACGGCTTGGCCTGATGCTGATGACATTGGCGGAAGCTAATATCCCTCGCCCCAATTCTCGTATTTTTTTAGAGGGGCCAGCAGAGCTGCATACACCCTTGCTGCAACTCCGTATATTAGGTAGCAAGATGTATGGCTCGTCCGGTTAGGATAGAGTCATCGTCGATCGTCCCTCTCCGGCTCTGCTAGTAGCGGTCATCTTCGTGATTTTTGGCTTTCACCGCCCAAACAGGGTCTATCGCAGGGTTCCAGCATACACACCTAGCATCCAGTCCTTGCGCCCAAGGTTTACGTACTAGTGTCGTTGCTAAGTCTGTTTGCGGCCCCACGGCTCACAGGGGCTTGCAGATTCATGCACTTCCGTTCCTAGATATTCATGGGCTCAACAGCTCACGTTGATTTGCAGTGAAGGTCCTTGAAGCATTTTCATCTGTAGTTTCCTTTTGAGTGTGAGCTAGATATCATTAATGTGATTTTACGAAGCTTACCTAGCCTTGGCGTTGCTGCATATCACACGTCCTAAGCATCGAGGGAAAGACGCCTCCAAAAGCGGCGATACCAACCGCCAAATTCGGCGGGAATTCTCCTTTACAACTTGCGTTAGACTCGGAAAGAGCGAGGCAGAAGCCATCGGCGCTATTTGTAATGGTTCAAGTTATGAACCGATGGAAGTTCTTGGAAAATTCACGGTATTGCTCCCTTTCGAAGTACGAATTCTAATCGAGCGCTTACTATACTTGTGCTGCCGAACGGGTGTGAAAGGCCGGCCTCGGCCCTTTGTCGGTGCTGAGTACCGAGGTAGTGTGATCGTCACGGAAACTTTTTAGGTCATCTATAAGCCGCATTTTTCAACTGTGGTCTTAAACCTCACTTTCGGCGTTTAATCTCAACAGCATCACGAACCGAGCAATGTCTACAATAAACACAGCAGAACTCTCGCCTTCCGTTAATACAAATCGGCGCTTCGAAGTCCTCGAGTTCGATGCTGGCGATATCACCTCGATTCAGGCCTCCAGACTCTCACCGACAGACGGTGGTCCCGCAGCGTGGCGGCTCTTAATCGTAGCATTCGTCTTTGAAGCTCTCCTCTGGGGCTTTCCACTCTCCTTCGGCGTCTTCCAGGACTATTACTCCAGCCTCCCCGAATTCAAGGACAATCATTATACCTCTGTGATTGGCACGACCGCATCAGGCATCTCGTATCTCGGAGCCCCTCTAGCTTTGCCGCTGGTGAGGCGTTGGTCAAACTACCGGACGCAGATGATATTGGTGGGGTGGCCGCTGTGCATTGTTGGGTTGATTTCGGGAAGCTTTGCGGATCGGTTGGCAACTCTTATCCTGACGCAGGGAGTCATGTACGGCATAGGTTTCATCACTTTTTACTATCCGATATTGACGATGGTGGATGAATTCTGGGTGAGAAGGAGGGGAATGGCGTACGGGCTCTTGTGCGCCGCATCCGGGGCATCGGGTGCCGTGATGCCATTGATACTGCAGGCGCTGTTGACCAGATTTGGGTACCGGACCACACTCAGGGCTGTTGCCGTGGCGCTGGTGGGACTGACGGGACCTTTGATACCTTTGCTTCGGGGCCGCCTTGGACGACAATCCAATGCGAGCCTCCGGACGAGTTGGAGATTCCTGAAGAACCGATTGTTCTGGATCTACAGCATGAGCAACCTCTTGATGGGCCTGGCCTATTTTTTCCCTTCGCTTTATCTCCCATCTTACGCAACGGCGGCGGGCCTAACTGTATCAGATGGAGCATCACTGCTCACAGTCATGAGCGTTTCACAAGTCGGGGGACAGTTCACCTTTGGCTATCTTTCCGACAAAAAATTGTCGGTGAATGCTCTTATGACGGTCTCCCTCACCGTCGCGGCTATTGCGACATTCAGTACTTGGGGTGCTGCGCGCTCGTTACCTCCCCTGATCATCTTTACCCTGTTGTATGGCTTCTTTGGCGCAGGATATACAGCCATGTGGGCGAGGATGGTCACTGCAGTTGACGAGGAACCCTCCGCCTCTCCAGCCATGTACAGCCTCTTCTGCTTCGGGAAAGGCATCGGGAATGTGCTGGCTGGTCCGATCAGCGCCAGCTTATTAAGAATGTCGTCTGGCAGGGCTGGATATGGGCAGGGAATGTACAAATCGGTCGTGATTTTCACTGGAATTTGTCTGCTTCTCAGCGCCGGTAGCTTAATTGCAACTCAGTGCAATTGGAGGAAACAGCAGACAACGTAGGTTCGCCCTGCTTTGGAGGGAAATCTACGACAATTCGAAGCAGCCTTCATCGAGGTCTGCCGGAGCAGAGGCCCGATCATCCCTATTCCAGTGGGACGAATTAATGCTCCTGACTAACATTCACCTCCTGGCGTGCAACACCATTGACAGGCAACAGCGCCAGCATACACCTCGTAGATAGATATATAGATGGGCTCTATCCCACACTCATTTGAGGGGCGCAGAGCATTCAATACATCTCGAGTTGCACCCAGTTTGACAGATGCTCATTTAAGCTTGGTTTTCCTATCTTGACACACCAGGTGTCTGTTCCGACTGCGTTAGCAGTGGCGGCAAAGTAGCCGGGTGAAACCTGAACAGCGCTTGACGAAACAATCTAAGGTTGACGTTGGAAATTTTATTTTGGGGCGCTTAAGATGCGATTATAAATACCTGAGAAGGAAGCCTAAGCCCCGTAGAGATCCTTATCTTTGAGGAGAATCTTTGAAGCGATCATGGTTGACGCATGAGTATCATTTCCACTGTTGGCCTTACTTCGGAGGCTGTAAAAGCACTTGCCAGATTTCTGGACGATGTAAGGAAGCACGATAAAACCATCAATGCATTATTTGAAGAGGTGCAAACTCTCGAGCCTGTTTTGAGTTCTCTTCACGAAGCTGCGGTAGCGGACACATTCTTATTCGCAAGGATTGAGTCACCCCTACAGCGATGCACAACAACATGCAAGGATTTCACGGCCTTGATCAAGAAGTGTAACACCCATTCGAACGGATCTAAACCTAGCATCCGCGATGTGATAATGCTGAAGTGGAAAGAAGACGATGTCATTGCATTCAAGGAATCGTTGAACTCTTTGAAGTTGACTATTAATACAGCTCTTAGTTTCGCAAACTGGTACCCCCCCGTTTCCGCAGAATCAGGGTACTGCCACTGAGAGATCGTACAGGCGCGGGACTGACGACAACACGACTCGGCTCAAGCAGCAACAAGAGTGCTTCACGAATACGGTCTCCGTACTTGAGGAACGCCTGGCGAAGCAGGAAGAAACTTCCGCAAGTCAGATGCGGACTTGTCCGACGAGGACGCAAAGGAGAGAAACCGTTTGATGGCAGACAAGGCTAGCACCCAACAATATATATCTCTCTGCACGGAGTTCTCAAAACAGCTGGAAATGCATCGTGGACAAATAGCCGCGAATCAGAAAGTAGCTATGGATCTAGGACTGCGTCCTTACGCTGAGCGACGCACGAAAGCACTCTACATGTGTGTGGAGATGAGTCCAGTCGAGCAAAATTAGATCTCCACATGGAAGAAATTGATAAGAAGCTCCAAGGTTATGCTTCAGTCAATGAGAGATTATTGCACGAAATGGAACAAGAGCGAAAGAGAAGGGAAACCACCGAAGAGATGCTAAAGATCTGCTTAGAGTTAGAAGCGGAAGCGAATGACACGAGATCCTGTGCGTTCAACGATATGGCTGTCGGAGGCGGCGGGGCGCAGATCACAATAAACACATTTGGAGGAGGGATCTCTGGCAGGGGTTTAAAAGTTGAACCTGAAGGATGTCAAATAAGTGGACCGATGGAAAAGGATACTGCGCAGCATATGTCGCAAGATCACACCGTCCGATTGCAAGAACACCATTTTCATATCGACAACCGCACCGACGGATTGCGTAAGCTACCGGGCAGGTTGAGGACAGTACAAAGGCCGAAGATGTCCGAGGATCGGCTTGTTGCACAGGTCAGATATCCGATGGGAGATAGCAAAAATTTTGAGAAGCGCGGACAACGTCAAAGCTGGTAAAGGAATACCTCACATATTTGTTCACCCTGATCGCTCTACTCTGTCTATTCGACAGGCTATGTAACACCCAAATATCACGCAACGAATTCCCAGCCATCGCAGAAGTGGCAGGAAGGGGGTTGGACGCCGAGAATGGGCAAGTACCATTCTCAGCAAGTTGCCGGCCATGTCGTCAATAATGCCTCGGCGAGTATTAGGGCATTGGTCTCCGATCGAGATTCTGCATAGCCATGCCGGATCTACAAAAGCCCTCTCTACTTTAACATCCTGAACCCCCACAATGATTGTAGTTGACACGAGGTAATTTCTCGAACAGATGATGGCGAGACAAGGAAAGGAATATCTCGGAAAAGGGAAAGAGACAGCATTGTCAAGCAGCTGGTAGGAATGCAGCCCAGGTGGACCCGAGTGAATTGTGAGACCCTGTTGAACAGCTGGTGCCTAGTACTCTTGATGTCAAACTGGGGTGCAAATTGAGATTTGTTGAACGCTCTGTCTTTTTGACAACTGATCCTGCCAGATTGTCAGTGTATATACATGCTTGGTTGACCCATTTTCTACTCCTATTCTTCCCCCATATCCTCCATAGGGGTGATAACCCTTTTCCAAAGGGGTACTGCTCATTGTTCGACACCTGAACTGTCTACATACAGGGGCTTCCCCCCTTCCATAGCTACAATCTACACACGAGTTTTCCACCTCTTATCCGCCCTTGTCCTAATTGTTCGACGTGTACATTGTTTAACATGAGTTTCTGCCTCGCATTATATATAGAGACAGGTTGCCACAGCTTTCGACGTCTCCCTGGCCAGCTCATAGGTGATAGGCTGTGGAGTCTAAAGACACGAAATACGTTGTTGTTCTCCCAAACAGAGAGAGAACTTGAATAAGTGGGGCGCAAGCTGCGACAGTGCCAAGCCAATAACAATGCCAAGTAAACGTGTCTCGTGATTGGCCAATACCACTTTCATACATCACACTGTAGGGGAAAAAAGAAAACCCCAAAGGCCCCCTCCCATAGTCCGTCTCTGACGAACTCATAGATGGGGCGCCGCAGCCAGTGAAAGCTTCAGCCACACAAGTTCAACTGAAGGAGAGTTTTGAGAATCAGTGACCACCCAACGGTATGAACGAGACGACATCATCAACAATCACTGGCTGGAGCATTACGTTACCCATGTAGGGCACCTAGACTCAATGGAGCTAGGCCGGACAACCCTCTTACCTTACCTATGATCGAACACTAGTAAGGCCCCTCAATTCTGTCGGTTCGACTGCGACCAAGTGTTTTTACCACTCGGCCACGTCCTTGACAGGTCAACCACGATTTGGTGTCAATTTTGCGGTTGTTCTTGGCACTGTAAAATATGTAGTTTATTTTTGGTTGTAGTCACGTGAATTTGACTAAAGGTGCGTGGGGATGCCAAGGCAGCGGTATTGGCCAATAATATGAGCATATGGCTTGGCACTGAATGCGGTTGGCTATCCGCTAGGCTGACTCGGTGTGTTTTTAAAGGGGTACTTGCTTCTGTTCAATATGTTGTCTATAGCAACCATCCTAGTCGACAGTCGACGATGTGAACGGACAACGAGAATTGGGGACGAACTTGTCTAAAGCACTTCGACTGGGGCGGAAAACTGTGGCTACTGTTCCGGGAGCGTACTCGGTATTGAATCTGAGTCTCGTTAGGACTTGGGTAATATCAAACTTCTTGTGCAACTTGAATTTGAATGAATGCTCTGGCTCTCCTAACGAGTGTAGGATCGAGGCCCATCTATATATCTCTCTACATAGTGTAGTCAACGCTGTTGCCTATTCATGGTGATACAGCCTAGTGAGCGAGTGTCGCAGAACGAGTTGGTCTGCTGTGAACGATAGGTCACAAATTGTTCAACGGGAAAATCAGGGGAGGAAGTCGAATGACAGGCGATTGATTATGGAAGCGTCGTTGTAGCGACATCATTAGCGACCACTATGGTAAATAATGATCCGTTTCTCCCTACCATCCTGAATTGCTTGGTAAGTGTGATTTTATGGGATTTACGGCGCAATCGAGGAATTGGGTTTGTCCATCGAAATCGAAAGAGTTGCCATCAATCTTACTCCCGGAACGATTTGGTGATCTCGGCATTTTGCGAGGTATACTGTTTAGGGGGACACTAGCGGGTTGCCGTTATTGCGAGAGGTCAAACGTAGTCGATAAGCTGTCGGGATGACACCGAGCGGCTGTGGCCACGTTCTTGCGACCATAGACCCCTAATGGTTCCAGGTCCGGTCGGCGCTCTCTTTGAGTTTGTACTTCTCGGAACGCCTTCCCTATAAAACGTTTGAGGGCTACAACGGCGGCGGTATCAAATTTGCCTACGTTTACCCCACCAGAGGTTGGGGCAAGTGTATTAGCATACTTCCGAGAGCTTTGAACAGCGACAACCAAAGATAGGTTGTTTCCATGTTTTACCAAGGGGTGTTCGTTAGAGATCGATCCACAAAGGTACATCACTTGAGAGGGGCCACGGTGCTATCATTAGCATGCTTTTTAACGGCGGAGGCGATGTTTCGAGGTTGGCAACGGTCAATCCTGAACGATACGAACAATTACGTTAATTCCCCCCGTTCCCATAACCGCGAATGTGCGGGAATACAGTTGCCTACAAGAGGAAGGGGAACGACCAAAACAAGCTCTAAATGAATATATGCGCCGGATTCGCCGTAGTTGGTATTACGATTTCGACCGTTTTATTGCCTTGGATCTTCGGGCCGGTGCCATTATTTGTTACAACCGGGAAAGTGCGGGGTATATCACTCCCAGGTCTCGAATGCTGAGGGCGGATCGGCCGACACCTGGCGGGTTTCACTCCAAGACCGCGATTGGCTTGGCCTGAACGGAAATAGAGCAGTCCTACGGTTGCAATAGTACTTTCCATCCTTTTTAAACACTCCGAGCCTTATGCGGAGTAGAGAAGAACTGGTAATATAAAGGCAGCAACGGAAGGCCAGTTCTGGTTCGAGAATTCGAGTATAGGGTCCTTGGTGACTCAAAACAATACGCGTGTTCAGTGCAAACAAAAGCTTTTGTCCGTCCCCTATCTTTAGGAAAGGTAGTTCCCTTTACTAATCTTCTGGCATAGATCTTCTTACAGCGAACCCCCCGGTTCGTCCTAAGCTTCCACAACATGCAAGGCGCCTACGTCTGGAAGCTCGCCCTTACGAGTCTTGACCTCTCGAGCATAACATCGGGCTTTGTTATGGATGTATACGAAAGCGGAGATTGTTCTGGTGAAGCAAGGAGTGTCAATGTGTACGACAATACTTGTGCAAATTGGATGGGGACGTTCAACTCACTGAGAGCGAATGCCCTCAGCTGGGGGCCTAGACAGCACGCTTATATTTGCTATGGTCCTAATTGCAACTTCTGCGATTTATGGTGGGTGAATGGAGACAGCCCCGAGTTCCAGCCAGGTCTGTGCATCTCGTGTACCGAGTCGTGTAACTCCGCACGCTCATTCGCCCTTTGGGTCCGTAGAGATTCGTGGCCAAATAAGCGGGATCAGATCGTGAAAGACTACGATCGGAGTGTGCGCAATGAGCTAAAACGGTATTCGATGGACGAGTGTAACTCTTTCTTGATATGTTCTCCACATCACTCCGTCACTTTAGTCACCTGCGCTGAGGAGATACCTCTGTGTTTTCTGTGGACTATATTAAGACTAATGTAAAGGTGATGAACGGTATAGCACTTGAGTGCTGTTACGGCACAACCTGGCTGGCCCCGATGGGCCTGCCGGGTGCCTGCAAGATGGCCATTGGTGCCTGCCGGTGGGCCCACTGTGGCTGTCGATAGTTTTGTGTGCCTGCGTGGGAACCTTGTGGTATGATTATGCTACGAGGTTATAAGTATCTAGAATAGCCTCGCACTGCTTTTGTCTCTCGTCTTGTACTTTATAGTGCACTGGATAGTAATATCATTGTCGGATCTCCACCCTCGTTCTATTGTACGTCTCCACCCTGACAACTGGAGGGTGTCATTCATTGATTTGCAGTCAGGCCACCCCGATCCTTCTCCTCTTCACGTCAATCTGTTTGCTGTCTTCAAGTCCCTCTCGATACGCATCCTTGTTCCTGACCGTGTATTTTCGGCGTCTGTCCTTGTGGAGTTTCTTGTTCTGCGCTTTCAAGTACTCGCTTGCAACCTTCTCGGCAGACTGACGGAATCGCACCAGAGCCTGGCTTGTATTCCAGGGATTGACCGTGAGCTGGCTTTCTCTGTCATGGTCAACCACAGTTGCAGAAGTTGCTGGAGCAGGACCAGGGACCATCTCGCGAAGTTGTTCTTCAAAGTCGGCGTCCAGATCAAGTGGCTTCTCCTCCTGTTCCTTAAAAGTCACTTCAGCCTCAGCTTCATCCTCGTCACTGACGTATCCTTGATCTTCTGGGCTTGCCAGATTCTCGTGTTCACCATCCCCCAGCTTGATAGTAGGTTTCTCCTCCCCATCCTTAAAGACTACCTGATCTTCGATGTCACTAATGTTTCCCTGCTCTCTTACGTCATTGAAGGAATCATCGTCACTATCCTCCAGCTTGATTGCCGGCTTCTCGTCGTTCTCAGGGCATGGTGAGATTAGAGCTTTTAGCAATGGTCGTGAGCCTGTGTTCTGATCATCATGGTGGTCGTCTACAGGATGGCGATTGTGTTCCTCTTGCTCACGTCGTCCTTCCATCTTTTCCGCCCGGTTTTTCTCTTCTCTCTTCTCCTTTCGAGCAATCTTCACCAGGCCTGTACCAACGCCTAGGCAATAACTGTGTTTGGCGTTCTTGCCAGTCTTGCTCCTAGACCATTCAAGCGTCAGATTATGAGCCATTTCGAAGGCCATTGCTGCGGCGACCGTGTTTGCAGCAATCCCGTAAAAGGTCCATTCAACTGAAGCCAGACGACGCGTGGAATAAGTCTGGCAGTCGAAGAAGATAGTCATCGCGATGGCAACGTCGTGAACCCAAGTTTGGGAGATGACTCTTGCTCCACTACCTTTAGTGCTCGTGATATCCACCACCGACTGCCCTCCTAGCGCTGCGTAGTCGTCATCGTTAGTAGTCCGATCCAGAAGATCGGCCTGTGTGACGTTGTATTGAGCCATTAAGCGGCTTGCCATACGCCATGCAGCTTGGGCTTCCGACTCTGGGGTGTTTGGATGCTTAGCTCGTTGGAGACATTTCTTGATGCGGTCTAGTATTCGCTGCTCGATGTTCGAGTTGCTGTCATTGTTTGCTTGTCCCTGAACAGCCAGCTCTTGTACCTTCGCGGTCTGTGGGGGAGGAGGGCCGAGCTTTCTTCTGGAGTTGCGGTATGTGCCAGGCATGTTGGGCTCGTCGTTAGACACTTGAACAAATGAAAGAAATGTTGAAAATGAAGGACAATCTCAGCCCATCTACCCGTGCCGTTGTCGCAACAAACTTGGATCTTCGGTAGGCAAGCGGTTCCTCCGAGCGCATTTGGCTTAGACTTAGCAACCCATGGTTATGCCAAGCCAAGCCAAGCCAATGAAATCCCGCGATTTCCTGGGCTACAGATGCAGTATCTGACCCCAATTATCACAGGAATGCGACAACTGCTACGGAGTAACACTGAACGTTATGTCGATATCATCTCTGGTGTCAACGATACCGCCGAGGACCTGATCAAATCCATTGAGGAAGGCCATGAAGAAGTCTCCCCATCTACAGTCTTCGCTGTGGCTTGTATTCTTGACAAGGTCCCCTTCATCAATGGTTCTCCTCAGAACACATTCGTGCCTGGTGATATCGATCTCGCCGAGAAGCACGGTGCATTCATTGGTGGTGATGACTTCAAGTCTGGTCAGACCAAAATGAAGTCTGCACTGGTTGATTTCCTGGTCAACGCTGGCATCAAGCTCCCAAACAATTCCGCTCCAAGGAGATCTCCATGAGCAACGTCGTCGATGACATGGTTGCAGCCAACACCGTCTTGTACAGGAAAGGCGAGCACCCAGACCACTGCGTAGTGATCAAGTACATGCCTGCTGTTGGCGACAACAAACGTGCTCTTGACGAGTATTACGCTGAAATCTTCTTGGGTGGTCACCAGACAATCAGCATCTTCAATGTCTGCGAGGATTCCTTGCTAGCATCTCCGCTTATCATTGATCTGGCTATTGTCGCCGAGATGATGACGCGTATCTCTTGGAAGACCGAATCCGCGAATGACTACAAGGGTTTCCAGAGCGTCTTGAGCATCTTGAGCTACATGCTTAAGCATGACCTTCCGAGTTTCGACATTCACATCGAAACTACCCTTCTTGTGACATTGGCAAATCACTACAGAGCTAACCACTATCGTTGAATAGGTACCACTGACGTCGCCCGGCACTCCCGTCGTCAACGCACTCGCAAAGCAGTGCAGCGCTCTGACAAACATCTTCCGCACCTGCGTCGGGTTGCAGCCGGAATCCGACATGACCCTTGAGCACAAGTTGTTATAAACCCCCACAGCGTCGGTTGTCAATCTACCTAAGCAAGAGAATGAATCAAATTAACCCTGTGCAGTCAGTACTTGTGAACCTTTCGGGATTGTACCTACTTTGTAACTCCAACTGCAACTACGACGAGGGTAGCTGGACTGCTTTTGGTCTTGATTGTTCTTGCATTGCGAATGGCGAACCTGATCTTCTCTCTCGACCTCAATGAGGGTTTCTCCTAAATTGCACAGAATTGTTCTTTGCTTTATGCCCAACTCTAGTCATTCTTTTCGAGAGTCAGTGCAAATAGTCTAACAAAGATATATTGGCCTGTGAATTATGTTGAGTTCCCATTGCCATCTTTGATTTCAAGGCCGAGTTGAAAGGATCTATCTTTGACATCTTGCATGATCCTAAAGTACATGATTCCACTGGCTCATTTCCGTACTTTCTGGTGTACAGTACGTCGCCATGTTTTGCAGAACAACCATTTTAGATTGTATTTGACGAAGACGAACGTGATGTAATATTGATCTTCTCACATATGTAGTCTATCTTCGACTTTTTTGATATAATACGATTGATTGCTTGATTTAAAATCATTCCTTATATTTCCTATCATGGAATCCCGCAAGTACCTCAACGGTGCCATCTCCATTTTCCGCCCATCTCTTCGCCGCGATCTCTGGATTTAATTGGAGAGTCTGTTTGGCGCGGACCCACTCTTCCATGGTGACGAGCTTGTCGAACCGGGGCTTTACGCCCGCGGCTTGCAGGACAGGCGAGTCGGTGATGGGAACGAGCACGGTGTCATTATGTGGGCGGGCAAAGTACAAGAGTCCTGTGCGCTTGTACTCGCGCTGGTCAGCGGGCGGGGCCACGACACGGTGGACCGAACTCTTCAGCCATCCGCCCGTGAGATGGGAGAGTGTATCGGCCAGGTTGACGGTGATGGTGCCGGGTTGGGCTGCGACGTAGTGCCACTCGCCGTCCTCGTCGTTGAGTATCTGTAGGCCGGCCACGGGCTGGCGGAACAAGAGCGTCACGGACCCGAGGTCGGTGTGGCCACCGCCTTTGCCGTAATTGCTGGCTTCCCACTCGGTGTCGCTGCGTGGGTAATACAGCATGTAGCGGAAGTGGTCTTCCGATTTCTTCTCGTATGTGTGCCGGCGGGCCAGATAGTCCTCATCCGGGAGGCGGAGAATGATGGCGAACAGGCGCAACAGTGGGGGCACCACGTTGGCGTGCAGTGTGCGGTGGAAGTGTTCGATCTCGGATATGTGGGCTTGCAAGAGCGGCGGTTGCGAGTACTTGCCCGCGAAGTCGGGCGTGAATTTGGCGAAGTTGTAGATTTCCACGTTGTCTTTGACCTTGGCTTGCAGCGAGCGGCCCGGGCGGCGCCAGCCGTTGTAGTCGGCCGAGGCGTAGTTGATCTCATATTTTTCCTTCTCAGACACGGGGAGCTCGAAAAAGTGCTTGGCCAGTGTGAACTGGTGGTCGACTTCTTCCTGGCTCAGGCCGAAGTTCTTGACGTAAAAGAAGCCAACGTGGTGGACGGCGTGCTCGAGTTGGGCGGCGAGTCGTTCTTTGCCGCCGGGGCGGGCGTAGTCTTCGAGGTCGAGGGTGACGAGCTCGGCCCAGGGAAGGTCTTCCTTGGTGACGGGCGGGTGCTCGTAAGGCGTGAGGCGGTCATAGTCATATTGATGCGGGTCGGCAGGAGTTTGGATCTCAACCGATGCCGGTTCCACGGTGGTGCTGGACATATTGAAGCTTGAATCTTTCTTGTACTGTGACACCACGGCCAAGAGATGCTGCTTGTCTTTTCTTCTTTCGCTGGGTGTCGCTCAAGGTACGGTGCGGTACGATAGGACCCCGCGAGCAGATACCCGATAATTTAGATACGAGGTTGAAGAGGGGAAGACTAGATGTTGTCATCCCGTCACGATAAGTCGCCATCGAACATGGGGCTTGACTCTCGTTCGTTGAAGATAACCCTTTTTCATTACAGGTGTATAAAATAGTGTAATCACGGTATGCATTGAAACGAATTATAGCACTGCATACGGGGCAGTGCGCGCTTTCCGACGGCGTGGGCCGTTGCATATCTGTCTCCTGACATCCCGATCACTGAATCGAGTGACGGGGACTCCCAACCGCACGCGAGACAATTGGTCCGCTTTTTCACGCCCCACTAGCTGATATGCCCAGTTATGCTGTCTCTACAATGTGTCTTGCCAGTTAGTTTTGTTCTGCGACGTAGCGGAGACATGCTCAGAGACCCTATTCGAGGCCAAAATGTCAGGAATTGTGATATGGCGCAATCATGTCTCGAGCAAATGGACTTTGAAAGAATGCGGATGATGAAACCAGTGTGTAAAATGTCGCCATTGTGATGAGACTCTTTTATAGCGTAGTTGTGGAGGTCTTCTTTCCAAGCCAAAGCAAAGGTACATTCTCCTAATCAAGCAAATATGGCGGCAGTGGTATCGAACTTGGACAAGCCTTCTTTGGAGGTTAATACCAATCCCGTGGTAGAGCCAGCCTCAAAAATATTTGAGGCAAGGCGTAATCCTCAGCACCACGGTGCTCAGAGAACAAGGAGTCGTCGCGTCCTTCGATCAATCCAACGATACGTCTGGGATGATCCAGACAAACCAAAAACGGAGAAGTGGTTTCTGTTTAAACTTGATGTCTTCCTGCTCACCATATCCTGCCTGGGATATTTCAGCAAGAATCTGGACCAGGCGAACATCAACAATGCTTATGTCTCTGGAATGAAAGAGGCCTTGCACATGGACGGAAGCCAGCTGACGTATGCCGGGAATGTCTTTACAGCTGGGTATGTTCTCGGCCAATTACCTGCAGTGATGTTGGCCACGCGTGTGCGTCCTTCCATTCTCATCCCAACAATGGAGGTTCTGTGGTCTATCTTCACATTCTGCTCAGCAGCGATCAAGACAACACCCCAGCTATACGCCATGCGATTCCTGCTTGCTGTCTGTGAAGGCACATATTTTCCCACGGTCGTCTATATCATCGGATCATGGTATACCCGGAGCGAGCGTGGGAAGCGTATGACCATTTTCTATGCCACAGCGAGCTTGGCCGGGATGTTCAGCGGCTACTTGCAGGCTGGGGCGTACAGGGGGCTGAATGGACAGCTAGGCCACGAAGGCTGGCAGTGGTTGTTCGTTATCTGTGGGATTATCAGTTTGCCCATCGGGCTCGCTGGGTATTTTCTCTTCCCTGACTTTCCCGAGACGACCCGTGCCTTTTATATCACGAAGGAAGAGGCCGAATGGGCAAGGAAAAGACTGTCGGCAGATGGCATGAAACCTCTCGGACCTTCAGCATGGGATCGGACCAAGATCTTCCGCGTCATGGTTCAATGGCAGTTCTGGGTTCTCCCGGTTGGATATTTTCTGGTCCAAGGCAGCTTACCCATATATCAGCCAGTCTTTGCCCTGTGGCTGAAAGCCACAAATCATGCCCTCCACCAAGTCAATGTCTGGCCCACTGGTCAGTACGCTGTCGCCGTGGTGGTCCAAATATTGGCAGGAATCATTTCGGACTCTTCACTGCTCCGGGGTAAGCGCTGGCAGACCTTGATCGCGATGCAAGTGCCTACAATCTTTGGTTGCATCGTGCTTGCAGTATGGAATGTCCCTGTCGGGCTCAAATACACGGCGTACTATTTGACATATAGTTGCGCTGGGGTGCCCGGCATTTATTATGCTTGGTATTCGGAGCTCATCCCACATGACCATGAGATGGGAGGGTTTGTGATCGCTTGGTCGAACATGTTCAGCTACATCCAGTCGATATGGTGGACATTGACAGTCTGGAGAACCATCCTCGCACCACGTTTCCATGCAGCATTCGTTGGCGCCACCTGCCTGGGCATCGCGCTTTGTTTGCTCTCGATTCTGCTTAGGATTCTTCAAGAGCGCGATCGTAAGAAGCGTGCTCTCATCCAGGAAAATATTGGTGATGAAGAGACACCCGCAACAGAGAGCGAGGAAGAGAGCAGAAAGTAGCTTGCAATCGTGGGCGACCTAGTCCGCTAGGTCTGTAGACAGGGGGTGAATACCTGCCTCATTGTGTCGGGATAATATAGTTGGTGCAATTGGCAGATGTCAAGTTTCCGACTCTTCTCACCATCACAAGAGTTTCACGACCATGATGAAATCATGCTTTGCTTGCAATAGGACTGACTTCCACCATTTTGCAAGCGTGGAATGACTGTGATTGCCGTACGATGCTGCAGTTGGGTTCCACCAGAAACTATCGAATACCACCAATGTCGAATAGGCTTAGATGAAGCAGTACTAGGTAATAACTTTTCTCCTAATATTGGTCCCCTCCAGTTGATCGCGAGATTTTCGTAGGTGAGCTGGCGAGATCTAATCGAGTGTTGTGGAAGGAGACGAATTAGAGCATCAAAATCAATGCTTCAGCGTGGTGGATCGTACTCGACAGTCATCATTTTCGTCAAGAATCATAATAATAGAGCCCTCTTCGTTTCAAATGGTTTAGTCAAAGCAATGACGATAATGGACTGATATTGTCATGGGGCGCCAAGACCCCATGCCAGGAACTTGTATATAGCATGCGTTGCGCAGGATACCCCTATTCGACTTCCAAGCGTGGAAGTCGATGTCGCCCCTGCAACTATATAGATAGATAGGTATCCTTTTGACGTCTTTACAGCCCGCTGGCGAGCCTGCCCCTGACAGATATCGACCGCAATCTGTGTCGAGAGTGCATATGGTCTATCGAAACAAGCATCCCAGTTAGTCCCGCCCAAAACCCAGAATCTTTCCAGAACGGATTTGGCGGTCAGAGGCGCACAGGTGTCTACACGACGGCTCCATCTCAGTTAGCAGCTTCTTGACAAAAGTACGCACACCTGTGGGCCCATGTGTAGCTTCCACACCGAGAACCACCAGTGGCCAGAGCAGGAATTGGTTCAGTCTCAGCGATGACGACGCTTGGTCAAGATGTACTTGCAGCCGCTGACCATGTATGGCACATTGTACACTCAATGGCCCATCGTGGTGCAGCACCGACAGGCTCTGGAGTGAAGAGATGCAGTATAGAGCCACAGGAGCCTGGTAGATGTTGGCTAGCAGCATCCAATCTCTTTGTGACGAAGCTTTAGTTTCAGACCACTGTTCCGGCGAAAACTCTTCGATGCGGCGCAATATTTCGTACGTCTCTTGCGATAGATTCTCATCCGTGAACTCGTCTTTCGTGGTTCGCGAGCGAAGGTGATTTATCCTGATGATCTCCGCGACAAACAAAGAAGGACACGTTCGGTGATCTCCCGCACAATAGAGTTGCAAAGGGTAGTCGAGATTGTCAAGGTGCAAAGTGGCCATGGCGAGGTCAGATGCAGGAGATGTTGTATTGCCAAAGACTGCAACCCGGTGTGAGGTCAGTTTTCTTCTTCACCAGAAATCTTGTCCATGGCAACATACAAGACGAAGCAAAGCAATAGCGGCTCCACTACTTTGGAGCTCGACCACGCTCGAATACCTCCACGAAGCCAAATCAATCTCTGCATGCCCTCGAGATGATTTCGCCAGTTCAATAATAGCACGGTCAATCAGTTCCATTGCTGCGCAGGAAATACCCACGTCTGCAAGCAAAAAAGTCAGAATTCCAGCAAGGACCAAATCTCCCGTACGCTTTTGCTTCACGTCTATTTCTTCATTAAGAGAGCGGATGGCAATGTCACGATAGCGATAAAATCTTTCAAGCAGGGAGGTACACTGAGGTTCATATCCCATCTTGTTGATGCGGTGGCTAAGGGTCATACAAACAAAGCTCAATTGTAAATGTTTAGGGTATTTTGGAAGACATCGGAGGTGCTTAGACGTGATTCGGTATACCTCAGGAGTGGACCCGGGCTCTTGAGTCGCGGCCAGATCTTGGTATATGCAGGAATTGACTGTTTCAGTTAGATTGCCATTTGTGTATATTAGAAAGATCTCTCCGCTTGTACTTGCAGTATTGAGCGGCCTCAAAGACAGCGCAGATATCTGTCCTTAAGTCGGCGCGAGGAATGAGCACCTTTCCAAAATTGAGGGAACCATCATCGTCAAATTTCGATTGCATTTCGTCCCCAACTTCAACAATGGTACCAGGTGAGACTTTTTCGGACCTGACTTGATCCACTTTAAAGGCCTTGCATCATCGTAGCCCGGACATTCAACACCAAATGTAGAACACCTCTTGCATGCGGGAGTTGTGGCGTCGCAGACCAGACGGCGGTGGAGACATTCCCAGCAGTGGCGTTTGCGGCTCTTCTCCGGCTTTCTCGCGGACGATGCCATGCCTTGTAATAGTTGACCATCCTGAAACCTCTCGGAGGTGTTGGAGGGAGCCCTTTGACAGCGAGTCAGAGTACGGCCTATGCAAAGTTCAGGTAAATTAAACTTGGGATGGAACGTCGTAGAGTTCTGCAAAGATATGGCTTTTTAGCATGGCGTTGTTGAGTATTAGGGTGCTCATACAGTAGAACGGGGTGCTTTTGTTCCCGCTTAGTCTGCCTCAGGGAGTCTTGGTGTTCTGGAGAGCGCGCGTGGTTATTTTCCCGTACGTACTCACAGAATTGAGGAGCTAATGAACGTTGCGTAATTCACCATGGGGAAGATGAAGGTAAATAGAGCCATAGCGTCCGTAAGCGACATCTAGAACTGGAGTAGCTTGTCGCCAGACGAGAACGAAATGCTTTTCACAGTACAAATAAATTTTCTACATAGCGCCAGCGTTACGTTTGTGATTGAGTTCACCTCCGGCCCTCCCCAAAAGGTTACTGCTACTACTACAACTTCTTCTCTGGCGCCTTCTTCCCATTAAACGCACTCATACTCCCCAAAATCAACGCCCCGTCGTTAAGCCTCGTCGGCCACAGCTTCTTCATCTCCCGCGTGAGCTCCCTCCCGTCCTTGATCCTCCCGCTCTCCACCAACCGGTCAAAATCCAGGATATACCGGCGGGAGTTCTCAAGATGCCACGCGCCGTCCAGTTCGTGCGGTTTCCTGTGGCCCGGCACCACGGCGACGGGGTGGAGTGCCATGACTTGTTCGATGGCACGGACCCATTCGAGGCGCAGGAGGTGCGTGTTGGCTTCGGCGAGCATTTGGTGCACGTCGCCGTACACGACGTCGCCCGCTACCACGAGGCGAATGGAGGGCACCCAGAGGACGGTGCTGGAGTGGGTGTCCGAGTGGCCGACTTCGATGGCTTCGAGTTCGTAGCCGTCTTCCTTCTCAGGGCTGGGGAGGTAGAATTTCTTACTCGGCGTCTGCGGAAGCGGTTCTGGAAACACAAAGTCTGTGTCGATCTGGTTTGGGAAACGCGATCCCCACATCGCATTGAATGTCTTGGGCTCAATTTGGCCCTTCATGTGCTCGATCGTTCCCCTGGTCGCGATGGCCTTTGCACCGGGGAATTTCTTGAGCAGCTGGCCGATGCCGAACCAGTGGTCGCCATGTCCATGCGTGATGTAGATGTACTTGAGCTGGGTGCCTTTGTGGAGCGTTTGTTCAATCCAGGTGATCAGAGCGTCGACTTGGGATTTTGTAATGGGCGTGTCGACGAGGACGGCGTGGGTGGCCGTGTGGATTAGTGTGCAGGAGATGGGGGACCAGAGGCCGCCAGGTTTGCCGCCGGGCCCGGTGATGGGGATGGGAGGAGAGACGTGCACAGAGGCGTAGAGGGGCATGGTTGGCTTGGATGGAAGGAGGTTCAGGTAGGGATCGTAGTGCATAGACTAGATGGATGGGAGTTGGAGCAAGCCCGAATGATATCAGGTAGAGGAATACAAAGAGATTACAGATTATACAACTGCAAGGAAGATACTTGTTGCTGTATTTCGCAGCACACGGGGATAGCTCCGCATGATATATCATCAAAGTTGTAATATGCGAGAGAAGATGAGGTCGCAGAGTGCTTGGATTCGGGGGAAGATCTAAAGAGATCAGTTGTATAGTAATCCGCATGTTTCCACTACCGAGGAAGCAAGTTGATTGGCCAGGACCTGGATGGCGCAACACTTGGGTCACTCAACAGGGGAACATGTACACGACCTGGGGTGCCCTCAAATTCATTTGTTGCAAAGATGAGTAATCACAATCCCCGCCCTTCTTGACTTGTCGATATGATACTCACGTCCATCATCCCACTTGTTGCCCTCGGCCTCTCCAGAATATACTCCCCGGCCTTCATCGGCTTGTATGGACTCTTGCCCATACATCGCTCCGGCAACGTCGTCACCTCGGCATCATAACTGAAAAAGAACGGCACAAAAGATCTGTCGAATCGCGGAACAACTTGAAATGTATTGAATGCTCTGTATACCTCACAACCGGTCCTGCCAGGTTGCCGGTATATATACACGTTGGGTTGACCCCTTTTTCCTCCTACCCCTAAATCCTGCATAGGGGTGATAACCCCTTTTCAATAAAGGGGAACTTGCTACTATTCAGCCGTTCAATGAGACCTTGTTCGACAATACTTGGGGACGGCTCCTCCATCTTGATTTCAACCATTAGCGCTGCCACGTCTGTTACTTTCATGATTCACGGAAGCGGGAGAGGACCGCTTGGGTTCACCCCTGGTGATCTTGGCGATGTTCTCCTCGTCGGATTCTGGCAACGCCATCTTCGCTACTTGCATGAACTCTTCGGTTGCCGCTTGGAGCTGACGGCCCAACGAGTAGTGGGACGTCAGGATGCCGGCATCGACCATGTTGTCGTGCAGGGTCAGGAAGGTTTTATTCATTTGTTCGATGGTGCTTTGGAGATCGGTGATCTTGGCTTTCAAGGTGGAAATAGTGGTTTCCTTGTGATGCCGGTATGCCCGCTGTGCCAACCGAATTTGTGTTCGCCGGCGGTCGGCGGCGGTCTCGTCTTGAGTGTTTAGACGGGGCCTGCCCCTTTGTTTCCTGGTCTCGGTCTGTTCATCTTCATTGGATGGCCGTTTGGTGGACTTCGTTTTCTTCTGTGGTTGGGCTTGCTCGGCTTCATTTGCTGAAGATGGCGTACTTTCACTCCTGGTCTTAGCAAGCGAGAGACTACCATCGCGGTGACTCGACAAGGTCGCTTTTCTCTTGCGAGGGCTCTGCTCCATCTCCTCATATGGTTGTGTTAAAGCATGAGGGTACTGAGATGCAGAAAGGATATCGAGATCGCCGCCCAGAGACCGATGAGGCGGGCGATTAGAGATCAATACGTATTGCATGAGGTTGTCCAGGATTGACTTCAGGGTGCTTTATGCTCGATCATTATATGGGTCCTTCGAAAAGGACTGCATTGTGAGAGACATTGCACGTTATGCCGCCCGTGTTGCCAGAGAGGTTCATCCGCCCGAACTGATTAGTGAACCTCACTGAAGAACCGCTGCGGGGGTAAGTAAGGCTACAGCAGTGATGCTAAGCAGCTTGTCCAGGCTTGTAATAATTACCTGGAGGAAAGGTCTCGGAGGCTCTCAATTCGCGGCCGACATATTATCGATACGGTGTACGAAGAGCAGAAGGTGAGATGGTGCATTATCGACGCTTCTTTCCTCTCTTCGAAGGTCAAGTCCGAGGGATTGTCAGAGGGCCTGGTATTTCTTCGTTCAAGAAGTCGAAGTCATCGACTTGCGGTCAGTCAGCTGGGTGGTTGGAAAGGATGAATAGTAATCATGGTAGCCGCCGACACCGAGATTGGCGGATGCGGGGAGGGAGTTTAGCGAACGTATTAGCCACCCGATACCCCGCCGGTACAAAGATCGGCCCCATCCTGAATGTGAGAGGATTGAATCTGTTTGAGCGAGGTGCAAGGGCAGCGGCTATTCTGTACACCTTAATTAGTAAGCGAAAAATACTATTCAGTATACTAATCACGTGATAAGCCTTATTCTGTACATCGGCCTCTGATTGGCCAAAAGTTGACGTCATCCCTGTTAGTTTCATCACGTGATGCAGTTTTCCCGCCGTCACGGCTTCTCATTGGCCAGAACTTTGTGTTTGATGCGTGCACTCGAGGATCACTTCGTAGGTAAGCAAGAACGTCAAGATGCACGAAAGTAGGCTAATAAGTGTTGCATCTTTATTGGTGCTATCCGAGCTGGTCGCCAAGAAACCCCGCGCACGCCGGCAACAACGGTGACTTAGTTACTACCGCACATGTCCAATTGCATCGATATCGGAAGACCACTGGCAGCAACGGGAAGTTGCCGGGCAGGGCATGGCCCCGACCGTCTCCAACAGCTACTAGGCACCGATGGGGCGACTTTGAGTGCCAAATCCGCGCATCGTTTCGAACTTGACTGTCCACGGTGCCGATCGAGTTTCATGGGCCTGTGGGCCTCAGAAAAAAAATAGATTGTCTTTGAAGGATGCATGTTCCTTGAGGGGACAGCTGAGTCTTGGTCAAACAGATGTGGTAGACCCAGTCGACCGGCGTGTCCCGTTCGCGTTTCACTGGAGGACATGATAGCGTCATCAAGAACTCATATTCAGAACTGCCTTATCACCTTCTGTGTGAATAGTGACTCGGCTGTCAAATTCAACAGCAAGTCGTGCTCATTGTGAACACGTCCAAAGCTATGACTAATTCTACAAGATCCTTCCCAATCTCCATTCGTACCTTTATTTTCGTATCTTCCTTCTCGGGTATCTGGAGACTGTTCAACGTCATGTGTGTGATTTTGATCGGGGTGCAGAGCATGGAGGCACGATAGCACGCCAGGATGTGTAACAACGATACCAACGAATCTGTTACGAGGGGTGTAGGGAGAAGGATCATAAATCGTTGCGAGTGCACAAGGTATGGTATGGAATGGCAATAGACTGAAACCTATCTCTCTATCTAAGGGTTCGAAGGCTCTTCTTATACCTTTCGATCCTTTCATCTCCTTGCCTGTTTTCGGCGTCCAGCCCCCTTCCAGCGCCCCTCCTGCCACTTCTGCGATGGCTGGGAATTCGTGGCGTGATATTTGGGTGTTACAGTCGTGACTGGGCAAAAGTCTGTGGACTGTGTTATGGTACCAAACAGAGTTCTGCAGGTGGGAAGAGTATTAGACAGCAGCAGGAATATACACTGAACAAAATACGTGTCGTCAACATGATTGAAAGACATTCTGGCCTCGCTGGACCTATCTCGTTGGGAGGTCCCCACAGCAACAGCCTCGTCAATGAGTATACTGAATATGGATTTACAGGCTCTGGGGAAGGGAAAGGTGTATGGAATAGTGGTATACGGCCAAAAAGGGGTTAGCGCGAGTTACGGAGAAGTTAGAGGGGGTTGTACTAATTAGTAGATCCGACGGGCACTGCGTTAACTCCCATCCCATCCACTTTTCCCCAGCTAGCCATGTCTTTCCACCACAGTCACTCAGCATTTCGGAACCCCAAATTCTCGCTCCACTGACAAGGACGATCATATCACACCGTATGCTTCAACTCCTCCCCCAGCGCAAATGGTATAGCAATAGCAGCGGAAGCCTCGTCACTGGGGAATGTGCTAATATGTCCAGACGTCGATTTGTCTGCTGTGTCTTCAGCATATCTAAGCCCATGTTTCCCGCCTTGGATCCACGCATCGGCTGTGCTGTCTGGAAGTGTGAAATGGATAAGGTCGGATATGAACCAGACGAATCTATTCGAAGTATTAGCGCCACTCGTCCCGGGTCCAAAGGGAAAGAAACTTGAACATCCTGAGCTACAGGAGCGTTATGTAGGCCAGCGTAGTATCTCGGCGGAGAGACACTCAATGTCGAGTTCGAGGCATTGCCAAGGAAGACTGCTAGTGAGCCTGCAATTCCCGGTACTTCTGATGTATAGAACGGCGGTAGTTGCCAGCATTGGAAAACGGAGCTTTTATTTTTGGTTGCTATGACTGTAATGCTCAGGGCCGGAGTTGTACTGGTGGTCAACGTAGTAGGTGCACATTTGGAGGTAGTTTGGGACAAGGCCCCATCGAATAGCGTCGATAAAGGAACAAGGAAATAGGGAAGGATAGAGAGTAGCTTCATTCTAGAGTAGGAGGGCGAGGTAGAAATGTAGAGGCAATTGCAAGTCTTGAGATGAGAATAGAAGTAGATAACGGTGACTTATGCTAGAATAACCGATCTCCTACGGGAGTACTAGGATCCTGAGGAGGGATAAGAAGATCGTATCTCGGGCCTCCGGGTCGATTGTTTTGCATTTCATGATGAAGGACGTCTTCTTGGATATATTGCCTTCAACTAACTCAAGGTCATGTTCAACCCCATGTTCAGATAGCCGAAGTGTCAAACGTGGGGAATGTGGAGGACAAGGTGAGTGGCTCCCCGGGGTCCAGGGAAGGTTTGTGTGATGGTTGTGGAAGTGGAGTATCCACATTTTCCCCAGGATGCCATAAGATGGAGGGACGAAAAGAGGGAGCTAGGTGAGGCAGACACTTAACTCTGGTATTTTCGAAGGAAATGCACGTGTGAAACACTAGAACTCTGGCTGTAGGCGACAAAAACAAATTGAACGGGGCCCTTTGTTCTGAGAATAGAGCGATAGTGATCGAAGTACCGATGGATCCGACCGAGCTGACGTGGGGAGACGAACGCGATAGTCCTTCGAGATGCGAACATTCTTGGCTCAGTTAGCCATAGTTTCCTGATTTTTATTGCATTCTTTTTGACTCTTAGCATTGATAATATTCAACTAGACACTAGCAGAGGACCCGCGGATCGCTTGTCAATCCGTGCCATTGCACATTTCCATGTCCCTGTCGGTGGTCATCATCCTTTAATGGCTCGTCTTTCTTTCAATTTCAACCAAAGCTTTGCCGACACCAGCCCCCCCGGTGAAGGTATCATGAATCTCCATATCGGATGGCGTCATTTGGACCCAGTCGATCTCACCATCAAAACGGAAGGAAAAGGCGGACGAGGCCAGTGTCAGCTCCAACTCGGCAAGGTAAGAGCCCAGACATTGCCGACTGCCGAGGGAAAGAGGAGTGAGAGCCTGATTCCGCAGTTTCTCGTTGTCACGTAATTTTGCATTCCTACCACCTTACCTTTCTGCACAAAGGCACCGTCCAGAGTCACGTCCTCAATAACAGTCCGAGGCAAGGTCGCAGGAATCGTCAGGCACGGTCGGAGCGTCTCGATGAAAACCGCCTGGAGATAGGGTAGCTTGCTGAAACCAAGATAAGATGGTATGGTGGTCCTCTCCTTGGTCAGATCCGGAAATGCCCTCGTCGATCTCCTTGTGCGGCGACTCAATCACCCGTCGATTTTGCAGACTCGCCCAGAGCAAATAGGTAAATGCGTTTCCTATAGTTCCACTGCCACCGATCATGCCTCCCGTACTTTCTTCAGCCAGCCCTGAGTCTGTCAATGGCCGCTAGAAACCTTTATCTTCAGAGTTCATGACCTGATTGAGATATCGTGTCATCTTGGTCGACGCATGGCAGGCCTTGATGTGGGATAGCGAGACCTGTTTCCCGGCCTTGACATCGTGGAGCATGTCGCCCACACTGCCCGGCAGATGGCAGCCCCAAAATGCAATCTTCCGAAAGAACTGTTTATATTTGAATGTCGGACGCCACGACCGCATGTACGTGCTCTTTGCCGGTCTCGACGATTCTCAGATCCTCGCCAAACATGATCCCGTAAATCGTGTTGAACCCAATCATGTGAGACCACATAAATGCATTGACCGAGTTCCCGGTTCTCGTAAGAACAGATCACTGATCCAACATTGCCCGGACTTTTCGTGCCAGATGTGATTCGAAGTCGTACATGGCAGCACGGGAAATGCCTTTGGAGAGCATCTTGCAGCGAGCCGAGTGGGCTTCGACGTGCCTCTCGGCGAAGATGTGCATTTGATCATAGAGCGTTTTGGATCCGTAGAACGCATTTTCCTTGACGAGACTCCTCGACGTGTAGATCTGCCGGGCGACGGCCGGGTTGCCGAAAGACAGCTCATTGGGCACTACGCTGACAACGGGGCCGTACTTTTCATGTGCTGCAGCGTGGATGCGATGAGATTTACCTGTAGTTCCGGGAACTGTTAGTGCCATGGAATCTGCTGTCGCCCGAGATTGAGACTTCAAATCAAGGTGGAAGTTGAACGGTTAGAAAGCATATGGGGTACGTCAACCTACGTCCAAGAAAGTTTCCAATAACACACCACAGCGTAGACACCTTAGCCAACGGTGGCCGGGGAACTTGCTCAGAGAATGAAAGAACAGATTGTACACCGCACATCCTGCGAAATAGGCTGTGGAAAGGGCTAAGAGGAGGAGCAATGCTCTTGTGGGCGGGACGGGTTGCAAAGAGCAATCCTTGCGTCTAGCCCCATGCTCAACTCTCGGGACGATTAGCGAAGAACTGCTCAAAGCTGCAGCTCATCAATTCGATGACCATGCCCCATGGATCCTGCATATAGAGCGCCACGTCGTCCTCTCCAAGATGTCGATATGGGACGACGCTCTGTCCAATCTTTTTGGCTCCCGCGGCGACCGCCCTCTTACATACTTCCTCAGGATCTGCAACGGTAAGGCCAACATGGAAGACTCCGCCACGCGTATAGTCAAAGTCCGCCTGCTGCTTGAATGGCGGGTCGATGAACTGGAATAATTCAATACCCACCCCATTCGAGGCACTCAAATAAGCGACCTTCGCCTCATGAAGGCGGTCGCCGTAGATCTTGAAGATGTTGGCATTGGGGTTGACTTTTCGATCCTGGACACGAACAGACTTCCGCAATTTACGGAAGCCTAGAATTTCGGTGTACCATTTGATAGCAGCCTCAATGTCTGGCACTGAAATGGCGACATGATTCACCGGAATATTGGCCAGTCGCGCCGTATACTACGGTTGTTGTCAGCGCACCCTCATAGTGGCTAAGATTGATGGGCCGATAGCAGCTTCAAGGGATAAAATTCACCTGCTCGCCAGGGGTGCCCATTGCGAAGAATCTGGCGTAATCAACCTGATACTCGGATTCAACAAAAGGGAGTATCTCAAAGTTATGCAGCCGAAAAAACAGGTTTTCTGAGAGATGCCGTCTTCTGTTCTCATTTCAGGCGTCAATAAGACACTAATATCGTGGATGAGGAAGCTGCCTTATCTCTCTAGCTCTCAATGGAGCCAGATCAACAGGTTTTACGGTTTCGGATATTTCAAACGGAGGGCTGTGTGACGATAATGCTATCAGAGAGAAAGCCAATCACATAGCTTTCGAAATGGACTAGCGAGCTCAGCATTAAACCGCTTTGAACGAGCGATTGCAGTTGCTCTCTCGGTTTTGGCAACGAAGATGATCTAGGGTAGAGCCCTCCCCCACCGGCTTTACCAGGTTTCCCCGAACCGGTCCATCTTCCGACAAGGAAATATCCCGTCCTCATGAATGTTCAGTTCCGTACCACCTTGATCTTGGCTCTTGATGAGCGTTTCAAATTCCGCATATCGGTATTGTGCAGTTATAACGAACATTTCGAGATTTTGGTGGCTCCTATCCTTCCACCTAAATTCAAGATAATTTTGTCCCCAAGATAAACCAGCATGATCGACCAAGCGATTCGTTTCTGTCAATTCTCTTTTTCAGTAAACATATACCTACTTATCGGCTATGTGGTGCTGATACCTGCCCTTCTTTATGTATGCGCAACGGAGTATGTCCGTTCCTCCGCCAGAATCAAAGGACTCCCGGGACCAAGGGGCTTTCCTTTGGTTGGCAATATTCCCCAGATACGAGTCAATGCCGCTGAACAGTACCGCAAATGGGCCCTCCAGTTCGGACCCGTTTATCAGATCATGTTGGGCAATGTCCCGGTTGTCGTTATCAACAGTGCCAAAGCCGCGAAGGACATTTTCAGCGCAAACTCGCAAGCACTGAGTTCGCGGCCAGAGTTCTACACATTCCATAAAATCGTCAGCTCGACTGCGGGCTTAACAATTGGCACCACTCCTTTCAGCGAGAGTCTTAAGCGGCGACGGAAGACAGCAGCATCGGCTCTCAACAGACCGAGCGTCATGACATACACGCAGCATATTGATATTGAGTCACGGTCATTTGTTAGAGAATGTCTCGAGCAGGGCGCTGCTGGAAAGAAGGGAGTGGATCCCAGAGCAATGGCACAGAGACTGAGTCTAAGTCTTGCACTAACACTGAACTGGGGCATCCGTGTGGAAAGTCAGGATGACGAGCTGTTCGGTGAGATAACACATGTCGAGCAAGAACTTAGCGGCTTTCGCAGCACAACAGGAAACCTCCAAGACTACATCCCGATCCTGCGTTTAAACCCATTCCACTTCGGTAACGCAAAAGCCAGAGAAATGCGGAACCGACGAGATATTTATTTAAACGATGATCTGGAAGCTCGTATGGAAAAGGGTCTGGATAAACCGTGCATTCAGGCAAATGTCCTTAGGGACAAAGACGCAAAACTGTCCCGTGAGGAATTGATTAGCATTTCTCTGACGATGTTGAATGCCGGCTTGGACACATTGGCAACGCTGCTGACATGGAGTGTGGCATTACTGGCCAGCAGACCCGACGTGCAGGAGGAAGCATATCGAGCAATAAGGGAGGCGTATGACCAGGAAAAAGCAGGGATCCTTTGCGACGCTGAGGATGATCAGTCCATCCCATATATTGTGGCGATGATTCGGGAGTTCCTACGTTACTATAGCGTGCTCAGACTCAACTTGCCCCGGGCCAGCGTCAAGGACATATTCTACAATGGAGTGAGGATTCCAGCGGGGAGCGTGTTTTTCCTCAATGCCTGGGCCTGCAACATGGACCCTGAGGTATGGGGTGCAAATGATGCTTTCATCTTCCGACCAGAGCGGTGGCTCGAACAGCCTGATGCGCCCATTTTCAGCTATGGTGTAGGGTATAGGATGTGTGCTGGTAGTTTGCTGGCTAACAGGGAGATGTATACTATCTTCCTGCGGCTAATCAGTGCTTTCGAGATCAAAGGATCTCACCTATGAGCTGGTCGCGGAGACGCCGAAGGGCTGTGCCATTCGTTCTCTATTCATACGTGCGAGGCAGGACCTCATATCAAACTTGAGGGTGCAAATGAGATGTATTGAATGCTCTGTCTCTTTGGCAACTGGTCCTGCCAGATTGCCGGTATAAATACATGCTTGGTTGACCCCTTTTCTACTCCCATTCTTCCGCTATATCCTGCATAGGGGGTGATAACCCTTTCCCAGTAAAGGGGTACTGTTCATTGTTCGACAGATAATTATGCAGAACTAGCCGCCAGAATGGCGAAACCAGAGAGGGAATGCTTTTTTCTCGAAACTTCTGAACGTCAGCCTTCGTAAACCACACTCTTTCGATGAAACCTTCAGTGTGCGCGTTCAAGATCGGCGTCTATGCATCGATAAGGTCTTGAGAATGGATTGTAAGAAGAGTTTCCCTGGATCTTGTCACATCGGTGCTGCGAGACAATGCGTTATTTAGCGCCGCAATCAGTTGAAGATAGATAAATTCAGCTTTTTGCATGGTAGAGGACATCAAAACATCTCTTGGACGACAATGCGAATCAGTAGACGACTGCGAAAGGGTAGAAAATCAGTAAGGAGGAATGGTGAATTGACCCAGCAACAGTAGTGGAACCATCGGTCTTTTGGCAGAAGACTGAGATTAGGATATGTACACACCCTCATTCGTGACCACATCTCAACCGCCTCGGAATTAATCTTGCCAACTTCGGGGGTGACTTTGAGCAAACACTAGCTGCAGCGCTGGAGCACTGGTATTTGCCATTGTGAGGGTCCTGCGTGGAGTTAATGGAAGGTGAAGGCTCTAATGCAGGGATTTCAACCAGGCTATCTCGAGTTCTAGAAACAAGATGTAGCGTAAAGAGTGAGAAGGGTGTGATCTGTAGCAGTCGAAATTGTGCCCCTGCGTTACCTTCGGTGCTGCTATCTTGGGCACATTGCCTGGTGATTTGGTCAAAGTTTCTAATAATACTAGTGTAATTTGGAAATACCCTCTTCCTTCGCCAGACGATCTGCCCAGTCTTGTCCAGGAAGACCAATGGAATTATAGGTGGTGGAGATGTTGGATGAGAACGGTAGAATGGCCCTGACAAATTCCAGATATCCAACCCGTGCCGGTCCCATCATGCTCCCTGTCGGCTCTAGGCCGACCTATGCGAGTGGATTGGAAACATCATTTCACACAGCTGTCCTCCTCAAAGCATCCGTTCCCTGAAGTCGGTGGATAATAGCAATGAGAACTAGCATGGCAAAGTAAATTTTCGACCTCAACATCCAGGTGCTGATGGCGTCCCTCATGAACATGAGATAGAGGAGGATACTGTTAAGTAATATTGTGAAAGTCAGAAGGAGAATTCGGATGAAGAAGTTAGCTGAATTTAGCATCGTCATCGAACCACCTGTAGTAGCTGCTGGCTGTGGATAGGGAGTGGGAAAACACTGCTATAGAGGACCGGGAAGTGTCCTTTTTATAGGCAGGTGCCAACGGACTGTGGTCCGAAATATCCATCCTGGACCAATCAGATTGCGAGTGAGGCCACAGCAAAGAAAAGAGCACAAAGCTCGATCCGCCGTGGTATCCACCTTTTCCTTTCCACACCAGAAAACCGGGGTGGAAATCAGTGTTGGCCGGGTTTCCGCCAAGCGAGCTTGGAGAAGTCAACTATGTATATTTTGGCAGTGGCCTGAGTCAGGGGGCTCGCCACCAAGAGATCAGCGTAGAGCGGGAAGCGTGACAGAGAATTCAGTATTCATTTCGTGCCCACATTGTAAGGAATCATGACCTATAAGTTGGCGGCCCTTAATGGGTAGCCCTACACTATATCGACTTGTGGCACTACCTAGCCTATTCTGATGCTATGCGGCGCTGAGCGGGCGTATGCGGGTTTAGGAGGAGATTGATGTCCCATCAATGAAAGACTTCTATTCTAGTCGATTCTCATCATTTCAAGAATAAGTTGCCAAAGGACCTCGATGTCATGATGGCGGCCATCAAACGTCCTTCAAAACAACAAGACATTCATGTCCTCTCTGCATAACCTTGGCCATGGTCACAACAACAGTATTTCTGATATCCTCTCTTGCTCTAGCGGCTCAATGGTTTCCCTTGGCCTCATCTCAAGAACTTCGGAACGGCCCTGCAGACCAGGAAGTTAAAGCTTCCATATCAATCATATGGGCCTCAACGTCCGCAACATGACAAAGTCCATGGACTTTTACGGGAAGGTCATCGGAATGCGTCATATAATCACAATACAGTACACACCCAGCTACAGCCTTACTTATATGGGCTTCGCGCAGGGTGGTCGGAACGGCACCGGCTTTCAGACTGGCGCAGAGTTGCTTCGGAAGAAGAACAACAGCGACGCATATCAAACTGTTCCATTTCGCCGACCCCGAAAACCCTCTTGTCGCAACTACAGAACGGACCAACACCTTCGCGAACATTGGTCTTGTCGTGCCTGATGTTCAGGCCGCTCAAAGCCGCTTCGAAAAGCACGGCGTCAAAATCATAAAGGCTCAAGTGGACGCGGTGATCAAGGGACTGTTGACTACGGACTTCGAGTATATCCTGTTTGTGGAGGACCCTGATGGCAATATGCTTGAGGTTGTGAAACAGGATGGATTTTGGGGTGCTGCTTAACTCAGCACGTACATTCTGACGTTCTATGGGCATGAGGCGGTACTCAGGCTACTAGTCAGCAGAGGTGCGGACGTCCACGCGAAGGACAAGGAGGGTTGGACGCCACTGTGGTTCGTGAAAGAGAAAGGGCACGATGCGGTTGTCAAGTTGCTGGCCGACGACCGTGGCCCATCATATCAACCAATTATATGAACGCCGAACCCGCCGTCGACCAGAGTTGTTGTTAAGGGGTCCACAGACTTCCGAACGTCCCTCCTTACAAGGTATCGGGTGAAAGTCACAGCTTTGTTTTGTGTCCGCCTTGCCATTTGCAAGGATCGCACCTGGTAGACTTCATGTTTTAAGAAGAACCTTTTTATCTTTCTCGTAGTAGACTTATTCACGGTTCCAGAGCCTTTCTGAGCAAGGAAGTATAGATGATAAGAGGAAGCCGATTTGTTGTTATTCAATGCTCAGCTACAGTTCCCCCTCTGGCCATATCTGTCATGGCTGCCCAGCCACTAGGAGAATATGCTGTTATCTTGCTAGTCACACCCTTACCCCTTGATCGATTGAAAGCGATCAAGTCGATATCAATAGATTAGTCAATTCAGTTAATCACATCGTCAAAGACCCAGTATCACGCTTGCCCGTCCACTGACTTGGCCAGTCTGATAATATCTCTTGTTCTTTCTGTTGATTCCCTCGTTGATTGTTTCATTCGTTGTCCATTTTTCCCCTTCATGTTGTCCATGATTCTCATTCCGATGTGGGCGTTATCGAGGTTGTCCAGTTCGTGAGCCCTCGTGAATTCGGAGAAGGGTAGGACAGGCAGAGATAGAGACGAGGGATAATTCAAGGCTTCGCGAACCTCGATCGATGTAATATGCGCCAGTTGCGTCGAGTTGGTGCAGCCTAGGACGAGCACGTCAATTCGGCCACATAGCGTTTGTCCATTACCATGACATGTGGGCTAAAAGTGGCTGGACAAGTTGCTGTCCAATGGCACCTCTTTTGTAAGACTCCATGATCCTGGTCTAGGACCACGACTAAACCTCGATGATGATGGAAATTCGCGATCATTGCCCCGGAAAGAGCGATCATAGGGTGATAGCGTAGAGATGTTCGAGCAAAGAATGGTGATCGTATCCGTTTCGAACAGGTGCAGATGCACGGCCAATTATGGTTATTTTTCAAATTGTTCCAGAGAAGGGAGGAGGATGTCCTTGAACTTCAAGGTCTATTATCCATCTCCTCAGTACGTTTTCTTGTTCGTGTGACAAAAGCTATTGTTGTTCTTGGGTAGGAGTGGCTGAAGACCAACCTGTATTCGTCGGCAAGGTCTTTCGGTCAACTTCGTGCGCCGCTGCGGCTGCGTGAAGAGAGGAATATCGGCCGTTTCGCATGGCATCAATAATTTGCGAAGTCGTATCCCTTGTCGGACGCCATCTGAGAGCAAATCGTACGAATTGGGAGAGTTGTCGAGGGTCGAACCCAAACACGGGTTAGTGATGCGAAAATGCATGGGCCAAAAGGGGGCTGAATGAGGGTGGACCTACCCCATGGTTAAAGCCTTTGGCCCCCCCTCCCGGATCAAGCGGCCCGCTCCGTTGAACCCTCTTTTGGCCCCTCCCAAGGCTGATTCATTTCTGAGACCTGCTCAGCATCATGAACAAGCTGCGCCAGAAGGCGGTGCTGCCTTCCCAGTCATATCCGCACTTGGGTGACTCAGCCTGTCTTGGCTGCAAGGTTTGAGGTATCGAATAAATTGGTCAATCTTTCCTTGGATTCTGAACTTTGAAGTGACCACTCTCTAAGAACAGCAAAATGGCGAACACCGCAGATGAAGTCCAACTACGCAGACTGTTGAGACGATATAGGGTGTTCTACGATCTTGATGATCGTCAAGCCCCGGTCCACGATGCTTACTTTGAGGATATTCAGAAGCTAGGCGAACACAACATTGATGAATACCGTTCAAATATCACTATTGAGTCCAGACAAAGACCCTGGAGGCAAGACATCCTCAGCCGAGCAAAGGCCATCAGCGCGAAGGCTCGTCGATGCCTCGAGGCGAATAAGAACGAAGCAAGTTGGCGTTTGAGTATCGAGTCGGAGATCCTCGCTCGCTTCAGCGTTGAGGTTGTCTGGTAAGCTGGGTCGGCACAACACGAACGTGTAGATGCTAACTAGTGTTTCGTCCTGAATGCTGCGCCCGCCTCTGGAGATCTGAATTGGAAGTCGCTTTAACTACTTCGGAAGGCAACGTCGAGGATTTGGCGAATAGACAGAAAACTCGGGTGGCTTGTCGATGCCCGTCACGCAAACGGGGAGAAGACCGGTCGGTGTTTCCTGCCAAAACAGACTCCCGAGTGCATTATCTAACACTGGCGAAAGCTCTGATGAAGGTTTAAATCCGCTTTTTGACGACCGGGCAGACGAGGAGATTGAGCATCCGAGTGAGATTGAAAAGATTCTGAAGATAGGGAAGAAACCCGATCGTTTAATAGGCCTCAGAGTCACGAGAAGATTGGACAGGATCCTGAATCAGACTGAAGGTCCACAAGGTGACTTGATCGGGGACTCGATCAAGACATCTCCGTTCAAGCATGGTTGCCAGCCACTTCTATTCCCCTTCATACTTCTGGAAGCCAAATCGGAGAAAAGTCCAGACGCGTTTTCGAAGATTAATCTACAGACTGGCTTCGCCATTCGAGCTTTGCTTGAGCTACAACGCAATCTTGCACACGCTACGGTTGAGAATCGGCAGTCGGGAATGAAGCCTCTCGTCTGGTTCTTATCCTATAGAGGAGAGAGCTGGCGTTTGTCGGGCGCTTATGTGGAAGAAAGAGAGGCCGAACCAAACTATGTAAGTGGCCGTTCCGGATCTGCTGCACCTTGGCTCTTGAGACTGATCACATCCCCGCAGCACATATTGCAACTTTGGGAAGGAAATATAATCTACGAACATCAGGCACTTCGCCTCCTTCTGATTCTTGATTATATATTCGACTGGGCACGAGATGTTTACCGTAAAGAGATTATTAGCAGCCTGTTGTCTTTGGCCGTGAACGCTTCACCCAGTCTCGCCGAAGACACTGATGTCTTCAGCACCTTCGATCAGTTAAATGATATTGGCGAAATGCCTGAACTAGATACAGACGATATTACGGAGCAGATTGAACCTTTTGGGGTCCCTCAGTTACTAAAGTTTTTCGACAATCAAGATATTGCTTTCCGCGACGCCAGATATATGCACCACAAAGTATGTGCTCTTCATGTCACATTAGCAAACCTCGACAAGTTTCTCTACTCGGTCAGGACAATGAAAGAGGCGAAATTGCTCGCCAGGAAACTGTGGAGATCAATTCGCGGTCAATGGACATGGTCTGTCACTGCAGAATGTCTCAATATTGTGGAAAAGCTGTGGACGGACAAAGAACGGGAGCTGCATGCCTTTCAAAACCCTGAACAGCTCTTTCTTGTGTCGTTTGCAGTCGAGTCTTACCTGGCACATGGTGAGCAACTGAGGCCCGGGCGTGGGGAACGAGCTGGCCAATGGGATCAGATTCATCGGCTCTCATACATTGCCATAGCCCACGATGCATTGCCAGCCTTAAGAGAGCGGACAAAACTCAGCCCTCGTTCTTTACAGGTGCGCATCGAAGATTGCCCCAAGGTGCCTACCGAGTGGGTTGTCGATCTGTTCGAGCGTATGCGGTTTGCGCCTGTAAGACAGAGTCTTGCGGCAGCCATTATCCGATCTAGGCTCGGCTCCGAATCTTACAAGAGCTCACCAGACAAGCAAGACGGCTTCGCAACATGCCCAGATGCACGTGGACGTGTCAAGTATTTTGCTCCAGCCCTCACTAAATCCGAAGGTTCGTCGGTTCTAAGTTCAGCGGAACTTCCTTGGGTGATATACAACCGTCTGAAAATTGGAATGACCGAGCCTTCGGAAAGCTTTCTCCGAGTTTCGCAACATTTCGGTAAGCACGACACCGACAGGACTTGCTCCAGGAGGGCGAACTGGGCGAGAAGAACACAAAGTATTCTTCGGAATTATGCTGCTGTGCTTGTGGCAGGAGTGGACGGCGATGATGAAAGAGTTTACTCGGTCCGCCATTGCGTTTTCGTCCTCGATTTGCCACCTATCAACGAAAACGAGAGAGGAGATACATCCAGCACAGCAGCAGTGCTTCCGCAAGTTCTGCGTACGTTCCTCCGAATCCGTTGGAACAGCGTCCCCAAGTATAATTTCAGGGATGTTAAGTGGGACAGGACGGAGGATTTGCATATTAGTCTCCAGATTCTGGAACATGTCTCGACGCAGTATCAGCTGGTTCATTCGCTTAATCCCCATGGGTCTCCTGGTGGTATTCCTGGCTGGATCAAAGAAAAACAAGCAATCCTCAGCTCATCGGAGAAGGCAAAGTGGCCATACGCCTTTTTGGAGACAATAGATGGCATCAAGCAAGTCGGGGAGTCATATAGTTTTGGTCAGATCCTGCAATATCTTATTGCAGCGTTTCAAAAAGTGATCAGAAGCGAAGAGGCACAGTCGAGGCTCCTGGAGGAACTGAATCGTCTCAAGCACGCGACAGAAGTTCTGAAAATGTCAGCTGCAGGCAATTCGAATGAACCTCCGGGAAAAGTCGATGAGGCAGACAGCAACAACGATTTCGCAACCGGCTCTGCCACTTCGAAGTCATCATCGACAGGTCAATCTCCCATTTGTTCACACGAAGTGATAGTCGTCGACGATACAGAAGATGACATAGAGGGACAAACTATCTGTTCGCCAGAGAGCAACATCGAAGAGGCCAATGAACCAGTGACCAAGAAGCGACGACTATATGATAGTGATACGGAGATGTAAGATATGCCGTTCAGAGAAGGGTTAAAGGGTGGGTGTCAATCTCATGGATGGTAGATACATGCACAGGGCACATACCTACACAAGATGCACAGACCTCGTGACGGTGCCTGGGTTGCTGCTGGCGGTGGACTTCGAGGAGGCTTGGGAAGACATGGCAAGACACCTTCACGGCCTGTCCCCAAACACGGTTCAAAATCGCTTTCGGAGGCCCCGAAACCTGAAAGCTCGATTTGATTTCAGCAGCCTGAAAGCTCAGGCGCATATGTATTGTGGCAATTCGTCGGAGTAACTTGAGGCCGTCGCCCCGTCTGGCAGTGGTTGGCGCATACTCAACAACAAGTTCCGTTCTGCGTCATATCCGACTTTCAATTGCAAATTCAAATGATTGTGGAAAGTGAACCATCAGAGCAGGGCTCCAGCATGTCCACGAAAAGCTTCGAGCAACTACCCAGCGTGTTCCATTGGTTGCACTATCGCTTTTGGCGGACAATTCAAAAGATGTTTCGAGCAACCCCGCAATGGTGTCAAACATAGTCTTTTATGTGGGTGAGGTGGAAGTTCCCGCTATCCTGTATCTGGACGATCGTCAACGCGAGCCGGATGCAACTTGTGTCAATCCAGTTAGTTACGAGGAGGCCCCTCGTGTCACGTGATTAGCCAAGCCCGCGTGATCCGGAAGATCTATAATCCGACACCTAATCACGTGCTCTAATTGGCTGACCCCATCGGATCCAATCCATGGACCGCCCCGAGCGGGGAGCTGAACACGTGATACTTGGCACTTGATCACGTGCGATTAACTAGAGCACTTAACGATCTGTTCGGGGGGTTGATTAACCAGGGCATTTAACTAGATCCGCTCAAAAACCCCCATCGGATCCAGTCTATGAACCCTCTTCGGGGGGAGGATTAGCCGGAGCATTTAACTAGATCCTGTCAACAACCAACCCCATCGGATCCAGTCTACGGACCACCTTCGGGGGTTTGATTAGCTAGGGTATTTAACTAGATCCGCTTAACAACTATCCCTATCGGATCTAGTCTATGGACTGCCTCAGGGGCCTTTGGCACTATCAAAGGCAGCCAAGCGGGGGTACGATTATTAGAAGAAATCGACGGGGAAAATCCATTAGTTGCATATAAGGGAGAAGAGTATTTTACTATCGGAACACGAAGGCCATTTCTATTTCGGCTGGATACTGGTCGTGCGGGAGCAGGGTCAACCTCGTCGTCGATGACTCTCGTTTTCTGGACTCCTCTATCTACTCCGACACCTACCTAATGCCACCTTGAAAGTCTCCCGGATTGGCGGGACAGGACGATTTCTGGCCTATACCTCGCCCGCTAGTAATCGCTTATCGAGTCGTTGCTGGACAATGATGGCTCGGATTGAGGTAGGCCCATTGGCGAGGACGGAATAGGCGGAGGACTGCTGCGGAGAGGAATATCACGCTCTTCCCGTTCAGTCCAGCCAACATGCTCGGGACGACGTCGTTCTCGATCGGCTAGGCGTGACTTGACCGTGTCAGATATTCTCACTCGAAAACGCTCGAAATCAAAAGGCTCTTCGAATAGGATACCTCGGAGTAACTTGATGCGGGACACTGCGACGTAGCTGAGACCCGCCACAAAATCACGAGCCGTGAGGTTCAGGACGGCCTTTTTCACCGTCATTCCTTGCACCTTATGGACCGTGATCGTATAGGCATTGGTGATGGGGAACTGTGTCCGAAAACAGCTGACGGCACCGTAGTAGAAATCTCGCCTCGAGCGAAAGATCGGCACCCAAGAATGGCCACCTTCGTCACCTAGAGAAGGCCCATCGTAGCCGTCAAAGTGGACGAGAATCGCGAATGGAGGGTCCTTCCGCCAATTCGCATCCGCCTTCCACTGGAATGTTCTCTGCCCTCTTGAGAAGACCGAGTTTGTGCAGTCCTTAATAGTTCTTCTAAATTTGGGGTGGGTGAAGGCTCGCCGCCGCCGCGACGAATAGATCGATGTTCTCTGCTAATTGCAGCTTGTCGTCGACGTGCATCTCTTTCTGCAGGCGTGTCTTGACTGTTGAGATTGCGAGGGAGAATAGGCCGAGGAGTTCGGCCGCGAGCTTTAAAAGTCACCGTCGGTTGCATAAAGCCAGGTTTGCGTTGTTCATGACCGGGGCTCATTAAAGGTGCCGTACTCCGCTTCTCTGATGTAGATACGCCTTCACGACATTCTATGCAGGTCACTGTAAGCCTTGTACCTCGCCTAGGTCTAAAGTCATCAATTGACTTAACTTGACCACAATGAGAACAGGTTCGGGTCTTCGATAAAACACTCGATTGATCAGGAATAGACAGTGAAGGGTCCGAAGGCTCAAAAGGGTTCGGTGGTTCTCCAGCGGGAGTAATTAACGAGGCCATATTAGCCCTCGATAAAGTAGTATCTTTTGCCAGTATTCTAAGATGAACGTCGGGCCATCACTTTCCGGTCATAAAGAAACGGTCTACCTTGCGCCGGGGAGATGTCGAGGCGAAGTTTGCGCTTCTGTTTCTGCTCATACTGCTTATGCTGATGTTCGTGCTCATGCCAGGTGCGCTCTTTTGCCGAACTGCTCGTCCTCGGGACTTTCTACTTCCTTTCCCTTCGACCCGGTCAGTCTTGCTTCCACTTCATGCATTCTGGCCTCACTCTCTTGCTCATATCTGAAGTTTTCATTAATTTCGGAGAACACTCTATTTCTCTGAGAGAGTCGATCGGCCAGAGTGTTGCCCGTTTGCATCGCGGCAAAGAACCGCTCGCTCGAATCGGTAGCCTTGAAGTGCCCTAGGCAGCCAAAGATGGTATGGCCGTGTCCTCGTGAATGGATAGCCCACAAATCAGGTTGCTTTTCATTTGCGCTGCGCATCACTTGAACAAGTGGAGCGTAAGCCGCACTGCTTCTGACCACCCCTAGATCGAAGAGGAGGAACAGGATCGGGTTCGCCATCTGAGTGAACACAAATTTCGTCGGCTTGCGATCAGAACTCGTCGCCTTCGATTTGCCCGAATCCGACTTGTTCGGGCTGACATTGATAAACTCCTCCCCGAAGATCTCTCGAGGTGTGGTGGCATTCTCCTTGTTCTTCACCTGTACTACGATGACTCCGCAATTCGAAGGGTCGAACGTCTCATCCTCCGTGCCATAGTACACCGGAATCAGTAGATCGTATGTTTCCTGGTTCCAACATAGCTGCATCGCAGCACTCCGGCGCAACAGGTCCCGACATAATGCAGGAATGTCCTCGGCGGTAAGTTGTGTATCAGTCGATAGAAAATGAGTGAAGTTCATTCTAGCTCCCAGTGTCTGCTCAGGTATCTTTCGAATTGAATCGTGATGATCGTTAGCATATAATGCCATGAGAAAGTCGCACACCGTAAAGGTTGGTGGAAATACTGGTTCACGAACCCACCGAACCCAGTCGTGTGCAAGGATCAACACTAATCGAGCATAGAGTTCTCCTTTGCGCCCCTTTTCGATCAATCCTTTCTCGAGAAGCACCATACAGAGCGTGGAAATGCTCAACGACCAGCGGCCTTCGATGCAGAGATGCTCCATTGCTGCCTTTGCCAACACTGGCTCGGATGGCGTCGTTGTGTCCATCATTCCCGTCTCGTGGTCCATAGATATGACCACTCTCATAAAGGAATTCACCGCCTCCCTTGTGAGGGAGAGAGTGGCGGGGTTCTGCCGGCAGACATCCAAAGACAGACGAAAGGACAGCGCAGCAAAGACGTGGTTCGAGTCGAGTGGATTGTACTCTGATTGTTGCTGGCCGCCCAGAAGCTTCAATTTGGCCACATCGATCATATTCTCTTGCTGACATGTATATGCATACCAGAGAGGCCTACCGAATAAGGCCATGTGCTCGAGGTCCGCAAACTTCTTTAACGACTTGACGAGCTCCTCTCTCCTCAGTATTGGATTCTGCATCCTTCGTCGGTCCTCGATGTCGAGCTGGAGACTCACAAATGGGGGAAAGCGCATCAGTTCGGCGGGCTGTGTAAAACTCTCACGAGCGGAACGGTCGCGACCGCCAGTTCGGATGATATTGTTCGGCGGGACAAGGTGTCCGATGAGAGATTCTGTTGAGAGGAAGAAGGACCACATACGAAACTTCTTCAGGCAACTGATAACTCGATTGAGCGCCACATAGAGTCCGGTGCGTGGTTCACCAGAGAACCCCTTTTCTATCAAACTTGACGCCTCGTCGAACACGATGACCAAGAGTGAGTTAGTGTCACTTACGTTCCGGCACTGCTGAATATTTTTGATCAGGTTTTCGGCAGCATTGAGGAGGCCGGTTAAGGGATCGAGGGGTTCTGTCCACGCCATTTCGAATTGACGACGAATGCTTGAGGAGCGGTCATCGCCGAACTTCTCGACCCAGGCCGGACTGAAAATCCAATCGTTGGCGATAGCCCGAGCTCTCTTAGCTACCGATTCGCAGAACTCGATGCGCATCTTGGAGCGTTGGTTCTGAGTGTCGTTAGCATCGGTAGCTGGTGCAAGCGGTGCCATCTCTGCGTGCCTGTCACCTGCAAGCTTTTCTAGAGTCATCTCGCTAAAGGGCTTGCTCTCCACCCAGATATTCACTGACAGGATCGAATTAGCGAGAGTTTGGTGAAAAAGCCATTAGCAATTTACATATCTCGAAACTGGCTTGGAGCAATGCTGCAGCGAGAGTGTGATTCCACGCTACGATCGCTCTCCTCTCCAGAAAATCACTAGATGTCCCCTGCAGGCTGGTGGGCTCGGGGATGTTGTCTGGCCGCTTCTCGCGCAGAAATGACAGTATCTCTTTATCAGGAGGTGGAAAGCCGGAAGTTCCAGGCTCACGGAGAGTGAAGTTGATCATGGGACAGAGTTGGCCGAAAGCATCCGCCAATCTTGATTTGCCCGTACCGCTGCTCTGAACGAATACCAAGGTCTTTGCGTAATACTTGCTCACATCGAGTAGCTGGTACCGCCGAATGAGGTCCCGCAGCGCAATTAGGGAGTGCGGAAAATAGACATTGTTCCAATCTTTTTGCAAAGCATGGAAGATAGCTCTTTTCTGAGGGGAGGTCAGTACGTGGAAGGCGGGATTGTTCGTGTTTGACTCCTCCTTCTTAGCCAGATTCGGGAATAGCTGTTTGTACTGTTTTGGATGGTTTTTCTTCAGCCAGCTCTGTAGCTCTTTCATAGTCATATCGTTTAGCTCCTCGTCGTACTCCTTAGGGTAGTTTTCCTGAAGCCAGAGATGCAGGTCCAACTGTCTTATATCTTTTCGCTCCTCTTTCGCTATAATGGGCTCTACTTGGGAGGCTTGAAAGCCTAACCCGGCGTGCCCTGGGTTCGGTTCCGAAGGGGTGCTCATCGTGATGCTACCTAGAATAGCTGGACGTGACGGGAAGAGAGGCGAGGAGGAGAGTCCTCGGGGGAAAGTTGGGGGAGGTATTGAGTGGGAGTGGCAGGCAACAGCGGCGGCAGAGCTGATGAACCAGGCGATGAGAATATGCCTTGATCGATTCTATTGAAGATGAAGGCGGTGGAAGAGAGTTCAGTCTGTTGAATGATTGATTTGACTGATTTTCTGTTCGAATGAGTAAAAAGGTTGAGGGATCGTATTGCCCCAAGTGACGCGGCGGGAGTGACACGGCGAACACAACACGCCAAGCCAGGAAACACCGCGGGAGTGACGCAACACACGTGACACAGGGAAATTCCGCCTGTCTGCCCGTGAGAAGAATTACCCAGGGGATCAGTTTTGTTCACGTGACTTAAGCCGTTTCTGATTGGCCCACGAAAATGCTAAATCACATGATCTCGCGGTACGTGCGCGCCTTCGGATTTCCTCGACGCGTTTGCACTCCTCTTCCCTCCTGTCATGTTCGACGAAGATACGAAATACTGCTCGGCCCGTCCCCAAAGGCGCCCCCTCTCCTTCTTTCTCAAAGATGCCGCCGCCGCCCCCGGGAGCAAGGTCTTTTCCACCTGTATTGCCCGCCGTGACAAGTCCAGAAAGTGGAGGGCTCGACAGCCGTCACGGTCGACGATCCCGTCCAAGAGGCGTGCGACACCGCTCATAGAAGCTTCTACACGTCTAGAGTTGCCTTCTCTTCTCGAACGGGCGTCGGTGGTGGAGAGCGCGCCGGGCGGCGAGGGGAGGATCGAAGGTGGATAAGGTTGAGGAGGCAAGGCAGATTTTGAAAGAGTCGGGGGGAGGATAATCCAGGAGAAAGTGGGGGCCTTGATGCGGCAGGGGGGGATTCAGGCGTTGTCGGGTGTAGGGCGACGGAGGTGAAGAAAGACAACAGGTTGGAAAGGAGGAAGAGAGGGATGGGATGGGAGACGAGGTTTTTATAGATGTCAAAAGCGGCGGCGTGCCCAGCCTGCGACCATACCCAAAGCGGGCGGGCCGCCTAAACCGTAGGCGGATTTTCTCAAGACGCAGCCAGGTCCCGCGGATCCCAAGGGCTCTCTTGCGTGATACCGCTCGCCTGGACAAGCTTGTGCTCTCTTGGGTTAGCGACATCCCTTACCAGTTCCGACCGGGAGGAGACTTGCCGTCCCCCCGGGAGAATTCCACATGGCAGCTCATTTATCCATCCAATATAACCAGGCCTTGATTGCTCTGCAGAGAGCGGGTCAGATCACTCCAACAGCCAGCTCTCAAGCCGAGGTTGCGACCCTCTACGCGGACGATCCTTATATGTATCGACTCAGAGAGGGAGAGTCGATCTGTGTGAACAGTGCCCAAGCAATAGCGAAGGTTTTAGCCGCAGCGTCCTCGATTGAGGCACGCTTTCTCCCAAGCTCCATCAGCACTGGCTTTAGATACTTGCCTGCAAGCAATCCAATGATCCGACAAACCACAACACTCCCGATGAATTCCACATTTCTGATGGCTTTGTGCGCGATTAATGCCTCTATGACGGCGGGAGAGTTCTCGTGAGGAGTTTGTATGTCAATAATGACATCACGGGCCAACTCTGGTTCCATGACTGCCTCTAAGAGGAGGTGATGAGTCTTCGGGTAAACGGCGATTTGCTGGGAGTGGTTCGGGACACCAAGAGTACTGATTGAATCAAATGTCTTTGCAGGGCTGTTGTTGTGGCCGCGGGAAGAGAATGTATGAGCTAACTAGAACTATCTGCTGATGAGCCTTTTTAGGGTTTCGAAGCAAAATGCTCAAACATTCATGCTAGGAGCACAGTTAGTATGGAGAGTTCAACACTAGTTGACCGGAGATCAGTCTGAACTTACTTGATCATGATACTCTTCGGCTCCAGATAAGCTTTCAGGCCTTCCTCCCCAAGTTCTCTGCCGATACCTGATTGCTTCATACCACCAAAGGGGGTTTGGACTTCGGGCAGGAATGGTGAATTGATGCTTACGCCACCTGTCTCGAGCGCGCTTGCGACACGAAGGCCCCGTGTTAGCGAAGAGGTGTAAATGTTGCTCGCCAGTCCGTAAGCGGTTGCGTTGGCCAACTCGATAGCCTCTTCCTCCGTTTTGAACGTTTTGATGCTCATCACGGGTCCAAAAATTTCCTCAGTCCAGATTCGACTTCCCTCGTTGGGGTTCCTGAATATTGTTGGCTCAATGGCATACCCTCTGTTACCTTTCCTCCTTCCTCCTGTTATTAACTCGGCATCATCCTTGCCAATGTCGATGTATCCGGTAATCCGATCGTACTGAGCCTTGTCAACAACAGGGCCGTGTGTGGTGGTTGGGTCGAGAGGATTAGCTCCGAGTCGCTGGTTTGCCGCCTCAAATTGAGCCTTTACTGCTTCTTGAAACTTCTCGGCAATGTCCTCTTGTACCAAGACTCTCGACGAAGCGACACATATCTGACCACTATTCGCAAGAAAGCCCTGGGCAACGCCTCCGACAGCTGCTTCGAGAGGAGCATCGTTAAAAACGATGGCTGGTGATTTTCCACCAAGTTCTAGGGTGACACGTTTCATGTTTGACTTCGTGGCGGTAGCCTGAACTGCCCGTCCGCCACTGACCGATCCCGTAAAGCTGATTTTGTCGATGTCCATGTGACTAGCCAGTGCTGCACCAGCCTCACGATCGCCTGTAACAAATTGAACGACTCCTGGCGGAAAGCCTGCTTCTGCGTAGAGAGGAGCAAGTCCAAGAACTCCTAAAGGAGATTTCTCCGACGATTTGAAGATAAACGAGCAACCCGCCGCCAATGCAGGTGCAATCTTCCAGCCGACGTATAAGAACGTGGCGTTCCAGGAGGCAATTCCAGCACAGACACCGACAGGCTCGTAGCGGACCAGTTTGTAAGTTCCATTGTCCTCGGGAAAGGTCTTGCCGGCAATCTTATCAGCCCAGCCCGCATAATATCTGTAAACTGATACCATGGCAGGAAGGTCAAAGTGCGTGATCATGCTGATGGGTCGGCCGGTGGGTAGAGATTCTAGGCGGGCCAACTTCTCAATGTTCTGCTCGACTAAGTCCGCGAATTTGAGCATGGCAGCAGCTCGTTGTGCCCCGGTGAACTTCTTCCATGGTCCTTTCTTGAGAGCCTGTCTCGAAGCAGCTACAGCAATGTCGACATCTTCTGCCGTGGCACAGTGAACCTCTGTCGCCACGGTGGACTCGTCCCACGGATTGTATAGTGTTAGACGGCTCGTGCCCTTAGACGGTGCAAATTGACCATTGATGTATAATCTGGTCTCAAACTGCGAGGAAGTATCTGCCATCGTGAATGGTGGCAGGTTTTCGATGTACGGGGTCTTGGGTCAGGTGTACTCTGTAACAACAGGTAAGAAAAAGTGAGAGAAGAAGAGATGTTGTTGGATAGTAATATGGCCGCGGAATAGACGCGCCTCGCCTATTCCGTGTCGCACCATATACACGGAATTGAGTCTGGGCGTAAATTTGAAGAAGCTGTCTTAGTCAGATCCACAATTGTAATATCTCGACGGAAGCCTTCCGACAAGATACACTTTTCGCGGAGATAAGGCTTTCTGCCGAGGTATGCTGGAGCATCATATGAAATAGCTGCCGTCCATACTACAGCTAGTGAAGATGGTTATACCAGAGTGACGGTTCCCCAGATGAACACAGCTGTTCGTCCAGGATCTCCCTTTCGTGGCAAATGACGTTGTCCGTCGAAAGCAAGAGCCTCCTCGCGAAGTGGCTGACAGTAAAGGAATAGAGCGCCTTGAGGTGCATCCGAATACGAGAAATTGAACGAGTCAATGGTGTCGTGCTCTTAGATATTGGCGCAAAGGGCCCTGAAGGCGGCGAGCGGGGCGGCTTGAAGCTGGCTAAAGACGGTCGTGTATGGTTCTGTCACCCCTGTGCAACGACACTTGCTGAACATATTACTCCCAGACCGTCCTCATCCCTCGGCCTTCAGATGATCCTAACGGTCCACCGAACTGGTCTGAGACCAGTGGCTGTACGTGCGCCTCGGTTGATATGTGGCTGTCTGGAGCCGTTAATCTTAATCGCTTACTGGAGTTGTGGCCCAATCTGGCTTCTATCATATCTCTATGGGGACGAGAACGACTTCTGTTCTGGCTGAACTCGATTCGCACTTGCTTGACGTTAAGGTATTCTTAGTCCAAAACCTGGCTGGATATTACGGAACCCGCACTCTCATGGGCTTCTGCTTCTCTCTCAATCTAACGGCCGGACTGGCTACTATCCAGGATACTTTCTTCTTCCATCAACAGGCCCGGAAGATTAGCATTGGGACCGCAATGTTGCTTACTTCTCCCTACTTCGGCCCTCTTTCGGCTCCTTGATTATTACCAATACGAAAAGGTAGCGAGCACCTTACTACTCGACAACGTTCGAACTCAGCGGCTTGACCTTGGTCCTTTGCATTCTTGTGAAACAATACGTTTCTAAACACAGCGGGATTTTCAAACCAGGGGCTCGATTAGCGCCTGTGTATCCTGCGCATCTCCTGATGGTGGCCGTCTCATACTCCTCGGCCAGACTTTTGGATCATCTCCTTCATTGGGTATGGTTCATATTTGGGTGGGGATTTTCGTGGTCAGACAAATGATTGTAATCATCCGGCTGACGGCTTGTGCTCTGGATGCTACCCAAGTGCTCCAGGCCAAGTGTCCGCGCTCATAAATGCTGCCCGACTTTTTAAGGATTGTCGGCCGGCTATTTTCAGCTGAATTGGGGATTGAAAGTAGGATTCGACGTCTCATTCGGAACCCGGGCCGCCCTTGCGGGGCCATCGGTTTTGATATTGATCACCCTTCATGTGTGGGACCGGAAAATGAGGGCAAGAGGCGGAGTTGATATGATCCCATATTCGGACGCACCTCGCCTTCTTGTGGCTCTTACTGTGCAGGAGTCGGTATTTTAACGTCTCATGAGCTTGATGCTTAACTGTACAGAAACGGACTCCGGCTGACGGATGATGGGGAAGGCCTCCCGCCATAGCACCGCCCGAAGGTCGAAAGCCACTTTACCTCTTCAGCTCGCAATGTAGACTTGTCGGTTGGCTTCAAAGTCTTATACTCCGCTTGAACACTCCCAAGCCCGAAAAGCCAAGGACGCCAAAGGCTGGCATCAGGCTGAAAGTGGCCGGACTTGGAATTTTAGTGGACCCCCGATTGGCCCAATCGTCTTAAAGGGGCTAGGCAGGGGGGAATATTCTCGGCATGTAGGAAGGAGATATGCTCACTGGACCCCATAACGGGGCACTGGATACTGGTCAACAGCAAGGGAGGTACCTGAACCCGCCAATTTTTACCAGTAGTTTCAGGTACCTCGCCTTCGGTTGAACAAGGCTCGCACAACTAGGCTTAATTGGTGTTTAGCGGGTCGCTGTGGTATGAAGGTCGCCGTCAGGAGTCAAATACAGTAGTTGGCATGATGTAAAGCTGAGGTTGTTACATTAATCTAACTTCAATGCGTAAAGTTGCCGCTGAGATGATCAGAGGTGCTTCTGCTGAGTATAGAAATTCATTCTTCGATTGTCAGGAGACAATGGCTACACGGCAAAGTCTAATTGAATGTCCCTACACAAGGAGCTAGGGGCCCATGATGTGACCTTTGATCGCAGCATAGGCGGATATAGTTATGCAGCCCATGTGACCTGGTTTTTCTTCCCAGTGTGAATTTTGAGAACGCGGATTGAATGACTGTTTCTCATTTGAGATGGACGTTGCCTACTCATGTGTGCTCACTCAGATCTGGGTGTTTGAGAAAGGTCTAATCCTCTCCATCGAACATGAACCAGCTTAACTGACGATCTCCGCCAGACCGTAGGTGTTCGACGGCGTCAAGTTCCCAGGATTCCCGGTCGTCGAACCGTGGAAAGCATAAGAAGCAAAATTCCTGAAAAAAGGCTTTCTGCTTTCGAACGGGTCTTGTAAGATGTTGCTGGGTTGTGCCTATTGTCTAATTAAGCAGTGTCAGAGAGGTACGATAAAGGACCGGTGTAGTAGACTCACTGTGAGGATCGTGATAATAGACCACCTTTATCCTCGACGGATCTGAGGATCGGGCGATGCGTAAGCCGGTAGGGTGTTGGTTTCAAACCCTGTAGGAGCTGATGTGATGTGAGTGAGAGAGGAATGCAAAAACAAAATATTGAATGTGGTTGCACAAGCAGGACAAAGCCTCGCTCGCAACGAGAGCAAATGCACAGCAGAACGCCCGAGACCGAACCAGTATCACTAGGATTTGGTTCAGGGTCGAAGATTCAGTGGAGAAGACCTGTTGCGATCATCCAAGATTTATATACCTTTGAACAAGGTGGCATTGTTTTCCCAGCGACAGTGTGACGGACGCTACTAGTACTAGTATGCATACCAATCAAGGGGCGGTGGATTCTTCTGCCTCCGAGTACCTGCAAAATCCTCAACTCAAGTCGAAACTTTGGCCTTTTCTTCTATGTCACAAGAGTCCAAATGTATTGCGCATGCTAACAGATTCCAATTTGTCGATAGCCTCGGGCCCTTTGTTGGAAGGGAAGCAGCTTGAAAATCTGGCCGAACTGGCAATGCTTCACAAATCTTGAATCCGGTGCAAAACACATTGCTAATAGTTCGGTTCAAGGCGCGATGATTTGCGGCGGACTGCCAAAGACCGTGATACGAAGTTCCACGGTCCTGGACAACAGGGCGGAACGGAGCTCTTTTCCATCGAGTATCATTTGCACAATCGGCGGTGATTCGGATTCAAGGAAGGTTCAGTCAGGCCTCAGGATCGGTGCCGAACTCGCGTATGAAAGGACCAAAAGCTTTCTGGGAAAGGAAGCAGAAGTAAGATTTTCGCTGTATCCATGGGTCGGCTCGAACTCTAACTCCGTTGCCATGCCATTTTCCTCATAAGCCCCAAGTTGCTGATGATGGCACACAGCAGGAGCAGTGGAGATCCAATATCAACTGGCCGCTCATAAAACTCCCCTGTGAATAGCTCGTACAAGCCGGCCCTATTTTATCATGGTTTGGGGACGTGTAAAGTCTTGCTCACCATCAAACAGCCATTCACAAAAAATATGACCGCAATGGGATGAAACTCGAACAAAGACCCGGCCAAAATAGTCCCGAAAGGCAAAGAATCGTGAATCAAACCCATAAAAGTCCATGTAGCCATGATCCCCGAGCTTGTCAGACAAGCGAACGGCACGGGGGTGCCTTCGAAATACTTCGACTTTCCGGTTTTATCCTTTGGAAGCATGGCGACCGTTACGTTGAACCGTGCTAATCGGGTCAAGCTGCAAAGCACGTAGAAGCTCAGGATCATCTGGTCAACATTGGTGCGGAATCCGATGGCAAATCCTACCACCGCGGGTGCCAATCCAAAGGAAATCTGAGGAACATTTCGTTAGATCTCGTCCATCTGCCGACGGGTGTATGGTTGTGTGCGTACCAGGTCTGCCAACGAATCTAATTCTTGTCCCATTAATGACGACTTCTTTCTCCATCGTGCCACTTTGCCATCAAAAAAGTCAAAAAACAACCCAAACGGCATATACGCGAACGCTAGCCACAAGTTTGTGAAGTCGGATGGGTCGGCCAAGCAATATCGTATCGAAGACAGAATGGACATGACTAGCATAAAAGAGGATCAGCGGTTGGTCCAAAGGCAAAATGCATTATACGTACAGCCACAGAATCCTATCATTGAATTAGCATATTCTGTCAACGAAGCATCCTCGGGGCTCACCATTCATTTCCGTGATCAAGTCCGCCAAATGTAGAGCTCTGGCCTCCAATTAGCGGTGGAAGATTTGTCTGAAGCATGGTGGACCCTACTTTATCAAACTGAAGTGGCCAGTGTCTTGAGCCAATAGCATAGCTTGCTTCTTTTGCCCATTGTCTGGAGGTGCGGTGGAAGATTCTCTTTGATCGGCATTGTTCGTACCTGATCTTCGAGACATGGTTGTGGTGAAGGTCAAAGAAAATGGGACAGGGGAGCTGCCAGAGATGAAATGGTCTGATTCAGAGGAAAGAGACCTGAGAATAGAAAAATCAGGCAATAATAGAGAAGTAGATAAAAAGGATCGACCGAAGTAACAAAAACATTTTGGAGAAACAAGGCGCAGCCACGTCGAACCAACCTCGACTGGTGGAGGCGGACGACTCATGAGCCACTCTTGTGTCGTCATCACGCAGTTCGCCCGTCGCAGGAAAATGAGTGACCCAAAAAGCCAGTCACGTGCCAGGAACAAAGAAAAAATGGAAAAGACCTTGGAATCGCTGCGAAAGAAACTTGGTCCTGCTTTCTGATTCATGCACAACCAAGACTTGTCTGTCCTAATGGAGTTGTCTTCCCAGTCCATTGTAAGGGGTATTTCCTTGAACGCCCAAGTCATGCTGTAAAAGACATTCAACAAAGCACACAGCGGGATCAGGACCTGCCGCCACCTCTTGTTCCAAAGCCACTGCCTCTCGGACCTCCTTGTCCGGCAGAGAAACTTCTCCCACGCCCTCCTCCTCTAGGAGCACCTCGAGCACCACCACCAAAAGATCCTCTGCCTCTGGGAGCTCCTCTTCCAAGTGCCCCTCGTCCTCTAGGAGCACCTCGTCCACCTCTGGCACTACCACGAGCACCCGCTGGTTTCTTGGCTTTGGCTGCACCTGCGAAAATTGTCAAACCGTTGCCTGTCTGTCCACCAAGATGGCGACTTACCTGGAGGTGGTTTGGGCTTGGGCAAAAACCTGTCAACTCCCTTAGCATCATATTCTCCCCTCGGTTTTGGTGACTCGACTCACTTCTCTAGCGGTAGCAGTTTGTCTCCTCCAATGTAGAATTTGTCCCCCTTCTTGAAAGATGTAGCTTGAATGCCTTCTTGTGGTTTGATTGTGAAGTAAACTTGATTTATGGGTCCTAGAATTTCATCCACTTTGCCTATCGTACTCTGCTTCTGTCAGAAAGGAGCGCAAAGGGGCCCGGGCAACATTTCGTACCTTGTTCTCGAGATATATCGGCGCATTGAAGAAGGGAATCTTGGGGTTAAGGGACTGGCAGACCATTTCTCCTTCGGACGCGTGCATGAATTCGCCCATTTCTGATCAAAAAGTGAGTTTCACAGATTCGCCATCGACATCTTCCAACTCACCAAGCACCTGTGCGGGTGGGCCGAAGCTCTGTTGCTGAAAACCTCCTCGCCCTGCATAACCCACCCTGGTCAGTTCAAGGGAAATTGTCGTGCGCGGAGGCTTGATTTTACCTCCGCCTCTTCCACCGAACGATCCTCTTCCTCTATCACCACCTCGAAATCCACCACGACCGCGCGAATCGCCTCGAAACGCCATTCTTGTTTGTTGTGGAGCGGAAGTGGTGGTACGAAAAGAGCTTGTCTGGGGCAATAAATTTCATACTAGTTTCCTCCATGTTCAAAGCTGCATGCGGATGCGGGCAGAATTTCAGAAAACACGTGATTGACACCTCAACCCGACACCGTACCCCCAGTGCGATATTCCCAAACCATTACTCAACCACTCTATCGAGGAATTTGATCATGAGCCACCAGAAGAAAGTCAGTCTCAATCCTCATGATCTGTGGGGAGTGCTGAAAGGCGGCGACGTGAGTCAGAACGGCACACCTGGCCCTGAGTCATCCACCCCTGGGTCCCATAATATATCAAAAAGACCAGTCAGCCCAACGTCCAAGAAGACGGTCGCTAGCAGACCCAAAGACATGTCTACCCAAGCAGCGCCAAAGGCCCGTCAGCCGCCTAAGTCGCTGCCGGATTTCATCTTGGAAAGAAATGAATTCTTCGACCAACTGAAGAAGCAGCATGATGAAGAACTGGCCGGCAGGGACAAACCTGCAATTCAAATCCAACTCACCACTGCTCCTGGTCAGGAAACCACGGTCCCGGGTAAAGCCTGGGAGACTACACCAGGTCACTTGTTGAAAAATGTCCCCAAAGAACGGGCAGGGCAGATCGTGGTCGCCAAAGTCGACGATCAGCTGTGGGATTTGGATCGACCGCTCGAAAAAGATGGCAACGTGTCCTATTTGACATTCGACGACCCAGAGGGCCGAGATGTCTTCTGGCACTCCTCAGCTCACGTCCTTGGTGAATGTGCAGAACACGAGTATGGCTGCCGACTGTCCCACGGTCCCCCCACCGCAATGGGTTTCTTCTACGACATGGCGCTGGAACCCGGTCAAGCCGTCAAAGAAGCAGAATGGCCATCTCTTGAAAGTCGGGCGAAGAAATATACCAAGGACAAGCAACCGTTTGAACGCCTCGAAGTGTCCAAAGAGAATCTGCGCAAGATGTTTGGCTACAGCAAGTACAAGATGCACTACATTGAGAAATTCGTCCCCAATGGCGCATCCTCCACAGTCTACCGCAACGGCACACTGGTCGATCTCTGCCAGGGCCCGCACCTCCAGAACACGCGCAAAATTGAATCCTTCAAGATCATGAAGAACAGCTCTGCGTATTTCTTGGGTGACCAAAACAATGATTCTCTGCAACGCATTCACGGTGTGGCATTCCCTACCAAGCAACAACTTAAAGATTGGGAGAATTTTTTGGAGGAGGCCAAGAGGCGCGATCACCAAGTCATCGGCCAGCAGCAGAAACTGTTCATGTTCAGCAGATTGTCGCCGGGTTCGCCGTTCCTTCTGCCCCATGGAACCCGGATTTTCAACGCTCTCCAGCAGATGCTGCGCGAGCAGTATTGGGAACGTGGATACCAAGAAGTCCAATCGCCCAACATGTACGCCGTTGATTTGTGGAAGACCTCGGGCCACTGGCAGCACTATCAGGATGACATGTTCCGAGTCCAGGTGAAAGACGACTCAGCGGAGCCGATACCTTTGACCGACCAGAAACCCGACAGCAAGCCTGTCGCCGAGATCAAGGATAAGGATAAAGGCGTCTTTGCGTTGAAACCAATGAACTGTCCGGGCCACTGCCTCATGTTCCGTGATGAGGAGCGTTCGTACCGTGAACTCCCCTGGCGAGTGGCCGACTTTGGCGTGTTGCACCGCAACGAAGCATCCGGCGCTCTGTCTGGCTTGACTCGTGTGCGCAAGTTCCAGCAAGACGATACACACATTTTCTGCACGAACGAGCAGGTTCAGTCTGAAATCGAAGGACTGTTTGACTTCATGGAACACGTCTACGGTCTCTTTGGATTCCCCTTCAAGTTGAAATTCTCCACCAGGCCCGAGGGCTACATGGGCACGTTGGAGGAGTGGAATACAGCAGAAACACAACTGAAGCAAGCGCTCCAGAACTTCCGTGGTGATGACTGGGAGATGAACGAAGGTGATGGCGCGTTCTACGGTCCTAAAATCGACATCACCATCTCTGACGCCTTGATGCGTGAGTACCAGTGCGCCACGATCCAACTTGACTTCCAGGGCCCGCAGAACTTCAAACTGGAATACCGCACCGGCGAGAGCGGCGAGGCGATTCACAACACCGAGCGCGATGCCAAGGGTGTTGCCCCTGGAATGGCTCGACCAGTGATGATTCACCGCGCAATTATCGGATCATTTGAACGTTTTATTGCCATTCTGTGTGAGCATTTCGCAGGAAAATGGCCCTTCTGGCTGTCTCCGCGCCAGATTTTGGTGATTCCCGTCATGAAGGCCGCCGAGGACTACGTGCGTGAGATCCAGCAAATATTCCACAAGGCCAGAATGTACATCGACATCGACGTTAGTGGGAACACCCTGCAGAAGAAGATCCGGTCCGGCCAATTGGCTCAGTACAACTTCATTTTCGGTAAGCCCAAAAAAAAAGGGGCAACCTCTTATACTGCCCACGTCCAATAGACAGACCAAGGCTAACAAGCACTGTTTCAGTTGTCGGCGCCAAAGAACAAGAGACCCGTACCGTCAACATCCGCAACCGCGACGATCCATCAACACAGAAAATGGGCGAACTGATCCCGCTGCAAAAGGCGCTTGAGCGGCTCGTCGCACTGCGCGACGAGAGAAGACTCGAAAACAAGATCGACATGTCAGACTAAAGCGATGGTCTTCAAAGAGAGCTGTGATATCATCTTGAACAACTCTTCGGACCTTTGGTTTCTGGCAATTTGTCTTCGATTACCAGTTCGTCCACGCGAACAAATGAGAGCATTGTTTCTTTTTCACTCAGCGCCCCAGAGTTAGAAAGGAAGAGAGACCCCGGTGGAGGTCGTGAAGCGGGAGGAGTGGCAGGGATACATAGATGAAAACGCCTGACTTGTTGAGAGTAGATTTTCAGTATCACCCTCCTCTCCGGTATGTCAGTTTTGGGGCCTTGTTCGAACACCCAGCAAATTCATGGAATTGTGTACTTTCAAACCATCATGGACAATCATTGACGGGAACGAGTCAAAAGCGTAGATTGAAACGCATCGGCCCCCTTTTTTAAGCTGCTAAGCATTGTTGATGTTTACAATGTCCCAAGTTAGACTTCCGAGAGAAAAGATTCCCAAGAGCCAAAAAAAGAAATCATGGACACAGACCTATGCCGTCTGCTCAGGAGTCTCCCCTTCCGCGACCACTGGCACAGGAAGACCGCGACTGGGACTCTGCAAAACCAGAGCCTCATGCCGCCTGGCGCGCAAAAAGTCGGAAACTGCTCTGATGAGAATAAACCAACCAATAATCATCAAAACATAAGAAATCCAATCGGCGCTCGTAAATCCACTAATCCCCTTACTTCCCTGAGATTGATCGCCGGAACCATCAACGGCATTGGGGTCGAAACTGTGGCTATTGGGGTCCGGTGGGGACGAATTCGAAAATTGACTCGGGTTCCCAGTATCTTGGGTTCCATCGCCCGATCCACTCATATAGAAGCCGTACTGAACAAGAGTCAGGCCCAATCCAGCTCGACTGCCATGTTTTGCTGCGTGTGTCGTGTGAAGAAGGTAGGTAAGGAGAAAACCAACGAGTTGGAATGACATGGATATCATGCCGTTCCAAACAAAGGAAAAGACTGAGCCAACGGGAAGGCCATCGACATAAACTTCATCGGATGACATGCCCGGGGCGAGAATGGTGGTTTCCCAATAGGGAGGAGTAGCATCGGCGGCAGCTTGTTCGTAAGTCTGAAGATGAATTAGTCTACTGTGCTGATATATGTGGGTTATGGTATCACCTACAGGAGGCTTTTCGTCGAGTTGTTCACCCCGTTCAGGCTTCGCAGACAAATTTGCAAACACGCCATCGGTAGGTCTCGAAACAGATCCCGGCATTGGCCTGAAAGCGGGAAGTTCAGTCACCCTCCGCTCAATCGCGGGTGTTCGTTGGCCATCAGAAGTGGACGTAGAGGGAGAAGCAGCATCTTGTCTCATCGCTCCAGGGTCGGCTCTCATCAATCGTTGTCTATCGTCACCATCATTTTCGGCATCTGACTCCTCGCCATCATCAAAAGTATCTGCGAGGTCTTGATCCGCTTCGCTAGATAGGGGATCTTGGGCTAGTAAGCGGCGCGACGTGGGTGATGACGCTCGGGATCGGAAGGAGGGAGGAGGCGAGGAAGGGATGCCCTGGGAACGATCGGGGGAGAGAGGAGAGTCAACATCGTCGTCATGCGAGTTCACCTAGACAGAGTTAGTGATGATCAAGTTCTGATGGCCAATCGTGATGGGATTCATCAGCCTAATGATACTTACCGCTTCATATCTCTGAGGGGCCATTACGAGGCCGCGGCTGAAAGATACCACCCTTGGCGGTGAATTGTGTGGGAGTGAGAGATGAGAAATGCAATGATGTGAACGGAAAGATGAAAAGGTAGGTGATTATTAGGAAATCGGAAGCACACAAGGGACTGGAAGGGAGTGGAAGGACGTCGTTGATTTGGCCCAGACGCTGTGAGCATCAGAGTCAAACCAAACTCGGAGTCACGGCAGGCCACGCCACTCAGCTTCGGGGCGCTGTGGCCAAAAGTGGAATAGCCTGATGATTGAATCGTGGCGTCATTCCCTGGACAGAGCATGGGGGTCGAAAATAATCTTCCATACTCTTTGTACCTCTTACAACCATCATTCTGCCATCTTGAATCCTATCATCTACAGCATGTCAGCCAACCAGTCCGTAAGTTCCCGTCATCGTTCGCGATGTCATTTCACTCATCCCGATATCTAGATTGCCGTCAAGCACTGGGCACGCATCATTAAACGATGGCCTGTCGACCAGCTGCGTCCTGAGTACGTCTCGTTCCAAAAATGCATGCAGAATCGTCTACAGGATCCATCTTCCACGCCTGTCACACCGGAGGCAAAGCCCAATAAAACTGTCGGAACGACAGCAGGCGAATTTACATCTAGTCCAGAAAAAGACATACGACAGGTGAATGCCCTCTACGCTCTTCTAGAAGATCGATTCGCCAAAGAATATCCCACTCCAAACGCCCTACGTCATCCTAAGGCTACCCCTACTCACTATGATGATTTGGCGAAAGAGATGGAAGCAGCTTCAACTCGAAGCTGGGCTGGGCAACTTTGGAACAGACTGAAGGGTGTTATCCGTTGGGGATAAGATACGCCGTGTGTGATCGCAGTATGCACACTCCCAGGAACGAAAAGATTGATACGTACCTTATCGAGATACATGCTAGTCCGGGAGCGGACACCCGTGATTCCCCACGAAGCGATGAAGACACTACATGTTTGCAGATCCCCATAATTGGGAAAGGTGCTGAACACACCCCGTGCGCGAGACGTGTGTATACCGCAGGTATTTGGATTATCGGCCCATTCTGGATTGGCGATCGAGTGCTTAGGTATTCTCAACACCTTCGAAATCCCTAGTCAGTGTTCAGGACGACGGGAGGATGAATATATTCTGATTGGTGGTGGAAATGAGACGAGGAGAGCTGGCATTCATTCTACTAAACGAAAGAACCTCAACGAGCTGTCAAATCCATCTGATCTTTACCAAATTGGTCGGTGGTGTTGTGGAAATCACTGAAATGGTTGCGGGCGTGATGCACGGTTCTGCAATACGCTGGAGCAAACCTGGGCAACTCGGTGGAAATCGGAGTGATGGTTGGTGGTACAGATAGATTCTGAAGCGATCAATGAGTTCTTCTGGCAGCTCAAAAAGACTCCTGGCTTTGGGTGCGATGTTCAATCTATGGCGAATACCGTTCAATGTCGGAGAACCCAGAAACATTTTCCCCCGCAAACATTTCAACCGCGGCTCAGTGATGTCCATATTACTGTACATAATTTCGTCCGCTCTCATCCTCCTACCCTTTTATTCTATCCTGTTTCTATAGAACCGTCAACCTTGTCCGGAGTTCTTCCTCTCTACAACCATGTCCAAAACCACCCCTAATCCCGTCGCCTATACCTATGGACCGCCCCGTACCGGCTTCGGAGTACACTTCATCCCAAATCCGGAACCCATCTCCGACGCAACATATCACATAGCCGGTATCCTAGTAACGGTCTTCGGGCTCAACGAACTGCTCCCTTCCACAAGCGATGTCGCAGTCCTCTGGCTCTTACACCCACGGCTGCAGACACAAGCATGCATGGCACCGTTCGCTGCCCACCTAGTCACAGAGTGGAACCGATATCAAATTCGCAGAAACCCGAAGACGAGGAAAGGTCTGATTGCTGTCTCCTTTGATCAGCGTAACCACGGAACCCGCCAAGTCAGCGCGATCGCCAACGAGGCCTGGCGTAGCGGCAATGAGCACCACGCCCAGGACATGTTCAGCTGCTACGCGGGCTCGGCGCTCGACACGTCGCTGCTTCTGGACTACTTGGCAGGATACGTCTTCCCGTCAAACGAGCGGCGCATTGTGCAAAACCTCGTCTTGGGCATCAGCCTCGGCGGGCACGCGGCCTGGCACTGTGTGATGCACGACCCGCGCATCAGTGCCGCAATCGTGACTATTGGATGCCCGGACTACGCTCGCCTGATGACCGATCGCGCCAGGCTGAGCAAGCGTAAGACCTGGACGGAGACACAGGGCAGAGACTTCTTGGGCTCGCCTGACTTCCCGGCCAACTTAGTCGAGGCGGTCCGCAAGTCCGATCCGGCCGGTCTGTTATGGTCAGGCGGTGGACTGAATCAGCAAGCGGGCCAGGAATACTTACACGACGACATGACGGCCGAGGAGAAGGAAAGACTCATGTCTCTCATGACACGATGTCTGGGGAACAAGCGCATCCTACATCTCTCGGGCGGGAGTGATAAGTTAGTCAGCTATGCGCACAGCAAGCCATTTTTGGATTGGCTGAAAAAGGCGGTCGGTAAGGGCGGCTGGTTCGACGGTAATGGCCTGTATTTGGAAGATATTGTGTATCCTGGCGTAGGGCATGAGGTACCATCGATGATGGTGGATGCGATGGTGAAATTTGTGAATGAAACGCTCGAGAATGAACAGGAGATGAGGCAAGGGAAATTGGGGAGCAAAATATGACCACAACACCAGCGGGGCAAGAAGCAATAGACATCCAAAAAAAAAAAAAAAAAAAAAAAAAAATCATGGACACTGTAATTTGAAACATCATATCGGTAGGACGTAGAAATCTATGCGGGAAGTTTCGTTTGGTCCTTTGATCATGATTGATTTCATCGAGGTGGTGATGCTAGACTCTTGCTGTGTCAACTGAGCCATTGGGCAGAACTCTGGCTCTCTACCGCTGTCGATGCAGTAGGTTCAGCGAAGGAACACACCCAGCAATCCTTGCCAAAATTGCCTGATTTTTCCACCAGCATATCGACATGATTGTATCTGTATGCAAAACAAACCCACTTGATCGAGACATGATCACTGGGGGAAAAAAAAACCGACGTTGACAACAGAAACCATCACGTTGATGAAGATTGAGGGAAATCCGCTTCTCGGCCCTCGCAAGGAGCACCCTATGCTTCTCATTTGATTCCATCAGCCGCGTCTCCGTGTTTGGGATTTAACGATTGTATCTCGCCAAAGTCTCCATAATATTTTGTACATTTTGTTGTGGTTGTTGCCCAGTTCCATATGCTGGAGCGTTACCATAACTTGGTGGTTGTTGAGAAGGAGGCGATTGTTGAGGAAATTGCCCAGCTTGACTCTGTTGACGAGCTACATTGCTGAGAATGCCCGCAAGATCAGGCGCAGGTTTCTCGCTTGTAGTTGACGTACTATTCTGTGACTCTCCAGGCTGCCGAAGGTTCGCCAGTAGCTGCTGTAGATTCGGAGCGGACGAATTGGGAGTTAAAGGCGTCTGCACCTGGCTGTGATATTGAGATTGTTGGCTGTACCGGAATTGATTGTGCTGTGGCTGTGGGAAATTTGGAGGCAATTGGGGTGCGAATTGAGGAGCCGGGTGATGGCCAAACGGTGTCTGTGGGTATCCCTGTGGTGGAAAGCCTTGAGGACTGAGCTGCACAGTTCCTCGTTCTTTTTGTCGGGCATGAAGGACAATGTCCGCCGCGACCGGGATATCAAGGTCGACATATTCGTTGAAATTGACGTTCGAAGCTCCTGTGCTTCGGTCGAAAACTTGGAGAGGAATCTTGCTGTTGAATTGAGCACTTTGAGTCAATTTGACCACTGCTTGGACACCTTCAATAATCTGCCTTTTCACGACGGCACTAAGAGGGAGTCGAGGGCTGAGCCAGATGGTCGAAGCCCGCAACCCTTTAGAACGGAAACCTTGCTCGATCCAATTGATAAAGCTTCGTGCAACTGAAGGGTCGATAATGAGGAGCTGTACGTCCGGAACATCCGCTGGTTCTCTTCGCGGCAGAGGCAACAAAGCCTCTTCGTCATATCCGGGAAGATTTGCCGGTGGGAAATTGCTTGAATACGGGGACCTGGGTCTTCCATCAGAGCCAAATTGTGGGCTTTGACCAATTTGGCGATAATCGTCTCTGGTGCGATAACTTCGAGGCGAAGGCGAACGTCTAGGGCGATAGTCGTCACGCCTATTGGGTTGGTCTCGGAAGTCACTAAAGTTTGAGCGACCATATCGGTCATTCTGGCGTGTGACTCCACGATCCGGAGAGCGAGATCGACGTCTTTTGTTGCCTTGGCCCTGACTTCTTGTGTTCTTCTGAGGCTTAGAAATCTCCAAATCTGTTCGAGTCAGTCGTGATCCGTCTGCAGGTCGATAACAACTCACGAATTTTCCTTCCTCGAATTTCGACACCTTGTTCTGCGTGAAGCGCAGCTTGGCACGACGATGCTTCCAAGTATTGGACAAAACCATACGCTTGTTTTATTGATATTTGAGCCAATCGGCCATGTTTGTGGAATGTATGGAAGAGATCACGCTTTGTAACTTTCTCCGATGGCAGATTACCGACAAAAAGCCGAGAACCTTGAGGAAATTTATCCCATATCCCTTCCGTAACATACCGTCGTTCATCCTCGAGAAATCGATCATACAGGGCTTGAGTCGTCGGAGTCCACGGACGTTCGTTCAGATCGGTTGATATCGACGATTCGGATGATTGAAGAAGATTGCTGGCGGAAGAAGGTTCAGCGTTTCTGGGCAATACTTGGCTGGCGGTCTGATCCCAGGTGCCCGGGGCTTGGGTAAGGATGCCTTGAATGGCAGGTTGGGACGTAGTTGTCTCTGTACCGTTGAGTTTGGAAGCATCGTGGTTCACTGTTTGGTACTGTTCTCGAGGGTCGCTTCTGGAGTTAGAATATGTGTAATAAGTGGGAGATTCTGGAGGATTCGCCTGCGCCGGTGGCTTGGGGGGTAAACCGGGAATTGGAGGAAATGGATTGGATCCTTGGTCGACTAGCGATGCAGCAGCAGTTGGGGCAGAAACAGGATCTGCAGCAGGGGCAGTAGAGGTAGATCGAGAAATGGTGTCCAGAAGTGACTGATAATCTACTCCACCTTTTGCTGACCGAGGGTTGGGCTTCACGGTAGACTCTGGCTCAAATGTGCTCTCAGCAGTAGTTGGAAGGCTAGAATTTCCATTGCTAACATTGGCATTGGACTCAGTGATCGACGAAGTTTCATTGCCTGTCTGCGCTGCAGTTTGGGCCTGGTTGGAGACATCTTGGGATGTGTGTGCATTTGGCTCAGACGATTGCGGAAATGTGGAAGTACTTGCAAGGGCTGGAAGAAGCGTAGACTCGATAGAAGTACCACTCTGGGTAGTCTGGCCATTTGTATCTGGGAACTGAGCATCATTCTCGAAACGGGCATTTTCTTCCTCGGCGCCTCGTAAGAAGTTTTGAACGGCGTCTTGTTCGTCAGAATTGGGTTCATTCATAGCGCGGGCAGAGTCTGAGTAAGGAGAAAAGGTTTGATTATGAGGAATGTTATAGGTGGCGGTGTCATTGAAGACTGGGTCCATTTGATTCAGCAAGACGGGAATGGTTGAAGGCTCGGGTATATGGACAGGTCGAGGGCTTTCGGGCGTCTGCGATCTACCAAAGCGTTGCGCTTCTGGCGGAGGGCTTGTATCAGTCATTTTGAGGCGGTGCAATTCATGAAGGGCGACGCAAAGGGCGAATGTGTCTCTCAGGCTGGCGACGCAGGGAAAAAAGGCTGAAGGAAAACTGAACAGGTCAAGGGAAGTTCCAGTGACAACAGTGCATCAACAGGAGAGAAGAATCGATAAGAAATAGGAGCCCCAGGTTTTTAAGAATGATGAATTGGATAGTGAGAAGAAATGCGATGTGATTGTTTGTTAGTCGGGAAAGGCGCAGGCGCAAGATCGAACTGGAGGGGGAATTTCGATGGCGAGGACGGGGCATCATGGTCGGTTCGGCAAACCTGCTCTGTGGACATGGAGCATATTCTTCGGCTAATCCACCGGAACAAGAACTTGTCTGTACAATTCCAGAACGGAGGATAAGGGAGATTGATAACTTCCTGTATCTCGCAAAGTCTTACCGATTTGCATGTTCAGACAAAATAGCAAAGTGTCGCTCATGTTTTCATGGATCAGAAAACCACCAAAAGTTCGCACTTGGTCTCATTCACGCCGAGGAACCCAACTGCCGCTCGGCTTGACTACCACCAAATTTTACTCCTCAAAGGTTGAGCTGCCCGAATATGACTACGCAGCAGCGAGGGATTGGTTTAAGAATTTCGATGCCCTGAAGGCTCTGCATGATATTGGCGAGGTTACTTACAGCCGTTCCAGTGGTCCCGGTGGCCAGAATGTCAACAAGTATGACAATGTTTTACAATTACTAGCTGACCTTATCTCATTCGTTCCAGAGTCAACTCAAAAGCGCAGTTACGTGTTCCTGTCGATCGTCTCCTTCCACTGATTCCTACCGTCTTGCACAAAGGTATTCTCTCCTCACGGTACTATGCGGAGAACTCGTCCAGTCTGGTGATTCAGGCAGATGACAGTCGAAAACAGCAGGCCAATAAAGATACATGCTTCCGCAAGCTCAACGAGCTGATTGTTGATGTTTATAAGCACGCTGTACCAGGAGAAACAAGTGAAGAACAAAAAGAGAAGGTCAGGAGGCTCCAAAAGGCGGAGAACGAAGCAAGATTGAAGAGTAAAAAGATTCATTCAAGCAAAAAGCAGAGAAGGTCGAAGAACGATCTGGACTGACGAGGCCATGCGGAATAAGTTGACGTTTCATTTATGCCGACGAAGGACTGTCTAATGACCTCAAGACTGATTGTCCCACCTTCTGAATTCCTGGGTCCGAATCTGGGTTCTGTACCAGTCTCCGCAACCAGCTTCTTGCCCATGAAAGTATCTCGGGATCATTTGTCTTCACGCGTGCCTCTTTGAGGTGTACTAGTGCCTGTCTGAAGGCCGGAGGAAAAGCCGGAGAAGAGGGCGCCAATGAGACAAGTGGTAGTTGAATATGGCAAGCCTGGCTGCACCAACTCTGTGGATTATCTTCCATCAACTTTGCTTCCACATGTTTTAAAATCTGTCGACAAGCTGAAAGTTCGTCATACTCCAAGACCATGTTGAAGAAGTCGAATCCAAAAGTTGGGTCCCGGAATTGAACCATGGCCGCGTCAAATATTGCCATGGGGATAGCACTGCTCATTGCTGATGTTGATTCCAAGTTTTGCAAGGCTGATCTGTCGACCCCATTTCCTGCCAGGTCCGGGCTGATGTCCGTCGCAGTCAAGTTTGGTAGTCGCATGAGATTCTCGTCCTCGTCAGCCTTCTCTCCTTGGTCTGGCTTGCTATTCGTTATCCCCAGTATTTGTCGACGAGCATGGATCTTGGCAATATAGGTCATCTCCAGCCTTGCATATTCCAACCACATGGCTCTAGACCCTTTGCAAAATCTGAGGCCTCGCCGCATGTAACTTCTCGCTTCCGTCATGTCACCATTCTCCTCCATGGCAAATTGCGCGGCGTAAATCCAGAGGTCCGACTTTGTAGGATGTAGCCTGAGCACATTGGTGAACATTTCTTGGAGCTTCTTGTAAGCCTTCTGTTTCCTGGCAAATTCTATTGCCTGCATCCATAGACCGACATCTCCAGGATGTTTCCGTGTTCCACGGTCGAAAACGAAAAAGATGCGCCTCTTGCCATTATGAGTCGTCGACTTGATCCCCAATCTCTTGGCCCTCTTGCGCCTCAAAGCATCAAGATTAATTTCAAATTCTGCATATCGAGCATAGTCCGTTGGTGTGGAGCCTCTGGCGTTAATTTTGTGCTCCAAGTCGGAACGTTTGCGGACAATACTGCTGATTTCGTCGGGACTGAAGACATTCTTTCGCTCGAACTCTTTCAACTCCGGTACACACTGCTCAAGGAAGTAACGAGCCTTGTCACTTGCAGCCGCCATGGAGATCAATTGCAGGTTGCTTCGGTGCCAGACTTGAAAGCAGAACTTTTTTGCTCCCCACTTTTCGGGTTTGCTCCGATTGCTCCGCCCTACAAGCATCCCGGTTCGGCAAGTTGCCCAGGCTGCGGATCATCAGGGGGCCGTGTCAACTTTCCCTTGCGCAGCTCAGAAACATCCTCCTCAATATTAAACCAAAAACTTCTTGTCACTCTTTCTCCCCTTTTTTATCATGTTCTTCTGATCCCTGCTGGTCGCCTCATAATCGTTGATTCTGCGACATGGCCCCCAGAAAAGATGGCGACGTGGTGTTTTCTGTCTGTAATCTCCATCTACGTTGTCGTTGAAACTAACGTTTTGCTAGTTCAATGGAAAATATGTTTCTTGGGTTCATACCGTTGTCGCATATGCCGCTTTTATCGGAGCGTTGATCGTTGGAGTTTCCTTACATTACCATAAGATCGTACAAAATGAATACTACGGATACCCGGATGAATGGTTTCCCTCCGTGTCTAGCACCATTGGCGATCGATATCCTGAACGATCCGTCTTCATGGTCTTCATTGCCATAACCTCGGGCCCTCGATTCGCTCTCGTTGGGTTGTGGTATTTCCTTACTAGAAGACCCAATTCGAATCTACCAGATATCATCGCCGCTACGGGCCTGTTTAGAACACTTACATGCGGTGGATGGACATACGTGACGTCTACGGATGACCACGATTGGCATGATATTTTCATGATATCGTACCTGGTTGCTACCCTTCCCTGGACGATGGGATGTCTGGCATTGAGTCCTCCAAATGCTAAGGCCGTCAAATATCGTAAGATTTTGGCCGGTCTGTTCTTTGGTACACTGGTGCCGTTGCTTTACTTCTTTATCCAACATAAGGTCCATAGGGTAGCTGGCGGTAAGCCTTTCTGCTTCAGCGTCTAGCCAACACTGACTTGTCAAGCCTATACCACCTATTCCTTTTTCGAATGGTCACTAATTCTGTTCGATGTGGCTTTTGACGCGGTTACGGCACTTGATTTCGAAGCATTTGAAATTGTCGTGAAAGACGTGAAAGGGCTCAGTCGAGGGTACGTGCAGATGCTCCCGAGATACTCAAAAGTACGACCAGGTCGAACCATGGTTTGTTGAGTGACTGACATTGTTGTTAGTGACGCCAAACTTCTTAACGAATCGATAAAGGAGAAAGCGTACGTTAAACAGACTCGTCTCAATGGCTCTACTGACCTCGATCTAGGAGCGACAGTTCCCTCATCCAAACGTCTACTTTTGAAGGCCCTTACTATTGGCCCGCTGTGCTTGACGCCGCAGCAGATATCATCCACGGCTTCGCATTCTGGTCCATTCTTACTTCCCTTGGTGTCCTTGTCTGGTACTTCCCCTTGTGGCATATGGGCATCTCTGGCTATGAGGTCATGGTCATGTCCACTATCTCACCTTTGATGCTTGGTATTCCATTCCTCCGATCTCTGGCGATCAAAAATATCAGATGGGTCCACATGTCGTCTCTGGTGGGACTCCTTGCTTGGCTTGTGAAAGATCCAGCCAATCGGTTGTTCACCGTCGGATTTGCTGTCTGGATGGGATGTCTCGCTTGGACCGCAACCTGGTATGCGGAACGAAGAAACCCAGCACGGCTTCAAAGCAGAATCCTGGCTTGGAGTATTGGACTCATCCTTTCCTCCATCGCCAAATTCGCCAATCACACCAACAACCCTGTCTGGCCAATTTTGCACTCTGGTATCGGCGGTTGGAACAAGACCGGTTTGGTGATTGCCGTCATGGCCGTTTGGCGATCGACTCGCCCGGTTTCCACCAGTGGTGGAGATTACGTGCCACCGAACCATAAAAAGGGTTCAAGTCTTCTGGCCGGCCTTGGTCTTGGCGGTCTGTTTTTCGCCATGCACTCTTTGCTCTCAGACTCCAGCACCATGATCTTATGGGTCTGGGAAGGGTATCCTGTTCACGGACCGCTTGCAGTGCCGCACGGTGCTGTCACCATTATGGTGATGAGTGCAGGACTGTTCCTTGGAGTCGCTCGACCGGGATTTTTTGAATCCTGGACGGCATATGGCTTAGGAGCCGTCGGTGCAGCGTTGCTCACCTGCTATGGTAACTGGACCGGGTATTTCGGTGGGCTCATCCTGGCCTTCTATACCATGGGAGTCGCGCCAGTTTTGATCTCTTCGGCAGTTCAACACAACCCAGCACCCACCTTCGGGCTTGGTTTTTTCCTGTACAACGTTATGGTGTTGTTCCACGTCTGGGTTGTGGCCTATGCTTTTGTTCCAGGCGGGCCACTGGTGAGAGAACATACCGACTGGGTGATGATCACCACCATGCTTATGATGGGAGCTGGTGTTTTTTCCGCATTGACAACAAACTCAAGCTACCGGCCCAAAAGCCAGTCAAGTCCACGTGCTCGGAAACAGTCAGCCTACTATCTGCACCTTCTTCTGGCGCTGCAATTGCTGACAGCCTCGATTGCTTATCTTCGCTTCCCTACGAACGACTATGCACCCTACCATAAAGATGAGAAGTTGATCACGGCGGGAATTTGGACCATTCACTTTTCGCTTGACAATGATATGTGGTCGTCTGAACGAAGAATGCGTGATGCCATTAAGGAGCTAGAGCTCGATGTGGTTGGACTTCTTGAGTCAGACCTTCAACGAATCATCATGGGCAACCGGGACACGACTCAATTCCTGGCAGAGGATCTTGGAATGTACGTCGACTATGGCCCCGGCCCCAACAAGCACACCTGGGGATCAGCCCTCCTGTCCAAATTCCCTATTCTCAATTCTACTCACCACCTACTTCCGTCACCAGTCGGTGAACTGGCGCCGGCAATAGAGGCCACCTTGGACGTGTATGGGACCCAAGTTGACGTTTTTGTGTTCCACTCCGGGCAAGAAGAAGACCCCGAAGACCGACGACTTCAGTCAGAGTATTTGGCCCGGATTATGGGAGCTACTCCTCGACCGGCAATTCTGCTAAGCTATCTTGTGATCAAACCGAATGAAGGAAATTACAACACCTATGTGAGTGAGCTTAGTGGCATGCATGACATTGACGTTCGAGATTGGGATCGCTGGTGTGAATACATCTTATACAAGGATATCAAGCGAGTGGGATATGCTCGAGTGAGCAGGGGTACTATTACAGACACTGAGATCCAAGTCAGTATCCGGCAAAGACCTTTACAGATATGGACTAACATGGTGCAGGTCGGCAAATTCGTCGTGGGAGAACCAGTATCGTACTCGGACGAGAGAATCCCAGAGGAACAGGTTCCACCGGGACGAAGGTTCCCCGCGCTATTCCGTGGTGAAGGTGTCCGTGGGCATCGATACCATGTGTTTGATGAGCCGTGGTATTATGCTTAGAGATGTGAGAGAAGTCGGGATGAGGATCTGGCCATTGTGAGCTTGTTGGAACAACGGTGGAGAGATTTTGAGCAACAATGGAAATGCTCCGAGCTGCAGTAAAAGAAAATTTATGTACAGCACCACGTTTCCACGATAATGGGGAGCGGACTCGGCGACGAGAGGAGTTCGCTTGACCGTGAACGCTCCCCGCATTTATAGATTCCTCGTATACGCCCGTTTACGGAAGAGGTCCAAAACAAGGTCCAACGCTCAGACCGGTCCTGGACGCACAGGGTGAGCGGCGAGCTTTCTCATAATGGAGCTCACCAAGTCCCAACACACCATTCGATGAGTGCCATTTGTCTGACCAGACGCCCGACCCCGCTGACGTTCTGCATCGAACTTCCGTAAAGTTCTATCCCACTCAGTCAGGACCCATGCATGCTGGCATTGTTCAACCGATTGCAACATCCTCTCCTCAACGCCGTCTATGATTGCTGTTGTCGCCAATTGACAGCGTTGTTACCTATTCATAGGTAGTCTAACGGTACGACATTCCAACAGATGATTCCCGAGTCTACGACAGACACCAAAACTGATTATCGTCCGAATTGAGCCAGATGCCAATTGCAGGTCCTGGCGGGGGGGTCATGTCTCGGTTAGAGTTTTCTCCTTGAGATGCGTCAACACCGGCCAGACAAAGATGCTGCAACTTTTGGATCTGAAGAGCGTTCCGTCCTCACAGCACGCTGAAAACAGAAGGTATTTTCTCCCAAGGACTCTTGAGGAGAGTATTGGCTGGGAGATCTAAAGAGACGCGACAACAGAATTTTGCCGCGGTTCTGTCGAGTGACATAAGACGACCTAAGCCCGCGTGAAGCCTTTTCTCGGTACATGACTGCTGCGTTCTTTGCCGCCGGTGCCTGATTCTTCCTCTGTCATCTGCCAATCGTCTTCAGGACCCTTCTTCTTTGTGACGTTTGGCAATAATTTGTAATGGAGTTTGCCATGCAGACAGTCTCGTCTTCAAACTTGGTGGTTGTTCGGCCGTTGAGAGCGGGGACGAGAGCCGTGAATGAACAGCCCGCGTTGAGAGCACACTTCTCTTCATTGAAGACGGGTATGATCTGAACCCCTGAACCAATCCGAGTTCAGAACTGAGAATCAGCCTCCATGAAATAAGCGATTGAAATACTCTGGTCACAAGAGTGTGGTCCGAATCGCTCAGCCAATAATAAAAGTTAACGGTGGCGGTCTTATCCTTATCACGAAGATGGATTGCGGGGAAGGTTAGACCGCGCAGTCTCGGAAAGACTTGAACGTCATCAAAGCTATGACTCAAACTTGATTGAAACGTGACTCAGTCAACCGTTCCATACACAAACCTCTCTTCCGCTGCCTCCGTTTGTACCCGCCAATAATAGATGCATAGCTGCCTGCCTACTCAGGTGTAGCCACCGAGTACAAAGAACGCTGCTCCAACCCCAGAACTTCCCCCATCATTCCTTTTGTTTCCCATTCCTGCAGGTCAGTAATTCCAGCAGACCATTGAATTTCCTTTGCGGTTACGGTTACGGAGCTGGTGACGGCGTTCTTCAATCCTTCGTCTCCTAACAAGTTATCATAATGGCTGATTCATCTGCTCCACCTCCTCCCGGTTCGAGGGCAATCAAGATCCCCGTGCACGTCAACAAGATGTCCGAATATTCAACGCCTAACTCACTCCGACGTAGCGAACGCTATCTCAAGAATGCCGAACGAGCCGAAGTATCAGATGCTGGTCCATCCTCGCTAGGCTCTGACCAAGAATCTCCCTGGTCCTACAGCCCTGTTCCAGGCCGGCCGCAAGATCGCCTGCAGACTGTAGCTTCTCCATCGACACAAGACCGCCAGTTCCCGGCAGCATCGAACCCGGCAGATGAATCAAATACGTCCCAACGAAAAGACAAGCACAAAGCTGGCTTCCCTCCTCCTGACAGCATGTCTACGCTATTCAGCCCCTCCTCGTCTCCGCTCGGTCCTTGCATGCTATCTTCAAGCTCCTACAAGTCTATCAACCTCAACTCACATCACGATGACCCCGATGAACCTCCCAGGTTGATCACATACACCAAACACAGTCAAGGGTTTACGTGGAATGATGAGCTATTCCTCCCGAGCTACATGCTGGGACGGTATGGACCGCGGGGAAGAAAGAAGCAATATGATGGAGACTTCGGAGATGAGGACCAATGTCCTGTGGCAGAGATCTTTGTGACTGATGAGGAGGCCGAGGCTATGATGCCATGAGCACACTGTCCTCTGATATGTTAATTGAAGCGGAGTTGCAATTGGAGGATGTCGGGTTTGAACCAACATTAAACTCTTCAGCAGGCGGTTGATCTCAATAGTAAGCGGTCGTTGCCTGGGAATTTCAAGGTCATTCTTTTGGGATGTGGACGTGTGAGTGGTTGGAGTATCGGGAAATGGTCATGGGAAGAATGCTCCACATGCAACATTATCAAAGACAATCTCAACTCAAAGCGGGAGTATTGGGATACAGGGGACTGAGAGGAATCGTGAACAACCAATTAAACATGGTGGTGCTTTGCCGATAATTGCTGGGCTTTCCGCAGTACCCTCCTGTTGTGTAAACATGTGAGAACTACATATACACACCTTTCTTCCAACCATTTATCCCCCTTTTAAAGTTTCCTCCCATCGCTCTTATGCCACCCCTTTGCGCCATCCAAATTAGGAATCACTCATAATCCACTTTGCAAATCCTCCTCGATCACGGGAGCAATCTTTGGGCAAATGAAGCAACTCCTCCCTCTAATGCCGAGCCTAGTCCAAAGTGGATCCCTACCTGTGCCGAAATGAACGACATAAATGGCCAAATTCAACGAGTACACCTCACGATACCTTGACCTGCGATGCGCTGGCAAACGGAGATGCCAACAAGCCACTTGCATGATACCAACGCAGGATGTCTCTATCCTAACTCCCGTTAAAGCTCGGATTTGGCCACGATGATGGTGATGACGGCGGCCGTTATGTTTATCAGGAACTACGTTACCTCGGCGCGAGGGGCCATCTCGCCTGAAAGAAAAAAACATTTCCTGGCCGTAGCAGATACATAAGAAGTCGCAGGACAACTCATTGCGGTCTATCTACAGCCTTTCACTCGGGTGAGCCTGTTCTTTCAGAATACTGGCCAAAGCAATAAATTCACTTCGTTAAGCCGCCAAGTGAATCGTGACAACACTTGAAAGATCTCGATTGAAATCTCGGCACGTTTTTGTCCGTCGTCGAGAAATCCGAAAACAGCGTTGCAAATCCATATGGCGGATTCGTCACTAACATCGCTCACCTCAGAGCTTTCCAATCTCGCAGGCAGTTATGTTCCGCCCACAAACCACGACGCTGCCTCCCTCGCTCCGAAAATGGCCCTTTTCAACCTCTCGAAGAAAATCATGTACTCTCTCATGGATCCGGGAATGATGGTCCAAGCGCATTCTCTCCAGATGGCCGAAATGGTCTCCGTTCGAACGTTGTTGGACCTCAAGGTATTTGAGAAGATGCCGACCGAGGAGGGCAAAACGATCACGGCCAAGGAATTGAGCGAGAAAACAGGAGTTCAGGACGCTTTGCTTGGTGAGGCTTTCATTTTGCCCTTTTGGCCATATCAAGACCGTCTTTCCGTGAATCCATTTACCGGGGAACGCCATGGTTCCCTCGAGGTGAGACAGTTTTAGGGCGTCCTCCCGGCTAATGCACGATCATTCTGAACAGAAAGACTGCTCCGCCCTCTCGTCGCCTCAGGTTTCATCACTCAAGCATCCGACGGTTCGTATGGCTCCACGAAGTTTTCCCAAGCATACACATCCTTCCCTGGCCTATTCTTCACCCTAATGTTCGACCACTTCCTCCAACCCATGACCGATCTGCCGAAATATCTTTCAAAACATGGCGCGGCGGAGCCCACTTCGTTTTACGTCAACCCTTACTCCGACTACCACAACGCGAGCGATTCCGGAATGACAACGTGGGAAATCATGTCGAAAGATCCGGAGAAACTGAAGACGTTCCAGTTGGGCCTAACGACCGGTGACGCCATGGTGCCGGTCACGGGATACTACGACTTCAACCAGCTCGCGTTGACAAAGGAAGAACAGGAGAAGGATCCAGACCGAGCATGTCTCATTGATATTGGCGGTGGAGTAGGCAACGTGGTCAAGAGGATTTTGGATGAGTATAAGGACCTTAGTCCCAAGAACGTGATACTGCAGGATCAAGGTTCCGTCATCGATATCGCAGAGAGAGAAAAGATTCCGCCCGAGGGCGTCAAGTTGATGAAGCATGATTTCTGGACAGAGCAACCGGTCAAAGGTGAGCTATCCTCAAAACAATGGGCCTGGACCAGATTCTTTCCAGAAGAGCGACTGTTTCACGGGACTTGCCCAGTACTAGGACTGACGATGCGTGTTTTTGTCTCTAGGTGCAAAAGCATATTACTTCCGCCGTGTCTTCCACGACTATAGCGACGAGCTTTGCGCCAAAGCCTTGAAGCAGATCATCCCGGTCATGACGGCGTCGGACTCTCGTGTTCTCATCGCCGACATGCTCCTGCCTGAGATCATGACGGAGAAGGAAGCTCACACGGCCGCTTTGGACGTCGCGTGTATGGTCATGGGCGGTAAGGAACGGACGGAGGAGAATTTTAGGCAGTTGTTCGATAGTGTAGGTCTGGAAGTCGTTGCGATCCATCGTGCACCCGGCGCCGCGGCGGGAGTGGTTGAGGGGAAGCTGAAGAAGGAGTAAGTGAGAGGCTATAAGAAATAGTGTCATAAGCCAAGGATTGGGATATCGAGGAAGGCGGTCGCAACATGGCGATTGCGTCTCATCGATACGTAGGATGAATAGACATGACGATTATGGGGCCGAGGATATTGAAGAGCGTTCATGGGTATCCCACCGCCGTTGACCTCTTTCTCCTCCCCTTGGGCCATTTAGCAGCCGAGCATTTGTCCTGAACCTCATGTAAATGGCCAAGACGATGAGTGCTATACTCAGAATCCAGACCATGATGAGATGTATTGTCTGATCAAAATGGAACCCAAGATTTTCTTCCTGAATTAGGACCTCTTTGACTTACTATACTTTGTGTGCTGCAGACGTGGATTCGCAGCTCCCTCAGATTTTAGGGCCTCATAAACGTAAAGGACATCAGTTGCTGCTGGTCATTGTGTTATTCTCGTCGAAGATCAACGTTAGCCAATCTGCGGGGCCATGGTCCGAAAAAAGAGACATCCTAACTAAATCAATCCGTGTAGTCCGTAATTCAAAGCCATCCGTCCATTGTTGGACATCCATCGAGATGGCGTTGTAGCGGGGGGGCGAGTTTGGTGGTATAGATATCACTACTGGTCATGGAAAGGATGCTGCAGTCCGTCGAATGATAGGGTCGTATTGGTTGTTGAAAACGCTCTCTCCCTCTCTGTATGTATACCTGCCCTTCCCTTCAATCAGCTATTCTTTATTGAGATGGTTGCGAGAGGCATTTGATTCAACCGAGGACGCATAATACGTTCACGAACATTGATGTGCTGTCATGCTAATAGTGGGTCCGTGTATGACCTTGTCAATGGCCAGCGAAAGTCGCTGCATAAATGGCCTCCATTCTCACGGTCACGCGCTGGTTCCTGTTCCGGTGTTCCTTGATTCGCAAATTCTTTGCGTTCGACTCTTTGGTATGCTCTGAGGTTAGCTAAGGCTCCTGGCCGGGGAATTGGTCCCAGAATGAGGCTGAGGCTCGGTCTCGGCGCTAAGCACCGAGTCGTCGGGGCCATGCCATCGACCGTCCGAACAACGGGAAATGTTTTGAAGCGTTGCGTGATTGGTTCGACCTTTGGAAACTAACTCACGCGATTTGAACTTTGTGGTCGGGTGCATGAGTTGGTAAGTGGTTGTCGCCAGAATCTAACGGTACTAGGCCGTTATCAGCCACCTCAGATGTGCAAGTGCAACACTGCTCAGGGCTGAACGTTGACTTCGCCCCGCTCTTGATCCAACGACTTCCAGCCATGTCCCTTGGGGCTGAAAGAATTACTCATATCGTCTCGATGGCATCGTTTCAGCAAAGTAACTTCCTCCCTGCCCGAGGCATGGCATGAACAATGCCGGCGAGAAACGAATAAGAAATTCCCACCCCCAGCCTTGCCTTGCTCACTGCCGACCGGTGAAACCTCTGACCATTGAACGATCCAGAAAACGGTTGATAAAATGCCGGAGGGAAGAAAAAAGCGGCTTGACCACCGCGACTACACCGTGGCCATCATATGTCCCCTCGAGGTGGAACTGAGCGCGATGAGGTTGATGCTGGAAGACGAACATGCCATGTTACCGCCAAAAGCTGGAGACACGAACGGATACATCTGTGGAGAAATGAGTGGACACAATATTGTAATTGGGTACCTGCCTTATGGCTCCCAGGGTATCGGAGCGGCCGCTTCGGTTGCCACGCACATGGAGCGTACTTTTCCCTCCATCAAATTGCGCATGCTTGTTGGCATTGGCGGTGGCGTGCCTAGCGACGAATACGATATTCGGCTCGGTGATGTAGTGATAGGAATGCCAGACCGCGGACATGGAGGCGTCATTCAGTACGACCTGGGAAAAGAAACCCTTACGGGATTTCAACGGAAAGGACATCTGGACGCTCCCCCGACGATTTGGCGGGACGCCGTTGTGCGTATGCGATCAGATCACCGAAACAAGCGAAAACAGCAAATGTGGAATTTCTTGTCAGAGGCGCAATCCCGAGGATATTCATGCCCTGCTCCGGAGAAAGATGTTCTTTTCCTCAATGATAGCCCTCACGTTCCGAACCAGCCAACGTGTGCACAATGCGACAAGACTCGAACGGTAACTCGGACTTCCAGAGATCCATATGTACCGTCCATCTTCTACGGCCTAATTGCCTCAGGCGACCGAGTGATGAAGAATGCGAAGAAACGAGACAAGATCAGTCAAGAATTAGGAGGCGCTCTTTGCTTTGAAATGGAGGCAGCCGGCTCGATAAATGATTTTCACTGCATCGTCATTCGTGGAATTGCCGACTATGCTGACTCTCACAAGAATGACGATTGGCACGCGTATGCCGCTGCGACAGCGGCCGCGTGTGCAAAAGAACTCTTGACATATGTGGCTCCCGTTGTCGGTACGTCGATGCTCCTACCCCCAAGTGTGCCCACACGTGAAGATGTGAACTTTTTCCACCAGCAAGGTCCCCCGAGCCGCCGAAGTCCGAACCGACGAAGTTTTCCAATATCCCTAAACTCCTCGTCAAAGATTTTGTAGGTCGAAAAGCCGAGCTACAAGATATCGAAGAGCATTTCACTAGTCGAGTCCCGGATGGACCCCGAATTATCATAATCTCCGCCCTCGGAGGACAGGGCAAGAGCCAGATTGCCCTCGAATATTGTCGACGAATGAAGCCCGTCTACAAAGGGCTCTTTTGGGTCAATGCTAGTTTCAAATACACCGCCAAACGATCATTTTCGGAAGTGGCCAAAGCGCTTGGTCAACCCGTAGTGGACTCAGAGAGCGAAGACGACCAGGTCCAGTTTGTTTGTGACACTCTCGCCGAGTGGGAAGATCGGTGGTTAATGGTGTTCGACAATTACGATGACCCCGATAATTTTGGCGAGGTTATGGATTTTATTCCCCATGGTATATCGCCACCTTTTCAGTAGTGTCGGTAGGTGCTGACCCACTGCTCTAGGGACTGAGGGCGATGTCCTTTTCACCAGCCGCTGCCAGGATCTAGACCGGCTCGGTGAGACTATAAACATTCCTCCCCTGGCGACCGATGATGGAGTTGCGCTCTTGCTACGATCGTTTCGGGGCGTGGACGTGGAGAAACACAGGCCTGAGGCAGAGAAAATTGTCAAACGACTTGGAGGTCTCGCCTTGGCCATTGACCAGGCGGCAGCTTATATTCGATATCGTCGACTGTCCGTTGGGGACCTTCGTGGCTTCGTGGAGCTGTATGAGGAGCAACGGGAGAAAATCCTTACTCACACTCCCGATCGATTTTGGGAATATGGTGTGTTTGGTAAGGAGAAGGAAGCCCGAGAGAAGGCGTTATCTGCTTTCACTACGTGGGAAATGTCGTTTCAGCAACTTTGTCAAAAATACGAGAAAATCGCGGACGCCGTTGCTCGCTTCCTGACTTTGTCTGCGTTCTTGGCCGCTATACCGATCAATGAGTGGCTTTTCATTAATCATCGAGATAGGAAGGTCCCCCCAGATGATTGGACCTCGATTTTCAGCCTGAGGGCGGGCTACGATGGAACGGTGCGTGGCGAGGGGGATGATTCGGCAGTTCCACCGCCGGGCTCCGAAGACCATGTGGACTGGGATACTTACAAATTTTGGGATTTAATCCATGAAGGTAATCAGCTTTCATTGGTGCAAGAGATCTCGCGAAGTTCAGGCCAGGAGGGGGCCACGTTTGTTTTTCACCCTCTGATTCGAGACTGGCTTCAGCTTAGACAAAGCCCCAAAGAACGTCAGAACTTTACGAAAGAAGCGATGTGGGTCATAGTTGATTCGATCATCAAATTTGAGAAGTCAACCGTGGTGGCAAGCGTCAAACAAACCCTTCTTCTCCACATCGACGCCGCGATGGAGAACGACGAGAAGTTCTCCAAAAAAGGTTGTCGCATAGGGGAAGAAATGAAGGGTGATGATGCCGGCAGGGACTTCGCAACGTTCTGCTGGCAGCAGGGCCGATATGCCCTGAGCGCAAAATTGTGGCAGATTGTCCGAAGGACAAGAGAGGTCGAACTCGGTAAGGAGCACAAGTCCACATTGGCAGCCATGAACGACCAAGCTTTGGTAGCGCACGAACAAGGCAACTACCCGGATGCGGAAAAGCTATACCGGGAGGTCCTACGACTGAAGCGGAAGGTTCTAGGGTCAGAACACCCGGACACCCTAGTCACCATGAATAATTTGGGAATTTTACTGAGGGAGGAGAGTGCATACGAGGAGTCAGAACAGTTGCACCGAAAAGTCTTGAAGATTCAGCAGCAATTGCCGAATGATCATCCAGATGTCTTGCACAGCAGGGTGCACTTGGCGGCCGTGCTTTGTGATCGAGGCAAGTTCAAAGAGGCGGAACACATATATCGAGAGGTCTTGGAGATCAGGAAACGCGTGCTAGGGGACCAACATGAAGATACGCTCGTGACGAGGCACAACTTGGGCTTAGCATTGCTCCACCAACGTGAATATGCTGAAGCTGAGGTGATATATCGAGATGTGCTCAAGATCCGCGAAGAAGTCCTTGGGATGGAGCACCCAGAGACGCTGAGTTCTAGGAACAACCTTGCCGAAGTCTTGAACTATCAACGAAAGACGGAGGAGGCCGAAGCTCTATTTCGAGAGACGCTTCGAAGCGAGGAAAAGGTGTTGGGCCCTAGCCATCCAAACATGATCAGAAGCCGACATAATTTAGCCTGGGTCCTGGAGGGTCAAGGAAGAGATGATGAGGTCGAGGCTCTATATCGGGATGTGCATAAAGCCCGCACAAAGCTGCTTGGGCCAGAGCATCCAGCCACGTTGTTGACCATGAATAATTTGGCAGTGTTGTTGACCAATCAAGGTCGGTTTTCCGAAGCTGAGAAATTGTACAAAAAAACTGTGGCTGGCCGGATCAAAGTGCTGGGACGCGATCATGCAGACACTGTTGCATCTGAGGAGGATTACGAATGGATGCGTGAGAAACGACGGATTAAGGAGGGAAGAGATCCCAGCCCCGAGAGGAGAACGCCCGATACAACGCCCGAACGAAGTCCTGACGCACCCACCAAAAGGAAGCATCGTCAGCCTGATACGCCCACAAAACGAGACGAAAATAGGATTCACAGGAGAAAACCTGCCTTTGGGGAGCGAAGGATCCCAGAACGCGGGGGAGGTCAGTACGAACGTTCTTTGATGGAGACCGTTGGACTAATTGTAGCAGTGAGATCGGCTCTACGATCATTTCTTAAAGGTGACCGCTACTAGAGCTGGCATGCGTTGGGGAATTGTCTATCATTGGCAACGAGTATGAATCTGTTTCGGTAGCATGCGCAAAAGATGAATCGGGGAATTCGGAAAAAGGACTCGGACCAGAGACAAGCAGACACCAGCTCAATGAACATCGGCTGCAAAATTGCCAAGCGAAGACATTGAATCTCAAAAGATCCAGCAACAAGGCGCTCGACATGGTGACTAACTAGGACCACGACAATATCATGATGCTCTTTGCTAATACACCACAGGCGCCGTTGTATATATCTACACATATATATAGTATGCAGCGAAGCTCTACTCGTGGATAACTTAATCGATACCAGATTCCTTGAGAAACAGCGCGAGTGTGAATAATACTGTGTGAGAGGTATCATCACATCAGCATAGATGCGTAAGGCCGAGTGACGATCAACGGAAGGCCTCAAATGCGGAGAGCGCGGGACAAGGCTGTATACGCCAAGGAGTCAGCGTTCAACTTGAGCATCGCGCTCTTCTCCTCCCTTCCATCTGATTGCAGGCTGCCTTGCTCAGTCAAATGGCTTGCACTCATACTTGTTTCATCGTAGTATCGTAGCAATAGACATATCCTCTTCCTTTTGTTCCCCTAATCAGGCATGCTTCTGAGCCTTTCCCATCCTCGTTGGGCTGAAACTGCTTTGCTTTCGAGCCTTAGCCAACTCCATGTGTCGGCGGGAGTGGGAGGACGTCTTTGTCCTTCGATGCCTTCATTTTTGATATATCCAGATGATACAAGGACTGATTAGTCAGGCTTTCCCCCATCTTTTTTCAGTATTGTATTGGACTGTATTGCAGCTTTGATTGGTTTTTCTTTTTTTTCTTTTGATCAGTGCAACCAACTCGTCTTGATCCGACCTTCCTTATCGAACTCTGGACCTTCTGAGCTTCGATGCTGATGGCCGAGATGGTTATGGTGATGATTATGACTAACTCTTCGTCCGATACTCGTTGCAATGCCAATCCGAGCTTCCTGCTCCTTGAAATTGACCATACGCACCTCCTCGCCGTACGAATGCTCGTCTGAATGTGCTTGTGTTTCAACATCATCGGTCGTGACAACGCTGCCTGACCCGTCGCCGCCACCTCGAGACCATCCGAAGTCCTTTTGCACCACGATCTGGCCGCCCTTTAGGGCGGTGACGCTGTTACGGCCGTAGCCAGGCCCGTCTTCGAGAGGGATTGATTCGGACTTTATGCCTGCGCCGGACTTGGAGATCGCGGAGGCGAATGGGCTTCGTGTTCCTGCGGCGCTGTGTCCGCCTTGGATCTTGCCTGAGTGTTGGCCTCCGCTGTTCCCGCCGTATGCGTAGATGGCGCCAGTGAATTTCTGGATTTGTTTGCCCAGGAAGCTCTTGAGTGGTGGGAGGGATCCGATGATGACAGATACTGAGCTTTCGACGAGACCCCAGACAGCGAGGCCAACGGGATCGGCACGAGCCTGTCCCACGATCTGTGTTAGGCGGATGATGGCTACCGCGATAATGGCTAAACCCAGACAGAAGACGACACCCAGGCCAATTTTTTGTGGTCGCGAGACTTGAAGTTCGCGGAGGAGGCGGAGTGGTAGGGACATGATCATTAGGTCGGAGAGGATATCGACGGCTGTGGAGTAGGAAATGCTGATTGTGCTGCCTGCTTGGTCAATGGGTTTGGAGCACTGGCCTGTCAAGTGGGGTTGAGGTTAGTATTTGAAGATATGGGAACAATATCATGGTATTTGCTAACCGAATTGAAAATATGTGCTAGGAGGGTGACATGTCCAAGCTGATGCTATCCAACAACCGGCATAAGCGAGGGCGCTGAAGACGGCGACCACCCACCAGAGGCGCTTGTAGGGGGGCAACCCCTCGAACAACCTCCAGAACAGAGCCAGAAAGCTGGCCTTGACGCACCAGAGGACCGTCCACATCAGGCCAATGATGGCAAATTCGTACCGGACATAGATATTCCCTTGAGTGATCAACTCCTCGCCAGCAGCAATGCGGCCCACTGATACATAAAGAATGTAATAAAGGGACTCAGTCTGAAGAGTTTGAAGGACAGCATTCACTGTAAGCACGATAAAGCTGGCCACCATCCAGTAGTCGTCAGCGAAGAGGCGTCGAGCCTCACGAAAACGGGAGAAGAGTCGTAAACTGAGGAATGATGCCGCTGTTGCTACACCTGCCCACGCCACCGCCTTGAGGCCGCCTTCACTAAGTCCTCTGGCTGCACCAGTGAGCCTGGCAGATGCTCCTGCGGCGACTGATGATGTTGAGTCTGACATCTTTGTAGAATTAGTGACATGAAATATTAAAAGGCACAAAGAGAGCAGGTGGGATGTAGATCGGCGAGAGTTGTCGGCGATGAGTCCGAGTATCGACGCTCACCCCGATCTCATTCCAAGGAATGGAGATAGAGGAAAATAGGGAAGCATATCTTTTCAGGGAGCGAGTGAAGAGAAGAGGAGCTCTAGCAAAGGAGTGCTCGCTTAAAAGCCGGATGCCTCGAAGAGCAGTATTAAGGTGGTGGCGAGCTAGGCAGTGAGTAGGTTCGTTGCTTGTCCCAAGCCTGACAGCCAGCAGCAGGAGCCGTGTTAGAGCTTCGTCAATAGCCTCGACAGGGGGAAAAACTAGGCTGATGCAAGGTGTCTCTTACCAATGTATGAAGGGGGGAACGAGGCAAAGTGTAGTATGAGCCAACAGAGAGAGAACTCAGGCGTTTAGCCGAAGGAATCAGTTGTTCATCTTCTTGGTGCAGCCCTGAGAGGAATCTCTACTGGCGACCTCTAGAACAGATCCTTGCAGCATAGAGTTTCTTGTGTTGGGGGATGAGAGTGGACCGAAGCATCTTCTTTTTGTTGTCATCCAGCAGAAGCAAAGCGAGCAAAACGAGGGAAATTTCAAGGAGAGACACAATAGTTCAAACTACCATCTGCAAAGCTAGCCAGGAAAGGGAACCCTCGATCGCTCGGGATAGGCGGGTGAACGGGGATAGTTAGCGGAAAGGGGAGCGCCGTCTTGTTTGACCTGTTCAAGAAAATGGGCTTCGGTAGAATTGAAGATCAGGACGCCTCGTCCCCTCAATCTGTGTCTGGGCTACCTAGGTCGAAAGTGGTAATGCATTGGCAGTGAAGCGTAAGGCACATTTCGATTGATCTGAGAGATCTGTAGCCTCTTGGTGTATTGTTAGAAAGAGAACGCTCGGAGGTATCCGATGTCCGCACGTGGATTCGGATGAGAAGGTGGAGTGGTAATGGTCATAGGGACCAATGCTGATTCGTGGACAGGGTGACATTAACTTCTCAATCGATGTGTCTTCGGTTTGCTCGCCTGAGCATGGGGTGTAGGAACAATCGGCCGTTAGTGGACTGGGCTGTCTCTGAACACGCTTGACGGGGCAAAAGATGTGTCCCGTTTGAACCCCGTGGCACTTCCTCTGCCAAACGTGGTTCCTTGACTCGGACATTTGCCCTCCAGCCTCAACTTCGAAGTCGATGCTCGAGGTCTGAAAGTTCAGCAGCCAACCGGGGTGGCGTTTGTCGATCAAAAAAGGCTTTGGATCCAAAGTTTAGAAACCTAAATCCAAAGCCATGGTTTTGTCCATGGCTGGGGGTTAGTTTGGCACCAATAATGCAGCCACTGTTGACCGTCGTTTTGAAATCCGTCGGTAAGCAGGTTTCACGCTTGTACCTGCCTGGGTTTGCATTATCAAGTCAACAGTGCGCAAATTCTTGCCTCCCGTTGCTTATTTCCCAGAGAGAGGTTGCCTATCAGGCATCCCCTGCCTGAGCAAGGGTTCATGATGGTCTAGGCATTCGGAGTGATACAAGTCTGTGACCAGTCTGTGTTCTGGTTCAAAGCTCCTGGTCAACAATTAGAAATTAGAATTATGATTGAGATGTCTATGTTGCATATGTTTCGTGAATCTATACTCTGCAAAGTCGTCCTGTGGCATCTTCTCCGAATGCGTCGCTACCCACACACGTGGGGCAGTAGAACACCAAGGAAGGATCGTATTTTTGCTTGATTGACAGGAACTTGTCGTAGTTGCTTCCGTAGAAGTCAACCTTCCAGTCGGAATCCATCCGGTCTGCTTCGTTCATGTATGCCCCCGTGTTGGGGGCCAGTGATTTCATAGCGGCCGTCTTGACATGGGTGATGTCATACTGAATAGAATCCACGACAGACTGGGGTGTTCCAATGGGATACCCTCTAGCAACAATGTTACTGAAGTAAGAGGTTCGCCAGGCTGGGAGGACGCCCGAGTATGGATCGGCTTTGTCAGTGAAGACCTGCCCTCCGCTGACAATTTCGAAATTGTTAAAGGTGAACTCTTCAGGAGCTCCAGCAATGGTGCCGACCATGCTTCGAAGAGCAGCGAAGCTTTGCGTGACGGACGGGCGATCGAAAAGGCGAGATCCAAGTGTGGCCGAGGCACCGACCGCGGGCTCAACGCCGGATTCAGTGTCGTAGAAAGTCCAGTAGTCAGGATAAGAGACATAGCTTTCCGAAATGAAGACGCTGGTCAAGTTGTATGGCGCAAGTCTCGCTCGTGTTGCGTCGAAAGCGGCTTGGGCTTGGTCCACAGTCTTGTTAAACATGTAGATACCGTGAACATAGCCGGCGGTGAATGTTGCGAAGAGTGGCGTTGGGCTGTTGATCGCCCACTGGCCGTATCCGGCATATCCCGCGTCGTTCAAGTCCGGGTAGGCAGAAAACATGATGGCGATAGTGTCCAAAAGGCCCGTGGTATCCGCATTCAGCGCACCGATGGCGAGGTGTTGTACTGCGACGCTGACCATTGGGTGTGCCTTGACTGTGGTTGACACTACTACTCCATAAGTGCCGCCACCGCCACCTCGAAGAGCGAAGAAGAGATCGCTGTATTGGCAGGCATTGGCCGTGACGACGAGGCCGTTTGCGAGGACCACGTCCATCTCGAGAACTTGATCAGCCCCCAATCCAAATTGCCTCGAAGCTGGACCATGGCCACCACCTTGCATCCAGCCTCCAATAGCTCCAACAGACGGTGTACCACCGCCAACAACGATAACATTGTTCGCCTGGGCAACCGCATAGACATCTTCCCACGTATAAGCACCAGCAATTTTGATGGCACTGCCTGTCCAACCACTTTTCGAACATCCTTTCGAAGACTTGAATGTCTTCTGAAAGGTAATGCCGTTACGCAGATGACGAATCCAGACTTCCAAGCCACCATGGCCCTCAGATCGACCACTCATATCGTGACCAGTATTCTTAACCACGAGACGAATGTTGAAAAGTCTCGCGAAGGCGATAGTCAAGGCAACATGCAGAGAATTTTTGCAATCGACTGCATAACTCGGGCTCACTCCCAGTGTGCAAGTGCCTTGAGGTGTCTCGCCGGCAGTGGCATTGACAGGAGGGCAGGTAATGTTGGTAGGATATGAAAGCCCAACCACGTGGTCGGCCTGAAATGTTGCGTCGGCCCAGTTTGCGTCGACATAGGCACATTGAGATTGGCTTTGATCGGGGCCAGGGTAACAAGATATGGCCACCGGCTTGGTTTTGATCAGGTTGCCTCCCACTGTCGCATTGAAGATTTTCAAGACCAAATCCGATGGGAAACATGGGTCTCCGGGGGTCTGCATTTGATGTTAGGCCAAGGCTGTATGAGAGACGCACGGACAACATACGCATTTGCATGAATGTTCGGGGAAAAAATTGGAAGCGGTGGCGACCAGAGAATCCGCCGAGGCTACAACATCTGTTGATACAGAAGCAGTTGAATCTGTGCTTGCTGTTGCGGAGTGGACAGCCGAACATGCAGCCAAAAAAAAGACTGTAATCCGAGAAATGGCTGACATCGTATTTGTCCGTCTTGCCAAAGAAGAAAAGAATGAAAGAAAGCTAAGGAGTGGACGAAGGCAGGCTTAGCGATCGAGAAGGACTCGCCGACTGGTCTGCAAGGGGCGAGTTCTTATGAGAACCTTTCGTCCGCATGTTGATTCCTGATGTTAGATCTCCGCAACACCCTCGAGAAACAATCGTAATTCTTTCCACGTGTGTTCCTTGGAGGAAATTAAACTCGGACGGACCGTGGTCCCCAATAACCAGAAGAGTATGTGGATTGTTCCATTTTGCTCTAGAGGCTCGTGCGGTCTTCAAGGGGAGGATCGCTTGAAGACGTAGTGTCGGTCGGTCCATGCAAACCCTGACCTCCCCCCCTGTTAGGGAGTCTTAACATCGGAAGACTAGCATTCTTTCAGAGGTGGTGCATCTTGGCTGGCCGCGTGCACCAGGCGGACGGGATCATAAGTCTACCGGGGTTGTTGGGGTCGTCAATCCTCATTGAATCCTCCATTTGGCCATGAGATCCAGTACATCGCTTCTTCGGCCAGAACATCCGGGGGTGATGAATATGGAGACCGTTTCCTACCTTTTTCTTGTTTCCTCAACCCACTTGAGATGCCGTCCTTTGTATTCTCTTTTCGTATTCAGTCATGGACGTGAGGGGAGGATTTGATGGCCGAGTACTTGGAGTTCGGCCTTCATAACTCTCCGCAAGACACGCTGTAGATGTACTTCGATAAAGACTAGCAAGAATCGTTACCGGAATAGTAGAGAATCTGAGACCTTTCTTGTTGCATCACAGTGTTATTCGGGTTCTGAGGATTGGAAATAATCTTAGTAGAAATTGCAACACCCCGACTAGCAGATGCTAACGTGGGTACTAATGCACACAGGTTAGCATTATCAGCTTATCCATCACTTAGCATCCGACGTCAAACCCCCTTTGCTTACCCTAGAATAGACGTCTCGAATGCAAGGAACAAAGCCTATCCGATCCGTCCCCTAGGGGTCGGCAAGGCAATAACATTGGGGTCGAACTTCTGCGCTCGGGCACAGCTTAAGGCCCCACATTACCCCCTGCAAGGCTCCAGATTTTGAACCAAAGTCAAATGCGAAAACGAAATCACATCGATTCAATGGCCAGTCGTAAGGATATTCTGGTTCTAATGACGCTCTATGTGCCAAATACAGAGCACAATTCCCTACTCGATGCTTGGGGATTCCGTCTAGCACTAATAAGGAGAATTCGATTTTTCATCTTCTCACTCCTCTCCCCATGGTCGCCGCTTCATGCATGTTCTGGAAAATCAATTTGAACCCGTTGCACAGATCTCGCATAGTAGGATATGGTTGCTTCATCAGTTCGAACCCCTGAGGAATGACTCTCACAGCCCAGTCCATTAGTTTGGCATTCTGACCGGCTTTGAAGACGAGATGAAATTGGCCAGGTCGTTCTCGGTTGATGCAGAATTGATACATTGATCGTTTAGGGTTGGCGTTGGTGTAGGTCGTCAGCCACTCTTCTATTCCTGGAGTCAGTACTGTTCATTTTACTCAATCAATGGCCACTCACCCAATGCCGCTTTGGACTTGTCTTGGAATTTTTCGTTGCCACACATCTCATCCACTTTGCGGGCCATGGCTTTCACGTGTAGCACGATCAATTCGTCCAAGTCCGAGTAGTTGTACCGACCACCGATTCTCAACGTCCGGCCGAGGGAGAACTCGTTTTCTTTATCCAACTCAAGCACGTCAATGTGCTGGAAGATTCCATCGGCGACTTTCCACGTCACCGCGAGATGGTCTGTGCCTTTCGATGATGGTCGAATCACAACATCACCGCGATTTTGGCTGCCCAAGTATTCTTCTGCTTGTTTGGCATTGAAAGGTCGAAACAGAGGGTGTTTGATAACCCTGGCGGCACGATTACCTGAATCTGTCTTCTCTTCCAGAAGTTTCTTATCTGCGGCCTCTTCTCGGTCATCCCATTCGTCGTAACTCCGGTCGCTATGGTTGTACCTCTTGAATGGCTTTTTCAACAGATCGTCTCTTAAGCTGACACTCACGGTGAATTCTTTTCGATTGATCGCCGTGATATGAGCTTGAACGGTCTGGTGGAGCGTGTAAAGTTGCTTTGGTGAGACCGTACTGTCCGCCCATTGACCCTCCTCGACAACCGCGTCCAATCCGGAATCCAGTTTTCCTTCGACGTGCATGTCGGTGATCTTCTTCAGGGAGATAGGCACATTCATGCCTCTTTGAAGCGAATCTCTGGTCTCCCCGGTTAGCATTGTAAATATCTCTGATTCTCCCAGGTTGCTGCGGAACGGATTTCTCAGTTCCTCGTAGGGTTCGATGAGTTCCGCTCGAATGTTCTCCAAGGTCGTATGCTTCTTCGAATTGAGGTTCTTCTCTAGCTGCTCAGCATACTCCTCGAGGACCAGATCGTTCACTCGCTCTTGTGCTTCCTCTCGGATGAGACGTCGGACGATCGCTCCCGATCCACCTTCCTGTCTCTCAGCCTCGATATCTTCTTCGTCCAGTTCGAGAGCGTCGGCGGCCATTTTGCGAGCAATATCGTAATCTTCGGGATGGACCCGCGTGTTGTCCAAATATTCCGACGTGGGTTCCGATGGATCAAACTGAATGTACAACGTGGCGGCGGCATTACTCCAGACTTTGAATCCCATCGCCGCATGTAAGTCGTTGATCCCGAGCAAATCTTCACGTGTATTGACGTAACCGCCATTGAGATGGATCACTTTGAGAAGATGTGAAGCTTTGCGGGGACCGAGACCGGCCACATATGGAAGGAGATTTGCAACGGCAGTGTCACTAGCGGCCTCATTGAGATCGACTCCAACCATGTTGACGTTGTCGACCAGAGCCATCTCCAGCTTTTTCAACAATTTCTCTTGAGGGAGGAGGTTCTGGGCGGGATGAAAACTGACCGAAACAATGTCTCGACCCAAAGCTGCATATTCCTTCAGAGGATCTTGTAGATATCTTCCCAGAGCGACGCAGTAAAGTGCCAGTTGTGGAAATCCCGGATGATCCAATTTCGCTCGATCACTCGTCTGATACATTCGCGCAACTTCGTCGTTGACCATTACCACCTCCAAGAGTTCGCTTCGGTCTCGGTCGTCCTCGTCTGAAAATGTTGGGCCATGAAGGTCGTGGTTTTTAACCAACGTCACCAGGTTTGAATGGAGTTTCCGCGTATCGGGGCACCATCCGGATACTCCAATGACTTCTGGTTCTCTCCGTCGGATGACCTCCAGGAGAGCCTCCACATCTTTACCATCCGGAATGCCGCGTTCTCGATCGCCGGGGCCTAGTTCCTTAAACCGACCATGTTCGAGAACCCGGCCATCGTCGTTGACAAATGCCCAATAAATCATGTCACGTCCAGGGACACCCCCTCCATTAGACAGCGTTAGGACGCGCGGAGTGGTGCCCTTCTTCATTCCTCTGGGTTGATAAGGGGCTTGGTCCAGTCTCTGATTGAACTCCTCGCGGCATTCGACACCGATATTATTTTCGCACTGTTCTTTCAGGTTCTCTTTGACCAGTCGACCCATGAGCTTCATCACCTTGTCCACAGCGACCGAGATGACTTCGCGGCGTTCAGCATTCCAAGCATCCGCCACGTTCGAGTAATTGTCAGTCTCGATGTGCTTGTTGAGCTGCTTCTTGAAATTTTCATTGTTCCGTAGTCTGACTTGGATTTCGACGAGGCCTTCTTCCTCAGCTTTCAACATTTTCAAAAACAAATCTGGCCGCTGGAAAAACGAGCCAAAATTCTGGTTTCGTAGGTACTTGAATTCATAGTAAGGGTGTTGCTCGTCAATCTTTCTGAGACCTTTCTCAGTCCGATGACAGTCAATCACTCCCTCTTTGTAGACATTCTCCCGGATCAGACCTCGAAATCTTGGGCTCATCACGAGTTCTTCGATAAACATGGATTTCGCCGCTTTGAGCACTCTCGAGCCCGTGGGGAACTCGCCGTCGATAAAGGTGTCGGCAAGATTCTCAGGATTATCAGTGGGATCCTCCGTGTAAGTTCGGACGCCTTTTCGGGCCGCGTTTTGGGCGAATGCGTCCGCGGTAATACCAAAAGCGCGAACAAGACCATATGCTTTTGCTCCTCGGATTTCTTCATAGACCGTCTTGGTCGCCGCCTTTTTTTGGGACATATTGATGCCGTTGGTCTCACCGTGGGATGTGAGTGCTAAATCTTTGAGCCGTGACGCGTATTGGAAGTAGAGGTAATCCTGGAGATCCTGAAGTTCCTCCATGGTAGCGGCCAACGGTAGCATTTCCTGAAACATAACGTCCTCGGGGATGTTAACTGATTTTAAATCTTCGTAGGCCTTCCGTAATGCCTGTCTCTTCTCAATAAGCGCTCGATATTTGAGGTCGTGCTCGAATATTTGCCATAAGTCGCGTTGGACGAGGAGTCTGGTCGCATCTGATACCGTCCGTGGAGTTCCATCTTCTTCCCTCCCAACAACTCTCTGAACAACGTGGAGGAGGTAATCTTTCCGATTCTGGAAGATGAAGGGAACTTCGTAATCATCTCGAACCAAGAACTCCAAGACCTGTGCAACCGCTCGTCGAAAGGGTTCATGAAGGTCTGCATTGAATTGTTTGCTCGGAAGCATGAGATTGGAAATCCAAACGGCCTCTTCCTTGAATTCGTCTTCACTCAGTTCAACGTGGCGATATGGCTTTCTTGCAAGTTGGTGCCGTTCGGCCTCATCGGTGTATCGAATGGTGTTGTCTTCATCGGTCAACATTTTCTCGGCCAGCTGTGAAGGCTCAAAGACATCCTTGAGGTCCAAGTGCTTGTCTCTTTCGGCCTCCTCTTCATCGGCCTCGTCTTCTTTCTCAAGCGCGAAGTCGTAGTCAGTTCCGTCACCGAAGGCAGCACGGAAATCCTCGAGCGCCTGCTCGTCGAGACCAGCTGCATCTGCAATACCCAAATCTGGCAGCCCACGTCGATTGGGACGGGCCACCTCTTCATCTTCCAGTTGCCGCTGTTGCTCCTCATCCGAAAACACATCCTCTTCAATGAAGTCATCAAACTCGTCCTGCAAGCCACGGCGGTCCGGACGACTTGTTCGTCGGCTGTAGTCAACAGCCTCCTCTTCTTCGTCCGAGTGGCCAAAAATGTCATTGACACCGTAGGGCTGCTGTACGTCACGGTCTTCACGAGGCCCACGCTTCAGTCTCTTGAATTTTGGTTCCGGCGCCTCTTCCGCAGGCTTCAACCCAATCAACTCGAGATCTTCCTCATCAAGCCCTTCATCTTCACGTTCTTCGCGGCGCCGCTTCTTTCGTTCGCGTCTTCGCTCTCGACGAGTCTCTTCATCGTCTTCATCCTCGTCGACGATGAAACCTTTGGCGACCTAGAAATTATATCGATATTAGAACGCTTGTATATGCGCAGGCGTCGTCGATAATCTCACCTCCGCTGCAGCTTCTTCGTCGTCATCATCCTCTTCTTCCTCGGAGGAGTCATCAAAATGACCGTTAGCTCCGTTGGACTTTTCTCTGACTTCGCCAGTCTCTTCATCAAAAGATTCATCGTCTTCTTCATCGTCAAGGACTGCGCGATCATCGATGAGATCCATGTTGATGAGAACAAAGAGGACGAAGTTGACGGAGATAGGGCGCAAGAAAGAGGAGACAAACACGCCAGCAAGACGAGGTTCACTCGCGCGATCTCCTGTCTAAACAACAAGTCACTGTGAGTTGCGAAGATGTCTGGTGAAGAGGTTGCGGCTTTCGCCAGAATTTCCTTTTCTGGAAAAAACCTGCGGATACGACAAACGAAATCCGCCGTAAACCAGTTTAGGCACTATACCGCGGAGTATTTCCCACCTTAATGCAGCACTCCACAGTTGTTAGCTACTTTGTGTCTCTCTTGAAGCCCAAATAGGCGCTTTCGCTTGAAGCTACGACTGGTTATTGGCGAAATCATCTGGACTACCTCTGCCTATGCCATGAACTATTGACGAAATCTCTCCTTGTTCTGCTTTCGGTCAATCCACGCTTCGCTCATCCAAGGCCGTACTGAAGCGCCGTTGCCCCTATCTCCAGTAATCCAGTTTCACAATCTGGTTTTCCCTTCAAGACTCAACTATATTTATCAGTTGCCGTCCAACGACCCTTCTCGTGGAATTGTGACATCTTGCACCCTTCAGCATAGCTGACGCCTGGTTTATTCCAAGTTCGACTTGGTCCAAGATTGCCGCCGCTGACCCTCCTCTACCTGCCCGATCCGCCCCCCTGCTCAGTGCCCCATGGATCAGATGGTCATCGCGGTTGGGGTCTGAAATAGCCGCCCAATTCACTATCGTCCACATAACCGCGCTCAAAAATACACCGGAACCTGCTCTGTGTCTTCAGTCGACCCTCGAATCCTTTCCCAACCGTCCCATTACGAAACCGTCTTCGTCGATCTGCCGTGCCTCGATCCCGCATACCATCAACATCATGTCCGACCCCTTCAAGGCCAGAACACTGAAAAGGAAGAATGTCAAAGGATTGGCCTTGAATGCTCCTCCTCGGACAGCAAATCCCTCGGAAGGTGATTCACAGATACCTGGGGCCCTGGGAAATTCGGAAAGTGACCGTACAGACACGTTGGAAATTGGATTGGAATTCAAACTCGACTTGAGAAGTGAAGATCTGATCGTACTTAAAGAGCTGGGTGCGGGCAATGGAGGAACTGTGAGCAAGGTCATGCATGCCTCGACCAAGGTGATCATGGCGAGAAAGGTGTGTGCAAAGCCATTCTAAGAAGGCGGACCCGTATTCTAAGTGGGATACAGATCATCCGAGTCGATGCAAAGGAAAATGTCCGCAAGCAAATCGTCAAGGAATTGCAAGTCGGACATGATTGCAGTTCACCATATGTGATCACATATTATGGAGCTTTCCAAAATGAAGCTCGCGATATTGTACTCTGCATGGAATACATGGATTGCGGGTGAGTCGCGAGGCCTCCATTGATTGTCACCGCGTTAATGGCCTCCAGATCCTTGGATCGTATATCTAAAGATTTTGGTCCGATCCGCGTCGATGTACTCGGGAAAATCACAGAATCCATACTTGGAGGCCTTGTATACTTATACGAGGCACACCGCATCATGCACCGAGACATTAAGCCATCCAACGTGTTGGTAAATTCGCGGGGAATGATCAAGCTATGTGATTTTGGGGTCGCTACAGAAACCGTCAACTCGGTTGCCAACACATTCGTCGGAACTTCTACGTACATGGCGCCGGAACGAATTCAGGGAGGAGTTTACACCATCAAATCAGATGTTTGGAGCGTGGGTCTTACAGTGATGGAACTTGCCATTGGGAGATTTCCATTCGACTCCAGTGATTCTGCCGCCGGCGACCGGGCCAGTGCGGGACCGATGGGAATTCTCGATCTTCTGCAAACCATTGTCCATGAACCTGCACCAAAATTACCGAAAAGCGAAGCGTTCCCCGTCATTTTGGAAGACTTTGTGGCCAAATGTTTACTCAAAAGTCCCGACGAGAGACCGACGCCGAGAGAACTGTACGACAGGGACAACTTCTTGCAGGCTGCCAAGCGGACCCCTGTTGATCTGCAAGAGTGGGCTGTTTCGATGATGGAAAGACACAATCGGAAATCCTATTTGGCACCTCCCGCCCCGAAATCCCTCAAGAGTGATGGCACAAGCTCGGACGCGTCCTATGCCACATCTGCGGCGTCCACCGCATCTTTCGCCAGCGATACTCGAAGCACACCGATGACAGCGAGACGATATGCAAGTCCTACCTCCGACGACATACCAGTTGCGGCTCCACAATTCGCCTCTCAGCAGACTCCAACTGGAATTGTGGAGAGATCACCGCCCCCTCCGCTTTCTTTACAACATCTCTCCTTGGAGACGAGGGATGCGCCCAACGGCGTCGGATCTCGTTCCAATCGCCTGGGATACAACGACCGAGACAACATACCTGAGCCGGCCTCAGCTATTGAACCTTCCCAGCGGCCAATGTTCCCGCCGAGGACAAGCAGTAGTAACTCTGTCATGAATAGAAACCCTCTGGCGAGCCCAGCGCTTTCCATACGACAACCGCCACCTTCTGGACCCCTCCCACCGCCTCCGATGAAAGACTTACCGGCACCACCTACATTGAGAAGCGCGGGAATAGCTAGTCCACGTCGAACTAGGTGACATGCAGCACACATATTTGACACTGTTGGGGACGGAGACTTCGAGCATTGTTGTGTGGGGGGAGGGCAAAAAGGGGGAGGTCCGCATTGGCTGTAGCATTTGTTCCGGCGTATTCGTTTCATCCGGTATCTTTGCAATACCCTGTAGATCTTGCAGAAGGACACTTTTACATGGAATTTCATTTGATGGCCTACGACGGTCTTTGGAGTTCGCTTTTGTCCCCCGGTTCTACGCAAGGCTGTGACTTCGGTGTTGGCTTGCCCCTCCTCCATGCACGTGCTGCCAAGAGCGTTTCGTCACAAGTCGCCCGTGTCCCTTTCTCAGTCAGAGGACAATTGCCGCAGTCTTGAGAAAAGAGAATCAGAATTGGACTGATCAAGTTTGCTTCGCACGAAGAAGCATGGAAGCCACTTCGGCAAGGATGGCATCGAGGAACCAATTTGATGGGTTCTCTCCGCCTCGGTCGACCCTCCAACGGTTCATCTACAATGCTTGCGATCCCATAGCCAACCTGGAACCTAATCTGGCCTTGAACCTCGAGATCGTTGACCTGATAAATTCCAAGAAAGGCAATGCGCCTCGCGAGGCTGCAATCACGATTGTCCAACTGATCAACCATAGAAACCCCAATGTCTCCCTCCTGGCCTTGTCGCTACTTGACATCTGTGTCAAAAATTGCGGATATCCATTCCACCTTCAAATCAGCACCAAAGAATTTCTCAACGAGCTGGTCCGGCGTTTTCCCGAGCGGCCTCCTCCACGGCCCAGTCGAGTGCAGAACACGATCTTGGAAGCCATTGAAGAATGGCGCCAGACTATATGTCAAACGTCGAGGTACAAAGAAGACTTGGGTTTCATAAGAGATATGCATCGACTTTTGTTGTACAAAGGCTACATGTTCCCGGAGATTCGCAGAGAAGATGCCGCCGTGTTGAACCCGAGTGATGTATGGGAATGTGATCCAATCATTTGACCTCGGCTGACATGTATAGAATCTTCAATCTGCTGAGGAAATGGAGGAAGAAGATCGGGCGGCACAATCGGCTAAACTCCAAGAATTGATTCGACGAGGACGGCCCCAAGATTTACAAGAAGCGAATCGGCTCATGAAGGTCATGGCTGGTTACGATACGAGGCATAAGACGGATTACCGTGCGAAGGCAGCCGAAGAGGTTGCCAAAGTCCAACAAAAAGCCAAAATATTAGAGGAGATGCTTCAAAGTCACAAAGCAGGCGACAAGATTGGGGATGGAGATGTCTTCGAGGTAACCTTTCATTTCGGATATGTTTGGCTCAAACTTCTAACCGACCAATAGGAGCTCGCGGCAGCCCTCCAGAGCGCACATCCAAAGATTCAGAAAATGTGTGAAGAAGAGTCCGATGACGCCGAAGCAGTCGCCAAGTTGCTCGAAATCAACGACAGCATCCACAGAACGATCGAGAGATATAAGTTGATGAAAGCAGGCAACATCGAAGCGGCCAACAAGATCGAGAAGGGCACCTTGGGAACCACTACCGGCGTCGGTAAAAACGCCGCCAACGAACTATCATTAATCGATTTCGACCCAGAGCCTTCAGCCTCACCGACTGCTCAAGCGGTGTCCGATACCAATGGCTCTTTACTTGACACTGGAGCCGGTGCGCCGACGCAAGCCAAACCAAAGACTGTGGAAGACGATCTTTTGGGCCTCTCATTGGAGGACACCGGATCTGGGTCGCCGGGAGCTATTTCTCTTGGACCAAGTACCGTTTTCACGGCTCCTTCTGGCTCAATCTTTTCGAATGCTTCCCAACTGCCTACAAGCCAAACCCCGGTCTCTCAACCCTCGCCTAAACCCAATTACGACGCGTTCGCTTCCCTCACTAGTGCTCTGCCGCAGTCCAAACCGGCAAGTCCCCTCCCAATGTCCCAACCGCCGCGGCCATCCAGTCAAGCACCTGTTGACCCGTTCGCCGCTTTGGTCGCCTCCAGTTCTCGACCGTCAACGCCTTCACGTCAGGCCAATAACCTCCAGCCCATGACGACAAAGCCGGCTCCCACTTCCGCGCCCGCGGAAGACGAATGGATGTTCGAGTCGTCACTGCCGGAAACTCCGGTGGTGAAAGTACTCTCTTCATCTGTTGAAATCGAGTTCGAAGCTCGACGGGCATCAGGAGAAGCAGAAATTCAAATAACTGCCCGCTTTTCCAACGCGACTGATCAACGGATCACGGGATTGCATTTCCAGGTGGCTGTGGAGAAAATCTACTCTCTCCAACTGAAACCGCAGAGTGGGCGTGAGATGTCACCGCGATCACGACATGCTATCCAACAAGAAGTCCTGCTCAGGGGCGTTCCTGTAGGCAAAGGAAATGTAGTTAAGATGCGGTTTAAGGTGGCATACGAATTAAACGGCCAACCGCGAGAAGAACAGGGCAACGTGCCATCACTGGGAATCAGTTAGAGCGATGGGAAGTTCCACCATGCGATATTCCCCGGAAGAAGCGAGATGACTCACGAGTCAGAAGTGCGACAGCAGTAACTTGGTGTTGTGACGGCAATTGACATTCCCCTGACCATGGTTCAAAGCAACCGGAGTCCTTTTTCCAATCTCAACATGCTATGTTCTTATTTCTCCATCTCTTCCCAAACGGGTTAAGTTGTCGTGGAGTTTTGCATTTCAATCTTGGATCAGAGAGGCAGGAGAAATATGGCAAGTCGGGCTATCGAGGTGTGACGTAGAACAGAAATTTTTGACCTGGAATTGAAAGTCCCAGACGCGAGGCGGCAATAAAGGGCTGTGATGGACAGTGCCAGCTGATTCGCGACGATCAGTCGATCATCATAGGTACGGATGATAGATCTGTATCCGAAGGGGTTGGAGAGATCAGATTTCGCGGATGCCAGGAACTGATAAAGCGTGGGGAGATTATCAACCTGGGTTGCCGATCTTGTAGTGGGGGCGTGGGGCGAGGTCACTTTGATCCCACACTCCACGTCCACTAGCTGGCATTTTATTTCAAAATCATTCCAGGCTCTACCGGATTCCCAGAACCGACATTTTAAGGAGCCCCTTGGAACCCTGACGGTTGCTTTCGACTATGCTTTAACCTCAAGAGGTCATTCTGTGGGGCTAATTGTGAATCAATATTCCGTACCAGTTCCAAAATGAACAAGTTCTTCTTCATGTCAATGGTTCAACAGTAAAGATAACAGGTAAGTGGACCATTCCGTTTATGTTCCAGCTGAGGCTATGACTGCTAGGGCGAAAGCTGACCAATGCCTAAGATCGGAACATTTTGCTCTGCAGCATTTCCCCCTCTCGAACCTGAAACTATGGACATGGGTGAAAAAGAGGGACTCTTGCACATGTATCGCAACGAAGCCTGGGAAGAAATGGATCTTCCGGCATGAGACGAAGATCCAGGACTTAAGGAAGTCGCCCGGACACATACTTTCGATGGACGAATCAAGGAGCCGACGGAAATGGTTTACGAGAGGGGCAGGTACCGTTCATGATGCATGATTGCCAGGCGACCGCAGTCCCCGTCCAACTCTATTATCATCCCTTTACCGGTCGATTCGAGCCTGGTGGCCTCCAATTCGGCTGACCAAAGTGGTTCCTCTGCATGAAGATCTGTCTACGAGAGCTTTTTTTCGACACCATCTCCCGCCAACCTGAGCCATTATGTCCCGCGATCTTTGTTTCGATAACTCCACCTCCTTCATCTTTCTTCTTCCCCTATCTACGGAGCCTGGCACTTCATGGTTCCGTCTCGCTTCGGTTGGACTTTAGAGTACTGCTTCTCGCCGACTCACATGTTACACTTCACCACTTCTCGTATCTCCTCTTTATGTTGCCTCCACCTCAAATGATATCTCGTTTTGGTCCTGTTTATGCCATACGACAGTTCCAAATTATCATTCGACCGTTTTGCCATGCCAACGAGTATCGGGCCTTACCAGGGGATTCGCCACGATATAATTCGGCTTCCATTCCTTGAAGGTATCGGCAAGAAAATGAACTCCAAACTATTTGCTCCCAGCGACAGCACCCGTCTGGGCCCTTGAAACTGTTTAGAACTACTTTCACGCTATATCCACAAGCAGCAGTGTGGAACATTGCCACCATTACGCACTACTCCGGCTGCTAAGGCAATTAAAATGGATCGAATTCATGGTGAAAACCAGGAAAGGTTAGCCATACTTTAAAACATACCCTTCCTTCGCACTGACAACATGAGAAGAGCATATATTGTGGCGTCAAGAAGGAGTGATCGAAGTCTAGAGGCTCGGGTAGAATCAGTACGAAGAGCCTCAGAAATCCACCAACGTCGAACCGGCCGTTCTCTACGTGTGACGGAACAAGATATCATCAATGAGGAAATGTACGAAGAGGAGGACGATGATTTGCCATTACCGTATCATCGTCTCACGACGCACCTTCAAACTGAGTTTGGCCGATTTCAATCGACGATTGGCTGTTTATTTGACGAACCAAGTGGCAATGCGAAGCGCAATGGAACAGATGGTCCAGAACACCTATGCTCAGTACCCTAATGATCCCTATCAACAAAGACCAACGATGTTTCCATCACCCATGTTCCCTCGACAACAAAATATGACTTAATCACCTTCAACAGTGTATCGATCCGCCCCATATCTGCCTCCTCACCGACCCAACTTTCGACCAAACCACCACTGAACATTCTCGATGGCATCACTATGGACATCCCAAGACCCAACATCGCCTTCTGGATCCGTTCCACCAGGCCCATTTAATCATAGAAGGATGTCGACAACAGCATCACTTCAACATGGTGATATATCGACCGACCATCAAATCAGTACCGATGGTATGAAAATGGATTCCGAATACCTGAGGCGAACTCCGTTCACCATCTTCCCATCTGTTGGTGCCACTTCGTTCTCGCCTTTATGGGAAGACATGGGACCCTTCACAACATCACTACCACCCAGATGTCAACAGATGATCGCTCAGGCACCCGGCTTCGATCCCAATGAACCTGCCTACGCGATGCTCATACGTGGCTCTGACCAGTACGTGTCCAATCTATATGACCCATGGCAGGACATGCGTGGTGGTGTCAAAAGCATGCTTGGCCAGATCGTCAACGGCGCGCAGAACACCAACCCGGATTCAAAGCCCAAAACTATAGCTGCACATCCATCCCTTGGGCAAAACGACTACGACCAAAATGATCTTCCGACGGCTGGGTTGGACTTCAATTTCAGCCTGGAAAATAAAGGTCTAGATTTCGCCGGTGGGGGGGTGAATTGGCCCCTGGTTCAAATCAGATCACGTCTGCAGGAGAGGAATTCTTGGATCTTTTCGTCATAGATGGGAGCTGGGAGGATAGTGGGGAATTAGACACGTCAGGTTTCGGCGCTGCTAGGAACGCTGCCGGTGAGGCAGGATGAGACATCAACCACCTTGAAGACGGATGTTGATGAAGAGAAATATTCTGGATGGGAACGTGAAGGAATAAGGACCACGAGGACATTAAATCGAGTCCCTCTGATTCGCTCCTGGCGTTCTGGATTATAGAAAACGAGAATTTGTTCGAGGCTGGATCAAACAACCAATCCTCACTAAGTGTTTTGAAATATGCCCACGACAAAATCCGGAGGAAGACATGATTCAGGAAACCTCAACGAAAATGAATTTAATTGTCAACGACGTTTTGTCAACAACCCCTTTTTGGACAACTATGTCAAAAAATCATGTCCACACTTCCCGAGACGAAGAAAATCCGAATGAATTTTCAAATTGGCGAGCCGTGTTACGCGTTGCTACTTGGGCGCCAAACTCGATGACGTACCAGTTCGGGAGTAAGTTTATAACGCATTTTTCCATTCGTTGATACCGACACGAACGGCAGAGTGAATGATACTGTGCCTTAGCTGGAGGATACACAATATACCTGAGCATACCGGCAACGAGTCCTTTTGCTTTTGTGACAGACTAGTAGCTCGACCCCTTTCTTCCTCCGTACTTTCCCTTCCCTCGGGCAGAGTAGAAGATGCAAGACAAATTTCGATGAATCTGCAATGTAAACTTCAGGAGAGAAAAGTGAGCGCGCCAACTGACATGTATCTGTATCGATCAAACAACTTTCCTCGAATTCTTCTCAGATTGTATTTCGTTTTCGATTCTATGTATTATTTCTCGCCAAGTCGGGTATCCATACACATAACATACTCACCTCCTCATTCATATCTGTACCCGCGCCCTGACGTGGGAGCTTTGGTCTGTTTGCTTTTGTATCCAGAAGGGGAAATTCGAGTGTTCGAGTCCGTTGTGTTGCCTCCGGCTTCCGCTTCTCAACCCCTCGCACTTCCACTTGTCCCTGCTCCACTAGCTTCCCGGGGCAATTCCCCTGACGGCCTTAATGCCGATCCCTGGCCCGAAATCGACGGCCTGGATCCCAAATCAATGCTCTTCCTGACACTGCTGGAACTGCTTCTCCTCCTCCGCATGCGAATTTCACTGGGATCTGCGACATTCGTGAGTCCGCCTGCACGGGCAAAGAGGATCAGGATGTCAGTGAGACTGACGACGCCGACCAGGCGGCCGGAGATGCGAGCACCCGGGAGTGACGAGGCGGAGACGCTTGGTCCCGTTGGAGCGATGAAGGGCGCTTTTGGCGAGGGGTCGGCGACGGCGCTCGCGAGTGGTTCAACGGGGGTAGAGGCGACCAGGGGTGGAGTGCCGTGGTGTTGGCTGGAGCTGGAGGAGTGACTTGAGGTCGGAGCTAGAGTTGCTGTGTGTAAAGATGGAGTTGGAGGGCTAGAAGAACTGGGTGATACCGGTTCTGTAAGCCACATCCGGTGGGATTTGGTAGCGACAAGTTTCGCGACGGTGTGCGCGAGGGTAGAAAGCGGCGTGACATAGAAAACTGGAAAGGAATCCTTCCCTTCAACCATACCACGCGTGGAGAGAATGACAGTAATGAAGTGGATGCAAGTATTGCGGAGGAGTGGGAGTGAGGACGATTTGGTGAGTAATTTCACGTCAACATTCGAGATGTTGCCGATGACGTTGCGATTATGGTCGACGACCGGAAGGGAAGAAACCCCTTCGTCTAGGAGGAGGGTGAGCCCTTCGGCTAGCGGTCGATCGCCGCTGGATTCATGTGAGCATGACTGGAGATGGGGACAGAAAGGGAGAGACTTACTTGATGGCCACGACGTCGTGGGACCCAATCTTGAGATCTCGCAAGTGTTGTGTATAGAGTTGATCGAGAACGGGAAAGCATCTTCTATTCTCCCACAGGAATCTGATCAGCCGGCTCTGACTCAGGACACCGGTTGCTTCTTTGGTGGTTTCGTCAATCACCACAACACGATGGACACCTTTACCAAACGTCTCAATGGCCTTGAGCAAATCTGAGTTCTCGTCCAAGAACGTCAACGGTTCCTTTTTGCAGAGGTCTTTGATTTCGCCAAGATGTATAAGTTTTCCTTCTCGTGCGCGTCGAGCCAATTCCATAAAATCTTCAGCATGTTCGTCATCCGGTCTCCATAGGCCGACGACCAGGAGGAGATAGGCGTTGAGATCACGGTGGTCGAATGTTCCAATGACGGGCGATCCAGCCTTTTCGCGAATGAGCACCACTGGTGCACCGGATTCAATGAGAAGCTGTCAGCTGTCAATATCAAAGCCCAAAACTCAAGGAATCCCGTCTTACGTTGGTGGCTGCTTCCACTCCTGTGTCAATGTCGACAAACCTCAGGTCGTCGGGATTCACCAGCTCTTTGACCTTGACCGTGGTCCAGTCTCGTCCAGCAAACTTGGGATCGGGGTTCTTCATTGGAGGGTTGTCAATCAACTCCTGAACAGCTAATTGTGAAATGGAAGGTTGTCTCTGAGATCTTGGAGAAGGAGGATGGCCTCGCAGTTCATGGAAGCTCTGACGGTGTTGAGCCGCAGCGCTGGGCATGGAAGGAATTCGTAGCGAAGGGGTTCTTGTGGAGGGTGACTGAGCGTCCATGCTCGACCTTGATGACGCCGACGTAGATGGGGTAGAACTGTGCGGAGTCTCCCGGTTGGGCGTCGCCATATTGGCAAGCGTTTGAAAGGGGATTTGCGAGAATGGGATCAATGGGCTCGGTTCGAGATGGGGTCCAGCTCAGTTAGTCGCGGGGGCACACTGTGACGCATCCAATTGGGAAGAGTGAAGTCGTATGTATGGTGAGGTGACCAACAACCACGTCTGATCGAGGTCGATATAGAGGGAATGGACCGCGGGATGCCCTTGGATGTCAAGAGACTTTTTGTTTATGTCACAAGCCGAATCACCAGGCGGGCTTCTTACTTGGGTTTAGGCTAGAAAGCTGGAGCTGACGTCGATGCCGAGCCAGGCCCCATGACGGCTGTGGAAACAGGGTCATACCACACTCACGACCCCATTGTCAGAGAGCCAAGACGCTTCCGAAGTTATTCTATTTGTGTCCCGAGGACCGAATGAACCAGAATATCGCTTGCTTCATATCCGGTGTCAAGCCTGAAATTCACACAGCAAGTCTGCAACACTCTTTCCATTCGACCTCATCATTGGTCTCGTTTGGGGTCCTCGCTTCGGCGGAGGCGACAGTGTCCCTGGAGGAGCCAGCTCCCGGTTCCTTACTCTTTTGGCCTGGTCACGATTGCTGACTGGAGACCGTTTGGCCTTCTCCGCCCTAGCATGTGTCTTGAGATTCTCGAAGAATATCGTTCGCGTTGAGGGAAAGTCATCAACAATGTGCGACCATTGCCGGGGTGATCCGAGCCAGACTTCCAGCAAGGGTAATCTGTCTACCAGATTTGGCCGGCGGGCGTGGGCCAGGTTCCTGAAGAGCTCGATGCTGTCGTAGTAGCAGCCCGATACGGAGCCAAAGTGAAAATCCTGGTCGCCAATGATAGGACGCAGGCTTCTGGCACTCTTCTTCGCGTGTCTGGCATCCCAACCGGCCGCGATGGAAAGACTTTCCCAGTCTCCCCGATTTCTTTGATGCATTCGTGGGCAATCCGTCACAATGATGTGGCATAACGATGGGAAGCGGTCGACGTATTTAAAAATCCAACCGGATAGATTCTCTTGCCAACCAAGTAAAATCACTCGGAGATGTTGAAATGCCTGGCCAGACGCGGCCAGTTCCGCCCACGCCCGCATCATCCGTTCGTCATATCGCGAGGAAATGTCGTCGATGGTAATTTGTCCATCAGAGAGGTCAAGAATTGCTAGATTGGTTATGGTATGAATTGACAAGAAATCACTCGTAGCCATCTGCTTTGGTGAAACACGCAGGCACGTCAACCAATTGTTTCCGGGAGACGTGATGCCAGTATAATATTCCGAAACAGGTTGCAAGAGCTGTTTGATCTCCAAGAGATATCTGTATTCCCTTTGACCAAACTCTTCTGCGTCGGGATATGCCGAAGCCAGAGTCCTCCACACATGGAAGCTTTCTCTCCGCCTGTCTCGAAGGGTCAGCGTGAACGACCCAATTGAATGCTCGCTTCGTACATGGACAACACATCATTCCAGACTCTCTGCGCCATGGCCCAGGGTATATGAGTAAAATGATCCGCATTTAGCACCCTGAATTCGAGAGCAATTTTGATTATTGCCATCTCAGCCAGTGAGCGAGCACCCGCTCCATTTCGAGGTGGCTTCTTGACCAGAGCGGGCGTTTTGGGCTCCCCGATCCAGTCAGAGTACTGCTTCCTGTTGAGGGGTACTTCTATCTCCGAGAATACTTGGCCAGATTCAGAGTCAAACTTGTGATCTCTTGTTGGCCTTGAATATCCCAAGCTGGGTTTATGCGAGGGAGCTTTTCGTCTCGATAGAGCAATAGCTGACTTCATCGCCATTCTCGAAACCCAGGACCCTTCTCATTGAACGCTGGCGACACACGGTGTCAAGTCTGTTGAAATCCGCGTGCAATTCCAAATAGATTTAATATCTCAACAATCACAACCAGGTCTTAACAGCTTCGTCATGGCTATCAAAGATTCTTTCCCCATTCTACTTGAATCGCCGTAATTCACAGTGGAAGACGAAGGCTGCTGAGTCCTCATTGTTTCCCAGATCTCTCTAATATGGTACTAGCTAGAAACGTGCTAGTGTATTTACGAGACGATGATTAACAACCCAGTGTTCCAATCATCCTCGATCTCGTAGAGATATTTGATGTCTTACCCGACGCCGCAAAATTCCGCTTCTTATACTATCGACGGTTTGATGAGAAAGGCAAGTCCTGGACTGTGGAGAGAAAAGCATCATCTCCTTAACAGACGTGCTGTATTGACGACTCTTCTACTGCATATCTTTTTATTTGCTTTGTGGTCTGCCTACAGCAATCCCGCGCTTGCTAAGGACCTCGATTGATACCGCTGTCTTTGACATGGTCTTCCACGTTGAGGACCTCAAGAACGGAGCCGCAGGTGAACAAGGGCCCTAGGATCGTTGAGCCATACCGAGGCGACGCCTCCCGTCCTGTAGCCGGGTGTTGCAGTTCATCTTTGCCAAGCGATATTTCCCGCCTCCTCTCCCCCCAACACAATGACCAGCAGTTCGAGAGCTTCTCGGAGATCAAACTCGTGACCCCTCAGTTTTAGATTGGGGGACCGGCAGAGCACCTGCAAAAATTACCAGCTCATGAATCAAGTCAAAGGTTGCTCTGAGATGGAAATATCCTTAATTATCATCTCGCTTTCAGCTATTCGGTTGGGGCTCCTCGGGGAGCACCGGTAGTCAAAAAGGCAACTTTTTATAAACTCGAGCTTCGTAGCAATGTTGCTAAAGAGTAATATGGTCAGCGCCGAAAAATAGAATAGTCATTTCTCATGACCAAATAGCAACTCCTTGAGCCAATGAGGGGTGTTGTCGGCGAGTAGCTCTCTCCTTTCGATCGTCCTCTTTTACCAGAATCCACTGGACCTGACAAATCTCTCTTGGTGCTCCTTCAAACTTGCCCAGTGTACCAGTTCTTCCTCTTCGATCTCTTCCGCCGTCCGCAGAAGTCCCCCCGTGCCCGCATCAGCCACCCCTCGGAAACGGGCGGGACCTAATCTTTCCAGCTTCGACAAAATACCGAGGAAGGTGTCGAGGTATTTGTTGACGCCCTCCGAGTCGAGCGTCGGCATAACGCTCATTCTGGCACGCTTGGTTTCAAGTAAAGTCGAGGCGACAGTTCGAATTTTGTTACACTGCATGTAAGAGTCAGTATTAATTCCACTTGGCCATATGATGTGTTGAGCTTACAAAGCTCATCCCATTGGGCTCCATGTTGACTTGATTGATGCTCTTGAGCAGAAGCGCCATATCACGAACAATATCTTCTCGCTCCACGGCCATCATTTGTTCTCCAGCATCCATCATACTGTCGCTAGGGGTCCGACCAGCCACCTGTCGGTAACTGTGCTCCATTCCGGTCGTCATGATTCCCGCGGTCGGAGAAGAACTGGTTCTCGACTTGTCGGAAGGGAGGGTCAACTTATCGCGGTCGACGATTTCGTACAAGTTCCAAAAACGCTCGACGAGGTATGATCTGGACGACAGTTGCGTGGCGTAGATATTGGCCTTTTGGATCTCAAATTGGATGGCTCGCTTGGAGTAGGGCAGTGGTAAAGATCCACGGGCACTGCCTGGTGTCGCGCTTGGATCAGTCTCACCTCCTTCACGATCATGGAAGAGATGAGAGTATGCTGAGATGTCGGCTTGCGTGGGGGGCCACTCGCCGAACCCGTTGGCAGGATTTAACTGCAGTTCTTTTGGGGCATCTCGAGTGGCGTCCTTGACATTTTGCAAGGCTCGGCGAATGATTTGACGCTGGCGATCCCAGTCGTAGACGGTGTTTGCGCCAAAGGCCATTTCCAAGGCGGCCAGGAAGTGAAAAGCCCGAAAGACTTTGACATTAAGATTGAATCCTACCATTTCCGAGACCACTCCACGAGGCTGGGGAAAAACCTGAGACTCTGTGATGTATTCATCGTCCACTTCGAGAGGCAGAGGCGGAAGCATTTCGGCATGTGACACTGGGGGCATTAACAGATCGCCCTCAGCTTCGTCCAGTTGACGGGCCGACATGGCGCCAACGAATAACAACCAGAAAAGCCGACGACCAGATTCTTGATAGACGTGGTCGACGGGTGGCGGTCGGTTGGTATCAACCGGGGAAAATAATCCTCCGGGCGGAGCTGAGGTTGGTCGATGAATCTCTGGTCGATGGAAATTGAACTCCCTCATTATGATGGTGCATTCTCCCAGATAAAGACGCATGCGGGGAATGTCTAGAACGTAGCCAGCAGCGAGTCCGGTCAAATAACTCGCGATCCCATCGTAGAGGCTCATCGGCCTGTCCATATATCCGAGACCTCGGGCCTCGACGAAGACTTGATGACATCTGTCGATCAAAGCACCCGCATTGGGAAATTGTGCTCTTGCTTGTTCCGAGGTGAATAATTGTCGTGGTCGGCGTGGAAATGAGGCCACCAGACATTCCACCATAGCAGCCACCAAAGACAAGAAGTTATGGTTGGTCCGGTCCTCTCTGGCCTCAAAAGATCTCCGGAATGTGGGCTCGTGTGGAAGAGGTATCAAGGGATGGATGTAAATGAAATAATCATCTAATAAAACTTTCAAGGTAGGCAAATCGCATATGGATTCGGCGGACAGAGGGGCAGGGCCAGACAGAGCGGCGAGGCTATATGCGGCATCGTGGGTTGGTGAACCTCTTGAACCTTCAAAGCCCCCTCCTTCGAGTTTCTGTCTCTTGATGGCTTCGGCATGTCTGTTGGGAGGCCCACGACGTCGACTGGGACGATCAAAGGTGCATGGAATATCGAGGGCAGCGCATGATTTGCATGGTGGACCGGTCTCGTCACACTGAAATATACATCAGCTTGTGTCGCGACGATGTCATGATGAGGTGCACTCACCTTAACTTTTCGCACACTGCAACTGTCACAAGCCTTCCTCAGACGAACCTTGGGTTCTGATGACCCAGAACCTTGAGATTTCGAGTGATCATTTGGATGAGCTTCAGGTCCGGAGCGAGGGACGGGTAGAGAAACCTCGAACTGATGAGGATAGGCTGATGGGATCTGGTACGCCGTAGGATCCTCGTATTTGTAGGCATTGCCTGCGTCCTGGGGCTGAGAGGATGCGTAAGAACCTGTGGGAGAGATTGACGACATTGAGAACAATTCCTATCTCCGTGTCTCGGTATGCAACAAGTCAAGGACGACGACGGGTGAACGTCGGCACATTTGGAGCGTGAGTTGGTACGGTTCGGGGGGAAGGTTTAGATGTGGAGGCGGGGAGGTGGGATGCGAGACACAAAACCTGCCCCGTAGTCGCTTGCACTCGGCACTTGCGCGAGTTTCTTCTGTCGGTTCGGGGAGGATGTTGTCATTCACCGCATCTGCTGAAGAGTTACCACGAGATTGAATTCGAGAAAGGAAGGGAAATATAGGGTGCAGGCGATTTACAGGGAGCTACAGGCGAAATCAAGCAACTCACCACACGGACAATTTTTCGTAGCCAATTAGTAGCAGCCCTCGGGGCCAGCAAAAGCTGGTCGGGTCACGCTCGCCCCTCGCGCTCAAGTTTTTATTTGATGTATGGTTTGTTTTGAAAGATCCGGGGTCGGTTGTTGGATGGCAATCTCATTTCCATTCTCTATTGGAAGCCTCTTGTTGTTTCTGTTTCTGGATCTACCATGTCGGTTGACCTAATCATCTCTACCAGAGAACCACCATCAGGAGACAATCCGTATATCAGTACGGGGTATCAAACGATTGATTTTGCTGCAGGAAAATTATCCTCTCGCTTCCCCCAGATCGAGAAGTCGTCTGGCATACCTCTCGGTCCTCAGTGCGGCCGACCCCTCATCCAGAAGTCGTAATCACAGTCGCAAGATGTTTGAGCTCCTCCGGTACCAAATACTGATACTGGCCAAATGAGGAATGAAATACATCAACAGTCCAGTGCATTGCTGTGCAGCCATAAATATTTCCAAAACCTCCACGATCCAGCAAACACAGCCATTAGCAGGTTAGCAGCAGGAGGCCCTGGGGTAAGTGGGCAGCTGTAGGAAATTCCTCTCTCCTCCGATTTCCCCTCCAGCAACTATAGTTACCACAGAGAAGCGGCATTCATTGATAGAGTGAATACGGAGGATGTATCAGTTTTGGTAGCAAGGAAAAGATCGAAGAAATTTGCGTTTTGAAGGCCGGAACGGGACCCGCCAAGGTATTTCGGCTGACGTGCGTCAAACCGAATTGAGACTCTACGGTTGACAGCCTGCAGTCTCGAAATTAGGGTAGTAAGGACTCGCCAAAAATCCATGTAGAAAAGGCGTTTCAACATGATACGTACCTTGACAGATGCTGTGTGGCTTTACCCTCTGAAGGTGAGTGTCTTTTTGGTTCAACGTCGAACGATCCACTGATCGGTCGCGTTACAGGGGATTGTCTACTTTGTCGGCCACCCATACTTCTACCCTCTCTTCAAAGCACGTCTAGTCCCCGTCCTCCTCCTGTCCGCCTTCATCTACGCGAATCTATTCATCTGGGCATATCTTCCACAAGTCGCCTTCCTCGCAATCTTTCATGGGCCAGGAGCTTGGTTAAATGCAACATTTTTGGTCCTGGGCGAAGGCGCTGCCATTGTCGCCTTGCTGTTTGAGGCTTTCTTCGTGGATGAAACACTAGTGGATATCTTTGATGCAGTCTTCATTGACCAAGGTCTCGACGACATGATCGATGAAGCTCGTCTGCTTGATCAAAGGGGTTCCAACTCTGTCCAGATGCTGGGGAAGCCTACAAAACCGTCGGTCTACAGTCCGTTCTCTCTGCGTCAGATTATCGAGTTCGTGGTTCTGCTTCCGCTCAATTTGATTCCCTTTATTGGCGTTCCAATCTTCATGATCCTCACAGGATACCGAGCGGGCCCATTTCATCATTGGAGATACTTCCAATTACGCGGTTTCTCAAAGAAGGAACGAAAGGGATATATTGAGAACCGGCAGCTGAAGTATACCTGGTTTGGAATTGTGACATTGACCTTGCAGCTTGTTCCAGTCCTGAGCATGTTCTTCCTACTGACATCTGCTGTTGGTAGTGCCCTGTGGGCCGCGAAGATGGAAAAGGCCCGGCGGGCCCGGGAAAGTCTTCCTGCTTCAACCACGGACCCATATCGAGATGACCCAGCGTAACCGGCTCTTATATTCAGACCATTCGACTATTTGGTTCAATGAGCGTGCTTCCCCACAACATCAGCTACCTCCTCTAAGCTCCTCACAGTCACAGTTGGCCCACCAGCCAGTCTATCCTGCCAGCCATTTCCAGCTCGGTCCACCCACGCTGCTTGCATACCCACGGCGCGAGCACCGACGACGTCAAATGGGTTGCTCGACACAAGCCACATACCATCTTCCTGGCCTGCCTTGTCGACCTTTTGAGCCAGGAATCTATAGACCTCCGGAGCCGGTTTGTAGGCTCTTACAAAGTCGACGGTGACGAGGTCTTTGAAGACGGAAGAGTCAAGGTCCCTGGACTGATTGACTGAATTGGATACCATGGTCTTGGTGCCGTTGGAGAATAGCACGCATTCAATGTTGGGATCCTCTGCCAGTCGCTTCATAGCCGGGTTTACATCCGGAAAAGTGGACAGAGAGTCATATGCTTTCATGACTTGATCAGATTCCGCCTCGCTAAGGCTCACTCCGTGTTCGGCCAAAGCGTGATGGAGGGACCTGCGAGTCACTTCGGAGAAGTGTTCATATTGTCCTTGACCACAATCAGCCACTGTTAATTAGCATATGCGATCAGATCAAGGCGTGTACTCATGCTATTCAATCTCCATGTATATTCCAGCTGGTACTTTCTCCACACGGCAGCAATTGAGGCGGCCTTCTCATCGCCAAATTGCGATGCCAATACCTGGGCAATACTTTCTGTCGACAGCAGGGTGCCATACAGATCAAACGCCACCACGATCTTGTTTGTCATGTTGCAAAGCAAGATAGTTGACAACGGGGTCTTTCTCCAAGCCAACTTCATCTGTTAGCATTCTTAAGTTCGTGGAGGTGAGCCTCGGACAAGACACCGACGATGTCATCTCCCCGCCATTAACCACGTGACTTGTTCCACTGTGCGCCATACGTTCCTCATCTTCATTCAGCATTGCTCTATTCTGTGATGGAGTCCAATATGCATATAGCCTGACATATGTATCTTGTCTATATGAAAGACTTTCACTGTCAAACACGCCCGTTTCCCTGACGACGACCTCGCTGTACCTTCCACGTTTGACATCAACATAATTGCGCGGCCGACGCGGCATAAGAATAAACCTACATAATCCTTTCTTTCCACTTCCATTGAACCATCCCCTTGTAATGTATCCTCCATGCCCATCAGCAACGCCAACAATACCAATTATGACGCCTTCAGAGATTGTCTATTCTCTGTCGTTGTCGAAAAGTCCACGGACGGAGTCCGTAAGGGCCGTAAACGTTCTGCTGTTGGGAAAAAGACCACTCCAGCAGAATCAACATTCACGGCAACAGAGCCTTCAGAGCTGACAGATTTCTCTGATTATTTGGCCATCGAGATGTTTTCTAGCCTTCCAGAGGAGCTTAGAGGCCTTTCTCACCATTCAGTTCAGAGCGACGCCGCTCTTTCGGAGAAATGGTCTCCACCATTGACGGTCTCTGGCTTGGAGGAAGTTACAACACTCATTCCAGGAGACATAACCGATACCCTGACAGCGTATGGACTTACTAACCCTCCCAAATCTGATCTGCAGTCTTTTTTGGCTCCTGTTCTATCGGCATATATTGCTTTTGTCACGACACCACCTCCCAAGTGGGCAGAAACCAAAAAGAATGCTTGCGAAATATGCGAGCGTGACTGGGTGCCAATGACTTACCACCATTTGATCCCGAAACAAGTACATGCCAAAGTCTTGAAAAGGCGCTGGCATGAAGAGCATCAGTTGAACAGTGTAGCATGGCTTTGTCGTGCATGCCACAGCTTCGTCCATCGGATGGCATCAAACGAGGAACTAGCCCGTGCATGGTACACTGTCGACCTGATTTGTGAAAGAGAAGATGTTAAGAAGTGGGCACAATGGGTCCAGCGTGTAAGATGGAAAAAGAAATGACAAACGCGCCGAGAGCACCAGCATATGTCTTGAAACTCTTGTACAACCGACTTCTTTGTCAGAGGAAAGGTCCACATTAGCATGGTTTGACCGAAGCGATGGTTCCAAGAGCAAATGGTTCAATCAGCCAAAAAAGCTGACATCTATCACTAAAGCCTCCTCTATTCAGCCTTGCTCGTCTATTTGTCCGGTGCTTTCCAATCGCCCAAACGACGCCCCCAACGCCTATTTCTCAATATCTAACCTTGCCGTCGTTATATAAAGAACGCTCCCCAGTATCTGTCGCCGTGGCAGCTCAACGCTTCACGTTATTGACATCGAGAAGATTTCTCTCAAATAAACATACACTTCTTCCACGAACTCTTCCTTTCCACCTTCGCCTGTTCACGTCACTGTCCATCCACAACAGATCAAGTTCGAACTTGAATTGTTGGCTTGGCAGCTTGCACAACAGCTTCCGACTGCTCTATTCTTCGCTGAAAACCATCCACCTCCGTCCTCCGGCGTCGGAAAAACAAAGCCCCGGTGAAAGGAGTTCAGCCTCAGAGAGCACGTGACATCATTACCTCGACGTCTTCATAATGGCAACTTTACGGAATAACCACGACGGCAACATTGCCGCACCTCTTCCAAACAATTAACAGCATTCATCCAGACGTTGGTATTGAAACCGCAACCAATCAACTCCACAACCCTCTTGATTTGTCGTCGATCCAAACACTTCTCAACCTTTATCCTGGCTCTGCACTGTCATTCAGACAGTGAACCAGATCCACACAGTTGCCTTCTTTCCAGTCGGCGCAGAAGTAAACAACCTTCTCCACGGCGTACCCGTAATGAATTCCCTTCCCGCAAGCGGCCTCGTTTACAACTTCGGGAGAGCGCTCAGCTACCCATATCAATTACTTCTCTCTACAGCCTCAGACAAACCGTTGTTCAGAATTTGCTATCTCTGCCAGCAACACACAACAACTGGCGAGACCCCTTCGGCAGGCTGCTGGGTTTTCTCGTCCAAAACACTCCCCACCTGACCGCACACCAAGCAGCCACGAAGGCCTATAGAAAAGGAATTCAACAATACCTCCAAATCGTCCAAAACCGCGGCGTCCTTAAACCTGTGCGCTAAAAGCCGTTTGAGGAAGCAGTCGACCAACTTTTCCTTATGGGCGACAGGCCACACGCGGTCTTAGAGGCATCCGGCAAGCAGGCGCTCGGGAAGCTCGTCTTACTCAAGGACACCTTCGCTAGCCACGGAGTCGTGCTCCGTCGGCAGCGGCAGGAAGTGGCGCTTGGCCTGGGAATCAAAATGTACCAGGTCATCCACAACTCCCAGTTCGTGCTCCGGGAGCAAACTGCCGGCGGAGCCAGGCTGGCAAGGAAGGAGGAGGGGCTCGGGTGTTCGGCGTTGCGCACGCCCAGGGAGGATGCGGAGGAGGATAAGGGGCAGGGGGGAGGGATGGAATGGATAGGGGATGCAGAGGAAGAGACAGAGGAAAACGACGACGACGAGGCTGGGGCCCCAACGGGCCGCCCCGTCCGTCACAGACCCGGACGTACGCTCCCCTGGGTCTGCCGTTTCCGTGCAAACCACAGAGGAACAAAACACAAGACCTCGATGACCCGCCACCTATGGATGGTCCACAGCCTCCGTGGCTTGGAATATTAGAGGTTCGCCTCTTAGGAGATCGGCGTTCATCAATGGTGGAAGATCCTGTTCGTTTTGTCTGATGGTGTGCCTGAAGTGCCCGGCGTGCCTGCGTGGACTTATACTTGTCTTGTTTGCTCTTACTTTTTGTGTGCCCTCCGGCCATCTCCTCCCTCAGTAAAGGGAAGGATGGGAGAAAAGACAAACAAAGAAGTTTATGCCGGGTTCTCCTTCATCTTCCTCTATCTTCCACGTGCTGTGTGTCTTGTATGTCCTTCGAACCTACTCATGCCCAGTATCCCATTGCTCTCGCCATTGAAATCGTCGAATAACTCCTTTAGTCCTGCAGGCTGCGCTCCGCTCCACTCCGGCCCATAGAGATTTCACGATTGCCTCAGTTGCCTTCGACCGCTGGAAATTCTCAGCCCAAACAATTCACCACCATCTTGTGACCGCCGTCCTCCAAACACTTTGCCTTCTTCCTAAGGGAGCAGCGGTCCAGATATCTTACAACATTCATCTAAGCGCATTCACCCACACTGCAGAGACCCTAACAAGTTACCCCCTTTCCGATGTGCATATATTGTTTGAGTGCTCTTTGGTAATCAGACGGCCGCCGGCGTCTCTGGCGATTTTGCAATTCAATCACCCTTTGAAACCTCAAGGCCGCCGTTCGCAAGTTCTCAAGTCCCGATTGACGATCTATTGTGTTAACTCCACTTATAGAGAACACCTCTGGCAGTGTCTCCGTTGCAACTTTGTGCATTGTAGTACCATGAGTGTTTCCTATTACGACTGTTACCACATTCTCTGTTCCAACTTGTTCTGCATTCTTGATACTGAAGAAATGTTGATTGTTGACCACCAGGCCGGAGTGGTCTTACTAGTCGTCTGGGATTGCTTCCCAGGCGGCGATTCCGGTACCGCTTTCAACAACAAATGCTAGCACAGCATGTACGCCGACATCGAGAGCATAGTAGTTGTCACTTATCTGGTCATCCGCAGGAACCACGCCAGAGCGGCTGGTTGTTGTAGCAAGTCGGCCATTTGATCGTTGGTTGCGACCCTCCCAAATTGATCTCGGTAGTCGTCTTGGATTTGAGCTAGAGAGGCGTTTTGATGCCACTGATTCGAGGACGACACTCTGGCTGCCTCCCATGTGCCAAAAAAGAGAAGAAAAGCCTGGACAATCGCAAAAGGCCTGCAGCATCTTCCGTACTTGACAGGCGCCACAGAGGTGGCAGTGCAAGAAGAGGACTCGTTGAATACAATTCAGACGGGGGAAGGTGTCAACATGAACCGGAAAGAGAAGGGCCTAGATAGATCGGTCAGCGGCTTAGATGTTGAAACCTCGAATGTGTCAATGTTGGATGATCTCTAGCCCTGCCGTGATATCCTCCTACCTATCAGCGGAGGACCGCTATATATATTTAATGTTGAAAGAGAGTGGGAATGTGGAGAAAACAATCGTGGAACAGAGAGGGCGAAAAGTACAGTACCCGACGTTACACTCATACTTCCAGCAAGGACGATAGTCAGTTTCGTTCGCTTCTTTTTGGTCAGTGCGACTGCGAGCACAGGACGCAATCCTGGCACTAGAGGAAGAATTGCAGCCGGACACAAAGCTCCAAGCAGTACAGAACATGGAAAGGTTGCTTGTTAATGGACTCCTCTTATAGAGAGATATTGGATCATCCTGTAATAATTTTGAGACAGCTGTCAGCCTTTCGGATATGGGTCAGGGCTAGTCACTGCAATGACTAAACTCGGCATTTCATTGCTCGATATATTGAAGAGACTTGACGATACTCTTGTTCCATGCCATCATATTCAGTACTATAATATCATCTCTCGTAAAGAGTGGGATACCAATCAGAAGCGGACGAGCTCATCCCAAAACATAGTCTTTGTGCTGTCGCCTGCGACATTGAAGACACCGCTTGTCCCTTCAAACGCGGTGATTTCGCCCGCTAGAGATCTTCGATCGCCATAGTATTTTAATCGGTACATGCCAGTCTCGGTGCCTGGTTCTATCTCCCATTCTATATGGACCTCACTGGTCCCGAGGGTGGTGCTGATTCTCTCCCATCGATACACCAGAAACCAGTCACGGTCGGAACGGACTTCAACCCAACGACCAGCTGAAGAATCAAACTTTTCCACGGCCGCAAATGTGCCTTCGAGGCGGAAATTATTGCGCGGGTTCGCCCCGACGAATCGTGCTTTGACGATTGAACCTGGTGTGAATGATTGAGATGGATCAGGAGATGACAAAGTGGCGCCAAATTTTCGAAGCAGACCAGCGTTGTCAACGACTACTGGTGTGATGAATGACCACGAGCTATTGACGTTGATGGGAGGACTGGGACCCGGAGGAAGTCGGTCAAGGTGAGACCGTTCATCTTCTGAACCCAGATAAGGGAGGTAGGTGAGTGTGAGATTGATATAGGCTTCCAGAGTATGTTTTCCGTAGAGAGTGCTGGCACCTTCGTAACGTTGTACGGCGTATTCCTCTTCCGTTGTAATGTAATGTGCGTAGGTATTGGCAGGGCCACCGAGCACGACTTTTGGTTCGTCAACGCTCAGGACGGATGGAGCAGCGGCTGCCAGCGCATCACGCCAGCGGCGTCCTGCCATTGTGGTAGCCTCACCCGGCGAAACGATGATTATGAGTGGGCCTATCCGCAGGAGTTGAATGTCAACAATGTTTGGAGACCATGCGTAAGGATCGTCGGCTTCTCCTACGTCGAGCAGGATGGGCTTTGGCTTCTGACAAGTAACCTGCTCATCTGTTGGGTTGTGAACGAAATCCCGTGCCAGTTTCCAGAGAGGATTTTTGAGTGATGGAGAATCGTCAGTGTCATTCGTCCCCTGAGAGAAGTCGAATGCTCCGGGACCGTCCGTCGTTCCACCTGCAAAGCCGTACCCTAGTGCCGCAGAACAGGTCCTCAGGTGTTGAGACCGGTTGTAGGGTGATGTAAAGGAGAACGACGAGAAATTGACATATGTATGGAAGAAGGATACTGTTGATGCTGGTATTCGTTCTAGGTTGTCGCTATCTAGGATGTCTCGGGCTGCTGCCATCTGACGGCTCCCAATCTCGAAGCAGGATTTTGTTCCTTGGTCCACGGATCTAAACATTGGTCCACGGCCATGACAAGGTTGAGTGCGGCCGCCGCAAGTACTGTCGTTGAAAGAACATTGAAGGCCAGTGTCTTCACAGAATGCCCCGAGAATATTCGGAGATGTGTCGCCAACATTTGCTTGAGAAAAGCCCGCTGTAAAGTTTGGATTCTTTTCTTTCATATACTCCTCGAGTAGATATGCTGCAACGCCCTTGTTGTCGCCAGTAACGAGAGTATTGTTCTGATAGAGCGAAGTCCCATGAACCGGAAACCAAGACAAGATACCCAGAGGGTGACCATCAGCTGTCTCGAATTTTAAGAGACTCAGATGTTTGTCTACATCTTCAGTGTACCGATGTCGCTCCGTCTTCGGGTTTTGTAGATAGGCGTACGGGCTGCGATTGATATTTGCATTTGAGATCTTTTGACGTCCGAAGCTGAGATAACCTGGCACAAGGCTGGAATGTGCCCGTTGTATTGCAAGTATAGAGCCATTGACAATAGCCTCATAGCTCTCCTTGCTGAATCCTCTACTCGTGATTTGTGGCAAGAGATAGTTTAACCATGCTCCAGGTCCGCTGTGGCTATGTGTCCCCGTCACGGCGACCGTGTTCTTGTTGTACATGTCATATTCGGGACCCAACTTCTTGAGCTCTTCCAGGATGCCATGCCGAATAGCCGTGTCTCCGGATTGAGTATCAAGGATAAGGTATACGATTCGAGAGGAGTTGTGCGACAGGCTTCCGACAATGAAGGCTCTGCAGTAGATCCGCTGCCTCAAGCCGGTTCCCACTTGATCCGTATCAGCGTATCCCATCAGATTGATTTCAACAACCGGCCTGAATGTGTCAGTCCTCGCTCCAAAGGATACTTGGCTGTTTCTTACCCAGTAATGTCCGCCCTCCCAACCCCCACCAAGTAGTCACCCTGCACGGCTGCTTCGTCATATTGTCGCCCGTTCGGAAGCTTGAATGGGAAGAAATGCTCGTCTCGAGCACCATTTTGGAAAACAAAGCAAGGCAATAGGAAAGCCGTAAGCAAAATAAGACAGAGAGTGTATAGAACAAGGGCAAAAGATCTCCGTGCCATTTTCTAGTGCTGCTGAACGGTGATGTTCTTGCAGCCTACCACTGGAGCCTTTGAAGAATAATCCCGGTCCTTTTTCGGGAAAGAAAGGGTTGTATCGGAAGATGTCATCCTCCTTGCCGTCTCTGACAGATAGAAAGAATCACTGAAAAGGAAACGAAGCTGCTCTGGTGGTAACAAATTCTCTTTGTCCTTGCTCTCTGAAACGGAGTGTCGTCATACTTGCCCAATACAGACATGGCTTGGCATCAAGTTTTGGGACATCAAACTGCATCTTCCTTTTTTTGGGCCTTTGCGGCAGCGATGATTGTGTCCTCCTACATCACAGCAGGATGCCTCTCATCTTGGAGTCCCACGACTCCCTACCTTGTAAGCCACTATATGGCCGCCTTTCCCACACCCTTACTGACTTGTCTGCAGATATCGACCCGGACATTACTAATGCCGACCGCGACCATGCCAAAGCCTTGATCACAGAACACCTCCCTCCCAACTATCTGACCACGCCGCATCCCTCTCTTGCCCCTCTTCCTACAGTCGAGTTTTCCGAAATCTTCCTTCAAGAGGTTAACCGGCTAGCGGCGGGTCAGCCCCGCCAGGCAGGGATCGACCTGTCACGATATGAAGCACCTGAGACACCAGCCAGTGATAGCAGTGAGGAGGTGATGCGACAAGCACTACGGAATGCGTATGTCTCGAGAACATTCCTGTCAGGCAGACACACGAACCTGATCCTCTTGGATGAATTCGGCAAAAATGCTTGGCTCACCGGCAATTCCCAAGCAGAAGAAATCCTCCAAGGCCTGGAACGAGAACTCGCCAGGGTGAAAGCTGAAACTGAGAGGGTAAATAAAGCACGAAAGGCAGCGCAAGAAGGCTCCAAGGGGGAGCTTCTGGGGCTGGAAGATGCTTGGAAGCGCGGAATAGGTCAAATACTGGAGATACAGGTCGCTACCGATCGACTGCAGCAGCTGATTGTCGAACGACAACGCAACCCTGCACCAATTCCCTGAACCACGAAAATGAATCTTCCGAATGCGTGATAAGCAAGCAAGGATTTGTGCTCATGTGGATGCTCCATTCAATGCAGTGATCTCAGTCAGATGCGGAGAATGCCCGTCGTACAAGTATATACGAGTCGGGTCAATCATAGGCGAGCGCTCCGCATTGTGGAACCTGCTGCCGAGCGCAGTTGATGAGAGTTTCTGAGTTTATGCTAATTCTCAAAGCGAGGGAAACCCGGAGAAAGGTTTGCTGAAAGGAAATCGTCGATGGACCTGAAGAGAGACCATTTTATCAGGGAGGATTTCTGAATCGCTTTGGACGGTTCTCGACCTCGACAGGAAGTACGAGGTCTGATCGATTTCGGTGAGCAATCTACCAAGTCCCAGACCGGTTCTGGGCTATTTTCGAGAGGAGCTATACCAGTTAAGTCCACCACTGCGCTGGCCCGAAGGCATCCTCGGGTAAATCACTCTAAAGGATGACCATGTCTTCTTAACGTGGGGAGAAAAAAATATCCCCACCACACATCCTCCACCTCAGTGCCATTCTGGGCGACGCAGCCAATGCTGGAGACGTCAGCATTCTCGATTTCTCCATCCTGACAGGTCGGAGAGCGAACTGGAGCTCCAATATTGCGGCGGATCCGAATGAAGCTAGATCAATCTCCCCGCAAACAACGGATAGGCTATTGAGGGCGAGACACAACCTTTTTCCTTCACGGCTATCATCGCATCACTCCACCGGCTTACGCAAGGATTTTCATCCCTTCTTCTCGACTTTGGGATTTTGCCTAGTGGGCTTTTTCCCCGCGTTTCTTGCATTGGCCGCCATTATGACACTATGCGGGTGGGGCTTGAACCCGCTCAATCCGCTGGCGGCAAGGTACAGACGCATCATCTTGGCTGACATGGGCCCCTTCTACATCTTCTCACTTGCCGTGTTATCGAAGGGAATTTTCTCCAACAGCTATTCTACTCGTTCAATGTCTCGAGTCGAGGACCCAGGTGCTCAACTTGACTGGCAGCAGTCGACCTAGCTTCACAAATTGAGGCCTCGCTCTGTGGCTCGCTCAAGCTAACTCGTTCTCTTTCTCTTCTCGCTCGAGCTAGCCTTCTTGAGACAGATATGTGGAATATGTCCCTGGTCAGCCTGAATTCGAGACTTGTGGCCCTTGTCATCTGTTATGTCTCGAAAGAGTGTCTCACTGACTTGACTCGTTCCATTTCTGCAAGTCCAGGGACTCCCTAGTTTCATCCCCAGCACAGATTCTCCTTGTCGCCTCGACGCACGTCGGGCCTATGTCACAACACGGCTTCCTGGTTCTTTCGTCAACCCACAACCTTACCGTCTAAACCCCGCATTTCACTCGAATCAGGTCATCCTTGAGCTCAATTCGAGATGATCAGCTCGCAAAGATGACCGAGCATAGCCCGGACCTCCTCACTTCGAGGACCAACTAGCATGCTACCTGCATGATAACCCCCCTCCATTTTCTTTACCGAAAGGTGGAGAGGAGCTGTATCAGAAAATCTTATAATGCGAGTTTGTGTTTCCCTTGCTCTTCTCTTCCTTTCTTCCAGCCTGCTCCTGGTTGAGCAAAGCGTGTCTTCCTTTTATTGTCAAGTTTTTACGAGCACGAGTTTCTATTGAATCAATCGCAATCATGACTGTCCCGGACGAGGTTGATATTATCGTCTGCGGAGGCGGCAGTGCAGGATGTGTTCCTGCTGGGCGTGAGCTTTCCGTAAGAATTCTCGTCATCGACAAGTCGCTAACATCTATCAAGGTCTGGCGAATCTGGACCATGACCTCCAGGTCCTCTTGATTGAGGCGGGCGAGAGCAACCTCAACAACCCATGGGTGTATCGTCCTGGTATCTACCCAAAGAACATGAAGCTGGATTCCAAGACAGCGACATTCTACTACTCCCGCCCTTCCGAATGGCTTGATGGACGTCGAGCGATCGTTCCCGCCGCCCACGTCCTTGGTGGGGGCAGCTCAATCAACTTTATGATGTACACGCGTGCCTCAGCTTCCGACTACGACGATTTCCAAGCCAAGGGATGGTCCACCAAGGAGCTGATTCCTTTGATGAAGAAGCATGAGACCTACCAACGTGCTTGCAACAACCGAGACATCCACGGTTTTGAAGGCCCGATCAAGGTTTCGTTTGGCAACTACACCTATCCCATCATGCAAGACTTCCTTCGAGCGGCCGAAAGCTTGGGATTCCCCGTCACTGACGACCTTCAAGATCTTGTCACTGGGTATGTGCAGTTTTGTGATTTTGATCAGTCACAAACACTGACCTCGAAAACAGACACGGTGCCGAACACTGGCTCAAGTGGATCAACCGTGATACTGGCCGTCGTTCTGATGCTGCTCATGCCTACATCCATGCCACTCGTGCCAAATACCAGAACTTGCACCTCCAGTGCAACACCAAGGTTGACAAAGTGGTCATTGAGAACGGCAAGGCAGTTGGCGTCTTGACTGTGCCAACGAAACCAGTTGGTGGAACCAACCCACCTCGCAAATTCTGGAGGGCTCGCAGACTCGTTATCGTCAGCTGTGGTACCCTGAGCTCGCCTCTGGTCCTCCAGCGATCTGGTATTGGTGACCCGGTGAAACTCAGGAAGGCTGGCGTCAAACCCATTGTCGACCTCCCCGGTGTTGGCCTCAACTTCCAGGACCACTACCTCACCTTCGCCACCTACCGTGCCACGCCTGATACGGAGTCCTTTGATGATTTTATCCGTGGTGTCCCAGAGGTCCAGAAGGCCGTCTTTGAGGAGTGGAACCTCAAGGGCACCGGTCCGTTGTCAACCAACGGTATCGAGGCTGGTGTGAAGTCTCGACCGACCGAGGAAGAACTCGAGGAGATGAAGTCGTGGCCCACACCGGACTTCAGCCCCGACGGATGGGAGAGCTACTTCAAGAACAAGCCAGACAAGCCCGTCATGCATTACAGTGTTATCTCAGGATGGTTCGGTGACCATCTCGACATGCCTCCGGGGAAATTCTTCACCATGTTCCACTTCTTGGAGTACCCATTCTCTCGCGGCTTTACCCACATCGTCTCTCCAGACCCATATGAGGCTCCTGACTTCGATGCTGGGTTCATGAATGACAAGCGAGACATGGCTCCGATGGTTTGGGGTTACATCCAGTCTCGTGAGACGGCCCGTCGCATGCAAGCCTATGCTGGTGAGGTCACAGCTATGCACCCTCACTTCAAGTTCGACTCGCCGGCCCGAGCTGCAGATTTGGACCTTGCCACTCGCAACGCCTACGGTGGCCCGAACCACATTTCTGCAAACATCCAGCACGGCAGCTGGACCATCCCGGCGGACGGAGGAGATGAACCTGCGGCCACCACCCTCAACTCGAACAAGCAAAATTTGCGTGAGAAGCTCAGGTACACCAAGGAAGACAGTAGGCTTAACTCCTTCCCTACCACGATGCATTATCTTTACTAACCTGGGACTCTAGTTGCTCACATTGAAAAATGGGTCCAACGACACTGCGAGACTACTTGGCACTCCCTTGGAACTTGTAGCATGGCTCCAAAAGAGGGTAACAGCATTGTTAGGCATGGTGTCTTGGATGAGAGATTGAACGTCCATGGTGTTAAGAACTTGAAGGTGGCTGATCTCAGTATCTGCCCTGACAATGTTGGCTGCAACACCTTCTCGGTAAGACCTCTCACCACCCCTTTACTTTGTCCAGCGCTGACCATATGCCAGACTGCCCTACTCATCGGCGAGAAGTGCTCCGTGCTCGCTGCTGAGGATCTTGGATACAGGGGTTCCGCCTTGGACATGAAGATCCCAACTTACCACGCACCTGGTGAGACTGTTGGTCTTGCTCGTTTGTAGTGAGAATGAAATGAAAAGTGGTAAAAGTAACCTTTTGGAAAACCTTGATGGATGAATGAGGACATTCCTTGACTGGCTCCTCACGACGCTGAATGATCATGTTTGTACGAAATATGACCAAACCAATAGTCAATGGACCCTCCCCCTGTCATTCATTAATTTCTTCTGCAAACAAAGTGTTTTTTTTTTTTTTTTTTTTTTTTTTCGTTTTCGAAAGGAGAACTACCCTCTGAGATGCCTTGGCGGAGGATGACTGGGATTGACCTTGAAACTGGAATTCTATTAGTTCGTATTTCCGAGATCTCTTCGATCCTTCTTTGCTCCTACCAATCGTAGATTTCGATCGTCTTCGAAGCCGTCGAATCCCTCATTTGCGCCATTGTTGGGCAGAGAAGATGTTTGGTGAAGTGGAAACAAGGGCCGGAAGTGGCATCCAGAAAATGGTTGCAGGAGGAAAAAGTAGGGTAGATTAAAAGAGGAAAGGAGCGACGCCAGCAGCGGGCTGCCCCGGCCATCTCCACCAACTGCTTTATTGAGATCGAGGTTCTGGGCTCTAGTGGCCGTCGGGTATTTCTTTCCCATCAACTCCTCACTGCCATGCGATCCGCCCGGTTGCTAGACAAAAAGAGGGGCCATATCTGTAGGTCAGCATCGATCTGCATGTCTGAGACCTTGCGAATCGAAAAGATTGTTCCCACATTCATACTGAACTTCCATCGCAGCAGAGCACTGCCCCCCAGGCGTGGACCACCATTCCCACCTGACTTCATTGGCCGTTCCATGTCCCAGTCTTGTTGACAATGGCCTGACTTAGTCGCAGCTGATCTCAATCGTTCAACCTCATACACATCCGAGTTCTAGGCCTTGAATTTACTGTACGGTGAGCTGTATTCAAACTCATCTATGCAAGACACAGCCTTTCTCCCCCCGGTCGTCATTGTTTTTCACTGTTGCCGCCATCACTCTATGGCCCGTCTCATTTGCTAGGCACGTCTCTACCATTTTCCGAATGGCATCCAGCGAGTTTCAATGCTCCGATTCCGAACATGCCACAACACCTACGGACACACCTATTCCTTTCCAGAAATATCCTCCTCGTTGGAGCCCAGAAGCTGACAGGATACATTACGCCCGAGACCCCTGTTTGGGTGACGATAAACCCCTTCGCCGAAATTCTGCCTTTCTCGAAGTCGGACTCGATGGCGATGATGCGATTATCGATGCCAAATTGAGAAGGGATTCAAGACAAGGACTACAAGCCCACTTTCGTAGCAGAGTTGACCTCTTCAAACCTGATCCCGTCAGTTGGTCGGAATCGTTGCCTCCAGAGAAACATTCTCGAGAACAAATGCTTCCGTCCTTCCCTACACTTCCCAGGCTACTCTTTCTGACCCTTGTGATTGTACTTGTTATTCCAAGCTTGCCTACGTCTCCTTTGCTGACGGCCGATGCAAATTCTGTTGGAGAAAGAGCTGGAACCCTCGGAGATATTGAGGCCATCGGGAAGGTTAAGAGAGACGACAGTCCGACCGTTGTTTGCAAAAGATGGTCACAACAAAGCGCCTTGGTCAATGGGACATTATATTTGTACGGAGGCCGATCGACCACGTCTTCAGACCAGACGACAGATACGTGGAGTATGTGCTCCGAGTCGCTCCTGTTTAATCTGCTAACCGTCGTGCAAATAGATAACGACTTTCTTACCCTCGACCTCACCAAGTCCTGGCAGATATCCTCGCCGTCATTGACTGGCCTTCCCATCCCCAGTGGTCCACCTGCAGTTTCACTCGGGTACCTCTGGAACTCGTATGATTCCTTGTACCTCTACGGCGGCGAGTTTTCGGATTCTCCAGTTACTTCACCTGTTCCCTTTTCGACCTGGTCCTACGATATCTCCTCCTCATCATGGTCTGAATCATCAAACCCGCTAACAAGCGCCGGGCAGAATTCGGAAGAAGCCAATCAACCAGTTCAGCGTGCGGCCGAGGGCGCAGGCATATCGGTACCACATATCGGCCGCGGCTTTTATTTTGGTGGACATCTCGATGGCTATACTACCCCCGGTTGGTCCCAGTCAATTGCCCGAGTCTATCTTCGAGGCCTTCTTGAATATACGTTTCCGGGATACAGCAATGCTGCGGTGAATGGTGGAAACGTGGCCGGTTCGTCGGGTATTTATCGCAATATCACGGAGGGCGGAACCCAGGATTCGGATGGATTTCCTGAACGTGCAGACGGAGTCCTCGTTTACGTTCCTGGATATGGCAAGTCCGGTATTATACTTGGCCTCGCAGGTGGCACCAACGCCACGTTTACCCAAATGAACATTATCGATGTCTATGATATTGATTCATCGACTTGGTATAAGCAAGCCACGGCAGGAGAGACCCCGGAGATTCGAGTCAATCCGTGTGCCGTGGCAGTATCCGCGGCCGACGGAAGTTCAGCCCAGGTATACATGTATGGGGGGCAAAACTTGATACCATATGGAGAGCAAACTCAGTACGACGATATGTGGATTTTGACAATTCCGTCATTCACCTGGATCAAGGTTGATATGTCCAACCAAGCGAACCCACCAGCGAGAGCAGGACATACTTGCAATGTTTGGAATGCGCAAATGGTCGTGGTTGGTGGATATGTCGGGCAAGATCTATCTTGTGAAAGTCCCGGCATATACGTTTTCAACACCAGTTCCCTCACGTGGCAGAACGAATATACTGCCGTGGAGACCAAAGACAACCTTAACCGGCAAAAAAGCCAGCAGGATGACCCTTCCGCGCTTCAGGGTTCATATGGTTACCAAGTTCCAGAGCCAGTACAGTCCGTCGTTGGAGGTAATGCCGTGGGAGCAGCCACCCTCACTGCTCCCGCTCAATCGGCCACTCAAGGACCTCTGGCCACAGGCACTCCAAGAACATATACGGTCACACAATCCGACGGGCCTGTTGCGACAGTGACATCATCTCCGGGCAGTGGCGCTAGCGGTAACGACAACGGCGACAACAATTCATCAGGCGGCACCAATGTCGGAGCCATCGTCGCCGGAGTCATCGCTGGATTTTTCGCCGTTCTCGCCGCTTATTTGGGATTCTGTACCTGGCTATACCGGGAGCAACTCAAAATTTATAAGAACCACGTGTCAATGGCACAAAGACAGCAGCTGTCAGATGACCCCAGGTATATCGAGACCGGCTACGGGGGCGGAAAATACACAGACAAGAGTCAAACAAGCGACAGCCGCAACAGTGCGGATAACCGAAGTGGAAATGGCAGTACCGGGTCAAGAATCGGAGGGAGAGTGAATCAGTTATCAAGCAACAATCCTTACAAAAATGTGCCTGGTGGTACTGGCTCAGCGACTGCAGCAAGCAGTACAGATGACCTTATGGCAGGTCAAGAACCGAGTTTCTTAGGGGTGGTCTTGAACCCAAGGCGAAGTCTGAGGGTCGTGAACAGGGATTGAACCCGGAGAGCATACGGATTTCATGGTTTCATGATTGGCTCAAGCGTCGACACAATGGCATCTGAGGGTTCACGCATACGCATGGTCATGATTAAGGTGTTGATACAGCAAAGCAAAATCACGTTGCTGATTTAGAGTTTCCTTTTGACTTCTCCTCGTCTTCTCGATATACAGCTTTTGATGTTTGAGAGACCAAAGAGTAACCCGTCCGTAATCGCTTTATGAAAACGCCGAAGTCTTCCGGAACCAATATCTATCTGATGGGAGTCGCTATTTGTAATTTGTCGGTGGAGTCTTTTGGGGACTGAGCGATTGAAATGGATGGACCCTCTTTCATGCCATTATTCGAAGTCTTAGCGAACAAATCCTAATCGGACGACCCTTCACCACACATGGATTGACGACAATGAGCATTCAATCTGGCCTTCGAGATAAAAGAAACATTTCCTCCTTCTCAAATCATGGCTAGGACTTCTCCGGACGGCGACGGACCTAGATGATATGAGTGTGTAAACAGCCTCGAGAGTGTCGTGGACTGCGATCCGCAATGGTGCAGCATTCGCTAGCAAGAGCAAGGAATTTGACAATGCCAGAACACATAACAAGGGTCTCATGAGCTCTACCTGACCGAGTCGTGCTCTCGCATTGGTGCGTCTCGAAGACAATCGTTGAAGTCTAGAGAAACTTCCCAAACACAAAAATTTTCACGCCCATTTGATTCTGATGCTCTCGATCGGCCCAATGTCGCCAGTCCGAATCGAGAAACAATAAATGGCGAGCCACCATGAGAGTGATTATGGCTGCGATTCCTGATCTATGTATGGTATGACGGGGGTACATCAACAGATTGCGCCACTCCTCGGGCCATCTTTGAGATATATCTCGTGATAGGCCTGCCCCCTCCATCCCCAGGTGCGTCGACAATCTGGGGAATGAGCGACTTTTGCAGCCTTTATCTCGCCTATCAAGCCACTGCTGAACGAAGGGGGGAAGAGTTTGCGCTTGTCCAAAAACAACAAGACACCCGACGAGGGGGGATACCGAGGTTCATTTGCAGGGGGGATGAAAACTCTGCTTAACAATCCAATAGACCAAAGCGGGCGTATACAGACGAGTTTTTCATGGGCTTTTTGCCTTTCCCCACCAGAATACCACCACCGAAATGTCTTATCTCCGACTTCTCAAGCTCTGCCATTGCCGCTCTTCCTCTTCACTAGCAAACTCTTGCCTCGTCATGACTGGTCTGCACGGCACCTTTTCCGGACGGTTGAGTCGACAAGCCTTGCGCAACCCAATGTAAGTACGCCGCACTTCTACTGTGATATGCCATAGGTAGGTTCATTCACTCTCTTGCTCGGTTTACGCCCTTTTTCACCGTTGCGTGGCAATCCTTCTTTGCATCTCCCCATTTCCCGAACCACCCCCAACATAGCTGTTGCGATTTTGAGACCAGTCTTTCGAATATTTGGCAAAAATGGCCAATCTGGAGAAATCGGTTCCTCCAGTCGTCACCTCTCCATACCCCCCTCCTGATCATACAAGACTTCGAACTCCAGACCAAAGTCCTAGCCCTCAAAGTCCTTCTCAAAAGGAATTCTATTCCTCCGTCGACCACTCTCCCACATCAACAATCTCTCGATCGGAATCTGATCATGATGAACGGGCACTTACCTTAACCATCACTCAAGCATCAAGACAATCCGCCACAGGGACTGCGACCAGAGTCACGACTCGAGGCACGACGTTTACTTCAGATCCTGCGTATGAAGTCGATTTTGATGGGGATGACCCTGGAGATCCCCGAAACTGGTCGTTGTGGTACAAGTCCTTCTCCATCTTCGCCATATCCTTTGGCACCTTGGTGGTGGTGATGTATTCGACGTCGTATACATCCGGCATGTCAGCCATGCAGGAAGAATTTGGAGTCTCTTCAGAATCGGTCGCGACTCTTGGTGTGACGACTTACCTGTTCGGTCTCGCGATAGGCTCACTGATACTCGCGCCCATTGCTGAGACATACGGTCGCCGTCCGGTCTACACAACATGTATGGCCATGTTCACCATTCTCGTTCTTCCGGCTACTCTTGCCCATGATATGGTAAGTATCATTGTGGTGAGGTTCTTTGGGGCCATCTTTGGCAGTGCGATGATCGCCAATGCTCCCGGCACCATTGCGGATCTGGTGTCTGACGAATATCGCGCCACAGCCTTCTCGGTCTGGTGTATTGGCCCCATGAATGGACCGGTCGTCGGACCTACAATTGGCGGCTTCGTGACTGAATACCTGGGCTGGCGATGGACAAATTGGATTACCATGATTTGGGGAGGGACATCATTTATTCTCCTCGTGCTCCAAAAGGAGACATACGCGCCAGTCTTGTTACAACGGCGAGCCCAACGGTTACGCCGTGAGAACAATGATGAAAGATACTGGAGCCGGTACGACGTTCGAGTCGGATTCATCGAGTTAATGAAGATCAATCTGAGTCGTCCTTTTGTCATGGCTGTCAAAGAACCCATCTGCATTTTCTGGAACGTCTACATCTCGCTAATATACGGTTCGCTCCCCCCCTTGCCTTTGGAAAACCAACAAAACTGACGAGGACCTAGGAATTCTTTATCTTTGTTTCGTCGCGTATCCGATCGTCTTCACCGAAATGCGAGGCTGGTCCATTGGTGTGAGTGGTCTCTCCTTTCTTGGAATCGGTATCGGGACCATGATCATCATATGCAGCGCCTCGCCCGTTCGCAAATTGATCAATTCCCACGAAGTCGATAAAGATGGCAACGTACCGCCCGAGGCAATGATGAGCATCGTCTGTATTGCCGCCATTCTTATCCCCATCGGCGAGCTCTGGTTCGCTTGGACCTGCTATCCGATCAGCATTCACTGGGCATTACCCATTGCAGCCGGTATTCCGTTTGGTTTCGGTAATGGTGCGGTCTTTATCTACGCCGGCAACTACCTCACATACAGCTATGGAATATACGCCGCAAGTGCTATGGCCGGCAACGCCGTCATGCGGTCGCTCCTGGGCGGCACCCTCCCACTCGCCGGACCCGCTATGTACCGAGCCATCGGTCCCAATTGGGCCGGAACCCTTCTTGGTCTGCTTGAGGTGCTTATTATCCCGATTCCATTCCTCTTCTACCGTTATGGTGGCCGCATTCGTGAAAAGTCGGCCATGATCCGTGAGATGCGTGAGAATGAGGAGCGGCAGGAGCGAAAGAGGAAAAAGGCGGAAGAGAGGTTGAGAGTCGCCGTCATGAGTGGTGACGAAGAAGAGACGCAGGAAGCGAGGGTCGACCTCTGTCGTGCCCGAAGCCGTTTCGATGAAGACGCTGGTGTCGAATGGAAACGAACTCGAACATGCTAGCACGACACGACATGAGACGATGGCGAGACGCAGCAATGAAGTCTGAACTGCAATTTGATCATTTCTACGACATACAGCAAATTAAAGCACAACATGGCAAAATTTACGGACGCATCGACCTTGGCATTATCGGTCATGTTCGCACAATCACCTCTATTCATCGAAGAAAAGCAAAGCCTCGCAGCGTTGGAAATGGGTTACTTCTTGAGCAAAAGCGTTCGGAGTTTGATCGACGTTAAGCTGGGTTGGATTGGACACCGGATACCGGACAGTGGAATGAGATTTGAATGAGTGAATGAATGAATGGCACTGGATTTAGAACTGGTGGGAGGATTTGCATTTATTCATGGCGTTGGACCTTTCGACCGCTTTTTGAGAAGAGCGGGATCGACGAACCTGGGAGAATTTGGATTTGGAATTGGAAATATCAATTGACCTGAAGATAGTGGGATCGAATTGAAGATCTTGAGCTGGGAACGGGTAGATTCAAGGTCTTGAAGGGACCATGGGTAGACGAGCTGCTTGGCTATAGCGGTCCGTAGAGCACTCAATTTGATCCATGGGACAAGAAGATGACCTTGCATGCGTTAGACTGAAAGGGCCGAAAAGGGCAATGATGTAAAAGGTACCTAACAACCCCACCCCCCCAAAAAACCTTGTAAAGTCGTGTGAAATATGCCAAGGCGCTAGTAACTGGGAATAAAAGTGGCCTTCTAGCTACCAAATACAATTCCACTCGTTATTTTACAATCGTACAAATCGAGGTACCAAAACATCAAAATCGAGGCTCTCACATACCTTTGGAATTTGCGAGCTCTTTACCTCATTGTTGCTCGATTCGCGATTTGTATAGACGATAGAAAGGCTTCATAGACAACAGAGACACCCTGACACGCAACAAGGCCAAAATCGAGTGTGCGAAGGAGGCAAAGTGGAAAGGTACCTCAAGCCCTAGGAAAATGGGAGGTTTTTCAGGTACTTTTCCACCATGCGGACAACGCCCGCACAACTAGCCTCAATTGGTGTTTCGAGTCCCTGTGGGTGGTTGCTTTCCCGATACATTTCCAAAATGGGGACTTTTTGTATTATTTCGGACCTGAGGCCGGGCATCTTTCCTTTTTCAGTCCGGGAGCGAGATTGACAAAAAGCTGGCCCGGAAATCGCCAATGTGGAGGCACCCCGAACATACTCTGCGAACTCCTGGAGTCGACTTGTGGTCGTTTTGCTCGAACTGTTGAAAATTCGGTGGAAAGTCGCCGTACCGTGTGGACAGTCTCCAGCACCAGAACCATGTTCTTCGTTCAGGGATAGTCGAGGTGAAAAGAAAGACCCATCCTCGGGTTGTGGAGAAGTTTCACATGCAGATTTCAACAACCAAGAGATTTGGGAAAAGCTTTCTTGTTTCGTGAACCGAATTCTACTTGACTCTTGCAAAGCATCCCAACTACGCCAGAACCGACCTTCGGTAACCACGAGATCACGAACACGGAAAGTGTTGCCGAAACCGGCGCATAGGCTGATCGATAGTCTATCCCACTCAAGATTCCTCGTTATCTTTGGAGCCCATTCTTGCACTCTCCAACCAGATCTTCGACACCGCCGCCTCATCACTGACACATCATTCCTCGCTCGACGAATGGGCCCGTCGTTTATCTCAACGCGGCTCTATCTTGGTCTACGCTGCCTGCACTGGTACAGGTACCACGACTTCTCCAGAACATTTGTCATCAACAAGCGCGGACGCAGCTTCCTACCATTCAACTAGCGATGTGAAGGGCTTCATTTTCGCACACGTCAGATCAGATGGCTCATTTCCCCTTCCACGGCTGCACATCTGGTTGGCCGGCGTCAGTGAAGTGGCGCGTGGGACTGGCGTGTTTGCCGGCATGGTCAACGAGGTCGAAAAGCACGCAACAAGCCAAGGAATAGAGACCTTGAGCGTATGCACCTTTCCCGACGAGTTCGTCAAGATGTTCGTTGTCCTTCAAAAGCAAGGATGGGAAGTCAAGGAGTGGATGGAAGAGGGCAAAAAAGTGTTGATGATAAAAATTGTGTGAAATGAGAGCTCAACAAGCATCTGCTGGCTGGGCCTTTATTGAGCACCAACCAGGTACAGGCATACCTTTACTCAGATCACTCTTCGAGTTCTTCGTGCGCACTCTCAACTTCACTCGCATACTCCTCCTGAGCCTCCTGGAGTTCCTCAATATCGCTACTTGACGGGTCGGACTCCTCAGCCACCTCAGCCTTTGCCTCTTCGAGATCCTCGCGCCCTTCCTGCAGGGAAGATCGCTGACTTGATGACAACTCTGGATTGTACTCGAGTGGAGGCTCTGTTGGAGCCGCAGGGGGCAGTGCTCCATTGCCTGCTGGTGCAGTAGCCGCGGCAGGGTGTGAGTCTGGATTGGTGTTAGCACTATTTTTGTGATGAGCTGTTGCGGGAGATCATTTATCATCACCACCGTCCGACAACACATTTGCAGCGAGAACACCCAAGGCGGCACCTCCCACTCCAGCAACGACCATATTTCCTATGCCAGAGCCTTGGTTCTCTTCATGTCCGTGTCCTGGAGCACCATAATAAACTCTGGTGTGCTCGCCATGTCCACCCATCGGTGGTGCAGCGGGCATTGCTCCACCATAGTTCTGATGGAAACCCAGACCACCGGACGATGGTGCCCCTCCCCAACTCGGAGGCTCATATTGAGTCCGACCAGTGGTTTGTTCAAGGTAGTAATGTCTTTGAGTATTTGGTTCCCACTGTGATATCCAACCTGGCGGTAGCTGGGGACTAGATGGAGGCAGGTCATATCCGGATGGTGGTGGAGGAGAGTATCCGTATTGAGGGTAAAGTTGTTGCGGTTGACCATAGGGATCTCGTTGATCGTTTACGTTTGGAGGCTGATTGTGGAAGTCCCTGGTTTGATCGGAGGCGTGAACTAGATGGACGTGTCAGCTTCGCGGGAGTATTTAGAAAGGTTGATCTGGGATGCTGGATCCATACCTTCCTCCTCTTTCTTCTGCTTGCCGCCGTCATCGCCATCATTCAACATCTCCTTGAGTTCATCTTTGAGTTTCTTGAAGAACGACATGGCTGATATCAATCAAACGAACAGTATCTTCGAGAATGCAGAAAAGAAACAAACCTACCACAGGCCTTTTTATCGACTTCACTTCCTCGAGGCGAATGAGGGAGGCATCATCAAACGGCCCATCTTATTTCACTCGGCGGTTCATGCGTGAATGTGTACCCCGGCCCAGCTGAATGCCAGCACATCAAGTCAATTACTTACCACTAGAGACACAGGTGACACGGGAAATTTGCCGGAAATTCTTTCTCGCCCGCATCCCCCATTGGGGTCATGGGCAGGACTTGTTGTATACGTTTCTTGGCGGCATGTCTCGGTCATGCTTTCTGTACAGAGTGAATGGTCGATTTCGACTTGGTAGTGGATATCTTCATGCGAGACACGTCATAGTGTCGAACAGCGCAGGAAACCAGTGGTTCGATAAGGCGCATTTTACTCTGTTGAGGTGCGAACGAACCTGGTATTCGAGAACTCAGGGCCCGGACCGTCGCGTGGTTCCATAACCGGTCTTTCAAGGTCTTGAAAGGATGATTGAATTCTTGAAGAGGCAAGGAGAGTCAAGAGACAGGTCTGGATCAAAGCAATACTAGAAAGATCTGATAATACCTCGGAAATCTCCCGATCAATAGTTTGCTGCATCTGAGCTGCATGGGACTGGGCTCGGTCTGGGAAAATTGACTGCGTTTCTATGAAGTTAGTGCGGACGTCAACTGTTTGAAAGCCATCGCAAGTCAGTCAGAACGGATGCCCCTCGTCTGATTATACATACCCGAGATGCACTGGGGAGGAAACGCTTTTCTCGACGATGGCTGTGGTCACGCGTCTCAAGGGTCTCAAGGTCTTGCCTGTCAGATCATGTTGGTCTCAAGATTGATCCTGGAAGAATACAAGGTGGAACAGAATCAATCGACGAAGCTATGGCGCCATTGACTGTACTTTGTTCTTAATTTGAGGCCGGGTCGTTCCAGAAGCACGATGTACGCAGCATTATACACATGATAAATCTCCCCAACGCCAGAATCAGCACCATCATCGCAATTTGACCTATTTTCCAGAACCGAACCAGCTGCTGATTCCACTCTTTGCCTTGGCTGCCTTGTCTTCCACCGTCTTGTCAAACTTGTCAATGGCACTGTTGATCTGATTGCCTGTCTTTGCACTCAAGTCTTTCGCTTTGGATTCGGCATCGGCGAGTTTGGATTTGGCATCGGCAGACTGTGGCCTGGTCAGGACTGATTCGTGCGATCAGACAGTGAGGATCTTACGGCTTGGTCGAACTTCTGGCCAGTTTGAGCTCCCCAAGCATCCGTCTTCTTCTCTGCTTCCCTTTCTTTACCCGGAAGATCATTCTTCACTTGTGAGGATAGCTTAGAGGCATCGGCTACGGTCACGTCAACGAGAATTCGAGTGGACAATGCTACGAGGTTACCTACCTTCGAATTGTTTCCGAGCAGCCTTAGGATCACCTCCAGCAATATACAGGTAGTACCCAACCCCGCCTGCGACAGCCAACCCGGCAATCGTGAGTCCTCGTCTCGACATGACGGAGTGCTTGGTTCTGAGGTGGAGGAGGAATGGAACTGAATCGCTCAATAGTCGAGGTATGGGGGGAGATATCGAATGACAAAGACGTCAAGATGAAGTTCGAACAAAATACGGGGCCCCGGTAAGAAATTACCTGGGTAGGAGGATAGCAATGAGTGGTGGTATGATGCATGCGGCCTCCAGAATGACGAGAAGCATGGCCTTTGACGGTGACATCATTGGGTGCTTCTTTTATTCCCCGCGCATCATGATTTTAATTAAACGACCTGGTCACAGACCCCCGTCCACTCCGGATGTGGGCACTTTATCCCGATCTCTGCCTTGCTTGTGACCTAAATACTCAATTCAAGTTCCAGGCCCAGCAGCGGCCTGTGACGCTCAAACTTTCCTTCCCTTCTGCTCCTCTTAGTCTTCTGACATTGAAGGCAAATATTCTTGGTACATATTTCAACAAAATTGTGGTAACAAACACCTCTTACCGACGCCTGGAGTTGGGAAGCTGCCTACTCGATTATGAGTAGATCTTGAATATCTCGCCTCCAGCAACTCCTCTTCCTTTCTGCATTCCGAAGGAATGTCAGAGAATGTCTCCAACATCGTCACGCGCATTTCTAACCTCGACGGGGCTGCCCCCGATCCCTACGACCACCAAATTTCCTTAGTCGATGCCACCGAGCCAGAAAACCAAGATGTACCACGATCCAGCTCGCCTAGCCCAAGCTGGAGAAAGCTTGCAAAACGAGCAACCAAATCGTCAGTGAAGGACCATCTGGCCCGAGGGAAATATGCCAAGGGGCAAGAAGATCGCTATTCTTCCCAAGCGGGCAGTTCTGTGGCAGAAGGGAGTGGGTCAAAACCTGCATCGATACGCCCCGAAACGGGAGAGTCAGCCGAAGGGACCAATACTGTAGATTTCGCACACAGTCAACCGGTCGACAGACGGCTAAAGATTGCGCAAAAGAGACGGAAGGAGTCCAAATATGTGAAAGAGCAGGTTCATGAGATTGATATTCTCTATGAAAATCAACGAGGGTCCTTCTTCTGTGGCATACCATTATATTCACACTCCTCTCTCATGCCCTATGATCCAAGTCCTTGGGTCAACAGGGATTTCAAGGAATCACCGGTCAACATCACCAATGCCCAGGTGCCAGATCCTAGTTGGGAATGGGCATGGAAATCATGGTATGTTGACATGAGTGATGATGTGGATGAGGAAGGTTGGCAGTACTCGTTTGCGTTTGGACCAAAGTTTGCCTGGCATGGCACACATCCTTGGTTTCATTCTTTCGTCAGGCGAAGACGCTGGTTGCGCAAAAGAGTCAAGAAAGAACCAGAACCTGGACGCGGAAAACCTGGGAGTATGGGTGCTGCTCATTACTTGACCGGGGACTATTTCACCATTCATTCCCAACGAGATCAAAGTCCTGTCAGTGCTGTCGATGGTCCCGGTAAACCGGCAAGGCCATCTAGCTTCATCAGCTATCCCAGCACAACCGATGTGGATGAGCCACCCGAGGACATCAAAGATATTGCAAGTCTTCTCAAAGCCCTGAGATTCGCCACGATCGATCGAGAAAAGATTGATCTGGTGAAAAAATTTGTCACTCAAGGGGGAGAGGAATTGGTCTACCTGAGGGATCATGTTTCCGACGTCATGTCATTCTTCGTCTTTCAGAATTCAAGGAGACAGCTACTTTCGTATCTTAAGGACACGGCAAATGAAGCACGCCAGCATCGGCAGAAACATGACGACGAGAAGAGACCGGAGGGCGAAGTTGAAAGTCGAAGAATTAATCATCTCCTTGCTGCTGTGGATGCCGCCGATGCCCAAATTGGAGAGCTTGAATTCTGGAGTGACAGAAAACATGTGTTGAAGACCCATGACAATGCAAGTCTTGCTACACGAGCAATTGCTACCATATTTGATGAGCCCACACCGAAGCTGAAGACTGCAGATGACCCAGTGGAGGAAATAAAAGGAATCTCGGAAAAGGCCGATATCTCTTACGACAGCTACCCACCAGTTTTCAGTCCAGCGCGACAAACGTCAATTGAGGGCAAGGAGGAGGAGAAGAAGGAGGAGGACAAGGGCAAAGGTAAAGCAATTGAACACGATAGTGAGGATGATCGAGTTGAAGGGAATGCAACTCCTCGATTGGGACGGGACGAAGTACTCATTCTCAATCAGGATTAGGAGTCTTCGAGATGGGATTGCATTGTTTATTAGCGCAGGCGTTGGGGGATGCAAGCATGAGTACGTGAATACAGGACCACAGAAATTCTAATATGTTCCCGATTTGGATTAGTTGAACACGTACGCGTTCTCCGCGTCGACCACCGCGTTTTCTAGAGGTTCAATCGAAACCACCTCCTGTTTACAAAATTTGGACCGCGCCCGTTTAGAACACAGGACGAGCTGGGCAGCTACATATTTCTCCTGTAGTGCTTCTCCACTGCTTCTCGCCATCTCTCCCACCCAAAGTCGTATTCGCATTGCGCCTTCCGTCTTTCAATCCACCATGGCGTCTTCCGTTCGTGGGACAACCAATCGAGTCAGCAAGCGACAAACAGGTCTTCGAAGTTATGCAAAAATCTCCAAAATCACCAAAACTCAAGTTATTTGCAAGTCAGCCGTGATAGAAGAAGCCATCAGCCCAGCAGTCAATCCCAAACAAACCACCAAGTCTACTCCGAAGCGCAAACGCAGTGAAGATCATGATGACAGTGAGACTGAGTCAGGAAGTGCCTATGTCGCCACCCATGGTTCGAAGAAGGTTCGACACTCAGTATTCCAGTGCCCAGGATGTCATTGCTGACCTTTACCCAGCCAAAGCTTCAGTTGCTCAACCCCCCATCTGCGCATCGCGAAGAGTTGGATTCCATTGACATTGAATTCTCGTCTCCAATTCAAATGCGACGCCTTTCGCTCAACACCGACCCTGTTCCAGAAGAAGAAGGACCTGTGAAAGAGCTTCACCCTGCCCTTCAAGACTTTGTGTCTTTGCACGCTACATTCCTCAGAGCATATACTGTCCACATTGTTTACCACGGTAAATCGGCACCAGCGGAATTGGATAGCCTGATGGCCTCTATCACCAAGTTGTGGAAGAGACGCACCGTCATAAAAGAGGACATTCAGCGAATGTTGGCTTTTTACGAGCCCGACGTGTCCGGTGTTGCCAGTCCTCCACTTCTTAAACACAAGGAAGCTCCCTTCAGATTGACGACAGTTGGTGGCGATTTCGTCCGATATAATGTCGAGTATGTTGGTGGTGACAGCATCAACCGACCTCCGGATCCTCCATATGATGAGCACACTCTTCAAAAGCTCTATGAAAGCAAGATCGAGGCCTTTTCCACCTCTCAGCGACACAACTTCTCGGCCTGGCTTCATGGCGAGCTACGCTACTTTCCCCGTCTCGATTTCGCTGTTGGTGTGCAGACACGAGCTCGCAAGGAAAAAGTCTCTGCCATTCGAAAAGAGATCTTGGCTAATCGTCCAGCATCACCATCCGATGGTCTGACGAATGCGGAAGTCATTGCAGAGGAGATCCAAACACCATTGATTGTCAAGGATCGAACTTTGTCTCTCTTGGACCGTGTTCGAGCAAGAACACTCGCCAAATCTGCTGCTACCCCTCACACTCACGAGGCTATCCTCCGTCGTTACGCTCTCGGTCGAATCCATGAAGTGGTTGAAATTCTTCGAATGAAGCAACAACGAAAGCTGAGCTCCCAATTCATCTCATATGCTCACTCCAGCCCCAGCAAGGTTCGAGGCAGAGTGTCGTTCGGCCTGAAACAACTTGTCGACGACATCAAGGGCAGCGTCGCTGTTCCAATCGGCGATGCAGAGGTCAAAACGTGTATCGACATACTTGCAAATGATATTCCAGGAATATGGTGTTCTGTCTATACTGTCGGAAAGCTTCAGAGTGTCGTTCTTAATGGACCAGGTTTGAGTGGTATTGAGGTCAAGAAAATTCTGGATGAAAGGGAGAAGATGAACTGGGAATCGTGAGGAATTGAGTCAGTGGGCTAGGCGAGCTAAGTCGTTGAAGAAAGAATCGTGGTATCGATATCCAACTTGGACTCCACGGGAATTGGGGATCTCAACACGAGGGATGTGTTCAAACCCCTGTTTATACCAATTTGAAAGTCCAGAAGTTACATGGTATGGATAGGTCAAGGTCGTGTCAGCCGCTGCAATTGACACACAGAGTTGTCTCACTGATCTGCTCTAGGGCATGATGACCGAAACGACAACATGAGAGACCATATCTATTTCACTTCCCTACCCATAGGACCGGGGGTTCCTATCTCCATCTCTTCTTTCGCTAAGCTGAAGAAATAGAATAATGAAATAGGTCCGAGAACGTGTTGCCGGAACTTTGGGGCTTCTTTGTGCGCGGAAAAACAAACTTGGGTATCGTGACAACCACAAGCCCTTCGTTCAGTTCTGGCTCACTCACCAGCTCACCATGCATTTGTCTGTTCATGCTGGAATTTGTGACGACTCGGCATCATGCGTTGTTCTCAAGATCCTCTGATGCCGAAAACGGCCACCTCATTGACGATAGCAGCTTTATCCCTGCTCGAGGATCAGTCCGACATTTCAATAAACTGCTTCCGTGGCAATCGCTACCTCATGGTCTGTTCCTCGAGCCTTCTCCATCCGTCCTCAAGCGATCAGCCCGTTCCTCGCCGCAGAGCCTTCCTGATCGAGAGTCGTCCGTGACCGAACTGAGATGATTCCGCCGGAGTAAAGAACCGCACCATATCACATCCGAAAGGAGTCTTGCTTCCTAATGGATATGCGAATGAGCTGGTTCCTCATACTTTGTGATGACCCACCAGGCATCTAGAATCAGAATGTGATTAGCGAAAGAGGGTTCAGCTTCAGTTTGCAGTCCATTCCCCCTTCGACGATCGACGTGACTTGGGATGCAAATCGACTTACGGATACATCCAGGCAGCCAACTCAGAATGGTGAGGAGGATGTTGATGATGAAGTTGGAATCACATCCGGTCTTCAAGAGAACAGCGAGAGGGGGCAGGAAGATGGCGAGAATGTACAAAAGCACGTCGCTCTATCCCGCAGGTAAGTCGGCTTGTTCGAGAGATTCGAGAAAAGAGATGTTTGCTTACAGTTGAAGATGGTGGTTTAGACATGGCGGGGATGCGTCAAATGTCGAATAGTATCGTGTGAACTGTTTTGTCGATTGGGATGATTGACTTGTTGTCAGAAGGGTGTCAAATTGATCAACCAGCAAACAAATGGGAAGTGGCCGGAAGATGGTCTGATTTAAATCATCTTCTGAATGACACTCCCTGGTCATGCGACATGTTATGACTTAACCTCGATTCGACTCGAGGAAAGACCACCTAAAGAAAATTGACGCGCAAAAGTCGGCTCACGACGGCACCAGGATTCAATTGGATTGGAGAGAACGGGATGAAACATCTAGGCTGTGATCACCACGACGATGTCGACGAGACAAATTTACCTTCAAGGCCCTTTGGTCATCTGCCCATCTCCATCAAAGGCACAGCCGATGGAAACCATGATGAAAAAAAGGCGAAAAACTGACGGATATCAAACGCGAGCCCTTCTGAATTCTTGGAGCTTTCAAGGCTGTTTTATTATAAGCGGGCATGATCTTCAACGCCACAACCTTGCATGACGTGGGGATGGGAATTGAGCCTCACCAGCCTCAGATGTTAACCGAGGGTGGCGAAATCAATTTCTTCATGGCCAAGGAATATCTCCAGGGCCAAGAATCGGTGACTTGCACTGATGCTAGTTTTAATACGGCCCGATCCTGGATATACGGAACACGTCCTTGAAACGATGTCGGAAGGATGATGAGTTCTTCTATCAGGCCCAGAACGTTTCCCCGTCATTGCTGACCAGTGAAATGTTAGCAGTCTACAACGACAAGATGTTGCTTCACTGGGATGGTCTCTTATCTCTTTTCTCCCCTTAGGCAACCCATATTCATGTATTGGAGATGCTGAGCTGGCCCCTAAGCTCCTCCCTCCTCATGAGGGTATCGTCAAAGGGCGGACTTTCTCCAGTCAACCGAACAGCTCACAATTTCATCCATCTATAAAGTGAAAGTCATCATTTGAGATGCCGACCTTCACAGCTGAATCTCGTCGGCCTATTTACGCCCTCTTTGCCTGCTGGTGGTTTGCGACATCGATATCTGTTACCAGACTTTATGCCGGAAAAGAATTGATTCATTGCGATAATATTTTCGTACCAACTCTATCCACATCAACATGTCTGGAGGAGCACCAGTTCCTGTTGTCGTCAAGGGCAAGGAGGCTGCCATACTCTGTATGGAAGATCTTCAAGCAGCTGCTGATGCAAATCTACCAGAGATTGCTAGAGGTAGGCCCCCAGAACTCTGGGATTCAATGGGATCTTGATGAACATCTACTCATCCCCCTTTGTTGCGGCCTTCAGATTTCTACAACTCTGGGTCGACCTACCAAACGACCATTGCTGAGAATAGCTCCGCCTTTGGTAAATACCGATTACGGTCTCGGGTACTTGTCGATGTCTCCAAGCTAGATACCTCGACGACTTGCCTTGGACGCAACATCAAATTCCCCTTGTCAATTTCTCCGGCCGGATTGCAAGCGATGGCTCATCCCGATGGTGAACTCGCGACGAGCAGGGCCTGCTCCACCACTGGGGTGAACATGGCCATCTCAAGTTTTGCGAATCACCCTATCGAGGATATCATGGCTGGAGGTCAAAGAAACGTCAACTACGCCATGCAACTTTATACAATGAAGGATAGAGCGTTGCAAGAGCGAATCATCCAGAAAGCAGAAGGGGCAGGATGCAAAGCGATTTTTTTGACGGCCGATTCGCCGGTTCTAGGAGTTCGATTCAACGAATGGCGCAATGATTTTCGGACTCCTGAAGGCCTCGAATTTCCCACGTTGGAACTTACGACGCAAAAGATCCGCACTCAGACGCATGATTCGGGCTTTACGGCATTCAATGACGACTCACACAACTGGGAACGCGACATCGCGTGGTTGCGATCGAAGACGAAAATGCAGATATGGATCAAGGGCATCTTGACGGCTGAGGACACGATACTGGCGATCAAGTATGGTTGTGACGGTATCATTGTGAGTAATCACGGCGGACGACAATTAGATGGTGTCCCTGCGACCATCGATGCATTGGTTGAATGTGTTGATGCCGCGAAAGGAAGGATTCCCATTCATGTCGACGGCGGGTTCCGAAAGGGGACCGATATCTTTATCGCGTTGGCCCTGGGTGCGAAATGTGTCTGGGTTGGTAGGCCTGCCATCTGGGGATTGGCATATAAAGGTCAAGCCGGCGTTGAGAAGATGATAACAATGCTCCATGAAGATTTTAGGCGGTGCATGGCACTTTGTGGGTGTAACACTGTCGAAGATATCAAGAGGAGTTGTTTGGCTATGATGGGGATCGATGGTGTCTTGAGAAGATTGGAATAGAAAGACGTTCAGAGGCGCAATCGGGAACAGATGACAGACCGCCTTGCAATCTACGGCCTCGAGCACGAGGCATCAGCCTTCACGGCGAGCTTGAACGACTCTGAGGACTTGCGAACTCGATCACCATACCTTCAAGAGTACATCCCTTGCTGATCTGGACATAGCCGCTTGTGCTCCAATCCTTCTCAACGTTCATTTCGCTTTAGATATCGATGAGGAAGAGAAGACCGTGTTCGTGACCGGCATCAGCGAGCACAAAGAACAGACGGTTCACTCATTCCCTCAGAGACAAGAATAAACTGGACATCTACCATATAAAGCAAAGGCATAAATGCTTGTGACAAAGCGAGAAATGAAAGGAATTCCTTTGCGAAATCTAGGAGCACTTCATGGTATGCAATTGACTTGATTAATTTAGATCTCCTAAAAGCAACAGATCCTCACCCGTGCTACTGTATCATCAGTCCGCCGCGTTATGAACGCATCAAGAACCAGGATCGGGGGGGTTGAAATTGAACTTAGGCTGGCTCCAGCCCCGATGCGCCACTCTCAAAGCTGTGACACGCGACTGATCTGAAACAATTTTATGCCCCAAACTTTCGTGACCCTTGTCATCCCACCATCTAAATAGTACAAAGTTGAAGGTCTAATTTCTACGCGTTGCTTGGGAGCGAAGTTTCCTGCTCAGTTAGAAAGACAAATGGTTTGTGTTCAGAGGCAATGTCTATTGTACCTGCGTCGGCATTGTGCATTCATTAGGTATTATGGTATTAGATTACTTCATCCGCGTTCTCTCGCGTTCAAACTTCGCGCTCCTGATTCCTGAATGCGTAGCGTACGCGCCCTTTTCCCCGGTTAGCCCCAAGTCCACGACGACTGCATGGTTGCGTCAAACAAAATGTCCAATGAAGATGAGCTAGGCTGAAAGACTGCTGCCTACACGGTTACCAGAACGTGCAGAACTCGACATTCTGTGAAAGCGGAGTCCATGTCCATGCACCAGGACACCCTGTCAAAAGTTGGGGGGTGGAAATAGTGTGGCTTCAACTTGTGGGGGCTGAGGAACGGTTGCCTTTCTGACATGGATATCCCTTGATGCAAGATGGGTTGACTCGGTTTCACCAGCAATCACTCCTCTTCAACGTTCATGCCTAAGCTTTGGAATCATCATCTTTTTACCGCCTCCTCCAGAACTATCACACTTCCCCATGTTGACCTTGACAAATCAAAATCCATGAACTCCAAGCTGCTTTCTCTTTCTTCCTTTCTTTCCCCTTTTTGGGGAACACAAGCGAATGGCATCTCGGTCATAACAATCGACAGTCGATATTGTTTTGTACAAAGTGTGAAGCGAATGTCGTGTCTCAATTCAGACGGTAACAGTAACCGCTGAATGGGCGCAAGAAATCTTTGAGAATGAAAAACCGCAGGAAAACACAAGTGGCCGTCCCAATCCCCATCCCAGGATCTGTGCTGTAAATATCCTGCTGTTGTGCAAGGTCCGAACCACACCCAATGGCAAGAAAACCTTGGGTGTCAAAACAGTGTAAAAATCCCAATGTTCAAAGATCAGTAGCCATTGAAGGCTTTCCGAGTCGCCTGATTAGAAGACAACGTTAAAGCGACAGGTTGGCGTGTCCCTCGGAATAAATTTGGGGTGAATTGAAATCGTTTCGCCCGACCACAACTATTACAGTAAGGTTTGAGGTCTATTTGCAAAAAATTCAAGAAGTGTCGCTCATATGCAAGTTTCATCCGTAAAACGTCGCATGGCTCGTATAATGAACGCCTGCCAATAATGCCGAGACTTTAAAGAGAGGTCCGAGGTTTGAGGTTTGAGGACGTCGTATGAGTTCGATCTCAAGACGGGAATTGACATCCCTTCATCTTTCGTGGTTTGAATAGGCTTCAGTCCAGAGATTTTGGTTTTCCTCAGTGGGACTCATGGATCCGGATGAAACGGATGACGATGATCCAATGGTCCATTCATCGCTGTCTGGGCTGGTTCCGTCTAGACCAGCAAGACCATAACTATAGTCACTGGCTGATTCACCAATTTCAATGTAGTCATAGTCCCATCGATACGTCTTGTCGGGTTGCAACCGTGGGAGGAATTTGGCCTTTGCGAAATAGAAGATGACGCCGGCCAACATACTGCCCGCAACCAAATCGACGGCATAGTGATGTGAAAGGTACATGGTAGCCCACCATAACCACACGGCGTAGAATGTCCATAATGGGGTGAGTTTGGGGAAAACATGGCTCATGAATAGAGCTTCGAGAGTCGAGGTAGCGGCATGGAGAGAGGGAAACGCTCCGAAGACCATAGGTGATGCAGTGAAACCCGAAGTATAGAGATCCAAACCAAGCAATGCATCGATACGGGCCAGACCGGCTGGCGATCCTTTCATGGAATAGTTTGCCGGAGCCAATCCGTACATGTTCTCGTACCACGGCGGGGAACAAGGGAACAAGACTTGAGTGATGACTCCGAACAGATTCATGTAGCCGAAGGCGAATCCAAACACGGGAACGGTTGACGGCGGTCCATAGATGAACATGACGGCGGAGCAGACGAAAGGAGCACCAAAGTGACCGAGCCCGTATGGAAACCATGCCAACAGATCCAAGACGGTATTCTTGTGGGCGGAAAGGATATTGCTCAAATTGGCGCCATAGAGGATATTCTCGAGGGCAGGGAGGACTTTGACCCAGATCGGAGGTCTCCATTCAGCCGGGATGAATCTGTAGAGCACAAAAATTAGTTCTCGTCGACTCGGTATTGTCGGGAATCAAGTGCCACGGTCCCAAAATCACCCACCTGCAGGCATAGAAAAAGATCAGGTATGCAGCTATAGGCATGAAAGGCCGGAAGAATTGTCGTGTGATGGGGAATATTAATGAGGCGAGTAAGAGCGTTGCAACCGCCGTTTTGACCATCGGGCCTGGAGACTCAATAATGCTCAAGGAGAAAATTCCCACCACCGCCAGAAACAACCATTGTCCGTCGTACAGCGTCCATCTGTGACTCTGAAGCGATCGTAGTGTATCGACAGGAGAAAACGAGGTCTGAAGGGCGGTGATGGACGAAGCAGGGGACTGTCGGTTGCGGAGCTTAGATCTCAGCTTGCGCCGAAATCGATGAGGTACCAGAAGTTGTATTGACCGCCATGGTATTTGAATATGTTTTTTCGAGAGAGCGGTGTCCTTCCAGGACGGAAGAGAGGGCTGCATGGCACCTGGTGGTGCGAGGAATTGAGCGTCGTCGCCGACGTGTGAGCAATGGTGACGAGTTTGCTTTGAGGAACCGGAGTCGCAGGAAGTGGTTTGGGTACAGTGGCGCCAGGAGAAATGCAGGAGGCGTGAAGGAGGAGAGGATAAGGTCGGTCGAGAAGTGATTCCGAAGACGCCGGTGAAAAGCAATGGGTGACGAGAAGTGGGAGAGAAGTAGAGAGGTAGGAGGAGAATTGAGGACTTGAGGATTTCGAGGAGGCTTAGGTGAGCGAGCAGAAGAATGGTGACAGTAACAAGTGGATGTGAGCGGAAGACTAGGGATTTGATGCGCTGCGATAGGTTACTTGAAAGTCGAATGGGCATAACATTAGGCGAACTTCGAACGGTGGAAGAAAATGAACCGACGTTCCCGTTAGCCGTGTGTGCCTAATGCCGTAATAAGCCCTGGGGGCCGCTGCGACCAGTCAGAATAGAGAGAGCAGACAAGGGCTGCGATGCATGACCGCTGAACATCTAGGCACGGTTCTCCTCGCGCCCAATTGGTTGACGGAAGCCGCCTGGAGCACAATACTTTCCTCTCGTCGGAAAATTTCTCTCTTCTCTTTCCCTCTTCGATGTCAACCATCGTCCGTGGCTTGTATCTCGCGCATGATGCAATCATGCAGATAATTGCGAATGGGCTGACCGTTCTTATTCCAGGAGCTAGGCATTCAATCGATTTTATCCCGTCGCGACACCGATGGATATGAAGCACAATGGAAACCCGGCCATCGGACTCGTACCCGAAGCTCTATTTCGAATCCTACACTTTCGTCTCCAAAATTGCAGGGCTGGGATAGACAGTGGATAGTGGGCACGCGAACAACAAGGAGGCTTGATCAGCCAGACTCGCGGACGCACTATCGAGATGTCTGTTGATTGCAGCCAATTTCCCGATTCCGTTACCCATCGTGCTGACAAAATGACCTCCGTCACATCTGGGATTTTTGAGGGATTTTTCTCCGATATTTCGTCAGACTGAATTTCTTTTTCTTCCCTGGACCGTTCCTCCATCTCCCCCTTCAATTTCCCTTTTCCCTCAACCATCCAATATCATCAGGTGAATCAGCACGATTTTCTCCCATTTTTCTCCATAATCTGATCTTTTCGAGCCTCATGGCTTCTCAAATCAAGCTCCAACAATCTGGTTTGATCGACGGGTCCCTTGTCCCCCGCGGCCTTTCCTATCGCTGGCACGTGAGATTTCGCTTGACCGCATAAAAATGATTGTTCCGGCCGAAGGCTCCCTTACAAGTCATGACCCGAGTACGAAAGACAAAATCCGAACCCGAGCGAGTTGAAAATACAAGTAACTGCCCCCAATTGTCGGCTGTGGGCACCTCCGCTGCCGCAACTGTGACGGGGGTCATCCAACTATACATGAAAATGATGTTCCTTGAGCAGAGCCGTGATGTTCTCCATGCGCTGATTGGATTTTTTGACGCCGTACCCTGGCATTGGCCAGACCCGTCCGTTGATTTGCTGAGATTCTTCAGGCTGATGAGTCCTTGCGGACAAGCACCATTGTCCCTTGTCGGGGATGCGCCCTAACGTACAGTCATCAGCTTGCTTGAGAGCCACCAGGCTTCGACGGTGAGAAGTCGCTTTCTTGGACTACTGAGATGCTTGTGATTTTTCCGTGATTGGAATTGGCCGCACTATTTTTGAGAATTCGTATCAAAAGCAGCTTTGTCCCGAACGCGAACATCATGGCGTGTAGTCCCCAGAAGCCGAGATTTGGATACCGGAATATACCACTCGACTTCTGATATTTGGACAATGATCATTCCCATTTGTGATAATTCATCTTCTCTGGATCCAAGGCTCCATTTCTAACTCTTCATTTCATCCGTAGCGACCGCTCGTTTCCATATTGTGGCGAATGCGCCCTTCCACCGATCATGATTTCCTCCGCCCAGATCCCGTCAACCGAAATAAAATTGTATTCTAGGCTTTTTTCACGCTCTGGGTCGAGGTAGTCCTCGATGGCGGACTCACTTGTGCCGATGTTGTCCTCGACAAATTGGCCTGACTTGAACCATGATGAGAAAGGGGAGGAGTTTGGGTGGAAGATGCTCGGGAGAACCTATGATCTTGACAATCAGCCATTGGATGTCCCGTACACCCTTCCACTGGATGGCAAACGTACGGGTTTCGCTTCTCAACTGATGGTGTTGATCCAGGAGGTTTGTTTCCTTGACCCCACCCCAAAATCGAGTTATACTCCGGCCACGATGAATTGTTCCAGATCTTTGTTATCACCCTGCACATGTCAGCGCCCCGCCTAGAATGAAGGCCCGAAATGAATTGAGATATACCTCTGCGTCGCATCTTCTTGCTGTTCCACGGTGACCTCTTTGACCCCTACTTTCATTCCTTCCCGACTGAAGGATACATTCTTTCGTTCCAACTTTTGCCTCGTCTGATGTCCGACGTCATGAGCGATTGAATATGCCACGAATCCAACAACTGCGATGACTGCGACAATGATCAGGAGAATGATCAACGGGATGATGTGGCTGAGATTCGGCATGATCGCCAGATAACCACTGTGGCAGTTCGAATGTAAGATGAGAAGGAATCAAGTGAGAGATCGCAATAAATGCGTCGAAAACGTTGGAATCCTGCGAACGACGATTGAAAGTCGTACCCTGCGCGAGTGGTCTCAGAAAGGCTCGTAACTAAAGAGTGGCCAATCCTGATCCTTTGATAATGGTGAATCCGAATCCCCCTTTATGTAGCTTATGATCCTTTTCAACGGATTGCGATCGCTTGAATGAATTTCCTCCTGATCAAAATTGGGGGCGATTTGGCACGCTGGTAGGGAAGCGCCACAGTTGAATCTCCCTGAGGCTTGAGACTGGGAGGGAAAATCGCTAGTTGAATCGGGCAAGGACCGGCGTCACGACGGCTGAGTTCAAGTAATAGAGCCCGCCCCTCCTTCGGGTTACGGGTAAGGCCGCTTTAGAGTGTCGCGCGGGTGAGCGCTCAACCCCTAATCGCCCTCTGGCCCCCAATCCTAGATGTTTGGAGTGGCTGAAGTTTTATTCGCTGCCATTCTATCCTCAACAGACGTTGTAGTAGGATAGGTATTGGACAAACCCGCTGAGTCGTTCTGTGCCCTAGCGTTACCACTGACCGTCCAAAACCTCCTCGGGACCTTCTCAAACACGCTTTCGTTCTTTCGTTCTCTATCTAAAAGACGGGGGACATTCGGTTCTACCGGAGAACAATGCTCCAAAGATTTCATGGTACAGACTTTTCCTTAGCGAGCCTAACCCAGAGGCGTTCAGACCGATATTTTACAATTTAATCAACCCACTACCCTCAATCGCTATCGCTGTCAGATACGATATCCATGTCCTCTAATTCATCCCCCTCCTCTTCCTCTTGCCGTTCGGCCTCAGTGCCTTGCTCATCATCATCATCATCATCGTAAGAATATTCGCCTTTGCAATACGCGATCCGATTTCTCACGACCTGTGCTGTGTCCTCGAGCGTCTGGATGCGGTCATCGTGTCCCTCGTCAGCATCATCGCCCTGCTCTTCTCGAACTCTCTCTCTCCCTTCACGCTCACTGCGACAGAAGGCAAATGGTGTCAGCTATGAATGTTCGGTTCACATCGAATTTGGCAAGGACCTTCGCCGACGTTGCTGAAAGGGCTGGCGGGCCAGGAGTGTGATGAAGCGGAACAGCCTTGATGTGCACGGCAGACAAGAGGGAAAATTTGGCTTACGCTTCGATCTCAGCCAACAGCTCTTCGTTGTTGAGCAGTTCATTTTCCTCCCACTCCTCCGGATGCTGCTGGCCCCAATCGTTCAACTCTTCCCATTTGTGCTGATGGTAGTGATAGTCTTCATCGTCAGACATATTGGGTCCGATGAGCTAAACATCAAGAGAAGCTGCAGGAAGTTGGACAGGGCGGATTTACACCCTCAAAGTTGAACTCTACGAGGGCTAGTGGAACGCAGTTTCCAGATCCTGTTAATAGGAATGGTGTAAGGTTTATGTGGTGTTGAAGAATGTATGAGCCCGCAGCTTGCATGTCTGAAGACCTTTTAGTTTATGCAGGTGCGAAGCGGCCGGTGAATCTGGCCCCCTATTCACACCACTACTTACCATCGAGCTACACCCTCTACGTGGGAAGTACGCCCTTGTTTCTTAGGCGCCCCGGGTGAAGCTACTGCTGGCCAAGCCGTCAAGTCCAGATGAGGCCCCGCGCTTTTGCCCATGTATTGTGCCGCGATGACACCTCAAGGGAATCACGCTCAACTTTGTTGCATACACGAGCCAACGGTCAAAATTATCCATACACGGCAATGAATTTGGTTTCGTTGCCTTCCCCCTCCCCGGTATGAATACCGGAAGAGGTGTTGGCTAGCTTTGAGTATCGCCGCTTCTTTACCTACCCAGCTAGCGCTTGAGTCAAAGCCCCCAGGTCGCTTAGTGACTTTGGGATCGCGCGGCCTAGCCTTACTTGAACTATGACATGCTGCTCTTTCCTGTCTGCTCCTTGCGGTCGCGATACAGCAGTAGCAATTACCGCCACATCCAACGAGAAGGGGACTTGTGAGAGATGGCCACGATACACAGGGAGGGCTTCTCTATCGTGTCTCCAAGCAGGAGCCGAGCATCTCCGGATGCAGCAGGAGATGCTGGTATTCCGGAACCGCTCGTGAAGTAGATTTTGCGATCCCGAGTCACAGTCTATGTTGACATGATACAGTGTTGTGCTCATACACGGCCTTGGGGGCCATCCTCGCAAGACTTGGGGACAGAATTCGAAGCCCGTCAGAGAAGGCACGCAGGGCCGTTCAGGATTCTGGATTTTCAGATCTCGCAAGAATCAGTCCCAGACGCACGAGTCATCTCCTCAACCGGCCACAATTGCTACTATGGCGGATAGCTTGAACGCCGCTACTAGTGGCGACTTTTGGCCTAAGCAGATGTTGTCCGACGATCTCCCCCATGCCAATATCTTCGTATATGGCTACCACACCGATGTCAGCACTGGACTGTTCCAAGGCAACAATAAGAATAGCATCCTGAAACATGCTCGAGATCTTCAGGTACGATTTGATCGCGAGGAGCTGTTGCAAACGGTGAAAATGAGCCATCTCACTGCAAGGGGTGCTATGACTGACTCACTTAGCAGGGTTCTGTCATATTCATCGCGCACAGTTTGGGTGGACTCATTTTGAAAGACGTCAGTTCAACCCTCTCCTCGATGCGCCTTTCATGTATCTGATTCGCAAAGGCCTTTACGAGATCTTCGAGCATGTCTCAGCGCACGAAGCTTATCATTTTCATGGGAACTCCGCACAGAGGCAGTCAATACGCTTCGTGGGGCGAAATTGCGTCGAGAATGGCTACTTTGGCTTTGGTCGATACCAATAGGAAGATTTTGAAAGACCTAAGGGTCGACAGCGAAGTTTTGGACAGGATTCAAACAGACTTCGTCGACAAAGTGTACCAAACGAAAACCAAAGTACATTCCTTCTACGAATCGAGCGGTTACTCCTCCATCAAAGGTCTGTCTAACAAGGTGTGTGTCAGGCCCCTGCTCAGTATGTCATTCACTGGGACTATCGCTAACAATATATGTCAAAGGTGGTCCCCGATGCTTCAGCGAAGGTTGACCTACCGCAGTCCCTTGAGACCGTTGAATCTTTGCCGGGCAATCATGAGACCATGATCAAATACAGCTCGAAAACAGACATGGGGTACCGAAGCATCGTCGCGGTTTTGCGAAATAACATGGCGCATAGCTTCGTCGACACCACTCCAGGAGAGACCCAAGCCAGTCAGCCTGAAACTCAACGAATATCAAGTGAGTCAGGATTGCCTAGATATAGCCATCACGACTGAACCAGCGCAACCAGTTAAGGACGCCGACGCGGCGCTTGCCATGGCACAGCCGTTCCACAATCTTCCAGCGGACTCTTCCGATTGCTTCGTTGGCCGAGGGAACGCCCTTAGAGACATCAACGAAGCAATACAAGATCCGAATGGCAAACATTACTTTGCACTCGATGGACTTGGTGGTATTGGGTAGGACGGCTTCCTGCATCTGCAATGAGGACTGTTAACGTGTAACGACAGGAAATCCACCGTCGCCCTCCAAATCGCGCGGGAAGTCAACAAAGAGCTACACTATAAAGTATTGTGGATGCATGCGGGCTCGTGGTCTCGGTTCGAGGAAGACGCGACGGTATTAGCCCAGGAGCTCTGTTTGCCAGGAGCTACGGAGGCAAAAGTCCACAAACCAGCACTACTTCGAGACTGGCTTGAGAGCAGTCACGCGGAGAAGTGGTTACTCGTTCTCGACAATGTCGATGACTGGAACGCGATGTTTGGCAAGATCATAAAGGAACTCGACACCAAGGACCCACCGACTCAATACATCTCATCATACATTCCCAAAGTGGCGGGCGGTCAACGTTCTGTGCTCATGACCACGCGCAACCACAAAATTGCTGTCAAGTTCGCCGGATCCCAGAACACCTTTCGTCTCGATGAGCTAGAACCGGACGCTTCCTGCGAGCTTCTCCGACGGCGGATAGGGGGAAACTATACGGTGGATAGCGCAACCCGAAACCTCGCTGTGGCTCTCTACAACATCCCTTTGGCACTGGTTCAAGCAGCCAGCTTCATGAGTGTCAATACCATGTCCGCAGAGGAATATCTCGATCTTTACAGCCGCAACAACGATCAGAAACTGAGGCTATTGAGCAGGGAGGCTACCCACGAGTTAAGCACTCCCATTGCGAAGACATGGGTCATATCTTTCAGAACGATTGAGCGCGACGATGCTCTCGCGATCGACATCATGTCTTCCATGAGTATGTGGGATTCTCAGGACATACCTACTAGTTTATTACCGCCTAGGGACGATGAGATCGAGCTCCAAGAGTCTCTGGGTACGCTGAAAGCGTACTATCTTATTTCGTTCAAGGCATCCACCAAAAGCTACAGCATGCACGGCATGATACGGTTGATCATGCGCAAGTGGCTTGACGAAGCAGGAAAGTTCAAGAGCTAGGTGGAATTCGACGTCGCGCTCATCGCTCGGACATTTTCCGCCGCATTGGAAGAAGACGAACGCCACGGTCAAGCGTGGCAAAGATATGTCCCGCACGCGGTCTCTGTCATGGACTCGGCGGCCTCTTTACATTACGAAGCAACGGAAAGCGAGCCGATGCAAGTCGTCCAGACCGCAAGGGCCGCACTGCTCAGCTGTACCGCATGGTTCTATCGACACTCTGGATCATACAACCAAGCAGCCACCTTCCTCGAGGAGGCAATTAGGATCCAGAAAGCGAGGAAGGGCGTCACGGATATCGAAACCATTGCCAGTATCGAGCGACTAGCCGAAGTCCAGCGAATCATGGCACACTACGCGGAAGCACAGAAACTGATCGAAGAAGCGGTCGAAGCGAAGAAGAAAATTTTGGGGTCTCACGACCCGGGAACGCTCACGAGCATCAGCAGCCAGGGCGTCATCCTGCAAGCTCGGGGCCATCATGCAGCCGCAGCCGACGTCCACAACCAAGTCTTCGAGAGCCGACGAGCAATTCTGGGGCTAGCCCATCCTGACACTCTGATGAGCATGAGCAACCGCGCCGTCTCTCTGCGATCTCTTGGCCAATTCAAAGAAGCAGAAGCCCTGCAACGCACCGTCCTCCGGGAGCGAACCCTGCTCTTTGGCGAGAATGACCCCCTGACATTAACCAGCAAGAGCAACCTCGCCTACGTCCTGCAGTCCAACAGCCAATACGCGGAGGCCGAAGCACTACATCGCGAAACACTCCGCGGCCGGCAGCAGATTCTCAACGAGAACCACCCGCAAACGCTAATGAGTATGCACAACCTGGCCGAGTGTCTCCGCCAACAAGACAAGGACCCCGAGCAGGTGATCGAGCTGCACCAGGGCGTCGTAAGACAGCGGCAACTGGCCCTCGGCGCGCAACACGTGCAGACGCTCGAGAGCATCCAGGGCTTGGGCAGGGCGATGTGCCGGGGCGGCAAGCCTGAGGAAGGAAGGCAGCAGATTGAAGGGGCGCTGTCCGGCTTGCAGCAAGCGCTTGATTCATCTCATCCCAAGGTCATGCTTTGCATGGACACGCTGGCGCAGTGCTGCGAGGAATGCGGCGATCGTATGGCCGCCAAATCATACTATGAGCAAGCGCTTGCTGGGTATGAGGCGAGGCTAGGGAAGAAGCACCCGACATATATGGCGTGCCATCAGAGGTACGTTGAGCTGCTGAAAAGGGCTCAAGACGTTGCTCACTGTGACAGAGCGATAGAAAGGGAACCCAGGGTAACGTTGGCTGTAACGAGAATCGCTAGCCCGGTCCCTGCCGGCACACTTGTATAGACTAGGCCACTATGAGACGACACGTAGCTTTGAATAGAGTGTTTAGGCTGTTGAATGCGACTAAGCTCAGGACTGGGAAAGGTCGACGTGATCGTCTCGAAATGGACATCGCCGATGAAGGGGGGAACGATTGACGTCGCCAAGGATCGCATTTGATCACCGGTAGGAATTGAACAGAGGAACCCTTCAGGTTCAAATGATCTGTATAATTCCTTTCTATACGTCTCTTGTGAGAACGACATTCAACTCCATTTTGACACAGGATATATACCAACACCACGCTATGCAACAAATCGCCTCTGTACGACTCGTCTCATCATTCGTGATCAAAGATTTGTACCTTCTCACTGATTTCCCAAATCCGGCTTTCATAGTTTTCTTCAATCTGATATCCTTTGCCGCCAGCAACACGCAATATCAAATCATTCAGGCTGCTTCTACCAAGAATATCCACATGATCTCCAGTATTCGGTCCACCTCGAGGACTAAATCTGTCCGGTTCGTGTGGCATTTCAAAGGTGCTGATTTTGATTCCGGCTGGATTGTATCGTTTGATCTTTTTCCATCCTTTGGCACACATGAACCCTGTGGACAACAAATTCACTGTCCCATCTCCTTCACCAAAAACCACCCCATGATCAATGGAACCCAGTTCCTGGAGACGACCATTTGGCGTATTGATCGAGGTATCGATGGATACGTTGATGTTGCCATGAAGCGGATCATCATTCTCCTTGTAGAAGTATGCTCGCTCGGTTGGTTTGCCGATCCCGTAGAAGCAGTATATCTTCATATCTGGTGCATGAGGAAGTCGAGCTTCCAATGGATTCAACCAAGTTTGAGGTATGTTTTCGTTCTTCTCCACCTCTGCTTTGGTATGTGCGACCCCATGAGAATACGAGTGTTTGATCTGATCTGCATACCACGGCTCCGTGTTGTTTAGCAAATATTCAAAAGATTCCGCCATTGTCAGATTCTTTCGCAGAATTTCGGTGGCATTCGCTTTCGGTTTGAAAGAGAGAAAGACACCGTGAGTAGTGTTTTGTGTTGGCGATGGCAAATCGTCTGGCGCCCAAGAACTGTTGCCCCAAACTGCGTCGCCACCTTTGGGTAACATCGATGATATCCCAGGCATTGCTCGGAAGAGTTCTGCTCGATCCCCCTTGGACAAAAACTTTTCCAGCCCGTAGACGGCGAATGCGTTCAGCTGGGCTGTATCCTTCATTTCTCCCGACAGAATGGCTGGGATGTCTTTGACCGCCCCAAGCATGCATCCAGATATATTAATCCAGGAATCAATATGATCGTTGACCCATTTCGGACCTCCTTTTCCATGATCTTTATGTTCGACCCATTTCATAAAATAGAAAAATACTTGACTGCCCATAGAATGCGAAACAAGGACGACCTTCCTTCCAGAAGTGGCGTGCGCGACCTCAATATAGTTTTTCAGCCGGGTAAAGAATTGGTCACGAACTTCCAGATTGGCATAGGAAAGACGCCAGTCATAAGATGCCGTGAATGCATTCGTTGGATCATACCCAATGGTAGCGAGGTTCTCCAAGATTTTATTCCAAATCCAATATCCGGTGATGAAGAAATCGGTCGCATCAAAACCCTGTGCGGCACGAAGTTTGATTCCTGGAGGATCAAGTCCTGTCTCCTTGTCCAGCATGATGTGTTTCTTCCATTCTGCTTGATCCATCACAAGAGCTCTCATCATTGACCAAGACCCCCAAAGTCGCTTTCGAAAATATTGTCGGGATTTCTCCCCGGTGGACCATGACTCCAGGCCAGTTGATATCACTCCCGGAACCATAATTACCGGATGGTGGGCCGATATTCCTTGGGATTGTAAATGTAAACCCACTGAGAACGAGTCGTAGTTGACAACCTCTCGCTCTGCCCTGGATAGATCTTTCACGTCCTTGACCATGCCTGCAGGGATCGCATCCATCAAACTGTCCAGGTTGACTTCGAGTAATCCTTCCAGCTTTATCACATCTTGCGATTGCGCAAATAACAGTGCTAGCACCAGCCCAAGAAGACCTCCAAGTCCGAATATGATCCCCGACCTCCTCTTGCTATGTTTTCGGGTTGCGAACTTGTCCGACTTCTTGGCCGAGGCAAGTTGGACCTCTTCATTGGAATCAGGCGTGCTGTCTCGACTTGCAGAGGGGGAAGGTGAATCTCTAAGGGCATTGATGATACGGCGACGAAGAGCAGACATTATCGATGGTAATGCTCTTGAAGAACGGAAAATCTCGCCGAGGAGCACGCGATAGTCAAAGATTGCATCGATCGAAGATTGAATCAGCTAACAGGCAGACCGGAGAGGCTGTAGCTTTCTAGTAATGGCTGGTTGCACATGCTGCTCGTGATTCAGTCAATAGTTTTTAGTTCCAAGATCGCCAGGCACAGCCACCCTGTCGCCATACGGGCGAGTATTTGACCACCAAATGCTTTTGGCCTCGAGCCATTCAGCCTTACAGCAGATTCAGCGAAATCGCACATTCTCCGAGCAAGTTCAGGAAGTCCTCTTTTCAGGTTCAGCTCTGTTCGAGGCCTGCTGCATCTTAGCAAGGACGATGGACTTTACAACTATTTCTGTGGACTAACAGGTACATAGCAAGACCTCCGATTTTGACTGATTTGTTGGCCTACTACGCCCGATGTCGTATCCCGGGAGCGAAGTCGGAACGGTTCTCGGTGTAGATGGGCAAGAGTCTTTCTTTATATCTTGATGATATGTTACCGACGATCGACACGAGGTCAAGGTCATCGTCGTTAATCTTAGCCGCAACAGATCTGCCGCCATACAGACTGCGAAGCATGGTCAGCACCAACACAAACCTTCCTCAGCGAATACGTTGCTACGTTAGGAAACTCAGCCTGTGAAGAATAAGGTGTCTTCTCAGCAACGATTCCAGCTGCATCATCTACTGCGTTTGGAACGGCAAGAAAGACGACTCCTGATATCGCCGCATTTGTGAATGGCACCGTGATCCGTTCCGTCAATGATAGGTACTTTGCTAAAGACACTTGCACGCTCTAGCGATTCCATCCCAGCCTGTATGACGGCTGCAGAAGCCGAAGGAGCAAGTGGACAGGATCCAATTTTATCCATCGTCCTTGCCAATGAAATCCAACGTCGCCACAGCCAATCTCTATAAGCATGGACGGGATCATGTCCTCATTGCTGCTGCTGCTGCAGCTGCTGCTGTTGTTGTTGTTGTTGTTGCGGCCGGGAAAAAATAATGAGGCTCCCTCAAATCCTGCTCATGGAAGCCACCAACATTACGGTGAGTTCACTCATAGCATTACGACAGATGCGAGCATATAATCTCTCGGCTTGGAAAGGCCCCTCGGCAGCAAACGTTGCTAGAAACGGGGTTTTACTCCGCTCTCATTGGGGTGATGTTTTGAAGGACCATCTTTGATCTTTGAAGGTGAATTGGGTTCACAAGGCAGATCACCGGGCCCATTCCGGCTGGTATCCGAGAACTTTGGAACTCCGAGGACAAGGATTTTCATTGTCTGTCCAAAGATTGGCGACTCCGGGGTGAACAACATATGGCCCTGTTTGCGGCTTTTGAACTCACGAGATGAATTCCTGACTTGTCCCAGGTCAAATCAGTTGGTTTCGACACAGCCTGGGTTACATATAACACACTGGGCAAAGATCCAGAAAAGTGGCAGCCACAACCAGGGAGACGGCAGATCATAGCTTACCGTACACTGCAGCACGGTCTCTCATGGACGGAGAAATCACACCAAGATCGAATACCGATGGAAAGATTCGCGATCCAAAGGTTCTGGAGTTCATAAAGCAGACTACAGTTAGCGAAAGTCCCTCACTGACAGCTATGTTTCCGGACAGGATTCCAAACAGAGTAACTATCCAGCTGACTGCTAGAGAGATCTTAACAGCAGCAAATGGATGGTTTTGGGTGTTCCTGCGGAGAATAAATATTCCATGATCGACGAATAATTCGAGAACATATGCCGTGACTTGGTTCGGCCATATCTATCGCAGGAGAAGAGTGAAGAACTTCTCAAAACGCTTCGGAATATAAATAAAGAGAAGGACGCTTCTGCAATTGCATCAAAGTGCACCGCTCAAGTGCAGAATCAGAAAGAATAGGAAACGGGCGGTCCACACCCGCAGTACCAAGTAGAAATTCTTACTCGCGTTCCAGGAAGTTTCAACGACCATCAAACGGTTCTTAGTATCCTCAGCTTGCTTGTGAATGGCGGGATCGGCGTCCTGAGCGAGAGTGGCCATATCTTGTACATATGTTTAGGCCCTATTTTGGGTAATTTGTGGGTCACTCCATGTTTTCCAAACTACGGTCAAGTACTTTGATATGTGGGAGGCTGAGATGATCCGGTTCAGGACAGTATTGGATCGGAATTCACCCGAACCTGATCCTGTGAAAGCCTGAAAGAGCTCCGACCTCGCATCATAGTCAATTCCTTCGTGATGACTTGACTTCGCTGTTGAATCAGACAATCTGGATGTCGACATCTCGGAAACCGGGATTTCTCTACACAGGGGAGAAGATCTCCGTGGTCAACAATGCACCGACAATGACATATTTTGTTCGCGGCGACCCAGCTAAACCGATGATTGTGGTCATCCCCGGCGCCGCACACCCCGCTCGAATATTTTACGGAGGACACGAGAATAGTGACCCTGTCGATTTCATTGGACACTGGTTTACAAGGTTTGGATACAGCTTTTTGGCCATATCGTACCCTTTTGAAAGCGAGCCTGCGCTTCTGCCGGCTGATCGGCCAGATTTTACAGTGCAAGAATGGGGAAACCAAGCTGCTGAAGTTACCATGCAGATCATCAAGCAGGAAAACTTACCTCGACGGGCCATATTGTTGATGTGGAGCATGGCAGGGAAGATCTTACAACCGTACTTCCAAGCTGCACACAACTATGCTTTCGACGTCGACTTTGCTGTCAGTCTGGTGGCGACACCAGCAATTCGAGGATTGAGAGAAAGACCCCCAGGAACGACCTCGAGCAAGACTGGATATTGTATCGCCAGCCCACAAATCAAGCAGTCTTTTCTCCTTCATCTTCAGGAGCAAAGCGCCATCAACGGCGGCAAATGCATCATCCCGGACGATACCTATGTCCGAGAATACGTGGCAAATCTCCCTGTTGGACTGACGGGCTGGGGATATCGATGGTCCGAACAAGACCGACAGCTGATCGATGACAAAAACGTGGCCTTCGAAGTTGCAGACCAGACGTCGATGGGCGATCTTCCTTATCTATGCTCAATATATGGCGACAGCCCTGCGGATCTGAGACATTCAATAGCCGATAAATACACATGGGGATTCATGATGATGTACCAGCTCATGGGGACTTTGACCCCAGCCGAGAAAATGTTTCTGATTGAGAATCCGGAAAAGGGGAAAAGGGTCACCCGGATCATCCAAGGAGCGCCGGATAGACTTTCTGCTCTCGTGCAGGGTGGTCATCATTTCTTCATTGGAGAGAAGGGAGCGAAACGGACGGCAGAACTGGTGGTGCGGTTTGAGAAGGATCTTGCGCACTTGAAAAGCGAGTTGCGGGCAGTATTTCAATAGCGGTTCGTCATGAGTGGAAACCGGAGATCGAATGTATGGTGATCAATCACGATCAAGGAATAGCAGGTATTCCTGTGCAATTTGCTCATAGTCATCAATGCTAGTCTGGGCACTGGATCATCAACTGCTCGTGAGATCAGGACGACGTCCTCGTCGACCGAAGAACCCTAGGATAACTCCTTATCTCACATAGCCTTGCCCTAGTTCAACAGCCTCGTCACCTGATCAGGCCGACTCACGGGGAGACTTTTGGCCTGCGCTGTGAACGCGAGTCACACGACCTTTCTTTCGACCATGGCAACACCTGACATGACACCTCGCTAGCATCCGTCGCCCTTTTCCTTCTCTCCTCTGACGATGAGCAGCGATGCTGCACTGACGGCCCTGACCACGAAGAGCAAACTCGACCTTCCTAGTGCGCACTTTCAAACCAATCCCCCAGGCATAGATTATGTACAGTACTCGCTCGAGAAGGAACCCGAATACCTGCCTCAAATCCGCGAACTGATTTCCAAAGACCTCTCGGAACCCTACAGCATCTACGTGTACCGATATTTCCTGTACCAATGGGCCGAACTGTGCTTTATGGCCGTCGACACGACGGACAACAATAAATTGGCAGGCGTGGTGATTTGCAAGTTGGAACCGCACAGAGGTGGTCCCCTAAGGGGTTACATTGCGATGTTGGCGACGAAGGAGAAGTTTCGCGGGAAAGGGATTGCGACGACGCTGGTGAGCAAGGCGATTGATTTGATGATTGAGAAGGATGCGGATGAGATTGCGCTGGAGACGGAAGAGACGAATACGGCGGCGATGAAGTTATATGAACGATTGGGATTCCTGAGGAGTAAGAAGTTACATCGGTACTATTTGAATGGGAACAGTGCGTATAGGCTACTGTTGTACTTGAAGGAGGGGGTCGGTGGGATTCCGATTGATGAGGACTATGATGATATGCCACGTACACAGGAGGAGCTGAGACATCAATATCGAGATCCGGATGATGCTTTCAGCCATGGAATTGTCTGATACGACTCCTGGACCGAAATGATGAGGATTCACCACGGCGACCAGCACAAAGACTGATGGTCTCTCCGCGGTCTTATACCGTCTCTCCCACTGCAACCACGAGCCGGAGCCATAAAGGCATGAAGATAATTGAAGATATTGCCGCTCCAGCTTGTCCCTGATGTGGACACACTCTGGGAAAGAGACAATCCCGTACAATGACCAGGGCAGAAAGCAACGTCAAGCCGATTTTCAATATCGACTACTCGCGAGATGAATGAGAAATAGATATCGGAAGCTTGTCCAAAATGATCATAGACAACTGCCTATCCATTCTTCCCATCTTCTCACGCCCTTTCCTGCTTCTTCACCTCTGACTGCGCCTCCAACAATATCCACACTAATGTCGTATTCTTCTTGCATCAACTGGAAACTGAATTTCTCTTCTCCTCCCCCACCAAGAACCTCCTCGTCGGCACTGGAATCTGGATCCTGACCCACCGTCGTAAGTCCTTTGCTTCTGGATACTCTCACTCTCTCAATCTCTGTTTGAAGTCGCTCTTTGACTGCGCCGGTCGGTAAGGCAGTGAACAGATCCTGCTTGTTCGCCGCTATGAGCACGGGGATCTCAGTTCTGGCCTTGTTCTTCCCAGTCTTTCGTCGTTGAAGCGCAAGCAGTGTATCATGAAGGTAGACAGCAGTGTCGCGAGACGAGGAGGAATCACTTGAATCGAGTGCACTTGCATCGACCACAAAAATTACCCCGCGGAGAGCAGGATTCTGTATCTGCGATAAAGCTTGTTCCGACCTGAGTTTGCCATGACCTGGGGTATCTATCATGACATATCGAGTGGGTTGCTTGTCCTTGAACGAAGTGTCATTCTCGGACCGATATTTATCGGATCCCAGAGACACCGAGGCTGAAAGCAGTAAGCTGACGGTTGATGATACCTGAGAAATACGAGTGAGGGCGGCCTCGGAGTCTTCTGGATTGGAAGATCTTTTTTGCAACTGACTCCATCAGCGAATTTTTTGCGCGTGTCCGGACCGGAGGATGCCTCACAAGAGATACGAGCGAAGTCTTTCCTGCGCCGCTGGGGCCCAGAAGTAGAAAATTTGGAACAACTTTGGCACGCGCAGTTTGGGTGTAGAAGTAGAGATGGAGGAGGAGTGGAAGCGAGATTGTTACCAGGAACGCAAGAAAGATTGCAATGGGATCGCCGGAGAAGAGTCTGGTAATCAGACTGTCTGGCGACGACCAGCCCATGATTACCAGATTGAAACTGTTTGTTGAAGATTGTCGAACTGCATCGTCGATGACTGGCGAGCCATCGGGGGATAACGTACCTGAGGAGGGCCGTGGATTGGACCGCCGTGCCTGGCAGCGCGGCCGTCTTTATTTATGGGTCTGGATGAATCCTTAGCGGCTGTGCAGTGATCTCCTCAGGTCTCAGCGACTTGCGCTCACCCTTCCCCGTCTCATCTTTCTTTCATTTCTCATCCCAGATTCGATCAATTCTCCCTCTTTCGCCCTCCGACCACATTCAGACGGTCGAAACCATGATTTTGCGGAGCGTTTACCTTCTGGCGACTGCCCTCCTATCCTTCACCCTGGCCGACATTCAGGTCACTGGACCGGTCGCAGGAGATACCATCACTGGTCTCTCCCTCGACATAGAGTGGAAAGATTCCGGAAACTCCCCTCCGATTTCAGACCTTACATCGTACCAAGTGTTTTTGTGCGCCGGTGGAAATTCCGATTCGAACTTTGTAAGAGGGGAGACATTGGATATGAGGCGGACTCGGTGCTGACACTCAATTAGATTCAACTGGGAACGCTTGTACAAAATGGCGATTTTGCAGATGGCAATTCCGTCACCGCGCAAATTCAGGCTGGTTGGGGTGCGGATGTGACAAACGCATACTTCTTGAAGTTCATATCTACGGCAACAGGAGGCACAGTGATCAACTATTCAGATCGTTTCTCATTGAAGAGCATGACTGGTACATTCCCGCCGTCGGTGACCCAAGGTCTCAGAACCGTATCTGGGACTGCTGGACCAGAAGATGTCAATAATATCCAAGCACCACAAGCAGAGGACGCTCAAGGGGCTACCTCTTCGGCAGGGGGGGATTACGATGTCCCATATACCCTGCAAACAGGAACGATTCGTTATGCTCCCATGCCACCTATGGCTCAATCCAAGATCACTGCCAAAAATGCTTCTCCTCAATGGCCGACTAGTGCATACACGGTGTACACGGCGGTCGCCGGAACACCCAACGCGATCACCACCCAAACAGCATCTCTCACATTTAGTGTTTCCAGCAGAGAGGCGACTGTACGTTTCCACGAGGTCTGCTGCATAACGACATGCTGACTCTCACAGGTTGCTGCGGCCGGTCAGCCCACTGATGCTGCTTTGCAAAAATTCTTGAACCGGTGGAAAGATTAATGGTGGCGATGAAATTGTATGGAGCTGGCGTCGAAGGTGAATAATCATGGATTGGGAACGGAGTTATTTGGTTTTGTCTTGATCTGTAGAATGCCCATGTGAAGAGGCGCCTCCAACGCCTTGCTAAAAAGGATTCAGAATCATGTAACCATCTGTCAACGAAAGATTTCGTCAAAAGGCCTCGTGTCTCTGAAACAACTGTCCCAGACCTCATTCACCACTTTGACGGCCTGGACATCGTCTTTGCAATTCGGTCTGGACTTGACTGAAAGTATTGCTCTCCGTCGAACGCAGTCTTGATGATGGTTTGTGAAGGAGAGGATTTTATTTCGGAAGAACTCGTTCGCCCATCGACATTCTCCGCTGAGATTGCTTGCTCTGATCTATACCTTGTCAAAGACAACACAGTCATCCACGGTATATCAACTCACCTCCGAGCAAGCAGCATGTCGCAAGTCATCCTCTGGACCCAAATCCGTCTTGAATCGCAAATGGTCGTAGGCATGTACCATCTCATGAGCCATAACATCTTCCAGCATGCTCTTCTTCTCTACCCAATTGGCACAGATCATGATCCCATACTTATGATCAAATCCACCCAGTTGACCCGTCTTGCAAGTTCGACAGCGAATATTGTGTCTTCCAATGTCCCCTCCCAAGTTTCGTATGTTGTCCGTCATGAATCTGATGATGGGCGAATATTTTAACAAATAATCTCGCTGCTCCTCACACCGTTTACAATCTATTTTGCTGTATCTTTCGTCCGCATCTTCCCAGTATAACCTCTGTCCCTCCGGAGACATCTTGCCGGTGGCCATCCGATAGAAATTTCTAAACTGATTGGAGAGAGTGTCGCTAGGGAGAAAATCGGAACCGGGCTCGGGTTCGGCGGGAGATTCTTTTGAGTCAGCCATAATGAAGGAGCAGGACTAAACGTAAACAAAAGCTGAACAGAAGCAGGGAATGTTTGTGGACGATGACAAAGTATTGAAGCTGCGGAAAAGGGAGGGCATCTCATCTCATGTCAACGAGTTGCGTTATGATTGGACATCCAAACTGCGGTTACATTTTATATTCCCCACTGTAATTATAAAAATGCCTTCCCCAGTCTCTATGATTCGCCAAATCCGCATCACAGGGCGGTCAGGCAAAATTTTCTGACAACGGGCGAACTTTCGTTGCTCCATTAGCTAGCATTTGTGAGTCTTATAGGGCGTACTGCCCTCGTTTCTCTTCTCTTCCAAAATGATAGGTCTTGTCCAGACGGTTTCACGGCGGGGAATATATCCTCACCGCAGACATGAAGCCAGGAAAACATTTGACTGTTGTCATCAAGATCGGTATAGAATAGACCATGCCGCGCTACCAGAAAACAGCGGTAAGGCTCACTGTGGTCATAGGGACCTCTTCTATTGTCGATGAGAGGACACATGAACCCATACTTTCTATTCTCTCCTTGATTGTGGAAACAGCCATCAAGCTACGACGAGATGGACACCGAGTGGTCATTGTATCTTCGGGCGCTGTTGGTGTTGGCCTTCAAAGAATGAACATGCCTAAACGGCCCAAGCACCTTGCCCAAGTTCAGGTGAGATGGCGACAGTGTAGCCAGATACAGTGGGCTACTCTGACAAGATCAATCTAGGCCCTTGCTGCCATCGGACAGTCCAGGCTCATGTCGATATGGGATTCGTTATTTGCGCATATGAACCAGCCTGTCGCCCAAATTTTGATTACAAGGAACGACATCGCCGATCGGTCCCAGTATCTCAACGCTCAAAATACTCTGGCAGAAACACTGTCTCTGGGGGTCATCCCCATTGTAAACGAGAACGACACGCTCGCCGTGTCAGAAATCAAGTTCGGAGACAACGACACCCTCTCAGCAATCGCATCAGCAATGGTTCACGCAGACTACCTCTTCCTCATGACCGACGTCGACTGCCTGTACGACAAGAACCCACGCCAGTTTTCCGACGCCTCGCCGATCCTCGTTGTCGATGACATCGACGCTCTCCAAGTCGACGTCTCTTCCGCCGGCTCAACACTCGGGACGGGAGGCATGGCCACGAAGATCGTCGCCGCCCGCCTCGCAACCGCAGCAGGTACATCAACCATCATCACCAAATCGTCCAAACCCGGCAACGTTGCCTCCATCATTCGTCATCTTCATCCGCCCATCGACGCTGAAACAGGCGCCGTCATCACCGATCCCGTTCCACCTCTGCACACCCGCTTCATTCCCTCCAGCACACCCATACGCAACCGCGCATTTTGGATCCTGCACGGCCTCGCGCCGCACGGGACCATCTACATTGACCGAGGCGCCAGCAACGCACTGGCGAATAAAGCCGGACTTCTCCCCGTCGGCGTCGTCGGCGTCGAGGGGACATTCGCACAGCAAGAAGCCGTGCGTCTCGTGGTCGTCGACAAACAACCGCTCGGCAGCCTTTCACCGACAGGAGACTCAGGCTTCGTGGCCATGCAACTGGTCCTACGCGGCGAGGAGATTGGAAGAGCCGTCGTCAATTACTCGTCGGCCGAGGTTGCGCGTATTAAGGGCCTGCGCAGCGCCGAGATCATGGGCATCCTGGGTTACGCAGACTCCGAGTACGTTGCGTTCAGGGAGAATGTCTCCTTGCATACGACGGAAAGGAGTCGGCCAGAGACGCCGAGCGGGTTCCGTACTCCGACGACGAATGCGACCCCCGAGCACAGTATTGTGGATTTAAGGGCTGGACAGTAAAGGAAAGGATTGTCAGGACGAATTTTCGTGATCATACTTCAAGGAAAGAAGGAAGACATCTAGGCAGAAAATGCCTCCAAAAAGAACATGGATTTCCGCAGTCAGAGCAACAAGGACGCAGAAAGAAATGCACATTGGATGGGAGAATCGTTTTAGGATATGTAAATATGATGGCGAGCGGAATACATATGCACCAAAATGGCAGTGGAATCCTATTTCTGCCTCGCACGTGCTCTGAGAACATAGTCTACGGGCTGGTAGAGGGGGTCGTGGCCGTGATGAGGCCATAGGATACCCCAAGATGTGCTTGAAAGCTAACCAACCGCAGCAAAATGAGAGACATATGAGAGACCTGAAGGAGCAAGGAGCCAAAGGCCAGATCAAGCAGATATCAAAGTTGGGCAAAACGACTGAAGTCAATGTGCTTTCATCCTCCCTCGTATCATCCTTTGATCCTGATTTGACCACCTTTAGGGTGCTCCTGCAAGCTTCAAACCCATCCTGGCTCCTAGTCCTGATGGGTGGGATGTGTTGTGCAATGGTGGACCAATCGCAGCCACTGGGATCGATGAAGTGTATGGGTTGCATGCCGATTTCTTTGGGTACCGTGAAGAACGTTTGTACCACATTCAAAGGTCCTGGATTTGCGTCGTTGAAAAAGAATATGGTTGATTGTTCTCGCCGCCTTGACTCGGGCTCGGACCACCCCCCCAATACGGTGCATTGAGTGAATACTAACAGGCGGAAAGATTATTATCATTCCCGGGGTCAGTATCTGTTCGACGAGACGCACTCCGTTCTCTTGGGCCATGGACGTGTGAATCGATCCAGAGATTGCAACCACGAGCAGAGCCAACAAGACCCCGAGGTCGAGTTGGGCCGCTGTCACATCGAGTATCGAGAGCATCGGCCATGTGGCAGCATTTACATTGCAAACACTTCCTGGTTTCCAAGAGCGCTTTGGGTTGGCAGAGAGGAGCACGATGGAAGTTTCTCCGTCGGAAAAAGAGGTAGCTAAGTCTGAAAGTCGTGACCAATGTGAAGAATACTGCGAGGGGTACACCTGAGGGCGGTATAGTCTCCAAAGTCTCGAAAACTAATTTTGCCCCGGTTGCAGTAATCTCGGATGGTTGCGCAAACCCCGGAAATCGGGTCGGGAGATGACACAGACATGGGTCGTTTCGATTTATGTGCGTTCCCACCAACCACTTCCTGCCTTGATGAGTCCAGGTTCTCGTGGCCTGCGGATTTTGTGAGGAGCTGACGGTCAGTTTGAACAGAAAAAGTGGCATTCTCGATCTGTTTCTGGGAAGATGATGAAGGACCACAAGGGATTACTGGTCGTCGTTGGTTCTTCGTCCCTAATGATCGAGAAATTTGATTCGATACCAAGACGAGTTTTCGGTAACTCTCGCGAAACATCCCAACGGAACGTGTTCTCATCATGGTCATGTGTCACCCAAAATCGTTCCTCTTGTTGAGGATGAATGAGAACGTGCTTGTGTTGCTCGTGTTGCCTGGTTCATAAGACCAATCTTGAAAATCGTACAGAAAGAACAATCTCAGGTGAGTGAGATTGTACATCAACCAAGCGAGACCTTCGGGTAGCGGCCTTTGACGACTTGAGCATGAGATCGATTTCCAAGGAATCAGGAGGTTCTCATCTAACTCCGTCGTGGTGAAAGGCATTGAAGTAACCCGAGGGAAGTATTCAACATTTCGTGGATGAAAGAAGAAAAAGTATCATCCCTAAACATTAGCTTCTGTAGATCATCATTACTTCATAAATAAGTAGGAAGGAAATTTTCCAGAGACATTGGATGATTTTCTTGTCACAAACCTTTTCCCATGTATCCGCCATGTGATTGACATGGCAGAGAGCGAAGTGGCTTGAAGCTGTACATCAACCAAAGTGTCGAGAGACTTGATCTTCCTGTGTAGCAATTTGACCTGTTCGTTCGTACAGGCTGAAGAATTAAGTCGGCGAAGCTGTCAGTTGGCCTCAAGTGAATAGATGGTAGGGACATTGAATATCTAATCGATTGTCCCCTGTGCCAATGTGCTCACAGCTTTATACAACCATTCGCCACACCGGTTGAATGCCCATGATCTGGTAAGCGTCCGGAACTCCGTTCATGAACAAATTGGGTAATTGTTGCACCAATAGATCTTTGCACTACCGGGTAAATATCTTCCAGAGCAACCATCCTGGTCTGTGTATAGGATAATTGTAATGCAGCTGGATATTTGAATCAAGCACGCAAGCGGACCGGTCACCATATGAAGGCGAGGTTGGCTCGCGTAAATTTGCGCAGGGCCGAGTTCTCAATTGTGTTGCTTTTGTTGTTTTCATAGAAAATGCATGAACGGGGCTAACCGACTTGGGCGAAAATCTGAGGGCGTCTTTTGATCTGGCCTGCAAGGTCGGATAATATGCCGCGCTGCTGGCTGTCAAAAGTCTTTAGATCATGCATGAAAAGGCGCCGTTGACATCAAGCTGCGGCATTAGTCAATATTCATGTTCGTACTAGTTTTGGCCACGAGGAAGCCTCGTTTCCCAAGGTATATTGTCCTCCGAAGGATTGGGTTGTTATGCTTCAGTGGTCGGGAGAAATATTGATTCCCGTTGAATCATTTTTTATGGATAACATGGGGGCCATCTCTCTCCCCGCAAAGAACGATAGGCTGGTGGAGCATCTTAGTGAAATACGAATCGGCTCATTCAGCAGGTTAGCCATTTTCTGGGAAGTCGAAGCTCGGCGACTAGGGGGTGACAGGAAGGCAGGACAAATTGCGAAGTTGGATGAATTGTGAGACTTTCTGAATACACGCTAGACGTTGACGAAAGCCAGGAGAAAGAGACGGCTGCGTAGCGGACAAGACTGGCGTCGGACTCGGTTGGATAGTGGAGAGGTAGCAAAAGGTGGTGTGGTGGAAATCAGGGGTTGGCTTTTGAGTTTTTGGTGAGCCCACAGCGACTGCGAGTGGCTTGTTGACACACAAATGAGGGATGGTGCGTGTCACGAAAATGTGCCTGCAGCAATGCAAGTCCTGCTAGTTCAGCATCTTGGGTCTGGTTCAGGGATGCCGCATTCAAGGAGATAGCAAGATACTAAATGGGAACTGCACGAGCTGTCCAAAAACCAAAGTTCCCATCACAGGCTCAAAGCTCTCTCCGAGTTTCTCATCCTCACTGAAGGGCCCCCCGTTTCATCCTCTCCGCTGTTTCTCTAACCGACTTTCGATCCCTTCTGCTTCCATTGGCGAACCGCTCAAGCTTGACCTTGCCCCTCGAACAAGTGACCGCGCGCATCTGAACTCAACTCCAACTTCATCGCGGACTCTCCTTCTTTCCTCCTTGACTATTGTCAGCGTCATCCCTCCCCCCCCATTTCTAGATCCTCGAGACCCTACATCCTCCGAGGATTCTCATCACACCGCCCTGCTCTTGAGACCCCGGCAGTCACGGACCTCTTGAATTCAGTGGCGAACCCATACCCACCCTCGACCATCAGCGGCGGTGGATACGCGGCAAGAGAACATTTTCAAATGTGTGGGATTGAATAGGGAAACGGATAGACGACGGCCTATACGATGTCTGGTTAATTTGACGCCATGTTCTGGTCCAAAGCGAAACTCAGGAGCACAGGTTATTCGAAACAGGATCACGGTCTTTTCTCGAACGGTATTGTCTTCGACTCCGCGATTGCCTCCGATATCATTCTCCGTCGGACTTGAAAGAGGGTGCCAATTTTCTTCAAGAGTGGGAATACGCAGACATTCGAGCAAGGGGGACCCGATTGATTTACGCTGGTCGTCGTGATTCCCATCCCGACTGAGTCCGAATTCTCCTGATTCATTAGGCGGCCTTTCACCTGCGGGAGCGAGCCGCGGCAAAGCGTTCGTTTGAAAAGGTACACCAGTGCGTCGGCTCTGCATCGGCAGCGTAGCCACCGAGTCCGATTCTCGACATTGGTCATTTCCTCATCACCCACTTGTGACATCGATGTTACCCCAGCTCAACAAGCAAAGTCCGGATCTCTGATCTTTTCTGTCAAAAGAATGAACCCGACTGTGACTCCTACCACCTATAACGGGAGAACCTCAGGGTCTAATTCGGCGTCGACTTCTGTTCAGACGGTCAAAAAGGTCGCTTCTGTTTCCGCCCAATCTTCTCGGAATGCCCACTTGAAAGGAAGATCCGTCAGTCCAGATCGTGCATTGCTACCTCTGTCCGGAAATCGTCATTACGATCGAAGTCGTTCGAGAAGTCGACCTGAGAATCATTTCGAATCCCAGACACTTAGCCCGAATTTGAACATCAATCGGTGGTCGCATTCAACCTCTTCCAGTGTATCAGCCATTGATACCGAAGCCCTTCGTGCTCGGGCCAACACATCATCTCGACGAATGAGTATAGGTCCTCCTTTGATAACGTCAGAACGAGGACCAATCTCATCCCGTTTCTCCATGACTTCCAGATCTTCCAGTCAAAGTCCTCCTAGGAAACAAAATTCGGGGTCAGGATTTCTCCAGGTGGACCACCATTCCAGTTCGCGCGATATCAGTCCTGTGGCCATCTCTCCTCTAACTCCGACTTCGATGTTCAACCCTGGCGCGGGTGAATACGTAGGTGAAACCTGGCAAGGTCGGAGGACTGGGAAAAATGGGGAATCCGTTGCTATGTCGGTGCATTATATGAGGACGGGTTCACAACCTAGTCTTAAACCTGCCGAAAATATCGCATCACAATATACGACTCAGACTCCTCGTCCCGGTACCCGGGAAAGGAGACCCGCCACAGCCGGTCAAGATGGTTCCGCTGAAGGAAACACTGTTTCCATTCGAGGAAGAAGTCATCGAAGCCCTTCTCAAAAGGCGATGTTATCGAAAGCACTCGCCAAAGCAAATACTGCTGTTCTCCTGGACAATGCTCAAAATACTGAAGGCGCGATTGAGGCTTACGCTGAGGCTTGTGATATTTTACAACAAGTCTTGGTACGGAGTTCCGACATGGATGATAGAAAAAAGTTGTCCGCTATCAGAAGTACCTATTCGAACAGAATAGCCGAGCTTCATGATCTTAATGACTCCTTTTCTGGTCTGATGGAAAAGGCTCTTCCGGAAGATCCTCCTCTTGATGAAACCAACAACACATTCTTCACCGGTGAAAGTGTTGAACCCGATACCACTGGTCTGCTGGAATCGGTTCAAATCCCTCCTCGGCAGGAATCCTTACTACCCGAGATTTTTGGCGGCGAGACGTATATGAACGAGTCATCCCGCAAAAGGTTGCATATACATAGTCTGGCGGTGCCGATGGATACGCAATATATGCCTCCACCACTTTCACCAAGGAGGCCGGCATCCCCCTCTTCCGAGAGGGATACCAATACCCCGCTGGCGACTACACCTGGTGAGTCCGCAGATGGTGTTCTTCATGCACGAGAAGATAGTACCGAGTCCACCTCATGGCTGGATACTCTTGAGGACGGTGATTCTTCATCCAGATCATCTCGACTGTCATCCATCGACCTTGGTATTCGTACCAACCAACATCTTGCTGATGATATTGAAGCAGAGTTTGACGCGGCTTTGAATGCCGCTGTCGACGCTGCTTATGACGATAGCCTAACGGAAGAACCCACGCCCAGACCTGATAAACACGGACAAGACTTCAATGGAAATTTTGGTCTCCCTCTCCCAGAACTTCAGTCCACCTCTCAGGGACGGCCTGAATTGTCAGATCTCGATCTTACTCGAGAGTATGATGAAGGCGATTCGTCAGAGGAAGAAGAGCGGTTACTGGAGGAAATGACCAAAGGCTATGTCTTTGATGATTTCTCCTTCGATAACAAGTCCAAGTCTGCCCTTCCTCGACAATCAGATTCAAGTACAGTTTCAGGTCGAACCTGGGCGAGTTCAATTCCATCGACAACGGCAACAAATGCCACGGCGTTGAGTACACTGGCGGAATCTCATGAACCATCAAGTGAATCCTCTCCACCACCGATACCTCCGGCCAAAGACCCGTTTATGGCATCACCCCTTAAAGCAGCACCTCTTCCTCCTGCTCCTACATTGCCTTTACCAAATCAACCGACAAGCAGCCCGACCAGGACCGACAAATATGCCGGACTCGGTATCCGGGAAAGAAGGATCTCGGGTCAAGTCGGCAAACAGCTCAAGATTGAAACCTTTGCCAAACGAAGTTCGTCTAAGCCAACCGTTCTGGCACCCTCTGTTCCAGAGCTGGAGATATCATCTACCGATCGTTCGGGAGCACCTCAGACGGCACCGCTTGAGGCTACGTCTTCGTTGACATCCGGAACCCAACCGATTACACCCATGACTTCGATGCCATCCACAGAGTCGATGAAAAGTGAATCTCCGGCAACTCCTGCTTTGACCCAGGCTGGATCGCAAGGTAGTGTTGATGATTCAATGGCCATGCCACCATCACCAGCCAAAGTCGCAAAGATGATGCCACCTCAAGCAGCGGTCAGGAAGAATTTATCTTCTTCGAGCTTAAGAATGAGGAATCTTTCTGTCACAACGACCGAGACCAATAACGAATCTCCAGTCACACCAATCAACACTAGTTTCAGTGCCGACGCCAAAAAGGTTGTACCTCCTTTACCTTCGGCTGCGTTGCCCACTCCGTCGACAACTGCATTCGGACCCCAACTTCTTCAAGCGGGAGGAATGTACTTGTTTGAGGATCATACTGGAGCCACGAGTTCGCCAGAAACACCACGTACACCAAACGCCCCCACCATGGCTCCCCCACAACCTCTCGAGCCTTGTCCAGAATCTTTCTTACTTCGTCCTTTCTGGTTGATGAGATGTCTATATCAGACGCTTGCTCACCCTAGAGGAGGGTATATTACGACACGACTCTTTATACCTCGGGATATCTGGCGGGTCAGAAATGTCAAACTCAGGGCTCTGGATGACAAGGTCTCACAATGTGATCTTTTGACTGCTGCCCTTTTGAAACTGGCCAAAGTTGACACTCTCGATGCAGATGCAGTTCTTGAAGAGTTACAATCTTTCGAGGCTGTCCTGGATCAGGTTCGAACCACACTGCAAAAGAAAATTGGCAGCGATGTGGGATTCTCGGGTTCCTCCAGCATATTTAAAGCTGCGGGAGAAGAAGACCCCAGTTCCAACAGGACGAGCAATACCACCGCCAAATCTTTGGCTTCAAGTTGGAGAAAATTACGGTCGAAGTCAAGCGCTCCTGCAATCGGTAATCAAAGTGGACAAAAGGACGGTTCTACCGCTGGTGTGACCATGTCTTCATTACCAATGACTTCGTCGAATTCTATTCATTCATCTCGATCGCATCAGAATCGAAAAATCGCGCCTCCCCCAACCCCGTCACAATTGACCAACGTTCAACCGATCCATGCTGCTTATATGTCAAGCTTAGCTCGTCTATTTGACGCCGTTCAAGTCTTGGATGGGATCGCTAGACAAGTGGAAGATCCGGGGTTAAAATGTAGCAATAAAACACAAGTTGGGTTGGAATTGGGGGTCAAGAATGCAGCAGAATTCTTTGCCTTTTTCATCATTCGGTTTGTCATGGCAGATTTGATGTTGTTGGTGGATAAGTTCCTAAAAAGAGGAACGGAATGGGTTCTGACTTGATGTCACAACGTCGCAAATTTACAAAGTCTGGATTGGAAGTATTGAATGTTGCATCGTTCTTTTGGGGGGGGGGGGAATGATGATCGATCAACGAATGTCGAACGTCGTGAAATGAGCATGAGCATTGTCGTGCCATGATACTTGAGTGATACCTACAGAATTGCGCATTGCGGATTACTTTCAGCGGCATCGGTATTGGCGGCGGCCTCAGTCATTTACGGCCGTTTTTACTTTTCGTTTAATCCACTTAAGGTTGCAGTTGCATTTGCCTTTGCATGCAGTGGAGCCTTTTTTGTTGTTGATGTTTTATGATACCAATCACCACTGTCGCTTTCGTTGTCGTGTGAACGCAGGGGTTTATGTCTAAGTGTCCAGATATACCGCCAGAACTGGAAAAGAAAAGGGGCCAAGCTACAGATGGATGGCACGCAATGGGATGGGATGGATGTAAATAGGCAGAGACAGCTTCATGATCAGAGTCAGCTGACTTTGGGTGAAAGAGATCTCTTCTGTGCTGAATCCCTGAGAGCCGTTGAGGGCTCCGTATTCCCATTGCTCAACCCCCTTTCCAGTACCCTATACCGTTGAAGCCGTTTCCAGTCCAGCCTAGTCCGGTCCCGTTATCTATTCGGATTGGTAGGTATATCCTTCAAGCTCCGTCATCGTGGATCGGCTCAGCTTTCTCTTCATCCACGATCCTATTAGATTGCGGATGTCTTTCCTTTCCACGCTGGAATAAAAGAGTCCGTCGTCCTCTTCTGCCAGTGCCAGCACGCGTCGCTGATCTTCGCTGTCCGGCCTTGCTCGCTTTCCTTCCTCCAATCGAGCCTTGCGAACTGGATGCAATGGACCATGCCCGCCTTCTCCACCATCTTCGGTGATGGCCAGGCACTTTGGCATGTTGCTTGGGCTTCGTCGTTATGAAGCTCAGCCAGAATACACATAAGACTAACCCCGCCGCGACGACGGCAGCGATCCAGAATCTCTTGCCCCCACCACCCGTACCCTGTGCCCCCCCTGACGAGGAAGAGCCAGGTAAATACGCGTCGTTCATGCTGAAGAGGCTGGTGACGAAGCTGAGGGGCACGAATGTTAGTCCGAGGTAAGTTAGGGCGCGGACGCTGCGGGCTTCGGACAGGGATTGCCTGTTGCCGACGATGCTCGCGAGGTTCGTGAACGAGGTTAGAAGCGAGGCAGATCTGCGCTTGAGCTTCGCGAAGCGTGTGCTGAGATGGACGAAATCAGGGCGCGAGGACGTCCAGTCTCTCGCCGTATTGACAGGTCCGTCGCATGAGCTCGAACAGACACCGCCACAGTAGCATTGACCTTGTCGGTGGCGCTCTGCTGTCTGTTCAGACTCGGGCTGCTCGATGCCCATTTGCTCAAGCACCGCGGCAATGTCGCTCTCATACTCGTCGCACCGCCGATTGAACGAATGCAGATCACTGCATCTCTCCTCTACCCAGTCGAGCGTTAGATTTGCAAACGTCTCGCGCCGCGACAACAGCCACTCCAAATGACTCAAGACGCCCCGGTAGTACTCGCCTAGCATCATGAAGTGCGAGGCTACGATCTTCCGCACGAACAGCGTACTGCTTGCTGGGGAAGCGGTGATGGTCAGACAATCGGAGTGATGGGAATAGTAGTACAGTAGGTCGTCGAAGAGGGATGTTCGCGGGGGTCCCGGCGTGGATTTCGCCTCTTCTAATGATGTGTAGTTGATAAAGTCGGCGTAGCCGCCTTGGAAAGCCTCGTTGGGCATTTCGGCACGGCGGAACGTTTGACCTGAACCGACGAGGGCTTCTTTCACGGGTCCGTCGACGATGAGGATCGCTATAGCAATTGTTAGATCGCATTATGCATCATGGATATATATCTCCACACAACGTACCATCCCACCCATCGCCTTTCGTGACTTTGGCCCAAAACGATACCTTTCTCTGCACAATGCCCACATTGTCAAACCTGCTGTCGATTCTTGATACCGCGATGTGCCGCTCATTGGGCGCACACCGGAGGTAAAAATCGCGGATCTGATCGCGCAGAAACCAGAGAAGTTCCCAGTACTGGAAGCAGAACTGGGTGGACGGGTCACGGAGACTCGGTAGCGCGGGTGTGTTGCCCGCATCGTGGTCGTACTCCCATAATGCCTTGCGTCGGTGCTGCGAAATGACGGTTGGTGGTATGCGTAGTCGGTGACCTAACACGGTCACGTAGCTGGGTTGGAGCTCTTCGAGCAGGAAGAATCTGCGTGTGCCGGCTGGGGGAGGTTGAGCGAGGAATGCATCGAGTGCTTGTTCGCTGGGGAATATGCGGTGCGCAATGGTTGAGGCTGAGCGAAATTCGACGCATGCCACGCGCGACTGGCCTGCCAAAGGTTGTTGGAACGGGTATACTTCATACCGTTTGTCATCAGCATAACGTAGAGTCGGGTACTTGCTCAGCAATTCTCGGATGTCATCGTGATATGGCGGACCCGCGAGATGGAGGCCGAAGGTACCGGACCCTGGATGCGGCATAGGGATGGCACTATTATGATTTCGCGAAGACATCGTTGATGATGTGGCCGAACGACGATGTCTCTGTCGGTTTCCGAGATGTGTGATATGTTGGGGGATTTCATTGCCTGGTTCTCGGAGCTTGGCAAGGCGCAATTCAAGACCTGACGGCCTGATCGTGGAGGAGCAAATGATTCGTCCTGGTTGCAGCGAGGCTGTGGGATTGGAATGGGCGCAGGCCGAATCAAAGGCGAATCAACCCCACAGTGTGAATATTGTACTCTGCATATCATAGCACACAAATAGAAAAGGTAAGCGAGTGGGATTCTCTGGGCAGTTGATATTGGAATGCCATTCGTGATATTTTGTGAGTTTTTCCGCTATGCAAACTTACCCCTAGACCTTGTACCTGGCCTTAGTCGTGGTCCTGATGTTGCTTTTTCCCTTACCGGTTTGATGAATGTTGCCTGGAAGGCTGAAGTGACCCTGTAAACGCTGCTGATTTATCCCTTATCACACTTCCCTGAGCTTGATTCGATCACCATCCAAGTCAAATTTGCCGTGACTCTCGTGTTTGCGGAGACGTGCCTCGGGAGGCTAATTCTAGAATAGCTGAAGGCGCTGTTGCAAGCGAAGCATTAGGAGGGTTGCCCAATGGAAGAAAACGCTGCAAACCAACCGGAAGGACCATGGTGAATCTGAGACCATTTCGTCGGGAGGGTTCAGGAGCTGAATCTTGTCCTGGCTACCTAAATGCAACGCATGCGGGCGACATGGAGATGGTAGGCTCATCTATCTGCCTTTGAAGGATGGCTTCCTTTTATCTGCAAATGCCTTCAAAGCTTCCTCTCGGTCTTCGGTGTTCAAGATGACTTCGTAAGCCTCATTTTCTGCAACCTCACCTCGTTGCCATCCATTAATTGCTCGCATCGCCTGGGTCAGCGCAATGGGACCACCTTCACCAATATCATGCGCAAGCTGGATACTGGCATCAAGAACCTTTAGCCGGGCTTTTCCTTCCTCTTTTGACTCCTCTGGTGTGATCTCCACCAATCTGTTGCACAAACCCAGGAAGTATGCTTCAGCTCCACCAACTCGTCGTCCTGTGAGGATGAGATCTCGTGCTCTATTGACACCGATCAGGGCAGGCAATCTATATGTGCCTCCGGCCCCAGGAATAATGGCCAATTTTGTCTCCGGCTGGCCGACGATCGCCGACGATCCGAATACCCGTAACGTCGTGCAAAGAGCTATTTCCAACCCTCCTCCCAGCGCAACTGACGAAATGGCTGAGATGGTCGGGATCGGTAGGTTTGATAAATCACTAAAGGTATTTCTCATGCCAGTCAGGAAGTCTCGGGTCCTGTGCGACTCATAAGCGACGATCAAATAGAATAGATGCCGCATCACGAACTCTTCTGGGGTCATTCCCTTTCTCTCCCTCAAATCTGCCCCAGCGCAAAATGCCTTGTCTGTATTTGAGGCCAGAATCAATGCTCTTGTAGGACCTTTCCCACCTTCGGCCTGGATTTCATCCACATGATGTCTCAAGTCGGCGACCAGTCGGCGGGAGAGAGCATTTCGAGCTTCGGGTCTGTCGAGTAAGAGGATGCGAATATTCCCCGAGTGAGGTGCTGGCTGATGTTGGACTTTGATCGGTGAAGGTTCCGCCGCGGAAGCAAAGGTGCGGTGCTGTAAACGAGAGACGCGTAGGATCGCGCGAGCCTTCCATCCTAGAGCACCTCGCATGGTGAGCGTGCACATAAAGTCTCTGGATATTGTGTTCCATGATGATTGATTTAAAGACAGCATTAGAAAACGACCCGATGTCGGCTACTGGGCCCGCAGGCCGAAGGGCTGATGGTGGTTCTTGGACGAAGATCAGTCCACTGCCTAGGCGCCACTTATCTTAGTAGGTATCACCAGGAATTTCAAGTTTGTCAACTTGGTATATCTTCAAGTCGCGAAGACAATCGAAAGGATTGATCCCCATCTGTCATCTCCACACCAATCTGCCCCAAACCGGTCATTCCGCTCCTCTCATTGTCATTCAAATGGTAACATGGATCCAATGTTGCACGACACGATCCGCTCACTGGAAGACCAAACCTGGCGAGCCTTGATGGACTCAGGCGCCGCTCTTCTTCCCTTCCTCAGTCGAGATTGTACAATGTTCTTCCCCTTGGGCATGAAGGTCTCAGCGAAGACGTCTCCTAACCTGGAAGATGTAATGCGGAGCGAAGCATTTGTTCCTTGGAAACGCTACAAGATGAGCGAGTGCGAAGTCATTCCACTGGGACCAGAAGCAGCGCTTATCAGTTATCGTGTCAAGGCGACGAGGCAGCATATCACCGATGATGACGATGAACGACAGGACGAGTTTCGCGCATTAATCTCGAGCACTTGGAAGAAAGATCTTGACACGGGTAAATGGTTGATGTGTTTTCAACAGCAGACACCTTATGAGGAGGATTTGGACCTTTGAAAGATGTTAATGCAGCGGTAAAGGGACGCTCGGAGAATTTGGGATATTTGAAGCTGGCCTTTTTTTTGGATTATTTCGGTATCTTCATCCAGAAGTGACGATATTCTTGATTGCAATTGTCGGATCCCATCTTCCTCGCCCCCGAGTTGCATAGCGATGCCGTGTGAAGCGCCAATGTCTGCACTGTGACATCAGTTGGTAGGGCGTTGCTGATCCCGGCAAGTCAGTGGCGTTTCGCCTGTGGGCAATCGATGTGGGGTCAAAGTTCAATGATGGATGGTTCGCAAACTTGAAATGGTTATGGCACACCCTGACATTGTGACGTCGGTGAGCAGGAAAGAATCAAGCAGGTCTTCCTTCATAATTCGACCTGACCTCTCTCCCACTACCTATCCTTCGAAAGACCACACCTGCCCTCCACTCTGTCAAAATGTCGTTCCTCTATAAAACAACATCTGTCCTTCACCCGGCAGTGAGATCCTCTACAATCCGTTCATCACCTCGCCTCTTCTCCACCGCGATCGTTCATCAGAAATCTGCTGCCGAAACTGTGAAAGATGGCCTCAAAAGGGTTGACCGAACGGTTTCTGATGCCGCTGTCGTTGGTATCGACAAAGGAAGTATGAAATGTCCACATTTTTTGGGACAATGCTGACATGATTGCAAGTGGAATTGAAAAACAAAGCCACCAAAGTTGCAGGCATCGAGACGGGCAAAGCTCAAGGCAAAGCTCAACAAGCTGCGGGTGAAGCCCAAGGCAAAGCTACCGACTTCAAAAGCAAGGCCAAAGGAAAGGCTGAGGAAGTCCAGGGCAAGATGTCATGAACTTACACATTGATCGCGGAGGGGAGTTTAGACGCATTGCATCCGAGCAATTCAAGTTACCAGGGATAATAGCTGGCGTTCTGTGCAATATCCATCGATGAGAATTTGTCCCTCATTGGGTCCCAATATGTACAGTGTTCACAAGAAATGGGTTCCCAATGCTAGAGCCAAAGCCTTTGACTGCCGTCTATCCATAAAATCGTCTAATCAGCATCGACATTTCTTAGTTGTGGCGGGGGCGGCAGGTTGTTTTGATCCGCAAAATGTTTCCGGTACAGATCCTCTTCCCCATCTTTTAATCCATACTTGGACGGATCTCTTTTTTCCAGAAAATGTTTCACTCGACCGTCCGAGCCAATTTGATTATCATTTAAATGGCTCGCCCGTGCGGCCAGGAATCGATGCGTCTCTTCTGTAAAGGCACGGGCCCGTTCTTCAATGGATCCAGAGAATTGTCCGGCCCTTGTTGCTTGAAGGACTCCGGTCAGGACTGCAAGGAGGATGACAAAGGATGCAAAGGCATTGTGATGGACATACAAGCCCGAATACTCTTGTTTCGGCGGATCGTCATATCGTCGATACCATTTTTCCCAATCTTCCCATGTTGCATTTCGGAAGATGGACTGGTCATCATCAGGGCCGAATCCATACCTCTTCCCTTCCGGATTGGTAAACCCCGACGAGTGTCGGGTGGCAGTTCTCGTCCCCCAGCCTGCACCGGATATATCATACGCCCGTCTCTTGACCGGGTCCGATAAAATCTCATGTGCCTGCACCACCAACCTATATCTTTCCAGTCTTTCTGGATGGGTGAGACTCTCCGACCCACCAGACCCATTCCTGTCAGGATGGTACATCTTGACCAATTCATAAAATTTATGCTTTGAATAGACTGCGGTCCTTTCCAATTCAAAGATGTCGTAGGGTGAAGGAGTCCAAGCGGTGTTTTTTCGACATGGCCAATTCATATGATCTCGAAATTCAAAACTTCTGTCGGATTTGGCATCCGTATAGCTCCTGGACTGTCGCGTGAACCGTGGATCGGGCTTTAACTTCTTGTGGGAATGCGAAGGGGAGGAATTGCAGGCACAGCATTGCCATGTACTATAGACTGCCGGTAGCTTGACATTTTTTAAGAGGGAAGAAGGCATCTCGAGCAATCAGATAGCATCCTGAAAGATGTAGAGAAGAGCTTGAAGAGGTCAGACGAGCAGGCCGGAGGAAGGGGAGGAGGGGGCGTCTTCATTGTCGGGGTCTAGATCGCCGAAAAGGCAACTTTGCCGACCACATTTCAAAGGAAATTTGGAAGAAGATTTTGACAATGACCCAATTTGTAACAAATGCCTGACTCCGATTCAGCGTCGCCTCCGAAGCGTTATGATCGCGATTCTCGAGGTGAGGATCGAAGAAGCAGAGACGACTACCGCAGGAAGCGACGGGGGTCGCGAAGCCGAGATCGGCCACGAAAGAGATCCAGAAGTGTAGACAGAGACGAGCGCAGAAGGGATCGAGATGCTCGCCGGCGATATCATGATGAATACAGACCTGATCGGTCCAGGTCTCGCTCTCCTCGTCGCAAACTCTCGCAAGAGCCATACCAGCGGTCCAAAGGTCCCCTTCCATCCCAGGCCGACGCATTCAAATCTACCGACAAAGACAGTCCGTCACCAGGGCCTGAAAAACAGAAGCCAAATTTCCGGCCCTCTGGTCTTCTCGCAGCAGCCTCCAATGCAGTCTCAACTTCGACTGGCTCTATCGTTTTGAAATATCATGAGCCACCAGAAGCACGTAAACCACCCTCCTCCCAGCCGTGGAGATTGTACATTTTCAAAGGAGAAGCCATACTCGATACTCTCGACTTGTACTCCCAATCATGCTGGCTCTTCGGCAGAGAAGCGTCCGTCTGCGACTATGTCCTTGAACATCCAAGCTGCTCCAAACAGCATGCCGTCATTCAATTTCGGTACATCGAGAGGAGGAATGAGTTCGGCGACAAGATTGGGAAAATCAAGCCATATGTGATCGATCTCGAGAGCGCGAATGGAACAAAGATTAATGATGAGGATGTGCCGGAAAGAAGATATATGGAATTGAGAGACAAGGATGTGATCAAGTTCGGCCATTCCTCCAGGGAGTACGTGGTCCAGCTGCCTCCTGGATAAACATGAGCATTTCGAACGATGAGTGAGCTCGAACCGACCATGAACGGACCCGATGAGATGCCACATCCGTCGAAATGGTTTATGACGTTTCTTTCAGGCCCAAGGCCAAACCGGCCGTATCAAATCTTATTCAATTCCTGCCTGCTGTTTGCCTTGTATGACAAAGAATCGCCTTTCAAAGCTCGATTAGATGAAAGAGGCCTCGATTTGCTGGCCCTTGCATCCAGCTAACACCTTGAGGAACCTGAAACCATTCAGACTGGGAGGTCCGAAACTTCTGAAACTGAACTTTTCACACCCACGACTCAGCTGAAAACGGACTAGATGCAGCCGAACTTGCCGGGCCTTCGTCATCAAATGGCAGCGGCAGGACCCCAGAGTCAATCATGCCTTGAACAGAAGAGAAAGTTCAAGCCGATTGCAAACGATCTGCTTCCAGATCGCGCAGGTCCATTATTTGGCCATTGTAGTGAAGCTCGGAGTCTAGAAACTCCTGAGCAAGACACTACTTCTTCGCAGCCCTCGTCTGGACGACTCCAGGCGCAGACATTTGGTTCTGAAAAGAACTCGAGGACCGATACGGTCCTCCTGCGCAGCACTGCTGAGCAGCGAGCCGTTATGGTTGTCAGGCCAGTCCGTGTAGATCCAGCATTTCGGAGCCCAAGCGCTCCCACCAGATCACCCGGCTCTAGACAAAGTCGTCTGGTTGCCTCTTAAAAAGGAAGTTGCTCAGCTTTTCAACCCCCCGTTCCCTTCTCAAATTGAGGGACAATGAGAAGCGTGTAAACAGATGGATGACTACCCCATAAATGTGACAGCCCTGCCTTCAGGTCCAGAATCCAATGTTGGCGTTTGGAAATCCCCCATTGTATGTACTTCTACTCTAGATTGTTTTCACATGCAATCCTTTCGTAGCCGATTTCGAATTGCAGCAAGCACCAAACGTAGTCATGGATCTCCCATATCTCTCGACGTAATCATCAACTTCAATAACCACAGGATCAGTGAAGGACAAAATGGGATGATGGTCATTGTGAAATGGCTCCCTTCGCATACCTGAAGTTGAGAGTGTGGAAGTTGAGAATATGCTAGCAGACAATTCGCTTATTCGTCGTACCCAGAGGAATGTACCGACTGGTTTGAAGCGAATTACCACTCGACTGGAAGCAGCAGCTCTATCAATGATTTAGATATTCTTCCATGCAAGGAATTCCAACAAGTCCTTGCGTTGCACCTGCCATCCCAGCTCCAAGGAATCCTGGACTGCTCTTCGGCAAATATTTGTCGTGAGCATTAGAAGTCGGATATATCCAACGCCAATTCTCAGGTTGCGACCGTTCCCGTTTAGCTCGATCTTTGCATGGCGCCCTTGAAGTCGAGAATAGAGCAAGAACCGGTCAAGACGAAGCTTACCTTGTCCATCCCCGATCATCAATATGGCGGAACGTATGGTTCACGACTCTCCTCTGACCAGATGTCAGTCATAACCATGAGGAGCTGACGCAAGAAAGGTGGCACATCGACGGAAAACAGTCAATGCTACTCCAGTCGTTCTAAAAGAACACTCGGATCCAAAGCCTCCTCACGAAGGGGAATCTTGCAGTGTTCGGTAAACCAGTAACAAGGATGGCCACGGAATATCCACCAATGATGCCATCAGAAACGGATAATCCGGTGTATTGTTCAGCTTTTGATGCTATCTCTTCAGCGTGCACGTATTATCTCGAAAATGTCCTCTTGATCTCGACTGTGTGCCATGAGCTGTCTCGCATCTCAGTTGTCGCAGAGTAAAACCGATTCGTGGCGGATCGGACTCGTCGGCACCAAGGGCGTGTCACAATAACGGGGGTTGAGGTGGTTGCCTGAGCCTCATTCAAACGCACCGGGAGGCTAGGCTGAGGAATGGAAAAGGTCGAAGAGATGAAGTTACAGAACTGTATCAGCTCCAGCTCTATTTTTAGCCCCCGAACCCCCAAATTTCGGCCTTCAATGCAGTGCGGTCAACATATACGGGTACCGAGCACCCTCTACGAGATATCGGCTCTACAGCATATAAGACGGCTCGCGAATTCGTCTTTCTGATCTTGTTTCAGAAAGATTCTTTCTGTGGATTGATATCCTAGCCTAGCCAGAGCAGTCTGAAGTCATCTGGGACCTCTCACTCGACCAATCAACCAAAAGTTTTATTTCTTCACAATACGGACATCATGTCAAACCCAGATCCCACGTTGAACTTGCCTCGCATCCTTTGTCTTCACGGAGGTGGCGTCAATTCTGCTATATTCAAAGCACAACTTCGGGCGTTCTTGAATCACGATAAACTCAAAAATCGATATCGCTTTGTTTTCGTTGATGCCCCATTTTTCTGCGATGAGGGAGTTGGAGTTTATCCGGTCTACTCAGATTGGGGCCCCTTCCGGAGATGGTTTCGATGGCTGGACTCTCATCCTGAAATTGATCCCGCTGCTTGTGCATACGAGCTTGAGTACACTATTGAGCGGTGCATGGAGAGCGACGAGGGGACGGGGGAATGGGTGGGCGTTCTGGGCTTCAGTCAAGGCGCCAAACTGGCAGCTAGTCTGCTTTACGAACAGCAGATTAAGGAGAAAGATGGGCCCTGGAAATTCGCTGTCATCCTTGCGGGACGAGCGCCGATTGTCAGCCTCAGCGAAGAAGCGGAAGAATTCCCCTGGATGCAATCGGCTGGAGGACTATCTGACGCTGCGGATCTGGACAGCATCCTCGAACGGCCAGATATGAAATTGAAGATCCCGACCTTGCACGTACACGGATTAAAGGATGAGGGTCTGCATCTGCATAGAAAGCTGGTGGAAGATTATTGTGCGCCTGGTACCACCACTTTGGTCGAATGGGACGGAGGTCATCGAATACCAATCAAGAAGAGTGATGTCGATAAGATCGTCGATGCTTGGGTGGATCTGGCAGATGAGTATGGAGTATGAAAACGACTTATTTCTGTTAAATGCAACGCTTCCTGTGTGAACCGGGAGATCCTTTTTGCGACGGCGTCACCAAACTACTGCTCAGACCCAGGCAATGCGGAACATCTTCAAACCCCGTCAATGGTTCTTCGAGATCCCAACAGTTTCAATCCAGATCTCCGACCAGAAACATACCTCCCGCGTCGGCATCTCAATCACCCTTCTCGCCCTCTGATCCGCGTCTTTGTTCATGATAGCCTTTCCTTCGGCCACGCCTTTTGCTTGCGAAGCCCGTTTCCGTGACTGGAATAATCGTTCACCTGGAGGACCACGAACCCTGGAGCAGAAATTGTTAGCAAATGCAATTCTTTAACGGTTCCGATACCGCATGCACCACGTAAATATATAATTTCAACGCATGCCCCGAGCAAGGTCCATCCGCGACTTTCTTTTTTGGTCTTGCTTTATTTTTCCCTTCGTCCTTTCCCTTACCCCCCCCCTGCCTTGAGGTACGAATTCAAGGCGGTCAATTTACTGTAGTATTCGAGCCATTGGACTCTCAACATTTTGACGGACATGGCGGAGATGCCATTCGTCAAGATCGGCTTTTCTCTAAAGAAAGCCTTCTCGCTCTGGACAAATTTGGTGTACTTGATGATCGCCTGCAGCTTTGCTGGCTTCCTCAAAGTTAGCGAGCCACGCAAGGCGAGACAGTCGACATGGACCAGACATTGAGAAGGAAGAGCCGAACCAGAAATACGATTTAGCGCTCTAGAAGCTCCAAGTCGCTGGCCCTCAGGCCAACAAGAGTGTTCAACTTTTCAGAAACTTGGCCTTGGAATTGTGCGAATGCTTGCTCGATTTGATTGACGAATTTCTCAAACCCCGTCAGATCATGACCTGCAGCCACTTGTGCTGTGTATGTGATTTCGCCCCGTTTAGGAGCAAGATCTCCGGACGAGCTTTTTGAAGTGTCTTCATCTCTAGGTACACCGCATTTACGTCCTCTTTTAGACAGCCTTTGGTAAATGAGGACAGTTGAGGCGTCAAATCATATACGAACGAATGGGTTCAATTGAGGTATGTCTTGACCTTGCTTTCACCGGCAGCGATTTTGGTGTACTCCCCCCCGACCGATAATGTGAGAACTAGCCTGCGACTTTGTCTTGGGGCGGATTGAGGGTTGGTGACGATCGTCGTCTGACAGCATCTCGCCTCCAAGGTGGTCGGGTATGTTATTGGTTTAAATCGTCAGGCTCATACCGTGAATGTAGCCCAAACCGCAACAATGCTCCACATTGTACTCCTGCGACAAGCTATTATGTACGGAAGCGGTGATGAGGGTCAAGTCTAACATTTTCGAGATCTCTGCGTTCGGCAACACTGCAAATTCATGGGTCTTACCTGCAATCAGGGGAATGCCTCTTCGGGCTGCTGAGGATACCACCAAAAGAGCCGTCATCCGCATCAGATTCGAGGTATTAGACAGACCGTCGTGCTGGATGAAGTCATTCGACCGGTGAACCCTCAGAGAAAGGATTTACCATCTTGCCGGATCTGGGATCCTGCAAGCTGATCGAATACTTGCCTACTGGGCCGCGACGCTGATTGAGGCGCAGACCAATGCATTTTGCGATGGCACTTGAGAAGGCTGGAAAATTTGGCCCTGATAGCTTTGCACTTGAAGATCAGTTTGTCCGTAGGGCAGGGAAGAGGTCATAATCTTACATGGGAGCGTGCAAGGTTCGAAAACCCACCTATAGCGGTCGAAGGCTTGAAAAGCACACTTGTAGCTTTTAAAGACATAAAATCTGGACTTGAAACTTGGGAAGACTGGGGAGCCTGATTGACAAGGTCCTGACTGAGACAGCATTCTGCCTGTAGTGACTTAACGTCAGCTTCGCCACCAGGGCAAAAAGGCCGACCCTGTTGGATAAGAAGTCCTGCACTTCAAAAATAAGGTCATCTAGTCATGTTGATACGTACCCGCGGTTTGAATGCATGGAGAGGGAGAGAGCAAAATCCAAGGTGAAACGTGTCATTCGTGGCGGCCCGGTAACGCCTTGCCAGTTGTATCTTGCGTCTCTTGCCAGCAAGGTAACTTTTCGACTCGTTCCGTAATCCAACACTTAAGGTTGGGACGTTCATCAAGTAGAAAGCTTTGAGCTGCATGAAGATGCACAGGTGCAGTAATAGCAAGGCCAACGATGGTCACGTCATCACCTATAAACCACTGAGACTCTGCGAGCTGAGCATCAAGAATGCTGACAGCGTGCCACTTTGATACTTCAGCATCGACAGCTCATTGACCAGGCTTAGCCTTGAGGAGCGGGCTTCACAACACATCCGGCTTATCCAGATACGCATAACAGTGTGGGAACCAGACCGGCGTCTCCTACAACAAGTAGCGATTGACAACACAACTCTGCTTTGCGTCCTTTGGCCGAACCACTGTCTTCGGCGATATACAGTATCTGTCAAATTGCATTGGATTCGGTGATGGTCAGGTCTCGATCGACTGATGCTGGAACGGTTGCGTGCGGAAGACCCAGGCTCGCCAGCACTTGGACCGTACACGGATCGAGATATAGCAAAGCCTTCGATCTTGTTTAAACAGCTCTCAGCGCAGCTCCAGAGAGACAAAAGGATTCCTCTTCTCTTGGAAGGTCATCATATACCCCGCGTTCTGATCATGTTTCTCTTCGGAGCGAAGAGAAAACCCTGTCCTGTCGTACATGGGATGAATAGTGTTGTTGAAGCTTGCTCATTCGTTGCCACTGTAGCAATGAGGAGTATCACCCCGACAAACACGGGTTGCTGCAGGAAAACTTGAAAAGACAAACTTCGAATGACTTTTGTGACATTGGGATCTCGAGATTGGGTGTGTCCCAATTCAACCTTCGTTCGTGAGGCTGCACGATCGAGACCCAAAACCAGACAGGTCCGCGAAAGTTTTTTTCTAATTGTGCATTATGCAGTATTCGGTATGACGTTACTACAGTTTCTGGGTCTGCTGGCCTGGTTCAGCCTTCGCCATCTCTCTCAGGATGCGTTTCAGGGGTTTCCCGGCGGCGTTGCGTGGAACGGCGTCAATAAAACGAACACCACCGGTGAGTTCTTTGTATCTAGCCAACTTTCCTCCACAGAATTCCTTGATGATTTGCTCATTTAGATCCGTTTCCTTTGACTCCGGTTTCCTCACCACATACGCCCTTGGTTGCTCAACGTCCGGCTCATCCGGCTTTTTGACACCAATGACCGCCGCGTCGAGGATCTGTGGGTGCGACAGCAACACGGCTTCGATTTCTGTCGGAGTGACCTGGAATCCGCGGACTTTGATCAATTCCTTCTTGCGGTCGATGATGTACCATTTCTTGGTTTTCGAGTCGCAATACATGATATCGCCCGTTTTGAAATAGCCTTCGTCGTCGAAAGAGTCTTTTGTTGCGGTTGGATTGTCGAAATAGCACGAGATGATGGTCGGACCCCTGATGCACAGCTCGCCTCTCACATCATACCCTGTGATGTCTCGGCCATCGTCATCGATGATTCTGGAATGGTTAGTTCACGACCCCTGGGAGAGCACGCAACATACTTCACGTCCAAGTTAGGCATCATCCGTCCAACACTGCCCGTATCATCACGCTCGGTATAATTGAATCTCGAAGCGACGCAACTGGTTTCCGTCATGCCCCAGACCTGAGTGAATGAAGCATCTGGGCTCAGAAGAGCTTGAATGGCATTTTGATGATCTTTGTCCAGTTTGCCGGCTCCCGCTTGAACGATCTTTATTGAATTTAGGGAATAGTCCTTCAATTGTGGAAATTTCAAGATTGCAACAGCAACAGGAGGGACAAGAATCAGTTCGGGAATTCTATACTTTTGGACCGACGAAAGAAGATGGATCATTTCGAACCGCCGCAGGACGTAGGTCGTATTACCGGCTCGCAAGGCGGTGACATGGCTCACTGGGACCGTTGCTGCATGGAACATTGGAAGATACAGGATGCGCTTCACCTTGTCAATGTTAGCAGAGGGCGCCCAAGAGAGTGGGAAGACCAACTTCGTATGGAGCCTTGTACACTTCAAACACCAAAGTGTGCTGAGCAATGAAATTGTAATGGGAAAGCGCTGATGCCTTGGGCAATCCAGTCGTCCCACTGCTATACAATCTCGCCGCCGTGGTCGATTTCGAGACTTTCTCGTCATCAAACCGAGGCCAATCCCTTTCGCCGTGCTCCATCAAAGTTCTCCAAGACCGAAACCCAGGAGGAATCCTCTGATCCTGGGTATCGAAAATCCAAATGTTGGATTGGGGAATGTCACAATCTTTGGCAGCGAGAAGTACAGAAGACAATATCTCGGGCTCTGAAATCACAAATTTTGTCTTTGACGTCTTGAAATGATGGCCGAGTTCGAATTGCGTGTATGAAGGATTTGTCCCTGCGAAGATTGCTCCAGCAGCGAGAATGCCCTGAAAGAGCATGGGATAGTAGATCTGGATATGTCAGAAATTTTGTTTTGTGTATGAAAGATATCACCAACGTCATTGAAAGAGTGAACACAGACGCAATCCCCAGGCTGAACACCCGCGGCGTGAAAGCCCGCGGCAAGCTTTCGAATGATCCGGTAAGCCTGGTTCGCCGAAATCGATCTCGATGGATTGAGTGCATCGAGATAAATCTGTAAGTCTCAGCGAATTCTATACGATCAAGATGACCAGGCCACTCACTGGCTTGTCCGAATCGTATCTTTGGCTTTGCTCATCGTATATCCATGATAGAATATCTTTGTTTGGGATGGGAACGATTTCTTTGGCAAGGAAAGGCATTCTGTTGCTGGTTCCTGATGATAGGGCAAAATTGCTTGGATTGTGAATGACTGGCACCAATCCAGCTGACATTAAACTTATCTCACGAAGGCAGAAAAAGAGAGAATTACAGTCAGCTTTACAGTAAGATGGACCTCGGATGGATTTGTATAGCCGGCCTGATCCTGCTTGAGGCTTAAGTGGGGGGTCGATTTGTGTGGGTAGGAGATATCTCACCTGATTTCAAGCCTATAAGTTGTGAGTATCCACAGATTGGATCCCTGAAACCGTATATACCTTTCGTGAATATCTTACATTAGCCCTGCATAATCAGATGTGCTTCTGATGGTGGTGTGCTGAGGTGGGTTTTTGCTCAACACCAGAAGCAATCCGATGCTTTGGGGTTTCTTATCCTCGCTTTCGTAAGTACCTGGGAAATATCTCTCACCAAACGTTCGGCAACCAAAGCTAACCGAGGTCCCATCGGTTGTGGTACTCTCCAAGAACCCCAATATAACCCCGTTTCAGCGTCCAAACCCATCGGATCCGAAGTTGATCAGGCCAAAAACATGTGTGGAGAAATGGAGTCCTGGAAGCTGAGGGATCCGGGGAACGCTTTACCGCAAGAGGTTTAGCCAGTAAGATGACCAAGCTTTTACTTCATCCAGCCCCAGCTGTTGAATTTCCAAAGAACGTTGGCAATCTTCTAGAATTCGTAAAGAGAGGGGTGGGAAAAATAAAAAGGAAAAAGGCCATCTCCAACCCCAACCATGTCCGAGTACTTCAAGCAGTGGCCCTTGACCAAAAGAGCTGGGAGAGCATGTCTGAATTGCAGGGCGCGCAAAGTCAAGTGCAACGTGGATGAGAATGGGCCTCCTTGCCGCAACTGTCTTACCGGCGACGTTGCTTGTCGTGTTCAAAAGAGTAAGCGAGGCAGGTATGTTTGGGCTGAAGTCTTTCAAGATTGCATATTGACGAACTGGTCAATAGGAAGCCCGGAAAACTTAGCCAGTACTGTCCGTCAAATGCTCAGAAGACATCCCCATCCGATGTCGTGATGCTCGATGCCGACACCTCTGCAATTGGAAGTTCTCGTCGGCTTGTAGCTGCAAGGCATACGACAGGTTGGCTACCGAGTTATGATTCGAAGAATGAGGCAACTTCACCGCCTGACAAGAGTGCTTCGCCTGGCCAGGAGTCTGGTAAGTTTATCCAAATCGTTTCCGAGCTTTGCCAATTAAGCACTTGGAGTAGATATGCTTTCAAGATTGTTTGGAAGCTCCATCCCCAACCTCGACCAGGACCACCTTCATCTGGAATTATCGTACGCCTCGTTGATTGATCCTGATACGATGCACTACACCACGCACTTTGGGCCCCACTCACCAGGGAACGGGTCGACATCTCATCCATCTCCTTCCGTCCAGTCAATGGAGACAAATCTTTACAATATGCCGGATTATGTCAAACCTCTCTCTCCACATCTTACACCAGACGATATGAATTACCTCTACACCAAAGGCGCCTTAGAAATCCCTCCGATCTCGTTTCGGGACGCTCTCATCCGATGTCACATTCAATACGTCCACCCATTTTTGCCTCTCTTGGATCTTCCATCACTGGTCTACCGCACAATTGTGCCAGGCAGGATCGAAACTCCCCAAATCAGCATTTTGTTACTTCAGGCAGTCATGTTTGCGGCAATGGCATTTGTCGACATCGACGAAATTCACAAGGCTGGATTCAAAACGCGACGGTCTGCGAGGAAGATCTTCTACGAAAGAATTCGTGTAAGTCCGGATCCATTTCATGGCACTCATTTTCTAACCGTGGAAAGTTACTCTACGACCTTGATGTCGAGAGCGACCGTGTCACAATAATTCAGGCAGCTCTCCTCATGTCATACTGGAATGAAACACCAGGTGACAACAAAGGAGGATGGCACTGGATGGGTATTGCCGTGTCTCTAGCACTGACACTCGGCATGCACAGGAAGACCGAATACACCGTCATATCGCGGGAGACTCGACTCTACAAGCGAATATGGTGGGCATGCTATATCCGAGATCGAATGTTGGCCCTGGGGATGTCTCGACCACTCAGGATCAAGGACCACGAATTTGACACTCCCATGTTGACCTTGGGCGACTTTGAGATCGACGATTTTGCCACGGAGCACGTGGACCCTTTTCTGAGCCCGAACTCGCAGACTGCGTTGGCGGAAATTTGCATCGAAATGGCCCAGCTGTGTGTTCACCTCGGAGTCGTTGTTGATCTGCACTTCTCCCTCCTCGCCGCAGGTCATTCTGCGTTGAATCCGGCCGATAAAACCGGCCGAACAAACATTATGCTCTTCCCAAGAAGCATCCCGTGTCCGTCAGATTCATTGCAAATTTGTGACGATGCTCTCCAAAAGTGGGCCCACAATCGTCGATCCGCCCGCATTTACAATTCGCCGGGGCCGGAGGACGTGGCCTCCAGTCCATGGATCATTGTTCAACGGGCATTTCTAGACATCACCTTCGAATCCATTGTCTCAGCTCTTCATCGTCCCCAGATTCGGCCACATCCGCAATGGACGAATGAGGAATCAAGGAAAATGTCCGTTAAGAGGATCGAAGAGGCAAGCATAGGCATTGCAAAGACGGTTCGTGATCTTCACCAATTTCACCTTGATGGTTATCTTCCTCCAACAGCGGCCACAATGCAATTACCGGCGATGATCACCCATATGAAGCGACTTCAAACGCAGGAAAACAGAGGGGCCCAAGAATATTTGGATTCATTGTTCTGTTGCCTCAAGGTGTTGGAGAAATTACAGGAGCTCTATGTGGGCGCAGATCTGTGCATGTTTTTCGCCATGGAGCTCTTGAAGGGAGCGAATATCACTCCTGCAGTCGGCAGTGACTTGAAGCTCAGCCAGATTGTTTATCGAGGAAGCCGATCGGATCTCAGCCTGTTCCACTCCAGTTCTGTCGAGATCCCTCTGGCCAGGACCGCCACGACCGCCACGGCCCGTGTTGATATGGTTTCGCGTAAAGATGGGTATCAAGACATCAGCAATCTGGAATCCGATTACATGCCGCCATTTATCGGAGATGATACAGATGCGGGTGTCCTAAGCAACGGGCTCCCGACTGACGGGAACTATAATGGGCAAATGTCAACGCCGAACGAAGCGGACTTGGAGGATTTCTTTGGCACACTGATAGGTTTCGACGACTTATTGGAAGGGGAAACGGGTTGGCCAAACTATTTGAACGACATGGAAATCCTCGTGCCTTGATCTGCTGGAAAAGAGAGGCATTTCCCTGGCCCTCGCCGTATCTATACATATAACACAATAACAGGAATGCTTGGTATCATGATTGACAACCCTCCCGGCCAGCCGAGGACCCGCAGAATCAACTTCGAACCAATTGGCATTCGAGGTCGGACCGAGTAACCGAGAAACTCGCCCGCTTCCGGTCTTCTCGGCTGAGGTTGTGGAGGATCGGGGAATCTCCAGCGCTTATGATGATCTGAATCCCATCGCGGCAAACTCTTATGAGTGGATTCAATAAACCCGATAGATCTCTACGATTCAAATTCAACTTGTGAAAGATAGGCGTTACAATATGGCGCCGACCCCGATATCCACTCCCCTTCCAGGCTTCCGGACAGCATTGGATGACTTCCAGGACTATGTCAATGATACATATGGACTCCAAATTGGTCGGTTATCGTCTACGGGCCTCACCCATCAGACTAGCCATGACTGATAGATCAATCTCTCCAGGATCTTACGATGACTTACACGCATTCTCCGTGATTCGTCTGGATGTCTGTCTGGCGTTTTCTGAGTGTCAAAGCTTCTGTTCACTCCCGCAAGATATGTATCACCTCATAAGACACCATCACCATTACTCATTTGCCTTACGCGGTAGATGAGAGTATTCCAATCGATCAGTTCCCGTCATTCTTCAAAGATGCTAGACTTAATTTCGCTGAGAACATGCTTCGTGGAGATGACGATCAAGTCTCAGCCATCAATATGGACGAAACGAATCTATGGAACCCTCAGAAATATACGTGGAAGGACCTTCGACAGCTCGTTGCAACATATGCCAGTGCGTTGCGTTCCTCGGCACTCGCAAAAGGATATGTCGTTGCCTGTATGTATTCGGTCTCCGTTGAGCATTTCGCTGTCCTAGAAACCTCCTTCTATTGGCTTCTTGTTGACATTCGGAACAGTAGTAGGAAGTAATTGTGTTCGGTCTCTGGCTTTGCTTTTGGCCACGGCGGCGGTCGGAGGAATTTTTACGTCACTGGCCACAGATATTGGAGAGAAAGTGAAAACAGCTCGCCGAGAAAAACTCGATATATACGCTGACAACCGTTCAAAGGCTCTGAATGATTGAGTCGGTCAATTGAACCCCGCCTGGTCATTGCGGAATCATCATATTCTTATAACGGGAGGATTGTCAATATTTCAACAAAGATTGCCAACTGCATGAGTAAAATCTCCAACACATTGTCCAGGCTAGTGATAATCGGAGATCTGAGAGGGTGTGATCTTGAGTGGTGAGTCTCGTTAGCCGTCGAATCCGAGTGATTCTGACACTGGACCAGCATACGTTTTATCCAGAATGCTCAACAGACGCCTTTGAAATATGAGCAGGTACCATTCAATACACCACTAGTTGTCATGTTCTCGTCAGGTACCACAGGTACACCGAAGGGATTGTACACTCACGCGGAGTACGCCTAGCTTTCCTCTACCCTATCCACTGGCTTACCTGTATAGGAACTCGTGTTGAACGGTTTTAATGAACACCTGCTCCATAACAATTTCGGACCCGGAGACGTACATTTCCATTTCAGCAATGTAAGATGGATCGCCCTTCTACCCGATCCGATGGAATTTCTCAAGGCAGTCTTTGCGACAGGGTATGTTGAGCCATTTCCGCAACGGGGTCAATGGCTAAATCCATAATCAGCGTCACAGGTTTCGGCGCTGGCCCTCGTTATTTCTCAGAATTGCAAAAACGCAACGTGGAACCGAGTTAGTTGGCCTCTTTGAACGATATGGTCTGAATCTGACACCGGTCTAGAGAGGTGGGCAACAAAACTTCACACAATCTTCTCCACAGGTGCAAGTACTGTCACCCAGCCTCGCAAGATGGATCGCAGACGCATTTGGACCTGCCTGTCAAATCTCACTCTCTGGAGGAACCGAATTGTGCGGTTCATTCGTGCACGGCACACGATCTCTGCCCTCGTATCCAGGTGAGATTGCTGTCAAAGCACTTGGAATGGACGTTGCCGCGTTCTCAGTGGACGGTCAACCTCTGTCTGATGGAGAAAGCGGTGAACTTGTCTGCCGAAAACCATTCCCAAATATGCTCGTAATGTTCTAGAACAAACCCGGCAGGAAACGATATCACAGCTCGTATTTCGAAATCTTTCCTCGTAAGTATCCCCCCCCTTCGAGCTTGACACCAGCGGCTGATCATCTTTTAGAATTAGATGTATGGACACATGGCGACTTTATCAAAGTAAAAATCCTAACACGAAAGGGATCTATGTTCTAGGGAGAAGGTGAGTATCGTCTACCCGGTTGTCTATAATGTCCCAGGTCTTAATCCTTTCTGCAGCGATGGAACGCTCAACCCGTCCAGCGTGCGCTTCGGTAGTTCTGAAATCTACGACATTCTCTCGGTGCACAAACTTCGCTCTTCAATCCTCGACTCCATTGTCGTCGGTCAACAGCGCACCACAGCACCATACTCAGATACCACCGATCGTGTTCTGCTCTTCATAAAATGTCACCTGTCCTCGTCCACCAGTGCAATCATGCCATCTAAGGATCTTAACACACGTATCCGGGACCGAATCGCCCACGACCTCACGCCCCGACATGTACCTGCGCACATCTTCGAGGTGCAAGAGATCCCGTATAATGCGAACGGGAAGAAAGTGGAAATTCAAGTCAAGGCGGTCGTTAATAGTGGGGAGTCAGCAAGGAGCAGGCAGCGGCTCACGGGTCAGGAATTGGGTATGTTGAAGCAGTTTGAGGTGTTTTATCATCTGGAAAAGTTACTGAAGAAGGTGAATGGAGGAAGGGTGGCGAAGTTGTGAGCTCAGAGCGCAAGATATGTGGATAAGCGCATCCCAGCTCGTTCGGAGCCTCAGACAGCGCGCCGGAGGAGTTGGGGAAGGTCTTTGGTTGACTGAGAATAGGACCATTTCCACACGTCCGTTCTGTGCAGTTCTTGAATTCTGCTCGGTATCGCCTTAGTGGAAGGATCAAGATCCAAAGTTCACTAATCCAGCAGAATCGACAGACGGAACAGTCCCCAGCCCGCTCTTCACGACCGAATAACGGAGTACGAATCAGTCAATGTTATCTTCGTCCGCCGAACGAAATACCTATGCGTTTAACATCCCCAGGGACCAGGAGTCGTCTCGTATTCGATTGCGAGAGACGACAATTCGAAATAGGTGCTATGGGGGCGAAGAAAACCTAGCCAATTATCGGCCCGGCGAACCAGTAAGCTTCAGCCTCGCTAATGCAGGACAAAGGGTGTTCTTTTTTCCCATTCTGGCTTAGATTGATGCCAGCTCTCCACCAATGCCGGAAGGACCCATTTCCCATGCACCGGATGCGAGAGCAAAAAGCATCAAGTTGGTGTCTTAAAGGACATCAATGGAGGGTCGCATGTTTGATTCTGAGTCATAATTGCCGGAGGGCTTCGGTGTTTCGGACGAAGAAAAAAGGAGATTGGAAATCCTGGATAGCAATTTAGCAGGAAGAGGATCTGAGGCGTGGTTATATAAAGGGCCCCAGTTGAAGGTAGGAGGCTCATTTTCATCCTCGTCTTCAACTTCATTTTCTGCAAGTTATTTATCCGATCTTTCGAATTCTTCTCGACCACAAAATCAAGACCTCGATATCCCGAACCGAAATGAGACCAGACACACTCTCCCTCAAAGGCAAAATCGCCATCATCACCGGTTCTGGCAAGGAGAACGGTATCGGTGCAGGCATTGCCACAGCCCTCGCCCAAAACGGTGCATGGGTCGTAGTCAACTATGTCTCCGAAGCCACCGATCCTCGAGCCGCCAACGTCGCGGCGAAAATTGAACAGGACGGAGGCAAAGTCGCGGTGGTCCAGGCCGATGTCTCGACACCAGAGGGTGCGAAGAAAATTATTGCAGAGACGGTGAAAGCTTTCAACGCGGAAAGAATTGATGTTCTCGGTATGGGGGTCCTTCAAATGACGTCTGCATTGTTGTCATGAAAAACGTAAAGACTGATGGGTAACAAGGGAACAACGCTGGAGCTGGAGCCACCGGGCCGGCGATGCAAGCCAGCGATGAAGACCTTAAAAAGGTCTTTGGCGTCAACGTCTTCGGCCCCCTGTATATGATAAGGGCAGTCGTACCGTTGATGCCGCGAGGCGGTCGGATCGTCAACGTCAGCTCCATTGCATCCAAGATGGGAATGGCTGTGATCCCGCTGTATAGTTCCGCCAAGGCGGCGCAGGATCAGTTGGCGTATGCGTTGGCCATGGAGGTCTGTATCTGGCTTACCAGTTGAGGACTTGAGAGACAGGGTCGCTGACAGATGTATGATAGCTTGGGCGCGGGAACGGAATCACGATCAACACAGTCGCCCCTGGACCGGTGCCGACGGACGGTCTTCCTAAGGGTCCGGTGGCTGATGCCATACACGATGCCCTAGTGCCGTTGACGAGAGCAGAGGAGCGGATGGGGACGGTGGAGGATATTGCGGATGCGGTGTTGCTTCTAGTTTCAGAGAAGAGTAGATGGATTACGGGACAATATATTTCGACAAGTGGTGGTATGACAGGCGGATGATTTGACTGAACCGCTTCCACGAACCGAGGGATGTTGTTGAGGTTCACTCTGGGATAGTCCAATTCGTAGGTCCAAACCGACCCTCATCTGAGCCATGCGAGGTGAAACCCCGGTCGATTTCGGAAACAAGATCCCCGGGATTTAAAACGTCCAATCTTGGGATCCATATGATGTTTTGGGCGATTTCGATTGCAGCCTTGCCGGTGGTGATGCCAACCTCTCTCATCGAATGGTGAATCGCGCATACATGCTCTCTCCTTTCTCCTGGCCGCATCGAGGCCAACGACAAGGATGATCCACAGTCTGAGTTCTGGGAATAAGCTCTCATCCGCTGGCAGAGTCAGCAGAGATGAAAATCGTTCTCGTAGTGCGCCGAGCTCATCTGAGATAAGAGAGAAAACGTTCTTTAGCTCAGCCATCATGATGAGGAGACCAACGCGGAGAGTCTCTCTGAGCAGTGCCTCGGAGGATATATTTCCCGGAGGAGAACTTGGTAATCTCGGTAATGAGAGCAGAGAGTGAATGGCTGGAGCAATGTTTTGGGCAGCCTTTGCACCCTGTTTCCAAAATAGGTCAGAATGGGAATTCTCATTGACCAAATTTGCGAGATGAGCGGCTCGTTCGAGGCAATTTGCTGTTTCCGCCAAGTCCGAAGAGGTGTTTTTCAATCGCTGAATGAGCTCTTGTACGGTGAGAGAGAGGCTCGAAATTTGTCTCCCATCGTCAAGAAATTGGTCAGGAATGGGAAATCATGGAGAAGAGTCATAGAAAGACGATCCAAGAACGTCAAACCTGCGGGAAGTTCAATTTTCACCGCATCCATATGCTGCGCGCAGGTCATACCAGGATGTGAACATTGACGTGTTGGTACTGAGGATCTGAAAACCTCCACGAAGCTGCAAGATATTTTCAAGGCCATCCATATGAATGGCCCATCTATCCCATTTTCCCAGGCATGACTGACCTTGGTCAGATAAATGGATTTGGAACGAGGGCTAGACACATACATCGTGGCAAAGAAATCCCAATATGGTAGTAATGACGCCTTGACTAATGCTGTCTGTTTTGCTCCCAAGTCTTTGAGCAATTTGGTTCAGACATGTGCTGAAATACCGCGCAGATTCGACACAGTCACTATATTCGGTCCCACTGTGATTGGTGATTTGGTAGAACGCACTGTAATCGACAACCGCCATAGAGAACCACTCGTACCGAAATGGTCGATAGACATGATCTCCTTCGGTGTGCACTGGCAATTGATGAGTTTGGGGTCTACACCTCCTCCAAGCAACATACTGAATTGAATGAGCTGCCGAGCTCGTGTACCCGTGTCCACGGGAAATACACCGTAGTAATGAAGTGATCGAGGGACGAATCTCCAAGAGGGCCAGTTATCGAAATCCTCAGCCGATGGTGCGCCTGATATTTGGGGTGTCTCAACGTATGTGGGTAGAGCTCGGACTGAAAAGGTAAATGATTTAGGGGGCTTTCTTCGTGATTTACCAACAGTTGCCATCACATGATGTCGGATTGCTTTCCTTGTGTCTTTGTCTTTTGCATCGTCGGGACGAGATATGTTAACAAAGGAAAGTCCCTGAGAGTTGTCGTCTCGATTATGCGGAGTTGGTGAGATGGGGATCTCACGGCCTAGTCTCCGAGTGCCGTGATGCTTGGTTCGAATACCAGTCTGCTGAACGCCTTCTCCAATAGCCATTGAGCAAGATGAATGTGAGGCCCGAAGAGTAATACAAAAGATCTGCCCAGTTGACGTGGAGAGAATACGGAGTAGGATGGCCAAATTTTGACTAGTACTAAATTAGTTGGCGTGGTTTGGTTTGCGGGAAGCTAATCCCTTCTCAGAACCTACAAAGTATCAGACTACACTCGACCAGGACTTCTCAACCCATCAAACCTCTCCATTCAATTGTTGAATCACTACATATCAGCCATACGGAAGGGGGGGAAAAAATGCTTCCAAAGCCAAAAAGAAACACCTCCTCTTTTTTTTCGCTCCATAGATCTCCCTGCAGAAGTCTACGAAGCTATTATTGATCGACTCGATCTACCCCTCTATTCATCACAATCTGTAGCCTCACCGAGCGTCATTTCGTCTACGGTAGACTTGCGACGGAGAATGCTGAGCAGTAGGATCCGGCTTGAAGCCACGACCAAGAAATCAGCGCCGATGCTATTGACAACTAGAGCTCCACGTGTTCCTTCTTTCGAAATCTTCTCTCTCGACACATCTTCTGTGACATCGTTTAGACATCTTGAACAGCCAGCACGGCATCGATTGAACTGCTTTCCCAGACACATCACTGAAACAACGTCCGATCACTTACATCCCATACCATTTTTGCGAGCAAGAAGAAAAGACTTTTACCGTATACGGGTCTAGACAGGCTTGATATCCAACCTCTAGCTGCACTCTATCAAAGCTCCCATCTAACCTTCAGTCTCTACCTCTCGACTTCCCTTACCATTGGGCATTGGAGTCCTTTGGCTATGTCACGATAAACAGAGAACATTGGGAAATTTGTGCACCAGCACACTTCCGTCCTGTTCGCAGCCGGTCAAACCGACATTTCCTCGCAATTGTCCTTCGCTTTCAACTTGTTCAAGATCCCACCCGGAAAGCGTGACACATACTGGAGTCCGGAAATCCACCAGGGTCTGAATCATGTGACAAATCTAAAAATATCATTCACCCACGACGACAGGTTCGATGGCGAGCTCAGGAAAACCCCTCTGCCGGATTGCAGAATTTCCAAACACTTTGGGAGAGTTGTTCTTCGATCATTTGTTCCAGGATCGTGTCACTTAGCCTCGATGCCGACGTTTTCCGCCCCATATATACGTCTTGGAGATTCGGGTAGATGGCTCATTCCACGAAACCCTCAAAAGTCGTGGAAAGGTTATCCGTCACATCAATCGAGGAGAAAAGGTTCCAAGACTCCATATCAAAGTTCAGGGGATCAAACTGATTGGCCTACATGGTCACACGTCAGCACCGTTCCTAGAACTGATCAAAGAAGACTCATACCATATCAAACGTGGTTGATAGCGAGCCGCTCGATTCGTCCTGTCGATTGGGCGCTCGGCCAATTTCAATGATGGATCCAGGCTCCTGTGGCGTGACTGGGGCCGTGGCATTTTCTTTCTCCGTCCCTTTAACCGCTTTCACCATCCTAGAGCAAAGCACAGCTGATTCGCGGGGGAAATGGAATGAAATCTCCGAATTCGTCACATGTTCAACGTGACCGAAATGTCCGGCACAGATGTCTAGCAACGCCAAATCTGCGCGCGCCGTCGATAATGAAGGGTATCTCAAAATGTACACGAAAAGATTGATATGCGCGTACATGGGATAGTAAAAGGCAAGCCAGGCCGGGATGGCCACGTCGGTTGTGATAGATCGGAGTACCAAGATGATCTGCCGTGCTGCGGTGGCAATGGTCTCTGATGAACTGACGACTTGATTTTGGAATTTTGGATCGGATTCGGTGCCGAAACGGAGAGAGATCCAGGGGTAGAAAAAGATGATGTGCGTCGCCATCAGACTTCCATAGATGGCAAAGTGGAGGTATATCGTGTGGACCCGCCGAGAATTTGCGGGGTATTCGTGTCTGACCGCATTCTTCACTTGGAGCTGTGGAGGGATGGATTCTAACAGATCCAGCAGTTGGCGATGGATGTCGTGGATAGTATCCATGGCTTCGGCGGAGGACTGTTTGAAAGCCTCGACGGACATGATTCGACGGGAAATTTGGGCGGATATTTGCGCATGTTTGATGATCAGAGTGAAAACCTCAACGTCAATAGTACTTCCGGGGGGTGCCTTGGTTGGGATAGGAGTGCTGATATTGTCGTCGTCGATGACTGAAGGACGACCGCTCCGGAAGGCAATCTGTTTCTCCAGACAATAAATTGCCCACCAGAGCCAGCTTCGATTCAATACATCGGATTGGGGTAGACCCCAAGATTTGGATGGTTCTCGATGAAGCCCTTTGGCTTGGGCAAGTTGGACGGCATTGGTACATAGGGGGTATTCTACAGCGGGACTTCCCAGTCCCTCGGCAAAAAATGTCTTGCTTCATTAGATGGTGTCGTGATATCGAGATGCTGACGTACCATAAGAGCGAGAGCTTGGACAGCGGTGAAACCCGAATGGCCAAAGATGATCTCACTGAATACTGAAAGAGCATTGTGGAAGAACTGCGTGACTTGAGCATCTGCATCGACAAATGATACGGTGGGATCGTTGGCCAACACACAGCGACATCCCGCGGCATAGACAATATTCCGCAGTGCAAACCATGAAGAATCTTCAACAGGGAGGGCCCCATGAGGATCAAAGTGAGCCCGGAGGCGTGCTTCGAATGTTGGACGATGGAGAATGCCAAACACCGCGTCGTAGGATTGTTCGAAGTATGCTGTGGACATCATCAATGACCGGCTCCATCCTTTGGGATTGCGGAACTCACCGTCGACATATTTCCAGGCTGTTTCTTTGTCTGGTTCCGCAGCTTTTTTTCTTAGAGGCTGAAATCGTTTCATCTTCAACCGTCGGCTCCAGGTTTTGGTGAGTCCGTTGGCGATTTCAACGAATTCATCGGAGCGAGTTCTTTCACAAACCCATCGGAGACCTGGTCGTGAGCAGACTGACACCCACGACCACGGTCCGTGGTGTTCCCAATGTACCTTTGGGAGAGGAATCACACCTTCTTCCCCATCGGCAACCAAATCCTCCCTCTCCCTGGCGCCAGATGGACCGGGCTCTGCCAGAGGATAGTGAGCCTGGATCGGGGATAAAAGATCAGGCGAAATATTTGATGTGAGGAACTGGCTTGTCGGGCGAATATCTCTGGTTCCGGACCCTGAATTCGATCCGAGCGTCGACCCTTGTGAGGGATATGTCAAGCCGGAAAGAAGTTCTCCATTCCGTCCCTCGTTCGTGTCGGGCGAAGTATGAGAGGGTGTGAGGGGGAGAGCAGATCTCGCTCCATAAACCTGGGCATTGCTGTTGGTGGTGTCGAAAGCCGTATACTGACCCCCTCCTTCTTGAGCAAGGCTGCGCTGAGTAGGTTTGGATCGTTTCCCTCTTCGTGACGCTGGATATAAACACTGCTTCTGTTGCCTTTGACAAGTCGCGCATGGCGAACCTCCGCTGCCTTGCTTCTTGTCAGATCAAAATAGAAAGCTGATTTGACATTTCGTACATTTCACTTTTCGACCGCGGCAATTGGTACAAGCACTGGTCAGCCTGACAAGCTCTCCCACTGACTGCATGGGCACGTTGAATTTGATCAATTCATTCAGATCAGAATTCGAATTCGGCATAAGAACATAATCCTCAGAGAACTTGGAGAAACTTGACGCAGGCGGGGGACACGGTTAATTCGGATATCCGGGAGCTGACCTGGAGAATCGCCACAGCATCGTTTGGTACGAAGGAAAACACGAACGATCCGAGTCATTTCGAGTGCTGGTTACCAAGTTCTGGATTTGAGAAGCTCTGGAATACCCAGGCACCGATGAGAGGTGATTGGCTACTAAACTAAATGAGGAATCTTGGTGTGGCCTGGTGAGATACGCTGAACTTCGTCTTTCTCCTGCCGCCATGTTGGAAATTCATATACTAAATGATTGCAGCGCCAAATTCAGAAATCGGCATTGCCAGTTACAGCTACAAATATTCTGAGAAGAGCACTCTTTGCTCGTGGACGGCGCTACAATCATCGGCGCTTTTCCGGAACATCCAAGTCGTCAAATTACCACCCCAAGTTCTCTTATAGACGATGATTTTCCAGACAATCGGCATCATCCAAGCTTCGTATATACCCGTTTTCCAGGCACATCAAAATCGCTCTCCTGAGGCAGAGGGGTATTCAGCGATGACCTTCTCAGGGCCGAGGACCCAGATTCGAGTTCACCGAGGCCTTGCAGTATTAGGACACACAGATCGACTTCACCGAAATCCGAAGCACTCGGACCGAGATGACGATGGGGACTTCAAGAATCTTGCCCGCCATTGGTTCAACGCATGTGCAGGGGGCTTCCTGGTCCCTTACCTTGGTCACAAGATGTTGACAATCCTTCTCTGCAGCAAGGTCCTTTCTGGTGGGAGCCATGACTACGAAACGAGTGGTACGATAAGTTCTAGGACTAGTTAATGTACGAACCAAACCTCACGTCCTGATTTGACAGACTAGCTACAACACTCAGCCATGTATCGCTTACCTGAGGATTTCCATGAGATCAATTCCGTTGTACTGCCTCACGATAGCGCTCGGTCCAGGCGATCTGACAGTAAGATCGTGGAAGAACAAAAGCTACTCAGGCCCATTGAACCTTCTCTCCACGTTTCCGGGAGGTACCATGATGGCCGAATTCCGAACCTTGACCTACCCCGTCCCTCAAGTCTGGGGTAGACACATACGTCGGGGAAGTTTGTCGTGACCGAGCTGAAATGATCTAATATGAGCTCATGCTAGCAATGAGCTTGTACATAAATATCACAAATTCTCGGAGAAAACCAAGACATTAAACGGTCACTTGTTGGCCACTCTTTTCACATCGAAATGGCGTCCTCTGCCATCGACCATGGACGCATCACCAACGGACCAGGCTCCTTAATCCATCACCGCCCCAAACAACTTGCCCACGTCGTTCTCCGCACGACGTCAGAGAACTATGAGCCCATGATCCAATTCTATCTCGACCTCCTGGGGGCTTCCATTGTGCGCAAAACCCCCGTTTTGTGTTTCCTCCGCTACGATGAAGAACACCACCGAATCGCCATCATCCAGACCCCCGAGACGCAGCCGAAACCCAAGGACGTCGGTCATGCGGGCCTCGACCACATTTCCTTCACCTATCCCACGCTCACGGCTCTTGCACAGCAATATGCTTATTTGAAATCTCTGTCCAAGCCCGTCCTCCCCGTGTGGACAGTCAATCACGGCCCTACCACGAGCATGTACTATCGCGATCCGGACGGAAATAAGATCGAGTTGCAGGTCGACAATTTCGACGACCCTGCAGATGCGGATGCATTTATGTCAGGGCCCAAGTATGATCAAAATCCAATGGGCACAGACTTCGTTGCCGATGAGTGGGCAAAGGATATCCTTAGCAAGGCCCTGGCGAATGGTGAAGAAGGGTTGACTGAGACGGAGATCAGGGAGAAGAAGATGCGAAAAGAAATTGGCGAGCGTCATTCGTTGCCTGAAGGGTTTTAATGACAGGATGGAATTTATCTGGGCCGGGACGATGATTAAAGGCAATCGCCCATGGACGGTTACAGCTATGTCACTTCGGAATGATACCTGGTGCCTGTAATTGAACTGATCCCATCCACTGCTCTAGAAGTAGCTTCAGGTCCAATAACTGATTCCTAGGTCTGGTCGTCCATTGTTCTCATTGACCACAAGATTTACCAGCTCAGTATCCGACTCGGCCGCATTGTATGCTTCCACCTGATTGAAGACGTGCGATATATCGCTGAAATGACACGCACCCAGGCACGAAGTATTTTTCTTCGCGAACAAAGGTCCGAACAGCGGTTGGATCAATGCGTACGAGTACAATTTGGTCGCTTTGCTCGAATAGTAAGTCACGGACTCGCTGATCATTAAACTGGGCAGGGGTCGAGGCTGTTTCTTCTCAAACGGCCGGCCCCTCCGAAGATTGCCGCATTACCTGGGTCGCCGCCCGATGGGAGTATGTTTTTTTTTCAACCCATTCGATCCCCAATCATTGATCCTAAAGGCCAAAGTTTAGAGAGCCCGTTCCGTTCAGAGCGGAAGGTGCTGCAAATCCAAAGACTCTGGCGCGGCAGCTACGATCCTTGGGGTTTTGTCTTGCTGTCAGGATCCAATGATGATCCTCACTTCAGAACCACAAAAAAGATCGGCAATCTTTCCGCATCAATCCTACGGTAGGTCCAGCTGAGGTTGGTGGCACGATGGTACACCTAGCCGATACTATGTCCACCGCTATATTTCCAAACCATGACGGGTAATTTTGGCATCTGCCGAGGTATTGGCTGGTCCGCCCACGCGCAACTTCAGGCAATTTTCGGAAATGTTGGTGGCATTGTCAAATATGTTGAGATCTTGCGGTGCTTGGGGTATCGATAGCGGTATTTTTAAGGGAGGCGAAGGCGTTAGTGCTTGCGAATGGTTCTTGCTAGATGTATCTTGACCGAAACCGATGTCCAGAAAGATTCGACCCGTTGGAATAGTTTCCTTGATAGCATATATTGGTCGACAACCAGAGGGACTTTGGATACCGAAGCCGTAGGTCGAACAGCGGCGCCAAACCAAGAAGCTGATTATCAGAGCTTTCATGTTGGCGATTGGTGGTGTCGAAACGAAAGAACTCATCCTTCAATAACGAGAGACCAACCTCTTAGATAGGCCACAGGAGCCCTCTCTCCATGACGTACTTCATCATAAACAAAAGGAGGCTCACAAGCCTCACGAAAGCCATCTTGCTTCAGCTCACTGATCGTCGTGGATGATGATTTTCCCAAAAGCAGTGGGTTCTGCGAAATTCAAGCTCTGGTGTACAAACATGCACATATTGTGAATATCTACCCAAGGAGCAGAACGCCACAGTCTTACCATGGTTGCCTTTGTTTTCGGATGTGTCGGGATATGTAGGTGTTGATTTCCCCTTGTGACTGATCACCATCAACACCTCGAAATTATTTTCACTTTGGGTGCTATCCACCCCAGTGAAGTGGGACATCAATACGTGGGATCAACGGACAGGAGTCTGTAGGTAAGAGATACAGAATGACTGACAAATATCGAAACCGCAAACCTGAAAGATCAGCGATGGGAGTCACTGCTGGTGTGCCCCAAATGATCCACGGTAGTTATGCATTCGAGTTTTGATCCACCGTAGTCGTATGACCGCCAACTACCGCGTACAATTTGAACCGGCAAGGGAAATCCAAACGTTTATGCCTTCATACACACTCCGTTCCCATGCGAAGATCCGTGAGATTGTTATCGTCATGACGTGTCAACCCAGCTGCAACATTCAAACTCCGGTCTCAAGAGCTTTCTGATAGACTGTCGAGTCTAGAGAAGGAATGTGTTGTTGTTCTTCTATCTAAGAGAGCAAGACGAAAAGAAGGAAGGGCGCAAGTTGCCAAGCCAACCGGCCTCACGTGACTAGCCAACACTTTCCGCATTGAAATCGGCACAACACGGGTTCACAGAATGCCATTTTCTTTTTCGGATATCCTCTGCAGGCGCAAAGTCTGAATCCAAAGATATTCGAGGGCGAGCTATCTCATCCACTGTACTGTACATAGTGCGGAAAGAGGAGGCTATCGATCATGAGCTCTACCTCATGGTTAGTCGATCGGTGCCAGTCCTGGCAGCCACTAGCCTTACCCTTTTGGTTTACTGGTAGGATTGATGTGCCACCATTTTTGATACAGACGATCGCAAGAGAATAGTTGTATGATGTTCTGATTCCAATATGTACCCTGGTGTCCACGTGTAGGTCAAAAAGATTGGGATTGAGAAGGTCAGCCTGATACTGAGCATGGATGTTTCAGTGTCGCAGCTTTTCTATTTGGTCCGACTATGATTTCGTTCTCACCGCAATTGAGCGTGCAGGCAGAGTGAGTCTTTTTATACTGTATATCCCATGCTAATCGGAAATGCTGCCGATTTTCACGTAAGTGCCCAACCATGAGGGAATTTCCCAGCTCACTAGAAACCGCCAAAATCATCTACTGAATCAAACATCGCAGGAGTACAAGTCACGTATTTCAGTGAGGCAAAAGGACATGATCCAGATGCACCGTCAACATTGACCTCGGGAAGGGGAAATCAATATAGCCAAACCAAGGGAAAAGGAAAGAGATAAGAAAAGAAAAGTGCACGAAAAGTGCATGAATTCGATGGCGTCAATCAGTAAGATGCATAAATTTACTTATACGACTTCTCAACATCTACGCATTCAACAGTGTCAATCTCAATTTTGATCAGTCCAAGAAAAAGTTGACAGCTGTCAGATGAAAGCACTCCCGGTCGAGACCATCGGTCGAGACCAACGTTCATCTCGCCCAGTGGAATGCGACTGTTCAGTTTGATGTCTGTCAAAATGTTCATTTTCCTGTCCTTGCTGGACTATCGAAATTTCGGCTCCTAAGCGGTGGTTACTACGACCGGCGGATTATATGCCGGGCATGGACAACAGCTTTCCTGGTCTGCAACAAGATCAACAAACTTCCCTGAAACGTCTTTGACGGGCTTTGGAAGAATGAGAAGCTTTGGAAGCATGAGGAGCCTTGAAAGCATGAGAAGTCTTGGTCAAATTCCATATGACCGGAAGGTGGCTTTGCATCCCTTGATCATGTACAACATACGAGAATGGTAATCTCGTGGATGAGCACAGGTCAATAACATCTCCGTTGTATACCGTCGCAATAGGGTATATAACTTCATCTCGTCCATCTCGAATCATTTTGCCTCTCAACCACTGCAAATTTCCTGGAACTTTCCCAAGTCATTTCGTACCAGCTTTCAAACTTTTTACTTTCAACATTCTTCATCTTTGATACCTCTCAACCATTCCAAATGAGATTCGCCACTGTCGCCGCTTCTCTCAGCCTTGCCTCCATGGCGGCTGCTGCTCCCAGCTGGGCTGGCTGGATGAAGCGAGGGAGTTCTTCAGCTCTTTCTCTCGATGAATGTGATTGCACATGCGATTCCGATGTCTGCCTTGAACAATCCGATGCTGAAGACATCATCGACGAGTTCATCAGCATTCTGGAACATTCTGACATCATCGAAGCCAATGCCACTGCTCAGGCTCTTCTAAGCGACGACTTCTATGAGGAGAGTGATTCCATCAACATCCTCTCTGGCGAGCCAGTAAGGTGAAGGTATAAATTATTGGAAGAGACATTAACAATATCCAGCTTGGGAGCCTCACCTTCGCCGGGAAACAGAGTTACATCAGCAACGTCCTCAACGCTCCATCGATCGAGGATGTGTCAACCATCAAAGCCATGCCTGCGGGCTGCCGAAATGTCTTGTGGTACTGGACGATGAACATCGGATCCGAGAAGATTCCTATCACGGGAATGAACTTGATGGAGATCAACGACGAGAAACAAATTGTTAATCAATTTGTTGAATTCAACAGCATCGCATGGGCTCTTGATGTTGGTGAGTACTCTCTTCGAACCTGTTCACAGGTTCAAAGATTAATCCAGTCATTAGGATTCACGGTCATCAACTCGGCTGGCAAGACTCTTCCTTTGGCATAGATTCAATCAGACCAGCCATATCCGAAATTGGGCTTCAAAAAATTTTCATTTCTGTATCATTGAGGTTTTGGCGATGGTCGTGATTTTTCGTATGGAGGGTTCTTGGGGATGGAATTTCTTTTTACCTTTTTTTATATCTTTGGTTTGCAGAGGGACGGTTTCACGGAAGATCGTTTTCCGCACGATACCGCCCTTTGATGAATTGAATTTTAACTGGGGGACCACATCCTCCAATCCTTTTGTCCGCACGACTGATCTAGTTCGTCACCCTTGTGATCCGAAAGTGGGATTAGAGATTCCCTGCCGTGGGGTATTTCCGAGGCCGACCTTTTTGTACTGTACCTTGTCGTCTCGATGGGTTTACTCCGGACTGTGGGGGGAGTTTTCTCCTATCCTTTCCCCATTCTCCAGAATTACTAACCCCTAACTGAGTGAATACCGATCGTTTAGTCGAACCTGGTACAGAAGGTAACGTGTTACATTTGGGATAGGTGGCAAGTGGTACCACTTGACGATGAGCCCTTCTTATCGGCTTGAGATTCGGCAAGGCCGTGCGAGAGAATGGATCTCTTATTATCCTCTCTGAGCCTCTCTGATCTGGCAGAGGATTAGGGAGGTTGAATCTTTTGTTGAATTAAATCTCAATCATGGGCGAGGCTCCGAAGTTTTGGCTTGACGACCGATGCATCGATGACTGTCGACCACTTCGCGTGGCAGTCATTGGGGCCGGAATCTCGGGAATTCTCGCCTCCATTCGCTTTCCACGGAGGATTCCCAATCTTTCTCTTCAGGTGTACGAGAAGAACTCAGATATTGGCGGGACGTGGTTCGAAAACAGATATCCGGGATGTGCCTGTGATATCCCCGCGCATACATACCAAGCTACATTTGAACCCAATCATGAATGGTCGCAGTTCTATGCCACTGCCAAGGAGATACATCAATATTGGAAGAAGGTGGTGGACAAGTACGATTGTATGAAATATATCAAGCTCAGGCATCAGGTTGTCGGTGCATATTGGGATGATCGCCATTCAAAGTGGAGCATCCAGGTCCGGTTTGGTCTCTGCATTGGAAGAAATTCGCTGACATCTGGCTAGATCAAAGATCTAGTCAACAACGTTGTTTTGGCAGATTCCTGCGATGTTCTGATATCAGCAACCGGCGCTCTCAATGACTGGAAGTGGCCCGATATACCCGGTCTTCCGGACTTCCAGGGTACATTGCTTCACAGTGCCCAGTGGGACGAGTCGTTTGACTGGGCGGTAAGACTGCCATTCTTGAACTCGGCGCCACACGAACTGACACGATCATTTTTGTGAAGGACAAAAGACTGGCCGTGATAGGAAATGGATCAAGTGGAATTCAAATTGTCCCTGCTGTGCTCGCCCGCTCCCGTCATATTGATCATTATATTCGTGGCCGAACCTGGCTGTCTCCGACATTTGCCAGAGAAAAAGTCGACCAAATGGGTCAAGGCTTGGATAATTGTAGGGGGCCCGTCAACGTCGTGATCGTATTCTGACAGTGGTAAATAGTTTCATTCGCACCAGAGGACATCAGCCGGTTCAAAAGAGATCCAGAATTCTACGAGAAGTTCCGCAAAGGTATCACGGCCCCGAAAATCCGAATGCATGCGGCTGACTTCCTTAGACATTGAACTCGAACTCCAATCCGTCCACGCCGTGACCATCAAAGGCTCACCCGAACAATTAGGGGCGGTGGAACTGTTCACGGAGAACATGAAGAGAAGGCTCTCCGGGAAACCCGCTCTGATCGATACCCTTATGCCATCATTCCCACCAGTGTGCCGCAGATTGACTCCCGGACCGGGATATCTTGAAGCCCTGACCGATCCGAAAGTGGATGTCATCGCGACGGGAATCCGCGAAGTCGTGGAAGACGGCATCATCACAACAGACGGGGTCCATCATCCGGTGGATGCCATCATCTGCGCGACAGGCTTCGACACGAGCTTCTGTCCACGGTTCCCCATCGTGGGCAAGAATGGTACCAGTCTCACAGACAAGTGGAAACGGGTCCCATCGACGTACCTGTCGGTAGCGACGGACGAGTTCCCGAACTACTTCATTTCCCTGGGCCCGAATTCTGCCCTGGGCACCGGCAACTTACTCCTCCTGATCGAGAAGGCCATCGACTACATGACTCTATGTATGGCAAAGATGCAACGGGATAATATCCGTTCCATGGCTCCGCGAGCTGATGCCGTCAAATTCTTCGTCCAGTACTGTGACTTGTATTTTCAAAAGACCGTGTACAGTCTCGATTGTCGCAGCTGGTATAAAGGTGGCACAACAGATGGGAGAGTCAGTGCTCTTTGGCCAGGTGAGATATCCTCCCTTTTTTTCCTTCGCTCTCCGGATCTCGCTCACACTACTCGATAGGATCGTCTCTTCATGCCATGCAGGCGCTGGCGTATCCGAGATGGGAAGATTTTGAGTACGAGTTCGTCAATGACAATCCCGGAGCATGGATCGGGAATGGCTGGACGGTCAACGAGAGGGAGAAGAAGGTCAATGTGGATTATTTGAATTATGACAAGATTGATTTTCCGCCTGTACCACCGCCCGCAGAAGATCGAGGTGCTGGTACCAGATCTGCCCTTTAAAGAGAGGAGAGAGAGAGAATTATGGGAGTAATTGATCGAGGCCCCTGCAACGGCGCCACCACTCTTCGCGCATCGTTTCATTTAATTGGTTCGCCTTTTCTCACTCTCCCCACATCCCACATCCGGGCCATCCACTCCAACTCCGTAAAATTCCCTGGTCCCTCGGGGAGGCCCCAGACTGGGACTAATTGATTCTGAAACCTGGAGGCGAGGGGCAAAATGTCCTGTAGTTTAGAGGCATCACTCCAGGTGGTTCCCGGCAAAGCTCGAACCGGCGTTGGTTATTCATCCGGACGCCCATCGTGATCGCTTCGCTTTGCCAATTAATTAATGAAACCCATTCCGTTCCCTTCCCCCTCCAAAAACTCTCAAATCCTATTGTTCTCTTCTCAATTATCAGCACCCGTATCGTACGCCATGGAGAATTTCCACGATCTAATTCGGAATCAAGCACTGTTGTCGTCAGCGTTAATTCAAAGGTCTGCCACCGCGAAGACAACGGCGTCTCCGACGGCGACAGAAAAGCGGTACCGGTGCATGACCTGTGGACAGAGCTTCTCTCGCGCTGAGCATTTGAAGCGGCATCAGACGCGGCGTGAGTACCGGTGCGAGAGATCTGTTTTGCGCTGAAGCTGATCCGCGTCGCGCAAAGATACGGGGGCGAAACCATTCTCATGCGTTTTCTGCAGCCGGAATTTTTCTCGAAAGTACGGATTTGACCCGAGATCTGAGAGCCTGGCGCCATTAACACTGGCCGTAGAGATCGCTTGCAAACGCATTATAACCACTGCCAGCGACGAGGGGAGCGAGAACCCCCCAATTCCATCCCCAAAGGAAGACGACCACATGCTTGTGTGACGGTGAGAATCATGGCTCTTCAATAACCAATCCTTCCTGACTTTGGGTCTCTTCAGTGCATTTCCTCCAAGATTCGCTGCGATGGAAGCAACCCATGTTCACAATGCAAGAAGAAAAAAGTCCCCTGTCGTCAAAAACACTCGGTGCAACATGAATCAAACGGTTCGAACCATTCCGGCGTCTCCCTATCTCGTCTGGTCTAACCTGTGCGTCCGTAGTGAAAAACTTGAACACCGTCGAAGACCGGGTCTCAATCAAAGCCCTCTTGAACGGTGGTACGGATACATTCACCGAGGCCTTCAACCTGCCTCCCTGCGACGATCGGGTTCGCAGCCTTCAATTCCACCAGCAAAACGAAGAAGAGCCCGAGGAAGCCACCGATCTTGCCAGCAATGTCAAATCTGTGGATGCCAGCCCCTCGTCCATCGACGTTGATTACTCAAGCATGATCGAGTCGCCTTTGGACCATATGGACGATCAATACCTGGACTTCTGGACGGGTCCGTTCGCATTCATCCCGTCGCCAGGATACTCGGACCTACAACTCGAACTCTATGACGCAACCAAAGTCATGTCTGGCGGTGACGTGCTCGTCCACGGGCCGACACCATCTTCAGACTCCACGCAGACCCAGACACACACGGCGACGAGCCACGACCAAGTGGCGTCGACACCGGCCTACGTCTCCAGCGTCAACATGGCCCTCTACAATAAACTCTGGTGCCTTGCCCTCGACAGCAAAGCGCGACAAGAATTGACCACGTGCCTGAACTTCCTCTTGACGACGGACAAAATCTCCAAATTCATCTCCCTGTACTTCCGCAACTGGCACCTGAATTCCCCATTGATACACAAGCCGTCATTCGACCCGTCCAAAGCGCCGCTGAACCTTGTGATTGCCGTCGTCTTCGTCGGCGCCATGTACTCGCGCGACCAAAATGAGAGGTTGGCCGCAAAGAAACTCGTCGATCTCGCGGAACTGGTTGTTTTTGACTCGGATATCTTTGCGCTCGAGATGGAAATCACTCACGCCATGACGAACCACATGCACGGTGCAGAAACTGCTGACTCGACAGATCGCGGTTGGGAAAAGTTTCAAGAACTGCAAGCCGGATTCTTGATCGTTGTCGCGCAATATTGGGCGGGATCGAAGATTCAAAAACGTCGCGCGACGGAATGCCGCTTTGGAGATGTCATTAAAGTAATACATACAACCCTCTCTCCCTTGACCTCCATTTCTATATTGACTGGTAAATGTCAGGTCGTACGCAAACTCCAAGTCCACCGCTCTCGCCACCAACCTTCCGACCGTATCTCAGAAACTGCCTGGCTTCAGAAAGAGTCTCGGATCCGGTGCGCGTTTGCTTACAACTCTCTCCGATCCACTCCTCACACGTCACGTCCAGGCTTCTCGTACTGATTGGTTGTGTGTACTATATAGGACCCTCGCCGTAATCGCCCTCCTCGACTGCGCCATGCGCATCTACTCGAATTACCCATGCCGATTGACACTGGCTGAACTGGACACCGACTTACCCTGCAAAGAAGCTATCTTCAGCTCCCGCCACCCATTCATGCAAGATGAATCGATCTTCGCTCCCCGCCTGACGATCTCCCAGGCTTTTGCCATGTTATTCGAGGGCAAAGCGCCCACAGCCGCTTCCAACACCTCCTCATCCCTGTCATTGTCGTCCGCATTGGTTCGAGTGGGAGTCGATGCCGCAGAAGATCCTTCACACGAACCGACAACGACCATGGCTGAAGATTTGAACTGCGACATGACAGTCTTTGATTTATTCATCCTCATCCACTGTACGATTGATTGCACTCCTCCCTTTCCTTGTGCCCGAATCTCTACTCTCTCATCGCAGATTGACTGACATCTTTTTATTTTTGGTTTTCGCAGACCTCTACGTCTACATCCACTCCTGCATCATGACGCTCTCCATGAACCTACCAACATCCTCTCTTCCAAGCAGGAAGCTGGACAGACCTCTAACTCTGTCCTCGAGCCCCGCTTTTGGGGACCTGAAAATCGCCCTCGACCGCTGGCGCCAGATTTATCAAGTCGTCTCCTCTGCATCATCGTCCAAGTCAATGAAGACCGCGGGCATGTTCAGGAATTGCTTCCACTTCTGGCTCGTTGCGCAATTGATCATCACCAAAGAAGAAGCCGTCGATGTCATTACGGGGATGGAGGTGAATTGTGATGATGCACTCACCAAATTGAAAGTGCTATTTCAAAACGAAAACGAAAACGACAATGATCAGGAATGAACGAGGAACGAGTGAGCACGAACGTTTACTATCTGAGGACCAGGAATCAATACCAATACCTGTCCATCTCCGTCTATTTATCGATTTCGGACGGAGGCCATGTAGACGGCTCCTAAGACAGCGGGAAATTCGAGAAAACCTCCTTCGCCCGCCGTGTCTCGTCTTGAATGAAAGTGCCCCGCAACCTCAAGACGAACATATCGTCCAAGGGTCCATAGATCCATACGGATAATTACCTGAACGGAAATACCCCCGACGACAAGGCATGGGTGTAAACACCATCGGATAATTCCCCCTCCACTTTAAACCCCAGGCCCGTGTTCCGTAACAATGAATGGGCACCGGCGTAGGCTACAACCTACTAGGGGCCGTGGCTAGAATCGGCGATAGATTTGATATCTGTTCAACAGGCTCCGCTCTGGCACGACTAGCTAAGATCGCGAAGAGAGATGTGGATGGATATAACGCCAGCCCCATTGGTGTACCGGAACATTGAGATTTCAATACTGAACACCCAGTCAGTACCCAATCCCCAGAGGAACGCCTCAAGCATCCAAGCCCAAGTCAACACTTGCATGCTTCTCCCAAGTGCCGACAAAAGTCAAACGATTGGCGTCGTAAAAGGAGACCTCGATGCTAGAAATTGTGGGAGATGGTACACCCACGTGGAGACGTTTCCACACCCGCTCTTTTTGTCTGCCGGATGAACCCACTTGAATGAGTAGACTGCATTAATCTACTTAGATAGGATGTATTTACCCATCTCGATCCTGGACCGATCTCCTGATCATCGCTCGCCTTCTCTCCCCCTTCCCTTCTCTTTGGGTCAGGCTTTTCGTCAATATGCCCCTCGGAATCATCGAAGATACCAAACTTGAGCATGTGCCCGGTACGGCACCCCTGAGCGAACTCGGTCGTATCGACACAGAAATCTCAGGCATCGACCCGTCACTCCTCAAGCATGATCCCAGCGGGACCATCGTGCTTGTACCCCAGCCCTCGGACTCCGTCAATGATCCTTACAACTGGCCCAAGAGAAAGAAGTGGCTGTTCGCCATCGCGTTCGCGTACGGTTGTGGATGTGTCGGGGGTACGTCGCTCACGAAAAGTTTGTCAGCAACAACGACTCTGATTGATTTTGTTCGTTAAGCTGTCGGTCCCCTTCTTGGTTCCGCATTCGTTCCTCTCGCTGCAGAACTCAACGTCGATCTCACTAGCTTTGTGTCCGGTGTTCAAGGCGGGTTGATCTGTGCCATTGCCGTCGCTAGTATCCTCCTCAATGGACTCGCGGTGAAATTCGGCAAACGGCCTGTCTATCTGATCACTTCCATCGGGTTGGCCGTGTCATGTTTCTGGGCCGCTGCTGCAAAATCGTACGCGTCTCTCGTCGCTGCAAGAGTTCTACAAGGTTTTTGTATGGCGCCTATGGAGGCATTGGTGCCTGCGTCGATTGCTGATGTTTGGTGAGTGGAGTCCGTCTCGACGATTATTGTTGCGCTCATCCGGTAATAGGTTCGTCCATGAACGTGGATTTTACACTGCATTGTTCAACCTCGGTGTCCTGGGCGGAATCAATCTTGGTCCACCTATCGGTGTGTCTGGCAATTTCGTGGCGTAATCTGGACTGACATGCGTCAGCTGGGCCCATTATTCAATATGGCTCGTACAAGATATGCCTTTATGCCATGGGCGGAGCATTCATCCTTCAAGTCCTCTTGACCTTCTTATTCATGCCTGAAACCGCCTTCAAACGTGAGGGAGCCCTGAATATCGACACTGGTGGGCAAAATGTACGTCACTCCTCTCCGTTGCGATCTTCATACTCAGCTCTTTCGCAGGTCACAATCAACGATATCAAACAGTCCGTGGAACAAATCGAGCGGTCAGAGAAAGGTGGAAACACAACCACCTCGCCACCAGCCTCGTCAGAGGAAACGATCTCCTTCACCAGAGAAATGCTCCCATACTCCGGATATGTCAACCACGTTTCGCTCTGGAAAACACTTATTCACCCGTTCCAGCTGCTCGGTTCACCTGCTGTTCTATGGGCAACATTACTCTTCACCACTTGTATTTCCTGGTTGGTTGGCATCTCTATCACACTGTCGCAAATCTTTTCTGCGCCGCCGTACAATTTCTCCATCATTTCCGTCGGCGCCACAAATCTATCATCCTTCGTTGCATCACTCATTGGTACGGCCATCGCCGGACCTGCGATTGATGGTGTAGCGAAGCTAATGTCGAGACTGAATAAGGGAACGTTTGGTAAGTATCGTTTGAATTTTTTTTTTTTAAACCCTTGGCGGACCTAACTTGTCCAGAACCTGAATTCCGCCTTCCTGTCATGGTCACCTATGTTCTCTTTACCGCCACGGGCTTCTTCGGCTGGGGTGAAGCAGCATATCAACAAGACCCATGGCCGGTCCCCGTTGTTGTATGTCTTGGACTCATCAACTTGGGCGTGCAGCTCGGTACAACATCAGTCGTCACATATGTGGTGGACTGTCATCGAGAACAAGCCGGTGAAGCATTCGCCACCATGAACTTCATTAAGAATTTCTTCGCCTTCGGTCTGACCTTCTATCTCAATGGTTGGATCGCAAGTCAAGGTGTCAGAAATGTCTTCTTTGTCATTGGCGGGATCACTATTGGTGTTACTCTCTTGACAATTCCAATGTGAGGACGATATCTTTGAGGATGTGCCATTTCTAACACATCTTCGCAGGTATGTCTTTGGCAAGCGTGCCAGAAGCTGGGTATTCCGACATCATGTCACCTCTTCACCCATCCACGGGAATTCGAGAAGGACGTGAGGAATCACGTTGCTGACCGTTGGATTATGAATATAGAAAGGCATGACACAGATGCAGGAAACCATAATCACAGAAGAGATAGCCGTACGCCAGCGGAGAAATTCCATTCCATTTCTGATCCCATCGGCGAAGTTCCTCCTCATGAAACTGCGTCACTGGACGTCATTCGGCAAAAACAAGAAGACTTGATAGGTACATCTGCCATGGCCATAGCATATGTCAATTGCGGCTTGAGAATTCGAGCTTCGGCCATTCGACCCCGCTTGACCAGACATTCGTAATACCCGTGAAGTGACCATACATTGTTTGGATGTCGAAGGGCACGAGGCAGTGAATCATCAATTCCTAGATCGGCACTGTACACCGCAGCGGCTTCTTCGACGTGACCTTGTTCAAGCAACAGTGCCCCGTAAGCATGTCGTGGAGGTTGCATCCAACCCCATGGCTCGTCGTAGGGGAGTGCATCGTCGAGAGCGATAGATCGACGCAAATGATAGAATGCAGTTTCAAAATTTCCTCGACGATATTCCAACTCACCATTCAGCATCGAGTCGGCAACAGCCAAGATGTCGACACAGGTATTGTTGAACAGAGTCCGCGACGGCTTCACAAGCTTCACCGCTTGTTGAAACACAACTTGTTGCTGTTCCGCTTCCTTCACTTTCCCGGTTGCGGCCAATGCAATACCCTTCGCATAATGTATCAGGGCCGTCGTCACACAGTAAAGATCCTGATCCTCTGGAAGCGGGAGGCGGAGAATATCCGGCCACATCCCGAATCGAATGAGAGCATGGACGCGCAGTCCCAAAATTCCTTCGAGCCAATCAGCCATCGGCGGTGATTTCACACGCAGCAGTTCTTCTGGAATTGATGCTTCTAGCCAGGATAAAGTCTCGAGGGCGACCTGGGATTGGCCAGCGAACATGGCTGCATAGAGACAGAAATGATAATCGTGTGATCTGTACAGGGTGTAGAATTTCAGGGGACCTGCGCGAGCGAGGAACTTCTCATCGGCGCGAATGGCGTCGAGATTTGAAGAGATGGCTCGTCGATAATCACCGCATAGGATATCAAGATGCGTAGGCATGTGGTTGAGATGACCGGCGTCCGGCACCAGACCTCGTAAATGATCTGCCACCGGAAGAGCAATCTCTGGAGTTCCAGACATCTCCATCAGATGGATGTAGAGATGGAGAATCCCTGGATGTCGGAGGCCCCCGGGTTGAGCTAGGGCGCGATCAAGCACCATCTTCACCTTCAGTGTGCTGGCTCCAGGAGCAGGTTGTCCGGTAGATAAATCCCACAGCTTCCATGGTGTACGGTTCATCATCGCTTCTGCGTAAAAGGTAGCGACGTCGAGATCGGTTGAAAATGCTGAATATACATTGCCCATTTCGTCGGCATATCTTTGATTCCATACTGAACAATCGGGAGCGGGTTGCGATTGAGGGTATCTGAACTCAAGGGCGTCAATCAATGCTTTTTCAACTGTGTCGGCAGAGCTTGATTTCTTTCTAGCCTTTTCCACAGCCGAATGTGCTTGTGTTATAACCGATTCGAGTTCTTCACCATCAAAAAGTTCCCACGGTTTGTTGTAATTGGGTCCAAGGGCATAGGCAAGTCCCCAATATGCCATGGCACAGTCTGGATCGATGGCAATGGCTTTCTTGAAGCATTCGGCTGACTCTTCATGATTGAATGCGTAGCTCCATACAAGACCGCGATCGAACCACTTTTGGGCCTCATTGCTCTGAGTGGTCACTGGACGATGGAAGGATCCTAGATCATAGTAATCGTCTGACGGAATCGGCCGGTCAGGCTGGGTATCATTGATAGTCATGATTAGAGAAATGGACTAAAGAAAATGGTGTGATGGTGATTGAAGGGAAAATGAGAACGAAACAAAGATGATCTTGTATGAAGGCAACAATGCTCCGCCGTAACCCTTGTCCTCGACCGTAGGAGTTTCTCGCGGTCTTCACATAACAGCCAGCGCTTCTGAAAAGCACCCAGGTACCCACCCGGCCAATTCCGTCGAAAAGTCCTACGGGAAATACTTCAAACCAGGCTCCATCTGACGGGGTCGAAGACTGCCCCAATATCCTCTCCTACCCTCTAACTCGCTGGCATTGCGACACTGTGGATGCTCATGATCCTCCGTGGTCCCAAACGGCCAGACGGGAATGAAACAGACGGTACCCAATGGACATTCCGGGCACCGTTTCCATACAGTCCAATCCAGATACTCAATCAACGAGCGCAGATTGTCCATCGTGTCCAACAGAGGAACGTGAGCATCAAAAGCAGCAAACAACGCCGAGCAGATCGTCCGAGCGACAGAGTGGACAGCTCGACCGGCCACCGAACACGAAACATCGTACTCGATGGGAATCATCTGAGCCACGCATCGATCGACTTCGGCCGTGGTGTTGCGAGCATCAGAGTCGACGAAGACACGCAAGATTCGAACGAGTTCGTGGAAGAACTCTTCGGGTTCCGTCAAAGCGCCAGAGACAAGATATTTCAATTCCTTCGCATATCGTTCAACGACCATGTCGGCGACCTTCTGCCAATCGATTGCCTTTTCCTCATACAGGTTAATCGAAGGATCCCAATCGTTCACCATGGAGTGGATGTCGTCGCGGATTTTATCCAATGAAGAAACCGGGATGTTCTCCAGCCTCGGAAGACCATCGTCGCCTGTGAACAGGTCGAGATCATAATGGTAGCTCGTGACGAATCTGTCGTAGTTCAATTTCACTCTCCCACCCCCAATCCCATCATACCGTGCCGCTATAGCCTGGACCCAATCCCAGATATTTCTGTCTCCAAAAAAGCGATCGTCCGGAGGAGGCTCTTCCCCGTCCGGCGCAATCGAACCCGCCCGAACCGCTTGCAGGAAATCCAAATTCTTCGCAAACGAGCACATGATGATCTCAAACCCGGCCTCCATCCGAATAAAGCCTTTAATCTTACCGTTCCAAGTCTGGGCTGCCATCTTGCACAGTCTCTCTGCACGTTCCCTCTCCCAGAACATCCCCTGACTTTCGTTCCGAGCGTTCAAAAGCAAGACATCTTGAGTGTCGAGCGTTCCTTTCTCGCATTTTCCGGCAGACATGCCATCGATGTAGAGCAAGGGCGTGAGAGTTTTGGTTCTGTACGTATGCAACCAACCTGCTTCCATCGGGTTCGGCCTCGGTCGTGGTGCTGATTTCCGATCATCACCTCCTTCCATGATAGGACTCTGAGGAAATCGATGATCTGTCAGATGACCTCGACAGTGTTCCTCCAACCCAGCTTTACACGATCGAGATTCATCCAACGACATTTCCATCATGCCTGGCTTATCGGGTGGTGGTGGCGGTGGGTGTTTCATCCTCGATGCAAAATTGATGGCATGCTCAGGTTCAAAGGCCAGCCACTCCATGCCTTCAACAGGCTCTTGTTTCGGGGATCCATGGTAGAATTGTGTACCAGCGGGAACTTGGGCGAGGAAAAGTGACATGCCATTATGATTCAATGAGGATCCCCATTGGCGCATGGAGGAATGGATGGCGTTGAAGATGTGGTTGGCATTCCGGACGCCATCATCGCACGGATTAGGCTGTATATATGGTAGGACCGCTGCTTGCACCGCCGCCGTCGTGAGCAGTAGAGACCACAGCATCGTCAATGATGGCAAATCAAAGGGATGACGAGGAGGGTTGAGGTTGAGGTCGAGGCCGGGTGCTTGATGAGACTGATACAGTACGACCATAATCTTATCTGATCATCACTTTATCTCGGGCCTCTGTACCCGTCCACTACCAACCTCGACGACGCGCTTACGTGGCCATCAGGCGTGGCTTGATAAGCATCAGAACGAAGAGGACTAGTTTTCCCGAATAAACTTCCGTCCATCCAGGCTACCTCGATCCGCTCCAATAAATCACACCTTCAGACCCAAAGGACCATTCTGAATCTGTCATCATGCCTTTGCTACTCTAGTCTCCAATCACGGAACCCAACCTCAACTTCGACACCAACAACAAAGCCTCCCACAACAGATCTGCTCCTTTGCAATCTGATAATTAAAATCTCCCCAATCCCTAACAAACTCCCTTGCTCCCCTCCTGTCCGCCCCAGAAACCCTCCCCTTTTTCCCAATCTGACTTCGTTCTCATACATTAGCCGATAATCTCCCACAATATGACACCGTACCACAACCCGCACCCTGTTCCCTAAACGCATGTTTTTCAGACTGGTTTTCCCCGTCGGCGCGCTCCTGTGCGTGGTCCTCGAGTTTCGTGCCATTGGCTTTCGTCCTCTCCGACACAGCGAGCACAAAGCAAACGCCAGTTCAGTGCCGGTGTCGAATAGGACGACTCCAGAAATGATCTCAGTCGAAGGGGTTGGGTATTTCTGGCTTCTACCCAATGGGTGCCTGATCAGCAAATACGGCGGAGCAACGTCGATGGATTGCAGAAGAAGATCAAGATCTGAGACTGCATCTTGAAGCGGTCAACGACCTGGTATTCTTAGGCACAGTGCTTCAATCATACCCTGCCCTGTCGTAGAAGAGGAATGTGCTGAGATATTGTTGGGACTTTGACGTAGATTGCGATCGGGCCGCCTGCTCTGGGAAAGATGAGTCCCCGCTCACCAGATCGTCGTGCAGGCCCAGAGGATGAAGCGCAGAGCGAATGGCCTTTTTCGGGAATGGGAGTCACGGCCGATATTTAAGGATCTTCGTTCCATGGGTTCTTTGTGCGGATGGCCATTGCGTTTTAGCGAGAAAGAAGGGCAGCATAGATCATTCCATGCATGATATGAATGAAGAATGAAGGTGCACCTGTTCTAGACCTCGATCTTACTGTAACCATGATATCGCATAACAGCGATCATCCAATCGAATGTATATTCCGTCTACTCAATTCAAAGCAGCCTTGAGATGCTTGATATGGCGGTCAGTCAGACGACTCAAATCTCAATGGCGGGGGCTTGGGTGCCATAGTAATAGCAGGCCATCCTCCCTCCTAGATGCTGACACTCCGGGCGACGGCGCTAAGTCCAGCTCTCGATCCTAAGCCTTATGCTCCAACTGTTCCACCTCTGCATTAACAAGGCTCTTGTCTAACCTCGCTCTCTCTTCCGCTGTCAAATGTGTCAGGTCAACAGCGACTTCGTCGCCGAACTTGGCCGCAATCTCCTCCAGAGCCAACCCTTTGGTTTCGGGGTAGAAGAAATACATGATAGACGCGCCGAAAAGGGGGATAATTATGAAAATTAAATAATACCGCCAGCCAATATTCCGGAAGGCCACTGGAGCGCACATGGTGTAGATTAGGCTGAAGCAAAAGAGGCCAGAGACACTGAATCCGGCGCCTTGGGCACGGATCGAGGTCGGGAAGATCTCGGACGAGTAGACGTAGGAACTGGCGTCCATGCTGCCTCCGAAGAAGGTGACGACTGGGGGAGAATTAGGGAAAGTGCCCAGACTGAGTTTAGACGGCACTTACAAAGGTAGAGGAAGAAAACTCCGAACCCGTTTCCGATCTTGTTGTCCGTGCCACCGTATCTCGCGAGGCATGCAGTGAAACCGGCCACGGAAATGGAACAGCCAATCTGGTGGATTAGAAAGTGCAATGCGGACGGGCTCGAAGACATACCTGTCCAACAACCATGATTGGAATGCGTCCAACTTTATCGAGCAGTAACGCGTTGACCAAGTTCATGAAGGCCGCCCAGGTATCCCAAATGGCATAGAGCATGAGAGGCATTGCCCCATACAGACTGAGACCATTGTACAAGAGTACTTGATAGTTGTTGATGACCAGACAGCCAGTAGACTGGACCAAACCACTGGCCATGGTCAGGATTTGAAAAACATAGACGGCATATTGGGACTTACAGCAGGAGAAATCCAAAGAGGAGGCGCTTTCTGTAGGATCTCCTTTGAAACAGGAGGATCCATCCCTTGACCCAACCCTGTCTCCAGCCTTCTTGTCGTTCAAGATCCAATTGTTTTCTGATCTGGTAAAGTTCCTCACGGGCTATGGTGTCATCCTCGTCTTCAGGAACGTGATGGAGGCGCTGCAGGATCGTAAATCCTTTCTCCTGCTGGTCATTCGCCACCAAGTAACGAGGAGATTCAGGGAGCCAGGGGGATCCAACTAGCAGGCAAAGAGGTGGAACGATCTGAAGGGCCAGACATAGACGCCATTGAGCCACTTGGCTTGACAGGAAATAGCAGCCATATCCAGTCCAACCTGCAAGTCCCTGTAAAATTGGTCAGCGAAACAGGCCTTTTTGGAAAGGCAGTGAACCCCATACATAGCCAACGCAGAGTATGAATCCGTGTGATCCAACCATCCTTCCTCTTGTTTTGGCAGGGGAAATTTCTGATTGATAAAGAGGAGTGATGACATTGACCATGCCGACACCCACACCCATAAGAAACCGAGCAACCAGAAACATGGCAATATGGACCGATCCAGCTTGAAGAGCACCTGCTATAATGCAGAGGGTCGCCGTGATCTGTATTGCTCGCTTCCGGCCGACCTTGTCGGCTAGCCATGTTATGAAAAAGCAACCGATGATCCCCCCACCGGCAAACAGGCCATTCGTTGCTAAACAGGCTGTCAGATCCAAGAGGGATAGGACACAGTCCAAAAGATTTGGTCTCACCTCCAGTAATTCGAGATCCCTCCTCTGATTTGATGTCGATACTGAAGTACTCGAAGAAGGACGGCAGACCGATGACCGCTCCTATGATGGCCGAATTATATCCATAAGTTAGAGACCCGAAGGTCACAAAAAAGACGACGAGAAAATTGTATTGGTTTGCTCCCGACATTTTGAGATCCTCTGCTTTTCTCTAAAGTTCTGAAGTCGTTTTCCCCTGCTGCATCTCACGGACCAATCTTCATGTCAGCTTGCCCGGCGTCTTAAGGGGAAGTCCTGGGACCAAATGCCCATAGCTTCTCCAAACCAGAGTGTCGGGACGTCAGAATTACCCCAAACAGGGCGTTATCTTCGAAGCGTATTCCCCATGTCCGGTTATTGGCCAAAAATTGGAGAAAGTGTTGGTATAGGCTATGGGCGCGAGATCCTTACCAATTTGGATCAAGATCGCGAAAACTTTTCCCCTTCAAACTGAAACCATATGGGATCAACCATGGATCAAGGATCTCTCCGCAATATTGGGGAAGAGATATCGGGGTTAAAACCTCTAGCCCTAAAGTTGTCATATTGCCGCGAGTATCCCCGAGGAATGGATGTGATCTCTCATTGGATCCCAAAAGGGGGCTCTATTCCTGTCGGTAGAGGACTCACATACCCATGGCGTCGACGATAATCCAACCATTTGGCACTCTTTGGGTTCAACGAAAGTCCCAGCTGCATCTTCAGCAGTGTTCACCCCTAGATTGACTTAAGAGGTCAGCAGCCCCAAATTTGCCGTTTAGCGAAGGAATAGCTTTTTCATTCTCAGATTCGGAAAAACATTGTGTAATTGGCAAGATCCTCCGAAAAGTCTCTCCAGCTAGCAAGTTAGGTAGTTTGGGGATGATTGAAACCCCCCGCAGGAAGCTAGATTTGTTCGCTTCAAGATCAAGGCGCCACATTGGCTAAGTCGCTTCAAGGAACGAAAGGAAGGAGAAAGAAAAGTAGAGGCGAGGTTGGGCTTGACTTTCATCCAAGAAGTTGTTTAAGCTTGTGATGACGAAGCGTCCTTCTGGCTTTTCCAGCTGTTCCAGGAATACGGCTAGATCGGAGAGCCAAGTTACCCCAGGCTTGAATGACAACTCGGAATACGATATCGGTAGACCAAAATGATTGGTTGTTTCTCTCTTTCCAATTCGGTTGATCATGATGATGTGGTTGTCTTGAAGATAAAGGTACAACGTCCATCCCTGGAGAGTTGAAAAATGAGCTCTGACAAGATGGGTCCGATGACGTCTCTGCCGGCAACTCTCTAGCGGTGCCTGCGGATAGGTTTCTCGATTTGTACCGGATAAGTAGCTGATCGTCTAGATTAATAGTTCCGGCGTCGCTCACCTCTTGCTTGCTGGTTCATTTCGTTCTGGCCAAGAAGGGGATTCTTACCTTGACAACCCAAAATCTTCCAATCCATATCTTGAACCAGTATGCAAGCGAAATACCGCCATTCTCTTCCCCAGTTGAATTCTTCAAATTTGTTGCTCACTGAAGGAGGCATCGAAACAACTCTGGTGTACAAGAAAGGATTCCACCTCCCCGAATTCGCGTCAGGACCACTTCTCTTAACCCCAGAAGGAACGAAAGCATTACAGGATTGCCATGCTTCATACATTGACATTGCACTTCGGCACAAGCGTGGTATAATTGTCGAGACTCAAACTTGGCGATCATCGAGAATATGGTGCGATAAGCTGGGCTTCTCTGAGAATGAGATGATGAAATTGAACAGGAGGGCAGTGGCCTTTCTCGAAGATGTCCGCCGAGAATACGAAACCGACACCACGCCAATTGTTGTAAGTGGCAATCTCGGTCCTCTGAGTGATGCATATCACAATTCAACTCAGAGACTGTCGGTTCAAGACATGATAGCAGTTTACCGTGATCAGGTTCAAGCACTTTGTGAAGCGGGTGTCGATATGCTAAGTATCATGACCCTCGCCGATACAACCGAAGCCATCGCGGCGGTCCAACTTGCGAAGGAGTTTGGAATTCAAATTTTGGTCTCCTTCTCGGTGGAAACGGATGGAAAGCTATTGAATGGAGTAACACTTGAAGATGCAATCCGGACGGTAGACAAAGCAACCGAATCGTATGCAGCCTATTTTGGGATCAATTGTGCCCATCCGAGCCATTTTCATCCCACGTTGCGAATGATGGACCCATCTGTACTTTCGAGGATAGGTGAGATTCGAGCGAATGCGAGCCGCAGAAGTCATCAAGAATTGGACAATTCAGAGTTTCTCGATAGAGGTGATCCGACTGATCTAGGCAGATCCTTCAAAGATCTGATCCAGCTGTTACCCGGATTGAAAGTGGTTGGCGGTTGTTGTGGAACTGATCCAGAACATGTTGAAGCCATTGCATCAAATGTCTGTTGAGCTCTTCCAACATTGGAGATTATTCGAGATCATCAATTTTGAGAATGAGATATGCTGGATTGGAGCAAAATCGGGTCGATGCTTCGGAACCCTGAAGGATCTCTAGCCGTCCGATTGGAATCCGATTTCCGGCTTATCGTTCCAAAGAACGCTAGAGATTGATGGTCGCTAGAAAATTCTTCACGGCCCACACAAGCACATGAATCACAAGCTATGTGATGATCATTCTGTTAGCAGAGCACGTGTGAGCAGGCGGCCTGAGCCGTGCAGGATCATGAAGGCACCAGTGGTCAGACTATATATCCTCGACGGCCATGACTTGTCCCTCGTGATGGATTGTTATTTATGTGCCTGAATCGAGTGTTTGTAGCTTCCAAGATCTTGTCGAGTTCCTCAAGCTATCCACGGCCAGAAGACTCCCAAAAACGACCGAACTCCAATCCACTGTTCTTTGCGTGTCTCTGGCAGGAAGAAATACCAGATTAAGTCTTCTAGCCAATGGTCGTCCAGTGCCACTGGCCATACTATTTTTGTAGGATTAGACAACATTGGAAGGAAACCGACACATGTGGCATTATCTCTTGTGTCGGCTTCACTTACCAAATTGATTCAGCAAACCGCCCGCGTTGACAGCTAAGCTAGAAAATGCCACGTACGTTGCTCTCATCTCAAACGAAATCGTCTCAACAGGATACAGGACCTGCAAGGGATGTGTTCCAAAAAGACAGCATCGAAGATGAAAATAAATTCCACGGTGGCTCGGGTAGCGCTATCATTCGTTTGTCCGGAATGAGCAAAAAATACTAGCGGAAGTAGTGACTGCAACCCAAACTAAGCAGCAGCATGCCATGCTACCGACGAGCCCCAGCCAGAGCAAACACAACCTGCATATCCGAGGAATATGTTGGCTTGAGTGACCTCCTCGGCGTACCCGGCGGACCCGGCGGTATCCAACATAGCAGGAAGGAGCAAAGATCGAAGAACAGTAGTTGGCCGTGATTCGATACCTGCTTGATCGCCTGTTGAAAAGTACGCGATAAAACCTAGAAGCGTTTGTCCTATCATAGCGCCGTTCATGTTCAAATGTTCCTCGTATTCATCCAACTGCAACTTGACCCAGGCGGAATTCCGATTACCGTATCCATGCCACTTGGTAAGCATACTGATCACATTGGGTCCGGTATCACGATCTTGCGACATGAAAGGTGGATCCTGGGGAAGCTCCTCTGGCAATTTTGAATCCGGGCCGTAAAAGTCACCATGTGGGAGATAATTGAGAACCGATATAGGGAAGTCTTTCTAATAGACAATTGGTTGAGGACGAACAACCGGAAAGACTTCAGCAGACCAGTGATCTCAAGACCTTGTTACCTCGTGCAATTATTGATCCCCGACAATTCGCAAAATAGGCAATCAAGATTCAATATCGGCGTACCGAGTGTGGGACAAGGAACATTATTGCCTTCTTGTCCTAGAATAGGCAATCAATTTACGTTGCCGCGAACCCTGTTCACCGGATATGGGAACAATGTTTGTTAATGGTCCAGCCGAACATTTTCGTGCACTCTGTTTGTTTGTTGGCTGAGTCAACAGTAGGTTTGGGCTGCTGAATCGTACCGCAAGGTCAATCGACGGCTGAATTCTAACAATTTCTTTTTGATGAGAAAGGCGAGAGCTATTGTAGCGGAGTTTTGCCAGACTACAGAGTTATTATTGCCAGGTAGGGAGAAGTAGGATCCCGGGCTTCTTGGGACTTCATATCTCAAGTGTATCTCATCGCTTTTATGGAACGCTGAACGAGCTCCATGGGCGAAAGTGATACAAGTTTCTTTCCTCATCCCACCCTCTCCGTTGAAGGGTAATTTCATGTCGTGTCTCCGAAAGAATGCTTGTTTAACTCGTATGTGCGACTGTCTCATTCTTGATTTTTGTCGAAAATGATAACCTGCGGAAGCAGTGCTCAGACTCGGGTACCCAGTTCCAGTGACCTCACTTTGGATGATATGGCTCAGGATCGAGGAGTTAGAATCCTTTCCAGTCGAATCATCTCCAATCCCGTTACGAGCTTCAATTCAGGCAGTCATCAGGTACCAACTTGTTGCCCAAAAGGTTGGGTTCGTCTCCATTCGACCTCCGGTCCGCAACACGATAACCGTTTTTCCTATGGACACTCGTCTGAGTTCGGCGTCAGGCAGTGATTGAGACAAAGATGGCCAGGACCGACATTCTCTTGAAGTGTTCGGGAAGGTTTCGAGTCATCGGTCCTCGAGAAAGCCAGCCCCTTTGAAAGTGTGGTGGATTGACATCTTAGGCTGAGATAGGTCGGCTTAGATCTATGTCCAAGTATGTTACGTCTGCGTGTTCCTTCGATTCAAAAGTATAATTTCCGAAGAGCTCTTGAAGTATGCTTCGAGATGGATAGGGGAGATCGAAGAAAACGGAGAGAAACAGGGATTCGATGTAGATGAAAGGGAGTTAGATTGGTGACAAAAAGGTTCCGTACCCAGAGACATACAAGTAGAGATCACCTTGAGTCAGTCTCATTCAGAGTGACCTCTGTTTTCAGGTATGCCTTGTAAACTTTCTGTCGAATTGTTCTAGGTAGGTGAACCATTGGATCATCAGATCACTTGAGATGTACCGAGGCTAACAAAGGGTAAGGAGGCCCCCAGATACCTGGCCTTCTGTAGGAACTGTAGAAAGAGCGATAGCACAGAACGAGGAGGGCCAGAACACCCGTAACCCGGTTTCATATATCCACAGCCTCTATGTATATATGCCCAATCTCATTCCTGCAACCTTCCACCAGGAGAATTAGCAGATGTCGCTACTATTATTCCGGCTCATTTCAAAGGCTGAACCGTATATGACTGTTCGTATGAACCTCGATTTTCCTCTGATCTTCGCGCCATACTTGTAAAATAGAATGGGACGGAAAGAATGCCACGCAAAGGAAGGCGAGAAGAGAGGTGGCCCAGGCCACACCCAGGTTATGATACATGGCGGGTGCAAATAGTGGAAATCGAATGAAGGTGTTGATAGCGATAGCGCTGTTGGAGTAGCAATCGATGATATAGTTCCAAAAGGTGACTAGACAGCCTCCACCAATGAGGGCGGTGGCGAGGACTGATGGAACCCAGCTGATGTGCGGATCTGACGTCCTGAGGCCAGTCAGTCAAAAGGTTCAAAACTGGACGGAAAGATTCAACGTACTAAGCAAACCAAAACAATCCAATGGGCAGAGCTGCAGCACCCACAATCATAGGTGGCAAGCGTTCTTCAGGGTTGTAGAATAAGCCCGTGCCCATAGTGATACCGACGACAACTGCCGTGAAGGGAAGAGATCCCACTCCTGAAAGGCAATCGGGTAGGCTTCGAACAATGTGCCGTAGATGAAGCTCATGTATGCTGTTTCCTGGACGAACATGACAAATGGCCGAACCAGATAGACCGAAATCAATGTAGGGCCCAATTCTTGGTCTCGTATCGGAGCCTTTTGGCTTTCCTCTGCAGAATTCTGGCAGCAGATGTCTCCGGGATCAGGCATAAGCCGACACATCCGAACACTGCAGCCATGATCCAAGCTGTCCATCGCCAACCAAGATGTGATTGAGTGATGAAGCCACCCATGATCGGACCTGCTACTGGTCAGCCAGAGCGCCTCCGACCACGGCCAAGGGAGAGGCCGCGGCGAATCCTCCGAAGAATCTGCCTAGCATGATGGTCTCGACATTTTGAGCAACGGCGACGGGGATCTGGAAGACAAGATACCCGGCAAAAAGAGGCACTCGGTGGCCATACACCTCACTGGCAGGTCCGAAGAGGAGTAACGAAACCCTGAGGCTTGTCAACCTCGTCAAGGATAGGTGTGGTGTTTTTGTCTAGGACTCACTAGAAGAAACAGTGATACCCCCAGAGTGGACGCCACGTATGATACCGAAGGAATGGCAACACTCTGCGGCTTGTCAGTCTGTTGTCTAAACACTGCACTTACGTGGATTGAGCTGGAAAACGTGACGACAAAAGTCATACCACCCATTGCACCGGTGATGGCCCATTTCTTCCCTTTGAACCAATTCTGTGGATTTTCCGGATCATCTGGTCCATCGAATTCGACAAGATCATTTCCGATATTTGAGATTGGGACCACTTTCAGTTGCGACTCCATATCCATTTCTCTGAGGTTAGCGTACAGTTTCACCGCTCATCTCCATCAATCCTTGACAATGAGATCGGTTTTAATTGTCAGCGCCCATGTTTGTCGGACGTCGTCAGTTAAAATGTCATATTCATTATGCTCTCTGCTTCAATTCAAAATCATGAGGCGATAGAGGCAGCTTTGCGCGCTGGGGCAATGCTTGGCTGGCATCGGATATACGGCTAACTCCTTGTCTCCAATGGGAGATATCCAACTCAGGACCATAGGCCCGTCCTTCGGACCGTAGAACGGGTTATCCTTGCCGGTTGCGAACGTGCATCATCTTACGCTTTCGGGCATCCGGTTAAGCCGCTGTGACCTTGTTAGTATGGCTTCGTTGGGGTGGTACAGAATGGGCCCATATTTGGAGTGAAATAATTCTGTGATATTTCGTATAAAAACGTATTCGTCTCTTGTCATGGCTATGGTCTAGCCCAGATTTGGAAATTTGTGTACCGCGCTTCTTTTTTCGAGCAGCATGCTTCAAAATTTACCCAGTCTCGAGCTCGAAATCCAGTGTACTGCATCCCGACGAGCGGTTGCGCAAGGTCCCAGATGCGGTCGATGAACAGGTTGGTCCCGTCAGTAGTCGCGAATGAGCGTCGAGACCGTGTGCGTGCGGGGCGACGATCGCTCTGTGAATGAGAAGGCAAGGTGTGGTCTTCACGCGGCTCAGGACGTTAGGCAGGTCTCAAGACCATTCTTTACGACTCATAAATGGGAGCCTCCATGTCTCGGGTGAATTTCTCATCCGAAGTTCGCTTTAAAAGCACATATTGTTCTTGGCACAAAATGAAGGCACGCTTGGCCGAAGGGAACTGGAAACACGCACCCAGTCGACAGACCAAATGGACCCGATTATTTTCACACCACGACTGAAACTGACTCTCGTCACGAAAGCGGAAAGAGGAAGTCCGGAGTTCAAGTGGCTTCATGAACTGCGCAGCAACGAAAAGGCTATGTGGTGGAGGTAAGAGGTGCCTTTGAGTTGGTTTTCGCGGTTAACTTTGTAAGCATCCATGGCCAGGCGAAGTCCATCGAGGATACGGAGAAGGTCATGAAAGGCTACCTGCCAACCAATGAAGGAGAAGAAAAAACATACAGAGTCGTCTATGCTGTGCACAAGGTCCTTGAGTCGATGAGTGGTTCTGTTGAAGGTGAACCGCAACCCGCAGAGCAAGGGAAAAAGTCAACAGAATTTATCGGCCTTGTGAATCTGAAATCGTTGGATGCTGGCAACCTTGCGTTGCCGGAGGATCTTACGTTACCGGTTGCGGCCGCGACTACGACACTGACTGTCGAACTCTCATATGCGTTCTTACCCATCGGATGGGGTAAAGGATACGCAACCGAGTCGGTGAAGGCGGTATTTGAGTCATGCAAGAGCGCGCGATCTTTTTGGACACCTTTCTCGAAGCTTTACATCCGAGCAATTGTGAACGGGAGTAATCCAGCGAGCCTGCGAGTGATGGACAAGACTGGAATGACCAAAAAGGGTGTTTACGATTGGACTGGGAAAGCCATTTTCCTCGCCGGAGAATGGCGAGAGCGGGGTAGTCTTCATATTTATGGCATGCATCTGTTAGAGTGACGAGAGACAGAAACTCCTAAGGATATCTGGATGAAGCTTGCTGCCACCTCAGCTGGGGCCTAAACAGTATTCCCAGAGCCCCCGTGGAGAGAGGTCTGATATGGGGGTTGTGCGACGGGGGGCGATACAATACTCCATGACTTCGACTCGCGGTGACTGCCATCAATCCGTCCCTCAACGACCATGACTTTCATGTTATCCACATCAATCGTGACAACATCGCGCTCGAACCTGTCCCTTTTCCTATTATACCTCGGAAAAAGATTCTCCTTACCCATTTTCAAGCTGGTTCAGATTACCACCTTTCCAGAAGCTCCAGACTCGAAGCATCTCCTTGCACGAATGTTGTCGTATTTGGCGGAACATAGAAGCTGGGTATTGGTGTATGAAGAATTGGACCGTCTCCACCAATAGAGTGGGCCCTTTTTCATGTTCGATAGGCCCTGAATTTCGTTGTCGTTGTTCAAGTTCCACAGCGCTTGAGCCACGATGAGGCAATTTCTCGATAGAGACGAAGTCCTGGCCCTCTGGAAAATGGAAGACATGATCGTATTTGACGTCGGACATACAGAGTGTGGTTATTTACCGTAAACCCAGTGTCACATCGGCCTGCGACGAAGACCACATCGCAGCACGGGAACGGGAATATGTGCTTGTGGATACCAAATTCAATCCAAAAATGCGAGATTCCTCAACAATGCTTGAGAGTATCAAGAACATTCCGATCATCATCGTCGTCGTCGTCGTCTCAATGTTGTCACCCGCCGGTTAGGCTCGAACCGGCAGACAATTCGCAGCGGGTTGGTGTGCCGATGAGAATTTTTTTTATACATATTCAGATTTCCGGATAAACATCAGTCCTCCTTAGTAGCGGAATACCTCTTCTGATATCTTTGACAGATTCAAGATCAACATCAACGGTGAGTATTTCTGGTTCACGGGCATGTTCTTTTTCTCTGTCCAGATCTTCCACGTGGTCCAATCGTCCAGCAATCTGGCCATTCGGTGAGATAACAATGGCATCTCCATAGCTGACTCGCTTTTCATTGTGTCTGCCACATTGTGCAGCAGCTATAACCCAGCTTTGTGTTTCAATGGCCCTTGATCTGAGGAGAGTCTCCCAATGAAGTTTGCCAGTGGGAACGGTGAATGCCGAAGGATAAAGGAGAACTTCGGCTCCTAACCGACGCAAACGAAGAGCTGGTTCTGGAAAACGTAGATCGAAGCAGATCAGGCTGCCGATTTGGCCCAAGGACATGGAATACGGTGGAACAATTTCATGTCCGGGTTCTGTTGAATCACTCTCTTTCAGTCTGGGGCCGTTTGGACGGAGATCGATGTCGAAAACGTGCAATTTCTGGTATCGATGAACAATGTCCCCCTCTTTGTCAATCCATATCAGAGTGTTCCTTATTCTTTTCGAGGGTGGAATTGTCGGTTCGTGAATACCAACATTAATGGACAAATTGTTGTCTTTGGCAGCTTCTCGCAAACCGCGCACAAAGATACTTTGGGAGACATCTTGACACAGACCCACGGATTCGGTTGCTGATGAAGCAATATAGTCGGAGGCTTCGGGGAGGAATAGAGCCTAGAAGGACGAACTCTAGTGAGGACTTTGGTCAACGACATGGGGAATAGAATAGGAGGCAAAGAACACACTTTTGCTCCAGCCTCCACAGCTTGGTGGATGAGCTTCTGGCACTGAGCCAGGTTATGGGCCATGGAAGAGGTCGAGCATATCTGCCCGACAGCCTGGAAGAACAGATGGTCAGCCAATCATGAGAATTTCCTTGATAGTTCTGGGGGCAGCATACAGCGATCACCATGGTGGTAGATGGGCTAATTTGGTAGTGACAGACAAGAAAGGTCTTTGCAGAGACTGGGTCCAAATGACCTGATCTGGTTATACTCCGCTCACCCGGCTTAGAAATAGCGTTGAAAGTCAAGAGATCACTGATTGATTGACCGCAAAAAGATGCGAACGCATGAAGTTGGTATCTGCTCGGCTGGCCTTCCCATTACAGGCCATATAGACTTTTATCTGTAGTACCTTTTCGCTCATTTGACCTTCTACCCTGCAACAACTTTTGCAATAGGTCGGGTCAGCCCGAAATGCGATATCCGACCCCAGATCTCGAGTGAGGCTTTGAGCAAATACCACAGAAGTCTGGCCGTCGACACACATGGCTACCGTCGGCTCCGCAACGCCGTAACAAATGAAAACAACGAGCGGAAGCGATCACAAATCCTCTCCGCGTATCATATCCTCGATAGAATCATGCCGAGATCCCCAAACTATGCCTCAAAATCAGCAAATGGATCATCTAAGTCGGGCATTATTTACTATACCCCGCCCCTTGGTCCTTCAACCGAGTCAGTTCCGCTGAACACATCCTGCGGGGGAATTGACTATGTTCGGTCGAGTCGACCAAAAAGTGACTCGGACTTGGGGGATAAGTGATCATGAGAGCAAATTTGTGCCGGCGTGATTCTCGAAAGAGTTACAAGTATATATATTTGACCACGCCACTTGCCGATTTTCCTCTTCTCACAAGCCAATTTCGCGCCCCAACAAGAATATTCCCCCAAAATGGCGACAGTAAACATTCCCAAATTACAAAAGGCTGCCGTCAAGGTTGGCAGCGGAGCGGATGCCAAAGCTCCTGTTCAACAAATTGACGTTCCTACTCCAGCTCCATCAGAAATCCTCGTCAAAATCAACTGGCAAGTGTTGCTAAGAAGAAGAGCTCCTCATCTAACATTTCGATCAGGACTGGTCTATGTGCCTCCGATAAATCACTGATCCTTGATGAGTGGGCACCGTTCGGAGTCGCCATGCAACCAAGTACCAAAGGAATTGCTGGTCATGAAGGCGCCGGTGTGGTCGTTGCAGTCGGCGATGATATGCATCACAAATGGAAGGTAGGAGATCGTGCTGGTATCAAATGGGTCTGGAGCACTTGTGGCGAATGCGAGTTTTGTACCAATGGTGTCGATGAGCTTCATTGCCCTCAGCAGAAAAACTCCGGCTTCACGGCGGCGGGAACTTTTCAACAATACGCTCTGAGTGATGGGAGATACACGACACGAATTCCTGACGGGGTTACGGACGAAGAAGCAGGTCCCATTATGTGCGGTGGAGTCACTGCTTATACGGCTTGCAAAAGGAGTGGAGTGAAACCGGGTCAATGGATTGTGAGTTTAACATCTTGCCCTGTCGGTGTCAAATAACCGGTCGGATAGGTCCTTCCTGGTGCGGGTGGTGGGCTCGGCCACTTCGCTGTACAATACGCGAAAGCTATGGTATGGGAATTCCCGCCATAAAGTATCTCACTAATATTCTGGCACAGGGTATGCGCATCATTGCTATCGACGGAGGCGATGAGAAGAAGGAGCTCTGCAAGAAGCTCGGTGCTGAGGAATTCATCGATTTCACCAAAGTTCAAGATATTCCGGCCGAGGTTATGCGGATCACGAAATACGGTGCTCATGGCGTTATTGTTACTGCCGCAACCAAAGAGGCTTATGCTTCCGCACCTGGATTGCTCCGTCCTGGTGGTACAGTCGTTGCTGTTGGTTTGCCCAAGGACCCCACTGTGATTGCTGGCGCACCTCCTCTCATGATGTGCTTGAGGAAATTAAACGTCGTGGGCAGTGTCGTTGGTACATTGAAGGATGTGGAAGAAGCTCTGGATTTCACAGCCCGGGGTTTGGTTCACGTAAGTCCATGGTGTCCTTCCAAGAGATTGGCTACTCACAAAATTCTAGCCTATCTTGACCAAAGGAACTTTAGAAGATTTGGACAAATACATAGGTTTAATGATCGCTGGTAAGCTTGCTGGAAGAGCTGTACTGAAAGTATCATAGTCGTCGGGATCAAACTCGTCGTCGAAATTCAATGATCGAAATCCACTGTTATTCAACGATTTCCAGATGCGTCACACGCAAGTTTTATTCCCGAATTCTTCACCACTTGTCCCTTACAAAGAGAAGAGATCCGCCCGATTTTCATGTCTCGGCTCTGGGTGCCGTTTCGTGACCGTCTTTAGGGCTCTCGCAGAAACATTCAGCACAACTGCACGCTTTCCGCAATTGAACGTCAACAGAATCGATATTTCAGCTCAGCAGACACCCTTATTTTTTTTAACAATTCGTTCTGTCTAACGCATTTCCGGCGACAACACCGTCATGACTTCAGGCCAAGAGAAGATAGAGAGAATTGGCAAGTGGTCAAGTATGATGGAGGCCATTCCCAGCTCCTTGGGAACCATCCAGCGGAAGGTTCATGCCAATTTACCGACAGTGGATAACATCAGGGCGCATTAGTACGAAAGACACCCCGCCAGACCAAGTACGAACGATACGAAGATGATCCAATATTTTCGGTAGTTGGGAGAAGACGTTGAACAACGGAAATGATCGAGAAGACGACACAGAAACTCAAAACATGGTCATCCTCTCGATCATGACTTCCGAGATGAGAGATCATACAGATGATGTGAACAGCACACCGGATACGTGGGATCTCTGTCGTCTAGATGTCGTGAGCGCCGCAATTTGAGAACTAGAGAGCATTCTGACACGGCAGGAGATCGAAATACAGTTGGCCTTGTCTTCACTATGGCATTCTGGGCGGAAATGGACGCTGGCAATTCCGGTAGGCGAGTGGTCCTTCAAATCATCAAGTCTGGCCTGTGGACGTTTGAGCTGGCCTAGAGCATCGAATGTTCAAACACCGCTAATATCTAAGATCAAGTTATGTCAGCCATTCCACAAAATCCCCAGAGCCACGAGTTTCCGTTTCACAGTTCTAGCTCGCAACATCACAGGTCATCATTTCATCCATCTCTCCGCAATTCATGACCCTTGAGCGTGACAGTCTCGTAACCGCTCTCACTATAACTTACCGCGAACAATCTCACGGACAACGTAGCCGTGTCACCCGTTCCAAGGCGTATGTATCGATTCCCCTCTTTCTCATCTATGCCCCACGATCCGACATCGACTTTCGACGCTAGGTTGCTTTGGACGAAACCAAACGAACAGTTCAGGATCAATCCTGCTCAAATAGCATCGTCTGACTTCCCAATCTGTCATTAAGACCAAACAATTATATTCTACCAGAGATCTTCGACCCAAAGGGATATTCTCTTGCATCCTCATCTCTCCCTTTAAGGACCACCCATTCAACCCCGATGGGCTAACCCTATCATCATCACAGCCACCAATGCTCCCCTCCCCCCCCCGCCGAAAAATAGAGAATGAAAAATGGGTTAACAACGACCCTCAATAGCTATACCAAATTTCAGGCCCATTTATCCCACGTTTCCTTCTAAAGTTTGCTTCGTATAATGGTCTGTGCACTCGGGGAAAGACTCTCCCCAAACGGGAACAGATGAAATGATTCGGGGCCAGGTCAAAAAGAATTTACAGGAAAAGAGAGAATTTGCTGGCTGGAAGAAACTGTCCAAATGACCGACTGACTCCAGGATGGATGTATCATTGTTTACCAAGAGAACATCATCAACGCCGGATTCAACAGAACCGGCAACGACAAATGACTCGCAATAACAATACTCATTGGCAAAAATGGCAATGAAGGCCATAATCATATGGTACAAACACACCGGGATTTTGTGTCAACACAATCATCACCACGATACCGAGAATGCAAAGGCGATGCTGAATTCGGGCTGGCTTCCTCGTCGCATCCCCAAATTATATCGATCTCGGATCAAAGTCGTTTGGCCGATATAGGAGATCGAGGTCCGAAGCCGGAGATAGGGGCTGGACAAAGTCGTTACCGCATTGCAAGGACCGCGATGTCGGGCTCAGTTGAAAAGATTCATTTGCAAACTATCCCCAATACCGGCAACACCAACTGACTCTATGCTTTTCCATCCATGTGGGAATGACCAACTCTATGTACAGTGTGATTGGGTGGATGGACATCACTTTACACCAACTTGATAAGGCCCTCGAGATTGATACTCTTTGGTCGCTCGATTGGCATGCCAAGAGCACGGTCCCAGATTAATTGAGCCAATGGACCCAAGCCTCTGCTGACGCCAAAAGTGACTGTGTAGTACAATGGATCTTGGAAGCCGTAATGATGGAAGAGAACACCAGAAGCGCTGTCCACATTGGGGTGAGGGTTCTTGGTCTTGCCATGTTCAGTCAAGACACCAGGTGCAATCTCGCTGTTCTTCTTGACTAGACGGTAGACTGGATTTTTGGCGATGTCTTCACGAGCATCGCCAAAGTCGATCAAGGCCTTGAAACGAGGATCAGGCTTGCGGAGCACACCATGACCATAGCCAGGCACGACTTGTCCAGAACGGAGAGTGGACCAGAGATAGTCTTTGACGTCTTGATCTGAGAAGTCGTCTCCAATGTGAGACTTCATCTTCAAGATCCAGCGGAGCACTTCTTGCGCAGCGAGACCGTGTAGAGGTCCAGCTAGACCCAAAAGGCCGGCCGAGTACGACAAAAATGGATCCGAGAGAGCAGAGCCCACCAAGTGAGTTGCATGGGCAGAGACGTTTCCACCCTCGTGGTCTCCGTGGAGAGCGAGGTATAGGCGGAGCAAGTCCTGGAAACCTTCATTTTCCTTGCCTGGCTTTCCAAGCAATTTAGCAAAGTTGTAAGCCCAATCTTGATCCCGGTCCAAAGGCATGTCCAGAGCAGATTTGTCGAAGATGGTAGCAGCCACACGAGGCAACTTGGCCAGGAGGCTGATGCTGTCATCGAAGGTGGGTTCCCAATATTCAGTCTTGTTCAAGCCCTCGGCGTACTTCTTTGCGAAGACGGATTCGGTGTTCAGGGCGGCCACGGCACAGGACAACTGTGTCATAGGATGGACACTCTTGTCGAATGATCGGAGCATAGAGACGACATGGGCAGGAAGATCCGATTTCTCGGCGAGCTCGCGCGAAAGGGCTCTAACCTGGGAAGTCGAGGGGACTTTGCCGGTCAGAAGGAGCCAGAACATAGCTTCAGGCAACATCTCAGTGCCAGAAGTGCCTTTCGGAAGCACCTTTTGACAATCGGCGATTGTTCGGCCATGGAAACGAATTCCTTCATTGGCGTCCAAGACGCTGCCTTCCCAGACCATAGATTTCATGGTTCTCATCCCGCCAATGACTTGGCCAATAGTGATGTCTCCAATCTTCTTGTCAGCATGGCTCTTGGTCTGCTGGAGTAGTTCGCGTTTCTCTGGAATGACGGATTGCAGGGTGGCCTTGAGATCGGGTTCAGCAGCAGAAGCGTAGGTTCGGGAGGCGAAGGAGGCATATGGCCGAGTCGATGAGGCACGTAGAGCTCTCAAGACGTTTTGAGCACTTCTCGTGCTGGTGGCCATTGTGATTTGTCGAGCTTCTACCCAGAAACTAAAATTGGCTGGTGTCAGAATGAACTTGCGGGGGTGTGGACGAGGGGAATATACGAGGACTTCTTGAAGAGCAAGTCAACAAGATACTAGAAGTAGCTCGAGCTTTGGAGCTTCAATGTTGGTGTCTCCTCTACGCCCGACAAGGAGGGAGGATCGACTTAGTACTGTATCAACGCAGTTTCCTCGGCGGAGACCCCACGCCGAAATAACCGACCCGAGGCTGAACTGAACACTCCTGGCAAAGTCCGCTGCCGGCCCGAAAACTCGCGCATTCTCAGGATTTTGGCTTCTTCGGAGTAGTATTTCCGTACATTCAACACAGAGCCTCATTACAAAGCGGCTTCCCGCAGAGCCTGTATCTGCGTGCTACAAAGAAAGTCGGGGGACGTTCTTTTGCTTTCCTGACACTCATTTTCCATCACGGTTTGAAGTCAAACCAAGATCACGACGGACAATGCTGCAACGAGTACCGAGGAGCCTCCCAGGGCTTGCAACTAGACCTGCCGTGAGAGCAGGATCCAAACCTTTTGGCACAACCATGCCCCGTTATATGCACTCTTTACCCGCTGTTGAACCGCCCGTATCGACCTCCCTCGCGTCCGACTCCTTCCAATTACTCTCGACCGAAGACAAAGCTGGTGATGCGGAAGATATTCTTTTCAAACAACAAGTGGAGGACGTAAAGAGGTGGTGGGCATCTCCTCGATACAAAGGAATTAAAAGGCCATATACTCCAGAAGATGTTGTGAGCAAAAGAGGAACACTACAACAGACCTACCCCAGTTCTCTAATGGCGAGGAAACTGTTCAATCTGCTGGCAGAAAGAGCGGCCGAGAGAAAGCCAGTTCATACCATGGGGGCTATTGATCCCGTACAAATGACACAACAAGCGCCAAACCAAGAGATCCTGTATGTGTCCGGCTGGGCCTGTTCCTCCGTGCTCACGACCACCAACGAAGTTTCGGCCGATTTTGGAGATTATCCCTACAACACCGTTCCCAATCAAGTCCAGAGACTATTCAAGGCTCAGCAACTGCATGACCGCAAACATTTTGACGCGAGACGGAAGATGAGTGCGGAGGAAAGAAAAACCACCCCATACATCGATTATATGAGGCCAATTGTGGCGGATGGTGATACCGGTCACGGTGGACTATCTGCTGTCATTAAATTGGCCAAACTTTTTGCTGAAAATGGCGCCGCGGCCGTTCACTTTGAAGATCAACTTCACGGTGGAAAGAAGTGTGGCCACCTGGCTGGCAAAGTATTGGTACCAGTGGGTGATCATATCAATCGTCTGGTGGCTGCAAGATTTCAATGGGACATGATGGGATGCGAGAACCTTGTCATTGCTCGCACCGATTCCGAAAGTGGCAAATTACTTTCCAGCGCTGTCGATGTTCGGGATCACGAATACATCCTTGGTGTTACCGAGGAGACTGATCCATTGGCCGAAGTCCTTCAAGAAATGGAACTGAATGGTGCTTCCGGACCAGAAATTGACCAATTCGAATCGGCGTGGGTCAAGAAACACAAATTGGTCACGTTTGATGAGGCCGTGGAGGCTCACCTCAAAGCTGAAGGTGGAGACCCTTCTGAATATCTGTCGAAGACCCGGGAAAACCGCAACATGTCGCTTTCAAAACGCCGAGCGCTATCTGCCCGACACGCTAAATCCCCGGTGATTTGGTCTAGCGATATTCCTCGAACTCGAGAAGGATTCTATCATTACCGAGCAGGACTATCTGCCGCAACCAAGCGAGCCATTGAGTTTGCTCCTTACGCCGATCTTCTCTGGCTTGAGACTGCCGATCCTAGCGTTTCGAAGGCGGCTGGATTCGCCCAAGAAATCCACGAAAAATACCCTGGAAAGCAATTGGTTTATAATTTGAGCCCGTCATTCAACTGGATGGGACAAGGTTTTGATGATGCTTCTTTGAAATCTTTCGTGTGGGATCTGGCCAAAGAAGGATTCGTTCTCCAGCTTATCTCTCTGGCTGGTCTTCACTCTACAGCCACTATCAGTGCTGAGTTATCACGCGCCTTCAAGGAAGATGGAATGCTTGCATATGTCAATTTGATTCAAAGCCGAGAAAAGAAACTCGGAGTAGATGTTCTGACCCATCAGAAATGGAGTGGAGCTCCTTATATTGATGGAATCATCGGTGCCATCCAAAGTGGTAGCAGTGGTAGCAAGAGTATGGGTGAAGGCAATACAGAATCCGGTTTCTGAGGACATGACACTCCAAATGCACTAGGCTTGAGCAACCTAGAGAACTCCGATGCTCTTCAACTGCTTTTCCTCGACAAGCTTGCGGGGAGGTATGCGCCACGGATGAGAGAGAGAGAGAGATGACAATTGCTTCAATTCTGCCCCACGATTGTGGCAGTACGACCTTGATAGATACCCTGACGCCATGCATTAGTTTTGTATATAATAAAAAGTATCGAATATGAATCAATGTATCAATTTGAGACTTCTCAGTAAAGCTTTTGTTTCCACCTCATCTTCCCCTTGACACGAGGCTGAATGAGTCCCGCCAATTAGATCGTCGAATAGTTGCTTACGTAACCATAGTGCCGAACTCAGTTTAGTGGGCCCCTATCGGTTATCGATTACGAGACCCTGGGACCTGAGCCCAAAAAATTTCTTAGGGCGGCAGATTTGAAATTTCTCAAAGCATTTCACTCTCCACTCTGGACTTTGTGGCACAGAAAGGGCAGGACGTTGAGGCTCGCCACTACGATCAATCACAGCGGCTGCGCCCTCATTTCTTTCATTTACGACTCGACGACCTGCATTTCAGTTTTCCCGAGTATGCCACATCTTGAAAGTCCTCCCCGGGCACCAGTAATGGCCACTCCTGTGGTTCCTTCCAAGTCGAATTTTTCCGGTATTCCTCCCGCTCCTGACGAAGTCAACAGTATCTTGAGGACCATTCTCGACACCGAGTCCGCCCAGACCTCACTCGATGCCTCCTACTCGCTCACGAATCTTCTTATTCGGTCGGTCGGAATTCGAGCCTTACTGGGCTATAATTTGATCCTTGAAATCAAGAAGGCGGCGGGAGACAAGAAAAATGGCTCCAAGAGGGAGAGCGCCATGTTCATTCTTGGGGCCATGTTTGAACGCTTCCCTCGAGAACAACCGCTCAGCGAAGTCGTCTTCCTTGTGCAAGATGGAGGACTTTTCAGCATGGTCCTCGACGGATTAGCCGACAAAGGCCCTTCTGTTCGTGAGTCGGCGCAGTATGCTGTTGACGAGTTATTCAAGAATCTCGAGCCCGAAGCAATGGTAGTCGGTCTTCTTCCAGCCTTACAACAGTACCTCTCCAAACCCACCGGCAAATGGCAAGGAACTGTCGGCGCTTTCACCCTGCTGGGGAAAATGGCAGACAAAGCACAAATGGGAACGGGCACGAAAGAGGAGGAACAAGCCAAAGACGTGCTGCGAGATTCTATGGGCAGAACTCTCAAAGATCTCATCCCGATTGTCGAGGCTGGGATGCACGACCTCAAGGCCGAGGTCGTCAAAGCTGCGACCAAGACTATGACATCCCTTACCACTCTACTCCAGAACGACGACGTGGCTCCTCGAATACCCTTGCTGATGGACACCATGAAAAATCCATCGGCACAAACCCTCCAAAAAGCCATTCACGCCCTTTCCCAGACCACATTCGTCGCCGTTGTAACCTCTCCGGTCCTCGCTCTCCTCACCCCATTGCTCGAACGATCGTTGAATACGCCCACCACCAGCCAGGAAGTGCTGAGACAGACTGTGGTGGTCGTGGAAAACTTGACCAAGTTGGTCCATGACCCGATTGAAGCTAGGACCTTCCTGCCCAAATTACAGCCAGGAGTTCAGAAAGTCAAGGACAACGCTTCCCTTCCCGAAGTGAGAGAATTAGCCACAAGAGCGGTAAATGTGATGAAGAAGGCCATGGGCGACGACAAGAGTGGAACCACCAATGGGGAAATTGCGAGAACGAGCACAGATGACGTTCTCAAGGTTCTCGACGACCAGATCCGATCTCAAGGCGGTCTTCAAAAGGAGGACATGGCCGTGTGGAAACGGGGCCAAACCTATGTTTCCGAGATGGTCAGAGAAGATGTAATCACACGAATCTTCTCACGCATCCCCATGCGTGTTGGCCCTTATCTGAAGTACATGTTCCCGGAGGAAGTTTGCAAGGCGATTGCCGAAGGCGTTCAGAAATTCTTTATCGATGAAGATCACCAGAAACACGGCGGCCCCACTGTGGAGAACAGCGATGAGGTCGAAATCGTCAATGCGGACTTCTCTCTCGCCTATGGGGGGATGTTGTTATTGTCTCATACCAACCTACGACTTTTGAAAGGTCACCGATATGGACTTTGTGGTCGCAACGGGGCGGGCAAATCCACGCTGATGCGAAGTATTGCGGAGGGCAAATTGGAGGGTTTTCCTCCCAAGGAAGTTTTGAAGACGTGCTTCGTTGAGCACAACCAAGGGGAAGATGCCGACATCAGCATTCTGGAATTTGTGGCCAAAGATCCCGAAATTGCTAGCGAAGGAAAGGAACGGATTTCGGAAGTTCTCGCTGAAGTTGGATTTACCGCTGGCCCGGACGGAAGACAATCCCACAAGGTCGGTTCATTGTCAGGAGGATGGAAGATGAAGTTGGCATTGGCGAGAGCCATGCTCATGCGTGCCGATGTTCTCTTACTTGATGAACCGACCAATCATCTTGATGTGGCCAATGTCAAATGGCTCGAAGAGTACCTTCAGAGCCACTCGGAAATCACGTCGTTGATTGTATCTCATGACTCGGGATTCCTCGATGCGGTTTGCACCGACATTTATCATTACGAGCACAAGAAACTCGTCCATTATCCTGGAAATTTGGCTGCTTTCGTCCAAGTTAAACCCGAAGGCAAGAGTTATTATACTCTCTCTGCCACACAAGTGCAGTTCAAATTCCCTCCTCCAGGCATTCTCACGGGCGTGAAATCCAATACTCGGTCCATCATTCGCATGACCAATGTCCGCTACACCTATCCCGGTGCATCGAAGCCCAGTTTGCAAGATGTGTCCTGCCAATTAAGCTTGTCATCTCGAGTCGCCATCATCGGAGCCAACGGTGCAGGAAAATCGACCTTGATCAAACTGTTGACGGGCGAACTTATCCCTCAAAACGGCAAGGTGGAGAAGCATCCCAATTTGCGAATTGGTTATATCAAACAGCACGCTCTTGAACATGTCGAAATGCACCTCGAAAAGACTCCGAATCAGTATCTTCAATGGAGATATGCCAATGGAGATGATCGGGAAGTGTTGATGAAAGCGACTCGCGTGCTCACCGACGAGGACAAAGCACAGATGGAGAAGTGGATCGACCTCGGAGATGGTAAACCGGCCCGACAGGTGGAGAACTTGATGGGTCGACAAAAGTACAAGAAAACGTTCCAGTATGAAGTCAAGTGGCGGGGAATGTTACCCAAGTTTAACACTCAAGTGTCACGAGAGACACTCTTGGAATGGGGGTTCCAGAAACTGGTCCAAGAATTTGACGACCATGAAGCATCTCGAGAAGGTTTGGGGTACCGAATCCTCGAACCCAAGGTGATTGCCAAGCATTTTGAAGACGTCGGATTGGATCCTGAAATTGCCAACCACAACGAAATCTCGGGTTTGAGTGGTGGACAGAAGGTCAAAGTGGTGTTGGCCGGGGCCATGTGGAACAATCCCCATCTACTGGTCCTGGACGAACCGACCAACTTTTTGGACCGAGATTCATTGGGTGGTCTGGCAGTGGCCATCCGTGACTACAAGGGGGGTGTTGTCATGATCAGTCACAATGAAGAATTCGTGGGGGCTTTGTGTCCGGAACAATGGCATGTTGCCGATGGAAGAGTGACACACAAGGGCCATCTTGCCATCGATCTCAACCGATTCGAAGACTCGAGACCGGGTTCAAGCAACGTCAGCTCGACGGTTTCAAGTGCGACTGCATCAGCGGTCAACTCGGGAGCTGAAGACAATAGCGAGATGAAATTCAAAGCGAAAAAGAAGAAGAAGTTGACCCGAGCACAATTGAAGGAGAGAGAAGTTCGACGAAGATTGAGACAGTGAGTTCGACGTATGAAGTTTTGATTGTGGACGATATGCTAACCAGGACGTCGCAGTATTGAATGGTTGAATAGTCCCAAGGGGACACCACATCCACCAGATACGGATGATGAGGCATGAGAGACGAGGCATGGAAACAAGAGGACCATTTCCAATCGAATTCACACATAGCGTTGGCGTTGTTTTCCATCTCGAGTAAGACCCAAGATCGAGCGACGGGCACCGTGGCATAGACTGAGCATAGACTGACGGCTTTGTTGGGTATATTCAGCTTCACCTCGTTCGGCAGAAGATAGAGACGATGGGTAAGAGAGGGTAACGTCCTAGACAGAATCAACCCGGGACAAACATATGTTCTGGGGATAGAAAAAACAAAGGGTGATATCTACTATGATATCATTTCCTAGTACGCAGCCGGACAATTTGGATCATTGGCCTTGAAGGACTTTTCATCCACTCTTACATCCCTTTTTTCTCTCTTTTATCTTTGTCGACAACTCCAAGCTTGCATTTCTTGCCCTTCTTGGATGATGCTTGACCGTCGATTTATGTTGCTTTCGGATGGGTCCTCAGTCTCGTGGACTGCAATCTCTGCCTCGCGAGTTCCTTCTTAAACCTGCCTGGATTCCCCCGGCTAGAATATTCCTTTCTCTCATGGCATCCGTCACGGCCTTCATCACGGCCTTGTGTCGGCTATCGATCAGATGTAGCTGTGGATGTGGATTGCTCCGCTAAAATGACAAGCAACAGGACAAAACCGGAATCCTCATCTGTCACAACTCTATTAACGTTGAAAAAGGTACGGAAGGTTTGCTCCTGAGAGGGAGCATCACTCCTTGGAACGGCAACTTCTTGCGATGTGTATGGTGTGTCGTGTGCTCTCCTTCTATTTCATGCTATTTGGGGCAATTTACCAGAATATAGCGCGCCGCTTCCCTGTAGGAAGAGCAGAAGAAATCGTACGACAACGAAGGAGAGGCATACCGTGCGGACAGACGCAGCCACAAAAGTGGGTGCCAACCGTCTGGAAGAATATATATTCCCCTTCCCATTGAATACGGGCTCGTCAACAACATGGACTGTTTCCTCATCAGCCACAGCGGGCGAAATCGCAATCATCCAGGTTCTCAAGGACACGGAACGGTTGTATATCCGGATAGACTGGATCTGTATACCCCCGTCGGGGTCTCGGACTGAACTCGAGTCTCATTATTTCGCCAACAGGCAAATTGTCCTAGATACAATCAATCGACTTACACGCAGATATATTCCAATCCGGCTTGGGGTCTCAAGGTTGATAAAGCCCAAAGGTGAAGAGAACCAGAAGGGACAGACGCATACATTCACCCTTGCATTTCGTATCATTGATCATGTGTCTGAGCCTGGTCGGAATCAATCTGCGCAAGTACATGTATGTATACTAATATCGAAAAACTCGGCTATTGTCGGGGTTAAGACTCAACCAATGACGTCGACGCATAAAGTTCGCAGCCTCAAAATACCGGGATCAATGAATCCCTTCTCTTGTGTGAACTCTCCTTTTTGAAACGATGACCGATCCTAGAGCTTCAAGCGCTGCAGCAACTTAATCTCATCCGAACCAAAAGACCCTATGCTATTCCCTCCATCTCCTTCTTCACCAACGTGAAATTCCTTTGCCCTCCATTTGTCCCGTCCTCATTTCACAATGAGCACGACGGCCGAATCCGAACTTTCTTCACACTCGAACACTACACCTAATACCTCCACGACTACGTCGGAAGACTCAGAAGCTTCGGCAATGAAAACCCCTGTATCCATCAACTCCTCCCGTGCCTCCGTCCTATTCTCCAACATCCAAGACGTGCGCTCTCGAATCTCCTCCGTTCTCACTTCCCCGCCTCGCGCCTCACCAGCATCCGCATATCTCCCTTCGAAGCCGCCTCGCCTCGTCGCCGTCTCCAAATTGAAACCCGCCAGCGACATACTCGCTCTCCATACCATTCCTCGTTCACTTTCACCGGCACAGGCGAAAATAAGTACCAGTCGTCAAACAGAAGAACCACAAAGAGAGACAGAGACGCAGACAGAGGCAGAGCCCCAGCTTCATTTCGGCGAGAACTACGTGCAAGAACTCCTCGAGAAATCCCGCCTCTTACCACACAGCATTCGATGGCACTTCATCGGCGGCTTACAAAGCAATAAATGCACCGCACTCGCACGGGACGTTATATCACTATGGGCCGTCGAAAGCGTAGACAGTGAGAAGAAAGCAGCACTGTTAGATAAAGGGCGCGGCGAACGGAATGCTCGATTACATTCCGAGCCTTCTACTGCCATCCCTTCGTCCGACTCTGCTGGCGCGGGAACAGAAACAGAAGCTCGGACCGAACCAGGTCCGTTAAGGGTATTTATCCAAATCAACACCAGTTCTGAACCGAACAAATCGGGCCTCGACCCCGGCAATCCCGAGCTTCTCTCGCTCGCGCGGTACATTCGCAACTCATGCCCCAATTTGTCTCTGCAAGGTGTAATGACAATTGGTGCTCTGGCGCGCAGTCAAGCCACGACGCCCGAAACCGAGAATGAGGATTTCATCGTGCTCCGACAGACGCGCGACAAGTTGGCGAAGGATCTAGGAATGGATGTATCCGAGTTGGAACTGAGTATGGGTATGTCGGAGGATTTTGAGGGGGCGATACGGCAGGGCAGCAACGAGGTGAGGGTGGGAAGTACGATTTTTGGGGAGAGGCCGGCCAAAAAAGACGCGAGGATTTTATAAGACTTCGAGGCCGCCTCGGGGGCAAAGTTGAAGTTGATTATATTGTGTCCAGGAAGGAAGATATGTCCTACGTCAACGTACGGATGCAAAAACGGTCCCGACCCGTGCAATATGCAATTGAATCTAGAGTAGATGGTCCATAAGCCGGGTGCCATGCACACTCCAAGGTCCATTTAGAAAAGGATGGGCCCGGATACGACCATAGACCTCGATCACGAACCCCTGGCAAGACGCTCTTGCATCAAACGCAGTAAAATGCCCGGAACTGTATCCTGCGTCGCTCGAATAGTCAGACGGAACATCTGTGAAATGCAAACAGTCAGTCTTTGCTCTTGTCTCATCTCTTTGCACAGATTTGTAGGACACACCTTCTGCTGTTGATTCGGTTCCAAGCGCAACAAACATCCCGTCTTGCCCTTCTCGAGCTGCAACACGGCACAACCCACAATATTCTTCGGGTTCGGATCCACCGTCTCCAAAATACGCCATCTAAATCCCTGCACCGTATCCCGAATATATTTATCACTCATTGTGGCATTTGGACTTCGTAGACCGAAAGTACTCTGTGCCTCCATTGGTCCCGCACCAATTTGTCGCCAGCGTTTGAAAAAGTCCTCCGCCGACAACTCGGACGGATCCATGAATCGGTGGGGTAGGATGGGTAGTTTCAAAGTATAGCCCTGTAGAGCACCAGCCAGGTACGAAATTCGGATTGTAGGAGGTTCTGCAAATGGCGCCACTGATGTACACACGATGGTTTGTTGGACTTGTGAATCAGCGTCAACGGAAGAGTCTGGTAAACTCTTGGTGTCGATTTTGAGATTCGGGGCCGATTTGTTGTCCAATGTCGTCGTGAACGAGCCGATGGAAAATGACGCTTTATTGGTGAAATACATCTTCACCACACCCAAGTGGCCACGATATTCCGCTCGGTAACCGACTTGAATTTGAGGATCTTCATACAGAACACCTTCATCAGCAAAATACATCTGATCATATCCAATTTCCCAATCAGGTGACAAATGGGCTGTGCTGGCGAGGGTGGGAGTTGTCACATCATCGTGACCGTCCATGTCAAGCCCTTCGAGATCTTTCGAGGCCGATCCATTTTGAGCACCCGCCGTATTTGTTGCCGTACCGTTTGTATTTGATTTTCCTGGCGATCCATTGACGATCGTGGTGAACGTCCTTTTTAGGCCGGTCTGTTGAGCAAGTAAAACTTCTTGTTTGTCGGCGTTGGCATCTTTTCCGCCCACTAGCCAAGTTCTCCTCTCACTGGTCCCTACGCTCTTCATGTGTAGTCTCTGGAGTAGGATCGAAGCTCTTTCGGAGAATGGCGGCATTTCATCACAAACGGTTCTCAACAAATCATCTGTGGGTAATGTGGCAATGGCCAAGTATTCGCATGCTCGTTGTTGCAATTCTGAATCCGGCGAGTGACTGTAGAATTGAAACATTTGCAGTAATTGAGGTTTGATTTCGGGGAACAGGTTGACGAATTTGACAAAGGTTGACAACAGCAGTGCCCGCGTCGGATCGGGTGCGGATATCATTTTGGTCTGCAGAACCATCAATTGCTCGATTGGACTGCAGCCCGTGTTGTCCGCAATCAGATGGCCAAACTCTCCCAGAATGTATCCGCCAATCTTGACCAGAGTGTCGTGGCAATTCTCGGCTTTCAGGTATTCGAAGATATGTTGAGCGGCATAAGCCTGGAGCTGTTCGTTGTTGGTGACGATTTGCACAACCCTCTGCCAAACTTCATCACTGACGTGATCTCCAGCCATGGCCAACAATCTGAGTGAGATGTCGATATACCATTGAGCGTCAGTCGCATACTTTTCGGTCAGAATGGCGATTTTCAAAGTCATTTCTTCTCGTATGGAAAAGTCTGCCGATTGAAGGTATTTCAACAATTCATTCACAATCGGCTGAGCATTTGAAGTGTCGCACATGCTGTAGAGCAAATCCAATCCTTTTCTTCGTACACTGATGTCACGATCTCGTAAAGATCCAATGATGATGTTTTGATGTCGTTTGATGGGATCGAGTGTGTCGGACCGGGCGGCAAAATGGGTCATTGCATCTAGACCCAAATACCGTACATTCGTTTCTCGTGATTGAATGAATCTGCCTAGTTTGGCGGATATTTGCATCATCAGTTGATGCTCCGTGTCAAGGTGAATCAGAAGATTGATTGCTTCGAAAAGGACGGCATTTTGGGCATTATTCTGTTGTACATTTTTGGGTGTTTCCGTGGCTGATTGCATGATCGCCTGGAGCGATTCGCGAATAATATCGCGAACATGTGAATCTTCTGTTCAGCCTGTCAGAACCTGGCTCGCTTTCATGTAGTGTAACTTGCCTGACGGTGGGTAGTATTGCAAGAGTTTCAAAAACTTGACTTGTATCCATGGGCAAGGAACCTTGTAGTAGAGATAATCGGGAGATATGTCGTTTTCGATGACAATCTTTCTTAACCTTTGAGCAGCCTTGACATAACTTCCTTTGTAGGCGTCAGGATTGTCTTGAATCAATGCCGTGACCAACGATGTCACGGACAAAACCACCCCCATATCTGGGTCATCCATCAATGATATTATTCTTTCCGCCCATTCTTGTTGCATGATGACCGGATGTTTTCGATAGAGACGGAGGAGGGTCAAGGCGGCTTTCTTCTTGACAAAGGATTTCGAGGTGGGAGATATGAGAAGTCGATGAACATCCGCACTCAAGGCTTCACCCATTTCTCTTCCACCAACATTGGCCACAGCATGTAAGGCCAGGCAGTTGTTGAGTTCATTGTGATCCATTAAATCTTTCCGAATGCTATTGACCACCAGGTGAAGGAGTTCGTGTTGTTCGTGGAGGAACAAAGTCACGGCCAGGTATCCGATCTGTTTTTCAGAGTATTTGATGGCAGAAATGAGGTTGACCGCCTCGAGATGTCCAAAGTCGACATTGTATCCTTGGATGTAAATATAGAGCAACTTGCAGACGTATTTCTTTTTCTGGTAGCCATCTAATTTCTCGCTCTTGAATTTCTGCCTGATGTTTGCCAATTCCTTGTTGATGCGCTTCTCTTCCAGTTCCCTTGCCCGGGCGTTTCGTAGATCGGCTATGAATTGAACCAGGCCTCGCATGGACGACATGGTGGAGGTGTGAGTCGCGGAAGCATCTAAATGCACCTGCGGTTCAGGAAGTTGACGGTGTGGTCCGGGTGGAGGTGAAGGAGCATCGGTCAGTGGGGTATTCTTTCGCAAGTTTCACATCCCATAACTATCAGCAAGTGGAATAGGATTGAGAGCTGTCATAATCCGACGACTCGGAATCGCATTCAAGGACGGGCCTCGTGCGGTGGACCAAGTACGAGGGACGGCCACGGACGTGGTGGCAACGGGGAGCAACGTTGGAGGTCAGTGCCAAATGTCCGTAATTCGCACGTGTATACCTCGAAGTAGTAAAACCTCGAATAGATCTATTCTGCACACAGGTGTCCCAGATCCCCTGTGAGTAACCCGTCATTCATCCACTTATCCATCCCATCGCATTCATTTGGTCTGTCCGAGAGCTATCATCTCATCCAACAATGCCACAGTTTCGGCCGGACTGGCAATCCATGCACAACAACACGCACTTCGCGCCTTGAAATCATTCCCTCCACCGCTCAAGAACTGATCGCCCACATGAAGAGTACTCGAAGGTGGGATACCGCCAAACCACTGTTGGCAGGATTGCACCCCCAAAGACTTGTCTCCAATATCGAGGAATACATCGGCACCTCCATTGAACACAGTAAAGGGGATGTTGGCATGCAGAGCCGGTTCATCGGTGCCTGACGTCGTCAGTGAACTCTCCACCACTTGCTGGACCACCAGCACGGTCTCTTCGAGTTGCTCCCGGGTGAGCTTCTTCGACTGATCTGCTGCATATATCCCCACGGCTCGTTCTTTGCGGAGCACCCTGGCCTGGAGGTGGAGAGTCCGTATGCATGAGTGAAAAGCCGCTTCTGCAACATCCAGAAGTGATTGAATGGCTGGTTCAGACCAGGTCTTCATGGTCTCCAGAACCCATTGGCGACGATGAATGTATCGGAGACAGTACTCTGCCTTTTCGTCAAATACCAACAAGAAGTTGGATTCTCCACCCATGATAATCAGGTTCGACTTTTGAGCAGGGGTCAGTGCCGTCGATGATTGAACGGCGAGAAGGAGACCAGATAATCGATTGTAGTAATTCTGTGGCTGCGTGTATCCGGCAGCCGTAACAATACCAATGCGTACATCTTTGGACAAGAAGTGGAGCAGCCGAAGGATCACGGGGTTCGCTTCGGGTGAATGAAGAGACGCTCCATCCTCATACAACGTCACATCACCGTCGAATGTGAGCAAGTCGAGCCCGGGTTTGATGTTGGATTTTAAAGCCTTGTACGGTTTGGGTCGTATCATGGCCATGATTTGGGCCGTATTGAGAATCAAGCGGATGTCGTTGAAGGATGGCGCAACGAAGCGGCGGGATGAAATGGCACGGATCGAATCTTGATGCTTGAAAGCGTCTTCCAATGCTAGAGGAGTGAAGAACGTCGAGATCGTCGGGACCAACATGCTGAGTTTGGATCTGGAGCCGGAGGAATTTTGATGGTTGACTGTAGATCTGGTCAGCTCCTCGTCTTGGTCCGCTGACATTCAGCATACTCTGATCTAAAATGAGGTCCTCCACATCCCGGAAGATCTCTGCGTATCGTTGCCGCGCGGATCTCGCCATGGTATCCAGACTCTGCTCATTGCCATCGTCATATTCAACAGCTGGTTGAGAATTGAGTACGAAGGGGACTGCAAGGAGTCCCTTTGAAGACGTCAGATAAAATAGGGGCGATATCCACGGAAAGATTCTACCTTGATCCACTCGATCTGACCGGGGGAAGGTTAATCAGATTCATGCATCTGGGATTTTCGCTCACCAATTGATCTCTCCGGTGAGTCTGAATCGCATCAAAGTCAGCATCCCGTGGTGGCTCTCAACGGCATCAGTCAACACTTGCCTTGAGCGCATCTACATTTCGTCAGCAAGAATGCACCCTGATTCAAGGGCAGGATGCCATACATTCGACGCGATATCTTGTCGTCATTTCGGCTATTTCTGATGTTCCCCACGTCAATTGTTAACCAGGACGCAGGGAAGAGCTGCCGATATTCTCTCTCCGGTGATCAGGTCAATGGCATGAAAATGGAGAAATGTTACATTGGCGTCGCTGAGCTGGATTTCCGGTTGCCGAGATGAGTAAATCTGAAGTATGAGCGATGCCGTCCGTGTCTACCCTCAGCCGCCGTTGTGTGATGAATTGACTGGTCCAAATAATGCGCTCTCAGTGGTTCCGGTTTTCATCCAATGAGCAAAACAAGCCTCCAATACCATCCTCTCTCATCAATTGCAAAATGAACGACACACGAGTAGCTTTGGGAAGAATGTCGTTCACGAGAACCCCCCGGATATTGGAAACTAGTATTTAATTCCCGGGCAGAAATAATATCATTGGTTTGTCCGATCGGGGATCTAGAAGTCTATCAAATCGGGCTCGCCTGGTCTATCTCTCTCTCAACAACGGCCCTCTCTTGATTGGCTCCTTCACCGTGAACTTCAACGTAGGCGGAATGTCGTCCTGATTCCAATACGTGGTGGCATGCCTCAGCCAGTGCGCATACGTACCGGGCACATTGTCCGACCCCTCGTGCTGCCTCCACAACGAACCCAGGGTGACCTTGAACACTCTCAAAATGAGCCCATGAGCCAACTTGAATCCAAAACTCTTCTGCAGACACCCCTCGACGATCTCCCTTGCCTGCTTCTGCTCCGCGTTCTCTTTCTCGCCTGGTTTGGGCAGCGTCAGCGACATCAAATCGAACGCTTTCTGTCCGTTCCAGTCCGTATATTCGTTGATGAGCTGCGAACCCGCCATGAAATCGATACCATAGACATGGTCGGCGACGTACTTGGGCCCATCCCAGCCGTCTTCTTCGTCGACCAGTCCCATGACCATCGTCATGACCTGTCCTTGAATGATGTAATCGGTCAATATCCGACCGACCTCCTCGGGACCGATCTTTTTGTCGTCCTCCTCGATCGTAAAGGGACCTCCCATCATTGGAACGCCTTTCAGCAAGGGACTGCGGTGCATTCCCTCGGTGCTGGTTTTGCCGCCATCCGCCGCCCATAATGCCAGGAGGAGCTTGTGGCATCGGGAAAAGAGCGCATTATCCCGACGAGAGGCTAGGAAGTAATTCGTCAGACTGGGTGCCTCGATCTCGCCGTTGCAGTACGAGATCACTTCGAAGCGCGAGTCTGGATTTCCGACCGTCTCATTCCACAGACGGTCCAAGTCGCCGATCTGAATCATGCCGACATCCGCGTACACACCGCCGTACTCGAGCAGGAGCGGCCACCTGACGAGATCGGACGTGTGCTGAGGCGCATAGTCGCCCCCAATGGTGCCATCGATAAAGGCTCGGGGGAAGGTGTTCGAGTCGGTGATGTCCAGAAAGTGGGCGACGTTCAGGGGAGACGACGGCTGCCGGTCCAGCACTCGAATGGTCCAGCCGTGCTTGGAAAACCGTCGATGCCAGGCTCGAACATTACGTTTCGTGTAAGGGTGCATGGTCTTGTAGCCACTGTGCCAGAAGAACCAGATGTTTTTCTCGTCTGAGATTGGTGGGGGGTGGAGCAAGGTCTCGTCGATCTCAGGGTCTGGGCGGAGGTCGACCAGGTCGGCGGGTATGGCATGGAGGCCTGCGGGGATATGGTAGTCGTATTGTTGAGGGACCATTGTGCGTGTATGTTCTTGAAATTGCTCTGAAGGCGAGGAGGAAGTTTTTGAGTGGCATCGGCATCAAGACGAGTCTGCAATTGTTTTATATATGCGTCGTTCTGGAGTAGCTTCGAAGCCGATGGGGGTTCCAAGTAAAAGGGTTTTAGGATCGCGTCATTGCCAGTGGTAGTCGGAGGGAATTGTGAGAGAAGCGAGCGATATTGTTCTAGCACACATCGGCTTACCGAAATTGGTAAGATGGTTTGTTCCAGATGCCGTTCTGAGAAGGAGAACAATCCTACAATTACCCATCCTAGTAAGTTTGCTACGTACTGCCCCACCTCTGGTTGATGGTCTCTGGTTGGGTATGAATAATAGTCTCGCAAGGGCCCTAGCTATTGCGGAATTGATATCAGGACATCCTCCCTACACCTCCGCCTTCAGTATCAGGCTCAAGACATGGTCAAATGTAACACCGTACTCTGTTCTCACCTCCGACCCTTGGGCCCTGGACGCTCCGGTGGATGTCCACGACCATGACGCGTTCTCCGGGCTAGATGTCCTCCCCCAGGTGCATAACTTGACACCAAACGATTGGGGTTGAACAGCAATCTGCACCTTTTTCACCGCCTCGTCTGAATCATAGAGACATAATTCACCACTGTGCGGTTGTGATACTTTCCATTGTTGGGACTTGCCATCCTGACCGGTCCGGATTTGCCTGCTAAGGCTCTCCGCACCGGAAACAAGGTCCAACATCAACACTTGTCGTACAAATGATACCGCTGCTTCTCGGGTCTCTTGACGCGCGGCTGGTAGGGTCGAAAACCCGAAATCGATCGAAGATGTTTCATAGCGCGATCCAAACAGAGGAGGTCCTAGGAAGGTGGCCAATCCGATTGCCAGACTTCTGCCCCCTGTTAGGCTGATCTTGAAACCGGTTTTTGCGGGAAGCATCAAGTTAGCGAGAACGGTATCCGGTGCTTCTATGTTCAAGGAGTTGAACCCTGCATTTGAATTCTCCATCTCCAAGCTGACAGGTACGCTTGCGGACTTCAGAGGTCGAATCAACGCTTGACAGCTATTCCAAAATGCCGTTGTTTCGGATTTATGTCTCAGACGGGCTAATATCGGTCGAAGAAGCGCGTATTCAGGTATTGGTCGAGGTTTGAGTGTCATTGGTGGTGGTTTCTGCGATCTTCGGATCAAATTTTGTTCGTGTGCAGCGGTCAACAATAATCGTAGAGAAATTCCGACAAATTCGGCAATCGTGTTGTCTTCAGGATTAGTCGACGACACGTCTGATGGCTGTTCTTCGGCAGAGACGAGTGCAAGTTGATAATCGCCACCGACATCAATTTCCACGGCCTGTGCCCGCGCCGCGATTCCTTGGTTGGCTACGATGCGCGCCTCCCGGCAAATCTCGTAGAATAGCTCTTCCTCGAAAAGAGAATCGCGCATGTCAGTGAGCTGTTGACCGATATCTCCTGTCGGACCTTCCCCACGAGTCTGAAAATGATAGCCGCCCGTCTTGACCTGGTCACGAATCACATAGACTCCCAGACGTTTCCGTCTACGCCGGGTTGACTGCTGATCCAATGTCACCGTTCCATCGTCTGACTGACGAAGAAGAGCAAAACCTCGGTCACCGAATTGAGGTGCAGATTCAGTAAAACCGAAATGAACTCCGATCGCTTTGCGGTCGCGGGGCAGTCTCGAGACCGCCCAGCCATGTGTGGTGAGGTCCGCCACTTGGGCCCAATATTCAGATTCGCGTTCTGCATCATTCTTCAACCGAGACGACGCGGCCGACAGTTTCTCTGACGCAGATCGAAAACTTTCTGATCTCCAGCCTTGAGAGGTCGCAGCTAGTTGCCGTTTCACGGAAGTGGAGAGCGTTTGGTGCGGCAGGACTCGTGCAGCAAGAGTCCCCGCAGGAACAGCTTCTTTGAGAGCTGGAGACATGGAACTCTGAGCCGGGGTGGACTGTTTGGAAATGAGGAGCGAGACAAAGTCCAGCGCACAGAGGATCTCATTCTGAGCGTAGCTGTTCAGGTCAGATCATGAAATAAGCGGAGACGAGTTATTCACCTCAAACGCTCCAGCATCTCTTCCCGGCACTTCCATAAACGTTCCCGACGTTTCTGTGGTGGTTCATCTTCCTCGGCTTGGGCATCATCTTCACGACGGGAATCGAGGACATCGGGAGCCGAAGCCTTGCCCTGGATTTCGGCAAGAAGAGAACGCTCAGTCACATGACGGAAGTGGCCCCGCTGAGCGGTAATTCTTTGGATCTGGGTTTGCAAGTCTTGTGACCGTGAAGTCGGTTCGGGAGGGATGAGAAGGCTGATGGAATTTGGCTCAGGCATGACGTGCAGCACTCTGATGTCAGGAGAAGCCGTTGATGTGGATGAAAATGGCTCATGATTGACTCTAGATCTGGGGACAGGGTGAACCAATATTTGCCGAAAAGACAGGTGCCGCTATCGGAATTCCAGATTCATATTGATGACAAGTCCGTGTTGATATTGCTTCTGGAAGGAGAGGCAGTTTGATTGGAGAGCGAGCCTGGGAATCTGGACGCGGCCTGGTCAGCCTTGGCATCAAAATTGATATCCGACCTTTTTGGGACTAGTCTCAAGAGGGTAAAGTGGCCGAGTGCGGGAGCTGACCATTGGCTCATTGGCGACCACGCTATCAATAGTGCCGTTAATTCCTGGAGCTCCACCCCTCACACCATCCGGCATCCCTTCCATAGCTCTTTCACCCAATGACGTGAGCTCCCCTCATCATCCGGCTCGGCTGAAATTTCATCACCGCCATGCGACAAACATCCATCAACCTATCAGTCGACATTCGCTATTATCTTCACCTCACACCCCATCCCAACCTTTTTTCTTCCCCATAGAGCTTGCTTCTGACCTCGAAGACTGTTCCTTTCTATCCTTCCTTTTTTTTTTTTTTTTTTTTTTTTGTTTCCCCCCCCCCCCCCCAACACCTTTAGTTTCTCTAGCTAATACATATCTCTGCTCCCTTCTGCCCTCTTCCCTACTCGGGCCGTTCCCCGATCGATCTCAACGAGCCCTCCTCCTATTTCTGTGACACCTTCGACCTAATTTCTTCTCGACCTCCCCGATCCGAGAGCATGGCTGAGAACGGCGGGCCGGAACCTCCTCGGAAGCGTCGAATTGGTGTCATGACCAGTGGAGGTGACTCTCCCGGCATGAATGGAGCTGTCCGAGCTGTGGTTCGTATGTCCATCTACAGAGGCTGCGAGGCCTATGCGATCTACGAAGGCTATGAAGGGCTTGTCCAAGGTGGAGATTTGATCAAAGAAATGAGGTGGGAAGATGTCCGTGGATACTTGTCTCGTGGGGGAACTCTCATCGGCACCGCAAGATGTATGGCCTTTTTCGAAAGACCAGGAAGATTAAAAGCTGCCAAAAACATGGTCATTCGGGGGATTGATGCTCTGGTCATCTGTGGTGGTGATGGCAGTTTGACTGGTGCGGACAAGTTCCGAGCAGAATGGCCAAGTTTGCTCAAAGAGCTGGTGGACACTGGTGAATTGAAACGAGAAGAGGTGGAACCTTACCAACACCTCAACATTGTCGGCCTTGTCGGTTCCATCGACAACGACATGTCCGGAACTGATGCCACCATCGGCTGCTACTCCTCCCTCGAACGCATTTGCTCTGCTGTCGATGACGTCTTCGATACCGCTTCTTCTCACCAACGAGGATTCGTCATTGAAGTGATGGGCCGGCATTGCGGTTGGCTCGCTCTCATGGCGGCGATAGCCACCGGGGCCGATTTCGTCTTCATTCCCGAAAAGCCACCCCGAGTGGGTTGGGAAGATCAAATGTGTGACATTATTGCCAAACATAGATCTCGAGGCAAGAGAAGGTCAATTGTCATCATCGCCGAGGGTGCCCACGATATTGAATTGAAGAAGATCACAGCCAACCAGGTCAAGGACCTTTTGAGTACCAAACTCAAGTTGGACACCCGAGTCACCGTCCTCGGACACACACAACGAGGAGGACAGGCGTGCTTCTATGATCGGTGGCTGTCCACCTTGCAAGGTGTTGAAGCCGTGAATGCCGTCCTTGATGCGACTCCCGAGACTCCCACCCCGGTCATTACGATTCGCGAAAACAAAATTGAACGATCCAATTTGATGGAAGCGGTGGCATTGACCAAATCCGTCGCTGCTGCCATTCAAGCGAAAGATTTCGATAAGGCGATGCTCCTTCGAGACGTCGAATTCAAGGAATACTACCACAGTTACATGATCACCACATATACCGACCATCCCAAACTACGTCTCCCGGAAGAGAAGAGAATGCGAATTGCCATCATCCATGTCGGAGCCCCAGCAGGGGGCATGAATCCAGCCACGCGAGCTGCTGTAGCTTATTGCTTGACCCGAGGTCACACTCCCGTGGCCATTCACAATGGCTTTCCCGGCTTGCAACGTCACCATGATGACAAACCGCTCGGATCCGTTCGTGAGTGTAAATGGATTGATGTGGACCCCTGGGTGAACGAAGGGGGTTCAGAGATCGGTACAAACCGTGGTCTCCCCAGTGCCGATATGAAGAAAACCGCCGAATGCTTCGAACTGTACAAATTCGATGCGTTGTTCCTCATCGGTGGATTCGAGGCATTCACCGCAGCCAGTGAACTCAGAAAAGCAAGAGCCGAATACTCCGTGTTTAAGATTCCATTGATTGTCTTGCCGGCCACGGTCTCGAATAATGTCCCTGGAACCGAGTATTCCCTGGGCAGCGATACGTGCCTCAACACACTGATCAACTTTTGCGATGCCATCCGACAGTCAGCTTCCTCATCAAGAAGACGAGTCTTCGTTATTGAAACACAAGGGGGTCGATCCGGATATCTGGCCACAATGGCTGGCCTGTCGGTGGGCGCGTTGGCGGTCTACATTCCCGAAGAAGGAATCAATATTCACATGATAGCCCGGGACATTGAATTCTTGAGAGAAAATTTCCGAAATGACCAAGGAGCGTCACGAGCAGGTAAGATCATCCTTCGAAATGAACGAGCTAGTCAGACATACACCACTCAAGTGATTGCCGATATGATCAGAGAAGAAGCTCGAGGTCGGTTTGAATCAAGAGCGGCGGTACCGGGTCATTATCAGCAGGGCGGGAAACCCTCGCCGATGGATCGAATAAGAGCCCTCCGAATGGCGATCAAGTGTATGCAGCACATCGAGGATAGATATACCGGCAAGTCCAAGGGATACATTGCGGATGATCCTTTGTCCGTGTCCGTCATCGGTATTCAAGGTTCCGAAGTTGTCTTTACTCCTTTGGGAGGAGAGACAGGGTTAGAAGCAACTGGAACAGATTGGGCAGATCGAAGACCCAAGAATGAATTCTGGATGAAGATGAAGGACACAGTGGATATTCTCAGTGGACGACCCAAACTCGGGGATTGTTGTGAGGAATGCGGCAAACCTTTGTCTGGGGAAACTCTAAGGCCAGTCCTCTCGAAGCAGTAGAGAATAGAAAGGGGGGGAACAGGAACATGGGGAGTATTAGGACTCACAGTTGACTGGTTGAAGACGGTACAGGAGCAAACGTGATGTCCATAAATGAATGACCTTTGGCGAACCCCCAATCATTTTCAATCATAAGTTGACTCGAGATGTACCCGCAGTCCCCATCGCTGATGCTCAGACAACTGAAACGAACAATGTCATGCCACTTAGTTCAGTTGATAATGTCCATTGGATGATTGGCTTTCCTTTGAACGAAAACTGGCAGGGCTCGCCAAATCAACCAATCAGCATTAAGCTAATTGTCAGACTGCCCTTCAACGTCATGTATTGAGGAAAATATAAAAGTATCAATCACTTCGTCAATTCTCCTCGACCATGAAAATCACGAATACGAATCTCGTCCCCAGTCGACACTCAACACTCCATTCAATTCCACCTTGATCTTTTACATTCGAAAATGGTCAAGCCAACAACCTGCTGCGGCCGTTCCTCAGAGTGTGTCTGCGCTCAAAAAGCCACATGCTCCTGCGGCAAGCAGTCTGCCATGCACTGCACGTGCGAGAAACAAGCCACCGAGAACTCTTTGCAAGGTGCTAGATGTTCATGCCGTATGTGACTCCTTTCTACCTCATCCTATTTCTACACTCTGCTCTGGTGAACTTCATTTCAATCCATACCCGCTTCTCTGCTACGCAGTTATACCGCTAATGTTGCATCGAATGCAAGACTAACGTCTCCTTTGATGTGTATATAGGAGCCCGTCCCGCAAGCCAATGCACCTGTGACCGCGCAGCTACGGAGAATGTTGCACCTGCTGGAGCCACGTGTGCGTGTGGCAAGAGGAGCGCGGGAAGTTGTACGTGCGAGAAAGCAAGTGATGGCGGCCTGTTGCCGGGGGAAGTCGATTTTACAACAAAGGCGTAAATCAGACTCGCCGTGCGCATACCGGAGATGATCATGTGACGACGGGACGGGAATGGTTCTTGGGGATGTGTACGATATTGTTTTACCACACTCAACATCAAGGTACGATAGATGGCGAAGCTGGATTAGGTATGCGGCGTTGCGACGGGAAGTTGGGAATCGGGACGGCGGGTCTGGGCTGCGAGTGGGAAAAGGAAATGAAATACCACAAGACCAGATGCCACGGATGAGAGAATGTATGATTTGATTTCGACGACGATGAAGGGCCATTGCTTCAAAAATGTCGTGCCCTGGGGCGTTTTTATCATGACCTTCTCCAATCTGTCCGTCTGGGATCGATCTCGTGACGACGACCCTCATCACAACCGGTCTGTGCATTTTCCTTCTCTTTCTTTCTCTTAATCTTCGTCAAATGCGCATGACTCTTCTCCTGATCCAGTTTCTTCTGCTTCTCCAGAACACCCCTCCAATTCTCTCGCGCCCAAACCAATACATCCTCAAAGCGCCCTTCAGCATACGCGGCCTTCACCTCTCGCAACCCAGGCACATCCTCAGAGTCCGGCATGTCCTCATACCGACTCGCCACCCCCCTCTTCATACCCTTCATGACCCAGCCGATCTCCACGCCCTCGAGAGGCAATCCCTTCCTGATATCCGCCCAAAGCTGGCCCACATTGATCTGACGCACGCATCTTGTCTTGCGATCGTCAAATCTCTCAGCGAAGTCCGGGTCAAAGTACATCTTGGCGTCCTCGACAACTTCGTCGCGCGCCAGATGCGCGGACTTGCCTGGTTCATCGTCCTGATGCGCAGGCCAGTACTCGTCGATCCAGTATGCAAAGACGGGCCTCTTCGCGCCGCGCTGCCGATCGTTGGCCTTGAGCTCCGTCGCTTTCTTCTCCGCATGTCGTTCACGCCAGTGTCCGGGGTCGTGGAATCGGCAGGACGCAGCATACTTCATCATTTCGTCCCAAGAGGCGAATTTCTCCCAGTATCTCGCCGTATCAAGGCCCAGGTATGAGAGGACGGTGGTCGGACTGTTCGTCATCAGTACGCGCGATTGTTCTTTGTTGTGGGACTCGACTTCTGCGATGCGTAGACAGAGGCCCTTCGATGTACATGTAAGTCCATGTCGGCGGATGATGCCGCCGAGGATGTTCCGTAGGTCACCGTGCGCTTGGAAGAAGAGGTGCCAGGTGAAATATGTCTGTTTCGGGCAGTGGTGAATGTCGACCTGAATGTATTTTTGGGAAGAAATACTTGGTGCGGGTGAGGGTGAAGGATCAGTAGTGGTCGCGAGGTTGAGGAGTTTTTGTGTCTCCTTGGCTTCCTCGCCCGTGTCTGCTCCTGTACTCGGACTCGCGCCCTCCTCCGCAACAGTAATCCCGCCCATTTCTTCCATCTCCTTTGGCCACCGGAGTGCGAGATTAAACGTCGAACTCCCACCTGTACGCTTCCACTTGTCCGCTCCTAGCACCTGGGCTAGAAAAGCTCCTGTCACCGGTCCACTTTTGTTCGTGGGCTCTGCAACAAGGACGTCGATGTCTCCATGTGAAGTCTTGGCGGGCGCTTCGAGTGCGTGACCTACGTGTTTGAAATGTGCTCGTAGCTTGGATTCGATCTCTGAGAGAACGTGGCCGTAGACAGCGAGACAGTCCTCCACATTCTTATGCCGATTGTCAAGCAGCTCACCGTCGTTGAGTTGCTGACTTTCCCGGATGAGATGCGACCGTTCCAGATTGACGGTCAACTCGGCGATGGTGGGCGGCCATATGTGTATCTTTGCGCTCCAAGACCCCGAGACAGAACCGTGATGCGAGAAACTGGGTTCTCCGAACGATGATTGGATTTCCAATTCCATATATGGCCCAATGGATGTTAGTAGAGCTCGAGCCCCTATACTTTGAGGAGGCTTATTGGTCTATTCGAACTGACGTCGGGCTCGTTTTAGAGTGTCCTCAATCTTAGAAGCGGAGCAGCCTCGTGCTTCGGTGAAAGCTAGAGCTTCCACTTGTGAACTCTGTTGCCTGGCACTGATGTACCGGAGATCTATTGAATTGTTGTCTCTTCTACCAAACATAATGGATATCTAGGCGCGTGGTAAATCGCAGTCGCAGATATAGGAAGCGACACACTTGACTTGGAGGTTTTCGTTTCCACTTTCTAGATAATGTATCCTTAATGATTCTCTGAGTAAATGACCCAAGCCCTAAGTTCAAAGTCTTCGAAAATATGGTTGCTCATGAGCGAGATTTTGTATTACAAGCCGGAGACCAGGTCCTGGATATTTTCAACGCCGATAGATGAAAGGACTGCCAAGGAGGTCTTTCCTTCTTTGTTCAGCTCATACTTGCTGTGGATGGGGCCGGTGTGGAAGTGCGAGGGATTCGATGGTGTATGTGGTCAATGTCATATTGCGATCTTGTGGGTTATACCTGAGCAATATCTTGACTGGATCAAGCAAATGCACCCACAACGGACATTCCAGCCGCTTTGTGACGAATAATTAGTTCAGTAGAGGAATAGGATGACAAATGTAGCGGGGTCCAACTCACCTCCCATGAGAACATATATAAATGCAAGAATTTTGTCTTTCTTCGACATGGCGTGTTGAGCCTCATCGGAGAGGAAATCCTCTGCCAACAAGTCTACCGTCGCAGCGTAAACGAGAAGACCCGATGAACTTAAAATAGATGTTAACAATGTCACATCTGCACGATAGACAGAACATACAATGCATTGAAGGCACCAACAAGAATCAACGCAAATGCGCTTGAAGGATCATAAGAGTTGCGGGTGAGCAGTCCGATGGCCTGTCCAATGGGACAGGTGGTTCCAAAGGCGACGACCAAAATCCATGGGCGGACAGCCTTCTTAGGATATGGAACGGCGGCAATGCGAGAACCAAGACCCAAACCCTCAAAGAATTGGTGGAAGAGAATGGCAATCAGCAAGATCAAGAAGCCTTCAGTGGTAATGGAGATAGTCATGCCGACGAAAATTGAATGGAATAGGATACCACCTTCGAGGAGGGTGATATTCAGATTCATGCGGCGTAAGGTAGCTTCATCGGCAATCGATTGCGTGTCCGACAACGCGATTGAAGATCGGTCATCAAAGGATGACACCTCGGCCTGAGTAGCAGGAGAAGGTGTAATGGCCATGATCATTTGTCTGAGTTCCTCTCGTTGTCGGACGTACTGCGCGTAGAAAACTTGGAACCATGCTGGCATGTCGGACAGGTCGTTATATTGTTCCATCTCTTCACGCGCGGCGGGAGTACCCTCATAGGTGCTAATTGAAGAATTATCAGCTGAATTACATCCTGGAAAGTAGAAAACGTACTGTGTGTAAGCGTGTGGCTTTTCAAAGTCAACGTCTCTACTCAAAGTCCCCAATTGATTTCCATAAGGCGGAAGGCTCTGTTGAGACACAACTCCAGGGCGTGCCCCTTGATCGGCAAGCGCCACTCCATGATGACCCGTGGGACCGCTATGGGAATGGCCTCCAGCCTTTGCCTTGAGGTAGATTTCGATGGTGAAAAGTGCGAAAAGTGCCGCCATCATGATGACACCGGGCATTGCAGGATATTGTTCTGTGAGGAGAGGGGGAAGACATGGGTCGGTCAGTGAAGAGAATGCCGTTGGAATAAGCTGTTTTCGAAGGTCAGAATAGTGTTCTCTACCTTTGAGGACTCAACAGACATGAACGAATGCTGTGGCCACTAGAACTCCTGTGCCGAAGTGTCTGCAGAAGAACAACACTGATGGCGGGATTTTCATCCATCGAACTCTTTTGCCAACAACGGGGAAGCCAGCCCCTGTAGCTGTAAGTATCTCGGAAAAGGTTAATACTTTGATTGGGTTCGTACCTCCAATACTGAAGAGGAAAACCAGAACTGTTCCCTTTCGTCAGTATTTCATCCTCGCTGATTATCATGAATAAGACATACAAACAGCAGCAACATGAAGTGGAAGATCATATTCATCTTCATTGGCCTCTCCCCCGCCACATTGAGGTCTTTCTGCATCGGCCATGTTGAGACGGGAGATCCAGTTCCTAGAGAAATGAAGTCGAGATAGCGAATGGAAACGTATGAGAGGCGCAGCCTCAAATGCAAACAGTGAAATGCAAAGAGCTGCCAGAGCCTGAAGAGAGGGAGTTTTCCAAATTCAAGGAGGTCAAGCTTCTATAGCTTTTGCTGGGCAGCATTCTATCCCTCAGCCTTCTCCACGGTTGAAACTTTGATTTGACATCGCTGAACCCCTGATCCGTCTCGAAATATAATAAAGAAGTCGACGATCTTCATACGGAGGTGACAAAGGAGTTCGGCGGGGATGCTGTATCTTATCTGATACATCTCAACTCCTCAAGCCATTGAGGTACGAAAGTCCTCGGTATATGTCAATCAGCGGGTCAACGACGCCTGGAAGAGACTATTCTACTTTCCTCTCCTTCCGTCTTCAGTTGTGGGAAGAAGATGGTGAGACCAAGATTGCAGGGCGATGGAGACGCTTTTCATTGGTTTTGCTGAGCGGCTCGAACATCGCCATTCTTCATTTGAACATGAAGGGCGAGCTTTATGCTGTAGAGAGCTACAAAGAGACAAACTTGCCTAGTAGCCGCCGTCGAGAAAGACCATTGTTGAGAGGGATGCTGGATGGAACCTCAAGGATGTTGGCTTGACATCGTCGTCGGGCAGTTCTCACTTGCCAAGAGCCGAGTACGTATCCTGAGGTTCGGTATTTGTTATTGTAGCAGCGGATACGAATCATGTCGCTCGCCCTGTCGAGGATGTGAAGCAAAGGAGAACAAGAAGGTCCAGCCAGGCTGAGGAAGTCATGGTGATGTCTTGGCGGGCCAATCAGGGGCTATGTTTTGACCCTGAATTAGCGGGGATGTGATTGGGCAGGGCCAATATTTCGATCCTGAGAATACTTCTGTTCGGTACTGTCACACCTGAGGCTCTGGATGCTTCTCATAACATCCCCCATTTTCAGATTCTCCCGTTCCACCTCCTAGATTCGGATAGTCAGCCAAGCCTTGTTGGGTCCATCTTGTTCCTTTCCAGTCGGCGGATTAGTGGACGCTTGTGCCGTGTCAAGCAATCTAACCCCGTGTTCCATCTCCCTCAGAACAGGATCTCTCCGACTCTCCACCTCTCCGCCAGGAATTGTATCTTCAAACAATACCAAGAAATTCCTTCTTGACAATATGTGGTCCAAACATCAAGCGAAGCCCCAAGTCTGCTTTCCAAATGCCGATATTGGATGATCTATGGGTAGATGACGCGCATCTGCTACCCAAAAAGCAATGTCCAGAAACAGCCAAGAATTGCATGCATCATCATTCGAGGTCAAGATTTCCTTAGGATGTTACTTTTTGGGCGCTTTGTTCCACAGAATACCATGATTACCAAAGTATTGTGCGATGATCCTGCTCTAGGACAGTCGCAGATTAACAATGAGGATAGGCAAGATAGTCAGGGCACAAATGACAAAGAAACGTGATGGTCGATGAAAAGACCTCGTCTCAGATGTATGAGTACTTCATCAAGGCATGGCCCCAGCTTCACTCTCAAATTCAGAAGGCCCACACCATATCTTGTCCTGTACCTGTCCTTGTTATCCAGGTCTGTCCTTGCCGCGCCATTTGTTTTCTACAAAAGTCACAAGGGCAAATGAGATTGCTTCCATTTGGAATTTTCCCGATCGCCGATCATCTGATCATCAAATTGTAAGAAATCGATAGCCCAAGATGAATTCGAATACCGAAGAAAAGACGCACGAACTGGCCAGGGGAAACGAATCAGCCGAAATCTCCTCTGTTGTCGAATCACCCCGTACTTCACCAACTGAGGGTTCCGCTGTTGGTGCTGGCAATCAAGGCGTCAAACCCGAACAGACCACGACTTTTCCTGCTCAGGGGGACAAGGCTCCCCAAGTCAATCCTAAGGACCCTTTCTCTCTCCTTGGATACAAGCGAGAAAATGACGCCCTTGACAAGACAACCAGTCGGCTATCCAAAAAAGGGAAACGAAAGGTGAAGAAATATTACAGTCGACAAAATGCTCTCATCGACGCCTACGTGGGTAGCACGGACGAGGAAGCTCTCGAGATCCAAGACAACCTCAAGAATGGAGGCAAGGTCCGCTTCGCCGTCAATGCTAGCTTTGTCTGCAACTTTTGCCTGTTCGTCATTCAGCTCTATGCAGCAGTCTCCACTGGCTCGTTGTCTCTTTTCGCCACGGCGGCGGATGCATTTGTAAGTGGATCCCCCCTTTCCCTGTTGGCCACTAACGTTAATGTTCTAGATGGACCTCGTCAGTTCCGTCGTGATGCTAATAACATCGCGCATGGCTTCAAGGCCTAAACAGCCCAAATTCCCTGTCGGAAGAAAGCGAGTCGAGACCGTTGGCATCATCTTGTTCTGCGCCCTAATGACCACCGTCGCCGTACAATTAATCATTGAATCTGGCCGTTCATTAGGCAACGGCACCCCAGACAACGAGCAGTTAGAAATCATTCCCATCGCCTTCGTATCGACGGCCATTTTCTCAAAGGGATGCTTGTTCGTCTACTGCTTCATCCTCCGACGATATCCGGCAGCACGCATCTTCATGATCGACCACCGCAACGACATCGCCGTGAACTTGTTTGGACTGATCATGTCGATCGTCGGCAGCCGCTTTGAAAAAGTGTGGTACCTCGATCCCGTCGGCGCCATCTGCATTGCAGCGCTGATCTTGTACTCGTGGACGTCCACTGCGTTCGAACACATGTGGTATCTCGTCGGGAAGAGTGCGCCACAAGACTTCTTGAATAAGATTGTATATGTGTCCATTACTCATGACGACAGAATTCAGAAGATTGATACAGTGAGTCGGAACCAACTCCCCCCAACCTCTTCCAAAAAAAAAAAGCTACCGCCATACCACAATGCAACACACTACGTCATTTTCTACCCTATAATCCATTCCATCTTATACTCTGAGACAGCATACTAAAGCTTGTTTCAGGTCCGCGCCTACCACGCCGGCGATAAATTCTACGCCGAAGTCGACATCATCATGTCCGAAGACGAGTCATTGAAAGTCACGCATGATGTCTCCCAATCCCTGCAGCGCAAACTCGAAGGGCTCGCCGACGTGGAACGGGCCTTCGTCCACGTCGACTACGACGACTTGCACGACGTGCATGAGGAACACAAGGCGTTGTATAAGAAAAGCGACAAGATGATTGAGCGAATTGATGAGACTCCCGTAGAGGAGCAGGTGGTGAAGAAGGGCTTTTTTGCTCGGATCTTCAAGAGCAAGAAGCGATAGTCACGAATGTCGGGTGAGGACAGGGATCTTTATAGCAATAGGAAGGCAACCAAAAAAATTAGAACAATGTATACGTGCCTGGCTGGATCGTGTCATAGAAAAGGTCTAAAATTCACAACTTAGTTAGATGGCATCATGAAGAGGATCCCCCTCGTCGACATCAAGGCCATTCTCCACCTCGCCATCGGCATTGCCGTAAGCATCCTCATCCTTCTCCATTTCAGCAGCCAAATTGACCTGCCCACCCAATGCCTTGACCTTGGCCTGGGTCATTTCAAAGACGTACTGGCCAAGATGCTCGACGCCTTCCATTTCCGTACCTGACACGTCGTCGTCGAGTAAGCGCTCTGTCGGGAACATCTCACCCGTCGTGAGCACCAATTTGTCAGTTCTCTGCACCAGCAAATCCATGGCCGGTTTCATTTCAAGGCACGATTCAAACAATTCTCTTCGCCCGAGGACATACAGGCCCAATCTAGCGCGTGAGAGAGCGACGGTCAATCGGCGTACGTCTCGAAGGTATCCCACAGACCGAGTCCGGGTCATCGACACAATAACATAGTCGTTCTGCTCTCCTTGATATTTATCCACCGTGGTCACAATGCGAGGCATGCCGAAGAGTTTGTTGTTTTGGCATCTGTGCCCCAGGACGTCGCGGATCAAAGCTCGTTGGCCTGCGTATGTGGCTAAAATGGAGATGTTTCGGGATGGGTAGCCTAATAGCCTCATGTATTGGTATAGCGCCACAGCGTATTCCGCCTCACCGAGATTCTGAAAGAAATGCGGCGTTGGCTCGCGTTCACCTCCGCCCTGGTAATCCGGGACGTCGATGAACTGATATTCATGGCGGAAGCCGGCATTGGCACGTGCAAATTCGGGCAGCTCCAGAAGATGTGGTAGATTACCCAAGTTGTTGTACCGCCACTTGAAAAGTTCAGCAATCGACGAGCGACATCGACCTTGCTGATCTAGATGGATGGTAGGAACACCAAGCCGAACTAAACGGAGGAAAAGGGACTGCTCGAAATTGGCATACTGGCGCAAAGCCATGTTTTGAATAATGGGAGAATTTTGCAAATGGTCTCCAATGAGGACGATTCGCTTCAAGAGAAGTTCTCCCGATTTTGGATCTGGGTTCTGCATCGCACATGGAATGAACGACTCGATTTCGGTAATTTGTGCAGCTTCCTCCATGACTAAGGTGTCGTAGTGGAACCCCAACTCCGCAATCTCTGATCTTCTCATCGCGGCATGCGTTGATGTCATTGCAATGATGCGTGCCTCTTTTGTGAGGAGATGATTTGCTTGGTCACGATTGTTTCGTAAGATTTCGAAAGGACGAATTGATTCGAGCTCCGTGAAGATCTTGTCAATGTGATACTGGCAACCAGAAGCAATATTGCGCGCCTCTTCAAGTGAAGCATCAGGGGGGAACAATGTCGCGACTGGAGCGTTGCTGAAATATTTGTGGAAAGGGAAAGCAGCGAGGACATTCTCAACTGTGGCATTTTCGTCTTCCGCAATATCCCAGAAACGTGCCCATGCCGGTCTCACAAAAACTTGGTTGAAATAATCCGCTGTCTCGCATGAACTCCCATGGGCGCCCTCAGCACCAATTGACGCTGCAAGTCTATTTACCTCGGACAGGTACGTCTGCCGGTTTTCCAAGAATGACTCGACTCGGCCATACTTACTGTATGATGTTTCGGTCTCGAGTTCTTCTTCTCCATGACCCAAGCGCAGGAGATGTCGAGGATCGATGTCGAGAGCAATGATTTTCTGGAAAAGCTGATTGAGTGCTTGGTTGCTATGTGCAATCAGAAGAATTCGTTCGGATGGAAAGTTGTGGTAGAGTAGATTTATCGTTTGAGTAGCAACATCAGTCTTTCCAGTACCGGGTGGTCCCACAACAACTGTCAGGCCGGGTTGCGTTCCCGATACGATTGCTTCCACTTGTTTTGGCGTGAAACGGATTGAGTTCTTCTTGCGGACATCCGTCGGATACGGTCCTGTATTGCGAGGCTTGTAGGTTGAGACGTTGATGGTTGAAGTATCTTGCTCCATCTGACTCCGACGTCGTTTCTTGGGATTGGCGGGTGGCTCATCTGAAATTGGCGGAGCCGTTCGAAGAACAAAGGGTGGGCTGAGAGGCGTCGACCTCTCTGAAGCAGCCTCGACAGTTTGGCCCGGGAAGCTATCTACCAGGTGTTGCCAATCGAGAAATGTGTCCAGATAGTCGATGGATTCGATGCGATTGGGAAGAGACGTGAAAGAAGCGCCTTTCGGATCACCATAACCCAAGAAAACTTCCTGTAGCCATGAGGGAAGTGATGTCTGCGAAGAAACCAATTTCCGGATCGTTTCCAGAACTGGTTTGAAATTATTTTCCCGACCCTGTCGACGAGCAATGACATTGAAAGAGGCAGATTTCGCCGCGGAATCCGTCCTAGGATCCATATCGAGTAAGAGACGTCTCCGCCAGGGTTTCGAGGAGTACCCATTTGTCTGCATCTCTCTCAAAGCTCTCCCATTGTCATCCAAGACTTGAACCACCTCGGCAGCTCTCAAACCCGCCAACATGTTGTGATTTCCTTCTTGTTCCTTGGGGCTACCATTGGGAAGAAGTCGGGAACTGTCAACAACTTTGACGGAAAGTAGAAATACTATGTCATGGGGTTTCAAGCTATCCCATTCTCTCCTGATGCTGTCCGTAAAGCGGTTAACGTCGAGAATAACCTCTGCCCGCACAAACGAAGGCTGAAGATGACCAACCTTGGTGGGGCCGACCTCGATGATTGCCGGTTCCGTGATCGGTAAAGCCATCTTCGAAAACCCTTCGAATATCGTGGTACTCCGATCCCTTCCTGCCCTCGGTTTCATTCGTTTGACGATACTTTCCATGTCCTTTCGGATGCCATAAAAGGCCTCAGCTTGGTAGAGCTGAAATGACCGCCACATGAAGTCGCTGAGAGTTAGGTACTGAAGATTCAATTTAGGAATCCCCAGTGGTCGAGAGCCATCGTATGAATCATTCCTCAGCAAAGCAGGATCGTATATTGATTCTGCCGTGGGTAAGACCGACGATTGAGCCACCACGTCTTGGAAATCTCGCGGTTTCGAGAACGTGGACAGGAGAGTCTCCATCATAACAGCTCTATTAGCGGTGAATCCCGTGCTCGCCGGATACGTCGTTCGGAACCCGAGATGCGTACATAGGTCTTGGAGCTCGGAGTCTGATAAAGGAGCGAAATGAGACTCTAGTTCGCTTCGTTTAGTGATTGATCCGAAATTTGACAACGCCAGAACCTTCAGTTTCTGCTCGAAATGTTGAAGTGCAGTTCGTTGCAGTCTCGCCAATGCCTCGTAGTGGGCCTTGCGGATACCTTCACGACCCGACTCAGTGCTTCCCCAGTCATCGATAGTAAAACTCTGGAAATGGTCCAACAGACTTGTCAAATCGCGCAGGAGTATAGCATCCTCTTTCTCGAATGACTTTGACGTTCGAATAATCGGTAGGACGTTCAGGTCTTGTAAGAGTGGATTCGTATATCGTCTCGTAGGTAATTGACTAACGAGGTCTATCAGAAACTCTAACATTCGTTCACAGTATACCATCTCTTGAGAGCTGCTCATATTTGACACGTTGAGTCGCGTCAGATAATCGATCAGCATTGAATACAACCACGCACGATCAAAGCGCAGTCGAGTTTGTGTCTCTGGATCCGCCGCATTAAACCTTCGTGAAGCAGCTCTCCATGCTTTCCTTCTTGCCGGGCTGGCCTCCAGAAGTCGTTCTCGAGTACTTTCATTGTGTATATTGTGCCATGTCGAGATCGAAACAAGAGGGGCGCATTCTTTGCGGATGTGTTCGTTGTCCAACGATTGAAACGCGCCAATGACAAAGCAGAGTAATGACGAGCGAGAGGAGAGGGAGAGAGAGGAATCGAGGTTCAATGAGAGTATTCGACGAAACAGGCGTGAAAAGTCTTCTGGGCGATTGGTAAATAACGTCCAATCCTGAAGGCGTGCTCTCTGTTTGACACTGACGAAGACTGCGATGAGTATGACATGGTGATTCGATGAATCTGCAGAGAACGTAGGCCAAAGAAATCTCTCAAGGATCTGTAGATTCTCTAGTACTGCAAGAGATCGGAAAGCAAACTGGTCCTGCTCCAAAGGATCCCAAATCGCCGTCTTGATCAATTCTGGCTTGACTCTGGTCGGCGCATTTTTCAGCCAGTACTTTCTGGCCAGCTCTTCCCAGGGACCTTCGACGACATTTTGTGTATTAGCAGAGACATCGAGGGCTGGAGCTAAGGCAGGCCGCAATTGGAGGCCCATTATTGTGCCCGGGATCAGTTTTGCAGAAGAGTTGCCTTGATGAAGGTATCTAAAATTTATTGCAGGGCAGGCGAAGCCTGACCTTAAAATTCTCCGCACAGCCTCAAAGCCTTCCCCCCCCAACATTCAGTTCGCTGTCTTAGCTGTTCATCATCTTCACTGCCGTTGTCTTCTCACTACCCTAACATTTCTAGCTCCCCTGATGTGAGCACGTACGGAGAGCTCCGCACCCCTCTGGCACAATGTCTGTCATTGACGTGCCCGCTGTCGAAACATACAAACCCCTGATCGAAGCTCATATTCAACGGCTCAGTGAAGCTCGTGAAGACAGCGATGTCGATGCTCCTATCCTGGAACCCGACTGTGAAGAGTTGCTCGAGCAAATCCGAGAAATTCGTAACCAGGGCGATTCAAAAGAGGGCGCTCAAATACACAATGCCGCCGTCGAAACAGTATTTCGCGAGATCTTTGTTGATGTCGTTGCAAGTGTCGATATTTCTGAACCGGCATTCGCGCAAGTATGGGTTTTGCTCGACATCATAACGGTGCTTTCCGACAACGACTTGTGCGAACCCGGTCTGAGTTTCTGGCTCATTGAAGAGTTATTGGATAGTCAGACGATTGATGGGTGCAGAAAAGTGTTTGACTATCTCGAGTCTCGAAGAGAGAGGATAACAGCGAAACACTTCAAGCTCAAGAATTTGGTGATTCTAAGATGTTGCAATGAACTTCTCCGGAGGCTGTCGCGCGCAGAGGATACCGTGCTTTGCGGAAGAGTTTTTATCTTCCTGTTCCAGAGTTTCCCCCTGGGTGATAAGAGCTCGGTCAATCTGCGAGGAGAGTTTCACGTTGAAAATGTCACGACCTTCGACCCTGCACCGAAGAAATCGGCCGATGCAATCAAACCGATGGAACTTGACACCGACACTCCACAAGCAACGTCGGGGGCTCAGACTCCAGCGTCGAACAGTCAATCCCACGAGCAGGAATCAATGCAAAAGACGGCAAGAAATACACCCGTCCCCAAAGCCGTGAAATCTGATACGAAAGACCATGTGCCGCCCGATCTGGACACGCTCTATCCAAAATTCTGGTCTCTCCAGTCCTTATTCTCCTCGCCGACCAAACTCTTCGAACCGTCCAACATGGCCATGTTCAAAGATGGCATTGCAATGACCCTGTCCTGCTTCAAATCAGTCTCCAACAGCTCAGCGCCTAGCACAAACCCTTCCGATATACAGCGCGGCCTCAAACGCAAGCGAACCAATACTGACACTTCATCCTCAACCTCGACATTTAATCCGAAATACTTAACGAACCGCGACCTCTTCGATCTCGAAGTACATGACATTGCCTTCCGGCGTCACATTCTCGTCCAGGCACTAATTATGATCGACTTCCTTCTCAGCCTCGCCCCAGCGGCCAAAGCGAAATTCGAAGGCCTCACAAATAAATCGGTCCTGTACTCGTACACCCTGTCGGAAGAGGACACCAAGTGGGCCCAGTCCACCCGAGCGTCAATCGCGAGCTATCTACAACAGGGCAACGGGAACGAAGGCAAATTCTATTACCGAATGGTCGACACAGTGCTATCCCGGGATAAGAACTGGGTGCGGTGGAAAGCGGAGAACTGCCCATCGATATCACACGACGGCGTCTCGGTACAGACATATCTCGAAGCCAAAGAGACACTCACAAAATTGACGGAGGCACAAAAGGAGCCTCTTCCCAATCCACCAGGCGCAGGGGATCTGGCGTTCCTCTCGAAGATCGAACCGCTAGAAACGCTAAAGCGGCCGTCGAAGCGGCACAAAGTGCCTACGATGGAAGAGTATTATCGAGGTATCGAGACAGATAATTTAGACATGGACTTTGCAACGGAGGAGGAGAAGAAAGAAATTGAGGAGCGCAAGGCCGGACGGGTGTGGAGAGCGCTGCGAGCGAGTGGAAGACGGTTCGTGCTTTGTGAGAAGGTCCAATACGGTGGGGATTTGAGGGCTTTGATCGAGGGGGATGTAGAGGCCGAAGCGGACGGGACAGCAGAGAAGGCAAGAGAGAACGACAACAAGAATGCGAACGAGAATGGAGAGGGGACAAAGGTCGAGGTCGAGGGTGAGGGTGAAGGAGAGAAAGAAAGGGATAATGATGGGGAGGGAGAGGCCGAGGGTCAACAACCCGAACCTGACATTGGAAAAGTCCCGTCGACTGCTGAAGAACCACCCTCCACCGAGGCAGAAGAAGCTGCTCCTGAAGAAGACAGGAATTTGCAAGGCGAGGACGCGGAGATGACTGATGTTGCTCCTGTGGATGCTACGGCCACGGCTGAGGAAGGAAACAATGCAATAGACGACGACACGGACAGAGACTCGGGCGAGACAGAGTGACGAATGCTTTTTGTGCAATGTCTTGTAATATCAAAAGGATTCTCGAATTATATTATCTGGAACCGGGGTTGAGACCCAGCCTCAAGATGCTGTTCGCTTGCCCCGGGTGGATTAATGCAATGCCGTGCAAACTTCGATGATGAATGCAAATCGCTCCTTGTTGACCCTAGCCCGCACAAAGACCCCTCCTGCACTCGAAACCGACAACATCACAATATAACAGCTCCAGTCCAAAATGTACAATCAACACGTCGTTACACGTCATGCGCATTAAATGATTTCATTTTGCCATAGATGTCCCTTGTCCAAGCCTCTCCAGCATCAGTTTGGGTGCCCTTGCCAGACATGTTGGCGAAATTGGCGATGCTGCCGAAGCCTTGGTAAGGGTGTTCGGTGGGGCGGAGGCAGTCGTACCATTTGCCCTTGGGAATACAAACTGAAGAGGCGCGGCGAGGAGATGGTCGAGGCACGGAGGGGTCGGTGGATTGGTTGGAGGTTGATGTTCGTCCGGACGCAGACATGGTGTGAATAGTCTGTGTGATCCGGTGAGATGGAATTGATTGTCGGCAGCTAATAGAGCCTTTACCAGGAGGATTTTGAAGATGGATTACATCTGGTGTAAAGTGAAAGTTATGCTCGATGGTAGAAGTGCTACCCCCAACTTCAAGAGGGCACAGTCAGTAGGTTCTTTTATAGACAAAGTCCGGGGTTAAGCAAATCGTTTAGTTAGTACGTCAGGGGGGATTTGCATGGTTCATCTGGGCAGGTAAAATCGACCTGCTTACAGTGTGCAGGTTGGATCGATCACGAGCAGAGAAAATTCTGAATAAAACGTCAGGGGAAGCAGACAAAAAAAAAGAAAGTATTGGATGTTTGTGGAAGCCAGAAACTGATTATGTGTCATAAGTTGAAGCAAAAGGAGGAATGAGTTACGTAGGAGAAAAAACTTGCGCCATCAAAAGGCTGAAGCGCAGCCTGCCCGAACTGCCGGAACATTTTCCGTAGATCCTAAACTGACCGTGGGGCGCCGACTGTCACGTGCTGCACGTGACCAGATCGGTAAAAAATTTTTCTTCCAGAGCTTTTTTGCGGCGTGCCATGGCGGACGCCAAGGGCAAATCGCGGGTGGGTTGAAAAATTCTGAACCTTGTCAAAAAAGGGCAGGGACTGCGGGGTAAGGCTAACGAGTGCACCGTAAGATGGGGGCCCAAGCGAGAGTGAGACTGCATTCGTGTGAGGATGCCAGAGGTGGGCAGGGTAGGGAACACGTGCGATGTGATGGTAAATGAAATAATATTGAGTTCCTCGTGGGCGATGATGCAGTAAATTGATTTCAGATCAAGCCTGAATTGGTGTGTTTGACAATGATAACGATGGGGGGCTAAGAGGGAGATAGGTCAGGGGATGAAAAAGGAAGGTGTGATGCGGCGGAAAGCTGGAGGTAATCTATCATCCGATAAGCAATTGCAACTCGATCAGGATAATCATGGAATGGGAGGCTGGGAATTCATGTTGGTCTGCGCCCGGGATTTCGCGTTGGGTCAAATCTAGAAATGCAGTGAGTCTGTCAACCGGGACAAGATCTGGGTATTCTAGGATCTTGGGCGAGGCGTGAAGTAACATCTCGAACAACCTCACCATGACGCAGCCCATCACCCTGGAATTTTGTTCACAACACTTGTCGTGATCGAACTGGGCCATCAGACCTGCATCAGCCTTGAATAGCAGGCCTCGTTGGGCCGCAACGAGGCTTCGAGCCTTGTGCTGGTTGAGATTGGGGGCGACAATAAAAATGAGTCAGGCTGGGAACATGAATGTGGTAACGGGCGAAGTTGTGGGCACGGGGATGGAGCCTGCAAAGCCCAGGTCGAGGACGTCGGCGACGGTCGTGGGAGCGGGCTGTGGCTTTCCTTAATTTCCATCGTGAGGCGAATGGTGAAATAGCAGGTGGCAGAACAACCGCTCGTAGTAAATGTTCGTGATTGATGATGACGGATGGCGAGTCCTTTTCCCTAATCCCCTCATAATTTTTTCTCTCTTCTTGTGGATTGGTGCTGGATGGCCTGATAGGCTAATGGCCTGATGGCTGGAGGGGGCAATGGTTGCCGCTGGGGGGCCTTCTATTGGTCTCTTGGCTCGTTTGTCGGAGACAAATGTATCTGAAGTGGGATCCGTGAAGCTCTGAGGATTCCCTCCCTAGCCTTGAGCCATCGAGCAATTAGCTGTTGTTTCTGAAGCCTTGTCCCGCCAGAGCCCTGTCAAATTGGGAATTAGGCTTCCCCTACCACCTCGTGCAGCCTCGGCAGATCATTGACCACTCGAAGTCACCCGCGCTGCACCGTAGGTTCAATGTGGTAGTGATAAGGGTGGTTCTGGGGGATGGATTCTCTTTGATCTTGATAAAGAGTGATTGGCGACCTGACTGGTGAGATCTCGATCGTGAGTTAAGATAGATCCTCTGTTGGTAGCAGTACTATTGATGGACTCGAGCTGTCATCACGGTGAGCGAGGGAATTCGTTCTTGGGGAAGGTGGCCGCCCAAGCGGCCAACCCTTACCGTAACTTTTTTAGAGCCTGAAGCAGGAAGCACGAAGCCTGAAAGCCTGACCGGAAGAACGAACCACTGATAAAACTGCATGGCACGGACACCTCAAAACTCAGCTACAGTGGCCAGACCTCCTCTCGCGCTCGCACTGGCAACGCAGCCTTACAGGCTAAAAGCCTTGTCCACTTTCTAACTTCTGCGAGGAACCTGACTTGCTACCGCTGCAACTGCTGGCATTCCCCTCCTCATCCCATCGTTCTCATTATTCCTCTTCTCACCCCTCCCACCATTTTTTTTTCTTTTCCTTCTCCCACTGAACTCTAAGAATCACTTGCACCTTTCCACTCCCAAATTCTTATCAGCCTTTCCCTCACCAGAGATCTTGTCCTCTCTCTCGTACCAGCTCGGCTTTGTGTCTTGCAACTGCCCCCTCACACGAGCGCGAGCTTGCAGCCCAAACGCAGCTATCTATCGAAGATTCTTCTTATTTCTCCTGCCTTGTTCCCCCTCCATTCACGTTTGCCTCTCCGAAACCAACGGCAGCCGCCTTGGCAAGTCTCGCAACAATTTCCAACAGCTCACCAGCTGCCGACACCACGCCCAACACCACCTCCTAGCTGTTCATCTCTTCATCAATATCTCCATCATCATCATCGTCGTCGTCGTCGCCTGCCATCAATCACCACAACGCCCCCCTCCCATCGCCCTAGCAAAATAATGGTCCATTGCATTTGAGGCCCTTCGGTGCCCTTGGTCTCAGAAGCCTTGCTTTGCCTCGTCGCCACACCGACGCCTCGTCTTCGCTCAACTCCGCCTCTCACCCATCAAAGTTCACCCACTTTTGCATCCCCCAGATGGCCACCGATTCTAACATCAACATCACCACGGCGTCTCTGAGAGGCAGCCCTTCGGATCGCATCATCAAACCTCGTCCCCGCAAGGATTCACTCCAGTCGATCTCGGGTTCCGACACACATCCCGGTCGAGTTGTGAAGCCTCGTGCGCGAAAATCCCCGGGCTCCGGAGCCAAGAGATCCGAACCTGCTAAGCGTAAATTCATCTGTTCATTTTCCCATTATGGTTGCGACGTGGCGTTGAGTTCCAAGAATGAATGGAAACGCCATGTCTCTATCCAACATCTACAGTTGGGCTTCTATCGCTGTGATGTCGGTTCGTGCAATCCCGACTTGAATCCTAACGTTCCGGGTCACAAGCGAGTCTACAATGACTTCAACCGCAAGGACCTTTTCACTCAGCATCATCGGCGCATGCACAAACCGGAATCTGGTCCTGGTTCGGCTCCATTCCCATCCAACAATGCAGACGCCAAGGATTGGAGAGCCTTCGAGGACAGTTTGGAAGAAGTCCGCAACCGATGCTGGATGGAGAAGAGAAAACCTCCCCAACGAAGCACTTGTGGTTTCTGTGGCCGAGTCTTTGAAGGTGAAGGGAGCTGGAACGAACGCATGGAGCATGTTGGAGGTCATTTCTCCCGTGACATTGTAGAGGCCAAGGAAGAGAGGGAGGACGAAGATCTCACGAATTGGGCTCTCCAAGAAGGCATTATCAGAGATGCCGGCAATGGTCGTCATGTTCTCGTGGATCAGCCTCCATCGAGCGAGAGACCCTATCAAACCCGAGACGCCCCGCCCCGAGATCGAGATATCACCATGACGGATCCCCCCAGCTCCGATGGGGCCTCACACGATCACGAACAGTCCCCGTCCCTGAGTGCCTCATCGAGAAACAGAGATTCAGAGAGAGATTACTATCAGAAAGTCGAAAGCCCTCGGGAATCACGGCGCCTCAGCAATGCGTTGCCGCCGAGTGCTAATGGCACTCCTCGCGCTCCGTCCGCCCCCTTGCTGCAGCATGTCCCTCCTGGGGGACCAACAATTGCTCCATCTCCTTCCAGTACTTCCGCTGCGCCCGTCCTTGCTCCAGCTCCGTCACCTAGATCTGCTCAAGCTCAACTTCAGCCTCCACCAACCCCTCCGGAGCGACGAGGTTACAATCTGGCACCACCCCCTTTGCAGCCAAAACAATCACCTGGATCAGCTTCTGCTCCGGCCGATTCTGGAAGTGGGGACAGACTCGAGGATTTGATCAACCAATTGATTCGACCCAAACCACCCAAGACTCATCGACGCTTGACATGGAAGTGTGTAAGTTGAGAGCCCCTTATGCCCTCCATCGAGCGCAATACTGATCCATCGTTGCAGGATTGTGCTTTGGAAATGTCGGTCGACATTGACGATGCAGATAGACAGGCGATTGAAAGCCTTCAGGACATCAGCATCATCTGTAGTAAGACATCCAACCCCTATCTCAAAGTGGCCAAGACTGGAAAATACCATGTTGTTGCTTGTGACGAACTTGCTGGCTACATCTGGAGAAATTCAAAACAACCAGTGGAACAGCACAGTCGAGCTAGCGAGATGACGGTCAGTTAGACGATGGTCGTTGCTTCTTCTGCATCGGGAAGTCACGTTACCAAACCGATATGAGATATCGCACGTTTCGAGAGATGTACGTTCCGACGAATTTTGTCAATACGTCGTTTCTTCATCCAACTGGAAGGCGTGCTCAACCGAGATCATACGTTACCGGAGTCGATGGCGCTATCTATCCGGATCCACCGAGAGCTCATCAAGGCCATCATGGAAAATTGGTTCGCGTGGAAACGATAACGAAAAGATATGATGCTGTTCCTGTCTGGTTTGATTGCTAGGGAAAGAGGGATGGAAAACATGGAGACAATGGCCTCAGGGCTGCTGGAGAATTACAACTACAGGTTTTATGTCTATAGGATGTTATGGAGTTGGGGAAGGATGTCAGCGTTCATTCAATTTTTTTTTTTTTATTTTCCCAGCTTGAGCAACAAATAGTCACACAGCGTTAGGTAGCTCTCTTCACATGCTCCCGGGTGGATTACCAAGCTGTACTTAGGTGCTTGCACGGGGCACTTTACGACGATTTTTACCCCGCCCAACATGTCAGAACGAAAAAAATTTCTGCTCTTTTCTCCCTCTCGACGGTGCCGTATTGTCTCCATCCTAGACTCGAGCAGAGATGAGAGGAAGAGTGTGGAAATAGTCTGTTCTGGACAGTCCTGCACGGGACGGCACCCCAGACTCTTCCCGTTGCTCTAGAAGCAGATTCATGGTTCTACGAACAAGAAACAGAAGCTCGGTTATCAAATACCTTTTGCTTTTAAGGGGGATGTGGGAAGCGGGGCACCGGTGCTTATACCTAAAGGAGGGATAGCCTCGTTAATTTGCCGCGTGGGCAGGTTGTCTTTCCGCACCGGCCGCCAGGCACCAATTTCTCTGTTGGACGGTGGACACCGGATGAGGACATCAAGTCAATCCCTTCTGGACCACAATCAATCATCCTTTGGGCCATGGGGCTCGTTCTGTATGGCTTATTGCTGCATTGCATGATCAGGGCATGCACGTAGTTGATCGTGGTCGCTAACTACTGTGCTGGCTAGTACAGTACCTCGCAGGGTCGGAGAGAGGCCATCTGTCCACCTGTATTCCTTTCCTCCTACTGGGCGAGATATCCCTTCTGGCGCCCGCCCAGTTCTGCCCTCTGGGTGGCTACCCTTCTCAATGTGGTCACTCAATCTGGTCCGTGGTCTAGGTTCTCAGCCCGGGGGTTTTCTGCCTCTCTCCATCTCTGCATGCAGGCCAAAAATGCTTTCGAACCTTGGGTGGTTCCTCTCGAGCTTTCCTGACCACACACTCTACCACGTTCTCACCCTGCCATGGCACCTCTTGAACAAATCCCTCCATTCCCTTCAGACTGATATTGATGGCGAACATGGCTGTCTCCATATCATGTCGCTCTTTAACGGGACCTCTTTATGGGCTCTTATCCTCCCGATTCGCCATCTGGAGCCTGCGTTTGCATCTCACTCTGGATCATGGCTACAAGTGAGACTTTCTTTTGCTGTGTCACCGCCTATTATCCTCCATCCTCCTCGACCGTGACATAGCTAGGTTAGGTCGATCACTCGCCTGGACTGGTCTCTGAAAAGCCTTTCCGAGCGGTCAAACCCTGACATAATCTAATCGGTGGACCAGTGGCCATGTCGGGCCAACCCAATTTTTTCGACAGCACCGACTGGCCCCTGCAGCCATCACCACGACAAGGAAGTCTGTCTTCACTCAGCCCTGCTTCAGAGACTGCTAGTATACACTTTTCCAACATCCCACTCCCACCGACTCCCACTGCTTCTCGCCCTGCGAGCGACAAGAGTAGACTGTCTAGTTGTACATCCGACCACACGGCGAACGTCCCACTGAGCAAACCGGTTCACATGTATGTCGCCCATATACTTGGGGTTCTTTGTTTCAGACCACCTGCTCTATCAGCACATTTATTGACCGGGTTTTTGGGGAAACAAACAGCTCTTTCAGTAAGGGAAGCAAATTGTTCAAGTTGAGATATTCGCAAATCGAACTTCGAAAAGATGCGGCGGGAAACTTGAAAAGAATCGAATTGAGCGAGCCTTCGGGGATTCAAAGCGCTCTGATCCATTCTTGTCAGTTGGGACCATGCTCGTGAGGAAAGATGCATACTGATCCTCGCAGTTCCTGGCACCCGAACGCCGATTCCCCATCTTGAACAACCGGTGACGTCGAGTCAGAGTCACATATCGAGAGTATCTTTTCTTGAAGAACAAAACGTGCAGACCGCGTCGACCCTATTCCAAGCACAGCCACAGTATACATTTGAGACATGGGAAGGTATGGGTTGGGCTGACCACCACGACTGATCTCAAATTCTGCGCGTCAATCTATCGTACTAACTCACCTCCCATTAGATTGTGTTCATTTTCAAGAATGTCTCCTTGACCAAACCGTCGTCTTTACCGCCGGGATCGCAGAAGCAAAGTCCAAAGGCCGGGGGGAAGAATGTATCAGCCAGAATTTGCGCATCCTACGTGCCCGGAATGGACGACAGATCATATTGTTCTTTGCCAATTCTCAGCGAAAGGAAAAGAAGCGATACATTTCCATTCCTCGTGAGTACCTACGGAGCAACCAGCAACGCCGGTGCAACGAATCGGTGCGCAATCGGACGAGGATGTCATCAGATATCCATGAGGCTCGTCCGCCTGATCATCATGGGTGTCTCCTCGTCCGATGAGGTCACTTATTCGAAATGGCTCGCTGGATGCTGAGTTTATGGACGACCCTTGCTGACGAGGGCGCAGTGGATTGCATCGACCGTCTTGAGCAGAGCAAAAAATCTGGACGACCTATGACACTTTCATTACGACCGAACTTCGAGCTGTTAGCGCAATTGAAGTCCCTTCATATTTCTTTTCTCGATGATAATGGTAAGCGAATACCCCCGACTACGTCCCAATGGAGTGACTGATTTCACGTCCAGACCAAAAGAGGTTTTTTGGCCTTTTATGTCAAGGAGTTGGCTTCCAAGGATGAATGAGCGTATATTTCTAGAGATCACGATGCATCAAATAGTGTTATGTGAGCGTGTGAGCGTATGAGCGTATGAGCGAGTATTTGGATACCCGTGGAGATGTCCATTGGTCCTGAGTTAGCCATCGGTCTGAACCATGCCACTGGGGAATCTGGACCCCAATACAAAGAATGACATCGTCTGGAAAACCCGGCGGAGAAAGTCTGACATAAGAGCCTCCCCCCTAACGGCCCAGATAATGGGACATAAACGTGGGCGGATGAATGGTGCCATCCTCGTCAGACAATACCGCCACGACTGAGGGGTGGGGGGGTTTCGCAGCGAGCAAAGCGGTTCTCACTTGGAAGGATACCTCGCCGATTACTGGTTGAATCAGTGATCTCGCAATAGGGAAATGTCGACATGAGGCACGCAATGCGCTCGCTACAATCGGATGATTGTTCTTGGGCACGGACGCATACTTTTCTGATCCCGATTATCCAGGTCAGGATCAAGCTTGGCCAAGGCATCGAGATCGAAAGAGGCGTTCGATCTTTTTGTTATCTTAGCAATTCTTTGCCATCTCTTCTGCTGCATATCTTGTCCTCATGCTATGCTAGGGATACCTAATGGAAACCAAAAAGGTTTCAAGAGGTGGTAAGCGTGGCGCTGGACGATGACCGTTCTTAGCCAAGACTATGCATTCTAAACAGAATGGCTGGGGACTGGAAACCGGCAGGAGGCATTTATTGCAACTCGAGACCCCGGGGGATTAGAGCTGCACGTGGGAGAAATTCCAAGACATGAATGGGTGGAGGTGCCGAAATGGCCCTCGATCCTACAATGACCATTAGACGAAACACCCCTGGTTCGTCACGGCTTTTCTCTTTCACACCTGGCGATCCACCAGTCATGGCCCGAAGATGCTGGGCATGGGCCGGACCTGGTGGACGCGATGCCTGCTAAATCGCAACAAGCCTACGGAGGGCTAGTGCATGCGCATGAGAAGTCTTTTTCGGATATCTCTCGTGATAGTACTATAACTCCTATCTAACGCTTTGCGGAGGGGAGAGGGGAGGAGGCTGGTCTGTATGATACCCTGGGTGGTTCCATGCTCGATCTCTCACTCCCTTTCAAGAAGTTCGAGAAACGAGAAATGACACCCGAGGAGGGGGATGGAAAAGAAGACTCGCCTAGGCGGTGGCACACTATTGTAAAGTATTGCAACTCAAGTATTTTACGTCCGACTCCGCCCCAACCACCAAAAGAAAATTCAGGTACCATCTGCAAACTCATCCATTTATTCCCTCTTCCACATCCCCATCTTCTATTTGCTCCCGTTTTCCATTTTTTCTGCAACCGCACAAAGGTCCCCCTGTGGCTTATCATTCCTGCACATTATTAATCCTTCTCAGGATGGACCGTTGAACAAACTTTAAACCCCTCTCTTTTGGCCCCATTTGTTACCCGTGAACTAGCAAGATGGGACGATGGCGTGGACGTCTGTACGCGACTGATCGAGCCCGAGACTTTGAGCATGAGCGAGTAAGTCGCCGTGACCTGGAACATTATTTATTGACTTGAAGGATCATATCCTGATCGCTGTCGGACTTAGGACCGCCATGTTCGTGTGCGTCAGATATACGAGACGATCGACCGACAGCCCTACCAATGGGTGGTGGTCCTCGTCGCCGGAGTGGGATTCTTACTCGATGGATTCTCCGTAGGACTTTGATCTATTTCATTGAGGACCGGATCATGTCGACTGACATCTTTGTAGTTATTCACCGGCAATATCGCTCTTCCTATGATTGCCTACGTCTACTGGAAGGAAGAAAGCTCATCGTACCGTACGACATGCATCAACATCGCCACCCTCGCCGGGACCTTGCTGGGACAAGTCACCTTTGGATTCATGGCGGATAAAATGGGCCGGAAGAAGATGTACGGTATTGAACTGGTTTTGCTCATCGGCTCCACTCTGGGGGTGGTCATGAGCTCGCAAGGCTACGATGGGAGCATGAGCGTATTCGCATGGTTGATTTGGTGGAGAATAATGGTCGGCATTGGTGTGGGAGCAGACTATCCCTTGAGCGCCGTTATCACCGCCGAGTCAGGAATCCTGTCATCACGTCGTCGAAGTGGTTCGCTGACCGGTCAATAGATTCGCCCCGACAAAGCATCGCGCCCGTATGATGGCCAGCGTGTTCTTCATGCAACCCCTTGGACAGATCGCTGGAAACTTGGTCTCACTTATTGTCGTCAGTATCTCGCGAAAATCCGACAGCAGCGATCTACAACGGTCCGTGGACATTATGTGGAGATGGATTATCGGGATCGGGGTCGTCCCCGGCGTGGTAGCCTTGGTGTTTCGATTTGCCATTCCCGAAACCCCCCGATTTCTCCTCGACATCGAAGACGACCCTGTCAAAGCCGAGTTTGACGCCACCCAATTATTCGGCGAATCTTCCTTGGGTAGTGAGATGGAAGAGAACGTGTGGTGTGATTCTCTGGAAGGGTCCAATTTGTCCAACCGGTCACTGGATGAGAGTTCTACGGCCAGGCCGTCTTGGACCATCACTCCGGCGCCGTTGACCACCCTCAATTCGTCGTGGCAGCTCTCCCAAGCCGACATCAAGCAATACTTCTGGACGGAAGGAAATTGGAAGACCCTCGCGGCCACATCTATGTGTTGGCTCCTCCTGGACTTTGGATTCTACGGAATCGGCCTCTCGAGCCCTCAGTTTCTCGCGAAGACATGGGGATCATTGGATATTCATGGCCCCAGCCCGCCGTGGAAGACCACGGACGACCCGAATGTCTCCATCTATTCGATGTTCTTTGATACTTCGGTGCAAGCGCTGGTGATCCTCAATACGGGAAGCTTCGCAGGAGGAGTCCTGTGGATTTTGTGCGCGAATCGGTTGAACCGGATCAGTCTCCAGAAATATGGCTTCTTACTGCTGGCGGCCCTGTTCATCGCGCTGGGGACCGTTTTCATTACGATTCAACAAGAAGGGGCACTGGCCATCACACTGTACGTCATTGGACAGATGGCGTTCAACTTTGGTAAGTCAACCAACGCGTCCACCGGACCATATCAATATCATTTCGCGCTGACTCGCCGACTTTCCCCAGGCCCCAACTCAACCACCTACATCATCCCCGCCGAACTGTTCCCAACCCGCTATCGAGCCACCTGCCACGGTATCTCCGCCGCGTCAGGCAAGCTCGGATCCATCCTCGTCCAAGTCTTTTCCCTCTACTACAAATTCGGCTCCTCCGACCCAGGCGACTCGCAGACAAGACGCTACGGGACAATCCTGGTCGTATTCAGTGCGTGCATGATTTTGGGCGCGATCATCACACACTTCTGGATCCCCGAGGTGCAGGAAAAGGCCAAACGCGGCTCTATCTGGGCCGGCAAGGCTAAATCCCTGGAAGAATTGGCGCTGGGTAAATGGGGCGTTCGGAGTCAGTCGGTCGTGCGGTCTCAGCACACGAGGAGTTTCGATGGACTATAAATGGATGGAACTGAATCGTTTATTTTGGATCGATGGGCGTGTTGATACTTGTCGTTTTGGCACGGCGATCCTGGAGTTTATGAAAAAATGATTTTATGCGGTCTGATCTGACAGGCAAGCATGTACGTGCGAAAACCGACACAGAAACGGGACAGAGGGTTAGAGATGGACCGATGACACAACTTTGGTCATATATGAAATTACCGAACCCACCAGGGAAGAAACTCTAATTGTATCATATTTGAAAAGTGGAGGAGATGTTTGAAATGTGCTCAGGAGGTATGATTGATTGATTGATTCCTACGCCCGTGCAGGCCACTCGATCGTCTATCCCATACCCAGTTCCTGCTCAGAGGTAGGGAATGAGTTGAGTGAATGGATCAACCTGTCGGGCTTGTTATCGTCCGCAAGCAGTAGGCAATCCGAAAGCGCCATGGTAAAGCTTACCTTCGAATTTAACAGAGAGGAACAGCCGCAAATCGAATTGATGGCCCAGTGTCTACGTCCTTGCCCTTGTATCGTTGTTTGCTAAAATTTCACGATCTCGTTCGCAACTAGGCTTCACTTTCGTCTGCTTGCAGCAAACAAGCCGCAACCCTTCTAGGTACTTCCGCGACTTCTGAGAAGCGGTTTCTTTGAGTCATTGGCGGAGAGGGATTTTCTCGAGGCGCACATTTGAATCGCCATCAAACCTGACGTCAGGTCAGCTTCCTCCTGTCTGTCTTCACCCCTGATATTGCGCAAAGATACTGGCGCCATACCTTTCTCTTGCACATTCTGCGCTCATGCCTTCTCTTGCAAGTGAGACCTAGTCTATTACAGATCTATGAGCAGCTATTCACCCTGAAAGCAGGGATCGTCTGCAGACACATGACGCTGGAAGCGAGGCAATCGAGAAGCTCCAAGTTCCACCTCCAAGGCCCTGCCGACCACATGCATGTGTGACGGTAGATTTTCAAGCCACTTCTTCATGCAGGTACCCGAAGCGTCGGTAGTGTTACTCCTCTAACAGCATCTGAACTCCCGGCAAAATGTGCTCGAATACCGTCTGTTTCAGCCGGGAATGTTTCCTTCAGCTTTCCAATTAAATCGTCCACATATCTGCACCCTTTGCCGATCCCAACTGACATGATGAACCGCAAAGCCTTAGCGTTGAATGGAGAGAACCCCCGAGGTAGTGTCTACCACGGTGCAAGATTTGGCAGCATTCGTTGCTCTCGGCGTTGAGTCGTCCCAGCCATGGCTGGCTGTTGCGAAGCAAGGATTACGCTCAACAATCTCATCGAACCCGGACAGGAAATAAGAGGTACTTGAACCAATCCCTCGGGATACCAATACACCCAAGCTAACCACCCTCGCCCCCTGCGAGTCCTTGGATATCTGTGGGGCATGAGTAAGACTTTGAGTATCAATTGGCTGCTTGCTGCATCTCGGGGAACTCTAACTATTGCCTGACGTGGAACAATCTCCTCCCAGACTTCTAGTTTATTCCGCTTCGACCATTTCCAATAGAGCACACATTTTGAGCAAATAAAGAGATGAGGCTGAATGTTATTCGCCGACCCCAACCTTGTCGCCAGTTCCTGGATGACTTCAACGGCGTAATATAGACTGTCCGCTACTCTCTTTCCCGTCTATGAGTGGCCTGGCTGAGGTGATTATTTATGTACAGAATATATGTGGAATGTGTCTCGACTTATCCACAGATGACAACAACATTGGTGATACCACCTCACTCGGGAAATTTCCTCAGGCTAACACATTGATGTTGCTCCAGGTCTCCTGACCGACAAAGACAGGAAGAAGAAAGCCGTATGCAGTGAAGCCTACGACTCGTCACGGGCGACAGACGACCCTTGTCCCGAAACCCACATTCGCCAGCCTTTGGCAGATCCCCACTTTAAATCCCTATCGAGCCCCGTCCATAATGACCTCCTTTCTGAGGTAGTCTTGTGCCCATTCCGTACACAAGGGTTCCTGTGTAGTCATTTTCGTGAGACAGGAATATTGTTCGGCCGAGGATTTGATCAGGACAAACGAGCGACCGCTTTTTTCTGGAGTATAGAGTCCAACAATGGGATCTTCAGATAGTTGGACTGCCATTGTTACTGGGGGGGCGTCGGGCATCGGGGCAGCTACATCGAGAAAACTCGCCAGCCGCGGGATTAACGTCCTGGTCACAGACATTCAGACCGAACTCGGAGAAAAAATGGCCAGCGAATTAAAGTCTACCTTCAAGGTCGATGCGGCCTTCCTCCGTGTCGACGTGTCAAGGGAGGAGGATGTTCGTGCTATGGTGAATACGGTTGTGCAGAAATGGGGCCGACTGGATTATGCTGCGAACGTGGCTGGATTCTGCAAAGAGGACCGATATAACGAAGCTAATGTGTCAACGGAGGAGGTTGATAAGTATGTGTCCACTCCCTTCAGCGTGCAGCTCGGCATGAGACTGAAGACGATCAAAGACATTTCGCGGTCAACCAACGAGGGCTCTGGCTGTGCCAGAAATTCGAAGCTGCGCAGATGTTGAAACAAGAGCCCAGAGAGGTCGAACTATTCCCTAGGCCTTCATTGCCAATCAGGCCACAACGCGGGGCCATTGTCAACGTCGGTTCGACCACGGCCGTCACGGGAATGGGGTTCGCTGCCTACGCCCCAACGAAAGCGGCTTGCCTCGAGATCACTCGGAATGGTGCTTTCTTTTACAGCCCACGTGGAATTCGTTGTAACGCCGTCTGTCCTGGCGCGACTGTCACAGCCATGTCCGCGGCCAATATGGTCGACGAGGTCGTAGGCTCAGGAGACCGTCAGGCCCTAGAGAACGTCTATACGCGGCCGATCGCGCTCAAGACTATGGCATGTCCCGAAGAGCAGGCGGCCGTCATCAGCTTCTTGTTGAGTCCAGAGAGCAGCCACGTCACTGGTAACACCGTCATGGTCGATGGCGGGTTCAGCAACGTTACTTTCTAGCGAGTAAATGAAAGAAATCAAATAATAACAAAAGTAATAATTAAAAAAGGCCACTGCATATATAAGGATTTTTCTTTTTCCCGGAATCCCCCTTGGGAGGTGGGGACACCGTTGTCTTCTATCACTCCATTTGTTGGAAGGTCGATGTTGCACCTTTGTAGTAGATTGGGAACTAAGAGTTTCCTCAGCAGCGATTGATCCTCGTATGAACTTGTCGGAGTTGGGAAGACGGTCCTGGCTGGATCTACGTCGACGGTACCGAGGCATCGGTCCAAAAAAGATACGGTTACGCTGCCCTGCCCTCTACTGTTTGAGGCCAGGCCTGATCACGTTGACGAGCGATTGCGTGAATGAATGAGTCTCATTACGGGGTGCCTTTGCCTCACTGACGGTTTGAGCATCGAAACGAGCCTAGAGAGGAGACACCGGCGTATCAAAGGAACAAGCTTGATAGCTAAGTATCCAGCCTCAAGTGTAAACTACTCGCGTGGGCGACTCAGGACCCAGGGATCCGTCACATTGTGAGTAAATGCTGTGGTCTGCTAGGCTGATGCAATATGTCCCCTTTTCATTTCTACCCTAGCCACGATATCCTCTCGTTCCTTCTTCTCATAGAGCCTCGTAGCCACCTCGCCAGTCATCAGATCATCAACATTTGGAAGGAAGAGTGCGCTGATGATTCCGGCACCGCAGAACGCAATCGTTGTGTAGAATACCATTCTATACGCATCGGCATTGGCGATTTGATAGGCACGAAAGACTTTTTGAATAATGCTGGGGGTGGTGTCCGGAATTTCTTGCAGACCATTTCCAGTTGAGAATGCGGCGATGAAATCGGCCACAGTCGAAGGAGGGAGACCGGCACTTTCAACCGCCGATGCTACTTCCCTCGGTACGGTCACCGACAGACGATCTGTCAAGACCACGCTGTATATGGCTGTCGCAATGGTGGTGATTGTGAAGCGGATGGTGCCTCCAAATCCACATCCACTGCCCATTTGCTGTTGGTCGGGGAGAACCAAGGTAGTTGTGGTCAGAGAAAGGCCTTCAACATAGCCCGCTAAGAAGACACTGAGTGAGAGGAGGACACATGCACGAGTTTTGGTGTCGGGCGTACATGTCGCCATGCCTAGAAGTGACCAAAGTCAGTTAACGTGTTCTTGAGAAGCCCAGTCCAGCGCAACCGGTGTTACTTACAGGCCAAGAAAATGCCAGCAGCTGCAATGGTGACGATGCTCTGCCACTTGACCCTTTTGATGGGCTTCGCCAGAAAACCCGACAATATTTCTCCCGCCACCCATCCCGCGCCGACAATCGATGCGATCATGCCATCCGTAATCGTATCGCCAGTAGGATATATGATTGTAACCATTGACGGCCACACGACAGCAAGCGCGTAGTACAAGCTAGCGCCTAGCCCAGACAAGACAACCGCGGCGGCCCAAGGGACAGATTTGAGCAGCTGAATCGGGACGAGCGGTTCCTCCAGTTGGGCGAAGGTTTCCCATGAGACGAAAGCAACCAAAGACGCCCCGCCCGCGATCAGCGTGCCCAGGACATGTGCGGAATCCCAGGGATAGACGGTTCCCCCCCACTGTAAACCCATCAAAAAGACCAAGAGGCCGCCGGCGAACAGGACAAGGCCGACGAAGTCGAACTTTTTGGCGTATAAGAGTCTATTTCCAGACTGGTGTTTCATCTTGAAAGTGGGAGGACGGTAAAAGAGGACCCAGCACGCCAGAGCAACAGCATTATATCCGATCAGAATATAAAAGCAGGTGCGCCAGCCTGTCGGAGTATGAAGGATGGCGGAATTTGCGATGGCGGGTGAAAACGCCCCTCCAGGAGTGGCGAAGATATACATGACTGCGTTGCCCACAAATCGGTAGTTGGAAGGAATCAACTCTGCCGTGACATAGAAGTAAGAGACCTGTGTTGATGCGGCCAGACCGATCAAGGTCATGCCTGCGATCAACGCATTGATGGTCGGGGCGGTCGCAGAGACGATGCTCCCGACGACACCTAGAGCCGCACCGCCGATAAAAGTGTATCTTCTGCCGAAAATGTCTGTGAAGCGACCGACGATCGTCAGTCCCACGGCAATCATCAGCGTGTACACGATCGCCACCCAGGACAAATTAGGACTGGGACCGATGTCGTTATTGATTACGCCCAGGATGGGAGCGGCGTATGCGAAGCCTGCAATGGCACTGAGCAGACCCATTCCTATGGCAGTCATGCTTCCCAGGAATAGGCTGCTCCGAAAGTATCCCGGTGGAAGGTGATCCACGTGAACTTCTTCGATCTGGACATCTCGTGGATCTAGAGACGACGTCTTTTCTGACGTGAACTTCATTGTTTCACAAATCGGACTCTCAAGGCCGATTGCACGGAGTGAAAGTGAGGTTGAAAATCGCCTCTCATGTATCCCAAACGAGCATTTAACTAACCAGGATTGCAGCCGAGGAGAAAATCCTTCTGGAGCCAGTATTCCGAATTCCGCGATTAGCTGACAAGAAGTTCTCGACCTGGGTGTTGGAACCGGTCGTCCAACACGATTCCACAACTGTACCGCCCATGGCCTGGGCCTCACGAGCCTCACGAGGTTGGCCCACGCGGTTAAGGGTCTTTCGCAGTCAAGGAGTCCACATCCCCTTTGGTAGGATGCATAATCTCAACACGTGGTGCCGCTGTTCTGGAAACGGGGCTTGATCAAATCGCACAATTTGGTGTTTGTTAGGACGGTGGGGAATGTCGCAAGTTTAGATGGGTTCCTTGCAGTTGTGAAGTTGTTGCCCGGAAATCCGCCTTCGGTTTAGGTGGTCCTGCCGTTTCGGGCGTGGTTGCGGGCTGGGCGCGCCGCTGCTTTTCACGGCTATTTTATGCGAATTATCGCCCAAGATCAAAGCACTTGTACCTCTTGACGCCTGCGCTCGGCCGAACGTACCTTCCAGCGCTCACCCGCGAATGAAACAGAAAACAGTGAGTATCTCTGCAGAACGGCCATCATCCTAGAGAGATCCCCAGCCGCAAGTTGACGAGGACGGACTCTGACATATACACATCAGTATGCACCGTTCATGTACGCGTACGATATGGGATCTCTATTACTCACCTTGGCTGGCTCCGAGCTAAATGCCTGCAGCAGTCGTCGCGGTAGGGTTGCCACTATTTTCACAGTCGCTCTCGCGACAACACTCCTTGCCAGTCCTGTCAACGGGAGCGGGCGGTGTGGGAGCCTTGCAGTTGCTTCCTCCAAATCCTGATTCGCTCCGCAGAGAGATGTTAGTGAGCGATGGAAGGTCGCTGATTTCGCTTTCACTGTCAATGTCGTGATCTTTGTCGTATTACTCACCGTTTTCAACCTTGTCACCGTCGATTCCGCCGCTGCGGCGGGCTCTGGCAACTCGGATGCCGCGTTTGCCAGGACCGTGAGCCATTAGCTCCAAAATCTCCCGTACCGCCAGATATTCTCGAGCGGCGTTCTGGGTAGAAGGAGTTAAATCGACGAAATCCACATTACTTACAGGCTGTGCCTGTTAAGATCTCTCTGCAGTTGACCCGCCCAGTCTCGAAGGTTCCGGCGGTCTCCGTTACGGCCACGCTTCCGAGGCGTTGATCTAGCCTCTTGTCAGGTAGAATTTGCCTCGGACGAGTCTAGATAGTCTCGTGTGAGGTAATCACCAGTAAGCCGAATGCAAGAGATCTCAATCAATCTTCCCCTTGCATAAGCATATGTGTCTCCAATTGCTGAGCCGATGAGGACTCTGCACATATTTCTTGAGATTGAGGGGTTTTAAACGGCTGAAAAGCCCCTGTCTCCGTCGGGTGCTCCGCTTGTGATTGTTCATAGTGCACAGGGGCGGTCGCCAGGTCTATCGTGGACTTGGTGTTCTGGTCTTCATCTTCCGCGACCAGATCCTTGAGCATCTCGGCAATCTTGACATGACCTGCCTGTAATGCCACCTCATAAGCATTCTGTCCTTCATCAGATTTCGCGTGGACATCTGCTCCGTGGTCCAACATCATCTGCACAATGTCCGAGTAGCCCTGAGACGCAGCACTGATCAAGGGGAGCCTAAAGTTGGATGGCAGATTCACATTTGCACCATGCTTAACCAATTCGAAGACGATGGACGACATTCCTCTCTCCACGGCGACCCCGAGCGGTGTTTTACCCCATATTGAACCGGATGGGTTTATCAACACGCCATGTTCTAGCAACATCTTCACAACCGGAGGCCTGCCAGAATCCACTGCCATCTGCAAGGGTGTGACCCCTAGTCGCGAGATCTCAAGCGGACCAAGGCGCTGATGCGCCCGCCGCCGATTATGGAATTGTAAAAATTCTGCTAATGTACTATCGCTTCCGTGATGCGCCACTGCAGCAACCGCTGCTTGCAGCGTGTGATAACCAGTGCAAGCAAAGTGCATACGTAGCGTCCACAAGCACATATGTGCATCCGAGGCACAGGCATCAAACTGGTTCCAGCTGAGATTCATTGACTCCATGACGGGCTGTGCGAATCGAACCGTATCAAAATTGAACTCGAGGCCGTTGCCCAAGATAGCATGCCGACGCCCAGCGGGACGCTGGCTGGCTACGCGAATGCAGTGCCATCTTAATAAGACTTGGGTGAGATGCTCTGTTCGAAATTCGTTACTGAGGTCTGGTGGTAGCGGTTTGCGATACTGTCGCAAGTAGGCTGGATCCCAGAATCCAGAATTGACCAGATGGAAGCAGATGTTCTCCAGGACATATTTTGCGATTGTTGTCCCTAGCCATTGGGAGCCCTTGGTAACTAGATCTGGAGTCGATGTGAACAAGTCGTTGCACTGTCGCTCTGTGATGACGCAGCTCAGCTCGTCGGTAGTTATTATACGACTGCACATTTGATAGAGGCGGAAATGCCCCATAGACGAATCCATTGCCAGAGGCGATGAACGCCCGGGAAGATGGCACACACCATCGGCCATCATGAAATCCCTGACAGTTTCGTGAATGACATGAACAATCCATCTCGTTTCTACGTCACTATCCTCCTGGGTCGGCACTTGCGGATTCTTCTCCTCTGGTAATGTGTCATGCGCATAATCCTTGACACCAAGCATCACTTCTAAATCGGCTGAAGATTGAGGTCGACGACCAACGGGCACACCAGAGTCAACGACTTCGAGAAGACCTCCGGACAGTTCGGTAATGAAGAGCTGAAAGTATGAGACTTGTTCCGTTAGACATGCGAAGTCGTGCAAGGCTGCAGGGTAGCATTGTCTCATGAATTCGATGCCGAGTCGAAGCTCATCCGTGTCTAGCGGTCTGGTAGCATACAAGACGAGGTACATCAAGCTTGCAGTGTCCTCCGCCAATTCAGGATCAAGGGTCGCGAAGATGTCGCTGTAGAGCGTGCTCAACTCGTCTGGTAAATCGTGTATGACCTTTTGAATCCTGGCAATAGGAAGACCTTTGTCAGCAAGTTTGCATATCTTGTTGACAACAAGAACACCCCACAGAAATACGCCCTTGGATTTCTTCACAATAATTGGCTCTAGACAGCGGAGCGACTCTCGACGTCTCGATCTGGCCAAATGGCGGCTCACGTATAAGGCAATGTCTTCAAGGTTCATGTTATCCACCTTGATCTCGAAACCGTGCACGATGCTGATGTACGGGTAGTATCGACTAGACCAACAGATCTTCAGATTTCGGGACCCCTTCGCCATATAAACGGCAGCACATGTTTCGAATGCAGCAATGATTGCGCGGACCTCCTCATCGTTGCATTCGTCCAAAGCGTCGATAAAGATCTCCACAGGTGCTCTGGAGTTGAATTGGACCGTATCAAAGAATATATTCCGCAGTTCTGCCGAGCTCCAGATGATCCCTCGTTTCCCTGCCATCGCCCTCTTTTTCCTGAAGAGCGTTAAGAGTCGATTTCTCATAAAGAGAGATTCATTGATAAGCTGGTGAAGAAAAGTTTTGAATAATCCCTCGGCATTTCGTTCTTGCTCAGTCCCACGGGCATTGAAGAAGAAAACGAGTCGGACTGTCCCTTTTGGTTTAGGGGTTTTGGAGGCAATGTGCTTCATCAATGTGCTCTTGCCTGAGCCGGGCTTTCCTTTGACCCAAAGGAGGCCATGTGATTTATCTAGATCCTCACAATTTGCCCAGGCCTTGTAGGCGGGGTTTTGCAAGATCCAGTTACACGTGCCCGACTCGGCCCGTTCAATGATGGCTTGCCGGACGCCCATTTCTGAGAAGGACAGTGTCTCGAGGAAAGCTTCTGCGTCGGCATTTAAACCACCATCTGCCGCACCTCGTCGCGCCCAGCGTCCGAGGACACCTATAATGCTCTTACAACCTGGATGGTCTGCTGATGCGAACCGTGCCACATCTCGGTGATCTGCATGAATTGATATATTGTTGAATCCTGGAATTGTAGCGGAGGGTTGGTCGACGATTTGGACTCTGCCGAGTAGAGGCATAGTCTCGTAGAAACATGCAATCTCGATTTGTCTGTGGTCCGAGCCTCGTCGTCGAATCATGGAGAGGAAGTCATCATGTATTCGAGCCAGTACTTCAGAATTCGGCTTTAATAGTGACAAAAGGGTTACATCTGTCCTCTTCAAAATATCCAGTATCGTGACAGGGAGTTTAGCCCACGTTGCAAGCCAGCTTCCCCCGTGCGGCGTCCCGATAAATGCGATACCCCATGTACAACTTGTAATTGATTCTAAATGCATGTCTCCACTAACCTCTGAGGCACGGAGAGCATCCTTGCACAAGACGCCCCCGAGACTGTGAGCGACGAAAATGATAGGCCTCGTAGCTGACGCATGGTCTTGTCTTTCATTGACGAGGGTATTGAGCAAGTCTTTTGCGTGATGAGAGATGTCAATTTGGGCAACTTCGCCATGTTTTCGCACGACGTAAGCGTCGTATCCAAACGTCAGCACTCTTGTATCAGGTAAGAAGTTGGGCAAGATATCGCGAGGCCAACAAACTCCGGTGTGGGACTCGTCCAAGTTCGTTCTCTGTCACCGGTAAGACCGTGAACAAATACTACATCGAGAGTCGCCTCGGGAGGGTCGAACAGGACCTTGATGCCTGATGGGAAGCTTTCGAAGACAGGGGCTCTTCGCCAGTTCCTCCTCTTTCCTATTAATGCCATATTTGGACCTGAAGAGTGACAAGGAAGGCATCCCCTTAGCTGCTCAGTTTGGTGGCAAGCCCGCGGGACTCATTCTCGTCCTCTTTAGGATATCGAGCGAGAGGTGTAGGGACATGGTTCTGATGAGAGGAGGATCAGGCTCTTGAAAAGGCATTCCGATGAAGTAGCTGGGCGACAGCCGGCTATTTTACCTCTCTAAGGTTAGTGGGTAATTAGGCACCAGTGCCAAGACTCAATCACCATATAGATAGGCCTTTTTTCCCGTCCATGATTACACGAATTCTATCCGCTCATTTTGACTATAGCAAGGCCACTGCCCTAATCGAGCCCTCAATCGTGTCATCAAGAGCGCTTTCATGAGTGTTACTGGTCTTATAGCGGTGCAGCCACTTCCCCCGTCCTGGCTCTTACCATTTCCTGTGAGCTGTTATTCCTATGTCACGGAGACTACATAGAAACGAAAGACCACGTGATGTGGCTTTTCCGACGAGGCTACCCTTTGGGTGGGCTTTTTTTTCTTTTTCCACCCTTCTCATTCTCCTGTGATGTAGATCCTGGTCGGCCTCAAGCCGAGTTGATTCTGAATGAAAGGGGAAAGTAGCTAATGTCGCGCTTCTACGCAGTGATTCTCTTATCTGTCCTACTTGTTTCGTCCTAGATAGGTGGACGTGAAGCCGTGAAGCTCTTTTTAATTTGCTGCTTTACTTTTTGCAGCGGGAAAAGATTCTTTTCATCGAGTTTCAGAACCTCAGGTTCTTTCCCCCCAGGATCGTTGTGGTAACCATTGCTCCCTTACCAACGTCATCAGCCGTTCAAAATGGAAAGGAGTCCCCGTCACAGAACTTACAGGGTCAGAATATTTCCATCGGTATCTCCAAAGAAGATCCAGATCGAATCACCCCAGTTTAGGCATCCTGCCGTCTGTGAACATGGTTCTATGCTGTTGATTGAAAGATATGGTAAAAGGGAGAGGAACGATGAGGGATGGAGCTGCACCTTTTTGCCGCTCGACGTATATTTTGTTCCTTCGCTGTTTCACACCTCGTACGGCTGCTTCGAAGTCGGGGACCTTGATGCAATAGCGAGCAATTCCTGTCGCGTGCCGTGGTCAGCAGGTACTCACGTCCTATGAAAGATCCGCTCCACGTGTGGCTCTCGGTACCTCTTTGCGCCCATGTTGGCTCCAGTCCTGGGAGTTTTAGATCTGTTCATGGTTAGCCTCGGGGTTGCAGTCCTCATCTGGTTCACTCGCAAGCACCTTCTAGAGATTCAAGAAGCTCGAGGTGCATGTGACTTGGATCTCTTTTCCCGCGCAGGAAATCGCAGCGACCCCATTGGGGCCATGCCCCAAAACCCTGCTTATACTGGTTTTGAAAGTACTCGAGGCCGTCTGGCCAGCCCACTTCCGGTCGAAAGTCGACACCGTGGTCGTGTGACATTCCGAAGGACTGATAGAATTTGGTCATCTCTGCAAAGTTCAGACAGTTGACCATAAAATGCAGGAAGCTTGTCCGATCATTCGAGGGCGGTGTTGCAGCCTCGACATGCGGCGATCCTTCGATGGAGATGATCTCCAGAAAATTCCCTTCTGGATCTCGTAGCAGCGTGGTCGTTGTGGGGCCCCATTTTCGGGGAATGACCTCTGGAGCTTGGAGGATTTCCAGTGAGCTGAAGTCCCTCTGGATGCGAGCAATCTCTTTTTGAGCGTCATCGACAAGTAAGGTCAGACAGCAAGATCCTATCTGGTTGAAGACCGGTGGCCATTGCGCTTTGGAAGAGATCTTGTTCCAGCTGTAGAACCAGACATGCATGAATGGGTCGTCGGGCAGTTTCATGGCAACGCTCTGATTCAAAGCACTGCGACTCACTCCGCGGGCGGCAAACCAGGAATCCGGCAGACTTTGGCCACCCTCCACGTCCGCATCTTCTATGGCAGCCGGTCAGCGTCCTGCGTCGGTGATGGTGGATATGACCTGGTTACTTACCGTCGATGATGAAACCGACGTGTCCATATAGAGCAAGCTGTTTCTCCAAATTTGGCGTGTTCTGGTGCACAGCAAAGATCCCAACCAGGTTTTCGGCGGCGGCCATTTCTTTGTCCAAGGGTAGTGATCAAGCCCAGGAACCGAAATCTTGGGGTCGACTTTTGGTGTTCTATTCTACTAATCCTATTTGTTTGAAGTGCGTTTACCTATTGACCGGGGATTCTCCGAGGGGCCCCAAGGGATTGACAGTTTGGTAAGCTTTTTTTCTTCTAGTTAGTCGTCGTGCACGAGTCGTTCTCTTCAGGGCGGGGTGTTGCCAGTTGACTCTGAGAGTTCATCGTTGACCGAATGAAAAGCTAGGGCGGGCCTCTCACCTCTCGGCTCGAGACCCATTTCAGAGGCTACATGAAATTCTTACGAAGGGAGGCTGTGGACGCACCGTGTCTGTCGGAGATATCCACGTCTCTGGTCGAGTTTGTAGCATGATACAGGGCAGTTTAGAACCGTGGCTTCTGGCACTGTGTTGTGGAGATGGCGACCAATTAGCCGACGGATAGTCGCCACCAACGACTTCAAACTTCCCAACGTTCATAGTTTTGAATGAATCAGCGGTTCTGGGCTCGACCCAAAATAAAAGTGACAGGAACAGCTCATATTACTAGCACCAAGCGTTGCAAAAAGTAGAAGAATCGTGAACTTCAACCTTTTGGTTGGAATTTTCTGTTCCCCGTATACCCATATCGTAGTCGCCAAAGCATTCTAGCACAATACGCCTGGAAAGATTTCAAGGGCGGTCATGTCTATGAAAGCAGCACTCTTTCATGGAGTCGAGGGGGGACTAGAGATCGGGACCTGTCCGATACCGACGTTGCAGGCTGGCGACATTCTCATCAAGGTCGCGGCGGCTGGCCTGTGTCACTCAGACCTGGTGACCCTGAGTGGACAACAAACACCTAAAAAGGGGTATCCGATCATCCCCGGGCACGAAGGTGAGAACTGATATCTCCCTTGAATGAGAGAAGCCACCTTTGGCCTGATGAGAGATTTTATACTTACTGCAAATCGATCATCCAGCCTCTGGGACCGTGGAAAAGGTGGGAGAAGGGGTCAAGGGGTTCAAAGTCGGTGATAAAGTTGGTTTTCTTCTCTATTACCACAACTGTGGTGAGTGACGTAACCTGGGCGTTCTGTTTTTCTTCCCCTTTCTAGTCTGATCCGTGAATTTGAAAGGGAAATGCCTCCTGTGCGCTGCGACCCCTATTGCGTGTCCCGATGGTATTCTCCAGGGTTTCAACGGGGATGGATATTTCGCCGAGTACGCCGTCGTGGATGCAAGATCTGCCATGTTGCTTCCTGAGGGTCTAGATCTGGTCGAATCCTGTCCGCTGTTCTGTGCCGGCCTGACTGCCTTTCATGCAGTGGATCAGAGTGAGTTGAAACCTGATCAGTGGATAGGGATTGTGGGTATCGGCGGGTTGGGCCATTTAGGTAAACTCCCCCCAACTAATGTGGCAGTATATGATCAACGAACTGAATGGTTTCATAGCGGTTCAGTACGCTGCAAAAATGGGCCTGAGGATTGCAGCCTTGGACATTGACGAGAGGAAACTGGCATCGGCTAAGTCGCTGGGGGCTGAGGTTACTTTTAAGGTCAAAGACCCTAAGTTCATTGATGATCTGCGCCAGATAACGGGCGGAGGAGTTGACGTTGCCGTCTGCTTGAGCGGATCGAACGCTGCTTATGACACCGCTGCGAGTATCATTAAGCCCGGCGGGACGTTGATGTGTGTTGGCATTGTAAGATTGAGCCATTCTCCCCTTCTCAGCCTAGCGATCCATCACGCAGCAGCTAATGTCAAACTGTCGCTACAGAACGAAGGACGGCTTCCCATCTACAGCGTCCCCCTTGCCAATGGACTCATCAAGGTTAAGGGTGCTTCGTCCGGGTTTCCTGGTCCTATGATGGAGAAGGCTATCCACTTCAGTGCCAAACACAACATTGTGCCACATGTGACCAAGTACCGCCTGGACGACCTTCCAGAAATGGTGAAAAAGTTGGAGGCCGGCGACTTTGATGGTAGAATGGTGGTGGTGTTTTGACTGACCCTAAGTAGGGCCAAGAGTGTCAAGAAACGCACTCCGACTACGGACAAGCCGCTGGGTACACGAGCCTGAGTCATGCCATTGATGTCTATAAGGGTACAGCTCTATGTCCACAGCTCAGGTGTATATCTATCGTCATTCGGCAAGATCGTAGTGATGAATCCCCAAGGAATGCCCAAGCCGTCGGCAGGTTCCACAATGACCATCTCGTCGTTCTCGGCAATGATTCTGACTCCTTGAGCCCTGAGATGGTTCTTGACCACAGACAAGTCCTCGACCTTCCACGTCAAGGCGTGGTAGACATCCTCCTCAGGATGTTCCCGAGTCTCGTAATCTTTTGCCGCATATGAGCCTGAATGACGCGGAGTTGCAAATTCATAGACAGCATCAGCCAGCAGAATATAGACACTGTCAGTTCCACGGAGCGTATTCCTTTCGTCATGAATCACTCTCCCGCCCAGAGTGTCCACGTACAGTCGGATTGCGCGCTCCCTGTTCCCGGTGAGGATGGTGTGGTGAGAACAGAATTGAACCTTAAGATCGCCCTTGCCGATCCGCGGCTTCAGTTCCCATGATGGGTTCTTGCGGTGGTCGTAATCGCCAATACTCTCCACGGGATAGAATTCGTAGCGAAGTCCACTGGTGGGTGCTTCGGTATAGAACAGTTTGGACTTCTTGAACGAGGCCACCGGGCACACTTGGGGATCAGAAGGCCGGTTTGCTTGGTCAGTACAGCGGATGCCCAACGTTTGGACTTTGGCGTAAATCTCGTCGATACCCTCGACACCCCAACCCAGGCCGTTCAACTGAGGCTTCTCGACCGTGGCATAGCGTTGTTCTCCATCGATGATGTATTTTCTGGGGTCGATGCAGTCGAAGAAGACATCTGCAATGGATGTAAAGATGCAGTAGTCGGTCGGGTACGTTGGGTATCTAGGATCCGGTTCCGTGTAAAGTGCGCTCCGCCATACGCTAGGGATCCCAAAGACTTTGTTGAAAAACTCGTCGGCTTCTTCTAAGCTCGGCACACGGTGGCTTGGGTGATACAACTTTACAATCCTGTAGGCCATCAAGGGCCTCTCTGTAGGGCTGAAAAGGAAAGCGGCATGTAGCAAATTGCAATTCGAACGGTACTTGAGTCATAGACGAAACTCGCTTAATTCGTAATGCTCCAGGATGGCAGAGAATAACCAAAGAGTCGGGCATCTGGATATAGCTACCGGAGATCGGGACGCCTCGAATGATGATGGGTTGTGTCGTTTGTGCACGACCACCCTCCAGCCTCCGACATGATCGTTACGAGGAACTCGATACCGAAGTGGGCCCTGACTTTCAACCCGCCGAAGCTGCAGCAATTAAGGCTCTGCATGTGCACTGAAAACAGCTCCACAAAATGGGCATGAGCAGCAATATGAATGAGGCTTCTTTACTAAGGAGATTCGGGGGCAAAAAGTGGCCTACAGCCACGGGGTCTCTGGCATGTTAAATTTTTCATTGTCCTAAGGTCCGTAGCCATGTCAAAATAATGAATCTATTTCCTACGTTTTTCCAGTATCCAGGGCCATAGCAGCACGGTTCCGCCGGTAGGTCCTAGCTGACTCGACTTAAATCTAATACAACCCGGCCGTGGATCTTTCCCGAGTGCAGATCCTCAAATGCCTGGGCTCGAAAGTCAGTCATCTCCTTCAGGGCTCTCATTCTGGCGCTGTAAGTTTACCTCTGTCAACCGGTTCATGGGTTCTATCCGGAGAGCGGGGACGACCTGGCCCAATGCAGCCGGCTTTAAGCAGTCCACGGCCATGACCCTGTTTCCCGTGACGGCACCTTGCGGGATCCGATAAGTTTATGAGTGCAGGAAGAGTCGAGCAGCTTACCTTTGATTTTCCACTGGTTGACGATGATCTTCCACGGAGCTGAATTGGGCATAGGATGAGGGTCGACCTCTGGGATCCCGACGCAAACAAGCGTGCCTGCGTAGCGCAACAAGTCCAGCGACTGATCATATGCCTTGGAGCTGGCATTGCAGACCAACACAGCGTAACAACCTCCGTCGGTGATTTGTTTGACTTTCTCTGCCAAGCTCACAGAATCATACTGAGTATAATCAATGAAATGATGACTCCCGATCTCCAGACAGAAGTCTTTCTTGGATCCGTGGTCGATGGAGACGACTCGAAGGCCAAACGCTTTTGCGTATTGAACCGCCAGATGGCCCAGGCCGCCTCCAGCGCCTGATATCCCGACCCAGTCGCCGTGTTTGCAGCTTGCCTCTAGGAGCGCCGACCACACTGTCACGCCGCCACAGAGCAGGGGTGCCGCCTCGGCCGGTGGGATTTCTTTCGGAATAGGGGTCACGTATCGGGGATCGCTGATGATGTATTGTTGAAAGGTTCCTGGCGTCTTGAACCCGGCCACTTTACGTTTCTTACATTTGTTATCAAACCCCTCCATGCACTGCGGGCACGTCAGGCAGGCTGAGGTGATCCATTTCACTCCTACCACGTCCCCGACCTGCACCTCCGTCACTCCTTCACCCAATTTCACCACGTACCCAACCCCTTCGTGACCTCCGATCTAGGTATGTCGCGCGTCATTGGTTTGTTGACCTGGGTTGACCCAAGAACGGGACGACAGATGGGTGATGAAGCTCTACTTACCTGGCCAGCTGGGGTTGGCTCTGGCATGTGTCCGTACGAATTCATTATGAACGCAAAATCCGTATGACAGACTCCAGAATGGGTCCTGGGCAAATCAAGTCAGTGAACAGAGGTATCCTAGGGCGTTGTGACGGGGCCCAAAATCCTGAATCTTACAGTCGTATCAGAATCTCGCCCCGCAAGGGCGAAGGAGTTGGCACATCGATGATCTGTGTGGCGAGCGTACCCGGGCTCGAGTAGATGATAGCTGAGGACAAACGATGACTGAGTACATGCTGCTATCAAGACACAGAAAGGTTTTTTTTTTTAAAAAAAAAAAAAAAAACATACCCTTATGGGTGGTTGGGATATCCTCCATCACGAGAAACCGACGAGTTCTGAGGAATTACAGCAGGGAAATGGAAGAAGTATGCAAGGTTTCGATCAACTGACAACCTGGGTGTTCTCACAGAGTGGCCCTGCGTGTTACTCGGGCAATATCTTGCGACTAGGATAAAAATCGCGGCTCTTAAATGATTGAGCAGGTAGACCCAGCTCACGCTGGTCTCTACAAACCATTTGTTCCCAATAGTATGAATCATCTCTTCGTGCTCGGTCTCTATGTATGTCGTCGGGACCGACAAATTTACTGTCCAATGTCCCAGCGGTGTGGGGGAGAGGGGCCAATCTTAGTTACCGCCTGTGGAGAACATCACGGGAACTAGGACGAATCCAGGGATGTTGGGTGCGTTGCCCGAGGCATTCGCACGAAAAGCTATGAGTGACATTGACCAATGTCAAAGGCTGGGGAGTCTCCCCAGTGCCCACTTGGCTGGCAAGGGGTACATGCGCATTAGTTATCTATCTAGGCGCCCCCGGGGTGGAGCAGTGTAATAACGACCTCGTTCGGAACGACATATTCGGTGCCAGATTCAAAGCAGCTTTTCCATCGCGTTCCTTCGACACCCTTGCTTGCCTTTATACGTTCACTCAAAGTCGCAATTCTGATCTCTTCAGAGACTATCTCTCCGTTTCAGTGGGAAATATTTCACTTTCACGCTCTACCCTGGCTTTTGCGAACAAAAGCCTGTGCTCTGATTAGTATGTCCAAGTCGACCGTTCCCAGTGGCGCAGATGTACAGACGGGGAGCGGTGGCAACTTTACGGCGATGGAGAACGAGATAGACACTGAAACGTCCGTGCCAACCGGTCAAAAACGCAAGAGATACGTCACGCAGGCTTGGTGAGTTGCTTCGAGCTGATTTTTTCTAAAATACTGACCACGCAACAGTGGCGAGTGCAAGAAGCGCAAAGTCAGGGTACGTATGGATTTCTTGTTGGATTGAGGTGCTCCCGACTTCAGTTCCCGCCCAGGTCCAAGCGAACTTCGTCTGATGCTTTTCAGTGCACCGGCGAACAGCCGTGCGAACAATGCTCGACGAGCCGGTTGAATTGCGAGTACAGCACCGAGCCGCGACGACGCAATCAGCAGCATGCCGGCGTCTCTGATAGCCCTGGCGAACACACCTCCACCTCGAGCAATTTTGTGCTATCGGGCGGCGACGCGGAGAAATTCACTTCGGAAGTTCTGAACCGACTACACACTATTTTAACGGAAGTAAGGATGGTCAAGGGCGCGATTGGGACTTCTCCCGGGCCGGACAAGCTGACGCCGCTCTCGTCCAGCCTTCGAGGCCTAATCACTCCTGAGTCCGGCGAGGGTTATGGGACGTCAGTCGAAGGTCAAAATCCCGACAGGAATGTCTTCAATGGTGGACCCAGCATTCTCAAGCCGTTGAACACACTTGAAAAAGTAGGAAACAATGCCGGAGATGGCGGGAACGATGACGACGCTGCGAATTCTCGCTCCGGGGCCAAGCAAGATTGCTTACTGTCTGCCTGTTCCAATATATCAGAATGCTACCTGCGTGAGCTTCGACTCTGGGACGCAAATATCAGGCATCAGGGCATTCACCCTCTACGGGAGCCGATCGATGTTTACTTCTCGCTGATGAATCCCCATTGTATGTGAATTTATTTGGCCCCGGTCGCTGCATTCCCTTTCTCCACCCCATATGCAACAGATCGTCTCAGCTCAACCGCTGACATCATCGCTGTGTTACGTCTAGATCCTTGCTTGGACGAAGATCTCTTTCGAGAGGTGTTTGACCGTTATGTGTGTAACTATCTTCTGCAAGACGTTACTCTCGACCGGATCCAGTTTATCGCACTGGTCTATCTGATTGTGGCCGTGGTCAAAATCGTCAAGGAATTCTGTGCCGAGGATAACGTGGTTCCTGGATGGTACGAGTTCACCCGAGCAGAGCACCTATTGAACCATGTAATTCGAACAGGGAAAGGGGACTTGGCCACAACGCAATGCCTAATCCTCAAGGCGTCATATCTATTGTACATTGAGCGTCATGACTGGGCTTACGACGTGATGGGCACGGCCGTCCGCCTCTGCTTCCAACTGGGTCTTCATAACCAGAAGTCCTGGACTGGGGCTTCCCCTTTCGAGAGACACATGAGAATCCGGATTTTCTGGTGCATCTATTGCCTGGAGCGGAACATTGCTCACCAATGCGGAGCGCCATACCAGATTAACGAAAAGGACATTGCGGTGGACCCTCCTTCAGAACTACCATCCGGCTCACGGGGCTTTGTTGTCAGCGAAGGCAGCATCAGCCCGATTCCTAGCCAGATAGCAACCATCAAGTGGGCGAGGTTATGTTCGGACATGTGGGATTCAATGTTTGGTGTGAAGTCACAGCCCGCCACAGCCGAATTCATTGCCGTGACTGATGCCCGGATCCTTCTCCTGCTCGAGGAAGTTCCGGAACCCCTACGGTGGTCGTCAGAGACCATCCGCAAGCTCGAATATTTACAATACCCGCACTATGTGGTGCGCCAGAGTATTGTCCTACACCTTGTAAGTAACGACGTTGCCACCCTTGCAGGTAGGAAGAGAGAAAAAAAAAAAAAAAAAAAATAAAGATCCCCGTTCTAAAAGACATCACAGCGAGCAAATCATCTGCGACTCCTTCTTCGGCGGAGTGACTTGTTGGATGCAAAAAATGGCGGTCGGACGGCTCCTCTGTGCGTGGAAATTGCGGCCTCATCCATCAATGCCATGCACGAATATCATTTTTCGCCGTTGAAACAGAACACTGAACGTTTTCCAACCGTGTCTTTCCTTTCCGGGGCCCTGGTCGCCCTGACTGCTGTGATCCTGGGCAACAAGGTTGATGCGAACACATCTCAGAAAGCAGAGGCAGCCTTTCAGAAAGCCATTCACTTGCTCGAGGACATGTCTCCCGGCTTCAGTCTTAGCCGCCGACTGTTGCGCCGTTTTCAAAGCGTCATTCAGGCCGCGACGCGGACAATGACCACCGCTCCCGAGGACGTTACTTCAAATGTCGGCGGTTGTATTGATCCGACGTCCTCAAGGCATGATCCCGCTACGGCAAGCAATCATGCGCTGTTTGACTTGGAGCTAGAAGACCTGATTCACTTCGACAATTTTCAGATGATGGAGGATGAATCGACGTTGTCCTTGTTGAACTCGGCTACCGCGGCTCCGATTCGATATCTTTCACCTCCACAATCTTCATTCAGCAATCACAGATAACGAAAAAATGAGGGCGGCCCATCCCGAAATCTCAACAAAGTTCTCCAAACGCATAGAGTTCCGTTGTCGGGCTGCGGCATCCAAAGTCGATATTTACGTGGTGAACAGTAGTCAGGGATGGTCACTATTGAAGCAGTATGATATCGCTGGAGATATTGAGAGTCATGAATTCATTAGCCACTACGGGCTGATGGCCAGGACAGCAAGCCAGGTTGTTCTCTGAGGCAACGAGACAAAGTTGCGTCTACTTCGGTGTAAGGATAGCTGTCCTGTACTTTTGGTTCTGCTCATCTGGGCCGTAATTTTTCAGAAGATAGCAATAGTATTTGGCGGACTCCCAACCCCGCCCTCAACGTGCAGAGGAGCACTGGTAAAGAAGAAGCTCCATCGCTTTTGTCGTTTGCACTGCTCACTCAGCGCTTCAAGATCGAACATTTCCCCTGAGAAAGATCGATCGGGTGAGCACGTCCGATGTCGATGTCGGGTAAAAATAAAGCGGATTTTCATCTCAAGACTTACCTATCGGCATGCCCCAACCACCTAGCATGATCTCGTGGAGCGAGAGACCTTCTAGGCCTGCTTCTGGGGGGGAATTATAGTTAGGGATCCGTTCCCAGCCAGGAGCGTCTCCAGCACAGGCCGAAATCCCCGAGTCCCAGAGGAACTGGGCCATTTTGCGCGTGGTCTCTACGCCGACCCAGACGGTCGGGTTTTCTTCACTCCATTCCTTTTTCTGTTGGTCGTTGAGAGCACGATACGCGGCCCAGAAGCCCGACCGGACGAATAATATGTCTCCCGAGCGAATCTCAACACCCTGGGCGGCAGCACAATCTTTGAGTTCTTCAACCGAGATTGCGTAGTCTGCCTTCTGGCCAAGTCGCTCGTAGTTGATGCCTTTCGATAGAGCATACGAGTGAAAGTCGAGAAGGACGCCTCGGCCTACAATAGACCCGTTCCTGACCCAAGCTGATGGAATTCCCAGCATTAGAAAACATGACCCCGGGACAAGATTTTATCGGAGATGCTGAAGGGCGGCTAGAGGCTTGAAAATGCCTGTAAAGAACTCACCATCGGTGCCAAGGACTGTCGGATCCGGATTATGACCGGAAATAGTGTCTACGGGGGTGTTGTTGTAGAATAGCCTAAGCTTGAGATAGGCCATGTGCCTGAAGCCATCCCATTGCGCTCCGATCTGTACAATTATATCAATGCTCAGTACTTGTACTCATCACCGCTTTTGTACTGGGCCCCACTGCTCGATGTCGTGTTTCTTCGGAAGGGATAGGACAGACCTTGGGGAAAGCCACTGAAACAAAGCTCGCGAATCGACTGGGGTATCATACTTGAGTATTAAATTCTAGCACGTCATCATGGACCGGTCGGCCTTCTCCTCGTCGAAAAATGGTATGCTTCAGTCCTTGACGGCCGTGGGTGGGCTGTAAGAGCGAGTTTACTGGAGGATCGAGAGAGACTCGTACACCTGTCTTTATCTCGCTCTGTGCTGCTGCACGGGTATTTTCTGCAGTGAGGAGGTTCAATGCACCCAGTTGTTCGCTTTCTCCGTATAATCCCCATGCTGAAAAGGGCGGATCCCCCTTGCGAAAGGGGAGGCTGTCGAATGGAGGCCTTGCAGGCATGGCTGCAGAATAATCCTTTTTAAGTATTTGAAGAGAAAAGAATAGACCAGCTGGGACTGGTGCTCTGGGGATGTCCTCCTTTTTCAATCACGTAGGTTGTAGATAACACGGGCGGGCCGAAGTAACTCACAGTCTTCAAGAACAAGAAGATCATAGAGCTCACCAACCGTACGGAAAACTCAATTGCTACATTTTTATTTTCCAGGAGACGGCTTCCGTCCGACAGTTCGTCAGGAACCGATCCAAGTCCACCGGCTATTAGTGAACAGATTCGCCTTGTTGGTAATGATCTTCGATGCAACAGGATCTATGCAGCACTAAGCTAATTGCGGGGATTGGATGACTCTGCAAAATATGGTCGATTTACTGGTAAGTCGTGGTGAACGAGTCGCTTATGAATGGAATTGGATTCGGGACTTCAAGGAAGTCGGAAATCAGACCCAGTCAGGCCACAAAGTGCTTCTAACATCTCCTGATTGGCATTAAGGACATTGATTCAACAAGTGGACTATGTGAAATGTCTCCTTCAGCCTCGGGGTGGGGGGCCCATCTCTGACGAGCACCTGATAATGATGCATCCCTATCAGTTATGGACCCTTTCTCTCGAATACTTATGACACGATGAGTCTCTCTGTTTTCCTGCAGGTACAGATACTACAACACTGACGTTATTTGTTTCCTTCGTTGGACAATCCAAATATTACCATGCCTCACAGCGACCAGCCAACCCGAACATGGAGTTCGATGATCTACGATCACGAAATCGATGAGCTGAGGCATATGGAAGTGATATGCGTGGGAGCGGGCATCTCAGGCATCCTCACTGGAATCAGACTGCCTCAGCAGATTCAGAATTTGGAACTCACGATCTATGAAAAAAATCCAGAAGTGGGAGGCACCTGGTACGAAAACACGTAAGTTTGGCTCTTGAGCCGTGGCTCGCTCCCGCCTTGAATGCAAACTGGAAGACTAACCGATCAGTTATCCTGGCGTTCGATGCGATATCCCCAGTCCCGGATATCAGCTTACCTTTGAGAGCAACTCTCAATGGAGCGAATTTTACGCAAGCGGTGCCGAAATCCAAAACTACATGGTCAATCTGGCCAAAAGATACGACGTATACCGTTTCTGTAAGTTCCGGCGTGTAGTTACTGCTGCCAAATGGCTTGATGGCATTGGAAAGTGGGAAGTTACGTGCCAAAATCTCGAGACTGGAGAGGTATGCCCGTGCTTTTGCCAACTCGACTTGCCCTCTCAGTGCTGAATTTCGGGCAGTCTGAGACAGATCGCTGTGATGTCCTCATGATGGGGACGGGTCTCCTGAACAAGTGGGATTGGCCCCAAATACCCGGGCTTGATACATTCAAAGGACCTAAAGTTCATTCGGCACGATGGGATCAGTCCATCGAGCTCGAGGACCGCGACGTGGCTCTGATTGGCGCCGGTTCCACGGGAATACAGATTCTTCCTGCCATACAACCAATCGCGAAAAGGGTTGATCACTATATGAAGGGGAAAAACTGGATTTCTCCCGTGGGAATTGGTGGGGATGAACTAGATCGACGAAATGCTACAGAGGGCAATTGTTCGCAATCCCTTTTCCGGAAAGAGGCCATCTCCTCTTCGGGCATAGTACTAACGCCGTGAACAGTTAAACACGCTCCGGAAGAGCTCGACCGATTCAAGGACCCAAAAGAATATCTCAAGTTCAGACATCGGATCGAAAATGATATAATGAAAGCTCCTTTAGCGGCATTTTACGGCACGGAAGAACAGAAACAGTTCCATGTGATGAGCAAAAGGTTCATGGAAGAAAAGCTAGCCAATCGGGCCGACATACTCAATGCTCTGATGCCAGACTGGACCCCCGGATGCAGAAGACTTACACCCGGGCCGGGCTACTTGGAGGCATGTTGTCAGCCTAACGTCGACTATGTCTCTACGCCCATTAAGCGGATTCACGAAGACAGTATTGAAACCGTGGACGGACAGATCAGAAAGGTCGATGTTATCATATGTGCAACAGGATTCGACGTGTAAGTATCTCTTCCACCCCTTCCAGCTGACCATATATTTCTCTGGTCCTGTCAGCCTCGTTACTCTCGCGTTCACAATTGCTGAAATGTCCTACGTTTCTAACCAATTTATCCGTACCAGATCACACCAGACAGGACCCAAAATTACAGGGCAAAGAGGGCAAGACCTTCACAAGCTCTGGGACCCGATTCCTGAGGCCTATATGTCAACCTGCCCGCCTTGCATGCCCAATATGTTCATCTACTTTGGCCCCAATGGAGGACCGATGACTGGCAGCACCATTTTGATGTTAGAGTGGGTTTGTGACTTTGCGATTGCAGCGATTCAAAAATTACAAAGAGAATACATCAAGTCTCTGGTTGTGAAGTATGTGCCTCTCCTCAGAGGATCGTCCTCTTTCCTTTCGGGTTCGTGCTTTTGAAAGCCGAAAACAGTCTCTTTCGCCGGTCATTTATCGGCATGTCATATTGAAACAACCAGGTGATATAATGCTAACTATCGTATAGGCCCGAAGCTAACCAGGATTTCAGCCGACACGTCGACAAATTTTTTGCAAAGACAGTTTTTACACAGCCAGTATGCGCCTGTGCTCTCCAAAGACCAGGAAGAACGCAAGTAATCTGCTAACTGCCGTCCGTAAATAGTGTAATTCGTGGTTTAAACGTGGTACAAAGGATGGTCGGGTAGTTGGTGAGTGCATTTCCCCGGGGAGACAAGCATTGCTGACATATATCTTCTTTCTGTCACAGCAAACTGGCCAGGCTCCGGGGTCCACTCAAGAAAAGCTCTCTTGAACCCGCGTTGGGAGGATTTCGACTACGAGTTGATGCCCGAGATCGAGGGGAACCGGTTGGGTTGGCTTGGAAATGGCATGACGGTCGCGCAACGAGACGGCACTTGGGCAACCGACTATCTCGATCTGAAGCAATACATCAACAGACCTAAGCCAGTGCATCCAGAAGTGTCTGTGGAATCACCGCGGTCGCCTAAATCGTAATTGCGGAAGGAAGATTCATGGTCAGCTCAAAGAAGGATAAATACGCTACAACATCTTTTGCGCCTCAATTGTCATTTTGAAGATGTCGTTTGTTCTTCCCTAGCCTCTCGAATTTCCTCATCCCCTTTCATGGAGGAACAATTCACCAAGATAAAGTGCTTAATGTACGTAGAAATCACCCATATTTCACCATTGAAGGATATACGGTAGTCTACTTGTCAGCTTGGCGGCGAGAACGCCTGAGATTCCCAACCTTTTTTGGTCTACTGGGGCTTGATGATTCCTTCTACAGAAGCGCCGACCATAGTAATTCGTATTCTCCTCTTACAGTCATGCTGACTTAGAACAGGTCTACGCAATTAAAACTGGACGAAAAAAGGTCTGCGCTGCTTGTAAGGTCCTTTGTACGTCGAGATATATATTGTTCAACAAGACTGCAGAGACAGACACCGCTGTCACTTTCGTAAATAGCACTCTGGAGAGTAACCTGGTGGCTTGATTTCTTGAACACATTTGCTTTCTTCTCCTTCTAGAGGTGAACCAAAATCCACGATCATTTCCCCCGCCGTGATGGTGATCTAGACAGAGAACAAAAATTCTCCTAGCCGGGAATCGTCTAGTTGCATTGACCAAGGCACAGGAACTTGCCATTCCATGAGAGACGGATCGATCTGGTAGCCCGGAGTTTCGCAACTGGGGGGCATCGGGTTGAAATCCCCAAACCTGGCATCTTTGTGGGGATACGCCGGCGAGGCTTCGACCGGACGATGTAATGACTTTGTGAATTCCATGGGCACAGACGTGCCACTAACCCTGACTTCAGCCGTCGTTGAAGGTGATAATTTCGTCTCGACCGAGCCATTGGCCGATTGGCCGTCATCTCTAGCGACGGATGAAGCGTTATGACCAGGGGGCAAACAGCCTTGGACGTGGGCATTGAACACGACCGGACCGGAGTTTGACACCATGTTCGGGTTTGAACCGTCTTTGGCCATTGTGTCACTCCTCTCCGTACTTGCGAGAGGTAGTTCTAAGCCCGACGGAACCGGTTGACTTGGCGTAGACCATTGTTCATGCACTGCACTTGTCTCTGGAGGACTTTCAGTGACGATTCTGGGTATCCTCATAAAGCTCAGGTCGTTCTTGGAGATGTTGAAGTCCGTCCTGAACTCGAGGTCAGAGTCGCTGATGTGGACGAAACGAGCAAATTCCGGAAAGGAGTCTACAAATCCTCGATGCATGCGAAGGCTGCTCAGGTCCTGGAACCATTTCTCCGCTCGGGGATCGATTTCAAGCTCGGAGCCATTGGGAGTGATGCGGAACAAGCCTCTCGGTTGAGAGCCCAGTGGAGTGTGAATGTCAAAATTCTCCACAAAGGAACTGTAAAGGTTCTGCGCCTGATATGACTGCCAATCATGCACGAGATGTGCGCGGATCCGTGGCCTAGTATGACATGAGTGAGTCAAGATTCGGTTGTAGGGCTACTATTTTGGGGCATTCCTACCATGGGATGAAGTCTATGAACGATGGATGAGGGTTCCACATCTGGACAAGAAGAGGTCGATACCACACTGGGCACTTGGACAGGTTCTTAGGTGTTGGGAAAACGAGTAGCTATCACCGTCGTGTCAGTCCATAGAATGTTAGACCATTGTTGGCAGCTTCGTGATCCCGCTGGGAGTGAAAAAAGAGGGCGGGAAGGGGCACCTACCATCAGCATGCGGTATAAGGCCCAGAACATGGTGATCCTGGCAACTTGAGAGCAGTACTTCCAGTGCTTGATGGCCTCAAATGCACAGAGAAGGAGCTCCTTTTTCACGTTTGAGACTGTTGTCTCCGGTGGCACGTGGGACGGCGGCATCAGAGCCGTGAGATCCAAGCCAGACTGCGATGATTCCAGGTCCTGTACCACCAACTGCACAAGACTGGGGATACAGGCCATGGCAGATAACTTGTCCTGCGTCAAGTAACCGGGGGTACGGTCGACGTGAAAGATCTGGGAGGCCAGGCCAAAAACGGTTTCCGTGTTTGGGGATTTCCGTCTCCAGAGCATGATGGACTCGAGGAGTTCGTCGTCCGAGAAGTCGACGTGGCAGCTCGTCTGGTCCATATTCACACAGATGCCTGGGAACGGCGAGGGCGAATTTGGTACGCGCATACGAAAGTTCAGTTCCACCGTGAGATCGGTCTTTGTCTTGATTTCCTGGCCGAGAGAGCGCGCTTCTCGACCATGAGAATTCGAGTTGCTATGGGTGCTTTCTCCTTGTTCCGCTGGGCTCGATGGCCCGGCCACAGTCACGGCCACGTCCATCGACGAGAGCGGTTCTTGGGCATATCCGGTTCCTGTTGAGTCACGTCGTCCTGTGATCGATGCCGATGCCGAATCGCCTGGATCCAATCTGGCAATCAACTCATGCGTCTCCTCTCGACTAATGCCGGTGGCCACGCATACTGATTGCAATCGATCCCGCAAGGCGGTTTTCGCCCGCTCAAGGGCAGCATTTTCTTGCATTAAATCTGCGATGACTCGATCGGGCTGCTGGCTACTCAGCAATTCAATCCGCTCTTGAAGAACCGCGATCGTGCGCCGAGCTCGGTTTCGATTTTCTCGGACCAGCGCCCGGTCAGCAGCACGCTTTCGGTCCAATTGCTGATCAGTCAGTTTATCTTTCCAGCACGATTTTGGCTGGTTTGCACTCCTCTCCCCATCTTTGGAAATCTTGGTTGGAGCTCGTGCTCTAGGCATCTTAGGGACTCCGAAGGCGACGACCACAACAATGGTACAGCGACAAGTATCTGGCTCAACCGGTGACTGCTTGGAACACAGAGACGCATCGCATGAACGCGTGAATGAGTGAGATAATGACTTTGAACTGGACCAGGTTCAAAGGAAAATAATGAGCTCGGCCCTAACACTAGAGAGCTGAGCAAGACTAGATCAGTTTCAGTTCCTTGGATCCTCGCCAGGCTCTTTGAAGATGCCTGTGCCAGACTGTGGAGACTGGGGGACCCCAGAGACAAACAATTTCGCGGGGTCTAACCAACAATGTAAACACCAAGGGCGGTCCCCCCAGATTGGTCACGAGAGCCTAGGATAATGCGCATATGATAGACCGTGGAACTTGTTCTCGGTCTCCGGAACGAAAACTTAAGGGGGGGGAGCTGTTTTGGTTCGCCCAGAACAATGAACTGAAAACAAATTCGATGGCATCCCCCGCACATCTCGACAACAAAATACTGGATACTATGCAATGCACCTGACATCTGACATTCTTTTCCAGTCCATCCTGCCTGCCCGCTCTCCTTTCTGCTTACTGGTACCTGTATGGATTCTCCTCGCACGTAAGCGTGGATAGAAGATAGGACTTGGGTGGTCTATGATGCCACGGTACGCTGGCCGAGCCACTTGGGTGTGTCAAGTGACGATCGAATATCCTCGCTGATGACTAGTGTAGCGAGGTGATACGGAACACGGATTATGAAAAAGGGGTATGCCATACAACAGGGTCCGAAACATGCATAAGAGAGTACACAGGCGGGCAGGAAAGGCTTACAAAAAAAAAAAACATGAAACAACCGAGACGAGTCAACAGAGTTTTGAATCCATTGAGTTCTTTCTAATCATATTATCGTCCCTGTCAGGTTCATACAAAGGAATCAGCTAAGCGATACCGACACCGACGTCTTCCTTGCGTGACAGGCATTCAAGTGCTAAGCCGTTCATCAACTTTACACTAGAAGTCCAGAGTACGAGGTAAAGAGAACTAGGTTACCCAGAAGGCCTGGCGCACCCTTCAAAACTCAGATCCGTGGCACTGATTCAGCGCTGGTGACAACGTCTCAAGAGAGGCTAGAAGTACTTTGAAAGGTACGAGACCGTTTGTTCTCGGCAGAGGCGAGACCCCACCGTCCTGACCTAACGGCGTTGTCGGAATGGGACTGGCTGTGAATTCCGGGAACTCTGAGCTCTCGGAATTCTCGGGATTTGGATGACACCCAGAATTGTGAGTTTAACTTGCCTGGAACTGACTTGCCCGGCCAACTGTCGTGGAACAAGGGACAGGCAATGGATCCAGATGTGGATGCGCCTCGTGGTAGATGCCACCACGAACATGACATTGGAAGATATCCTCAAAGATGCAGCCCTGCGTACAAAGCAGTGGTAACAGCTACAGCACTCACGTCATCTCACAGAATTCATCACGGCATCAAGTTCGTCCAACATGACGCTTACCAATGACGTCTACAGCAGCATCTCCAACAGTTCGACTGGTAGCATGACCAATGATATATCGAACGGGATAACCAACGGGGAATCTGGTTATCTGCACAATGGCGACAAACCGTTTCGCAGGCGCCCGATCGTGGTCGCAGGTTGTTCTGGAGGTCAGCGGGACGGATATCGCATGGCAATTGCTAGTGCGAAACGTGTTGGTACAGGGTGGCTGACGCGGACTAGGCACCGTTGACCGGAGCAGGGCCCTTCTCGATCTTTCCAAGTTGCCCGAAATCGACGTGATCACAGGCGACTGGATGTCTGAGGCTGACATGACGGTCAACGGCACCCGGAGATCGCAATTGAAAAAGGAGATCGGCTCGATAGAGGCTCTCGGGCTGTCTCGAGAAGCCTACCACGGCAATTTTCTGGAGAAAATCCAGCCCGCTCTCAAGTACCTCGCACAGAACAATACCAAGGTTGTCTGCAATGCGGGGGGGAGCAATCCTCACGGTCTGGCCGAGGCGGTCAAGGAACTCATCAAGCAAGAAGGGTTGACCCTTCGCGTCGCTTGGGTCGAGGGGGACGACGTGACCGAGCCGGTTGTGGATTTGATCCGGTCTAAGACGGTAGAGTTGACCAACATCACGACAGGTAAGGATATCCACAGCTGGGGGTTTGAACCCATATCCGCACAATGCTATCTAGGGGCTTCGGGCATCGCTCAGGCGTTAAAGGACTCAGACATTATCATTTGTGGCCGGGTCGCCGACTCGTCCCCTTGCATCGGAGCCGCTATCTGGTGGCATGGATGGGAAGCCGACAATTACAAGGCGTTGGCATCGAGTCTGGTCGCCGGCCACCTAATCGAGTGCAGCACCTACGCCACAGGGGGTTGCTACTCGGGATTCAAGAAATGGCAGGGCAAGGCGGTGGATCTGGGCTTTCCCATTGCACATATCAGTCATACCGGGGATTTCGAGATCTCCAAGGAGCCCGGCCGGGACGGCGAGGTCTCGGTGGAGACCCTGACGACGCAGTTAGTCTACGAAATCCAGGGCCCGTTGTACTACAACTCAACCGTCGTTGCGTGTCTCGAAGGCATCCGAATGGAATCAGTCGGACCTGACCGAGTCCGAGTCACCAGGGTCGAAGGTCTTCCGCCGCCGCCGACGACAAAGGTCGGCATCACGGCATTGGGCGGTTATCGCGCTGAGTATCACATCTATCTGACCGGTCTGGACATTAAGGAAAAGGCAGAGATGGTCAAAACGCAGACGATAGCCGCGATGGGCCCTAAGGTCCACCAGCAATTTAAACGGCTGGAATTCCAAGTAGTTGGTTCCCCGGACCCGGATGCTCGATCCCAGGATGCGGCGACCGTAGATCTACGAATCTTTGCACAAGCGTCGGATCCCGAACTCCTAGCGCCGGGCAAGTTTCTGACCTGGTGTAAAATGAACATCCTCCAAGGTTGTCCGGGACTGACCCCAGTTACAGACCCCCGACAGGGGACGGCTAAGCCTTACTACGAGTACTGGGTTGCTCTGCTGGACCAGTCCCTAGTGAAGGAAAGCGTCCATCTACATGATGGCGAGGTTCTTCACATCTCTTCTCCCGCCGTGACACGGACGTACCCTTCTCAGCAAAAGTCCTACGATCCCAGCGACCCTGTGTCGGCCGAGACTTGGGGCCCAACCACTCGAGTGCCTCTCGGTTATGTCGTTCTCGGACGCTCCGGAGACAAATCATCTGATGCCAACCTTGGCCTGTTTGTGCGACACGATGACGAGTGGGATTGGTTACGCTCGACGTTTACCATCTCGAAATTGAAGGAACTCCTCGCAGACGACTACCTTGGCAAGCCGATCGACCGGTTCGAGATCCCAGGCCTGAAGGCTGTCCACTTCTTGCTCCACGATCATCTCGATGGGGGATATAGTGCCGGATCCACGTTGGACTGTCTGGGGAAGAATTTGGTCGAGTACATTAGAGCCAAGGCCATTGATGTACCTGTCAAATTCGTGGAGAGGGGAAGAATCTAGACGTCCTGCGAGCGCTCCTTAAATCCTCATATAGTAGAGCACCAAGATCGTCGGGGAAACAGGAGTTACATTGAAATATACATATATATATATATATATGGTTAGACTTATATAATAGGAGCGATGTGTTCTCAGGACTGGACCCTTGTGTAGTGCCCCAGACAAGACCTTCTCTCGGGGACGGCCGCATGTGTGGCATAGTTGTGACGGTGTCGCAGGACGGTCTCGCTCGTCGTCGTGATCTCAACCTGATACAACTGGCCCACTTTCTTCCAAATCCGTCAAGAAAGCTATTTTGACCATGTCGAGACGCACCCCATATCTGGTGATTCGTTTGGTATTGAAAGGATGAATGCCAGAGTGGCACCACGATGCAGCCTTGTCGTTCCCTACGATCGTACGTTACAAGATCTTTCATCGCATTTACACGATATGTATTTATGCATTATTCATTGGATGATTTCGCAGGAACCACACGTCCACGAAGGCTGATAGCATCTTGTATAAATACATGTGCATCATGTTCAGTTGTTTACCAAGCAACCCCAGCAATATCGGTAATCAGCCCAACCATGGGCTCCGTCGTGAATTGTGATGTCCTCATTGTGGGAGCTGGTTTCAGTGGGATGTATGGTCTTTATCGGCTTCGAAAGCTCGGGTTGAAAGTCAAGGCATTTGAAGCCGGCAGCGATTTTGGGGGTGTTTGGTACTGGAACCGATACCCTGGTGCTCGAGTCGATTCAGAATGGCCGTTCTATCAATTGAGTCTTCCCGAGGTGTGGAAAGATTGGAATTTTACTGAGAGATTCCCGGATCACAACGAGATTCGTGCGTACTTTCACCATGTGGATAAAGTGCTCGACCTGCGAAAGGATATCGAATTCGACGCCCGGGTGAACTCCTGTGTTTGGGATGGTACAGAAGGTAGATGGACAGTCAAGACGGTGGCCGGACACCTCGCAATGTGCAAATATCTTTTCCTCTGCACCGGCCTCCTTTACCAGCGGCACTATCCTGACTTTCCCGGGTTTGAAAAATACAAAGGCGTGGTTCACCATTCGGGCTTTTGGCCTGACCACTTGGATATGACCGGGAAAAAGGTCGCCGTGATCGGCGCTGGAGCGACTTCGGTGCAAATCGTGCAAGACCTCACCAAGGTGGCCAGTCAACTCGATATGTACATGCGTCGGCCTAGCCTGTGTCTTCCGATGGCCCAACGAGACATCAGCGAAGCGGAGCAAGATTGCCTCAAGCCGTACTATGGAACATTGTTCAAACAGGGACGGAAATCCGCCGGAGGCTATCCAAGATACCCCCCCGACTGCTCGATATTTGACGTCTCGGACCAGGAGAGAGAGGACTACTATGAACATCTTTGGAAAGCCGGGTCGTTTGGTTTTGGGGCGTCAAACTATAAAGAGATCTGGGTCGACCTCAAGGCCAACCGACTCGCTTATGACTTTTGGGCCAAGAAGACACGAGCACGCATATCAGATCCAAAGAAACGAGATCTGATGGCTCCATTAGAGCCGCCTTACCCTATCCTGACCAAACGAAGTCCCCTGGAACAAGACTACTATGAAACGCTGGATTCGAATCACGTCGAGATTGTGGATCTGAAAACTACTCCAATCAAAACTTTCAGTGAGAATGGGATTGTCACCGCAGACGGAAAAGAGAGGGAGTATGACTACGTTATCCTTGCCACGGGTTTCGATAGTTTTACTGGCTCGTAAGTTGATCTCGGGGTTTCAGAGGATTTATGCGCTGAAAATGAGGTTTCCAGGGTTTCCAACATGGGCCTCAAAAGCAGAGACGGGGAAGATATCAAAGATCTCTGGTCCAAAACCGGAATCAGCACCTATTTGGGTATTATGATCCGTGGATTTCCCAATTGCTTTATGGTCTACAGCCCTCAAGGTAAGGCTCATTACTCTCCCTTCCTAGCCGAGGGTATTTGCCCTGCTGACCTTCCCTCAGCGCCGACAGCACTGTCCAATGGACCGACGATCTTGGAATGTCAGGTCGACTGGGTGGTGGACGCGATCGAAAAACTCGAAAAAGAAGGCGTCAAATCCATTGAGCCCAAACAAGAGGCTCAAGACGCCTGGGGAGAGATGATTACTTCTATGAGTCAGCAAACGCTTTTCCCCTTGACGAATTCATGGTGGACAGGCGGCAACAGTAAGTTGAAAGCCTCTCACAAGAGACACCAAATAGTCCACTAATGGTTGTGCAAGTCCCTGGAAAAAAGGTCCAGATGCTCACCTACACTCGAGGGATTGGCGAGTATGAGCCTCAATGTCGGGAGACACTCGATAGCTGGAAGGGCTTTGAGGTCGCCAGCGCGTGAATGATCCTAAGTGGCCTGGACGGGTGTGATTTTACTAGTAGATGACGTCGTATAGGACTCTCCAACCTTGTCGATAAATGAATGAATCATAAAATTGGCATACCCTGGTCAGCTTTATGATTGAGATGTATGTTGTCCACTACGCGACTGGAAGGTAGTTGATGTAGAGTTTCAGTCGATATGATTCCAGCCCTCGTCAGAAGTCCAACTTCCTGTACAACCTGAATTGAAAGTGTGCTCTGGCCAGATCCGATCAGAGAATAGAGCCCATCTACGCAGCCATCTGAACGGTGTCCGTCATCACCGTTGCCTGTGCTGTGGTCGGTGTTGTAGGCTAGTCGGCAACCGCCTCGTGGAATTTACAAGACCAGAGATCCAAGGAGTAGATTTGCTCGCTGGGCCCTCTAACGGGGCACTGGCTACTGTTTAATATCATAATTGAGTACTTTGTTGAAGTGAACCCCGAACAGCTAGAATGAGAACAACATGTAGACTTGGCTCAGAACACATTTTTCTAAGACGACGTTCACCGCTGGGCAGTAGTGGTGATGCTGATGAGAATGATGAGACGAGAGTCAGGAATTGACTTGAATGATCTGCTTCCCAGAGCTATTCCAGATCAAATCGACTCATTTCCATGTATTTCATCTCATCTCATCATTTATTTTTCATACGACGGACACGACTGGCTTCTCAGCGCATCGTTACAGAATATGATCGGCACCCAAACGTCGTATCTCCGGTCGAAGTCGTTGATTGCGACTCGTTGATGAAGTCAACCGGTCAGGGAGTGAAATGGACGCCAAAATTGTGGAAATTTCAAACCATCCCTCTTGGAGTGATTAAAAAGAGCGTTCTTCGTGGCTGCAATCTGTCTTTTGAAAATCAAGAGATAGTCTCGGATTCATCATGTCTGTGATCATGGAGGATATCAAATGGGCACGGCGTCTTACAACACATCCAGATCGCGCGATGACCTACACCTTCGCCATCATCATCCCCTCGGTGATTTACATCGTCTTGAAGGTTTTCCGTCGTTCGAAGAAGAGATTTCCGAATGCACCATGGCTTCACCTTTCCGACTTACCAGGCAAGGCGGGAATCGAAGAAGATGCTCGGAGGTTTGTTCAGAACGGTCACAAGGTAATTTGTGCCGGCTACCAGAAAGTGAGTGTTGAGATCGAGTTTGGGGCCTGGCTGAGACTTACCAAATCATATACAGTACACCAAGAATGGGCAAAACTGGTTAATGAGAACTCCGGAGGGAGGACAATTCGTTGTTCACCCCCGGTTCATTGAGGAGATCCGATCTGCAAAGGAGGTGGATTTGCACAACCTGCCGGCCAATAACGACTTGATGCAGACACGCCACACAATGCACCCGGACCTCGAATGGGATCAGTACCACTTTAACGTGGTCTCCAAACAACTGACTCACAGTCTCGGTAAGCCATTTCCTGTGAAAAGCCATCATCACATCGATCATAACCGAGCCGAAAAGGACCTGGACTTCCGTCCATTGTGGATGAATGTAAAGGCGCTTTTCACGACCAAATTGGCGAACCAAAAGGTATCGGTATTCTCCCTGTCTGATACGACCTGGGAAATGACGGACGTCTCTAGACTGGACGCCTTTCCATATGTACCCGGTCGCTTTCAAAATCACGACCCGGACGGCTAATCGATTGCTCTTTGGTCGCGAACTCGCAAGAACCAAGGACTTCCTCCAGCTTGCCATTGACTACAGCGACACGTTCTTCGGCGGGGCTAACATGATTCGGCACTACCCGGAATGGATGAAGCCTCTTGTCTTATATTTTAATACTGGTATTGTGAAGCAGACGGCGACCGCAAAGAAGCATCTTTTCCCACTCTTGACAAAGAGAATTGCTGCGATGGAGGAAGCGCGACGGAACGGAACATACCAAGAGTTCGAAGCCACAAAGCCGGCCGATGTCGGTGAGAACAAGTTCCCTCTCAATCGAACTGGGTCGAGACATTATCGCTTACGAGCTTCCAGTCCAATGGGTCTTAGACATTACACCATTAGAGAAGAGAGACCTGCATGTACTGACACTCAGGTTGATTCACATCCTCGTGTCAGCTGTACATACCAGCAGTGTGACCTATTTGAACGCCATCTATGATCTGGCACAGCACCCCGAGGTTCATGACGAACTGAGAGAGGAGATTAAAGAAGTTTTCGCCTCAGAGAACGGAGAATGGAGAAAACAGGGTCTTACCAAGCTTGTCAAACTCGACAGCTTCATCAAAGAAAGCGCTCGATTCCACCCCTTTCAAGCAGGTAACTATGGACCTCACCCCATGGGATTCTCGAAAGTCTGATATGATGACAGGTACGATGGATCGGATTGCGATGCGCGACTACACTTTGAGCGACGGGACATTCGTCCCCAAGGGAACATACATGTTGGTACCGTCGTCGGCTTCTAATCTCGACCCGGACGTGTGGGGGCCGACCGCTCTCGAATTTGATCCTTGGAGATTCCAAAAAATGCGACTGGACCCCGGCCAAGAGACCCACCACTCCATGGTCCAAACGACGCCGAATTTTACGTACTTTGGGTGAGTCCACGCGACCCGGTCGACCCGAGTGGACTAAAATGGTTTCTCACCTCTACTCTAGACACGGAAAGCACGCCTGCCCAGGACGGTTCTTTGCGGTCAATGAGATTAAGGTCCTTCTTATTTACACCTTGATCTTCTACGACGTCAAATATCCACCTGGGGCTCCCGAGCCTCAGATGATGTGGTTTTCCGGCAAGACTATGCCTGATATGACCGCCAAGTTACTTTGGAAGGCCCGGGACAATGTTGCAATGCCATGGAACGACGTCTCATGAATGAGGATCAACTCTGGTTCGGTGAAGGAGTGGAAAGAACGCCGTCTGTAATACGATGAAGGGTATCCATTCATCTACCAGAAAACATGTTTGTATCTAGAGTTTTTGAACGAGGCGCATCAATCAACATTCATTGTGACACTTTCACCGAATAGAAAAGGCTAGGCTGAGCAAGTTCCCGTGTCAAACCAAAGAGGTGGATCTCCGTATGAGGTCTATACTGGCCAATCCCTCACCGCGCTTTCTACTCGAAGTCGCTGGAGACTGGAGCAATCTCACCGCTCTCCTTCTAGCTCGGACCCTTGACCTCGTGGTGGTTCTATGTTCCAGGTTCCAAGCTTTCGCCTTCCGAACAGGTGATATCCAAGCAACAGCCGCCTTCAATATCCTCAATCTTGACAATGTCTACCACTACAGTGGAAACTTCTTCCGTGGAGAGTGTATTCGCCGCCGAGATATTGTATTGTGCTGTCCGCGACGGGTCCTGAGACGTCATCAGGGTATGGACAGCTTTGTAACGAAGACCGGTCGGATCAGCATCACAGTCGGATTTTATCGAACTGCTATGATTTTGGCAAGACTGAGCGCTCGGTTGTTTACATACTCCGCCTATATTGCTGCAACTTATTGTTTCCATTGAGTTTTGTACTCTCTGATTTTATTCTTTATAACTCACTGCAAGCTGCGTAGCTATATCGCTTCTTAGAGCCTTTTTATTCTCTTCTTTCTTGTAGACTTCCTCGAGATATCTGATTATCAAGCACCGGAATGCTTCCATGGCTGATTTAGAATACTTCCATAATTAACTTGTAAGTCAAGGTTTCATATCACAGCGGGTGTTACAACAGTTGTTACACTCTGCTACTGCCTATCGTTGCTTGTTGCCTAGAATTACTCCCCGTTCAGATAGATTCTGTCGAACTGGGGAACAACTTGAAATGTATTGACTGCTCTGTCTACCTCACAACCGGTCCTGCCAGGTTGCTGGTATATATACACGTTGGTTTGACTCCTTTTCTTCTCCTATTTCTACCCTTAAATCCTGCATCGGGGTGATAACCCCCTTTTCAACAAAAGGGGCACTTGCTACTATTCGGCCGTTCAATGAGACCTTGTTCGACAGATTCAATCAATCAATCCCCTCTCGGTCCTATAAAGGGTGACCAATCGAGCTTGTTTGGGTGGTCCATAGACTGGATCCAATGGGTGACGGGGGATTTCATCGGATCCAATGCGTGCATCATGTCAAGTATGATCAATCGAGCTTGTCAGGGTGGTCCACAGACTGGATCTGATGGTCGAAGGGAGGATTTCATCAGATCCAATTCATGGACCATGTCGATATCGAATGGAAGGTCGCGGGGGAGAGGGGAGCACATGGTTCCGGAAAATGGTTGATCCGTTAAGGGTTGGGCGGTCCATAGACTGGATCCGATGGGCGACGGAGGGGGGGTCCACAGACTGGATCCGATGGCGAAGGCCCCGGAAAATAGTTAATCCGGTCTATAAACGAGACGAGACGAGCTAAGGTTTTGCTCGAGCTCAACTAGTCTCGCTCAGTCTCGGCTCGTCTCGGCTCGTTGAGAATCCTGATTGAATGCTCTGAGCTCTTCTAAGGAATGTGGGATAGAGCCCATCTATATATCTATCTAGCCTTTGCAAAGGCACATCTAATTCCCGATGCACCTTCCCGTAGTGAGAACAACCTTTCCAGAGATGGAAAACTCGACCCACTGCGTAACAATGACAGAAGAAGGCCCCTACCGTAGGAATAGGCAATGCGCAAGGAGGCGCATGTTCGTCGAAGCCCCCGAGAAGAAGAAACAGCGATGATTGGGCTGGCAGGCGATAATACTCTTTCGAGAAATAATGTGCTTACATCAGACTTATTAGTCCAGGTGTACAGCAGTTGCTAACTAAAAACTATCTGCTCTTGATGGCCGCTTTACTTTATATATCCGTTCGTAAATGAATGTAGCCTAGCGTGACCCAGAGTTCTTGGCATATCTCCACAACGGCAAGGCTAGATCACGTGATGAGAGTGATCGATGGGTCTGTTGTGCTCTGGAACAGAACAGCAGGTCGCTGCAGTGCATTACGAGTCTCCTTGCCATTTCATGACTCTACTGAGTAGTCATTTTCGTTCTTATCGCAACAGCTACGTTTCGGTTAGCTATAGTCTCGCTCAGCACACCAGCCCACCGCCGGGTTCGTGTAGAGTATGCCATCGCCCACCATCATTTCTGCGTTCTGTATAGGCAGACTTGGGTGTGTACAGACTAACGTCTGAGTTCCTGTGGACAGGTTCAGTCACATGGCTAAATCTTGGCACTGCAGACCTCTCCTCGGTTCCTTTTTGTGGAATCACTCTGATTCAGTCGAGTTGGTTCATCATCCTGACCCTGATATCGTCTACCGGTTGGCAATTGCACTTTCTCTTTCCGCTCACTTGCCCTCTACTGCCACGCCCACACCTGCTTCCTATGGCTGTCTCCTGCGCCTCCTACGTCTGACGCCAGCTTCCTACACCTGCTGGTGCTCGCTTCTACCTACGTCCCGCCGTCCTATCAACCACCATGGACTCCTTTCCCGAACATAGCCCCAAGCAGGCCGGCCAGGCAGAGCCCACAATCGAGGAGATCAAAGAGTGGAATGCGGACGAGCTGTTTGAGTGGATTCAACAGGGCCAATCAAAACAACTCAAGGTGACAAGCTTGAAAAATTCAAAGCGGCAGACATTTCGGGGAAGGTTTTCTTGATGCAAGCTGGTAACGTGGAGTTCTTCGAAAATAAATGTAATCTGCCTATTGGGCCTAGCCTAGTACTCGCGAATCTGGCAAAGGAGATGGCGGGGAAGGAACGAGATATCAGCATTGGTAAGTCCACCCACCCCGGTGGGTTGGCATTGCGAAGTACCTCAATGCGGAGCAACTCTCGATCACGACTTTGCCATTGACTTGCATCTTCAGGCTCATGGTCCTTCAACCTTAACTGAATGGTATTGCGGCGAGCTTACTTGCTGCACTGGCCCCGAAAGGGTCTTCAGCGGCCGTCAGAGCTTTGAGGTTCATGTTGCTACCGAGCACATGAATTCAAGGTACTGCTTCGCTGCTGCACGCCGCGTCCCTCAGGTGGAAGTTTTGCTGTCGAGCCTTCGGCAACGATTGAATTTTCCACGCATACCAAGCATTCCTATCGAGCCTTCTAATGACGCAGATGAGTCCCACATGTCGTCGGCGACCGTCAAACACAACTGGACTCTGGGAGATACCACACCAGAGTCAATAGAAGATGGTACACATGATATTTCAAGTCAGGAAGACATTGCCTGGGCTAGATTTTGTCGTTTCTATGAAGCGGACAAAACTTCGGAATCAGATGGATATTCCGTAAGCACTGCAATTTACGTTATGTGTCTTTTTGGAAAAGTCGCACAATGACCCCATATGTCGCCCCACCAAACTATTTGGTTGAGACACTGACAGGTCTTATGCTGATGGACAGGGGTGATGCCAAGAGGTTTCTTAAGTCCTGTCGCAAATGGTGTACCTTACTGGGGACCAACGACAAGAACAAAACTCTGGACTTCGCTCAGCTTCTTACTCCAGATATCTCGATGGGCAACAAGGTGCGGGATGTCGATGAGGAAGCATACTGCTGGCCAGACACTCAAACCGGATGGGACTGAAGAACCTATGCCCTGTGGACAAAGATCCAGATACATTCTAGCTTGCCCATGGCCCACCCGTACATGCACAAGCGTACGCAGGTACGATATCAGTGTCCATTTCTTGTCCACTCGTTTGAATTGCGTGTGGCAATGCCCTGAAAAGGGTTGCCAATATTGTGGCTATCTCACACCTGTACACCTTGAGCGCCACAGAATACACTGTCATCTAGGTAGTTCACTTCAATGTGGTCACAATGACTGCGACCAAATTCTTCTGGGAGAACCTTGGGCAAGCCGAGGGTACATAACCTATGCAACTCTCCGAGAGCATTTCGAAACATACTTGCAATCGATGCTTACAAAATCTGTGTACAACGACCTCGGACTCAGACTCAGATTCACTCTATCTCAGCAATATCCGAGAGCCTCAAGAGCCGCTTCCGCTAACGGTAGTACGAAGTACTTCAGACATGATCGTCGATCCTATCGCCTCAAGCAGAACTACCGCGTTTTGCTGGCTTACAAAATTCGACCGGAAGATATCGACATTCAGGGCAGCAAGACTTGCACAGGCTTCTCAACCTCGACACAGCAATGTTGATCTTCGTCCCCTCGTTCTTATTATTTACAGTAGCACCGACATGCGACTACTGTATCTATGCTATGTCTTTAATCTCACGTCCTTTTGCGAACCTACCGCCACCCTTTCATTTTGGGATCACGGCGTGGTAAGGGTTCTAAAGGCAAACGCAAACGAATAGGCACAGGAAGAAACGTGAATGATCACAAGTCATTTCTTCAAACTATCAACGAACAGGATTTACAATTACCACCTATGGCGATGTTGTACAAAGAGGTCAAGAATTTGTCCACTCATAAAATCTTCATCGTCGATTTCGAGACCGCGCGGCGTTCGGAGAAAAAATTTACGTTTGTTCCCAATCGAAGTCACTGTTCGTAGTGGAAATGGTGAGATCATTATCAGCTGCCCCATCAATGAACAGGACGTCACGAACGCTCAATTCGATGCTCGTCGCAGAATTCGAGGTCCTCCGGAAAGCCAATTTCCACACGGCGTCAAAACCTCGAAACAAATCATCCCTACACTGATTGATGCAGGACTTAGCCCTAATTCAATATGGGTTGAATATTCGACAACATCCTTTGATCGCAAGTGCATGGAAGTATTGATTAAAGATGCTGGAATGCCAATCGACTCGATACTTCCACCTCGTGTGCGGTGTTGGACAGTGATCCTTGACTTCATGCGCTTCCTGCCTGGTAAGTGTAAAACTGACCTCTCACGTCATGATTCAACCTTTTCTAACGGAACTTATAGGACTAGCCTCATATCGACTCGGCGAGGTAGTAAGACTGATGAACCCTGGTAATCCAAATTTGAGGAATCTTCATTTTCCAGGGTCGGATGCTGCAGTTCTCTACGACTTTCTCCAGCGATGGATCAACCTCCCCGGGCAAGCTGAGGCTTGAAAGAGCCATCTTGGACAACATCAACGAGAGTGTTCAGCTCAGCAGAAGCAACGATGGTTCGTCACGATCAAAGCCCGAATCTGCAACAGCCCGGCAGGACCATCGTTGGGAGCGAATTAATCGCCTTTTGAATCCATGATGAACAAAAGACAGGTGTTACTGGAATCGATTGATCCGCATCAAATTGCCTCAGATGAAGAACACGGTGTAATAGTCCCATAGCTGTGTCAAGGTGAGGCTATGCGTTGGAGAGAAGGGTGTACAAGTAACAAGGTTTTCCGTTCTTTGAAGCTCAGAGTGGTACGTGTTACATGACGCCTGCTAGGCCAGGTGAGGACTGTTGGGACTAACCCACTGGAGGGCTGTCGACTACTTTCTTCCACTCCTTGCTACCCCACACAGCCCTGAGGAACAAAATACAGATAGACCACAACGACTACTTTACTCAATCTTTGCCATTGCGGCATTCCCTTCTTCCTTTTCTTCCCTCTCCTCTCCTAGATATGACAGAGAGAACATGGTCAGGATTATAAACTATCGAGGACGGTGAGGTGAGCACGGAACGCTGATCGCCCAACGTTATGTTATGACAAGGCGAAATAGACCGTTTTCAAGTCCGTCCACTCCTTTACCGAATACATCCCCAGCTCTTTGCCAATTCCACTCTGCTTCCACCCTCCGAATGGCATATCATGTGTCATCATTGGACTGCTGACATTGACCCCGACGTTGCCAGCCTCGAAGGTTTTAGCAATTCGGAGCGCACGGAAGATATCCCGAGTAAAGACACTGGCATACAAGCCGTACTCGCTGTCGTTAGCGCGCTGAACGACGTCCTTTTCGTCCTCAAAGCTGCTGAGACAGATCACAGGCCCAAAAATTTCTTCTCTCACGACTCGACTCTGCTCATCGGGCTGGAAAATGACTGTTGGCTCGATAAAGAAGCCTTTGGGCCCTTCACGATTTCCTCCGTGAAGTATTCTGTAGCCGGAGGCCTTGGCCTCTTTGATATGTGTCAAAATCGAGTCGAACTGGGATTTAGTGGCCTGAGGACCCCTTCGTGTCGTCGGAAGCAAAGGGTCGTTACCTGAATCGGGGTTGCTTCCAAGCTTCTGGAGCGATTCAACGAGTGCGTCACAGAATTGTGACAGTATACCGCTATGTACAAATACCCGAGAGCTTGCAATGCAAGCCTGGCCCGAGTTAAGAAGGATTGATTTCGCCGATGCGTCGGCTGCCTTAACAATGTCGGCATCATCGAACACAATGAGGGGACTTTTGCCCCCGAGTTCAAGAGTGACTTTCTTGAGATTGGACCGGGCCGCCGCTTCTAGAACGGCTTTTCCTGCCTTGACAGAACCGGTGAAGGATATCTTTCGAATTCTCAGATGTGAGGCCAGGGAGACGCCGCATGGAGTTCCAAAACCATTCAGGATATTGACCACTCCTGGCGGGAATCCGGCTTCTTTGATCAGTCGAGCGACAAACAAACTGGTCAGCGGTGCTTTTTCCGAAGACTTGGCCACCAGGGTGTTCCCGGCAATCAACGCTGGAGCCATTTTAAACGTCAGCATGGTTACCGGTGCGTTCCATGGAGTGACGGCGGCGCAGACGCCAAACGGCTGTCGCAGTGTGACGCTCATGAACCCGGCGGTTTGAAGGGACGACTCCCCTTGGATATCTGTGGCCTTTCCAGCCATGTACCTCAGAAATCTCGCGGAAGCGAGTCCTTCAGCTGTAGCCCGGTTAGCAGCCATAGACGCCTAGTCATTCGAGCCGGAATCTTACTGTACGTGGACACAGGTCTTCCCATACTCATCGCCTCGAGGCGGGCAAGTTTGTCGTTATTTCTTTCGTACAGGTCGGCCAACTTGTAGAAATATGTGGCTCGCTGAAAGCCACTCAACTCCGACCAGGCAGGAAATGCGGCTTCGGCTGCCTGGACTGCAAGCTCAACATCGGCGTCTCCTGCTTCTTGAACCTTTGCTGTCACTTCTTCCGTGGCAGGATTGATCACTGGGAACATTTTCCCACTCCGAGAGTCCACAAACTCATTATTAATGAAAAGCCGTGTTTCAATGCTGCCATGTTGGTGTGGATGGCGGTCGTGGTGTTCGGCAGACGATTCTCCGTTCACCGCCATGTTCACACAATAATTAATGGTTACATCTGACCCAATTGTTTTCTTTATAAATTATTTATATCAGGCACGCGGATGACATGTTCATAGGAGATGGGGCGTTGGCGACGAGAAGCCACACCTGTCTGTGTCGTCGGACACGACATACATTGACTTGCCGAACTCCGAGAAACGGGACCGGGGGACACTTTTTACATCACGAAGACATTAGTATGCACACAGGTTACGTTCGGCTCGACAAATAATTGTCCACTAGTAAGTGACGATTCGACTCGTCCCGATCAGTCGAGACACGGAGTGTAACACCCAAATATCACGCGACGAATTCCCAGCCATCGCAGAAGTGGCAGGAAGGGGCTGGATGCCGAAAAAGGGCAAAGAGGCGAAAGGTATAAGAAGATCCTTCGATCCCCTAGATAGACAGACAGGTTTCAGTACATTACTATCCCACGCCCTACCTTGTGCACTCGCAACGATTTATGATCCCTTTCCCTACACCCCTCGTAACAGATCCTTACCCTTCGTTAGGATCGCTGTTACACGGAGAGAGAGGTCATTCCTGAGTGAGCTCGAGTGCGCGTGTCCAGAACTCACAACGTCGAATCTACATAGTGGGAGAGCTCAAACTTGATAAGATCGGGTCATTCTCAGGTAGTCTGAGACGGTCCTGGTCCTCCACTGAATGGAGCAAAGTGCCCAGTTGCCGCTTCTCAGAGCGAACTTTTCTAAATCCTTGATTGTTAAAGAGACTGCCAATGGGTCCTTCCCAAGCGTTCAAGCAGCTCCTTCAACACCAGACCGACTTCCAGGACGAGTGTTTGATAAAGTCATCTAAATTGGAGATAATGACCAACAAAATCATCATCATCAGTAAAGCCCTGCTGCTCTTTTGCCGTGTCAGCCAAAAGAGACGTCGCTTCTTGAGAAGGAGCTCATTCAGCGGTGTCGACAGGTGTCTGAACAAGGTTCGACTCTTTGGCCGAAGAGACCGTGTTGACATCCATGTCAGTGTCTTCATCATTTAGAGCCGCCGGGTCTCCAACCCTCGGATTAACTGAAGCAGCAATTCCTGAGTCTGAGTTTCAAAGTCGGGCAACTTGGAGATGTATCCTACAGACTGCCGAAACTCTTGGGCGTCGTGCTCGCTTTGGATGAGATGCTTCGTCAACGTCCCGATCAACTGGGCGAGGACCTCGCTTGAAGTGACTCGTATTAGCCCATTTTCACACATGGCGGTCGTAACTTGCAACAAGCCCTGAAGTGCCCGCTCTCGTACCTGGCCGACTTTGTTGATGGTTTCAAATTTTGGATAACCAACTTCTTGACAAGGGTCGATCGCTGTCATATCGGCGACAATGAAAATCTGGAGATTGAACATGATGAGAAGTCTCGCAGTATGAGTCGCAGCCACGTAGCTGCAGTCGTTTTGCGGGCACGCTAGAGATGCGAGCGACACGATCTCTGGTTCCAATTGGGAGAACCAGAGCAACAAACCATTCAGAAGAGCTACTCTGGAGGAGGGTTTTGGACTGTTTCCACCGTCGGCATGGGCGAGGGACTGGAGACGACTCCAACGTAGGAATTGACCATGAAATAGTTCGATACGCCGGAGGCAAACCAACTTCAACATGTTGCTGGCCGCGTCGTCCTGGTTCCCCTTTACATCTAAGTCGCCAGGCACTGTGAGATCGAATGGGGGATCCTCATCAACGGACATTGGGACATCACCGGCGGTGGTCGTACCAGGCTGATGTCCATATCGCCATCGTAACTCCTGTTCCCGAGCAAAGCACAACCACCACAGACCGCGCCAGAAGGGCTCTTTTTCCGTGCCCAACATGTACTTGGAATTGTCACGGTGCACCTGCAGTGCTAGCCCAATCATCGAACAGTCATTGTAGCATGCATTTGGGTATCCACAGAGATGACCCTTGGAGTCGCTAAACGAGAGGAGAAGCAACGTCTGAACGTTGATCACCGGGTCTTTTTCGTATCTTCGCTGGTAGAGAGCCTTCCTTGCCTGATCAGCTTTCTGGTTTGATTCAAGGTTAAAATTGAAAAAAAAAAACCCACGACAATTCGCCAGGAACTTACTCACCAGGGCTCTGCTAAAGAAGATCCGTCTTGCCGCTTGCTTGTTTTTGAACCCCGCCTCTATCAACGAAGCAGAGTCAATCGTCTCTCCCCCGATAAAAAAAGTAGCGTTTAATAGGAGTTGACTGGGACTGTATTGTCCAGGTTGACTCCTGAGAAGACCTTGGATATCGGTTCCACTCAAGACCGGGTTGAAGGGATGATGCCAGGTAATATAGTTTGCTATTAACTGATGGCGAAGGGCTGCGCTCAGCGGTTCGAACCTGGCCCGGCCTTGCCAGGCGTTTGCGCTTGCTCGCCTACCATCCATTCCTCGGGCAGTGGGCCTCCGAACTAGTAGATTCACAGGTCTTTTGAGTTCAAAATATCATGCACGATTTTTGCGCTAGAGATTCAAGGTCAGCCATTGAAACCAACCTCGATAACAGAAGAAAATCGACTCACCAAGGGAGGTCTTTCAATCAGACCTTGTAGACGCAGCGATTGCTATCCTTAATACAATTCACACATGGTCCATTGGTTTCCGTCGCAAAGCAGCGGACCTTTCTCTCGTGCCAGCATCCCCGAAATTAGGACGGCCCATCACCGGAATTGTAGGCTCCCATATATTCCGATATCCTCTACCACTGCCACATGGTGGACCAGGGGTGACCTTAGGGGATCCTTGTCCGCTTATTCTCTGGTTAGGTTAGTAACCTCTTCCGTTGACTGTTCGTTTTCCGCAAACCTGCACAGCCCGCTGATTCATCTCAGATCAATCTCGACTACTATGCTCCCATACCAGAGCACATCAGCACTATCATTGGAAGCAATCCTGCCAAAGAAAACTATGTTCCTCGTACCTCACTTGACATTGGAATGTGGCGTCCAAATCGCCTTTGGGCACATATTTTCAACTGCTTGCCTCGTGAAATTTGCCTCTCAGTTGCCCAAGACATTGCGCGGGAAAGCTGTAGAGAGTGTGTCTGTCACTAGAGCACTCGTTTACTTCTTCCACTCCTGCTACCCCACAACGACTACTTCAGTCAGCCTTTGCCATTACGGTATTCCCTTGTTCCTTTTCTCTCCCCTCTCGTCCCAGATATGACAGTCTCCACCCTCATTTGACCGATGGGAGTGCGGGGGAATCTCTTGAGTGTGGATACCTAAATGGTCCAGCCAGCAGAGGCCTTCTTTGCGACAGCCATCAGCTGCCCTGGAGGGCCAAGAAATGGGTGAAGAGAAGAGAAAGAAGCTTTATGTGTGTAATTGTGTGCTGAAGGACGATCTTGACTCCAGAGTGTCTCACTTTTCTTAGAATTCTACCATCCACGAGTGAGGGAAATAGAATTACTATCGTGACCTGGCTTATGGGCATTGGAGACATCTTGACACAAGTCTGAGTTAATGTGTTGAATGTATTATCCCCTCTCACCTCATCCCGTGAGAAGTCATCCACCAAGTAGTCTAGTCGGAGGCTCAATAAAATCACCTGGGGAGGAGGGGGAAATAAAAACTCCGTGAGTCTCATATTCTTGGTCGAGCTACCGTCTATCTAGCGACCTCTTCTGGCAACATTCGTTTCCAGTGGACCATTTCCGACGGGCGGCGGGAATTTGGGCCATGTTAGCGTAATTCCGGGGGAAGGGCACCCAAGGGCAGGACTGGCTGCTTTCATGGACGGGCCCATTATCAATTGCCCAAGAATTACCGGCCTAAGTCCATCCACAAATCCGAAAAAGCCATTGAATCTGGAGAGGAGCAGGCATTCTTTCTCTGAAGAACCGGAAGATGCGGATCATTACTATAGGGGCGGGCTTCCCAAGTATCATGTACGCCTATCAATTCCAACGCGAACTAGAGAATTTCGAACACGTTGTTTATGAGAAGAATGGGGATATTGGCGGCACTTGGCTAGAAAACCGCTAGCCGAATTGTGCCTGTGATGGTAAGAACATCTACTCCCCTAGCAACTGGTGGTCGACGTTTCGTACTGACACCAAACCAAAGTACCTAGCCATTCTTATGTCTACAACTTTGCCTTGAATGTGAGGAAGTCCTAAATCATAAGACAAGACCATCACAACCCGCCTGACGGCTCTGATTCTAGCCATATTGGCCCGAGCTTTACTCTTCTAGTGATTCTATATGGAAGTACCTCGACCGCGTGTGCCGCGTGTGGGATCTTAGGAGATACATGCACTTCAACTGCCGCGTAATCGAGGCTAGATGGTCAGAGGATCGCGGCCGATAGAAGGTCAAAATCGAACAGACGTATTCAGACGAGAGCACCAAGGTATAGGAGGACGAATGTGTAGGTTTCCTATTGGCCTTGACCAAGGTTCAGCCACGTTGAAGACCCTAATTTCGGGGTAGGATGTCTTGTTGCAAGCTACTGGCATGCTCAATAATCCCAATCTTCCAAACATTCAGGACCTGGAAACTTTCCCCGGTCGCGTGGTGCATACCGCGCAATGGCCCGATGATTTTGGCCCGACCGAGTGGAAAGACAAAAACGTCGTCATGGTCGGGGCAGGGTCGTCCAGTATTCAGGCCACTCCAGGGTATGAGCAGAAGAAAAACGAAATCCCCTCCGAGTGGACAATAATCGAGTGGTCGGACTCTGATTTTGAGGTACAGGATGCAACCACATGTGCGAGATCTACATGTCTTCATCCGATCCAAGTCGTGGCTCGCATCGGTCCAACCAAACTACGGTGTATGTAGTCAACATCTGTTGAGTGCAGTGTCCGACTGCTAACTCCCCCGTATGCATAGCTCAAGCCCGTTTGTGAGCTACTATCTCTCTCCACGATCAACAGAAAACCTGATTCCGCTGACACTGGTGACCCAGGGCAGAAGGAAGACCAAGACCATTTTGCACAAGATCATGGGAAGTTAGTGCGACAAGCACGAATCTATGAAGAAGGTGTACGTGTTTTTCGTATACTTATTGTTCAAGTGAAACCTATCATTGGCGGCTTGAATATACTGGAGCACACATGCTCGATGAGCTGAACCTTTTCTTTTCAGGCAAACCGAATTTGGAAGTCGCTCTTTTTAAATGCACCTGAGCAAAAAGCACTGCGGTCCCGATTCATCGAGATCATGCGAGACGAACTTGAAGACGAAAAGCTAGCAGAAGAACTGATTCCTAACTTTGCCGTTGGCTGTCGGAGGACTTCTCCGGTCAGTGAGCGAGTTCATCCAAAGCAGTTGGGGGGATTTCTGTTTTGATTGAACTTGGTTTGACATAGAGGCTGTAGGGGCGCACGTTCATGCAAGCGTTGAAGCAACCAAACGTCTATCCTCATTTCACGGCGCTGCAGAGTGTGCGAAAGAGGACTGTCGTAGGTGCAGACGGCACCGAAGTTCATGACGTCGACGCCATCGTTCTTGCCACAGGCTTTGATACAACTTACCGGCCTCGATTTGACATCATTGGACACCGAGGTATATCATTGAAAGAGAAGTTCACGCCCAACCCCGACTCTTATCTGGGCATTGGAGTCCCCGGTAAGCCCTCTGACCTCGATGGTATGATAAGATTGCTAACGGTTTTGCCGCCAGACTTTCCCAACTTCATCTGTGAGTTTTCTTTCCCGGGTTATTTCAATTCCCACAAAATCATCTTTTGAATCTGCTAATAGCGAACCAAGTGTCCTTTGGGCCTACATTTCCCGTCCTTACAGGATCGGTGACGGCCTCGCTCAGTGCAGTGGCAGACTATGCCTTGCAGATGATCAAGAAGATTCAAGCCGAGGACCTCCATTCGGTCACTCCTCGGCAAGACGTCACCGATCAGTTCAACGAGCACACCCAAACTATGTTGCACGGCATGGTCTGGGAGGAAGATTGTCACTCATGGTACAAGCGTCCGTCCGATGGACGTATCACAGTAGTCTGGCCTGGTAAGGGAATTCGGTCTAACCAGGCTCTCTGGATGCTTCTCGAAGCTCCTTGAGCCATGCTGGCTTGTTTTCCAGGTCCATCTTGCTGACAGACTCAAATAGGTAGTGCATTGCATTTCCAAGAAGTGGTGCGAAATCCTCGATGGGAAGATTTCCACATCCAACATCGCAACCGGGTGAGTGATGACCGTGAAGCCATCCAACTTTAAGACCTATCGCATTAACCCATCCCAATTACGCTTTAGTTGAATATGTGGGCATTCCTCGGCCGAGGATTCACGAGGATCGAGAGGGACCCTGAAGCCGATATGCTCCCATAGATGATGGCTGAACCACAAGCCAAATGACAAGCCAGTTTACCGCGCGATAGTATATGCTTGATAGAGGCTAGTCCCATAGCTCTCTCTTCCTACCCATATCCCAAGACGTTTCCTTCACAAAAGGAATTTTCTCTTGGTCGTTAGCTAGGCCGACTATACTGAGCTTCCTACACTGCTTGTGTGACGACGAACGATAACCGCTGACAATAAGAAATTTTACCTGAGCGATAAAGGACCCTGAAAAAGTGAGGATTACGCCAAACCCCTGACGGTAATACTTAGCACGGCAAGGACGTCCTACCGCCGCGGCCGTCCATGAGATGGGCGGTGGAGACGTTGAGTCAGCGGAATTAGTCCGGAATAGAATACCGAAATCTCGAATTTGTACATGTCCTAGGTTATATATTCAAGACCAAGTATATGAAGGAGCTAGGTCAGGATTCTTCCCTGTCATCACGTCAGAATGAGGGACAGCACACAGGTCCACGAGACCACTGCGCCCGCGCACGACAACGCGGCCATCCCTCGCGATAACGTCAGTCCAAACGAAAAGATCGAGGCGGCTGAGCACCTCGACACGATCGACATGGACAAAAGCCATGGACTCGTCGGACATACAAACTACCACGGCATCGACACGACTCACGTCCAGCCTGGCGCCGACGCCGCATATGAGGCCAAGATCTCACTCCTGAACGAAGCCCTGATTGACATCGGCATGGGGCCGTTTCAGTGGAAGCTTTTTATGCTGACCGGATTCGGCTGGTTCGTCGATAATGTGAGTCCGCTGTACATTTCTCCAGCTATTTTCCTTATTCGAAGTTAACTGCTATGTCAGACCTGGTTACAGGCCATCACCATCGTGGGTCCTGCTATCCAGCGCGAGTTCGATGTCAAACGCATTGCTTTTCTTACTGTGGCCAAGTACACTGGTCTGACAGTGGGGGCATCAACGTGGCCTTTGACAGCAGATTTCATCGGCCGGCGTCCGGCATTTAACATTACCTTGCTCTTTTCCTCCATCTCTGCGCTTGTCGCCGCCGGTTCTCCCAACTTCGTGGCCATGTGCACCCTTTGTGCGTTAATTGGGGTCGGCTGCGGCGGTAATCATGCGATCGACAGTGCCATCTTCCTGGAGTTTATTCCCGCCACACACCAGCATCTCCTAACTGTGCAATCGCTCTTTCTAGCAATTGGTATCGCTACGGCTGCTCTCGTTTCATGGTAAAAACACGATCCAACCGGACCACGTGCTTGTACTGCATTTGTGTACGTGCTAACTGCTGCTACAGGCCTCTGGTGGTGAATTTTACTTGCCCTCCAGAGACTCCCCAGGACCAGTGCGGTTTCCACGAAAACATCGGATGGCGATACATCTACTGGACCTTAGGCGGCCTGACTCTGTTTCTCTCCATCCTTCGCTTTTTGTTCAACACGTATGAAACTCCCAAATACCTGCTCGGCCGAGGTAAAGATACAGCGGCCGTTAAAGTGGTCTCACAAATTGCCGCACGTGACGGCAAGACTACCTGGCTTACTCTGGCCCATTTCGAAAATATCGATGCCCGCTTGGCGGAGATTCGAGCTACAACCGCTGAGGATTCGACCCCTGCCGAGGGTTCGTCCAAGGCCATTCTCCGCCGGTTTTTCTCAAAATGGACTCCGGAGAAAGTCCAGGGACTGTTTTCTGCCCCGCGTATGGCTCTCTCCACGAGTATGATGATCGTTCTTTGGGCGGCTATCGGGTTGTCTTATCCTCTGTACAATTCTTTCATTCCATTCTATCTCGAAAGAAAGGGCGTCAAGGTAGGCTCGGGCGACTTGAATACCACCTACCGAGACTATACCATCCAAGCCATTTGTGGCATTCCGGCGGCCATTCTTGGAGGTTACATGGTGAGACTGAAGCACATCGGACGCAAAGGCACCGGAGCACTGGCCTGTATTTGTACCGGCCTCTTCCTGTTCCTCTACACTCGTGCCGACAGCTCTGCTGGCGTCCTTGGCTTCTCGTGTGCCATCTCATTCTTTCAATTCCTTGTATACGGGTTGCTGTATAGCTACACTCCCGAGCTGTTCCCGGCAACCATTCGCGGGACTGGCAATGGAATGATGATGATGTTCAATCGGATGGCAGGAGTTATGGCACCACTCATTCCAGCCTACATGGGCGTCGAGACCAACCTGCCGATCTGGATCGCAGCGGCACTGATAACGACAGCGGGATTCGTGTGCTTGTTGCTCCCCTATGAGAGTCGGGGGCGTGCAGCATCATAGCTTTCTCGGTGAGCCAAGGACCATTGTTGTGCGCAACGATGCTGGACGGGAGGGCAATCTATCTTTCAAGGGCCGGGTCCACCTAGAGGTTCTCTCTAGGCAATCGGTCTTCTGACTCTGTTCTGTACGACTCCGGGTGGCATTGTATCGCGCCTCAATATTCGTCCTCTGACACTGGCGTGTACCTAGGTAGCTGTACTAGAAGAGATATATGAACACAAAAAGATTTACCATCCACTCGGGGGATGCACATCAATTCCAGGGCCCTTGGAAATGTCCCCACAAAAGAAAGAACTATCCATTTTCTCTCTCTACTAAGGTTGGGGAAATCATCACCCGAGAGCGCCGGCAGCGTCTCTTACTCTCAGGACGATCTCAACCGTGGTCAAGTGATAGAATCCATCTACATCCAGATACGTTCTGGGAAGACTGATTCAGGAGATGCTGGCTGGCTGTATGCTCTTTTTGGTGATAGCTCTCCCCTCGCAAAGTCTTATTTCTCTCTTCTCCTTCTTCTGCTTTTTTTTTTTAAGTAGTTTGTGATAAATGTAACAGTGAGATGAATGCAGAGACCTCGCCTAGTAGAGGAAAAGCCTCGACAACTATTCCTCGAGCCCAGTATTTTGTACACGTATTATTTGAGCACCAAAAGCAGGGGCTGCACTAGCAACTAAATTACAACGACTCTGCAAAGTCAGTCCAGTTCGACTTTCTCTCACAACTAGTTGGTCCTGGTGGAATAAACCTATTTTCTCAGTGATCCAAACGTCCTTCCAGCACAGCCAGAGCTGCTTTGTCCAAGCCGCTAGTAACCTCTCCGTCTCTGAGCCAGTGCTGGTCGTCAGCCTGTCTTCCTCGCCTCCAGTGCTGCCGGACGTGACCACAAGCGCAATGTAGGGCGACTAAGGAATACTCAGATTTCCATTGATAGGAATTTGTCGGTGTCAGCGGCAAAGGCCGCCAGGATGATCGACGATATAAAGTAGATGTTAGCAAGCTCAAAGATGAATTTCCAAGCGTTGGTAGCTGCTCTGCCCATTGCCGCGAAAATAGCCTCAGCCATTGGTAGGGTCATTTCGGGACCTTGAGAGTGTCGAAGGATCCCCGGTAACTTGTGCAGCAGTGAGTGCTTGGAACAGGCTAGGCAACGAAGCCTGGGGTAGACCGGCCTTGAGGACAACTTCGGAAACGTATGAAATGGTTTTAGATTCAAGCCTTGGTTGAAACTGACCACCACACGCGTTAATGCCATCTCTCCTAGAATCGGACCCCAAGAATGCTTACAATCGCCATGAATACGCTTTCTGAGGCAATTGTCAGCAAAGAAGCAAGAGAACTAGGGGTGTAGGATACATACGCAAAACTGCGTAAAGGAGATTTCGATTGCCTGACAAAAGACCGGTCACAAGTCCCATGTCGCGTCTGTGAGCTGCCATCGGCGCAGTCACGTAGGTGATCAACATGCTGTAGCCTTGGCCAATGCCAGCGAGAGCCAAGAAAGCCAGAGCCATCTGCTTTCTCGTCGGGTTGAAGGCAGCAAATCCTGCGAGGAAGACCATGTTGACCGTCACCCCAGAGAAGAGATGCCACTTGACAAATTTGGGCTTGATCAGGGCCAACGCAGCCAGGATGAAGTCCGAAACCAAGCCTGCAGACCAAGCCGACTCGGCACCGTCAACGTAGTTCAAATTCCGTTCAAGATATACTTACTGAGTGCCAGGCCTGCGTCATCCCTGTCTCCAACATTCGAGAACAGAACTACCGTGGTCGAGGGGAGAGACCACAACAGAAGAGAGCTAAAGCGGGCCAACGACCAAGCCCGAAATTGTGACTAACGTGATCATCTGTGCCTTTTTCCACTCTGGATATATTGGTCAATTTCTTTCTCGTTCCTAAATTAATCCGAAATGCAAACGAACCAAAGATTGTCCTCCCCCAAAGAAGGAAGTACGTCAAAGCGCCAAAAGACGCGCTGTCAGTACCACGAGCCCCCTTCCAATCTTTGTTCAAGAGGTGCTCAGCATCTGGGCGGTCGTGTAGTTCTCGATATGTGGGCGGATGATAGAAGATCAAGAGCCCAAGTGTCGCCACGAAGGAGAAAATCGCATTGATGGAGTATGGCCAGTGCCAGCTATCCGCGGTGTTTTCGAACAGTGCCTCGGCTAGAGCGAGCGTGTGAGCGTACGAGTAATGGTGGCTTGGTGCCTGGGCTCACCAATGGCAGGATACATGGCATAAAGAGGAGCAAGGAACGACATGGACGCTTCCACCACGACGAACCGATGGCGTACAGGGACGATCTCCGCCAATGCCAGAAACGGACCGATAATTTGCACTCCGGTGCCAATACCAATCAGAACGCTCTTTCACCGAGGTGAGCAAACGCAAGGAAAGGAATGCCATGTAAACGAAAACTTACCAACCCGGCCAGCCAAGGTCGCTTTCCCGCGACGAAAATCCATCGGCGACCTACCAGATCTGACAGTCGGCCGAAGAGGACGGAGCTGAAGGTCTGTAAGAGAATCAGAGTGGGATACGCCCAGTTGAGAGATGAACTCAAGCCTGGCCCAAAACTAGTCGTTAGCAGCCCTTCTCAGGCTTTTGCGCAGCCCCTGTGGTACCGTCCTTACCTAAAGCCGCCGGAATGTCAACCAGAAGCAAGTTCCAGCTAGGAGATGTTTCCAGCATGGCAGCATAGAAGCCAAAGGAGATGGGAACGAAACAGACAATGAATTGCACATCCCAATAGGTGAAATGACGGGGTCCGGTTTCGTCGGCCAGGGGCGGACCGGGACTACTGTCGCGCTGCAACGAGACCGCATCGTCGTCATGGTGGACGACAGACGACGGTTCGTCTTCTTTTTGTGACATTAGGTGGAAACTGAACCGAGGGAAAACCAGCAAGAATTGATGATCAAGGCAATTTTCAAGATGGACAAGCTCAATATACAGATGACTCTATGAGGTTGAATTCTTCTTCCTCCTGGGAGGTGCCGCCTCTTCTTGATATGACATATTATTATCCCTGTGCACTTTTAGTTGTGCTTGCATTCCATGTCCGTTTCCCAAATGATTCATAACATTCAGTGATCGTAATGCACGACAAGCTGAGATCAATCCTGGGAGTGAATCAGCGGTATACGGAGTGCTGTATACAAACCATCGTGATCGGCGTGATAATCGGATCGCCCATAAATTCGGCTAGGACCGGGTCGTCCAAACGGGGATATTGAGCCCCAGCTACGTAGTTAGTAATGGCTCTATCCAATGCTAGTCGACCGTTTGGGCTGTGTATAATTGCTCGCTGTGGAGATTCTGTCGGGGTGGGGACGTACGAGGGAACGAGAGTGGAGATCCGACGATAGATCCCATTATCTCAGCTTCCTCGCGTCACCTTCGTCCAGTGTGGCCTTTACTCCTTCCTTCAGTGAAAGCCGCCATCAATGCTCATAGTTGCGCCTGTCACAAACATGCTTTCATCACTTAAGAGATAACTGATCAGATAGCTAATTTCCTCGGCCGTGGCCTTCCTCTTGATTGCCAAATTCTGAGGAATGTCAGGAAATCTGGCCGTCATTGGCGTGTCTACGATACCGCTGGTAAGGAGGATTAGATGGTCAATTGGACCAGCTCGGGGTGTTTCGGCAAGGACTTACGGGCATAGAGCATTGATCCGGATCTTCCTATCCCCGACTTCTTGGGAGACGGCCTTGGTAATGCCTACCACGCCGTGTTTGCTTGCTGTGTACGCTGAGGTCATCGGATGGCCTTGGAGGCCTGCGAGGCTGGCTACGTTCACAATGCTGCCAGCATCGCTCAATACCTCTAACTCGGCTTTCATGCAATTGAAGGTCCCGGTCAGATTCACGCCGAGAACGAAGTTCCATTCGTCCGAAGTAGTTTCAGCTAGAGTGCTATATCTCAAGACACCGGCCGAATTCAAGGCCCCGTCCAGAGCTTGAAAGCGCTGCATGGTCCGCTGCATCCAATTGCGCGTGTCTCCCAGTCTGCGGACGTCAATGACAGTGGTCAACACATTGCACTCGGGGTGTGCTCTAGTGATGGTGGCGGCAGCCTTGCTGAGCCCTTCTGCGTCGAGGTCTGCGAGGGACAACTTCTTAAGACCTCGATTGGCCAGCAGAGATGCGGCTGCCAGTCCTAACCCGGATGCAGCACCGGAGATAGCGATGGTCTTGTTGGCGAATAGTAAGCTAGGAACGTTCATGTTGGGGAGAGACGAGGATGGAATAAGCGCTGTATCCTGTGTACTGTTGAGAAAAGCACCAGGAGGGCCAGATCGACGACAATTTTTCAGGAAAATCGCACCCGATTGACGTCTCCCGGAGAACTGACAGTTCGATGATTCAAGTATTGTTGCAATGACTTTACTGGCTTGCGTGGGAGTCCTAACCCAAGCAGCTCCTTGGCTGGGGCGTGGGGACCGACGACTCGTCGTGAACGAGATCAGGTACGGACCGCGGGACAAGACCTATCAATGAAGCCTTTTAATAATGCATTGTCCATCTCTAAGGGTGATGGTGCCCAAGGCCACTGTTCTCAAGATTTTGAGGGCGACCATGCTCCATGTAGGGGCCCTGATTTTGCTGGTACGCGATAGCCTCACATTCTCTCGTCGGCATGGTGATCTAACATCACAGCTGGTCGTGTACCGGATCGGTGTCATTATATACCGGCTGTTTTTCAGCCCCCTTCAACATTTCCCTGGTCCTTGGTACTATGCGATCTCCAACTGGCCCATTCTCTGGCTGAGAAATGTATGTGGGGTCTGGCCCAGAACGTTGAAGGGACTGCATGACCGGTATGGCGACATTGTACGAATCTCGCCCCACCGAGTTGTCCTGCATCTACCCAGAAGCATGGGCAGATATCTACGGCCATAAAAACAGTGCCGAGCGAGAGTTCAGCAAAGACCCGACAGATTTCCCTATCGATGCGAGGCGCAGGGAATACAATATTATCTCCTCCAACCACGAGAACCATCGACGCCAACGCAAGCTGTTGTCTCATGCCTTCTCCGAACAAGCCATGCGCGGTCAAGAACCTTTGTTGATGCAGTATGTGGACCTGTTCATCCAGCGATTGCACGAACGGAAGGATGAGCCTGTCGACATCATCCGATGGCTCAACTTTACCACCTTCGATATCATGGGTGAACTCGGGTTTGGCGAACCCTTCGGTTGTCTTAAAACAAGGGGTTATCACGAATGGGTTGATATTATTTTCCAGAACGTCCGTATTGGAAGTCAGGTCAACGCTGTCAAATTCTACCCACTCGGCGAGTTCCTCCTAGAGCTACTGCTGCCGGAGAGTTTGAAACGGAAACGTGATGCTCACAAACAGCTGGCCTGGGCAAAGGCAGACCAGCGAATGCAACTCGGGGTGACCGCCCATGGCGACCTCATGTCCCAGATCCTGAAACACAACGACACCATATCCGGCATGAGCCACGAGGAGATCCGTGAGACCACGAGTCTTCTCATCATTGCGGGCAGCGAGACCACCGCGACAGCGTTGTCAGGCCTGGTTTATTTGTTAGGTATGCATCCCCACCCCTACAAGCGGGTAGTGGAGGAAATCCGGACCGCATTTTCCAGCGAGGAAGAAATCACCCTCCTGACAGCGAGCAAGTCGACCCATATATGCAAGCTTGTATAGAAGAGGCGATGCGTGTTTTCCCACCAGTGCCGGGTGCCATACATCGACAAGTGCCTCGAGGAGGAGAAACAATCCGTGGCTGCAAGATCCCTGAAGGGGGTAAGTAATTTGACAATACGTGATGAACCCCTTCTATGGGGTCGTCCATTCTCTCCCTTGTATAACCTGGTATATGGCTGACGAGTAACTGAATTCCTCATAGACTTTTATCGGATGCCCACAATGGTCAATGTATCACAGTGGCAGAAACTTCGTCCGTCCGGATGAATTCATTCCTGAACGATGGCTGAAGGACGAATCTACTGGCCCCTTCGCTGTGGATAAGAAAGATGCATTTCAGCCCTTCTCCTATGGCCCTAGGAATTGTATCGGGAAAAAGTAGTCTTCCACTCCATTATTTTCAACGCACGAGAAATCATATCTAACGGCCACGGCCTTGTCCTGTGACAGTCTTGCCTATGCAGAGATGAGATTGATCTTCTCTCGCTTCGTCTACAAGTTCGACTTTGAATTGGTCCCTGAAAGTCGCGGCTGGATCAAGGATATCCCTGTCTTTGTACTCTGGGACAAACCTCCAATGTATGTCAAGCTCAAGCCTGTTTACGACTAAGTCTTCCTAGTTGCATGCATAAGTCAGACCTGACCCGGTTCGTTCTTTTTTCTTTTTTTCTGTGTGTGAAGTAACTCGGAGGGCTATTGTGTGGCCCAGATCATCCTTAGACCACAAGCGAACGGAACAGCCCAAACTTAGCCCGGGGGGGGAGGGAGGGCGGGAAGAGGGTGGGGCATAGACAATCTACAATAAATTTGCGATTAGATATGCTTCCTGTAGACCAGTTGTGGAATAGTTTTGCCTTCCCCGATGATTCAGCCGTCTCCCAATGACAACTCATCAGTGATGTCGTACAAACACGGACAATCCCTCCGCCAAAGCCTGTCATCCTTGTGTTGTTAGCAAGGGAGTGAGAAGTACTATACAGTGATCATCGCGCCTATTAGAGTTATTTGTCGTCGACGGGCCGCCACCCACACCCTAGAGAACATTAGTAGCACAGGCCTTGGGATGTGCAATCGATTCATTTTCTGTTCCTTTCACGCTCGACAGGACTGGTGGCCACACATGTTATTTGACAGGGCTCAACTTTCTAACTCCAAAAGCAAGAAACAAGTGGCCCAGGACGACATTGATTGAGGGACATTACAGCCCCGTGAGAGTTGTATACCGAAATCCTAATCCGTGTAAAAGAGGTATGCTTTCTCTCCGGCCAGGGTGTTGTCCAGAACTGACTGATTCCCGAACCTTGAATGCAAGGCGCCACAGCTTCCATGAAGTCCGCTCAATCAATACTCATCTCTGTGCAGAACGGTCACAACTGTTACATACTCGCGCCTCTGGGTCCATCATGCGTGAGAAATCGACACTGGTAACTCCCGAAGGGTCTCGAGAGTGCTTGCTTCCGCCGAATGCTGCAAGGGGACTGAAGGAGCGGAAATCATCAATTAGCCAGAATGCCAGGAGATTTTTGGACATCATTTCAAAAGCTGTGTTGAGTTTCGAAGGCACCGGGCTTGTATATTCTACGTGAGGGTCATGGCCAAAAAGATATTGATTGATACAGTTCATCCAGGGAAGGAGGAGGAGAGTAATCTGCCGCGCTATGATGGACGAAAGGGAAATAGGCCGGGTTTCAACGACGTTAGGTCATTCTATCTCAAAGCCAACAATCCAGAAAATTTTCTCCCAGCCAAAGATAGACAAGCCACCCATCGAACACGGCTGGCGAAAAGAGAGATTGTATTGCCGCTGGCTGATATGTGCTCCATCCTCTATTTAGTTTTTTTCAAAGTCGAGGCGAATCGTTCATTTTTGCCCAACGGGATCGCATCATCCGCTTGGCGAATATACCAAGCAAGATCGGCACCCAAGGTCTCTCGTTGCGAGAAACCGTTGCCCAAGAATGACCAGCGATTACTAGGGTCGGTGTATTCCCAGCCATAGTCTTCAAAGCGCGGCCTTTCCAAGAGCTCAATGTAATGGGGAACGGATCCTGGCCAGACAGCGGTCACCGTTCCTGACGAGTTTTTGTACCAGGAGCGACAGTCCTTATCCCAGACGCTGCGCTTCATCCATACGTCTTTATGACGAGTGAATTCCTCCACAGCCTCTTCCGTGGGAGTAAAGGACCTGTTTACCACGTTAATCGGACCGTGACACACTTTTGCGTGCTTGCAAATACAGGACATGTTTCACTTACTTGATGTTTTCTTCACGAAATTTCTTAATGAACTTCATGAAGTAGTCGGCCTGGGCTTCGATGCCGATGAGCACAGGTCCATTTCCAATCGGGCAGTTTGGGCCTAAGAACATGAAGTAGTTGGGAAAGCCGGGAGCCCCCATGCCCAGGTACGCTTTTGGATTATTCTCCCACTTCTCACTCAACAATATGCCCCCGGAGCCTCGAAGTGGAAAACGTGGTTTGAAGCTGGTATCAAACCCCGTAGCGCACACAAGCACATCGATAGGGTGCTCTTTTCCATCTTCGGTGACCGGGCCCTTGGGACCTATCCTTGTGATCTCACCATACACCACACTGGACTTGGGGTCACTCAAGGCTTTCAGGTAGCCAGTGCCAGGCGTCAGGCGACGACAACCAACGCTCCATTCCGGGACGAGCTTTTGTCTCAGATAGGGGTCAGGGATCTGATCCTTCATGCTCTGTGAAAAGAATGACATTGCTTGTTGCTGCTGTTGACTCTCCGTGAGGAAGAGCGGGAAGATGGCATTTCCACTGCTTTCTATGGATCGTCGATACTGCAAGTGCTTGTCCGGATTTTGTTGGAACTCCTGCTTTTCCTGTTCATCGAACTTGCGGGCTTCAAAACCCGGTAAAATAATTGGCGAAATCCATGCGGGCTCACGAATAAAGTTGACGGCGTGCTTTACCTGCGGGAGAATGGTGGGCAAGATCTGGATTCCCGAGGATCTGTATAGTCAATTGTGAGCGAGAAACATTTTCCTCAAAGGTGGAAAGCCAATTACCCATTTCCAATCAGGCCAATTTTCTTGTCTGTGAGATCCAGACTCTGATCCCAATTTGCCGAATGTAGTTTTGGACCTGCAAAACTATCCAAACCAGGGATGGCCGGCCATCTCCAGGCATTCAATATACCTCCTGCGTTAATCAGGATATCGCAAGAGTCTTCTTTCTTCCCGGCTGGGGTGGTCATCTCGACAAGCCATTTTCCAGAATCCGCATCCCAGGTAGCTCCTGTAACTGGACTCTCATACTGGATATACTTCTCGAGATCGTATTTTTGGGCAAAATCTCTAAAATACTCGTATATCTCGGGTGAGGTGGCATACGCCTGTGACCAGTCCGTCTTGGGTTCAAAGGACCACGTATACCTGGCAAGATCAGTGTCTGGGAACGAGCGGACGGCCGAGGCAGGCCCATAAAAGGAAAGGAAACACGAACGTGTGAGCTGGGCAATCACAAGCACACCCGGGGTATCTGGATGCTCGTCAGCACTGAATAAACGGTCAGGCAGAAGTACCCGGTATGGAGATATGTACCTATTCTCCAACCACGTGCCCCCGAGGTCTTTGTTTTTCTCATAGACTTGTATTTCGACGTCTTTCTCGTCGAAATTATACTTGACTTTGTACGCAAGCAACAGGCCCGAAGCCCCAGCTCCGATACAAATAATCCTCACAGGTCGCCCGGAGTGGAGGGGCTTCTCAGGAATTTGGTAGACTGGGGAAATCATGTTGGCCGTCTCCGTGCTTGTGGGCGTGGACAATCGACACAATCGATCCTCGTGAGATTGAGGCCAGGAGGCCAGTCTATAAATATCATTGTGCGCCCGACCACCTCTTGTGCCTTTGCTGAGGTTCAAATCTCCGTTTCTGGGATGATTCATTCGTCCATGTTGATATCTCGGCTCAATTCAATTTAGTGGCCCATTATGTTTGGGTTGTTCTCGCCCCGTGAGTGAGACGAGAGGCAGCATGGACTTTTCTTTTCTTGGCAAGGGTCTTCTTCATGATCATGGACAAGCCTGCTCTTCGGCTGAATAAGTCTCCCGACAAAGGGAGAGTTCTACCACTGAATCAGCGGTCGGACCCAACGAATAAGATCTCAGCCGCAGACTCTCCGACTAACTTCTTGCCCCAGCCAAGGCCCCACTACTTTTGGTCAACTCTAGACTGAGGTGTCGTGCTGGCGACTTGTACGGGAGGAGGGAATTCAGAGATCGTGAGTGTTGAATGTTAATACGCTCAGGTGACGATATTCATGGGGGTGTAGGGATGACCCCCCCGGAAATCCTGAGCCAATGGGGAAAGGTGTTATCACACGTGACTTGCCCCAGATTGTTTCCCCCGGAAAACCATGCTGGAAATCCGCTAGCCATGGTGACAAGTAGGTACAATACACAACTACATTGCTTCCCTACACTTTGTATTGTTGCAGCCCAATGCACCTGCGCACTCTCTACTGATTGCCTGTGGGCTGCACTCACCACCCTATTATCTTAACCTTCAAACCAGCTCAGAAGCGAGCCTTGCTACCCCGGTTATCTCTTGATCCGCCCGGCCAACATGACAGCTAGTCGTGCTATCGATGAAAAAGGACCTCCCATGTCCTCCGCCGACAAAAAGCGCGCCAGAGACCGGCGAGCCCAGCAAAAGAGACGGGAAAAGAGGGAGGCACATGTGAGGAAGCTCGAAGAAGAGCTTGCTTTCTATCGGGACCAGCATAGACCGCAGCATTACCGTCAACTGGAGGACACCATCGATAAACTGAAGAAGCAGAACAAGGCTCTCTTGGAGAGACAACAGGCACTACTCAAGCTGCTGGTGGATTGGAATGCCGACACAATGGCTTCGACAGATCTCTTGCGCCCTGAGGCTTACCCCGTGCCGGCCATTGCTCGCGCGGCGCCGCGGACTTCTGCTGAAACTGAAGCGCCTGAAAGCACTCTGCTGGTATCGCCTCCCGTGTTATCTCCAGGGATATCACATCCTACAGAAGAGCCTCCTGACCAGGCTCGTACGCCAGAGCCCTTGATAGCTCTCCCTCCTCATGGCGATACCACCGTCACGCAGGTCTCTGCACAATTTGTCTTGAATGCCGTCGTTGCACTTCTCCAAAAACACTTTGATAACATTCGATCCTCATTACCGGCTCGCGGAGATGTCCCCTTCGACTCCTGCCTAGGCATGGATTCTCCGCCTACAGGTTCACATTCAACTGAGCACCCAGACCGACATCGATCAATTATCAGTCCTCTAACCGAGAGTCTCCCTGAGAGACACTCAGAAGACTGGTCCGACTCAACAGTCACCACATTAGACAAGAACGACCATCATCGACATCCAGAATCCGGTGGCTTGGAAATCTCCCGACGTATGTCTGTATCCGTGCCTTACTGGGCTCAAGTACCGATGAGCGCCGCCAATATTCAGAGCGAATCCTATTGCCCATGGCTTTCCTGTCCTGATATTGTGTCCATCATGCCTGATCTTCCTTATCCGCAAGACCTTTTGTATGGTTCCACCAAAAATCCAGTGGCGAATTCGATTTACATCACATTGAAGGACTACAGCTTTGGCGTCATGGAGAGGCTAGCCTGTGGCTGGCTTGTATACGTTTACACCAAGTGGCGTATTTGTCCTTCGGAAGAGCGATATCTCAATATCCCTGCTTTCTTCCGTCCGACATCTCTACAGTTAACCCAGCCACATTGTCCCATGTTTGATAATCTAGTCTTCCCTCAACTGCGGGATAATTTGATCAAATATTTTCAAGACTCTAATATGGACGAGATTTTTTCGCTTTTCTCGACCAGTGTCAACATCAGGTATCCTAAAAATTTGGAGTGTTTGATACCTGACGACCAGAACCACCTCATATTCTCACCGAACTTCTTTATGGCGTTGACACGACTAGAATCGTGGACTTTGGGACGCGAATTTGCTCTCAAGTATCCACATTTCGCCGAAGGAATACCGACGGTCACCTCAGCACCTGCAGTGAGGTAGATTTTCTCGATGGTCTGGCGCGGATTAGTTCTCCCTATCTTGCCGCTTGACATCTGGCTTCAATGGCTCAGACCTCCATCTCTCAGTATACTCTGAAAGAAACTCATTAGTGTCAAGTCAAAGCAGCTCTGCTATCATTTCCTTTCCCAAGATCTATCTTGCCATGCCCTGCATTGATTTGGCTAGCGGGCCCTGACTTCATTTGCTATTTCGCGTTCTCAGAGACATCTACTTTCGAAGTCCTGTTCTTTGTTCACAACAAACCGAATGAAAGAGAAGATATTGTCTCTTAATTGAACCGCTTAGTAAAAATTATGGCCCAAAAGGAAGTATTTAGGCAGGCTGTCCGCACAATCATGAAGCGGTGCCCATCCTTGACACAACTGACCTCTGAAAAAGTGTATGAGTCCCCCTTGTTTTGTAGCTCAGAGTTACAATCTCGCCTCAAGCGCAAGACTTCTTGTTCAACTTGTCCTGCCGGGTCAAGCTCATTCTGGGGAGAGGAAGCAAGTGATCTCTCCACGCTTTTCGACTTCGCTGTATGCGCCCATTTCCTCTCCCCCCTTTCCTAGGCCCGGCGGCGGGGTTGGGGAATCCGACAAGGAAAAATATTCCTTGTGGAACTAAAACACGGTGTCTACGGAGAGGTCGATGGGCCATCTCGATTGGTCCACCCCATTTCCTCGCGTCGAAACATCGTAACCCGGCTTTACTACGTTATCCACAAATCGCAGTACCGGTGCCACGATCTTGATTGGCTTCTCGATTGTCGACACGAAATGGGTGTGAAAGAAATCGGGTCGAAATAGTTTGGCCCCGCTGTTTCCCATCAACATCCTCAAATACGCAGGAAGCGTGCGCGGCATATGGTCAGAATGGTGAAAGACTTGAGATCCGTTGCGCTTCCAAACCGCCTCCCAGACAGAATCAGGATAGGTGCCAACACTGTCAACCAGCCATCTCGAATAGTAATTCAAAGCGATCTGGAGAGGGGGAATAAAAGAGATTAGATAACGGATTAGCAGCCAAATTATCGTCATCATCCCGCCACACACACACACAGAGAGAGAGAGAGAGAGTTTACTTACGTCGACCGTGTAGGAGCCACCTCGTTCGGCTCGCTGGAGCAGCGCCGTGAGAATGCCGACGGCACCGGCAATGCCCGAGCTATGAAATGGTGAGCTTATGTTCATACCATGTTTGCCCCGAAGGAAGGATCTCACCAATAGTCAGAATTGGGAAAAACAGGAGTCACAGGCTCGTCGAGACCCATTGCTCGCCCAAATTCGAGGGACACACCACAGTTCTAGCTCTGGTCAACAGCTCCATCCTTCCTACTCCCTTGGAAAGAAACATTGATCCCGACTCACGGCATCGCTGATCTGTTGCCATCCACTCCTGTCTTTCCAAGGACCTTGCCAGCCGTAACAGTTCTCACGGGCATATATAATCCCGCGCTCGCGACTCGAGCACAATTCGATGATATCCTTTTCGCCGAAACCGTATTTGTCTAAGACGCCGGGCCTATAACCTTGCAGGAAAACGTCGGCGTCTAGAATGAGCTCGCGGAGCTTTTGGCGGTCATCATCCTGTCGGAGATCAAGGGATGCATTCCATTTCCCAAAGTTCAGATCGACGTGCAGAGCAGACAAGTCAGGGAGATGTGGTGCGGTAATTCTCATCACACTGGAACCAAGCTCCGCTAGACCTCGCGATACGGCAGGCCCCGCAATGATACGGGTAAGGTCTACAACCTTCAAGCCTGCTAGCGGTCGTGAGGCCGATGTGCTAGGTACATCTGCCCACCAACACGGTTTTTGGCCGTCATTTGGGTGAGAATGAATCTCGAAAAGCCCAATATGTTCGTTGGCCTTACCATGTTCGCTCTTGCGGTACTCATCAGTGCTCCAACATATTGTGCCAGCCTGTTGGTACACATCAGTCTCTAAATGCTGCAGGTCCTTGGAGTCAGTATTAGAGATGGCATCGATGAAAGGAGATATCGCCTCCTCATGAGTTTTCGCCGGAGCGTCCAAGGGCAATCCAATACTTTTCAGCACTGGGTCAGGGTTCATTGACCCTGTAGCAAGCGGTCAATCCTTGCTACCTCCCTTGACAAAACTAGGATAACATACCGTGCAGATGAAAGTATCGTCCGTCCTTACACCGATAGATATTAGTGGCGGCCATTCGGTGCAGAGATGAATTTGACCGATGCTTGTCGCAGTCTGGAAAGAAGGCCTCTAACTTCTTGCGGCTCTCTGGGTGCAGAATCGATCCCGCATTCAGATTGTCACCTTCGGGATCAATGGTCCATAACAGACTCGACATTATGAAGAGCTGCGCATGGTCGCTGCAACACATCGTCTCAACCACAGTATTGTCACGCTATCATCGATTATATACTCACGTATTGATCCTAATTTGAGGAGGATTGATCCCATATTTACGCCTGAGCAGGACACTCAGAACTGCAGCCTCATAACCCTTCAGGGCACTGACACTTTCAGCAAAGCGCCAGTTGATGGGAATGCTAGGATCTGGGCTCCCTTCGAATGCGATGTTCGAGCATTCCTTTGTCTCTGGAGGCAGGAATTTTTGGACTAGAGGGTTGTTGAAGATGCCATTGGTGAGAACCTTTTCGGCTTCCTCGGGAACCGAATAGTCAACGAGTCCATTCATCTCGAAAACGGTCAATCTCAAGGCCGGTACTAAACACAGCCGCGTTCGTCAGAGAGGGCTGGCGTGATTAAACGCGTGGCATTGAATTGCGATTCCTTCGAAAAGTACTTGATATGTGTATGTGAAAAAGGGACAACAACAAAACGGGGGTATTTCAAGGCCGATCCGTCAGATGTCGTAGACCGCTTCCCGAAACTTTTCTATGGCTAGGGGCCCTCCAGGTCCGAACACAGACCTGATGAGCAGAAATATAAGGAGGCCACCTTCGTCTGCGGGGGTTTTTTCCCGGATACTCAATCGGACCTTCTCAACCGACTGACATTTTCGATGCGACGGTGTGGTGCAGACTCTGCTCCCGCCGAATCCTCCACAACGTAAGCCACTGATTCAGCGCTGAATCGAAGTGGTTGGTCGCATACTCTGTGGACGAAAGGGAACTATTCAACATTTTGATCAAATATTTCGCCTCCTTTCCGGTGATTGTCCCTCTGAAGCTCGCTCATCGGAACTTCAAGTCCAATTCCGGCGCCTCCAACTGCCAGTACCGCGCCATCGGTCCCTATAGCCAGTCTTATGGCAAACGGGTGAAGCGGGGACCATCCATGTTATTGTCCACCCAGGCAAATGAACGGCAGGAGCTTAGGCCACTCCTGCAAGACTCGTACATAAATCGACATGGCTCCGCACTCTAGGGTCCAACACGGAAAGAAACGTGCATGAGGAGGATTCCATCTACGTGCAACACGCGAAGGAATTGAAACAAAGTCGAACTCCTTACTGCTCTCAGTCACCATGGTATCAAACAAGCCAAAACTGTCTACCATCGATTACGTCCGTCTCATCACGTCGATCTGCAAAACAGGTGAGCGGCCTTTCCGATGTCCGAAGACACCTGCCACGGCGAGGCTGCTACGTCTAGACCCATAAACAAAGTCCATCAACTAAAACACCCGGGGCAGCCATCTCGACCATTGGTGCTGTCATTACCGGCCCTTTCCGAGGAAACTCAGGTCCGACCTCATACAAACATCATGTGTTGTTCACTGCCATGAGGGCGTACATGAAATATACCCCAACCCACCAATTGCAGTGCGGTCCACCAGATCTCGATGGTATGTTGTACCACCGAGCTGACCAAGACGGCTAGAGCGACCACACCTTCCACCACCGAGGCATATGCTGCTTTTGTTAAATCGATGTCGCTCCCTTTCAAGGCTTCGACGCTCGAAGATGGATCGACGGCGTACTGGCTTGGGCACAAGGCGGCGGACACGGTCCTGCTTTTCTTCCACGGTAAGGGCCGTGGTCGAAGCCGAGGCTACATAGCGTCATTACCTTGCCGTACCTAATATCGCGTGTCTAGGAGGTGGATATGCCATGCCAGCCACCGTTGCTCATTTCCAACTACTTTCGGATCTTCAAGGCCAAGCCACTTCCCAAAATTCGTCTTTATCTGTGCTGATACTCGAATATGGTAAGTAGCGCCTGGCAACACAGGAATATGAGTGCTGTTAGTCATGCTGTTCTCCAGGATTGGCGCCTTCTGCTCAATATCCATCGCAGCTGAAGCAGGCGACTTACGCGTACAAATACTTGACTGAGACACGGAAACTTCCTCCCTCCCGGGTAGGCGCAGAGGCCGATAAGGGTGACCGAATGATCTCTGTCTGCTAACGAGCCCGATCAGATCTTGCTCGCCGGTGATTCAGCTGGAGGCCACCTAGCTTTAGGACTCCTCTCGCATCTAGCTCATCCACATCCTGAGCTCCCCACAACAAACGCAACTGATCCGATTGCAGGGACTATCTTGATATCGCCATGGGTGACATTCGTCACCAACTCTCCGTCCATGTCTAAGAATCTCTATAAGGACTGTCTGGATATTGGGACTCTTCAAAAATGGTCCAAGGCATTCATTGGCAATGCTCCGATGGACAATTATACTGTTCCTCTCAACGCCGAGCCTGCGTGGTGGTCTGGCCTAAAGACCAAGGTATTGTGCATCGTCGCCGGGGGTACCGAATTATTCTTTGACGACATTGAGAATTTTGCAACCAAGGTCAAGGTCAGATGTGTCCCATTCAAAAAGGGAGTGCCTTAAACATTCGTCTCCTAACGCCCCTCTTCACAGGTTCATCACCCAGAGGTGGAGTTTTTCAACAGTCCTGGCGAAGCACATGATTCCCCAATTTCTGATATCGTCATGGGTTTCAAAGAAGGTGCAGCAGCGCGCAAGTTCTGTCAATGGATTCTGACGACTATTAAAAAGTGAGGAATTCAGCACCACTACTTACTCCCTGGCAAAGAGGAGGTTGGTAGTGATGAACGGTTCCGCACCTGGGTGCCTGTCACGCAGGGAGGATGTCGTCGACAGGATCGTTGAGCAACCACACACAAAGCTCTAATTGTTTCATTTCTCTATACTCTGCGTCTCTTCGCGTGCGTGTGTGTCCCCTTGAAAAACCAAGAAAGGCTCGATGCACTCCTCAACATTCTAGTTCTTGTTTTGGGGGAATGGGCCGTAGAAGAGAAGACCTGTCTCGTCATTCATGATCCCAGCGGGAATGTACCTTTCTCTAAACGGATTTAACTAGTTGTGTGCAAAGATGGAGCCAGCGAAAGATGCTCCAGTCCAATGGTCAATTTCTGAGTAACCATAGACATTTCGATGGAAAAGAAGAGTATAGGAGCCGGTGATGAACTGGATGGATACGGAAAACGATATCCGTCGTTGAGACACCAAAGGGATCGGAAGCCCGGTTATGCGATCAGCGACCAAGAATATTCCCGGTGATTATGGCCGAAAGCTACCATGTATGGGTGGACATAGTGCGTCGTACGCAGCGTTATCCCATTGTATTGAAAACTATAGCGTGTCCCGAAGAACAACGTGATCGGTCCCTTCTCATCCCGAAAAGCAGTTATATCTCTTTAGTGAACATTATAGTCGAGCGGAGTTTTACCTTCACAAGGACATTGTTACTATGTACCAGCATTGTTGGCGACGTTCAAATAAATGCAGTCGAGGAAGCTGAGAAGGCTTTTCCAGCTTCGAAAACGACCTTTCACCTCCCCAGGGAGGCATGTGGAGGTTGGAATGTCACATCGTCTTCAGCTGCTGAGGCGTGTATAGTTTGGGCATTCGACTACGTCTTCTGGATGGGCTAAAGTACGTGCCAGCAGGAAACGAGGAAAGAGAGCATTGAAAGAAACTCTCTGGCCGCTCCTAGCAGCGCCTTGATCAAACGACCTATCAGCAATCGGCCTGGAGATGGAATCGCTTTCATCCTCTTGTAGTCAGCTTTCCCGGACCAAGTTCAATCTAAAACCTACGTTCCCCTGTCTTGAGAATCTTCCAAACAGGAATGGATGAGAAGAACTACGAGCTTCTCCTGGCCCGGGAAGCCACATGTTCTGGCTTCACGTGGATGGGCACCGTTGTGTTCGCTTCGCTCGGTACACCCTGACCTTCCGCGTCCTCGATGGATAGCTCAGACTTGATGTGTTGAGCCACCTTCATAGTCAGGTTCGGAGACAGCTAAGCATCGTCATTCATGAGTCTTGCACTGGTGTATGGAGGGAAAAGAGAGACCGGCTTGATATTTGGCGACTACGTGTCGTAATGGGGTGGTGATTTGACTTACATCTTTGGTGGAGAGAGCGCAGGCCAGGGAAACAACCCCAAAAGGGATGCTGGCGTACCACACGTATTTGAATGAGTCCATATAAGCTCGTCTCAATGCCAGACTCGAAATCTCGATGATGCCGGGCGTGACGCCAGGAACTGCGGAAATAGGAGTAGTAGTGATGGCGCCCGTCAAGACTCCTAGGAACTCAAGAAGGGAAGACTGCGGAAGTCCCGCCTGGATTGCTACCGCTGCAACATCTCGAGGAATCAATTGGCTGGCTTTGCTCTGGAAGATGGTGGTGTAGATTGCAGTGCCCACGGATCCCCCCATGCACCTCAGGAGTCCTATGGCCCCATTTGCAAATCCAATCCATTCGTCAGGTGTTGCAAGCTGAATCAGCAGAATGGTCAAGAGCTCAATGATGCCAATACCTGGGAAAGTGGTTAGAATTTTTACTTAATCACACAGGCTCCCGAGCGAAAAACGGACCTATTCCACCGAGGCAGGAAAATGCCAAAGCCATGCCTTTGGTGTTTAGTCCCGGCAGGCACATCAGCGGAATGAATAGGACTTGTAAGAGGACGCCGAATGCGACCATCCACATGGTCCCGATCTTGGGCCCGATGATGGGTAAAAGTATGGCAGAACCGACTCCGCCGACTTGGGTGCCGATGCCGAAGGGGATGCCGTCAATCCCGACTTGCCTTCCGTCAGTACCATCGTAAACGGTGGACAAGTATGTTGGGAAGAAAGCCTGGAGAGAGTAGAACAACATCCCCCCAACAAAAGCCGTGACCAAGAGCATGGTAAAGGTCCGAATCCGCTTGAACAAGAAAGGATGTAGAAGAGGGTTCTTTGCGCCGTAATTCTCATAGAGACCAAGCGCCACGAGAATGACTGTCCCGGCGACAAAAGGCCCAACGAATTCTCCGCTGGTGGAACCGTGTTCTGGGATCCAGATGATACCCATGAGGAACATGGTGGGTCCAACCTGGATATTGTCTCTCTGTAAGTAAAGAACGTCCATAGAACACCGTAACGATAACAATAACTGTGAATACCACTCACCACAATCCCCAGGAGGCCAAAGTAGTCAAAATCCTTAATCAACTTCCTCTTGCTGAGGTTTCTCCCTCCCAAGGCAGGAGCTGGGAAGTATGTCAAGAAGGTGAATACGGTTCCCACGACGTTGACTGCCAGTATCATCCAGAAGATGGACCTCCAGCCAGGCTTTGTTTTGACCGTCATCTCATGACCGATAAGCGAACCACATGACACCCAGAAAATTGCCGATCCGTTCATAACGCCGATGACATAACCTCTGTGTTTGGTCGCCACCAATTCGGCCACGGCGACGAAGGAGTTGACTGCTAAGCCTCCGTTGAGACCCATAACAGCCATGGCGCCAATTGCTAACCTAGGCGTCAGAATCGATCGTGCGCTCGTGGGTGGGATGGACAGGAACAAGTTTTCTTCTCGTTCCCCCTGTTCTAAACCAGAATAAAGACCACTTACCGGTTGGAACATCCTGAGCGAGTGCACCAATCAAAGCAGCCAGAATGCCTAGGAGACCCGTGGAAATGCAGAACCATCGTCTTCCAATCAGGTCGGACAATGATCCGGCAACGATCAATCCGACTCCTGAAGCGACCGTCCAGGAGGAAGCCAGCCAGGTGTATGACGGATCGGGCCCGAGGTCCCGATTCATGTACTGAATAATGGGCACCACGCACAAAAATCCGCCCAGGGAGATGTTGTATAGGAAGATGAGGGATCCTATGGCCATCCATCGCTTGGACGAAGCGGGTTGAGGCATCTGAGATGCATCGGTGATGTCGTGTTCGTGGAATTGATCACTGACATGTGTCCCCGCGGGTGCCAGGTCATGGTGAGTAACCACGGTGTCGCCCTTGTCTTCAGCCATGGCTAGCAGGAAGAGTCTGACGGATGGGCTCAACTAAACAAGCAACTCCAAAACAGAGACACAGCAAGAGGATGGAATCGAAAGGAGAAGGAGTGATGAAGACGCCAAAAGACCTAGGTGATCGATAGAATTTAAGTCTGGGCCGGGTCAGTCAATGGATATGCTGAATACAGAGAAGGATGAAATACTGAGATTTTCCCAATGCCCAGGGGGCCCCGGAATCTGGCTCGCGATCTTTCCAGCTCGTGGCACTGGCTTCTCCATTACGATGACAATGTCAGTCGTTGGAGATTTTTTTTTTTTTTTTTTTTTTTTTTGACACTTTTTGATTCTCTCCGGGATTCTATGCTCCACTTCCGGAACACGAATCCATGCTGATCTCTGTCTTTGCGGGTTGACTTAGCGGGTACCGTTTCTTCGGTCCCCTATCCGCCGACCCTCTCATGGCCCGACAAAGTCAGGTCCATAGCATAAACCCAGAATCGACGCCGACTCGTCAACCACGACACTATGCACGAGGGTCCCGGCAAAGCTATCATTCATGGGATCCTGCTCCCCAGAAACACCGATTTCGTCCAGTGTATCTATTCCATGTCTGAATCAAGATACTGGTTGTGGATTTTCATGCTTGTACGTGCCATCAACCGAATTGGGGATGATATACGCCGTACTACCAATGAACATCGATAGTCTATGGACGTTCTAGCATTCTCCATGGCGAATCTGCATTCATTCGGCGACAGCATAGTTGAATCTGTAGAGATTGTGACAGCGTCTCTCTGTGAGTCATCGAATCTGGACCTGGCTCAGCTTCATTGTTGTGTTGGTGTCAACGTTGGTATTGACGTCGCGCGAATCACGTAGGAGTGGAGCATTTGTTACATAAACATGGTGTTGCTGGTTGGTCGAGCGCATTGCATTAATCGAGACTAGCGGTTCTTGGCGTCTTCTCACAAAGATCCCAGCGTCCTCTTCATTCCCATTCAAGAGGCCAGCGAGAATTCTCATGGCTCATCCCACGAAAGGATTGGTCTTGGGTCTATCTTTGCTGCCAATGACTTAGGGATACTGATCTTCTTCGCCCGGATATAGTCGGCGAAACCTTTGCCCAAGATATCGAGATTGGTGGCCGAGCTAACCCCTCTGCCGAGAATCCCATACACGACAAAGTGCACGGCGTAAATATTAGGGAATTCAACTCTCTCGATGAAGTAGGAGCCTTCTTTCCAGTCGTCTCCGATCAGGGTTTTGAGTCTGCTTCGACTCATGTAACTTCGGAACCAGTCCCAGAGCTGAGGGTCGCGGACGAAAAATCCGGCGTTGATATTGGCCCCCTTATCACCGGACCGGGCAAGAGCAATGTCGCCCAGCAATAGTTCCGACTGTGTCTCGCCCATCGATGCAACAGATACTGGGTACGCAGTGTCGTAATTTGCTCGTTTCCCGGGTTTCTTATACGTGGGAGGGTGGCCAGCATCGACGATCGAGGCCTGTGAGCCATATTCACCCAAAAGATGTGCTTTTTCCTGCAATTGGTCCTGCCGCATGACAGCAGGATAGTAAGCAAGGAAGGGCCGCGGAAATGCTGTCCTGAAGTCCAGCGAGCAATGCATTCCTGTGAGGAAAACCGAAGCGTCGTCAGATATGCACACTGCAGTGGGAACACCGCCTTATGGCTCACTGAGGGATTGTTACCAGAATAATGCTGCATGCCAAATTCCATAAAAGATGTCAATAACTGTTGAAGGGTGGATGGTTCCGACGCTTGCGCGAGGAGTCGAAAGTACGTGGTACTGCTCAACTGACTTCGCGGATCGCTCTCTGGCACGCCGATGCTTTTGATTTCAGTCAGTCAAATATTACCCCCTTGGGAGAAGATCAAATTAGGATTGGGGGTTGCCTACTGTTGGAACTCGAGCGCGTCAAACTGGTCTCGTACCTTGTTTTTTTCGAGGGCATGCAACATCTGCTTCTTCCAGAGCTGGAACTTATGTCCCGTAGCGTATCCTGCAGCGTTAAACAGCAACTGGGATTCAAATCCGCCCTGGTAAAAGATGGCTAACTTGGTTGTGGGCGGTGGTGGGCCGCCCTTGATGCCCCATAGACGAACCCTGGATCATGTTGTTCATTAGTTGGAGCTAACTGAAGCAGGATCGATGCTCGTACCTGTTCAGCCCGACCTCTTCCACTTGGACATCATGCATATGCGCGGTGACGTCGCTGTTGAGATAGACCTCGCCCTGAAGTTCGTACAGAAATTGGCATTTGACTGTGTCGGCCGTCACGAGTCCGTTGGATCTTTCGTGTTTCGTCACCACCACTGAACCGTCGGCTTCGACTTCCGCGATACCAAAGGGCAAGTCGATCAGCTTGTCAAGAGGGACCTCGTCGAATCCTGCAAAGTTGGCTCCGGTCACATATGCGGAGCACTCAATCAGATGTCCGGCCACCAGGGAGCCGGCCAACGCATCCCAATCATTGTCTGCCCATCCATGCCACCACCATGCGGCCCCGATAACAGGACTGGCGTCAGCAACCCGTCCACAGATAATAATATCGCCTCCTGCTTCGAGTGCCTTGACAATCCCGCGGGCGCCCAGGTAGGCATTGGCAGAGACCAGGGCTTTGCCCGGCTTCAACAGGTCGGTGACATTCCTGGCCAAGATCACATCCTCGTTTTCGGCATCAAGATGCTCAGGGAGTTGTCCTGAGCCCTCCAATTGCCTCTGGACGTCGGCAAGGACATTATCCCCCGATACCCACGCGATCTGGAGGTGGAGGTTTCTCTCCTCAACCTACAAGGACATTTAGGTCGAGCTCGGCCACATACATGTGGAAGGTTGGAAGACGAACCAACTTCTGGCACTTCCTGGCTAGGCCTTCCGGGTTGAGAGCGCCGCCGTTGATGACGATTTTGATTCCCTTTTCGGCCACCACTTGCACGCTTTGACTGATTCCATCCCAAGCAGTTGCAGCGAAGCCTTCATGCTTCCCGGCGGCCATTGCCTGCGCTGTTTCCCATGAGGACATGGGCATGCGCAGGAATAACAGGTTCTTACCGTTCTCAGCTAAATTGACCTCAGCAAGATAGTCTCCCGTGATAAAATCCACTTCGCCATCGCTTGCCTGTCTCAGCATCTGATAACCCGGATCACCTGTAACATGTCACTTAGTACCAGTTGGATGCACGTTGCCGATTTGACGGGGCGGACCTGCTGCTCCAGAACAATTCGCAATACGAACAGCACGCTTCCCGCGCTCCTCGAGGCTCTGGTTCAATTTCTGACACGGCATCTTGGGATAAATGAATCCTGTACAGTTGGTCTCAGGTTCAGTATTTTCAAGGGCCACAATTTGGGTGGATGAAGAGGAAGCGCATTGAGGACTCCAGCTCGCAATAACTGCGTCCCCCTGTCTCTCCAAAGTGAATGTTTGAGCACTCGAACGGATTTAAGTAATGTCAGAACCTCCCCACCCTTTCCCAACTCAATTGAAGGGAAGCGCAGCGGGTCGAGTACTCACAGAGTGGGGCACATTTATGACAGGCGAGTCAGCGCCAGACTGCCAATGTCAGGGGGGCTACGTTTATTTATGCGCCTTCATAAGATTCAGTGTTATGAGTGTCAATCGAGCGGAGTACAACATATCCCATTTTCCCATCATTTGATTGACTGCTAAGTCCACGCCTTCATTCAACATCACATGATTCTGAAGTCTTTGCCCCCTTTTCAGTAAGTCATGCTAAATGCAAGATCAGCAACCTTGTTCAAATCATGGCATGAAAGGAGACCTTACTTGATAAACATGGTCTTGGGCTCGGTATAGGCCAAGATACCGTCCTGAGAAAGCTGTCAGTCTCAGATAGGCCAAAGATAAATTCATGTGAAGTCCTTCCTTACCTTGCCGAGTTCCCTTCCCCAACCACTCTGCTTCATTCCACCAAAGGGAACCGTGTAATCGATCATTGTGCAACAATTCACACAAACAGTACCGCTGCGAATCTGACTGGCGACCCTCAGAGCTCGGTTGATATCTTGCGAGAAGACGGCACCTGACAGGCCAAATGTGGTGTTGTTGGCTCTTTGTATGACATCTCTTTCATCTTCGAACTCGCTCACTACCACCACTGGGCCAAAGATCTCCTCTTTGTAGATTTTTGCGTCCGGATACGGATCGATGAAAAGAGTGGGAGTAAACCAGCAACCCTAACCGAGGTTATGAGCGTCCGCAGTTCTACGCATCCCACGCGAAAATACTTTTAGCAGTGATACTGACGTACCTGGTCATAGAGTGCTTGTCCCCCTGTCACCAATGTTGCTTCTTGCTTTCCATGCGCGACAAAGCTTGAAACCCGATCGAAATGCGCTTTGTCGACCAGGGGGCCGATCTGAGTGCCCTGGTCAAATACGTCTTTGCCCATCGCCATGTGCAGACCTTCAAATACGGTCCTGATACGATCTATAAATTGTTGTTTGATGTCGCGATGTACATATACCCTTGAGCTAGCGATACAGGCCTGGCCTGTGTTAGCAGTAATCCCCTGGACACACCAGTTCACGGCCACGTCCATATGAGCGTCAGGAAAAATGATACTTGGACTCTTGCCCCCCAGTTCCAAGGTGACTCTCTTCAAATTACTGGCCGCAGCCGCTTGGGCAATTTTTTTCCCTGTCGTACCGCTGCCGGTAAATGAGATTTTGTCGATGTCCATGTGGGAGGCCAGAAGGGCTCCGGTCTCTGCTCCGCCACAGATCAGATTGACCGTGCCCGCGGGAAACCCAGCTTCGTTCGCCAGCTTTCCGAAGAACAAGGTGCTGAGCGGCGTCTTTTCGCTCGCTTTGATAATGATCGTGTTTCCTGCTGCAAGGCAAGGGGCGCTTTTGTTGGCTAGCATAATCAAAGGCCCATTGAATGCGTTGATCGCAGCGCAGACACCGATCGGCTCCCTCTGAACCACCCGCATGAAACCGTTGTCCGGGGGGAACGACTCTCCTTCGAGCTTGTCAGTGAAACCGGCATAATCTGTATTTGTTTATGGAACCGTCAGTCTTCCATTCCCTAACCCCAATTCTAGGCTCCTTCCAGCGACAACCCATCTCCCTACGCTCGGGATGATTATACAGAGAAGTTAAAAGGTATTGCGCGCTGTGGCTATCCACTCACATCTGAAGGTATTAGCCGCCATGGCAGCCTCATAACCAGTCGTTGACACGAATGGTTTCCCACTGCAGATTGACTCGAGCCGAGCAAAGGCCTCAGCGTGCTCCTCAATCAGGTCAGCCACTCGCAACATTGCCTTGCTCTTTGTGACTGCTGAAGCCGCCGCCCAGCCCGGAAACGCTCGTCGAGCTGCCACCACCGCATCGTTGACATCATCTTTCAGGGCTACGTGGACATCAGAGGTGACGACCGAGTTGTCAATCGGGTTGTAGCATGTCAGCCGACTCTGAGTTTTTGCGTCTACATACTAAGTTGGGTCAGCAACTGAAGAGATGGTGAAGTCATGAAATCCTTGAATCACGGTCGATACAACGAACCTCTCCATTGATAAAAAGCCTCGTCTCAAAGCCAGTGCCGGCCATGTTTAGCTTCGTCGAGGGGTTCCAAGCCTCGTCGGACTTTGACTGAAGCTGGAAGCTGGACGCTGGACGCTGGACGTGTGAAATCTTCCCGATCCCTGCACTCAAAAGCAGATCTACAAAAGGGGTTTATATCACTCTTCGAGTGAAGTCGGGATCAAATACGGGGTCGCAAAAGAGAATTCCCACAACACGTTTTAGTCAATAAACTGGGCTTCCACTATACGAGTTTCACCATCTGCACCGTATGGGTCTGGCATGTATGAATCATCGCTTTGATGGGTCAGAGCAGCGGCCGATGTAATGATACTCGAATGACATGCGTCATGCCGGCGCTCTCGTCAGTTCTATTCTTGAGAAGAATAGCGACGACTCGACAAGAACGACATGTGGGGGATTTGAAGGCCAAACCAACCTTAGAGAAGAGAGGGAGGACACTTCACGAATTGGCAATCTAAGACTCTCGGAGCACGTGGCGAATGATTCAGTGCCTTGTGCAAGCGGGATTGGTGATCCGCACGACCATGGACTCCGTCAGGAAAGAAGACCATGATTGAAGAGAGGCCGTGGCATTCGGCATTATCCCATCCTTCTGAGCGAAAGAGTACTTGAAGAAGCATGCATGATCTAGTTAATGTACCAACTCCCATCGATCGAATCTCATTTGTTCTACCATGTTTGTTTGCCCTATTCGAAAGCCTAGAGGTTCTTTCAATTGTTGACTTCTCGTCCTTTACAGATTCATGGCCACTGCCTGCAAATGGACAACAGCATTCGTCATGATTTGATTTCGCTGAGTGTTGGTACCACGCGGTTCTTTACCTCTTCACAGGTGTAAGGATGACATTCAACTCCGGCTTCTCCCAGAGCATATATGTGGGTTGCTTCGTTGCCCATGTGCCGTTGTCACAGTCAGGTGCTAGCTGAAGGTCGAAGGTCCAGAGCAGCTTCGAAAGGATAAGTTGAAGTTCGGCATAAGCGAGGCTGTGTCGAAAATTTAGCATTAGGAGTCGTGGAATGAGAGGGAATAAAAGAAGAAGAAGATATGAAAACCTTACTTTCTGCCGATACAGTTTCGAGGACCAAAGGAAAAGGGTTGCACCACCTGCTTCTGATCTGCTGCAAAGTTCTCTGCGGGAAGATCGCCTCCCGCGTGCATTGACTGCGGTAACCAACGCTCGGGGAGGAATTTTTCAGGCTCGAAAAAGTTTCGGGGATCGCGGCTTGCTGAATATTGATTGACTCCGACCGTCGTATTCCCTGGAACCCACCTCCCTTCGATCCATTCTCCCTTGCCCGGCACAATGCGAGGAAATGCGTTGGGCGAAGGGGGATAAATTCGAAAGGTTTCCTCCACGATTGCGGGTAGGTATTTCAATTCGTTTGTCTTGACCATGGTAATGTCCTCATAGTTCGAGAAAAGGTGGCGGATTTCCCTGACCAGCCGCGTATAGACTGCCGGATGCCGCAGGATATAATATGTAGCCCCCGAGAGGAAGGTAGCGGTGGTTTCGCTCCCGGCTATGATCAAAATGACGGCGGTTTCTTGCATCTCGGGCAAAGAAAGGCCTTTTTCGTCATTATGCCGCAAAATATAGCTCATGAAATCCTTACGGTTCAAGTCCTTTTTCTCGAGCCGGCGGTCGAGTTTGGCGTAAGCATTGGCATCAGCATTCCGTTTGGCCTCGGCGAGGTGCTTGGGGGTAACCCAGTTGACAAACCAGATCAAATTGTAATAAACGGCGGCTTGAACCCAGGGGTACGCCTTGACACCGTCGAAGATCATGCGGACCCAGTTATGATATTGACCCTCCTTCAGGCAGCCAAACGGCTCGGCGAATGTAAGATCCCCCATCATATCAAAGGTGCACCAATTGTACCAATTGACCAGGTTCTGTGGACACTCCGAACACTTGTCCTTTAGCCTGGATATCATCAGATCCACATAACCTTGGAGGAGATGTTCTTGCTCTCGGAGTGCTTTCTCGGAGAAAGCATAGGCGACAGTTCGCCGCATACGTATATGATCTTTATGAGCAGCCGTAATGATCGAATCGGTCCCTTTGAAAGTTGGGAGAATACCGGCCCCCCTCAGATCTTTCATCATCTCCGGTGAACGATGTCCATAACTGGTGTGGGTGAGCTGCGCTGTCTGGCCTGGCTTTCTCTGTATGGGTCCTTACATTTGCTTCCAAGCGTCTCCCGTGGTGTAGGAGAGCTCGTTTGGAGCGATTCGGACAATACCTCCGAACTTCTTGTGCAATTCCAATATCTTGGTATGGACCTGGCCGTTGCACGAATACCATATCCACGGCAACCTGGACGCAGCCCACAACTTGGGGCCTGGGTACGCGCGAAGTGGATGCAGGCAGACATTGTACAGCATCGACCCCAGAACGGAGGCAATCAACTTGTGACCCCGTCAGTGGTTTCCCGCCATGGGGGAGTGATCAGCAAGGACGAGGCTCTCACCACTACCGGGAGCCCCAAAAGAATCCAGATCATCTTGGAAAATCCCCTTGGGCCCAGCCAAAATTTCTGAGAGCAATGATCAATAGTGGCAGTAGCGGGAATTTAGAATATGTCCGCCTAGCAGAGCCCAACGAGACACCTACGCTACAGTGTACTCGAGACGAAATCTTAGATTATTCTCATGAGCGCCAATTTATGATGAAGTATTGAATGTTCCCTCATGTACATACGGAGACCCCGCCACAGACATGCTCTCTCCTCATCAGGGCCCATCCGGAAGGCTGTCAGTCTATAACGACTCGGTTATACCGACACCACGACGATCCGTAGGCTCTCCAATTCGGATGTGGATGGATCTTGTGGTTCCAAGTCGGACCAGCTTCTACAATCGTCTCCTCAGGTCGACATCGACGACAGAGGATTTCATTTGCAGGGACCTTCTAACTCTGACCCTTGGGTTATAAGAAAGCGGTACTGAAATCTTCTCGGCCTGTCTACGACCCCTTACTCGCACCAACAACCATTTGGACCCTGAGTTCTTCGACCACAAATCCGCTGAAATTGCATACATCCTTTTGCGACGATGTCAGGAGTCACACATAGCCGGACCTCTCAGATCATTGATCTTCCCATTGAGGAAGTGTGGAAGTTTGTTACTGTACCTGCAAACTGGATCAAGTTGGGTCTCGGCACGTGGAAAGTCCATGGCTCTGGCGGTGAGGACGATCTCGAAGCCGTCAACCGCACCATGCAACCTGGTGAGCATTTTCTCGAATACATGCACATGAAGGATCGGTTCGATTTTGTTGGGGACTGGGTGGTTACCGTGTGTGAGGCTCCCCACAAATGGGGATTCAAGTCGGCCCATTGGCATGGTCACGCCCTGCCCGTGGACATCGAGGCCACCTACACGCTCGAAAAGCTGGGTGAAAATCAGACGAGATGGTCGAGACACCGAGTCAACACTCCTCGTCCAGGGAAAGAGTCCAAGATTGATTTCCTGGCCGGCAAGAATGATCTGGAAGAAGAATATCAACAGGTCACCAAACAATACCTCGAGAAAGGCATCCCGAAGCAGCCACCCCACAATCCGACGCCACCCCATGAGGCTGGGTGGATTGAGACGCTCCCCGTGGATGCTTAAAAGGGAAAGGGAGCACGATGAATCGGGTTCCGTCAATCACCGTCAAACCAGGCCTCACATATATGTAAAATATGCCGCCGTGTGCTTTGCCGGTAGGCGCTAAATCAGCGAAGCCTTCACGGTAGAAGCCCTCAGCGTCAACAATCAACACGCCTAGGAAACTTCCTCGGGCAGGAACAACATGATATTTGATTTTTCCCAAATTGACCTCCATGTTGTACATCAAACAGATCATTCCCTTCATTTTCACCTCGTATATTCGCTTCCACGGGAATCTCGCCGCTTCGATGTGCCGGGATTGTCCACGCTCGTGAGTGAGGCGGCTCGAGATATCCTGTGGGGTGCTATGCCTTTCAGGCAGGGAGCTGCTCCCAGACAGACTGCACTAGTTAGTTGAACGCTGGGATGAAGCTGGCCCATACTAAAGACGCAAGATGACTGCTTCCATTTCCTACCCCTGCATGTGCAGTAACCACATGGAGCGCTTTTTTTTTTTTTTTTTTTGATTTCGTTTCCATTTTGACAATTTGCTGTATATGAATTGCGTACGATACGCCACGTTCATCGTAGCTGAGCTGTGGCAATCATTCTACTGGAGCGATGCACATCGCATGGGACCAAGAGGGGGGCGATCGCATTATCTCACGGCGTGGCATACCCGGCTGGTCGATGGCATCATCATCTTCTTTCATTAGCGGTGATCATCTCCATGTTCGCGACCTTTTCATGTTCAATTCAATACTTCCTCGACCTCAACCTTAACCTTAGCCAGAGCGACACCGAAATTAAACCTACCTCGACCCATCTCTATCCTTGCAGCTCATTCGAGATTCCCCCGACCGTCAATGACTTGATGACCGTGTACTCATCAACACCGTACTTCGAACCCTCACGTCCGAAACCGCTCTCCTTGACACCACCGAACGGACTGGCCGGATCCGAGATCAAGCCCGTGTTGATACCGATCATACCGACCTCTAGAGCCTCAGCGACGCGGTAAACCCGTCCCACGTCTCTCGAGTAGAAGTATCCTGCCAACCCGACGGGAGCTTCATTAGCGAGAGCCACGACTTCCTTCTCCGTGGAGAACGGGAAGAGACCAGCCACAGGACCGAAGGTTTCCTCCCGGGCGATTTGCATCTCGTTCGTCACGCCCGTGATGACCGTCGGAGCGTAGAAGTTGGAGCCGAGATCCGGCAATTTCTGGCCTCCGATAATGACTTTGCCACCCTTTTTGGTCGCATCTTGAACATGCGCGTCGACCTTAGCCATGGCCCGATCGTGGATGACGGGGCCATGTGTGACGCCGTCGTCAAAGCCATGGCCGACGTGGAAACCTTTCACTTTCGCGGCGAACTTCTCGGCGAATTCGTCGTAGATGCCCTTTTGGACGTATATTCTGTTGGCGCAGACGCAGGTCTGTCCCGAGGCGCGGAATTTGCAGGCGATGGCCCCCGCAACGGCGGTGTCGAGGTCAGGACAGTCGTCGAAGACGATAAAGGGGGAGTTACCACCGAGCTCGAAGGAGAGTTTCTTGACAGTCCCGCTTGCTTGTTTCAGCAGCAACTTGCCCACGTTCGTGCTGCCTGTGAAGGAGACTTTCTTGATACGGGGGTCGGTGGTCAATATCTCGCCGATTTCAGCGGTGTTCTTGAGGGCGGTCACGATATTCACGACGCCCGGAGGAATTCCGGCTCGTCGAGAAAGCTCCACAATCGCGTTCGCGGTGAATGGTGTTTCACCGGGTGACTTGGCGACGACTGTGCACCCCGCCGCTAACGCCGGGCCGATTTTGCGCGTGATCATCGCCGCTGGGAAGTTCCAGGGCGTTATGAGACCGCAGACACCGACGGGTTGTTTGAGGGTTATTATTCGGTTTCCGGGGACAGAGGCGGCGATGGTGTCGCCATAGATGCGCGGGGCTTCTTCACTGAACCATTGGAAGAAATTGGCGGCGTAGGCGACTTCTCCTTTTGCATCGTTGAACGGCTTCCCGTTTTCCCATGTGATTAGGGTGGCGAGATCTTCGGCATTCTCTTGCATCAAGTTATACCAATGGCGCAACATAGTGGCTCGTTCGCGGGGGAGGGTCTTGCGGAAGGAGGCAAAAGCATCCACGGCCGCAGCTATGGCTTTGGCGGTGTCTTCTCTGTTGAATTCGGCGCATGAACCTATTTTCTTGCCTGTGGCAGGGTCGTGAACGTCGAAAGTTTGTGAGGTGCTTGAGTCCACGAATTCCCCATTCACATAGGCCTTGGAAATGAGGAGGGAGGGATCATTGAGCTGGGGCACCGTGTGCATGTGCATTTTGCCGATGGCGGTTGATATTAATCGGTATGAAGGGTGTGCCGTTCGAGTGAGAGAGGACGAGAGACGAGGGCGAGACGAGAATAATAGTGTACGGATATATGAAGCCGAAGTTGCTGGTGATGCCATCGCTTCTTGGGATGATGCAGGTGATAGGTGAAAAAGCGGGTGGATTTATGTTGTGAGCATTGATTGTCGGGTCATTTCGCGACCGGAACAGATGATCAAGCAGATCAAATTTGAAGAAGTTCACAAAGAGTCTCGCGGTCGAGTAGCACGGGTGAAGAGGTAGAAATGGTGACCAATTATGGAAAAGAAACTGACCTCATTGAACGTTGCGGAGAACTGAACTGACAAGCTTCGAAAACGGTGCAGTAGAGGGTCCTACGCCGCAGTTCGATATATCCCGGTGTTAATAAAATATACCGTCCATGCCGCTCTGAGAGGGTCAATTTCAAATCAGCAGCATGTCCGATCCCGATGTCAGAAAGGAGACGACGAGGATATTGAGGAATAAGTCGCAAGCAAAGGCCATTGAGCAAGGGAAGTTGGTCGAGTCTACCAATTCTCTTTCAGCCGAAGACTTTTTCGGCAAATACGAGCCATTGATGTCAACATTGGACGATAACTTGGGCCTGCGACAAACACGGGGAGACGCCGTGACGGTACCGAGTCACTGGTTGGAAGAATGTCTGAAGTTGATCGAGCAGACCAGCGCCAAAGACTACCAGAACTCCGAGATGAAATGGTCAGCGACCAAGAAGAGAAAGGAGATGAAGTTACCAGATATGAAATACATTATCCTCAGCGAGAGCAAAGGAAGACGTGTCATTGGCTTCATTTCCTTCATGATCACTTATGAAGATGGGTACGAAGTGGTATACATCTACGAGATCCATTTCGTGCCCGAATGGCAAGGCAAAGGACTGGGCCAAAAATTGATCAACTTCGTCGAGACGATCGGTCAAAATGTCGGCGTGACCAAAGTCATGTTGACTGTGTTCAGAGCCAATTATCGAGCCATTGCATGGTATACCCGATTGGGTTATCGAGAAGACGAGTTCTCTCCTGAACCGCGCCAGATGCGGAACGGCACCATCACACAACCGAGTTATATCATTCTCTCGAAACGATTGAAAGACTGAATGGATTCGATCTCTGCCGACTCTTATATCTGACGAACACTTTTACCCTTCATCTCGGGTCGTTCCACTTCCCATTCATCGCGCATAACCGCAAACAGGGTATCCCCCACGAGAATGGTCAATCCTAAACTCCACACCAGCGTGATGGCATAGAAGAAGTTGGCATTGCCGGAACCGGCATAAATCCAGAGGTGGTAAAAGGCCGGGCCAAGAAGGGTTGAATACAGCAATACTGATGCCGCGATGAAAGTGTATCGAGTTACTGAGAAAGTCAGCCGGTCGATTTGGATGAATGGGGACATACTCACATGGAAGAACGTGTTGATACATGGGAAGAAACCCGAGATATAGAGACACATCCGCAATGCTCGGATATGGTTTGAAGATGGCAAACAAGCCCAATAGACTGGCGATAACAAACAGTGGTTGGCTTTGAAGTCTGAGGGTCATTCCTCCAACGTATCCGACCAGATGTAGCCAGAAGACTCCAACGAAAAAGTCTCGGAAGGAGTCGAAAATTTCGATAAAGAAATACCACCACAATCCGACGTTGGGCGTAAGGTCCGGTACAGTCATTTGTGCCCCGTAACAAGATGCAAGGAAGTCCCCGAATCCCTCGGTCAAAATTGGTGTCGTGCCGAGTAATGCTGCCAGGGCTCCGATATATGCACCCATTGAAGTTGGAAGGGACGTTTGTTGGCCCTTGCTCTTGTGAATCATGAGTAGAATGGGTGGCAGAAGAAGAGCCGGGTACATGGACAAATAAGTACCCATGGCCAATCCGAACATGGCTCGAATCGCCTTCCCCGATTGAGCATTCAAAACAGCTTGAATGATGGCAGCGTTGGTGAAGATGCTGGTGCTTCTTCCCAGGCAAGACAGAATGGTGAAAGGGTTGAAGAGGTAGGCGGCGGCAGTCACGGAGCCATCAAGTTTCTGAAAACGAGACGTAGGTATTTGTAGATTCTCGGCAATGGAATGTAGAGAGGTGGCATTCAGAATATCGAGGCCGACAAAGACCACGGCAGGCGGTAATATCTCGAAGATAACCAAGAGTAATGGTGCTTGGTGAAAGACTCCACCATCATATGGAGAGAGTCCATGTTGATATAGGAAAAGACCTTCTTGAAGTCGTTTGTAACTTGATATTGGAGTTGATATTTCGACCTGGGTGGTCAGGAAGTCGGAGAGGTCCGGACAGCCGAAGAAAACCAGAAGGCGGAGAATCACGGCACCTGCATATATCGCGACCGTCTTGCGGTCCAGCGACATTACCATTCCTGCTATAACCAGGAGATCAACATTGATCCGGCGACGATGGTATTGCCACGGAAGAAATGAGATGGATTTCTTGTAAGGGAGTCGAGGCGACGAAGTTGTCCTCTGTCGGCAAACCTGCCCGGGTAAATTCCACCTCCAAAATAATTTTTTTCCCATAATGAGATCCTCTTACTCACACAGCGTCAAAAATGGCCAAACAAAAGAAGAAAGGCCAGTCTGGCCAAGCGAAAAACTACATAACTCGAACACAAGCCGTCCGCAAACTACAAATATCCCTCCCCGACTTTCGGAGACTCTGTATCTTCAAAGGTATCTATCCTCGAGAACCGCGAAATATCAAAAAAGCCCATAAATCTGCCACCCACTCCACCACCTTCTACTACACGAAAGATATCCAATATCTCCTCCATGAACCGTTGCTGGGCAAATTCCGAGAACAGAAAGCCCTTTCCAAAAAGATTGCAAGGTCCCTCGCCCGCAATGAAGTCCAAGATGCGGTACGGTTGGAGAAATATGGCATGCCCAAGATCAAACTGGACCATATCGTGCGAGAGAGATACCCGACATTCGTCGACGCCCTACGAGATCTTGATGACGCTCTCTCCCTTCTGTTCCTCTTTGCAAATCTCCCCTCGACCACGGCGGTGCCCGCCAAAGTCATCGCCCGCTGCCAACGACTCTGCCATGAATTTGAGCACTACCTCATTACCACGAATTCCCTTCGCAAATCCTTCTTGTCCATCAAAGGTATATACTACCAGGCGACGATCCAGGGCCAAGATATCATGTGGCTGGTGCCGTACAAGTTTGTGCAAAGAGTAACCCAGGATGTGGATTACCGAATAATGGGGACATTTGTCGAGTTTTACTGCACGCTACTCGGATTTGTGAACTACAGACTTTACACCTCGATTGGTCTGGTTTATCCACCCAAATTTGACGTGGCAAGTGATGAGCGAGGAGCAGAATTGTCCGCCTTCACCCTCGAGGGCCGCCGTGTGGCGGCAGCCGTTGAACCAAAAGAGGAGCCAAAACAGATGACGAATGGTCACGCACAGAGCGGCAATTCAGAGGAGCTCCAAGCTCAGATCGACCAAATTGCCCAGGAAATTACGGCCGACGACGACGTCAAGCAGGACGAACAGACCGAGGATCCAGCAGATTCCGGGGCAATCGACGCCTTCACCCCGGCAGCGCCAGAAGGCGATGTTCTCCCACAGCCTGACCGCACTGGTGACGCAGCTGCAACACTATTCTCAACCTTAACCTTCTTTATCTCCCGAGAAGCTCCCCGGCATCCGATCGAGTTTCTCCTGCGAGCTTTCGGATGTAAACGAATCGGATGGGATGCCGTTCTCGGGGACGGCGCATTCACTCACGACGAAACAGATCCCAGAATTACACACCAGGTTGTCGACAGACCCTCACCGGCACAACCACTTCCCGCCGTCCAAGGCCAAGAAGACGCAAAGGACCAGAGCCTCCAAGTCGTCAAGCCGGGATACATCATGCCTGGTAGAACATACATTCAACCACAGTGGATATGGGACTCGGTGAACGAAGGAAAACTCCTCCGGGCCGACCTGTATGCGCCTGGAGAAACGTTACCGCCACACTTGAGCCCGTGGATTAAACCGACAAACGGTCAGTATGATCCAAGAGCGACATTGGAGGAGCAGGAATTGGAAGGTGAAGCGGATGAAGCTGTCGATGAGGAAGATGCCGACGAGACGGCTGCAATTGCTGCTGAGAAAGATGAAGACGAAGACGAAGACATCGATGTAGGAGACATGGACGTCGCTGTCTCGGCGGACGACGACGACTCAGAAGAGGAAGAACAAGACAAAGTCGAAGAGACAGACACATTCGGGGGCTTCGACGACCCTCTTCCCGACCCCGACTCGGACTTCGATTCGGAATCACAACACCAAAAAGAACTTGAAGCCGAAGCCTCCGGTCGTGCTGTGCCCATGGTCACGAGCGTCACTAATGGATCCAAATCCAAAGCCCGCAAAGCACGACAAACGGCTCAAGTTGAAAAGGACGAAGAGATCGAGCGCCGGAAGATGATGATGGGTAACAAAAAGCGCAAACTGTTTGAGAAGATGCAGTACTCGAATAACAAGCGCGACGCGGAGGCGGAGAAGTTACGAAGGAAACGCAGGAAGATTGAGAGGGCTGCTTCCGCAAGTGGGAAGAGAGAACGTGACATTGAGCAGAATAAAAAGGTGAAAACTTACGAAGGTATGTTTGAGAGGGTTCCTAGTCGTGAAATGAATGATGTTTGAATCCTGCCTAAGCAAGGCGTCTGATAGAGAATGAGCATGAATAGAAGGGCAAAAAGGAACAAAAGAAAAAAGGGACGACGGAATGGGAGAAGAATTATGATGAGTATTAACAGTACAGATGTGAAGGAGTATGATCGCAGATGCAGCTTTCCATTCATCCAACCCTTCATTCATCAGGCTGATCGCCCGCTTGCTCGTGGCCCATCCATTATGTCTCAATTGATCGCCAAACGAAATCAACCATTTTACCATGGGGAAGAAGCCAGCGTGAGATTTTGAGTGACAGGCCAATCGGGATCATATCATATCGACTGAGCTTCATTGAACCCGCTCCTATATGCATGTTTCCAAGCTGTTTCTGGGATCCTCACATTCGCTTGTTTGGGTCGCCGCGGCTTCGAGCGGAGAACTAAACCTGCGCCACGTTCGGCTGCCTAATCAATCGGCATGTCGATTTCTTCCGTCACGATCTCGACATCTTCATTTCCATCCGCTTTGAAGATCATAGCCGTCACCTAGCTCTCCACTTGGCGCCGACTACCCGACCGATTCGACCAGATCTACCAGCAGCACTCGTTCCATTTGCGTCTTGAAGTAGCTGGCGGATTCTGGTAAGAGTTTTGACGTTTATACCGGAGAAACATTTGCTTGTGGTACCGGGGGTGTTTTTTATAGAGAGAGAGAGCGGGTATTCAAGGTGGACATGCATCCAAGATGGGTTTCAACAACGGAAAAGCGCATATCTGATCTGGACTCTGCTGGGAATTTTGCTACGATTGCCGGACGACAAGGCTCCTACAAATTGAAATGAGCCATGTTCTGCAGCGACCGCTAACAGACTTCCATTGATCTGGATGGCTACCACGGACAATCCCTTTTTTCTCCTCTCCGATTCAAGTCAAGATTTTTGAGCTCGAGGATGCATAACCTCATTAGAGCTACATGTGGATCGAATATTCGACCATTCAGACATTCAGTCATGCATTGCTGCACATGCCTTCGCTCGATGAAATTCGCCAACAGATGCTTTTTGAGCAACATTGCAATCTCCGAGGTCGGTAAAAGCAAGTTGGAGGAGTGTCAGTGGCCGTTGGGCGTGATACCTGTTCTAGATAGAAGGCGGACTTTACCAATTTCACTGTCCGGAAACACATGAAAGTCATCCTTCGAGGTCGGAAGCGCGATTATAGCTTCCAAGGAACGAACGAACTACTAGCTTCACCCACAAGAACACCCCTGGCTATAGCCGCACTGTTTCAGGCTCATTGTCTCGCATTTCCTTCACCAAGCTGTTGTTCACAAGGGTTGATGGTTGGACGTGTTTGCTAGGCACAGCTCGTGATTGCCTCATGCGGCCTGTTCGCAAGGCTGACACCGCAGCCCATCCAATGAACGGAATACACTATTTCAATCATGGAAATGGTTCAAATCCATGATTCGATCTACAGTATGATGGCGTTCTCGAGAAGCTTTGCGAGAGTTAGATGTAGCGAGCGAGGGTGTAGACGAATGTCTTAACCCATGCGCTCGTTCCGTAATGGCATGCCGCTTTAAATCTCGTACTCTATTCTTCTATAAGTGGTCCCGGTGGGCTGGCCAGTTTCCGTTAGAGCAGCGTCAGTCTCGGGCAGAGTTGGAGCTTTAGCTACCCAATTGTTCAAAACTTCACGACCCATTCAATTTCCTCCCGTAAAATCCTGACAGTCATTTTCGAGGCCTGGAAGTTGCAGCGCAGGGCCGTAATGCTGCGTCTAGCCAGGCCTGCGGGCGCTTCATTGCGCAGGCAGTTGCTTGCGCAAGCTGTGCCATCCCCAGTATGTCAAAAGCTCCCAGTCCTCCATCCAGCTCATACGACTGACAACGAACGTACAGCGGAGAAAGTTTGCTGAGGGGAAAGACTCAATTCTAAGCTCCGATCCCGCCTTCATACGAGGAACCCAGAGTTCTGCTGCTCCCGTCAGGACAGAAGTTCCCTTGGGCCCTGGAGGTCCTGGCAGCCCAGCTCCTAAAGTTTCTACTCCCGCAACACCCTCTTCTTCCTCTACAGTGCGTCCTGAAAATGTTCTATTAGCACCGCCTAACCCGCTCAAGTTTCAGACGGGACCCCCTACAACTTCCTCTTCTGTGAGCCCGGCAGAACCTACCACGCCACCTCCAGCACAGAAGCCGACTCCTCCACCTCCAAAACGGTTCAGACGACTCCGACTTTTGTTCTACCTTTTCCTTCTCAGTGCTGTCACCTACGGAGGAGCTGTATGGTACGCTTTGAGGAATGACAACTTTCACGATTTCTTCACCGAGTACATACCTTTCGGTGAAGAAGCAGTCTTATATTTCGAAGAGCGGTCCTTTAAAAAGAGATTTCCACATGCGAGACATAATGTGGTGAAAATTCCTCGACCCGAGAGACCTGAAGATAATAAAGTCACAATTCCCCAGAAATCTGGACTATCATGGCGGGTCGCACAAGATACTGAGTCCCAGGGCAGTGATCTGACGCAAAAGGGCAAGCATATGAGTGCATTGGATGCAAACACACCAGCATCAGGCCAGAGTGTCAAGGATGCCAAAGCTGATCCGAAAGGGGCAACATCCAAGGAGATCAGCGCCGCCGTTGAAACTGCAAAGAAGGACTCGGGAGTGAAACAAGAACCCAAGCCGAAGGATGTGCCCGAACCTCTTCCTCCCTCTCCGGCCGGTACTCCCTCTGAAGCATCGATGCCGAGCCCAGCGACTCCAAGTCCAAAATCTGACGAACGACCACCGGCTATTCCTCCTGTAACTCACATCTCGCCCCTTTCCGTTCCCAATGCGGACGAACCCGTCGTGCGAGAACTGATTAAGATCGTGAACGACCTTGTTACGGTTGTGAACTCCGATTCAGCCGATACTGCGAACAAATACTCCTCCCCAATGGCTAAAGCCAAAGAATCTCTCGAGGCCGTTGCCAACCAAATCACCCTCCTTCGTGAGGCCGAACGCAAAGCAGCCGAGGAACGAGTCCAGCAAGCCCACAAAGAATTCGACGAAGGTGCCAAACAACTTCTCAAGCGAATTGAGACCCTCCAAGCTGAAGAAGACGCTAAGTACCGGGAAGAGTTCGAAACTGAACGCGCTCGCCTTGCACGGATCTACGAAGAAAAGCTCAAGACCGAAATCGAACGAAGCACGGAATTGGCAGAACAACGGCTCAAGAACGAACTTGCCGAGCAAGCCATCGAGATGAAACGCGATTTTGTCGCGCAGATCAAATCGCTTGTGGAATTGGAACGGGACGCCCGCCTCTCCAAACTGTCTGACTTGAGCTCTAATGTGGACAACCTCACTGAACTCACCTCGAATTGGAACGGTGTGATCGATGCCAATCTTGCGACTCAAAAGCTCCAAGTGGCAGTTGATGCCGTCCGCTCTGCACTGGCACGGTCCGCTGCCTCTGATGCGCGTCCCAAAGCATTCGTTCGTGAGATGGCAGCATTGAAGCTGGTGGCCGATGGCGACCCTATTGTCGATGCCGCCATCGCATCTATCAACCCAGCCGCCTACCAGCGCGGTATCCCGAGTCAGTCACAACTGATTGATCGCTTCCGTCGCGTAGCCAGCGAGGTGCGAAAAGCCAGCCTTCTCCCTGAAGATGCCGGCATTGCGTCCCACGCCGCCAGCATCGTGTTGTCGAAAGTGCTCTTCAAGAAACACGGCCAGCCTACGGGTGAGGATGTAGAGAGCATTCTCGCCCGAACAGAGACATTGTTGGAAGAAGGCGATCTTGATGCCGCAGCACGTGAGATGAATTCCCTTGCGGGTTGGGCTAAGGTATTGAGTCGGGATTGGTTGGGTGACGTGCGGAAAGTCCTGGAAGTCCAACAGGCGTTGGATGTCATTGAGACGGAAGCCAGGTTGCAGTGTTTGAGAGTGGAGTAGGGCATCTCTCTGGAGATGAGTCTGAGGTCGTTCGTAAGAGGTCGCGATTGATCGGTAGATTCCGCCCGAGGAAGAGCAGATGGAATGACAGACTACCCTTTTTTTTTTTCTTTTCCCAACAAGAGGGAAAGGAGAAGTTTGTTTTGAACCTTGCCTGCGGCGCATGTGTGTACTACAACCAATCGAGCAGCTAGAAAAGACGAAAAAGACATTCTGAATACTGGTATACTTTTCTTCAGCTTTGACGTGCAGTAACAGACAAATTTTAAGCCTTCGTCAAACCGGTAGGGGATTGTTTTTCTTTTCAGTGATACGAAATCGATTAAAAGATGCTATAGAGATACCTGCCAAAACTGAAGTGTTTTCATATATCGGGTGCCGTTCGAAACAGTGTAGAGACGAAGCTATGCAATCGTTGACATTATCCAACGAGTGAGATATGCACGTTGAAGCTTCATGGGGAATAATTTCTCTGGCTGCTGCTGGAGTTTGAATTTTTGACTCTGAATTTCCCAAATGCGTTTTCGTTTCGTTTCGTTTTCCTTCCCATTCCAAAAACCAAAATAGCGCCATGATCAGCCAATCCGTTTTCCTTGGACGCCTCGCTAGCAAAATATGAATATGAATGAGAAATTTCCAGAATTGCCGTCCGGTAATGTGAATTCAATATAATATAGTTCCCACCTCAATTCTCACCCTAGTTAGACCTCGATATTCTTCAAGCTCCGTTCTTGTTCGGTCAATCAATCCAAAGTAACCACCTCACGGTAGTTACCACACCATTGATGAGACACAGAACAAATCGGATGACAGAGACGATGGCCCAGATGAACCACAGCAATCCAACAACTGTCCACTCAATGCCAGCGAACCAAATTTTGCGGAGTAATCGGATGGGACCCCTTCGTCTCCTGCGAAACGCAACTCCGATTGAATCATTCAACTCTTTGACAGCCAGCGTGCTTGTCGTAGTGAGTTTCATGCTCAGCTCTCCCGCATCGTCTGCTGTCATCCTCACCTGAGGCGTCATGGTATTCTCTACCATATCCTCCAGCGTCTGGAGCTGAATATGTAGACTGGGGGCGACGGAGGCACTGAACGAATGCGACTTGGAGTTGAAGGTTGACGAGGACCTCTCGAGTATCTTCATAATATTTTGCGCCGCCACAATGTGATGATCGCGTTTCTTAACACGCAACGGAGTCGCTGAGTGCAAGGCTTCGTTTTCAGGAGTGAGGGTGTCAAGGAGGAACTTCGGGAGCTCGGTCCCAGGATCATCTTCCCGACGACCAATCTCTCGTGCTTTCACCGTTGAGGTATATAAAAGAGCTTCGGCACGGCCAATATCACGCCATGAGACTTCAGGAGGCTCCATAAGTTCTTGACCGTCCCCGAACCCTTCTGCTTGTGATAAATCACCTGTAGATCGGGATGGTCGGAGAGGTGTGACGCCTGTCACTGGGCCAATTGCATTATTCAGCAATTCGGATGCATCACGAGATCTGCTCAGGTCCAGGGCCGATCCAAAACCATAACTCTTTCGATGAGTCAGACCATCCGGCGTGCGTGGAACTCCAGTGTCGAGTTTGGGCAAGCCAATGCGATCGAGTCGAGGTGAGTGAGAAGCTGAACGGTGCTGTGCAGCAAGCCGGGAGATATGGTCTGTGGAATCAGTCCTTCCAAGAGCGCTGTCCGGCTCAAGTAGTTTCTGCTTCTTCTCCTGTTGTTCTCGATCTCTTTGGAATGGGGAAGTGAAGCTGGGAAGGTTCGGGTTGTTATATCGAGGTCGATCACTTGAAGGAGGGCTTGAATTTGAAATGTTGGGAGATATACGTTCACTCTTGGTACTCGAGACGGTCGATGATCTCGAACGAGGATAAGTCTGGGGCGGCGTCTTCAAGATCGTTCCATTTAGATGATAAATCTCTTTCTCCGAATCAGATCCATGGTGTGATCGAAGACTGCCATCCGAAGCTGATCCTTTGAGTTTGTCAACCGATGGTGGATCCCGTTTCCAGATGAAATCCCCAACGCGAGACACTTCGTTCCCAACGATCTCAGCAATCCGACCTCCTTTAAAAATACCACGAATCTTCGAATGATCGCTTGCAGCGTGCGTGGTAGAGCGCGTACTCACCTTGCTTGCTGTGCTGAATCTGGGTTCATTCGACGAATGAAGGGCAAGATCATCTGGTTGCGTCGAGTGCGTCCGATCCTTGGACAATGGACTAAGATCCCGCGTCATTGGGCTCGTGTCTCGAGTGCCAGGACTATCATAATTCTTGTCCACATCACTTCCACGATCTTGGTGGACGGGATGGGATGGTGGAACCTGCGCAAAATCGGTGGTACTGATTTGGCCTTGTTCTTTATGGGGCTTTCGATAGAACGGGTGTAAAATTGTAGAGATTGGTTTTCGCGTTGGTGAGGTGTTTCGACTTGGAGGTGGTGATAAGTTGATGGCAATACTTGGCCATTCCACGCCATTTGGAGAGTTTGGAGCAGTGGTCGTATCATATTCGGTCGATGCACGGGGTGCTCGTTCCTGTTCGTGGCTTGATCGAATTGGTACCTTTACGGAAGTCGGTCGGGACGATTCATGCCTGACTCGCGATCTGGCCAAAGGTGAGGACTTTTTGAAGCTATCCACCCGAAAGAGCTTGTTGAGAGCAGTGTGGTCAACAGAGGATCTTTTGGAATTTGGACCGGATGACCCCGGGCTGGAATTGCCGCGACCCAGTCCAGGCTTATGTGGGGATAGTTGAGTCTGGGGATGTGTATAATGTTTTTCCCGGTCATCGGTGCCAGGGGATGCGTGCCTCCTGCGTCGCAACCGCTTACGACCACGTTCAGGAGCTCCCTCATCTGAAGATGTCGACTCTGAATAATCGGACTCACTACTATCTTGAAACAACTTCCGGCGAATTCGCGTGCGTTCTCCTGGGCTGCTTATCTCTTTAGGCTGAAGAGAATCTTTGATTTTATCTCTCCGACGACCATGACGTCTATGTTTGTGAGAATGATGGGCCGACTTGAAAGTCGGTAGTTCGGGCAATGCCGAAGGTGGCGCTTCTTCAGGGCTATATTGATCCGGCTCTGGAGATGGAGATGGAGATGGTTGCTGTAAAATACTGGGGACGTCCACGGGTTTCTCGTGGCGCCATCCAGCGAATTTGAAATGGGTATTGGGAGGATATATCAGATTGTTGTCTCGGTCTTGAATTTTGGTCTTGTTCATGCCTTGTTCCAGCCAATACGCGTCAGCTATCATATCTGCCGGATGAGTGACCCAATCCGATCGGGGTCGGCTTGGTTTAGAATGAATCTGATCCGGTATTCGGGGTGACATGGCATTTTTCGGTTCATCTGGCGAGGTGTCTGGGTCATCCCCATGTGAATTAACCCTTCGTTGATCCAGTGGCGGCAAGCGAACACACTCAGTGGAGTCATGTCGTATTTCTGAATGGCTGGAAACCACTGCGTCAACCCAGGATCTGACTTTTTGGACATCATGCCAGCCATCCGCTTCGCTATTAATAGGAGTCTTCTCCCAGATGCGCAACTTCCGATTCCGGACATATTGCAAAGGATTGTACGCCTTTTGCATTTCTTCGGGGCTGGATGATCGTGGAAGAATGCCTGGTCGTCGGATGGGGGGGAGGTGCGAAAGAAGTCGACGATGCTCGTGAGCAAGCTCAAAATACAGCTTTGCTTTCTCAACACGGGCTGCGGTAGCCGGCGAGATTTGGTCCGTAAAATCCATATCATCATCGAGCTCATCTGGCTCCGCTGTGACAGCATCGGTTGGGGGGATTGAAGTCGGTTGATTTGGATCATGGTACAGGGGTGTGAACGTAGGCTTTGGAGAGCCGTTCCGGGAAGATTGACGTTTAGGGGCCAGGAATGGGGCAATGCTTTTTCTTTTGACCGTGTTTCGAGGGCTTGTCGTTGACGCTGCCGAGACGACACGACGTTCACCTTGCTCGGTCGAGACATACCTTCTAACAGATGCGAGCCTCCGTCGGCCTTCGCTCAAACTAAGAGCCATGTTGACAATTTGCGCGGGGTCGTGGTCGTATCCGACATCAGCCATAGGTGATCTTTTGACTTCAATCTTGCGTGAGCCCATCGATGAACTTCCGTCGAATCGACCATCATTTTGAGAGGATGACGTGGATCGTCGAACGTCGGTCCCGGGAACAAGCTGATCAGAGTTGGGATGGTCGTGTACAACGGGATCCTGTTTGACTTCACTCGCAAGCGGAGAGCTTTTGAAGGATGCATTCGCGTGACCGCCATTCCTTTGCCTCCTCTTTGAGATCGACAGGCCCGATTCCTCACTATTTCTCTTCCCTTTGGAGTCCTTCCGATGCGGAGCTAGTGATGTGTGCGAGAGATGTTTCGAGTTGGATACGGGTTCGAGAAGGAAACCTCCAGAGCTTCGAGCGACATTGTGTCGACGGCCACCATTCTCTTTTTCCTTGTCTCTGTTTCTAGAATCTGGATCGCTCCGTATACTGCTGCCGTGTGAGAGGCGGTCTAACACATGGCCGGGCTCCTGTTCGGCATTCCGACTTCGACTTCGATGACTTCGCGAGCCCGAGGCCACAGAACCTGTTCGTGTCACTCCATCTCTTGAGTTGTCGCGAAGGGAGTGAAAAGCAGGAAGGGACAGATGATAGTCTTCAGAATGTTCTTCCGGATCCTGGCTGGCAACTCGGCCATTTGGAGGAGTAGAAGTCGACATTCAGCACCTGCCCATGAGCGCAGGTGTTACGTCTGGCTATCGCAGCTTCCTGCATAGAGACGAGGATGAGATCACTGCAAGGAGGCGGGGGGGATGAGTTGGCGGGCGCGGTAGGAACTGGGATCGCAGGTTTTCGAGACCGGAACTAAACTACATATAAGTTGAGAACTGAGGTCTGAGTGGAGATCAGGTGAGAAAAGTCAAGGATCAAGGCCGGGGGCTGGGGCCTGTGGCCGAGGTGACAATGGGCAGAGGCGATGGGAATGTCACAGCGTCTGTTTGCCAGTCTCCGTTGGGTACGTACCAAGAGACCGCTGTATCTATTCTATCCACATTTCTACAGGATAACTGTCTCTAATGGTCCTGCGCCCGACCACCAATCTCGTCTCGTCCAACCGGTGGTCCGGTTGAATCTGGCCCTTTTTGCGGGGGCAAAGCGTAGGCGAGAGAAAGCGCCGATCTTGCTTCCATCCCCTGTCAGCTTGTCCCCAAAAAGAAAAGTCCCCCAAGTTGTCCACATCTGACATTTCTCCTTAAATATCGTCTTCCAGTAGCCTTAATATGGCCAGTTTGGCTTGCTCGCTCGTCTGGATCCTGTTGTGGCCCCCATGCCGAATCATTTCCCATCGGAGGCGCTTTTTCCCATCCTCACTCTTCCATTCTTCATGATCAAGATTGCGAGTGAGTTCGATCTGATCTCCTGAGGCGGCAATCAAGACCTTGTCCCAATGAGCACGACCTTCATACCACGGAATCTCCCAATCGTCGCGAGCATGCATCATTGTCAGATCTAAGCGAACTTCTGGGTTTTGCACCAAATCCACCAATCTTTGATTTGCATCCCACTTGTCCACAATCTTAGAGAGTAACCATGCTTGGATCTTGGGGTATGCCAACAATGGAGACAATAACGGAGGAGTCAGACCTTTGAACGAGTAAGAATCGAGCAATTCCGTTAATGAACGGAAGCTGGCGATCAAGACCAAAGCCTTGAATGGCTCTCTGCCGAGATTCAATACCCACTCGTGATACAAGGCTGTCGAAATGAACGTTCCCATCGATTGCCCAAAAAGAATGACTTGGGAGGATTTCACGCCCCGAACTTCATGACCACCGCCTTCAGCACTTGTTGTCTGTCCGGTAAGAGCGGATAATAAAGACATCGAGTCCTGTATCACTCCCTCTTCCGTCGGAGTTCCCGTACTCAAGCCAAAGCCGCGATAATCAAAAGCAATCACATGAACAGGTTTCTCCTCGGTCGAGAGACTCAGGATCTGCTGATATGTCGTCGGACGATAGGAGCTTCCCAGATGCATCGCATTTCCATGGAAACTGACAACCACGGTTGCCTGAGGGTCATTAAGGAGGAGTTGGATGCCGACACTTTTCGCTGCAGCCTCGTATGGTTTTAGCCCGGAATCAGATTGTGCCTTCAGGGCTTGCTCATGTTTACGGTAAAGACGAAGAGGGAGAATGTGCCAGGCGAACAGAGTGACATTGTCAGGAGTGGTGATCGTGAATGGTTGGACCTGATGGTGCAGGAAGCCGAACTGTTCGGTATTGTTCAAGTCTTGGAAGAAGGTCGGATTGATATTGTGGACGTAGGTAGCATTTCGCTGAACAAATGGATGTGTCAAAGCACCAATAGCCAAAGCATATACCAGTCCACAAGTCGCTAGAATCCAGTATGCTTTCCGAATGAAGCTATTGAACGCCATCATTTACAGCAGTCCGAAGTAGCGACGATGTCCTGGGCAGTCGGAAGGCTATAATTCAACTCCAACTTGCAATCGCCATGTTTGAGAGCAAAAAGGAAGCAAAGACATCGTCCATCCTATTCCATGGGATGGAAAGAGCAAGTATCAGCTTGATAAGATCGAATTACCCCAATCGGGAAACCTTCCGTTTGCAGGGACGCGTCAACTTCCACGCTCCAAACTAACACGGAAGTTGTGTGTGTCATCAACCTCGCAGTCGCTGACCAAAATGACATGGCGGACGGATCTTCTAAGAAGAGAGTATTGCCTGCGCGTGAGCGCCGAGAAGCCGCAGCCAAGCGCAGAGCCTCACCTATGCAGCAGCCTCCTGTACAGCGTTCGCGTAAACAGTCCACTCCTCTTCACTCCTCAGAACCTCGTCCAAAGCGGAAATACACCAAGCGTGCCAGCAAGGTCAAAGATGACACTCCGGTTCCTCGCTCCTCTGCTTCGGCCTCAGACGCCGAAGATGCCTTGCCCACCAAAGTCACCGCCAACAAACCTCTCCCAACTTTAAAAGAAAAACAACCAACTAACTTGTCGCACAATGAATACCAGTCTGTTGCAGAGAGCGGCACCCTCGCGGTATCTCTTAGTCGATCTCGCCTTCAATGGCTCTGTGATGGAGTTTTCGAGAAGTACTGGATTAAACCTGTCAAGAGAAAGGGTGTGGTTGAGGCTCCCCCCCATAACCCGGATGTTAAGTCGATGCAGAAATTGGGAAGTGCCACCATTACCATCGAGCCACACACTTTTGATGCCATTTTTTATACTGTTCGTGATCCAGCGGCACCCCAACCATACCAACGCCATCCGAATCAACATACTGCCAAAAACAAGATTCCCCCTCCTCCCTCCTATGGTATGTATCATGCTTCGGGCCCATACCAACAGCCTCGACCACATGGAATTCCCCCACCACCACCACCTCCTCCTCCAACTCCAGGCCCGCCTTCGTCGACAACAACTGCTCCTCCTCCAGCACAGCCTATTCCATCATCCTCCGCGTCACCTTCCGCGCCCTCACGTGGCCCCGTCCCGGCCGGGCCTCTTCCACAGTATACCAAACCCGAGGACAGTCGCAGACAGACCTCCATTGCACCCATTGCACCCTCGTCATCTCCAAAAGAGCCTGCCCAGTCACCACATCCGAACCAGACTCCAGATCCACCACCTCCAGGGGGAAGAGGAAGTACATCCGAACCAGTCATTTTAATGTTGGCCGCGAGGGCTGCAGGGGATCCTCAAGTGAAGGAATTGATGAAGGTGGTGGCTACATCTAAGGCGTCTCCTGAGCAACTAAAGGAATTCCAAGCTCACATTGACGAATTCAACGACATAATTCGCCGGCGAGAAAACTTGACCGGTGATGAACGACTACCGAGTAGACCGCCATCGAATCCATCTGGTCTTCCTGCGCAATTGGAGGGCTCCAAAGAAGTGAAGCCTGAATCTAAACCAGCAACGCCCAAGCCAGCAACACTTGTGCAGGCTCCGCCTCCACCTTCTGCATCACCACCAGCGCATCAATCAACATACAATTCAACACAGGTGCCGCCACGTCAACCTCCTCCCTCACCAGGACCCGGCCCGCTACCTGGCATGATGCATACGTTTCCCACCCCTTCTCACCCAGCTCCCGGACCTGGCGTACCGATGGGCGGCTACGTAGGCTACCCTCCACCTCCAAGACCAGAACCCATTATCAAGCATATTGTATTGGAGTTGACCAGTGCTCCATCTAGCAGTCAATCTGCATGCCAGGATCGATGGCTCTTCCCCGAGCATGCGGTCTTGGAAATACGCTATGGAGGACTAGAGATGGTCTGTTCGTTCTTCGTGGAACGGAGCGGCTCACAGATACTGTCCAAGGTGGGTATGGACGCAACAGACGAAGAGAATAGCCGTGCGCATGCAAAATGGAAGGCCGATCAGCACTATTTTCAACCAGTGACGATGACAGTCAAGGCAATGAATCACCGAACAATTGAGACGATCGCTCGAGCAGCAAAACCATTACCAGCAGTGCAAGACTATATGAAGAACGTGATGGGGAAAAGCCAACGAGCCCCAGTGGAGTATTTGGTGCAACAGCTGCCACGCGAGAGAGGCCATGTGGGTGTGGAAGGACTTGAGACTGGGTTCGTGGACAGTGGTGTGGAACTGGGCAGTGAGCCTGGCACGGAGGACGACGAATTAAGAGACGTGTATGGCATATGAGGAAGACGGGAGATAAGGACCGTCATTTTTCGGCCTGGTTCGGCGGGCTGAGATAGGTACCTGATATCCCGCACACAGATATGTACTGCTACCCGAACCGATGGGGCTCTGGCAATTGAACGATCAGTAACAAGAAACCACGACAAGTCTCCCAGGTGTTTGTCATGCAGGCAACAGGCCACTTAAATCGCCTTGACCGGCAATCAGGGGAAGAATCCGAATGATATTCGTCTTCGCTATCGTGCTGGTATGCCGTTGTAAGTGTAATTTATCTCGGTCTCGAAAATACCTGGGTTCTAGGATCCCCATGCCCAGTCCCAAGCACAAAGTACCCAGCAGCTGTGGTACCACCAAATACCGTGGCACGTGACTGGCGCCTCTGACGAAAGAGAACTGCGCCGAAAGCGACGGCACGTTTTAGGCTCCCATCTCATCCATGATGCATGGCTGCATGGTCCACTCACTTGTCTTGCCGCTCCGTCGAACCACCCCTGCTTTCAATTACCATCCATGTGCTTTCAGAACAACAACGCTGCGACCCGTGGTAATGTCGATAGAGCTAAAGGTTCAAATTTCAATAAAGAGGATGCGACTTAGTCGAAGAACACAACCAGAGCAACACCGGCCATGATCACCCTCAGGCCCTAGGCGGAGACGGTCCCAACCCTCATCCCTTCAGCCCGTTAAGCCACCCGTCGACCGGAAGAGACACCCGCAGCGGAAAATAGAACAAACACTAGGCCGAGTGGCGTCGATGGGTTCGTTCCTCCATCATTGGCGTGGTCTGCCAGCTGCTAAATGGCAACTCGCGCCCACCAACTCAACCTACCAACAAGCCATATCCATTCTACCATTTCGCCGTTTATTGGTCCCGCTATGTAAACCCAGCATTCAGTTCCATCCCCGGTTTCTATCGCCGCTCTTCTCTTCATCCGGGCAATCCTGTCCTCCTCAAACCTGAAACGATTTCAACGAAAACCCGCACAGTCTCTCTGTACGGCCTGTTCAATTGCGACGAATCTTTTCATCGCATGTCGCCCTCCAGGTCTTCCATTCCTCTCTCCCCCTCTCACGATCCTCCTCCCAAACCCACCCAGGTAAAGTTCTATCGTCCTGCCCAAATGGCTCTCTTTGCCAAACTCGCCACATACCCTCCTCTTGCCCAAGTCACGGTGATATCTCCTACTCGAGAGAAAGTAAGTCCCCGAGCCTCGTCTCCAATATTTCTAGCGCCGGCGAACGTCATGGAAAAAGATAAAATAAAAATTGTTTGTCTGATCAAAATCCCTCTCCCCCCAGTCTGAGATATACCGTCCGGACAAATACTTTCTTTGTTCATCCTGATTAACCCATCATAGTTCAACTTCACAGTTGTATTAGAGTCTTCCAAATCATTACCCGAGAGGCCGTGGGAAGTGTCGATATGGTACGATCACGGCAGCTACTCTGGAAGCAGGTCTCCATGGCGGGCTCTCGACCTTACACTCGTCGACCACACTCCAGCAGTACTTTACGACGATAGTCAGACTTCAACGTACCGTTACACCTTTTCTGGAGAACTTGGCAGCCCGTACGTATCCCCTGATAAGACATATAAGGGTCGGCGGGTTCCTTTCACCGTTCGATACCGAGTAGACCCGAACTCGGAATGGACGTGGGTGTATCATAATTTTGGCATCAAAGATGGTGAACTCATCCTCCAACCCCCTATCGATCCCAACTTCCTCGGAGCGTTCCCTGCCGAAATCGAGAAAGGTTGGATAGCCAGGAAAACTGCAAGTGATGCGCCTGAAGCACGACTATACACGATTGAATCCGCCCACTCCATCCACGCCCCTGAAGAAGGAAATGCTCAATTCGAATCTCTCGTCCTGGGTCGCGTAACACAAACTAGCAGATGGTTTGCTTTGGTGAGAATATGGGAGGCATGGTTTGCGCCTCGACACGGCGAAAGTCAACTACACTTATCTGAGCCGGCCGTGTTACTGTCCTTCTTACGAACCGATGGCCTGCACGTCGTCTTGCTTGCCGTTAACGGAATCGATGAAGTCCTCACCCAGTTCACGTCAAACAGCCACGGTGAAATCGTGGTAGAGGCCAGGAATGATTCCAGGAAACATCGCAAGTTCAGAGTTCTCGCCGCCTCGGCGTGGAAATTCGAAATTGCCAATGCCGCTGTCATGTACGAGGCGCGCAAGTTAGTCCGCCAGTCTGCTGCATACCAGCAGGTGGTCGAACAACTCGAACAATTACCAAAACACATCAGAGCCGAATCCGTTGACTCAGATACGGTCCTCGTCAACGACACCAAAGATTCAAGTTCACCGGACGATCCTACGCTGACTCCACAATGGTTAGAATCCTGGTATGACAGCCTCGCCTACTGTACATGGAACTCCCTTGGGCAAGATCTCAACGCCGACAAGGTCATGGCGGGATTGGATTCTCTTGCCAAACACGATATTCGTATCGGAACGCTCATCATTGATGACAACTGGCAATCACTCGATGGGACTCAGGGAGAAACAAACCAATTTCACCGCGGCTGGAAAGCGTTTGAAGCAAACCCTCTCGGCTTCCCGGATGGTCTGAAAGTAACTGTTACCAAAATCCGCGAATCATACCCGTCAATCCGTGACATTGCAGTTTGGCATGCCTTGATGGGCTACTGGGGATGTATCTCTCCCGAAGGCGAAATTGCAAAGACCTACAAAACCGTTGAAGTCAAGTTTCGTGACGGAACTCCGATGGCGGGTCGAAAACTTGCCATCCATCCAGATGATATTCACAAACTGTACGATGACTTCTATCGATTCCTATCCAACGCCGGCGTGACTGGTGTGAAAACCGACGTGCAATTCGCGCTCGACCTCCTCGCCGATACACCTCATCGACAATCACTCACCAACACTTACCAATCAGCCTGGACTCAAGCCCACCTACGCCATCTTACAGGAAAAAGCATCTCCTGCATGTCGATGATACCCCAGATCCTCTTTCACAGCTTTCTTCCGACAACGACTCCTAGAATTCTGCTTCGAAATAGTGATGACTTTTTTCCTGACGTGCCCACCTCGCACACATGGCATGTCTTCGTCAATGCTCATAATGCCCTCTTCGTACAGCACCTCAATGTTTTACCGGACTGGGACATGTTTCAATCAAGCCATCCCTATAGTGGGTTCCACGCCGCTGCGCGCTGCTTATCAGGTGGACCGATTTATATCACCGACACTCCAGGCGAACATGACGTAGATTTGATCCGTCAAATGACTGCTCTGAACCCGAGAGGACAGACAGTCATTCTTCGTCCCAGCGGCATTGGCAAGACGATGGGCGTGTATGACAAATACGACGAAAGAGGCGTGCTCAAGATCGGAGTCTACGATGGTAAATCGGACGTGGGGACCGGGATGCTTGGTGTTTTCAACATTGCAGAGTCAGAGATCAGCTTTATACTACCCATCACAAAATTTCCTGGAGTGAATGCGCCTGCTTCAACGACAAACAGCTCGGGAATTTCGAAACAGAAATGGATCGTTCGCTCACACATGTCTCAACGTATCACTTCACCCATCCACCCCTCCGATCCCATCCGGCCAGACAGTCTGCTTCAATGCACCCTTCCCATACGCGGGTACGACGTCTGGTCAGCTCTACCAGTACACACTTTCCATCTTTCCAAATCTAATCCCAGCCTCGACCTGGCGGTCATTGGCCTCCTTGGTAAATTCACCGGCGCATGCGCCATTGTTGAATCGAGTTTCAACTTCGCCGAACCCAAGTCCGACGCACAAGCACAATCAGGGTCTCGACTGAAAATCCATATCCAATTGAAGTCGCTTGGCGTGCTCGGTATTTGGCTTGCGGATGTTCAATCAAGTTCTCGAAAAGTTGAAGATGTCATGGTCCTTATCCAGGGAAAACCTGTTCCACAGTCCCTGGTGAAATTCAATACAGATGGCGCCCCTGATGAGAGTGGAGTTCTCGAAATTGATGTCGACACTGCCTGGAACAAGATGGGATTGGATGCTGGTTGGAATAACGAAGTTGGAGTCGATGTGTTCTTGAAGTAAATCATCATGAGGAGATGATATGAACAAAGGCCGGGAAAAGCATTGCTTGCAGTTGTGAAACATCAAAACGAGATATGAAATAAGAATGGAAGGGACAGGATTTTTAAAAGGCGGACAGGTCGCGCTGTGATTCACACCGGCATTGATCACCAAAATTCCACATGGGAGGGGGATGTCTGAGTGGCTGGCTGATATAATACCATTAGATATCCTCTAACAACGGCAAAACTGAACAGGAGCTGAATGCATCGTTAACTAGAAGACATTCAACAATGGCATTGGACATGAAACTACAATAGACATGTTCGCCTTCAAAATCCTCCAACGAGCTACGAACGTCGAGAACCTAACGAGCCAAAAAGACAGTACCATCTAGACCTTCACGTAAACATGAACACACAGATAGATAGATACTAGAAATAAAATGAAATTGGATCGCCAGGGGAAAATCGGGCGGTCGTGAGCCGGTTTTCATTCTCAACCGCATTTGCTTCGGGACAAACGGTTCCTAGGTATGTACAGAGCAACTAGCCAACTGATCGGCGTGCAACGCCTCATGGGGGAATTTGCTTCCCATTCCTTGCTCTCTTCTTTCCTTGATTTCCTCTCCATCCACTCGAGCAAGAAAGGCTCAGTCGTTGGATGGAGTCCTGCTCTAATAGATAGTCCTTCTTCCTCTCTGGGAAATTCAATTCGATAATGCGAAATGCCGATCAAACAAGGGGAGACAGCAAAGGCAAAACACGTACAAAAGCAGTGTCGTAAAGTGACAAGACCCAAACGTTCGAAAAAGAGATTCATCCCCATGCCATATGTCCGGCTCCGTTCCATCACGGAATGGGTGATATTTGGTACGCGCCTTCGTGAAAGGGAAGGTCTGGCGGGACAGGGTAGGAAGGGGAACTAGAACTCTATTTCGAGTCGTCATAAAAGCCCTCTTTCTCGAGTCGTCGTCTGGCTTCTTCTAGTGCCCACGTTTGTATCCTGAAGGCTGATGTTAGTTGGTGTCCGTAAATCATGGTGTTTCGCTGCTGATGTCGCCAACTCTTCTCATGCCACTGCAAACGCAATAAAAGGCCCCATGACATGCCCTGCATGGGACCGGAGCAATATCTCCCCTTGCGGAGCAAATATATTAAGAAGGACAGGGGGAAACATACGAAGTATCTTCTTTCATTGTATAAGCGGCAATGGCCACAACCCAACTTCCGACAAAGATCCAGGCAAAGGGCTCCCATCCTTCCTTCTCGTATTTTTCTCCAGGCCGTTGACCCCAGAGCCAGCCACCAGGGGGGTCAAAGTGATCTTCATGGCCTCCGTGGCCGTGGTCATCGTGCTTCGCATCGTGAGAAGCAGAGTGCGCGCTCGCCCAACGGAGCGGTGTGCGGGACTGGATTGACGATGAACCGCGAGACGAGGAGAGGAGGGAGTGCGAGGCACGGCCGAGGCGAGGGACGCGGGCTAACATCTTACTTTTTGAGGTTATGGATGGATTATGAATGTTCGAAGTGCGGATGAGATGAGGTATGAGAAGTGAGAGATGTGCCTCAAGTCGGGGCACAATGTTTGGTGAGGACGAGGAGCTTGTCAAGATGGAAATGCAGCTGCGGGTATCGTCATGGAATGACCAGGGCGTAGTTTGAGGTGAGTATAGTCGGTGAAATGGTTGTTGAAGCTGAAGAGTTGTGGCTGCGGTGGAAGTTGAAGTTGAATAAGGTTGAAAGTCGGTCACGTGCAAAGCTGGGTAAATTGGGCAGTGGCCAACATCGGTTCTCTCCAGATACAGATACTTGGTTGATTTGCACCCATTCTCATGGATATCATTGTTTCTACGGCAATATCCACGGGCTAACCAGCTATCACATCACAATCGAATGGCAAAACACAAACCATGGAAGTCTCCAATTCCAACTTACTTGCCAGTCAAACGGATTCAACCATTCATGACCCCAAAAAGGTCTCATGCTAATATTTTCGATCGTTGCTGCAACGGCTTTTTTTGGTGGAAGGCTTCTTTCCGTGTGTGTGTGTGTGTGTGTATGTGGGTGTTGTGTACAGGACCAAAAAGGGAGACAAAAGAGGCCTCCATCATAAAACTCCTCCATGACAATCGTAAAACGATTTGCAGTGGCCGTGCATTTTCCAGTATCACAAGGCTCTTCTTGCTCTTCCGGCTCTTCCATTTTGCTTTTTCCAATGCCCCAACCCCATCCAGAAAATGCTGAAACGAGTTACGCCATCCCATGCAACGCTCTTGAATAACCCGAGGTTTTGGTTCATAACGCCGTTCCATCGTACTGTACAGTTTCTTGGACAAATGAAAACAAGATTCAATCTCATGCCATCTTCAATTCGCCTCGACCACCTTGGTGAAATTCAATGGTTGTGAAATATCATGACCATTGCTGGTGCCAGCTCCATCCAGGTAGCTGTTAGCACTTCGACTTTTCGGTAGTCCGGGTTTTCTCAATGGTGAGGCGGGTGACGAGTCCGGGGGATCGAATATCTGCCGGAACACAGGATCTTGAAATTTGTGGGTGGGTCTTTCTGGACTTAAAGACACTCCTTCCGCTTTTCGTACAGTCTCTTTTAATGCTCTTGTGATTACGCCCGCTCTCACCACCAGATCTCTGAGGTCTTGTGTGTCAAAGGGCAATTTTTCACGGGAAAGGGTGTTGTGATTGGTCGGTGAAGACTCTAGTCCATTTCGATTTTGATGAATGGTTTGGAGAAATGACTTGGTTTGTAGACTCTCACCACGAGGTCGTCCATAAGGGGGTGTTCTAGGACTTGAAATCGAACGTCGATTAATGGTTCGACCCAAACCAGGTTTCCCAGCTTCTTCTTCCTCAGCAACGCGTTTTGGTGGAGTTTCGTCGCCGAAAATGTCAGCCGGTGCTGGCGAAGATGGACGCGGTAAACCCTCATCATCCTCGTTGACAGCTGCCAAATCAATGATGCTTTCTGCATCCTCCCACAGTTGTCTTGAGTGACTTTCTAGCAAACCAAGATTGGCACCACGCACTCGGAGTCTCTTGAGTTCTTCAACAAGGAGCATAAAGTCTCTGACTTGGCCAAATTGAATGTGAACGCTTTGCTGACGATCCATGATTGACTGCGGAACTTTGACACTGCGGATTGACTCCCGCTTTCTCCCCTTTTCATTGTTTACACTCTCCATCATCATTTCTTCATTCTCGTCGACATCATCAAATTCGAAATCATCACTCCATTCCTCGCTCACTGGTTTGCTACCGAGAGCCCAGGTCCCAAATTTCGTGGCTGACGACGGTAGATCATTTTCCGTCACACTGTCTCGATTGACCGGGACACTCTGACTGCGAAGATGCGTCGCTGCGTTGCTTTTGCGTCCAGAAGGACGGCTCCTTCCGACATCGTTGCCGTGTTTACCATGTACAGTCTTCGGTCGAGGGCTTACTCCATTGGACTGGTCGCTCCCAAATTTGTGATGTTCAGACCAATCGAAAATCGAGGACCTCTTGTTCGATCTTTGTTCATCAAATTCGTCTTCGGGTAAGTGATCAAACCGAATTTGCACTTCACTGGAAGACGTGGCCTTCGGTGGTGCTTGATCACTATCAGCGGTGGATTTTGGTGACCAGTCGATGTCATCGTCATCATCATCAAGATCCATCATCTGAGGCAGCTCCGGCGCTTCATGATGAGGCGGAGGAAATGGACAGAGGGAAGGGGAAGAAGACAGAATGGGCCCATTACGAGAGACCTTCTTGGGCACTGGGGTCGACACAAGATCCTCCATATCCCCCCGGAGACCTTTGACCGGAGTAGACGCCTGATCAGGGCTGACGTTTCGCAACTTGTCGTCTTCTCCAATACTGCTAATACCGATGCCAACATTCGAAGATTGTCCAACCCCACCTCTTGGGCTCAAACCAAAATCATCAAAGGTGGTTCTTTGCATCAGATCTTCTAACCCAGATGTCTCAGGAGGTTGCTGGTCAGCATGTCTCTCGTCAAATATCGTCTCGACTTTAGGTGGACGGAACGCTGAATGACTACTGGCTGTGGCTCGAGTAGCTAGTGAGTCGTATGCAGTATCACTGTGAAAATCCATCGAATCATCGTCAGTAAACACACGGGTGTCGTTGTCAGAGCTTGCCGTTGTTGGATCCGAAGGAGCAACCGATACCCGTTTGGGTACGGTAAAGCGGTGTTGAGGAGGACCATACGAAGGAGGACTTGAAGTAAACACTGGGGTCCCATCGGGCAGGTCAGCGTCAAACGCAGAAATATTCGACATTGGTGACAGATGGGGAAATGTCGTCGACGGAACCATACCGCCGTAAGCTTCGTCTTTGTTCACTCGAACTATGGGATCAGTAAAATGTCGTTGAGGAATTCCTCTCCGCACCGAACTCAAAGTCCGACGGATTTTGTGCCTTCGAGTGGTGGTCGGTGCTACAGGGGTCTCGAAAAGGGGGGAAGATCGACCCTCATCCATATCGGGAGATTTTCGAGGTTCGACCAAACCACCCATCAGAAGGGTCGGGGTCCGGCTTTGGGCTGTCGAGATCGTCCGGGCAGAAGGCTCACGGTAGACTCCAGAAGAATATCGCTTTCTCACAGAGCCCGAGTCAAAGAAAGGTCGCCAGCTGGGTTTCTGAGATGTGCATCCTGGTGAATCGACAGCCAAATTAAATTCCCGGGTAAGTGGCCGCGTATAAGGAAGACCAGAGAGCGTTGCAGACCTCTGATGGCTAGTGGCTGGTCGTTTCAATAGGGCAGCAGCTTCACGGCCGTGATTCGCAATTCGTTTAGAGGACGAACGTTTGACCAGTCTATTGGGTTGCTCCAGGTCAGTAAAGGAGGGCCGAGAAGCACTCGAGGATTCATCTACCCTAGAGGAAGACGAGGCAGGGCTGTCGTGGTTTCGACGAGAAATACTAGATATTCGTCTGGCCCAGGACGATCCAGGTCTAGGCTCTTTCCTTTCCGTTGACGAGTCTCGATCTGACGTCCATGTTCTTAATATGCCATGCCTGCTCATAGAACTTTCCCGAGACTCAGTGACAGTGCGGTCGGGGGGGGCCGTGTTGGACTGGACAGTCTTCCTTCGCAGGATAGATGTTGACAGCCGACGTTCGAGCCTCTCTGGTAAGGTTGGAGAAGAATTCACGGGTTGGGATGTTGGAGGATGCGCGGAGAATGGTAGATTAGGAGATATCGGTGAGCGTGTAGTGGCATTGGGTCCAGGAGACTTCCTCTTGCCAGGCTTGATGAGGAATGAATCTCCATCCAATGTCCCTAGAGCCAGTCCTGCAGCTGCAATACCAACAGTGCCTACGGCACAGAGCTAGATATGTAGTCAGAAGCGTGATCAGAAGATTTTATGACAGAACAGGGATCTGTACCGTGGCAATGTGCTCTTGACGGTGTTCCATTATGCCCGGGAGGCCAATTGCCCTCGAGACGCCGCAGCCCAGAGTTTCTGGTGGCCTTGGAGACAGAACGTCCTCATGGCGGGTTCTCCATCAATTGCAGAAACTCCGGAGGGTAAGAAAGGTCCCGTCGGTGGTGTGTAGACGCAAGGGGATATGTTCTTTCCGTGCACGCGGGCGAGAAAAAGGGCGAGACACGCGACTCAGCGAGGAAGGATGCGAAAGGTGAGAAGAAGACGCAAGGCACAAGACATACACAGAACCAAAAAGAAAGGGACCAATGAGTTCAAGAAGATGGGTATGATGGTGGAAAGGGAGAAAGGCAAAGGAAGTGGGAATCTCAGCTGAGTAGTGAGTGGTGAACGGTAAATGGGTGAGGTTACCAAGATGAGCAATTACGGGTATTCGGTATGGGCGACACTTTGGCTGGGACGCTGGCAGCAAGCACAACGCCAGTCTATAAAGTCGCCTCGACTCAGTTCCCGCTTCAGTTCAATTCATTAAAATCCATCCGACCATCATCCACACACGGCAAGCTTGTTGCCCATCAGCCCCAAAGCAAAAGTTGATTGTTACTAGCTCCGTTAGCACCCTTCGCGCACATCGATTGCACCCCACTGGCACGGTATATGTCTGTCAGAGTCTCAACCGCCTTTTCATCCTAGGTCCCCCCCGGCCATCGCGCCAAATGGTCCCGAATGTTTTGCGTCAAAACTTCTAGTGGTGGGACTGGGACTATTTACTGCTGCTTGCCGCTTCACAAATCTTTTAATGCATTGTGTCTGAACACAATGACCGCAAATGCCACCATTATCTCAAGGTAAAGTTCCTCAACAGCTACTTTGACCGGACATAGTGCTACACCTGGTACATTTAGATGTCGCGTGGAAACCAACATCCGTCCAGCAGTCTGGGGCGAAATCTTCCCATATTTGGAAACATACATTTGTCCATGGCCTTTTTAAGGCAGCCAATCCTCCTTGTTGCCGTAGTCAGTGATACTTTGCTAGTACTCCAAATATGAAATGTTGGGGGTGATCATGAAAGCTTGAAAAAGGACAACGGAATTATAGTTCGCGGTGGCGGTGGAGCCCGGCTTCTGATATCGGTACCCAAGACCATTTGGATTAGAACAGTACTGACTGCAACAAACGCGACAGAATCGACCAGGCTGGTCCTTGCGAAGGCAGATCCATCACTGACCAGGGACTGCGTAGGGCTCTGTGACTGCTTAACTGCCTTTTGGCAAGCGGCATCACCCCGGTCGATTGATTCTGGATTGGCTCCTCGCTAAGTTCAGGAATCTCAACAAGGAGTGAGGAGGAGGATTGACGGACCCGGTACGGCCATCTTGCTCTGCCCAGCCGGTTTTGTGTGTTCAGTGCAAGCAGATGATGTCGATGAGGTCCTTGATATGGACAAAATGCCAGCTTGTAAGAGCTGAACGACGCCCGGCGTCTGCGCCATGCAGACGGCCGAAGCGAGCAAAGGCTCCAGTTGCAGTAGCGAGGGTGCAGAGCATGAAACGCGAAGATGAACCTGGGAAAAACAAGGCCGGGATGTACGTAAATGGCTGGTCAATCGGATGAAAAGTCCAAGGGTGGATTTCCATGAGCATGAAATGGCATCAGACAGCGGCAAGCCACATGTCCCCGACAGGGATTTGGCCTTTACATTCCTCCACTCCATGTATTTCTCACGGCAAAATCAAAACAAGTTTGCAAATCCGAGAGCGTCATTTTTGTTTGTTGTCGGTTGCAAAACGCCGAGCGAGGCAAGCGGGGAGGATGATTGAAATCGTGAAAGTCTAATGGCTAGCTTTGGTGGATATTCTTTAAAGTTCCTTAGCTGATTCGGTGGAGGCCGGATTTGCGTAAATAGGGACCACCAAGCGCCATGATGCGCTGGGGTTTTGATGACGAGAGGGGATATTCGATTTGATACGCTCAGAGTCAGATCTCGCGTCGCGTGTCTAGCGAATCTAGCTCAAACTGGTGGTTGTTGACGCTAGCGGTCACTCAGGTCCGTGGCCTTTTGGGCTGACAATTCGGGGTTTTTTTTTTGGTTTTTAATGACTCGTAAGAATAAACAAGGCGTTCATGTCACACATATATCGCACACATCAGCCTTGGATAGCGTGACAATTGTCTGGTAGAGCATTGGGCCTTTTAGAAAGTGCTGGACGACGATTGCTCTATGATGTTGTGCAAGGTGTTGGAGCAAGATCAAAGTGGGTTGGTATCTAGCATTGAATGACTCGCCAGTAGCCAGACTAGCGGTACCAGTCTCAAAATCCAATCCCCAATTGCCTACGATACCCGAGAAACCATGCTCTGGAAGACATGCCAGCGTTGTGAGATTATAATTTTGTAGCAATGAAACCAAGCATACAAAAGCAAGCAGTGAACCGAGTCGTGGCACCGTTACAGGTGTTGCAGCAACCGGGCTCTTTGACGGCTGAACGAATAGAGTGCGGAGATAGAAAATCTCGATAGTAGGTCTCATCTCCGCAAGCCTGTTGGCATCATAATTTGACGAGAAAGACGGTGCGCATCTCGTGATGGCGTGATTCTGGCGGTCACAAACGCAGTTCTGAATGGCTTCGACTTTATGCGTATATGTACAAGCCCGAAACATGACGTGGGTGGGCGTCGTCCATTTTGATCAGCGAAACTCTTATCAGGATGCAGCACGGTGGCACAATTCTGAGCTGGCATGTTATGAAACGCCTTCTTTTCTTGGTCCAGTCCAAGTCACGAGTTTTGGAACAAAACATTCGCTGAGAGGGGGGTTTTCTCTATCGAGATTGCCTGAAGGACAAGTGCCCATACATCTGCATACAGACTTTGGTGTCAGAGAACGGTTCGTAAAATACACAGTAATAATTCCCACTTCCACAGTCTAGGGTAAGCAGACCTTGAAATATTTCAGATTCTCTCTGCGTTCCGTCTTGCAGGCTTACATGTAAACTCAGTCAAGAAGTCTTAGTTACCGCAGATGCGGTAATGCCGGCCATCCGCGCTGCTGACTACTGCAAACGCTGGTGATTTACGCGAGGTGTTCCCTGTCCGGAATCTTCCACACATCCTTTTTTTGTCCCTGAGGGTAACGTGGGGATAATGCGTTCTTGTTTCGTTCTTTTCGTTTCGAGGTCTCCGACTCAGGCTGACCAGCTGCAAGGATAGAGGCATGACGCGTAGTTCGGGGCCTACAGCATCCTATGATCTGTATGGCTTGCTAGAGACGCGCTACCGGAAAGGTTGCTTGATGGGGAACCAAAGGGTACTTGGCAGCTAGGGGTATGGATGGAGGATCAGAACATGAAGTGCGAGTTTGATACATCGACTAAGCCGCTTTTGCGCAGCCAAGGCCACCCGGAGAAATCTCTCACGTGATGCCTGTCGTTCGATATTTTTGATTTCGGGCTCTCGGTAAAATCTTGGGGGACCTCGTTTGTGTACACAAACGCCCAACGAGTCGCGATCTCCCTCGTCCGCCTGCATATTTTGAGACTTCGGAATAAATCCTGGTAGGATTTACGAGGAAGGAATGACACCATCAGTGGACGGCGGAAGAGCACATGTGTGAAAATAGCAGAGGACCAAAGAGTGCCACTTTCATCCCGCCTCCCCTGCAATTTCAGCCGTGTCTTCCCCCATCTTCAAATCTGCGCTCCACCTTTGGTGGTTCCAAATCCAAAATCAAATCAAAATCCCAATCCTGTTAAATCGGAGCCCGGTTCCTCTTGACTCTCGACGGCCTTTCTGGAATTGCGCAACCGCCACTTTGCCTTCCACGGTATTGGTCGTTGTACGTCGTTCAAAAGCCCTGGGTCCAACATTGAGGCCCAATGGAGGCAGAAATCCAGGCTCAGATTCCTAACATTGACAACGTCCTTTCGGAGTACTCCGTTGTAAGTTGAAACCCATCGCCTCGCCTGGCCCTGTATCGGTAACACCATTGTGCTCCACACAAAACAACAACCCAGTCTGGTTACACCAAGTTTTTTTCTTCTTGCAAGGGACGAAGTCGTGACACTGACCACCATCTCCAGGGTTATCTCAATCATGCATCAAAGTTGTATTTCTCCGAAGATGATCCTTCTGCCCAGTCACCACTGGCTGAAGCACTTGAAACTGTGACTTCTCTGCTTGTTTCTGCTTCAGGAAACTTCTCTGACGAGAATCAAGCTGCCATCCGTCACTTGGTAGAGAAATTTATCTCAAAGCTGAGTGAGGCCAATGGCGTCGACGGGGAGAGACGCCAGATGCCATTCGCCGCCAAAAAACTCGAGCACACCATTCAAGTCAGCTCGCAGCGGAACATTTCCTCTACTTTGGGATTGACTGGTGGTATTGTTGATCTTGAGGCTACCAATGCTCGCAAGGTAGAATCCAAAGTGGACAAGAAGAAACTCGAAAAGGCCGAGCGAAAAATCCGGGCCAAGCAAGACAAAAAGGTCATGAAGAATGTGGAGTATGAGGCTTCCAGGCTGCTCGAGCAGCCAGACAGCACCCAATCATACGAGGAGTTCTTCATGGCAGTCAATCCACTTCAACTTGGTTCCGATGCTCAATCAAAGAGCAAAGATATCAAGGTCGAGGGGATTGACGTGTCTATTGCTGGCAAACGGATCTTGACCGATACGTCCTTGACATTGGCCTATGGCCGAAGATATGGTTTGGTGGGTCAGAACGGTATAGGTAAATCCACACTGCTACGTGCATTGAGTCGCCGTGAAGTGGCCATCCCAACCCACATTTCCATCCTTCATGTTGAACAGGAAATCACAGGAGATGATACTCCCGCTCTTCAAGCCGTCCTGGACGCCGACGTCTGGCGGAAGCATTTACTGGCCGAGCAAGACAAGATAACTAAGCAGCTGGCAGCTCTCGAGGTGGAGAGATCCAAAATGGCGGACACGTCAAAAGATGCCGCTCGCCTCGATAAAGAGAAAGATGGGCTCGATACGACATTAGGCGACGTTCAAGCCAAACTTAGTGAAATGGAATCCGACAAGGCCGAATCTCGAGCGGCCAGTATCTTAGCCGGTCTAGGATTCTCGACCGAACGTCAACAATTCGCCACCAAGACATTCTCCGGCGGTTGGCGCATGAGGTTGGCTCTGGCTCGAGCATTGTTTTGTGAGCCTGACTTATTACTACTCGATGAACCTTCAAACATGTTGGACGTGCCGTCTATCACGTTCTTGTCCAACTATCTCCAATCCTATCCCAGTACAGTCCTGGTGGTCTCTCACGACCGTGCTTTCCTCAATGAAGTAGCCACCGATATCATTCACCAACATTCTGAGAGGTTGGACTACTACAAGGGAGCCAACTTTGATTCATTTTACGCCACCAAGGAAGAACGAAAGAAGAACGCGAAACGCGAGTACGAGAATCAGATGGCTCAGAGGGCACATCTGCAGGCATTTATCGACAAATTTAGATACAATGCCGCGAAGTCCTCCGAGGCGCAGTCTCGCATCAAGAAGCTGGAAAGAATGCCCGTTCTGGAACCCCCTGAGGCAGAATACACAGTCCATTTCAAATTCCCAGACGTGGAGAAACTTTCACCACCCATAATCCAGATGTCAAATGTTTCATTTGGCTATTCGAAAGACAAGCCCCTCCTTCACCATGTCGACTTGGATGTTCAACTGGACTCCAGAATTGGAATTGTTGGTCCGAACGGAGCCGGTAAGACAACAGTTTTGAAGCTTCTCATCGGACAGCTTCAGCCGACGTCAGGATTGATATCACAAAATCCACGTCTCCGAATCGGATTTTTTGCTCAGCATCATGTGGACGCTCTCGACATGAACACCTCTGCAGTCGGCTTTATGCAAAAGACATACCCTGGGAAGACCGACGAAGAATATCGCCGTCACCTTGGAGCGTTTGGCATCACGGGCATGACTGGTCTACAAAAACTGGAGCTGTTATCTGGTGGACAGAAATCCAGGGTTGCATTTGCCTGTCTGTCATTGACCAACCCTCATATTCTCGTTCTTGACGAACCGTCGAATCATTTGGATATCGAGGCGATGGATGCTCTCTCAACTGCCTTGCGGCAATTTCAGGGAGGAGTGTTGATGGTCAGCCACGATGTCACGATGTTGCAGAATGTCTGCACCAGTTTGTGGGTTTGCGACAAGGGGACGGTTGAAAAATTCCCCGGGGATATCAATTCATACAAGAAAAAGATATCGGCGCAGGCAAATGAGGCCGGCGTCGTTCAAGCCCATTGATAGAGGTCGTCGCGATAGATGAGAAAAATAGATCACGAGAGCATATTTGATAACGCCCGAATCCGGCCAGATCCGTATATTGTTCATGGTCAAATCGTGAAACATGGGTGATTCCTTTCCCCCCCCCTGTCGTTCATGCCTGATGTCCTGACGCGTCCCCGAGGCTTGTGTCCTTGGGTTGCATGGAAAGGAGTTTCGTTCTGGGAGCGACAAGCCCCCGGTACCTCGTATACCCTACCTGCCATAGTACCTCCTGGGCCCAAGTTCCCACCTCCATCCGCCAACGTCGCACTTCATAGGCACTTGATGAGATCATCATCTAAGTGCTTTGTCTCTGCAACCAGAAGTGTATCGCGTCACTCCATCTGTATAAAATGACCAGAAACCCGCTTCGACAGCATGCCTATTCCTCTAAACTCTTGTCGCAGCTGGGCTCGCGACTTGCGCTCATCCCATCTGGGCCTCCCCCCGACTTACCTGCGACCGATCTATCCTACGGATCTTTAAATGCCTACCTTCAATATGAACTTGAAGACTCTACATGCCCTTGTCGCGACAGCGGCATATGCAGCTCTACCTTCCTTTTCACTCGCGCAGTCTTCCTCAAGTTGCGGACCCGCCCCTTCTGGCGAGATCCAGCCATCGCTTGCTTCAGGATTTCGCATGCAAGTTGTCGCGACAGGGCTATCAGAGCCTCGTGGTATACTTCTCGATCAAGATGGGAATTTGTTAGTCGTAGAACAAGGACGAGGTGTCATCTCAGCACACACACTGGACGAAAATGAGGATTGTGTGTCTGTGAGCACCTCCTCCGATGTAACCACTGCCCTGAGTGTATGTTCTTCGCTATTGGTGACTTTGCACGATAACTGATGGTGGAACCTTCAAGCTTAATCATGGTATCGAATTGTCCAGAGATGGAAGGACTCTGTACGCATCATCTTCTGAGAGTGTTTACTCTTGGGAGTACGACTCCTCTGCGCGAACAGTTTCAAGTCAGGAGACTCTTGTGACCAACATGGCGGGCTCCGATCATACCACCCGGACGCTATTGCTATCTGACAAAGTCCCCGGTATGCTTGTGGTCACAAGGGGAAGTACTGCCAACATCGACTTTGAGTCAGCCAGCCTAGACTCCGGTCATTCCCAAATCAAGGCATTCAACTTAAACAATCGCACGGGTGGGCCCTACGACTTTAATACCGACGGACTGCGACTGGGGTGGGGATTGAGAAACGACGTTGGGGTTGCAGAACATCCAGGAAGTGGAGGTATTTATGCCGTCGAGAATTCCGCTGACCAACTGACCCGGATGGGTGTCGACGTTCACGAGGACAATCCTGCCGAGGAGTTGAACTTCTTGGGATACTTGGATGGCACAGAATATGCTCCACAGGGCGGAAGTTTTGGCTACCCTTGGTGTTTCTCTGCATGGAGCGTCGATGACCTCCCCGATAATGGGAATTTATCCGTCGGCAGTCAATATGCAATCGATGCATCTCCGGCTTCAAACAATGAGAATCGAACAGACGCCTATTGCGCTGGGCAGTTACCTGCACGTCTGGTTTTCCAAGCCCACATGGCTCCTCTGGATATCAAGTTCAACAACAGTGGCCAGGAAGCATGGATCACCTTCCACGGGAGCTGGGATAGGACTGATCCGGTCGGATATAAATTGTCCGTGGTGGCCTTCCACGAGAACGGTGAGCCCGTGGACGATCTTCAAAGCACCACTGCCGCCCACGATATCTTTGCCAATGAGGATACATCGAGATGTCCGGATAACTGCTTCCGGCCTGTCGGTATGGTAATCGACTCTCACGGACGGATATATGTCTCTTCGGACGCTTCTGGTGAGATATATCTGGTTTCCAGAGTCTCTGGACTAGGTATCCCTGGATCACCCACTTCGTCAGGCACCGCTTCAGCAACTGCTACTAGCTCTGTTGGTAGTGTCATATCTCCGTTTTCGCCAGAAGGGAGGATATTGTCATGCCTCGTGGCTGCACTTACATTATTATTTTATCTCCCATGAGATCGATGAGAAGCACGACTCAAATGAGGGACGTCGTCTCCGGACTCCAAGCATTTCTGACAAGTCGGTATATATGTCGAAGGTGGGTTCACCAGATATAAAGGTCGGCATCTTTGTGAATATAGCATTGGCATAGCCCTTGAGACAGTTAATTCATTGACCAGTCATGTCACTCAAGGCGGGATCTGAGCTTTGGTTTTGTCTCTTTCTTGAAATTTGGGAATTCCAGATCACCTTCTGAACAGGATGAGATATTTTCCCCCTTTTCCCCTCCCCCTAAAAAGTTGACTGTTGTCGCTCGCGATCATCCGGAAAAACGAATCTTCCATTGCTCGACATGACCTTGAACAACAACGTTCTCGATTCACTTTCCAACCTCGACTCTGAGCTCTCTGACCCTCCATCGGACCTCGGCTCCGCGGATCCCTTTATCGAGACTGGCTTTGGAAGGATGGCTCTTGACGGTCATCCGTCTGAAAACAATGCTGGCTCTCCGCTCAAGCGCAAGCCAGCCTCGCGTTCAGCGTTTGAGGGCAAGTCGTGCTCGGGCGACAGCGGCACAGAGAAACCACACCAGAGCACTGCGAGACTCTGTCGAGCTCACTTATCCCAAAAGAATCAGCCATTTGGAAACAAAGATTCCTTGCATGCTATGATTATCCAATGGTCAAAGAACAGACCGAATATATCTACGCATATCAAGAGCGCCGCTTTGTCCTGACACATTTCGTCGAATTCACGGACCCGAAGGATAAACGTCTTCCCATTCAACTATGTGTTCTGAGGGATATGGTCATCGGTATGTACCCTTCTTAATTGTGACGAACGTCAAGTTATGCTTCGATTGCAGAAGCATCCTGCCAGAAGAAGAACCACCTTCCTCCACCTCTGACGTCTCCAAATCTTGCGGCATTCGAATCTGCTGGTGGTTCTCCATGGATGCGTACCTTCTTGTCAGCTGCATTCTTCCCCAAACCTGGTGGAAGACATGGTCAACGCCATCCCCTTTTTGATGCTCTCCAGGTCCCCATCTCTCACCTTCTGTCGCCTTCTTCCCAGATGGTCAATGCGCTCATTTCGTCAAGAGAGAATTACGATTTGACCATCGTGTACAATTGGAACAACGATTTCGGCACTCTCTATCGTCTCGTACCAGTATCTCGAAAAGAGAAGGGAACGGGGCCTGTGCAACCAGCGTCGAAGAGGTCAGCCCGAAACCTCAGATTGCGACATCCCGTTACCAAGAAGTCTAAGATCAAGTATGAGCTGGATCTCTATGCCCTACTCCATATTCGCAACTTTTGGCATGGGCACCTCATTGACGACACCAGGGCGCCTGATACTTCCGGTAAGGTCGATTTCATAGTGGAAAACACTTATGCAAAGATGGCAAGAGCCCTAAACGAAGCTGGCATCGCGCCAAAGAAATGGTATAAGCCTTTGACCGACGACCCACCAGAAATCGATACAGAGTGGTATGGACACTATAGTTGCTTATGCCCCTGGCCGAAGTCCTTGAGAGATCTGGAGGAAGTACAGGGTCTCGCCTCGAATTGGGAAAAAGTCGACCCGCTGGTAAGTGTGATGTTGCCCCTTCGCTTACTGACTGATCTAAATAGAAATTCGACTTTGCTATCAGCAACAACAATCTAATGGATGGATACTGGCCACCGATCTTCCATAACATTCCAGCCTTCACAAAGACTATTCCTGACTTCATGTCTGGGGCTTGTGTCTTCATTCGAGGTCTTGCTCCCTTCGTCGAGCTTCCCGACGTCAAGCAATAAGAGAAGGACTTCGGCACCGTCGACCTCCCAGGCGACTTTCACAACACCACAACTACCAAAATACCATCTCTACCTAGGCCTTCGGGTTCGTGGTGTCATTCACAATATTGCTAACCAACAGACTCTGAGGAGGATAGTATCCCGGGTTGGAATCGTGTTGTCATGGTCCTCTACAAACCAACCAAGAGATATCTGGCTCAGGTCCTGGAATGGGAAGAACAAAATTACGGTGAACCGTTTGGACCCGCTATTAGCAATCAATTGATGCAGGACGCTGAAGGCGTCGTCGGATTTGATCTGGACCCGGCCCAAGTGGATGCTCAGATGGAGAACCATCTCATAACCAAATTGACAGAGAATCCAGACTGGCGCGACCCAGACAAGATGAATAAATTCACCGTAGGGCACATGGAAGAATCCTTCCGTACGAGCGAATATTTGAACTGGGAAGACATCGAGTACGCCTACGCCTACAGGGGTGTCATCATACCAAGAGGAAAGATCATGATGGGAAGATATTGGAGATGTGGAATGCTCGGAAGTGGCGATGGCCTTGAATTGGATGCGGATGGTCAATCATTGCATGGTGGTAATGATTCAGATGGAAACGTCAACGCTATGGATGATCATGGGCCGTCTATGCCGCCACCCCCCCCACCCGAACAAGGTCAAATTGGACAGAGGTCCTTCCGTCTTTTGGCGTTGAGGGCATTCGTCCGACAGGCATCTCCCTTGGTCAAGGCGCAGGAACACATTGATGGTGGTTGGCATCAACGAGTCCATACTGCCGAACGCTCGACGGACAAAGCTGGAGCACGCACGGAAGAATTGAATTGAACGGAGCTGTACGGAATCAAGAGGTCTAGTTGCTAGAATAGACTAGCTTGAGCAGGCAGCTCATCCTGGGTAGCACAGCCTGTCCTGGCCTTCCAAATGAAAAGCATCAGATTCACATCAAAATATATATTCTGTTCAGTGAGTAACTCTCGTCGAAATACAACACCTGCTCTATTGCCCATTTTCGGGTAGACTCCGGCACCAATATTTCAACGCTCAATTGATGAACCACGGGCGTAGTGGTAGCTATCCATCAGTCCGTCCGTCCAACCTCCTCTCTGTCTCATCTCGCAAGGACGTGTGATGTATACAAATGGTCAGTTCTCGACCATCTGACCATCCGAACGACGAACGACCTCCACATGCCCAACCTGGAATGGATGTGGTGAACTAACTTTACCGGGCCATTATGTCATCTCGCCAGGGCGAACAAACCGTCTGGCAAGTCCTGCGTTCTCATCCACGTACTCGAAGTCACTCGCTGAAATGCGCTTTTCGAGCGTTGCACCGTCATCGTCATCACCTACGCTTCCATCGTCGACAATGGCGCCAGACATCTCCATCTCGGCCCGTCGCAGCCGTGGCGATTGGTCCGGATACCATTTGCCACCAGGGTGGAGGGCTTCGATTTGGGTTTGCGGTTGCATCGCCGGATACTGGTCGTCGTCAAAGCCGTACGTCGTGTACGGTGGCACAATTAAGCTGGAGGCCTTCGAGGCCTTCGGTTCCATCGACGGTGCGTAGACGGCATCCATGTCGGGAAATTCAAAGTGGGATGTCGTTGCAGGCTGCTTCCCTTTGGTTTTCACGTTCGCCTCGCGGCCCTGCCGTTGCTGGTCCAGGTTCAATTGGTCCTCATGTCTCTCGAGGTCTGAGGTAGAGGTAGACGCCATGTCCATATCACTGGTGGTTGTCCCAGTGACGGCAGCCATTCCCGTGCCCACACTTTGGAGATCGTTATTCTGGACTTCGACCTCACGATCGCGAATCCGTCGCATCAAGTCTAAAAATTGCGAGTTCTGGAATTTCGTGCTCGTGTCATGTTGGACGCTGGACAGTAGTTGTCCGGCCGTCCGGGCTAGTTCGTCGGCGTCGTGCATGTCTTGGTCGGGTGTCCGTTCGGATTGCTCACGGTAGTGGATGGCGTCGGAACCGATCCTGATCGTCGTAGTTTCTCTCTGTTCGATTGTCGTTTCGATGGTTTCCGAGGGCTTGTTGTGTGGTTGCTGTCTATCCATTTCTTGGGCATGGGCAGATACGTCGGCGAAGGCGGCTTCGAAGTCCACGTCGGAGATTTGAACTTGCTGGTCCATAGAGACTGGGCGGTGTTGGTGTGGTTGCTGCCCCTGAAATCCGTCGAATGATTGGTATACGGATTGCGCATAGCTTAACATGGGCGATCGAGCTTGACTTGTAAACATGTTGGTATTTATCTGCCCCGGTGGTTCGGCCATTATTTGATTCCCTTGCGCCGACGGCGCCCGTACACTCGATCGCTGTCGCATAAATTCATCTTGCCATCCGCCAACGGTCGATCTGACGAGAGGAGCCTCTGTACGGAATTGTCCTGCGGGAAGAGGGTGGTCGTGGATATTCAGTCTCTGGAAATCTGCCGCCCATCCTGCTGAGGCTGTAGCTGGTTGGACATGCGCATGGGCTCGAGAGTGGAACGCAGGCAGGGTATCGGCGAACCCGGGCTGCTGGAATTGGAAAGAATTTGGTGCTGCGTTTTCGAAGGCATGGAAATCGGCGTCCAGGGAACCTGCTCTTGGGTCGGCGGATCGAAAACCCTAGAGATATTGTTTGTCAGTCCTATATGTAGGATCTGGATAGGCCGAATGGGCGAACATACCTGCCCGGGAGACTGTCTGGGTCCGACTAGACGGTCTTGTTGCAGTGTTCGATCGATCTGCGTGTGTTTTTGTAGATTCTGTAGTGGGTTGGAAGGGCCACAGAGGGCGTCCGCCATGGTGAGTTGGTTTGGCTCAGGGCGAAGAGATCGAAGCCAGGTTTAATGAGGAAGGATCAAAAGAAAGTAGAAGACGAGAATGAAGCCTTGACTTCAAAGGCATTTCGTCGAACAGGAGAATAGTACGGACGCAAGATGACTTTATCTAAATGATGAGTCTCTGCAGAATTGCGCAGCCGAGGCCGTCGGGACCGGAACTGAGTGAACTTTTAGCCGCGGATGACAAGGCTGCAGCCTCGTCTACTCGCCCATCTACTTCCAAGCCACCGCCAGGTCCCTTCATCTCCTCTTGCCGAGCAACCAGATTCAAAGCACCTCGACTTCCATACGACATCGTCCTCTTTCTCCTTCGCATTGCACGCTACCCTTCTTCAATCCTTTGCTTCTCTCTACTTTTACGTACCGAAATTGCCGTTCTCAATGGCATCTGCGGCCTTTGCCAAATCTTCTTGCTCTCCAAAGGATCCTGTTCTTCTAGCGGCTTGAGCATGGTCGGACTCGCATGCAGTGGTCTAACTGTATCAAGCTCTTCGACCGGCTTCCTTAGAGGGTCGTCGATCACGGATGAACTGCCCTTGTACAAAAATGAGCAAATAATCATACACGAATCGCCAGAAGGGTGAACAATATACTTGAGCATATCGAGGCCGTCTCTATTCCGCCACAAACATCATTGCACCCAACGTTGAAGCTATGCAATGGAAAGTCGTCTATATATGTTCTAAGGCTAAACCCCTAGTCTTAATCTCGGGCCCTCTAGTAGCTTCAAGCCTCAAGCGAGCCTAAAGGATGATTCCTGGTAGGAAATCAAGGGATGTGTTGCCAGATGACGCCGGAAACCAGTCAAACATAATAGCTCAGTTGAACTCTCCCAGCGGTTGCCTCCCTGGGCGGTCGAGCCTTGGAGGATGACGATTGAGGTCTTCTAGGTCTGGAGCTGAATGGTGGACTCGACCACAAGATGCTGGTGATGTGAGTGTGCGGAGACTCGACCAAGCGCGCCATGTGGAGGTAGAGGCTGACGATAACCAGCTCGCCCTGGCAGATAGTGCATCTTGTTTGTGTTTCGTGACTCAGAGATCGGGAATCGATCGAATTTGAAGGGGATGATCTCCATCCGCTCCTTCTCGAAGAATCTGGTTCATTCTATCTTGCCGGTGAAGAGAACATATCACTTCTCCTCTTATTCATTTTTGGGGCCATTTGAGTTGGATTGCCAATCTTGATCCGAAGTTTTCAAAGCAGTTCTAGGTTGCGAATCTGCCAGCTCGAATTTCCTCCTCAGTTCTCCTTCGCCAAGAATCCGATACCCGAGACCAGTCCACATCGCCTAATCTTCCAAGGGCTCGACAGCCATCACAATCGACATAATCGCTCAAGGTGCAGGAGACGTGGCAAGCAGGACAAATATCATGAACTTGCTTGTGCCAACTGGCATTGCGGAAGGTCCAGCCTGTCTTCTGAATCCAGAAGTTGCTGACCTCGCACCCAGAGACGGTATTCCAATATTCCTCGCAACATGGTCTGTTGGTCAGGCAGTGGTTACATAGACGGAGCTCAACGGGCATCCATGGTTTCAGTTGCGCCATGAGTTCCGGAACATCGAAGACAGCCCGAGGGAGGATTCCGGCGTATTTGGCGGAAGTAGTTGAGAGACGTAATTGAACATCCCGAGCAGCAGTGGCCATGCGCTTGCAGGTCAACGCCAAGGCAACCTGGGAAGGAGCGTGGGCAATGCTGTCAAATATTGCCAATATTATCTCATATGGCATATTCAGTAGTATTGAGTGCTCATCAGGCTCCTCAGAGGCGCCTTGGAGGATCTGCCAAATGTCAGAACCTGGGAAATGAAAATGGAGGCTCGCATTGGCAACCGTCGTACCTCATCCCGAAGCACAAATCGACAGGAAAGCTTCCTTTCGAAATCCTGGCTCTTAGCCAGACATTTGAGAGGCTTTCGAGGCCCAGGACATATTTCAACTTTTTGTCTCAACCCGATTCCAGAGGGGAAACCGGTCCAAAGAGCCATGGGTTTTTGGTCGTTGTTAAAATTGGCGAGAGCTGCTGGAGAAAGTGTGTCACTCAAAGAGGACCGGACAAGGGCGAAGCGTCTATTTAGGGAGACGATTCCATTGCTGGAGACACAGAAGTACGGCGGAGGCAGTGCCAATGAAGGTGGAACCTGATATCCACCAGAGTGGGCCAGAAGAAAGATTAACCAAGCAGCAGGATGTAATGAGAGGGTAAGAGCTGATTATGATACCAGCGCACAGGTCATCGATGGAATTAAATGAACGCTAAAACCAATCAGGTTTAGACTCAAGGCTGAATCGGGACCATCCGCGATTGCCGATTCTTCTCCGAACATCATCACATCCCATCATCTCACTTATCAGGCCACCATCTCCAAAAGTATATACAAAATCTCCTACGCAGGCTCTCAGAGATGGTAAATGCCTCATTTTCTTTCAATCTGGCGACGTTTCATAGTCAAAGACAAGTGGACCTTACACGCGTGGCTGAAATTCAAACAACAAACTTCTCGTTCCGAAATGAAGTCTGCTCCCTCATCATAGTCAAAAGAACTCTTCAGGCTCTCTACGGCTTTCTAGGAAAGCCCATGTCATATGTCTTCCGGCGCTATTTGGCTGCTTTCTTTCCAGTTGGCTGAAAGAAAATCAGAGCCTAAGATGAATCCATATCCCGCGACACTAGCTTCGATCACAGCTGGCACGGACATATCTCCTCGTGGCGCCAAACAAGCGGCATGACATCCGTTCTCCTTGAGCGTTCGGAACATATTGGGTTCTCAGAACTTGATCATATTCTCGAATGATCCGTGGCCCGATTTGTGTAGATATTGACCCGTGAACATCGAGACTTGACTTTGGGTGCAAACACCGGCCTGCGCGTAGCAATTTGTGAATCTCACTCCGATTGTTGCGAAGGAGTCGATATGGGGTGTCTTTGCAAGCTGGTTACCTGGCTTCTCTCGCAAGGCGGTATGGCCGCTATTCAGTCCATCGCCTTGGTGTATATTGCCACTTGCTGCCCTTTTGTGTTCCCAGCAATACAATAGCCGTCTGAAATCAATAACAGTTTCGTCGTCAAACCTCCTCAGCGAGCCGAGCACGAAATATATTGTCGGCAGACAAAGCTAGAGCCCGCTTCACAAGCGGGATTCCCTGTTCCAATGCTGTGCGTTCTCTCTGCATCCTAGCAAGGACAAAGGCCGATGGAAGCAAGAGGTGGCATTCTGGGGATTGCTGAAGCAGAGCTGAACGAAAGAACCTTCTGAACACGGAATTCCCAGATTTCAGGTTCAATGACCCTGACACGACAATCCGCCCGATGATCGGCTGAGGATGCAGAATCAGGCGACCGTCTGGTCGGGTGGTTGGCAGCCCACCAATCCGTTTTGCAAGTGCTGAACCAACCAATTCATCAAATTCATCAAATCTTTCAATACCAAGATCTGAGGTCAGCAACCGAATACCTGCACTGTGCATGAACTCAATGTCATCAACCAAGAAACCATCGCAATTACCAGATGTCGGGCTTCAGAGCAATCGGACCCGATTGCGTTGAGTAAATACCTATAACAACTGTTTTTGAGGTAGGGTTGGGAGCTGAGAGCCATCTCTCCCGGGCTTTGCGAGAAAGAATACCTCATGGCCGCGGAGGAAAAGCCAATACTTCTCATCGCCGAACCCTAGATCATGGAAGGACGATATTGTTCATGAGGGCCGGCATCAAGATGTGACAGGCTGGGGGCTTTTCAGCCGAAGAGCAATTCGCTGAGGGAAATGGATAGGCCGTGTAATCAAGGCGCCTCCACATTGACCGGACGAGTTGGGAGCTGTATGATCTGCATCGGGATCAAGGCGAGGTCCACAATCTCGCTGAACAGGAACCAGAGATATTGAACAACTGGTTGGTGGTGTGGGAAAAGCATTCTGCCGAGACTGGATGTACGTGCCAGAGACATAAGAAATGAATCTATGAGCCATCAGAGAAGCCGGAGAGGCTCTCATCCAGAAAAGGTTCCAGCCGGGCTTGTCAGCCTACAAGGCGCTTTTGGCTTGATGTCAGCATCGTCCCGAAGCGGGGTTCGGACCGAAGTAAGGCATGTCGGTACCTTGGCGGGGAGCCTTAAGTGAAGGCAGCACTATTTCTTAAGCACCTTATAGGGATCAGTGTCTTGCGTCAGCCTCTTCGTGGGCTTCTTTCGAGCTTCGTCAACAACATCTTCATGGACTTTTTCCTTTGTCTTTGCCTGTAGAACTTGGGGAGCTGGGCGATCACTGGACCCACGACATGTCTTTCCTTGTTTCCCTCTTATGCTGCTCCAAAGATTCTCCTGGCAAGCTGGAAGCGGAAACCCGACATGCCCGCTTGGTCGCAGTCTCCCATGGCAATGATCACTACAATGGCTCTCTTCCCCGGCCACAAGAATACCCCGACAATCCTCCAGAATACAAGGACATAGCACGTCACCCTTTGATCTCCATAGACGAGAAATGTCCTATAGATTTTGAACTGGTCGTCGAAGATGAGGATGACGCACCCTTGCCGATCTCACCGAACTCTTCCGTCGTCTCGATCCCCTCCACGCGGCTGACAGATTTGACGTCTATGCAAACAGGCGAAACTGCAGTAACACTGGCAAGAGGTAGTTTGGACCGGGGTTCGACTCATGCGAGTCGTCCGCCATCATATCATTCAAATCCCAGGAGGAGTCCAAGCCCCGTTTCATTCGTCGGGCTGAACAGTGAAAGCGAAAGAGATGGTGTCTGGCAACACCCAGTCATGTCAAACAACTGGCTTGAAGTGCTACGGCAGGATGCTATCAGACGAGCTGCCACACAGGATCGAAATCGAGAGCGGGCTCCAGGGCCATATGGGGCTGCTAGAAGAGTGGGTTCGGGTTGACAAGCAAAATCTCGCTCAATACCCTGTGTCAGCAGCGGCGACCTCCTGTCGTAGAGGAACCGAGTCTCTAAGGCAAGGGCTATCTATACCAGAACGACTTTCATTTCGTTGAATTTCATGGTATCCTCGCTTGAAGAAGACCATCGGTGCTCTCGTCAACGCAGCATTACAACAATCTCTAACCTGAGGAGGACCGGTTGAAAGCCTTGACTGGGCTTCAGACTACACGATCATGACAAACACCATCTACTGGCCAGCAAAAGGAAGTAGGGCTACAAGCTAAAAATTCAATTGCAACAGCAGCCATCTATCATCAGACCTTCGCCAAACGCTCTTTTTCTCGATATTGGATTATAGCACACAACAAGTATGTACTCGATTCACCTTTTTGAAGGTCATCACGGACAGCACAGTATAGTGAGGAGCACCCGGGGTCCTCACATGGTGCATATTATACGCACGAACGCCTCGAACATACCCTCGACACTTCGAGATTTCTCTTTTCATTAAGGCTGAGTTGACACCTCCATCAAGATGCCTCTATCAGATGCTTTCTCTCATTCACGCAGCGTTCGTGACGTCGTCACAAAGTGTACGCTCCAAACTCAGAATACAGTGCGACAGATCAATGGAACAACATCATTTCCTCCACAGAACTCTTTCGATCTTTGCTTCAGATGGTTATTTTCTATTTGCTCCTATGGTGAGGAGGTCTGAACAGATCTCAGACCATGCGCCTCATCGTCTCAGTTATCCAATTGTGTGTCAAAATAGTCGAAGGTTCGGTGAGCGAGGGTCGTAGGGGTTATATATATGACAGCAGCGACACGAACCGGGGTTTAGTTGGAACATGCGCTCCTTCAATTTCGCACCCCCCGAGTTGTCATGACCATCCCTTGGGGAACGCAACAGCAAAAGGCGCCGCACAATAATGACAAGGCACGGCTTCAGCCGGCCGATGGAGTTAGATCAATTTCCAAAATAGAAGTGTAAGAACTGAGGCATAATGTCAAACTCCGAAGCACACGAGGCGGCCCTCCCCTGGAAATTGTCAAAATAAGGGGCGAAGCACTGCCGCGCGAGCTGTCTACCAACACGGGGATCGATGTTATGATTTGATGCACGATCTAAATGAAGTCTGGCGTCGAATTCCGCCACAAATACACGGTCTGGGACGGCATATTGGCGAACAATTATTCAAAAAGGAAAGCCGGCGTCGCGACGGACTCGGTTCCAAGAACTGGGAAATTCGCGGGGTTGAAGCGGATCGGCGGGTTTGGATGCCACATTTGTTAATTAAGGAATGGGAGCTGATGTCTGGCCTGGCCTTAGTGTCCGCTGGAAAACTTGGGGATGGAATTTTTCCAAGTTCCAGCATGGAGACGTGGCATCTCACATCTTCACACCGAAAAATATGGCCACGGAATCAATTTCTGCCTACAGAGTCCATTATAATCGGCCATTTCTGCCTTGATTAGGCATGTCAGAACCTGTTTTCGGCTCGGGATATACCAGCCAATAATGTCCTCCAACTCGGCAGCTTCCGCCAGCTCACCATCCTCGGCTGGGGAAGGGATTACAGGAGGCTATGAAGGAAAGAGCCTTGCCTTGAAGGTTATGATCGCTTTTTTTCTCGGCCTTGCCATGTACAACGTCGTCGAACTTCAGATTCTGATTTTTGGTACCTTCAATAAGTTTCGAGGCCTATACTTCTGGAGCTTGGTAATTTCCAGCTTGGGGATTATTCCCTACGCGATTGGATTTATCCTCAAATATTTCTCTGTCCTGACAGGAGGTGGAAAATGGTTCTCGGTCTTCCTTCTCTCCATCGGATGGTACCCTATGGTCACAGGCCAAGCAATTGTTCTCTGGTCCCGTTTGCACCTCATCGTCACGGGAGAGAAGGGGGACCGAATCCTCAAATGGACGAAATGGATGATCATTATTGATGCCATTGTCTTGCACATTCCTACGACCGTGCTCACTGTGGGATCCAATAGTGATATCAATACCGACACCTTTGTGCGCGGGTACAACGTGATGGAAAAGGTACAGATGTGTGGCTTCTTTTTGCAAGAAGTCATCTTGTCTTCCATTTACATTGTTGAGACGGTTCGAATACTTCGTTCCTCGGCTCAGGAGAACACCAAACGCCTAATGTATCAACTCATGGCCATCAATGTTCTGATCATCATCATGGATCTTGGACTCTTGGGATTGGAGTGCGCGTCGCTTTACATCCTGGAAACAACCACGAAGCCGGTCTTTTATTCAATCAAACTCAAACTGGAGTTTGCTATCCTGGGCAAATTGGTCCAATTTGTCGGTGGTCGCCAACAAAGTGGTCGTCAGCAATCAATCCCTTTTTCGGATGGAGAGAAACAAAACTCGTCAGGTCTCGACCGCGCCGACCAATACGACATCTCAGATTTTGTCGACTTGACGAAAGTCAGGACAGATGTCACTCGGACTTCCCAACTGTACAGCAAGAGTATTTCAAAAAGGGCCGACGGTCAGGATCTCAGCCTCGACTATGAAATTGCTCGACTGGAGCACGTGGAAACCCTTCCCTCCCAGGCCAGGGTGCCCAATGGAGATACTGCTCCACCCAGGCAACGGAAACTTGATTCATTGCAGTGGAATTTTGAAGATATCTGAGAAGTCATAATCGAGTCACCTCAGTGGGGTGCAAGCACCCCATTCCGTGAGCCCTAGGCTCACGAGAGACGAAGAAGTATTTTGGGTCCAATTGCCCTGTCGGTCATACAGTCGTTGAGCATTCCAACAAAAGCGATTAGAACATGAACCTCTTCGACAAGAGACTACTCATAGTCCTGGATTCTCTACGCGAACTTTTCAAATAGCCAAGACATGACGATGGCAGCAGCGAACCAACATCTTCCAAACAAAACTCTACCTGGACTAACATCTCTTCATTGATAGAGGAATTGAAGTGAGACCTATGACAGGGCTGACTAGATCTCCCGAACATCTTGATGCGATAAAGAATTCCAGCGAGCCAGTTTGAAAGCATCTAGTTCAGATTGGAACAGATGTCAATTCGATGAGATGCAAGAGAAACGGTCAAGAGAAAAAGGACGAGCTTCCGATACCAGGAATTCAATACGAAGCTCTCATCCTTTGGTGCAGTGAGAATGCGATACGATAACCTGATCTGACTCATGCACGACCCCGGAGTCATAGAAACGAATGAAAGGCTCGGAAGGCTTTCCGAAGTGATGGTTGACTTGACGAAAGATTGGATCTTGACCATTCGGTATGCTTCCTTGGATCAACCAGTTTGTTGATCCTGGCTGCAACATGCTGATGAAGCGTTCTCCGAGTCGATGACTGGCTCCCTTCGGTTTCAATCTGACTATAAAACCCAACTGGGAAGGCGATTGCCAGTGGAAGAGTGTGTGGCTCTTTCCTTAAATCCTTTCAAGATTTCTCGAATCATGGACTTCCACTCAATTGCAACCTCGCACACATTCTCGCTCTTGGGCGAGAATGGGCACGTTGGACTTGCCACATTGTCAGAATTTACTCGTCCTTCGCCCCATGATGAAATCCTTCATGGAATCAGCAACGCTTGTCCTTCTGCTGGCCCAGGTATTTGACGGAAGACTAGCAGCTGGGCTCTCTCTTCGTTGATTGATGCTCGTAATACTTTGTCGGCGCATATTCTCGTTGTTCATGCGGGCTTCCTCGATCTCAGCATCGGTGGGCTGATACGTATTGGACCCCACACCTATCTCACGCCAAAGGAAGCCGTCAGCCTATGACCAAAAGATAATAGCGGGTGAGCGGCCAGCGGTGTCTGAATTCTCACATACCTCTTCCAGTATGGGCGCTTCCTTCGACAAGAACAATTCCGGGGGCTTGAATGTCACACATTAAGCAAGCCATATCTTCGGCTTCAGGTCGTTCTCCAAGTTTATTTGTGGATGAGATGTTTCCTACACCTCCAATCCCGGTTCTGAATCTTCTTCCGCGCACTTCACGTCCGACTACTTGGGGTTCGAAGCTGTAGCTGGTTCTTCGAGAATCCTGACGCGAGGACTTGGCCACGTTGCCTAGTTTACCAGTAAGGTGACCCAATCTCAAATGAAGTGATGTCGTGAGTCGCACCTGCACCGCCTCGTCCAAAATGGATCTGTACTCTGTCATTGCCGACTACCATCGTTGCTGCAAAATATCTGGATGAATGGCGACTGAAATCGATCGACCCAAGTCTGTGATGTGCCCAGAATGAAGATGAAGAAAGGATAGAACCAGATGCCCCAATAATCTAGAGAATCGGGGTTTGGGCGCGACTTTCACCAATTCTAGATACTCGAAAGTTTGGATCTACTGGAATGTAGGTTTAGGGAAAATAGCTAATTATACATAGTCGGAACAATGTTCAAATGCAAATAAGACACCTGAGCCATAGACAGGGAACGGCTGATCATCAGGATTGCGTCCCAGAAGGCATCCCTTTTGGCTGACTACATACCAGGACTGAAACGGCACAGACATTGGAGCGACAAAATCTGGTGACTGGCTCAGACGAGGCAGAGATAAGAGAATCCCAGCGACCCAAGTATTTGGGGCCAATGAGGACCTAGATATCTGGGCACCATGGTGCACGGGTTCACCAAGAGCGGGGATCTTGGACGTTCTTTACCACATCCTAGCAGAGTTCACGGACTGTGAAATGGGATGGAATTCTGACCTCGCAGGGCACCCTGGGAAATGGTGTTGTATTGGGGCATTTGAAGATCTGGGAAAGCAAGAGCAATAAGCTTTCTAAGCCGAGGAAGCCTGATTTCTTCGAATTTGCTGGGCGTATATTCATCTCGCGGGCTTCTCTTGTCGTTGCTGAATATGCTGAGTAGGAAAGAAAGACTACGTCCAAGATGCGACCACCGAATTCGTATTCAATGCGCGATTTTCCAAACTTCTCTGGTAGCTTTGTGGATCACCAGACAAGATTGCATACATAGTTGAGACACCCCGGATTCTCCCCCAGACATGTCGCCTCTGACCAGCTGGTGATTGGTCCTGCCCCGCATGAAAGATAAACTCACAGGCCAAGGCTCAACAAGACTCTACAAGATCATCCAAGCTTTTGATAAGGGCCAAATTGCTTCTCTCCGCGCCAACTGGGAGGTGTTCGCAGTGCTGCCGAGGGGCTCCTGAAAGACTGTGAGGTACCCAATGATGGCAGAGGAGTGCTTCCTGAGGCCCCGTATGAAGTCGAGGCTTTGCAACAGAAGGCGTTCTGGACTTTGGAGCTCTGCGAGGGTGGATTCACGGTCCGAATCCTTCGTTGCGGAGTCCTCTTCTTGCTTCAATGATATATAAGATACCGCATCGGGACGAGGACTCGAATCTCTGATGGAAATTCGCTTTACATTTTGGTATTTGAAACAATCCGACCAGACCATCTCCTGCGAGTGGGTCCACTTCTACGGACAAGCTGAACAGACGCAGGTACTTGTCGTTGCGTCGTTCATGGGTGACGGTTCAGATGGAAAATGTTCGGTTCCATGCTCGTGTTCGATAAAAACAGAAAGCGGCGTGGCGAATCATGCACGAGTGATTGTTTTTCTCCCGGAAACCGGTGACATTTTAAGAATGTCACCCCACGATTTGAGGCATTCAAAATGATCGAGGAGTATGAAGAATGGTTCAGCTTGCTGGCCTCACCTTGGAAACGGCCTTGGGAGCAGTTTACTGCAAGGACTCCATCTTGACGTAGGCGGTCATCCCCTGCAATTCTTGGTTGCTTCCGTCCTACCTAATATTCCCGGCCTCGATATCCCTGTGCCCAGTTCTGGATCAACAGTTGGTCACCTTGTAGTCCACTTGCCGTCGTCATTGACGCCCTGTAGCTCCTTCTTTCGATATCAGCATCAGTTTCAGCTCGAACATCTCTCGTCAAATCGCATTCACATAGGCATGAAGATTCGGCCCCTCCAAACCCCCCACCGACGGGTGACTCGGTGCAAAGCCATCGCTTCCATATAATTCAGCGAGCCCGCCGTCAATCCCAACTCTGAGCGCGAGCTTCGTCAGTTTCAACGAACCCTCCTAGATAAAAGAAGGTATGATTCAGGTATTCGCCCATCGAATATCAAATGCAGTAATAGGTCGGGGGAGAAAAAAGAAAACCCATCTGTTTCCCCTCCTCTCCACTTGTTCTGCCTCGGCCCCCAATCAGTGGCCTGATCACAAGGCTCGCCCTAGCATTTCGCCCTGTCTTTGGCGTCTTGGAAAATGCCGGAGACCAGAAACGTCGGGAATTGCAGATGGGGGATAGGGCAAGGGACATGCAAAGTCCATTTCCCAAATTAAGAAACGCGAACCATGGAGAACGGAATCATTTCCACTTACATGACAGGCCTAGGCCTATACTTAGTTAGCTGGCCCATGCTCTCTCTTCAACAAGGAGAGAAACCGACGATCGTCCGTTACGGGCATGTGTGTGTTTAAATGCGTTGCCGTTTAATTGCCTAGGAAGGTAGTCAGGCTGTCCATTAGCTGAATTCAGCAGTAAGACCTCGATTCATGAGTCACCACATCATGAATCATGACAACCCGTATATTGGCTTTGCTTTGGAATAGGGATATGATCAGGTCGATCCAAAAATGCTAAACTTTAGGGGGGGGCCAACAAGTCTGAGGCTAGTTAGGGCCAAGGAAAGTCTGGGAGAAACTCCCCTGGGTCCGACGGTGTGGACCAACGAGTTGTCATCGCGCCTTTGAGCCGCCTGCAGTAAAACTGGAGAATGGATATTGCATTAAGGTTGTGGGCCGCCTTTTTCCATCCCCTGAATGATGGAAGACGGAAGATCACACCGTTGATCGACGACGCCATCACAGTCGGCTGTTTCCTATCGGCCCTTTCAGACTCGTGGCTATGCAGGATCCCTTTGCAAGTCTCTTTGACATTGAGTTCTTCTGGCTCGCTGTCGTGACGTTCCGCTATTCCACAAACCCTGCAGATGTCAAAGGTACTGTGCTAGGTCTACGGGGATGAGCTACCATTCATGAGCCATTCGAAGCGTGCTCTCGAACCGAGAACTTCCTATTCTATCTCTCTCTCTCTTTTTTTCCCCCAACAGCAAAGACCCAATTCCGTTCGGTCCGACTCCGTTGCTTCTATTCGAACTTTTCACCACGGCCCCCGGATCAGTTATGGATTGTGAATATCAAGACTTCTCTGCTGGGGCCAGGGGCCAATGTTTTCATTCGTCTGGTTTGCTGCGGAATGTGGAATACTTTCGTCCCGAGTATTCGCCACATTCAAGGACATGAGCCAGGGGAGCCCCAGACAACGCTCGAAGATTGTTATTGGAAACCAATCTGCTTGTCATAGCAGACCATCAGACCACCTCTCGGAATTGAAATGCAGACGCAGCCACAGATGTTCTTTTCGGCACAGGAACCCGCCAACTAATTGTTGCGACTGCCGGATCGCAGGAGCACCAATGTAAGGCCATGAGTGCAGTTCAAGAGAGAAGAAAACCTTTCCACCATTTCAAGCCAGCGAGACCTGAAATGGTCGAAAACAAAACTGAAAAAAAAAAAAACGGAAGAAAATCGCAGGGGAAGGGAAGAGAGCGAAGAGACCCGGAAGTCATTTCAATCATTGAAATAGTCCAGGAGACCATCAGCTGATGGATTTGACGTAGGGATAGGCAATACTTCTCAATCATCAACCATCATTTCTTACCCACTTGGTCCAGTGGACCGAAGAGTTTTCGCCCATCAAATATTCAGTCAATCTACCAAGGGACGTGCCTAATGATGTAAACGTGTACAGCCATGCATCTCAAGCGTGGCTGCAGCATATACATGCATTTCCGCAATTCCCCTTTGTACCGGTCCGGGTCTTTAGGCGAGGGGCTCCCTTCAACGGTTGCATATTAGCCCCGGCCTTACCGGCATTTGGGCAAGTAGCGAGCCCATAGCGAGCCCCATAAGCAGTAAAGCAAGAGGAAACCCCCACGCCAGCCCCAGTGGCCACGCTGCATGCCGGTCCATCACTGACCGAAAGGAGTGTCATGGTCTTGCTTGTAAATGACTCGTGCTGTAGTAGTAGGACATGATGCGAGATGCTTTATCAAATTTTCTAGGGGCACCTCGTGTGGATCTGACAATCAGTCCACTAGGACGAAGCTGGGGCCCTGGTACATCCTGTATGATCAAGCTTGACTATACTATCCGTCTCTATCCACCATTGGGTGGATAAGTCGATACTGTCACTGATCAAGCAAGATGCATGCGCGGGCCTGGCTAACGCCGTTCGTTGCCAATCATTCAAGCCCAACTAACTTACTCTCTCCCGAAATCTGTTTCATGTTGATCAGAAAGCATCCTTTCCCTCGACAGACAAACAACTAAGAATGCGCTTTTTCCCTCCCACGACCGAAAGACCGGTCTCCTCTCTATGCCCTTCCTTTCCTCGGACGTTCGCCTGAAACCAGCAAGCACCGAGATAAATAGTCTCTAGATGAACGTCACCTTGGGCCACTGCGAGTTCCATTTCCTTTGTTTCCCCAGTGTGAAAACGTCACCGGTGGATAGTATTTTCACCGTGTTGTCCTGCCATGAAAAAGAGAAATTGGGAAAGTTGTTCTTCTCTCTTTTTCCTTTTCCAAACCTCGCTCAGATTTGCAATACTAGTTTCTTGAAAACATTAAAGCCGAAGGTAAAATGCCTCCGGGCGTAAGGACACACGTTTCCCGACACGCCGGTGGCCGTCGGTCGACGCCCGTACTACCTCCTCCATGCCCGTCATCCAGTCGGACGGCCCTTGACCCTTGGACCTTGGTACCCCTTTTGCAGAGAAACACTTTGCGGCCGACGCGAAACGAGACTGGCTGGCCCAGTCGTCGGTGTACAAAATCCTTTCAGCTGCCTCAGCACACCTCATATACAAATTCCACGGTGTTCGGCCTGACGGCCAGACCAGGACTTCCCAATAGGGCCTTAAGGCTTACATGATGGTAACACTCTAGCCTCGTGGGTGGTCTCAGTAGGTCGTGGGCCATTGGACCATTGCAGATCCCACTAACCTAACTAGATATGTACGGAAAAGGCCGATCGCGAAAGATAGAACAGAATGGCCGCGGTCACGGCCATGGCCCTGGGCTAAGAAGGTAGGGAGTTTTTTAGCACAAGATATCTCAGATTGATAATCCTAATCCCGGGGATGAGAACGCGAATGAGAATGACGGAAAAATACCCGGCCTCACTCCGTTCTAGGGAAGACGGAAGATATATCCCCCCGGGTTCGCGGCCTCAAATGTGACATATCATACTGTTTCATCAACAATGTCGGAACAATTTCTCACCGTATCATTCGTGGCCAAGGCAAGGCTCCGCGGTGACGGGGCGCTGATGCACGATGAAAAATCATCAGGTCAACGTTCCCCGAATCGCATGTACTAACGGACTGCGTTGGCTCACCTCCGCTTTCCTAGTTCCCCGTCCCGTAAGCACGCGGAGACCTGTTCCCTTCTTCGTCTTCGTCCTTCATTGCTGAACAGTGCGGCCGTACAGAGGAAGACCGATGAATGTTTCCAGCTACCGTGCAAGGAACATGAAACCCGTCATCGCCGACAGATGAATAATCAATTCGTATGTCCGATATTTTCTAGATGATATTCTTCGGGGTTGTCAGTTCGCCGAAGGATGTCAATCAATACCTTGAGTTGAGGTCAGTTCACGGGATAAGGTGAATCAATGACTTTGAAGGGATTCCGGGTGGAGAATGCAGATATGACGCGTTCGGGAGGGGGGTGAATCATTCCATTTCCTTCTCGCCTCTGGACAGGGCCCCCGGTATGTACACTCTCGACGAAGTATCGTAATATCCAACCCGTCCTACCCTATCCCACATCCTTTTCCTTCCTTTCCTATTCAGGTTTCCAATTTTTGATTCCCGTGTACTCCCTTGTCTTGCTACTTACGTTGATCCGAACCATCGTGCTCCATTCCATTTTTCTTCCTGAGGAGAAAAGTTCCAGATCTCATGAGAATGAATGACTTGAGTTGAACGTCCACACAGACATGACGAGAGAGTTTAAAAAAAAAAAAAAAGACACCATCCAGCGCCTTCGCTTATCACTTTCCCTCAGAAATCGATAACCGCTCAAGCTCGTTTGCCCCAACACCAATGGGTGGGTCAGTTTCTTCCAAGACTCCTGCAGAACAGATTGAAAGCATAATCAGTAACCAGATACAAATGCCCAGGTCCCTGAAAGTACCAGGAGAATGGCCAACCCAGAACAGACTTGTAGTGTATTAAGAGTACGGCTTTAGTAGTACTGTTAGTCCTGGTGAAGTTGAACAGGAGAGTATTCCACTTTATGTGAAAGGTAACGGAACCTTTGTAGTTGATGGGGGGATTCCGGACGAAGGAAGGTGAGGTGTGCAAGAGTTTGCAAGGAGGAGTGGTCTCTCAGGTGGTTCTAGACGAACATATAGAATCGTCGACGATGCATGATGAAAGGGCCGTGTCAGAAAGTGTTTCCCGTGGTCGAGCCCCAAACGTAGGTGGGCAGATATCGTCGAGGTGCAAGTGATGGGATTCACCATCGATCCATCTTCGACCCGGTCGACGATGTTGGGAACCATTCAACTGGAGGTGAGCCTCTTTCTCGACCATTCGGTATCCGGAGTATTCTGCATCCATTGTGTCCTCACTAGAGAGCGTGATCGTCGCATGCGGACCCCCCGTCGAGTACGACTGAATTGCTCGCCAGCGGGGTGATTGGCTCGAGCGTAGACGAGGTTGGTGTTGTCCAGAGAAAGATCTTCTTCATACCCTGGATCTTCTGGAGAAAGAGGCAGGATCGCGCAGGGGGACCACTTTCGTTTACCGAGGGACGGTCGAGGTGGTTCGGGATTCATCATTTCTTGCAGCGCCATAGTAGACCTGGAAGAGTTTTCTGATTCCACGCTGGGTAAAGGAGAATCTGGATGCCGGTCCGGACTAGACACGTCCGACACGTCCAATGGCGGCAATGGATCAGGGAGCGGAGAAGAGATGCGGATGTCGGGGAGATATTCCGCGTAGGGCGAGCTGGGCTGGCAGGACTCGTCTAATTTGTACCGCGCAAAGTAGCGGGATATCTGCCGGAGAGTGTCTTTGATGCGGTGAGTATGTTGGGCTTCGAATCCCACGCTTTGAGTCCCAAGTTGAGAGACAGCAAATTGCCTTTCGTGTGATACCTCCAACATGGGTGCATCGTACATCCGTTTGAACTGACTCGGACCATCATCTTTGACGAAGTGACGCACATTGTACTCGTTGACTTCAATTCGCCAGTCGGGTTCCAGTTCGCTAGAATCAATCTCAGTACTATGGCAGATGGAAGGCAGATGTCACATACCCCGATCGGAAGCGATTCCATGTGATCATGTTTCCGTACACATGAAGTCAAAGTCACGGATGAGATGCCGGGCCCCTTTCATTGACGATAGGGGATTTTGAAAGAAGAGCCCAACAACTTTTTGGCATCAAGCGGACAATTTGTAAGCCGAGAAACCACTTCAATATGTTGAAAATACTAGGCGGGACCAGGGGCCAAGCAGCCCTTTGCAGCACGGTGATGTGCCTGTCAGCCCTATCGAGACTTGGTACGGACCCGCGTTTTAGTCGACGGGATGACGGTTTGGGGCGGCGTTCGGGGAGGGCCTGACATGGGATTCTTGCGTGTTGCAGAGCTCGCACAATGATCGAGGCGCCTTTGCGCAGCAATTGGGTAGTCTTGGGAGTTAGGCCTGGCGAAAGCCGTGTAGAAGGAAGCTTGAGTAGTGGGAAAGCCGGAAGAGTCAAACGGAAGAGAACCCGATGCTGATTTTGTGGACACTAGTTTCGCCGATTGAATGCCAGCGCCGGAGATTGTCGGTTGATAAGAAGGCTAATTAATGGAGTACGCATGAAGGGACAGGAAAGGGAGAGTGAGAAAGGTGTTGGATTTTTGGCATAGGGACAGCGAAGGTATTAGTAAAAGTTGTTCGTGTTGGGAGGAGCCAGTACAATGGACGGGACCGTGGAGCCACAAAATAAGTCGGAAAATAAAAAAAGATTGGATCAAAACAGAAGCGAGCGGTAAACGTGCTGAAGCTGAAAGGGTACTGGGGCAAGGAATAGCAAGGAAGGCCAGGCAGATAGCCAAGTTGGGGACAAATGCTGGTCTATCTTTGGCGGCGGCGCGTGAGCTGGGGATGGATGGAACAAGCGACAGGCACGGGCCAAAGACGAAAGAGTCGGGAACACTAAGGTGAGTTTGACAGCGGCATATTAATTAGGAAGGGTTTTTTTTTTTTTTTTTTCTTCTGTCGATTCAAAACGGCCGGGTGCAGAGAAAGAGAGGGACAGTGGTTAGTGGGATCAGGCACAAGGGAAAGAAAGAGGACGGGGAAAAGCCCAGGGGTGTGTGGCAGGGGGGTGCGGTTTTGGTGTGGTCGTGGAAGTGGAGAGACAGCGAGCCGGGTGGAAGTGAAGGACAGGGATTTGAGAGTAGGGGAACCAGGGAGCAAGGAGAGAAAGGGGGGGTGGTATGGGCGATACTAGAGCAAAATCGACAGGTTCCTAACCCTGGAGCTCCGGGAGAATGCGGTACTATCCCACCACGTAAGGCTGGTGCGGCAGATTGCTAGCCTATACCAGTACTACTGTCTAGTTGGTTAAAGTTGGCTGCAAGATGAGCGCCCGCGGAATGGCCTCCCAGTTCAACGTGCATGTACGAGGCTGCCAGGTTCAGGGAACAATTGTTTCCGGAGATCCAAACTGCTGGAGATTCGGTCCTGTGTGGAGGATTGAGTTCTGGCTACGATATTCATGACACTCACCATGTTACTGTACTTTAGTCTGTGGATGCGCCAAACTAACAAGGTAACATGGTCGATCAGAGTCAAAGGAGGCTATATTCTTGCGAGGTCTGACGTCCGGTGAGCCTGACGAGATGCCAATGAGCGGGATCGGCAGAAGAAGGGGGGGGGGGGGGGGAAGGACGGACATCTGACATCCAAGAAGGGTCCAGGATACGGGTTCAGAGACGATGGCGTTCTGGGGGAAAATCTACTATCTGCGGTTGATTTCCACGAGCATGTTCCAATTCCCGACCAAATCGGTCACGACTCTAGACAATAAATTCCTCAGAATTTCTCATCAAATTAGGATTGATAGAGGGACTGAAGAATGAAGATAAGTTTGAAGAAGCAAGATAAACTGACTTTTCCCATTCCACAACGGGAAGAGGCACGAGCCTTTGATCTACAATAGTTAAAGCCTGGGGCGACGTCTTGACCAACCCCCCCCCTTTCCTCTACCAACACCAAGAAATCCAGTGATGTCCAGGTGCTCGTGGTTGGAACGGGGAACAAGGGATGTGGGCTACCCTAGTTAACCTGCCAAGCCAACAGAGCCAACAGCGCACCATTCATAGAGGAGAAGGGGAACTCTGGGGCCTATTGGCCTGCAGGAAAGCTTACCGAGTAAAAGAAGAAACATGTCTTGCATTTCCAAGCGCCCTGGGACACAACAGAACATGTTTCTATCCTGCTGCCCGCTGGCTTTGTTGCTACCGTGGATCCCCAGGGCATTGATCACGAGGAACACGAACAGGATCAGAACCAAGCACAAAGATGTTCCCTCCTTCCGCTTCTGTCTGCTGTTCCGGCGCGGAAGCGGAAGACCAAGGGCGCAGGAGGCAAGATGCAAAAAAAGAAATTACCCCAGGCTCAAAGCCCAGCCTCATCAGTTGTTCACCCTGGTCGTTCTGGCCATGCCCCCCGCATGTCGATGCCAGTCGATTGCCAATGTTTGGTTGCAGGTCACGCTGCAGAATGCGCCTCCTGGTGACTGACCCCCTCATTGTAATTGCACTACATTGGAGACCAACGACATGGTAAGCGCAAGGAGAGATTCACCAGTCCATCCCGCTCTTTCACACCAGAAGGACCAATGAAAACATGGCATCACGCATTCAGAAATGAGTGTGGAATCATGAACTTGTAGACAGAGGCATGGCTCACATGCTAAGTCAGGCTCTCTCGGCTGATCGGATGTGGATGGGGTTGGATTGAGGTAATCTGGCCTTACGAGGCACGGAGATGCCGTCAAATCTGAGCTCTCAGCAATCATTACGTGAGCCGCGCATACACCATGCCAATCCAGACCGTTGATCGTAATTCATCAGAAGCTATGAAAATGCAGTGCCGGGGACGATGCAAACAGGCACGTACAGGTCCCCCTCTTCCAGTCTACCGGGTCCCTGGACAGAACTCCATCCTCGCAAGTCCTGACATATCTCTCTAGTCAAATCGGAGTGACGGACTAAGAAGCCCTAATAGCATCTAGTCCAATGGGCCCTCACTGTGTGTCTCGTATCCAGGGGTGCGCCATCCGCCCGGCGGACTGTTGCATCCCAGAACGCCTCGGCATGACCAAAGATGAACCACATTGGTGGAAATCATATACCGGTGGCTTTTGGCGACCTTGACATTTTGGGAACACAGAAACCTTGACCGCCCCAGCCGCTCCATTTTGCCTCGAGGAATAGGCAACTCCTGGAGTCACGGTGACAGGGGCCGGGGACGGGGCTCCCATAATTAGGGTCAAGGGACATTCAAACCTCGCCAAACAAAACATGGGAGGCTTGTACCAGTATCTTAAACATGACAAGAAACGGTATATCTAGGAAAATATAGGACCTCCCGTCAGGATGTGGAGCCCATGGGTCGGTCACGGAGGGAGATCCTCCGTCTTTGTGAAGTGTCTTTTTTCTTCAGAGTTTCGGCATATGAGTTAAGCTGTAGTAGACAGGAGGTAGGAGACTTTGCGTCAACCGGGTGCTTAACAGCATCCGAAGGATTGACGGATGTGACAACATGGATGACCCTGATACTGAACCTGATACCATGGGCCGCTCGATTCAACTTTTCTCTCCCCATCTCCACGCCAGCTTCAGGTTTGACCATCTCGCCTGTCAATGAATGACCATGGATCACAAGCGAATCTCGGCTCTTGCAGTAGTCATGCGACTTCCCAACAAGTGGTGGTCATTACCCGGGCATCTTTTGCCGCATCCCCCATAAGCCTCGCCGCAACGCACGGAGTATTTTGTAAGCTGTTAGAGACTTGTGTGGGCGTTTTTGTCGTCGACGCTTTTGGCCGCCATATATGCTCGTCGTCTGCCTGTCTTGTTTGCTATTTTCCAACCCGACAGGATGATGTTTCCATTGGTGATCGTACTCGACAGAGACAATACCGGGCCGTAGTAAATGGAATTGCATTCAAAGTAGAAGCGAGAGATTCTGAGCGATAGAGTGGTGGGAGTTTGGGCTAGGGGGAACTTTGCCAAATGCTTTTGCGAAGTTCGCGAAACTCCGCCAACTTCGGGCCTCACATCCGAAAAGGGTTATTCCAGACTTCAACTCTCACAGTTGCTGTTGTCAGCCTACGCCATTAGCCATCATCACACGCCCGAATCCAATTTCTCCGGCTCCTCCTCAAGTTGCTGAGCTTCACTGAAAGGCCCCTCCTGGCAGTCGAATTCCCCTCCGATTCCTTTGATAAAGATTCATTCCGAGTGGATCGGTGCCTATTCACACACCGCAACAAATGCCGGTGCCGGAGGCCAGCGTCGTTTTTGGTTTCAACGGACCCCTGCTCCTCGACCAAATCTGTTCTTCCGCCAGACTTACGCCGTAAAGAGCGACGGGGACATCCATACTCCTGTAGGGTTTAAGTGGGCCCAGGAAAAATCTACTCCATATTCCGTCCCTTGGTCATCCCGGACCACAAGGCTAGGTTGTGTCGCTGTACTGTGACAACATCCCGAATCCACTCGAGAAATTTCCTGATACTCCACTCATTCATGGCTCAAGATGCAGCTTTGCAAGCCCTCCAGCAAACGGTGTGGCAAGCTCGTCTACCTTTGGAAATCAGACTAGCGACATCAGAGTGTCGAACCTTTGACGGAGCAGATCCTTACTTGGTGAGCTTTTTTTTTTTTTTTTTTTGCGTCGGGCGTCGAAGGATTTTTGTTTCAAGTCTCGGGGATGCTAGGATGATGGAAGGCAGAACTGACTGACCATGAGTTCATCCAGATTGCGTATCCGCGCCTTTCGTACCTTCCTCTTCTGCTTCCCAGACTACATGCTTTCTTTTCGCCCTCACTTATTGCCAATCCTGAGACCATTTCGCCGTATGCGGGCTATTTCACTTACGACAATGTTCCCTTGAAATGGCATCTACCGCTGGGGCTCCTCTACGACATCTACGTCTTGTCAACTCAAGATGCCGCTTCGGATCATCTGTCGTCGGCTCCGTTGCCGTTCAGGCTAACCCTGCACTTCACACCGGATCCAGAAACGCCCACATTGCCAGACGCCACTCCGGTCGTCTTGCATGACTCGTTCATGAATTCGGTCAAGGAGGCTGATTTTTTGAGGTCTGGCACCGCGAATCCTATCCGGACTTTGTCGGCTCAAGAAACACAGGCATTGTGGACCTCTACACAAGACAATGATTTGATCACCTTTTCCAAAATCCATGGAAGTCTGGTCCCATCTCCTAACCAGATGAGAAACATTCCGCTACGAGTCTACTTGCCGTCGACACCAGAAAAAGATCCGGGTAAGGCTCAAATTAAAGCTTTGCAATCGCGTATTCCCCCTACAGTCGCGGCCGCCACCCAGAACTCTCCGGCAGCGTTGCGAGGGGGGGGAAGTGTAGGGCAGCCTCAGACATTGGGCACGGCGTTGCATCAATTAATACCGAGCTTGTTCCCGTCTCGAAGAACTCCCATTCTGGCGACACCTCTCTTGCACGGGGTTCCTGTTCCAATGAGTGCTCAACTGGAGGAATTAGTTCGGTGGGGATGCTATGCGGATGGATGGTTATCTGTGGTCATTGCCATGCGTGGATAGAATGGAGAGGGGCTCGAAAAGAAGAAGGAAGGATTTCTCTGATCACTGCATTCAGACATGCGAATCAACGAGGAACAATACCGAGGTTGTCTCTTTCAGAACCCAAAAGTGGCCTTTGGTTCATGTGAATCCCGCCTCGCGTCACGTCATACGGTGTGGCTGAAATGCTGACTTCTCAGCCACATACGGAGTTCTCCATTGGTCGCCAGCCCTTGGATAGCCACTTTAGCCACCCACCTGACTTCCAGTTGACAAACGACCTCAGCGCTTCAACAGACCGGATGAATAAAATGCTTGACAACGATTCGGAATCGAAAGTTGCAACCCCCCGTGGCTTCAAACCTCCTCCCCCCAAGCACTTCGACACCTTTAGCCCATTGCCTGCTTGACGTTTCCTGCAGACGTTGCCTGCGTCACTGATCACTCAAAATGCCGCCCTTCCCAGGAGAGGAAACATTGGCTACCGTGTGAGCGCAGTTTGGACTTCCATCTTCTTTGATCCTCTGCTGACCAGTGAATCTCTCTTTCCTATAGGTATGCCGACCTTCACACCTACTTCGCCGCTCCCAGCCCTCGACCTTTCCTCCATCGCTTCGACAAGGCTTCCTATTTCTACGTGTACTACAATTCCACAAGACACACCAGTCGCATTGAGGTCGCACTCCATCCTGGTACACCTGATCAAGCCGCCTTCAATGGATTTCTCGATAATGTCAAAATTGTCCATTCTCACAGATTCCCGACTCGTCTGACCCTGGTTGTCGATGGAACCAGCCCACCAAATGCTTCCCCCTCTTCTGCCCGACCAGGGAGAGATCCAGATGAATGGCGACTGGCCAGTGCAGACCCAAGAGATACGGGCACAACAAAGTATCGAATCCACACAATCGACTTTTATTTCTGGGTTCAAGATGATTCAAAATTGATTGTCGACATCTTGAAGAAGTTGTTACCCCAGCACCAGCTAGACATGGATGAGATACAAGAGGGGCCGGATCATCATGACATGGTCAGCCCGGTGGTTCAAAATCTCGAAAACGTCGCCATATCCGACCCGGCATATCAAAAGGACAAATCTCATGGTCCTGCTCCAGCTGCTCAGTCCGCGCCCACTGGATTATCACCGCCTCCACCGCCTCCACCACCCCCACCAACAACGACCCAAACCCAGACCCAAGCGACATCTCCTTCACCCCCTTCGGTGACCGCAAATGTTGATGGGACTTCGTCTGGCAAAACATCCACACCAGCAACCAATTATACTCCTCTAGCATACAATCCAGCCGCACCTGCCGCCCCGGAACCAATCGCCCATCGTGAAGATACTCCTCCTCCACCGGATGCAGCTGATGGTACAGGTCTCGCAGCGGCGGCCATGCATGATAATCCATATGCTCATCCAGCGCATCAACAATCGTATGGTGGTGCGCCGGGACCTCAACCAAGTCCATATGGGCATTATGGATCTCCTCCCCCACCATCACTTGGACCACAAGCAGCGGCTTCATCACAACCGTCATTCGGGCCTCAGGCCGCCGTCACTGGACAGCCCTCTTTTGGTCCTCCGGCCACTTCCCCTGCTCCTCCTCAAGCTCAAACGTCGCCACCAACATCTGTATCAACGAATTTCGCCCCCCCACCAAGCACCGCAGGCGCGGACACCGGTCGCCATCCATCTACAGCTGCCCAAACATATACCACAAACGCCGTACAAGATCCAAATGCTCATATTCTTGGCCAGGCGGCACCGGTACAAACTCCAGCAACCCAATTCTACTCGTCTATCAATGACCAACCCCACAAGCCATTGCAACATGTTCAACCTCACTATCCCGATTACTTGGCCGCCGGGCATCAAGCCCCCGCCCCTCCTCCTCCCGGTGGATACTCGAATTATCAATACGGACAAGCCCAACCACAACCCGCTGCTGCGGGTAGTCCTTATGATGTCCATCATCAAGTTTACCGTCCAACCGAGACCGAGCATCATACACATCACCACTCGAAACCGTCTAGAACTTCGAGCAATCCACAAAATAAACCCTCTCAAGCAGAAAGGCTCGAAAAGGGTGTGGGCAAATTGTTCAAGAAGATCGAAAAGAAAATTGGATGATGAGAGAATGAATTTATTGACACTGTAGCTGTGGTGAGGTTGAGTTTTTCATGAAATTTTAGCAAGCGAGCAAACGTCGTCAAGACCGTGGAATTGAATGATATGTTGGCTTTCCTTTGAAAGTTAATACCAAGCTGGATGAGAGCTTTCATTAGCCTTGTCACCCGGCTCGGCTATCCTGTGTCTATTATACATTACATTCAATTCAGAAGCCGTCATCGTCATCTCACTGGTCCTCCATTAGAGCTGAAAGTCTCCTACCTTATCTTTGGACATATGTCAATTTTTGTGTTTGTTTTGTTCTGGTCGTGGATTCTAGCGGCCTCGCATCTTGCATCTCGCATCCTCTATGGCCTTCCCAGTCTCTCAGCGCGTCTTTGGCAAGTTTCCCATGGGTGCTTGTATTCATGAAGTCCTCAAGCTGCGTCGTAACGCTAAGATCTTCGACGTTTTCCTCTCCGGTTTCGGCTCCCATCTTGATTGATTCTCCTTTCTCCTTTTCCTTCTCGTCCATTCTAAGAGGACTGGAGGATATGAATCGATCGATGACTGAATTGCTGGCCAAGTACATCCAAACAGGCGACTGCATCGGAATTTTCGAGAGCGTGGCTTCGGTCAAGCCATCATGATTGCAACTGCGATTGTGATCTTGTCTTCTCGATCTCGGCCTCTTCGATTGCCCGGGTCAGCACATGTTCTATGTTGCATATATAAAGGTGAGTGCTTCGTGGCTTCGAATAAGGATAGTCTTGAGTTTTGTTGATACGTACGCCTCTCTTGGAGTCATCTTTTCTCCTCCTTTCTCCCCGGGTCCTTTACTTCCCCAGACCAGAGTAAGCAATGTTATTGAGCAGATTCGTTGTCGTTATTCGAAACGACACAAAGGAAATGTGCAATCTGAATATGAGTATGATGATGGAGGATGAGGAGATGCTCTTTCTTCGTTGGCTTGGACTGGCTGGGTTGGCATATGAGAGAGGAGTTATGGGAGTTACATCAACCAAAGACCACAATCATATCACATGGTATAGCTAGGGTGCTGAGGGACGGTTTGAAGATGGGGACAGCAAGGGGAAGGGAAATAGGAAGGGGAGTCCTACCAAGTCCGTTGTTGCCAATGGTTGTGGATCCCCAGGAAACAGGAACATGATAGGGCAGGGCATGTTAGAGCAGGTCTTCAGACCATCGATCCCTGAAGCACATTCTGGACAGACAAGCGAAGGGCCTGCCCATGTGCGAATACCGATTCCATTCCCACATCCCATCCGAGCATTTCGGGCGAATATCCAACCCCAGAAGGACCGGGGCAGAGTGCACCGGAAAGGACAAACGAGTGCAAAGACTTGGCACATCAGGCCTTTCGCTGCGAAAAAACACGCCAGGCATAAAACCGAGCGACTGTTCTGCATACATGAATGAGAATGCAAGAATCCTGCATTCACGGCACGCCGCAAGCACTCCGGGCATATGTATGGTCGGGCAACAGACGACAATTGAAGTTTTAGTTCGTTCCGCTCGTTCAAGTTCGCATTTTGGTAATGTTTTTTCGTCTCTGCTGTTGAATGCTATCGTACTAGTACAGTACTAAGGTCCAGCTTTCGTCTGCAACGCGTGGAAACTTTGCGCCCAAGGAGTCCAGACATTTTCTCCTGATCACATTATAGGTTGCGTATTGGCATGACAGATGAGCCAAAAGAGGAAATCGGACCACCACTTAGTGAGTTAATGCAGGCCCGGCAGTCCAGAAGACCCGAGGCCGGATGACCACCCAGGTTGAGTTGGGTTACGTAAACTTACCAGGCTAGGCTGGCCCTTTTGCTTTTGGTCAAGATAAGTATGGTGTTTGGTAGTCTGTGTATGAATATCCTGGCCAATGGCATTCGGAATGGACTAATTTGAAGCGATGATCAATGGATGGATCCGAGTTAATGCTTATGACGGCACCGTAGTACTGCCTGAGGAAGGGGAAGTTTGCGATTATGCTATGCTCTGGTCTCTGTCATCCGTCTATTCCACGAAGGCCGACCAATATCCGGGCTAGGGACGGGCATAGGTGGTATGCTTGTTTGAACGCTTAGATAATACTTCACAGCCTCGTCTGCTTATGTTACCCCGCGGTCCCCCATCATCACCATTATCATTAACGATCGGCCCTCCGGAAACCGGTGAACCAGGCATGCCTGTCTAGACGTCTGGCTTACGTACCCTATGCCGGCAGAACTAAGTCAACGATATACAATGGGATGGCTAAGTATCAGAGTCTTGGGTAACAATCAATGAATCACTCTTGCCGGCCCACTTCTCGTGACGGTGGTTCTTAGCGGAGGCCGAACATTTGTCCACGGCCCCTCCCTGGCAGATCTGATGGACTGGTGGTGCTCTGTCATGGACATCCACACACTGCTCAGACTTGGGGTCGACAATTTCAAGTTCCAGATGGGGGGGTTGAGATATGTCGTTGGGATCAAGATACATGAATTGGGAGAAAAGAATCCAAGCTTGGATGCTCCCTCCTCCCAAAAGAATGCTGGTCATGGCCTGCCTCTGCGGACGACTGCTGTACGACTGAGAGAAGATTGATTGAATCCATCCAAAAGAGAGAGAGAAATAGGCGAAGGATGCAAGCTGCAACAATGCCAAGCAAGCCGCCTCGTGACAAAGCAAACTGCCTCATATGGCTGTCCAACACTGCCTTGGATGTATATATATCTGCTGCTCAACCAGAGCACATTCCATCTTGGATACCCATCGCTCATCCTCAGGTCGGTCTTGGCGTTATTTTCTTCGTCATCCTTTATCCCTCAAATGTACCAGATTTCTTCCTGTATACTCGTACCCTCAGGCATACAAGTCCAATCTAACATTTGAGAGAGCCCGACATAGCACCGTTTTCAGATTACGCGCAATTACCCCCAGGTGAAGCAGGCACAGGAAAGTCGGCAGGAAGGATCACATGAAGCAGCGCCATGAGAAAGTATTGTTGTTGCAGCGGGGGGAAGAGAATGTAGGAGCTAACTAGAACTATCTGCTGGGGTGGCTGCTTTACTTATATATGCTCCGTAAACGAATGTAGTCTAGCATGTGCCTGTCTGTGGCAGAAATTCCACAGGACGTGATTGGCCAACAAACCTTCAATGTAACACCGGCAATCCGGAAAATCTATAATCCGTCTATTCCCGAAAACCCCCGTGCGACGCATTCAACCCTATCGGATCCAGTCCACGGCCCATGAGTAGACGATGTCGTTCACTGTGTCCTTTGCCCATATGACACCTCCCATCGGATCCAGTCTATGGCCCATCCGGGATGAGTAGAAATGCCGCCTTCGCGAGCACAGCCCCCCTTCCCTTTTGATCGGATCCAGTCCATGGACCATCAGGAGATGAGTTTTCTTAGGCCTACCCCGTCGTAGCCTCAGTCAGAGACTTTATCCCCAGCTGCGCCTTGAGAGCTTCGAACTTTGGGTAAACGAGCGGCTTGGTCGTGACTTGCTATGGAAGTCTTGTGAACTCGCAAGCGCGATTGCCCCCCGTGCTGTCGGCGTGAATCGTTGTTCGATCACCAACAGGGCGTTGCAATTCTCCCATGAATCGGTGTAGATAGACTGCCTCCTTGGTCGCACCGCCCCGAGCAACGTACTCAGACGCTGATCCCACGGAAACAGCACCGTCGACAGTAAAGATGTAGCTTCCAGCTGTGGCCAGCCCCCCTTCTCTGTAGGAGTAGCAGCAAGAGACTTGAGTTGCTCCATCGATTCAGCTGTGATTCCATTCAAATGAGCCGCATTTGCAGAGGAATTCCTTCTGCTGCTCTCATTTGAGCCTTCTCCTCGTCCCTCTTGGAGTCCTTGACTTATTTTGATTTTTGGGATTCTGGCGACAGTCCTTCCAGGCATGGCTGGTTTCATGAGTCCTGCAAGCCCAATTCTCGTTGGACTCGTCCTTAGAAGGATCGACAGGCTTAAAGGAATTGTTGTTTCCATTGTCGTTGTTGCCTTTTCCTCCTGTGAGATTTGAAGGCAGAACAGTAGTAGTTGTATTCTTCTTTCGTAACTCCTCGTTAAAGATCAACTAAATGACATCGTCGAAGACCCAGTCCCTTGGTCAACGGAGAGCAATGAAGATGTAAGGATTTCAAAAGGGTCGCCGAGACCCTTTGTTGGACCGAGAGGAGATTGATTGATTGAATCTGTCTGAGCGAGGTGCAAGCTAGAAAAAGGGGCACCAAAGGGTGCGGTGCACGTGACTAGGCTAGGCCCAATGTGGACAGGGGTAATGTTATTCTGTACACCACATTTTGTTATTCTGTACACCGCTTTTGATTGGTCCGGATTTTTATTTTTCCGGTTATCTGCGCAGTTCGAAGATACGTGATGTCACAACACCTAAGTCTGCCTATATAGAATGCAGAAATGATGGTTAACGATGGTATCCTCTGCACGGTCGATACCTCGTGCTGACTAAGGTAACAAACCAGCGCCCATAGGCTTGGG